GTGGAATCAGAGTCAGGGCGCATTTCATGGACAAATATCGGGGGGTTTAACAACTGTTCGCCGAGGCTCGTCTGTGGTTGTTGACATAGTCGAATTTCTTGAGGCAACAGATAACCCCCCATCCTCGACGATTCTTTATTTACATGACTCGAATTTGGCCTTGTTTCGTTCTGGGCATCATTAAAGAATTCCTCCTAACGCTAGCACTCCAGCTTGCATGGAATTCTTCGATCGACCTGATTGTTGGCTCACACTACTTTTGGAACGCGGCGAGGCCCCTCATTGGACACTAAGTAATATGATCACTCGGGACTTCCGCCTGAGCCAGACGTCTGTGCCCTAGTGTCCGAATGATCTTTCGAGCTAAATTGGGCAAGCACAATGGCGATCGAGAACAGAGCAAGAGTAGCCGCATGACACGATGCTAGTAAAGGAATAGATTCCGCAAGCTATTACTGAAGTCGGATTGGGCTCGAAACGCTGTGCTCATACTGTGGTAGGCGATGAGCAGGCGGTAATTTATAACGAGGCACTAACATTCCCTGGAACACATACATTCAGCCTCTTGAGCTCAGAAAGCAGGTTACAACAAGCCTAGACACAATTGAAGCAGGATCACGTTTATGGGGAATTCAGTCCGTCAGCACGTTGGTGACTCAGCTGCAGAATCGTAGAACAATAATTTCGGATTTTCCGGCATCAGATGTCCATGTCCGCTTTGTTGCCTCGTATCGGTGGATTGAATATATTTGGCGAGATTGAGTCCACTACGTGACAATGACAATGATGTGATGATGATGTAGTGAGTACTAAGGGAACAACATGTAGGAACGCCATCTGAGCAGCTTATTACACCGCACTAGGTGCGAGCAAACACATGTCCCACGAAAATGGTTGTCAGGATTATCCAACAACTCGCATTGTAGCCATCAAACCTGCCGCAAATATGCGTCAGATAATATCTGACCCCGTCGTCGCAAGTATGATTGCTTGCCTCTTCGACAAGGTGCTCAAATGCCTGCAGAACAGTCTCCCGTCTCCATGTAGTGTTGTTGACCTCGTCCATAGGCTTGGCCTAGGGTTTTCCAAATCGTATTGTTCGCAAAGATAGACACAAGCAGCAGCTTCAAACTATCGGAGACCTTGCTCCGACATGCACCTGTGAAGTTACCAGCGTACAGAACTGTTCGACATTGAGAGTGATACGCCTCAGACCGAGGAAAAAGAAAAGCAATCTTCGGTTCCTTTGCTAGGCACTACACGAAGTTTGGCGGATTGTGTTGTCGGTCAACTTCATTTCGGCAATTTTGTAGCGGCCCATTGGCCAAGTTCCGACATGGAGCGTAGAATCGGATGCAAGATACACGGATCTAGCATGCCCTTCATCGCCGTATCATGCACCTATCCTCATCTCGCATGCATGGAAAGCAAGTTGCTGTTGCGCCTAGATAACAGCGAATGAAAAATGTCCCTTGTTGGCTCGATATTGCTCTGCATCGGGACGAACCGTTGCTTTTCGACTGGGATTTTTGGGAGTTGCAGTTATGAAACGAATTCGTTGCGGTCAGCATCTGCTTGTTCGGAATGTGAGAACTGACAAAATTCGGGGGGACGTCTTGCTTTTGGGGTAAACAGAGTTTTGGCGAGCCAAATAATCCATAAATGTATGATGTCGTAGCTTATGTGGAAGATACAGAAAAAGCAACAACCCAGTCAAGCCAAACGAATGTAACCATTTTCAACAACCGAGATTTGTCGGGCAGTTCGGCTCACGGTGAGTGAGGCTCCCCATTGCTGATGCTACCCTAAACCCCCCACTGCGCAACTATCCTTGAAAATCCGGTCTGAGAAAGTGTTTACTGAACCTGCATATGTGATAACTGGCGGCATTAATAGAAGCATTATAACATGTATCACAAAGCAGGGATAAAGTTAGTGGCCATTCATTCCACAACGGCCTTGCAGCAATAAACAAATGCAATTCAATGCAAGACCCCTGGTTGCAACTGCGACAAGTCGAATGTAGGGTGAGGATATTTCGCCTGAGCATTACCCGAACCTCGGAATAAGCTTTACGATATAACTTAATCGGACCGGGTTGTGTTGGCCATCTTCTACGGAACGCTATTCGACTCGAAAGAGGCAGGGGTAATGTTTGCATCTTGACGGTGCAAATCCTTCGAGGAAGACAACCGGACTTTGGAAGGAGAGGTAATAAGTCTGACGAAATAAGACTTGTGCATTCAGTGGCCATCACAATTGCTTTTGTTACAAGGGGGGGGGGTTTTTTTTGCCAGGATCTTTCGAATTCACATGGAAAAGGCCTCTGATTGAGGTACTTTACCAATACATTAGACAATGTCAGTTGTTGGTACCCGTGATAACTCTCACCACTTGCGATACGTCGTAAAGCAATTCCACCGTTCGATGTGAGTTGGGTCAAAATGTTTATTGGGTTACATTGTGCCGATGTTGCTGATACTGAGGTTTCAAGGAAATTGAGGTGATAATTTTACCAGTTCCACGTTTTGCAGACACCACCTTTTTCGTTACCGAGAGTAAGATGTTGATTGCCAAGTTTCGGAGGATAGATGCCTTGCTTCGCCATGGCTCTTTACTGTACAGTCGTCAAATCGATTGTCATCTGAGGAGGCTTTGAGGCATTGGAAATTGACATCAACTTATCATGATGCTCTTCTGAGCACTTCACGGAGTCGGAAGTACAGCATTGACTGTACAAATTCTCAAAAATGCCTCCAGCCATGGCTGGTATCTCATACATAGCACAAGTCTAAACCTCGTAATAGGCTATGCACAATGTAAAGTTCACCGTGCTTTGCACATATAAAGACGGAAGCCGAGGACGAAATCCAGCTAGAAAGTTTCAAAGCAAAAACATGCAGCTGGGATACTTGATAGCCATAAATCGAGGGTAGTATCGATAACAGTTATCTTCCAAATATGCTTCGTTCGGAGAAGCACAAGCTCGTGGTCAAAGAAAATGTATTGAGTTCAAATTGGACCATAACTAGTGGTAACATCTGCAACCACGAACTAGTATTGATAAATCTCACCGAGGCCAAAATAAAAGAGAGATTAGCTCAGTGTTCAAGACGGAAGGCATATATCCATATCCTCAGCATTCTTTTCACAATTACGCTTGGCCGTTTGCTTACATTAGACGAGGTGCCATTCAGTTCAACTGGAACAGTAGAATCCAAGTCCCCTAGCATAAATTGCTCAGAGCACCTGCATCTAAAGACACAAGAAATATAACGCCAATACTTATCATCAGCGAAGGCCATTAAACTATGTTTAGAAGGTCTTCAGAAATAGACCACGGCTTTCTTATGAATTGGGTCGCACGGACAAGCAATAACGTTTCCTGGACAATCTACTATAATCCCAACGCGTCTCAGTCGGTTAGCTGGCTCCTTGACCTTTCTCTTACGACCACTGATCCATGTTTGGTTAATGAGGAACCACATAATAGTGAGCATACCTAGATAGGAATTCTTTACATGAAGAATAAGACTGCTGTCCGCACCGGACATTGCTTGTATGCCAGCAATTGTCGTTCGGTACAAGTTCGTAGCTTTATTTACCATTACCGGAATCGAAATCTCTTACGAGCTCCTCCCCATGTGAAGGTAGCACTGCTCGAAGGCAGGGCACGCAGTCTCAGTCTAGACAGACATCGACGATGAGCGAATTGCCACAATGGACGGAGCTTTAGTGACATCGACTACAGCCTACCCATCAAGCTCGTACATGGACCTAGTCACTCGGAAATTAAGCGTCATAGTGTTCTTCGAGAGCCAAGAGCTAAGAAGAATACTGAGTCGTGAGTCGCTTCGACCTAATAACAATCAAGTGAGCTTTACGTTGGATCACTGTTGACCATAATGTAGCGGCTTGCCCATATTTCACATGGCCTTCCGTCGGAATCATCACTAGCAGTCAATGTACAACGCTGTTATAGACTCCATTTCGCAGACGTGTTGCAAACGCTAAGGCTAAGGCTAAGGCTGTGATATTACTGTAAACGCGGAAATCTTATGACTGCGATCATCAGTCCCACACACACCTTGCGCAGTATCTGGGATCCCGACTATAGGCCACACAAACAATTTCAGGAACATGGCTCTAGCTTCTGTGTACTTGGTGGTCCTTTGAGAGCATGGCGGTACCCAAACTGAGGTCGGTCACACCATGTTCGAACGCTACAATCAAATCGACGAGTCAGCTGAAACGCATTTGGTTGGGAAATCTCACGTCCGGAACTCGCCATACTGGGAGGCGTGAAGGTTTCACAGCCGTTGGGTGTTCCTGTGTTCTAAACTTCCCACCAGTGGTGGCGCAGGAGCAGCAGGCTGCCCAAGCTGGCGGTAATGCCTCTAACCTAGATTAGTCCATCTACAGAGTCATATTAGCAGCGAAAACTACTTTGAACGAAGTCAGGCGATGGCGCAAGAATTGGCGCACTAGCAGCCGAGATGTATCGGCTGCTGCGCCAATTCATGGTGTCTACCGCCTGGTAGTTAGGGGACGCGCTGAGGAACCCAGCGGTCTAATACCTACAAAATAGAGCCAATAGCTCGTGCCAAGATCAGCTCTAATTCGGATCAACTACCGATGGCCGCTATGGTATTAGGCTGGCCTATGTATGTACATAGAAAGAACTTTAGTGGCCAAGCCCCGTAAAGAAGCCGACAACTTTGGAGGCTACAGAGCAAGACACTAAGTAAGGCCTTCTGCCCTGAGGGAGTGGTTCATATTTGCCAGCTGAAGGGGAGCACGGGAGGCCATCAATGCGGGATGCTTGTGACACGATCCACCGCGTGGAAGAATAAACTGACTGCTTGGTTATGGCAATTGCTCGTGGCCAGTATGATACTCCAGAGTAGAAGAGCGTGCATATGTAAAATCAACAGCAGAATGTCAAGGAATTAACACTAAACGCCGATGATATGCGGGGGTTAATGACGTTATTTCGGCCATTACTGTCGTAACCCCGCGATGAGATATGGTAAATACGGAATGATCGAGTCTCAGTGATAAAATAGACAAAAGGTTTACATTTGAATGAACGGATTATCCTCTTGCAATAGTCAAAATCCCAAAAATGACAAAAATTCTTTTGACTGGTGGATCGGGCTTCATCGCCGGTATGTGTAACCCCACGACGTTGCTGGCGATGACAGGACTAACAAGGCACTTCAGCCCACATTCTCGAGCTCCTCGTGCAGCGAGGTCATGAGGTGGTGACGACAGTCAGATCAGAAGACAAAGCCGCCAAGATACGTGAAGCACATCCTAACACGAAGCTTGAGGTAGTCATCGTTCCTGATATCGCCAAGCCGGATGCTTTTGACGAGGTCGTAAAGACTCCGGGTTTGGAGGTTGTTCTGCACAGTAAGACCTCGCCCCTATATTCTTTCCAATACCAAATTTCCAGTCAGATGGATACTGAGTGCCGTCCACAGCTGCGTCGCCTTTCCACTTCAACTGGACAGACCCCAAGACCGAACTCCTGGACCCTGCTCTGATTGGAACAACCTCGATTCTGAAGGCTGTTAAAAAGTCTGCACCAGGCGTCAAGCGAGTAGTGGTCACCAGCTCCTTTGCATCCATCCTTTCAGAAGCTGGTCTAGCAGATCCGAAAAAGGTTTTTTCGGAAGCTGACTGGAATCCGAGCACTTACGAAGACGGCCTCAAGGGCAGCAAAGCCACCTCTTATCGTGTGTCCAAGACGTTGGCCGAGAAGGCAGCATGGGATTTCGTCGAAAAGGAGAGACCTAACTTTGACCTCGCGACCATCTGTCCACCATTGGTCTTTGGTCCAATCGTGCACCACCTGAACTCACTTTCGGCAATCAACACGTCGAATCAACGCTTCGTGGACCTCATCCAGGGCAAGTTCAAGGAGGAAATCCCGGTGACGGGCGTGTTCTTCTGGGTCGATGTTCGCGACGTAGCTCTGGCTCATGTCGAGGCGTTTGAGCGACAAGAGGCTGGCGGCAAGAGGTTCTTTACTACAGCTGGCAAGTTCAACAACCGTGAAATCGTTGCCGCTGTGCGCAAGAACTTCTCCGATCTCAAGGACAAGCTGCCATCAGAGGATGTCAAGGGTGGCGGCTATCCCGAGGGTGGCGTCTATGGCTACGATAACTCGAGAGCTACTAAGGAGCTCGGTATCAACTGGATCTCGATTGAAAAGAGTTCGGTTGATACTGTTAAGAGTCTCCTCGAGGTCGGGGCTTAAATCAAACAAAGTATTCTCGGAACTCAATACGTACATAGATAGATCCCATTACACTTAGATATGGACCAATGAGAGTACAACGCGACTTCAATTCTACGATTCTAGGATCTGCCGCATTATTAAATAAATGCTCGAGTAGACATGATTATAATCCTTACATGATTATGAGGAAGTATTCTACCTGTACCGAAAGCTGAGCGCAGAAAGACCAATTAGCTACCTGATACACTACATTTAGGGCCGCGTCCCTGCTGGCTACATATAATATGCCCATTATGGGTGAATCCCTTTCAACTGTGCCTGATGGAGAGTTTCGCATGAGTGAAGCATGTGGATTCGGAGCCACTCTGATCGACCAGCTAAACGCTTTTCTTCCATTATGTAATTCCATTACTTGACGCCGACATGTCCTCATAAATGGGGCTATCTTGTAATTAATAGCTACCTCCTAAATTTTCGAGGTTCAATTTCTTTGTTGTGCTGACATCCTCAGATCCACTAGCTTTCCCACCAGTCAACCGAGGGCTCTCTCGTTTCGCCTTCGGCTCTCCACCGTCCGTATTACTCCAGCTATGCCAGCCTTCACTCGCTACACACGTTTGCTGATCGTGCGTTCCTGTAAGCCCGCAGAGAACATGCGAAGAAGGTTGCAATGCGACACCCGTGGCCGAGGTTGGGCCGATCGCACCTATGGCAACGCCGATTTCCCCGGCAGATGGGAAGGACGCCAGCAGCGGAGCTGTTTTGAGCGCCGGAACGAGTGACAGCGGCGATACCGAAAAAGCTGGAGACAGTGGAGACTTAGGTGGTGGTATCGGTGGAGAGAAGAGTGAGGACTGAAGATGAAAGGTGGACGGTGCTGGTGGAAGAGCGTGTTCGGGTGGTGGAGTCACCGGCATCAGAAGGCCGGGAATATTCAGAGGCGAGTTGTGCGGACGCTGTGGACGTATTGGTGAAAGCGGTGGTGACCCATGCCTGGCAGGGTTGGTGATCTCCGTGGTGGTGGTGGTGGTGGTGGTGGTGGCTATAGAGCTAGACTTTGCTGTATTCAAGATCGAGACATTTGTCGGCCTACTGATGACGGAACTCATGCTGCTTCGTGGTACGTCCGCAAGAGTATCCATGACAGTATCGGATTGAATACTTGTCAGGACAGCGTGACGTGTATATCTAGGCAAGGGTTTGCCTGTTGTACGTGGGGGAATTGAATGCTCTGGGAAGATTGATTCTGATTGACTAGAATATGAAGGGGCAAAAAAAGACCGTATCGGGTGATGACTAGTAACCGGCGAGAGATACCTGCGATCTCTTAGACGCATTGGAGGAGTTAGAGGTTGCAGGGATTTTGGCAGAAAATCATGAGGTGAAGTGACCAACTTCGCACGGGAGCCGGTCGGCGGCTGGTCATGCGCAACGAAAGCCCTTGATCTTGGGGGAGTCTTGATGTATACCTTCGAACGTCTTCTCCGCCTGCAGACACACAAGAGTGCCAGGAAAAGCGCCAGAGCAGCTATCGTTGCGCATACACCAATAGCCACGGCATCGCCAGTTTTCAGCCCATGCAGTGATACCGAAGATGCTGTGGGAGCCATCGGCGTCGATGTATTTAAAGCGTCCGTGCCTGTTTCGGTTGTTATGGCTGGGGAATCGCCCTGTATTGGAGTCAGAGACGTGATTGAGGTGGTGGAAATCTCGATTTGCATTCCAGTAAAACCACCGTGGTCGGCAGTACCGGATGATATCGACATGACCTTGAACGGGTCCTCACTCGTCGGACCACATCGATCTCGTTGTGGAGGGCCTGGGTCTACTATGCCAGAAATACCGATACTATACAGTCAGCTTTAAACAAGAGATGCTCACTTCTTGAAACTAACTTTTTGCACTGATCAATTATCCCGTCAACATTTGCTAACAGTGTGGTCAGATTCTGCAGAGCTCACAAAGAAGCCGCTGGGACTTACGATCTTGTCTAGCGGCGGTCCCAACTACACCAAGCCCGCAGTATTTCGTATCGCAACAGTATAAGTCCCAAAGAAACGCGCCGAGATGGTCATCCACGATCTTATGGCATAAGATTTCAAGGGCTAGTGCCGGGTCTCTTGTCACGTCTATGTCTAGCCCTTTGGTGAACTCGGTTCTGCATGCTGCCATACATTTTGGTGCGTTGCTGAGACCAATTAACTTAGGAAGCTCAGCATCTGCTCCATCCAGAGCAGCTTTCCTACCGCTGCCTTCCATATTACCAGGAACCTCCGCAGTGCTGTTCGCGTGTTTCATCCTCTGATTGACTTGGTTGATTGTTGTGGCGCCGGCGTGTATTTTCTGAGTGAGACGCAGCGTGGATAGACAACAAGACTAATACAACGGCCACGGGACCGAGCTGAAGGAATGTCGGTGGTATGATAGGCTGTTGCAAAACGAGTGGTCGCAGTAAGAGAAGTCTCCGTACAAATGAAAAATAGACACAGTCTACAAGCCGCAGCAACTTACTTTTGGGGCGAGCTGGCTCGAATACGTTTCGAATGTGACTGCTATATACTTGTTCAGATACATACAGTTAGACTTTGATAGAGCTTCTTACCGGAGAGCATGATTATGATTCCACAGCAGCAACGCGGCACACGGGACGGCCCAAATGTGCGATGATCGGCATCCTGCACTGCAGAGGGGCGTAGCGGACATCACCAATCGTAACGGGCAAAACTGTGCAAAGTCGCACGGGTTCTGCATCATTCCGACCAGACGAAAACGATGATTTTCGTATGAGTGTCTTGGCCGGTAGTTACACAGCGCCACCCAATGGAAGCTCAACGAAGCTGCAGGGCTCCGCAGGCGACCACCAACTCATGACTTCAGCAGGCACCAGGACGAATAAGTGATGGTGATCCTACAGCCTGAAAACAGGTGTTTAAACGATGCATATGAATGGCCACTCACAGTATAGACATGTTGCGCAGCAAGACCTGACTCCCGAATCTAGCGCTTGCAAATGCGATAGGCAAGGCGTAGATGCATGAAGACACCGTGGAGGTCACCGATACCATAGCCAGATCATCATAGATAAGAAATAGTCGGTAGTACAATCAAGTGACGCAGAAACACTCCCACAAGGTCGGTCTTGTAGATTGCTGGTCCAGTATGAAATCCTGTAGATCCGACGCAGAACCATCGTCCGGTCATGATTCCGCACTTCCCCTTGATTGACATGAGGCTTAACCCCACATATTATCGGGCAAGAGAATGAGGCTCCAAGTTTCAGGGGTGAATCCATTCCCGATGTTCTATGTCGTGAAGTTGCAGGGCTGATCTCTGGCTATCCTGTGCGTAGTAACTCAGAAGAACAACGAATGGTTCTTGATGGATGGCCTCACCAGGATCATTCAAATTTGTGGAGAGTGCGTCGTCACTGTTTCTGGGAGCATAGCCAATGAATTTGAGTTTTAGGCGAACAGGTACAGATAAGCTGTACACGTTCTTGTTCCAGCCGCCGGTATTGTGTTACTGCATTGAATTATAAGGGCACTAGAATTAACGGCATTCCACTCCCCAATGGTCGTCAACCAATGATTGGAAACACTTGTTAGAAACATTTTACGGGAGATTGTTTGCCCTCGCACCACGTATGTACTGACGTTTGACTTCATCGGTGAATTAATTTTCAAGACAAGTAAATTTCCAAGTACGTCCTTGTGCGCTGCCACTTTCGTGGTCTTGTTAAACGGTTCTGCTGGAAAGACCGTCTCATTTCTTGATAATAGGTGACCTGATCATCCACATCAACGCACGCGAATCTATGCAGCACTACCGGCTGTAAGTTAAACAGCTCATTTGTTTCGTAGACTGGTTATTGCACTAGAGTGTAATATATCTATATTTTTCTGTAGCAAGCTCTAGAAGAAATTATCTGGTCAGGTCCATTCATGATTGCCATTTGTACATAATGTCTATTCTATTAGAGGCCAGTGTTGCTATGATCAAGCATATTGCACAGTGAAGATATTTTGGGGGCAATTTTTGCACGGGCATCTGATCCATAATATCTACGAAGAAAGAAATTGGAAGTTTGGTCAACTCGCAAAACCCTATAATAATTTATTTGTAAGATAGAGGTTGCTGGGATCTAGTGGGAGAAATTGCACAGAGCTTCGCAGTAACAGGTCTAAAATGCTAGAATGCTTGGGACTACTGAAGAAGAATATCAAATTCCAAGTACGGCGCTTTGACCGGATTGATACAGCAGAGTCGTGGCTGTTAATTCTTGAATATAGCAGTAGAAGTTGCAGGTGCGAGCCCTAGCTTGGGGAGTGTTTATCAGTCAATATTTCCCTTCACACCTGATCTTTGTTTGCACTCAACTTCTGCATAACTCTGGTCTCCAGTTTTTCTCAGTGACAAAAGTCGTCGTATAAAGAGCCTTTGTTCCATGATCATCTCAATTCTCTCTATCAGCTTTACTTTGCCACTCTCTGCATCCTTCCTGGGCAATTCGGCGAAACATCTAGCTTCCAATGACACCCACAAGTTCTCAATATGCCTGAGGTTTACACCGCGTTACCGTCTAGTTCCTTTGTCATCAATGATACAGAGAATCTGCCCAAGGTGAAGGGCCACCAGGGAATGCGTAAGTCATAACAGTATCTGACCGCACCTTTGTAACTTTCGTGGTGAGTTCATGAGACCTATTCGAAAACGACTGGGACCTGGGCATCTGTCTCCGCCTGAATAAAGCGTTCGTAGAGGACCCAAGCAAGGAACTGAATCTGTTTCACATGGTTCACCAAATTAATATATTGGCACCTCCCAAGGCTCAGAGACTGTGCACAACAAGTTCCTATAAGCACAAGCTGGCAGGAGATGTGGAAATGCCCCTCCCTTCCCAACAGTTGAACGCAGGCGACAAGGCCAAGGAGCTCTTCAAGATGTACCGCGTTAGGGAGGACGAAACAGGTGGAATGTACCGTGTCATCATCGTCAGCGCCTTGATGATGCGAGCTGGTGCCAAAATTCGGGAAGAGTAGATGAGGCATCTCCGCAATCTGGCCCCCAAAGTCAACAGTACTCCGAGTGCGACCAGAACGAGGGTTTCCGCAACCCGGGAAAGGTACAAGTCTTGACTGTTCGGAACAAATACAAGTTGGGCACACACCTCGCAATCTCCAGGAGCCTAGCTGCTAGAAATGTGGCAAGACAAAAAGATAAGCTTGGCGGTAAGATTCTGATGAGCTATTCGTCCCACTACGCTTGGTACTGCGATAATGCGAGTCGGTCTGTACTGGTATTCAATAGCACAGTTAACGAATCAATACCAGAAATGTCAGGAGGCTCATCAGCCCGCCCACAAGCAATCTTGTATCCCTCGGGAGACTCGATGACTGCTCTCGGTTTGAAGGCTTGCGACTATATTTCGCTCACATATCGTAAGGAGATAGACAGATAGTAGAGATAGATAATGAGACCTCACAAGTATCCTTTGAACGATTTGTTTGTATGTGACATGCGCTTGTGATATGCAGGGACATGTATGTCTGCTCCAATCGAAATATTTGCAACCAAATTTCTTTTAGCCTCACAATTTATTACTTCGTAGTATTTAATTGTGCAAACATGCTCTCCATAACAATTAACTGTGAAATACTAGACGCGTTCCCTAGTGTGTGTAGCTGATGGACTGAAGATACAAATCACACCCATCCAGTCGTAAGAAGTTTTCGTCCACAACGCACATTGGGCAGCCGACGCCGGTAGATAAACAGAATACGAGCAAAACATGCACTCCCCCTCCCCCTCCCTTTTTTTTTTCGTTTTTTTTTTCGCGCCCTGTCGTGAGTACGTCGTAAGTACGTATCAATCCAATATATGGGAACCAAAGCTGGGACGAATCGGGAGCTCAGCTATGCCGCCCTGCCTGGGCAAGAGTAGAGGTCGGTTAATGGACATAATTACCGTGTCAATCATTGACTAGTTAGCATCCAGGCGACCCCGGGTAGAGAAGGGGGCCGCATCAGACACTCTCGTGCCCAGCGCACAGACCGAACGTTCCCATGTTTTCCCTTATCCCGAAATCGAATTGAGTTGAGCAGCGACATTGTTGGCAACCTTTGACGCAATAATCCTTGGCGTCATGTAGCATTTTTGTTCTAGCGATGAGACTCGAGATGATTACACTTACTCCTATATATTCAATAATCATAAAGGATTGAGTCTCCAATCAGTGGATATAGTCACTGAATTCATTTGTCTAACTATCTAATGCCGCTTCAAGTGGCTATATAAGGACATGATGAATCATACCGTGGTATCAACGCCATTGTAGTGCTTATGCAATCGCCGACGCTTGCTGACTTCGTCGCGTTATGGGCTTGATACCTATACAGCACCTGATGTGTCCATAGGGTCCCCAGCTTTGACTGCTGCTATCCGCTCGGCTTTCCATGCCTCAACCTTCTGCCGTAGATCATCTGCCGGAACAACATCGTTCATCGTCATAGGATTACGTGTAAATGGGTCGAGAGGGTTAGCAAGCAGTTGTTGAACAATAGTCGAGCGGTCGACGATGTTCTTGGAGGGCAAGATGACTGGGTCTGTCATGAGAGTTCCCATGAGTGGGTCCTCGAACTCGCTTGGGATCTCACCCAAGTCTAGTTCAGCCTGGTCGGCAATTTCCTTAGCCACGTGAACCTTCTGCATCAGCCGCTCCCAGACCTTTAACTCTTCCGGAGCTTTCAAGCTCTTTGAGCTGAGAATTCTGCCAGCTTCGGCAAAGTTAACTGGCTTGTAAGAGCGCCCGTCTGCAGCAATTGCTTCAATGAAAGGCTGCTTTGATTCCAAATTCAGGTAAATGTCGACGAATTCGGATAAGAGTGTTCTCGCATCAAAGTTGTACTTCTTTGCATCTTCAACTTTCAAGTTGCCTCTCTTTTGGCCCACGAGAGTATCCAAATTGTAATCCAGCATGTTCGCCAGGCGACCAACAATTTCTGGCATCGTAAAGGCATCCTTGAGAGTTGCGGTGAATAGCTTCATCATGGCCATTGTTTCGTTTACTAACTGCATGTAGCTTTGACATGCGCCTTCGGCTTGTTCGAGATCAGTAACCAACTTTGTCCTATCGTCGGGTGCCAGCGACTGGTCCTGGAGCTGTTTTTGGTAATCGTGGATCTTGACTAATTTGCTTAGAGCTTCGTCCAGTAGGTAGGTCGCGTCGCTCAATAAGAGACTGACGAATTGGACGAAGAAGTCACGGTTGACCCTGCTCTCTCTGTTGAGTTGCTCTCTATATATAGTGTTTGGCCAGATACACTTTATAACTTGGAAAATCTCGTAACGAATATTAAACTTGTCGTAGAAGGCAGTGCTTGTGCCATGTTCACATTCTGTACTAGTAAGTAATACGCCCTTGCGATCTCGACATATCTGTTATGACATACCAATATAGAATTTAATAAGAGCATGAAGTAGATGCTCGTTGGCCAGTTCCGATCCCATCAGAATATCACCGAGGATACCCTTACTCAAGTGATACATGGGGAACTGTCCTGCAAACAGAACAGTTACCAAGGCCGACTTCAAGTAGGGATTCTTGATGTACTCGGATGATCTTAAAAAGGTAATGGCAAGAGCGACAATCTCGTCTCCAACAGCGGACATCATGATCTGCGGCATGAACCTAACCGATTGGGTTAGTCTATACGCAACGAAACGAGGGCCCTTTACTGTACGTACCTTAAGACGAACTTGAAGTTGTCCACAACATCTTGCAGAGCGTACTCTGGTAGACAACTGAAAGCTTCCGGCTCCTGGGCAGCCAAGGGCAGCTGCAGTTTTTGGCCGGGCACGTATGCTGAGCCACTAGCTACACGGAGTAACCATACTGTGACATAGCGCATGAACTGCAGCGACAAAGTCTGCATCCCCTTGTCTGTGAGAACGCCTTCTATAGAAAACCTTAGCGCCATGGTCTTGTCAATGACAACATTAACCCTGTCATGCTGTCGTTTCGCCAATGCTAGTTGCAGGGGATTGTTTTGTAGCTTCTGGACCTGTTCGTTGATCTCCTTTTCGACCTTTTGTAAATGCTTGATCTCTCTATCCAGGTCCTTTAGCTTGGAGTTTGTGGCCTCACTGCCGTAGTGGTGTGCGGCCAGGTTCAGGAAGAAGACCTCCGATATGAAGTTGGAGCTTCCCTCGGCCTTGTTGCTATAAAACGCGTCAGAGGTTGCCTGGTCAGCGTTCAGTTTGGTCTCGTCGCTCATATTGATCCTGGGTTGCCGTCGCAAGTAATCGATGTCAATTTTTGAGACCTTGGAGAATGTAGCATCCATGAATGGTTCACATAGTTGGTCAAGAATTGCTGTAATATTGACCATGAAACCATCCGAGGCCACGTCTTTGGGATCAACGTGCAGGGCGCGTCTCTTGTGGTTCGTATTCATGATGAAGGCGAACCAGTCCAGTATACGATTACGTGCTGTTTGACCGGCTCGAACGAAGGCATTGATAACGCTCGTGAGATCACCTTGGTGCGTTTTTAGGGTCATCTGTAGCGCACTCTGAGATGTCCGGACGGCGCCCTGTTCGATTGTCCGAGGACTAGAGAAGTACGTTTTGGTCACCTCGGTCTGTAAAGGCGAGATGCGGAAGAAAGGTCCAAGAATAGTTTCCGTCTCGCTCGCCACAGCAGTCTGTTCCTTGGTCATATTTTCAGTCGTTACTACGAGGAAGCGGGGATGTTGAGCCAAAGCATCAAGCAGGGCAGGGTATCTCGAAAAAGTGACCAAGCAGTTTACGTAGGGTTTGTAGTCGTCGTTCATGGTCATGCTTGCAAGCTTGCTGCTGAGCTGTACCATGGCATCCGTGAAAATGGGGGCCACCGTCTCGTCCTCTCTCATTCGATTGACGGCCTCGTCGAAAAACTCGAGACATAAACCGTCGTCATTATCATGGTGGCGTAGCAGGTATGGGACCAGGGTATCATGACTGGGGTTGGCTTCTCGGCTGAACAACTCAGGCATCGTGAGAGCAAATATGCAGTTGCTCATACATAACCGCTTGGCCTCATCGAGAACAGCTTGTTTTTCCGGGGTTGGCCGCCTCAAGGAGGATGCAACCTTGACTACTCGCCTAAAACAGGGTAACAAGTAGTTCAGTCTGCGTATCACGAAAAGAAAAAACACAATTAGTTATTCTTTCCACAAAATAAGGACATTTGTCTCCGAGGTTTCTTTCATGTTTCATAACCACAAGTATTCCTTCAGAAAGAAGGTGCTCGGCTATTGTTTCCTCGGGTACAACAGGAAAACTCCAGGGAGACGGGCTGGTTCTATACGTACAACGGTTTGCTGGTGGGCTGCGCACTTGTGGCTTCTAGAATGGCCGAATCAATGTTTTGAATAGTCAGCTTCTGGGGTTCGCCGCTCTGTAATATCTCTTCGGCCGTGTTCTCAAGGTACGTCTTCACGCCTCGGCCGTCTAACGTTTTCGTGCGAGTCGGATCTAGTGTAATGCGAAAGATGTCGCCAAGGATCCTATCGGACCAGTCTTCGATGGGCTCCTCCTTCACGGGAATGTTGATCTTCTTGGCTGGGGGGGCTGAAGCTACTGGCCTATGTCAGCGCTTATCCACCATGATGCAGTAATGTCATCTCCAAAGCAACACATTTGGTATTTGGTTACATACCGGATTCGCCCTCTGCTGTCTTCTTTAAACTCGTCTGTGATGCCGGCCTGTTCGGCACCGGACTACTCGTGCCACTTGCTTGTGAAGACCTCGTGGCCTGGTTGCTTTCGTTGGCCGGGGCAAGGGTAGGGGTAGGGACTGGCGAGGCTGCCTTTGGTGTCGTGGCTGAACTCGAAGGCTGTGAGCCGGTGGAAGGCGTTTGGGGAGGCGATGACGCAGCCATTCTGTTGAGCATCGCAAGGCGCTTCTGGCGCATCTACAAATATTGTTAGTCATGATTCTTGATGATACCTATACAGAAAAGAGCAAGCGAGGAAGACGCTTACTTGCTCCGCCGGGGGCAGCGTCGGTTCTGGCTGCTCGTTGGTATCCATGTCGACGGGGTTTGGGGTGTGGTGAAGGGTGTGGTAGTTTTTGGCTGCAACGACGTGAAGAAATACCACGGGGCAGGGTGGCTGGTGGCTGGATCGGATATGTCAGTGAAGGTTGTTGTGAATTAAGTTGAGTATGGTGTTCGGAGATAACCAGCATGATGTGGATGTGGATGTGGATGGGGACGTAGATGTAGTAAACTAACCTACAGTATGTAGGCGGGCGATCTGGAGCTCTAACTGTCCCTTATCGATAGTGTACTAACCTACCCAGTGTGCTACCTGCTACTTTCATGCCAGCATGCCTATTATCACCTAAGGCTAAGGCTGAGACTTTTTGGCGGGGTAGTTTTAAGCTCCGGAACAGTCCTCCCAAACCCCGTATGTAAGCTTACGCTACAAGTCAACACTACAGTCACAGTTCAAGTACGTTGTTCGAGCGCCCAAGTTAACGTGATCACTTTGGACACACATGCCGCAGTTTCTTGGTCAACGCTATGCCAGTCAAACCTATCGTGTTTTGCCCAAATTTTTTTGTCTGTTAACATCCTTTACCCACACGACTCTGAAATCACATAATCTGACAACACTGCACTTGGGTATCCTGTTTGCCCCTTCTCAAGACTTTACTTGCTAAGCTAGCGAGAGAACTCAAAGGAATCTCAGCGATTACTGATTGGTCATCCGTATGGTCCATGCCGCCCAGCAACACTATAACCTTCTGAGAGAGTCAACGGGCATGTACCCCAGGGCTCTCCTGGTCTACCTCCAGCAATCTACCTCGGCCAGGTTTTTTTTTTCTTTTTCCGATTTCCCCAATCCGATTATAGGGTCTAGTAGATCAAACCAGCCCCATAGCAGTGGGGCAGCATCCATTTCACTTCCTAGTCTAGGTACCATCAGAGGACGCTGTTTGAGGGGAAGATACGCTTTGATTTACAAACAAACAAAAAAAAAACACTATTCTTTACATCTGAGGTGTTCTCAACATCAAAATGCCAATCAAAAGCACGACTTGTGCGTACTGATTTTATCCATCATTGCGATAGTTGACTTGAACCTCATCACAGTATAATGCGAGACCATTTTGTTTGACTTTTCAAGGCCACATGAGATGCTTTTCAGCCACCATTCCCTACCACCAGAAGATCTTCTACCACCTGGCTCTTTACAGCTGGAGCTTCTTTATGGTAGATAAATAAGAGGACTCGTGCCCAAATAGATGAGCTACTTCTATTGTCCATTCCCGCAAAGGAAGAGACGAGCCTTGAATTCGAAGCAATGAGATACACGACTGTTCGTTACAATCATAACGTCCCATCACCGCGTCGAACTTTCTTGTCCGGAAGCAGATAGTCCTGGGCCTGCTGGCGGTGGTGCCGGTGGAGCCGGTCCTGTCGGAGGGCCTGGAGGTAGAGGAACTCCTACTGGGCCTGGTTGTTCTGGCACGGGCACTCTGATTGGACCTTTAGGCGCGGGCATCCGATCCGCAAGCTTTTCTCCCTTAATAACCTTCTCGACTTCTTCCTTGCTCAGGGTCTCGTATTCAACCAGCGCTTGTGCCAAGCGATCGAGCTCCGTACGGCGGTCGGTCAACAATTTGCGGCACCTTTCGTAAGATTCGTTGAGGAGACGCTGGACTTCAGACTCGATCAGGGCCTTGGTTTCACCGCTGAGTTCCCGGTATCGCGTTGCGTACTCCATGTGACCGAGCTTAGGGGACATGCCCATCTGAGCAACCATCTGGTAAGCTACTGAAGTGGCTGCTTGCAAATCCTGTCGTAGTCTTATGTTAGCCAGTGTTAGATTGAGACTTTTGCCTTGATACTTACGGAACTGGCTCCACTTGTAACCTTGTCGAGGCCGTAGACAATTTCCTCTGCAAGCTTGCCGCCTAGGGCAGAGTCGATGCGGGCGGAGTAGTTTTGCATAGAATACGAATGCTTGTCCATCTCGGGGAGGAATGCGGTATGACCCAGAGTACCTCCACGAGCAAGAACCGTAACTTTGTATAGCGAGCTGCCGGCATGTTGTGAGAAGAGTTGAACAAGTGCGTGTCCGGCTTCGTGATACGCTGTCATCTCCTTCTCCTCTGGCGTGATAACCATGGTTTTCTTTTCGGCACCCATGATGACCCTGTCCTTGGCCCATTCAAAGTCGTTCAGGCCTACAAACTGAGACTTGGCTCGGCTGGCGTGGACTGCAGCTTGGTTGATAATGTTCTCCAGTTCAGCTCCCGAGAGACCAGGGGTGCTCATAGCAAGAGCCTTGAAATCAACCTCTTTGGCAGCCTTGATCTTCTTTGCATGGTGCTCAAGAATGGCAAGACGGCCGCGAACATCAGGGAGATCCACGTTGACAGTGCGATCAAAACGACCCGGCCGAACGAGGGCTTTGTCCAGGAGTTCGGGGAAGTTTGTGGCGCCCATGATGATGACACCGTTGTTCTGCTCGAATCCATCCAACTCGGTTAATAGTTGATTGAGGGTTTGCTTTACATAGGCGGCATCACGGGCATTACGACGACCGCCAATGGCGTCCAGCTCATCAATGAAGATGATCGCCGGAGACTTGGACTTGGCGGCAGCGAATAGCTCACGTACTCGCTTGGCACCAACACCGACGTAGACTTCATCAAATTCACTGCCAGACATGTAGAAGAACGGTACACCAGCCTCGCCAGCAACAGCTCGCGCCAGCAGAGTCTTTCCAGTTCCTGGTGGGCCAACGAGCAAGACACCTTTCGGGAGCTTTCCACCCAAAGTCGAGAACTTGTCAGGGTTTCTAAGGAAATCCACCATTTCTTGCAGCTCATCCTTGGCGTCATCACAACCGTGAACATCGGAGAACCGGGTCTTCTGGTTCTCAGCCTTGGCTTCACTGTCAACTTTTCCGCCGGGGCGCTTCAGAACGCTCAGACTCTCGACAAGCATCGTAATAACGACCAGGCTCAGATAAGTAAAAAGAGCAAACCAGAGGATGAACTTGATCCAACGGAAGAGAGAGCTGCCCAGAGTCTCGTCAACAACAACATGTAGAGGGCCGCCCTTTCCTGCCGAAGAATCCTTGGTGATGGCAATGTTCTGACCACGGGAGTGAGCAGCCAAGGCTTGCTTGACAGCCTGGAGCTGGGTTGGAGTCAAATCAGACGGGAGGTTCTCTTCAAAGTTGCCGTTGTTGGCTTGTGCACCAACAGGACTCAAAGTGCCTAGGGCCTTCTGGTAAGCCTCATCGGCCGCAGCGTTAGTGGCGAATCGGCCGGATCGATATCTCTCGACAATGATTGCAGGCATGTTGGCCTTCAGCAAAGCCTGATAAAAAGCATTCTGAGCCGTTGCGCTGCTCGGGTTCCGGTTTGCGGATTCTTCCATATGAGCGAGCAGGTTCCTGGACAAGCCGCCGGTTTGGTATGACCTTTGTGCAGAAACGAGAACCTTGAGCAGAGGAGTCGCAAGAGACGGACGTACCATCCGCATCGAAGACAGCGATCGAGAGACCGGGGGCTGCGAGTAGAACCGACGAGCGACAGGGTTGGAGGCGAGAAGAGCGCCAGCAGACATACTCGAGATGGACGTTCGGATATTGAAGGGTGTGGAGATATGCCTTGTGGCAGGCGCAAAGCTCGCCGCCATGGCTGCGTCAAGACGAGGATCACGAAGGAATTCAGGTAAGTTGAGGTTTTGTCGCTGTGTTGGCACAACTGCATTTGGCTCTGGTCGAGACGGGCTGATGGATGCGCTCGGAACTGTCTTCGGCGGGTTGCGTGCCGGTGATGACGGCGCCCGAAATGGTATTGTCAGAGTGTTGAGCATAGACGGCCATATGTCCGTCGTGACGGCGGCGATGCTCGGGAGAGCTAACGCCTGTAACGCCATGGTGAGTGCTTTGGGTTGTGCGCAGCGTCTGTACTTGTGCTTGGTTGATAGTGACTCGAGCTCTCAATAGAAAGGTTGAAATATTGGAAAGGGAAGCTGGCGTGTGTAATGTATGTATGTGGATACGATTCCTTGTGACGAGATGAAGCAGAGCAGTGCAGGACGACTTTGGGTAAGCTTGAATCCGGTCCGCCTGCCAAGGAAGACGATATCCTCAGCCTCAATTGCGAGGGAGTGTACAGTAAAGTGTAATGTTCATGAGCTCCAGAAGGCGGCGACTGCGGACTTCAGGCTACATCATCCTCGTTAGACACATCGTCCTTGCTAAATGGACTGACAACTGGACGTTTCTAAGCGCAGACTGGGGGCAACAGCTTCTTGCGTCTTCTAGCTTCTGGCTTGACGTTGTTGAGTGCGGCGCCTGGGGGGCTCCCCCCTGCCAACCCACCCGGATCGGCGAAAGTGTAAATGCCGAACCGATCTAATCTAGTGCTAGACTACTAACGAATTCTTGAATTCAAGGGGGTCCATGCTGAGGAATCATTTAGTCTAGTCTAGCAGCCAATGCATGCACGTGAATGTGAATATGTACAGATCTGTACAGCAAATCGAGGTACAATTACCGAGACGTCAGTCATGCAGTAAGACTCACTCGACTGATGTAGTTGCAGCATGAAGTTCAGAGCACTGGAGAATGTTACACAAGGTCCGCTCGATTGTCAATTTTCTAAACTGCCCGAGATATCTATCGTAGATGACCTACAATCTATCAATCATACTTGTGCCAGTCGACGGCTTTCTACATGAGAGATGGCATGTGCATCACCGAGGTAAGCTGCAAATTGTGCTTATATGCGAAGTTGGTACAAACTACCATGGACAAATGAATACTCTACATATTCTAGATACAATCGACATTAACGCGGGTCTAACCTTTGTCTACGGTCAATAATTACTGACTGAACCGCTGAAGTAGTAGTAGCCTAATCTCCGTTTGGTGATGAGGAAGCCCCACTGACTTCGTCCAAAGCCACACCTCGCAACCCATTCTGAAGGCCGTTGAGGGCCGCAGCTTTCTCAAGCTTTCTTTGCCTCTTCTTCTCTTCATCATCGGTTAAGCCTTTGCGGATGGCCAGGACATTGTCCACGATGACAGCATCTATACCTTCCTGTACTTGTCGCTGTGTGCATGTTAGCATTGTCCAGTTCTGAAAGATACACCGAGAATTCTGCTTACCTGTACAAGCATAGGATCGTTGTTCTGAGCACCGTAGCTCACGCAAACCAGACCGCTTTGTTTCACCACCTTGACAAGTCTGGGACTGTTGACAAATGGCTGTGAAGTGCTGACGATGCCAAGCAGATTCCATCGACTGGCAAATCGAATCGCCTCTTGCAAACTGCTTGCTCGGATGTCACCGACAGGGGCACAACCGGCATCCGTCAAGAACATAATGGGGATACTGGGCTGCTTGAAACTAAGACACAGGCAGATGTCGGGGTTGAAACTACTGAAGATGATGTTCCGGTTCTTGGACAAGTCATAGACCTTGCTCAGCACTGTATCACAGAACGAGTTGATCTCAACTGTATATGTGTCCATGTGTTGCTCCTCGGTCTCGTGGAGCATGGGATATTTCATCTCAATGTTGAAACCAACGTCTTCTTTGAGGTTCTTGAAAAGATCCTCGAGCGTGGCAAAGGGCGCTTGGATGAAATTGCCCCGCTGGTTGCCTTTATACCCCTTTGCCTTGTAGTCTCGTGTATGCTTCATACGGTTGTCGGAATCGTTGTTGCCGTCGCCGGCAAATCCCATGCTCAGCGAGCGGGAGCGTGGTCCAGGTTGGTTGCCACGAACTTCATCAACGTCACGTTTGCGCAGCTCTGTGGGGTGATCACCACGTTCCGGGTTGATGTGGAGGAATTGTTCCAGAGTCATTGTATGTACCGGAGCATCTATACCAGTTTCGCTTACGAGAAAATCGTGGTAGATGACCGGAACATGGTCTTTAGTAAGCTGCACATCGAATTCCACATAATTGGCGCCTAGGTTGGCAGCAGCAATAAAGGAGGGGACTGTATTTTCGCCGAGCTGCAAAGACTTGTTTGTGACAACATTTTTGCCCAGGCCGCGGTGGCCAATTACCATGGTTGAAGACATTTTCTTCCAGTAGGTTTGCTGGGAAGTGATTTCCATTCGAGGATGGGAGAATGGAGTGATGACCAAGAAGTTGAAGTTCACCGTGCCGATAACCTCAAGATTTGCGGCCATGATTGGTACACACACGTCACCCTGAAGGTTCATACGATGCGTTCCAAGGGTTGGCCTAATCGACGAAAGCAGGGCAACGGCTCGACCGACCTTGTTCTTCTCATTACCAGAGTAGGTTGGAACGATGTCGAACATAAGCTTCACTTTTGAGATATCTGTGGTATGAAACAGAATCGGCTCAGTCGATATGTTTTCGTGTACCGGAAGATCGACGATAGTTGGGTCGCCCTGCGCACCAGAAGCAGACACCACTATACTAAGAGCAGTGTCCAGCTGATTGGTGTGGGCTTCGGCCAGCGGAACGCGGTCCAACTTGACGGCATCAATCCCTTTGCGCATGTCCATTGAGCCTAGACTAACCATGACCAGGCTGGTATCCCTGAGGTAACGATGTCCAAAGGATTTCATAGGCTCAGCAACCCGTGTGCTACCGTTAGACCGTCTGTCTTCGAGCGAAGAGGTCTCTTGAGGCGATGGACTCCTTCCAGCAGTTTCATCCTCCTCCTCTTCTTCGGCCTCGGGCTTGAGCTCCTCGTCTTTTGTGTAGGCAAGCAACAGGTTGGCGATATTTATGTGACCTCGAAGGGCTGCATGTTCCTTGGCGGTCCATCCAAAAGAGTCCATCTTTCCGGCCTGGGAGCCGGCATCTAAAAGAAGCTGAGCGACCTCAAAATGACCGTCCACGGCTGCAATATGCAAAGGCGTCCAGGCAAAGGATTTTTCAGTCAATTCGAGATTGGCTTTGTGGCCTGCGATGCCTTCGATCAAGATCTTTGCACACTCCATGTGTCCGAAACGTGCGGCAATGTGAAGGGAAGTCTCACCGGTCTCATCCTGCCAGTCGATATTGATGCCAGCTTCGACAAGCATCTTGACGATTGAAGCAAAATTGGACTTTGTTGCAATAGCCAGGACAACGCTCGACTGCGACACAGGACCACGATGCTTGACAATGGCGCCGGCTTCTCCACGCCAGTCTTCTCCAAGAAGAAGAGCTTTTGTTGTCAGTGGATGGCCACCAATAACAGCAAGGTGCAGCGGTGCATTGCCTTCTTTGTCTTGCCACTCGAGGCCATCAATTCCGCTGCCGACGTGAAATTGATCCCATTCTTGCATTTTGGCCATGATAATCTCACACAAAATAACGAAGCCAAATTGAGCGGCGTAGTGCAAAGGGAGACGACCAAGCGAATCTCTTTTGGAAAGTGCCGAACGCTGCTCACGTTGAAGACTGTTAAGCAAATAGCTTAGCAACTGTACGGCTCCATCGTCCTTGCCAAGTAGTTTCGCCGCACCGTTCTGTGGCGGTGGTGTGGGCGCAACATAATGACTGCTGTAATGTGAGCTCACAGGGAACGGGACCGCATTGGGCTCTAGATCACCCTCATTAGCGGACTTGGTCCGGCCAATGTGAATAACCAAGCGGTGGATACAGTTTCGCTCGTTCAAGTCGTCTGCCTCATCAAGTGACGTAATCTGCTGTAGTAGGTAAGCGATGCAGGCTTTCGATCGCGAAGATATGGATCGCTGCAGGAAGTTCAGAAGCATGGCCTGGGAAGACGGTTCTGGGGAAACCAAATTTCCTTCCTGCAAACTGGACTGGAGCCTCGCTACATCATCATTCCTGATGGCCTGCTCCAGTGAGTCGTAGACAGACTGTGGCACGCTCAGCATCACTTTCGCAGATGCTCGTCCTAATGAGCGGACTGATCTCGCAGACCTATCGGATTTCGAATCGTCCAGGTTTTGCGAGTCGCCCAAGACGGAAAGCCATTTGTTAATCTCCGAAACCAGTCGGGCAATAGTCGTGTCCTTGGCAAATGGCTTAGGGTCGACTTTTGTTGTGATATATCGGTGCTGAGTAGTCGTATCAGGAACCTTTTTATCTAGCTTCTTGGTAATCTTGACAAAGCCTCTCCGGTTGATCTCGCCAAACCATTGGAGATTCCTCAACTGGTTTCGAAGCTCTAAGAGAGCTCCCATCAGCTCTTCGACTTCGTCATCGTCCAAATCGGGAACGACATCTGGGCTCCTGCCGTACCGGTCTTGGAGTAGCTTCAGTCGTCGATGTGCTTCGCCAAACTTCTTGTTGTAAAATGTGTCGACATCTTCAAGATTACGATCCAATGCGAAAAAGAACTCTGTTGGGGAGGGTTAGGTGACTCAAACGACCTCGGCAAAAACCCGAGGAGGATTCGCACCTGCTAAATCGGCTTTGTTGCCTGCCTTTGCGCTGACCTCCGCGGCTGCCTTGATCAACTTCTTGAGACCCTTATAGTCGATGTACGACGATGCCCACTCGGGGACTTGGTTACGTGGAAGACTGTCGTGTTCGGTGAGCTACGGTCGAAATATCAGACGTGGAAGGGTATATTCCGTACTTTCTTCCAAACTTCATTTTGCTCTGGCGATGCTCTCTCTACGTTGTGTGAATAACCAGGCTTCGGGGGTGTTTCTTTATTTTTTTATATGCAAATGGTCAAGCGGAATTGGGGAGACACAAGTTTGTCCGTGCCTGAATGATTCAAACTTCTAGGTGTGTGGAGTTGTTTGGTTGAAACGATGGGCACCGAAAAGTGGAAATGAAGTCGTTTCTGCAAAGCTCTTGTCAGAAGGCGCGCTTCGTGGGCACACTACAAAGCATTGTGGCAATACCTTTGTGTAGGAGGTCTAGAGTAATTCGCAGTTCACTGTCCAACGGGGATGATGGCCAACAGACGGAAGTCAAGGTCATGAGAGATCACTCAATATGATATTATCAGGAGCAGCGTTAAAATAAAGATATAGCTCGGGCGCCATTGAAGTTCTGATTACTGAATGTGTGTAGGTGTCGGGGGCGCCTGCTCGTGGTTGAACAGGGCAAAATCCAGGCAGGAACTCGATGGTGAAAGTGAAAGAGACCTGGAATGGTTTCAGAAGTGCATGCTTTCTGAGGTCGAGAGGGATCGAAGGGTATATTGAGCTCTCCATACCTTGGAATCGAGCACGTCGAAGCTCGTGTACGGGAAGTACATCATGACTGGTGGGCGCGGGAGAAACGGTTCCCACCATAAAAACTCTCATTCGCTAGTGAGCCAATGCTTCAGGGACCTGGCCGGGGCTTCTTCCCGCTACTTAGATGCTCCACAAACATCGCGACTTGGCAGTGCCCTTCCATCTCGAACCATGCACGCACGAGAGTCCACCCTGATTCATGTGAGGCCAGCACGGTGGGTGCTCACCGCAAAACCTGCTCCGCGAGACACCCTTGCACTGCCTAGACTATTCCGCCGATGGACAGAAACTCAATCACGGGACGGGATGGGATTGATTCTGCGCTCTCAGGTGATTGATAACCATTCATTGTCTAAACCCCCTTACACCGACTCGACTGTGAAAGATACGTGGTCAGCTTGATGTAATACACCATGGCAGCCCCTTTGGCTCGGCGTTGAGCGGTTTGTCAAGCGCTGCGGTCTGTGCCGACCAATCTTGCAGCCTCCCAATGGAATTTGACTTTCTCGTTATGTACAAACACAAGATATCAATTTGGCTCATGCAAGCCCCTGTAGTTATCACTCTGGCGTCTTGTTCTCAGTATGACAGGTCGACAAGCTGAAGTCCTAGCTGCAACTAAAAATGCCTATGCACATTGTATTGTGACTTAGTGGGGGGCGTTCGAGTTCATTGGCGCCGCGGGGTACCCAAACTCCCATCACATAGATCGGAACCAACGTTGAGTTGGGGGATCTGGGCCGGGCTTGTCAGGGGTTTTAAGAGTATCATTTGCTTCTGTTTCCATTGCGTGGCTTGGGTTGCCTTTGGGTCTATTGCTCATATGTTCTAGTTCGCGGATATTTACATACAATTCTTCGTGAGAATTTCTAGTGGTTGCAACTGCAATTAGCCCGAAGCGGCTGGTATCTTACATGCTCGTCTGACCACAACTGTTGTGCGGACAACGGCATTACCGGTGTTTCCAGTTTTGCAACAGGAATTGGTATCTCTGTATCTGTTTGTGTCGATGAAGCTTCACTAGCACCTGACAACGTTTGTTGTTGTCCTTCATCCGAGCTATCAAGCTCCTCCTCTTCCACTTGTCCTGAGATTAATAGAGACGCGCTGGCCTTGACCTTCTGTTGTGCCCGAACCTGGCGTGCTAGCACGTGGCAAGAATGCTTGAGTAGCCTCTGGACCGGCATTTTGTACCAATCCGGGTATAAGGTTCTATAGGCTTGCTGTTTGGAAGTTGTCAAATAGCAGAACAGGATCGTCCTGATATTGTCCTTTATCTCGGCGGCCTGTCCTGCAATCCGACCAATGTTGTGGCCGGCCTCAGTCGTGTGGCTTCTGGCAGACTTATTAAGTGGATGGTAAAAACTAACAAGCGACCTGAAATTCAACCTGTCCAGGTCTGCTGCTGCCCGAAGCTTCGGAGCTAGTGTCTGATCGGGCAGCTTGTCGAGTAGTTGTGCCTTGACGTCATTGATTGTCGAGATGTCAGATGTGAGGTCGATAGCCTGCAGGGCACGAAGTAAAGCAGAATCGAAATGCTGATACGCAGGAATCTTCCACCCTGGGCGTGGTAGGCGAGCCGAGGCACCAACGTCGTACCCCGTCATAATTCTTATAGTTGCGGCTTTAACGTGAGCATCCATCAACATTGCCTTCTCCTCCAGATCCTGGACTTTCTTGTGTAGACCTGCGACACGGATAACTGGCCTTAGGTCATTGTTGGTTTTCAAATTGTCCGCCTTGAAGTAACCAGAGAAAGATTGCAGCATCTGTCTCCAATCCTCCTGGACGTTGCCGACGAATGGTCTATAACTGAATTGGCGTAGATCAGCCAGGGCAGATAACAATCCCGCTATCCTCTGAGCCATATGTTCTGTAGATTCGGTAGCAATGTGGTCCAGCAGCTTTGCGAACTGCTCAAGATCCTTCGTTAACCGGTTAAACATAGTATTGACGTTAATTTGATTCAGGGACAATAGACACTCTGTGAGAAGCTCGTATATCGTGTCAGTCGGAACTATGTAGTCGTGCCGAACACAAGCTACAAAGGACATGCAGGCAGCTTGAATATTACCGAGACGAAGCCATCCCCGAATAAGGCTGTTGAAAACGTGTTGCTCGCGGTGCGCCCTTTCCACATAGCTGTTTTTTCGAAAGGCGGCTTTTTCGCGAGCCCACTTCTCGCCGGCCTCGTTCCAAATGGCATCCTTGTGGAAGATGCGAATATGCATTCCGTCCTCGATTACTCCCCTCATGCGGCCTACAATCTCACGAAAGAGATCGATGTTTTGATTAATGCTAGCATGACTGAGAAGGCATACGAGTGTTTGTTGTGTCGGTGGCCACTTCGACCTATTGAGATAGGAATCGACTACAGCCTGCGCCAGGTCGGGTCGTTGAATACGATTGAAACCCGCGATCAAGGCGTTGTAGTTGTGAATATTCGGGGGGGAGCTAGAGACCAGCAAATTGTAGCATATCTTGCCCACGGTTTCCTGAGCGTCGGTAGCCTTATTGAAAATGTTCCGGAACGTCTCGTTGAGATGAAGACGAGCATCGCTCGCAGCTACAGGCTCGATGTGGGGACTTGAATAGCTTGGATAACTTCCCATCAGCTTTTCGGCCTCTTCCAGGAAGTTGGTACCGGCTGTTGTGCTATCAGAAGGCGCGTCTGGACATGCCGGGTTCCTGGCCCGCCATAGAAGAGTCTGGACAAGTGACTCGATCTGACGTGTTGTCTTCTCTAACTGTCCTTGATCTTTTGGATGTCGAAGCACCACAGTATCGTCCTTCTCTTCAGCTGTTATTGCAGCTTCCACCTGCACCCAATCAACCTCATGTTTGGGCCAACTAGAGCGTTGGCGAGGAACATAGGTCTCGGAAGCAGTGTGCGTCAATTCATCGAGCAGGCCCAAAAAGTCCGTCGGTTCTGCCTTTGTGCCTGATGGTATCTGAATGTTCGTTTTTTCATCGCTCGTACTTATTGGGGCCCCATATTCTTCGGGCAGAAACGCTGCTTCCTGAACAGCCAGACTGCTCATCGAGGCTCTGGCCTTTTCCAACTTGTCATCCAGCTCTTTCCTCCGAGCATCCTTCCTTTTGGAATCTATCACAACCGCCGTGCCCAGAATCGTCGTATAGCAGGCCGTGAACAAGTCGGCACCCGTCACCCTTCGTCGCGAAGCTGCTGTGGTCGACCGCCTCGCTAACGCGTTGGCGGGTTGTAAGCATACTCGGCAACGACAGGTCGATTGCGCCTGCGCGACCCTAGACCAAAGTGTCTGCATACTGCAGGCATGTCGTCCGGGGTCGGTTGGGCGGTCAATTGGTGCGCATGGGTTGTCTCGAGGGCTGTCAATGTTTGATTTTCAGAGCTCATGATAATCTGACCATGTTGAGCTGCTATCCATGGCGGATCAACCAAAGCCGGAGGGTCCACCTTGGTACTTTGCTTAATTCCTTAACCGCATATCGCGCTTAGATGAATGCGTCGACTCAAATCACTGACCTCAGTTGATCAAATTGGAGGCTTGAAAACAACTCTGCTTGCACTATCAAATTCCCCCACTTATAGGCACCATGTTTGCACTCACTTTGACGGCCGAGTTGGCAGGGTGAGTGACGGTGTATGAGATTGTGCAGCGGAAGTACTAACGTGGCCATCAGGGTTACCAACCTACGCCCCAACGATAGTGAGAACGATCCTTTCTGGTATACGTTCACTGTCCAGTGTACGTCATGCCGCGAGACGCATCCGAACCCTGTTGCAGTTAGCAGATTCGTAAGTTGTCGCCCGAGCGTTCCTCGTATGGTGACTGATATGTCCTAGGAAAACAATGAAATGAGTGGCAGTAGAGGAGAGGCGAACTTCGTGTGGAAATGCAAGAACTGCAAGGTGCGATATCTTCTGTTGGACCGTCTTCCGGGCACGACTTCTAATATTGACATGTTTCTGGTAGCGAGAGTCTACTGCCTCGATCAAGACAGCACCAACGCCGTACGAGCAAGGAGAGCCCCCCAAGGCTCAGTCTATCATCGAGTTCGACTGCCGTGGTTTGGAGTTTACGGATTTCCACTCCGAAGGCACATGGCTTGCAGATGGGGTTGATTCTGGGACTAAGTTTGCTGAAATCGAGCTTACTGATGGTGAATGGTATGATTACGATGAGAAGGCGGGCGAGGAGGTCAGCATCAAGGAGCTCAAGTGGAACATCAAGCGAGCTTAAAATGTCAGAGAACCAGACGCCAAGGGAACAATGAATATATGCTTTATTAAACATATCGCACACCGTAACTTGGTGCTGTGACCATCGTCTACCCTACCACAAGCAGAAGCAGAAGCAGAAGCAGAAGCACCGTGTGCATCATGTATGGCTGCATAGGCCAGGCAAAAAGAATATGTATATACCGGGGCCTGGGCTTTGTGTCTGTCTGCCCCACTACGCTCGCCTGCCAGCCTGCAAGCTCCTTGTCTCCCTTGCGGCCGGCTATGCAAGTATCAATCAATCGCAAAACTGCCTAATCGCGAAGCTTCACCAAGTCTCCAGACGCGACAGAAACCACACAGGGAATCCTCGCCCACTCGCCCAGCATGAGTGTAAGAACCTCCAGCTCTGTAAGAAACTGTGTGGCGACAAGTCTAACTTGATGAATAGTTCGTGCCCATCAACCCGCGGCCTATGCTGCAAGACCTGTACGTACCGATCCTATGCTCTTTCCCTACTCAGCGCTTCGACGCCAGCATCAGGCACAGTCGTCTGGGCTCAAGGACGACATCTCCAATGATTTGCCGGCTGACCTTCCTATCTGCAGCGTCAACAAGGACATCGTCGTACGCCTAAAGTGGGGCGAGACCGAGTACAAGGGCAGGCTGGTGTCGACCGACAGCTACATGAACATCCAGCTCACCAACGCCCAAGAGTTCATTGACCAGAAGTTCACAAGTGATCTGGGGCAAATCCTCATCCGGTGCAACAACGTGCTGTGGATCAAGGCCGCCGACGCCGGAGAGGGAGGAGACGTCACGATGGAGGGCTGATGAGCTTGTTTCGGTTTCGCAATGGAGCCCAATGGAAGGACCACAGCGCAAAGTTAATCACCAGAAGTAACATTTCACTGAAACGAATTTCTGATGAGGCTGAAACTGTCTGCCAGCGTCGGGGGAGAAAAGAAAAACCAAGCAAGGGGGCACGATATAATACCCGTGATGACAAGCGGTAGTCGCATTGAGGAGGAAAGGCCGCAATTTTACGACTCTTGTGGCATACAAACTCTACAGAGAGGGAACAACGTTTGGAAGATCAAGAACGTGGGTCACGAAAAGAGTACTGGGCATTTGGCCATGTTTAGATGACAAAAAGAAGTCATCACGTTTGCGTCCAGGTGCATACCTAGCAAGAAAGCAGTCATGTTTTGTCCATCTTCCCCATTTTCCCCTGCTTTCCAATCATGATCATGATCCTTCTACATCAAGCAAGCTACCTTGCGACTGCTGCACATCTCTGATGCGCCGACCTTGACTCTCTGTGTTTCGCTCACCCACATGAACGCCTCGACCACCCATTCATACCACACTTTGGCGTCATCCGTTTGCCTCCACATGCTGACCTCGAGTTCGGTATCCGCTGGGTAGTAAAGTGGTTGCTATTGAACATTAGTACACGGCACCCACAGTAGACCGAAAGTAACCTACCTTGAGGGGGAAGAAGATGGGGAACCAGGAGATCATGTCCTTGCTCTTTCGGTCAATGTTCTCAGGTAGAATACTCAACTCCACCAAGTCCTTGCCTTCTAGTCTTGGGCGGTATAGAACAGACTCAAAGTAGCCCGCAAGACCGTGGATAACACCTCTATCTCTGCAGACAAAGGTCAAGTGGCAGTGGCGCGAGTTGTGGTCATTCGCACCTACACCTCCGGCCATTGAACCGCCTCCGCCACCGACGACGCCTCCCGACCTCCGTGCTTCGATCATCTCCATGGTAGAGTCCGGCAGTGGGTGCACGAATTCCCAGGCTTGTTGGAACTTGTCGTGGCCAGGCACACGTTGAGCCGCGAAATCGAGTTGGAAAAGGCGGACAACCCAAGGTGTCTGGAAAGCGTTCTCCTCGACGGGTGCACGTCGACTGATGTCAGCATGAAGTCTGGGCGTCGAGATGGGAGAAAGATGCGCCGTGTAAGATTCCGGTATCGAGATACCATGTGGCTTAGCGAGTACATGCTGGATTCCGTCGAGGCACTCGGGCGACAGTTCATTGTCACCAAAGGACCCGAGAAGCTCAGACACTAAGATGTCGACTTTGCCATAGTCTGGTGCTTCCGTAGTGCCGCCAATGACGGGACCCTTCCAGGCCCGCATATCCGTTTTCACCACAGTGACTCGTCCATTCCATTGTTTCTGGTTCTGACGTAGCAAGTAGACATACGCATTAGGATTCTTCTCAACTGCCCAAACCTTGACTGGGACACCAGTGCTCTCACTAGCTCGGAGGGCACGAGTTACAAGCGGCCCACGCCCAGAACCCGCCACTGCGATAACGACCTCCCCAGTGGGAGAAGACGTAGACTTGCGTTGGTGTGACCATTCCGCAAGAGCTTGGGCAATCGCCATTTCGTACTGATTGTACTTGACGGGGTCGGTCTCGAATACCTCGTACGTGACGGACTCCAGATTGTCCGAGAGCGGTTGCAAAGGGGATTGAAGCCAGTCTTGGAAATTGGTCAAGGTCGCCTGCTCGAGGTACGAGACAGGCTCCTGCTGCCTCTCAAGGTGTCTCAGATACGACGAGTAGCGGTTATGTTCCGGGTAACCGCGGTTTTCCTTTTTGGGCTGCTTTGCCGCCTCTGCAAGACTGGGGAAGTCATCAGGTCCTGGGGCTTCGACCTCTTCTGGAGTCTCCTTCACTTCTGGGCCAACGTCGCAGAGTAGAAAGTATGGGGTAACCTTGAGTCTCATGTACATCATGATCATGTCTTGATGGTTTCGGCTTAGCGACGGGTTGCCACCCTTATTCGCCTGGAAAGCCTTGGGCCCAAACGTCAGGTATTGTACGGGTTCTGAGAACCATCTCGTTTGGACTGCTTTGAGTGGCAGCATTCGAGGCATCCTCACAGCTTGAATCAAAGTCAGTAGTTTGGCCTAGGGAGTTCAAACAGGTTGCGCCGTGACAACGGAATTACGTACCAACGCATACTCTCGAGTCGTACTCGCAAGTGGTACGAATTACATGCCATGAGTCCCAAGAGCTGAAGATATCAATCTCACTATCGTTGTCGCCTGCAGCGGTGGTATCGTCATTGAGCAGTTCGGCTGACAAAGTGCTTGTGTTTTCTTCGAGACCTGGCTCGCGGTACATGGGCAGATGAATGACGAAGTTCAAGCGAGTGCCAATAAGCAACACTTCTTGAATCGCTCGCGCATACTGGGCAACGCCTTGACTACTGCGAGCCTGGACGGCATCTTGCCGGGGACCGGGAATGATGATTGTTCGTGCACCACAGAAATTGGCGTAAGCTATCTCAAGGTTTAGGACTTGTCGCGAGATGCTGGATACTGCAGGGTTCTTCGAGCAGAGGTCGATCCAAGGACTGGCGTATGCGATCAGCCCCCCCGTTGTGGGACCGGGGAAGAGGGATGTATCCTCGGTGGTCAACGGCGGTACGATGGGATCCGGGTGACAGCTAGCAATCTCAGAGTTTGAGAACTCTGTAATGCTCTTCGCTGCTAGTTCAGTCACCCTCTTGCGAAAATGTTCATTTGTGACAGGTGTTGTCACAAAACTGAACTGCGGTCGGTTAGATGACATTGTGAAGTCCACAAGAAGGCTATGTCACTTACACCCGCATTCAAGATCTGCCCATACTGCAAATCGGAAAGGGTCTCAGATCGGGCAGAATCGTGCTGTCCGATGTAGAAGATAGGTCTGACTTCATCGTAATCACCGCCGGCCTCGTCGTATTGAGTTTGCGCCATGACAGTTGCATGCACGACCCTGATGAAATCCTTACGCTGCTTCCTGTACCCGGGCAGGGTTCGAGATGGTGACTTGCGCGAGCCAAAAAGAAGAGAAAATTATCCTGAAACGGAGTAAATCGATGAAGTCTATGACTGCAGGTAGTTTAGTTCTTCTTATTTTGCTGCGTACCCGAAGTCGGAAATCGGGCTGATGCGAATTTCCAGAGACAATTTATATATGAACGAAACTGGGTAATTGAATGGTGTTTCAGTCAGTGAGTGAGGTACGTAAAATCACCCCAATAGATACTTCTTAGTACAATTGCGCTCGGTTGTGCGCCCGAAACTATTTGGACCTCAACTCACGGACAGTCTTACGGGGTACTATAAAGTCTTCAGTGCGAACACAACCCAACTCAGCCCAGGCAAAGTATCTCGTGAGCACGCCAACGACCTTCACATCCAAATATATGTTGCTGCCCAACGAAGCGAAAGTCTATAGAAGATTGTGAAACTCTTCATACACTTCATCATGTAGCATCGTTGCGAACTGTCAGTCGCTGAAAATATCCCAGCTAAGGCAGCCTTATCGATAGTCTTCTACCCCACCACAAGCCTAAGCTCAGCTCAGCGCGTCTCAATAGCAACCGCGGGGAACGCATTTGAAGTTTACCGACTCCTAATTCAGGCGCTGCCGACGACAACGAAATCCCCCACTATTGAAGCCATAGATTGCAAAGGCACTTGGGTCAATATGAACAGACGTATGGTAGGTCACCGGAGCACGTGCTTGACGAGTCTCTAAGCCTGACATGAGGCCTTTCACAGCTCTCGAAGGAGGAGGAAGGCGCAGGGGACGATGTCGAGGTGCGCCGCGAAGACCAGGACAAGATCAACAAGTTCAGCCGACTCCATCAGAAAGAACTGAAGATCGAGGAGGCGCTAAAGGCTAAGAGCGTGAGTGACGCGCTGCGGTTCAACGTACACTGGCAGGTGAAACGGGGATTGGCTAACGGCAAATAATGGCTTCTACAGAAGGAGAAAGAAGAGCTTGACGATGTCACGAGCGAATTGGAGCTTGCAGATGAAGACGACCTTGTGCCGTAAGTTTGCAGGACAGCATCGAATGAGCCTACCCCGGAAACTCATGAGAATTTCCAGATACAAGATTGGCGACGCCTTCTTCCACGTTTCCCTCGAACAGGCACAAGAGATGCTGTCGACATCGAACGAAAAGATAGAGGAGGAGGTGTCCGCGTTGGAAGACAACATGGGCACTATCAAGGAAGAGATGACGGAACTGAAAGTTGAGCTATATGCCAGATTCGGTCGCAGTATCAACCTCGAAACATAGGCTCACGCCATGGGAGAGGGTGACTATCAGTTATCAGATTTCTTGCACGCTAATAAGATGCCCCGATAATACTCAGAACATGATAAGTAAATGCTCAGGAGCGGAAGGCTTGACTTGGGTACCTGGCTTTGTTGGGGGCTTGTGCCACACGGGATACGCTCATGTGCCAACATTTGCGACTAAGCAACTTAAGCTTTAAACCACGTTGGACTCCCACGACAGAGCAGGTGGCAGAGAGAGGCCAAGACCAAGTTTAACATGTTGGTTAAGGTTTTTCGGGGCATCGGAAGGGCTGCTGCCATGTACATGTAGGGTCCAAATTACCGCTAGACGGGTTGAAACGACGCTAAATCACCGCGATCTGGGACGCGGAATGATGTCATTTGCCTTCCTGCTTGGGATGTTACATGCACAGCACCCAGACGGCACTGGGTTGGGAAAACATGGCAGGGCCCTAGTTAGTACATGTCTCTAGGTTAATTAGACAAATACCATCATCCCCAATTGCGAACCATGCGTTTGGTAGCATCTGAGTCAGGTACACTCTCTTGAAGTACATGATCTCCAGGCACACACCATACAGCCCGATCCCGTCTCCTCTGGTCGCTTTTGCTTCTCCTTCTCCTTCTTCTTCTTCTTCTTTCTTCTCCATCACTCACATCACCCTTTTCAATTGCTGGATAGCAGGCCGCTGGGTTCTGGACTTCAGGTGCCGAAGTGCACACGTCTCCTTTTTCTTCCCAGTTTGAAGGAAACTTGTATCAACCTGTGAGGTTTTGTTCAGTCGACAGACATGCCTTTCTCGCGGTTACTAGTCCCGGTGTGGGCCTTGGCGACGTTGGCGATCGCTGCACCCGCTCCTGCTCCAGAACCAGTACCGCATCCAATGATCACGCCCGCTCCAGTGTTGCACCGAGACTACCAACGACGAGACCTCAACCCGGGCTCATACATAAACAGTGTCATCAGCGGCCTCGGGAGTGACGTGTCGTCGTATATCGCGTCGGGGGTCCCCCAATTCTTCCAGGATTTCCCTGTTGGTGACGATGTTGAAAGTTCTCTCGGAATTAACGACGATGATCTAAGAGCTACGCCAACACAGGCATTGAACTTGCCGTGAGTACATAATCTGACCAGCATGTAATCTACGACTATGGCGGCTGACATGGCATCGACAGAGCATACGCCAATTGGACTGACCAAGGTTGGAACGTTCGCGTTCATGGCAACATCTTCAAGCAACCCAATATTTCTCAAGAGAAAGTGGACGATCTCGCCAACGTCTTTCTGATCGATGTCGACATTGCGGACCTTCCTGCCGACCAGCAAAACCAAGCCAGAAACTTGACAAGGGAGATCTTTATCGTGCAGCAAGCCGACCAGAATGTCACGATTAACTTCGTCAACGACGTAACCGTAGAGCCAGGTGCTAGTGGTGGTGTCATCAATGCTGTGAGCAATAACTACTGGGAAGCAACAACATATCTCGCCTCAGAAGACTAACGAATGGGATGCTTTACAGGAAGGAGGCGCCCAGACCATTCGGATGCCGTACCCCACGACTGACGAGGGCGATTTTGATTCATTCGTCCTTTTGGCCAACACCACCGGGCCGAATGGAGGCCACTTGATTGCAGGCAATGCGACCAGCTCGATTCAGTCACTGAACATGTACGTGAACGGTACCGATACAGGCAATGCCACGGCCTACTTGGTTCCGCCTGAGGGTATGACTATTATCTCGGATATCGACGATATCCTAAGGATAACTAAGATTTATGAGCCAAAGGAGGGTTTGCTCAACTCTTTTGCCCGACCCTTCACTCAATGGGAGAACATGCCTGATATCTACGCCAACTGGAGCGCTTCAATTCCTAACTTTCACTTCCATTACTTGACAACAACCCCCGAGCAGGTCACTAGAAACTACATGGAGTGAGTTTCTCCTGTTCCGTGCTTCCGCGAGCGACAGTCAAGCTAACACTCGAAAGGTTCATTTACAAGACTTACCCATTAGGTTCGTTCGACACACGTCCTCTCAACTTCTCAGATGTTTCTGCGACACTCCAGATTCGACGTTTCCTTCTGGACAAGATCTTCCAGACCTTCCCTCAGCGTAAATTCGTCCTGATGGGTGATACCACAAACTCGGATGTTATGGTAGGCCACTAAGTTCTGAAATCTCGCAAGACAATTATTAACCATCGCACAGAAAGCATACCCTGCACTTGCCAAAGACTATCCGGGACAAGTCCAGTGCATTTTCCTCCGCAACACCTCTGCGACTGACTCTGGCGATCTGTTCCCATACGACACGTCAGGTTTCGAGGGATTAAACCAAACACAATATATGGTTAGTGTGGTGCTGAAGTCGAACTTTGTTGGCGTGATGGAAACTGACTGAGTATTTAGTTCTTCCTCAATGCTAACGACCTAACCAACCTTGACATCGTTGGTGGCAACTGTTACAATTCAACTATCAAGCAGAACGTCACCTTCGGTTACCAAGGCCAAGGGTTTGGAAACGCTGCTCCCTCGCTTGGTTCCAGTGCCAGTTCCATCGCTGTGTTGGCCGCATTTTGGGCTGCATTCGCTCTGTTATCATTGTAGGGGGTGGATCCGTACGCTAGATATATGAGGATATGGTATGGCATGATATACGTATAATAATGTTTAAGGACTCTTTGAGGCATTTTCAAGGCAAAGTTCGTGTCTCTAGGTATTTGGCGACCGGCGTTTACAGGCTACTGTATCATAGGTTAACAATACACGGTTGGCTCCTCGAGGATACCCCAGGTTCTCCCCATATGAAGCATCATCTCATCATAGATGATCCTATTGTCCATAGTGTATGTAGATTTCTAGCTCAGACGTAAGTAGACTGTCATATTTTGAGTAAATCATCGTGTTGTGGTTCTTCGCCATTATAACTACCCATCAAAGCTTTTCATCTAGAAGAAGGCGATAGAGAACATTTCGGGTCTCGCATCAACCGACGTCTCCTTCCTTGGGCTCACCAATAAAGTTAAATCTGCACGACATAAAACCTCGTCTTGAGAAGTTTCGACGAGTAGCTAGAATATTATTCGAGCCACGTCTACAGGTAGTTCATTAGACCTGCCCTTGCACGCAGGCACTCGGGTTGGGCAAGTTCGCCAGACTGGGAGCAGCACCTGACGTTCTCCAGCATAACCAACGTGCGTATCAGCAGTATAGTTTGCTCGAGTCCTTTTTTTTTTTTGAAGACTTTCTATTTTGGTTCCCTTGTTGTGGGAATCGACACTCCATTTACTCTTGGGCTCTATGTACTTGAATGTAATCAACGGTTACATATGGGCCCCGTAATCATAACTAAGAATCGATCTCTTAAGGAAGATAGAAAAAAATTCCTATTCTTTTATCTCGTAAGAGGAGTTACGAACACGCTGTGCTCACAGGCTGTTAATAAGGTTAATGTCATGGATGGTTCTGTAGCAGCTCTAAAGTATTAAAAATACATACACAAAATAAAATGGAGGTGTATTGAATTCCTGTAAGAAAAACTAAGTATGAACACAACTGAGCGCGCTTAATGTGGGAGTATAGAAGAAGAAGCAAAAAAGGAGGGGGGAAAAAAGGAGTAGAAGAAAAAGGAGAAGAAAAAAAAGGAAGGAACGAAAGTAAAGAAAAGAAAAGAAAAACAGGAACAGATTGGCAACTACAGTGAGAAGTTCTAAGATTAGGAGGCTCGTCAAGACGGTTCCCAAACCGTAGTGTTTGTCAATAGTATCAACACCATCAACGTTGGACAATTGTTAGACAGTGTGGCTCATGGGTCAGAGGCAAGATGCGTATTTTGCCTTGGTGTATCATTTCGATATGAATATATTGCACTCCATTGTCTGTTTCTCTGGTTGTACTCCCACATGTACATGCGTCGTAGCAACATTTGGTTTGGTTTAGCCAGCGGGGGTTGGATTTAATCGCAGAAGGATATTTCTCGTGCACAAGATGATACGCATCGAAACATAGACCTATGACCAAGGCATTGTCGTTATGATTAAGGCAATACATATTACACTCTGCTCATGTAGGAGACAACATGAGCCATCAGACATGATATAAAAGTAGATTTTAGGAATCAGTACAGTGCATACAAGTATACTAGGTATATTAAGTACCTATCAGTTCAAAGTCACGTCGCCTGCGAATGACCGGCTATGCGCAAGCATACAATCGAGTAAAGCTTGGAACACAGTGACGTAGATGCTGGCGAATGAGCTACTTACCGGAGTAAAAGCAGAGAACGCCATAAGCTACGTACTCCAGCCTACACAGTATTATATATCTAGGAGCAGGTAACCTGATCTTAAGATACACTGACTCTCCAGTGGGTGAGCTCCCGTGGGCAGGGAGATCAAGTTAAAGAGGCTTTCTTTTCAGCAATGTGAAACCTTTTTGGCTCCTGGAGTTGGGTATAGGTTCAGGTTCAGGTTCTTCCAACTGCAATTGCCGCATAGAGCCTGGCTGACAACCAGATTATCTGAGTACCTATCGTCGTGAGGAACTCCACCTGGCCACGACGCGCTTTGGGGGTACATGGTACACTGAATATACTGTTTCATGGACATAACACACACGGGAAATTCTAGCGACAAGGTCGGCGTCACCCGCGTGTGTGAGATCGTGATAGGTTGCAGCTTGGTGGCAATTCGGGGCAACACCAAAAGCGAAGGTAAGTCCTGAAGGTAGGTGTTCGAAGTCCGCCAGAGTGTTGTTCACAGGCCGGCTATCCTGATCAGGATGCCCCACGCGGACATGTCAGAATGACAATATGCAAGAGTTGGGACGGATGTGGATGTTGACGTTTGGGGACTAGATAATTTACTTGGGCCGATAATGATGGTCAACGCATGACCCAGGCCCGAGGGATGTGCAATTGGCTGCCAAGGTTGCCGGGGACCGCTGTCCAGAACCCACGACTATTCCCCCAGTGGAACCAGCGGGTCGCTCACCCGCTGGGATCAAAGTGCGCATGTACGGTATATTCAGGGGTCTTGTGACTAAAAGTTCATCAATGAAGGGCTTAGAAAAGGGCAACTTTGTAAAAGGCGAGTGGCCTCGGGCCGTCATTTCCCACAACACGTGGGCGTTGAAAGTTAATCTTGCAGCAGTTAACACGATAGAGTTCAAGACTGCGTTATCGTCGCGGCATCTAGGTAAGCGTAGTGCTGCCGTTGTGATGGAGTTGCAGCATTGGCGCGTCTCGGTTCGGCATGTTGAGCCCTTGAGGTTCCAGTCTTTCGCTTGGAACTGCAGCTGCGACGACAACTACATATGTAGACATGGTACGGCTTCCAGGCGCTTGGCCGCAGTGGGCCTCATGGACAGGACGAGGCGGGACCCTGTGACCATATACTTCTTATTGGAGACGAGGACACTTAGAACCTGGGATATTGACGGGTGGGTGGACCATGTCATTCGAACCTAGCCGAAGGAGTAGGGGAGCGTTGGGAATGTCCAATACCCATGCTTTGTTGTGAAGCTGATCGACTTCATGAGGGCGTTTCATGTGTGCTCCGGAAATTTATTCAGTCGTAGGTTTTCTTTGGCAACTCTGCTAGATAATCTTCAACATCAACGACTTCGATATCTGATTCACAGAGTGCGAGTCTCTCAAACAAGCACTCCCGACTTCTGATCAAAATATTGGTGATCATCTAGTAGACTGCCCTTGTCCTAGTCTCGTCTGTATTGCTGCTAATTGGAGCTGCTGCCGGGTGTCATTCGCTCGGGGGAAGATTATTTGCGGAAAAAGCAATACTGATATCCTGTAATGTCTTTTTCATCAACCCTCAAAATCCTCCTTGTAGTATTACAAGCGTGATTATGGAATAACCACTACCGATCGTCTCTTATAGCAATCTCTCATCAATATGCCTGTCCCAAATATGCCAATTCGTTGAAGTCCTCACTTTGGCAAATGCAAGTCCGTTGTACAGGCCTTGAGCAATATCGACTTGTTTCCCATAGCGTGAATACGTCTTCACCTTGACTTGGAGTGTGACAACGAGTTCCTGTTCGGGTCTCGCTTTTGCGCGTTTACCAAGGTCCCGCCATTTATGCAAAGGGCTCCATATTGTCAATGTGGAGAAGAGTGGGTTTTTATAGTCCAGTGAATGTGGGACAGCAAGCGCCCAGCCCCCTGATTCTATCCGTGGAAATGTAAAGCATGTTCAAAGGGGGTCGTTCACGACGTAACTCACGCCATCTTCTTATAAGGCCCGCTCTGATGGTTAGGTACCACCCGCAACTACAGTATCAATAGTTTTGCCGTGGGTACATAGCACGGCGAAAGACGCTCTATTTGTGAAAGTGAACCAATCAGAAAGGATACCGTTCGTCGGCAAACAATGGTCCACACGCGGAGACCCGTAGTGGGTATATTTAATGTCCCCAGGTACAACCGGCAGCCTGCACTGTGCCTCAAAGAAGCGAACCTTGACAAGTGTTGCATTTCATCCGATTGTCCCGAATGTTTGGAGTCACAATGAACCGATAGTATCGCGACAAACTGCATAGTTCAATGAGTCTTCGAGCCAAATACTAGTCTAGAAGAATATACCTTCAGGATCCTATACACGAATGTTTGATATTCCAATGAGTGGTTAACGATTCGTGTGTCGAGTTGCTTAACAATGCACATCATCTGATCGAGACATGGTCGCACCTGGACCTAGGTAAAACCAAAAAAAAAAAAAAAAAAAAAAAGTATTATCTTTCCTTCCTCTTCCCCCCTCCCCCACTAAATCTCATCGTTGCGCGCCAGATATCCATGTCTTCCATAGCAAAATACGCGATCCATCGTTGAGTGGTAATTTGCGATAGTATAACTAGTTGAAAATTAAAAGGATGCATCACAGCTACTAGGAACATGAAGTTTAGTCTGCCGGTTGATGACATTAATATCCAGAAATCTTCTTCGTGAGTATTCTCTTCAATCTCCGACAATCTCGCCTTACCAGTTCATACCGTTAAAGTTATGTGCAACCCTGTTTCCTTCACTTTGAGATCTCTTCCATCCCGCGTGTTTCCAATTCCCTCCCAACCTGGTCACTATCAGTTGTTTTAAAGGCTCGTCGATAAGATCGGTGCTCTTGGAGTAGCATTGGTGGTCACAACAGTCGTAATCGGTTTCTGTGCCGCCTTGTATACCAGCCTCCAGTCACTGCTCGCTTCGTTCAGGTTGACCATCTCCATCAGGGTGTAATGAATCGTGCCATTTGCAGCTTGTGGCACGCACACATCTCGAGAGAAATTTCTGACTGCCGACGGTACAGCCTCAGAGTCCCGCCCTTCTGCCTAGAATGCCAGTCAGTATATGACATCATGTCTTGAATCGATGTGTGCACTGGACATACGCAGCAGGTTGGACATGGCGAGTTGTTGACATAGACCCAGTTAGGGCAGTTGTGAGTATAGAAGTACTTGCATCGGTACTTGTAGAAGCCCCCGCCTCCGGAACTACTCATTGTGTCTGACGGTCAAGATGGGCTAAGTTCAACGAAAATGTTCCAATAGTAGTTCAAGGTAGAGTGTGTCTCAAACCTGTTGATACAGGACAGACTGCCCGCTGGCAGCAAGCGGTTCGATTCTGCTAGAGAAATAATTATTCTCTTAATCAGGCTGATGATAGAACGCACTGCTTCTTCAATGGAAAAACGCCGAGCAAGGTAGGCAAGCCTTGATGAAAGTATGTTGAAGAAAGTGGAAGCCATTTATTATTTTAGAGCTAAGGTCCCTGTCAAGCCCTTGCAGTTCGGGAAGATGCCCATGTCGATGTACAGTAGCTATGAAATACTCCGTATTTTAGAACCTGGATGATTCTTCGACCTTGAGACAAGGCGCATACAGGCAAGACCTTGCATCATATCTACGCTACCTGGATGAATCCCTGTAGCAAATCAAGTGCCAGCACAATCCATGCTGGTACAGGGGTTTGAACGCGGTCGAGACAGTCAGGTCACCTTTTACGCAACGGTAGACTTCAGGATGTGGGATACATATATACAAGAGAATTATTCGTCCCCAGAGCAGCAAAGCTCGCGCTAATCGCCGATTGAGGTGTTGCGTTTGCACGACGAAGCCAAGGTAACCACTGAACGAAAGGTTCCATCCACTCAAGTCAGTTGATAAGCATTGACCATGTTGTTTGCCGATTGGTAGGTAGGATTTTAGAAATATTCCGGTCTAGAGTGGCAATCACTGAGGAGCTTTCGACTTCGGGAGCTGAAGGAATGAAAATGCTACAGTACCATGGAATCAGGCAATTCCTGCGCCGGTTGCATGAGCCCCAAGCATGATATCTGATCTGTACTTCAGCGAATAGACCATGCTGAAGTACTGGATCGCATGACGGACGAGCCACGGCCGACTTGCCAGGACAGTTTGCGGTCTAGCAAGCAGCGGGATCCTCAAATGCACGACATCCGAGGGCTTCGTGTACGGTTCAAGTAAAGCAGCATTATCAAGTTCTATAACCCCCTCTTCCTGCTTCAACGCATGCACGGTCGCCTAGCTGCGTGGATACGGACGAATTTAGAGGCCGCGACTGGCTGTTCAAGATACATGAATAGCACATTGGACGATAGAGGGCTGATAGAAGGCTGTCATTGGCGGTTGTGTACGAATATTGTTCCAGGCAAACTGAAAAATGTGGTGTTGGCACAGGCGCACCAACGATTGCCGACCAGCTTGGGATCAATCGTTCGATGAATGGATACACGCTAAAAAAAATCCCTGGGCGTTTTCGAGGTTCATCTACGGGATACCTACATGCATACAAACAGGAACACTACCTTGACCTTGTGCAAGACGTTGAGATAGGTACCTTACCATATATCCCCCGCGTCTGCTTGCCTTCCATGCCTGGCCATCTTCGATCAATAATACTACCTTCACCACCACTTGAGCTCAGCTACCGCGTGGTTCTGTGAGCCAGGACACTATCGACGACATCCATCAACATCCCTGAAGAAGATGCATTCAGCGCACACTAGCAGCCATGGACTATTCTACAAAACTAGATTTTGCGCTTCTAGCGCTTGAAGCTGTCTGATGCTGGCCAACCATGATCCAAAGCCTACATACAGTGGCTGCTCATTTATTATGTCCCAACTTACAAAGTTTAATGTACGAACTCATTACGAAAGCGACTATAGATTTGAAACACAGCGACACCGCAGCGTCTTTTTATAAAGCGGATCGATTGACGCGCAAAGACTGAGCGCACGGCTGTACTGACTTTGAATTCAAATTTTACACTCAGAATGTTTACGGCGACCACACTTTGAAAGAAAGGCCATGATCGTTGTCACGACTTGTGTATATTATACTCTTACAGAGCACAAATGCAGGGTCACTATAATGTACGTGTTAAGAAATGTAACATTGGCGAGGAGTAGTATTACACGGGTATCACCCAGATATTCGATCTCGGAGACTGGAAGAGTATGGTCGTTTGCGGTTGGACAAGTCAACCTGCAATTGGCGGGATGGTATCCTAAAACGTGTGAGGCATTGTCAAATTGCCGTGGGGGTTTGGCTTCCCGGACACGCGGACGGTTCTGTGCCAAGGGTACAAGAGCATCGAGAAGGTTAAGTCATGCCACCGAAGTGGCCTTGGCCTCCAAAAACAAAAGCGAACATCGCTCCCCCCAAAAAGCCTTTGTTTTCTTTCAAGTGGCCAACAATGTCATCTGGCCACTGTTTATTATTGTACGTGGACTGACAGCTGACAACGGCGTAGTCTCTATGCACTCCCGTTCCGGAGACACTGACCATGATCTGGAGCCAGACAACATACCCAACCGTGCCCATGCTCCGGACTTCTTTTGAGTGAAAGCTCAACCAGCCTTTAAAACTAATAGAGGAAGATGAAGATGTTCAATACTTCGGTCAAGGTCGAAGGCTCAAACAGATGCCTCTAAATCTAGATCCGCCATACATCAGGAATGCTCTATTTGGTGTGTGGACGCCTGATTACACTCAGATCGGCGGTTATAGTCCTACGACCACAATACAGTTATGGCACAGTTTCGCAACATCGCCCAACCTCTTTTCATGGTCTCCCAGCGGCCCGGGATCACAGCTGCGGGGCGCGGACGACCTAAAACAGGGTGGGCTGTCCCGGTCATCCGACCCGTATTCGTATCCGAGAAGGCATATCAACCTCGTGACTTATTCCACGAGTCTATTCTACAACTATCTGGGCCTTTTGTCACATGAACGGAGCGTAATGCATGCACGAGCCTGCCCGGAATTGAAACCTCTACAACCACAAATCCCGCCCCCCCATAAAAGGGCCACGGTGGGACGACTGTTATTGTCGTGACGCACATAAAAACTTCGCGGCAGGCCCAATCCTGCATGCTGCATCCTGTCACTGTCCCCCGAGAAGATCTTTATCACAACTTCATGCCTTTTTCAGGTCCATGATCTGTTCCACTACCTAGAAGCTGGGCTGATGGGATTACAATGTGCATCACCCCTCGGATATAACTCTACAGCGGCAGACACAGTGGACGAAGTAGGTCTGTGTTGCTTCAGCACGGACAAGGTGTGATGCCAATTCGGGGTTTGATTCTTTTGCGTCAAATGGACGGCTTGCATATTTTTGAATGAGGGTCAGCGGACACTTAGTCTTACTATAATTGCATCTGCCTCCCATGCATGCATTGCATTTCCTGTTGACATTCCACACTGCTAGGCCGATCTTAACCATCTGGTAAGTCTGACCATGCATGATGAGCACGTATGCAAGGACTTGGGACCACCACTACAAAATTCGACGCGTCCTAATATCAGAAACAGATGCCACACTCGATGTCGAGAAGAACCTTGTCCGCATCGAGTGTACTACAGCTACCGGCACTGGAGTGGCATAGCGTTAGGTTCACTTGACTGCGGTTGCCCAGCTATCATGATTGAACAGACTGTCAGGCCTGCGAGCCCGGTTTGCAGTGCTTAGTGACTCGTGTCGGCACGAATTCTCATTCGGACAGATAATCAGTTACCAGAACCGATTGGCGGATCACGACAAGGGACCTTGATGCATGACTATCAATATGGCAGCAACAAATGCGCTTGTGACACGATATAGATGGGCAATAAGAACCCATCTGCCGCTGCGAACCAATTATTGCCCAAGCAAACAAAATTGCATGTTCATGATACAATCATATACAACAGACTCGGGGTTATATCGGATGACCAGCCAAGTCGAAAAGCGGAGTTGTCAGGATGGTTTCCGCATAAATCGGTTATGTTACATAGTTGGAAAAGGCTTGCCGAAACAGGGATGTTCGGTTCGACTGACTTTCGGCCCGATATATTACAACTGGACATCATACGCATTCATGGCTTGGAAGCACCTTAAACACTGAATTCGTGCTGCAATAAAATCTTGCTTGCCAGAACTGAAAGGAAGCTGGAAGTGGTAAATCGCGGAGACACAGGCTCTATTCACACCAGAGGGCAGGCGTCCTGAGCGTTGTGCATAAGTGACTAGGCAGTTTGCATTGCTTGCATCTGCTGTCTGAGCATTTCCTCATGCTCGAGTCGGCGGTGATGGGAATTTCTTGGCGGTTCCAACCCAGATTCACACCAAACCCACTCTCTTGACTAACATATAAAGACTCCAGGAAGAGTCGTAAATTTAGTTGATCATGCGAGAAATGAAGAGCTTAACAAGTCATTTGACTTATACCAAATTTGCAGACTGTTTGATTTTCCTCCAAGGTGACAAAGGTCACAACACGAGGCCATGCTCTTGATCATATTTGGATCAGTAAAAACAACTACCACGGCACGCTATTTGCGCCTAGCTCTCTCGTGTCATGCCATGCAGCATTTCTTTTAATAATAATAAAAATAATAAAAGGATTTGGTTCATAAGTGAAATCCTGCCCGTAAAACTGAGCATCTCGATGCCGGATGAAGTGGGTCCGGTTTCTAGCCGTTTCCCCTGGTAAAACTGTTCACACATGATACTTCGTGTTTTTGGAGTACAGGGTCCGTCACATACAGTTGCAATTATTAATCTTGAGGCTCGATACATCCGAAGGTGGTAGTCCCTAGCCGATCTGCTACTTAACATGCGGATGCACATTACACAAATCTCCGTAAGCACATTCCTGTATACCGTCACGCCATCTGATTTTCGCATGTAATGGCTATGTTTTAATTATTATTAACTACCTAATTAAGTATTCTAATGAGACCATGGATCACAATGGGTGGGTTGGTTTAACAGCTAAAGGTATGTGTCAGTTTCAATACTATCGCACTGAGTCGTTGAGTCGTTGCCTGTCGGTAGTTCCAAAGGACTGGGGGTTGGCCGTACATTGACGCTGGGAGCGGGATCCCTTCCCCCCTTTTCTCATTGTTTTGTGTTCTTCGTCGAATTGACAGCTCGAGGGCGTGGATTCCACCACCGGAAGAGGTAACGGGAGCCGCCAGTGGCATAAAGTATCGTAGCACTAAGCTTGCCGGGGAAAATCCCTTGACGTAGCACGGCAAATGCAACGAGTTGCTCGATTCAGGGAAGAGTAGTACACAGTCGGCCCATCTCTTCCGTGCGACACGAATAAATGCAGTATGAGAAACAACTCGCTCCAATCCTCCGGCACGGCAGGAAAGAAAGGAAAACCATCGTTCGATGTCAAATCTTCTAATGTGAGCTATCATAAAATGCAAAACAAACAAAAAAGGAGAGCGGAAAGTCTCAACTTCGGTGTGATCCCTTGACGGACAGCCTTATTACAGGTCCACCAGCCCGTCGTCCTCGGGCCATGTGTAACTGCCGAAACACACGGCGACGAGGAGTCCACCGCTGGACACCGGTTCGCAAAGCCGTAGGGAATACGACAATCATACAGCAGATGTTCGACATAGACAACACAACACCAGGAAGAAGAAGGAGAAGAAAAGAAGAAGAAGAAAAATGGCACCCGAAACATCGTACATGATGGTTAGGGGGTTGTCCAACCACTCGCAACTCGGCGCAACCCTCAACTCTTGCCGCTGGTGTGACTGTCGTGGGACACCAGAAATCAATGCACCGGCGTCATGCATTGCAACACTGTTACCGGTCTGCCAAGGGGAGCCCAGGGCCTTCCGGAATAGTTGCCTAGCGATGCTTGGGATAAACCGTCGGCAACCAAAAATATTGCGTGTACTTTTTTTTTGTGTTACTGTAACCGTCCGCGGACGCTAGGCCTGTGCCGCGCATCTGCACTGTTCGATGATCGTCATATCACATGGATTAATGGTTACACACCTTTATGTAAATACCCATATTTTATAATCATTTTTAACGGTGACCAACTCAGTGATCACAGTGATGACAGATTTGCTTGTGGTCGCGAGCCGCGAGCCACGACACAAAAGTACATAGAGGTTGCAATTAATGCCAAGCAAAGTTTTACGAATACAATATGGGATACCCCTGAGAGTCGTTAACATTCGGTAAGTGCTTTGGGTGAAAAGCCAGCAAGATAACATGGGATTAGCTGGGTCATCTTATTCGCGCCAATTGATTTTTGAGTTTATGCGACTTCGTGAATTACATCTCTATAGCTTGCCTGTCTACAACGTCTCATCTCTCTATACGACATAATCCATCATTCTATGAATGGATGAAACGGTAGATCGCATTCTCTGCGAACTCTTCGTATCCATGTCTCGTCCCAAAGGGGCCGTTTCGTAAGCGACTGTTCGAGAATGCCAAAGGCAGTTTTATTCCCAACTATGGCAGTCGTACCGCTAACCATGCAGCAAGTGCTCAAAGCCGTAGTTCTCGCGAAAAGGCCAGCTGAACAAGAGCGCTTGCTGAAATGCTTGCGAACCACGTATCATGGATAGAAGCACATCTGTGCTTCTGTTTACAGATAGTACCTGTGGTCGTAGTCTCATATCTGAAGCCAATCAGAAACTGGCGACTGATGGGCCATGACTTGACACGATTCTGGCCTTCATCGACCAGCCTTCATGGCTGCGCGTCTCCGCATCTTGTCTTGTACAGATTTGAGAGCCAACTTAACATCCTTCTGCCCATCCCAGTGGTCAAGGTCGTAGTAAACCGGAGCGATTTCCTAGTAGAGATAGTTAGCTTGCAACGCTAGCAGATGATCATTGGGAGTTACCAAACTTACCAAAAGCCACTCAGGTCGAATTCCAGTGACAGTTCTGACATACTGCTTGGTGGTGAGGACGAACTCATTGTAGAGGACCCACTCATAATCCGTCTGTAGGACACTACTAGGATGAATCATGACAGCCTGGTTGTTATCTTTCATGGTTCTGTAGATTTTGCCACTTGACTCCTTCTTGGCGACTTGCATGAAGAAACCAGCAACGAGAGCGCGACGAATATTGGTGTAGTAGTTCTTGTCGTTGAAGTCAGTGCTGATCAGTTCAAGCCCTTGCGTCTCCATGATGCGTTTCAGTTGGGCTCGGACGCTGTCCGCACTAGAGAGGTGACGCTGAGAAATATAGTGGCTGTGACACCACTGCTTGATATCTCCGCCCTTGTTTTGTTCTCCCTTGAAGGCGTGGTAGACGTTCAACATGGTCAGGTGATCGCCCTCGGGGTGTTTGAACATATCCTTCATCTGGTCTGCCTCGCGACGCTTGTTTGCGGGGCGGACAAACACATTGGGTACAGATAAGAGGGCTGTGATAGAAAGCATCTCATTTGAACAATAGAACTCGGGACTGGAGATAAGCATGACAGCCAGCGTAGGGTCGAGTGGGAACTCGGACGCAAGACTGCCGAGGGGAGTAAGCTCGCCCTCGTCATCGAGACATGCCAGATAATTAAGCTCTTCCAGAGCGCGCATCATCGTCTCCGGGGCGGGAGGATCCATCAGATCGAAATGGACAAGGTCCTCCACGCCGAGTTTCTTGAGTTCTAGCACGGTGTTGGCCAGATTGGAACGGAGGATCTCGGGATAAGTTTGCTCAATGAGCTCCTTCTTGAATGCCTCCTCGGTGTACAGTCGAAAGCACTTTCCAGGCTTCGTACGACCGGCACGACCGGCACGCTGTTGAGCCGAAGCCTTGGAGATGGCGGACACCAAGAGAGACTCGACCCGGATGCGAGGATTGTAGATTTTTTGCTTGCTGAAGCCGGGATCCACGACGTAAACAATACCGTCAATGGTCAAACTGGTTTCGGCAATGTTCGTGGATACGATGCACTTCCTGCCAGGGCGACCACCCTTCTTCAAGGGCGGTGGTGCAGCCGAGAAGATCTTCTGCTGCTGGTGTGGGGGCAGTGTACCGTAAAGGGGGTAGACGGTCATGGGGCCGGCATCGGCCTCGCGAATCATCTCATCGACCTCAAGTGACAGCTTGCGGCAAGTGTCCTCGATCTCTTCTTCGCCTGTCAGGAAAAGAAGAATGTCGCCTTCGGCCTCGGCGGCGTGGATTTGCAGGACTGTTCTGATGGCGGCTTCAACATAGTCCTTTTCGGCTTCGGGAGTGTAGAAGATCTCTACAGGATGGGTACGGCCAGGAACTGCCAACAGAGGGGCGTCGTAGAAATATTTTTGGAACTTTTGAGCGTCGAGTGTGGCAGACATGATAATGATCTTCAAATCTGGTCGGCGCTTTGCCAACTGCTTGAGCAGAGCCATGAGGATATCGGTGGCCAAGGTGCGTTCGTGAGCCTCATCGAGAATGATGCAGCTGTAGCGTGACATCATGTGGTCGTGCATGGCCTCTCGAAGAAGCATACCATCAGTCATGTACTTGAGAATTGTGCGGGGGCCTGTCCTGTCCTCAAATCTGATACTGTAACCGACCTCCTGGCCTAGCTGCACGTCCAGCTCATCTGCGACACGCTGGGCAACGGACATGGCGGCGACTCGACGAGGTTGGGTACAAGCAATAAGCTTCTTGTTGAGCTGTGGCAACTCGTCGTAGACGACATATTGGGGGATTTGAGTGGTCTTTCCGGAACCGGTCTCACCAACGAAGACGAGTATTTGCGTGCTGTGGTAGGCGTCCAGGAACTCTTGTCTAGAAGGCAGCTGTCAGCATGGAAACTGGTTTGCAAAGCCGCCACGGCGGCTCAGTAGATGATCGGACTTACCTCTGCTTGTGGACGGGGAGGTTTCTTCGGCCCTGGAGAATCTTGAAGTACTGCTGGGAATGAGGTTCGCCGGTGAATGGGTTCTCGTCGCCGTCCTCGGCTTTCGATGCTTGCTTCGCCGTGGTCTCTCGGCGGGTGAAGCTGTGTAAGAGTGAACCTTTGACGATGGAGTTGTTGTAATGGATGCCGTTCTTTTCATCCTCCTCCTGCTTCATGTGCGCGAGATAGGGATTGTGCTGAATGGCCTGGTCCTCGTCAGAAGACTCCATCTTGACGCGCTTGGAGCCTGGGTCTGTTGCGTCGACACTGGCTCTCTTTCTATCGCCTTTGGTAGCCATCTCCAACCGTCGGAAGAAGGACGGTGCGGGGGGGGTGAGATGTTGAAGAGATGAGCAATAAATCAGAAAGACAGTCACGACTGGCTTCCGAAAAAAACGAAAAGCTTTGCGCAAACCCGAACAGTGCCAGCGCAAACAATTATTTGGTGACGGTGATGACTGTTGGCTGCAGCAGCAGGAGCAGCGGCGGCGAGGCTGAACAAAAAATAATCTCGGACCCCACCACGCTAAAGGGCGGGATGAGTTTGGCCAATCAGCAGGTACCTTTGCCTGAGCCCTCCCAGTACCGTGGGGCCTCTAGCTCTACTACAGTAGGTACCTATCACTCCGTACTTGCCTGCAGTTACAGACAAGGTTCAAGGCCCAGCTCTCTGTTTTGTTTCAGTGGGACATGGCTTGGGCCCCATTGAGCATCGTGGTTGTATATATAGACGACCAATGGATCAGAGGGAAGCTCGCCCACTGTCATGAACTTTACCTATGATTATCCTGCTCTTTGATCTCGATAGCCAACTGCCACGGCGCCACCGTCAATACCGGCATCTTATGACACGCCAAGATGGCGTCAGGCTTTGACCTTGTCATTGACATTGTCATCCCCGTGCACCGAAGCAGTCAATGCTTGGTGTCAAAGATTGTGGAATACAAAAGTCCAGTTTGACCTGCCGAGCATGAAGGAGCATTGAGGCGTAAGCCTGGGGGGCAATGGCAGTGCTACGATCTGATTGGACTATGCAATCATCGTTGACGGCGGGCATCAGTGCCTGCATCTGGTCTCGGTAAGAGTAGGTAAATGCAGGAGGCTCGACAGGATGGGCGTGGCGCATTCGACAGCACATGGAATTTGACCCTAATGAACATGTTCAACGGTCCAGGGATGAGGCATCACCAGAGGACACGTTCTCAAGTGGTTTCATTCAACTCCCAGAACGGCCTCTTGCTGAATACGCCGAGCAATCTGCCACCCAGCAATCTAGGATGCTTGCTGTGGGCTTGTTACAACTATACCGTAGATACATTTTCTATGCCCACTGACGGGAACCTGTATTTGGAAGTATTGCAATATGTCAATGACTTCGTCGTGACGTTTGGGGGCAAGGAAGTCTGCTCATAGTGTATTACGGAGGCCATGCGTACTAACGGACCCTATCAGGCCATTCAGGCGCAAATACGGACATTATGAGCATCACTTCCCTCTAACCCTATAGGATCATTAGTCTGGTTTCGACAGTGCGCGGCAAAGTGGAGCAGAATATCCAATATTATCATTGTGTCCGATTCTAGGACAGGAGGATGCGGATATTTTATTGATGCTGGGTTGTTGTCAAGCTCTCCCGGTGCCATTCCAGTCACGCTCCAAAGGTGTCATCGTAGCGCTTCGCCGCTACAGGGTTTCGAGAATGAAGCTATCACAGCTGAGCCTTATGTAGACCCCTTTACGCACGGTTTAATTACCGTTCTACGAGAATTTGCTCACTATCACTCACCTGTCCTACTGAACTTGCTTCGCTCTCGCCCAGTTAGCAGAACACAGGAACATGAAACAACTTTGTTGAAAGACTACAACTGAATCATTGGCTACGACTAACACCGATATCAAAGATTTCGAAACCGCCGACGAGTCACCTTGGAATGTTGATAATGAGATGGATGTACTCGTAGCCGTAAGACTCAATGGTGGCGAGTTAAACGTGGAAGCCTGGGCTCAGTTGTTCTTGCGGATACCCCCCCGAGGCTGGAAAAGTCAAGTTCATGACAAGGGTTAAATGTGAAGGGGCATACACAAGTCTTCCGAACCTATTTATTGCAAGAGTACCTGTGTGTATTTGGAACCTGATGCCCAAATACCCGTCTGTATCGTTTATTGGGTACATATGCGGTGCAAACATGGCAGCCACGATCAACCAAGGGGCGCAGCAGAGTGCACCATCAGATTTTTCCATATCTGTAGAGACACACGAGGAAGTGATACACGGGAAGAGGAGGAGGGAAGCAGTCCGGGGCGATCCGTTACGACCTATGACCAAGAAACTACAAGACTCAGATACGGAAAATGCGCATGCCAAGCACTGTTGACAACATTCGTAACGTACACAAATTAGTACAAGGTTCAATCAAGCAAGATGCACCTACCAACGGGCCCCTTTTCGAAGACAGCACGGTTACAAGTAATTCCATACCTCTTGATGAAGATATTACCGGCCAAGTTCGACATAACACAAAGATTGTTGAAAAGCTGTTATAACGGTTACGTGACTAACATTAGCTGCATTTTGAATAACGAATTAAAGGAAAATATAGGCAAGGTTTTAATATAATATTACTTATTTATAATCTCAAAATATAAGATGTGAAAAGTAATTATTTGAAAAGTAAGCGACCTAACAGAAAATAAAATAGCTCTTATTACACAACACATTAACTTTCAAAAAAGTGGTGCTTCATATGTTTTAATAGCTGTTAAAACCTGGGTGTGGAGCAACGACTGGTGAAGTTATACACACGTGATAACGTCCTTCTTGTGAATCTATAGGTCTTCCGCGAACGAGCCTTAGGCATTAGTTACTGACATAAATATATGGAGCATGGGATTAGTGGAGAGCGGTTACTCCTGGACCCAGATCATATCTCGATGTAGTGAGTTTACCTTGAAATGGGTCCGCGTAACAACAAATCACTATAATAGTTGCTAGACCAGGCCGACTCATCCCAAACGTTACTAGCAGAGTTTGTTACAGGGAACCAACTACGACGGATTATTAACCATTTAAAATAGATGGGTTCCGAACATGTGTCTCTCTTTGCTATTGATTTTGCGGCGGGTGAAAGTGGAAGTTACGAGCAAACTGGTTGTCAACACAAAGATTGAAAAGCCAGCGGAGTGATATAAGATACTACCAGCCACGTTGGTGGATACCAAAAAGTCGTCCATGACTTGGAAGGTGAACCGCAAGTAGCATATTGCTAGCTAGACCCATTGTCCTCGTATTTGCCCACTCATCATAATCAATTGTGTCCCGAGTGTTCATAATACAAACTAAGCACTTTCGAAAATCACATGAACAGACTTCAAACAAGCAGGGTTTAAACAATTACAGTGTTTTGCTTGTATTACGTATGGCTAGGTGCTCTACCTTTGTCATAGCCATTTCCTTATCCCAAGTTTTCATGATACATTCCATGCTCGAAGCAGCCCTCCAGTCCCTGATATTGTACACATGATATTATCCCATGGAGACGATCGAACCAACACACAAGGCTCGCATAGAGGTAGAGAGCACTTCTAAGAGAACCACGCCGCAGGTGTTTGGGCCATTCCCTTACTGTCCAGCAAACGTTTAAAACGTGTTGCCCACTGTAGCAGTTGAACTCTTAACATGTCAAGGCAACAGATGTGCCACGCAGCAAAAACCAAACACGAATGACAGACCACACAACGCCTATACACCTGGCCCGTTTTCCCTATATCATACCACGCGTAAACCTCACGTCGGCCCGACATCTGGCCGACCATCTGATCTACCAGAACCGCCCTCTCATTAACATACACAGGATTATCACCATCGAGCAAAATCAGAGCCGCTGGCTCTTTTCGCATTTCTGATAATCTCTTCCACCAAATCCAATGAACCCGCCGGCACTTCGGGAAAATTTTGACCCGAGGGTGGTGGCGACTCAGGTACCACGATTTCATTTACTGGAAGTTGATGAACTGGAATGGATCGAAACTGGCTTGTGGGCTGAGACTGTTGCTGTTAGGCATTGTCTGCGGAAGCGTCTGCCAGAAAGGTCCGCTTACATTACTGGGCTGGTGCCCTTGATTCGGGTCGGGCTGCAAAGTTTCAGGCCCCGTGTTTGTCATTGTATGATCTATGCCGGTCGTCGTCGCAAGAGGTTGTGCTGGTGGCGGTGGTGGCATAACGGTGGCTGGCACAGCCCTTTGCAATTGTTCCCATGGCCTAGGTGGTGGCACAGGGGTCTGCCTGAGAGTAATCGGACGCGATTGTGAGGAGGGCGTAGATGGCTGAGCCCGCTGTTGTGGGCTGGCCCTTTGCTCACTGTGTCCTGGCACCATGCTTAAAACGTCTTGGAATTCAATAGTTGAAGTTTGAGGGCCATCAGCAGACGGTTGCGGTGGCACTTGCTGTGGCACTGAGCATGACATATGAGGCAGTGACTGCGGCTGTACTGGCGGTACGTGGTTCTGATACTGATGTTCACTTGCTGGCTGCAGAGGAAGTACAGAATTGCTTGTACGCAAATTTTGTGCGTTTGGCGGGGTGAAGGGACATCTGGCCGTGACTGGCGGGGCTGGAGAACTGTGTTCTTGTCGAGGTTGACTTTGTGTTGGCGCCGGTGTGTGTTGCTGATCTTGCGACTGCCTCCTTTGCAACATGGCTGCATACTGCGCCCGTATTGCAGGATGCAGTTTAGTCAGAACTGAATCAGGATCGTAGGATCCACTGGCGGTCTGCAAGGCCTTTGTGCTATCTGGTGTAGGGGTCGCTGGCGACGAGGCTCCCTGGGCACTCGGAACAAGAGGCATCGACTGCTGAGGAGCCTCAAGTCCAGCAGCGTGAGGTGAGTGGTTCTGAGAGCTTTTCGAACCTACGCTGGTCTCGGATGAGTACTGGGGAATTGATGGCAAGGCCGCATTCATTTCAGGAGATTGTTTCTTGTACCCGAATAAAGCATCTGGGGTCTTCATCAGATGTGCTCGCAAGTTACCTTCATAACCATTGGTAAAGCCGCCCCAAGGAGCATAAGGCGTTCGGTATTTCGTTGAATCCCTGTTGTGTATTAGCGTCTCCCCATGATATGTCTAAAGAAATCCGTTACCTATTATGATGAACTTGGAAGAAAGCATATTTCTGCAGGACGCTCGGTGGCGGAGGTCTGGGGATTGGTAGCTTGACGACTTGAGCCTGCCCGCCACTGCCTAGACCTTGAGATGACGGCCCTATCGCCGACGACGTCATGGGCAGAGACATGGCAGACGCAGCCGAGCTTGACCTTTCCCTTGCCTGTGCTTGAAACACCTGACCGTTCTGCGGCGACGGCGTGGTGCCGAGCCCCGGTGGTTGCATGATACCATAGCTGAATGGTGAGCTTGAGCCTTTGTCATAGCGAGCGGAGCCATACGTAGATGAGGTTCTGTATCGCGGATCTGTGCCAAAAGGCACAGATTTATTATGCGAATGAGCCGGAGCAGAATGAGGTACTGTCGGCTTTGGTAGTTGCACAGGTCTCGGTGTTGTCTGGGGAACGGCTCCCAGCCCTGTATAATGTTGTTGAGGCGCGGTTTGAGGTGTAGGCACGGACGACTGAAACACGGTCTTGGGTGTCGCTTGATTGTTATACGGAGGTCTAGCTCCGCCTTGTGGGACAAATGTAGAGGTCGAAGTGGGAAACGGCTTTGTCGCAAGGCCATTGGGTGCAAATTGCTGTACAGTGTATGGCTGTCGACTGTACTTCTGATCGCTGTGCTGAGAAGGCGTAAATGGTTGAGCCGGCTGTCGTTGCTGAGTGTACGAGTAGGGGTTGTATGCAGAAAGCACCGGAGTCTTTGGCTTGTATTGATACGGGCGGTCAACCTTGGTAGGATTGTTGTTGTAAGGAGCGGGCCATTGTCGGGCGACCACTGGCGGGGCCTGCCGGGGAATAGTGTCCAAGAAGTTACTCTTCGAGTTGTGAGCTTGTTTCCGGAGATTCTCTGTATATTGTGCCCGAGCCTCAGTTGATGTCCTTCCAAGGTAGTACCAGACCTGGTTTTCTTTCGAGAAATCAATCTTGACCTGTGCTTTGTTAGTGGGGTTATCGGCAGTGTGGAATTCCGCCCAAGTAAATCCTTCCACGAAATCATCTTGAGCTCTTGGCAGCTCTTCAACCGCACGCTTGGTGGCGTTGATCCTCTCTTTAGCTGTCCTGGATGTTGGCATCGGTATGGCGTTCGGTGACGCTTTTTGCATGCGGAAGTCTGAGGGGTCAGGAATGAGAAGCCATTTCCATTCGACTTCGACACGATCACTGATAAGTGTTAGCTGTACTGGTCTTGTGTTAGAGTATTCTTTGTAGGCTGCGCACCCGTTTGGAATGATTTCAACCAGGAATGTTTGCTCATCATGTCTATTATCCACCACAACACCGGCAAAGATCTCTCCGCGGTAATACTGTAGCTGTGCCAAGTCGCCTTTCTTGAGGGCGGCTGCAGCCTCAAGTACCTTCTTGCAATCGTCAAGGGTCTCACCATTAAGCTTCTTGTCCCGCTTAGAGCGATGGAATCGACAGCTGAATTCAAAGGCTTGTTCCTTGTATTCAGTACCATCCTCGCCGAAAATGGGTACTTCCCCCTCTTCGACGAAAACACCGGCTGCGGCGGCACAAGTGGCATGGTAGGATCGAGCACACTTCTTGTAAGAGCACTGAAAACAAGCACCACGCTTTGAGCGGCAATAGAGGCACTTGAGTTCGAGTCGAGCCTTGCTAATGTTTGCGGCGTTGGCGACAATTTCTTGGCCATCGACTGTTTCGACCCAAGTTTCTGGACCATATAGAGCACACATGCGATGTGCCTTGCGGCCATCATCAGTAGGCAGTAACTCCGAGTCGAGAATAGTGTTGGGACAGAGGCAACACGGTGGCTCAATCTGTGTCTTGATCCGGACGCGTAGACGGATCTTCTTGGCTTTCTTCTCGCCCCTGTCGGTTGCGGTTCGTTTGCGCTTCCGACTGGGCTGTTTGATTTTGATGACAGTAGAGGTGTGAAGTGATTCCTCCTCATCTTCCTCCTCATCCTCTTCGTCGTCTTCTTCATCCTCAGTTTCCTCGTAATCTGTGGATTCGCCTCTTAGTTTGCGCTCGATTTCATGGACGTCGATCCAAACACTGTCTTGAGCCTGTGCACATTCGCACTTTTTGGCAATCCTGCCCATAGGCAACCAAGAGTCCAAAGCAAAGTTGACGGCTTCTGCACAGTTATAACCCAAGTTGTAACCGGAGTGATAGCCATAGGGGTAGGTGACGACAAACTCGCCTGGATAAGAGACGACCTTGTTCACTTTGATATTGAAGTGAGACTGCAAGTGATTGGGTGAGATAAGGAAGGCTTTGTGGCGAAGGAACTGGTCGCAAGCTTTGGCATCCGTGGGCCAGATGCTTTTCATGGCGGTTTCAAAACGACGCGCATCGCCCTGAGAAATGCTGTACCATTGCTTGGGAGCACCGAAATGAAGGTAGTTGATGCTGTACAGATCAACGTCCTCAAGGTGCCAGGCAAAAGTGGCCTTCCACATTCCCAAGTATAGGTAGGCAGTATTGACGCCGGGAATCTTACTGCCGAGGACATCCAGAAGATTTGGCAGCTTGTTGAGATTCCAGAGCTCCGTGTCTTCTGAGAACAGGGTGCCAAGCAAATCGGCACCGTACAAAGGCTGCGCATATGTGAGCGTCTTCCAGTATATGCGCTCGAGCTCCTCGCATCTTTCAGGAGTGTAGTCGGAAATATCCATGTTGTAGTCCCAGTCCTTGAATGCTTCTTCATCGATCCGGGCTGATGCCTCTCTCCGGGAATACTTCCTGCGCGCCGAAGTCGACTGTGTCTTGGCCTTGGGCTGTCGTGAAGCACCCATCCTGCCGGGAGCTCGTGGTGCATCATCCTCATCCTCGACATCAGCGCCAGGGTCATCCTGCTCTACGGATTCCATGACGTCTTCGGATGGTTTCGGCGATACTGGTGTCATGGGTCGGTCTTGCCCGGAAGCGCCATCAATAGCGGCCTTCTTTGCTCTGCCTCTTGTAGCACGGCCACTGCGTCCCTTGGGCGCCGTGGTTGTGCTCGAAGAAGCAGCTTTAGATCTGGGTGGCGGCCTGGACCTTTCCGCATTCGCTCGTCGTTCACCTCTTTTGGCGGGAGGCTGGTGCTCGCTCTGATCGCAGAGTTGGCGCCATTGCGGAAGATTGTAAGAGCGTTGGTGAAGGAGGTTGACTTGACGATAAGTTCCGTTGGTTCCCATAATGTCCTGCTTAATAGGCTCTCGCACTCTGATTTGTTTGACCAAGTCATGGTAGTCGGGTAGCTTCTCTTTCCAATCAGCGGGTGGAATAATCTTGACGATTCCAGACTTCATGCCATAGGGATCGACTTTCTCCATCTATGAGCATTGGGTTAGTAGTAGCTAGCAAGGAGGCACTCCTGTGGATTGCGACGTACGAATTTCTTGAAGTCCTTGAATTGGTGCATGTCCGGCTTGAAGACCGGAACAGTGCCAGACCAATGATCGGGAAGAACTGGGCCAATGTCTTCATCCTGCTCAGCAGCGGCCTCCACGCCGACATGTTCCTCGGCTGGGACATCTGGGCCGACGTCGGTTGACTGCTCAGGCTCAGCATGGCTGGATGGGGGTTCGGGTTCGGGGTCGTCCAAGTCGCTAAGCTCAGAATCGTCATCGCCGTCGAGCTTCATGGCATTGTTGCTGTCGGGAGGCGAGTGCAGGCCGGTTGTCGGCTTGGGCGAAGCTCGAGCGGCATTTGGAGATTCGGTTGCACTTGCGACCTCGATCTGAGCGTGCTCTGGCTCGGGCACAGGCTCAAGCACAGGCACAGGCACAGGCGCAGGCGCCATTTCGGCGATGGCTTCGGCCGACATGGTGCAAGACCGCTACATGCGATCGATTAATGGAGAAAGCCTCAGCTATCCGAAACTTTCACCATTCAGCAGGTTGAAGATGTCGAAACAGTTGAGGATGCCTGATCGGCAAAGACGTATTCGTGGTTGGACAGGCAAACGTTGAATGGGAGTGGCTGAGGATGTATGGTTGGTCTTGCAGGCGAGGAGATTGGGGGGGTCGATAGGCGCTCAGGTCGAAGTGCAGGTGGCCTGTAGGTACAGATCCGTAGGCTCGGTTTAACTGCGGGCTCTGGGCCTCTAGGCTCTAGGCTCTGGGTTCTGGTTTCTGGGCTCCAAGTACGCTTTTGGGCGGGGAGGGGGCGGTACACCAGCTGAGTCCAGTTGAAGGGGCGAACCTGGCGAAAACTGCAACCCCAGTGAAATTAGACTTGCGCAGGTTCGGACGGAAAAGAGCAGAGGAGAAAAAACCAATGGCGATGGAAAATCTGATATCGACTGCGAGAGACAATCTTGTCAATCGACGTGAACCTCAACATGGATTCTCTGATTAAAAATGAAATAAAATCAATTGTAGAGAAAGGACAGTCGACGGAAACCAGTCGGTTCGCTGTTCGGGGATTACGATAGCTGGATCTTACAGTAGGTACGTAGATGTCATCCAATTCTCGAACCATTCTCGCATCCCGTCCGTGGATCCAGATTCCAGATGCCCTGCCTGCAGCCTGATCGCCCCCAGCGTTCACCTCCGCCTTGAGAAACTGGCCCGTGCCATCTGCTAGGAATAGAGTTTCTCAGTGGGCATCAGTGAAGAGATGCATCCACGGAACATGCACGTCATTGGAGATGGTTCATTAGCTCCAGCAGTCAAGTACCTTTTAAAAGCACGTGAGGCGGCTCTTTCTTTGTCCTCGATGGAGGTCTGTAATCAACTCAGCGTCTCTTGAAATAAACCAAGTGCCGGGAGGCTCAAAGGACTTTCATCGTTTAGACTGATCTAGACTAGACAAAAACCAACCAGTCAGGCAGTTCTGTTAAACCATCTTTTACCAAAGGATATTTTCCTTGGGACATTTGGTCATAACGATTCATACCCATGGTTTACGTCATTAGTCATCTGTTCGGCAGTAGGCACATCATGAGTTTCGCAATCGTACCAAACCGAAATGAAAGTTCTTCGCAATCTAGATTAGATCATAGCACTGATCGGATGTAATTTCACACGATAGCTACAGACGATACGAGGATAGCCTCAGGTTGTTGGGATCGCTATGGGGATACTCAATCTTAGACTTGAGGAGGGAAAGAGTAATTGGTCATCTGTTTGTATGCGTTACCGCTTCCTCGTCCCAGCTACTTTACAAGTGATAGGGAAAGAAGCAGATCCGCCTACCGATGTGGCACTAAATCGAACAGGGATTTCTAAGGTTAGTATATGTACATAGTCAGGGTCAGACACTGACTGCTACTACAATATACGGCATACTGTAGTCGCTATATTGGTTTGATGTGGATCGTTGGGGGGGGGGGGGGGGGGGGGGGGTCTTCGGAAATGTTGAAGCTCAAGTTTCCGAGCACTAGCTCAACCAGTCTGACAGATGGAAGATGGACGCAAAACTAGAAATAGTGGCTAGGAGTAGAATGTTACATGGCCATGAGACCAATCTTTCTTGAACCGTCACTAGGAATATTGCAACGAAAGAACGACCTTCTCAACGTCTTAAGGGTGTGCCTGATATGAGGTTTACTGACGATCATTTTGAACTAACCAATTGGAACAAACCAAGCTCCATGCCTGGCTGCTGATCTTGAATGCTCCTCCGGCACTTGGCAGGGCCCCAAGTGTGCCAAACTTTAAAGAACCACTCCCTAGATGCGACGCGACGTTAGCGGGGATGATTTGTTCCTACATAACTTAGCAGTCTTGGTCAACATTCAGCCGCAGCAAACAGACAGCATCCAAACAAATCTGCTCCCATAACCTCAAAGGCCCGATCATGGCCCCGGGCCAGAAGCTCTACCCTCGCGCGACGGTGAAGAAGATTGTTAAGGCGCATTCGAAACGTAATGTCAGCAAGAATGTTGACGTGATGGTCAGTAGCCCTGAGCAGCGGACTTGCGCGTTGCGCCGGAAACGCGCTGCTAACATGAACACTGTCAGATCTTTCTCGATTATGTGCTCTTCATGCAAACGTGAGCACCGGAACACACCACCAAGTCAAGGCATAAATTATCATCTAATGCATCCGTCCAGACTCGTAAAAGAGGCGGCAATCGATTCGAAGCAGGCGGGCGAAAGAGGGATCAGCGCAAAGAGCGTTACGAAGGTGACGGCTGTAAGTTGATACGCGACACGGCTGGTGTGTACGGACAGAACGTGAAGCTGAAGCTGAAGCGTGGCAGGACACTCTTGCGAAGTTCAAGGGGTAAAAGCTTTCGCACACAATTGGCGACAAACCCCGAACGAGTGCAATTGCGACTAGGATTTATACCTCCAGGTCAACTGTGCATAAGGCTCTGCGATTGTACCTTGCCCTCACTTGCGCTCGATGCCAAGTACAATCAGACGCAAGGACTTGTACTGGATCGTGTAGGGGTGGGTAGTTAATGAGGGTTTCGCTTAGTCTCCATCTGGAGGGGGCTGTGAGCACGAGACCTCGCGACAGGGACGAATGCGTCAAACGATGAGGCCGATATCATATTTTATGAGAACCCTGGCTTCCTCGCGAATCATGACTTTGCCATGAAGCACCAAGAGCAGCTTAATGGTTCTTTTTGACCATGAACGGAGCACGGTAGCTCTGTAGACAACTGAGAGTTTACATTCGGTAGGGAGCACGGATGGTGTAGTACAAATGCCAAGCATTGCCGTTTCCCCAGAATTCCTCAAGGTTCCTAAGCACCAGACAGCTTTAGTAGTTAACGTTAGCAACTGCAAGGGCTGTTAAAAAATAAAAATAAAAGGCTGTCCGATTCGAGACAGCTAGCTGCTGCCGTGAATGAATACGGAGCACTTGGGGTTCCAGAAAGACCTTGTCCGAAAGGTCTAAAGACCTAACAGAGACCTAATAGAGGCCTAAATAAAGTACATGTAGCCTCTAGCTTCTAGCCTCTAGCCCTGGCCTCCCAGAACCCCAGTTCAATTTCACCGGCCGTGCATGTTAGAGGGGGCGGAGGGGGGAGAGAGAGACAGAGAAAGAAAGAAAGAGAGGAGCTTGAGCTATTGTTGTTGCTCGCGTTGCTGAGTGCTTGCTCGCCTGACCCTCGACCTCGCAACTCTAAATTCTATCTTTAATCTTCAACCTTGTCCCCCAACGCACCTACATCCACCCCTACGAAAGATCTACAAATTGATACCCAGTATCTATTTACGTTTGTCCTGTGTAGTCGTAGCGGGCTGCCAAAGATTGAATACATCCACCACTGCTTGTCTTCTTGACACTTCCGATCTCTCTGAAGCAAACAGAAAGTAAACACTGAGCTACCACCTGGCCCTTTCCACACCAAACCAAACCACAGCCTCAACCCACACATTGGCGCCATCTCACTGCCTACCATGTCTTCGCCCGCTGTTCAAAACCCTCCCGCTCAGACTGAGTCCAAGTCTGCCAAGAAGAAGAAGGCCAAGGCTGACCAGCGCACTGAGTCCCCTGCTCCTTCAGCTTCCGCAGAGAAGGCCGGTTCGGTAGCTGGTGATGATTCCTCCGAGAGCCCCTACGTCAAGGAACTCCAGAAGTAAGCTTTACCTTGCCCACTTGATTGTGTCACGCTATCCTCTTCACCTTAACTTTACAACTCGTCCCTGACACCATACATAGGAACATCCGCAACATCTCGAAGAAGATCGTAAGTTTGCCTTACTCGAGCCTGCCTGCTCCTCCCCTCCCCACCAGCTTGCTTTTCCCGTCCCAGAGCTAATCTGGGCCCCCCTGCCTACAGAGCAACGCCACCAAGACTGCACAAGTCATCGAACAGCACAAGGGCAAGTCTCTCGAAGAGCTTATCGCCTCCAAGATCATCAACGCCGATCAGAAGAGCCAGATCACCAAGAAACCACAACTCGAGTCACAGCTCGCGCAGCTCGAAGAGCAGCTTGCCCAGTTCAAGAAGGTGGACGAGGAGTACCGAACCCGCGGCGCTTCTGACAAGGCCAAGCTAGAAAGGGACATCACAGAGAAGCTGGAGAAGGAGAAGGCTGACGCCCTTGTCGCTGCCACCGCCAAGGCTGCTGCTGATATCCAGAAGATCCAACATGACGGCCTACTCGTCCTCTCCCAGTTTCTGCGACTGGCCGCAGCACGGAGATCAGAGGATGCTGATGCCGCCGCTGATGAGAACATGGCTCTGGAGGGTGTCCTGCTGAACGTCTACACAGGCGACGAGAATGCCGTTGCGACCATGGTTAAGCTCATCGAGGGTTCTGACGAGAAGACCAAGAGCGTCAGCGGTGACGAGCTTCAGACCACCTGTATGCTACACTCCTTCCTACCTTACTTCGCTCATGGCAATTACTGACAGACAACAGTTGCCCAGGTCAAGGCAGCTTCTACTGCTCACGCCAAGACGTTCGCCTCGGAGCCAGAAACCGAGGTCGAGGCAGCCCCTGACGCCGCAGAGTCCACCCCCGTCGAGCCTACGTCCGACCAGATCGAGACCGATCCCACTGTCGCCTATGCTGGTTTGACCGAGATTGATACCACTGGCGCGACTGCTCCTGTCACTGGCGGACACGCCGAACCAACGCCAGCCTCCGGCATTCCAGCAAGTGCCGATGTTGGCGACAGCGCAGCCAACGCTGCTGCCGAGTCACAATGGGACAACTCAAACAATGACCTGAGCGCATCAGCCACACAGGATCAAGAGGAGTGGGTCAAGGTCCCTCGTGACCCTGCTGAGACGGATACTGGCCTAGAAGCAACGCCCGCTGCCGATGGACCTGTTCAATCCTGGGCCGATGACCACCCTGAACAGTCTGCCGAAGTATGTCCACATTTCGCAATCACCCTTGTCGAGACCAATGCTAATGTGCTTTTCCAGACCCCTGCAGCACCAGCCGACGATGGATTCCAATCTGTTCCTCAGCGCAGCCGGGGCCGTGGCCACGGTGAAAGCGGCGGCTACCGCGGTCGTGGACGTGGTCGCGGTGATGGCTATAGAGGAGGTCGTGGCCGCGGTGACGGACGTGGCAGAGGTCGCGGCCAAGGCCGAGGCAACTTTGGCGGTCAGGGCGGACGACGAGGTGGAGAGTCGTAGAGAATCTGCCCTCTTCATTCGTCCACGACAAGGCTAGCCGAACAGCGCGCCCAGACCCGGCGAAGATGGAGGAGTAGCAGACCTAGTTATCATGAGAGACTATCCGAAGAGATCGAGACATCTCGGCCCGCCGAGATCTCATATCCATGGTAGACTCGTTCATGAACTTGGTTTGGGATGTACAAGGATGTCGGGGGAAAAATGCATTTGGACGAGCCTTTGATTTCCGGAAGCACTAGCTTGGGCATTCGCAATGGCGTTGGCTCTCCCATAACTCCCAGGTGGGAGATGGCTCAGGATGGGATCCTGTATAAAAGTCTAATTGCATTTGCGCAACACGGCACAGATTAGAAAATGAGACATGATTACATGAATAGCTTATCTTGCCGGCAGCACGGTCTGCTGATTAAAACATTATGACGATGTGACCTCTTGCCTCGAACCGAGACACAGGGGCGGGGGGTGCATGCTTTACTACGATAGGGACTTGGCCTCTTGATGGACGTGTTGATGCGAATGTGCGTTTTATTTGTTTTTGGGGGGGTTTTTTTTTTAATACGTAGCTACGGGAAAGTAGTTCGTGATAAGTTTCGAGCTACATGTTCGGTTTCTATAGTTAGGAGGTATACTTGTTGGCAGACAACCATTCCTTGATGACCTCGGCGTCACGCTGGCGGTAAGCCACACGTCCGCGAATGTTGTCCTTGACCTGTTCCAGAGTACGGTTGAAGCTGTCGGTATCCTTGTCCGCGAAGAACGCCTCGATCTCCTCCAGGTATTTGATGTCGTTGAACTTGCCGAGCGTCAAGCGGATGAAGCGGTCGAGAATGACAGGGTTGGCCATCTTCTCCGTGAGCTTCTCCCAATTGTTCTGGATGTAATCCCAGATCAGCGGGCGCGCGGCCGAGTTCGCAGCTAGTACGGCACTGAGCGAGTGCATGTCGCCCGACGGAACTGTGTCTGAGGTGGTGTTGAAGAGGAAGGGTAGAACCTTATTGGTGACGATATCCGCGTCACGAATATGGCCCAGTGCTGACAGTGCAAAGTCTCTGCCATCTGGCGATGCAGTCGTCTCCCATTCCTTCTTCAAAGCATCAAAGGCCTTGGCGGGATCTGCCTTGATACCAGCGCGGTAAATGACGGAGCGCAGACTGGGGTTTAGCTCGACGCCATCCTTGCTCCAGGCCTGGAACAGCTGTTGGCCCTTTTCAAGGGATCTAGTAGATATGTTAGCCATGTTCATACGCGGGAAAACGATGGGGTTCCGTAGTCAGATAACGATATTGTTATGGTTACTCACTTAGCATGGTTGTTGGCGACGGCGCTGATTAGAAGCCTCTTGCGTAGAAGGCCAGCGAGGAAGCCTTCATCTTGCTGAGGCTCCCAGCCGACTCTCTCGACAGCGTCGTTGATCAGCTTCAAGGTAAACTTTTCCAATCCGGTCTTGATAGTTTCATCGTCGCCAAAGGTTGCCTTTATGTAACTCACAGAGCCTAACGCTGTGTCCCAAACGATCTGGCTCGTCTCCTCACTAAATCCCTCAAGGAAGGAGAGTAACGCAGGGGTAGTGCTATATCCGGCCTTAGCAAGAGCAGCAGCTGAACCAACAATCGAAGCCTTGTCGTCTACACTCAGCTTGTCGAGTTGTGAGCCGAGCTTGGCAAGTCGAGCAGGTGGGTAGTTGGTTCTGTAAAAGCCAGTACCGTTGTGGTTGAGCTTATAGAAGTCGTCATCGATGCCGCGGATAGTATCCTCCCTAGCTGTCAAGGCGACCGACTGAACTTCATTCGTGCCCGCCTTCCCTTGTAGGCCTAGGGGAATCCACCAAGTAGTATCATCTTCCTCGGGCTTTACATCACCAGTCGATAAGAAGCGAGACTGCTTAATCGTGATCTGGCCAGGTTCCTCGGCAATGGTAAGCATTGGGAAACCGATCTTCTTGATCCAGTTGCCCATGAGTGCATCAATATCCACACCAGAGGCTTCCCGAAGGCCATCCCACAAAGCTTCGGTCTTGGCGTTGCCGTAGGTATGCTTACTCAGGTATATGGAAACACCCTTTAGGAAGTCCTCAACACCAAGGTGATTGACAAGCATCCGCAGGACAGAGCATCCCTTTAGGTAGCTGATATGGTCGAAAATCTGGTTCACGTCAAGAGCATCCCTGACTGGGACGTGGACGGGATGAGAGGAGCGCAGGGAGTCGAGTGTAAATGCCAGCTCCGTGCCATCATTGAGAAATTGTGCCCAGACTTGCCAGTCAGGGTGGAACTTGTCAATAGCATACCAACCAGCCCAAGTTGCGAAAGACTCATTCAGCCAAAGCTCGTCCCACCAGTCCATAGTAACAAGGTTGCCAAACCATTGGTGAGCAAGCTCATGTGCGACGACATAAGCAATTCGTCGCTTGAATTGAGCATCAGAAGTCTTGGGGTCGAACAGGACAGCAGTTGTTCTGTATGTGACAAGTCCCCAGTTCTCCATGGCGCCATGAGTAAATTCATGCACGGCGAGCAAGTCAGATTTGGGAAGTGGGTAGTCAAGACCAAAACTCTCCGAGAAGAGGTCGATGGTCTTGGGTGCATGCTCGAGAGCCCAGCGGCCCTGCTCCTTGAGACCTCGGGTAGTATAAACTCTGACAGGGATCTGTTTGCCATTATAACGACGCTCAGTGAAGGCTTCAATGTACTCAAAGTCACCAACAGCCCAAGCCAAGAGGTAAGTGCTCATTACCGGAGTTCGCTCAAATAATACCATCTGGCGGCCTTCCGTCGTCGGAGTGGTGCTTTTGACGGGCATGTTTGACAAAGCAACTTGATCATCTGGGATCTCAATCTCGAAGTCAAAAGTAGACTTCAGCCGGGGCTCATCAAAACAAGGGAATGCTCGCCTAGCATCACATGATTCAAACTGGGTGCTGAACATATAATGGAAGGATTCGTCCCGAGGAACAGACTTAGCAGCCGGGACAGTTGGCTTGTACTGGCTTCGATAAAAACCAGCCATGTCATGGTTGATGACTCCTTCAAAGACGATCTCTAACGATGCACTCTGAGATGCCGGGATCTCCTCGGCGAATGTGAGCGTAGCCCGCTGCTTTCTCTCATCGTAGCTGAAATTGGTGGTTTCAAAAGTCTGTGAAGCCTTGCTCTGAGAGACGGTGACCTTGGCGGAACCTAGCTTAAGTTCGATGGCATTGAGGACAATCTCCTTGGTTGATTCAATGATTTCGGCATCGATGCTGATGTACGTTAGCTGCACAAGTTCTCAAAATTCAAGTGCATAGTATACCATGGGGGGGGGGGGGGGGGGGGGGGTGCATAGAGGTTTTGAGTCTACACATGTCTGTTTCTGTCACATAGCGAGTCTAAACGTGACTAGGCGGATGCTTGGCTGTAAAGAAGGACAGGGTTACATGCACTTACGTCACTTTGCCTTGGAATGACCAGTTCTTGAACTCCAACGAGGAAATAGAAAGAGCATAATGGGATGGCTTGACCGTCGTAGGCAAAGTGTCTCGGTCAGCCATGATGGAGGATGGTATAATGGTCGAGCACAAAGTACGAGATGTGGAGGAGAAATGTCTCGATATAAAACGGCTTGACCTTTGTGAGTGGGGTTGAGAAAGTTGTTCGAGGCGGGCCCGAAATATCGAATTGGCAGGTGATACTCGAAGTTTAAAATTGGCGATTTGATCTTCCCTGCCAAAATGCTGAGTTGGAGAATTGGAGGCGCTTGAGGAAAGAATGTGGTGCGACCTTCGTTTGTCCTTTGCCTTAAAACGAAGACTGCAGGCTTTTGCAGATGCGGTTGCATTTGCCCTTTCCAAACACTTGACGCCATCTTTAACCGCAGGGACAAAGATGGATCGCCGCAATGCGAATCGACCAATGACATCCATAATGGGCCATCCACCGACCCGCTGCAGCTTCTTCCGGAAATAGAACTAAAGAGTTCTGGCTGGTAAGAGCAAATATTTGGATCGCCGATTTGTCAAGCCGAACAAGCTGGTGTTGAAGGGGTCACTCTGGTTGGCCTCGGCTTCTGAATTCGTTTTGATCTCTGGATGTCTCACAGCTCTACCGGCGCCAAGTACTCATGTCTCATGCTTCGTCCTGGCAATGATGTACTAAGCATTGATGGGACTGGGAAGCAGTGTCGTGTGCCCTCCAATTTGTTCTAAGATCAGGAGGCCAGCCGCAGCGTAGTGACTTCAAACAGCTTTAGGTCTTGCCCAAGCAGGTGCTTGGATACAGCAAAACGAGCCTCAAAACTTACAAAGGCAAACTACCGACAAGGACGTTACAGCTGGCAATAAAAGGCCATATGAGCATGTTTCTGAGGCACTTGCAAATATGATGAACCAAAGTCCAACCCCTGAAAAGAAGAGCTGAAGTCGAAAGGCTGAAAAGCAATCATGCAAGATCCACGATCAGATCAGCCAGTCGCGTGGCATCCCGCACTGGCAGGATCTGGAGCGAGCCACGATACACAACTATATGGCTTAATACAATTTACGGCTTCAACTTGCAATGGCCAGAATAAACCAGGGATTTTGTGCACGAGTCCCTCATGCTGTCGTTTTCCCGCCATTTCCATGTGCGCGTGAGATAATTAGTCGCACAAATCCCAGTATTCCCTCCTCAGACAGGGCCGGGGCAGTGATGTTAGTTCTGAAGATTCCTGTTCCCATAGCTACAAACATTGCAATAGCGAGGCGACGTGTCACTTGAGCTACGCCGACGCTAGGCTCCAATGCGGTAATGTGTTTTTTTCCTTATAGATATCTCATGCAATCTGCATTTGCTCATCGTAATTTGAACACTGTTTGATTCGAAGGCGCGAGAGTGAACTCATTGAGTGTTACGAGCGTGCAACAATTTCTGGCAAGCTTGATATGGAAGAACAGCAAAGCAGTGCGGATCGCGTGCGCCAGTTATTGAGAGGGCAACATGGCCCACCGCCTGGCAGTCCTTGGGAGGTACAGGGTGGACTTGGTGATCGCGCACGTCTGGATAGTCGATGGCCTCCTGCAAATCAAGGTCAGTGTCGAAGTGTCCTGTGGTGCAGTCTTAGCAGCAATTCCTTCCGTAGGCCTAGTGGCATACGTTTCTCCCAAATTCTTCACTTCAGAACCTTGAAACAATACACAAAAAAATCAAAGCCATCATCGAGAGACAGAAGATGCCTGAGGTATCTTATTGAAAATTATTCGTGATGGACTACAACTGGTCGTGGCTTCCAAATAGGACAGGAACCACGCCCCCACCTCTGCGGCCCAGTCCTGAAGTTCTCAACACGGTCGAAGTGGTTGAGAACGTAGAGGGCGACAGACGAGCTAGGCTCACACATTTTTTGCGAAACTTTTCACATGATGACATTGAGAACGAAGGAGCCGACGAGTTTCATATCGTTCCCATCACTGCCAACTTTGATGGTCCAGCTGACTTTGGCGAAGTAACCATTGGCGATGAAGATGATCTCACTAATGATGAAGGTCTCGACGAACATGGTGACGAGGGCGAAATCACTGGTGATGAGGGAGCTGAAGAAGGTGCCGTGGAAGACGATGAGGAACTGCCGTTTGACCCGACTTCTGTAGGTCTCAAGGAGATCAGCAACCTTGCAAGCTTCACCGTCAGTAGCTACAAGCCTGGCTGTGGTGTGAATGAGCTACGCGATGATAATATCCACCTTTTCTGGCAGTAAGTTCATCTCCTGCACATATGAGACAACTCTACTTATAGTTAAACTAGATCTGATGGACCACAACCTCATCGACTCAACATTCACTTCATCAAGCGTGTCGAGATTCGTGCATTGCGCCTCTATCTAGACTACGAACTTGATGAAAGCTACACACCCACTAAGATTCAAATCACTGCTGGCTTCGGGCCTAACCTCACAATTCCCTTCACCACAATGGAGCTTAGCATGCCTAAAGGTTGGCTAGATGTCCCCATAGCAGGGGCTGGAGGCGGACCAGATGGTAACTCGCTCTGTTGTTGGTTTGTGCGCATCATCATCCTAGAAAATCATCAGAATGGCAAGGATACACATCTGCGTGGTGTCAAAGTCTACGGCCTGGACGATAATGCCGATACTGCAGAAAATAACCCAGTGGAGGACATAGTGGAAGTTATCGACGATTATGAGGACCGTCTGACACGCATGAACATCAACGACCACGATGAGCGAGCACTACTCAAACATGAGGCTGATGTGCAACGGAAGAAGGCCGCAGCCAAGAAGTTTGCTCCTGGGGAGGGTGGTCTCAGCATTCCAGACTTCATGAGAGAGCCTGAGATTCGTTGATTCTCACACAGGTTGTTGGGGCTCGATGCATTTTATGTTTGGCGTTGTTGGTCGGTTGAGCTTGACTCGGTTTTGATACGCAACTATGCTACGTGAATATTGATACCCTGAAGAGTAGAACATGAATAGCATTGGTATGGAACATACTTTTTCAGAAATGCACTAAAGACTGCTTACTCGTTTGAAGTCAATCTCGACAAATACTCCAGTCATGCTTCCACGTATACAACTAGACTGGTCCAGCTATCCTGCCTCGAGTTCGAAAGGGCTCCAATGAGAAATGTCGGAACGGCCAATATGTATGCATTTTGTCCTCCCTGACATGAACAACTGATACATGGGCACGACCGTAACAATAGTGGGGCCGTAGTTCCCGCACCCGAGATCAACCACCTGCCTCCATTGAACCCCAACCTCTCATCATCTAACTTAACTTGGTTCAAATCACTATACTCGTTCAAAAGCCTTTGAGTCAAATCAAGCTTCGTGCATACCTAAAGCACTCTACGCCACTGATGTTCGGTTATCATCGCGCGCCAGACACTCAGCATGAACCGGCAATTGACACCAAATCTTGTATCCTTCTTCACTCGGGCTCTGGAGTCATTCCAGCTTTCCAATGCAAGCTTTAGTGTGCTATGCTCGCTACCATCTCTAACGGAGCCGGCGCCGCGGCCGCCTCAAAAAGTACCGCAGATGCTATTAGTACTTGATTCCTCTTTCAATCCGCCAACACTTGCTCATCAACGCATGGCTGTTTCAGCATTAAAGGAAGAGAGACACGCGAAAGGCTCGAGGGTGTTACTACTCCTGGCAATCAACAACGCAGATAAAGCGCCAAAGCCCGCTACGTTTCCACAGAGGCTGGCTATGATGTACGTCTTTGCCTTGGATTTGATTACTGCTTTGAATGCCTCAGGTACAGGAACAGAGGTGGACCTGGCTGTCACGACGGAACCGTATTTCCCTTTCAAAAGCCAAGCAATTACAGCAAGCGGTTTCTATGGTGGAGAGGACGCGACTATGGAGCAGGTGTATCTAACGGGATTCGATACGCTGATCCGCGTATTTGACCCCAAGTACTACCCAAATGATTCGATGAGGCAGGCTCTGGATCCTTTCTTGTCACACTCGAGCCTTCGTGTCACAATGCGGACAGACGCCGATTGGGGTAGTGCTGAGGAACAGTTGGCGTACCTGGAAGACTTGAAGCATGGCAAAATGGAGGCTATTGGTGGTAGGAAGGAGTGGGCTGCAAAAGTCGAGATGGTGGAAGGAAGAAAAGAATCTGAGGAAGTCATCAGCAGTACAAAAGTCCGAGATGCTGTGCAGACTGGGAACTGGGGCAGGCTCAGAGAGCTGGTAAGCGACAGTGTTGCAGATTGGGTGCGGGAAGAAAGGCTGTATCGTAATGACACGAGTTAGACGAAATCGAATTCTGTCTCCAAAATCAACCTTGTTAGGCTAATCTTAAGGTGGTTGAGCTATTCCAATGGTTGGTCCTGCATCATGCAAAGTTGCATTATGGTGCGAATGGCACAGCCTTCTTTCAAATTCCTTGAAACCCCTTAATAACATGCGTTTAACTGCCATTTTATTCTACTCTCTTTCTCGGAGATTCAATTTGTCGTTTTTACCAGTCTTCGGGCTTTTGGAGACTTTTTCTCCTCATGACCAAGCATTTAATCATCGCATTTGATGGTGCACAACCTAGATTTTGTGTTACTTCAAGTCGTTTAGATCTGCCAGTCGCATTTCGAAGACCCATAGCTAGAGGCATATCGAGATGCCGTTTTCAAAACCATAGATGCATGTCAGTCAGAGCTCAACCTCCTCAAGCATCATATCAACAAGTATGAAAATAGTTTGTGGAAGGATGGCGAGGATCTTCTGAACCAGTCTTTGAGGAAGGTGCAGTGGATGACATTCGGAGAAGAAATTGACAAGGTGCGGGCAAGGATATTAATCCATAGTGACACTCTCAGTGCTGTCCTCGATATTGCAAAAATATGTAAGTACACCTTATGGAGGAGGATTAACCGTCACCTACACCACCTCACTAATCATCTTAAGGCAGAATAATCTCACAACTCAACGAACAGAAAAAAACAGTTAGATCATCGTAAATGGGTTGACGCCCTCTTCGAATATCTAGAGCATATTAGGAGATTAGCTGGTGAACTTCTTGGGTTTGGCAAGCAAGTTGTTTCTCAGAACACAGTCATATACTATCAGAATGTTCTGATACGCAGCCAAATCTTGGCTATTCGATCGAAACAGATGATGGGACTCAAAACGCCGATACCCGAGGAATTATTCATGCTTTAAGATGCTTTGTGTCATATATCACTCGTTCATCTACGCTTCATTAACTCGTGGGACGTCTTCGATACTATACTCTCCGCTAGATTTAAGGACAAACAAGGAGCACGGCAGGTTGCAAGAAAATATTACATCTTACAAGAACGAGCGAGTGGAAGGATTATCAAGAACAATGTTCCGTGGAATTCGGCCATCTTGCTAGGCCAATGGATAGACATGAACGTCCGATTTCAAGCGGATGTGGCTGAGAACGACGGTCAGTCAACCCCTGCTCGAATTGTCGTACAAGCTCTAATGGATGCCTGAAGTACACATCTAGGTCAACCACTTTAGTTAGCCTTCAGTGGAACAGAGGTTAACTCTGTCCCTTACCGCTACATCCCACTCCACATCAGTAGACTGTTATTGATCACCACACGTGACGTGTCTATCAAGTCCTACGTTCCCACCAGATTTCGTCATCAAAAAGTAAACCACCAACTTGTTCTGTGATCTTATATTCTACAAATATAGTAGGTAATGGTTATAATATGCCATATTAACGAAACAGCGCGCATGAGGTTACAGATGAACTACGATCACCTGTTAGCCGCCGAGACTCCGCTAGGGATTCAGATGAGCTCAATGTTTGCCGAGGAGTCAGACGAAGACGACGCACCGTCATTCACAAAGGTGAAGCTAGTGTGTAACGAGCCCAAAGTGGCAAAATTTCTTTGGGAAAAGGGGGGTGGGGGTGGGTTTGCAGGTGTATCCAAAGGAAATGATCGATACTAGCAGCCGACAGAACTGTCTATCTAAGTGTTCGCCTGATGACTCTGAAGATGACTCTGTTGATGTGCGCGTGTAAGCTTGGCTCAATACTTCTTCAGAGATCGAGAAGATTGGCACACAGCAATGGTTCTTCAGGAATAGTCTACTCATTCACGGCAAAAGAGAGCGTTAGTCCGAAACTTCCATGTTGACAGGGTTGACAGGGCATGTCTAAAGAGCTTGTTGTATTGGCGCCTGGAACAATCCTAGCTATAGACTAGGGCATATGGTAAGTATAAGGAAATCATCGTCATACTCAAAGCCGTCTTACGTAAGCTGCTAGTACATCAACCCATGTGGGTGTATTTCTTCTCTGATCTTGGCTGTTGCTCAGACCAAGCTTGGTGAACGGGACCGTGATGGAAAGTATCCTTCTCGTGATAGATTTTACCGAGGTACATGCAGAGGTCAACAAGCTCAAGCCTCTCATATTACGTCACGCATTGGTATCTTCCTTGGTCAATATTGCTATGTTTCCTCTAAAACTGCCCATGTTATCCCACCAGTATGGACAGATATTACCGTGACCGCCTGCTTATTCCTATGTGTGTATCATTGTTAGCAATCTAGGCTGTAAACTGGAGCAGAGTTGGGAGACCAGCCTACAAAATACTAGATAGTAACTGCAAGAGGAAGCGGTTGGTCTGCACATGAACCGATAGCCAAAAGAATCTTTCCCACAGTCTGTCCTTGTCTATAGTACTAAGGTGTCTCAGTTCATAGAATACACAGTGACATCTCTCACTCATAGAATGGTGACCTCTGATGTAGGGGCGTCTTCTCTCCAGGCTCGTTCGGATGTCCTAATTCGCCCAATCCCCTTGAACGGGCGTCCTTCCAGATCACCGTGAACTGGAATAAGCGCTAATCCAAAAACTTGTGGATATTGACCTATTCTGGCACACGCAAGACCGAATATGGCATCTTGCGCTTCATCTGTCACATCGAAGGCGACGGCCTTAACCTTACTTTCTTTCTCATTCACGTCTGCGAATTCATCATAGAAGTTTGGGCTTTCATTCGTCCACTCGGGCATAATGTTCTTGGCCGTAAGTTTCCTCAACTGACCTCTGACCGTGAGAGCTCCGCTCTGCACTTTGCCAAACAGGTCTTCGCAATGTCCCGACTGGAATCTTCGAGGTCGAAGACCTGTGAGTGTCCCTGGAAAGCCCTCGAGTCGTGCCAGGGGAAGACGAGCGATGCGGGGAGAGAGCTCTCATTCTTGAAGACACCAACCTCTTGTGTGTAAGGGATCGCGATCCATGTGGTCGTTACTAAAATCGAGCTAAGCACAAACCCTGTACTGCCTCTGCGTCTTAGAGCCAAGCTCGAATTCGCCGCCGTTAAAAGGCACATCAACGTACAGCACCTCGTCGCCTAAGATGTGGCAGCCATGACTGCCACTCGAAGAACCAGACGCAGCCAAAGTAATGTGCGCACACGTATAGACAGCAGACATTTGAGCCGCTTCTCTTCCCCAATCGGCCGCGTTGCCCTGGATGATGCAGAGGAAGTCGACCCATATGTATGGAATCCCAAGCCTTCGGCTAATCTCGATTACATCGACGAATGTAGTCGTCAGGGCTGCTAGGGCTATCGATTGCTTGTGCTCGGCCAGGTTGCTGTCGAAAGTCTGGGCTGAAGATGGCATATCCAAGCCCCAGCAGTGACTCAAAGCAATGTCGCGCTTGTCGGTGAGGTTACTGTGTCTGGCATTGTCAACAAGCCGTACGTGGTCGTCGCCACTTTCGCCAACAGCAACAATCCTGGTGGGAACAAAATCGGCCATCCCTTTCTTCTGACACTCAGGATGGCCCGAGAGACACGTTCTAATCCAGTAGTCGATTGCGAATATCGCTTGTAATGACTTGCAACGAGGACAAAAAGGCATATTTTTGAGTCAAGCCACATTCGTTATTGTAGCCTGGCTCGCAAGCAAAAGGCGAGGATATGACGTTGTTACATGTCGGCGGATTTCAAGTCACGCTGCAAATGTTGGGGTTGGATGGTGCATGCATCACTGTCGCTGGGGGCCAAAGTGTAAAGGGTACGCAGTCGCAATCACGACTTATAAGAGACTACACTAACAAATCATGTCAAGATACGATGGAAGTCACTTGAGATCTCTATCGTGATGTTATCCTGAAGCTAAGATGACACGCAAGATGTAGCTGCACTAAAAACTCTATATGCGCACGGAATCGTAGTAACAGAGTAACAAACATTCGGAGACGATGATATTGCAAGATAGCTTGACGATACTTGATAGGGTTGTAATGGGAACACGCTTTGATTGTCTAGTTTTGGATTGAAGCATGTCTTTCAAAGGGTCCGTGCTCATAGCACAAAAAACGAGATAGTAACATTCCGCGTGAGGGTCGGATCAAGGTCACCTTCCAGGAATCCCCAACTTTGCAGCCAAGATTCACGCTGGGTTAGGTCTCAGGCGTGCCTTTCTAGGAGCAATGTGGATAGCTTACGCACGAAAACAAACACTCGATCGTTCAACGCGACTTCTTCCTCAAGGCCAAAGTCAAGCTTTGGCAATGACGAAAAAGAGAGAAAAAGTACGACCATCAGACTTCCACCACTACCCACCCCGGCTCCGTGCCACAAGGACAACAAAAGCTGATCGGGGTCGAGATCATCAACACTCTCTGTACAGTCCTTGCGGACCGCCACCTTTGCAGGCAGGGCGAGAGTAAACGGTAGCAAGAAGCTACCATAAGATAGATATTCACTCTAGGGTAGCGGGGATATCGTTCATCAACTGGCGTAGGTTCTGCAGCTTGATTGAGAAATCAAGAGCAAAGGACGATTACTATAGAAATGATTCTATGAAGTATTATCGCTTAATTAAGAAAAGAAGAAGAAGAGGAATTGAAGGGAGGGAGGGCAGGTATTTATAGGTATTCTGAATGGCAGGAGTGGGGCTACTGATTAGAATTTTCGGTCAAATACGCGGCCTTTCCACTCTGGGTTGAGAAATACTGTGGATGGCTGCATCATGACGCTAATCTGTTTCAAGTATGACTCAACTTCTTAATCTGCTCGCAGACTCGCACACTCTCAATTAGGATACCATATGCTCGGCCAAGAGGACTCTTGAGACTCAAAAGAGCCACACCCTAGGATGAACCCATGCTTTTCCAAACGAGTCCAAACGAGTGCTTCCTAGGTTAGGTGATAACGTTTTCCCGTCAAAATGCCATCATGTCTATGTGTAACTGCCCCAAATCTCACAGTATTGGGGAGGTTGGTGATGATAAGCCAAGATTTGATTTTTCGAGGAAGAGTCTGTGCACGCTCTCTTGTCCCTCTCAATATGGCTAAACACAGTCTATGTTCACTGGTTGCACTGTACAGATCGCATTTTCTGCAGGTGAACGTTCTGCAGTTGAGTTGATCACTTTCTGCCTCAGCAAGGAAAAAAAGGGTCTAGTGTGGGGCTGTTGGTCAGAAAAATGTTAAAAAAAGGAACATTCTTTCTCAGTCAATTTCCATTAATCATAGAAAAGCTTCATGGAGACCTAGACAGCACATTAACTGATTCATCCTTATATTTTCCATTCTATCTACGGAGGCAGCCGTCAAAAGTCATGGGCCGCCCCCGTACTAAGTCTCGACCATCTTATGCCTTCAAATCATGCATACAGATCATACTGTGTAACTGCCTTCTGCGGCCAAGCTATGCATACCAAAGTTTGCACAACCACCTGATGCAAACGTCTACAGCCCACATAATCCCTTGCATACCTATCAAGCCACTGACTTCCTCTCATAATAACATCAAGAATTACTGGACGTTTTGAATTTCATGTATTATATTAGGCAGCCAAGCCATCGTGAACTTTTGTGCCCATTAACTGAGTACGTAGTGTTAAACCTTAGCACAAGGCTGCACAAAGGCTCCATTTTCATTAACAGTATCAAGCTGGTGGTATTTGGCCAATACAACTCAGATATTACATACTAACTTCATTAATATCATTGCTCAAAAAAGCTGTCGGTAGCAGGTTCGAGAGATAGTCACTTATCTGACAGCCTGCGTCGAAGGCACAAGAAGAGTGGCAATAAGCCTGAACCTTCATTGGACCGTCAGAGCTAGCGGGACCAACCATGGATATGATTGTAAGACTGCAGTAACATAACGCCTAAGAAGATTGTGATTGAGGGGTGTAGCATATTGTTGAATGTGGCAATCTCCTTGACACAATGAAACCATCCGTGAATAATGTAAGTTTAGCGCAAGAGAGGTATATATATTAATCAATGCATGCTCTAAAGATAACAAATGCCTAACCAAACGATGCTGCATAGGGGTAATCTCGAGATTCCCTCAACTGTCTCCATGCAAAGGTATTAAGGAACAAAACAATGCTTGTTATACGCAAATAGAAATCCGTACCTGTATCATGACTACTCATGCCACGACTCGTCAAGCGTATAGACATAACAAAACCAACCTAATTAGAACGCCGGCCCTTTGGTGCTTCGTCCGATGGTTTTGTAACTTGACCATGCACCTTCGGCGGCGTTGAAAGTATCAAATCGATTCATGCCCATCTGAACATCGTTTGTGACACCAGAGAAGTAGAATCCGATGATGACGACAAGATATGTCATAATAAGAATGCTGCCCTTGAAGTAGTTGCTCTTACCCTCGCCGTAGACATAACTGAGCAAGAACACGCAAAGGATAACCATCACCATGTCCCACTGCGGGAACAAGAGGCTGAAGGTGAATTTGTTCAAGTCGATGCCTTCACCTCCTGGCGGAGGCCAAAATGCCGAGAACAAGACAAGAGCTGGGATCTGAAGCAGGCAGACTTGTAGTGCATACGCCGAGCCGATCTCCATGGACAAGGCAATATTCCCGTTCATAGCAAAAGAGATGGCGTTCTGTTCATGGTTAGTGATAGCCGTGGCAGGAGCGAATCAAGTACTTACCAGAAACTCGGTCGTGTTTGGAACAAGGGCAAACAGTGTAATACCCAAGAGCTTCTCATCGATGGCAAAGTTTTGTAAAACGACATCAACTGTGTCGACCAAAATCTCTGCAACGATAGCATACAAGACGGTGGCGGCGCATAAGATAATGGCGCTCTTCATTCGGCTCCAGTTTGGTGCGTCATGCCCTCCCTGAGCATGAGCAGCTTCCCCCCTCTCCTCTGCATCCGGGAATGTAGAGGTTCGAAGAGGGGTTGGACGTGACCCGGCATGACTTGGATTCGCTGAGATCCGGCGCGTAGAGCTCCTGGCATCTCGAGCCGCGATTGCAGCTGCCGTTGCAGCTAGCTCAGTAACGCCACGGATGAGGTCGTTATTTTCCTGCTCAGTAAACCCACGCATATGAACATGAGAGCGGATCTCCTCAGTATTCGCATCGTTCTCGCCCACTCTAGGGGGGACCATGTGGGCTGTAGGTATAGCGCCATTACGAGCAGACGGCTGACGTGAATGGTGTGTGCCGCCAATACCAAGACCCACTTGCTTCAAGGACTGACCCAGAATGCGCTTGTAGAGATGGCTGTCCCTAATATCAGCTCCACTAGTATCGGCGGCCATCTGGTGTTGTTCGGCTAACCGAGCCAGGTGCTGGACTTCCTCGTGTTTCTTTTCGTCTATCTCAGTATTCCAAATTACAGCCGCGTGAGTTCGAAGAGTGAACCATAAGCCGGTCACGTAAGACAGGAACAGAAAAATCGCTGCAGCGTAGCAGAATGGACGAACGGCCTGCAAGTAGAACCGATCTTCCACATTAGGTGTCTGGGAAAAGTAGCATCGTCGACAGTCGCGCTCAGAGTTTCTAGATGCGCCGTCTGGGTAATCAATGCAGCTCAGACAGTTGAGTTCATGAGTTCCGTAGATCTGGTAGAACAGAGTTGGCCCAAAGGCGGCGACAACGGCGAAAAGAAGCATGGTCGATGTTACACCAGCTGATCTTGCGTTGAAACGTTGAGTTTTGCGTTTGATAGCACCAAAGCACATGGAAAGGCCAGGCAAGAGCAGGATACCTGCGAAGATGCTGCCAATAATGCTGCCCTCGACAAGTGCTCCTTTTCCATCCTTCAGAGCAACGCAGTAGAGGAAGACCTCTACGACAGTGGAGAAGAATGCATTGATAGCCGCGCCGAGACCCATCGAAGATTGCGCCGAGATGGAGGCAACAGCTTGGCCTATAAAATAGGCAAGAGGGATGATGGATAGGAGACCAGCGACGAAGAGGAATCCTGGGTGCGTCAGGAAATTCTTCATGTGCAGAACACCATCAAGGACCAGCCAGTCGAAAATGACGAAAAGGACCACTGCCATCAGGTTGATCAGGAAGATGTTGGTACCATCGATAGTATACTTCCAGTATTTGGAGCCCACTGCCCTGTAGGTGCAAAGTAGGATACTGTTGGAATGAGGCACGTCCGATGTGCGAGCCAGTGCGATGTCTGACTCGAAAGATAAGGCGAGTGGATGTCTTCTCAGATGGTCGAATAATAGCATCGTGACCTTGCCCATGGGAATCCAGAAGACCAAGAACCAACAAGTAGCCGAGACAATAATCAACGATGGAGTGAGCAAGCCGTAGAAGAAGACAAAGAAGATGACTCTGCCGATATTCCATTGGCCTCTGCCAAATAGGCGCCTCTTAAGCCGTCTCCCCTGCTCGTCGAGATGGACATGGCGTGCAGCGCGACCTAGCAAGCTATCCGTCTCATCTGGGTCGGAATCAATACTTCGCCTGGATCTTCCAACAATAGAACGATGCTGATCAGGCTCTTCCGGACCGAAAAAGAGTCGTCCATACTCGAGGTCGCCACTCTGCCACTGCTCGTACTCGCTGATGCTGCGTCCCTCTCCTTGGTCTTCATCCAAGTAGGCTTCATCGTGCTCCAGGCCCACATATTTGCCGAAGGGGTAGAACAGATAGCGAGACAAACCCCAAAGTACACGGCCATACTCTCTCCCACTAGGTGCGGCCGCAAAGATGAAGCAGGCACCTGCTCCGACGGCAGCAAAGAACGACATCCACCAGCCGAACATCAGAGTCCAAAGTATGTTGAAGAAAAGCAGCCAGTTACTAACGTGGCCCCCGGGAGAGGAGTGGATATCTCCCTCTGCCGTCTTCTGGACTGAACGGTCTTTCTTGTAGAGGGCGGGCTTCCACAGTCTGATACCGAACGGATGAGTTTCGTTGATCGCTTGCTGTCGGTCCTTGAGGGTGAAGCTTTCCGCGTCACTGACGTTCCCGTCGTCGTCCTCCTCCTCGTCGATGTCTGGGGCATCCTCGCCGCCCCCGCCTGCACCTTCTCCCTCCTCGGCGGCATCCTCGTTGCGTTCCTCGTCGATCTCCTGGAGGCGATCCTCGATACCAGGCTCTTCACCATCTACACTTCCACTAGATTGTACGCGAGATAGGGTCGGAGCAGCAGCAGCAGTTCGCCGCCGGAGTGTGGAGCTCGGTCTCGAATCCTTCTGGGATTGCGGCCGAGGTGTCGAGAAACTCTGGGTTCGCTCCGTCGCCTGTTCTTCCACTTCGTCTACGGCATCATCCGTCGAGAAGACCTCACCGCGATGAGGTGCGTTCACATTTGAGGAAGCTCGGCGGGGCATGGGCGGTTTCTTGGGGCGTGCTTTTCCACGTTCCGGACCTAGCATCGGGGATCGGAGAGAAGCCACGCTTGACCTTCCCAAGGCACGTTCATGGGCGCTAGTACCCTGCGATGAAGAGTCCCCGGCTGTTGGGGGAGTGTTTAAAGTACCTGTAGCATATTGGTTGTCAGTTGCTTTCGTCGTCAAGTGAGATGAGGCTCTTATGTCACGCGGGTTGCGGGTTGAGGTTTGATACGCCTGCACAGAGGAACCGGAACGGTGGGAAATTAGAATCTGTTAAAGCTAACGAACCATAAGAAACGTCAGGCCTCCTCCTCACAGTAGCTTGCGACTGGTAGCTTTCGGACAACTGATTATCATCTCTCTCAATACGGCTAGATGTTGCCCGTGTATCTGTCGGTGAATGCGAACTATAGTCGCGAGAGTCGGTCGAATCTTGGGATGGGGGATCCATGATTGCTTGAGTGAGCGCGCGTTATGGCGCGTTATGGCACACGAGAGTGACGATGCATGTGCTACGACAGCTGGGTCCTTGTCTCGAGACAAGTCGCGGGAACCGGTGCGCCAGAGTATGAGAGGAATGCTGTCTCACGCTACAGCAATACAAGCTGATGCAGCGTAAAAGACACAAGTTGAGACGTCAGTCAGACTTGGTAAGGATTCGGGAATGCTGTGCCAGTACTGGACGCAGGTCCTGTTGCGGAGTCTCGAAAGATACAGTTACACGCCCTCGGGAGGAAACATGTGATGGGACGGGGGACAAGGAAGAGATGGGTTGGAGATCAACAACGTGGCTCAAGACGGATTCCAAAAGGTTTTGCGCAAAGATGAGTATGTAGACGGCGGGAACAAGAAGTGGCAGACCGCGAACTTGAGGCAAACCATAAAAAAGTAAAAGCGCTACCCGTCAAAATGCCCAAACCCAGATTCAATCTCCAAGCTGCCGGCGAGCGCGACGTGCAAGCTCGATGGCCGGGACCCGTTGCTTGAGACTGTCGATTCGCGCAGATTGCTCCTCGTGCAAGCTCGTGATTATTTACACCGCAGGAGCGGCATCCAAGGCCATCACGGATCGTCCAGTGGTACCCTCCAGTTCATCATCCAGCGACGCTTTATTATGCCGTGTATCCTTGCTGTATCCTCCGAAGGCTGCTGGAAATATGGGGGTCTACAGCGCTCTAGTTCCATCCCATTTACGGATCCGTAGAGCACATGTAACTTATGTATTAGTAAAAGGCTCGAGGAGCACTGCTCTTTCCCGGGAGAGGCAAGGCGTATGCCTTCCTGGCAGCGCTGTAACTACTCCTGTACGTAGTGGTACCGAAGTAACCCGGACCCACGGCATGACCCGGAGTGATGATGGTCAGCGGGCGACTGCGTCTCTCCAGGATGACCATGATCTGACCCAATCAATTTTCATCTACGGATCCGTACACACATATGATCAGAGAGCTAAGAGCTAAGAGCTGTATAAGAGCTGTAGTCTAGCAGGAAACTGTCTGATTGATCGGAACGTCATGATGTCATAGCGATATAAATCCATCGTGTCCATATTCTCTACAAACGATCCAATTCTTGACCACTTTTAAAGGATGACAAAGACAACCAAGCCGATACGGGATACCTGCCGCAACGTTGAGTATGCGCATGTGTGTACTTGTACTCGGTAGGCGATCGAGCAGGATTGGGCTGCGTTGACTAGGTTAGGTAGATCTTTGAAACCAGTCGCCTAACGGCAAGGATCTTGACAAGGGGGTGGGGGTTGGAGGGGGTCTTGTGGATTGGGATCAGTTCATTCTTTCCAGACTTGATTTATCTAAACTGTAACCACGCTTGCGAGGCTGTGCATGTAATAACTGACGTGCAAAGTGCGAAGGGGGGAGGGGGGTCGGGGTTTTGGTATCGCCGTGCTCCGTTCTAGTGTGCCGCGTTGCTCAACTGCCTGCTCAGTTCAAGTGTTGGTCCAGTCTGGTAGCCTTCTTAGTGCTCAGCGCTCAGTGCTCCCCAGCTCCGAGGGCCTTGTCATCAGCCTCAGCCTAGACTGGACCTGGGGCCCGGAGCTACCACATCATTCTCCAATCGCCATCGTCAACACCCACCGTCACCATCACCATCCGGCGTCACGAATATCACGATCTCAGCTCCTATCCCAAACGCAACCAGCAACATAGCGAGCAACGACACGTCTGGATTGCGAAATCGAATATTCGTCAAGTGGCACAGAACCTCCGAACCACCGGAGTGGCAAGCAATCATGGCGCTCGACAGCTACTATGCAAACAAGATTGAGGCGATGAAGCTCGAGATCCTCAAGGGCCAAGCTGTCCTCCGCCGCCTTGAAGCTCAAAGAAATGACTACAACTCCAGAGTCAGGTTACTGAGGGAGGAGCTTGGTCTGTTGCAACAGCCTGGGTCATACGTCGGTGAGGTCGTCAAGGTTATGAGTACGAAGAAGGTGCTAGTCAAGGTGCATCCCGAGGGCAAATATGGTGAGTTCCTACAAGTCTTCGGTTCTATCGACAGCCCCGGGCTCTTCATGCTAAGTCCTGTCACTTCTAGTCGTCGACGTCGCCGACTCGGTCGACATTGCAAAACTCACAGCAGGCAAGCGCGTCACCTTGCTATCCGACTCCTACAAGCTCGAGAAGCTCCTGCCATCATCTGTGGACCCCCTCGTCTCCCTCATGATGGTCGAAAAGGTTCCCGACAGTACATATGACATGATCGGTGGTCTAGATCAACAGATCAAGGAGATCAAGGAGGTCATTGAGTTGGGTCTGAAGCACCCCGAACTATTCGAGTCTCTGGGTATCGCACAACCAAAGGGTGTCTTGCTTTACGGCCCCCCCGGTACTGGAAAGACCCTCCTGGCTAGAGCTGTCGCTCACCACACCGACTGCAAATTCATCAGGGTATCTGGTTCCGAGCTGGTGCAAAAGTACATTGGTGAGGGTTCACGCATGGTCCGTGAGCTGTTCGTCATGGCTCGAGAGCACGCCCCCTCCATCATCTTCATGGACGAAATCGATTCCATTGGTTCTTCACGTGTCGAGGGCTCATCCGGAGGCGATTCTGAAGTGCAGCGTACCATGTTGGAGTTGCTCAACCAGCTTGACGGCTTCGAACCTACCAAGAACATCAAGGTCATCATGGCAACCAACCGTCTCGATATCCTGGATCCCGCCCTGCTGCGACCCGGTCGTATCGACCGAAAGATCGAGTTTCCCCCGCCGTCTGTCGAAGCCCGTGCCGATATCCTGCGCATTCACAGCCGCAAGATGAACCTGACCCGCGGCATCAACTTGACCAAGATCGCTGAGAAGATGAACGGTTGTTCTGGTGCTGAGCTCAAGGGTGTGTGTACAGAGGCTGGTATGTACGCGTTGAGAGAACGCAGAGTTCACGTGACGCAAGAGGACTTCGAGCTGGCGACAGCCAAGATTTTGAACAAGCACGACGACAAAGAGGTCTCCCTCCAGAAATTCTGGAAGTAATCTATATGCTTGGTTTCATGCTCGGAGTTGGGGTTTGTATGGATGCTTGCATGTAACAAAAATTACGTATGCATGTCAGGTGTATTATATCAAGATACTCTGAAGAAGAGATAGATGGGGACACACGAATCAATACATGCGTCTAGGCAGTCTATCAAAACTATCGTAAATTATCTCTCAAGATGAGCACATTTGTGTGCTCATGGTTGTAGTAAGACCTGTTCATTCTACAAACCAACCATACTTTTAGCGTTGATTGCAATACTGGCTCAGATCTGCCTGCATGTCCAAACAATTTCTAGCAGCAATGTAAATCCCTTCAGCCCCCTCCCTGTGTTCCCTAAGTCAGTAGACAGGTTTAGATCCCTTGTGTTGACGCTTTTGTCCGCATCATAGAAGAGCCCATAAACCCACATACAGCAGCATGCCAAAGACTATGAAAATCTATTTTCGTTTCGGTCAGCAATTCAACAAGGCGAATAAGTTTATGGTTCTGACGAAGCCGAACAGGATACGATAACTGAAAAAGATAAATTTCAATTAAAAAAAATTTTATAAAAAAATAAAAAAATAAGAAAAAAAGAAAGGAAAAAAGAAAAAAAGAAAAGCTCATCCGAAATGACAAATTGGAGCCACACCTACTATGATGACCATGACAAGAATGATGACCAGAACAACGGTACTGTTGTCGCGTTTTCATATGTTAGTGTACTTGTCATCGTGTTGCGGCTGCAACGAAAAGGGGTGTGCATAACTAGGGTGGATGAACAGCAAAAGGAAGGGTATAGATAGGACTCCAGGACTTGTGGGGATGGCGACGTTTTTCATGTTCGAGCTTTGTAGATTGATGATAGAGGTCCGGGTTATGAGCACATAAGATGAAGGTGGAACAGTTATGGTCTCATTAAAATACATAAGCTATTTACTTATACAGTAGTCTTAGAACGGTGATCTAGACAGTACCGATCCCTGATGAACACTCAGGAGACATGCTCGCATAAGAGTATACTCACTAGCTCCCTACGTTAAACTTGAAGTGACACTGGGGTTTCGTACCTGATTGTGAATTCGCAGAACAACATTTCGAAAAGATTTGTGGGAAATAGAAATCCATAATATTCGCTTATACGTACCTGACGTAGCCGCCAGCTAAAATATGCTACAGAACTGAATTAAGTATTCTTAACGAATTCAGATTGCCGAAACCTTGTGATCCTATTGCATCCTCGGGTACTCATCTTTCTGAGGCCGGCCCGGTATTGATATTTGTTTCCTCTTCCAAATCGTCTTCTAGCCAATCCGATTCTTGAGACAAGCCCGTTGCTGACACTTGTGGTCCAACGTCTACTCTGTATTGAATTCACTAGGTAATAATACTAGGGGCAGTATGGTATTTGGCTATTGTTAATATATATCTCTTGAGCCACACGACCCTTCTCCCAGATCATGATATCCCCAAACTATGGGGTCCGACTGAACGTTAAGTTCCTCTCTCCATTGGGTCCCATTGGCCTATGATGTGATACGGTCTGTCCTGGATCTTCTGCGAAGAAAAAAAAAGGATGCTCACTTCTCAATCCTATCTTGGTGTATCCAAATCTGGATATCCCACAGACGGTTCGTCCTTCGAAGGTAACGCGAAACTGACTCCTTCCAGAAAGTAGGTCCCGCAATATGGCTCACCGAAGATCTCTCTGCACCGGGCTATCAACCACGTGCCTAACCTTGCACGGTGTAATTCCATCATCCGAGTCTCTGCCCTGTTCATTTCTTGCTCTAGATACTCGCTTTTCGCAAGGGCATAGCTTTTCCGCTAAATTGTGGTAAATAGCGCAGTAAGGATCCATAAAACTTTGAGTTTAATATTCAAATATTGTAAGCGATGGAGTTTTATCCCTCTTGGGCCTGTTTCGCCGGGAGAATAATTGCTGTGGTGTCATGTCAACCCGTTCAACATTGCTCTTGGCGGAATACGTTTTGTCGACAGGCCCTGTATAGCTTGGTAATGGAACAGGTGTATCTTCAGCCTCTGCATCGTTGGGTTCGTGTCGACATCGGGGTGATAGGTAATTTGCAATAATGTTGACTCCATGCAACGTCAAAAGTGCGATGGGAGGCAGATCTGAGGTTGTGGTACGTATATGTGCTAGGATAGCACGCAGAAAGTGTCCAGCAAGCTTTTCACCCGGCTCGCATGGCGTACGTCTCCACATAGTTGATTATATCCAGCCAGGCCGATAGGGTACACTTGCGAAGTTGTATAATAGCTCTAAGGCTTGCCTTACTACTTGTGGAATCGATTGTATAAAGGGGAGAACGGTTGGGAATACCTACTGGCTGACAATAATTACTCCCTAAAATATTTCATGAGTGTTCACTCGGGGAAAAGCTCGGATTCCCATCCATCCGTTGCTGATTTGACCGTCGGCCAAAGAGCCACACCGGCAAGTATAAAACCCAGTACACCAGAAAGTCTAACAATGGTTTCAAAATAGGTGTCCCTCTTCTTAGGATCTCTGGCTTGGAACTAACCTACGCCGTTTCACCGCCAGTGCCGACGCAGCAATCCAGGAGAACCAAGACCCACGGCTTCTCATCATTTCACCGGGTAGCCCAGACTGTGATATGTTATGGGTAACTCGATCTGCGCTGACCATCGGGTCTGCTGACCATCCGCAGTACAAGACTGCTGGTCTTCTCCAAGAGGAGATGGTAGCAGGTTAACTGGGCGCTCTTGGGACGACATGAAAGCAAAGGGTGAAGACCTACATATCACTTTAACTACTGCGCATATATTTATTTACAAACAAATATTGAATGGTCAAAATATATGAGATCATGCGTTGTCTCGGGTACCTCACAAAATCATAACTAATTCTGATGATGCAGTGCCAAAATTAGTGGCAGTGGTGGTCATGAAGAAGGTCTGTGTAACATGGCTATGCATTGTGCTGTGGTGCGGTCTCTTTCTCTTTTGTGCGTCCTCTAATATAGCATGTTTCCGACGGGCAACAATTGTTTCCACCCTCTAAGGATCGTTTGACCTTCACCAACCCCCATCATAAAGCGCTTGTAATACGGCTTATGTTAGCCGCAAAGAAGACTTCAGACCCTCCTAGCCCAATAGTTCCATGTGCAATTTGTAGCTTGATCGAGAAAAACCTTTCCAATAATTCCAACCTGTTGAAATAGTTTTCTTGCTGCTTGATTGTTCATGCATTCCTCTGATCGTCGAACTGGCGTCATGTATACTATCAAATCCCCTTCTTCGGCGGTCTTTCTCTCAAGCCTTTCTCGTCGATTCTCGTCCTGCTCTGGGTTTTCTCTCATCTTTAAAAGAATAGTAGAAAAATGCGCCGCAGATAGAAAAAAAAAAGTTAGCCCATAATTGCAGCATATACACAACAGTAGCCAGGCCTTGAGACCCCAAAATTGCCGGAGGGCGATATTTCATTTCTCCCAATGTTTCTTAATCTTTACTTTGCTAACATTGAGCCAGCCTCTGGATGCCACCAGAGGCTAACACAGAACATTGTGGCTCCTTAGTTGCAGCCATCGGGTTATGCTGTAGACTGTATACAGGTTTCCTGTGGAGAAATCATGCAGTAGAAATATGTGTAACGGTATACATAGGGGGAGTAGTAGGATTGAATGAATGCTAACGTATATGCTGGCAGAGGATCCGTAGATACAAGGATATTTTGTATAAGTGGTCGAATTGTGAACCTCCATCTCCGGAACAGAAGATCTTATATAAAAAGAACCGAGACAAAAAGAATGACCCCAATATAGAAGGGGCTCGTCGGCAATTACAGCCACAGAAACTTTGTCTCGATTGGCTTCTCTCTATGCAGAGTGGCTTATATCAAGTATGATTGGTTCCGACAAAAACAATGTGATCTAGACCCGTCTTGCTACTAACAATTGCCGGCATATTAAGATGTGCCATAAGCACATGTTCAGTGCTATCTCGAAATTTTGGCTTGCATGTATTTGTAGAATGATGTAGCATAGACGCAGTGGTTCCACGTTTTATTCTACAGTCGATGCTTAATAATCACACACCACAGGACCAAAAAGACAAAGGGGGCAGGGGGCCGAGGAAGATTCGACATGCACAAACAAGCATCACTGATTGTGTTTCTACTATCAACATCGTACGTATATTTCACAACAAGTCTAAACCATTGGGGTATATCAAACCACCATGGCAATGCGATATACTCTACGTTCGTTCTAGTGAGCCATGGCCCAGCAACCAGACGCCCAGAATCCAAAACCCCGTAGCCGAAATAACAATTGCCGGAACGATACCGAACGGAGCAATGCGTAATGTTGTGTAGAATGTAAATGCCCTTGTAAAGTTTCAACAGCCGAAGAACAATCATTTCTTCGCGGCCTTCATAGCCTTTAAGCTGTCACTTCTTGCTCTAGCTCTGGTTGTCATTGCTGGGTTGCTACGCTCTTGCAGTCTGAGCATCCATTCTAGGACCGTTTCATAGCAAAGAACGAATTGTCTCAGACTCTGGACCATACTCAATCTCTGACCTCTGAAGTCTTCGACTGTATGCTCAATTAGATCGAGTGAGTCGTCCTTCATCCAATCGGTGACATCTATACTGGACTCGCTGAAGCTTCTGTCAATAGCTGGCTTGAAAACACTGTCCAAGCTGCTTTCAGTGGTACTCTGGCGGCTCATGGCAGGGCTTTTTGATGCAGCCATTGGGGAGATGGGATCCTCCATATCGACATCACTATCCCCGTGTGGGCTTTGGCTTGCTCCTAGAGCGGCGAGCCTCTGTCGTTTAAGCATGTCAATCACACTGTCAACAGTGCAAAAAGTGCCAGTGCGACCACACCCAGCAGAACAATGCACAACCATGGGTCTAGCTTGGGACTGATGTTCTGGCTCGTCATACCAGTTGACCTGGGCTGCCTTATCAGACAATGCTGAAGATGCAATGACGTTGGCATCAAGAGGGAAAGCCGACCGCTGCATAACATTGGCAAGTTCGACCAGAGCTAAAAGATGCGAAGGCTGCGCTGGCGCTCCAAAATCCGGCCATGATGGGTAATGCAGATGAGTGATTTCCCGCATCGGTGCGAACGGATGGCTGGCATGCGACAAAGCAAATTTGCGAATGATCACGTATGGTGTCTCAGACTCGGACTGCGAAGGTTGCGGAGTCGGTGTAGAATCTGATGTTGTTGTGATAGTTGCGCGGCGGCGACTCTGCTCGGAGGAATTTGCAGAGCGTGGTGTGGCCACGGAATTGGTTCGGTGTTTGTCAATATCCAGCGACACTTTCTTCTCAGACAATGGCTTTAGTTTGATCGAGCCGAAATCGCGCCCTTTCCAATATGGATGACATTTCAGCGTTCCACCCTCAGTCTCCGCTGTTAACATAACAATAACCCGCACGTCTTGGTCCCAAATGACCGACCAGAAGTCCTGCGATGTGGTTAGTGGACCATTAGAATTCAGGCACTGCAGATATAGTACTTACATCGTACGTTGTAGGCAACGGGCCCTGTGATGCTATGTACCGTTTGTTACTCCGCGAAGCTTGAACATGACTGGCATTGATATAATCGCAGTTGTCGTCTTTCTTGTTCGCAAGACGAACACGGGCATGTTCAAACGGTAAAATGTCCTTGTAGCGGTTTTTCCCGCCTTTTTCTATGCCAGACAATGCTACTCTATTGCGGTTTGATTTTTGGGTTGCAGTTGAGCTAAAGGCTGTGTAGGCATCTTTCATTCGAGATTGTTCGCTACGTTCAATCTTCAGGAACTTGTCAGACACTGCCTTTCCATGATCAACCGTAGCTGTTGTTTTTTTCAGCCATTTCGGTAGTGACTCTGAACTTAGATTAGGCGGCACTGCAACATCCATCTGTCCCACACCATCCGCCAAGTCCATGTTCTGTCGGATGTTTCCAAAGAAGGGATTTGGGTTGTCCGAGCCTGTAGGAAGCATAACACCGCCAATGACGGGCGCAAATGTCGGCCGCCCGTCGCCACTGTTTGCAGTTACACCAGCTCTCTCTGAGGATGACCTGCGATCAATAAGCGACGGGATTGAGGAAGCAAAAGCCTCAAACCCACCCCTCAGCAGATAAGTGTTCCCGGTGTAGCCTTCATTTGAGAACTTTTTAAACATATTCATAGCCGAATGTGCATCCCTCTTCTCTGCGGAAGCCACGTCGTACACGATCAAGTCCTTCGCATCCCGCCACTGTGCGAAGCGTTCCTGATCCTCCTCGGTCTGAAGCGTCTTCTGGAGCTTCTGCAAATCAAAAGTTGCCCGCTTCAAGAGAGTGGTTGGAATGCAAAGATTTAGAGCCTCTTTAATTCTGGCTGCGGCATAGTGCGTGGAAACTCTCACGTCCAGCAGCAAATACTCCTTCGATGGCTTATTTCGAATCATATCCTCCAATTGTGCTGGCATCATTAGGCTGGGACCGCCTTCAATCAAGGTTGGTGGCAAAGTCTCCGAGCGAGCAGCGGCGTTACTCGAGGTAGGCTGATTCGCCTTGATATGCGGTAATGATAGCCGAGGGTGCGCATCCTCGACCTTGGACAAATTAGACCGCCGAATCGGCTGGAAAGGTGACTCGCTCTGCGCAGGAGATTCATATTTTGGTATATCAAAAAAAGATGGGCCGTTCAGAGAGCCCTGCGAGTTCGTCTTGGAATCTGAAGAGACATAGGCCGAGTCATGTAGGTTGTCGGTGTCGATATCCATACGACTGCTACCTGCCTTGTTGTAAAGTGGCCTTGAGTTGCCTGAGAGAGACGCCTCGAAAGGATTTCCGATCTCTGTGGTAGGGCGGCGTGGTGGCACAGGCCTGAGTGAAGATGGAGGCTCCATGGCGAAATGTGAGGACCCTAAGGCAAAGCCTTTCCCCCGACTGGCGTCAGCTGCTCTTCTGAACGCCTCAAACTCAGGGTTCGCATCTATAGGCAGTTGCTTGGGTATTGCCGCAGCAAAGGATCTGACAGAGGACGTGGGAGGACTCCAGTTGTCATGAGGTGCCCGAGCAGATTCACGGTCCTCCGATGGCTCAACAGTCAGACCGAAATAGTTTGGACTTGGTGTTCGGACGTCGGCGGCTGTGATGGCTGGCGACATCTTGGCTGGGGGGAACGGTTGGCCAACAGAATGGGGCATCCGTGGAGAGGCCATTGGCGTCGTAGTTTTTTGGGTCGGTCGCAAAGATTGGGAGTTCGATTGGGAGTGGCGGGGATGATGAGAGTGGGACGAGCTCATCTGGGGTCTCGTAGTGGTCTTCATGGTGTAGTGTGGTGTCGCGGCAGTCGTTGGAATATTTCTTGGTGGTTCGGGTGCCATCGTTGTATGTGTGTATGACGTTTCGGGAGCTAGCCACTTACTATGGACTAGCGAGCGTAACTACTGTTATTTTCCTTCCGCCGGCCTCAGTGACCTCTTCCGACTACTAAAAGGTCGACATGGCGAATTCAATACAACTAAATAAAAACCGGGTTCAGGGCGAGTATTGAGGATCTCTCTGAGACTGTAACGTGGTCCAGACTCCAGATCGTTGTTCCGATTTCGATCAGATTTCTTGAGGCGACTGACGTACGATTAATGACCAGTCATGATTCGCATGACCAAGATTTATAGTGGTTCTTCGTCACAAGTGCCCGAGAAGGCAAAGTGACTACTGTAGGCAAGTAAGGCTGTGTAAGATAGCCAGCCCCAAAGAAGTACTTGCACCAAATAACGAAGAAGGGAAGTTAAATTGAAACAGGTAAGGAGCTCAATTCTTAAAGCACGCGACGACGGAAAGGCTATCGCGAGAATGAGGGGGGAGAGAGCTGCTGAAGGGGTCTTTTTCAAGTCGGGGTCCTAAGGGTGTGTGTGGAAGGTCTGGACCGAGCCCATTCTCCTGGTCAAGCAGCGCAGCTGATAGATGTGTAGTATGTACATGAGCACAAGGACCGCTGGTTTAATGGGGGTCGAGGACCAAGGTTGTCTTGAATGGGAAGTGGGTGACTGGACTGGTGTCGAAGCTAGAAAGCACCTGTGCCTAGCACAGAGGCCCAATGATTAGGGAAGGGATCTACGGTCACCAAACAGACGCTATGCAGAAGACGGTAAAGTACATTGCGTGACGGATGCATGAAACCAAGATCAAGTTGGACTTATTACATTTACCCAAGGGCTCACGCATTACCTGAGAGGCGAGAGGCTTGCTAGTCCGGAGAAAGTAACGATACCTGTCCACGACTATCTGCTATGTATACTGGGCGCTCTGTCGGCTTGAGAGTCAAGTTGATGCAATGGCCTCCTCGGAAATTGTCTTTGGCCAACACGGAGAAATTTCGACCAGGTATCGCAATATTGGGATCTTGTCGGGAACGGGCGAGTTGGAATTGTTACGGCGGCAAGTGATGACGAAATAGCACAGCTGGGACCCTTGAGAGTGGGAACACATGGAACTCAACTGTTAACCTTCAGCCCCAATTTTCAAACGACCCGACGTCAGAAGCAGCCGACACCCCAATTGCCTACAGCACCTTACAGTGTAGTGTGTATGCACTCTTTGTCACCTCTCCTTTGTCCTGCAGGTGCACCTGAATCACTTCTTAGCCTCTCCTTGTCCTTTGCCTCGAAACCAAGGGTCAACTTTACCTCCAACGGAAAGTATCCACAGTGGGCTTCGGTTTTACTTGGTATGTACCTACTGTACTAAGAAAGTTCTTGATAATCTTCAGCTGATCTGGGTCTTTTAAAATATCAGCTGATGGATTCAAGTGCTCGGAGCATTTTCAAAGTGGGATGGGGTCATTGTCTTCGAAGGCACTGTTGTTTAACGGTGGCAACGAGAGCGAGAGCCGCAAACCTGTACGTCATAGAAGAGTCCTGAACCAGCGAAGCGGCATTACTATTACTCCTTGTACGAGCTCATTTGCACACACCAAACCCAGCGATCGCAACACACGATGAATCGGTAAGATTAATCTACGTCCTCTAAGACGTAGTAAGGCTTTTGAGAGAGCAAAATAAAACTGGACATTCATGGGGTTTCCAATCTTTTGGTATGGCTGACTCTTTAACCTAGTTACTTATGCATCGAAACTTGGGAAAGGAGACTGTCCCTAAAAGGCGGGACACTTTTGTTCGTCTTGCTTAAGTTACAGCCCTTCCAGCATGATGATTTCTCGGATTGTGTGCGCGGGGCCGTACGAAAGTACAAAGTAGCATCCGCCAGTGATCCAAAATTTAACTTTCCCATCACCAAAGTCGCATACCGCTTTCTAGTGCAAGCCCCCCCCCTCCCCCCCCCCCAAAAAGAAGCTAGAAAACCAAGGGTCCATCCAGTCCTCTTCCCATACTACTTACGATATGGAAACATTTTCGTTCGAAGAGGCTTAGTGGCTCAGATTGAGTTTTTCTTCACAGATGCGCTTCAAAGGACTTGCTCTATTGTAGACAATTCTTGCAAACCAGAAGTCCGTATTTAACGGTGTATCTAGCTATCCTCGATTCTAGGACTACAGTAGACTTTTAATCTGGAGCCAGGACGAAGTAGCACGAATTGGGCCGAGAGACTCTAGGTTAGTCAAGTGCTCTATGTTTAACCCCGAATAAACAAAGCATTAATATTACTTCGGGAGCCCTGGCATGTTACTGAATCTTCTGCTTCATGCTCACATCAAAATTCTTGAAGTCGCGCACTGCCGCCTCGAGAGCCTGCTAGGTCACTGCGGTCATTTCTTGACCTTTGCTAGGCCAAGGTTAGTTCATATTATTGAACCGTTCTACCATGTAAATGACGCCCCATGGTCCATAGGCCTACCTAGTCATGTCGTTCGGATTGGCTTTGTCTGAACGATCGATGCCCACCTATCGGAGCGTTGCTCGGCTCACAGAAATCTCAAGACTTGAACATGCAGGGTCCCTGAGTGTCTTGGCAGCACATTTGAGATCTCCATATGCAGCGAATCTTGGCTCTAGACTAGGCGGAGCTGATTCTGCAACATTCCCCCATCCGGCAGCTACGAAGACCCTGAAATCTGTTCAGCTGAACGTCTAGACTCCCACCATCTTCTCACCGCCGATGTATTACCAAATTATAAATCACCAGCTCACGTGGCGCCCAACTCCATAATAGATTAGGTTACGAGCATCATTCGATCGGAACAGCTGTGCCGCGACAAGTAAGCTAACACGAGCCTAATACTTGTATACAATTATTTCAACGGTATGTATTGGAACCCCAACTACGCTTGCCTACCTAGGTACTTGATGACCATCTTGAACTGCTCTTTGCCTGTTCTGTCCAAACCTTGGTTGAAACAAGTATTATTCAGTCGTACTTGACTGACTGACCCATTCCAGCCCGCTGGTCGAGTCATTGAACAGCTCAATTTGAGGCGCACGACGTTGGATTTTTTATGAACAAATGTCGCATGATTAAAGACAGGCCAGCTCACTTACACTAACCTCCTATCTCAGCAATCTTCATGCAATATTACGGTATGGAGGGTTAAAAATCACCACGCGGCAGGTTCCCGGTCGAAAGCAGGGGTGTTTTCTTCGACGCGTTATTACTCCCAAGGGTTTGTACCTCTTCTTGAAAACAACCTGCCCCACTGTTGTTATTTGGGCCTGCTACCATGGCAATGTCTATCAGTGTAGCCTCAGTCCCGCACGCTCATGTCCGCAATCGTTGTATGCAAACACGACAAAAGGTCTAGATCAACAGTCACTCCGCATACCCAGCGGCGCGGGGCTTACTCTAAAGCCTCTGTTTGGAGGCTCGTCAGCCTTATGGCTTTCATCGCCGATTTCATCTACGATGGCTTCAAGATCAAAATCCTAGCCGACTGGGTGTCGTCACGGCAGCTCCTGCAGATGCCGGAGCACTAGCTCCGGGCCTGGCCGATGGTCTATATTAAGCTCTGGCCAGAACTGGCCAAAACTGGTCACGGCTCAAAGGCACAGCTTCAGTCGGTACTATCGTTAACTTTGGACAACAGAAGCGTCAAGCTCACGTGGCGGTGAATCTCCTGTGATTATCTTTCAGCAACCGAATCCTAGCCTCGTTTCGGTTGGAGTAATTTATGCGAGAAAGAAGCAGTCTGGCACGATCCTTTATCATTGTTTGTGTATGTTTAACTTTTGCAACTCAACAAGTGCTGGAGAACTGCTGCCGTTATGATAACTGAATTCTACAAGCTAACGAAACCCGTAGTGTACAGGGAGCTACGGGAAATGCTCGCCCGCTTTGAGCCTGAGACACAAGTTGTAGATATGAGTATCGGCGCAACAAAGCATCGGAACCCTAACAATGACTTTGATGCTAACATGGCTAACACTATTGGGGGGCTCTGAAATATCAGGGTACCAAAATCTACTCGATTATTATTATTATTACTATTATTATTATTATTAAATTAATGGTTAGTGGCTAGTTGCCTGGCTGCCGCGATTACTTGACTGTTAAGTCTTATTTCGCGCCAACATTGCTTTCTGCAGAAAAGAGAAAGAAAAATCGTCCACCACAATATGAGTCTGTATACAACTAGGATCCTAGCAAAGGTTACCAAGTCTTCATAGCGATGTCAAAACATTTTAAACACGCCCAGTCGTTGATTCAGGGAACCAAGACTCTTACCAAAATTTAAATATGAGAACGTCTGGGAATCAGAACCCTCAAATGTTATTTTCCCCTCATCCTCTATAAGACTGTACCCAGGGGGCCGGCTTAACTATATATGCCTGTAATATGGAACCCAGTAAGTTCTCGACGGGTGATAAGCAATGCAATTGTGAGTCCAGTAAGACGCGAACGTTGGTATGCTACATGTTTAGAGTAATTCAAATATTACAACACTGACAGCCCTTTGCCGCAAATTATAGCACAACCAGAATGATTCCCGACAGGCCAGCACTATAAGCACGACTCCTTTCATCAACAGCACTGTCACGCTTACCAAGCTACTTATAATACTTGGTAGACACGGATGACTTTATTCTTCGTGAAGATTTTCTTTAACTTGTTGTTGTCGTAACAACTTTATTGAGGTCATGGTGTTTCCTTCCTTGAGATAGTCACAAAACTTGACCCATGGGTCCCGCATTCTCATCGAATTATATATCGAGCCAACATCACGACTCTGTGTTGTTTCTCAGACCTAACGACCAACGTTGGAAGTTTTGACGCAGTGCAATGCAACGAACTAGGGAGCCATGTATTAACATTTCCCATCGGATTTACATTTACTGCATAGCTCAGATGATCCATCGCCTGTACAGTTACAGCTCGTCAGAATAAAATCCTAGCAGCTTCTAGAAATACATTACTAGAGGCGATGAGGAAAATATGCGCGCCTGATCTATAGGTCTTAACATATTGGTCCTCGGTTCATACAGTCCTAGCCTAGCTGGGCTGCGACTTGGGTAAAACACAAGGCGAACAAATGATATTGTCTCAACGTACCTCATGATGAAAAGTTGAGACTAAACGTGGCTATTATATTATCTAGGTGTGTATACAGCCCTTGTTATTATGGAACAACGTACCATAATTATGACCGAACATGATCGGAAATTTTTAATAAACATGTATAGCTTATGAAGCTGTTGTATGGCATACTGTTTGGCAGGCACCATTGTAGAATTCATGTTCGCAACTCACCTTTTAATGACTCCTACCTTGAGATACGATAAGTTGAGCTTTTAAAATTGAGCTTATCAGCATGTCATTTTAGGGTTCTGTACAGCGCCCCCGAGATATTACGCAGCCCACCCACTATGAAGTGGTAATCACGTCACGTGGCATGCACAATGAAAAAACATACGAGCTGCGAGTATAGAAATGTTCTGGAAGTGCTCGATGCGGCTTATCGCGATGCTGATCGGCGAATTGCTACGTATCTTTCGCAACGAAGCAGGTGAGATACGTACTGCATGTGGTAAGGAAGGGCGACGGACCGGACAATGCGGGAGGACGATCGCCCAACCCACTAGAGTTTCAGCAGGGCCTGTTTTTGGGCATGGCTTGGCGGCAAGATGCCTCACAGCGATCTTTTGTCATTCCTCCAATCACCTTGAAACTGTATGCCTTTCGTCTTCCAAGGTTGTATCAGCCAGCCTCTGACCCGGTTGACTATCAGGGCGAGTCAGTCGTCATTGTTGTTGAGTCTTGGGTCCTGTCGTCGAAAGCAATCCTTCCTGGGTCGCATTCTCGAGTACGGACAAGGCATCCCCCAATTGCGCTACCTCATTCTCTAAGGTTAGGTTAGTCCGCGACGATTATTATTATCATTACATACATGGGGCCAGAACCTTCCATTGTACCCAACTCTCGTTTGCATTCTTGATAGGTAAGCTACTTGCTCTACTCTGTGCTCCGTACCCCCATTCCATATCCACGTGTGGCTGCTTGCGGCTTATCACTCTCAGATTGCGTCAGATCAACAGCCCGTGCAACCATCACAGGCACGTGGGATCTCAAGTCATCTCTGACGCCTGACGCGGACAAGAGGGACGCATTCGTTTGTAGTCGCTCGCATCGACTCGTTTAGAATTAGCGAGCAAGTCTTACGGATGACGCCAAAACCCCCCGCCGTTTCCGACAAAGAGCGACACTGACACTGCCGGATTCCCATCCATTCTTCATGCCACTCCCAAGAGGACAACGCTATTCCATTGTCGGATCGTCACCAATCCTGGAAGAAACCGACACAATGCGGCGCGCCTCAGCAGACCTGACCGACGCGGCTCGGAATATCGAAGAGTCAGTTGGCACACCATCTTCGGCCGCGATAGACCCTGGAATGGACATGTCAATTGCGCTGGATGAGGAGGAAACCAGTACCGATTTCACGCCGCCGCCACACATTGCTGCCCGTTTCTACCGCCCGACACAGACTCGTCGCAAAGAATCTGCTGCCTCCTCTCGCCGCAATTCTATATCATCAGTCCAGTCGCGCTCATCGCACGGTTTCGGCAGCCGTAGCGACGATCATCAGAGCAAATACATCGCTCAACAATTACGTCGTGCTTCCATTCTTGAGGATCGGAAGGCACGTCTTGCCGACCGCGCAGCGCACGCTGAGAAGGTCCGTCTGAGAGCACAGATGGCAAAAACTGCGCATCAGAGGAACTCAAATTCGGAAGAGCGAGCTCTGGCGGCAGCACAGGCCAGGGAAAGCAAGCTTGCAGAAATCGTAGCTGCTTGCGCTGAAGAAGTCAAGAGGGCAAAAGCTGTGGCCGAGAGCACAAGGGAGAAGAAGGAGCAGGCACAGCTTAAGCTGAGGCAGCAGATCGCGGAGCGTGACGCCGAAGTCGAGAGGAGGAGGGAAGAGTCGCTACGCAGTAGACATGTCGCCAAGCGGTCTCGCGGGCAAAGTGTGACGAGTATGACAACGAAGAAGCCAAGTGTCGAGTCAATCCCAGAAACCAGGGAACAGGAGGCTGTTGTGTTATCGGATAACGCTGCAGCCGCTAGAATCAAATGGTGGTTGCAGACTGCCTTGAGAAGGAAAGCTGTACAAGAATTCTCGAATCTTGGCCTGTCGGTCGATAGCGTGCGGGACACATCGTTCGAGAAAGTTGTCCAACTGCTCGCTGAAGAGAGAGTTTTGATTACCGCAGCTCGCCTTCTGAGGACATGTGGTCTCCAGGAGGGTGCGCCAGGGTCCATAGAGGAAATGGCTGCTGTGCGTACGTTTTTGAGCGCATTCGTGATCCTAGGGCACCCCACCCAGGTCCTTAGTAACAAGGACGACAAAGGAGAACAGGAGCAGGTTGGATCTGTCCCTGGGCAACCCATCCCTAGGGATGATCTTGCTAATCCACAATTACAGGATCTAGTGGCCAAGGCCCGCGATCTCTTGATCGCGTTTGAGAATATACTGTCTCGCCTGACATGGTTGAACAACTGGACGACGCCTCCAGCGCTTCGGGACGCGCTACCGGAAGCATACGCGACCTTTCATAACTCGTTCATTGCATGGAAAGCACGGGATTCAAATGCTCTAATTGAAGTCATGATTCTGCAATTCGTCGAGCTCGATGCTATCTTGCAAACTGTCAAAGACAGTACGGAAGAGGCTGTATCGGAAACATATCGACAGAGTATCAATGACAACCAGTTGAAACTCATGGCACGGATCAAGAAGCTCGCTGGTGCTCAGCAAGGCAGGAAGATGATTTTCCAAGCCGTAAGAGAAGCAAGAAAAGCTCGACAAGCTAGAAAGCCAATTGGCGACACGAAACCTCGCGGCGCCGATGATGATTCGGTTGGCAGTACCAGTATAACAAGAGACTCGGCGACTACAGAAAATGCGGTTTCGGCACAACTACAAACTCTGACTCCACCCCCTACTCCGCAAAGTAAAATGGAAGCAACGAAAACCGTGGTGCAGCCGGTATATCCCCCTATACTTCCGGACAACAGGATAATAGTTCATGAGCTGGCTATCAATCGAGAATATCGCATCGAATACCAGCATTTCCAGGAGCAGCATAAGTTACGGATGGATCCCATGTTCCAGGACTTGAAGTCAGGTCCAAGGAGCGAGGAAAAGGAGTTCCATTACCTGATTGTTATGGCTAGATACATTAAGGACAGACTGCAGCACCTCGTCAAGCCTGGTTCGTCGATGCATAATTTCATAGGCGAAATCCTGGACACCGAGGTTGCTCAGCGCCAGTTTCTGGCCGGAAGCTTCTCCATTGAGAAGTTTTTCTCATCCATGGGCTCACTGTTGCCTAAGCTCTGCGCTCCTGTCCGCGATGAGGAAGTGAAAGAGTTGGTTGAAGCAAAACTCACCGAAGGACATGTTGTTGATCGACTGGAAGCACTCATCGCGTTTATCGACACGATGCTGTACGATTATGCAAATTACATGATGCAGGTTGCAGCACCAAACCTCATTGAGCATGCTTCAGCCTACGAGACCAAGCGGTTCGCAGAAGAAATTGAAGCCGGCTCTATCACCTTGGCTCGCGCTGAGATATCCTGGAAAGCAGCACGAACAAAAATACTTGAAGAGGCCGCCCGCCGGGATCCAGAGGGAGTCAATCTGGCAAAATCTCGCCCGACACCCGACAAGATTTACTGGCAGATGCTGCTTGATGAATTCACGCAACCTTCGCCATCCCCTGAATCGGTGCCAGAGCCTCTTGAGCTTGACACAAAGCGCCGTGCTCGTACTGGTGCGCAAATACTAAAAATTGCGACTGCTGGAGCGATATTGTTGCAGTGCAAGAATATGCTGAAGCGTGATGTTCGAGCGCCGTGGAAGACGGAAGCCAATCGTCTGGCGTTGGTTCTTGAAGCAGTGGATGACAGCGAGAGGCCCATGGAGCGATCTACTGCCATTGATGGCATCATGGCAGCTCTGGAAGGTGGTCGTTCGATGCCCACTGCGACCAAGGCGCATCTCAGGGCACTGGTAACGAAATTTTTAGAGGCTAGTGCTGAGGCGAAATGCACCAATACAGAACCCAGGGAGCCAGTTTTGCGTTTGCTATTAACACGTATGCGAAGCCACATTCTGGCACGGCTGCAAGCTGGTTCAGCAAGTGAGAAGGTCAAGGCTACTAGTGCAGCTGGTGAGAAGCTCGCCGGTCTAGGACTTCCAGAATTCGTGGAGAAAGTGAGAGAGCTCGTGGAAGAGTTGGTCAAGGTTGGTGCTATTGATCGAGAAGCACACGGCGTTTGGTGGGAGACTATTGCAGAGAAGGTCGATAGGGACGCCGCAGTCCCAGTTTCAGCACCTTCAGCTTGAGCTATAATCAGGGTAAAGGAGAATGATTGCGTACAATTCTAACTGCGTTCAAGCATACGAGCATTAACGGTTGCATTTGGCATGTTTCGTTTTACTTAATTGGGTCTTGCTTCGGTCAATGGTCTTGTTCGGTACAGGGATAATGGCGTTTTGAGCGGTTTCTATGACATATGCGGGGATGTTTACAGACAGGTTGGCAGCGAAATGATCTAGTTTATGTATTTGGAAGGTATACCATGGACAACACGGACCCCTGTGTTTCTTTTGATAGCAACGACATTAAATACGCGTTCTGCCGTCATAGGACATCAACGAGTGTGCCCTGTTCGATTAAAATGTGAAAGGACCCGCTACGCCTCAGTGCTCAGTGCTCGATACAAATGTATGTCTCGGTAACTTGCAGCATATTCGGAACATCTCCAAGCCTTTCAAGCTGCTTAACTAGATGAAAACTACTAAATCTTCGATCCAACAGTTTCAACAGTATGAGTTGGATTGGTCCAATGTAGCTGGGTTAATTGATCACGTGACCGCGCGCAGGATAAACTGTTAGCGCGCTTGGTTGCCTGCGCGTTGTCGTCGAAGACCTCTTTGTTCATCCTGACAAACCCTTTGCTTCTGCCTTACGAGTGGGTGCAGCATGTAAACGCAAAGACTAAACTTCTAATGGATCTATTCCGATCTCAGCCTCTTCTACTTACGTGTTGATACTTTTCTTACCGACTTGGCGTCTTTTCGCCACTTCAAGATGTCGCACTTCGATGGTAATTTTGCACACGAAACCTGTACTCACAAGCTACGACTAACAAGCCATGCAGAAGAAGACACAATTCGCATACTTGTCGCCACTGACAATCACGTTGGCTACGAGGAGCGTGACTCCATCAGAAAAGATGACAGTTGGCAAACCTTTGACGAGATCATGACGCTAGCCAAAACGCAAGACGTAATGAGGGACAATCCAACGAGCCGGGCTGAAAAACTCGCTAACGATGTCGCATAGGTCGACATGGTATTGCTGGCTGGTGATCTGTTTCATGAGAACAAGCCTTCGAGGAAATCTATGTTCAAGGTGATGCGATCCCTTAGGAAAAACTGTCTCGGCATGAAACCCTGCGAGTTGCAATTCTTGAGTGATGCGAGCGAAGTCTTCGAGGGTCATTTCAGTCATGTCAATTACGAAGACCCAGACATCAACGTCTCTATTCCGGTCTTCTCGATACATGGCAATCACGATGATCCAAGCGGGGAAGGCGCATTCTGCCCTCTTGATATTCTCCAAGTTGCTGGCCTGGTCAATTATTTTGGCCGCGTACCAGAGGCCGACAATCCTCAAGCAAAGCCCATCTTACTTCAGAAGGGCCAAACGAAGCTGGCACTCTATGGCCTCAGCAATATCAGAGATGAGCGGATGTATAGGAACTTCCGCGACCATAGAGTTAAATGGTTTCGACCCGGTGTCCAAACAGGTGATTGGTTCAATATGCTTGCAGTCCATCAGAACCATACTGCACATACCCCAACAAGCTATCTCCCCGAGGGCATGCTGCCTGAGTGGCTCAACCTGGTAGTGTGGGGTCACGAACATGAGTGTATCCTTGACCCTCAGCCGAATGCGCAAACTGGCTTCAAAGTGATACAGCCCGGCTCATCAGTTGCTACTTCTCTCATTAATGGTGAGGCAGTACCGAAACATGTCGCCGTACTCAGTGTCTCCGGGAGGGATTTTCAGATCGAAAAGCATCGACTCAAAACAGTACGGCCATTTGTGATACAAGAGATCAAGCTATCTGATGACGATAGATTCGATGGCCTGGATCGCAAAAAAGACAACCGAGCGGAGCTTTCAAGAAGATTGATGAAGATTGTCGATGATATGATTGAAGAAGCAACAAAAGAATGGTTGGAAATTCAAGAGGACCAGGAGGACGCCAAGGAGAGAATACCACTGCCCCTCATACGTCTCAAGGTCGAGTATACACCTTCGGAAGGCGGCCATTACGATATAGAGAACCCTCAACGTTTCTCGAATCGTTTTGCGGGAAGAGTTGCTAACACAAACGATGTTGTATACTTCTGGAGGAAGAAAAAAACTATACGTGAGTATTTGGATTATGCCTTAGGTTTCACTTCTAATCTTTTTTTCAGGATCTAATAATACTACCATCGACATCCCTGGGCTCCCAGCAGACATGGATGAGGAGACCATCAGGGTTGATGAACTTGTCGGCCAATATCTTGAGCACCAGTCGCTCAAGATTCTGCCTCAAGCTCCATTTATCGATGCTGTCAACCAATATGTCAATAAGGATGATAAGCGGGCCATGGATGAGTTTGTGAGAGACACGCTTACAGGTCAGGTCAAGCACATGTTATCTCTCGACAACAACGATGATGATGAGAGCGAGATGGCAAAGTACCAAGCGAAGCTCAATTCCCAATTCAAGTCCGGTCAACTCAAGAGAAGGAAAACCACAGTCAAGCCAAAGCCAGCTGGCTGGGATTCAGATATGGACGGGCACTGGGAAGATCAGCCTGATGTTGTTCAGTTTGAGAATGAAGCAACTGAGAATTTACTACCAATTCAGAGATCGCAAGCTGCCCAGAAAACACAATCAGCGAAGGCGGCCAGAGGTCGACCAAAGAAACCTAGGTCGCTCGTTGTAGATGACGATGAAGATATGGATGACTTTGTAGAGGAAGGAGAAGAAGAGGAAGGAGAAGAAATTGAACCGGCCACTAAATCCAAAGCACGAGGCAGAGCTGCAACAGCTAAACCCGCGGCCCCAGCCAAGAAGGCTCCAGCAAAAGCTACCTCGAAGGCGCCTACCAAGGCGCCGGCAAAAGGACGCGGTCGCAAGGCTATCTTTGAAGAGGACAGTGAGGAAGACGATGTGATCATGGATGAAGAGCCACCAGCACCCAAACGTGTTACTGCTGCGACCAGATCGCAGCCGGCGAGATCACAGCCGCCAAGAGGTGCTGCGTCACAATCTCAGGCAAAGACAAAGCAGACAACGATCAATTTCTCGCAGAAGCCGAAGGCTTCTCAGGCAGCAATGGAGATTAGTGATGATGAGATCTCAGATGACGATCCTTTCGAGTCTATGCCTGCTAAAACTGTCACGAGGAAGAGATGACTTATGGTGGTCGGGCAATTTTTGCACTACATGGAGGTCGTAATTATTGGTCGGGATTTAAATTGAGTCACGACAGGTAACTCTTGGCATATCATAGCTATTGCATTGTGAGACGAGGTTTAGGCTAGCACACTCGCCAATGTATGAAGATAGAGATGGGAACACGAAAAACATGATAATTTATGGAACGCTGAGCCCAAAATGGCTGAATGTTGAAGACAGACTCGGTGCCGTCGGAACACTCCTGAATGTACCTATCCTCGAAAGGCACCCTAGCGTGAGTTGCACTGCAACTGGCGGGTGAGCCCGTCGGCCGGCAGAAAAACCGACCGCCTGCCCCACCTTTCCGACAACCTTTTATGGAATCGCGACGGAGCCGCGTCTTTGAATTTTCTCTTCCTTTCCTCATTATTGTACACGGGCACACTTTATTGTAGGTGAGCTTGCGCAGGACGCTGCTTCGGCACTTCTTGCACTCAGTCGAGTCTTCCTCTATCTTGTGCCCAAGAGCATTCACTTTTATTGACGCCGTTTATGGAAGCATGTGAGAACCTTCGGGCTCAGCGAACGTTGCCTCTTACCGCCGGTCGTTACATACCTTTGACATGCACGTGACTTGAGAGATGTCGAGTCCATTGCGCCATGGCTCCTCGAGCAAACGAGTATCTGAAAAGCGAAAGAGCTTTCTGTCCTAGCGTTCTCAGATCTATACACCAGACTTTACCAACCATTCCAGCTTCACTCGTCGCCCCGACCTGCGCCATTATTTTGGCAGAAAAGGGACTCTTTTTAGGGAATGACGGCCTGGATATACATCAGAGTGCGTTTTGCTTGGTATCTCAAAGATCATACCGTACTCGGACGAACTGGTAAGTCAAGTTTTCCCACATCTACACACCTTCCTACATGATGAGAGTTTTAGAGGCTGTTTATGATTCGCTTCGGCGATCATGATTAATCTCATCACCATTGTTCTATCATTCCTGATCTACACCCACCAACAACACTTATGTTCATCATATCTGCCCGTAGTCATTTTGCTAACTGCAAATCTACAGGTTAACGCTCCTAGTACGCACTGCATAGTTTGTAGAGTCTGTGTTTGTCTACCTGTAGCCAGTATACATATTTTATCAGTTAGTTACGTCAAAATGGATCACTTATCAACCTAATAACTTTGTCTTTCTCGAACCACGTGCCCTCATTGTTTCTTGCTTCGTGCTTAAAGATGTGTATTAGAAGCTTGCATACCGGCACATCCAAGCAACGCCTTGAAGGTTGTAATCTCCTGGCATGTTTTACAACTTGCATGCTTTGGTGTGACTTTGTGACTTTGTCTCCAGTCGCACGACCTGATCCCATGAACATTTTGCACATTTGGTAGAGTACTACACCGACATTCGTCACCATTGCTTTCCACGCTCAGACTGATGCAAACTTCAACGCATTGTATTCGTCTCCGGTTACAAGACCTCCCAAATACAAAGATGTACGTATGAATACGAATAGGAATTTTAAAAACTAAGATAACGCTTGCCAACTCAGCGAGGGGCTTGGATTTTCATCTCGGTGAGCCTACTACTGATTCCCAGATACTCGCAAATGCTGTCATCACAGCAACCGAGTCTTGCAGGACACAGGTTCAAAGTGCACCTAAGGTTTGCAGTGACTGGAACTTATGCTCATAATTGAGAAGTATTGCACCAGCGCTCTTAATCAAGCTTCAGCCGGAGGACTGAGTCACAAGCCTGGGTAGGAGAGATGTTACATACCAAACGACAAGTGGCATTCAGTTACCCAGACTTTCTTCTCGGCTCCATCTATGAGACACCCCAGACGCCCAGAACATCCCTTTTCGCACCTTCAACCGGAGCGGCAGCGCTTTTGGCCTCCAGCTTCTTCACCCTCCGGACGAGCAAGCCAACGCAGAAGGGGCCGATGACAGTACACAACACGATGGCCCACGTGACGATGAGGAATATCTCAGATGCCTCATCTGGCGGGGCTGAAGCCGAGGAGCCAGAGAATATGCCGTTGCTTTCAGCGACCGAAGAGATCAGGAAACCAATCTCGCCACGGGCGATCATGGCGAACGCCATGATGCCGGCAGGATAGAGCGACAGCGGCTTTTCCGGACTTTTGCCTTTCTCGACCACAGGGTGTGGTGAGGTGGTCGACATTTGCGGTTCTCGAAGGGGTACGCCCTGGTTCCGAGAACCTGCGCCTGTGCTACCGGTCTTCTCTTGCTCCCTCTTGTGCTGGTGGACCAGCCTCCCGAGTGAAAGCTTGCGCAGCAGGGCACCGACCCCAGATGTGGTCGAGTTACCCGCGTCGATAATCTTGTCCCTCAGCGGCACCGAGAACCCGATCAGCCATACGCCACAGAGAGCTTTCCCGATGAGCATAAGGATGGTGTAGATTATTCCGCGCCAGACGATGGCGCCGGAGAACATCTTGCTTATTGGTATGGAGAAACCGATAGAGGCCCGTGGATGGTCAGCCAGGAACTGTAATAAGATGAAAAGTGTAGTGACCTTACGAAGAAAAACGGCTTGAGAACTCGTTCGATAGGTTGCACATAATAGTGTTCGTCTGCGTTACGAAAATATCGCAGTTAGTTAATCTCTCCATCGCAATAGGGAATGCTCGTTCGGGGTTTTAGCTCGATCAAGACCACTAGTCTCACTTCTAGAACGGCCTACAAGCAGAGAAGATCATGTAATAGTTCCTTCTGTAATATCAAATGAAATTTGAGGGTGCAAGTTGTTTTCTATACTTACACATTTCTGACGGCGAAGTTCGTGCGATATCAGGGGTTGCTCGAACGCCTGCATCTGCAGGCACTGGGCCGGTATTAGTGCTCTCTTTGGACGCGGCCGGTAAAGGGACATTTTCAGGATATCTACCATTTTGTGACGCAATTGAAGATTGGGCTGCCGACCCGGTTTGTTGCTCTTTGATCGTCTTATCCTCCCAGTAGGCCCCAATAATGCCGGCCAAATACGCGGCTAGAAGAACAGATGCGCCGGCATAGCTCGCGCCCGTCACAAGTGCCAATAGGAGTGCAGTCTGAACAACAAAGACGGTCTGCTTGGTCCTTGACATCATGACAACTTCCGAACCTACATGCTCTCCTCTGATTCTGTCCAAAACCGTCATTAGAGGTCTTAAAATATAGCGACAAGCTAATGGAACCACGACCGCGAATGCGAGTGAGACAAGAATAGGCCTGATCACAGCGACAGGAGAGATCTGAGTGTTTCTGCTGCCCAGGCCGGACACAATCTGTACCATGACCAGCCCAACCACATCATCCATCATGGCAGCGGTGCTGAGCACACTACCCAGCCGTGTCGACACCAAGCCGCTGGTGCTCAGCACGGTGAAAGTCGTCCCCAGGCTTGTGGAGCACAGCGCCGCGCCGGCGGCGAAGCACTGGATAGGGCTCGCTCCCACCATTGGTGCCAGGAAGAACGACAAGCCCATGGGCACTGAGACGCCCGTAACGGCCACGCAGACGGAAAGCAACAAGTTCGCCTTCATCGTGGCTATTGATGACGATAGTCCACCTGTTAATTCGATTGGTTATAGCTCAAATAACAATTTCATGCGGACAGGATCGAGGCACCTTCAAATACGATCATCATCAATCCCAAATACCCCAGCTGCACGATCGAGTCCTCAAGTGAATCGGAAAGCCATTTACCACCCGGGGTGCCCCAGGCAATGCCGATGAAAACCTGACCGACAAGGCCGCAATATAGGGTCCTGTCGAGGACAGAGTTGATTATATTAAGGGCGAGGAGGAATGAGGATAAGATCAAGATGCCCTCGATGCCGGGTTCGTGATATGGCAATGACGCTGCCATAGTGGGTGTATTTGAGTTGATCTTTTATACCATAGACTGAGTTGCATGGCGGATTTGTTGTATATATGTTTGACCACCAGCCTTGGTCTGCCTGTGATGTGACAGAGTAGATGTTGGACATTTATAGTGGAGATGGTTAGTGGCTGGGCGCGCAACTCATGAAAGCGCGGCAACACGTCATCTACGTATGTCGTCAACGGATTGAAATATTTAGGCAGTGGTGTTTTTACTGTTTTTGTTACACAAATCAAAAGTGAAAAACTCGATGGCCTTTTCAGACTCGGAGAAAAACGCATGATGAATCAGTTCATCAAGACACGCGATATTCCCCGTCTGGGCTAACAGACGTGACTTGCACGCTACAGCAGCTGTGGGCACTACCTCACCATCCTGTAGTTTGCATAGATTTGCCTAAGATTGTGACAGGCAGAACACAACCTACGGCGACCGTGCATTACCTGTAATCAATTGCCTTAAGAGGATGGTGATGCGGGAGCAGTCTTGTGGCTCTTCTTGTATTGCACGTTGGAGTCATGATGAATTTAAAACTACCACTACGAATATCGCCACTTTGTAACCATGTGTCGTACGCTGGGGTCGGATGTGTGTTTGTGCTTGTTCTAGATTATGGCCTTGCTGTAGAGGAATTGCAAGGCCGTGGTCTATCCAGCCTCGAGTCCTTTGGGCCAAAGAATTTCTCTTTTCCGCAATCCTTTCATCATGCGGATAAAGACCAGCAGCCAGACAAGAATCAAGAGGCAGGCCATGACACAGCCAAAGATCTTCAGCCCAGTGTTGTTTAACACATCTGCCAATGCAAATGTTGCAGTGACTAATGCAGTGTTAGGAAAGACGAAGCTCCACCAGGTCATTTGGAATGGTATTTTATGCTCGCGTCGCAGGTATTTGTGTAGTGATCCCACCGACACCAAGAAGAACCAGAGACTCAGGCCCCACAGCCACAGACCAAGCATCAAAGATAGTATCTGTAAGATGTATACTGCGTGTTCGCGTCCCGGAACATCTGACGGTACGATTATGTCAGATTGGTTTCCCAAGGCAACCAAGCCTGCACAAGTGAACCCACTTGGTCCTATCGAAATGAAGACACCAGGTCTCTGAATATCGCGAGGAAGCTTCTGTGTCATAAGACGATACAGAAAAGCAGCACAGACCACTGCAATTGACATTAGCTTGCACGCTTGATACAAATGTGTTTTATTGTCTTGAAGGGGCTATGTACTGAAACTGATCAGGAATCCGGTGCCTTGAATAGTGACAGCACAGAAAGCGATGGCAGTAAAATTGACCAAGACGCCGGCTTGGGACTGTGCTGCCGCTTTTATGAGGTTGCTTGCAAATGGGGCTACTAGAAGCAGAGGATAGGCGGGAAACACCCAGACTGGTGTCATCCTGTGAATCGGAAAAATCCTACCATTGTGTTAGCGAGATGACATGTATACGTATAGGCCATGCCTTACTGTGTTGACCAGAGTGTCAGATACATGGCGGCACTTGATGTGAAGCTGACGGCAACATACATCCAGAATAATATCTGAACCACTCGTTGTAACCACAACCCACAGTACGGTATGCCATATTCACATATGTTGATTAGGATAATTGCCCAACTGGGTTTGTCAGCTGCCTCGGATATCCCCGGCTGGTAGGTCTATACTCACGACACGAGCTATGGGAGGTCAGCAAAGATGACTTGGACGGCGGATACACTCAAGAACTCACGACTGCTGGGATAAATAGAGATTCTGTCTGGTCAAGGAAAGAGTGCATGAAGCTCCCGGGGACCAAGGAGAATCTTAGACTTATCAAGGTGCAATTAAGCAGGAAGAGGCATATATTGAACAAGAACACGACCAAACCAATGTAATAGAGCCAGTCCGACCTGAGTGGAACTTGGGAACACTAAGTCAGCAGGTACTTGATTCGGGTCTCAACCTCCGAAAGAATAGCGTACTAGTGTGAAGGACATTGGCAATGCCGCCCGTGGCCTGTTCATTCTCATGTCAGGAGGCGTGATCCAAATCCGTGGTGTCGTGGCTTACCATGGTCATAGTGAACCAAGTCCATTGGTAGCAGCTGATGCGGTCCCTGATACCGACTTTGCCTGCATAGCTTGGCCTTCTGGCTGCTGCGATCATCCGGGCCAAACTCTCTGCATTTGGGTGTTGTTGTTGTTGAGCTGCAAAGGCCCGCTTCCCCTGCGGTGACGAGGATTCACCGGGCGACACTCCAGCCGTGTACTGTTCTTCCCTCGGGGTCACGTATCCATTGAAGGCAGGAGCTGGCTCGGACACCACGAGTCGGGACATGACGTCGTCCAAAAGTCCTCAGGCGAGCGACCTAGGACTTTAGACAAGATGTACAGACCGATAAGCACAATGGGTTCAACGTGTCCCAAAGCAGAGTGAAAGTTGACTAGTGTTGTCAAAAAGACGACCAGCTGTATGACGATGGAGCCGACGTTGAAGATAGGCATGGTCGTTGATACCCTGTTCTTGGCAGGTGGAGGGCAATGGAAATAGAAGCTGAGAGGGCTTGGGTAGGTATTTGTACGTAAGTGATGTTCAACCGGGGGGGGGGGGGCGCCTAAAGAGCGAGAGTTGCCGGGATTGCCAGGAAACCACCGTCGTTCAGTGGAGGAAGCGTATGTGGGCCAGATCGGCGTGGAATAGAATCACAAGATGCGAAAGTTGATTTCCTTGGTTGCGCGACAGGCGACGGGTATGTTGCACTCTCTTTCTTTTAGTTAGATGCAGGACGTGGGTTTATAGAGAGAGTAGGAGGCTTGGTTGAGCTTACTCTTTAATCTAAGTTGCCGTATGTATTATCTCTTATCGGAAAGACCCCGCGGTGTAACCCGGATTGAATTGGATGCCGTCATACATAACAAGTACTCCGTACCGTACTGCCTTTGGAACCCACTGAACAAGGACAACCGGGCCGGGCACCTTCAGCACCACCTTGAAAGCCAGTTCCGCTTTCCACACAAGACCACATGCGGCTCGTCACACGAGGGGGCTCCCACTGCTAAAAGAAAAACCAATACAGACAATTCATGCAGGGGATCATGGTGTAGCACATGAACCTTTCAACTGGCATTTGAACATGACTTTTCTTCCCCTTCCAAGTTTCCTCGTTAAGCATTTTCGATGAGAAGCATTACTACACAGCACTACCCTTAGCACTAACTACGTAACTACATACCGCCCCCCTTGCCAACATTGAACTAAAAAAGCGGAGGGCCCATGACCACATGCCCTGGCGCGGGCGCATACCATGTAATTACGCTGTGGGGCAGGCGCTGAAAGGCCTGGCAAAACCTCCAGCTGGGGATGATGTTATTAACTTAACCTAGGAGGAAAGCTCCCTTGCAAGTATTCTTCCCCAGTAGCCGCCTCTGGCCTGCACTGCAACAACAAAACAAAAACTTAGCACACCTCTCGGTTGATTCTACATCCATGGTCTTGAAGTGCTACTAGGCTGTACTGAATACTTCCATGCCTGCATTCTTTCTGTCTTGTCGTCTTTTCGCAACCTCTGCTTGCGCATTGCCCCAACATCGAGATCCGGGGCCCTCCAAAGGCCGATGATTAGGCGGCACACGCTATCAATAACCGCGCTCCTGGACTTTCCTCCCTTCTTCCCGGAGGAGCGCCTTTCATGGACATCTGCACCATACCATATTCGCGTCTTTTTCTTGTCCGTAGTCAGCGCCTGTCACAATGTCTCTGCCTGCCCGACCATCCAGGAGTTGGTCGATAAAGGACACATATGGTGAGTCTCTTCTCTGCAGGCACACCAGCTATCGTCAGTCTTTCCGCCGCTAAGCGAACATGATGTACGTTTAGGCTTCATTGCAACATATGTCCAAACCCAAGCGCAGCCAGCTCGCCAGACTGCTCCCATCGCACGCACGTCACAGCCAAGCTTAAGCTTGTGCCAAGTAGTACCCGCCGCCTCGCGATCGATATCTACCCGTAGAAGGGCAAAGGGCCACGCTTCGTCGGTGGCTTCACTTGCCGGTCATGCCCCAGCTTGTGCAACCAAGGTCCCGCGTATCGTACGCCGCGAATTCCACAACTATTTTGTGACACACTTACCGTCCTCCTCGCTTCACCCCGATTCCCGCGGCTCGCCAGGACTACACCACAAGTTGCCACGAGATGCTGCAGCTCCTCATGTTGCAGGTTCACGCTATGTGCCAGCCACTCCTCCGAATCTACCAACGTCCCGCGAACTGACCGTGGTGCGCATTCCATTGCGCAGTGCTAAACACCACTTTGGAGTTGCGGAGTCCAGAGGCCAGCGTCCATACAATGAAGACACGAACCAGGCGGGCACAATCGACATGCCAGCCTTCGCCAAACGAGCGCCAATAAGCCTGGTGCGAAGCAACATGAAGAAGAGTGGCGAGGCGACATCGGCAGACAGCGCTTTTGGCGACCCCCAGATCTTCTACTTTGCTGTCTTTGACGGCCACGGCGGAAACCAGTGCAGTGATTTCCTGAGGGATGAGCTCCACGGTTACGTTGAAGAAGCAGCCAATGAGTTTGAACTCAAGAGTAGCTTGAAAGCTCACAGGAAGGCAAAGGCTCCAATACCCGTAGTGGCAGATCGTGATGCTGGCGGCGAAAGGGGCTTGGACAAGGTGGAGATGAAGGGTGCAGAAGAGGTCCAACACATGGCTGAGATCCCCGAGAAAACCAAGAATGGTGCAATTGAGGAACTAGAGAACCCAGGCGCCATTAAAGGCTGTGAGCCGAAACCTGTGAAAGCCAACGAGTCCAAAGCCCTCAGGCTTCAGAAAGAGCTTGTTCAAGAATACAAGCAGACAGTTGGCGGTTACTTTCGCCGCTTCTCCCCCGAACACTTCAACCTGCAGGTTGACCCTGACGCTTCGGAGCCAGCCGTCACCATCGAGTCGGTCTTGACGTACGCTTTCCTCCGCGCAGACTTGGACTTCATAAGCGCTCAAGCCCATAAACCAGACCCTGATGACCCATATATCACGGATGCGGCCCTTAATAAGGACGAGGTTCTCGGGTCACCCAGTCACGCGCCACCCTCAGGACATGACATAGGCGGCGAAGCGCGTTTCAAGGGCGGATCTACAGCTTCGATCGCCTTGATATCGACACCTACTCCTGCACCGTTTTGGCACCCATCCGCATCAAGCACTCTCCTAGTCGGCCATGTAGGAGACACGCGCATATTGCTCTGTGAGACCGCAACCGGACTTGCGAAACCTTTGACAAGTGATCATCATCCAAGCTCACCCAGGGAGGCTCATCGTCTGCGCCGCTTTGCTGGTTCTTTCATTACTGACTCCTTCGGCGAGGAACGCATTCAGGGACTCGCCAACTCCCGGGCTTTTGGTGATATGAGCTCTAAGCGACTGGGCGTTTCTGCCGAACCAGAGATCACTAGGTGTGAGCTCGGCCCTGCACAATACAGTTTTATTGTTCTCATGTCCGATGGCGTGTCGGGCACTCTGAGCGACCAAGAGGTTGTCGACGTGGTCAAAGAGGCTAAGACCCCTGAACAGGGTGCCAAAGACGTTGTAAGCTATGCCACTGAAGTCACCAGTGACGGAGACAACAGTACGTGTTTGGTCGTAAGACTTGGTGGTTGGGAGCGAAGAAGTGAAGGTGGCCTCGGTAGTCTCGGCACTAAGGAGATTCGGGATTACCGGCGTCAGGAAGCACTTGATCCCAGGAGAGGTAGAAGATGATGACAGTGGCATCGTTGGTGCGTTGGTTGAGTCACCGGAGTATGGCTGTATAACTTGGTAGTGCCATTTGAATGCACTGCGTTGCTACTAAATATCATTTGATTTTAACATGCGGCATGCTCTGATACCCAATAGAAGCTAAGTTGTTATCAGCGTGCAACTCGAAAGTGGATGTGCACTGCTGTTGGATACGAAGGCTCGACAAACTTCTGCCATTCAGCAGGCAAGACGCAGGTTTTCTAGCTTATACGCCCTGTCAGCGCTGAAAAAGGACGTACAGACATGTGGCTTCCTTTGCGGTTCCGTCCGGGTCTCTGAAGATGTCTTCGTATGGTGCAAGCCGGGTACGTTGACGTGAAATAAGCAACAGTTTGACGAGAAAACGGAAACAACGATGAGAACGGCATTCCGAACGAATCGATGCCTCCGGGAGATGGATGAGATGTATCTAGGGGTTCAAGGGTCGCGGTTCCAACCAACAGACAATCTTGGTTCTTTGGCCCGGCAATCTGGGCCAGCATTGAGTCGCGATCATAGATCAGAAGGAGTGATCAAGCGCAGGAGCGAAGTATAATGCATACACCTAATGTTGACCTACTTTAATGAGGAAATAAAGAACGAGGCAGGCTTATGAAGCGAGTTCAATGATTGAGCTGAACTTCTTGGATTATATTACTAACAGTTCTTGGAGAACACCACACTGCCCATCAGCGGTTGTGCTTTTTAGGTTACTATAGAAGAGGTGCGTATTACGTTGTGGCACGACCCGAGAAACCTCAGACAGATTTGTGATATTTCAACCAGCCGAATAGTTTCGTACCTCATTAATGCTTATTTGTATTCTGAACACGTAACGTGTCAAAGCAGACATGGTCAATCAGTCGTGAAGTAATGGCGTAAAGAAGTGATATGCCAATACCCTTAGTACAAAGCCTGGGCGCGCAGCCGACAGCTTTCATTTCTGCTACCTTGCAATGCCCATGGTCTTTAGCCTGTCACAGCTCGGCATATCGTACTCTCTCGCAATTTGCATCTTCTCCGGGTCCTGGAAGAACCATCCCTGAGCCTGCTCATGCAAGTTCTGCTTCGTCCGCATTTCCGTCTCGCACTTCATCCTGTACGTCCTGACAAAGGTGCTGTCGGCTTCCCTGTCTAACTGCTTAAGGTTGTAGTCCGACCAGCCCGCTACATCTCGCGGGTTGACGTAGTAGTTGATATTGAGCTTTTGCGTTTGCCGATGTAATGTTAGAGGTGGAACTTCCCGGTCGAATACGACGCCCGGCATGGCAGGTTGGCTGTCGCCACCGGAAAATAACGAGGTCAAGAGTGGGAAAAGGAAGAGGAAGAGTATGGGCAGCATCGAAACGAGTGTGTCCCAGCCGCCCGTCTCTCGTTGCGGTTGACCATCCGCTTGCGTCCGTGGCCTCCTGCGCGGCACACCGCCGCCCATCTGATGTACCCGGAAGCCTCTCTGTCCACCGAGGTTGAAGACGAACTGCGGACCTGCGTCAAATGCTTGTTAGTACATCGGTATCAGCACTTGCTTGCGCATGTCCTGGTCCCCGAGATCAGAGGCTAGACATGAGGAGATACTCACCACCAAAACCGCCGCCGCCAAACGGCCCTCCTCCAAAGCCACCATTGAAGAACTGCTGGAACATCTCTTCAGGGCTGATTTCCTGCTCCCACATACCGCCACCCCCAAACCCGGCGCCCGGGGCACCTCCACTCGGTCTGCCACCTCCGAAGCCACTGAAGGGATTACTTTGCTGCGCCCTTGCGCTCTCGAATCTGGAGTCCGGATCCGTGCCGAAGCGGTCAAATTTCTCCCTCTTCTCCTTATCACCCAGGACGCCAAAGGCCCTGCTAACCATCTTGAAAGCCTCATCGGCATTCTCGTGTCCATTCTTGTCCGGGTGGGTCAGCAGAGACTGCTTGCGATAGGCCTTCTTCACCTCTGCATCGGTACATGTCTTCTGGACGTCTAAGATCTCGTAGAAGGCGGTGGCGGTGCATCTGCGGATGCGCAGGACGGCGGCGGTTTGCTCGGGAGTGGCCTTGCGGTCTTGATTGCCTTGCTTGTGCTCCCGGTTGCGCGCGCTGCCAGAGTCGGCGTCGGCGCCGGAGGCTGTTGCGCTGGGCATGTTGTTTTCTTGCGTGGTGGGGGTTCTTGTCGGGCGAGACTCTTTGGTGCTATGCTGGTTTTATTTGATGTGTATGTGCAAGTCGGCCAAGACTATATTTGAGGGGCGCAAGCAAGGTCACAACAAGGCTGGAATTGATTAAGCTTGAAAGTGTCAAGCAGTGAGTAAGGATGAAGAAGAAAGAAAAATGGCGAGCCTGAGCTAGTAAATCAGACAACAATCTTGGAGAAGGAATGCGACATGGAGGTCGATGGATTAAGCCAGATAAGAGCACTGACGATGGTTCCCGGATCTCGAATGGTGTTTGTTTCCACATGCAGTCCTGGTCCCAATCTTCAAACGTTGCAAAGTGGCTTCAGCATATGTGATAATGCTTCTTTGCTAGGTTAGTCTAGACTAACTGCTTGTTGTCGGGCATTGGCTTTGTGGCTGGTGCTACTGCATGTGCTGCCGACCACAAGTGGACTTTGTATTATTACCGTCTGTCTTGATAACTAACGTTAACGTGTTTAATGTTAACAATAAGTGTGTACACTCTAACCTAACCTTAGTGCAACGGGTCTGTTACTGTACAGTATGTAATCCGTACAGGGGAAAGGCCTGACCACTTGCAGACTACCAGACCACCAAAGCTTCAGCGAGAACTAAATGGACGTGCTTGAAGACCATGGTAAGATGTATCGACAATCGTTCCTCCAAATTCAACGTATACTTTGTATATTACACAGGAACTGGGTACAACTATGGTCACGCCTGTTTTGCTCGTCATCCGAGGTTTATTAGGTGCTCACAGAGTCAATTCGAGAAGCGCGTGACCGAGTGACATCCATTTGCACTTTGCCGGGACGACCAACGACGTCACTCCACTAATCGCCAGTCCTAAGCTTCAATTTTGCGAGCCTCCATTCAGAAGCAGTTCTTGCCTTCAGCAATCCAAGTAGCTAGCCTCTAAACGTAAATTCAGCACCGCACACCTACCATGGCAGCTACGCCCCCAACAACACCAGAACCACCCAAAGAGGCCCAGTTCGTCCTCACGGGATGGGGCAGTACGTCTTCTCCCGGGAACCTCGTTTGCCCTCCCACCAATTGACTGACGCCTCTTTCAGCCAGCTCCATGGCTCCTGCAGGACTCGCCACCTTGATTACCGCCCTCCACTTTCGCCCATTTCAGACCCGCCCCATGATATTCGTGCCCATCTTGCTCTTCTCAAGTTATATCAATCTCCAGGGCTTCAAGAAGGATGCCGCCGGCATCTCAGCTGCCGCAAGCGGTACCTATGCCCTGCTAGCACTTCGCAGGAGCCCAGGCGCCCTGCTCAGGAAGTTCGGCGTGCGTGGTGCTGTTAGAGGAGCCGCCGTAGGTTTGGGTGTCATGAATGCCCTGGCTGGCGGCTGGGTCTATGCTACGAGGTCGAGAGATCTGGAAAAGAAAGAACGGGACGAGAACCCCCGCTGGGTGTAGAAACAAGAGAGAAAAAGGCTGGTATAGACACTGTCACAATATTGCATCACATCAGTGGAAGAATCAATGGACGACATGAGCATCGAATTGGCCCTCGACGGGTCCCATGGTTTCTTATTTCGGCTCAATATAGCAGACACGCCACAAGACAGTTCCTGCTCTAGAAAGAATATATTAATCTGAGGCTTTGTTGCTCTCTAATCTAACTAAAATCAAAGCTTTTGTTTCTGCTGCCCTCCAATTCCAAAGTCTTTCCTGCCATGAAAGGGTATGCAGAGTATGTTGCTCCTAAAACGCCTGGGAGACTTTTCAGCACTTGATCAGTCTCAATGCCATGGCCAAAACTCCGGCCCCTGGAGTAGAACAAATGAAATCTCAGTGCACGCTCGGCCACTTGTCCCCATTACCACGTCACCTCTCATTTTCCTTCCTCCTCTGGTTCAGATTTCGCTCACCCTTGGGCGCCGAGGTGGGTCAAAGACCGGAAAGGACATAATCCCACAAGTCGACAAGAACCAGACGAGAAGACCCAAAACAGCAACCACATAGAAGCAGATGAAACGACCCATCGACAGGCTTGACTGCTCGAGACCTTCTCTTCGTGCTACAATGTGCCTGAGGTTGGCGAGTTGGAATTCACGGAGGTACTGAACGTCTGTTGGTCGCACTTTGGGATACGCGTATCGCTCATATTCGTTGAGAGCCGATGCCCTGTCCCAACCATGATACATCCGAAGGATACCCACGACGCAACCAGTTCTGTGCTTGCCTTGGTTGCAATGTATGAGCAGTGGGTGGTTTGTCTGGTCAGCAACCAACCCTATGATAGATCGCATCATAGCTAGCGGTACGTCTGCCTTCTTTGTGCCCGTCATGGCAAATACGACATGCCGGATTCCATTCCCGTCGAGGAAGACTTGATAACCGTCAGGTAACTCCTTCTGGACTAGTGTAATGATGGTCTTCAACTTCAGGTTCTGGAGGAAAGCAAAATCTTGGGCTTTAGGATAGCTGCTCCGGTAAACTCCCGGGACAACAAGGCCAAAGTTATCAGGTCGTACGATAGCCATCCCCATTGCGAGCGGCTGCTCCAGCAGTCCAGCAGACTCTTCTAGGGGCTGGGCTTCTCGAAGAATGTCAGCTAACAAGTCATCGGTCACGTGAGACATTGAGAGCTTACCAGTTACCGGCATAATATCGTGTGTTTCGGCAGCTGTCTGCTCAATCGTAGTACTTTCATCCGTCGAATCTGATGTGAGCGATGATCTGGATAGGCCTGCCTCAAGTTGGAAGAGACTGAATCCAGCGGCAGAGTTGCTCGTTGAGGAGGCCATGACTGCAGCAGGTTCTGAGAATATTCGAGCACGAAGCTCTCCGGAGGGTAGATGGCAAATAACAGTTCAAGGGTCAGAAAATCAAAGAGATGAAAATGGTCAAGTGATCCAATAGGCCTAAAAGAGCCCATTGAAAACGGGAGAAAACCGGCTTCGTGAGTTACTGTCTAAAGCTCATTGAGGAAGCAAAGAGCGACGATAAACTTGAGGAAGTCCATCTTGTCGATTTGTGAAGGGGATTTGGCGTGTTCGGTGATCAAACGTGGTTAGATGTCACTACGATTGACCAAGTGTATATGTGAAAACGGGATGAATGAAGTGAAGGTCCAGGTCCAGGTCTTGGGCCGGGCCTGGCTGGGATTTTGTTTAGGGACCTGCAGTGTGGGGGGTCCAGCAGAAACTTTAAAAAGTGCTCAGGCCTTTCGAGCGGCTGCTGCTTCCAAGTCCCAGTGGCTGCTGCTACGCAAGTGTGTACTGTAAGCAGAGTCAACATTAGTGCAGTCGCTACAATGCCATTTTGAGTCAATTAGGGTTTTATTTCCATCGATCATGTATTTCAGTTCACAACTGCCAACAATAGTTCTGAAGTCAGGGAACATGCCCGGTTCTCATGGGAGTGACGCAAAGGCCAATGCCGTAACTCCGGACATGGTCACCACTTTACAGGCTTACCTATCGAAAAGTCCTCGGTGGACTTTACAGTGTGAGTGAATGAATGTCGAGTACAATGGAGGTGCCTGCCAGCATTATTACTAGTCTAGTCTCAACCGCCAGCATCGATAGTAGCACCAAACCAAGACTGCTTCGTAAGCTGTAGCAGTGGCGTTGCTCATCAGACCATTCGTTACAGGACTGCATCGATAAAACAATTCCCATTGCAACAGCCGTCTCGGTTCCGGACAACGTGGTGACCTTTTCTTTCTACCTCTGGCATTATGGTTACAAGATAGATGGAAATAAGGGAATTACGTAGGTCAATCCCGCGAGGCGAGCTCCGCAGATCTGGAACGCGAAGGCGCGGCAGGTCCCAGAGGATCCCGGCCACAGTCACTAACGAATAGGATCGGTATTTGAGAACGTTCTCTGGGGCGTTTGTTGTGGAGGAACTGGGGCGTTGGTCGCTAGCGCAGGAGCCTCACCAACCACAGCAATCGACTTGCAGCATTGTGACTTGTTCAGCCCCCAGCCCCAAATCCTGTGCAGTGAAACCCAAGACACGCAACTGGGCATCCACGTCATGCGTATGACGCACGGTCAATGCTAGGAGTCATATAAGATCGGTCACGCTGCCGCAATGTTTGCTATCAATCGAGCGGCGGTGTGACCACCAAACAGCAGGATAGGGGAAGAGCCAAGTGGTCGTCGCTCGGCGCTGTCGGAGATGTCATTGCCCCGGTTGTTTGCACTATTCTTTACTGTATCACCGCCAATCCGAGCGTTGCTCCGCAGCGAATGCTTGCTCGTTCTCCGACTGCCTTGGGTGAGGACGGCTGTCAACCCGAATTACGCACCTGCCTTCTCTTTCCATCAAACTGGTAGCTATGAGTTGAGCTGAGATTCAACATTCGTATCGTGTTCCTTTTACTTAGAGCAATGCAAGAGAGATCTGAGGATTACGATATTACCACAAATGAAGTGTGTGCCAAGGTGCAGAAAACACAACACAAGCGTAAATATGCCCAACTTGGTAGAACAACAGTTTCTAGCACAGTCATTCGTTGGCAAATTTGAGTGTTTGTAGGGTATGCTGGTTACCGACCATTTCATGGCCGCTGACGGATTGGCTCTATATGCTGAGTCTTCGAAGACCTCGTTTTTCCGACTTATACTCTTTCGCTGTATAGTTTTGTTGGCCCAGGCCAATGATTGGTTCCGTAGTGAAAACAAGAATATCTTTACATGTGCAGCGTGCTCGTGCCAGGGAACGATCACTCGACGCTTGACCGGCCCCGCCGCTGCTCAAAAAGTCAACCAAGTGCAGGACACAGGAGGCAGACCGGCAGAGACAACAGAATCGAGAAGACCCGATAGATCATTCGTTTGTAAGCTCTTCTCTCCACAATAATGAATTGTATTTGAAGTTTGACATACTATTTTTGACAGTTGTGGTCCGAAAAGCCTCAAATATCTACGCAGCCCCGCGCACAATGTAGATCAGCGTCTTTACTCTTCAGTGTGATTACACTGCTTTTTTGATCCAACACTGTACAGTTTATTGGGAGATTAGCCAAGCCTACTCTGCATATGCTGATCAGTGTTCCGGTGAAGTTGGGGTGCCCGAAGGGTTTGTCAGCTGCCATCAACCCATAGCAATCCTGGCGTTTAATTACTCCAGCACGGTGTACTTAAGAAGCATCTATCACCAGCACAAGTGTGATGCCGATGTCATGGCCACATGAATTGCCACCGCCGCCCAGGGGTGCGGACATGCCAAGGCAGTTGTAAATGTTCCAGCCACAGCGCGGCTCAAGGGTAAAGCTCGCAAACAGGTTCAGAAGACACAGCAGCCTGTAAGGCCCAAGGAGGGTAAATGCACCCTGGCGATCAAAGATTTCGTCCCTATGGCCGAATGTAATGTCAAACAAGCTGATGCGAAGATCCAGGGATACTTGCCCAGGACACTCGACAGAGTCATCGAGGTGCGCTACACGTTCGTGTCGAAAGTTGGTTTTATGGGACAGACTGTTAGATACGGCAAGTAAGATACAGCACTCGCATTTCATTGACGTGCCCGAGAAGGTTAAGACTACATGGATGTTCATCATTCCCAGCGATATTTTCGATACCTCGCACCTCAAGGAAACCACCAACAATATGGAAGGCACAAACGCAGTGCCACAAACAAGAACTATTCGAATCATTGAAGGTCAATGTAGTTTCCGATGAGTTCATGAACGCGCCTGGCGTTGAATCACATAGCGCACCCGATTCTCAGTATACGACAGAAGTTGGGGATTCATTAAAAGAAACCCTGTTTGTTTGGGTCACCTGATACAACATTTCAAGGTTTGATCGTAGCACACCAATTGTCACGGTAGGTCTGACATAAACAGTGAGACCTCGAACTCCAGGCTGAATGTTTCTTCCTCCCATAAGATTTAGGACTGTTCTGACTGTGCGCTGACCTTCGCTTGATTAAGAATTGCCCTGCTTAATCCCACTCGAATCGTATGGCTGGGAATTGACAGAGCAAGTAAATGGGTAGAATTAGAACATGTGGCTACCAAGTTCATGACACTGAGAGCGACTATGGCGTCGCCGGCGTTTTGAAACAGGTCATGAGGGCATAACTTCCTTTACGACAAGGCGAGGATCGAAGGTCATGATTACCTCAAGCATCTGGTTTACGCTCTGAATATGGCTGTTCCGGGACTGTAAGACGACGTGATCACGGCTCCCATCGGAAACGGAATATCAACAACTCATTGGTAACTGGCCTCTGCGTTTCTTTTTTGTGATGTATCTACTTTGCTCCTGCAGCAAACTGTTAGCCAATTCGCTTTCTTCACATAAACATTCTTTCCAATGTGAGATTCTCTATACTCACGTGGACGGTATTGTTCGCCTTCCAAGCCTCCCACTGTGGCGGCTACTCCCATTGTTAACGAGACTCAGGCGGCCTTCAAGCGATCGGATTAGTGTAACAGCTGTGGAATATTAATATTCGTTACTCAGTGTGCAGTCAAGACTCGGAGCTTACCAGTCTTCAAATTGTGCGAGCCTTTTGTCTAGAGTTTTCAGTGGCCTGGCCGGCAACACTGATGGTACTGAGGGCTTGAGCTCCCTTATATCCTGCCACATCGGTGGCTCTTCCTTGAGGTGAGAACTGAGAACCCTCACTCATGGTTTTCTGTGGGAAGAACTACTAACTAAATCGCAGTTCGAATGTCAGTATGAAAGAGGTTTTTATTGAGGTTGAGTCTCTCGCGACATCCCTCGTAACTGGCCCCAATAACGCCACTATATCTCGCTATCCTGTTAGTCGAAAGGTATCCGCAGATGGAATGAGTCTGAAGAGTTCGGTCTAATTAATAGCTTGGTGCCAAGATGAACTCGTGGGTCATCTGATAAGGGTTTTACACACTGACCTATGATCATGAGACCTTCTGACAAGTCAACAATCAAATACTAACAGGCTTATAGCGCTGGCTTAGCCAATCCCATTTCCCACTAAGACATTTTATTCACATCGGACTCTTTTTCTACGACTAGTCATTTAACGTTTGCAAGTCGAATTGGAGATGCTAGTCCGGAGTGAATTGTCGTGCCCTCACACCCGTGTTATCAGGTCACGCCATTGGCAGGAGTAAGGAGATAGTATCAGTGTTCCGCCTGTGTGTCTGCACGGTCAATCTGTGGAATACATTATTCCTCCCTACGCGCGTCTATATGGTTATGTGCAGCCTATTACCCTTTACGTATCTGTATCATTGCCAAGGCCCTCTATTGCCTTTCTAGTCATTTTTGGACCTTTGTACGATCGCAAGGATTCGATGAAGGTATTGGCCCATTCCAATATTATACGCCATGTCTGAGTGAGTCAGGGAGCATGGACGCAGCATAAAACCTTCGTCTTCTCGAGGCGCCTTTGAATCAAAGCCTCCTTGACTTAAACAATACTGCGGCCTCTTGCATCAGGCTTAATATTGTAATCAGCGCACTCGCTTGTCTCAGTGCATAAGACTTTACAATGTGCTTACATAGCTGATTCGTCGTGTTGAATTTCCCAGTGCACAAACACAGCAGAGAAGCAACGCATTATATGCCACAGTTGCGAATCTCTAAAGCCAGTTTGACCATATGTTTGTATGCCCGCTTATTCTCATTGCAAATAGGTCCACTCATATACCGCTTACACATCCAGAGCGATCTCGAACCTCGATCCTAGTAATACTGTCTTTGAACATTCAACAAGCTCAACTCGAAGCCCAGTGCCAGACATTAGTTCTCGGCGTGACACAAAACACCCCCTTGCGGCGGTCATATCCAGTCCCTTGATTATGTTCCTTCCTTGACAGTTAGTAAATTCAGGCCTGAACCTCGCTTTACTATCTGAGAACTGTGAGGAGTCACGCAAACACAAGAAGTTTCTTTGAAGACTTGGCATACGCATCAAGAAACGAATAATTATCAAAGGCATTAGCCAAGACACTCTCGTTAGCATCATCGTTCCAATCGGGCAGGATGATATTATGGCCTTCGCCCACGGCTTAAGCTTAGCAATTCCCACCCATGGGCATGTGCCAAAGACCCATAGCCAAAAGAAATTACCCTTGAGTACCCATAGGCTATCCATTGATATTTGAAATCCATATATTTAAAATGTAACTATCGAGATAGTTACAACTATAAGAGCCATATTACAGTGCACGTTTCACTCTATAATCCGTGCATTATATTCTCTACCCTCCAAGTACCTATAGGTAAGATAGGTAATATAGGTAACGATAGGTTATTTACCGTGGGTGGGAGTTCTTAACCTTGCCGCAGCGTAGACAACTTTCTCAGCGCAGCCGAAGATTAGTTCGTAAACCATACAGCCTCTCTGCCCCTAGCTTTGGTTTCTCTTTGCCGTTTGATAATTTTCGTGTTTGAGATCAGTATCACAAGATGAGCTATTATTCCGTACTAGAACAGTCCGTCTATTTGCTTCGGAACCAACACAGTTATTCTAGAAAATGGAGGGCCCGGACGCAGCATAGACTAACGGCAACCAGGTACTGAGTGGAACGCTTTCGGCGATGTTGTAACCAAACAAATAACTCTTACGGGTACCGTGTAACCAGGAGCAGGGCCCGTAGCAGACAAATTCCTGAAAACCCCCCCGGAGCAAGCACTTGAGGTATCTCGAAGCTGGCGTAGGAAGATCAAAGCACGTTTTCACAAGCATTCATGATTTAAAAAATCCCACTGCTGTAATGATGGTTCTTATGTTCTTTTCTTCTCCTTTTTTTTCCTTTCAATATTCTTTCATGTTCCAACTCAAACCTATAAATTGGTTTCGTTCGTGTAGAATTATCGATGAAATGAAAATATGATCCTCAACTATTGGAAATGTGATTTGTTGTAGCTTTTGAGACTGAATAGAACACCGGCGATTGAAAATGTATTGCCATCATTCAGTACGGATCTGCAGTACAAAAATAGCCGTGAAAGACTCCGCTTCCTCCACAAGGACCGTGAGGCTTACCTCCATGGATATAAGTAGGGTTTTCTTTAATCAGGGCCTCATCTGACAGCACTAGCAGGAGTCTCGATAAGAATATTATACATTTCTTTTTTGTTTCCGTATTCCGCATTGTCCTGGTGCAAACATAGTGAGACCTGTCCGTGTGCGGTCAATCTGTTGCTCTGGCACAGCGACTGGAATGTGAACCTAGAGTCAATGATTCAAGATGGGATTTGTCAAAACCCGCATCAGCAAAGTTGTTTCTGAAGCGATTGAGTTCATAGATGGCTTTATCCTTGTAATGAAAACCTCAAACTCGAATCGCCATTATGTTGGGCAAAGGAGGCTACAAATCCGACCTACGCACCTATAACTACTCACAAGTCTCAAGTGCTGGGTATCAGCAGACACCTGACTTCGTAAAATACCCAAAGCCTTCTACTTCAATGCTCAGCACAAGTTCGACCAGGAGTGACATACCCTTACGAATACAAAGTAACCAAAAGATTGCTGGCTCTAGAGAGTATAACAGTATCTCTCCAGTGTCGCAAAATCTGAATACCAGATACCCACCAAGAAAATCACAGGCCAACCAACAACGTTCACTACGACGCAGCAGTCAATTGACTATAAGTAGCAAACCAACTGCCGCATCAAAATCTGTTAGTTTCAATCCTGAGCAGGTTCTCCCCGAGGACAATGAAGAGGGGTATCACACCTCCTTGAGGTCTGACTCGCTGAACCTGCCCAGTCCCATGCGCTCTACGACTACAAACGACACGACTTTATCTTTACAGAGAGCATTCATCGGAAATGCGAAACGAGCGTGGCGTATCTGGGATAATTTGATCACTACTTGGGGCCCTGCTCTGATTTTGATCGTAATACTCGTTGCTGCAGTCTATTACGGATGTACTATAATACTGGATATAGTACAACTTGTTCGGCAGCTGGGATGGCAGTTGTGCTCGTCTTTTGAGAGTCTCAAACACGACGCCGAAAGCCAAATGGGCTTGCCTTTCAGGCTGAATTTCACGGCGGAGTTCCGACCAATCTGGGACCAATACTCTAATATTCTAGAGAACACAGAGTATGAAAGATGGTTTAACGATGCGAGGGACGCTGAGGATGTGATCTCGGCATTATGGAATACTCTCCCGTACGAGAAAGCTGATGATATTCAAAAACAAGAGCATACTAAAATGAAAGGGTACACCGACTATCGCATGGCGTTACGAAAACGTGCAGAGGTCAAATTTGAGAATTTCTTGCTGGCCCGTACCCGAGTCATTCAAGATATTCTCAACGTTAGCCATGACTGGAGCGGCTATGTGCGCAGTACACTCCAACTCAACCATTCAGTGACGCCTAGGGCACATGAGGCGATCTTTGGCGTTCGAACAATGGAACGTCAAGAGCGTAATGATCACTGGCAACTCCAAAACCAGACGTCTTGTTTACTAAACTATGCGACTCGTGGGCTTTTGAATAGTATTTCCGAGATGCACAAGGGGCTCTATGTCAGCCGCGAGACTACAAACACTATATCAGGAAGTGATGCGACTTCGCTAGATTGGCTCAAGTCTCCACCGAGAAAAGATGGCGATGAGGGTATCAAACTCTTCACACTCGGCGATATCATTTCGGCCCAAGAGCTAGAAGCTAAGTTCATGGACAACCTTGTAAAGCAAAGCATCCATCCGCACCTGTGGGACAGCGGGCGACTTCATTCGACCAGTCTGGGAAGGCTTAGGGTTCGGCTCACCGGCCTACAGAAGGATCTAGATGACATCGAGGTGAAGCTCACAAAATTAAGGGCACGGATCGACGACAACACCGCGTCACAGACGTGGGAACCCGCAAACAAAGTGCCGTGGACCAGGAAAGATGACCTGATATGGGTCCAAAATGTGGACGAGCTACTTAGCACTTGGAATAACATGCTCAATGACGTTGATAGAGCCAAAGTCAATGCCGTAGAACGCTTCAACCAACTCAAGCTGGATGAGCAAAACTCCAAGAACCGAGATAAACTGGCTCATTGGCGTACCGAGAATTGCGGCGAGACGACATGTTTTGACGTAGTTCCAGAGCGAACTTGGGGCGACTTGGTTAAAGCTGGGCAACATCGACTGAGGTTTGCAGGCAGCAAAGAGGGGAGAAAGCCTTTTGCAAAGATTCCAGTGAAAGTCGAGCGAGAGTTGTTTAATCACATGGGAGAAGTCACTAGTAAGGTAATTGTACACGATGCAGGGATATACGAGAAACAATGTTGCGGGCAGGCGCGAGAAAACATATGGCTGGACCTGCTTAAATTTGGCGCTGTAAAGTTGATTTATTTGAACCCATATAGGCTGCCCCTTTTCGAGGGAGCAACCGGGACAACGGAAAAGTAGGAAAAGCAAGGGTGAATGCAAGAAGAACAATGTTTACCAAGATACATGCCAAACCAATTTTCCGTATTAATTGCCTTAACCTTAACTACTGGGGTATCATAACGCTTGCAAATGCGCATCCGAAGAAACCACAACCAGACACATCAAAATGTGACGGCATGACCATCCTAAATACCTCGGCTGGTCGTGTTGTCCATATCACCTTTTCTTCCTTCCTTCTTTGTATCTCGGGTCTGACGTAACCACACCGATGTGAGTCTGGTGTCTGTATGGGTCAACGTGTTTTGGCTTGTTCTTGTCTTTTCCCCTATCCAACTTCTTCTCCGACGCCTCTTTGGCTGGGGCATCCGTTACCTCAAGCTGGACTATGTTACAACGCAGATCTGTGATGTTGTCGAAGATAGATATGTCCACCCGATTGCCATTCTCCAACGAACGAGCGCTGAGCAAAGTGTTAGAGCCCTTTGGTGCGAGTGCCGTTGCTAGGTCTGCTATCGTTGCGATCTTCGGAGCAATAGCCATATAGAAGTGTGGACATGATGTGCCAGGCTCCCGGCGTTTGGTGCTATAGTCTACGACAGGGAAGCTGAGGTGAGCGGCGCTTTTGGGATAGACATAGATCTAGGGGTATGACATCAAAGCTTGGTTGGGCTCAAGCAGCTGTGCACCCATCATACTATTGGTCGAGCTAGAATTGGCTGAGGATGTTTGAGAAGGTGCAGGGGCAGGAACTGTATGTTGAGAAGGCGGTTTATAGTCCCAGTCGCTGTCCCAGTTTTGGTTCGATTGACGTGGTCTGTCATATGACCCAGTGGTGGTATGAGGTTCTTCATCTGACGGACTTTGCGAGGCCTTCGAGTTGTGGTGACAGTCGCCGCATGTACTTTTTTTCCTATTACACCCAGAGGTAGGCTGCAGCAGAGGCGGAGACTTATGGAAGCGTGATGCATCGCCCATTTTGACGAGGAGGATGTTAGGCGATGAGGGATAGTCCGGAGTGCTTGCTGACGCTTCAGCAGAAGTTTCAGCGACGAGAAGGACCTCGTCTTGAGAGCTGTCTGAGCTATTTCGAGGATTCAGTTTTACCTTTATTTTATCAGGATTCTTGTGGGCTTTCCCCCTCCTTTTTGCTTGTTGCTGAGAGCGCTTTGGGCAAGACAAGTAAAGGCACATCTTGAGTAGTGGTTGCCAGAGCAGCACAAGGAAACAGCACATTTAGGATTCCTGAAACTTCGTTGACCTGCGCAAGACGGAAAGAGCCCTCCATTCACGGCCAACGGATAAGTTGCTTTCATACGAGGCCAGAAAGCCAACATCTCTCAGGTACGAGCTTTCAGGCTTCCGCTTGTTCCCCGACAAAAGTTTCCACCGTCAAGCAAACGGCTCATTGAGCCTCGCAGCTAGGTTCATTGTGCGCTCATTTTAATGCCACTTCTGAGCGGCATGGCCGAAAGGCTCATGCAATAGAGAAGAGACTGCAACGAGATGGGGAAATTGTGCTGCAATTTTTGAGGGAGGCATAAATACCATGCACAGGTATGAATTGCGTGCAACAGTGGGTGTTCTGTTATGTATAAGGAAAAGAAATACACTAAAACGCAAGAAGACCTGGGAAGAACCTGACCATAAAGAGAAGATATCTGATGAATTCTGAAGACTTTCAAGCCGATAATGCTAGACTAATTTACAACACTTGCTTTCAAAAACCTGGCGAAGTAACAATTCATACTCATCCCAGCCCCCCCCCCCTTTCAAACACACACACAAACACACACAAAGTATATAGACTATACATCATAAGCCGGGGTTGTCAAACATCCTGGAAGACCTCGGGGAAGCATATCTTGAAGCTCTACTCTAGAATTTAGACCTAGAACGCGGCATTATTTTGGTACGTCCTACAGTAAAATGCAACATTTCCATCGCGTGAGCTTCTAATATTTTCTTTCGCAAGAAGCATTTCATTAACAATATCAGTTTGGTGACGCTTAGGAATTGGTTCAGGCGTCAGCCCGTATGTAGAGGTAGTCGGCAGACCGGTAACTTGAGAAAGGTTGATTTATAATACCTCTGACCTCTGGTGACGAGGAAATAGCTTCGTTTTTGTAGGCGACCGTGTTCAAATGACTGTCCGAATGCCGGGGCCCAGTAGTTGCGGTGCGATCTTGGCGGGGGGAGCTTACCGAAAGGTCCACTGAATAGCGCTAATTGGGCCTCCAGGATCCAGGTCGCCGCTTCTTGCGCAATCTCCAGCACAGCAAATTTCCCTACCTAGATTTGCTACGTTAGACCTTAGCTGGCTTCCATCTTTCTCCATTGTCTTCCTGTCGCAAACCAGTAGCACTTATAAGCGACGCTCGTGCCACGATATTGGCCCTCGGTGTTTCCACATCTCCAACTCTTGAACCTCGCTTTCGTTCCTTCTATTCACCATAGTCCAGGCAGAACAATCGCAAAAATGGCCGGTCTCAGCCCCCAGGTGTAAGTCATCACTCGGTGCCCAATTCTGCCACGAGAACGCCCCTTCTTGATCGCGTGTGCGAAAAGCTGACATTTGTGTCTGTGTTTTTGCAGTACCAACATTGTCATCATTCTTGGAATGATGCAAGTGTCCAAGAGGATTCCATTCGAAGATCCCAATACCCTGAACATCGTTCGTGCCCTCTACATTGCCAGCAACTTGATCATTGCTGTGCTCTATGTCTTCACTCAGCTCAAGATCAACAAGAAGAAGGGTAAGCGATGCTGGTGGCAAGAGCCGCAATGAATGCGCAATAATACATACAGGATAGAGATTGACAGCGTTCATAGATCTCACCACGCTCAAGTATGTCGAGCCTGCTGCTATGGGATCGACCGAGGAGCCAAAGCTCGTCACCACGACCATCCACGCCTACGACTCTGCGCAGGTGAAGCAGCTTTTCCGCTCCCAGCTCATGGGTGTCGGTATGATGGCCTTCATGCACTTGTACCTCAAGTACACCAACCCGCTCCTGATTCAGTCCATCATCCCGCTCAAGGGCGCTCTCGAGTCCAACCTGGTCAAGATTCACGTCTTCGGCAAGCCTGCTGTCGGCGACCTGAAGCGGCCATTCAAGCAGGCTGCTGGCTTTATGAGTGGTCTCCAGAGCGGCCCCGCCCAGAGCGACAAGAAGGCTGTCGAGGCTGCTGAGAGAGCCGGCCGCGGTGGTGCTAAGGAGGAGTAAACATATGCTCAGGACTTAATTTACAAAAAGCCGGCGGGCGTCCAGTGCACTCGTTGGCAAATGTACGCCTATCCACACTGTAGCATTTGCATGGGGGATAAAACGATTGGTCTAGCATCTTGATGGGTTTTAATAGAGCAGCGTTCCCTCCTCCATGCTTTGTGTGTGACTGCACAGTAAGGCTTTTGTCAAGTGATCAATGGATGTCTAATTTGATCACGAAACCTGTAAGCGTGGCATCTAAACTGGCCGCTTGAGATGAGTGCACACAATCCCACCGTTTTCGTCAGTGCCTGCATTGCTGAATTTGGTGCAGCCGCCCCTCTGAGAATCCAATCCATTCCTTACCGAAGTCCCAAATTGCCACGCGACTAATGCTCAGGGTCCAGATCGGAGTTTAGCAGAGCTCAAAGGTCCGACGTCACCATCTCACGTACAAGCTTCATTTTCTTGTTTTCTTTGACTTTACATCTACCATTGGCTTGCCGATTCTCACAAGCGGCCGATCTGGTATTTGCTTGCTCCGCCAGGTCAATCAGCTCTCTTTGAGCCTTGAAAGTTTCCCCAAGATGCCTCGTCCATCCACTCCTCCTAGAGCCACAAACCCCTCCAAGGCAGCAATCTCCCCTCCGACCCCAGAGGTGACTCGTCGCATCGTATGTTTGTGACTGACTTCTGATGCAGCTTCTTTTCAAACTAACGCCCTGGTAGGAGGAAAACCGTTTAAAGGCCAAAGCCCGCCGCGAACAACTCGAAGCCGCCCAACGAGCTGCAGGTGTCCCTTCCCTGCCTCGCACCAGGTCTGGCTTCGTCGCTACCGACGAAATTCACATACCGAACTCGCGCAAGCGGCCGCATGAGGAGATCGTCTCCGTCCGCAACACACCCGCCATTAGTCGAGATGGGCGCATTAACGGCGCGTCTATCGCCAAAGATGCCGGCGCACCGCCCCAGGACGGCGCGGACTCTATACGGCCGGCCAAGAAATTTACAAAGTTTGTAGACTACGACTTTGACAAAATCACAGATTCAAAGGGAGGCTTCTTGAGTGTAGAGGATGATCCTTGGAACAAAGCCATGAGTGGTGGTCCGGCATCTACCTCCGGAAGTGCAAAGCCGGGCCAGCCTGCCGAGCCGGGCCAGGAAAAGCCTAAAGGCATGACGGAGGCAGAATGGGAACGGCTGCAAATACTACGGAAACTACGACGGCAAAAAGCTGGGCCTTACGAGCCAGGGCTTAGCGTCATCAACGCAGCGGAGCGCAAGAAATGTCGAGAGTGCCAAAGCCTGGAGATTGACTTTGTCTGGGACGAGGTGTTCAATATCTCTGTGTGCAATAGGTGCAAAGAAGCATCGCCGGAGAAATACAGCTTATTGACCAAGACAGAAGCTAAAGAAGATTATTTGCTCACAGACCCGGAACTGCGAGATGAGGAACTGCTGCCGCATTTGAGCAGACCCAATCCGCACAAGAGCCACTGGCACGACATGATGCTGTTTCTGCGGTGTCAGGTGGAGGAGTATGCCTTCTCGGACAAGAAATGGGGCAGCACAGAAGCCCTCGATGCCGAGTTCGAAAAGAGGGAAGCAGAAAAAAGGAAGAGGAAAGAAGAAAAGTTCAAGTCGAAGCTGCTTGATCTCAAGAAGCGAACCAGAACAGAAGCATACAGAAGAGAACATGGCAGGCTAGGGTCTGGCGCCGGTATTGGCAGAAGGAAAAATGGCGAGACGGCCAAGTTTGGAGATGCGGTGCCCAACATGGGACGGCACGTGCATGAATGGGGTAGGGCGATTGAGAACGAGGAGGGCATGACGGTGAAAACGTGCACAACTTGCGGAATGGAGGTCGAGGAACTAGAGTTTTGAGAAGTGTTGGGAATTGGACTATACGTTTGTGCTTGATACCCCTATTTTAAAGACATAGTGTCTATTGAATTTCAGCTCGGCAATACACCTAACCAGCGTACTGTTTCGAAATGCAACTCATTGACCTTGCGTCTATACACACAGGCCGAACCAGGTCAGTTGGTGCACACGGGTGTCGTTGCTCTGGGAAACTGCATATAGCTCCGGCTGTATGAATACTTATCGTTAATTTGGCACTTCCTGCAGTGATAAGTCTAACGCGACGCTGTCCAGTCTCATAGTCATAGGTATTTGTTGTGCTTAGTCGTTGTAAAACGATTCCATGCCACGCGTTGGGCTTATTAGACATTAATGTCGCGACCCTAGATGAGACCCGGATCTGGGCATGATTCTTGAAACGACACATCAGTTTTAGTGGGTCTGCCAGCCCATGTACACTCTCAAATGAACATGCCGTAAGGCAGGCGCGCATTTGGTGGTCGGTAGCCGCCCTGGGAGACTGACTGTTTCTAAACCTTACATAGCTGTTCTGTCGTGGGGTAGGAGTACTTAACCTTAGATTGCATACAACGCGACGGGGGAAAAAAAGCTTGAGTAGACCCCGAAGTCTGAGTGTAATTATGATTTAGACACTTAAACAATAAAGAATACTAAAAGCGAAAGCGACAGCCACGTGTGTTCTCTTCACTGCCTCGGATCAAATCATCAGGAAGGAAAGGACGAAAATAAAACAACACTGAAAGAAGGAATAGCCGGGTCGTGGTTCAATACTACATACACACATGGACCGATTACATGCCTAACCTTAAATCAGTTCAGTTCGGCCGGCTTAAGCGGATGCTACGCCGTACCCGTACCCGTTACAAGGCTTGCAACAAAGTGCTAAAAGGTGCTTGGGTCACAATTCTTGACGTCGTTTTGGCGCCTGCCGCGCCCGCAATTGGCCAAAGCTTCCAAGCTCCATGTCCATCTCCGCCTAGCGTTGCGTCTTGCGTCTTGCGTCTTGCGTCCGAAGTCTGAGGTCTGAGGTCTGAGGTCTGAAGTCACTGTTACTGTGCACCCGCCTGGAGCCGCTTGAACTTTGCTAAAGCTCAACTCTCCATTTTCACCTCTCAGGCTGAACCTGAACACCACCTTCACCCACCACGAGAAACGACGCTGTAGACGAGCACTTCCTTTCCATCACGACCCAAACGTCCACAGACGACTGGGATTCATCAATAGTCGCGAACCCCACGCTTTTAGACCTGAACAAGGACCTTGGTAACCTGCACGACTACCTTGGAGCTTGGTCCGATCTTCTGAAGCAACCCGGCTTGCAACTGCCACTGAATTTCCAGAGCTGCGATCGCTCTTCTCTCGACATCACCCATAACCCCACCATCGCATCATAACTTTTTTTTTCTTTTCCCTTTTCCCCCCTGCTCTTCCTTCCCACGAGACTTCGACTTACATACAGTACCTCCCACCCGTTGCCACATTCTTTGTCGTTGGTTTAATAGTTTGCCGACGCAGCAATCGGATTATCGTTGCCGAACTGTTCGCAAGGCTGACTGACCACAAGGCTCCGAGCCTACGCGCAACGCCATCTTCAGCTCGACCCCCTACCAATTCGCACCGCACCTATCCCGAATACAGCAGGGAGTCGTCCACTATTTCGGGCGCTCCAGTGATTACAAGTCAAGCTGTCGCTCAAGGCCACTTGATCGTCGGTAGTGGAGGGGGAGCTTGTTCTTGATTCTATGCGGCTCTGCCGCCCCCAGTCTTCACCATGGGCAAGATAACGAAGACCCTGCAACCAAAGCACAAGGAGTCGAATGTGAGTGTCTCCCGATTGTCACGCTCGCCACATGTCTATGAGACGTGCTAACTTAGGCTCCAGACTCCATGGCTTCAAGAGTTTGTTCAGAGAGCGTCTACCACACAATTACCAGATCTGCCCGCTGTCCTCCATAGCTTCCCTACGAGATGGCCTTTTCCTAGAGGCGATCTTTACCACTGGATCCCACTACTCAACAAATTCGACACCGTTCTCGAATCCTTTGTTGCCATCTACAAGCTCAGTGATGGCACACAGACACGGGATTTCGGTTCCGATGTCATTCTTCAGCTCGACCCCCAAGATGCAGCCCCAAGCGACACTAAGCCGTTCGATGCAACATATCTGAGGAACCAAGGATACGGAGAGAATGCGGATGCTGTGTTGGTGCGTGCGGTCCTCCAGTTCACAGAGATGCTACTGCATCATTGCGGAAACAGGAGCATTTACGCCAGCAGTTCACATCTCAATGATCTGCTGAACAGCACGGATCTTGATATCGTCTGTGCTACCTTGCGCGTAGGGGTGGAACTCGCCAAACGCTACCAGGCCTCGGTTAAGCGTCTCAGAAACTCGAGCTTCTCAGTCACATCTGCCCTGTTGTTGAATCACTACAATATCGATCTATACAAGGTTCATCAGCTGGCGCAGCCCTTCGTGAAGACTCCGATTATCAAGCCTGCGGTGGAACCTCACAGCCTATCCACTCCAACAGCAAGCAGCAAGGGCAAACCACCCACCAGTAAAGCTGTCAACTCCATGTATGCCAACGATCTCTGCGCTATCGCGAAAGAGACACCCTCGGACGAATCACGGTGGCAAGGTTGGGGAGATGTCCGAGTTCCTTACTACCCAGTGTCTAGTGCTCCAGAGCCCCAGGAGCCACAGCCGGTGCAGCAGCGCATTGAATTGTCCTCAACGCCTTCAACACCCACCCCTCTACGACGCAGCAACTCGGCTAATGTTGTCCAAACTACACCCCGCTCTGCGAGGCAGTCTATGCCAGACGACACACCATTACCGGGTCTCCGTTCTCCTGCATTTGGTGGCACCGAGTCTGCAGGATCAGCACAGAAGTCTGTCGATCTTCCACATTCTGCGGTTGTTACATCGCCGATCTATAAGCTCCTGGATCGTGCTCCCTCAGACTTGCCCAAGGAAAGCCGCTATGACTTCCTCAATCGTGTTCGCGTAGCGAAGGCATTGACTGGCAACGTTTCCTCCAGAGAACAAGCACTCAAAGCACGTCTGCTCGCAATCGAGAATCTGGCTTACATACATCAAGAGTCTGCTTTCGTCGACAAGGCCTTGAAGCAAGACAGTGACGAACCCCGCCGATTCCAACTGATCTATCAACTCGCTGAGCTGATTCGTCCATCGTCAGATGGATCCAGTAGTGTCTCGCGTGACGTCCAAGCCATCGCCCTTTCGCTGTTGGATGTGCTCACGACGAACATACACAGTAAAATCCCTGATATATTTTCCGCTCTTAATGCGACGGTCAACCACGGAGTCTTGCTGTACGTCATAAGGAAAGCAGTTGCGGAGATGAAGGAGGATGACGCCGGCGAAGGTTACACTGTTGAGGATGAGTGGCGCGATAATCTATTCTCACTCACGCATCATGTTACCTTGGCCATGGCTAATACTTCACGAAATACGCCTGAGATCATATCCGCTGGCTTGTTTGATATCATGGTCGAGATTCTTGCCATCCGTTCCAACGTTGCCGAACGAATGTATTCAACACTTCTCGCGAATCTTGATAGCTTGATTAGTTACGTGCAATCGCCGTCCTTCAGCATTATCAGTGCAGAAGGCCTGGACGCTATCACCGATCTCATTACCCACGAGGTTGATCTGGCCAGAAAACTTGTAGCCGACGGAAAAGGAACCCCACGAAGCTGGCGTTCCCAAATCGTGGACTACGATGTTCCCTTTTGGCAACAACAGAATCTGAAATTCCTCCTCAAGTTCATTCACCACCTGATGACGAACGCATTCGCTTTTGGTGGAAATACTGATCGACTCCTAAGAAACCTGGTCGACAAATCTACGTTGTTGCAAAGTTTGCGTGAGATCATCACGAACGGCGATGTCTTCGGGTCGCTTGTTTGGACTAGTACAGCCAATTCGCTCAGCGATTTCCTCAACAACGATCCTACTAGTTTCGCTGCAATCTCTGAAGCTGGTCTAGTCCAATGCTTCCTCGAGTCTATCACTGGACGTCCGGTGACGGTAGAAGAATCTGCGGGGCCTGGTGATAGCAATAGCCAAGACACACCATCTTCTCTCATCGCTGTTGATGATCGACCGCATCCTCCTACACAAGAGATGCTTCAGACACCTCGAACGGGTACTTTGGCAGGTGGTATACGTGCTACTAGCGAAGCCATAACCGCCGTTCCTACGGTGCTTAATGCTATCTCGCTGAACAATCAAGGCATTAAAATGGTTGCGTCGTCCCGTGCTTTTGAAAGTTACTTTGAAATATTTGAGAGTCCGGAGCATGTACGCATCATGTCTGCTAATGACCCTGAACTTGCTGCGAATGTCGGCAACCATTTCGACGAACTGGCCCGCCATCATCCCGCACTGCGTCCGGCGATTACAAATGCCGTCGTCGATATGGTGGCGAGGATCGTTTACCTATCCAACCAAAAAGCATCAGCATCAGGTCTAGGAGCAAAACTTGTGACTCATGATGTCAGTGCTTCCAGCCCGGCCGACACGGATGCCAACGGTATCGAGTGGGACTCTGAAGGCAGCCACTTGCGGTTTGGTCCAGAGATGTCTCCTCCACAGCAGTCTGCCTTGCCCTATATTTACGCCACTGCATCATTTTTGCAGCAATACGTGGGAAATCAACAGCTCAGACAGTCTCTAGTACAAAAGGGCTTAATCGAGTACCTGCTGGATCTTTGTACTAGTCCGAGCCTGCCGCACCGTTTCGGCGAGTCTGGTGCTGCGCGTTCGCTACATCAGGTTATCGCCCAACTCGTTGAGACTTCGCCCGTTCTAGGGATTCCGTCGTTGGTCAGACGGATTCGCAAGTCATTGGAAGCATTGGAACCCCTGACAACTTCATCAACCTCGGAATCTTTCTTCGTACGATATTTGGCTGCCGACCCAGCAAAGACGGACAGTGCAGTGTCACTAAGCACGGGGAATGTCGTGGTCAAGGAACTGCTGAACGTGCAATCACTAGTTAAGGCTTTAGCTAATTGCTTCCCGATCTCCAACAGATCAGCCAATTTGATGTATCCTACTGTCAACGCTTACGACTACTATCACGAGTTGATCACAGCCCTTGGTCCTCTGCTGAGATCTGTGGTAACCCAAGAAGAGCTTGCCATGCGTTGTGTACCATGGAGCTGGATTCAGCCAAAGAAACAACAGGAATCCACTGACGGTGCCACTGGTACAGGCGATGGCAGCAGCAACTCAGCTGGAGATGACGAGGCTGCTTTGTCCTCTATGTTGTCCCCTAACCAATACCGCATGGCCTGGGACAGGTTGAGACCGTCAACCAAGACAGAATACTCTAGTTCCCGGTATCGCAACTTTGATACTATCAACGCTGTCCTTCACTCCTCAATGTCTGCCATCTTTCCGCTACTGCAAACCTTTGGCAAGGCTCTGCTCTCCCGCTCACGAAATGACCGAACAAGCAGTGATCGTGACAATTACATCAGGGCTCATCACGTCAAGCTGGCACACGAGCTGGGTGGCATCCTGTATGATCAGCTTACTATTCCCGAGAACCCGAGAACCCCTGCTCAATTCCACTACTGGATCATCATGACGCATGCAACGCATGAGGTCCTTTTCGATCGCAGATATGACCCACGGGCTGAGAGAAATGGGCATCAAGCTTCCGCGTCTGTCCTTGTTGCCTTCATGCAAAAGGGTGGCTTCAAGCAACTCAACTCAATTCTGGAAATCTTTGCCAGCGAGATTAATGACCCCAATACCGGCGAGGACTCACCATTGCGCAAATTGGCTACGATTGGTGTCAAGAAGATTTTGAAGTTGTATGCCATTGTTGCCAACGGTAAGACCATTGCCGAGGCTGTTGGACACACCGCATTTCTCGGCAGGAGCTCTTCACGTTCACTAGAGAATCAGATCGCTCCAAATCTTGTGGTCGAGCTCCGAATGACACTTTTGCCGGTTATACAAGATCTATGGAAGTCCCCCCTGATCGAAAATGAAGCAAAAGACTCGGAGGAAATTGCAAACAAAGTCATCGATATCTTAAAGTCTATCTCCGGAGTTGACGGAACTGAACATGGAGCATACGGGCGTTCAGAGAAAAACACTCCCCCACTCCTGCTGAAGCAAGAGGAGGTAAAGTTCCCCTGGACCACTGTTGTGGAATCGATTAGTCGAGTGAGGGGCGAAGGCTACGACGGCCAGCTGGCCTCTGAAGCTGTCTTCAGAGCCAATGGTGATGCTATACGTGCCATCGATTATTGCAAGGCCCACAAGGCCGGAATCGCTGGTGCACGCAATCCAATCCCCGAAGTCGATGTGATGAATACCGATCCAGATGAGATTGAGTCCACCTCCACCCCAACAGGAGAGCCTCAACCTGCCACTTCAGCCTCAGATGATCAGCCAATGATTGATGCTGACCTTCCAGCCGATCTTCCTGCTGGAATTCTAGACAATGAAATACTTGGCGATTTGAGGGATGTTGCTCCTCTGGTGCCAGGAATGGAATGGACCGAAGGCAATGCAACCTCGTCTACAGCACAAGATGCTGCTCCAATATCAGCAGATTCGGAGACTCGTTCTCAGACGGGTGTGCCTAGAGAAGAACTGGACGAAGCCCGCGTGAAGCTGCGTGAGGATCTGATTGACAGGTGCTTGGATGTGATAAGGGCCCATCCCAGTAGCACCTATGAGATCTCTGAACTTATCAACAACTCCGTCATCCGCTCTTCGACGGACGATTCTGCCAAGCAAGAAATCGGCGAGACTCTTGTTAATGCTCTCATTTCATTTGTCGCAGACGAAGATCTAAAGCCGAACGGACGAAGCATATCTGCTTATGCTCACTTGTTGTCACTGCTACTTCAGAATCGCGGTTTTTTCACAGCCACAATGGGGTCCCTCAGGGACAATGTGACCGAATTTCTCGGCTTTCTCCGGCCAGCATCACCGGCAACCGAGGAAATTGACCCCTGGATACCTTATATTCTTCTCATCTTCGAGATATTGTTGAGCGACGATGAGCAGCCTAGCGACATAAAGTGGAAAGCACCCACCAGCGAGGATGACGTTATTGAGCCACTTCAATGGGCACCCAAGGACTTGATTGTCAATGAAAGTGATCGACAAGCACTCCTGACAAGTATACTTGACATTCTGCCAAGGGTGAACAAAGCAGAGTCTCTCGCTGTGTCCGTATTACGCATCCTTGTCATCCTAACTCGCAACAAGTCAACAGCACAAGTCGTTGGGGACAAGAAGAACCTTTCACGCATCTTCGTCATGATGAAGCAGCTCTCCAGCTCTGGTTCAAACCGTCTAGGGGATACACGCATATCTTCATACGTGCTGACGATTCTGCGTCACATCATCGAAGATGAGGACATCATTAAGCAGCTCATGCGTAGCGAGATCCGATCGTATTTTGACAACGTGCGTTCACAGCGTAATCCCGATATTGGCACCTACCTCAGGCAGAACTCCCATGTGGCGCTTCGCGATCCTCACCTTTTCGTGGACGTATCCAATGAAATGGTCTGCATTTCTCGTTGGAATGCCGGAGATAGCACTTCGCAAAGACAAACTGTGGCACTTAAGGCACAGAAACCTGAAACACCCAAAGATGATGTTGCACCAACAGTTCGGGCAACAGAAGACTTGTCTATTCAAGACGTGAAACCCTCGACAGAAAGCACGGTCAAACCTACGACAGACGCGATCAAGTCAGTCTTGCAGGACATCAAGCGACCAATCCTTGAAAACCCGGATGGTGTCATACATTTCCTTCTCTGTGAATTACTCAATTACAGAGAAGTCGAGGATAAGGAGCCCGTCCAACCAGCGGCGGACTCTAAAGATATTAAAGACACGGCATCTCCAAATCCCAACAGCGTGAACGATTCTTCCGACAACAAAGACAAGAAGAAGCCCTCTTTCAAAGCCGAAGAACACCCCATCTTCATCTACAGGTGTCTCATTCTTCGCTGTCTTATCGAATTACTCCAAAGCTATAATCAAACGAAGGTGGAATTTATCAACTTCAAGAGAAGCGCGCCAATGCAGACAAACACCCCGATTAAGCCGCGAAGTAGCGTCTTGAACTATCTGCTTACGGACTTGCTTTGTGCCACTCCTCTTGATGGCTCTTCTGATACCCTTGCCGACAAAAAGAAGGCTGCTACATCCATTCAGGCTCAGAACCTCCTGGTTGCTCTGATGGCCAAGACCAGCGAGAAGCCGGTGGACCGCACTCGTGAAAAGTTCGACTATGACGAGGAAACTGACTTGCTCTTTGTGCGAAAATTCGTCTTAGATACCATTTTGAAGGCTTACAAAGATGCCTCGAGCTCCAACGAGGCTTTTGATATACGATATGGCAGGATGCTTGCGCTCGCTGATGTCATGCATCAGATTATGGGTGCTGATAAAGACGGCAAGGTCCTCCCGTCATCCCGGCATCACCCTGAGCCAATGCCCGAGCGCTCCCATGCCCAGATTAGGCGCCTCATGTATGAAAAAGGCTACTTGAATACGCTCACTTCTTCTATTGCCGATATCGACTTGGCATTCCCGCCCGTCAAGAAGACTATCAAGCAGATACTGAAGGTATTACGGGTACTTACCAGCACGGCGACTCATCTAAGCAACGCCAATATACTGCCAGACTCGTCAACGACGCAAGAAGTCGAGGACGACATCGCATCCGCAACCTCGCTTTCTGATCTCGAAGACGATCGAGAAGAAACTCCCGATCTGTATCGCAACTCCGCGCTGGGTATGCTTGAACCCGGTCGCGATCCTGATGATGACTATGAATCAGGATCTGGAGAAGGTGAGTCTAGATCTCAACACATTGGCTTGCCCTCGCTGACCGATACAGATGATGAGGAGATGTATGATGACGAGTACGGCGAAGAAATGGAATACGACGAAGACGTTTCCCTTGACGGTGAAAACGATGTCAGCGACGAAGATGAAGACGTGGAAGGCATGGAGGGCATGGAGGGCATGGGTCATATTGAGGGCCTGCCTGGAGAGTTAGGCGTTGTCGAAGTCACCATGGAAGATGATGACGATGAAGACGACGATGAAATGGATGAAGACGATGAAGACATGAGCGAAGATGATGAGGAGCTCGGTTCTGACGAAATGGACGAGATGGGTGACCAGATCGAGATCGTCGACGACGAAGGCAATCCAGTTGAGGACGATGGTGCATCAGGCTGGGAGAGTGATACCGACGATGAAGGCGAAGTTGATGAAGACGACGAGCACGACCTGCATGACTATGAAGCTGCCGCACAGGAGATGATCGAACAAGGCCATCAACATGAGCTTGGCGCATTCGGTGGCCTTATCCCAGCACTGGACGAAGAAGATGACTACGACGGCGGTGACGACGTGAACATTCATCCATACCCTGAAGAGGATGAGGACGATGGTAAGTAGCTTTATCCTCGTCGTAAATCATGCACTAATTATAGCAGATGACGACGACGACGAGGATGAAGATGACATGGACGAAGACGACTATGCTTTCGAACCTTATCTTGGTGAGTCCTTCCTGTCACCCCCACCGATTGGTGGCCAATCCACACTATATTTACCAACACCAAATTTTGAAGACGACGGTCCTCCCCCCCATATCTTATCTAGTAGTATGGGCTGGGATGTATTTGAGGATGGTCTTGGCGGTGGCCACAACCACCGACACAGACATGGTTTCAGAGGTCCCTTTCCGCCTATTCCTCTGATGATGGGGGGGCCTAGGGATCCCCTCCTGGCTGGTGGTATGTTTCCATTAGACCCTGCGCCTGGGAATGGTAGTCATCCCAGAGCACTGCGTGCTATCGATGAGACGTACCGTAGCACTATTGAAGTGCTGGATAGACTGTTGTCTTTAGATGCTAACAATCCAGCTCTAGCGATGCGAAACACCTTCATGCGACCCGGCCGAAATGATCGATCCGGCACCAATGACGATGGCCTTAATCCCCTCCTCCGACGTGTTAATGAACCAGGACGCGATGGCCCATCCCGGCCACACGGCTCCCTAGCCCGTATCCTGCGCGGCCATGGCGGAAGCCCGCTTGCGTTGATCAACGAACTAATCACAAACCAACTACCTGCTTTGGGTGGTGGTGGCCCCCCATTGCAGTTCCACATTAGTGCTGCCGGCTCCAATGGTGAAATCCAGGAGATTACTGTTCCTATTACCCATTCTCGCGATCCGATAGCCGAGACTCGACATGGCAACCAAGATCCTTCACAAGCGTCAACATTTTCTACGGAGAATACGATCAGTCGATGGCACGAAGAGGCCAAGATGGTATTCGGTCAGAACCATGCTGAAAAAATCGTGAAGCTCCTACCCGCACTACTCTACTACCTTGTCCCGCCCGCAATCCAGCGAGATAAGGAGCAGAAGGCCAAGGATGCTGAGATCAAACGCAAGCAAGAAGAAGAGCGCAAAAAGCGCGAGGAAGAGGACCGTCAGGCAAGAGAAGCCAAGGAAGCTGAAGACAAAGCTGCCCGTGAAAAGGTGGAAGCAGAGGAGCGTGAGCGCGCCGAAGCCGAAGCTGCTGCTCGGGCAGCTGCGAATCCCACTTCAGCTGAAGGCGCAAAACACGATGACGATGTAGATGCTATGGAGGGTGTCGAGAGTAACGACCAACCGACAACGCCTTCTCAGCAGACGGCTGATCAGCCTCGCGTCACAACCATAATCCGCGGCGAGGAAGTTGACGTGACAGATTTGGGCATTGATGCTGATTATTTGGAGGCGCTCCCCGAAGAGTTCAGAGAAGAAGTTATTGCTCAAGCAGTCACACAACGTCGATCGCAAGCCCGGGAAACGCCCCGACGCGCCGGAGAACAGCCCGAGGTCTTTCAGGAGTTCCTTGATGCTCTTCCTGAAGACATCCGCCAAGAGATTGTGCAACAGGAACGTGCAGAGCAACGGCGTCGCGATCGTGAAGAAGCCAGACGCCAGCAAGCTGCCGCTGCAGGTCAAGGTCCCGTTGCTCAGGAAATGGATACAGCTAGTATCCTGATGAGTTTTCCGCCCGACCTTCGCGAACAAGTACTTCTGGATCAAGGGCCGGATTTGATGGACTCTTTGCCTCCGGAAATGGCGGCTGAAGCCCGACGCTTGGTTCGCCATAACCCTGCCGTCGTGCATCGCCATCGAGATGGTGTAGGCTCTGGCCAAGCTGCAGCATCAGGTCAGCCCAGCGGCAGTGTGAACTTGAACATCAGACCTGAACGCAAGACTGTCGTTCAAATGCTCGACAAATCCGGCGTCGCAACGTTACTTCGACTCATGTTCATCAATATTAAGAGCGGTACGATGGAAAACCCGTTGAAGCACGTAATCAAGGACATATGTCAAAATAAGCAAACCAGACTCGATGTTGTGAGCACACTGCTCCAGATCTTGCAAGATGGCACGACCGATTTGGAGGCCGTCGAGCGCAGCTTTACTCAACTGTCTATCAAAGCCAAGCAATCATCCAAGGACAAGGAGGGTAAGACACCGCAGTCGCACTTGAAGCGGTCGTTGACAAATACTACTACCAACGCCAACCCGACCATCACCAATTCTGAGACCTCGCCCGTTCTTATCATCCAGCAATGTCTTGACTTACTTTGTTTCCTGGCTGACGAAGATGTTCACATCCCGGCGCTTTTCTTGACTGAACATGATACTGTTGCCTCGAGTTTAAAGCGCAGCTTGAGCCGTAAGGGCAAAGGCAAAGTTCCTGACCTAAAGTCTCATAAGTATGCCATCAACTCCTTGTTGGCACTACTTGACCGTGATCTAGTCATCGAAAGCTCAACTATTATGGATAGTTTGTCCCAATTGCTTGGCCGAGTCACTCTACCCCTTCTTGGTCTGGACCGTAAGCTGAAGGAGGCCGACGAGACTATCAAGAAGCTCGATAAGGAGATCGAGGAAGGTGAAGCAGTAGTAGCAAAGGCTGCAAAATCCGAGGTTGGCTCGGAAACTAGCCAGCCTGCGACCCTCGAACAAACCGATATCGGTGCAGAAACCACGACAGCAACATTGGGCGCCACGACTGATGCCCATGCTACTGCTGAACCTATCACGCCCGGGAAGGCGGCTGAGAGTGTTGCCAAGGCTAAAGAGAAACGCGATGCTCTTCAAAAGAGGATCAAAACATATGTTCCCCCACAGATCCCCGTTCACAACTTGAAACTGGTCATCAACATCTTTGTGGCGCGGGAGTGTAGCTCGAAAACCTTCAAGGAGACTTTGTCAGCTATCAAGAACCTCTCCGTCATTCCCGACGCCATGGACGTCTTTGGCGAGGAACTAGCAAGACAGTCCCGTCTTCTCAGCGAAAAGATTGTTGTCCACCTCGACGAGCTACTTCCCCACATCGAAAAAGCTTCAACTGGTACGGAGATCCAAGGAGTGGCCCTGGCTAAGTTTTCTCCTGGCGCTGCGGATCAAAACAAGTTGCTGCGTATCCTCACAGCACTGGATCACCTTTTTTCCTCAAAGAAGTCTGACTTCACATCTGGCTCTGGGCCTAGTAATGAGACCAAGTTTGATCTGCTCGCTACTCTCTACCGTAGCCCTACATTCCACGCCCTTTGGGAGAGACTGAGCTCATGCTTGAGTGCTATTCGACAACGAGAAAGTCTCATAAGCGTTGCCACCATACTGCTTCCGTTGATCGAAACACTCATGGTTGTCTGCAAAGATACAGCCAACCCGGAACCAGTCGCAACTCAGCAAGTTTCAATCGCAAGTCCGGCACCAGAATCTCCCATGACCAATCTTTTCCTCAATTTTACCGAAGAGCATCGTCGTATTCTCAACGAGCTTGTTCGCAACAATCCATCGTTGATGAAGGGGACCTTTCAAAACCTCGTCAAGAACCCTAAGGTCCTTGAGTTCGACAACAAGCGCAATTGGTTCAACCGCAGCGTTCATAACAGGAACCAGATTCGTGATGGGCGAACGTTCCCTTCACTGCAACTGTCTGTCCGCCGTGATCAGGTCTTCCATGACTCTTTCAGGTCGCTCTACTTCAAGAGTGGCGATGAGATGAAGTTTGGCAAATTGAACATCCGCTTCCATGGCGAAGAGGGTGTTGACGCGGGTGGTGTGACGCGAGAGTGGTTCCAGGTCCTCTCGAGACAGATGTTCGATGCCAACTATGCCTTGTTTGTCCCTGTGTCCAGCGACCGCACAACTTTCCACCCGAACAAGCTTAGCGGCATCAACGATGAGCATTTGATGTTCTTCAAGTTCATTGGCCGCGTCATTGGCAAAGCTCTTTACGAAGGTCGCGTCCTTGACTGTTATTTCAGCCGTGCTGTGTACAAGAGAATCCTTGGCAAGACCGTGTCAGTCAAGGATATGGAATCCTTTGATCCAGACTACTACAAGTCCCTTGTCTGGATGCTTGAGAACGACATTACTGATATTATCACTGAGATGTTCTCAGTTGAGACGGATGAGTTTGGTGTTACCAGAACAGAAGATTTATGTGAAAATGGTCGCAACATTCCCGTCACCGAGGATAACAAGCAGGATTACGTCCGTCTTGTTGTTGAGCACAAGCTGCTGAGCTCGGTCAAAGAGCAGATGGAACATTTCTTGAAAGGTAAGTCGAATTTCCAAGTATAGTTGTGAACTGCATGATTAACATGATGATAGGTTTCCACGAGATCATTCCTGCGGAGTTGGTTTCCATCTTCACTGAGCAGGAGCTTGAACTGCTCATCTCGGGTCTGCCTGACATTGATGTCGATGACTGGAAGAGCAACACGGAGTACCAAAACTACACACCGTCGAGTCAACAGATCCAGTGGTTCTGGCGTGCAATCCGCTCATTTGACAAGGAAGAACTAGCCAAGCTTTTGCAGTTCGTGACGGGAACCAGTAAGGTGCCTCTCAACGGTTTCAAGGAGCTGGAGGGCATGAATGGCGTCAACCGCTTCAACATCCATCGCGACTATGGCAACAAGGACCGCCTGCCCAGTTCACACACCTGTTTCAACCGTAAGTACACGGACAATATGATTTACCGCTCTCTTGAAAGAAAGACACTAACTCTAGATTGTAGAGCTTGATCTCCCCGAATACGAGAGCTATGAAACTCTCCGCGCACAAGTTTTGAAGGCAATCACTGCTGGTAGTGACTACTTCGGCTTTGCCTAAAACAACTACTTCCAGTCGTACAAGACCAAGACTCGTCCTCGCATCCATCTTCTTCTCCCACATTCATGATGACGATGAATTGGATTGTACGAACATATCAGACACACGGTTGGCGAATGGAGACATAGCATGGCATGGCATGGATTTAGCACTTTGCTGCTTTATACACTTTGATTTTTTTTCTTCTTTTCTTTTGGGAGTCTGCTTGTCAATAAGAGAGCATGAAGAAATATTTCTGACAACTGATCCGAGCCATACTGGACGGAGTGCAGGCCAAAAGGTATGGTCTCGGTTTTGGCTTAGTCTCGAAATATTATTTGCATCTGTAAGATAGGCTTTGAGCCAGCAAGCCAATGGTTAATAGAGGCAGTGAACTCATACTGTGATATGTGATAATTCATGCGTGGTGTTAAAATATGCTTTCGAAGTTATAGTTCCTTTGTACGGACCAAGTGCAAAACATTCAGCAACAGTAAGCAAAGCAGGCAGGGGACTGCACCATATGATCCAGATGATTCAGTATTTCTCAAACACAGGGGTCATGCCCATAAGCCCTTTTATATTTTTAACCTGTTTGATTATTTTATTTATTTCGTTTCTTTCTTTCCTTTCTTCTCTTCTCCTCTCTCCTCTCCATGTATCAAGTGCATCAAACATGTTTGTCACAATGATAGTTGCTAATGATTAGTAAATCCTTATCGATAACTGGATGTGACGTGACTACCCCGCGACACCTCGTCTAAAATCGGCGCGAAAAGAAGACAAGCAGGAAAAAGAAAAGAAAAAAGGAAAAAAGGGAAGGGAGGAAAGGGTAACACTGACAGCGGAATTAGGTCCGATCTACGGCGATCCACCTTTTTCCCCACACCCTGAAAGAAGCTTTGCAGCAGAGTGCGTCAAATCGGCTCTATTTCGTAACAACAGCCGGTAAGGCTGGTGTAGTAAAAGTTTTTGTTACTGGCATGTGAGCTTGGTCTGAGAGCTGAACCCTTTGGAACTTGCTCAGCAGGCGAATAGCTAACAAGGCAAGGCAAGGCAAGAAGATAAAAGAGCAAGATTCGACAAGACATTTCCCCGTGGATTCATTCATCCATCCATCAGGTTGACCTGCTTGATCTCACACTTGCTCAGTTCTCAGATACCCCTCCATAAGTCAGTCAGTCAGTCAGTCAATCAACGAACGGCAGCACGAGAATCGAGAACCTCGCACGAGTTTTATTAACTCCAAAGCAACTTTGCGCCGATTGGATCCCGGTATCAAGCTGAGGTCGATTTACCGCACTGTTACAACCTGCGAGGCTTACTGCAGTGTCACCAAGCACAAGCAAGAAATTGCTTTTTTTTCTTACTTGACCATTATATATCGATATCTACCAACCGAGCCTTCTCTTCCTTCTGCTGGTCAACATGGGCGACATGGCGAACGAGATCAAGCTGCTCTCGGGCAACAGCCACCCGAGCTTGGCCAAGGCCGTAGCTGATCGGTAGGTTTTCTTTTTATTCTTCTCCTTCTTTTTCCTCTTTTTTTTCCCCTTAGAAGATTTTTTCCGCCTCCTCCTTCCAAACTGCACAACTGCGGTTTCGGGTGGTTTGAAATGCACTCATCCAGTCTTGGGCTACCATTCGCTATCAGTGATGCAAATGGGCTGGATTCCCGAGTGACGATGTGTCTATCGACTAGTACAATACAACGAAGCTGACGGGTAAACCTCAAGGCTCGGCATCGAAATTGCGAAGACCATGTCCCTGAACTACTCGAATCAAGAAACCTCAGTCACAGTTGGTGAATCCGTCAGAGACGAGGATGTCTTCATCCTGCAATCAACCGCCCCCAACAACATCAACGACGGCCTCATGGAGCTGTTGATCATGATCCACGCCTGCCGAACTGCCAGTGCCCGCCGTATCACAGCCGTCATTCCCAACTTCCCTTACGCCAGACAAGATAAGAAGGACAAGAGCAGAGCCCCCATATCCGCTAAGCTCATTGCAAACATGCTGGTCACTGCAGGATGCAACCATGTTATAACCATGGACCTCCACGCCAGCCAGATCCAGGGATTCTTCAACGTGCCCGTGGACAACCTCTACGCAGAGCCCAGTGTCTTGAGATGGATCAGAGAGAACCTGGGGGGGGAGGATATTGTCATCGTCAGTCCGGACGCTGGTGGCGCCAAGAGGGCAACCTCGATCGCCGATCGTCTAGACAGAGGTTTCGCTCTCATTCACAAGGAGCGCCCTCGTCCCAATGTCGTGGGTCGCATGGTGTTGGTAGGAGATGTCAAGGACAAGGTTGCAATCCTGGTGGACGACATGGCAGACACCTGCGGCACCCTCGCCAAAGCCGCGCAGGTCTTGTCCGATAATGGGGCCAAGGAAGTTGTCGCCATTGTTACACACGGCATCCTCAGTGGCGACGCCATCAACATCTTGAACAACAGCGTCCTATCCCGTATCGTCGTCACGAATACTGTGCCCCTCGGCGACAAGGAGGAGAGATGCAAGAAGCTCAAGGTCATTGACGTGTCACCTACCATCGCCGAGGCGATCCGCAGGACGCACAACGGTGAGAGTGTTAGTTTCTTGTTCACACACGCGCCCGTCTAGGAGCCCGGCACGGCAATGTGGACGGAAGAAAGGAGTCGGGTGGGGAGGTCGATGCGCCGCTCTGGGGACCAATCATCAAGCTCAATTACAAAATCACTATAAGGAGTTACCGGCTGGGAATTATACGGCATGCTGCTCTGACTTTCTGCTATTTCGCCTAGGATCGGTGGTGCTGTTGCTAGTATTATTGGCCAAGGCAATCTGGGATTTTTGGTCAATGGGTCTTGAGTCTGACTTGTCCCTTTTTCTTGACTTGGTGATTTTTGTCTTGTGATATCAGAGTCAAGCATACGCTCAGACAGAACGGAAGAAAAGTTAAGAAAAAATCTCCCCCAAGAGCTGAGCCGCACGGGAATCTGTTCACTCCGTGTCGATAATCCGAAGCAGCGAAGATGTGTCCTTGCTATGTTACAGGCGTGTGGTGTGGTGCTTCTGACATTCGCATATCGGCTCGTGACAGCCATATAAAGCACTTCCCCCCGAGAATCGCAGGTTGCTTTTATTTACAGCTCGTTGTCCCGCCGCACGCCAACAAGTAGTTGACCGTTTCTCCGGTTCTGCAATCTGCGAGCGACTGCAGCAAGCTTTTTGGCCTGCCGACGGGTTTCGAGTAGAGTAGCGAAGCGGAAGGCGCGACTCGGTGGCATAAATGGGTAGGTAGGTTTTTGCTTCGCTTTGCTTCGCTTTGCTCGTGTAATGATGGGGCTCTGTGCGATTGCCTTGTGTGACATTATTCGTGGGCAGCGGGCGGAGGGGCAGGGGGGTTTTTTTTTTATTGTTGTTTTTTTGGTCTCATTTGGTAAGTCTTTCGTTCGATTGGAGATACACAGGCAAGGTAAATTTAAAATAAAAGTGACGAGATGGTCTTTGCGCAGTGTCTTTCGTCATCTTCTATCCCGAATCCGCCGCGGAAGCTTTACACACAGAGATCAAAGATCTCAAGTCCTGGTGGTGTCCGCAATGGCGTGCCCTCGTGATTTCCAAATATTTGGTCAAGTAGGTGAATCTCGAAGGCACCCTTCCTCTGATGCTGCTTGGAAATAGTCCTACGAGATCCAGTCATGGCGAATTGACTCTTGCGATCGCCAGCAACAGGCGGACGCCCTAGGAAGATGAAGGATAGCCACAGGAAGATCACCAGACCTGCGAAAGCTTATTTCGAAGCCGAGTGTGTTACTTCCTACACAACTCCCGTATTACGACTCTCAAGATAATTGAGCTTGTGGCAGTACTGGCGCTCAGACGCGTGATGGAACTACCACTTGACTAGATCACGGAGCATGGGGAAGCCTTCCAGGAAGAAGGGGAGGCACAAGGACAGAGTTGGGTATCATCGGAATCATCAACCTCTTATTTTGTGCTGAGAAATTACATCTCATGATCTAGCTAAAAGGGGCAATACAAACCATATCTCATGATGGAAGCCCACTAGTCCACGCCAGCAAAACTATGACTATGCCCATTTTGCCATGAATGTCGTTTCCCTTTCCGCAATGCAAGAGAACCAGAAGGAAGCGAGACACCTAACCCAACGCCTGTAGAGAGATATCTTACTTGCGCATGGAAGACGCACGTCTCTTACGGTTCTCGGCCTTCTGGGCACGAGCCTCGGAGACACGCTTGGCAAGGAGAGAAGCGTACTCAGCCTGGAAGATATAGATTAGTATGGGAGGGCTAGAGAGGAGAGAAATGAGGCGAGGGAAAACATACAGCCTCGTCCTTGACCTTCTCGGATTGGCGGCGCTTGAGTGCGATTCTGTGGCGTTTGTGCTGGAGACGCTGGGGAGTAACCAGTCTCTGGATCTTGGGAGCCTTGGTGTAAGGCTTCTTGCCCTCACCCTTGGGCTGGATCTCACGTCGGATGACGTACTTGCGAACCTAATTGTAGCATATTAGCCATGCTCTCGCTTTGCTTGGGGGGATGTTTCCATATTCAATCGTCTCGCATCTCAGACTCTGCCCGGTGGTATTCATTGCGAAGGATTCTTCTCTCTCATCCTGCAGTAGCAACGACCGGGCAGGTGATGACGAGTCGTTGTGGTGGATTGTCAACACTCACATCGTCATCCTTGCTGAGGTTGAAGAAGCGGCGGATCTTGGTGGCGCGCTTGGGACCGAGACGCTTGGGGTTGACGACGTCGGTAAGGCCGGGGAGCTCGTTGTCACCCTGCTTGACGATGGCGAGAGCGAGGACAGACAGGTCCATGCCGACGATGCAGCCACGGACGGACTTCCTCTTGCGCTCACCAGTGCGGCGGGGGCGGTAGCAGGAGTGACCCTCGGCGAGCAGGAGTCGGACACGGGTAGGGTGCATGACACCCTGCTTCATGGGGAAACCTTGCTTGTCGTTACCACCAGTGATGCGGAAGATGTAACCCTTGAACTCGTCGCCAAGGTTGTCACCGGGGACCTCAGCGCCCATCTGTTGGAAAGAAATCGGTCAGTAAATGGTCATGTCTTGTGTATGTGGCGCTGAACATATTGCGGCCACCAGGAGCCCGAGCCAATTTCCGAGGCCGAACTGGAGCTGATAATGTTGTCTCCTCCATCTCTTGTGTGTTCCACTCCCATCTATGCAGATCGAGTCTTCAACGGGCAGCGTTCGACCTCTTGACTCTTCTTTTTCAAAATGGCAGGTGGACGGTACTGGTGTTCGGCAGGATCCAGGTGGTTCAAACGTACGCGCTTCTCCATGAAGTCCCGGAGCTTTCGCTCATCCTCAATCTCGATCAGCTTCTGGCTGCCATTGGCAGGGTAGGAGATGTTCAACTTCATCTTGGCGGAAGTTGTGCTGGCGACTGCTGTTGGGTTAGTCGGAGGTTGCTTGTCGAAGAGCGAGAAGTCGGGATACTATCTCAGAGTGAACCCACCTGAAAGAAAACTGAATTGTGTGGGCTTGATTTTTCCGATGTGGTCTGTGCTTCAGGGTTTTTTGTCGGATCGAAAGAGTAAAGTGGGTCTAGCACCCTGGCAAGCTGGTCGCTGGGACTTTGGGAGTGCCCCAAGCTTGCCAAGGTGGACATATCGATTGCAAGTGTTGCCCAAATGGGTCAGTGCGCCCTTCGCATTGTGTTTTCTGGTACGACACGCCTGAGATCCCTCTCATGCACCGGACTTTATCCGACTATATTTCCCCAAACGTAGCAACAATCGCAAGTTCCAACAAGAACACACAACTGACCCAGGACCATACCGTAGGGCGTGCCTCTGGTCTCGCTTACCTCTGATTTGGCGCTATGGACACCTCAGTCAAGCTTCATCCCCGGCCATCTGGTCGCACCGATCTCATATGCAACCCGCTCCCTCAGCTGATACAAACACCATCGGGTTTGGCACTGCTCGAACTGCAAGGCATCATCAATTTGCCACAAACCGATGCTGAGTTACAGGGCCAGTCACCAGAGATACCCATTGGTCGTATACGTTTTCCAGACTACAATCCTAATGCTCTAGATCCTTCAAACACATCATGGATGAAGCAAGTTCATTTGTACGTCGGTCAGCACCAAAGGTTGACTGGAGAGGTCAAGAAGCTACCCAAGGCTCTGGCCATAATACGAAAACGTACCGCCAATGCGCAGGATCCCGCCATGGCAGATGCTGCAGTGGAGGCGGGGAGTGAAGATCTAGAGGTGGTGGAAATCGTGAAGCACAAAATCGTATTCTCTTCTCGACCAGAACCTGTTGGCACAAGTTGAGTCATACACAAAACCAACAACTTTCCAACCACTTTCTCTCATCTCATGCCTCACATTGCTGTCTCTCACATTTTGTCCGTATATCTTCTCATCGCAATGCACATTGGCCCGAACAGTTTCTGTCCAGTTTATGCTTTCTGGGCATTTGCAGGCTTCATAATGCTTTTCATCTTTCCAAAACTCTGATTTTGCGCTGTTGGTCTTCTGGACACTATTCGGTTCTTGGAGAGATTTACCTCCCATCTAGAGAGCAGCAATTTCTCAGTGCTCGGCTCGCCTACAAGACGGCTCGAATGGTCTTTTACCCCAGGTCCAAAAAGAAAAAGAAAAAGAAGGCGAGCCCTGATATGATGGTGGCCTATAAACCAGATGACACATTCAAATACTCGCCTTTTCACTTTCACAGAGACAAACTCCACCGCCAATCAGGCTCACGAGGACCCTGAACTAAGTTTTTGGTCATGTGCGAACTATAAGATAACAGAACTTCGACGAAAAGAAAAAGGAGAAGGGAAGAAAAAAAAACTAACTAACAGTGGTTCTATTGACATTTTTATCGTTTAATAACAGGGCAGCAAATATCAATGCAAATCGCGACTTATTTCCATAACAACAGCGTGATGCTACGTCGAGAATCTTAGTAAGCTCCAAGTCCATTTCGAAAAGCAGTGCAAGGAGTGCGAACCCATCAAGCAAGAGAAGAAGATAGCCTAGGTTCAAGCGTAATATACCTCGCAGTAAAACTGGGTTCGGTGGAAGAAAAATCTAGTCCGGCGGCCTGCTGACCATTCTCCCCGTTCACGGAAGATACTTCTTGCTCACATACCATTTACCTGCACAAAATAGTGCCCCACGCCTCGACGATTGCCGACAAAGTAATCCATAGTCAGGACTCGAAAACAACCTCAGGCAAACTGTCTTATCGCTACTTGGAGCCTGGCTCTTCTCTTCTGATTTTCTCTCCCGGCCTGTCTGATCCGTGTATCGCGACTATATGCTTATAAACTTCCCAGGCCTTTGTAAATCATGTCACGGATGTTACAACCAATCCAGAGACCGACAACGGTAGTCCTCCAATATAACTCAGTTGGTATGTTGTATAGACACGACATTTCCAAATCTCGCCAGCCTCGAGGCTCTTCTGGACCGCACCGTACCGAGGTTTGCCCCACAGATCCATCGGAAAGCGGTCGCCGAAGGAGGTCCTACCGTCCGAGAATAGTCCATGAACGGGTTGGATCTCTCCACGACAACTGTAATCGTAGCATTCTGATTAGGTGCCTCGCCAATCATTGCCAGAATGACGTGCTGATATCCCTGCTATTGCATGCGATTGCAAGCTCACGTATCCGTATACTCTTGGCTTAGCTTGGTCTTGGCTACCCACACGTTCATAGAATCCGATGCCGATCGGACGAGTTATCTATGCTTAGATAAAAGAAGCTGAACATCGCTTCCAGAGTTCTGGAGTTCATCCTAACTGCAGTGCTCGAGCGAGTTATCATCAAAATGGCAGAGGTGACAGGGGAAAAGCCTAGGAAATCCGTGCGTGTCATACACTAAAGCGCTTGATGTTGTGTGATGTATTGACAAAAGCTAGTTTCGGTCGTTCATATGGGATACGGACACCCATTTGAAGAGCCCGGAAGAGAGGAGACTCCTTCGAAAGCTAGATGCCTCAATTTTGAGTATTGGATGTTTCGGATTCTTCGTGCGTCATAGAGCCTCGACTGTTAACTAGACCACGCATAAAGCTAACACCTATCATAGCTCAAATACTTGGATCAGAACAATATCACAAATGCCTACGTCAGGTCAGTCAGTGGTGGTCTCCTCGGCATTCCTTGTCGTAATACTGCGACTAACAGAGTGTTTTTCCAGCGGAATGCAAGAAGATCTGCAGATGTACGGGAATGAATACACATATGCACAAACAGCTTACACCTGCGCTTATGCTGTCATGCAAATCCCCAGCACCTTGATCATCCAACGTATTCGACCCAGCTGGTGGTTGGCTTTGATGGAGATCGCTTGGGGCAGTTTCACCTTCGCCCAGGCTGGACTTCGTAACCATACTCAGCTTTACGTCTTCCGATTCATGATTGGGTTCTTCGAAAGTTCGTGGTTTCCATGTATGCTCTTTGTCCTCGGCAGTTGGTATACGAAGACCGAATTAGGTATGTCAGGCGGTGTTGCAGTACCCTTAGCGGTACCCTTGGTCTAACAAACTGCGCAGCCAAGCGAGTTGCCATTCTGCACATGACAGCACCCATTGGAACTGCCTTCAGCGGCTATCTTGTAAGGCACCATATATGAGCAGATGTACTATAAGATACGGCTGACATGTAATTGCAGCAAGCAGCAGTCTACAACAATCTTGATGGTGTGCACGGCATGGCTGGTTGGCGATGGCTTTACATCATCTGCGGCGTGATGACCGTACCCGTTGGAATAATTACCTTCTTCTTCTTCCCGGATACACCGCATAAGACCACTGCTTTCTTCTTGACAAAACAGGAAAGAGAACTCGGACTTGAAAGAGTCCGTAAAGCAGGGAAGGCCGCACCAGCAGCTCTGGATTTCCGTCGGATCGGACAGATTCTTAAAGGGTGGCGTAAGTATTTGATTTCGTGTCCTGGCTTGCCATTTCTTGCGCTGACAGCTATTTAGGATGGTGGCTATTGGTCCTTGGTTATGTAGTAAGTATTATAATACCGTAGCTCTGGGGAAACCACTGACGCTGGGTTGTAGCTATACGGCACGAGTTGCCAAAACAGCAGCTATTTCGCTATCTGGCTGAAGGCCGAAGGCTTCTCTGTGGCCTCTAGGAATATCATTCCTACAGGCACAAGTCTCATTTCGGGATTTTGTGTAGTACTGGTATGTCTCTACACGTTTTACGACCACCAAATATTTTCAACCTAAATCGGGGTGACTAACGAGGCTTCAGTGGGGTTTCCTATCCGATTACACCGGCTCTCGTTTTGCCTTCGTTGTAGGGCCTCTTGTGAGTCAGGACCAAATTTCAATAAGAAAATGAGGATTACTGACGATAAGGAAGATCTATGGTCTCTTGCCAACCGGTATACTAGCCTTCTGGCCCGCAAGTGTACAGTTCAAGGAGTTCGCATTCCTTACAGGTGGTGTGCAACTGATGACAGCTATTTTTTACACATGGGCAAATGAGATATGTGCGGATAACAACGAGGAGCGAGCGTTGGTTGTGAGCTCGATGAACGGCTTCCAATACGCTGTGGCAGCTTGGCTTCCCATTTTGATCTTCCCGCAAACCGAGGCGCCGACCTTCCGTAAAGGCTTCCCCTCAACATTCGGCTTCGTGATTGCAGCCATTATCTGTGTCTGCACAATACAATGGTTCGCTTTGAGAGAAAACAAGAAGCGGGCTGCGGCCCAGTCTGTAGAGGACCCGAGCGTCGATGGTTCAGTTGCTGGTAGTGACGCTGAAAAGTCTGGCTTCCCGGATACGAAAGCAAAGGAACTGGGACCCGCGATCCCGGCTACTGTCTAGAAATACGCCAGGAATAACTGAATAGGGGTGCGTGGTTCTCGTATGGGGTTACGAGACCTTGCCGGCAGCTCCCATGTGTAGTTGTAGAATACGGGATGCTGATCGAGTATCTATGCATGGGGCTGAACTTGGTTAAGCGTTACATAGACGTGTCATTAGTTGATTCTAGGCTTGTTTTCATCTTTGGTAGTGGCGATCAGGGAATAAGGGGTCCTTCAAGCGTTTGTAGTTGTGTTAATTTTGCTTGTGGCTGCTTCTATCCAGTCACGATGAGAGACTGACGTTGAAAGCGTGTGTTGCAGCAAAACCTATGGTAGCAAACAGTACGTTACGAGTCATCGAAGTTTCTAAAGCTATACAAGTTTTTGGTTTATTTGTGTTGGTGGTCTCGGGTAGCATTACGCCACATAAACCACAAGTTCGCGCCCGTGTCCCTCAAAGTAAGTATGTATCAATTTAAGGTGAGAAACAATCACCTGCTAATTTTCCGCAGGTCTTTACCCATCTTACTGCGTACGTTTTAACAGGTGAGGTCAAGCACAATCTTGTGATAAGCACCAAGGGCAGATGATGATTGTCAATGGTGAGCATCTGGTTAGTGTTTCAATTTTAATTTTCAATATAATATACTAATCACTCATCATCACCTAGGCTGTGTGTAGAAGAAGAGTTCGCCATTGCTATAAGCAAGAATCTTGGTATGAAGAATGAAGTTCGAGACCAGCTCAAAGGCGGAAGTTGAAGAAGTTCTGTAGGCTCAGTTTGAGTGGCAACTCTTTACTCTAGTATCTCCTGAAGTAGGTAAACCCGCCCCCCCCCCCCCCGCGGAAGTAATATATGAAGCAAAAAGCTCTATATGTAAAGACAATGTCCAATTTCAATTGAAACGCGAGATTCATTGAAGACCTCATCATAACAGGAAGGGCTTTTCACTACATATCCCTACCCTTTGTACGCTTTTATATACAACACCCAAAAAGGTTTCCACAAATCTTCGGGCACTTAAAGCCTATCACACCTGAAAACCCACTAGGTTAGAACTTACTATCTTCACTTATGAATATAACCACAACGCGGTTCTTCAATGTAGCTTAAATTAATACCACGAAGTCTTCTAGGCTTTTGAACTTTACAAAGAGTGTCGTGACAAAATTTCAGCTCCCTTTTGGTGGCCTATCTAAGCCTACATAGTAAACGTAAGCTATATAGAATCACCGACGAAAACCGCACTAACGTCAATTCGCCTCTCGTCGCCGACCTTGTCATTGTACTACCTTCAACATGAATACCAATACGAGACGAATTTGCAACAACAACCACCACAGGCGTAGTGGCAGAGTGGTCTAATGCGTGAGACTAGAATCGGTGATTCTAATCACAGTGCAATCTCATCTCTTCGGAGGCGTCTGTTCAAATCAGGCCTACGTCGCAATACATCTTTTTGGATTTTTCATCCCCTAATCAAGGCAATTTCACTGTATATATTTTTGATGCAATACACAGCCACGGCAGAGTATGGGCGAGTGGACGTGGTTGGTATTTCGATGAGGCGACAGTTGAAAAGATCTCAACAGCGCAAGTAGGATAGCATCTAACAAAGAAAGGCATTTTCTGACAAAAGGGATGACGAGCTGAGGCTTGTTTGTGTGGAACGGTCCAATCCTGAGGTCGGCATGTTCGGCATATACGAATAGCCTCGTATAGCAGAAGAAGGTAAAGGGTGTTGTAATAATGAATGTAGAGGCTTGACGTGCAATTCGTGCTACGTACTACGAGCTCTCTGTCACGGCCAAGATCAGACGGGATACCGCCTAACTCGCGTGATGAGATCGGTTCGACTTTGGCGACTTGAAGGTCAAGCAGGCTTTGCACGAGTTACTGAAAACGGATAATGAAGCATTTTCACTACCTAGATGAAGCTCACCATCTCCGTCCTAGGTCTTGTCAATTTTCAGTCTGTATGGGACTTGGGCTTCAGACTCACTTCGCTTCTGTCAAAGGAGGGCGCACGGGATACATGACGCCAACGAAGAACGAAGATGATTGATGTTCGATATGTGGCTCCAATACGCTACAATATAAAGGCACCATACCTTGAAAGCCTAGAAAGGCTGGTTGCCCTTCAGATTCCTAACCGCATGCCATAGCTACCTATGGCATCTTCCAGTCGCGGAGGGGACCATGCCTCCTCCCGCAATCTCAGAGCTGGGCAGAGGCAATGCAAGCCCTGTATCATTTGAGCATGGCAACCTTCCATCCTCTATAATCGTCATATCCCGTTCTCTTGTGGTCCACCTTCGCTGGATGCCTTCTGGCGGTAATGGTCTTGATGTTCTATCAGAAGCTTCACCCGGTGGGACCGCAGCCCATCGCAACCTTGCGCTCCTCATGCATGATGCAGCCCTCCTGTGGAAGCGCCAAAGGTACAATGAACAATATTCTTCGAGGCCGATCTATCGGTGTGATATAATAGATCTTCCTGAGGTTCGACCATATGTGGGCAGCCCATATACCTTCAGCTGCAACAATCTCCTAAAGCTCGCAGACTAGACCAGCGCTGCCGACTTCCTGCCTGCGTCACCCCGGCGGGTAGGTGGAGGGGATATAAAATATATGGGTCGATAGATGTTAGAAAACGGGTTATATCGGGAGGAGAAAATAGTTTATTGCGTCTAGGTTGGATGATGGGTGACGAACGGATGGCTACGCACAATTTCGTGACCGATGCAAATTACGGCATATATTCCGATGCCGGACTTAGGCTACTGCTTTGGACTAACTTGTGGACTCATCTAGGTAGAGTACAATATGTAATTATATCGTAAACTGCGCATATTTGGTCATTTCAGTGTCTGGGCCATGGACCACAAAGATAATAATCTGTTACAAACCTGCTGTAAGAACAGCAGTTGTCAAACCAAGCCTATATAGTTTCCTGCTTGCTCGGCTAGCTCAGTTGGTTAGAGCGTCGTACTAATATAATCCTTCACGGGTTATATCAAGTTAATGCGAAGGTCCTCAGTTCAATCCTGTGGCTGAGCAATCGATCTTTTGCTAGACATGTCAGTTGTGCATGGTTCTCATTTTTGTTGTTTTTGGATCTTTTCGGGTGGATTAAATGAGAGTTATACGGACTGTTAGTTTTATGCTTTACCGAAGGAGAGTTACGCCGGCTATCCAGGTTGCTATACCGTGGTAGAGTGTATTGTATTTTTGTGTATTAGTAGTGCAAATACGGGTCGATATTGTCAAGAATGACAGTGTTCATAAGAGCTCTAACTGTTCCGATATGTGGGTTATTACGCCTTGTGCTGTCTCGAAAACTATATGTTGTTCTTTACTAGTCTTAGCCGTGCATGCTAAATTTCACACAACCATATGACCGACTCGAACATTTACCAGTGTAAATGTGGCTACTTGTTTTTATCGCAGATTATATTACTAGCCTCCTCTTAGGACAAGTGTGTAGCCACTAGACTTTCTGCGTTCTCCCGTAATGTACTAAGGTTAGTAAAATTCACCGAGTAGACAATTTTAGGCATCGAGAACTTTTTGTACGCACTAATTATTCGTCAATGAGGCACCACGCTAATATACAAACTCAGGAATGACAGACAAAGCTAACAAGTACTCGACACGTATCAACGCATTCGATGCCCAGTGACCCTGAAAAATGGCACCCCGATGATTTGATGTAACGACCAGAATCCAGGGGCCTATATATAAATATATGTGAAGTAGACGCCTAAGGAATGGAAAAACTCCCAAAACGCCAGACAAACCCAGACCTCAACCCAAGACAATAAAAGAATTCCCACAGAATTGCAGTACCAATCTGTGGAATCCGTGACGAGACTGCGCGGGCCGAGCTGCTGAAAGCCAATCCAGAATTGACAGCAGTGCCGGTTGGGCGCAGGCAACCTCAGAAAGCATAAAGCTGGGATGCTGAACCTTGAGAGATAGCCACTCATGCCTCGAACAGACAACAATGTGTTCGAGCTACAGGCGACGGGCGCATGTCCCTGCGGGTTTGCATCTGTATGTTTGAGTATACACAGTTGTTAAAAATGTGCCACGAGTTGAAAGCCAACAGTCCAAAGCGCGGCAAAGTTGTACCACAAGAAAGTGTGATATTGTTACCTGTTGGTGACAAAGAGGAAGGTTCGCATTAATGCAAGGGCTATTCACATCGTAACATGCATGACATACGGCGATACATGGCACGGGCATGATGGCAGCAGATCGAGACGGTTTTGGTCGCTCCATATGGAGAGTATATTTCGAGCTAAGCCTCGGGCGTAGTCTTCTCCGCACTTATAGGCTCAGTCTATAGTCCAAAAAAGAAAAAAGCGAGACCACTTTGGTGACCTGCTAAAGAGAAAACGTCTACAATCAATGCCCTGAGATTTGTCCCATCTCTACGTATTCCGGGCGCAGACGGGTGTCCCAACCATGTCAAGGACAACAAGACACAAGATACAAAATCCCAAATCGCAACATAATATCCGAAACGCCGTCTAATGCTTAGCAGTAACCGTCTCGCCGGTCAGCTTCTCGACGTAGGTCTTGGCCATGTCACCCATGGCAACCATGCAGACCGTCTGCCAAACGCTGAGACCGATACGAGGAGCAACGCCACGGTACAGGCCCTTGAAACCGTTCTGCTGGTAGATGTACCTGGCGGTGTTGCCGACGGTCATCTTCTTGGGACGGTTGGGGTCCTCCTTCTTGCTTTGCATCTCGACACGAATGACCTCAATGGGCTGGTTCCAGGCGGACAGACCACCACCCAGAGCAGAGGCGGTGATCTTCTCGACCGCACTCAGCTTCTCGCCGTCCTTCTTCTTGGTAAGATCACGGATACCCTGCTCGGCCAGACGAGACAGACCGAATCGGGAACCCCAGTTGGTCATCTGCCGGATAGCAACGGCGTTGACACCCTTGTTGATACCCTTGATACCCTCCTTGCGGTAGATATCCATGAACGTGGCAAAGGTGCTCTGGGGCTTCACACCGGTGGCGGCCAACTTGTGCTGGGTGATTTCGACCGTCTTCATACAGGTACAGAAACCCATGGTAGCATAAGCCTGGGCGACGCCACCAGCGACACCTCCCAGAATACCACCACCGAATTCGGAAGCACCGGCGGAACGGGCGTAGTATTCGGCCTCGGACGCGACGAAGAGGAGGACAGCGCCCTTGGTGGACGCCTCGATCCAGGCCCATGGGATAAGACCTTGGTAGACTGTAGAAGGAAACGGCATGTCAGCATCTATGCAGCTTTCAAGGCGAGCAGCAGGAATGCTGGACAAGAGTACTTACACCCAAAGACACCACCACGATTCCAAATGCGTCCCAGGGCCGTGACAAAGTTATCGCCACGGTTCGCAGCCATGGTGGTCTTGACGACCTCGAGAGGTTGGCCCAGGGACTAGATGAGACATGTCAGCACACTGGCTTATCGGAAGGAATGCCCGCAAGCGAATAATGGGATACGACGTTGGACCGAGTGTGTGTGTGAGTGAGGGAGAAAGAGAGTGAAAGAGAAGAGAGAGGAAGGAGAGGATGCGCAGAACTTACCGTGACCTCAAAGAGGTTGAGACCAGCACCCAGCAACAAGTTGGAGAACTTGATAGGCTTCTTCTCGAGCTTCTTCTCCGTCAAGGGAGGCATGGCAGCGGCGGTTGTCGACATCTCAGCAAGAGGAAAAGGGGGTTCAAGGCCTGACCAAGGCTAACGGGCTGCTCTTAGCAAAGATGGTATTGCGATAACTAGGGGAGTGAGAGAGACGAAGGGGGCCCCTCTGTGAAAAAGTGGCAGGACAGCTGGTTTTGTTCGGTGATGCGCAGCTGCGATAGAATGCAATACGATGGATGGGACAGGATAGACTGACTTACTGTGCTGTGATACACGAATCGGACCGGTTCGTCGTTGGGAACGGGATTCAGGGACTAGGCTGGGTTAGGGGGAACGCTCAACTATCTGCAGCCAGCTCCAATATCTCTCAGCGAAAAATACCCACCGTCCGCTCTAGTGCTGCCACCTGAGTGAGCTGCGCCAGTACAAGTACAAGTCCAATCGGCAGTGGAGTTTACCCTCGGGCGCACGTGCATTCAGAATCCGGCCAGAAACAGTTGTCCTCTACACCATGTAACTACTGCAAGTAACTAGGTTAATAAGCTATGTAAGGAAAACAAATGAAATTTCATGTTAGGGGAATCCAACCATCCAAGGAGGATTTACAATGCGATGCCACGGGATACTCTGAGAAAATACTCTGAGAAAATACTCCAACAGTGTGAACACACCCCCCCAACCATCTCTTCAGTCGCTCGTTCGTTCGTGTTGTCTCTTTTTTGTTTTTGTTTTAACATTTTCTTTTCGTTTCTTTGGCTTCGACGTGTCTCAATTCATCACAGGGCGGTCGGTCAGCAGCCACACTACTACTACCTACTACTTACATACGTAGTACTCCACCGGGCCCCGAATTTCGGCATCCGAAATAAACCGGCTCAGCCTGCCAGTAATTTCGCAAGTATGTACAGGGCTCAACAAAAGCCAACCAAGCTCCAGCCTTGCCCGTAGTTTGGGGTAGCCGACACAAAATAAACCCAGTAGTAACCAAGCACGGCCCTCAACAACAGCCCGTACCGCGGAACCCCGAAACGGTCAGATTTTTTCTTTTGCGAGAGTCACAGTCTGAAGATACACACGCTCTGCATGGATGGCACATGATATGCTTGGAAAGGACATGGCCTGGAACGGCCATTTTTCAATTTGTATACACAGTCATGTCTTTCCGCCAATGGGTGAATGATCGATCCATCGGATGGATCCGATCAATGCCTTCGCGGGATGTACCTGGACGATGGAGGAGGAGCTCTCTGGAGCTCTCCTGTTTAGCGCTGGAGCCACCACCAAGAGCCGCCGTAGAACTGCACACTGATCCACAGCGACATGTGGCCCCGAACCTACGAATCAACCGAAGCAAGCGCAGGTATTGAATGGTCTCTATACACCAAAATATACAATCAGAGCTGCAACAGTTCGTATGCATGTATGTTGAACGTTCGCAACACAAATTATCATCTAGAACAGCGTTGTCCGAGTCAAAGAGTAGTTTTATCCCGGTTCATTTTATTCAGGATGCAAATCCATCGTGCAGGGGAAAAAAAAAAAGCAGCCAAGCGTTAAAAGTATCTACATAGACACGTGTCGTGATTTATATTGTACAAACACAGAGATTGGTATCATCAAGGAGCCCCCCTCTGAACACCTCCCAAATGATACTCGTACACTGCTCTTTGTAGCGAGCCCATTCTAACCGAATTTTGACAAACTCCCCAACCACATAAGCAAGACAACTGTTGTACACTTTACAGCTTCTTGCAGATCTCAATCCACTTCTGGGTGGAGAAAGACTTGGGACGCTCAATGGGAGCACCGACAGCGCGGTCAATGATGAGCTGGGGAAGGACACCAATGGCACGGGACACACCGAAGAGAACAGTGTAGTAGTTGGCCTCGGTGAGACCGTAGTACTGCAGGAGAACACCCGAGTGAGCGTCGACGTTGGGGTAGGGGTTCTTGGTCTTTCCGTGCTCGGTAAGGACCTTGGGGGCGATCTTGTAGACCTGGCTGACCAGCTGGAACATGGGGTCGTTGGGCATCTTCTCCTGGGCAAAGGTGCGCTGAGCCATGTAACGGGGGTCAGTCTTACGCAGGACAGCGTGTCCGTAGCCGGGCACAACGCGGCCAGAGTTAAGGGTGGACCAGAGGTAGTCGGTGATGGCCTTGTCGCTAAGGTCGTCACCAACGGACTTCTTCATCTCCGTGAGCCAGTTGAGGACCTCCTGGTTGGCGAGACCGTGGAGGGGACCAGCCAGACCGTTGAGACCAGCAGCGAGGGACAAGAAGGGAGAGCTGAGAGCACTGCCAACAAGGTGGGTGGTGTGGGCAGAGACGTTGCCACCCTCGTGGTCAGTGTGGATGGTCAGGTAGAGACGCATGAGCTCGATGAAGTCCTTGTTGTCGCCGAAACCGAGCTGGTTGGCAAAGTTGAACGAGTAGTCCTTGTCCTGCTGGATGGGGGCAACCTTGCCGCCCTTGAAGACATTCTGGTAGATGCGGGAAGCAATGTTGGGGAGCTTGGCAATCAGGTCCATGGAGTCCTCGAAGGTGTATCCCCAGTAGTCCTTCTTGTTCATACCCTTGGCGTAGGCCTTGGCGAAGGAGGAGGTGTGCTCGAGAGCAGTCACGGCCAGAGAGAACTGAGCCATGGGGTGGAGGTCGCTGGGGCAGCGATCGATGAGCTCCTCAACGAACTTGGGGAGATCGGAACGAGCAGCCCACTCGGCGGACAGGTCACGGACCTGCTGCTCGCTGGGGACCTCGCCGGTCAGGAGAAGCCAGAAGAGACCTTCGGGCAGAGGCTCCTTGCCACCAGGGGCCTTGGGGAGAACCTCCTGGCACTCGGGGATGGTCTTGCCGCGGAATCGGATACCCTCCTCGGAGTCGAGGACGGAACCTTCCCACACCAAGCTCTTGATACCACGGGCACCACCGTAGACCTGGTCGAGAGTGACCTTGTCGATGACCTTGGAGCCATGCTCCCTGTATGATTGTAAGATATTGAACCCAACTGAATTGATGTTGCCGAAGCGGCCGGAGCGGCATGGATGCTAGCTTACTTTCGGAGGGCCTTGATCTCCTCGATCTTCTCGGGAAGAAGCTCAGCGAAGCGCTCCTTGAGGGTCTGGATGAGGAGTATGGGAGTCAGCTTGATACCACAGAAACAAGAACCAGCACCACGAGACATGGTTCATACCTGGGCCTTGGCGGAATAGCATCGCGCAGCTGTGAAGGCCGTGTTACGGGCAGCGAAAGCAGGAGCTCGCAGAGCGGAAGCTCTCATGGCAGGGCGCAATGCTGAGGCCATTGTGTATGCAGTATTACAATGTGATATGAGAAGGAGAGGATATGGACGTTTCGGCAATTGGACTGAAGAAAGGAAGTGAAGGGATCAACAGCGAATGGCCGATGGCAGTTTTTACGGGAAATACCTCAAAAGGTTTTGGGTTGTCGGAACTTGGTCGGGGATTAACTTGACGGGAAAAAGTTCATTCCTGACAACAAGCACTGTTTGGGGTCTAGCGTCGCCTCGCTGAGATCTCAATCCACGAACCACTAGGAGCTCAGAGCTGCGCAACCTACGGATCCGTACCTCTCGAGTTTCCCCACTGCCCACGCCAAAAAGCCCCGATTATCTACCCCTACAGTATGCACAGCAAGTATTCATTCGCCTGGTCGCGAAGAGGTTGAGGAGCTCTCAAGCTCCTCCGAACGCCCGTAAGTGCCCCCGTGCTTGGTGCCGGCACAATGACGTCGCATACAAGCGCATCATTCCGCCCCCAGCGCATCATCGCATCTCATTGTTGTTGTCGTTATTGCGTATAGTATGCAAGAGCCAGTAATCGGAAAACATTTATCATGTGATCTCAGTGTCACAGCTGGGGGTTATACTTGATCGTAGCCCGAGAAAAGAGGAAGTTGATCAAGCTCCAGATCCTGCTGCGTGCGTCTCTTTTTGCAAATGTCTCGGTGGAAAGCACCCCCATGCAAAATTTATGGCAGTCCGAGGTCCAAAAGTCCACCCGTATTCGCAGAGCGTGACCAGAAGTAAGTAAGCGCCGAATCAACTACCACGGCAACACAACCTCCGAATAGGGTCTCTTCTCATGCACGCGTAGAATCACGTCGCAGACCTCTTACGTGTATTTCATGTCCACGTGATGACCGTTGGGATGTCAGGGGAAATGTGACCAAGGTAAACCTTGACTGGGAAAGTAAATACATCCAAGGGATCCAACCTAGGTATTCGGGTAAGCTTATCTATACATGCGCCGTTGTCGGTTCAGCTGTAGGACCTGTTCCAGCCTCTTCCAGCATGCACTTCGAGATGATGGACCATCAATCAAATCAAAACTCCATATTCTCAGGTGAGTTAAGTGAGTTCATTCGCGTTGCGCAAGGTGCGACCAACAGCAAGGAAAACGTTACGCCTCAGGCACACTACACTGCAAAGTCTAGTTAGCGGCATCAAAAGAGCTGGAAAATGGAAACGAACCACCTAGAGACCCACCTGGGGCCCAAAAACTTCTTCCGCCCCTCCAAACAAACTCTCAGACAGAGCCAGCCACCGCCCGAGTCTCGTCTCGCCTCTTCTAATTATTGCAACTTTTCATCCTGCGCAACTCAATTCACCTCTCCCAATCGCATCGACACCTTGCCAGCATCGACAGTCGTAGCACTCTTCGACACAACCTACCAAGTCATCAGCTTTTCTATTCACGCAACGTAAGAATCGTCTATAGGCATATTTTGACCTTTCCTCCGCGCTGGGCGCCTCTGACTGCAATCCGACACCGTAATTGAGGGAAAGCAGCCAACTTCCCCTCACATCACACCCCCGTGTCGCACCCAAAACCACGTCGCTACCAAGAGACGTAGTTTCGCGTCCACTTCAAATCCCCTCCCCCCCATCCATCGCTGGATGCCTTCGTCGGGACGTACACTATCATCCACAATCATCGTCATCAGAGATTCAAACATTAGAATTCGGCCTAGAGGATAGACTGTAAACTTGTGATTGCGATTTAGTTTGCGACGTGTGCAGCTACCCAGCCCAAGAAGACCAAGAACCTCCCGCCTTGAGACGTAGACGCAGCCGCTCTGCTCAAGGTTGCCGTGAATTCCTAGCTGGATTACGTACCGCTCACACATAGTTGGTGTACCTCTTTTCTGCCGGCATCACTACAGTCGAGGAAAGAACTATCATAGCAGACGACATGTCGTCGCCAGTAGCAGAACTCGAGTCCGGCTTGAACGCCATGCTCTCTCTTAAACCTCCCGGAGTTTCTGGCTCGCAGATCAAGAATATTACGGCACTCTGTGTGAATAACGTTCAGGTAAGATCTTGCCATGACGGCTCTCCAAAGTCGCTGTCGCGTCCTTCGAACACGCTGACTCATTCTGGTGCAATTTAGTCCGAGTCTGTACTCATACAGAAGATCTTTACTCACTTCAAGAAAACCCCCGCAACTCACAAGCTAGGTGTACTCTACGTTGTAGACTCTGTAACTCGCAGATGGATTGAACAAGCAAAGCAACAAGGTCAAACCATCAATAGCTCCGCCCCTGATGGTACTTACGCTGCTGGCGTGCATAGAGTGACAGAGCTGATTCCCGTCTTGATGAATGACATTCTGCAGTCCGCACCCCAAGAACAAAAGGTACGCTTCATCATCATACACTTGACATGTTTCGTATGTAGTCGCTGGCAGTTGCGGTCCTTGAAACTTTATTGGCAACCTTAAAGGGCACCGGATCTGAAAACGACAGCCTTCTACCATTACGGCTAGCTATTTATCTGTAAAATGCCAAAGGGACGATTACTTACACCATGCAATATTTTAGGACAAGATTAAGAAGCTCGTCGATATCTGGGAGAAGGGACAGACGTTCCCCGGCCCTTTGATCGAGTCCTTCAAGCAGAAGCTCGACGCACCCAAGAGTAGGTTTGCCCTCCAGAACTCCTCGATACCGTCGACAAACACTTGCGACGCAACACGCTATACTGTGAGCTCTTTCTAACGTGAAACTTCTCATGCAGACGAGTCCACAACACCAACCGGCAGTCCACCGCCAGGACCTGGTCTGCCTGGTCTTCCCGGATTTAGTGCGTCTTCCAATGATAAGCCACCAACAAATGGGGCACCAAGCGACATCATGGAAGCACTCAAGAAGATAGCTCAACAGAACTTAAGCAATGCGCCGCAGAGCAATGGTGCACTGGCTAGTACTGTAGCAGCTCCTCAAGATTCATTGTATGGCCGCAGTGCGTCAGCTCAGCAGGGTGGCATGCCTTACCAGCAACCTCCACCCCTGCCTGTAACTCAGAGCCAACCTGCTTTCCCGTTCTCGGCTGCTCTGCCGCCATCAGCTGTGAATCCTGCGATGCCGTATGCGTATCCTCCTCAGGTACCTGTCCCGGGACATAACCCTGCCTTTCCTGTGACTGCTAGTAGCCAACCTGGTGGGTTTCTCGGCCTGCCTGGTGTTGCTCATGCTCCACCGCCTGTAGCTGGTGTAGATCCTGCACAGGTACAGCTGATTCAGCTGCTGGCCCAGCAAGGAGTTCCCGCAGAGAGCATCCCGGCCCTTCTAGCAGCATTCCAGAATAACTTGCCCACAGGACAACCTGGTCCTATCTCTGCACCCCCGCCTGCGCAGGCCCCTTATAGTAACACGTGGGGTCAAGACAACTCTCGACCAGATGCTTCGCATGATCGCCGTGACTTCGGTGGTAGATCCCCGAATAGGTATCACAATCGGTCACGCTCAAGGTCTCCAGCTCGCCAGTGGGGTGCACGCGATTCACCTCGTGGACGCAATGATCGTGGATTTGGCGGTTATGGTCGCGATTCGCCGAGTCATAACCGAGAGGACCGTGCCAGCTGGGGTACAGACTACCGCCAGCGTAGTCCTCCGGGACGTCGGGGCCGTAGCCCATCGCCTCCGCACTATGATGAACCCGTGCCGGGTCAGAAGTGGGTCGAGATCGACAGGAGTCTTCCAGCTGGCCACATCAAAGGTATGTTCATCCAGTCTGAGCACCATTGCCACGGAGTCTAACAACAATTACAGTTTTGAGCCGTACCCTCTTTGTTGGAGGTGTCACGTAAGTACATACGTTTGCCTGTTCATCTGCTAGCCAGCTAAACCTATTATAGTTGCTCTGAAGCCGAACTGCGTGGCATGTTTGGTAGAACTGGACAAGTGCAGACTTGCATCGTTAACAAGGATAAGAGGCACGCATTTGTCAAGATGCTCACGAGGAAAGATGCCGTGGCTGCCAAGGAAGTTATGGAAAACAGCACGTATAGGGTAAGTTGACCCATCTATACTAGACACACATCCAATGCTAATCATGTGCAGACGAGATGGGGCGTGGGCTTCGGCCCTCGTGATTGCAGTGATTACTCGACGGGAGTCAGCGTTATCCCCATTAGCAAACTGACTGACGCCGACCGAAAATGGATGTTAACGGCAGAGTGGGGTGGCAGCGGTGGACGGCCCATTGAGTCTGGTATGGTGGTGGAAGAGCCTGACATTGAGATAGGCGCGGGTGTTTCATCCAAGGCCATCAGCCGCCGCATGCAAACAGACCGAGGCGGCAAGCACGGGCCCAAGTCTAGCAGCAGCAGAGGTGAAGAGGACGACCAAGGCCTAGGCCGCTGGCGCAGAAACAAAGACAACCGCCGGGATGACCGCCGGGATGAAAGAGAGCCGGTCGGTGCCCAACAACCGGAAGCTCCAGCATTCCCTTTCGGCCTTTCGGTCGGAGCCAACGGCATGCCAGTCTTCCCACCTGGGTTTGCTTTCCCGATGCCACCCACTCAATAGTCTTGAGATGTTTGGGAAATGCCTCGCAAATTACGTTTCACGTTCTGCCTACAAGCTTAAACACTAAGCTATTCCGGTGAACAAAATTAAACTCGTCCCCGGGAAGCAACGTTTACATCCCTGGTTCTGGGTCTGCTCTGCACCAACAGAGAACAAAGCTTCTCATGTACATTGGGCAGATGCAACAAAACACTTTCTGCGTTCTTCTGTTCTATATTCTAGGATACGCAAAGTTACATATGCTTTACTTTTTCTTTCCTTTCCGAATACGTCTGGAAAGGTCATTCCTGACATGGGCTACGCAAGAGAGAGCATTATGATACCCCAATGGAGGTGGCTTTGTTTTGGTACTCATTTTAATGCATAGCATCTTATCGCTGTGCCATGGCGCCACGGAACGCAATAGGATTTGTTCTTGATGGAGATAGATATACTCAGATTGAGACTATTATGCATCCCTAATATACAACATTGCACCAGCCCAGGTGTGATTAGTGACTAACGAAACGCTTCAATAAACGAAGATCATTGACAGTCCAGCAGCATGGATCAACGCATGATGGCTGCGGCAATGATCTCGGTGATGATGTGCTGACAACATCTAATCTGTAGGCAATGGAAATTGATAATTAAAATGCATCACCTGAGAGTCTAGAGTCATTTGGGGGCTCTGGCTCCCTCACGACCACATATTATTCACTTTAAGCCAATATGATCCACAGCTTGAAGATATGACAAGGGACACCCTATTGGCACAAATCGATTACATTTGTCAGACGCTCTCGGAAGCATCAGCGGCGAATTTTCATGGGTCGAGTGCCCTTCCGCGGCCTCCTGGTCCCGGAATACCGAACTCGCGATTCACCTTGGATTCTGCCCGCTGCCGTCGTCCTCCGTTCCTCCACCTTCAGGCAGGCCCACGGCAACAGACCGACTCGCCGAAACAGAACTGGAGCATAATACTCGAACTCCTCAAAATAAATAAATAAAAATTCTCTTTCTCTCCTCCTTCCTGTTGATATTTGGGAATCTTCTAAGGTTACACGACCAAGTCACTTACTGCGCCATGGGCAAACTTCGAGTGCTGGAGCGTTCCGCAAAAACGGAGCGCCGATGGCTCGCTGGAGTGTTTCCTATACGACGTGTGCAGGTCGCCGTAAATAGATTGGATACGAGTATGTAGCACCGTAGGTATTTTACCGCCCTAGAAAAGCTTCAAGTGGGCAATCCGCAATCAATGTAACTCGACGGTAGCGGGATAAGGGGTAACGGGCATTGGTTGCACCCCCGTCAGTAAGACAGAGTAATAGTGTGGAGTCTGCAGACATGACTTGTTGCACCAAATAAACCAATGATGTACTTACCGGGGCAAGCCGGGCTTGTTGTCCCCTTGCAGCAGCATCATCATCATCATCATGATACGTGGCGTTTTCGTCGTTTGCTTGCGGAGGCAAACAGAAAAAGACGGCGCAAAGAAGCACGACCGTCTTGCCGTATCGAGAAGATACCTAATCACAGCTTACCATGTGTGTGATCTCTACCCGCGCCTCCACGGGCAAAGGAAGAGCATGATGCCCGGTTTACCAGATACATCAAGACTCTTGGTTCGCGGGGAGAGCTAGAACTCATACAGAAATGTCTTAAAGTGAACGAACTTCGTTGCTTGATAGCCCTACACGCAAGGTTTCCGATTTGCGTCACTTACTCAAGGAGGACTAACTGGCTTCCTATGCAGTGGTCTGAAAGGCTGTCATCTACAATTCTGGCACAGCCAGTCGACATTCCTTCGGCTACTATTGTGAGGTACTGGTATCCATCTACAGCAAACTTTCTCTGCACATTTTATAGTACATATCGATTTCTATACCGACGATCTTTGGAGATGCCAGAGCCAAATTGTGGAGACTCTGCGTCGCAAGACCGGTCATTCCTCTGATGCATGCAATAGCCTCTGTAGGTTAATCAAACCATCTCATCTTCCCCACTCGCATCATCATAGCTGGATTCGTACTCAAAATCATAGTCTGAATCGATCTCAGCCCTTTCAGCCTCGAGTGCTGCCCGTGTGTCATCATCGAATTCTTTGCCCTGGCGTTGTGCCCGTCGATCCTGGGCGCCGATCATTCCATTACTGCGAGGCCCGACTTCGGTAAAATCTTGTAGACGCGAAATCCCACGACTTGATGGAAACCTAGTGTTCTCTTGCTGATATCTTTCAAACTGCGCCAAGAGTGGTTGTCCACCTTCGCCATAAAGGTGGGCTTCGCTCCGGAACATCTGGGTATTCGCGTAATTTGGTCCCTGGATCGCGCCGATGCATTGATGCGGATGCAGGATGATCTCCCCGCGATGCAGGAATCCCCTAGCTTTCTCCTGCCCTACACCTAGGCTAGACTTTGAGTAGCCATCTAGTGGTGGAACCTCTGGGTGAGGCATGAAAAGTCGCGGGCGGCGAATAGCCTTCTGTTTGCCTTGCACCTGCATCTTAACGACACCGGAGCTGTTGGCGGATGGCTTATCTTCTTCCGCATCATCCACGCTTAGTAGATACACCCGGCCACTGCCATCACCAATGACCAATTTGGTGTGGTCTGGCGAGAAGGCTCCAGCAGTGATCGGCCCCGGCACTTCGATCAGATCTCTGAGATGTACGGATTTGCCATGGCGGATATTCCAAACTTTCACAACACCGTCCGAGGACCCAGTATAAAGCCGATCAGCAGTCGTGCCCCATGCGACGAACTTGACGCCAACGTCCTCTTCTTCTTTTTCTCCGAGGAATTCTTCTACAGGCTCACCGTGTTGCAGAACGCACATAGGTAGATCGCTTCCAGCGGTGTCCCATATATAGACATTGCCATCGGTACAACCAGCAGCAACATAAGAGTAGACTAGACTATTGGGACGTAGTATCAACTCGTTGATATCGATCGCTGGGCAGTCTAGCGTCTTGATCGCGCCATACTGTTTGTCCTCGTTCAGCTCGAAGATACGAATTTGTGTCTTGACATTGTTGTCGGCCCTTTCAAGCGACGTCGCCTTTGAGGTCGCCACTGCAAAGCTATTTTTTGATGGATGCCATACAACCTCGAAAACGTTCTGTGTTGCCACGCTGTTGACCTTGATCTGCACTTTCTTGAGCGTGTCCCAAAGACATAGTTCACCTGTGTGCCATTTATCTTCCGGAACGTCGCGTTCGTCGCCCGATAGGCTGCGAGGAGAATAACCGATAAGCAGCAAGTGATATGTATCCGGTGCTGAACCCCAACGAATTGCTGCTGGACAGTATGCCCATTTCTCGGACGGTACGTATTCCTGATCGTGGATCTTAGTACAAGAGTACGTGTCATAATGTCCACTTCGATGATAGACGCGCACTGCATCGGTATGGACATCTGCTGCAGTGGCGACTAGACCCGAAGGATGCTTCGATGCCAACACGAAGTTGACGCGGCCGCTATGCTCCCAGGCATCGAGTGCTTTCATGGTATTGTCCTCTTCGATTTTCCAAACTAATACTCTGTTGTCAAAGCTCGCAGTATAAGCTCGCTTTTGAACTGGGTCATAATCAGAGTCCACTACCGAAGTGAATAGCCACGGATCCTGGCTCTCCACCATGGAATCAAGTGCATTTTCGCCATTAGCCACGATAGGCCGGGGGATGCGGTGATGTGGAAGAGCCTGTAGCGTGCCCTTGGCCGATCCAAGAAGGAGATTTCCAGGCTTGTTGTACTGTTGATTATGTGAGTCCGAATGCGTCGTAGTACCGCAAACAAAACCAGTATCCGAAATCCACGTCAAGGTCATGATATCTCCAGCGCAATTGGTCCATTCTATTCGCGGTTCGAGACAGTCCTCGTGAGAGGTCCTGAACGTCGTGGCGAAATTGTCGTAGTATCGAAGAGAGCCGAATGCCCTGTTCCCAGCGATCTCGCGTGCGAGAAGCAGCGATGATGCCCTGCTCACCGGTACAGTACTATTCTGCTCCACCTCTTCTCTCCAAGCAGTAAATACCTGGGGCACGCCCGGTCGAAGTTTGCGGTTGTGTAGATCTGTCATGTAGCTGTCTAGATCCTCCGTACTTCTGGTGAGCAAGGCAGCTGGAGGCGCCTTGAAACTGTGGTAATTGTTCTCATGGGCTTTGAGAATATCTTGACGACTATTCATCTTCTTGGCCTTTTTGAGGAGGTGGCGCAGGTCGTCGACGTTGTTCCTTCTAACTTGTATTTTGGACCCAAAAAGTTCTCTGGCGACATACTGTAAGTAGTCAACCTCACTTTTGCTGAAGTCGACGTGGATAATAGACGGCTGTTGCAATTCCGAGTCCTCGAGCTGGAGTTGATGGTCTCTTCCAAGAATATGCCGGCGTTTATACCACGGTAGATATGGCCTTGTAGACAGACGGAACCATCCGTTGGTGTTGGCCGAATGAACCTCCTCTTGGACTGCTTTGCCTGATTGCCATTGTTTCGCTATAGCTCTTGCGCGGAGACGTTGGGGGGACACAGGCGAAGCTTTCTCGGGTAGGCGCGATCGAGGGACAAGTGGCTCGTTATTAGTTAGCTTGCTGCTTTCGGTCTGTTTTGTGTCTTCCGTGCTTTCCTCGTGGCTTACAACCGCTTGTATGTCGTCCACCTCTTCCTCGTCTTCAGATACCGCTCTACCGTGCTGTATCGGAGCTGCTTCGCCTATGCCCGTGCCCGTGCCCGTGCCCGCGCCCGTGTCTGTGCCTATGTCACTGGCGGGGCTGGACTGTTCAGTGGAAATGATGACCGGGCGCAACTGTCTTCTGGCTGGGGGCAACATCAACTGTTTCTGGGGGCGCATTAGCATCGGAATATACGACGCGTGATTGCGTGCTGGAAGTGTCAGAGCTCACAGGGTCGTCTTTGAGCTGTAGGACAAGCTTTCGGGCATAAGCATGTAGCTCACTTTCGAACGCTTGCGAGAGCTGCCCAAGGCAACGCTTCCATTCTTGCTCGCATGACTTCACAAGCTTGTCGAACACCGTGTAGTGTAACTTCCGCTCGTGCTCGTTGTTACAGCTGGCTTTGAGCTGTTGGATAATCTCACTGATCTTGGGCATCAGCTTCTGTCGCAGATAGCTGTAAAACTGCTCGTTGAGATAGCTATGAGTTTGTTTTTCGAGGGCGGCGGTATTCGGAGTCTCGACCGGCGGATTCGTCCGCTGGCGCTTCGCGAGGGGTTCTCTGAAGCCATTCGGAGATGTGACAAGCCGCCGCTCGGGTTGATGAACGCGACTGGCTGAAGGCTTTTGGGTGTTCAATAGTGGTGGTCGCAACCTAGAGTTCCTAAGCTGTTGTTCTTGCTTGAGCAGAACAGCAGGCTTAAGTATGTCGTCGGGTGCTCTAAGTGTCGAATGGTGAGTGTTTTGTATACTTATTTGGTCGATATCCTCATCAAGAGTCAAGTCGATGACGACCATCCCGTTGGACGCCATCGTCGTTAAAGGTGTTACATTATAAACGCGTGATAAGTATTTATTTAAGCGCAAATCTTTCTTAAGTCCGATAATTACTAAATAATATACTTTTTAAACTATTTAACTTACTTAAGTTTTATTTGTATTTTGTTCAAATTATTAATTATTAATTATTAATTATTATTAATTAAATAATAATTTAAATTTTATATTATTTACATTATTTATAAATAAATTAATAAAGTAATTAATTTTAGCAATTTTTTTTTAAAGCATTACACCCCCGCAATTTTATAATTACTTATAAGCTAAGTAGCATTCCACTTAACATCTTATTTGTATCGCATTTTCTTATTTCCAATTTCAAGAAATATACTCAACCTAAAGATGGTCATGAACTAAGTACCTTCCATGTCTCCTTGTCACTTGAATATTACTAGTCTGTAATAAAGCCCATTTTAGACTAGGTGACTATTGGAAATGCCACACTGTGTGAATGCTTTTCTTCTCTTCATTCATGCCTGTTTACGCATATAATACTTATTTATAAATACACAAACTAATGTAACAACTATAGGTTCGCCTTGATTGGATTCTCGGCATTGACTTGTTCATACATGCGGTCGATGTCGGGCCGGAACCTCTTCGACGTTTGTGGTCTCTTGAGCTTCAATCTGGGAAACAGTTAGCGTATGATGGAAAACCCGCAATAAACATTGTGGAAAGAAGGCTTACGTGTGTGTGAGGAGCTCATTTTCGATAGAGAAAGGCTCGATCGCTAGCAGAGCATTCTTGACACGCTCATACCCATTGAACTTGGCCTTTCGGCCGATGTCGTCAAGGTGCTTTACAAACGCCTTGATCACCAGCGGGTCTTTGGCAGCAACCTTCACAGCCTCAATATCTTCCGGTGCGACTGTCTTCTTCAACACCTTACTAGCGAATGGGCCGAAAGTAACGGGATCGACGCCGAAGACACCAACCAAGTGAGATTGGGTACCATCTCCATGCACGTAAGCCATCGTGATAAGGTTCGAGTTGCCCATGTAGACATTTTCGAGCCGCTCGGGCGAAACATACTCTCCCTGCGCCAGCTTCAGCACGTTCTTCTTGCGGTCGATGATCTTAATACGTCCCATCTCGTCGATCTCTGCAATGTCTCCGGTGTGGAACCAACCATCGGCCTCGAGCGCCTTCTGAGTCTCCTCAGGATTCTTATAGTATTCTCGGAAGATGCCAGGGCCCCGCAGCAGCAATTCGCCCCTTGGGTAGGGTTTATCTGTTACAGTGTACTCCAACTCGGGCTGTGATTCCAAGCACACTTCGACACACGGGGCTGGGGGTCCAATATTGCCGGTGGTGAAGTCACCCCTTTGTTGAAAGGAAGCCACAGCGTAAGACTCTGTCAACCCGTATCCCTGGGTGATGTAGTTTCCAAAAGCGGCTCTCAAGAATTCATGGACAGAAGGATCCAAGGGAGCGCTACCACTAACCATGGAGTGGCAATTCTCTAAACCGACAGCTGCCCGAACCTTCGGTGTCCAAAGACGGTCGTATAGGATGTGCGAGTTGTGCGCTTGACCAGGGGGCAGCTTCATGTTCGCTTTCTTGGTATCAACAACCCTCCGCGAAAGAGCACCCTTGAAGCCTTCTGCCTCAATAGTCTGCGCCTTGATACCCTGAGCAAATCTGTTGTAAAGACGAGGAACTGAGTTGAACCCAGACGGCTTAAGGAGTTTCAAATCATCCACAAGTCCAAGCATGTCTCCATGGAAGAAACCGACGGCGGCGCCCTCTGAAAAGGCAGTTTGATCTATCATGCGCCCATATATATGCGCGAGGGGCAGATATGATATGGACTTATCCTTAGAGCTCAAAGTTCCAGACGTTCGAGAGCTGGTCACAGCTGCAACACAGTTCCCGTGGGTCAGAACCACACCCTTGGGATCACCTGTTGTACCAGAAGTGTAATTGATGGTAAGAACATCCTCGGGCTGAGGAGTGCGGTAAGGATGAGCGACCTGTTTGCCCAGCTCTTCGACACCACTCACTGTGTGGATCTGGACGCCATACTGGCCAGCAATACCGTTTAGCACTGCCAGCTTGGAATACCCTTCGGGCTCTCCAGCATCTAGCTCATCGGCACAAATGATGAGCTTGAGTTGAGGGAGCCTAGGCGCAATGGCGAGAAGGGTTGGAATGTGAGGTAGGGAGGTCACAATACAGGCGAGTTCAGAATGCTTGATAATGAACTCGGACGTATCGGGGCCGAGAGTTTCATAGAGAGAGACAGTGTAGAGCGATTGTGAGCTGAGTGCAATATCTGTCAGACGTTAATAAACTTGTATCAAAAGCTGGTGGGTATGCAATTTCTCCGTACCGGTAATCTGCCATTCGGCACGGTTTTGGCACCATAGTCCAACGCCAAACTTGTCATCTGTCACACCGACCCTGCGATGAAGCTCGAGAACACCGGATCCCAAGTTCTTAGAGCGTTCCGCTACCTCGGCGTACGTTTGGAAGGTGTACTTGTTGTCCCAGCTCTTAGTAGCCGCATTCCAGTGCCGTGTGCCCAAGCACTTGTTGTTCGGGAATCGCTTGACTGAGTCTTGAAATAATTCGTGGAACGTTCGGACAGAGGGATCGCATGTGTCCAGGAGCGGGCCGTCCTTGAACTGCCAATGACGATACGTGGCAGAGCGACCTTCGCGCTCGGTTCCAGGAACAGGGACCGCGTACGGTGAACCGGGTGGTGGAGGCACACTAAGCTTCTGCAAGTATGCCTTGACTTCGTGGTTGGGGCCAGACATGTTGAATACACAACAGCTTCAGCACTGGAGGCGTAGTGGTGTGCGAAGTGGCGATCGCGTTTGCTGTTCTTCTCGACAGTGATGCAGTCGCTCGGCGTCCAAGGGGGAGATAGCAGTCCTACGTTGGACAAGCTGAGGTCGTGGGTGGCGTCAGCTCAGCGATACGGATGAGTTGAGGGTACAATCAGGTTTGGGATCACAGTATGGATCTATTGGCCGGGAATGAAATGCTAGAAACCACTGTGAAGAGGAACGCTACAAACGAGAGAACATGTGCAAATACGCACTCTTCTTGAAGGTCATGCTGCCGGCTGCAGATCCACATTTCAAGTTACCGAGGCCCTCTGAAGAAAGCTTCCGAGGAGGTATGACAGACACCTCACCCCTTTCAGTTTGGCGCTGCGTGGAGTTGATCCGCTTTCCACTGGCATCTTGGGGGAGTTGGGGAAGCCTGTCGCTGATGGGAATCCCTTGGTAATCCCCAGAATCCATACTTGGCCATCTTCAATCTGCAGAATCCTCACGCTGGATGAAAATTGTTGGTTTGAGATCAAACCGAAAATAATAAGGTGATGACGACTGGCTGCAGTCATTTCTATTGCCAGTCCCCTGCAGACTGCATCCTGGTTCATGCATATCTGGAGCTCTGTTCTGCCCGCAATAATAAACCCGAAAGAGAGGCTCACCTTTTGACCATAGTTACAGTTTGAAATTGAGCTTAACGAACTAATTCAAGTTCTCCTTTGCTTGAACCTGATGGTATGATTGAAGAGCATGAAATTTAGATAACGATAACTCTTGGGCATTACGTCTCCATTCCTCATTGAGTTATTCTTATGTCGATGTTGTGCATATGGCAGTAAATTCCCCAATCTGGTTGCTTTCGGGTTTGATACTCTAGCTTACTATCGTTTCTCTGCCATGTGAAAGTCAGCACTAATAAAAACCATGCTACACCGACCGGTTGTCTGCCTTTGTAGGAGATGGAAATCGCAGGGCAACGTATCATACTTGAAGAAGAACGTTATAGCACTAGATTCCAAAATGATCTAGATCCACAATCTCCTTCCGGTAATCATGGTCCGATACGGTCAATTCGCGTGTGCTTCGCTTCTAGAAGAGCAAAGTTACAGTAGAGATTGGTCGATGGCGAACGGAGTCAGCAGACCGTCCGACACCGACGTGCTAACACGGCTTGGACGCATTGCTCATATTGCCTCGGGCAAAAAGCTGTGGATATCCCCCAGACAACCAAACTATTGGTACTTTCTGGCTAGAACAGAGCGTCGTCTAACGATCACATAGTACGCCCCCTTCCACAGGATAGAGGCCAAGTGCTTGAGCAAACATATATAACTTCTCGTCGACGTCTTGATGGTTACTCGTACTGATCACTAGAAGCCTCCCCCCCTCACTAGTGCATCATCAAGGCCGACTGCCGATTTGTCCTCGGCCAGACCTAATGGCGATAGCCTGCGGAGTACAGACATTGGACTCAGCACGACATTGGTGTTGCAAGACTCCGAAATAACAGTCGCAAGAAGGGAGACAACGAATGAAGGTTCGGAAGTCAATATACATACTCCATCTCCTAAGGAGACACTGTAACAATTTGTATCAAGTGTATCGTTTCGTTGCTTCTTGAGCAAGCGGGAGCTCTGATGTCGCGCTTTGCTCAATTTAAGTTGGCATTGCCCTCCCCGTGTTGCAGTCAGGGTCTCTGCAAGGTGCTTTGATTCCACTCCACGTTTCGGTGAGCTCTGGGCGCTGGCACTCAAGCTTTCGCTCTGGCAGCCAAGCCATCTTAAGAGGATATCTGATACTTTTTCAAGACTCGACCAAGACTTTCCAAGACAACTACTCGGGAACGGAGCCCTTTATTTATCTCTAGTGAGGACGTCAGCACCGATGGACTGCCGGTTCTGCCGGTTCTACTGGTTCCAACAGTGGTAGCGGGCCCACCATCCACTTGTTTCAACCGCACTGGCGCCGTCCTGTTTTCAAGGTTTGTCTGCTTCGCGTTGCTTTATTATTATGTCAAGACTCTACATACTGTAGTAGAGCTTAGAGCCGCATGCTCCCTGACCTCAACTTTGCAGGAAACAACGGCTAATATCTCGAAACAAGCTGCTTGTCACTATTTCTTGGGAGCACACATAGTTCTAAGCATCTGCAGAAATGCGGAGTAGAAATTCTCTTCCATCAGACGCCCAGTCACTCGATCGGCTTGGTTCTCTTGACTGCCGTGCACGGCGTTCATGCCGAAGTTTTGAGGTGGCGGTACGGAAATTATAGATCTTCGTGTGGCAAACGCCAGGGTTAACCAAATTATGACAAAGGCAGCATGAAAGTGAATCTCCATACCATTGTAAAAGGTACTTAGCCGCTCGCTCATTGGAGCGACCCTCCATTGCTGTTTGATGGCAGTCGAAGCGCTCGACTATAGGGTCGAGACAGGGGTGCAACCACCGTTGGAGCACTGATATCCGTGCATGGCGGCGCACGGCGGCATTCCACGTCCCTAACCGTTTCAGATCGATTTCAGAGATGCGTATTCCAGCATGATCCAGGCTGGCGATCATTCATCCCAATTGGAACGATCCTAGACTATATGGGGGTTTTAACCGCCCAGAGAACCATTGTTTTAACAAGTGCTTGAAGTCCATCAACGCATAAGAGAGAAGTGGCTCCTCACCCTCTTCCCGTGTTCTCCTTAACGCCTGGTGCTGTCTTTTTCATTTCCTTCCCATAAGTCTAATCTTCTTGCTTAACTTCACCTAGAATTTTCTATTTCTCTTCTTGAGCGCACTAGCTGCTGCCATTTTTGTCCGGTACATGACTTCGCATCTCGACTCTCGCTTTCCGAACCGACAACCACTCTTCTCCCAATCTACCAAGATGCATTCTGCTATCGTTCTTGGCCTGCGAGCCGTCCAGCTCCTTTTCGCCTTCATTGTTCTTGGTCTCTCAGCATACGGTATGCACTTCTCAGCTGGCCAATGTTCTGTTTGTTAACACTCCCTGCAGTGGCCAATTGGTATAATGTTGATACCCTGACCTCGTCACCGTCTCAGGTCAACTGGCTCCTCTTCTGCTCTCTTTTCACCATCATCTCGCTTGCTTACCTCGAAGGTGTCTCGAGGTTCATGCCCAAGTGTGAGTTGAAGATACCCGATTGTCCCGATATCATGATGAACTAAACTAAAAGCAGTCCACCATCCTCTTGCCGTCGTGGGCCTTGAGCTTGCCAACGTTTTATTCTACTTTGCCGGCTTTATCGCTCTATCTGTATTCATCAGCAAGCTCCTCTTCTGCCGTGGCAGCGTGTGTGGCTCCGCTCGCGCTGATGTGGCATTCGGCGCCTTCGAGTTCCTTCTATGGACCGGCACGGCCTTCTTCGCCGTCCGCGACATGATGAAGACGGGGTTCAGCTTCCGCCGCCGTGGCGCTGCCGGTGCCGGTCAGGCCCCTCTCGGCGGCCCGCAAATGAAGGAGGCTCAGCTGGCTTAAGCGTTCCCGTTGTGATACTCGGGAAGCCAGAAACCAGCTATGCCTCGTACTCCAGCTATACCGACATCCCTTTGAGCCCTTACGAGTACCGGCCTTCGTTTGACGGCGCCAAGAAGAGCCCCTTTTTGGCGTCGACATTCGACAGGAGGCGCTTTACCATCGCCTCTGTCACGAAACTATGATGGGCGTCTGGGACCGGAACCGTTGGCGGATTGCGTCTTTATTTTGAACTTTTAGCACGGGGATGAGGCGAGAAATGAAGACTACTTGCGGGCCGTAAAAAGCATTACATACAATGGTGGGAGAGTGAGTAGTAGACTCAAGATGGAAACGGAATACGCGGCTTTGTCTAGATGACAGCCGGAATCTTTAGAGTAATGAACGACAACAATGGTTCTACGGAATTATGGATGGAATGAACACGTCAACCATAATGTGGTTTATGAGAATCGTTTAGCCAGGTACGACTAAGTCATATGAGTAAGAACTAAATATGTTATACCTTATACGGCCGTTTGGACACACAGTTGGGTTTGGCAATCGTCATAGGATTATAACTATTCCACTCGTGCTTGAAACCTCCGTGACGCTTCAACGATGATGTGCCTTTGTTCCATCAATAACGCGCAGCCACTAAGCCTTACTGACCCCACGACACTCATGACTATGGATCGACCTCGCGCCATTCCGAGACACCATGCCACCATATTTCTTAGCTTCCAGTGCCCCGCGATCCACACTCTCCAGAGAGCAGAGTACCAAACAACGAGGCGCTCAAGCAAATATGATTTTCCTGCAGGAGCAGATGTTTCTATGAGTGCTATTTTGCCCACCAGAAAGATCCTACCAGGTTGAAGAAGGTTGTGGTTCTGATTTTTTTTTAAAGGTCGCTCACTGTCAAGGTTTCTCATAAAAACTTCCACTCAAGTTACACGACCCATCCCTCAAGACCATTATACTACATACAAGAGAGACACTTCCGCCCCACGTGTCAACCATCTTGAGCATGCGATATTTCTCGTGCTTTAACTCCCCCCTCTACCCGGGCAGTATTACGTGATTTCACACACAACCGAATCTTGAACCTCAGGATATCGGAGAGGCAATCGGATACCGCAGCCGCAATGGCACGCGGCGGCAATTCGAGATCGCCGTCCAAAGGAAGTTCGATAGCGGCTTGGTGCGCAAGCACGCAATCTTTGGCGCTCTAACCCCACTTCCCCAATTGAAGCACGTCGACAGCGATTCGCGACTCACTATTCGTCGGGAGGGAGGTTCGACCAGAAGGGGAGGGGGGGCAATGGGGGGGAACTTTTGGGGAATTAACCCAATGCACGCATGCATGCAGCTGAGTGAGGGTAGAATAAGGGCAGAGGTGAGCTACCTTTCTGCCTTTCTACCAGGGTTTTCCTCAGGCGCAATTCTGCGGAAATACTTATTAGCCAGAAGGGTTCCCCTTTTTTTGTTCTTTCTTTTAATCAACGTGATCGCAATCGTGCCTTTTCACTGCTTACTGTTTCTTATTCGAACTGTAAACGCCGTGCTGTAATACCAGTGAGCCCGAGCTATACTGCACCATCCGACCCACATAATCACAAGCTTCGAGCTCATACCTAGTTTAAGATGGCCGAAGAGCTGAGCAAGAACTTCGAGACTCTCCAGCTTCACGCTGGGTAAGCTTGTTTTCCGCGAGGAGCGCGAGGAGCATTGTATACTGACTATAACTAGCCAAGTCCCGGACCCGACCACAAACGCAAGGGCTGTACCGATCTATGCCACGACCGTTCGTTCTCCCTCCGGAGTGATTTGTTATGAAACACATACTTACATGTTTTCAAGAGTTACACATTCAATGACTCGGCTCACGGAGCGAGGCTGTTTGGCCTCAAGGAGTTCGGCAATATCTATAGCCGTATCATGAACGTGAGTGGACAGCGAGATCTCTCATCCCGGTCTGTTGCACTGACAAAGATGGATAGCCTACAGTAGATGTCTTTGAAAAGAGAATCGCAGCTTTGGAGGGCGGCGTGGCAGCTGTTGCGACCGCGTCCGGCCAGGCAGCCCAGTTCATGGCACTCACAGCTCTGGCGCACGCCGGCGACAACATCGTGTCGACGACGAACCTGTACGGTGGCACTTACAACCAGTTGAAGGTCCTCCTCCCGCGCTTCGGCATCCACACCAAGTTTATTGAGGGCGACAAGGCGGAGGATTTCTCCGCTGCGATCGACGACAAGACCAAGGCTGTCTACATCGAAAGTATCGGTAACCCCAGATACAACATCCCTGACTTCGAGGCGATCGCCAAGGCTGCCCACGAAAAGGGCGTGCCAGTGATTGTAAGCAATAAAATTATTTTTTTTAAAAAATAAAAATAAAAACCTATGTACGTTGCGGTGTTACTGACTAGAAGAATAGGTTGACAACACTTTCGGTGCTGGTGGCTATTTCGTCCGACCCATTGATCACGGCGCCGATATCGTTGTCCACTCCGCAACCAAGTGGATTGGCGGCCACGGCACAACGATCGGTGGTGTCATTATCGATGCCGGAAAGTTCGACTGGGGCAAGCACGGCGCCAGGTTCCCCGAGATGGTCGAGCCCTCCGAGGGCTATCACGGCCTCAAGTTCTGGGAGACGTTCGGCGCTATCGCCTTCATCATCCGGGTCCGCGTTGAGCTCCTGCGTGATATCGGCGCTTGCCTCAACCCCTTCGCCGCGCAACAGCTGCTGATCGGTATCGAGACGCTCAGTTTGCGTGCCGAAAGACATGCGTACAATGCTTTGAAGCTGGCGAGGTATCTCGAGGAGAGCGAATATGTGACCTGGGTATCATATCCGGGCCTGTCAAACCACGCCAGCCATGACTTGGCCAAGAAGTACCTCAAGCGCGGATACGGTGGTGTTCTTAGCTTTGGTGTCAAGGGTGGTGGCGCCGCCGGCAGCCAGGTCGTCGATGGTTTCAAGCTGATCTCCAACCTCGCCAACGTCGGCGACTCCAAGACTTTGGCCATCCACCCTTGGACCACTACTCACGAGCAGCTCTCTGACCAGGAGAAGATCAGCTCTGGTGTGACGGAGGATCTGATCCGCATCTCTGTCGGTACGGAGCACATTGACGATATCATTGCCGACTTTGAACAGTCTTTTAAGGCCGCTTCCGCCACGACGACGAAGGGTGCTGAGGGTGACGTTCCGGCGGGAAAGACGGACGAGGCACCAGTCGTCCTTTAGTGAGCAGAAAAATCATTTGAAGCGATAAATTATTTAATTTTAATTTTGAATCAATACCCCACGTTTGTTGCCTGAAAAATGTCTTTGTAAAGTGATCCTATATTTCATGTCATGAGTGAACAGCATCCGTGACGACTAATTACAGAGTAGGTAAAACCAAGTCGACGAGTTTCCAAGATTGATTGAAAAAAGTGAACCGGCGAGACAAACTGCTGCAAGTGACATCGAGGTGATATTGTTTGTAGGAAATAGACGCGCTCCACGATGTGAATAAAGAGTATGAAATATACCGTCCAAGAGGTTTTAGATGCAAGAGCTGGCGCATCCTCAAAATTCAATGCTAAAGCCTATCGCTTACTTATGATCATAATACGGACTAGGAACAACAAGCCACTGTAGTCTAAATGGCATATCACTATCGAAAGGAACCATTGATAGTAGAACACAGAATAACGCAGGTTGTTCTTTAATTCGTGTATCTACTGCCTGCTGCTTATCTTCAAGTGCGCAGTGCCGGTTATCTACAGTAATGGCATAGCGAGACGGCCGCACAGGGGGCTACCATGGTGGAATCTCCCACTAACTTAAGGAACCGCCGCCCGAAAACGTCAGCGCCCACATGCTTTAGCACACATAGTTAGGTTAGCACATAACCGCAGCATAGAGCTCGATCCTGCAATCCGAGGCAACCTCTCCATTCGCTACACCGCAGCGAACCATCAAACAAGCAAACGCACCACGACCAGCCCTCGCCCGAACAACAGAAAAGGAAGATGCGCATCTCACTCACCGCGCTCCTGAGCGCCGGCGCCCTGCTGCCGGCCCCCTCCCACTGCCTGGCCGAGACGACCATCACGCTCTCGGTGCCGGCCTCGCAGCTCCTTCCCAACCCGGCGGCGCTGCCCCCCTCGACGCACGCGACGCTGACGACGCTGGGCCAGACGTACGCGGCGCCCCTGAGCGCGGCCAACACCTTCGTGTTCCGCAACGTGACGCGCGGGTCGTACCTGGCCGACGTGCACTGCGCCTCGTGGGGGTTCGCGCCCCTGCGCGTCGACGTGCTCGAGGCCGGCGAGGACGTCCCCTCCGCCGCCGCCGTCGTGGGGGAGCCGGTCGGGCCGGGAGCCGCCGCCGCCGTCGTCGTCCGGGCTTGGGAGACGTATCGTGGCAATGAGTGGGACAACAGGGGCGAGGAGGCCGTGAGGCTGGGTGGCGATGGGTTCGCGGTCAAGTGTCTCGGCAAGAAGGTCTTCTTTCAGGAGAGGAGCAAGTGTGAGTGTCCCCCTGTCCGGATGGGGGGAGATGGTACTGACGAGTCTGTGCAGTTTCGATCCTGACGATCCTCAAGAACCCCATGATTCTCTTGGGACTGGTGAGCTTGGGCATCTTTATCGGCATGCCGAAATTGGTTGAGAATAGTGAGTCTTCTCCGCGAGCTTTTATACCGTGTCGTTCAGAGTATATTTGCTGACAGCTAGCGTACAGTGGACCCCGAGATGCGAGCCGAGTGGGAGGAGCAGCAGAAGAGCAACCCAATGAGCAGCATCATGGGCGGTGGTAAGCCGGGCGCCAGTCCCATGGGCAACTTCGACATGGCTGCCTTCATGGCTGGTTCGGACAAGAAGAGCACTGGCGAGGAGAGCTCCGGCAATGGAGGCAAGAAGGGCGGTAAGAAGTAGAATCGCACAGCGCCAATGGCATATCCATGCGGCGGCACATACCACGTGGTCCGTTTCTCATAGAAGCGCCGCCTTGCTTGGTCACTGGTATGGAATACTGCATATTCAATATTGCACTCGTTGAACCCATTGAAGTGTGTGCTGCACCTAAAAATGTATTGCAAAGCTATATGTACGAAAACTTACACGCGCAGCCTGATTCGTCGGTTTATGCCACGGAAAATCAGACAACCTGTCGCTGAACTATCTTCAGGCTCCCGAGCACGCTCATAAGTGGAGGAACTCATTGCAATACAAACCTCCAGGTGACCAGCTTAGTGATCCGTACTTTGAGCAGGCTTAGAAATCATCACCACCGCCGAAATCATCGCCATCGTTGCCATCATTGTAACCGTCCTGGTACGCCTCCTCTTGCGACTCGTCGATTTCATGTGCAATCAGCGCACCACCCAACACACCAGCTCCGACACCGAGAGCTGCGCCACCCATCATGCCCATACCGCCGCCGGAGCTCTTAGCCGGACGTTGTTGCTGGCCATAGCCGCCGCCGTAGCCTTGCTGGGGGTAGCCACCATAGCCCTGCTGCTGCGGGGGGCCGCCATAGTAACCGCCTTGTTGCTGGGGATAGTACTGCTGCTGCTGACCACCGTAGCCCTGCTGAGGTGCCCCGTAACCACCGCCGCCATATTGCTGCTGCTGCTGCTGTGGGTAACCACCCTGGCCGTAGCTGCCGCCGCCGCCAGAGTACTTTTGTTTGCCACTGTTGAAGAGCTTGCCCAGAAATCCCTTGGCCTTGTCGCCGTTGCCGCTCGAGCCGCTGCCTCTGACCTCGCCAGGTCGAGCAGGCAGCTGGTCGGGATAAGGCGAGTGGCTCTGGGGCGGGTGGCTCGAGTTGTCGAGGTAGGACGATGCGGCGCCGCCGCCCGAGCTACCACGTGCGCGAGCGTTCTCTTCCTCCTGCAGCTGGCGCGCGAGCCGCTCGTCTTCGCTGGGGCCGCCGGGCCCGCCGGGCCTCGTCGACTCGTTCACGAACGGGTTGTGCTTTGTGTCGGATGGCGCATGACCGCCACCAGGTGTGTAGCCCGGCGGAGGACCGGCTGGTGCACCGTCATCTGGGTTGACGGCTGGTGCTGTGGGCTTGTCCCATTGTGACTTCTTGGTGTAGGTGTTGACGTAGAACCTGAGGTCGATGTTAGCCGTACCGCTGCCAAAGCACGGCGCAGATCAGCGTCGCAAGGCGCCCGTCGAGGGGCAATCACTTACCACTCCTTGTACTGGTCGTTCCAGCGGGCAACCCAACCTTCGGGTACCCTGGGAGGCGGAGGGCCTGACGGGGCGTCAAAGTCTGCCATGTGCAAGGTTTGTGCGGCTCTGTTATAGTGGTGTGCGAGGTACGGAAAGAGATGAGTGTAGAGCTGATGCCAACAGGAGGAGTTGTGACGTCGGAGAGTTGGACCTCTAGGAGCTCGTGTAAGTGGGGTGCTTGATTATAGGGTGACGATGAGGCAATGAGGGGTATGGTTATGTTTCGGGAAAGGTACGGGAAGGATTCGAGCGGGATGAGCAAATATGGAAATAGAACTCAAGCGTGATTGCAGGAAAGGGAGATGAAATACTCACAGGTTTAGCTGCTTGACGACGCGCTGTTGGTAGGATGGGACTGGATAGGACAGGATGGAATGTCGTGGATATGCGCAGTCCCCCAGGTGGTGAGAGGCGAGCTGCGGCAAATTGGCGACGGGCTGCTGGAAACCAGTCCCAACTGACCAACCGCAATTGAGTGAATGACTTTGCACAGCCTCTGGAGTCAACGCAAGCACCCAAAGCACCGTTTGAATCGCACCTCGGGTAGCCTGGGACCGGATGCCTGGTAAAACTGTCGCCCCACGGCGTATCAGATCCCCTCACCCATCATGCTAGGGGGGGAGGGATCCTAAAACCGCCACTACCATCTGCTGCGAGCTGCAGCCGGAGGCAGCCAATCCGCTCGCTGGTGCGTCGAGAGCTGCCCAGACTTCTGTGCGTCTTCCAGCAGTTTGGGCCGTGGCTGTGTGCTTGTGCATATCTCACCACGGGGCCATCCAACAACGAGACTTGGGAATTGCATTGTCCATGGGTCGTGCTCAAATAGGTGCCTTTTTCTGATGACGAAACTGCATCTCTTCAACCACTGTTCACCGTACACGTTTCTCAGCCCACCAGTTCTGGAGGGTGTTCTCGTCTGCCATGCAGGAACCCTCAAGTCACACCACATGGAGTATTTAAAGCTTCATCTTAAAATAGAAGCTCGTCCCTCTATAACCGCCAGTATCTCAATTGGACTGTTGTCCTGTGTTTGACTGCACTGCAGGTCATCAGATTGTGTGTCTGGTTCCACGCGAGAGGATAGACAGTATACTTGCGGTGTGTACAGTATACTCCAACACGATCTAGCGGGTCACAGTGATTTGCTCCGTCTGTGGGGCCAGCTTGCTTGCACGATTATGGGGATGACCGGGGACAAAATAGAACTTCGCCTGGCGAATCTGCAAGGCTCCGTGTATACCTTCACCAACTTTATAAATTCCAAGGTTGTAACTAGTTGACCTTGTACAGGAAGGCTGGATCCAGTCATAATTTTAAGTCGTTTTCCGTATTGTTATTGCCCTGATGCCCCAGCTGTTCCTAAATGTGACTCAGCAAGGGAGTATACGATTAGTCTTATTCCCACGACCCAGGTCCTCTAGTATAGATTCGGTCATTGCCCCTTGTCCTTTCGTGCCATACCTTCGCAAAGCTCTCTATTAGGCACACATACTCTTCAGAAATTTCCCTGCACTATGCATCTTGCCTCAGGTTGACCATAATGCCACAAGCTATAGCATCTTGCGCACCAGGATGGACGTCATAAAACACAATCATAAAAAGGCTCTTCCACAATAAACCTCGGTATCCAATATGCCCCTCTTGATCTCTCCTGGACAAAAACTTCGCAATGACATCGGCCTCTCACTTCTGGTGAGAACACGGCTGCAAGAAGCACGTCTAAATAGGAAACTTATTAAGCTAAGGAACTACAACATCAGAGGTATAGACAAACAGGAAGGTTTACGACGTAGCATAAACCTACAAGTCAAATGAATGAATAGACATTTTCATGATCGTGTTTCTCCGTATAGATAACAAGATCCACATGAGATATGTCCCTTTCAAGAGTAGACACCCCAACGCCGCGGATGAAAATGCCAGATAGTAGTCAATTATCAAGAAGCCCCATGCACTTCAACATCGATTACAAATGGATCACCTAGCAAAGCATCTGCATAGTATCCATTGCGGACGTCTCAACGAAACATATGAGACTGAACAATGACCAGATCGCCATCCACGATGTCTCTGGTGGCTCAACTAGCTGTTGGTTCAAATCCTCGAGACTCGTGATGTTTAAGGTCTGCCAGAACCATTAGATTTTATCTGTCGAATTCAAAGATGCTATTAGCATCCCTGGCGAGTCTCAAAGCCGGTGTCAGCTGAGTTCTTGAATGAGAGCCTGTTCCAATAAATTCAGTTCCGTGATACTTAGACTAGCTGTTGCCATGCCAGCTAAAATCCCAACCCAGTGTAACAAGGAATATATAAGTCAGTTAGCTGGCTAGAGGCTTCTCGGAGCACGAAGTAGCCATTTCCAGATTTTGGCTGTCGTGCAATCGGTATTCACGCAAGCATACCTCTCTCTAGCTCCTAATCTGTAAGCATGCGTGGACTAAGCATAGTATCACTCGATATCCAATAAAGAGGGAAGAGCCAGTCACTTGTTGTGTTGACCGCTTGAGAAAGTTGGCCCACGAAACGGGTATAAAACGAACAGATGATCATGAACCCGGCCAACGATATCGTCAAGCGGTCCCCAGCTGATCAAGTAAACCCCACCACCTCGCTAGACACTAGAATTATCTTGTCGCGGGAAACAAATTTGTGACACGTCCCGATTTGATCGTTGCGTGAAACGTGTTAGAACAATTGGATTTCCGGAAGAGATAATGCGCTCCAATGCTATAAAGCGTTCCAGTATCTACATCCACAACGGGAATGCCAGCAAGGAAATCGACGTACCCCTTTATTCACAATGTCGGGCCCCATATGAACGACAACCCAGGAACTTGTTACGGATATCTGACCCATTTTCATGACCTGGCGTGTTTCTTCCTTCCTTCCTTCCCCCCGGGTCCACGTGTACGAGGTGGACTGCTGCTCGGGATAGTTCTCGCCATCGTAGGTTTTAAGGGTCAAGTGAATAGGCTAGTCCGGATTACTAGTGGGCGTGGCACATGCATGATTCTACCATGTCAATACACAACCCCTACCTTGAGCAAGTTTGTGGTCTGTACATTGACAAAGGGGGATTGTTACACTAACCATCATTCGTCGTCTTCATATTTGTAGATGAATTGTAGAGGGTTATGTGAGGTCTGACACCAAATCACCGCTCGAAAATGATGAGGAACTGCTCAATTAAATGATGAATTCGAAAGCTGCCCAAACATCTCCCCGTAGGTGATGACTCTTAATGCTAGAAAAACTCCTATTCTCCATTTGCCAATTTCCCATCTAACCTGATCACACCGATACACGGGGTATAGTATCGGCCTTTGCGCCCAAGGGCACCTGAACACCGATGCTGTAAAAACCTAAGTAAGCAAAGTCCGTTCCTTCCGCCTCTCCCGCACCTTAGACTCCCTCTCTTTCGTCATCGTTGTCGCCAAAGAGATGTGCGGCCTCCATACAGTAACCCATGCGCCCACTACCTAACTTGCGCTCGCTGCCATAGCACACAACTACGGCGTCAAGGATGCCTACGAGGATGCTCTCGAGAGAGCCGAGAATGCTAAAACCAATGGCACCAGCGACCAGGCCTACGACATAGGCATAAGCACTTCCGCGGTATCCCATACCGTCGGGACGTTGTCCTTCGAGCTGATGTGCTGTCATCACCCAGCCTGCAAAACCAAGCGCCAAAGACATGACCATTCTGGTCACATTGAGCAGTAGCTTGGCCAACCCATACGGCACAAGTGCATTGACGTTGGGGTTCCGTCTGTTCCATGTCCCTGGCATTAGGTGAGTTGTTGCGCCGTCGTTGATACTCAAGAACTGCATCCTGGACAATCTTGAGGCCGACTCCATGAGCGGCACTGAGTGGATGGCGGCGTAAGTTAAGACTAAAGGATTCGTCAAGAGAGTGATTGACGCCGGAATCAACGAGTATGCAGCCAGGTTGATCAGCCGAGAGAATTTTGCAGGCAAGAGAAGTAACGGAACCCGCACGCCCAACTGTAAAAGTGTTGCTGCGCAGATTGTGCCAAATGCCGAATTTGTAGCGTGGCCTAAGGCATCTAGCACAACGGCGTTTGATGGTGTGGGGGGCTGTCGATTGCGGTGGAAATACCAGTTCGAAACCGTGCCAGCGGTCGTGGCTCTGATGACGCCAGTTCCCACCGATAGTGTCCAGAGGTACATTAGAAAGAAGTACACCCCAATCCACCATGTGGCAGCTCCGATGATGAACGCCGACAAGGACTTGGAGAAGTAGCCACTGAGAAATACTCGAGTAAACATTCCTAGCCAGATCCAGGTCCAACCCACGACGAAAACCAAGGAGCCGAACCCGAGAATGACAAGTGCTGGGTTTGCGGCGAGGATCCTTGTAGAGAATTCGAGAAGCTCGATGGCCTTGTGTAGCTGATAGCGGGACCTGTTTATCATCCAAATCAGACCAATGGCTGCCGCAGCAGGAATAAGAGAAAGCCATCTCATAACCGTATCTTGCAAAGCGAGTCTCTTGGCATCGCCCTGGAAACTCGAGATGAATGGATAGAGCGAAAATGAGAAGAGTACGATGGGACTTCCGACAATAATGAGTATAACTAAAGGTCTCGCAAATGATCGCAAGAGCGCCATCCAAACCATGGCGACAATGACTGCAACCATAGTGTCCACTGCCAGTAGATAGAATGAGCCATGAAGCGTGGTATAGATCGTGTCACCTAGAGGAGTTTTACTACTTGGAGTTGACGTATGTAGCCACACCAAGACGAAAGTCGAGAAGAGAGAGGCCATGGCTATCAAGTAGATCCAAGCAAAGAATTGATCGTTCTGAAAAATCTCCGTGTGACCGGTGACGGATGGCACATCTGCGGTTGTGTCCTCGACAGGTTCATCCTCCTCCATGATCGTCTCATTCTGTAATGGTCGTGGATCATACAAGGAAGTCTTTGGGTTCCTGAATTGTTGAAACGCGGGTGGGTCGGCATCCGTAGGTGTTTCTTGAAGCAAGTCCTCTGGCACATGGTTGTCGAGCACGGCCGACTCCAGACCGATGTCAACCATCTTCCCCTCACTGCTATCCGAATCCTGTCGGGTTGCCCTCATGGCGCCCGAGTTCTCGACGTCGTCCTTTCGTGTTTGCTTCGCTGGCCGATCTTTAATTCTAAAGCTGGACTCGCCATTCCAACTGCTCTTGATGCCCATCGGCCGTGCTCTGTCCTCGTAGACCCGGCTCTCATGTTCACCACTTTCACCCAGGGACGCATGGCTGTTTTCGTTTTCGGATGCTGAGCTCTCGTCTATCCGGCTCGCGATGAAGACACGCCTGGACCGTTGCAACGCTCTGAAGTCTGTGGCCTCGCGCGCATCGTCCTCATCCTCGTCCTGAAACTCGTTGAGCGCGCTGTGAAAAAGCGGCGCGGTATCCTGACTACTGTTGTATCGCGAACCAAGAGCGCCAAATCTAGAGCCTGATTGATACGGGTTTCCCAGCCTGCTCTGATATGTGGATCGCCCTGGATGTCGCGGGAAACGAGAAGCACCATCTTGCGGCTGCCTACTCGAGGGCTCGCCATCCGGTTGCCCGAAATTGGAAAGTCGAGACTGCGACTGAGCTAGAAACCTGGAGGCATCTTTGCTCACATTTGAGTCAGTTTACCTTTGTTATCGCAACTCTTCACACAGACGGCCTGAGATGGATGCGGAATGGCGGGTATATTTAGGCACCAAGCGGGTCATGCGAGCACTTACATTCGGAGAACATGGTGATTTATCCAAGCAGGAGGAGGTCGACTCCTGCAGGTGGGATGATGGATGAGTTGGAAGAAGCCAAACTCGGGTGTTGCTGACTGTTGCACCAGACAAACAAAGAAGACGGGAGGGTGGTCTGCATTCGAGACGGCTATCGCAACGTAATCGCCGAGGTCGCCTTGCGTTATGGTTATGGTTATGACGATATTTGGGGTCCGGGGATAAGGTGTGAGGTAGCGTTAGTTTGGACGATCACTCGAGTCAAGCAAGAATAGGTGATCTATGACTACCGCATGCTATGAGAGTCTGAACACGAAGAGTATACCGGCAGAGTGGGATATTGACGAGGTCGAAACGGTCCAAAACGAAACTACAAGACTGGTAGATGGTGGTACAGATTGTTTTGGGCGGTGTTGGTCGGTCGGTCGGTCGGTCGGTCACTTATTCTTCACCAGGTCATCCTCCTGCAAATGCAGCAGGTGACTGACCGTGTTGCTCACTGGACCAGGCCGTTGCAACATCCAATCACTTTCCATCTCAGGCACCCAGAAACGCCGTTCCGCACGCGGCAGTGGCGGGCGTGGGCTTGGGGCGGAATTAGCGGGTACGAAGTAGGCATGCACTGTACCTATCTATGTGTGTATGTAGCCATGAGACCCTGCAGTGATTCGCTCTGCGCCGATCTGCTTATCAGCACACTCCATGGTTTCCATCCATGCACATCAATTGTAAGTATATCTATGTACATTACATACTGTACCGAGCATTTGTAGATCGGAGTAATCTTGGGTATCCATCTACATACTGTGTGGTGAGCCATCCGACAAACATCATATAAGTGAGGTATCATAGAATACATGTCTTCAGGTTTGTTCTGACCACATGACATGCATACACACAAATGTGTACTTTCATGCTCTGCCATACCTCTAATCTGCTCTTTGTCCCCTTTGTCCAAATGTGCCCCCTTCGGCTTCTGGTGAGAACAAGATCGAGGTTACCATGTTTCTCGAAGCGCAAGCACTCTCCGAAACAAATACTCCCGTGTACCTCATGGGCGGCTCCGGCTAAGCGAGCCAAGATGCTCTGTCAAGTGGCACAAGCTCTAATAACCCAGCTCAGCATACACCATCATTTTTCAACAGCATGTCTTGCACGCTTACCTCTACTGAGACAACTCTGGAAGAAGTCAGTCTCGCATATGACAGTACTTGCCCAAACACAGCCAGCACTGCGTTCCTCGAAGCGAATCCCCGGACGACCTGTATCAGTAGCCGTAGATCTCGCACCACACCGCGACGAGCCCAGCTGCTCCCTGTCAGTCTAGCCAGTGGGCCTCTAACACTACAAGTACTGCATGTACCGCCGCAAGTACCGCTACAGCAGCACGTCAGTGGAGAAAGCGACGATTCAACACCTGCAGCCCCTGCAAGTAGCTCGAGGACCAGCGGGACCACGCTCATTATTACAGAACCAAGACCTCACGTGCAGGTTGAACAACAGCAACAACAACAACAACCACAACAACTAGTCATACCGGTACGCTGTCCCTGTCGCAGCAGCACCTGCACCTCACGAACCAGACCTGGACTGTTCTCCAAATTCAACTACTACCAATTCGACGGGCGGCACGGCAGCCACGAGCCCGCACAACGCCTATCGTCGTCCTCTCCAACATCCTCCTCCTCCCCTCCATCTCCGCCCGCCGACAATATGTCGTCATCCACGGCCTCCTCGCCGCCCTGGGACTACATCGCCAAGCTAGTATGCATCGGCGACTCAGGCTGTGGAAAGTCCTCTCTGACCATCCGGCTGTGCGAGGGCCGCTTCAGCCCGCAGCACGACGTGACCATCGGCGTAGAATTCGGCTCGCGGATCGTGCCCGTGGGACCACCACACTCCAAGACGCTCGGCACATCGAAGGGCTCGTCAAATAGCGAAGGCGGCGGCGGACTGCCCGACCCCCCACGATCAGACGCGCAGCAGAAGCACATGAAGCTGTCGTTATGGGACACGGCGGGCCAGGAGACGTACAAATCGGTGACGCGGTCCTACTTCCGGGGCGCCTCGGGGGCCCTGCTTGTGTTCGACATATCGCGGAAGCAGACGTTTGCGCATGTGACGGACTGGCTGAACGACCTGCGGCAGATCGCCGAGCCCGACATCGTCGTGATCCTGGTTGGCAACAAGGCGGACCTGGCCGCGGGCGAGGAGAACAAGCGCGAGGTCACCGTCGCCGAGGCCGAGGAGTGGGCCCGCCACAACGGCGTGCTCCAGTACGTCGAGACCTCGGCCAAGAGCGGCGAGGGCGTCGAGCTCGCCTTCATGAAGGTCGCCGAGCGCATATTCGATAACATCAACGCCGGCAAGTACGACCTCAACGACCGGCGGAGCGGCGTCAAGGGCCCCACGCCCGGCATGAGCGGACGGGGCGCACAGGTCAAGCTGGGAGACCAAAGTAAGGGCTCGGGCGGATGTTGTTAAGGCGAGGAGAAGGGTTTCCTACAAAAGACGAGAGAGATGGCGGAACTTTGTTTTCCTTTGCTCCTCACGAAAGCATTCCGAGCAATATACAGAAGTCGAGATTCCTGTCCGGCCTGTCTACCTTTCCCGTATGGGAGAAACTGGAGAGCCCAGTGGGCCTTTCCATGATTCCTGTGTAATTACCTAATCTAGATACATGCATCCGATGATACCCTAAGAAATAATGTCTACTACGGAGCATCATGTTATACCTAATCTGTACCAATGAATGAAAAAGAAATATCATGGCAAAGTCTCAGTCACGTCCTTCACGTTTTCCTTTTTCTTCACAAGAGAAAACATATTATCAAGGAAAAAAGTCTTTTGATTAGATAGCTGTAATCTTTTGGTTTTGAGTAGATCTCAGCCATGCCCAAACACGTTGAATAGGTTCAAGAGACGACCGGAAACTCCGCTTTGGCCCCCCTCCTTTGTTTTCCCTCTTTCGTCAATGCAGAGTGCTAACCTTTGTATCGTTACATCACAGAGGAAAATCGTGGCAATTGTTCTGTGGATTTTCACCACCTCCTGGAGCACACACAACACACCCTCCGTATCTATGAGTCATATCTGGCTCTTCCTCCAAACCCCCGAGCATTGGGGAGCTGGGGCTGTCATATTTCCCCCGTTGCCAATCCCCTTTGCGACAATGGCCCAAGTTTAGTCAGAAATACGCCATGTGTCGAACCACTTCATGTAGCTGTAGTTCTTGTTCGGTCCCGTCATGCCGAAGCAGATCGGCAGGAAGTAGATGTAAAGGCCAATGATGACGCTGTACAAGACGCCATAGACCACATACTGGATTGTCTTGTTCTTGTTGCGAGTGACCCAGTCGACCAAGAAGCCCAGAGTAAGAATGGCAAAGTATAGGGCCGGGTAGTAATGGTGCACGTACGTGACACGAGCCATGACGATAAAGGGCAGGTAGTGGAGGACCCAACCAAGAATAGGATACAGAGCAGCATAGTGGATCTGGTCAATATCGTCCTGGGTGAGGTCTCTGAAGCCACGCTGCCATCGGAGAATATACCAGACAGTAATGAGACCGACAAGTCCAATGGACGCGGTCGAGGCCCAGTATACGAAGGGGTTGCCGAGGAGGAAATACTTGACGATCTTGTCGTCCCAACCGCACATGCGAAGACCGACGTTGAGAATTGGCCATTGCCACCACTGAGAAGCAAGATCATCTTGCTTGTCAGGGTCAGGGACCAAAGCGTTGTTCGAGGTCATCATGGCGACATTAAGGTGGATAAAGTCGTGGAAGAATGGCGACTTATACTTGCCAGGGTCAGCAGGGGGCACTGTTCAAGGTCAGTTTGTTATCAAGACGCCGTTTCCATGTCAAGCACGACGACTTACACTTCTCGTTTTGGTGCATTTCAATGTTCCAGTGAGTGAAGGCATCCTTGGGGTTGTTGCTCTTGTCACAAGTGACCTCGATCTGCTTGAAACCCCACTGAGGTAGGTTGACATTTCCGGCGCGGAGGTAACAGCCCATTACGGGGTGCTTCAGGCGGAAGGCAGTGGTCAATGTGCGAACTCGGCTCTTGTCGCGGGAAGCAACATCCTTGACGACCTCAATCTGCCAGTTGTCCTTGTCATCGCCAACAGTCAAGTTACCGTAACAGGAGACCTCCTTCTGGCTCTTGGAAATGGGGGCAGGGATGTCGTGGGAGTGCAAGTTGCGGCCGGTCTGAGTGTGGATAAAACGGACGACGTCGCCGTCACCAACGAATCTAGGCTCTGCCTCAGGGTTGAACTCGGGTTGGGTGCGTGTAGGGTAGAACCACCACTCGTTGTTGGCATCTTTGTGGTGGTAACAAGTGACTTGCTGCTGGTTGGAACCGTCAGGGTAGGTCTGGACGTGACTATGCAGAAGACCACCACCGTAACCCATGTTCTTCAGCGTCACCTTGGATCCAATAGCAACCTCAAGGGGGGAGTTGCGGCCGATTTCACTTCCCTCGAGGTTGGCCTGGAAAAGAGAGCTCATCTGAGCATCACCGGGACCGCTCCGTGTCAGAATTGCGAAGTGCAGGGCGAAGGAAAGGAGGTAAACCAGGAACGGAATAACAATCAGACCCGTGACTCGGGCTGCAACATGGGCAGCAAGCTCAGGAACGGGCATCTTGGTGTTGCCGAACTTGTTCCAAAGATCCTCGATTGTGTAGATTCCGACCAGCGCGGTGACGAAGAGACCGACAAGCTTAATACTGCAGACGAAACCCAAGCTGAGACCAGTCATGAAGAGCCAAAAGAACCATTCGGGATCGAAGGGGTATTTCTGCAATCCGTGGAACTTGGCCCAGCAGAGGACAGTAGCGAAGGTACCGAAGAGGAGCATAGAATCGAGTAGGATGAATCGGCTGATGGTCGTGTACGAGTTCTCGCAGAGGACCATGAGAGTGACAAACCAGACGGCGGGGCGCTTGAGGTTCAGTTCGCGAGCAGTGTAGTAAGCCAACGGGACGCAGAGAATACCCCAGAAGGCATTGAAGGCGCGCATGAACGTGTAGTCGACATCTTCAGGATACGTCTCGCCAGACTTGAACTCGAAAGATCCATTGTAGCCAGCTAGAACACCAGAAACACCGACAAGAATCTTGCCGAGAGGAGGGTGACTAGTTGTCTGTCAGTACCGCCCTGCCATGAGGAGTGAATATGGAAGCGTACACGTCGAAGAAGAGTTCTCTCTTAATATAGTGCGAACCAAATTTACCAAAGCTATGGAGGAGAGACTGGGTTAGCGGCACGATCGAGACGAACAGAGGAGGGTATGGGTAACGAACTGAGCCTCCTGGAACGGGACATTAGCAATTGACAATGAGTAGGGCAGTCTGTTTCACTTACATCCCAGGTGACGATGTTACTCGCACCGATCTTGTAAAGACGTGTGAAACAGGCAAGAGCTGTGAAGATTATAGGCGCGATGAGGAATTCCCATTCGTCGAGAATCTGGAGGAAAGAGGAGTCCTGGCGAGAGGGATAGCAGTTAGCAGAATGTTCTCGCACGACTGGGAAGGCAATGCTTGATTGATGCCTCTGCATACCTTCTTCTTGCTATGGATCTTCTGCTCGTCCTGTTGGTACTGAACAGGAGCTCCAGGTGCTGCGGAGCCTGGCACATTACGTTGCCGTAATTGCTGGCCATTGGGATCGGCGCCAGAGGCAACCGTGGCCTTGTAATCGGCCATGGTTGTGAATGAAGCGGTCGAGATCTCTGGGTGTGCACAAAGTGGCCAGTTGAAAGAGTAGAGACCAAAGAGAAATTGTGGTGGTTCGAGGCTGAGCTGTAGCTGTGATGACAGCTACTGTAAACGGGGTGCTGTCGAAAGGGGTAAAAGTCCGGTAGCAAAAGAGGGTCAGAAGTGAACGTGGTGAACTACAGTAGAAGAAGAAAAACGTGTACAGGTACGTCGGGCCACGCAGGTTACCAACCGAGCATCTCTCTTTCCCTTCCAACTAAAAGATAAGAAGAAGGAGAAGGATACAGAGAAGGGCAAGAGAGGAACTGGTCAAGAGGAAGATGAAGCTGGACTCTCGAAGGGAAGAAAAAGGATTGCGCCCTTCGTGACGGATAGGTAATATGGAATACGATACCACGGTGCAACAACTTTTCGTTGCTTCCCGCTTAAGACCCCTGTTCGCGTTCGTCGTGTCGAGGTAGTGCTCTCGCTATTTGCTATTTGTGGTGCTGAAGCTAAGGTTAGCCTTTACGCAGTGCGTACGGATCCGTCGTAGAGTTCGGGACAGGTGGCCGTTCATTTGGGCGGCAGGGGGGGTGGGATACGTGACTAGGTTACTGTAGTACGGATCCGTACAGCTCCCAAGAAGCTCTGGGCTTGCCAAGCGCTAAAGGCCACCCAAAAAAGCTAACTGACCATAGCTGAGTATGGATCTGTAGGCGGCGTAACCCCTGTCCCCGTCCCTGCCCCCGTCCCTTCATCGCTAGACTAGCTTTATATTATTTTCAGCTTGGATGATACAGGAGAAGAAGGAAGTGTGAACGAATGCTTATGGTTTTGTTTTAATCTAATATAAGGTCCTGATGTGTACCAGGCGGCGATTGCAATTGTTCGCCCCAAATCCAGATCAATGAAAGAACTCCATCCAGTCTTGCCTTCAGATTTTCCATTCAAGACATCGTAATTCACTTTACTCAAACCGTGTCACATTGGGACGCAGTAGTTAAAAGGACTCGCCAGGTACAACAAACCCCGGGGGATGCATACACTACGGAACATCACAAGCCAACACGATACAATTCCACCCCCTTTTATTGTGCTTCAGCGCTATTCTAAACAGTATCCTCTACGATACTTTACACATCCCCAATCGATCCTCGCTCGCGTGAACTCGTTTATACACGATCTGGCAAGAGATCCAGGTCATTATGGTACATAGCCACTCGTCTCACTCCGCGCCAGCTTACTCTTCTCAGAGCGGAGGAAGCCCTGACCGCCCATGACTGTCCATATGCAAGAACTCTTTTCACATGAATGCAGGGAGGGGAGGGGACTGCCCCTTCCAGGCCCCGTCGGCCATCTATATGAATAAAAAAACATCTAATCCCGTCATATGATCCAAGTATGCACACTCTCCACACTTCTACCTCAATCGTCTCGTTGCCCTAGTTGTTCATAAGCTGGGCCGCGACTGCCGCTAGTCCCCCGTCCAGTCACTCGGTTGAGCCAATCTCCAACACGTCCCCGGGACTGACTCTCATCTCGGGCCTTCCCGATTTGCGGCTTGCCGTCTAACATGTTGACATGAGGCGGGTCAATGTCCAGTGGTGGAATGGCTGACTCTGGGGGTGCCCGTCCACGAAGATCAAGTGATGGTACGGGGGATGTGGCTCTGTAGATAGAACCAGTTTCCGATCGCAGACTGGGAGTACCCATGGCAGTGGTAGCATCGCCGAACAAGGAATCCATCTCCTCCAGCCGGACGCCGCTTGTCTCGGGGTATATGAAGTAAACTGCTCATTGTCAGAACACAAAGCATGTATGACAACCACGGAACGGAAGACTCACCAGTGATGAAACTGACAACGCAAAAGAATGCGTGGAGAAGATACAAACGCCATTTGATCCAGTCCTGCAAGATTGGTGTCATCTCACCAACGATGAAGTTGAAAGTCCAGTTAGCAGCCGTCGATAAGCTGGCTCCCTTCGATCTAATGCTGAGAGGCAAGATCTCGGGTGGGTAGAGCCATGGAATCTGTTTGTATTGGATTAGCTCTCGCCTTGGGGTGCAGATTTGGAATATCTTACCGGCCCCCATGAGTATCCAAATGCAGCATTGTAGGTCATAACGAATATGACAACAAATGTCGGTGTGTTCTTCACGTCCAAATAAAGGAAGTAGGAAACCATAGAAAGCGACAGAGCCATAGCTACGGCACCGCTAAGCAGGATAAATCGGCGGCCCCATCGATCCACGATGTACCATGGCGGAATTGTCGAGAGCAGGTATGTAATACCATTGATTCCGGTCATCTTGATAGCATCGTGACCGGTCCATCCGGCAGACTCGAAGACGTAGGGAGCGTAGTAAGAAATAACATTGATACCGTTCAATTGAGCCAGGGCTTGTGCAGACATGGCAATGAAGACACGCGTTTTATACTTGCGGAACATCTCAGAATAGGTTCGCTCGCCCTCCATACGCTGTAGCAGTACGTTCATCTTGATCTCTCGATATTCGTCACGGGCCTTGGGGTTGTGGATATCACCGGCACCATAAAGATTCGCGATGACGACAATACCTTCCTCGTCATGGTCGTTGTCAAGAAGCCATCTAGGCACGATCATTAGTTAGTGATACTCCACAAGACAGTGTCAGCATTCATACCTGGGTGACTCAACAATGAGATAACTTCCAAATCCCAGCAATGCTCCCATTACGCACTGCATAAACAGCGGTGCGCGCCATGAGTAGTTACTCTCGATATAGCCGCAGAAATAGTCTACCCATACCGATGTAGTGTATCCGATGATGTTACCGCTGAACTCTATACAAGCTAATTTACCGCGGTTGTGTGGGGGGGAAATTTCGGATTGATACACTGGGACAATAGTTGAGAGCGCACCTACTCCCAGACCAGCGATGATCCTGCCCAGCATCATCATAGGCATGTTAGTCGCGCAAGTCTGCATTGCGCCACCAACAAAAAATATGGCCGATCCATAGCGGATGGTCTTCCTTCGGCCGATCACATCACCAATTTTGCCGACAGCGAGTGAAGAGATAAGGGCTCCGATCTCAAGAATGGCCACCATAGTCCCAATCTCCGCATGAGATGGATTGTTGAAGTAGTCCTGGAAGTAAGGCCCGCTGTTGATAGAGTGGTCAGCGACAAGTCCAGCATAATCTCACAGCCGTTCTGTTCCAGGTTCGGGAAAGACATACGTGATGATACCGGACATGACACCTTGATCATATCCGAAGAGGAAAACTCCCAACGAGACAAAGACACTAGTGAAGTAGCTAGACAATATCAGCATTTAACTACGGCGCACAGGACGTCTCTCCAACATACATCAGGCCTTTGCCCGTCATACCGCGAACACCTGTACCCGGCATGATGATTGATAGCAGCCGCGCTGCTCTTGTAGGCCGCCGGGTAGGTACGTCTGGTATCTCGATAGCCTCCTTACTAACGAGGCCAGCATGTGATAGCGACCGTCGTTGACTGTGCTCTGATACGGATCTGCGGAATTGGACGCGCTTGTTCTTGGGCCGCTTCTTCTCGACAACGCTGGCAAGTAGCTCGTCGTCGAGTGCCGTGTCAGCGAGCCGCTGCCTCAGAGGATCCTCCTCGTCGATTTGCTCGGCGATGTCTCCGGTGTCAGTCCACGAGTCGAATTCGGAGTCGGCAGAGTCGAAGGACGATCGGTCGTGGGACTGTTGGTCCCGGCTGCCAGCCAACAATGACGTCGATTGGGCACCGTGATGCTCGGGACGTGTGGTCAGTGTCCGGAGAGGGATGTTGGAGGGGAGGCGGTTTTGTTTTGGCGAAGGAATCTTGGAGGATATGGGGCTGTTTGGCAGCAGCACCCTTCCGCGATATAAGCAATTGAAGTAGAAGAAGGGGATCGGTAAAGAAAGTGGAGTGTGTATACACCCAGGTCAAGTGGTGGTTCGCCAAAGCCGAAGGTATCAGTCAGTCAGTCAGTCAGAACCGGTAACTACAAGTAGGTAGTGCAGCCAACGCCTTGGAGGAGTGACGAGAGGCTGCAGCAGGTGGACACCCAGTTAGACCTCGTGCGAACCAGATCAGGGACAGGAATGTCGATGGTGCTACCCGACCGCTATGGGGACCCTTGCAGCAATTGAACCGAGACCGGGTCAGCGATCTAAGTCAAGTTAAACAGAGTTGGAGTTGAAAGATAACGAAAAAGTTGGCTATGTACAAGAAGAGATCAACGAATGCATCCAAACATTGCAAGCGAGCGATCCAAGGCGAGGGAACATCTTGAAAGAAGCGATAGGGACTTTCTTTTCGCAAGGTTTAAAAGCTTTGCGTTGCCCAGATGCAGTACCGATTAGAGTGCGCGGTCCTCTGGCAATTCCCCTTTTCTCAGCTTGATTTGAAAGCCCCAGGTACTCCAGATTTGCCAGATATCCTGGCGGAGAGCACTCCATCTCTCTATCTGTTAGCGCCAACCGCCCGATTGCCCACTACTTTCGCTAACGATCAACACATGTCAGCGGTGACCAGCGGTACATGTTCCACACTAAAAAAAAAAGCCGATCATCAAATATTTTGACGGTAAAGAAGTGTTCCTCTACGAGAACTTGAGTATAGCTAGAGCACATATATACTTGCTTGCCTGCAGGACTTGAACAAATTAGCAGACTACCTCAATGTCGTAGATGGAGATACGAGGCATATCATTTTGGGTAGAGCAGCGTCATCCAACCTATACATGACACAAATGCATGAGTATATGTACAAAGCCGATCTTTTCCAAGATATTACAGCGGGCTTGTACTGTACATAGATAGTAATAATACTACGACTCATCCTCCATAAAGATTCGCGCGCTTGGAGATCGAATCAAGCAGCGCAATTAGTCGTTGGACCCTGAAAGTAAGCAGCATGTGTCTCGTTGCTGCAAAACAGATATCTGATTCATCTACCTCTTCTAAGCCCATTACCCCACAAAGTCATTCTCAGCCTACTGTACATAAATAACAGCTCTGCCCTAGGTTAGTTAACCTAGTCAGTATGCCCCCTCCCCATACTCTGCCGCATGTTGCGGATCTGGGGAAGAAATCACCCTGGATGATTTTATTCGATGGTCAAGGTGACACTTCAGCACGAGGCCAAGCACTCATAGCCGTGATCATTAGTCCGGGCTGTCAGCTTGTGGTCTTGTGGTTGTCGGTCGATGATCATGAGTCGGTTCGCAGCCAACCGAGGCCGCGGAGGTATCCACGATGTCATCATAGTATCCATCCCGCATTCAGGCGGTCAAAACTGCCAGCCTCCTTGTGTTGTCTTCTCTCTCACCATCGAATAACCTTGCTAACCTCTTTGGTTAAACGCAACGGGCCATGATTTGTCTTTTACAAGCCAATTACTGGTGTGAAGGAGACCACAATAAAATCATGCCAATCTTCTTCAAAAACAAACTCAACACCAATTATTTTTACGGCGGAGTTGAAAGAGCGGTCGAAATCAGTATTTCATACGATTATACAACAGGGACAGGCAACCTGTCGCTTAGTGATCCTTCCACGAAACACCGGTATGATGCTTGCGGCTCAACCCTTGGCCAGTGAACACAACTTCAAGTCAATTGCGAGTAATTCGGGCCTCAACCAAGGCAGGCTATGTTATCGAGCAGAACCTACGAAGTAATACTGCACAGCCACATAACATTGCTAGTAAGCGACGGAAGAGCCAGTGCCCTCCACAAAAACAAGCCTCAATGCACACTCAGAGAATCATAGCGCATCGACGAACCACAAGATGACATGACGTAGATTCATGGCTCAGGCTCACTTGCTACATGCATGGCGGAAAGAAACTTGACTGGACTTCTTGCGAGAGGATTATCTCAACCTTAAGAAGGTGGTAGATTGTCGTTATTGAAATCGGTAACTCCGTTGCGGTCACCGATGTGAAAGGCATGCCGACAGCGGCATAGTCAAGCTGGGCCGGCATCAACACCGCAGCGGTAACTTTTATAGCTTCTCTTACCGGTTTGGAATAACAAGGGGAAAAGAAAAAAAGAAAAATAGAAAAAAGCTTTGAAGTTGTCACCCTTTGGTGAAGTATGAGGATCAGCCACTATACCAATCAATGTTTCATGCTAGTTGAGGCGCCAATAATGGTTTCGCACCATCGCGAGAGCCGCACTCTAGCACTGACTGGATGAGAAGTGCCAAATGCAGAGATACAGCAACCAGTGATAGCGATGGAAAATGTTTAGGGTGTGGCTGAAACCTCGAACCCTGCTGCCGCCCTCGTACCAAATACTAGGGAAGCTTGAAAAATCGACCGAGAAGATTGGTCCAAGAAATCACAACTAACATGCACGTCAATGAATGCATGCGTTGTGTGAGGCTAACATATACATATCTTGCCACCGTACACGCAATATTCATGAAAGGCATTGGTGTCTGTCAGCGGCCAAGATGCAAGATGAGATGGCAGAATGCCCATCCTGGAGGAAGATCAGTTGAGTACTGTGGACACAGCCTCTATCTTCCTTATGGTGTGCAAAAGAACTGGGTTATTCCCTCTAGTCTAGGTTAGAATAGTACTTGGTCATGGCGCAGACTACAGAGCCGGACTACATACATACATACATGCAGAATTGGTATTTTGAAGACCATCTCGACAAAAGAGGCAAGTTCATGGGAGACAGACGGAAAATTACATAAAAACCCTGGGGTTTGAGATGGGACGAATCGCCGGCACCTTATTTGTCTCATCTCGTCTGCGCTGCCAAGATTTCATCGAGCGCAGGTAACAAAGACCTCGGAACTTGGAGGTACAGAATAACCCATGTCAATTATGTGATCCTCCATGCTCAGAGGACCAGGATGTAATCGAGTCCTCCGGAAAGGCTGAGTTCTTTTTCTGAATGGCACGTGTAAAGCTAGATGTATCGTGACTGTCAGATTCGCGGATTGAAACCCATCATGGAGCTGATCATGTCGATATACTGGGACGATCTTCTTTTGTGCGCTTTACGGTCTAGATTCCTTGAATGATACGGACAAAGCATTGATGGGATGAGGTGGAATGACATATGTAGAAGTCTTCATGCATAGCCGATGGGTCAAATTACATAGATACATGAAGTCCGTTCGCTTAGTAGCTTCCTCCGTAGTATGCAGTACACTCGAGCTTAATATTTGAGTGGCAGAAAGCTTCGAAGCTTGCTCAAACATGACATAAATGCAGAACCATCGCTGTCGCACAACAGGGAGCTCCATAAATGTCCGACTGTCAAACGTTCAGAGGAATCTGCCACGAGGAGTCACCATACACAAAGTAAGACAGCAAGGGTCGTCGGCAGCAATTTCACGGAGGGTCGCAGTAGTTTACCAAAGCCGCCCGTGGCTGACAGTGACAGCAACAGCAACAGCGACGGCGACAATCGCGAGTAACCCAGACAACCCTGGCACCTCCAGACAAGGGCAGATACGGCGCATTATTGAAGACTGGGAATCTGGGACCCCAGACCTTGGGAAATAAGGGACGGAAGAAGACGAGTGGCTGGCAGTAACTGGACTCGCTAAGCCGTGCTAGAGGCCCTGGCCAGTGGTTATTTTAATTGCAACTCCACCCGCACCCTCACCTTTCCTGTCGACGGCAGTGCTCGTCCAGTGTCGAGGTGAGCCAGAGCCAGCCATTGCATTGCAGCAAAGCACATTTTCCCGGCGAGCATCAGTTGCGAGGGAAATTGAGCCCCTGCCGGCTCACCTAATAAGACTGCGTCAAGTCAACACTGCGAACTCGTCCCAGCCTCAGGACTGAAACCTGCTTCTTTTCCACTCTTTATACACCCACACACGACTCAAACCTACGACTGCGTATATCACGAATGCCAAAAACAGCTGAATCCATCGATTCCGAAAGAAGATTCGAGGAACGATTGGCGGAAAGAATATAAGAGGCAGCCAATCGACACGGGGTACTACACACATACATACACATACCTCGAAGGGAAGAAGCCGCCATACCCACCGCGCGTTTTCCAAGACCCGCCTTTTTCCAGGTACAAGCACTTGGAGTGGACAGCTGAGGAGTCGATCGAAGCCGCATTCAATTCAAGCAAGACACGCCCATATTTCGAGCTGCATTCGCATCCAATTTTGAGCTCAACCTTTGGGAGCTATTCGCCCGCCGAGTGACAACACATCCTGCCGCGGTTGCGCCCCATCACGACTCCAAGTCGCCTTCGATCCACGTCTCGCCCTTTCTACAAGTCCTGGCGTCCAAGTAGACAGTTCTTCCATCGTGCACAGACGGGGCAATCGGGCTCAATTGTGCAGGCAAGACCTAGTCAGAGGTCATTTAAGACCCAGCATCGCATCTCGACAACTAGTAATACGAAGCGCAATTGCTGCGCCACCAAGTTAGACATCCAATGGGCGACACTCAGTTTGGCAATTTTGAGGTGCGTAGCTGCTTGTACAAGACAATCGCATTCTTTCTACGATGCAAGCGCGTGAGGTCTTCGGCCAGCGGTACGGGAGCTAACAGTATCGCGAACAGGCTTTCTGCCGGGACTCGACACTACCAGTATGCAATGTATGTCAACATCTAACGCTGTCAACACTTTTTTTTTTTGTCTTGTGCAAATGCTGACCCAAGTCTCCACCTAGCTGTTGTCCACAAATCATAACCAGACCGGTCCATGGGGAGGGTGCGAGTTGACGGGCATACCTTTGAGTGGTGGCAGGCATTTGGGGAACCTAGGTTTGTTGTGTCCCAGTCGACTTGGCCAATCTCCCTAACATCCTCGTAGGCTCTATCATACTCTGCGGCATCGCCATTGCAACTTCGATTTTTCTTTTATTGAGGTCCGAGAGGAAGAAAGCAGCCGTTGGTCGAAGGTTTGTTGCTCCTCACCCACAAATTCATCAGTACGCTAGGACTAACCAATGGAAGGGAAATGCAACTGTTCCTCTTAGGCTATGTCATCATTGAAATATGTGAAATTTTCTCGGTGGGAGGCTTCCCATTAGACTCCAAAGTACGAGTTGTATGTTCAGAACTCCTTGCTGGGATTGCAGTAGTCTTGTTATGGGTCATGGTATGACTAACACAACTTAGGCTTTCAGCGCTATCCACATCGGAATGATCATCGCGACCACGTGGATTCTAATGATTAACGCAGTCGTTGGGTTCCAGATTATTGACGACGGCACTCCCATGTCAGTGGGATTAATGGTCATCTCCGGCGCCGTTCTCCTCATCGGCACTGGCTACATCGCATTGGATACTGGTCTCCAGTTCACGTCGTACTGGAATAGTAGCTACGATACACCGAACCGGAACATTGCCCTCTATGTGCTGTACCAGCTCGTGCCCCTGATCTTCCTGGTTGCCTTCTTTGTTCTCGAGACTATCCTGGTTTTGAGGATACTTGGTGAAGTGAGGCCAATGGCATATCTGGCAGCCGCAGCTGTTTTGTTTGCCATAGGCCAGGTCTTCAATTACACCATCAGCCCATATATCTGCAACGGTACAAGCGGCAAGGTCGATGGAGCCCTGTTCGAGACGCTCTTCACCCTGCTTTCCGTGGTCATGATTTGGGTCTTCTGGTCAAGCATCACCGAGGATGACTGGCCAATTGCCACAGCCGGACCTGCAGGATACCCCTGATAGGGCTGCCATAATCTTCTATTTCAGCACACTCATTGAAAACGGCGTCGGAGTTCAGGTTCGATGGGGGCGATCACCACCTCTTTTCTGGCTTTATGGCTTACATACCAACAACCACCCGATATTCGACAGATACCGAATCCACTTGACCTACAATACGCGCATCCGCAGCCCCTTACCGCTATCCGGAACATTCATGGAATTTTCATTATCCATGCTCTCAGGTGCATTTACGAGGTCAGTGGGAAAGCTGGATCTTGGGCTACTGCATTGTTACGATACGACCAGCATACGTGACTACGGCGGGGACGCGTTTTGAAATTTTTATACCATATACAGACAGGCCAGCCGATCAGGGGCAAGGGTCAGAGAAGGATTAAAGACATTTTGGAGAGGGAAGAAGAAGCATGATTGTTGAAAGTATACCCCATAGTGTTTTCTTTTTCTTTTTCTTTTTTCCACGCGCGACTAATGTATATGACATCGTATGATAGATTTAATAGTTAAAATAAATTCTATAGCTTACCTTATTCCTTGGTCGAATGGCGTACTCAAAAACTCCGTCGAACTCCAAACACCTACGTTCTAATCACTTAAGGTTCACTGTGTTCAACATATTTCTAGTTGATGCACAATATCCTGCGCAACATGAACCCCTGGTCACATGTTGATGATCTCACCACACATTTGCCATATTGGCTAGCATGCGCGGGTAATGACACCGAACAGCAAGCAACTATTATTCCTAACCAGTGGTTCATACTCCTGGGTTATAATGCTCTTGATGTAGTCCATCTATACAAAGCAGGAGGGAGAATTGGTAACGCATGAAGACCAGTCATAGACGAGAAGAACCACATTTTGCCGCCAACGACCAGTGTAGCGAGGCTTCGATAATAAGATTAGTGGCAAGATGCATGACTTGCAGCAAGTGATTTCGAAAGAGATAATTGATCCGTCGTTGGTGTTGTGAAGTGGTGTATAATCATACCGGCTCAAGAGCGAACAGTCTCAACTATTAAAGGTCGCCGCCCGATGGTGCTTTTGAGATATCCGATGCAGTGATAGGCTTCTTGCTGTTGAATTGCTTTCGCAATCCCGTGGTTGTTGATATCAGGTCTTCAGTGTTCTATTTGACAGGCTTCCTCCACTTCTCTTATCGCGACTCTGTGGAGGAGTTGGTCATTTTCCGGGTCCTCTCCTTTCGCTCCGGCATCTCTTGACAAAACTTGGTAGTAAGTGTATGCTGGAGCCCCCTTTCCACGTCGGTGTTCTCTTCGTCCAACTGCAGTGTCAGCAGGTTTGGCACCGATTGACCTTGAACCAGTGTGTGTCGACTGGACCAAATATGTCATCTGGCTTTTTTGAACGACTTGGTATGTTCGCTCTCAATGAAGGCACCTGATGCGGTCCAAATCAGAGTAGAAACCACTATGTAATAAATCATAGCACTTGCTCAGTCAAGCGAGCCTTGCTGCATTCGGGACCTCAAAATCAGTCGAGGCAGAGTGCGCGTGCGGTGGCAAGATATATTACCTTAGTGATGTAAAAGGAGTCGTTGAATAACCATGTGTGCAAGACGCTGAGTGAGGCCCTTGAGCTTGCTGGCATTCCATTCATCTGCGGTCCCGCCGATCCACTGGCATCAAGACCAACTCAGGTACGATCACGTCGGGCGACTCTGTAGATGATCATGACTTGGTGTAGTATACGGCCAGTTCTTGCGACAGGAGCTGGAGAAGAAGGTGATGTCTAGTTGCTAGGGAAGACTAGCTGGCACAGTTGCAAGAGAATCGGACGATAAATTCCGTGCCAGGGATCAAGCTCATTGTAGTTGATTGCAAGAATAAAACGCCTTGTTCCCACTTGTCGGAACGCGGAGCCATCGTATCTCTTTCAAACAGACTACTGCATATCCAGCTTCATTAGACATTTTCTGGTCATTTCGTCAGTCGCACCTCACATTCAAAATTATATATTGACCAGCATAGCGTCCTGGTAGATAATAGTAGCTATGTTTAATATCATCAAAGCCCCCAAAGAACCCAGAAGAGGCATACTCTCCAACTTGGTGACAGTAACATCATATCAATCGGCGGGGCCTAGATCTCTTGCAGTTGTAGATTTTCCTTGAGCTTGGGACGCATGATCGTACAAAGATGTCATTGAGCTGCGAAGCCATGTCGGGCAACAGCCTTCCCATAGACCTAACAAACGAGGTGTCAAGTAAGTCCACGGTAATGTGTTGAAAGACCTGTAGCCATTGACTTATTTAGTTATCGTTTCAATTCCTGAGGCGGTCGAACTTCAGTGAGAAACCGTCTGATCGAAGTAAAGGTTACCGAGTGTAGGGCAACGAGAGAGTGTATAGTACTGGCGACTCTCTCGGTCCAATTTATTGTCCCTCCCAAACCAGCCTTCCAAGGGGTGCTGAATCAAGTTAATCATCCTAGAGAAAGGGGGAATCGGAAAGGACGCACGCATCTTGATAAACTTTACATGTGGCATTCCGGTAGACTGGTGGATCTGGTTTTATATAGAAACGTGCTATGTGCGGTGACGGAGACGAGTGTATATTTGGGTTCATGTCAACGTTTCATGCATTTAATCACTGGGTCGTTCTCGAAATAATATGGGCTCGATGGAAGACACCAAATGATAGGCTATCATATGGGGGATCTTGAGAACGTGGCTTCGTTAGATGCACCAATACGTGACTTGATTGGCCAGCCACGTCAACATGTTTTGCAGTCTGTAAAGAATAAGTTATATCTTTCGAACACTCCCAATTATCCATATATGAAATAGTGGCCGTAGTTTGTGCAAGATTCCTTTCTACAAAGTGCAGAGCTCATAGCAATATCTCAAGCCCATCGGCACCCTGTCCGGACCCCGAACTCGGTCCAAAGGTACGACTCCTTTTCAGATCATCAACAGGCGGCCCCGGATACCACTCAAACTCGGGTTCTTCCCAATCCTCGGAGAACTCAATGGTCTCGAAGCAGGTGGCCAGCCCCTTTCCCACCGTGTCAAAGAAGCAGAAGTGCGTCTCCCCTTTCTTACCTCTCCACCATCCTTGCATAAGCGGTTCGATGCCCCTCTCCTTCATGCGCTTTTGCCTCTCGACCATGGGCAGATCCTCCATATTGAATGCGATGTGCTGAACGCCTTCCTGATTATTGTGCGTGTCTAAATAGTCCTGCATGGACGTCTGGCCCGTCAGAGGCTGGATGATCTCCACGACGGGCTCGTTCGGGTCTGGATTCTGCGCAAAGGCCACGTGCATGGTGTACAGATCGGAGCCCTGTTTACCGCGGAGCTCTTGTTTGGGGACTGTGGTGGAATCGAACATGAACACCCGGAAGGGGCCCAGCCCGAGACGGGTAAGGCTGTCAAGGGTTTTGTAGAGATTAGGGGTAACGATGCATATCTCATTGAGGGAACCGAGAATAGGGCTTGGAACTTGCATGCTTGAGCTTCGTGCAGAGGGAGAAGACGCCATTTCGATATGATGTTAGGGAAAAGGGCTGTGTGCAATGCCGTTCTCAGCTTCAACCCAAGATGCGGGTATACTTATACCGGCATGCAGGGTATTAGTAATGCTAACTGCGACATTTCGCGATTTCTACCTGATCGTTGGACTAGGAACACGCATTCGTTCGTTGGAATTGTCTTGATCATGACGACGCTGACCTGTTGATCTACTTAGTTAGTCTAACCTTGCTGTAGGCTATGTAAACTGCGGCAGGTCGCGATATTGGGTGGGGTTCCCCCCTGTAGCTTGAGCTTAGTTGCGGTGCATTTTATTGGCTGCGTTTAAATCGTTCATGGACAAGGCTGGGTGACGTCTGACGATCTAGAATCTAGCCTGACGTACGCATCACCAGCTCAACTACTTGCACAGAATAGAAGAGGCAAGCGGCGATATCTGCGGCAGTTTCTGGCCTTTGACCGCTCAGAAAGGCTTGTGGTGTTGAGGGCGGAGCTGTAGCCTTGGATAGCGGCAGGCGCCGTGGCATGCGCCAAGCGCCCTGGATGCGATCATAACTTATTTTTTTCCCCCTTCATATTCATTCGTTTCATGAATCTTTGGTATACCGAGTTCTCGTCTTAATTTCTTTGACCGTACATCTGGAGAGTGAACGTCGGATCTTTGATACCCAGTGAGGCGCAGCTCGCAAATACATCTACCTGCGCTACTATTCCATACCCTGCCTCTTCACGAACCCGCCGCCATGGCCGACTCAGATGGCGAATACCATGGCGCATCCGATGACGAACTGCAAGTGACCTCGCAGCGTAATCGCGGCAAGTCGAAAAAGGACAGCCGCATGCAGACGCGAGCATGGGAGAACGTGACGCGCACCTGGGATGTCGTGGAAGAGAACGAAGACGGAACGATCAAGCGGGTCGAGACCGCCGAAGCCAAGAAGCGCGCGCGCTTGATGAAGGACACCACACCGCTACAGCGAGGTATTATACGGCATCTTGTGCTGGTTCTGGACATGTCCTTCGCCATGGCGGAGAAGGATCTCTTGCCCAGCAGGCACGAACTCTGCATGGCCTACTCGAGGGAGTTCGTCAGAGAGTACTTTGAGCAAAACCCGATATCACAGCTGGCCATCATCGGTATGCGCGATGGCGTGGCGGTCAGGATAAGCGACATGAGTGGTAATCCGGCCGATCATCTGGAAAAGCTGCACGAGTGGACCAAGCAAGAGCCGCAGGGAAACCCGAGTCTACAGAATGCGCTGGAGATGTGCCGTGGTGCGCTATTGTGAGTTGTGTCTCTGATCACGAAGCAGGTACTAGCAGGCAAAATTTCTTACAGAACGGGCAGTCACACACCATCCCATGGCACGCGAGAAGTAGTCGTGGTCTATGGCGCCCTCATGTCCAGCGATCCAGGCGATATTCACGAGACGATCAATGCTGTCATCAAGGACAGGATACGAGTGTCCGTTGTAGGCATATCGGCCCAGGTCGCCATCTGCGCTGAGCTGTGTGCAAAGACGAATGGCGGTGAGGAGTCGGGATACAGCATAGCACTGCACGAGCAGCATTTCCGCGAACTCCTGCTCGACGTCACCACACCTCCCGCTACGAGGGCAACGGAACAGAGCAATGCCAGTCTACTCATGATGGGTTTTCCGTCGAGGACCATGGCTACGGGCGACACCATAAACTACTGCGCATGCCACAACCGGCCGACTAGGGAAGGCTACTCATGCACGCGATGCGGGTCGCGTGTCTGTCGCCTTCCCGCAGAATGTCCAGGCTGTGGGCTGACACTCATCCTGTCGACCCATCTCGCGCGCTCTTATCATCATCTCTTCCCGCTCCGGAACTGGGTCGAGGTGCCTTGGTCGGAAGCGGCCAAGACCAAAGCATGCTATGCCTGCCTGTCGTTGTTTCCGGAGTACGACAGAAAACAAATAGAGCAGCACGGCGCCCCGATAGGACTCAGCGAGTCCGGGCGGTACGCATGCGAGGTCTGCAGCAACCACTTCTGCATAGACTGTGACTTGTTCGCCCACGAGGTGCTGCATAACTGCCCCGGGTGCCAGAGCGACACGAGAGGTCTGAGCGTGCCAAACCCAGAGCTGGTGATGAACGGCGATCTGAACGGACAGGCAAATGGGACGGCTATGGAAGTTGATTCATGACAGTAGTGCGGAGATGATGCATATACGGTGATAAGTCTGCCACAACACGGCTGGGGTGCAGATTGGCAAAATAAAAAGAATAAAATAAAATAAAAAAGGCATAGATACAGGCGTTCAGGATCGGGCGTGCTCGGCATTTGGGAGGTCTGCAATCACAGGATATTCGAGTTTGGCCGGCTTGCCAGTGGTGCAGAGGCACATTATATACCATATCTAGAATCACAAAGGTTTTGTGACTAGCACGGAAAGGCCTTTTGCTGAGGAGGCCAATGACAGACGCAATCTGCCCCGACCAAGAAAGTTAAATGCCCGTTCTGTAAGCACTCCAGTATGATGCGCGAATGCATGGCCTGGTTTTCGCAAATAAATGACTACCTGTGGTAACGCAACGAGTACCAGATCGTGTATCTGCGACTGTACGGTGCATGACTAGTGTAACATAAAACCCAACCTGCATCATAGCTTCGTATCATTATTCTCACGTCCCTGTAAAAGCAAAATAGCAATGCTTTTCCACCCTGCTCACAGCAGTTTGGCATTCTTGGTATCTCTCATCATCAACTTCTCGTATCTGTACCTCGCGTCTTCTTTTTCTTCTTCTTTCCCCTCTCACAAGTTGCCCCTTTCGGCCTGCTCCCTCTCAATCGCCTCGAACAGGCTCTTGAAGTTACCGGCACCAAAGCCCTCGAAGGCGTTGCGCTGGATGATCTCGATGAAGACGGTCGGGCGGTCCATCAGCGGCTTGGTGAACAGCTGGAGCAGGTACCCCTGCTCGTCGTAGTCGATGAGGATGTTGAGGCGCTGGATGGTCCCGAGGTCCTCCTTGAGCTCCCAGTTGCGCTTCTCGGTGCGCAGGCGCTGGCGCATGGTGTCGTAGTAGCTCTCGGGGACGCTGATGAACTCGACGCCGCGGGCGCGCATGGCGGCCACAGTGTGGATGATGTCCTCGGTCAGGAGGGCGATGTGCTGGACGCCGGCGCCGCTGTTGAAGACGACGTACTCCTCGATCTGGGACTTTCTCTTGCCCGGGGCGGGCTCGTTGATGGGCATCTTGACGACGTTGTTCGCCGAGCTCATGACGATCGAGTTGAGCGCCGAGAACTCGGTGCAGATCTGCGAGTCGTCGACGCTCCAGAACCGGTGGAACTGTAGGCACCGCTCGTAGAAGTCGCACGCCTTGACCATCTCGTTCCAGTCCTGGTTGCCAACGCAGTGGTCGATGCGCGACAGGTTGGTCGGCGGCGCCTCGACCGTGCTGGGTGCCTGCGCGCGGGCGCGGAAGCCGGGCAGGAAAGGACCCGTGTAGTCGTTGCGGGAGATGAGCGTGTGGGTGGTGTCGCCGTACGTGCAGATGACGGCCGTCTTGACGGAGCCGTGTTGCTTGTCGTGGAAGATAGTGGGCTCTTGCACTGTCTCGGCATCACCGGACACAGCTCTGTTGTAGACGGCATCCACATCGTCGACCTCGAAAGCCACGTCCTTGACGGCGTCACCGTGTCTCTCGAGGTGATCGTGCATTTGTTTTAAAAGGGTGTATTCTTCCGTCGAGATGGGTTCGTCCTTGGGTAGATGTACATAAGAGCGGACAGGTGATGTGAAGACGAAACGGACATCACCATTTTCCACGACATATGATGTAAAATATCTGCTTCCAGTCTCAAGTCCTTTATATGCAATAGTCTTGAATCCGAAGAGTTGGTTGTAATATGTTGTCGCTTGCTTGGCATTTCCTACCCACCATGTGATATGATCGTAGCCCTGGAAATTTGGCACCCCAGCTTGCACGGCATATGCGTCAACTTGTACTTGGCTATTGGTTTCAGCGGTCTGAGAAAAAACAGGATCACTGGGAGGAGAGGTTGTGATCGCTGAGGGTGCCATGGCTGCTTCGCAAGGCTATCAGATAGCGGCAGGTGAGATAATTGTAGATCAAGTGCTGGGTTTATTTACTCAATCAAGCTTGTGCGAAGACACGAGCAAGTCATTTAATGATGAGTTTTTAGGTTATCTAGAATAATGTCAAAATTAAGTTGATATGATGGCTGTTTAATAATACCAACCATCCTGCCCTTGTTGCCTCTCGACTGCAGCAGGCGGCAAGTCACGGTAGCCGAAGGTGCCGTGAAATGCAACACCACCGCGGCGTAAGTTCCATGGCCAAAAGATAATCATGCGGCAATGTGATTATGGTTGAATACGCATCATATCGCCTATGATGACGGATGGCCTTTGTCCAAGGGCGCGGAAAGCGATATTGCGGAAAGCAGCGCCACAATTCCGCGGCTAAGGGCGGCCATTCGCGGGGTTGACCAAGCGGAAGTTGGCCCGGCTTATATTTCGAACTGCTGGTTAGCCCATGCATCACCCCAGATTAAGAAGGGACTCGATGCAATTGGATGATGGCTTGCATAGATATGCCTGGGCTCTTCAAAGATCCGATGATTTGTTTGCATCAGCTCGAGACCGATGACAAGTCCATTTTCCCAGCACCTCTCAACGAATTCCATTGTACAATTGTCTCTGACAAGATCGTCTACAACCCTGTGACGATTTCTTCTGCCTGCCTGTAGTCTTACACCAAAATGATCAACATTTCGCTCAGTCGCCGCGACGCGAATGTCCTTGAGAAAATCAAAGATCCGGAGTCGGATCCATCAAGGGCGGTCATTGTCGAACCATCTTTGCCCAAGGATCCCAATATTACAGATCTGAGCATCTACGAGCGCGTCTCCAAGCAGGAAAAGGAGATTGTCCTTTCCATGCAGCAGCTTGAGATGCAGCTAGCCGGTCTTAAAGCCGTTGCGACGACCACCGATCCAATCCAAGAATATCAAACATGCGTTTCCCGTCTTGGAATGCTTATCACAGAGCACCCCAGATATGCCAGTGCTCGTAACAACAGGGCTCAGGCGCTCAGAAGGCTTTATGGAGACACTATCCTGCTGAAGGCATCGAGCCTACAAGCCTTGAATCAGGATGCTACCGAGGAGGAAAGAGCGAATGCCGCCGTGGCTATATTGACAGATCTCGACGAGGCAGTCTCTCTGTTGACACCAAAGACCATGTTTGGAGGTATGTCACCGGTGGCTGGAAGGACACTGTCGTTGGCCCACACCCAAAGAGCAGCAATATATCACACAACTGCAAAGTCGTTCTCGGCAGGCCTGCAGGACCTTGGGGAAAGAAAGGAGACGGACTGGAGCAAAGTTGACTTTGAGACAGCCGCATCCAGAGATTTTGCCTTTGGCGGGCGATACGGTAATGAAGTCGCAAAAGGACTTGCTGTCGCTACCAATCCAACCGCAAAGTTATGTGGTCAAATGGTCCGTGAGGCTATGAAGAAAGAATATGGTCAAGCTTTTGAGGGCCTGTAGTTGAGGATAGCGAAAAGGGGCATAGAAATAGATGAGCAAGAACAGGTTACATCATCGACCCGTCTATCATGAATCGGTACGTCAGCTGTAGAAATTCCAAACGATAGCCGCCGTGACCAGATTCCACGCCGGGTGACCTCGTAGAAATACGCAAGTGACAGGATCCAGATGCGAGCATGTCGCGGCTGAAGCGCGTCACTGTATCTACGTCGGTTTTTGGCTGCTGAGCCCAAGTCGTCTACAGTATGGATGTAAGCGTCTCGTCATATATGTTGTTGGACCATAAAGGCTTTACCTCTTGGCAGACTCCATCGTCTGATGAGTCGTTTGACCTTTCTCCTTCTCTTCCCGATTGATACGCGTAGCAGCAGCACCAAGACCGATGACGACAGCGAAGATGGGGTCTGCGACCTTGGAAATGATGTATGTTGCAGGCGCCATTATGTATGAGAATTGTGTGTGTTGAATGTTAAGAAATGCAGAATATGGACATACTACAGTGGGGTGCCGTCGTAGATTAATTCGAAGATGCAGTTGAGTATGAGAGGGTGGATGGATGTGCTGGTTGGCAAGATCCGAAGTCGCTTTCTTCCGCTCTGCTCAAGTGCTGGAGGTGCGGGAGCTGGCTCAGAGCGGGACAGAATAAGAGGCGCACGGACCAACACAGGGCCTCTCTGCTCTCTGCTCTGTGGCTGCTTGTAATAATAATCCGCATGCACGGTACAGTAGAGCAAAAGACAAGCCAGACTAACGCCAAGTAGACTAGACTGCTTGGAAGGCTGGAAGACCGAAAGACTGAAGGACTGAAAGACTGAACCGCCAAAAGACAAAAGCGCCTGTCTCCACTTTTCCGGGTCTTCCTCGCTTAGGTTCCTGCCCACACATTTTCGAAAATTGTCAATTGAACTTTTCCCGCTTGCGAAGGAGGACGACCATTACATCCGCGAATATCAACGCCCAACGATCTACTAACCCCTACAACCAGCTTCATATTGACCCCTTCGACAAACGACGTCAAAATGAAGTTCCTCAAGGTCGGCAGAGTCGCCATCATCACCCGCGGCAGATACGCCGGTAAGAAGGTACGTCTGTTTGTTGGATGAATGAGTGAATGAATTATCCAGTAGGACGTGTGTGGAATATTGGAGTTTGGAGGCAGGGGAGACAAATTTGAAGCCATCGCAACATTTATCACCACGCCACCACTACCATGACTATCGGCTGCTCGAAATATACGGACACGGATCACTCGTTTGCGCCAACTCGAAGATCTCGTCGCCTCGTCACTCGATCCCAGACAACATCATGCCTCTTAGACATGTTCAAAATCAACGAGGAACAAGTATGCTGATCAGTCTCTTTCTCTCCAGGTTGTCATCATCCAGCCCATCGACTCCGGCAACAAGTCGCACCCTTACGGTCACGCCATCGTCGCCGGCATTGAGCGATACCCCTCCAAGATCACCCGCCGCATGTCCAAGGCCCGCCAGGAGAAGCGCTCCAAGATCAAGCCCTTCATCAAGGTCGTCAACTACAACCACTTGATGCCCACCCGTTACACTCTGGAGCTCGAGGGTCTCAAGGGTGCCGTCTCAAACGACACCTTCAAGGAGGTTTCGCAGCGTGAGGATGCCAAGAAGAATGTGAAGAAGGTGTTGGAGGAGCGTTACACCAGCGGCAAGAACAGATGGTTCTTCACTCCTCTGAGTATGTCTATCTGCCACAGCACCCCGGCCCTCCTTTTCCCTTTATAAACAGTCTCGCTAACACGCAACCACCCGCAGAGTTCTAAGCTTGTTTCCTCGTTACGCGTTCTCATGTCGTTCGGTCCAGGGGTTAAAGGATTGGGATGTAAACATTTGCATCATACATCAGGCATTAGGAGCCCATAGGGAATTGCTTATGAATTGACAAAAAAAAACTTGTCACGACCATCCCACGATATTTTACGATCCGTGATCACGAGTGACTGCTCCCCTGGGCTACGGCGGCGGCGGAAAAATTATGGTTGGATCGGTCCTACCAGAAGGGACTTGGTTACAACTAATGGAGGAACGAAATGCGAGCGTTCGGTCATTTTGGCGTTCTGAGTCGTAGGGTAAATGTTACTATGGTTATAGTCAACCTCGATAATCAACCAAGGTGACATTGATTGCATAACCGTCTCCAACCCGGAGAACATGACTACTCATTCTGTGCTTGGTGATTTCCACCATTTGACGAGCATGCCAGAGAAACAGACCAACGCGCCATGGATACGGGCCTATCCTTGATAGAGCAACTCGCCATTTCCCGGATATCACAACGGGCAAAACTATGCACAATCTGCTCAAGTGGCTTTTATCTGAATACCCACGAATTCATCATTCACCATCCTTGGGGGCCTATGCCCGGATCGACTTTTTCTCCTTCCTTCGAGCTGTAGGATATATCCCAGTAACTTCAGGTCTTGTGACTCCCTATATATCGCCATAAGTCCCTGAAATGCAGCGAGAACGGCCTGGACCTGGATTCATTGGCTTAAACAAACCTAGTCCGTCACAACCATAACTTTAGACAATGCTACCCGCAACCCTTCGGAGCAATCGACTGTAGACACATATTGACTGTCGGCGTCTGCGACTTCCTCGGTATACTGGTTCTTGTATCGAGTCAACCCGTCATAGCATCACAGCCAGTTCTGGTCGGGAAAGATAAAGTCCTTCACCTCGGTTGTGTGAGTCTGCACTTTTCGAGAAGAAAAAAAAAAGAAGAAGACGAAGAAGAAGAAGAAGGAAAAAAAAACCCTAATTGGGGGGGTGGTCTGGTTGTTGACCCTCCACTCCAGCGTACTGAAAATAGGCATCACCCTGCTTTGCCCAATCTGAGTCATCATACGAGCCTAGTTTTCCTTCTCCGGGGGCTGACGGATCAGCTCTTTGGCAGCGCCTAAAGAATGACCATCGAGTTGGCCATCCTGACCATCCTGTTTAGCTTCGATGAGTATACCACCAGGCGATTCTGACTCTTTTCGGCTGTGTACTATCGGCATGGCCGTCTGATCCGTTGAAATGGACTGCGGAGACAGGTCTCGCAAAGATATACTTGGCTCTTTCGTCGAGCCGTGGGTTGAGGTCACACTCTGTTTCATCGCTACTTTGCGGAATGTCTTGAATAATTCTACACGCTCGCGGGATTCGTACCTGGAATCCAGTTTCTATCCCGACTAAATGCTTGTTAGTTGAAGGAAACCACGCCAGATACTGTGGTGTTCATGACGCCTTCAAGGGTGGTCGAATGCTGAGCGTATTCACAGAGTAGAATGTGGATATATTTAAATATTACAGGTGCACCAACAAACCCGATGTGGCCTGTCCCGTATTCCAGGACGCAAACGTGGTCTGTGGACCATGTGAGGAGTCTGTGGAATACGGGAGGTTTTGTCCCAGTCTGATAGCCACCTGAAGCTGCAAACCCTCAAACAATATTGAGGTGACTGGTTTCAGAATTTTCTTGAGTCCTCCCCGGTGGCTCAAGAGCCTCTACGATGTTTTCAAGTGCGTCCATTCTATAGCACGCATTCCAAAATGTGCCTAGCCTTCTCCATGGCATCCTCAAACTCCGACGAGGCGTTTCCGCTTCGACATTGTGCACATATAGCGAAACTCTTGGAAGGCACCTTATCGTGTCAGTCTCACTAATTTACTTCAATCCAATCATGAATAACCCCTTTGTTCACAACAAAATGGGAAACATAATCAGCGTGCTCAACTTTGTTCGAAGCAGCTCACAGCTTGCACAACCAGGCTATACATCGTAGTGATAGCTATGGGGGCACAAAATAAACATCGCCAAAAACTCAAGCCGAAGGTAATACCACAACGCAACCGTGATCTAGCCAACGTACACATTGGAATCGGACCTGTGGCACAGGGCAATGTTGTTCATACGTGTAGACAAGGTGACATGGCGGAATCGACAAGCTCAGGCGCTCACTAAACTCCCATCAAATTGGTCCCATTTCAATTGTCTCATACCCCGTACGGTCCAACTCCTCTGACGCATATAAAATATGCAAAGTCAAGAGACACGATTGACCAGAACCAGGTCTGTGATGACTTGAGTGCATTAGCGCATGCAGAAGTCCAATTGTGCCAAAAGCCATTGTGCTGAAACAAGACACCCACCAACTGTGTAAGACTGTTTCATGCTTACTTTATTATTTGTGACCACAAACAACACTTTCAATAGCGCGACTCATTTTGGATGCTGGAGTGACTAGATTTTGTGAGAATTTTCTTCTTTTTCTCCATACATGCCTGCTGCTGTCTAAGCTACATGTAATGCAACTGCTCTTTTCGTGAATATGCGAGCCGTCCATACCGTTATTTGGAGTGTCTATAACTGCAACAGGCTGCGATTCGTCCCGTCACATTCTCATCTGGTTTTGCCATGGAACCTCGCCGCTGCTGCTCTTGTGATACATAGGAAATTTTCCAATATTTCGAGAATATAGAGTACAGATCAACGCGCGAAATGGATGCAACATGTGCGATCGAAAATCAGGGAACGCCGTATCGTGGTTCGCTGTTGACCAATGGCGCAGCGCTTCCATTAGACCCGGCGAATGGCACACAAACACTCCCGCTCCAACGCCCCTTGACCCCAGAAAATATAAAAACTCCATGACGCGAAGGGGAACTAGTCAGTTATCCAACGTCTCGTCTATGAGCCGACGCCGTACTTGGCGGCGGCCTCCTTGATATAAGGTGCATAATCGGCAGCGTAGCTTGGGGCAAAGCCACCGAATAAAACGAAGATAAGGAACAAAGCGCCGACGATGATGACGACCTTGCGAGTAATGGGTCGGGCTTGACCGAACTCGCCCCACTGACGAACACCCTCAGCAGCATATCCCTTGATGGCCTCAGGTCCGAGCTTGTAATAAACCATACCGCACAGCGCAATGGTGTAGCCGAAAGCCTGGAGACCGGAGATGGGGCTGCCCCAAATCATCATAGAAGCAGCAACCAGGAGGACATCCTTGAGAACACCGCACAGGGTCATGACAAGGGAAGATGTCCTGCCGATCTGCAATTGGTTAGTAACACTTATTCCATGACTAATTTGGTGCTGGTGAGCTCAAACTTACCAAGAAAACCACAGAGACGTTGAGGAGGAACGCGCAAAGACCATTTATAAAGAAAATAGTAAATCCGACGTGGTGAACCTCAGCCATGGTTACCTTCGGAACTTCCCAGAGCAGTGCCAAAACACCGTTCATGACAGCGCAAACAGGGGCAAAGTAGTACAGAGAGACAAGGGGATCCATCTTGTACTCAGCAGAGCTCAGAAGGGCCTCGACCAAGTTCAGACGGATAGCCTCGAAGATAATACCGCCAACCTGGTAGATAAAACCGATCCACACGAACTTGATCTCACCAAAGGAGGCAATAACGACACCAACGACGATAGCCGAGACGTTCAACAAGAGCTTCATGTTGGGAGCAGCAATACCCATCATCCACGAAGACACGAGCACGGCTACAGGAGTGGTAGCCTTGAGCATCTGGATGAAAGCAACACTGAGGTGCAAGTAGGTCAAGTTTCCGCAAATCAGACTCAAACTGAAGAACAAGCCAATAGGAACAATGGCACGGAGATAGACGCGGCCCGTCATCTTGACAGTCTTGCGGCCGTCAAGCAGCGTAGTGTAGCGGGCCATGAATTGGGTTGCGATGGTCGCGAAGATCAAGTGGTAGGTAATCAGAATGACGGGGTACTCTGAAGAGCTTGGTCTCAGTACATGATATTCTATCGATCGTGGTTCGGTTTCGCAGCTTGCTTACTGAATTCCAGGGTACTCAAAATCCACTTGTTGAACAAGATGACTGAGGAAGAAAGACTTATCCATGTCCTATAGGTATGTGCAATGGTCAGCTTTGGTCGCTCTCTTTTCGAGGCTCACGACTTGGCGATTTCGACGTACGCAACATAAACAGACGGGTGAAAGCCAGCCTTTGCAGGCTGAGACTTCTCTGCTTCGGGGTTGACGGTGGGCAGAATGGTGCCCTCAGGACGAGTAACCTCGCCCGAGATTCGGGTCTTCTCTTCAGCGCTCATATTTGCGGCTGAAGCTAGTGGTATTGCGCGTTTGCAATAGTAGTATGGGGGGGAAGCTGGGGATTGCTGTCGCGCAAAAAAGGCTGGTTGTAGAATCGAAGTTTGTCGATAAGCAGTGTTCCGTGAGGTACGGTACGGATCCGTAGTTTGCTGAGAGCAACCAGTTCAAGTAACGAGTGACAATGGCCAAGCCAGCTAAGACCAATTAAAAACCTATGGTGGAGTTGGATGGGGATAACGCAGGGTAGTTGTCGAGAACCTGGGGGGGGATTCAAGGCAACGTTGTCGAGGGGCACTCTTGCCAATGTAAATCACCTTGAAAGAAAAGGGCTGTTGGTCTGAGTCTTAGCAACAAAGAGAAGAACAGGACGGTTGCGTTTGCTATGAGCAGCGTGAGAAAGGAAGCACTAAAGAGGCAAATAGATTACAGCGGCCGTGGGGTCACACTGGTTTTTCAAATTTAGGCGTTGGACTTGCATATCGCTGGATGCGCGTTCCGTTCCTTGGAAAGCCTGATCCAGCATAGCAAAAGGGGGGGATCCCGGGGGTTAGGTACGCTGCTGCTCCTGCTCCTACATACATAACAGAGTCGCCCCACACAGACACTAAGTAGCCCTGGAGCCTATCCATGAGCCACAATGCCGCATCCAGATGTAGACGTGGACGGATGTTCACGTCTTCAGACGGGAGCTCTTTTTCTTCTCTTTCCTCCCATTCCCTGCAGGCCATAGCCCGGCTCATCATGGGGAAAGTGCACTACCGGCGCCTATCCACTGGGCAAGTCATGATGAATTCATGATTCTTATGAAGGATCAGCAGCTTCTATACCATCTTGAATCATGGCTGTGTAAAATACCTCACCAAGCGCGTGTTGTTTTCGGCCCATCTTGTGCGCAGAATTCTCCGCGTCCGAACCTTCAATTTCTTTGGCAGTGCGCTCAATAATATTGTACGATTTCCTTGAATCGTGGCTAAGAGGCTGACCGCATAATCCTCTGTGCAACCGATCTTGCATCCTGGCTACTTAGTCCCGCTAGGTGGGGGATATTGCAGCTTGGCTCAAATCACATATAACTACAAGCACCTCAGTATCGTCACCCTTACTTTTGAACACACAAGTATGCGGGTCTCAAGTATCACAAGTCATTCCGAGACAGAAAGCTCGAATTACCGCAGGTGAAGCAATGTTATTCTTAGACAAAGGCGCTATAACTCGTATGTGAAACTCTGAATTCCTTTTTCTATTGAATAGAGCTATGTATCAAAGCTTGTCCTTAAGTTGATAGCGATACTGAATTATGATTGGAATCGAGTACTATGAACGTCGACATAGTCTTCCGGTTGATTTGATGAGCCGGGAGAGGAGCATGGACCAAGTAAGGTTACGTGAGTCCATCCGGAATTGGCATTATCACCTGCAACTTTGAGATAAGCCTCCCATGCCTTGTGCTGAATTCGGATTTCGAGGCGGTCGGCTTGCAGTAGCGACAATCTTGCCCTTTGACCCGGGCTGACATTAATCTGAGGCTGCAGAATCGCCTTGCAGGGTGTTTGCTCTAGTGTGTATTATGAAGAAGATGGGAGGCTGAGCGGTTGGGTAGCGCGTCTCGACCAGCCTTTAACCTTGTTTACGATGCTGTACGAAGTTGTCGAGGACCGGGCCGGGTTTCATGACACTACAACTATAGTATTCGCCGCAATACCAATGCCGTGGAATGCATGCGATGATGGTCTGCGGCGCTCAGGTACTGCATCTCGCACTACCGAGCACAAACCTGCAGCGAGGACATGGTCTCATAACGGTTGCGCCGTTAAGAACCCTTTCGACTAAGCAAGCTGTCATGTTTCGGGAACCATGACCACAAAAGCTTATTCAGCCTACCTACGACCCAGTCTTGTGCATCTACACGCGCTGATAGTTCACTCTCGCTTACGGTACGACTGCCTTCAGTACGAACCATCTCGCCATGTGCATTGTTCGGATAAGATTTACGGGGTTGTCCTTTTTGATCCCATCTCGCTAGGATATGAGTGGCGCATTTGAGCCTCGTATGTACAAAATTTTGCCTGTTTGCTTTCGCCTGTCGTTTGTAGAACGATGATTGATGGTCAGCCGTTCTATGTAGTACAACACATAGGCCGTCGTGCGCAACTGGCGAGATTACGTTGTGCAGTCATGAGTAGGGCAAGTATATCTGTTGCACTGGTGAATCTGGAAAGGTCATTGTAATTCCTTTGGATCGGATGTCTCGCCTCAAGCAGCCCGATCCTGGCATTCAGGTTGCGAAACAGACATCAGCATGGCCGAGAAACACCGCAATGCGTAGCAGAGTATTTATAGTAGCTGGAGCGTGCTGAGTCGTGCTAAAACCCGGGAAGATCGCAAGCCATCTGGTCAAATCGCTCTAACCTAGGGTGATTGACAAATGTACTTTGATTTGAAGGTATCCTGATTTGCCGATGAATCTGTACTTGCCTGCTTGCCAGGCTTGCTTCTTCAGGAACTCACGAAAAGCCTCACATGTGAGTTCCCAGGGTATATTGCAACATCAACATGAGACGACGGCTTTGTTGCTCTTGCCAATCTTCATGTCGATCTCATGTGTTTGGGGGGTGGGTGTCGCAAGTAGCCTCACTGCCACAGAGCTACATGGTATTTGCGGATCCGACCGTATGTACGGACAGCTGTCTTTTTGGCCGACGGCGGTGGGCCCGGGGATCAACAATTCACGCGTGGGCAGGCGAGTGGTTCCCCCGTTGTCACACATGTCGTACAGTAGAACCAAGGCACGGAACCTGTCATTACTGCATTTTGGCAAGCGCGAACTGGGTCAGGGTGAATTGTGTTTGCATAGACCAAGACCCAAATGATTGAGATTGCCGTCCCCTATCGAAATTAAACGATCTGTCAGGGGCCCCGTTTCGGTGACGAATCGTTGGCCCGTAGGCTCCTTGTGAATAATTGCGAATACTACACAGCACGACACGTCTGATGCTAGCAAATCATTTCCTCAGCAGATGGTGTGTTGGTTAATATTGATCTAAAGGTTAGTTGCGAACAAGTAGGGGTTTGTTAACGCCACCGGAATAAACCCCTAGCATTCCCAGCCCGGTTTCTCCTGGCCTGACTCAAGAGAAAGGAGAAGGTGAAAGGCTCGGTATCATGCACTTCTATTGGTTGATCCTGATCAAGCATACTCTATCAGCCGCCAAATCGGCAGTCCACCGTATCCTTCCGATTGGCAACGCGTATAGATGAACCGTGAGCTACAACAATCCCAGCCCGATGGAGCTCATGTTTTGAAACGGCACCATAATGACGAACAGAAAGCTTTGATGATGGATTTTGCGGGATGGATCGTGAAACATTGTGCTGCCAAGTTCGTGCTTCTCGAAAACGTGGTAGTCGGCAGTGGGCGTGGATATTGCTTCATTTCATAAAATTAACGGCAGCAAGGGTTCCAAGGTTTGGCTGCTGATCCGGCGAGTAGAAGCGGGTGGATTATTGAAGACGAGGTAATTTTATGGGTTGCTACTGGACCTTTGGGCTGCTAATCAATATGCTTCTAGTCACATACCGATATTGCTTCTCAAGTTTATTGTGAGGTGGGTGTGTAACGCATATTCGAAAAACCCTTCGCAGAATCTGCTTCTTTATTATACGATGGTCTTAGGGGAAAGAAAATAAGGAAGAAAAGAAAAAGTACATTCTCTAGGTAACTGATAGAAGATGCGCATCCCTGAGTGGTTGTCACAATATACCGTACCGACCGCCTCTTGTTGCTTTGTCGATCTCTCCAACATTCTATACCCCTGCTTCGGGGGGGTCTGGAGGGGGATGTTGATTAGCATTGAAAGGCAAGCCACTATTGCTTAGCGCGGGGCCTGGCAGCCAAACCGGACACCTTAAATGCGACTCTAGCGAAGATTGGTTGAGCCAAGGTAGATGGACATGTTATATTTGGCACATAGTGGTGACTAAGTATGCCTTCGTGGACTCGATGGATGGGAAACAACACGGTCGTTAGGAGGATTCGCGGAAAAGCACAGTCTCTCTCATCTTGCGATGCTATCCTAGCGGCAACGTTTAGTGACGCAATAGCACTATCTAGGTATGGAGCACGGTACTATTTGAATGCTCTTCGACGATAGAAGTCGGTGAGGGGACTGTAGTATGCGGCGATTGCCCACTTGGAAGTTCTGGACTTGATGGGGCCACATGTACGTCTGTACGCTATTCATGGGCCAATCCACTGAACCCACCGAAGCTCAATTGGAGGTTGGAGGTTGGGTGGGGAGGGGGGGGTGGCCGAATCGAATGCACGCGAATAATGCTAAGGGAAGGTATCCATGGATGGTTGGAATAAAATAAAATAGCCTCGCAGCAAGTATCGAGTACTATGTACCTAGAGATATCATCTACGTGTACGGAGTATGTGAAACGAGATGATCTTTGTGCCACCAGCACTTGTAGCGTTTACATTGGATTCGTTGCCATCACACCCCATGTCCGGAGCCCCACCACCCCTTCGTCGCTCGTCCCCTATTTTTCGACCACAGATTTCTCGACAAATTGTTGATAGAATAGAGCTACTATCCCACCCAGTTCTAATCTACTCTACTCCCTCTCCGTTCATAATCTACACATTCCTTCCTTCCAGTTCAGCATCATATAGATCTGACCAGCACGCCTTGTCTTGTTTGACTTGGATATTCACGAGAGCCACTGTTCTGTCATCTCTAGATCAATCCCTTCTAAACCCCCACTTCTCCATAGCTACGAAAGTGAGACACCATGGCTGATATGTAAGTAAACCAGCCATTGTTGCGCCAGCAGAGACAACGAACCCAGCTCGAGTACCGAACTGACTCCCTCTATCTTAGCAACGTCGACGTTCTCGTTATCGGTGCTGGCCCGACCGGTCTCGGTGCTGCCAAGCGCCTGGACCAGATTGTATGCTTCACCGCCCGACAAAACACTCGCTTCAGATGCTGATTGCGGTTCTAGGACGGCCCTTCTTGGTTGCTCGTAGACTCCAACGACAAGGCCGGTGGTCTTGCCTCCACAGATGTTACCCCTGAGGGTTTCGTAAGTCTCTGGTTCGCTGCATTATGTACCATACTCCTGGCTAACCAGTGCCCAAAACAGCTCTACGATGTCGGTGGCCACGTTATCTTCTCCCACTACAAGTACTTCGACGACTGCATCAACGAGGCCCTTCCCAAGGACGATGACTGGTTCGAGCACCAGCGTGTCTCTTATGTCCGCTACAAGGGCCTTTGGGTTCCTTACCCCTTCCAGAACAACCTTTCCGTCCTGCCCAAGGATGACCAAGTTACCTGCTTGGAAGGTCTGATCGATGCCGCTGTCGAGCACCGCGTTTCCAACACCAAGGCCAAGAACTTTGATGAGTGGATTCTGCGTCAGATGGGTGAGGGTATTGCCAACATCTTCATGAGACCCTACAACTACAAGGTCTGGGCTGTCCCGACCACCGACGTAAGCAAACGCCCCCTCCCCGAATACCCGCATATCACACTAACGCAAATTATAGATGCAAGCTGAGTGGCTCGGTGAGCGTGTTGCCGCTCCTAACTTGAAGCTTGTTACCAAGAATGTTGTCCTGAACAAGGTTGCTGGCAACTGGGGCCCCAACGCTACTTTCCGCTTCCCTGCCCGTGACGGAACTGGTGGCATTTGGATTGCCGTCGCCAACACTCTCCCCAAGGAGAAGGTTATCCTTGGCAAGTCTGGTTCCGTGACCAAGGTTGACGCCCAGAAGAAGATCGTCACCCTGGGTGATGGCAAGACCGTCAAGTACGACAAGCTCGTCTCCACCATGGCTGTCGACTCTCTGGTCGAGTCCATTGGCAACCCAGAGCTCGTCAACCTCAGCAAGGGTCTCTACTACTCCTCCACCCACGTCATTGGTGTCGGTCTGCGAGGCGAGCGCCCCGAGCGCATCGGCGACAAGTGCTGGTTGTACTTCCCCGAGGACAACGCTCCTTTCTACCGTGCCACCATCTTCTCCAACTACTCTCCCTACAACCAGCCCCAAGACGATGTCAAGCTTGCCACCCAGCAACTGGGTGATGGCAGCAAGCCCCAGAGCACCGAGGCCAAGTCGGGTCCTTACTGGTCTATCATGCTTGAGGTCTCACAGTCTACCAAGAAGCCCGTCGATGAAGCCAACCTTCTCAAGGACTGTATTCAGGGTCTGATTAACACCGAGATGATCAAGCCTGAGGACGAGATTGTCTCAACCTACCACCGCAAGTTTGACCACGGTTACCCCACTCCCGCCCTTGAGCGTGAGGGTGTCCTGAAGGAGCTGCTCCCCAAGCTCCAGGACCTGGACATCTGGTCTCGTGGCCGTTTCGGTAGCTGGAGATACGAAGTTGGTAACCAGGATCACTCCTTCATGTTGGGTGTTGAGGCTGCCGACAACATTGTCAACGGTGCTGTCGAGCTGACGCTCAACTACCCCGACTTTGTCAACAGCCGCAAGAACGAGGAGCGCCGCTTGAACCAGAACCAGTTTGCTTCTGCCAAGAAGGCGGTTGGTACTACTGCCACCCAGATTCCCTCGAGGTAACGCGCTGGCTTTGAGAACGGCATCCCTCAAGGCTCAAGAAAGGGCAACATGGGGAGAAGTGGGTGAGTGGAGGAGGAAGAAGAAGAAGAAGAAGAAGACGAAGAAGAAAAGTGCGTTTTTAGAAATTTCATGACGGGCCTCGTTTCAGCTAGAGCAGCTAGAGGGATTTGATGAAGGTATTGATGTTTTATGAGCGTCAAAAATGTGACGGGATGATGGTATATCTTAATAGTCCTGGTGCTGGGAAAGCATGCACAATTCTCGTGTCTGATAAGATATAGACGTTTGAGATGATAGAATATAGAAACATTACACTACCACTCTCGACCGTGTTATACATGTACCAGAAGAAGACTACTAACTCAGTCCCTGACTGTGGTTTTGCTTTTGTGCCTCGGCCGTACTCAGTATAGCTTTGTGACCGGGATTCTGATTGGCTTAAGCTCGGTATGCAGTTACGTATCTGCGCTGTGCCTCTTACATCATTCCTAGAAAGTCCACAAAGCTTGGGTTGGGTCACTTTTTCATGGTACCCGCAAACCTTGGCCCCTCCGACCGAGACAGACCATGAACGCCAGCGCCGTACAAACGCCGAGGAGGAAAGGCCATTTGTGTGGTGAATCTTCTGAAGAGGATCTGGCTTCCAGCATGGGTGGCATAAACAGTGTGCCAATGCAAAGTACGCATTATGGTTTCTCCTTGGGTATATATTGGTCAATAGTGGTGTTTGTGTCATGCAAGAAAAACCTGAAAGCTAGCCCTGTCTCTGCAAGCCAGACAAACGGTGGCACAGGAACATTTGTAAGTCATGTCCGACTTCAGACAGCATACGATGGGGTGGGGGGGCTCCCGGCGTTTGTGACCCGAGGGGTGGTTCATACTAAGCTAGAGATGTGAAGGAATTTGCAATGTGGCAGAACACATGTGCGATTATATTATACTCGAGAAGCGCATGTCTTTGATTGAGATGGCGAAGTGATTTGGTGGAGGGGTTTGAGAGAGGCTAGCTTCGGCAAGTTAACTGCTGCTACTGTAGCCAATTTAGCATCTACTTTGAGCTAAGGTCAGTCCGTAGGGACCCTAGGATTAGACACTCGTCATCAAACGGACCATTAAGCTGGGTGACGACTTAGCCCAGTTAGGCTCACTAAGGCTAAGAAGGGGGACCCTTGACATTTGCAAATGCTCAACACCAAAATACCCGCGACTTGAGGTTGGGCGAACGTCGCCAATTCTGCACTTTGCGCTTCCCGTCAGGAGGTGGACACAAGAGGTTTCCTTTCACATGTATACGAAGAACAAGTACAGATCATGAGTGACGCAATCCAGACTCTTTATACATAAGTCGTGCCGAGCCTTGCCGGGCTCAACGAATCCCGTCTGCTATGGACAGCTCCATGGCATTGCTGGATGATCAGCTGGAACCTCCGCCGCGCATCTTTGAACGCCTGCGTCAGATTGCTGGCTATGCTTGGGATGAGGCCCAGCGCCCGTATCATTCGACCTATGACAACTGGTAGCCCTTTCCATATCCTCAACTTTTGCCGTGTTTCCCCCAACCATGGCACTAACGCGTTTCTTCTTTTCCCCAGGCACGTCTTCGGCACCAGATTTGTGTCCCCCTACTCATCGTCGGGAACCCCTTCGCGCGACATCACGAGTCCCCCAGCTTTTTCAAGTAAACTATCCTCTTCCAGCTCTATACCACAGAGCGATGGCAGCAGCGATCGATCAGCCGCATCCCCTCCGATAGTCACACATGTCAACTCCGATCTCTCCAATGTCGAAGAGATCCCCGTCGTAGCGCGCGTATCCTACCACGTCCTCAGAGAGGAAAGGGCTTTCCACACCTGCAAGAACCTGATTGCAACGGCAGATCCGCATGGAGAACACAACGTTAAGCCCATAGATCTCATTAGACTCACTTCGCACCACGGCGACCGAGGCTCTATAGTCGTGGGTATATACGAATTTGCAGGACACAATCACCTCTTCGATGTGTTAGATCTGGGTCCAGCTTTCTACTACGGAAAGAAGGTGGAGGACAGGTTCGAAGCTGACATAAAGGGCGATTTTCGCCTGGGTAGACCTATCAGCCTACAACATTTCCTCGATTTTGCCATTGGCGCGACGCAATGTCTGGAGATCCTCCATCATGGTCACGGGACTGTTCACGGAGAGATCCGAGGGGATGCCTTTCACTTCGATATCGGGACGAATAAGGTCAAATTAACCTCCTTTGGTTCAGGCGTCCGTTCTTTTGAGAATGGCCTGACAAGCTCCGGCTGGTCGATGCTTTCAAAAGAGCTGGGTGCAAAGAACAAGTTGCTATACATCTCCCCCGAACAGACGGGACGTCTCCCAGCAGAACCAGATACCAGAACTGATATTTACTCTCTCGGCGTCCTCTTCTGGCAACTCCTAACCCAACAGCCTGTCTTTACTGGGGCAACACCCCTAGATATTGTTCAGTGCGTGCTCGGCCGGCGGATACCCTTGGTTTCAAATGTGAGGATTGATGTTCCCGAAGTCTTGGGCAAGATCATCCAAAAATGTACCGCCAAAGACATACGAGACAGATATCACTCCGTCAGTGGTTTACAATACGACCTTCAGATGGTCCAGAGGTTTCTAGTTGACGGCGACCAGATGGCTTTGAAAGCATGGCACATTGCTTCCAGAGATGTATCGTCGTTTTTCATACTGCCCACGTCCATGGTGGGCCGGAGCGCAGAACGCGATCAGCTTTTCCAGATAATTGAACGTGTTGCTAGAACGCATGAACTCATGACTAGCACCAACAACCGGTTTTCTGAAGCTTCGGGATTCTCGAACGATCTGCTTGATACGGCCGACGTTTCGAGCGAAGGTGCCAGCTCTGTTGAAGGTGCAGCGGGCAACCGAAGAAGTGGTTCCTTCACACAGACAGTCATGGGGGATTCGAGACTCTCAAGAGCTAGTTTCCAGCCGTCGCTTAACGGTACTGACGAGTTGACCATGTCAGGGGACACTGTGTCGTCAGGAAACTCCGGGCCACGTTTAGCAAAACCATGGGAGAGAAATCACTCGGTTTCGTTGGAAACCAGAAGCCTGATTGACAGCTTCAGCGACCGCCAGCAATCGAGGCATAGCGCCGTTGAAAGTGTGACCAGCCTCTCACGGCAATTAGGTTCTGCCAGATTCCGAAGACGCGGACATTGTGAAGTGGTAACGATCGAAGGTGCCGGTGGGCTCGGCAAGAGTTTCTTAGTGCAGCAAGTTCTGGCAGATGCGAGGCGGAGAGGTTATTGCGCGACTTCCAAGTTCGACACTGCGCGGCGATATGCATTCGGCCCTCTACTCAAACTTCTCTCATCATTGATCAAGCAGGCATGGGGTGAAAGGAATACTGAAACACCGTTCCACTCCGCATTGAAAGACTATTTGCGCCCTCTTTGGCCAGTTTTGCACAAGACACTCGGCCTGCCGGAATTTCTTCTTGGTGCTCACAAAGCAGCTGTTGCCACCATTTCAAGGTCGGCTTCCACGGCTCAAAGTCCATCCAAAGGACAGCACGCCCGCTCCTCTCTTCGAAGACGTGGCTCATCACCGGGCAGCTCCCCTAGTGGTCTATCGTATCCCAAAAGTCCCCGTGTCACTTCTCAAAGCTCACAAGATTTCCTTAGAGCCGGTGGTACAACAAAGACAATTCGTTTGATGAACACCTTCCTGGACATCCTGAGGATATTTAGCTCATATCACTTCATTTGCTTTTGTCTGGATGACCTTCATTTCGCCGACTCAGAAAGCCTTGAGCTCATAACACAAATGATTGCAGCTCGGCTGAAAATGGTAGTAATCATCACGTTCCGACCAGATGAGATAGCGCCGGAGATGGTTCAGCGGGTTCTGCAGCCGGCGGACCATGAGGAACACCCAAAGTCAAGTGGTCCTCGAATTACGCGGATAGTCCTTTCACCATTGAACGAGAAAGAAATACTTCAATTTGTAGCTTCTACGATATGCAGACCACCAGAAGATGCTGCGCCCCTGGCGCTTGTCATTCAGTCGAAGACTGCGGGCAATCCATTCTACATGCGAGAGATGCTGCATGCTTGTTATCGATCGAAATGTATCTGGTACGACCACCGAGAGAACCGTTGGTGCTATGATCTTGACTTGCTGTTTGAGCAATTCAAAGGAGAGCATGGTTACGACGTGTTGGACAACGATTTCATCACTCGTAGGCTGAGCGAATTGCCTTCAATTGCTCGAGCTATATTGGCATGGGCATCGTTGCTCGGAAACTCCTTCTCTTTTGATCTCATATGTCAACTTCTCAGCGGAGAATTCGACTTCGTGGATGAAACTTGTTCAACCGACAAAGCATTGTTGCCCAGTAGATATTCCAAGCAAGCCGCCGTTGGTGGGCTTCAAGCTGCAGTCCAAGCTTGTATCCTCGTCCAAGGCGACACCGACGAGCGATTTCGCTTCGCACACGACAGATACGTGCAGGCTGCATCTTCCTTGAAAGAATGTAACGAACAGAAACAGCATTTCATTATTGCTCAAACACTTCTGAAGTACCATGGTAGCGAGCCGAGGTGGCGAGAGAATATCGCCTCACACATCTGCAAATCAGTCAACTTGATCAAGCATCGTATACCAAATCGTGGGCAGTACCGTAAACACCTTATGGACTGTGGCGCTTCGGCAGTAGAGAACGGCGCCCGGCCTACTGCAGCGAAATACTACGCTGCAGCCATCGAACTTCTACAGCCGGAGCCGTGGGTTAGCGGCGAAGACAGCTCCTATGCAGAAACCTTAGAGCTCTACATGCGTTCAGCCGAATGCAATGTTTTTATGAACGAGAGCAAGGCTGCTTATGAGTATGTCAACACTATTTTTGACAAAGCCAAAACTCCAGCAGACATGGCCCCTGCATGGTTGCTAAAGTCGCGCATCGAGGCTCAGAGCGGCGACTCTGTATCAGCACTGGCCACGCTCAAGGACAGCTTATTACAACTCAACGTAGACTTCGACGCACAGCCTACATTCGAAAAATGTGACGCTGAGTTCATGAGACTTACCACCAGGATTATGTCTATGGATCGTTCAAAGGTCATGAACCTGCCAAGCATCGACCCTTCGTTAGTGGTAGTGGGTGCTATCCTTGCGGATGCTTGTAGCGCCTCCTTTTGGAGCGATTGCCTCGATTTTTTCAATTTGTCTTTGACAATGCTTCGGATCCACCTCGAAAGAGGTTCATTCCCACAATCTGGCATGGCCTTATTACACATTGGCTTCATATCTATATCTCGCTTCAACATGATAGAATTTGGTGTGGAGATGGGTAATCGCTGTCTTGAACTATTCGGTCGACTCAAAGATCCATTCTCGTCCGCTCGCGGTTATATGATATACGGCCTTTGGATCAGTCACGTACAAGTCCCCATCAACCTCATGGTCAATCAATTTGAGCAACTCGTCGAATACGCTGCCAGCGCAGGAGATCGTATATCTGTTATCCTTAGCTTTGGCCTCTCTGCTCAGATGCGGTTCTTCGCCAGCGAAAACTATGCAGATCTTGAGGCCATTTGCCAATACTGCTGCGAAGAAGTTACAGGATGGGCTCAAGACACCCGCGGCGGAACTTTCTTGATTGTAGTACGGCAAGTGGCCCGGGCTCTACAAGGCAAGACCAAGCATTGGAATCCTTTAGAGGTATTGAGCGATGACCAGCACTCATCTTCCGGTTATAAATCATGGCTGACTCAGTCCACCCACAACGGTGGGCGGTCACTTCTGGTTTACGAAACGATGGAAATTATCCCACTCTATCTATTTGGGCATTTCGAAAAGGCTTGTGAGGTGGGACAAAGGTGCATTGACAACATGCAGCTCATTTGGTCTGCTAGAAACACCCGAACGGCCATGTTGTTCTACGGCCTATCACTTGCTGGACTCATGTTCCGGAAATTACAAGACCCGTGTAACCAAGACCAAGATTTACGTAGTGACGTACAGGCGACAATCCTTGTTCTAGATGACCTAAACAAGAGAATTAAAGACTGGCAAGTGGTATCGGCTGTAAACTATCTTGTATGGACAAAGTGGCTTGATGCTCAAATCGCCGAGCTGAAGCAGGACCACGGTTTCGCCATTGAACAGTATGAGACTGCTCTGGACCATGCAGCCGAGTATAGCTTCACCTTCGAGGAGGCTTTAGGCAACTTCCTCATGGCTGGCTTCTTCATTCGAAGATCTGCCAGGCGATCTGCGCGAGCAGTCCTCAGAGAGTCAGTTGGCTTGTGGCAGCAATTGGGTGCGGCTGGAATGGCCAATCAAATCGAAGAAGAGCATTCTTTGTTGCTTCATGGACCAAATGCTGGTACCCGGACGGTCGAGGTTGGAGTGCAGACCGAATTTGCTACGGATATGAACTATCCAGAAAATGAAGAAATGACGCAGCAAGCCAACCAACCAACTCCCAACGAATTGAGGGAGACGCGGATGGCCGCATGGCGGGGATCCATCCCGGCCCAATCTGGTGCGGGACTTCCGGCGCTGGATATGATCGATTTACATGCCATCTTGGTGTCTTCTCAGGTCATCTCATCTGTTCTTCAAGTCGATGTGCTTCTCAAAACCATGTGTGATGTCGTTCTGCAAACATGTGGTGGGTCGGCAACTCAGGTTAGTAATGTTATTGTCGTATTCTTTCTGTGAAAGTGACAGTTTGTTGCTATCGACTTTCTTCCGTCTCTTTTCACGATTTGCAGCGAGAACCTAAACTGACAACTGTAAAAGGCAGCAATTATCGTTCAAGATCAAGAACTCGGTGAGGATGCCTACTGCATCGCGGCTAGTGGAGAACCTGAGAGAGGAGCGGTCTCGTATCCCCCTCCTGGGAAGCCCTTAGCCGGAACCTCACTTGTCGCCGAAAATGTAATTCACTACTGTGTCAGATTTCAGGTAAATGAGGCAGTCTTCATTCCGGATCTAATACAAGACGAACGGTTCGGGAACGTCAGCGAAGGCTGGTTACGGCGGAACCCTCTTAGCAAGACGGTAATCGCGTTGCCAATACGATATGGTTCAAAACCACTTCTTGGCGTTCTGTACTTGGAAGGAGAACCCGGAACATTCACTTCTCGACATCTGACTGTGTTGCAGTTGCTTGTCCAGCAGATTGGCATCAGTTACTCCAACGCGCTTGCCATAAGAAACATAGAAAAAGTATCCGCTGAGAATGAGGCTATGATCAAGATGCAGAAAGAAGCGCTTGCTGCTGCTAAGGCAGCTGAGCTCAAGGCGAAAGAGGCTGAAGCCAAAGCATTGCGCAATGTCAAGATTGCAGAAGAAGCAGCGAAAGCAAAGAACGTCTTCTTAGCAAATGTTTCTCACGAGCTGCGAACGCCCCTCAACGGCGTTATTGGCAATTCCGAGTTACTTAGAGACAGTAATCTCAATAGGGATCAACTCGAGATGGCTGAATCAATCCGTGTATCAGCGGATCTTCTGCTTACAGTCATCAACGACATCCTAGACTTCTCCAAGATGGAGGCCGACAAGATGAAACTTTACATCATTGCCTTCAATCCTGAGGAAATGGTACGTGAGGTCGTCCGAGCTGTCTCTTACAGCAATAGGGAGAAGACATCGACCAAGAATGTCAAGATTATCCAGGATATTCACCTACCTCCAATGCTGATCTATGGAGACCCTATTCGTCTGCACCAGGTCCTAGGAAACCTGATTGGAAATAGTCTTAAGTTTACAGAGGACGGTTCCATCACCATAGGAGCTCGAGTTGATTCGGAAACTCAGGAACATACTAAATTGACTTTCTGGGTTAGGGATACAGGCATTGGTATCCCGCCACAGCAGCTGACCAAGTTATTCCAGCCGTTTAGCCAGGCAGATGCGAGCACTGCTCGCAAATATGGTGGCAGCGGTCTGGGTTTGAGTATTTGCAAATCCTTGATCGAAACGATGATGCACGGGCAAATTGAGCTTGACAGCGAAGAGGGAGTGGGAACGACTGCATGGTTCTGCGTGACCTTTGACAAGGCCAAACCGGAAGTCTCTGCTGGTGACGTACAGCAAATCCATATGCCGCAGATTATCGACAAGCAGCAAACTTTCCGGGAGCCTCCGAGAGAGCCGCCTTCAAACCCGTACATGGATCTTACACAAATTCCCAAGGACCAGCTGCGCGTATGTATAGCCGAAGACAACCTCATAAACCAGAAAATAGCCATCCAATATATCCGGAAGCTAGGCTACACCAAGGTTGACGCATACGAGAATGGTCTCAAAGCCGTGGAAGGACTGCGTGAACAAGCTGCAAAGGGTTCTCCATATCATGTGGTTTTGATGGACGTTCAAATGCCAGTGTTGGACGGCTACGAGGCAACGAAGCTCATCCGTAGAGACGTATCGGAAGAGGTGAAGAAGGTCCTCGTAATTGCCATGACTGCATCAGCGATCCAAGGCGACAGAGAGAAGTGTCTGGCTGCTGGCATGAACGACTATCTGGCTAAACCGGTGAAAGCTGACCTCCTGAAACGAAAATTGGACATGTACACAACAGTACAGGGTGTTATGCCACCGCCGAGTCCTCCGGTACGTCATTCGCCCAGCTCCATGGCTTCCAAGGCGAGAACCCAGTCTGCCGACTCCGCAATGTCACCACCAACGACATCATCCAGTCCTGGCAGTCTGACAGATGTTAGCCCAGGCCAATCGCCTGGGGTATCTTCAAGGGCATCGACTGGACCGACACAACCGCCACAACCGCCACCGCCACAACTACCACCCCACGCCTCCAGCGACAATCGCTCACTCATCTCCGAGAGAAGCTCTATTGCTGAGTCCACTGCGTCCATGACGCCTTCACAGAAAGAACTCAAGCGCCAGCCGAATAAGCTGACCAAGATGCGCAATAACAGTGAGAAGAGCGATAAAAGTGAGAAAACAGAAAAGCCTAAAGGTGTATTGAGGAAGCACCGACCCTCGAGCACCATATCGCTAGGCGAACAACTGGCGGGGACGAGCCAGGATAATTTTTCAGATGAGGCGTTAGGGCGCCCCCCAAGTCTGAACAGTACCAGTAGTTTAGGAAACAAGGGGACTGCCTTCAAGTGAGGAGTTTCTTGCACGAGCAGTAGAAAGATGTTTTTGTCGAGATAAATCTTTGCTAGTACTAGAATGTGGTGGTTAAATGAGGCATGCTATTTATTTAGGAGTGCCACATATTTTGTTATTCAAGAAGCCAACCTACCCGCCGGCCTTGAAGTGCTCTAGCAGGGCACTGCACAACAAAGTCTCTGGGAGATTGTCGTGTCGTTTGTCCGGTTATCTGGTTTGCATATGCATAGATCGTTTTTGGCATTGTTGCTAGTTTTGTGCCTGGCGTTCATGTTCCTGTCATGGATTAGGAGAAGAAGGATGTTACTAGCGAGCGGCAGTCTAGTTCAATATAGACAGATATTGGAAGGAATGTGACTTGAGAGATAATACGTCACGTTGAAATACCAGGACGGCAAAGTGATTGTGCTGCGTAATTATCATGAATGAGATCTCCTGCGAGACGAAGCAGATGGGAATGCAATTGTCTAGCTGTCTGACGCATGGGCAAGCACAAATACTGACCCGACAAGACTGGAAATGCTTTCCTATCAGACTTGGCAGAACATTCTTTGTTAATTGTTTCCGTTGCCCCCTCTTTTGTCAAGGTGTTATGTTCGTTTAGAGCTGTTGCCAGAGGTTGCTATGCTTATCGAGAAACATACGCAAAGATAGGTGTTGAGCACAATCTGTTTCGGGGATGCTGGGATGAACGTAGCAGCGATTCCGAGGGCACGACGTTGTGCCTAGTAATTAATAGCTTTTTCTGCAGGGACGTATTGCAGCTAGCAGAGGATGAAATAAAGATAGCAAATAGTAGGTGATAGGCAAATATGCATGCAGTTGCTAGGAATGACAAAATCTCACTATTTCAAAATATGTCGCTTAGATAAACGCTTCGCATTAACGCGATTTGAGCCAGAACGATTGCCATTGTGACATGGTTAAGAATAATCTCGACGGCATAATGTGAGATTAGATGGCTCACTATAGTTATGCTTGCTATGATAAGAATCCATATGATAAGGTCTGTTACGGGCTGTAAGTAGACATTGAACATTCATTGTCTAATGACCATCATGTCCTTTGGCTTGAGCTACGCTGGCTGGCTGATCAATCCCCCCCGGGCACCGAGATCTCCTCAGCGACAATAACCTTGGCAAAGCGGCCCGGGGAGGGGGGGCTGATTGCATTGCTACCCACTGCATTCTCAATCTGGCGACTCATGCATGTTTTGGCACCCGAGCTCGAGGTTCGCGTTGAGCCACATTCACAACGAATCGAGGATGAGTGGCGCTGTATCCATGACATTCATGACTTGCATCCATGATGGCCTCTTCTCTCATAATTACATCTTAGCCTCTGCGCTGTAACCCAGTCGGCGGCTGAAACGGCAATGGCAACTAGCCATATATGGCTGCTCAGTTTCAGCTCTTGCATGCCAGCGTCACATCTGCTGGCGGGGCGTGCCTCTGCTTTAGACCTTTCAATGCTATTTTGGGTCTTTGCAAAACAGAGGAACCGCTGGGTTCTCAAGTGGTCATAAGTCGTGTCTCTTGTATAACCGGAAACGAGAATCAACAAGATGCCGGCTTGCCGAGTGGTGCGTCCCTGGCCGGATGCAAGGGCTCGGCCGTCTTATTGCAGCAACAACAACGCATCCCATGTGAGGTATCATCAGGCCACATAACACCAGCCGCGCCTATATGCGACTGGCGGTTGCTGACTGCTTACTTCGAAACATGGTGAGCGCGACGTTGGGAAGCTCTCAGGAGGGAAGGTGTGTGGCAGGCGAGTCTGTGCGCTGATATAAATAGCCGCGCCGTCAAGAATCGTCGACAGCGGGCAAGTGTCTGTACTCTTTGGAGTCCACGACGGGGGTTTGGTCCCAGTGATTTAATGCACGAATAAAAAATACCATAGGCGTCAATACCGGTTCAGTACGATCCGACGAGGTGCTGCAGTCATCAGGGTAAGAGTCGCATCAGTTCCCGCCTCGAACGCGCTTTGTTGTCCTGCGAGGGCTTATAGCGTCTCGGAATGACGGGCCAAGGCAGGGTATTCTTCCTGGACATGACTGCAAGAGTTTCCCTACGCCAACGGGTGGAACAAGAGATTGGGGCCTGCAGTTCGGCTCTGAGATCATCGTATCGGATGACGGCAAGAACGTAATAACCTGCTTGCTTCATGAAATCTTTCGGCCGTATCGCTTGCGCGAAGCACATGAGCATACAGCGGCTACGGGCAAATCGTTCAATTATATAGTCGCCTTACTCATCCGGTCCAAGGGTGATGCTTGTTCTCCGGTTCCCAAAAGAGTCGTGATATGCCGCGTTCAGCAATAACAAACTGTCCCGCCTGGAACTGAGGCTTTCCTATAGAAGGTTCATCATATAGGCTATATACTCCTTTCAGCGCTACGACGACGTCAACCCCACGCGTTCGCTTTCAGATGAGACCCATATTTGAATTTGAGAGATTTGCCGAACCAAACTTTGGATATATTCCACGTGGGCTGCAGGCTTTCCAAGAACTACACAAACTTGCTTTTCCTCCCCCCCCTTAGGCGTGTCTAGCTTGCGTGCGTGTGGTCGATGCAAGCGACTTTGACACACCATCAGCGCCTAGAGTACAGGCAGGCCCCCTGATTTACCCTTTCCCCCTCCGTATTTGCAAGCAATTGGTGGTTATGACACTCTCCGCACCCAGGATCTCGGGGCGCTTGAACAACAAATGGAGTTTTTCTTTCTTTCTCCTCCTTGGAAGGATCTTTCTCTCCCAATTCGTTCCCCTTTACAGCTGAAACGTATGGGAGCTTACTGTGCGTCGGCCTGTCGACCTCGCTTGCCCATAGTGCCACGAATTACACGCTCCTGGTTGTGGCCCTTTCCCCCTCCATGTTGATGCACAAACCACATGCGCCTCCCGTTCTTCTTGCATTTTTCAGCCACCCCACCTCCCTCTAACATGACAGACCGCTTTCGCGAATTTGCTCTCTGCCTCGCGATGTTCTATTGTTCTTTCCGTCACCGCGGACGACTAAGGGGGATTCCCCGCGCTGACCGGAAATCAGGGCCATGCCAGAAGAGCTGTCTTACCAACAGACAACATGGAACACTTGCGTGCTGACCATTGTGTTATCAGAAACATCCTTTCACGAAGGGTACATTCCCTTACAGTAGTTTCTTTGCCTCTTCGGGAAATAAGAGTGGGCTTTTGTGCTATGTATGAAGGGGGGTAGCATTCCACCCCTGTTCCGAAGACTTAACCCCTGTCATAATACACCGCGCCCTATATTAAGCAACGTCATCCGCCCGACGCGGTATTCATACCATATGCGAGTTGGGGTTAATGAGATCTTTTCTTTAGCAGGGCTTGCCGTTGTGTCTCCGTACCACAAGCGGCTGGTCGGAGTAGTTAAATGCCCGAATAGTCTGGAGAAAACGATGGGAGTGTTCATTGCAAATCATCGCTGAGATGTCACCCGTCTCATTTTGTTGTCGTGGTCGTTGTGTTGTTAGCTGACATGACGGAATAAAGCTGTTTGGTGAGAAGGGTCGGAATAGACATTCTCAGCCGCTTGCTGGTCATGCAGCTAAATATGGTACCGCTTCACTTAAAAGAAATGGATTTTTAGCATGATAACAAGCGAGATGAAGGCAATTCAATTATGACACAATTGTCAACAACCCTATGGCTGCCGTTTGGTACCTTGTGGCACTCAGGCCACTTGGGGGGATAATCTCACTGCCATCCATTCACGAGCACCCTTTCTCCGTAATCAACCACCCTATTTCCCCGTTGAACTCCTTGCCCTTCTCCCTTATGAGCGAGTCCCAGCCCAATATGCTTTTAACCCAGTGTGAAGTCCAGAAACATATGCAGTCGGCTAGTTTATACAAAGTAAGATAGTTACAGAAGACGAAGTAAATGAAATCACCCAATCATAATCCCAAAATAAATGCTCCAGTGTCGAAAGGTAGGTAGTTTGCAGCCGCAGCCGTCTATAGAAATGAGTAAGAGTGCCGGCCCGAGCAAAATGTTTAGGGAGAACCTTTGGGCTCTCAGTTGTGGAAAATAATAAATTGGCGCGCTAGTCGAGGGCTCGCCGAGCCCCTTTCCAAGATTGCCATGTAAACTGAATGTTTTGAATGATGTTAAAGCTGCCAATCGTTTAATTCGTGGTTCATTCATTGTCTCGTTCAAGACGTGCTGGTCCACGCCTTCTCTCGTCAGATGACGGTGGCGACGGTCTTCGTTCGGATCCTTCATGTCCTCCTCTTTCCGGGCCAAACCGGGGCGACGGCTGATCAGACGATAGCAATGACGATACCGAGTGGGCATTGGTACGTCCTTGTATGGATTGCTCAAATGGCACACCCTCACGTGGCGTGCCCAAGCCGGGTGACAATGCTCGGCTGGGGCCGAAGCTATCTCCCCGTCCACGGCCTGTTGACCTATACGAAGAGAGGTCGCTTCTTTGCCGTGAATGCCCACGACGGCGACCGGGCGGCGGATTTGAGAGCGTCGATGAGCCTGCTGAATGACCGAAAGGGGGCGACCTTCTACTCATATGTGTACTCGGAGGAGGCGCTGCCTGCTGTGGCCCTGTGGCTTTTCGTTTCTTCGGCGAGTCGACTATCGCACCATTAGCGTCGGAATTATCACATCCCTTTTTTGCTTTTTGACGAACCAGAAGGTGTCCCAGGTTGTGCGGAAACTGCCTGGGAAGTAGGGGGTTGCCAATGGTGGAAATAAATGCTAGGAGACTGCGTTTCTTGCTGCGAGCTTGATTGCTGGTGTTGTCCCATGGTTTGCGTGTGAGATTGGATTCCGGCTGGCCCTGTGATCATCTCCCCAGTGGCCAAACGTGGCAGAGAACTCCCGAGGGGTCTGCCGACGGCTCCAGCGACCGACATCGTATGTGCTCTGGCTCTAGTCGGCGAGCCTGGACCTTGATACGGCACGAATCCACTCTGCGGTCCAGGTCCCGAGCCTGGCGTCGAAGGCACGCCAACGGAACCAGCATAGGGCCCGTACGACTGCGAACCTCTCCTGTCTTCGGGCGAAAAAGGTCCTTGGGCCGGGAGAAGCTGTTGTTGGTGGCCATGCTGTGGCGTCAAATACTGTTGCGCCCACTCCAAGGCTGCCTGGGGAAGAATCCCACCGCTCATCCCAGCAAACACAACCGGAACCATAGGCGGCGGGATACCGCGATCTAAGGACGTTCGAAGCATATCGTATTCGAGCTTCCGTTGTTCCAGTCGCAAACCCTCTTGTCTGGTCTTTTCTTCTTCTTGTCTTCTCCTCTCCTCCTCCGTTTTCGCTACCAGCCACGTCCTCATGGATTCCTCTGCACCCTGCCCTTGCCATTGAGGTGCTGCTGGCAATATGCCAAGAGAATGACTTTGGGAGGGCGGCAGCGAGGGCGGTGGCGGTTGCGCATGTGGGTGTGGGTGTGATACTGGAACGGGTCCATGGCCAGGTCCTGGAGCATGACCTGGGGGAGGGGGATTAGGTTGTGGTAGAGTCATGGCTGCCGGTAGAGGCAAACCACGATGAGGTGCTGACATTTCCTGGCAAGATGGGCTGTTTCTGGCGGGAGGTGGCGGTAAGACGTTTTGAGGAATTTCCTGTATAGTCACGGGGGGTGATGGTCGTGATGTTGAAGGAGGTGTCGGTAGATCATAGACGGTACGGTACCCGTAATGTACTGGCTGTTTCAACGTGAGCATTATGCCGGTGGTATAATGGCGCGTAAGCTTTTGGACATTTGTAAAATAGGGGGGGAAAAGGAAAGAAAAAAAGTTACACCCGAAGAGAATGAAGAAATGCCATAATGAAAAGCAAGATATATTTGGGTATAGAGGAATAATAACCTTTGGATGAAGAAGCTGGAGAGGGCGGCCAGCTCAGTAAAAAGAGGAAAGGAAGCAAGCGGGGCTTGTGGGATTTGTGGGTTACAAAGCCCAGCCTCATCTGATTGTTGCTGCCGCGTACATATGTATGTAATAAGATCTAAGGAATCGAATGGGGCAGTAGGTCGGATACAGCTGTAAGTACTGCGTAGGGTATAGGCGTTGGAAGGATCGGCGAAAGGCCCCGTTCGAGGTACCTCAGATTATAAGCGAGGTCTGCCTCTCACTAGAAGCAATAATACTCGACAACCGCGGAAGAGACGAACCCAGCAATTCTTGGAAAGGACGGTAATTTGTGATAGACAGTAGTTTCTGGCACTTGTGACCGTTTTAGGCAATGCCCAAAGCGGAAAGTCGAAGTTGTCCTGTGGGATGTGGAGAATATAATGTGCCTGGCTTATTTCATTTAGAAACAGTGCGTATCAGAAAAAAATAATACAAGGGCCGTGTGCAATTATGATCAGGGTTGGAGAAATAAGAGGGTAAGGGTAACCAAGAGCGTAGTCCAGGTATGTGCTTGCTCGTCTTTATTAGATCTTGATCAACAGAAAGCGAGAGTATTCCCCTAGAAAAGAGTGCGTGGCCCAGACAGGTTAGGCTTTCTGAGTATAAGAGGAGTGATGGAACGCTAGCTAGTCGAAACACACAAGACTAGCAAGTGAGGCGCTGGGGGACGACACAATAAGTGTGGCTCGAGATTTAGTAAAAACAAAAGTGCCCTCGAGAGAGAGGGGATGGCTTTCTTTTCACGCCACGGCAACGACAAGGCTGTAATGGTCCGTCGAAACGTCTGAAGCGAGTAAATCAGCTAGGCCCTTGTGCCCATCTGCAATCAGGGTTCCAGGATGATAACCGGCCTCCAGGGTTCGTCAGAGTCTCGACCTGCGTGGAGATGGTGTGTCAAGCCCGGGCGGCTTACCACTAGCAGACTTTCTGAATGGGCAGAGACTCGCATAGGCCGGGGAATTTCTAACCTGCAGGGTCGATCCCTCAAGACCGCGAAGTCATAGCAGGTGTTAAAACGAATGTGGGGGGTGTTCACTAGTAAGATTATTCGAAGTAGGTTTCCCAGATAGAAGAAGACTGACGTGAACACGACGTACGGGAGAGGGGGAAGTCCAAATGAACGAAAACAAAGTGGGTATGGAGTGGCAGAAGAATTTAAGAGAAATTGCAGAATCCAGTCAGATGAACTGTAGAAATGTCAGTCCTCGGCTGCTGACCAGACGGGGGACCTTTTTAGACAGGCAAGGGAGGAAGATAATTCAAGGTAAACGTTAGAACTCCGGCGCATGTCGCTAAGTGTGTACTATATGCTACAGTACAGTGGCTCGCTCTACACAAAGTGTAGGTAGATAGATAAGCTTGACTCGGCAAGGCACCGAGTACGATTGATTACCTTTGGTGGCTTCGCCAGTACCTATTTAATTGCCTGGGAGTCCGATGTCGACGTACGCAGTGCAAAGCCAAGGGCAACTTGTGCAGCTGCTCTGCATATGCATTCGAATGACCCCATCGAGAGCCTGAGTGCAAGTGCTTTGCTTGGTCCTGGTCTGTCTGTACTTGTATTGCGCAACAATCTGGTGCAGTGCGCACCAAGCTATAGAGGTGGGTACCAAGTGGAGGGCGGGCAGCGGAGCGCTATTAACGGTGTGTGCGAGGTTAACAGATTCGACGACAGTCGCACACACTGCCCGACTAGAAAAACGACTCATGGCGGGGCAGTGGCTTACTTACAGGGATTGCCCGCTGCTAAGCTCAGCAAAATTCGTAAATTCTCAGGGTGAGAGGTTGAGAGATGTCTTGAGATGGGGGCTACCGTACTGTATCTCCCATCTCGCATGCACCAGGCCTGCTTTTGCGCGTCTCCGCTAAGTTGGTTGGCCCAGCATGTTTATTTCCCAGAGCATCGTGAGTGACCGCCGCTATGTGGTACCGTGAGGGGCGTTTACCACGACGAATACTTCTACCGCTCGCAATGCCGGCGAACTCCCGTGGGAACAACAGGAGATTGATACAAGGAGAGACACAGGAAGCTGGGATCATGAACAAGTTTCCGAAATTATCTCTAGGAAAGTTCAGACGGCCCTCCTGGAATGTGCCCTGACCGCGGATGGGATTCAAGGAGAAAATGCCCTGGTCGGGACCGACGGCCGGAGTCTGCATTGATGAGTTTCGTGCCACAATTCCACTAGGTCAGGTATATCCGTACAAGGTCATGACCAATATACCGGAGCAGGGGTCGTGAAATTGGGAATGTCTAATTCGAGTTATGAAGGACCAAATCTGTTATAGTTCGGCTCTCATATATCCAAATTGAGCGCTGGAACTTGGCGAACAGGCGGTTTAAGTTCTACCAGGGTGCCAGACGAATCAGCGCCAGTGTGTACTTTAAGTAGAACTTGAATCAAAACAGAGAGCTGCAACGTGAAATCGTTATGGCAACCTCATCAGTGTGGTTTTGCAGTGACACGCGCTTGCATGTAACTGACTATGAGTGGCCGTGGCCTACACGTTTGGGCCCCAGATTGGAAACTAGACTAGAAACATGATCTCCCGGGCATATGTGTAAGACGTTTCTGGGAGAGGGGCTGGTGATGAGGGGCTTAACAACAGCATCCTAACACTTCGGTGCAACCTGATACGACAACCACTTTAAGAATCACGATGCCGCCTCATCACTTCCACCCGTTTCTAACCCCAATTTGGTCCTCTAATTAGTAAGCATTGGCGTATGACGATATCTTCGAAAGGCGCTGCTTCGTAACTCCCGTTGCCGATAGCGAAGTACCCAATCATGCGCAACAGCTTCATCGAGGCTCATGTCGGTCCGTAAAACACCTACATTGTAAAAATACATATTCTACACATGAGTGACAGTGTTCTACTTCTCCGCAAGTAGTGACCTTGGATGTACCGAACCCGTTCATCGCCAACGTCGATCCGGAAGCATCAACAAATGTGGATATCATGTCACCTTAGGACAATTTGGCGCTTATTAGACGAAGGCCTCTCGCGAAATTGAACGACCGTATTGAGAAGTGTGCGTACGTGATTAATATATTCCTGCGGCTTTTTTGTATGCTTGTTCACAGTTGTTTCTTTGGCTCAACCATGCTCCGTCTCCAGTGAGACATTTTGCTGCTTGGACCTGCATGGCAGCAGCACAGCCAATTTCGGGTTCTCTCAACCGTCCCAATTCGGTAGTCAAGGATTATTGGAAGCTCCACGATGCCTCTCACGTCATGTATTGTAGGGAGTACATGACCAGCGGCACACGATAAGGTCAGAATGGAAGAACGGGGATATGAACAGCCCTCGAAATCTCATGGCAGCATCGTGAACGGGATTTCCTGTTGCCGACCGCCGATTTCTATTCTACTCATCGGACTAAGATAGTGTACTAGTATACTGGACGCCGAGAGGCGTCGGCCTGTTAGATAATATGGTCGTCGGCGAATCTATCTGGAAAGAAGAAGGTTATGCTCTGGCAGGAAAGCCGCATTAGCTTTTGCATGGCAGGAATTTGACACCGAGGTTGCGCGGTGCGGTGCTGGATCACGAGCTTTCGAAGGCACCAGGCCGTAACGTTGGACCCTTGTCCCAACTAGCCGACCTCTGGAGCTCACAAAAGCTTGATCGTGCTGATCCTCCTCTACGATAGGCAGTCTATTTGACCAAAAGCGTTGATGGAAAAGTCTATTTTGGTTCTATCCGTCTGATGTTGACGATGATATCGGGCATTCCACAATTAATTTCCACGTAGTTGATAGGTTTACTGAATTACCCTAAATTCCTACGAATAACACCAACGTGCCCGAACAGGGAAGATCAGATGGCATTGGACCAATCACGTTGGACGTGTTGCATCTTCTGCGGTAGCTGACCACTCGCGCGAACTGCTTCGATTTAATCCTTGTCGGTCATGGCATGGCCCCAAGGTCAGACTCAACAACCACCAGGAGCCCCTCTGCCACCCCCCTTGCAAAACCGGTCGCCCAGAATAAGCCCTCCCCCATTCCGAACTCGAATTGGTGCCAGTCTGCCAGTCTGCCTCTCACGTTGCCAGAACGAGATTAGTTTTACGTATAAACTACGTGGCTCTCGTGGTAGTGCAACCAGCTGTGGCTCTGTGGCGCGGCGGGCTTGCGACTTTCAGTATGCGACTTGCCCAATAGAGAAAATCTGAAACAACACATCCGGTACCAAGGATCTCTCTACCTCGCGTTCGGCCCACCAGCTTACCAGGAAGAACATCCGCTGCCCTACCTTAGCACTCACACCCATCCCAGCCCACTGCACGCAATGTCAGCTTCAGATCAGGGATCGTGGCCAGGCTTCTGGGCCTGCTTCATTTCGGGCCAATGCACGGCAGGAAGACTTTGGTGATACGCAAATAATTTCTCGAGCTGACTTGGCACGTTGCGTCGAGATATGTGGCCCTATCGACGAGATAGATCGTGCGTCGACGGATCCGTCGTAAACGCGTGGAAGCCCAACCATGAGCGCATCTAATCAAAACTTTCTATCTGTAGCTGTCAATGTGAAACACTGCAAGGCCAATGTCAGATTGCGGGTCACGTGTCACCAGCCAGTCTTGGAAACAAATTATTAACCTGGACAACATCTCCCACCAGACCCTGTTCTGCATTGCTGCTGCTGCAACGAAATTGAGTCCATGGATTGATCACTACGAGTCCAACTGCAGGCGTCCTGGCACCATCAGATCCAATTTCGTCGACGCCAACTACTGCCGACAACCTCGGCGAAATCTTCTGGGAGGCCATGAAGCCATATTCTTTACAGCGACTTCCAGACAGTCCAGTGCTATGAGTCTTGAGCAACTTGCTCTGCAATGAGGACCATCTCTATACTGGACCAGCCGCCACCACTCTCACTCCTTGGATGTCGTCCCAACGTTATTGGACCCCGCAGCTCAGGACTCACTGTATAATCATGAGGTAACCCCGGCTCCTAGCGTAGGCTCTTCGACCGTCGTGAGTGCATGATGGGAACGAAGCCGTGACTGGCTGACATCTTCAAGCACGCGGAAGCACTAATACAGCGCCAGGCTAATAACCTTAGTGCCATCTACCGACTCGCCGACACATGCGAATCTGCACCTTACAATTGTCGCAGTATGTCCACAGCGAATGGTGGAGTTTGCCTCGTAACCTAAGGATCGCGAGATCTTCCAATATGAGCTAGCGAGAAGCTTCCAAGCAATCTTTTAAATCGGACCTAGTCTTTCTCGAGGCCCTTGCCAGCAAGTCTGGAGACGTAGGACAAGTATTCTCCGTTAACATACAGAATAATGAATGTCGAAAGACCACGGACTTCCGAAGCAGCACAGGAAATGGCAAGCCGCCGAATAATGCATAGTGTTCTGTAACCGGACAACCGCAGGCATGACAGGGTTGTGGGGTCGACATGTTTACTACAACTATTTCATGATGCGTAACGAACTTATCAGAGTTACCAAGCTCAGCGGCCATGTAGACTACCTGCTGGCACCTGTCCAGTGTGTTTGATAAATTGGAATGATGACTATTAGTACAGCACAATGCCAATTCATACAGACCGAGTCTTTTGAGATGGTAATATGCTTGAGCATTAGTCGATCTAGAATCATATGCTTGCTGGTAGGCTATTGTGTACGCCCGAGTTGATGCGACCGTTGTCCATTCCTGGCTCTCAGCCTTTGGCATAGTTGGTTTTGATCCTGAAGGCAAGCGGCTTGAATGGCAACTTTGGAGCATCAGCTTCGTACCCCAGTATATGGTAAAGGCACCACTCGAGAGGGTCCTAGTCTAGCGTTTACTTGAACTCTCCCACGTCACTTCCGGCCCGGTTGCAGCGTTTGCGAAGCTTATTCTGCCTCCTGCACAACTTTGTCTGTTCCGATGTGCCAATCTATTACAGGCAAGTGTCACGATGCTCACGGATGGGAGTGGCAGTCGACCTTGGAATCTATGGCCAAAGTCATGGTACGAAGAGTATTCCACGTACAGCTCGGACACCAGCGTAAATCGTAAGACTTGGCCTCTACTGTGGTAAGGATCAAAACATATTCATTTTTTAGCAACCGGGTGGATCATCCGAGTCGACTCTTTTCTCCATCAAGTCAAGATTTAGTATCGCTAGCAAACTAGACCGTAACACAGTCGCGTGCTGATGGCCATCTGCTGGATTCCTGATGACCTTGCTTGTATGTGGTCCTCTTGTGGAATATTGTATAGCCACAAATGACTGGCACCCAACGAACATCCCAGCACTAAAGATTGCGTATATTATCTTCATAGGCTACATATGGATTCGTAGCTGGACTCCATACACATCTCGCGTCAAGGCACCCACTTGTATGTGTGTGTAACCTGCGATTTGGTTGTTCAAATGCAGTAAGAGTGGACGGGCCCATGACATGCCTTGTCAAAGCCACGATTGCCACGATCGCGTTCTCTTCTGCAGTCCCTCTCGGCTCGCTTACGCCATGCAGATGTCGCTCATCTGAACCCTTGCCCACCTCAGAAGCCTTTGACGCGCAAGGCTTTTCCTCGATTCAAAGCAGTCCAAATCAACCAGGACTCCCGCTACTGTATGTACTGTACTCCCGGGTCGTTGCCTCTTTGGAAACGAGAAATGCGGCGGCCCCCTTTCATCAAAGGTAAAAAAGATTGGCCTGGAAATGCCAGGTACCCCGCCCCAGCTCAGCCCAATGACATGGTATCGGTCGAATTAACTCATGCAAGCTCGGAACTCGTTTCATTACTTTTCTCAGTCATCTTGCTGTAATTACCACAATTACCTCAGATTATGACTATTTTAATGAACCAATCCGGCTGAAAAGCACCCAGCACATTCCTTCAATGCCACAATTTTGATGCGCTACAGGGATTCCTACCTTGGTTCGACAGTTTGATCGGCGCTGGGGGGGGTTCGTGGGGCCCGATTCCGATGCGCTGGAAAAGACGGCAACTCCAAGAGAGAGCCGGGAAATCTATCGACTAGTCTAGCCTACTAATCTAGCGGGTTCGCGTCAGTAGGGGGGAGGACGCGATGTGGCTCCCTGCTCTTCCAGAATGTTCAAGGATCCAAGATTTGATGTTATTTTTCTTTCTTTTTCCACCGCGCTCCTTCTTCAGAACAGGGAACCACGATGGGGACTTGGACGGATTTGGCATTTCGCTTCGGCAAAACAACCCATGTGTCCCCTCCCACCCGAGTATGGTCAAGCTCGTTGATAGTGCTGGGCTGAAAAGAAAGAAAAATTTGTTCTCTCTTAGAACCATGGCGCTGGATGCCGGCTTGCACATGCGTACGATTTCCGCAATTGGATCAAAAGGCTACTCTGGAGCACCCACCCGGCCGTGTCGTTTGGCGAGCATGTGAAGTCCTTTAGGTCCCCTGCGGTTAGCGAGGCCGTCGACGTCTGATCGAGGCCAGGGGTCCCGAAAGTCAAAACTTGTTCCTGCAGGGGGATGGGACGACTGCTGTCGTCTCCCTTGAAAGCTGAAAGCTCGCGCGCAGAAAAGCCACAACTCGCGATGGCGAAGTCGCACCACCTCTTGTTTACCATTTCGAGCAGTTCGTTGATCGGCTTTACCGTACGGCTGAAGCTGGTGTTCTGGGCGGGTCATGGCGCCAGGCCAGGGAAGACGCTCGCGATGAAGCCTGCCCAGCGTTGTGCTCTTTGATTCATGACGCAGGTTTGTTCTTTGAAGTTGTTTTTCGTTTGGCGCGAGAATTACCTGCAACAAGTGTTTGCGACACAATGGTACCTTTTCCTTAGGTATACTAAGGAGGCGGTTGCTTCGCTCCAGCCAGATCGCGCTTTGTGTTCGCCCGCACTCTATTCTCGCGCGGGAGCCATCCTGGACTGCAAGATCTCCCATTCAGGGACGTGTGCCGGTGCTCAGAGATTTCAGTCTTGGTGACGGGCAGTGAATGGCGCTTGCAGCACGCTGGGATCGCTGCTGGGAGCCCTGAATATTGATTGGATGACATGAAAGGATAGGTAATACTGGACTGCCTACAGATTACTTTTCTGCCTTCTGTAGCCCTGCCATCGAAGCGGGATGTGATTGAACTGGAAATAACAGCATTGACTCGTTGCACAGTCTCTAAACCTCCAGTTGTATGCCGTAGGATTCGTCTCTTCGGTCACCAGTCATCTTGTCCTTTATGGATATGTATGAGGCTATAGAAATTATCACCTTTGCACGTGCCATCGAGAGGGACCCTCGAATTTGCGCAATTACACTTATCTTAGGCGTAGGATGAATATAGTCAAATATGGCTGCGTAGTCAAACAGGTAACCATTCATTGACGATGGTTATCGCCACTAACGTGACTGTCAAGTTGTCGGCTCATGCTGGGGATGGCATCCTTTACGCGTTAATGATGGGCATAGTCTGTTATGGAATACGCGGCCACATCTGGCTTTGTCTATTGTATCAGTGCTGCTCCGTCTCGAGCTTCCTGAAGGGAGGGGGATTACTCGGAATGCATCGTCGTGGGAAGAAGCGACGGGGGATGGGGGCTTCGACATGGCAGACGAAATGTGAGATGCAAAATGAGATTTCTATGGCATTTCCCGCTGTCGGCCTACGGGCGTGGAGAAACGACACATTGACCAAGTTCCACCATGTTGCTGTTGCTGCTGATGATGATCATGTATGTACAAAAACCAAACAACTACAGCTGAGTGTCACTAGACACATATATACCCCGAGCAACAAATCATCTTACCTAGCTCATCGGGACGCGTTCAAAGGTACTCTGGGTGGATACTCCAAACAGCGACCTTGCGTTCTCTCTCTTAACTCTTAAAGGGGGGGGGGGGGTTCTCGACGCAGCTGTCAAGTCGTCGTCCACCAGAGGCTCATGATACATAGCGAAGACACACGTTCCGGTGGTTCCTACTAACCTTGGAATTCCGTTATCAACAACACGCTGTATGAGGCACACACTCGGCGAACCGCATCTCTATCTATGCTATCATATCAAGAACCCTAAGATCGGAAATTACTGGGAGGGAGAAAGGGGAAAAAAACCATTTCAAAAACAAGAGAAAAAATAAGAAGAAAAAGACTCCCCTTGCCCAAGACTACTACGAGAGTGGCGGAACGTGGTTATTGGGAATATGATGACATTTCTACCAACGCTAAGTGTACTCCATTTGTATGCTCGAGAAAAATATCATTGCCGTGTGGGGGGTATCAAGGATATGAATATGATCCAGTCTAGAAAAACACCTAACCCATCCCGTTCCTACCAAATTGGTTTGTGTTGAGTTGTCTTGAATCTTCCAAATCTTTCCTCTCGTGGTCGAATCTGAGATGGTCCATACTTTTAAGGCAATCATGATCAACTGCCTCTCATCCCAACCCCAGCCCGACCTCTTCCTCGACAGGTATCGGCGTGCGAACCATCAACTCGCGCTGCGCGTCCAGCTCTCGTAAGTCCGCGATAGATAAGCTCGCCATGCTGCTGTTATCTTCGCCCTGCTTTAGCATTGGACTGGGACTCGGGCTCGGCACGGCGCTCGCGCTCTCCCGTGTGACAAGAGCTGGGGCGCTCGCAGTCTTCGTGGACAACCTAGCTTCCCTCTGCTCCTCGCGCTCCTTCATCAGTTGCTTTTCTGCCTCGATAGCTTTCTCTCTCCTAGTCTCTACATCCTCCCGTTTAACCTCCCTGCGCAGTCCCTCGGAGGCTTGGATCAACCCGTCAATACTGATGGCATGATTCGTCATCTGACGGTTGATGTAGGTATAAATCTCACTTGGCGAGGGACAAGCCAATAACTGGCGCTCGTTGAGCTTCAATAATGCCAGCGCGACTTGAAATAGAAAAGTGCTGCCGTCGCCGGTGCAGAGGACAACGTCCCAAACCCTGAATAGTGCTTCGGCGGAGAGACAGTCTGTGAAGATGCTCAGAAACCACTGGAAGGTCAGCGTCTCGAGGTCAATACACATGGCCTCGAGATGTTGTGATAATTTCGGTAGTACCTGAGCCACATACTGCCGCAATACCTGCTGGTCAGCACGGGAAGCAATGAGAGAATGGTCAAAATAGCCCTCAGGCAACATCTTCTCAACCATGCAAGTCAAGATCCAGAATGCCTCTTCCGCTGAGGGCATTATTAGAAGCAGATTGGCAGCAATGAGATTCATGCCTTGACAGTAGCCAACGTTTGGATTGCGCCGGGCATAGGCAACTAGCACCTCGTGAAGCTTTTGGACTCCAGGACCACGGAGGAAGAAGATGTTGTCTCGAAGCGTTCGATCAATATCCCTGTCAATATCCGTCACAGTCGCAGGATCTAGGCCTTCAACACCTTTGGACACTAAACCAGCGTAATACCCAGGTATTTTCTTAAAGATCGCGCCGCAGCCTTCAGACCAAACCTTTGGCCGAAGCGTAACGGGAATGCCGCCCAGGACCAAATTACGGAACTCAATCCATTTGTTCCTCCCAACTTTACCCTTGACTCCGAGATCGGCAATACCAATAAGCTCTCCATCAGCTAACTTGGCTTCTGGAAGCATGAGAGGAGCCTGTTGATACCGGGCCTCGGCTGCTGCAGCGGCGGCGGCGGCAGCGGCTTCACCTTCGCGTCTGCGGTCGAGTCTAACCTTGCGCATAAATTCGTTCCACTTGAAAGTCTTGTCCCGTTGTAATGCGTTGTGAACATCGTTGAGTTGATCAAGTAGGAGTTTTACTGGCTCCGTGTCCTCCAGGACTGCTGCGGTTGGCGACGCATCCTCTGTGGGCTTAGCTGTCTCGTCATTGACAGCAGCGGTTGTGCTCGCTGGAGGTAAGAAGCCACGCTCTTCAGACAACATCAGACCTGGTGAAGGTTGCGCATCGCCCCCAGCATGCACCTCGAGAGCAGAGGCAGTCATGGAAGGAGTATGAGAAAGCAGCTCAGTGGGGAAAGTCGCAATTTTGAGATAGTCCTGCCATCTCTTGGGTCTTTCAACAGGTTCCTCGGTTGAGAAAGGACTGTCGGGCCTCTCGATGCTTCCTAAAGATCTGACATCATCCTCGAGAAGATTTGGTGATATCGTTGACTTGCCCGTCAGCATCTCAGTGCGGCTGCCTCTTTTCATCTGCAACACCACCTGGGCTGCCTCCTTTTGCCGTTTTCTTCTGCGCTGATCGAAGATGAAACCAAAAGAGTCCGTCAGAAACTCCGAGCCAGGGTAGTTGTTGTAGACATGTGTAAATATTGGCGGCTGGTTTTCCGGCGAGAGAATAGTGTCCATCTCTACGGGACCGGAGTTATCGGGGCGAGTAGCGTCGGGACTTGGCGGGCCCGTATCACCAATGTCCCACCTCTCCTGAGGACGACTTCTTATGCTGCCGTTGGACGGTGCTGGTGTTGCACGTCGCATGGCCATGAGAGCCTTTGGGCCAACCTGGATGGAAACAGCGCGGCTAGAGGCATTCGTCCTCACACTAGCAGCCGAAGCTGTCCTCAAAGAACCACCAATGCCGCGGCCAGCAGAGTCCGATCTCCCTCTGATAGAATCGCCATCGCGGCCTGTAGCTTTCCCAGCGACGAGTTGCAAGGCCATGCTAGCCAGAGACGCAGACGGTTTCCTCCCCGCCTGCCCCGAATAGATGCTCGAGGCTCTGCTTGAGCTTTTGACAGATTCCGCATCAGGCGGCGTGAAGAGGTCGTCCTTGATTGTGGGTCGACGATCCCCGGTTTGGGCGCGGGTAACAGCCGTCCTGGATGTATCACCGTTGATGCTACTGGCTCGGCTGTTTCTCTTGCTCGTGCCAGTTCCCATGAGCCAGTCCTTCCAGCCGCGCACACTGTAAGGGGCCTTCCCATCATTGTCTTTTGATGCGGAAATGCTCCTCGCTCTGATGGTATCGTCTTTTCTGCCGAGCAGCAAGTCGCCGTGTGTTACTGTGTCGTGCATGGCATCGCTCATCATGTCAGACAGGCCAGCTCTCTTGGATCGATCTTGAGCTTTAAGTTCTGCTTCAACCTCGCGCAGCCTCTTCTCGAGATCCAGATTCGACAACCCGCACTCTAGGATTATCCTTCTGAGTGCCCTTTCTCTCTCGTCGGCCTTCCGCCTAAGGTTTGCGATCTGGGCATCTCGTTGTGCGAGGTCTTCGGCAAGCTGGCGGACGAGGTTTGGGGCACCATGGCGCATGATGAGACGCTGTATGTGATCGTCGTCGGCGAGATGCAGCGTGCCTGGTATTTTGTTGGTGGAGATGGGCGTATCCTCGAACAGTGCATTTCTGGGCGTCTTTGGGGTGTTGGAGGACGTCAGACTATCCACAATAGAATTGATAGATTGCGGATTCGAGATCTTCCGCTTCTCAGGACCTGGTGTTCTGCCGCTTGTGGTCGCCTCGAAGGACTCAAAGAAGGGGCCTGACGCAGATTCGCGAGGGGACTCGGGTGAGAAGGACGGAAAGGAGGTCAATGACTTGTCGGATGCTGCGATGGACGAGGCCGAACTCGAGGGCTGTGAGGTCAGCTTCGCCCTCTGTCTCGACCTCGCGCGCAACGTTTGCCCTCTCACACTGGCACTCGCACTCCTGGCCGAAGCCGTCGAGAGTTGTGAGGTGGAGCGTTGTAGCGGCATGACGGATGAAGACGAAGATGATTCAGGGTCCATCTCGTCGCATGTGCGAGACCCTGGAACATTGCTGTCCCTAAATAAGTGCCTGGTGTATTCTCCGTGTTATGGCATGGCGCTCGGTATTTGTGTCTGGCAGGGGGAGAGAAACAAAGAATGGGGGAGAGGTGGTGAAAATTAAATCGTCATGTTTTTGGTGATGGAAATGCTGGTGATGTGACCCCATAGCAGTAGCCCGCCTGCGGGAGTGCCACGTTAGTAGCCGTGCAGGGCCCGGGCTTGAGGCTTTGGCCAGAGGCTTTGGGGGCTAGCTAGGGGACTGCTGGGCAAGGGGGTTTCAATGCAGTACACAAGGGAGCTAGGTTAGCCAACTTACATAACTTGCTTGCATACTTGGTTACAGTAATTAAACTTAGACATGGATCCGTACTTGTGCTTAGATGTCAATTACGTGCATCTTGTGCAGCTTTGTGCGGTTCGGCCTGCGCCAACGCCAACGCCTACGCCAACGCCTACGCCAACACCAACGCCAACCATCTCGCCCTCTCGAGCTGAGATGACGTCTAATTTAGAACCACGTCCAAAGTCGGAGTTGGAACTAACTATCCCAGGGTATGGTACAGCAAACCCACACTTCTGTGTACTTGTACGACATCATCACCTGGAACGCTCTCTTGTTTGGCCCGATTTGGACCGTGCCGTCTGTCATGTTTCACAATCTTCTTTCCAGGAATTTGGAAAGACCCGAATCCTTACCACAGAGTTCACGAGCATTCCTCTTTTATCTACGTACTCTGTACTCCTGACCATCCTCCAAAGTGAGCGAGCGTATTTCCACTGAGACGGAGCGCCCGAAAACAAAACCGAAATGCTGATCTCCCCAAGATTGGCCGTTTGTTCGCCCACTGCTGCCCAACCCTCTTTGCTTATTGCCGTTTTCAACACTAGCATGCCCAATTTCGGCCGAAGAGCACATGCTCGCTATTGAGAGTGCCTCCTGAATATGGCAAATACTCCTGCCGCAAATAAGGCACCCATGCCAGGTTGTAGCATTGCCTAACTTTGCACATTTGCCAGTCCACTCGATGGGCAGGTCATTGCCATTCCTTGTTATGTATCTAGTCGAGTCACAAAATCACAAGAGAATAATTTTGTCTGTTCATGTCGTTTATTATGGCCTGGCCTGATCAGTATCGCTACACAACTAGGTTAACCTAGTCCATGCTGCAACAACTTTCTTTCTTTCTTTTTTCTTCTTTTTTCCCTCCGCTATGGCGAATATGCTCCTTCGTACTCCTTGGCCCTTTCGTCGCTATTGGGGTATCGTTAGATGGGTGAAGACCCATCCGAAACTAGGTTTCCAAATGACAAAACACACTTCTTTCCAGGTATCAGATTTCTCAGAATATCGATATTGTTCCAGACCAAACTCCCAAGAGATCAATCCAGAAACACCATCCCAGAATTCCTTCCACTTCCCCTTCCCTTTCAAAAAGCACCTTCAACCTCTCTTGATCGGTCGCTCATTACCCTTCTCATCGTAGAAGTAGCTCTTTCTCTCCTTGTTGGGGAGGTACTTGAGACCTCGGAGACTGGGCGTCTCATCAGTCACGGCTTTCTCCTCGGTACTTCAAGGAACGGCACGCATGGGGACTTTGCCTACAGTCTCCTCCCAAGTTCTGGCCGTATCCTTCTCAAGTGCTGACAGATCACCCAGGCAGCAGCCGGGCTTGATCTTTGCACCACTACGAGCGTAGATGGGCTTCTCGTTGGTTGAGACGGGGTGCTTCATGCCGTCGTGGGCGCCCATCTTGAAGGGAATCTCGAAGGCCTCGGTATCAGCACCTTCCACTAAGTCGACTTGAGATCTGGGAGCACCCTGTGTAGGAGCACCCTGCTTGGGAGTGTCCTTCATGCTCGAGTCGTCCTGGATAATGTATTCATTCTTGATGGCTGGGCCATCAGCAGCAACTTCCTTGTCCTCTAACTTATCGCCCTTTGCGTTGACTGACGCATCCGCATTCTCCTTTGAATCCTCCATAGGTATGATGTTATAAGGCACGCCCTGCTTGGCGACACCAACAATGTGACCGAGGTTAATGATAGTATCATCCAGAACAGCTGAGTCGTCAGTGAAAACCTGGCCTGCCTGCACTGTGGTGGTAGTCTTGACAACTAACTCGTCGTTCGCATTAACCTTTTTGACTGTTCTACCATTCTTATTCAGCTTGGTGGCGTCTGTAGTGGTCGGTCCAGAGTTCTCTGCACTGTTATCTTCATCGGTGATATTGGCTATGGTGGCCAACTCGTCTTTGCCAATTCCATCGCCTTTCTTGGTAACACTTTCAACACCAACCGCCTCGGCACTCGCCGCCTCCGTCTCGGGAACACGTTCCTTGACAAAAGTATCACTCTTATTAGAAAGCTCGAGCTTTCTAATAGCTAAGTCAGTAGACTTCGAAGATACTGAGCCGCTAGCCTTGGTTGCTAAATCGTCTTTCTTGACAGCTGGGCCCTGATCTTTCGAGCTACTGCCACCAGGGACAGTTTGAATAAGGGCCGAGAATGCGTCACGGGCGTGCTGAGCCTTCTTGTTTCGAGCAGCGTACTTAGCCATCGAGTTATTAGACCCGTTGACAATGATAGGCGCCCCCCTGGCCATCAAGCCGGCGTTAATAGCAGGAAGATTGGCTGGTTGGGCGGCGCTGAGAGCCGGGGGGGTGGCCGCTTCAGTACCAGTGCCTTGAACATTTGGGGTTGTCTCACTGACCAAAACAACGTCCTTTGGGTCGGTAATATCGGTTTGGCTGCTGCCGCTCGCGATCCTGGCCGCGTTTGATGTGTGGTCAGGCACGTCGTCAATGACAGTATTCTTTGCGCTTGTAGTTATCAAGTTGATGCGGCCCTTGCGGTGTGTACTCTGAGTCGTTTTATCGTCAGAACCATTACCCTTAAGAGCAGTGCTGAAATCTGTGTCCTGAACCTCCCTCTTAGCGAGAGCCTTGCTCCTTCCCTTGCCCTTGTTTCTGTCTTTGCCCGTCGCATTGTTCTTGGCAACCTTGGCGGCAGTTTCGCCTTTCTTCTCCAACTCTACTACCTCCACACTCTCGTTTGTAGGTTTGGCATGAAAGTTTTTGTCGGATGAAGACTTGCTAGTTGAGGCTTCAGCTGAAGGTGCGATGACCGGCTTGCTGTTTGATGCTTCTACCTTGAGCAAGGCACCAGGTTGACTGGCAGTCGATAAATTTGCCTTTGCTGTCCGGTTCAAACCAGGATTGATTGGGGTAAGGCTTGAAGTGTTATCCAAAGCAGCACGGCTATATTTGCCGACAGTATTCCATTGCTCTGTGGCGCCAGTCGTGACAGTGCGGGTATCCAGACGTTCCTCGGGCTCCTTTCCGTTCTGGTGGTTCTTGCCAATGTTGCTAGTACACTTTACAGCCCTGCTTGTCTGTGTCTTTTGAACTTCGGTTGTCGTAGTACCGTTATGCTTAGCCCCGGCATTTCCAGTCTGGCCAGGTCCGCTGGCTGACTTCACAGTTTTGTTCTCTGCCTTGGCTTTGTCCTCTCGTGACTTATCGGTCATGTGACGCAGTCGCTCACCGCTTTGTCCTGTACTAGTCGAGAATCTTTCATTGTTACTATTCATGCCAGTCTCGTTCTGGACATCATCGCTGCTGGTGTCCGCCTTTGCCTTGCCCTTAACCTTTGAATTACGCTTAGCAGTAGCTACTTGGGGCTTCGCATTGACATCTGTAGCCTTAGCAATAACACCTTCAGCATTGGGTTTGATATCTTGTGTCTTGGCCTTGACATCTTGAACCTGGGCCTTGAGAGCTCGGGTTTGGTCGTTCTCAATGGGAGTGCCTATGACAGGAGCTGCGTATCGGAGCTCCACATTGTAAGCCAGATCTCCAAACTTGAAAAAGACATTCTTTGCAAGAGAAGTGCCAACTTTGATCTCAGAAGGCTCAGCTTGGGGAGCAAGATGGTGAATTCTAGTCTTGACTGTCGTGTCTGTAGCCTGATTGGGCCTTGTAGTAGGCTTGATAGTAGGATTGTTGACCACTATCTTTGGATTGCTAATATCTGCCTGGGACGTGTCAAGTTCTGTCTTGATAGCGGTAGCCTCGGGGATAAGAGTGTGAGTTCTGGTCTTGATGGAGGTATCAGTCTGGCTCACTGAATCCATCACCTTGCCTGTCAAATATACTGTATCAATAGGCGGCTTAATGGTAGAGTCAGAAGAGAGATTGGTAGTCGCTGTAGGCTGACTATTCTGTTCTTTGAGGGAGTCGAATCTGTTGGTGTTAGTGTTGACGCTGGTGATAGTGTCGTCGGTGCTGGTGATGGCGATGTCGTCGGTGTTACTCTCAGCGATGTCATCTGCGTTACTGTCGACAGCCTTAGCAACCTTGGCGGCAGCTCTCCTCTTCATCGTCTTCTTCTGGTTCTTCTTCTTATTCTTACTGGGGCCAGCGGTGCAATGTTGAACCTGCTGATCAGTGGCACCACAAGCAGTAGCTGGAACATCTGAACCCGAAGCGGGACCGAAAGCCTGAGCAGTGTTTGAAGTAGGAGTTTGAGAGCCCTTTGCCTTGGTGGACTTAGTCGTCTTGCCCGTGGCTATGGAAACAAGGCTAGGAGGAGGAGCATATGCTGTAAGGTTCGCCTCATCCTGCGTGGGGTCATAAGCGCCGCCTGCATCAACAAACTTTTGTCAGCATCATGATCATAAGTAGTAGGCAGGGTGCCCTGGGTAGTTCTCACCATTGCCATCCATGGGATATTGGCGAGAAACCTGCGCAGTCCAGGTATGATTGGAGGGGTAGGCTACGGTGCGGCGGCGCTTAGCCGGGTTGGTTTGCTGCTGCTGCTGAGCTTGAACATGCGGAGGTATGTAAGCCCCAGCCGGGATGAAGACATCCTCGGGCTGGTTGTTAGGGCCCGAGTGATATGACATGGTGGCTTTGAGAACCTGGCAACAAAGCAAAAAGGAAAATCAGTATCTGGCATACCAAAGTGGCGCCTAGTGAGACAAATGCATGCGAAGCTTACCTCAGAAGAGCTTGTGGTATCGATACTGGTTTCAGAAGCAAGTAAAACTGCTGTATCAGCTACTGGAGTCAAGGGATGTTCATCTGAAGCCTCAGCACGAATTTCGTTATGACTTTGAGCTGTGTTTAAAGATGTTTGGTGGACGCGGGTTCCAGAAACGTTGTTGTCTTCACGTTGCTGGCCGGAAGCTGAAGCGGTAGCTTGAGCTGTCGTGGCTGTCGTGGAAACAAACGCGGCGTTGCTGGGCGCAGCATCAGGAGACGACTGCTTACTCGACCCTTGATCAATATTATTCGAGTTAGTTGAGGTGGCCACTACACCAGGAGAGCGTGAACCTGGAGATGTGTTCATCCCCTCTTCACCGGCGCTCAAACCAACCTCAAGACTCTGAGACTCCCAATGCATAAACTGTGGCGGCGACGTGTACGTTGACCACTTTCCGTTATGCTATAATAAAGAAATTGTCAGTTCGTCATGCTCCAACTGGGGAATCCTATAGCAAGGGGGGAAGTTCATTTGGGAAGTTCCCTTTTAAGTTCCTCTGCCTTCCAGAAAGAACTGCCGTACTTACGAATACCGGAGTAGATCTGCCTCCAAGTCCAGCCGACGCATTTGTGATTTGTTCAGCAAGTGCAACATTGCTTTCTTCCAGCCGGTAGCGATACACCAACCTGGCTTTGGGAAGATCCACCAGCCTGCTGCTGAATGCCTTCACCATGTCCACAAAGCCCTTGACCCTCATGGTCTTATCGAGGTTAGTCAAGTCAATCAAGCTGTACTCCTTCTGAAGTACAACCGGGCTTGTAGTCTCAAAATCATGTTGCATGATCTTAATACATTTTACTTTGTCGCCGGTGAGGAGGTTCTTTATGAATTTCGCAACAAGGCCGCGTGTATGATAGAAAAGTCTACCATACAGGTCATTGGTGCCTGCATGGCATTTCACAGTGTCGAGCTCTGCGATGTCACAGCCATGGACGGGCTGAGCACCCATGTCGACCCACTGACCTTCCACAAACATCGTTGGATTCGGATTCCCAAACTCAGTGGCCACTCCCGAGATTGGAATCAATGTGCCCAGGCAGAACTGTGCAAACCACACTTTTGCAGTCTTGTGCTCAGGCTTTGACTTTCCAATCTCTATAGTGTTCGGGTTTTGGCGAACCCTATCCTGCGCTGCTTTAGCGCTCGCCGCAGATTGTCGAAGATACCCGTCGCCACTAACCAAAGCTGCGGCTCCGAGTATAGTAGCTGGAGACAAAACGATTTCAAGTATCTTGTCCTTATTTTGACCAAACGGGAGCTTGATATGAACCAAAGTTTCATGGTCAGTATTGGGATCCATAACCGAGTGTGCTAGGCCGGTTAAGGTCGGAAGAGCCGCTACCTCGATCGCTCGAAGTACCCAATCAGGAAGAAACGCTGAGTATGTGAGATGGGTGACGACTTCAGCGGTCGTAACGATATGCTCATTGGCGCCATACATGCATATGAGCAATGTGATCAGGTTTCTGGCACAAACAATGAACTCTCTGTCATTCAATGTCAAGTACAGCTTGGCCTTCGAACCATTGGGAGTCTCCGCAATGGTCTTCATCAGAGTGCTCAAATCTCCAGATGCGGCTTGCAAGACATGGATTTCATCCTCGTCCCACAGTCGCTGTACATTGGATAATACATTGTATGCAGGCCAAGATGAGAAAAGAAGATGGCTTCGATCCACATGGAAAGGTGTGTTTGGAATAAGTGAGGCTTCTGCCGAATAAGCCTCGGGCTCTCTGATGGCACTCTGGCGGTCACCACAGAGAATTTGATGAGTTCCACTCTTGTCGGCATTTCGACAAGCGTCACTGCAGTACTAAGAGGTGAAATTACTGTCAGTCTGGAGAAAGTGAGTAGATACACAACCGGTAGATACACTTACCTTGACAAGACCGCAGTTCGGACAATCGATTTCCGGTATGTTGCTACACATCGGATGCTCATCAGAGTCCTTCCTGGCGCAAGTCAGCCGGGTAATGTGACGAGGAGGATCCATGGTGATGAGATTAAGGTGATGGGAATATGGTGATGGGGTTAAAGTGATGGATTCGATGCATGAAACGGAAAATAGAGCTGCTTTCTTCCTTGAGTGATGATATTGAGTTGAAGCTTCGAATTTTGAGTTGAGTGTGTTGGATTCTTTGTAACCTCCGAGTTCCGAGTGCTGTTATGGACAATGTGTCAGTGTTTGAAAGTATTATAGCACGGTGACGTAAGACGATTTTGATACCGTGTTGTGAGGATGGACTTGAAAAATGTCCGGCAACACCCCAAACAACCACAGATGAGACGTGTAAAATTGAAAGTAGAAGACTTACTAACGACCATTTAGGGCTCCAGAAGACTCATAGGAATTAATTTTTCTAGAAAACGGTGTGTTTGGCTGTGAAAGTGAAGCAGTTCGAAACAGCGCCTCTGGCAGAAACGGGGAGACGACCTAAGTATCCACGTTTAATTCTATTTGTTAGGGCAACTGCCATGAAAATAACAGTAGTATCACACTCGTCGATTTGAATGTTTTGGAATGAGAAACCTGACGAGCGGCGTTGACAAGACGAATTGTTGCTTAGCAGAAGGCAGTTATTGAGACAACTCTATGCTCAGATTGCTCCAGAGCTGGCAAATATCAACGAAGCATAGAGCGAGGCATGTTTGAGGTTGATCGAAAATAATACTCCTGAACATATTAGTCATATGATCGTCCACATGATGTATCTAATATGAGATGGTGATTCAAGTATACTTGATTCATCACTAATTGATCAACTTTTTCTAAATTATCGAATTTCTTGTTTGGAACTAAGAAAGTACATAAGTACAGTACTGAGATATCTTCCATTGACTCGGTCTGGACGACGAACCATCTTTACTGTAACAACTGTGGCATCATTATCCTCGCAATCATTACAGCACCACTCTCAACGAAGACGATGATACCAACATATATTCAAGAAGGCGGGAGAGGAACATTGGTTTGCGCTTCCACAACACATGGTCAGTCGCCGGATCGCTGTATGTATAACCCAACAAGAGTAATCCGTATTCAAGCAGCAGCCCTTGTCCACAGACAATGCCTCGGACGTAGGTTCATCTGTAACTAAACTTAGAGAGCTGCTGAATTAGAGAGACCGATTCGTCGAAAGAAAGAAAGGACAATCTGCGCCGGCTCGTCTACCACAGCAAGAAGATCTCGTGAGGAAATCACTCGGCCCGTTAACTGTGAAGGTCACGGCGCCAGCTGATAAGATCAGAGACTCTGGCTTTGACAGAGATGTCGTGCTCGTGCAAGGATCTATGGCATATGACTAATAAAAGGATGACTGATACACCCGTGAGCTAGTCAGAAAGTAGGCAATCCAGTGGTCCGGAGTGAGTCCAACCCTGCTTCCAACCATACTGTCTTCTTGTGTAATCTGCTACCTAGGGAAATAATGGAGAGCAAGATCGTTGACCATACTGCCGATGTAAGAACAGAAAACCAACGACGCCTAGAGAGACCGAGCCGAAAGAATTTACGCCAAAGTAACAACCAAAGAACAGTGCATAGAGACTACCATATAGCAAACGACATTGGATTCTCTCTCGTCAAGTCAAGATGAGAACAAGGCTTTGCGATTTTACCATAACTCGGTTGCTAGGACGGCTGAGTTGACAAAAGTACGAGAACAAAAGAGACAGTCAGGGGCTTCCATCAAACGACATCCGAGCCACGAGGATGAATACATATGGTCGAGAAGGACACTCCTAGGATACGCTATGACCTGAGTAGGATGATCCCATCTCGTCAAATAATTTTCATCCTGGCTTGTTGCTAACGAGTTCCACGATTGAGTTAACAGCAGACCTCAAGAAACGAAAAAGAGCACCAAACGGCGGGAAGCCCAGGCTTACGTATAACTAAAGTGAAGTAGAGAGGTACGACTTCTGCTTGTGTCCAATGAGCCGTAGGACTTGACCGTTTTACAAAGGTAGAGCTGACTATGGCTACAGGCTAAGAAACCGGACAGTGGTAGTGATCTTGTTCGTGATCACTTCGCTCCGAAGAGCCCGAAGTGATCGAAATTATAGCGGCAATAATGAATATTTACGGACGACGTTACCGAAGATCGTAGAATGGCTACAGACTCTGGACAGTGGCATGTCTAAGGAATTGAGAAGAGGAAGAGGAAGAGAATCGACCAACAGACGGACCGGGAACTGATGATAATATTGCTGGTGGATGAAGAGAAATATATCGAGTAAGAGTGAGGATAAAAAGCTTGAAGACGTGGTCGAGGCGAGTCCGGCATCGTTCGAGACGAATAATATATTCTGCTCATTCGAAGCACCACCGAGACAACTGATCGTTTCCTTTGTAGGCAGTCACCGACACCACGTCTCTATGAGATTATTGGGCAAAGGCGGACATTCGAAAGTAATTGGTGCAGTTGTCAACCGCTTGTTTGAGGCCGAGCTCGGCTAACTTCAGCCATCCAGGGGAACAAAAGGGGAAGGTCACCACGAGCCCAGAACGAACGTGTCGAAACATCATGCGGCCGCATAAACGAGACCCTTCAGAATAGATACGACCATCGAGGCATTATATTATACTCATTATCGCTGCTCTAGGACGCTGCTCCACTGTGATACCACGTCGTCGATCTCCGCCAGTATCTGCGCTTTTCTCTCCTCACTGCACCAGCTACCCAACACCGCACCCTTGGCAATGCCCTGCCACTCCCGTAGAGTAAGGCCGAACGTGTCCTGCAGCACCCAATAGTTCTCGAGGATGTAGCCGCCGAAGTAGGCTGGGTCGTCACTGTTGATGCTGAAACGCACACCGGCATCCAGGAGCTTCCGTAAGGGGAACTCAGACATGGCGCTGATGCACTGAAGCTTTAAGTTCGAAATTGGGCAGGTTGTCAGCATGATTTTCTCCTCCACCACCCTCTTGACCAGTGCCTCATCCTCGAAGGTACGCAAGCCGTGGTCGATTCTCTGCGCACCCAGCAGATCCAAAGACTGTACAACGTAGTCGGCAGGGCCTTCCTCACCAGCGTGGATTGTTCTCCTGACACCAGCTGCCTTCGCGGCGTCGTATAGTTCCGACCACATCTTGGGCGGGAAAGGTTTCTCGGATGAGTCCATACCAATGGCTAGGAGCGAACCGTCCTTGAAGAAACCACCATCCTTGGCATGGTCGAACGTCTCCAAAGCACTCTGCAAAGGGAGATGCTTCACCAGACACATGATAAGCTCGGTCGTCATGCCAAAGTCCTTCTCTGCCTGCTTCTGTGCAGCCTTCAGACCCGAGACGACTGTCTCAAAGGGTACGCCTCTCCTGGTATGCTCTTGCGCATCGAAGAAGACTTCGGCGTGTCGCACATTCTGGGAGGCAGCCTTCTTGAAATATGCGTACGCGAGTTTCTTAAAGTCGCTGGCGTCGATCAGTGCCGACATAGCAATATAGTAGTAGCCAAGGAAGTCATCTAGGTTGGCAAATGTCTGATATCTGGCCTTGAGGCTATCGATCGAAGCGAAGACGACATCTTTGTCTGCAGGTAATATGATGTTGTTCTTGGCTGCCAACTCGAAAAGTAGTTCGGGCTCGAATGTGCCCTCGATGTGCAGATGGTGCTCGCACTTTGGCAGAGCAGCCAAGAACTCATGCATAGGCGTTTTACACATTGTGATTATATGAGACTAGATGTTTTTCGATACAACTCTTGATAGGGTTGGGCCTATGCAATCTAGTGGTGAAATAAACGATCAAACCAGTATTCAAAGTTTATGCCGGCGCAGTCTAGGACGTGGTTTTAAACTCTTTCAGCAAGTTACTTTGTTTACGTGAATTGTTATGGAAAACCGCAGAAACAATCTTTGCACTGATATGAAAAACCTGAGGTGTGGATATCATTAGTCATGGCAGGCTGTCTCCTAGTAAAGGGCATCACCGTCACTTCACGATAACAATCGACGGCGGTCAAGCTCTGGAAGAAAGAGTTTTTTGAGGTGTTCGGCGCTCGCCGCCAAGTAGATCAAGCGGCCCCTGCGGACGCGCCAAATCGCCTTTAGCTGGGCAGGAGGTCAAAGGGAAAACCTCGCTTGTACTCTGTAGTCGTCATCGGCATCTTCCATTTCTACCCACCCATTGAAAATTTTCGTCGTTGCAGTCACAATTTTCGTGGGTAAGCCTGACCGTTGCTGGAGGCGAAAACAACACAGAGAATTGCTGATATGCCGAGGAAAGGCCTGGTCGATCAATGGCAGGAAAAAAAAAAAAAGTTTGGCTCTCGGCCCCGAACCCGAAATTTGGGGTACCAATCGGCGCTGAGAGCCTGTAACATGGACGCGGGATATAAATAAACCCGCCATGTCGATCAGGGCGATATAAAACCTAGTCTCTATGCCACAGAGCGAAGCAAACCAGACATGAAAAGCAAGTGATTCCAGTGCCATTCGACGGGCACAGGTAAGGTTGGCCTTTCCACATCGAGCAGTCACCCTAATTCGATGTGACGAGAATAATGTGCTGAATGGCCAGGATTAGCCACCATCTGCGCTGCAAAGGAACTGTTCCGACTGGGATCCAGGCACGTTCCCGAGAAAGACGACCTCCAAAGCTTCTCTCTTGCAAGGGCGATACAACGTGTAGACAAACAAGAGTTTGATTGACAAGCACTTGAAAGGGGCCATTTCATCTGTTACTATTTCTGGCATTGACAGAATCACCAGGACGCCGGCTCCTTGCCATTCGGACAGCGACTGAGGGGTAACGTGTGAACAATTGCAAGACTTCCCTGACACGAATTGTCGCAGGTTCTAGACTCCCCGTCCAGATCAGATCGTCCCGAAGAGCACGAGCTTACCGAAAAGCTTAAGAACCAAAATAGCAGCGCTGGCAAGTTTGATAGACAGGAAGGATCATCTGAAGTGAACAGACATTTTGCTTCTTGGGGTCATGGCTCGTGGTTTATGGCAAGGGTATGATGCCGACCCAGCCGTTATATGACTGTGGAGTCATGGCTACTATGTTTCAAACTTCAGCGAAAGTTAACAATCAATTCGGCTGACAACTTGAAACAGCCCTTCCCTTCGTCTGATCCCTGGCATTTGGTCGCCGCCGTCGGATCTTAGGCTCGAAGCTGGACTAGTATAAACTTGAAGTTCATGCGAGCAAGGATTGTGTACATTTCCACCACTCTTCGGTGCATCGTAAATAGCCAAGCCCTTCTACTGCAACAACACTTTACCCTCGCGCAACCAGGAGGCGGAGACAGCGTCACGAGGGGAATCCCTCACCTGCGTAAAGTACGAATCGGAAGCTCTCCTCTCCGGCTCGAAGCGAGGTTGTTGGGATCCAAGTAATCGTTTATGGTATCTTTCACTTTGTTGTCCGTTTCCACTGTGTTTCAAGAAACATGATTTGTACCAATCTGCATCCTCGAGAACATCATGTCTATCATAACCAGGAGCATGGATGAGCATATTGGGTGTCACTGCACGGGCACCAGCTGCAAGCGCAAGTTTCTCCTTCGGCTGTGTATACAGCCAATTGGTGGATGCACACCGCAGAACGCTCATGTTACGTCGCTAGGCTTATCATTTGTGTCTGCGCCCATGCATAGTTGCTCGCGAGTGCCGCGGAACTGCTCCGTGAAGCGCTGGCCGCTGGCAAGTCCTCACAGCGGTCTGTGTTCTCCATGCATAGTCTGTGCAGCAGCGTTAAGTACCTTAGGTGATGTAGTATCAGATGGTCTAGATCTAGTCTGACGGGGCGGCTCGTCAAAAAGCATAACAAGGGCATGGCTGAGATGCCTGTCAGGAAGTATCGCCCTTGCAGTATTGCCGCTTATGTTCCACAATTCTGGCTTGAAGATCTCGTTGTAAGACAGGTAAGAAAGTTGCTGTGAGTATCACTGAAAAAAGGATCTTAACATATGTCTGAGTTGTAATTGGGCGGAGACCGTCCGTGCTCGATGGCAAGAGATGTGATTATGCTATCCAGTCAAGCATTATGTCAGACTGATGGTCTTCGGAACCACATTCGATTGTAGAAGTCAGGAGTCGATCTTTCTGATGTGTCATGTTACACATGTCTGTAAGGTTAGTCGATCGTTTACTGCTGCAAGTACCTCAAAGATACGCTTCTACACATATTGAGAATAACCGCCTCGCGTACGACTCTCTTCGGGTTGATCTCACACTCTTGAAAGTCCTACGATGTCATATGATCTATGGTTTCACGTTTGGTGAATCATGCTCGTAGTACATTTTTCCGCCGGAGCGAGCTCGAATTGGCCCACAGATGTTCCGGGCGTTGCTCTTGTCTCATATACAATGCCTAGGAAACACCCATTGCGGGGCCGATCTCTTGTCCCCGTAGATTCGGTAATCGGGCAACCCATACATGCTGTAACGGTTCGGCTCCACACGCTCCATTGGGAACTTCCGTCCTATGGGTTGCAATACGACACTGTTGGGCCACACGTTTGGCGGGGTTCAGACTTTTGAATCTTGCTATATCTAGGTTCATCGTTGACAAGAATGCTTCATGTATAAGGTTCCCAGAGCGACTAAGACGGAATTAGGTAAGTGCATCGTGGGTATCACGCGGAATACATCATTGTACTCTACGACCAGGCGCTTCGATTGTGATTTGTACCCAAATAATTCGTGATTATTGCTGAGTAGCAAGGAATCAGGATTAGCAATGCACCGCTATACTGGGTTCTAGTAACTGGGCAGCCGACACCAATTTGCCACTTCCTTCTGTTTGCAAATTAAGTCCGATTAGTCATTCTCCTATACAATGGGACGAAGTATTTTCCTTTTCTCAATGAATCGGTTACAGCGAAGGAGTTAAACATAAACCGTTAAGATGGAGACCATGCACGTTCGCGTTGTTTTGCCACGAAAAAATTGCAGGCGGTAAGCTCATGACCGTGAAGGGCAAAAAAAAAAACACCCCCGGCTGCTCGCGGCATCTTGGCTTGTACGTATGCAAATGTCCTCTTTGAGTTAATGTGTTCTCGAGCCCAGCTTGTACTTACCAGCATGTTCTGCGCAGTTGTCAAACATGGTAGACGGTGTTGTATCGCTCGACGCTCTACGACAGGTGAGACCGTCGGCCCCTTGTGTACCTCGAAAAGTATAACTCCCGAGATCTTGACGCTAGCAGGAATGTGGGAAAAACCCCCAGTCAAAGAAGCGGACGGATAAAGGCATAGAATATGCACAGAACCGTGAATACGACTACGTAGCTCAACATTGAGCGATATGTCCTCGAGGCTCTTTGCTCCCGCCGGACGACTGCATATGTATCGCCTTCGAGAACAATCGCATTCATGACAATCGAATCGTTGTCTACGCATGTAGCCGCCGTTCTCGTCATTGTTTGGAGCGATTCTCTAGTTGCGTTGCGTGCCCACCACGTTGCAAGGTTGCGGCTTCATACAGCCCGCAGCAAAGAGGCTTGAGAGGTGAGGATTTGAGCATAGACCAAGTAGTCTTCATAAGTACGAGCAAGGGTCTACGTCGGCCCATGGCTCGAGGGCGACCGCCATCAAAGATATTGTAGATCACCATTCTCAAGTAGATACCCTTGTGCCAATACTGGAGTGCACGCCGGCACTCGAGAATTAACATTGAGGGTATTTCATGTCTGGCTTGCCCATGTTATGTAAGGTATACTCGGAAGGTTCCGAGTGAGACCCAAGTGATTGACGCGCCAGCCGTCCCAGAAATTCAAATATGCTACGGAGCGGAGCGACTTCGCTAGCTTTATAGCGTCATCATCAACCCGAAAATGGTGTCTCGGTTATAATTTAGGGTTCAGCCTGTTTCGTTCCACTGGTAATAAGAAGTCGCGCAAATCTGAACACACACGACAGCCCAATGCGCTAAAGACCCAGTGAACTAGACGAGACTGGCGGTAGACTGCCTTTGAACAAGTATTACAGTAGGCGAGCCCTGCTTGTAGGGTGGTTGCAGGTAACACACATATGCGACATGCTGTCTCCTTGAACATTTGACTTGAGGAGAATGGGACAGCTCTCCTGATGTACCAGTATGATGGTTCAGATGGATGCATATATGTGATAGCCTATGTTTAGGGTCTGTGTGCTTGGGGCGTCCAATGCCATAGACTTGGACACAGCCAGCACACAGCTACGCATGGTGAGATTTTGTTGATCTCTCACCCGAGTAAAGATGCGTTCTCCAAGAGTTCAGGAAGCTAGAAAGCAACTGGCAAGGACTAAAGTCGGGAGGCTTCCGACACTGTGAAACGCAACCCATATCTCGGATCCTGCTGATCACAGCTACGGCAATCTTAGAATCTGAATTCATGACTCTTGCGGCGCTGGACCAACACTGAACAAGCTCGTTCTCAAGGTAGCTTTAAATTACGTGAGACTCACTGGCCTGAGATTGCACATTTAGGCCAGACATACATTGGCTCATTAGTCTTCGTGTCTTGGCTCCTCCCTTTCAGGGAAGCTTAGGCTCGATGTGAATGAATGTTTGCGTGGTTGTTGGAAGAGACATCACGGTACCGAAAACTCAGCCTCGACCGGCGCAATTCCCGTAGTCTAGCGCCCCGCAGCTGTGCCCCAGTACCTGGCAGACCTGGGAGTGGGGCGTCCATGAAACCACCGGTAACGGTAATGAGCGTGCTGGTGCCATCCATGATATTTCTTCTAATCAGCGAGCTTCCGCGCACTGGGCCGATTCTGTCTACATCTCGGCGGCATTGCGTCTATTTTGTCTCGGTCAAGCATGCGGTCAACATCAAGTTGTCGCTCAATGTGTTCATTCATACATGTCAAGGGTCTAGCGCAACGAGGATTATTCTTGCTCATGTAGAGTTTCACTTGGCGATCATATTTGCTTTGCATATAACCACGTTCATGACTTCGGTTCTTTTCATGTTTTCATCGGTGGGGTGGGGGGGTTCCTTTGCGTGTGGAATACATTCACTCCCCCCTTTTGTGCGCAAATCATGTCGAGATAGTTACGCGTTTCTGTTTCCACCACCTTGTTCACCCTGTCCAAAGACCGGACATTTCAGGCTTAACACTAATGAGCATTATGATTTCAAGCTTGGTCTGGACATCCCGCCGTCACAAGCCCCCTAAAGATATGTCTAAATTTTTGGGCCGTCTTTCCTAGAATCGATATGGCTCTAACTTGACGCACTGCTTACATGATGTCAACAACATTTGAGTTGTTATCACAGTCATCATTGTTGCGTTTGTGGCAGTTTGTCGTAGCCACCAGATGCTACACCATCACAACCAGTAAGCTCGAACGACAGGTGCCAATTTGCTGGGGTAGCCTAAGGAATAGGGTCCTTTAGACCATGACCGTCAATGCTATTACATGGCCAAAATCAACCGTATGGATTTCTACGGAAAACATGTCCAGGCTCTGGAGCATTCAAACAATATTCGACAGACTGCATTTGTACTGGGATCATGACAGCTGGCGAGATGCAATGATCATCGTCTTGCGCCAGTAGTATGCACTCTGACCCCTGGTTGTTGTACTGAGACTATTCCCACCTAGACTAGGTGAAATTACGAGTCAAATCTGCCCAAACGAACGCCGAGTGACCCCAGACGGACATGGCAGATCTCGGTTGTTGTAAAATGAACGTCGATTATTGCCTTCATTTTGGCTGTTGTGGCCCTGGACCCTGGCGACCGGCGCCGCTAGATCGCGGCTACTCTCCTGCAAGTTCCAGGGTCTCGGATGGATATTTGTGTTGACAGGACCATGAAGGTGCAGTTACACTTCTATGATCTGTCCTGGGAGAGTTAGCCTGTCGCGTAGTTCCGGAACATCTTCAATTGAAGGCACATGTGCCGCGGGCATGGCTGAACTCTGTTACCACGTGCGTAATCATACTCTTTGGAGTTGGAATTCCACGCGTTGGCAGCATCCTCAGGTATCCCGTCAGTATCTAGATCCTCAAGTCCTCTGCCGTCCGGCGTCTATAACCGCGACCATGCGCGTTGATATTACAGCACAGCTCCACACCCACATGGCCGTGTGTCAGACCGCCGCATCAAGAACCAAGATCCATGAGACAGGGGATCCTCTCTTCAAACTCTTGTGATGACTAGGAAGGTGCCGATTATCATTAGACTCATGTCCACCTGTTATGACTTATCCGAGAGCAAGAGCATGACATTGTATTGCGAAGCACAAACGTTACGGCCAGGTACTTGACTCGAACATGAGCCAGGAGGTTTATGTATTGGAGAGATGGCGGGTACTGCATTCCAAAACGGGAATTTAACAGCCGCCTCCATGGTTTTCTTTAGGGAGCGCCATAGCCTTACTATGTATGCAAGCCTCCCCACTGCTCTAAAGTTCCCAAGCTCGCGTGTTGTTAGGTTACATAGGACGCAGGAACAGGCCATGGGAATAGTGACGCTTAACGCAGCCCTTGGGGGTCTAGGCTTTTCAAGAGGATGAGAAGCAGAAGGTTTTGATTGCACTCAAAAACCCACTGATGTCAAAAGCAGGGACCGCTCGGGATGACTTGGCCGGTACGTGACGGCTCAACGGGATCGCTGCACCACTGATCTCGCTATTTGATTCAACGAATACTTTCTTGGCTATTGTGTTGTGTGTATTGCTGACGCGACACTTCAAGCAAAAGAGCCCGAGTCAACGGTGGGTCATTTATTTAGAGCTTAGGGAAGTGCCGTCTTGCGCCACATGTTTGAGGGAATTGTGATTGGGGAGCCCCCTTCACCTTTCTTTTCTGATGTGCAGCTCGCACTTTGGACGACCAGCACAAACGATAAAAAAAGAATTTCCTGTCACAAATCTCTCTCCAGATCATGACCTAAGACACAGACCAACACCGGGCCAGCGTCTTGCCGTCCCCGGACCCGAATGTTTTAGTTTCGGAGTATGTACATGCCCTGCAACTTTGTGCGGAGACAGTACTTGAGTCGAGCTCATACCGCATACGGGACATGATCCCGAGTTCATCCCATTACGTCGGTTGGGCTGCGTTCCAACGCCGGGCTCATTTTTTGGGGGAGCAACGTTTCAAGCTATATTGGACAGCCACAGTGAGCAGGCCTCTGCCCTTTTCATAATGCATGTACCTATTAAACCGATCGAGGGATACACGCGTTTGCCCAATGCAGTGTTCACTTGCATTGTGGTCTGAGCAATGCCTGTCGTTGAACCTTGCAGGACATGGCTACGAACCCACGCCGTCAACAAAATTGTCCGATTTTGCACCACCATTCAACGACTTACCCGCCCAATGATCTTCAAGCAGAAATACCCGCAGGATGTAAGTGGGCGTGCGCACCAGGTTATTGTGACACAGGCACTGAGGCAGAATGTACAGTTGGAGTAGAGTGTGCCGGTACCTAAGAATAATTCAGTGATGCGGCATAAAATTCACGCGATAATCCTGCAAATCTTTCGGGCCTAGGTCTAGAATGGTGCACCATACCTGCCAATGCAGGCTTGACTAGCATAACCGGACACTGAGCCGACCTGCTGGTCGACTAAAAAGCTACCGTCACAACCATCTGGCGCTAGTGAGGGAAGTGGTGTACTGGTAGTCCCGAGTCTCCAGTGCGGACGTTGCATACTGGAGTTGGGCCCAATGTAATCCGTAATGTCATCAACTGTATGGAATTGGATGGCTTTAGGATGAATAAGTACATGGGACCAATATGGCTAGCCCCAAGGGGGACAAACTACTTAACCCTCTACTGTAGATACAAACGTACCAAACTACCACCCACGTTCCTTGCACGCGGAAAGATCCACCAAGATTTCATGCCCTTGTAGAGAGACCTCAGGTATGATGCTGCTGCTGCCGCTGTTGCTGCTATCTATGGGAGGGCCTACATACTTTGTCCAACTCCGTGGACCAGCTGTCGCCTGCTTGGGTAGTAGTCATATCATCTAGCACGAGATCCCACACAAACTAGAGCCGGGTCCATGGCCACTTTCTGGTTCCTGCCGGACTGGTAAAGTTGTGTAAGTTTGATTTTCCTAATTTAAAAACTACCGTAGCGGTTGGACACCGGGCAGCTTTCTAGAATCACTGATGACGAGACGTTGGCACACTATTGATGCCCTGGGCAATGGCCTAGAAGACGCTACGGTTTGGGCGGGTAGATGTCAGTTTAGCTGCGGCACAGGACCTTATTTTGAGTGGTAGCCGATTCGCCATCATGCTTCCTTCAACTTGCCATAAACCCACATCCCATGGCCGCCATGGGTGGGCAGGGGTCAAGGGTTCCCAGTGACTCGTCCGAGGAATTCGAGCAGGACGACCCACCTCCACCTCGAAACACGTTAGCGATTTTGGACCACGAACATCACTCACAGCCCTGCTCGGTTTTTTCCTCTTGTCATTTACAGGGTACAAGGGGGCCCCTGGGAGGATTCACCCCTCCAGATTATATTTCCGATTCTGTTTTGGTGCACGGAGAGCCCCGGTAGTCGACCAGGGAAGCTGTCTAGTTGGATAACCACGATGGACATCCGCGAACCGACTAGATTGTAACTCGCTTGCTTCCTCCTCAGACCATGGCCACTTGATACTTCTTTCTATTCTAATCCTCAAGACTGTCTTGCCGCAGGTGATGTTTAATCGAGCTCAACTCTCAACCCATACAGCCCGGAACTTCTTAGAAGCTTGAAGTACTGAAAGCTCTGCTCTGCTCTTCTTTCTGTTACCCTTGGGTCGCCAACTCTAAAGTCTGGATTCCCGTTTAGGCAATTTCTTCCTTCGATAACACCCAACTCCATACTGGGCATAAACGCACACCAAGGGCAGAGCCGCAAACGATATTGGCCTGAGTCCGATGCCCGGGTAATCAACAGCAAAACCACTATATATGGTCTCTGTCACGGATCTGGAGCTTGCACGACCTCTATTGCGCCGGTACACCAGACAAAGGCGGATCAAAGGACCATTACGGCACTGAAGTAGTACAGCGCTTTCCCAGCGTGCGGTCCATAAAATCTCCAAGAGTACACTGAAGAGGTTTGCCTGCGAGCCCGGGCCCTGTGTTAGCATCAGTACGACGGGGTAGACCAAGCCCGTGATCTGATTTATTTGCTACATACTCACCATTCTAGCTCTTCCATTGTGGAGATACAGCTTGGTTTTGCCTTGAATACTTAACCAATCCCAAAGAGACATTTGCAACACCGTTCTGCATGTTCCTTGACCGGCGACTTCCTAGAATCCATTCCATTGGAGACTCAGTGGAGAGCTTACCCAATCAGGCAGAGGACTACTGGAATCTCAAGTTTTCCACGATGGCGGCATCGTCGCACAACTTTTTCCCTCGATCGCCCAATCTATCAACAAGGTCATACGACTCATCTTCTGTGTCGTCGGCAACTTCACCCAGGCCCTCAACCCAGTACATAGGCAGTATCATGGGCACAAGTACAAGGTCGAACATTGTTCATACTCCTCAGCCTATCGGTATTCCCCCTCTGTCATCCGCCAGTCAGTCAGCATTCCAGCCATACACACCGATGACAGGGAACTCGGTGATGGGCCGAGACTCTCTACCATCGAATGATTCAGTGGTAGGCACACCAGGGCTGTCGAATGCACAACTGTCAGCCAATGTTCAGGCGCAGAAGCGCGCGTATCGTCAAAGACGGAAAGACCCTAGCTGTGACGCCTGCCGGGAGAGAAAGGTCAAGTGCGATGCGACAGAGACGACCAGCTGCTCAGAGTGCTCAAGTAGAAACGTCAAATGTCAGTTCACTAAGGAGACGAACCGGCGCATGTCTTCTATCAAGCAAGTACAGGACCTTGAGAAGCAAATTGAGCGAGTCCGGAGGGAAAATAGCAGTCTCAGAAGGATGCTGAGCGAGCGCGACGGACAGATGATGGACGTTGATATGGAAGGAATCGATCAGTCGCCAGTACAGATTCCTGAGATCAACTCAAACCCCAAGCAACGGATTAGGGCAGTGCCAAATCATGACCCAGCCAGAGAACGGGCGAACTTTCGAAATTTCTCAAAGGGACTCTTCAAACCGCCAATGCCATACCGACAACCACCATCGTCCATATTATTCGATCCTCCACTGCCGCAATTACCACCTAGAGCGGCGACAACTGCTCTGCTACATTCATATTATGGGGCTGTGCATGTGATGAAGCCCATCTTACACTGGCCAACCTTACAACATGGTGTCGATGAACTGTACCAGCCAGGTGGTATGCAGAGAGCCCCAAAGTCGTGGCTTTCCATGTTCTTCGCAATACTCTCCGTAGGCAGCTTGTTTTGTGCCGATCCTGCGGACCGTAGTTACCGAGCAGGAGAGTTCTTAGAGATATCCCGTGGTCTAACAGATGCATGGAATAACGATTTTGACCTCGACAATATTCGAGCCTCCTTTCTGACAGTCTTGGCATTGCTGGAACTCAATCTCAAATCTGCAGCATGGGCATGGTTGGGGAGCGTTGTGAGAGTGGCGCAAGATCTCGGCTTGCACCTCGAAACAGGGACACGCTCCCGCCTGGATGCAGATATGAGGCGGCGGGTGTGGTGGGCAATATACATAGTTGATCGAACAACAGCCTTGGAACTAGGTCGACCTGCCTTAATCAACGATTCGGAGTGCGATGTTGCCCTTCCTGAGCCTATCGACGACCACTTCTTGTCGCCCGAAGGCCCAGTGCATCCCCCGAACGCGGAGCCTCTAACACACTCTCTCCACGTAATCATCAACGTCGTTCGTTCTATTCCTGCGATTATGCAGGCATTTAATTCTTCACCTATAGCGCCGACACGGCTATCGACCTTTGATGCGCATTTCGCAGCCTGTCAAAGGGCGTTTCCTGCTGCTTGCGAACCTTCAAGCAGCTTGCCGATCCCTCCCCATATGCTTATGCCACTGGCGTACCTTCTCAGCACCCGACTTCTCCTTCATCGGCATAATCTTGCTCCAGCTTGCCCCCCAGGCGTACGTGCGGTGGCTATCGAACAATGCACCCATACAGCAATCGAAACAGCGCTTCTGATCGGAAGGACGAACGCGAGTCTAGCTGATACGGCAAATTCACTATTGACAACACATATCTTTCGATCAGCATCATTTTTGATTCTTACCGGCCACCATGAATATGCAGCGACATGTATACGAGCGTTGAAATCGATCGATAAACGCCGAGATGTGACTATACCTTGCGGTCGATTTCTCTCGTTTCTGGCGTCTATCGTCTCAAGCAAACGTGCTGAGCTCGCAGCTTATTATCCACGGTCGGTGCCAACACAAGGCTACCAACATCAACCTCCATCCACACAAGCAATACAGGAGCGCCTGCTCGCAGACGAAGAGCTGTTGACTTATGTCAGCACAGACTTGCAAGCTAATGGAGAAGGAAGCTGGATATGGGCTGGGGCGGAGCGGGATGCCCTTGTTGGGTCGCCCCCTGTAGGCGGTGGGCTAACTCGTGTTGAAAATCGGACTGGCCTTACACAGGAAGAGCTTCAAGACTGGGCTGGCTGGGATCGTCTGGAATGTGTTCTTCGAGGGGGGCCTGCAGGTATAACAGGGTCATGGATTTCCGCCCCGACATATACGCCGCCACTTCATTCACAATCCCTCCCACCGACACTTCCGCCAATAAAAATGGAGGGAAGCGCTTCCGTTCCTCGAACGGGCACGACGGCACCTGAGAGTGCCGGGAATAGCCCAGTTCCTGGAGTAAAGCGCAACACCGAGCGCATTAGCATCGCCAACATCATCTAGTGGGCTCACTTTCTGGCTTTGCACTGAAAGAATGCTGGCCTGAATCACTTTCATGAACTCTAAACTTGAGTTGTGAGACGCATTAACGCTATTATCTATGTAGATTTCCTTCTCGATCATTGCTGAGCGTTGCATGGTGGGACTGGTGGCACCGTTTATTGTATAATCTTTTTTTTTTCCTGGCGGCCAACTGAATATGTTAGATTTCTTGAAGGGAGCTCAGTGTCGAAGACTCTCCAGCATTAGCATACGTTCAGCATTCCACGTGAAGCAACTTTCAGCTTCATGTTCCATGACGATACCATTCCTTTTTTTTTTTTTTTTTTTTTTTTTGAATCCGGTTTTTATCTCTAATACAACACCCGCACAACAACGGCAAGATCTGTCTCTATCGTTTTGTTCACTTGCTATTTCACACGTATCTGTTTTATATGCCCTTACAGGCGCCACGACACATAGCATATATCGTTACCTCCAGCTATACCGTGGTGGTAACGATGACAGGGGTGGTATGGCTGGCACATAGTATTAATGAGGACGTGATGATAAGCTAGGAAAGGGGGGGGATTGTGCGCGCATGTTTGCCTTATATGACCACTTGATAATGGGACAATATAATCCAGCACAATACGACATGGTGTTTGACATGCGTCTCTCTGCATTGCATCTTCAACTTGACCAAGCTCACAACCCCTGGTCCCACTGCTCCAAGATCCGCTGCTTTTTACCGAGTCACCCATGCCCAGACCGGCTGCAACCGGAGTGCCATGTTGGTTTCTTTCTTGATTTCTTTCTTTTTTCTATTGCCGCCCTGCAGCCTGGCGAATTCTAATCATATTATTGCTCCACACAAAATGGGATCATGATTTTAAATACTTGTGGGGGTTCCCTGCTCGCATTCCCTCGTTTGTAAGAGGGAGAGTACCAGAGTAGGCCTGCCTGGACTCGGCTCCTTCTTCCGACCGGCACCTAAAAGGCTCACTATTGAAAATTCCTCCGAGAAATGTAACGGTCCCCTGACACGACGGGGCCGGACAGGGGGTAGGAGCGAAACTTGGAAATTTAGTGCCATGTACCTATTAGGTAATTCTAAGCACCGGTCTCGAGAGCAGTACGTATTTCCTGGAAACCACGGCAGTTCGAAAAAAGGGCATGTAGGAAGCTGACGATCTTTTTTTTATGGTGAGATTTCGGTATGTTGCCCCGAAATCAAATGCACAAGATCGACGCCGAGACATGGGACTTTGGTGGGATCATAGGCCATGTGGCTCAGAATACTACGCTCTGCCCACGACACCCGGCTGCCGAGTACCGTTAGGTTGCAGTGCATCAGGACGTAGAGGCCCCAAAAAGGTTACTGGACAAAACATACTATTCCAAGTTTTGCATGTCCCGTGGTTAGGATGAACTCAAAATCAAGAACCATTTAAAGGCAATTTCAAAAGTATAAAGGTAATGTGTCTTTTAGCTTTGTATATATCTTAATCTTCGCATATTCGTTGCGGCCACATAGTTACCCGCATCTCGCTGTTCATGCGCAGAATGTGCTCCATGCATTCGTTTTTCACCTGGTCGTCCTCATTCTGTGCTAACCTCAAAGTAGCGCAGAGGTCTAGGTCTTCTATTTAGCCACACCGACTCATTTACAGTCGCTTAACATACAGCGTGAGTCTTGCCTGTCTTTCCTTGAAGCGAGTGCCTCTCGTTCTACGGAAATGGTTAGCATCTTGTCCTGCAGGGTTTTGTGACAAAACGTCTCACCTTGTATTTTTCGTGGTTGTGGGTAGCCCTTCTGCCTTTGACAGAGTGCTCCTTGAGGAACTGCTCGTGCTTCTTGATAGACTCCTTATCCATGTCCTGAAGCATCTCCATGCAGAGCTTGATATCGACAATGAGACTATCACAGCGGTTCTTGGTAAAGTCCTCACGCACCACCACACGCAACATCTTCAAGTTCTCCGTGTGCGGTGCCATGGTGTAGGCCGGAACGGTCCAGCCGCGAGCACGCAGCTTGTGTGCAAGTGCGAACTCGTCCCATTCTCGCTCCTGATCGGGCTTGAGGCGGAAGGCAACCAGTGGTAGACCTTCACCGGACTTCTTAGACATGAGAACGAAGCCCAGGGCCTCAACCGACTCCGCTAGATAATCGGCCGTCCTGGTCAGGTTGCTCATGATGGCCCTGTAGCCCTTCTTGCCCAGGCGGACTAGCTGGTAGTACTGTCCAATAACCTGACTGGCGCCCTTGGAGAAGTTGAGAGTGAACGATTGTTGATCGGCTCCGAGATAGTTGATATTGAAAACGAGCTCTTGCGGCAAGAACTCGGCGCTACGCCAGATGACCCAACCAACACCAGGGTAGACAAGTCCGTACTACGTGACTAATATTAGCCGCGGCTGAGTTCATGTTCTGTCAGGTTTGCATACCTTGTGACCGGATACATTGATTGACACGACTTTCTCGAGACGGAAGTCCCACTCCAGATCGGGCACTACGAACGGTGCCACGAAACCACCTTGAATGCATGAGCTCAGTTCGAGTGACCAAGTTTTTCAAGACTTACCACTGGCGGCATCGACGTGAATGGGACAGTCAATACCCTTCTTCACCAATAGGTCATTGATGGCCTTGACGTCCTCATATTCTCCGGTATATGTCGTTCCTACACGGTGTTGTTAGCTGTTTGTTGAATGGGTAGACGCTTGGTCGTCTCAGAAACTGATCCGAGAACCGCCAAGCCATGTATCTGCGGGCACCAAACATCAACACGTGATACATACCAAGAATAGCACAGATACCGATGGTGTTCTCATCCACGAGGTTGACGGTCTCTTCCGGGTCGATTACATAGCGGTCTGGTGTACAGTAGACGAGCTTCTCGTCGATCTCGAAGTAGCGCGTCGCCTTCTCCCAGCAGACCTGGACAGCGGAAGACATGACGATGTTCGGGTTCTCAGTCGACTTTCCCTCGGCCTTTCTCTTGTTCTTCCAGCGTCTCTTCATGGCAAGCACTCCCAACATGATGGCCTCTGAACTACCCACAGTTGAAGTACCGACAGCACCTTCGGCTTCATCATGGGTAGGTGCGTGAAATAGCCGCCCAATCATAGAAACGCAACGGTTCTGAATATCTGCTGAAACAGGATATTCCTCATAGTCGATGAAGTTCTTGGAGAAACTCTCGGCCATGAGCTTCTCAGCTTCTTCCTCCTGCAGGAATGTAAGCCAATCAATTATCATGTACAGCGTCACGAGGAAAGCAGAACAGCGAGCCAATTGACGTTGTAGCTACACTTGTCTGTGGCCGTTTGTTCAGCGTGTAGTCGTGTGGGGTCATCTTGGATCCCAATCTTGCCTATCAGAGGTTTCTGTCTTCGCCTCTACAGATCCATGACCCGGCACATATTCCAACAAATTCAAGGTGATGCGCAACTTACCATATAGGTAGTAACGAAAGAAGCCAAGCTGTGTACAGTACAACTATCAGCAGAGTTTCCCGTATACCGATCGTTTAGCAGTGCTGGGCGGCCCCGGGAATTCGTTTGCTTACTTGAGCATGGGGTTACCATCCAAGCTGAGCTCATCCTTAATCATGCGATAGGCGACATCTTTGGGCATCTCGCCATCAGGCATCTCATGTCGGGGCAGGTCTTGAGCTGCGAACTTGGAGGCATAGACGCTGGTGGTGAATTCATCCTCTTCCTCGGCGAGCTTGAGGGTGACCTTCTTAACGGCCTCAGGGAGGCGGCCAATATTGTTGTCTTTGGGGATGGAAGCTAGGTGGACCATCTTGGCGGCTCAATTGTGTATGCGGGTTTCAATCGAGTTCAACGGAGACACGGGGCAGCTCAAAACTGAAAAGGTAGTCCAGAAAAACCGCGAAGTGTGAACTCACTGGTCTTCGAAAGACGTATTTATACAGACCTCTAGGGGCTGGTGAGTGGTGATGGTGAGCGGTGATGGTGATGCGGGGTAGAAAGGACGACGTATGTTTACGACAGAACGTGAATTACGATTCGTCAGGGCTTGGCGGGTTTTGTAGTAATCCTAGCAATCAACTGGTCTCGGCTTTCTAGTACCAGGCAGGAACAAGTAACAGAAGCAATGGAAAGCCGGTCAAGAATGCAGCAGCTCGGTCTTGTTGGTCGCCTATTTGAGCTAGGTTTCTTCCATGATTTGCATAGGCGGCACATAACGCAGTAGCACCCCCACCTTTCCGTCTCCTTCCTGGCATGCACTGCATGTTGCCTCTGCTGTTCAAATACCATCTGCCTAGTCTTGAAGAGTCTGGTTACCATTACTTTACATATCGGCATGAAGCAGCAAAAGATACTGGTATGAAAACGTGCTGTTGTAGCACCGACATCATGATTTCAGCTTCTCAGCGCCACGAAAACCGGTAGCATTGGCAAAAAAGCTTGGCTCTAGATGCGGGACGCTGTCAATGCACTAGACAGGGATACAGCTTCGTGGGTGCTGATAGATCCAATCACTAAATGCATGGTGTCGTGAATGGAGGAGATCCGCCTTGCTTGCTTGCGTGGTTTCTCGGGTGGGTATCATGGAAGCTGAAGCTGAGGTCCAGGCTCTCTTATGACTGTTTTACTTCTACGATTGATCGAGTTTGCTCGTTGGGGGCTGCAGGTCTGTGCCATCTATGACATCATTGTATTCTGAAGAAGTGCTCCAAATCGAAACCCGGAGTTGAAGTTCCCTCATGTTCAAGTTCCCTCATGTTCAAGTTCGCGCAGAACTGGCAATTTGTTCGGAGATAGGCTTGCTCTGCTACAGCGGACCAACAATTTGAGCCGAGTTCTGGGTCTGCATTACTGCGCTGCAGAATCATTGCTGCCACTAATTACTGTAGATCTTTCGGTACAGATTCCGCATCTGCATTCGTGATCCACAATGCTAGTTTGCTTTCCTCCACTTCATGTTACTTTAGTATTGCTATTAGCCTGACGAGATGTCCTGATACGGCAATCCTGTACTACTGTCACCGACTTTGAGCAGGAGCGTAGCCTCAGACAAGTTAATTCCAACATCCAGTGAAATTCTCATACAAATCTACGCTTCTGTATATTTATAGTTTCTTGATACGGTTGGACCAAAATTCGGTGGTTAACTCAATCGTCTTCGTCATGTATACCTGTCAAAGGCCCGGCCAAACCCTGCATACGTCTTCCCAGCAGATCATCCGAGCTGTTGAGCTTGACGATGCTCTTAGACTTTCTGGTGAACCGGGGTTTGCCATTTATTCTCTGCTTTTTGATTGCCTCATCCGAATCTTCGTTCTTTTCAGACTGCTGAACAGTTGATTCAGCTTTGCTCTTACCTTCGTCACTGATAGTGCGACCTCGTGCTCTGGTCATGTTGATCTCCAAAGGTCGATCCTCATCCCCGCTGGACTCGACCCGGCGATGATGCCGACTGGCGCGCCGTTGAAACTCTTGCTGCTCGCGTGATTCTGCAGTGTTGAGGAGCTCTACAGCCCACAGAGCGCATCGGTCAATCAGCTTCCAGGCTGGTGGATAGAGAGTCGGAAACTGAGTGAACCCATGACTAATTCCAGGGATAAGCACCACCTCGGCAACATCCTTCTCGTCAAAGTCGGAAATATTATCCAAGGACCCCAAACGCTGGGAGGTGTGTTGCGAGTGGTAGACCTGTTTGACCTTGCGCAGGCGACCGGCAAAAATGACTGTGTCATCAACTAAGGGGTCGCGCTCGCCGGTGAGGAAGTGTGTTTTTGGGAACCGCTGCAGAAGGATATCTGGTGCTAATATGGGTGAAAGCAGGTAGTCCTGCGAGAAATCTGGCCTGTTGTGGGGTCCCACATACAGGATGATCATTGCGCGCATCATTTCGGGAGTCAGCACGCGATCATTAAAGTATGAGATCATGGAGGCCATCGCAAGTCGAGTCTGTAAAGGTTGAGGCTTGCGTAAGCCCAATTTACTGTCTCTTTTCTCCAAGACTGACGAGATAGGCTTCGATGACTGTGACCATGTCCGAGGATGTGCGTGTGAATACTCAGGATGAGGACTACGCATGCCTTCATCCGTAATGGCAGAGCTTGGTTCGAAGGGCACAGAAGCCGTCACGTCTTGCGCCTGCGCCTCCTCTTCGTCTTCTGACTCATGAGGTGTCCCGGCCACATCTGTGTACTGCCTGTTTTTCCTTCTCAGGTAGTCTTTGTTAGTCCCGCGCATCCTCCGATCTTTTACTAACGCCATTTGTTCATCGGACATCCAGTTGCCTATATTCATGTCCAATCCTGGGTATAGGAGGATTAGGCCATCAGGAATCGGCAGTTCTCCTGCCGCCAACCCTGGACGCCGGCTTCCAATATTGCTCTCAATTACCATGAGCGTAAGAGCTGTCGCCAGGTTGCCTCCGGCGCTGTCGCCAGTCAAGACAACTTTTGGATTCTGCCTGCCCGACATTCCAATGCACCGCCCTTTACTCTTTATGATAGTGGTATAGACGTCAAAGCACTCGTTCAGAGCATATGGGTATGGATATTCTGGTGCCTTTTGGTAATCCAAACTTAGGATAGGCAAACCTGTCTTTCCCGCCCATGCGAACAGCTTGTCGTCGTTGCATCGAGGGTCCATGGCCACGAAGCCACCTCCGGGGATATCAAGAATCATCTTGCTGATGTGCTCAAGATCCGCAATCGGCCCGTCGTAGTACAGCCACCCGGACACAGGCTCCCTGTAATCGCTTGTACTTGGCCTCGGTATTCGTATCGCTCTTGGTGGCCATCGAGTGAAGCGGGGACGCATCAAGCCTTGGAAAAATTGCAGATATGGCGTCGTGCCCTTGTTCCAGCTCACTCGCAGATGCTCGACTGTCAGCAACCCCCGAACTTTGCGGACTTTCTCATCTGCCTGCTCTGCCGCAAACATGTAGAAGACGGAGAAGACCAAACTCGCGATGTCTCGTATCCACTTTTGTTTGATCTTCATTGCTGTCCAGAAGCCGGCATCCAGAGCTGTCAAAATCCAGGTTGCACGAAAATATGTTTTGTCGTACATGTTTGACATGGGCTCGGGGCTGGCTAGTCCAACAAGCGTGCTGAAATTCCTGGCTGCGTACAGATACAGCATGGTGAATAGCACGGTTTGCCATGCTGTCAGCCTTTTCGAAAACAGCTTCGAAAGAGAACGAAGCACGGGTGGTCCATGGCGATCACCTCTGTAGGCAAGTCAGTATTTCGGCGGCCTGTCGATAAAGAGACTTGACTCACTTGAAGATGTACACTGACCAGAAGGTCAAGACAGCGAGCACCTGCAGCCTCCGGGATTTGACTGACGGTTTACCGAGTACGTGATCTATCATGCTGAACTCCGACAATGCAATTCTAAAGAAACATGGAACAAAGGACGAAAGAAAACAGCGATCCAGGATGATGTTCCGATTTAATCAGTCAATCGATCAACCTCGGCCACAGGGCAGGCTTGGCTGACTGGCAAAGCTGTGTTGTGGGCTGGAGATCACAAGTCCGATGCATGGTTCCCGGCAATCCGAGTCAGCTAGCGCCAGAACATGAGACGGAGCAGGGAGAGATCCAGAGGCAAATTGAAAGAAAGCTGGTCTTCCATCGCTGTTAAAACGACAAGGATTCTTCCAAAGCAATGGAGAAGATGAGCATTGAATGGCGGGGGCGAGTTGGCAACAACTTGGGGGCGCGCCATGCTGGTTGATGACCGCAGGAACCAGAAGTTGTCGCGACTTTGGATGAGTGGACGGCCGCGAATGGTCACATCTGACGACGTTTGCAGCGTTCGCTTGCTGACATGTGACAATGAGCATCCCACCTGACGTCTTCCCCAGGCACGCTAAACCCCACCATCCCGCAAACAAACCTTGCCTACGCATCCGTACATACTATGTGCATATAGTAACTGACATGCATAGGACATGGGACATCTTATGGAAGTCCACGTGTGCTCACATGCCTGCATAAATATTATGCTTTCTCCCCAGAAACGATCCAACGTTATGCGTTCTACCCGCCTCATAATCGGTACGGCGAGGCGACTTTTATCTACTCCTCTCGAGTGAAGGCGAAATCATCAGGCTGTATTGCTCAAACATTCCAAACAAAGCGAGACTATATCGCATGGCTTGACACAACGGTAGCGGTAGCCCCCGATATCTTCGCACTCGTGCAGTCGTCCCTGTAAACACGTTACCCTGAGACCGCGCATGGCTGCAAAGGCACCATAAGTAGGGGGGTTGTTCTTGATTGCCGGATGCAGCAGGATTCACACGTACGGAGTATGTGGAAGTACATCCAAGCAACATTTCGTCGACGGACTGCCCTGTCGCTTTACGTCCTCCGAGCGTCAATATTTGACTGTTCACAAAACTGAGTGACTCATTAATAGGTAATGTCGACAACGGTAGAGTACGCCGGCACACCTTTTAGCATCCGTGTACGCAGCGCTTTCTTCGACACGTAATCAGTCATAGTTTCTGCGACACATGGACAGATTGCTCCACGCTAAATTGCTCAATGCATACCCACTATGATATTTTACTCATTCATTAGTTATCGTTGCGACATATCGAGGTTTTGCTGTTGCTGTTGCGGTCTGTCCTAACCTAATTGAATTCTGTTCCCATTGCCGACGTCGGCGGTGAAGGGGCAGAGGCAGCCTCCCTTATCGCGATAAGAGACTAGTGTATGGAGATTTTCTGGTACTTCAAGAGCTGTCATTGCAACTCACCATTGCTGTTGTAATCAATTGCCAATCTTATACTGCTCAAAATGGCTTTCCGACTGCATGCTCGGAGAGTCGTGGCCTCTGGCCGACGATATATCTCATCTGCACCATCTGCAACGTCGAACCTGTCCCAGGAGGCTCAGCAGGCCATTGCCCGAGATGCGGCCTTATCGCATCCAGACCCCCATGAGACGTCCGCCAGCGCTTCCTTAGTGAGCGGACATCAGAAGTATATGCTAGCAACATATGCTCGGCCGCCTCCGGTGTTTGTGAAGGGTGAAGGATCTTACTTGTATGATTTGGAGAATCGAAAGTACTTGGATTTCACATCGGGTATCGCCGTCAATAGCCTTGGTCACAGTGACCCAGGTATGGCGAGGATAATCGCAGACCAGGTTAGTAGTGGCCAGCATCATTGGGGCAATCAACTCACTCAAGCGGTTGCCGGACCGGCATGGTTGCGTCTCTAACCTGGTGGCTTTATTTGTGCTGTGAAAACTAATTTATTGTACAGGCCAAGACTTTATGGCATGCTTCGAATCTCTACTACAACCCCTGGACTGGTGCTCTTTCAGAACTTCTGGTGCAGAAGACGCTAGAGTCTGGAGCTATGCACGATGCTGCCACAGTGTTCGTATGCAACTCGGGATCCGAAGCTAACGAGGCTGCGATTAAGTTCTCTCGCAAAACCGGAAAGTTGCTGGACCCATCCGGTGCTAAGCACGAGATCGTCTCTTTCCACCAGTCTTTCCATGGCCGAACAATGGGAAGTCTGTCTGCTACGCCTAACCCCAAGTATCAAGAACCTTTTGCGCCGATGCTGCCCGGTTTCAAATATGGCACATACAACGACATCGCTGGTATCAAGGACCTGGTCACTGACAAAACTTGCGGGGTCATCATTGAACCAATCCAAGGAGAGGGAGGTGTGAACGTGGCAACGGATGAGTTCTTGATTGCATTGGCCAAGCGATGCCGCGAAGTTGGTGCTGTTCTCGTGTATGACGAAATTCAGTGCGGCATGTCACGGACTGGTAATTTCTGGGCACACGGACATCTTCCCCAGGAAGCTCACCCCGATGTCATCACGACTGCTAAAGCTCTTGGCAATGGTTTCCCAATCGGTGCCGCCATCGTGAACAGCAATGTCAGCGAGAAAATGAAGGTTGGCGACCACGGTACTACGTTTGGTGGCAATCCGATGGCTTGCCGACTTGCGCACTATGTGGTCTCTCACTTGACTAATCCTGAACTTCAAAAGGATGTGATCGTCAAGTCAGACATCTTCCGCAAGAGGTTTGATCAGCTCCGGCAACGTTTCCCCGACCTAATCACTGAGGTTAGGGGTAAGGGTCTCATCCTTGGTCTTCAATTGACCCAAGATCCTACCTCTATCATCAAGGCTGCTCGAGAAAGGGGCCTCCTCATCATTTCATGTGGCACCAACACCTTACGTTTCGTGCCCCCATTGACCATTACTCCCGAGGAGATCGAGAGCGGTCTGAACACTCTGGAACGAGCCATTGAGTCGACTCGATAGACTTTGAATTGGACGCGCGAGCATATCTGTATTTGTTGCAAGCATTAGGTGTTGCGGCGTTAAAAAGGCTATTTAGCTGTTTGCACATAGACAAGTGGAGGAAACTGGTGTGTGACTTGACACCAGCTATCAAGCTCATCTTAATCTTGTTCAGTCTCTAGCCAAATATGCAAATATGACCTTGGAAGGCTGTAGCATCACTCGTTAGTTCGTTTGTCCTAACTACCTCATGTCATGTTCTCCGAGGTTCTATAAATAAAGCATAGTCTTGACAACAATACAAATCTTTTTCTCTCTCAACCACCAACCACACTTCTTCCTCTCAGCCAGCACGGTGCCTCAGTCCATAACTTCCTATTAAAAAGAGCTTTGACATCTAACGCGTTCACAAATCCGACCCTCAAACGAAAACTTGTTCGTTTTGTGCGGCATTGAAAACTGTCGCTCACGTACTGGGGGAATGGACTCGAGCTGCTGCAGGTGCGACAAGGGCAAAAACACGGGTTACACAACTAGTAAGATGGGTTCCAAGCTTACATGTCATGGGCAACCTTAACAACCAGGGTTGACAATTCCCTATAATGGTAAATGGTTTGAGCCATCAGACATGTCAAGAAGGGTTACTCCTACAACACATGGACAAAACGTGGAAACCACACGGCATTTAAGCTAGAAAAGGCGACAAATGTTTCTCAGGGGTCAATACTGTTCGCTACAATACCTTGATGCCCAAGAATGTGAATGCTCCACGGAGCCTTTCTGGGGTGGCCTCAGGAGAATGCGGAAAAGGTGGCACCACCTGGCAAATGGTAAATCCTAAATACTCCATTACGAAAGTGATCTGTGGAGGGTTAATATGGACTCAGCTGGCGTCAACCACTTGCCAAGCTGCACGAATGAATCACGGTATTGCGAGGCAATTAGTTAGTAAACTTTCGATATACGTCGGTCAAACTATCCAAAGAAGAGCGATATTATTATGTGGCATCCAGACAGCGCTCATGTGGTTGACCAGCACCGTTCATGAGCATTCTCCAGCTACACCCCATGCAACCAGTATTAATATATTTTTTTATCCCTCATGCCGCTGCTGATGCAACAAACGCAGCAGCTTCGTCCGCGTTTTGGCCATACGTCAAGTGTGGCACCAGGATTAGGTCGCCTCCCTGGCAGATGTTGTCGCCGGTGTGGCAGATAACCTTGGTGTTGGCACTGGAAACACCCTGGACAGCATCGCCGTTGTCTGGAGAAATAAGTGTCAGCGAATGCACAAAACTGTGTTGTTTCCAGAGGGGGGTTATTTGCAGCGTGATCTACATACCTGGGTCACCGAAAATGACGGCGGCAGCCACTTTGGATGCTGTCGCAGAAGACATCATCTTCGCAGCATTGTGTACCAGCTGTCCCCCCTGCGAGTAGCCCGCCATGACAACCTTGGTGTCCGGGCACTTGGTCATAGCCTGTGACACGAGTGAGGCCCTTGGTTATTCGGTTAGCTCACATCATTCCAACAAGAATTGGCGTTGGCTCACATCTTCTTGCTTCCTGCAGCATCACCGCCGGCCAGGAAACCCGGGATGTCGGCAGGGTACTCGACGCCCTGTACCGCTAGATCGCCGCCGACCTTGCTTGACAGCGCCTGGAAGAACGGAGGCCCCGCCACGGATCCCACGTTTCCTGCCTCCGTAGTTCCACGCGCGAAGATGACAGTCATTCCCTTGCAAGATCCAGACAAGCCGTTTTGTGTGATGCCTGCCAGACTCTGGCGCTTGTCAAAAGGCGTGGCCACGGTGGTTGAAGCCCAGGAGGCCAGAGCCAGAAGGAGGATGGAGGCTAGGGAAGGCATCTTCGTTCAACCAGGAGCGAAGGGTTGGACTAATCCAGAAAGTGTCAAAAGAAACGAAAAAGAGTGTTTGGTGTTCCTGGTATAGGTTTCTAACTATCCATATAGCCGTGATAAGGGCTCTCTTGAGACGACCATGGTCTTTATATCATTTGGGTGTTCTATAGCCTGGCTACCGCGACGCTCCGAATGACATCTAAACCTTCAACCCCAGACAACTGGTTGTCACCGAAACGGTCGCATACGGCCCGCGACCTGATCCCAAAGAGGAAATATGGCGAGTGCCAAGCTGTCACGAACTCAATGCCTCGGCCGATGACCCACTATTTAAGCGTATTCCGACGATCTACACGGTGAGCACTGAGCGCACCAGGCATGGTGTTTCTAGAAGAAATGTAGAAGCAAAGGTGACTCGGGGCGCTTTTTGAGAAAAACCTTGAGAGGAAGAGATGCGATTGGTCTCCTTGCTGTTTGTTGTTGGATCTTGAAACGCACGGGGGTTGAGGCTTAGTGACTTCTTGAATGGACCGCTTGTCGCAAAAGTTGGGACGAGCCACTGCGATGCTAGCTTCGTCCGAAAACGAACGGAGGGTTCCTTCTCATTCCTCGCAACATATTTCAATTTTTCAGTGTTGATCCGATCGGGCGATATGGCAAATATCGACTTATGGCCTGATGTTCCAGCGCAAACGTGTCTGCCGGCTCGTGGTGCTGACCACTTAGGGTAAAGCTCGCCAAGTACGTGCATAGCAGCATGATGTTTCGATATTTAGTCCCTTGGCCAACATATCTCCAAGCCGAGGTCGAATTGAAAATCTTTGCGCCTCTGCCATGAACCATCGTCAGTTGTTGTGCTGAAGTGCTCGCTTGTGCCGTAGTCTGGGTGGTGTATCATCCTTCCCATGGCTAACTTATGTTTTCAGAACGATAGCGAGAAGTGCTATCTCGGGTTCTCAATGGGCGGTCTTTCCATGTTGCGTTGTGAGAGGATTGATTATCGTGGCAGGAACAGACATATCGACAAAGCGATATTAGTGTCTAACTATGTTGAGCTGGATTCAGTAGTCTTGTTTATCGCTTCGGTACAGGTTTTTACGAGAGCAAATAAACCAACAATGATGACATCAGATTTTTAATTAGTAGTCATTGCACTACTCAGAATCAATTTGGAAATATGGCTGCCAGCCACTAGCGAGACTGGAAAAGCTTCCATCGAGCCTCACCTACTCCCGGCTTTGAGCCATTTGAAAGGGTTTGAAGGACACGGTTTTCAGTACTATGCCGAAAAACTACTTGAGGTGTTTAAAGAATGAAATGAAAAACTACCTGCTGAATTAGACTATTAGGCACTCATATATCATCACTTATGATGTCGGCCTTCATAAATCTCGACCGTACCACAGCGCACGCCATAAAAGGCCCAGAGCGAAGTTGGACAAATTAGTCATTGTACGGTTTCAAGACAAAAATGATCAAAGACCAAAGCCCCCTTTGCCAGAAAATAAATCTAAGGTCTTTGAACCAAAATTTGTTCATATATCTATAAAGCATCCGCCAAAGTGGTTTGATGATGGAGCAACAAGCATTGCAGCGCAGGTCAAAAAAACCTTGGTGCAATATTGCTCATCTTCTATATTAAATTCTCAGCTGACAACATCATCACTATTATGGTCTCAGCCGCTGATAAATTCAAGAGTTGCGATACCTGCAAGCGGAATGTCAAGTTCTCTCACTTCGTAGACAACCACCGTGCAGTGCACAGAGCATGCCTTGCTTGCCGGCAGGAAACTAGGCGGCAAGGGGAAGAGACCCAGAAACGGGTTCAAAAAGACACACCCAATGTCTGCAAGACCTGCTCAACAATGAAGAATGGGTGGAGGTATATTTTCCCCAAGATTGCTTGAGGATAGGCGTCGATCGCAGTTGCTCCGCATGACAGGAGTCGGAGTGGATAGTTAGCCATTCACACAAAATCTTTGTTCGATCTGCCATCATCAAAGAATGTAAATAAACACATGAATGACCTGTGGTTCACTTTCGATAGGCTTTGTCTTAGTGAATTAGCGTCAGCATATTCTAGATAAATGCCCGTTTCTGCGAACTTGCTCAGTCGCAATCCATACCTTTCGCAGACACTCCTACTTACCTTTTATTTGGCATCCTATCGTTGGGCCACCTGTTACAATAAATAACTGAGAAAGTATAATTATGATCTCAGAAGCACACAACCTACAAACTTACAGAATTTGTCATTCTGAAGTACTTCGTCGCAATGCCGTTCACCGCTGAGGAACACCGTCAAATCGACTGCATGAAGACTATTCACTCACAAGCTCCAAATCTGAGCACATCACAGATAATCGAACGTGTAAGTTCGAACTTTGGTACCGAAATTTCATACCCTGTGACTCGATGGTTGTTCGCAAGCATGGGAGATTCAACCTTGTCTCGGGACGATGTGCTGTGGCGCCAGGGTACCCCCCAATCAGGGACAAACTGCACGAAAGTTGAAGGGAAGCTAGGCAACACGGAGAAGAAATCCGAGAAACGGTCGACTGATGACAAAGTAAGGTCGAAGAAAAAGCATCTTCGGTAAGAGACAAGATGAAAGGAACGCCATGGGCGAGAAAGACCTATCGTACCTCAATCAACTCTCAAATTCTTTTTAGAGCCGAGCTATTAGATAAGATGGCTCATAATAAACTGATATCTAAGTAAAGTTTATCTTGATTGACCATCGTGCTTGACTACGTAGACGTAAAATTCGTGCCTAGTTCATGCGGGCATAATATGGGCAGCCATACCTACTTAGGTTCCAAGAGAATTGCGAGAGAACAACGCACTGGTTTGACAGGTTTGTAGGCCACAATAGGCGGATTTTGCGTACGGCATGACCGGCTACACTCCGCTCATAGCCTAAACTAGTATGCTTTGTTGAAGATAACACTTCGCTACCATGGAACACTATCAATCTCACTCTAGATAAGCTGGCGCTCCTCGAGGAAAACTACATTGCAACTCTTGATAATGTTCATTAGACCATGAGCTATACTACATCATTGACTGCCCATGTAGTTCTCATACACCATTGGAAATCACACTTGATCATAACTCAACGAACAGCAGCATACACTGTCTGTAACTATTTCTAATGAAAAACGGTACTTATATCGTGCCGTGTTATTTAACATAATATGGCCGCTTCTCATTTGCCAATAGCGTTGTGTGCCGTGTCCTTGTGCACTCTTTAGATCGTCCCTTACGGCAGTATATGGAAGATTCAATATGCCTTCCAGATCTTGATCATTGACCCGCGACAAGAAATCAATCGTTTCGAACCGAGGGCACTTCGGGACCGCCAAGCCAGTCTTTTTGACAGGGGTCAATATTGGGGACCGCGCAAGCGAAATGGGAATCGATGATAACAGTATTCCTAACAAACGCACTATTAATTAAAATATTACAGTATGTGGGTCAACTGCCTGAAAACTTGGTGTTGTTTGGTCTAGATGGTTGCCTGATTCGACTTTCTGCATACAAGTCTTTTTTGGCGAAAGCCTGATCTATAGTATAGCTTGTATCTTGGCGTGAGTCTTCAGTCAAGTTCTAGAGTCCTGTCGGCTGGTCACTATCCCCATGCTCATGTCTCGGGGTCAGTAAAGTAAACACGCACCAATGTGGCACAGTGAAACAAAAACATTGTGCATAGGGTATTATGAATGTATATTTCTTTAATTACATACCACCCTGCTTTATGTATCTCTTTCTAGTTGTTAATGATGAATGTCCATCATGTGGAAAACATTACTCCCGCAAGCTGAGAGGCAGGTGATCTAGTCAGTGTATTGGTTAAAAGCAACAACGAAAACCATGAGGATGAAAGTCAAGCCCGTCAAGAGTAACTGGGCCAACAAAGGACACTTCATGGCCAAAGCTCTGGCTGATACTCGCTGGTATCTTCCATAGTATTTATCTCGTGGCTTTGGAACTTACGATGTTCTCAACAATAATCTCAACTTTGACAAACGAGTTCGGCACATTGGCCGATATAGCTTGGTATGAGTCTGCATATGTGTGGGCATTGTGAGTTATCTGAGAGTCTGCGGGCCTACGGACTATATCCTCATTGAGATATACCGCAGATGTGCTTCCCTGATGAGTAAAACGTAAGATCAATTGCCTCTCAAATTCGTCTATCTTGGATGTCTGGTCATCTTTGAGTTGGGTCTCTTAGTGAGCGCCTTAGCCACTTCAAGCTCCGTAACGCGCTTTCCTGGTCCTTCGTGCGCAAGCTACACTATATACCATCTCGGTCCATCGTGTGGCAGTGCACTCACCAGTGTTGCGTCGGGTCTTTACGCTACATTGAATGCCGGTGACTCGACCAGCCAATGGCTCGGCTGCCAAATTCTTACCACTGTTGGTCGCGGCATAGCATTTCAAGTTGTAAGTCTGCGACACGTACGAATTCTCTTAGCGGGGTTCTTTGTTTACTACCACTCACAGCCGTTTACCATCGTCCAGGAATTCGTTCCTGCGGCCGACAACGCAGTGTGTCGTGGTGTCGTAAACCTCTTCATGCAACTCGGGGCTGCTGTATCTGTATCGGCGTGTCAGACCATCTTCAACAGCCGGTAGCCCGGTCTTCTACAGTACTATGCGCCAGAGATCGATGTCAACATGGTCTTCGCAGCCGAGGCGAAGTTTGGTCTTATCAGCGCAAATGCCTGGGCTCTTCCAGGCATATAATCTGGCTGTGACGCAAATTTTTCGCACGAACTTACATGCGATATATCCTGACTCTGCTCACTAGTGACTGACTGACTCTTACGCCCAGCATCTGACTGCCGCATTTTCTGTCCTTGCTGCGCTCGCTAGCTTTGCATTGGAATGGCGAAGAGTCAAAGAGAATAAAGAATATTCTAGTTTGACGGGGAACACGGAATGAAATATTTTATAGATATATTTGCAGCCATGGACCCTAAGAATAGTGTCAGAAGAATTTGTATCTGTCAATAAATGTGTAAAGGCTGCGATGCGCGGCCCTCAAATCTTAGCATCTTTTCACATAATCATGGCAATTGAAAGTTCTGCATTTTCCTTTTGAACTGGCTTTCTTTTCTTTTCTTTTCAAATTTCCGAACCAGATTTATAGTATTTCAACATAGTTCTGAAGTCAATGAAAGCGTTTTCTTTCTCTTTCCTGTTAAATGTATCATACCCCGACTGGTCCTTTATGTCGGTGTTGTTCGGCGTCTTCGCGCCCTATTCCGAGGGTGTCTTACTCCGTACGGCAAAAGGTAAGCCGATCCCTGCTTCAAGCACTAACCACGAAATTCCTACTTTGGGCCACCTTGATACTGGCCTTTAATGTCTTATACTTGGGATTCTGACTACACGTTTGAACCTTTTAAATCAATGTTAGTTATCTCTCGATTGGCTGCAATATCGCGTACTTGCCCGCAATTGAAGAAACATGACTGTACACGATGATAATCACACGTTTGTTGGTGATAGAGAGGTGACAGAAGCCACTCCCTTAGTGAATACAGAACAACGTACCGCAATTCCACCAGTCGAAGGTTACCAACGTCGGGTTATCCTTGTGTCGTTCGCCCTTCTTTTCTTTACAGGTTTCGGTGCGAGCCTTCTGGGTCCCGGAATAACCGTCGTGTTGGAACAAAAGATATGCCACGAGATCCACGCCGGACTGGAGGCTGTGGACATGGACTGCAAGGCTCCCGCGGTCCAAGGCAAGCTTGCTTCTATTAGAGGGTGGGAGACAACGATGGAATGCCTACCAGGTTTGTAAACGAAGCCCCCGCGACCTCCATGGCTGCTCCTGATCTATCAGTAGGCCTCGTAGCAACAGTGCCCTATGGGATATTATCAGATAAATGGGGCAGACATCGCGTCAATACTCTGGCGTTCATTGGATTTGATCTCAGCATGGCCTTTTATTTCGTGGTTCGTGAGTCTTTCTACCTCTTCCGGTTGTCGCCTTCCGTTGACGCTGACGAAAGATTCAAGTCTACTTTGATGCGATCCCTGTAGAAGCATTGCTGGCAGCACCGATGCCAATGTTGCTCGGTGGTGGCGTCACGGTCATATCGGCCATGGTATATACCTCTATAGCCGATATATTTCCTGCCAGCGCGAGGTAACACAGTCCACTTGTATCTCCTTTGCCTCCTAACTAACTACAAACCAGGGCTCGCATCTTCTTACAACTCTCAGCACTGCTTATATTTTCGGATTTGGCTTCTAGTCCCCTTGCTGGCCTTATTCTGATGCGAAGTACATGGTGCTTAATGTTTCTGGCATTTGGGCTCTTCATTATTGCCACAGTCACCTCACTCTTCCTCCCCGACACGCTGAAATTGGCTGAGAGGAAACACGACCAGCACGAAATTCTCCATGATGGAGGTGGAACTGAACCACAAGACCATCACAACTCGTCTCCAATCAGAGAGTCAATTCTGAGAGCTCGCAAAAGCGTGCGGGACATACACTCATTTCTGAGTGGACATCGACAAGTGATTATCCTTACCCTCTGCTTCGTATTCGTGGCTCTCGCCAGACTCGTCCAAGAGATGCTCTTGCAATACACAACAAAAAGGTATAACTGGAGCTGGAGCAAAGTAAGTGCACCCAACACGTTCGGTCTTGTTTTGGTTTTGGTGCTCACATATACCAAACCAGGCATCGTTTCTTCTGACCACTCGGAGTGCGGTCAGTCTCGTGGCGCTGGTAGTTATCTTGCCAGCCCTAAATCACTTGCTGATGACCAGAGCCAAGATGTCTGTGGTGCAAAAAGATGTCTGGATTAGCTGCATAACAGGGCTCGCGGGCATCATTGGTGCGCTGACGATTGCCTTTGCTTCCAACGTGCCAGTTCTGATTATTGGTATGTTGAATGCGATGATGCTGCCCTCCCTTGCCCACCCCAGGCTGATCTCTTCCCAGGATTATCAGTATTTGCAATCAACGTGGGCATGACGGCCGTAATCCGTAGCCTGCTCAGCAGCATGGTGGAGTCGCGTCATATGGGTACTCTCAACTCCCTCATTGGAGTATTGGAAATGGTGGGACTCATGGTAGCCGCCCCAGCATTGTTTGGGAGTCTTCGTTTAGGCTTTGAGATTGGTGGAAACTGGATTGGACTGCCGTTCATGCTCGCCGCCGCCATGATTTCGGTGTCTACAGCGATTGTTTGGTTCTTGCCGATCGGAGAGAAGGAGAGACCCGCGAGCTCCTCGCACGAGGATGCGGTTTGATAGGACACCGATGATATATGCATCTTTCCAAACATGTACTCGTTCTGCTCCCTCCTCATCTATATAGATCACATAGTAAACACTCAGCTTATTCTGGCTGTTTCATGACTGCCACCGACCTCCACTTGTTATAGTTACATCTGCAGAACTACTATACTTGAATGGGTTTGTCGCTGTTTGGATTCTAAGTAGTATTATCAATTTCCAACACAACTTAAGAGCAACAAACGTCACGGAGCACGCTAGTGCTTAAATTGAGTGCATGTTCAAGGACAAGGCGATGTTCATCTCAGTTTCCGACGGTCAATATGACTGTACGTCTAGAAGTTTGCATTATAACGCGCTAAAAGCTTTTGGTCATACCGTTCCGTCTCCTACCACCAGATTTTGACCGCTCCACGTGGGCTTTCAGGATATTTCTCGTTTGCACCAAACTTCTTCGGTTCTTGTTCTTGGCTTTGCTCAAGGTCATCAAGAAGTTCTTCTTGCGGGCCTTCTCTTTGTTCGTGGTTGACTTGCCCTCCGCTTCCTTCTTGGACTTGCGGATGGCCTGTGTAGACTTGTGCTCATCACGCTCGCCCTTGCCCTCCTTGGCCATGGCTACACGCTCTTCCTTGGTCGTCTTTCGCAACTTGGCCGGAGCTTCAATATCTTCAGCGGTCAGACCTTCGTCCATATGCCGTGCTTGAGCCTCTTGTTGCTTGCGCTTGCGGTTGCCCATTGCCTTGTCGACGCCGGCTTCCATGCGGAGCTCCTTCAGTTTAGCCAAGTCAGCCGGAGTGAGAATCGATGTCGTAGCCAGCTTAGAGAGTGTCTGAATCTCTACCTCTGCATTCTCCTTGTCGTCCTCTTCCCCAGGGGTATCATTGTCTGTCTTTCGCCTCTTGAGAACCGGCTCGTCTTCTTCGCCTTCAGAATCGCTGACCCGAATCCAATCTCCCGAATCGCTGCTCTCCATCGAGGCAACTTCCCATTCATCGTCCTCCTCTACTTGCTCCTCATCCAGCAGCTCATCGACGTCCGCATCCTCGGGCAATCCCTTCTCTGCTCGTTTCTTCGCTCTTTGCTCCTCTTTCCACTTTTCTAGCAGTTCGAGACCTTCAATTCCGCCGATCTCTGCCTCACCAAACTTCCTCTGCTTCTGCTCACCGCTCTTGAGGTTGATTGTCGCATCTTTGCCTCGGTCCTTCTTGGCCAACAGTTCAGCACCCTTCTCACGGTACAGCGACAATAGACCTCTAGCGGCCATGGAAACTGCCTTGTCTTTGGATCTGCGATATTGCACCAGATCTTGAAGCAACGTATCTTGCATAGCGAGAGGCTGCCCAACACATATATGTCTGATGGCGTTCAGGCCGGCAGCACATACCTCGGCGGCAGCGGCCTCAGAAACAAATTCGGTTGCGATCTTCTCAATCAACGGCTCAATCACATCCGGCGGGATATGGTCATGTATCGCTTGGGCCAGATCTGCCAAGAATGACGTCGCGGATTGTTGTTTGGGGGTGAGGTACTTGATGAACCAAGAGTAGAGCTCGATGATGGTAAGCTTGTGTTGACCAACGAGACGTGTGACAAGCTGCAAAACCAGTAATCTGGATTCCAGAGAGAATCTGGCTTTGGCGCTCTGCAGATGTTTCTGAAACAGAATCTCGGCGAAACCTTGAGGGTCGTGAAGGAGATTTAGGGCGGAGAAATTGAGCGCAGTCGGTGCATGCTTCTTCCGCTCTTGTCTCTTAACTTTATCGACAGCCTTCTCGAGAGCCTTGGTCTTCTTTTTTGTCTTCTTGTTGATACCAATCTGGTGCTTGACCTTTCTTATGTCAACGTTGTTGTCTCCGTCGCTTTCGTCGTCTTCTTGGTTTTCCTCGCGCTCTTGGTCGCTGCCAAGGAAGAAGCGCACGGCACCAATAACGACCTTCTCGTTGTCGGACAGACACGCTTCCCGCATGATATCGACAGGCTTTGCATCTGTCCACAACTGTCGCTTCCACATTTCTCTGGTTAGTTTTACTGCCCAGAGACTCTTCGGGCTAGCTCTATCGGAGGTAACGAGGGTGTAGAGGGCGGTCTGGATGATCCGGTTTAGTTTGTGGTTGGTATGCTTGGAGTTCGCGTTTCTGAGGTCGCTGGTGATCTTGGTGAACAACAGCGTACGTAACGTTTTGCTAGGGGTGGTGGTCAAGAGAGGAATGAGGGTCATCAAGAGATAGGACGAGTCAATGACCTCCTTTCTTCGAAGAAGCACGAGTGATGAAACCACCTTTTCGCGCAACTCTGACTCCAAAATGGCATGGTGCTTGACCAGGATATCTTTCAGCTGATCGGGGAACGCTGCCGTCTGGGTCGGATAAAGCTCTGCGACGTGGGAGAGAAAATCGATTTGCTCCCTGAACGATACCAGAGCCCCGGAGTCACTGCTGAGAGGGGCAAAGTTGAACCGGTCGAGCGAGGTCTCGTATTGTCTGAGGTGCTCGAGGAATTCGGCTTCATACGCGGCAGGGTCGCGGCGGATCCTGTATTGGAGTCCTGCGCAGGAACCAGAGGTCAGCATTACATTTTCTACACAGGGACAAAGGCGATATCGAGCCTCTTCGGGGGTCGCATACCGGCCAAGTCAGCCTCGACTTTCTCGAGCTGTCGACGAACTAGGGTTAGCGATTATCAATGCAAGAGAATGGGGAACGGTGGTTTCGAAGACGACGTACGGCTGTGACCTTCCTTCGGGCCATGGCGATTTGTTATGTATGACGGCGTGTAAGGTGAGGTTGGTCGTGGTTGTCGTGGGACACAGGAGGAGTCCAGATGGGAGGTGTGAAATCCAAGGCGAAAATGTTAGCATGTTCTTGGTTATCGGGCTATCTTATCTTATCGCGTGGCTACAGTGCATATGTAAAAGTTGTAGTGGGGGGGCGGGGGCGGGTGAAAGAAAGACGGGAAGAAGGAAAGGCCACCGGGCCCCTCCCTACCTATACTCCTCCGCACTGCACTACCCGGTATGTACATCGTAGCACTAAAGCCCACCAAAGTGTTCATGGAAAGCATAGACACACTCATCATTATGAATTGATAGGCTTCCTCTACTGTACACATCTGTGAGGCTTTATGGAGTAGAAATTTGAAGTCGACCCACAGCACATCTCCTGGCGTCAAGCATTCCATCTACAATCAGCACTCTGCATATCTGGTGTCCTCTCAGCTCTGCATCCGCATCATTGATGAAATATGACCATCGAGTTTCTCAATGTCCGGCCTCGACGAGTCTCACAATATCCCTGAACGAGCACGCAAAACATGGACATCACTCACGTGTCTCTGCCGTCACACCTGCCGTGATTTGACTAACCGTAGAGAACACGCTCCTTGTAGTCCCGGGTACTGATATACTGATCAAAGAACAGTTGCCTGTTGTGGAAGCGGATCAAGAAACAATCAAGAAACAATTCAGAGTAGTCGCGAGAAGAGCCGAAGCCCCGTGTATCAACGACGCATTTCAAGAGTTCCTTGGCTACGAGTTGGAGACAGCGTGGTCAACTTGTAACTTATTCCCTTACTAGACTAACTGAACAGTGTCCCGCCACTTCATCGTGGCGAAGACAAGACAGGACTATGCAGTTGATCCAGGTATATGCCCCATTGATGCTCTCTATGGAAAGCATGACTGGATAAATAGTTGCTGAACAATCGCACTCTGTTCCTGGTTCCTTTCCACACCCGAGCAGACCTAATCACATCTGGCCATCGCTGCCTCTATGCCCCGCTTCGCCGAGCCTCCTTATGCTGCCTCGTTGGGGTTTCGGTTTCACTACTTGGACAAAACCTCGAAACAAAACCGCGAGTCCTACGGTTTCCTCACTATTGACGTATGCATTGAGTCGCCGAAGTTTATACAGGTCTGGTTGGATGATTTGTCAATACATCTACAGCCAAAAGGGCCTTCATATGTATGCTTTACGAGGTCCAAAGTATTACACCGCACCATATGCATGACCCTCACGCCGGGAGACTGGTGTCTCACTTTAGCCGTGCAATTTCTACGCATACCCATCAGCCCGGGTATTGCACAGTAATATACATGATGTGGGCCGTAGTTTGTCTCTTGTCTGTTTATACCCCGTCATCACAGTTTTTCATTCTGTTGGCGCGATCGAGACCTGAATGCTTTACTTCTTTATGTACTCATCGTAAAAACGACCGGTTTCTCTACGCTGCCTAGAAGGACCTTGCCATTCGCTTAACGGCACACCGCTTCAGAGTCGTGCTGCCAGCTGCAAGTAGTATAGTATCGGTCGCTGAATTAAGTGTTCGGCTTGTGTAACACCCCTCAACAGTACTTTGGGGTTTCGGCAAAATCAAGACGATTGTGATGCGGTAGGAAGACAATGAGCAGTATATGACAAGCAGAGTCAAAATGGCAGGCGCAGTGCATGCCATTATTCTGCCTTCAGTTTGTTAGGTATTGTTAGCATGATTGCTAGGACACTACACTAGTTGAATACAGGTATCGAAAGTATCCAAGCTGAGGCTTGCTAAGTCCCTACGAGATATTTGTAGGTAGTCTAGTAGCATAGTCGGCAGCATTCTACATCTGCCGACATGGACTTAATCAATCTCCCAGCCAGTTGCTGATATCCACGTCATTTTCAGGGGTGATCGACTTGGCCTCCCAGATCCGTCAGCTATATCCTCACTTTAGCCATGACGGACCTGCCAAGCTATCCGGAACCACAAGCTAGCATATTGACATTCCTGCAATGCAACCATTTGCTGCGATATCATTAGTACGCCCTCCATCATGCCTTTCCTCTACACCGATAGCCAAAGGTGCCCGGCCTGGGCTGTTCTCCGATAAGTCCTCCAAATAGGTAATAGCAGAGTCATGTACTATCGTGGTATAGCTATAAAGAGACTGTGATCCGTGCTGATGAAAAACTTGCGGTAGTCAGTACACTGAAGTGTGCAGTCATTTTCAACACCTTAGACTTCAAGATGCTTCATCAAGTCGGCACTGTGCTGCTTTTTGCTGCCAGTGTTGTTGCTCAAAATGTGACACGCTACGACTATATCATTGTTGGGTCGGGTCCAGGAGGAGCGCCTCTGGCAGCGAACCTTGCTCGAGCTGGTCATACCGTTGTTCTGCTTGAAGCCGGTGACGACCAGGCTAATAACCCTAACATCTCGATCATGAACAACTTCAACCTTGCGGCAAATGATGAAAAAGCTCGCTGGGACATCTTCGTAAAACACTCTGATGATCCCGAAAGAGAATTGAAGTATGAACATATGGTGTGGCGGCAACCTGATGGGCAGTTCTATACTGGGTTGAATCCCCCAGCTGGCTCGACCCAGTTAGGTATCTGGTATCCTCGTACAGGAACTCTGGGAGGTTGTGCGATGCGTAAGCTTGTTCTCCTCAACCTTGAAAGGAAATTTGTGGCTGTAAAACTCGGTACTAATCAGCATCATTGCAGACAATGCTGGCGTTTGTGCCCTTCCTTCTGACGATGACTGGAACATTATTGTCAACACCACCGGTGACACAACATGGAGCGCTGAGAACATGCGCAAGTACTTTGTCAAGATGGAGCAGAATCAGTACCTCCCTAGTGGAACACCAGGTCATGGTTTTGATGGTTGGGTATCTACAACTATTGGAGACGTCAGCTGGACAAATGGGACAAGTGACATCAAGACCATGGACCAGGAAGTCGTGAAGGCCGCTGGACAGGACCCGGCAAACATACACGAACTAGCTTCCAAGGACATGAATGCATTTGACCCCAACCGAGATCAGGATACTGGTATCTTCAGCCTAGCTTCACATGCCAATACTCAGGGTATCCGTACTGGCACGAACTCGTATCTCAAGGCTACACTCGCTGATGCCGCCAATTATCCCTTGACTATTCAAGTAGACAGCCTTGTGACAAAGGTCCTTTTCAATGACGACATCGCGAATCCTGCGGCCATCGGCGTGGAGCTTCTTAGGGGAAAATCACAGTACAGTGCTGACCCTAGGTACGACGCTTCCACTCAGGGCACAGTCGAACGAATATACGCCAACAAAGAAGTCATCGTCGCAGGTGGCGCCTTCAACACACCGCAAATCCTCAAACTCTCAGGCATCGGGCCTGCAGATGAGCTAAAGAAGTTCAATATTCCTGTCGTCAAGGACCTGCCCGGCGTCGGCGAGAATCTCGCCGATAACTACGAAGGCTACGTGCTCGGTCTCGCCGGCAAACCCCTCCAGGGACCTGGCGCTGCTCCCATCTCGGTCATGCTTAAGACGCCCACGTCTAGCACAGGCCATCGCAACATCTACGGGTGGTGCTCGTCATTCTCATTCGAGGGCTACTGGCCGGGGTTCCCAAACAACTACGGTCCAGCTCAGTACGAGTGCGCCTTCGTGCACATGAATCCAAAGTCGCAGGCCGGCTACGTCCGCCTGAAGTCGGCAGACCCCCGGGACACGCCCGATATCAACCTGCGCTTCTTCGAGCACGGCGAGGAACAGGACCTGCAGGAGATGGCCGACGCCGTCAAGGTCTTCCGGCAGGTCTTCCACGGCGCCCCCGCGCCGCTGAGCCCCTTCAACGAGCTGCACCCCTGCCCAGGCAAGAACCAGAACTGCACCGACGACCAGCTCAAGCAGACGCTCAAGCTGCAGGCCCATAGCCACCATCCCACCAGCTCGTGCAAGATTGGGCCGGCTTCGGACAGCTTGGCGGTTCTGGATAGCAAGTTCAGGGTACATGGTGTCAAGAACCTGAGAGTCGTGGACGCGAGTGCATTCCCCGTCGTGCCGGGAGCGTTCCCTGTCTGTCCTACCATGATGCTCGCGGAGAAGGCTAGTGAAGATATCTTGACTGGTGCTTAGTATCGTCTTGGCTCTTGGAATCTTTCCCAGCTTGCAGCGTGATCGAGGAGGGGGCGAACACTCCTGGGTAGTGTTCCGAAGTTACACCTTTTTCTAGCAATTATAGCTGCAGTGGTACAAGCAATCATTTGCAGTATTAGACAAAAGGAGTTCTAGATTACCTGGAAAATACACATAGCAATTCGCTTCTACTGTCTGATTCGTACTATACATTGATGTAGGAGCCCCTTTGCCTTTTTCTTTTTCCTTTCTTTCTTTTTCCTTTCTTTCTTTTTCCTTTCTTTCTTTTTCCTTTCTTTCTTTTTCCTTTCTTTCTTTTTCCTTTCTTTTTCCTCTCTTTCTTTTTCTTTTGGTCGTGTGCTGATGTATTGTAACCATCTGTCCATGTGTCTGCTACTGTCAAAACGCACTGATGTTGTGCAGCATATGAAAGGGCGTTCGTGTCTTCACTTGTTCCAGCTTCCTACTGCTACTCGTAGACTTCAGCATCTTGACGGTATTCAAATGACTTACTGACCTCAAACAAGAGAAATTCATGTAGTTTGCAATTTAAGACGTAACAGGACATCACCAAACCGTCTCGGAAGGCGCTACACCCAGAAACCGTCAAGCCAAAAAAGAACAGCAGTAAAAGAAAATCGTCAGGGGTAAAATTTGCGTCTCGAAACTCGCAACCTGCAGAAAGTGCAAAAGGAAGGTTGACTGAGGGAGGACGGCTCAGCCAGAAGATATGGATAATTCTTAGGTATGCGGATAACCACTGCGCCACTGTGACCTGTGGTTTCGTGGGTTGTTAGTGTTGATCTTTTTGTCCAGGCTTATATATTCTTTGGATCAACAGCGACAGATTGTCCTGTACATTCGTGGTACACGGATGCACTGAAGAACAGAGTTTGACTGTGGCAATTTTGAGCAGGTTTGAGATGTTTAGTCATGCCAAGTTCCGTAAGTGGTCTCGGTTCCTCGCTGCAGAAACTCTTACTTTTAAGGTTGTGTGGTATGGGCTGCGATTATCGTCAGTATCGGAGCTGCAAGGTCTGCCAATCATACATAAATTATAGAAGACAAAGGACGAGTTTGTAGTTTGTCGATGTTAAAGAATGTAACTCTGTGATGGACACCACGATTGTACACTTCCTCCAGATATTTCAAATACAGCCTTCACTCAGAACACAGGAATCTCAGATTTACCATAGCTACAGTAGTAGAGCCAGAGACATAAAGGTTAGAGCAACGTCCGTTTACTCCGTAGCTTATGATGCAGTGATAATGGTCTTTTATACAAGTCCAATTCAGAGCAATCTTTAGGCTATGCTCCCAGATATCTAACCTAGTCTATTGTAAACCTATAGTGTTGTATTTCAATCTCATGTTGAATGTCATCATTTCAATTTCTGAAACAAGGCAAACACGTGTGTCTGCTAATTGAGTGTAAGAGACGAATCTGGCTGCAGATCTCAGTGATTGGCAAGAACCTTTTCTCATATTCACTGTTACAAACCCCTGGCAGGAACTCGGAAAACCGGTCATCCGAACATCTATAAGTTCAGAACTTAGACTGGTGTTTGCTCTATTGACAATCTAAACATCGGAACAAAGACAACTCTTATCAGCATTCCCCTATTTCCCCTATTCTTGGCGATTACAAACATACACATCATAGACATGATTAGCTTCAACGAAAGAGATTTTGTTGATGATTAGCTGTTTTTTGCTTTAGTGATGGTGTATTTTATCATTTGGGCGAGAACACCACGGCAGTCAAATGAGAGGCTACTATCCACAAGCAGACGCTTGCCAAGGCTTATCGCAGCTTTGGTCAGTATCACCATGGTACATCTGCTACGGCCCTAGGAGATCGTGATATTGCGCGACGCCCTGAAATCGATCAGTCTCTTCGTGAGAAAAGGACCATCACTGATGGTGAGGATAAGTCCGACAACGCATTGTAAGAAGCAAGTTGACTTAGATCCAGAGCCGACGTCCGTTAAGGTTAAGGATGACCTTGCGAAATGGGAGCTAACCCACCACGACGAGACTTGGATGGGATTGGACGCAGTTGACCCCCCTCAGATCCTCTTTGACACCAACTCAACCACTACTTTGACTTTTAAGCAAATACTAAGCCCTTATTTCGTCTCTATTGAGCTGTTCCGTGAGGGCATCAACAAGGGTCAGAAGGGCTTAATGATGGGCTTGGAGTTGCAATTCATCAATCATGCTTATTGAAATCTGGGAAGCATGTTACCTACTAAAATCACTCTCGACCTGATATTGAGACACTGATCCTTGACACCATTGGTACTTTAATGCAATAGGCATCTATTCCCGATCTTGCTAGCTAGGCTAGCTTGTAATCCATTTCCTCCTTGAATCCAGCATAGCCGATGCTCAATGCATAGTGCAATCCACCGCCATTTTCCCACGTCACTACTATAAACGACTGAACCATATCCACGTCATCTCCTGCAAGGACGCCACTCTTCTGCCCACTACGACGTACGTCAGCGGCAAGGCAAACAATGTTGGCCATATTTATTTCCCATAAACCGTCAACGAATCCGCCGAGGGGCATGAACGGTACAATGCCAACACGCAGCAATACATCTCCCACAGGAATATGGTATCGCCTCTAGCGCTGCGACGCATGACTATGGACTGTTGGTCGACTACGTTTAGTTAAGCAGCGACCTTAGTGATGGTCTTCTGGCCTTCATTGCCGTAGGAATTGATCGGGTGCTAATTATGGTGTCGGCACCGCTGCTGACTGGGTTTAGGGTGGTGGCTACAAGTGTTACGATGAACATTGTAACTGAATATACAATATTGCACAACCGGTCATAGAGAAAAATGCCACAACAACAATTCTTCTCTAAAATCTAACTGAGCAATATTTAAGGTAATGGATTTGATTCTATACTCCAGCATGCTGGGAATTGGTTACGATGCGTATCTCAGTCCAGATTAAGTCAATACCCCTAATCAGTCTAAAAGAGTGGGGAAGTGCATAAGAACTCTGGCCAACTCTTTGAACGCCCAGGCCTAATGAATTAATAAACAAGCAATGTTTGTGCAAAGTAACTGCGATTATGTTACTGTTGAGTATAAGGACAGAAATGTCCGGTATTGGGATTCGCATATGAGCCAAGCCATGATACAGGTGGCCAGTGTCAACCGGCTAAATTAGCAGTCCCTCTAAATGTATATGTAACCCAACCTCTCTTGGTATTCGGGTGAACATTTCATGTTGATAAGACACCAATCAAGAGAATCTGGTTGTAGGTTGACCAAGGCGCGACTATAGGCAGGAATGACTACGAATGAGATCTGGGCGCTTGAGGACCGAGCTGTATCTGTCGTGGTTGCACTACTTGAGGAGTGAATTGAATTCGTTCCGGATGTGGATTTGACCAGTTGTGATTATGTACACAACCGAAGCCTAATATTATGCTTTGAACTAGCTAATTAAGCTGGCGAAGAAAATATGAGCTAGTAATAAGACGAGGTCATTTCTGGTGGTTCGTTGTTGCTCTTGCTATTGTTGTTGGAGGCGGGACATTGGATCTAAGTAGACGTCATCTTATATCGCGGCTTGATACTTCACCAGTCGAGAAAATCGTTTTGAATATATGTTACAGTTCTCAAATTACTTTAACTCGGTCAAACAGGGCAGTGGCCAACGTCGTCCGAGTTTGCCTTGGTCAAATTCGTATCTGTGTACAACAAAATGCTGGCATAACAGTATGTTACCAAAGCAACCGAAACAATCATTTGAGCCTATACCTGAAATTGCAGTTTCCAAATACTTCAAGGCCTCAGTGAAAGTGCTCTGTTGATGCAGCATGAGCCTGGAGTCTTTTTGTCCTTTTTTTTTTTTTTTTTGGCTAGACTTGATACGCCATATGCATGTGTATGACTCGAACGTAGAAAGTTGCCAAAACATCTCTCTGTTGTTTGTTTTATTGTTTAACACCGTTGCGGTGGCTGCGACAGCAGCCAGCACGTGCTCCCAGGGACAAAAGGTCGTGGCTAGCAGTTCTATTATACATGTAAAGAAGAGTCCATACGGCCCGTCACATTAGAAAAGAGGCCAATTCGTGCTTCAAGAGGATGCCATTCCAATCCCTCCCATCGCGACATTACGATTTCCAGGCGTTGCTTCAAGCTGGTCTGAGGCGTTCGATCACCCGTAGGTTTGTTGTTTGGCTGCAATTAATGCTAGGAAAACATCTCTCTATGAACGCGGAAAGTGCAATTTCAGAGACAAGTAGGAGTAAAATATAACTTCCTTCTCACTACCATTAAATTAACTACGCATGTCGTTTATTTAAAAAAAAAATAAAAAAAAACTTTTAAAACAACTTCCTCTGAGTTGGCGGTGAAGTGCTACCCGTACATGGTTCACACGTGTCCTGGTTCAAAAGCATAGTATGGAAACACTCAGCGATCTCGCGCTGTGGCACCGACCTGACCAACATCCTCTCTCTTATGGCTGAAAAATACTTTTCGAAATCGTACAGTCTTAGTCATAATCTGAAATCTCATATCGTTGTCGTTATCAGCCGTTAACTTAATCAAGTCCGGCGATAATCTTGGAGGAGCTGCTCGGGATTCAAATTCTGGTGCAGGTGCTCCTCCCGCAGAAACACTATTCTTCGGTCATTGATCGGTTATTACCCGTGCCGGAGACCGACCAATTACAGCCATATCCAAAGCGTTTGCATGCTTTTTGTTGAGGGGTCTTTTTTTTTTTTTTTTTTTTCCCTAGGGTGTAGCTAGTTTGCTCCGGTATTCTTGAATTATTTGTGTAATCAAGCGTTCTCCTCGTTCGTTTTGTCTTACAACAGAGTATACTCGAAAAAGAGTTCACATCTCAGGAAGAAAAAGAGAAAAACCTGCCCGCGAGACGAGGCCGTGGGGGTTACTGAGTCGGTGCTGTAATTAGCGGACCACTATTGGGCTTGATCGCGGCTCCGTGTGATAAAGGCTCCGCTAATACACATCGCGTACGTTCTAAACTGCCTAATCCGACATGCCTGTGGGTTTTGCAAGGTCCGATGGCGGACCAGTGTGAATCTTTTGCCGGGAATAAAACTTCTCAGGTCGCTCTTTCTGTTTAGATTTCGTGTGAGTGTTGGTTTGGCAATGACACTGGGAATGTGGTAAATTGTTCACTTCGATGTCATCTACATAAAATTAAACTTCTGTTCAACAACTACCATGGCTGCACCCAGTGACTTTCTGCATCCATCTGAAAAGAACGATGTGACTGTAAATAATACATTTCGAATTGGCCCTTCATCGCATTCTTCCTCAGACCCAGGAATGCACTCAGACATGGATTCTATTCGGGAAGCCTCGCAGGATCTTGAACAGCAAGCTAGCGGGAGGTCGAGAACTAGCGAAAAGTCGACCAGCAGAGCATCCAGGGATCTACGGAGAACAGCAAGCAATGTATTGAGCAATGCCCTATCCAGGCTATCCACGAGGATTCGTGACGAACCTCCACCTCCACCGGATGGCGGTCTCCAAGCTTGGAGTCAGGTTGCTTGTGGCTTCTTGGTGATATTCACAACTTGGGGTTACGTCAACGCATTTGGAGCCTTTCAGGCGTATTACACTGGAGTGCTTCCGGTATCCGCCTCTACTATATCTTGGATTGGATCCGTGCAAATCTTTTTGAGCTTGTCCCTCGGCGTCCTCACAGGTCGGCTTTTGGATGCTGGGTACTTCTACCCGACCTACATTGTGGGTGCCACGATTCAGATAGTCGGCGTGTTTCGTAAGTGATCGAATGTGTTTTCTCTTTCGTTTACCTTTGGGTTATTGACAAGATGCGCGAATACCGTCTCTCTTCGGCATCATCAGGTCATATGCACGGCATCTTCGCGGAAACAAAGCTAACATGTCTTCCGCAACCAGTCATGAGTATCTCAACCAAGTATTGGCAGCTCATGTTGACACAGGGCATCCTTACTGGCCTCGGCAATGGCATCTTCTTTACACCAACTCTGGCCATGATTACCACGTATTTCGACAAAAGACGTGGCATTGCAGTTGGATTGGTGACCACTGGGAACTCGATGGGTGGGGCCATATACCCTGTTATTGCACGACAACTTCTGCCTCAAATTGGGTTTGGCTGGACAGCAAGAGTTATGGGTTTTATCAACTTGGCATGTCTCTCAGTTGCATTGGTCTTCCTGAAGCCACGACTACCACCACGGAAGTCAGGTCCACTAATCGACACGTCTGCTCTTAAAGATCCTGTTTTCATGGCCTTCTGCTTGGCTATATTTTGCGCGATGTGGGCAAATTATTATACCTTTTACTATGTAAGTACTCGATTTCGCAGGTTGGTTGCTTGAATATCACCCCGGGAATCCTAGAATTCTACGAAGTGAAGAAGACTTACGGCTTCCTGCAGATCGCATCGTTCGGCAGGGAAACTCTGGGGTTGACCTACTCGGCATCAACGACGCTCATCATCATAATCAACGCCGTCGGTATTCCGATGCGACTTACTGTGCCTCTCATTGCGGACCGTATAGGACCCATCAATGTTCAGGTGCCTATCCTGTTCATATGGACCATTGTGGCATTTTGCTGGCTTGCCGTTCATGATGTTACTGGTTATTACATCTTCTCATGTTTCTTCGGAGCCGCAAGTGGAGCTGTTCAGTCATTGATACCGACATGCATGGCGAGCCTCACACCCAAGCTCAGTATGGTAGGTAGCAGAAGCGGGATTGGCTTTGGTATCGTTTCGATTGCCTCGCTAACAGGTCCGCCGATTGGCGGAGCACTTCAAGGTGCAGATGGAGGTAAGTTCATGGGAGCACAGATATGGGCAGCTTGTGTGCTGTTGATAGGGTTCTGCTTAGTGCTCACGGCGAGAGTGAAAAGGGTTGGTTTGAATCTGAAACTGAAATGTTAAGGATTAGAAATATGTTCTTCTGTCAAAATGGTTGTTTCATTCTTTTGATGCTTAGTTTGCGTTGGGAAATGTGGTTCAGCTCTATAGAAGAGCGTTCAAACTTAAATAGACCAATAGAAATGAAATTAATGTCAATCGGTTTGCATACTTCCGTTCCGACCATGAACCGCGTTGATTGGGGGCACTGTAAAGCACTAATGATATCCCACGTTTCTTCATAAATAACGGTGCGATGATTGTTGATCTAGAAAACGGGTTTCGTGGATTTCCTCTTGAGATCGCCGCACTCGACAAAACGACCAGAACGAAATTTCAATCTCCTCCAGGCGATGCAGCTACGGACGTCGAAACGAGATTGCGAAAAGGTCGTACTTCTGGGTTGCACTTCGCGACTGTTACGATCTCGTAGCGCGACCTGGTATAGAGTCATGCAATAAGAGCTTCGCTCATGACTATTTTCTATGGCAGACAAATTTAAATGGCTAGGATCGCCGAGTTTTGGTATTCAAGTGGGGTCTAAATGGTAAAGTCAATGGAGAGCAAGCAATATGCAAGATACCTACGTGGTAATCAACCACACCGCCGGACCGCTGATTGGTCGTTGCAAGGCACCTGCATGCAAACCCGCTGCTACATGCCGTGGTGGGTAGTACAATATCGATGCCGAGACACGCGAGATCGCGTGCTCGCGTTTCGCTATTCGCTCGAATGTCAATCTAGGCTTCGCATACAAAATTTAGTATATATTGGCAGACCTGGCAAGAAATAAGACTGCCGATGCCTATTGCCGGCACTCAAGCTTCCAACTCCGCGCTTCTCCACAACGCGGGGTGGCCAATGACTGCGGAGATGATGATGCTTAGTGGGTTATGGCGGTTCTCTGGATGTTTAGGTTTTCGAAATGGCGGGGACACGTCTTGGAGATGCAGGTGACAAGCACAAGCAACGAAATGAACATAAGCGAAAGATCGAGCATATAAGCATAACTTCGCCTGCTTGTTAGAAGATCACGGATGACCAGAGTTTCTTTTGATGACTGGTTATCTCTTCGCACAAAAGGCTCAATCAGCACTCCGGCCAGAAACATCACAAACACAACTTCATACTCGTCCCCATGGCTATAGCCCACCTTCTCGCGTCACCTTGGACGCTGGCACTGGCACCTGTTGCATTGGTGCTTTATTATATCGTACCATACTTCATCACTTTTGGGAAGCTTAGAGGCATCCCGGCACCATTTCCAGCTCAGTTCACGAACTTGTGGCTGCTCCTGGTTTGTCGGCGCGGGGGAAACCGCTATGAGGTCGTCGACGAAGTGCACAAGAAACTCGGTCCGGTCGTCCGAATCCAGCCAAATCATGTCAGCATCAACGACGACGCCGCGATACAAATCATTTATGGCCATGGCAATGGTTTCTTGAAGTCTGATTTCTATGACGCCTTTGTCTCTATCCGCCGCGGGCTGTTCAACACGAGGGATCGTGCAGAGCACACCCGGAAGCGCAAGATCGTGTCTCATACATTTGCCCCGAAGTCGATTGGACAGTTTGAGCCCTATATTCATGAAAACTTGGAGACTTTTGTCAAAAAGTGGGATGAGATTGTTGACAGGCAACGCCAAGCTGATGGCTATGCGCACGTTGAGTGCCTATCTTGGTTTAAGTAAGTCGTAATCGCATATGTCTTTGGCAAATCATTGGCTGACACGTCAAAGCTATGTCGCATTTGACACTATTGGTGATCTTGCTTTTGGTGCCCCTTTTGGAATGCTTGAGGCAGGCGCCGATATTGCGGAAATCAGGTCTTCACCAAGCGCACCACCTACGTACGCACCCGCCTGTGACATCCTGAACAAGCGTGGTGAGGTTTCCGCTGCTTTGGGAATTCTTCCTCAGTTGAAACCTTGGGCGAAATGGTCTCCTGATCCATTTTTCAGTGAGGGTGCCGAGGCAGTTCAAAATCTTGCTGGTATTGCCATTGCTCGAGTGAAGGCCCGTCTTGAGAACCCTCCGGATATCAATCGTAAGGATCTGCTTGCGCGTCTCATGGAAGGCCGCGACGAGAAGGGCGAACCCTTAGGGAGGGAAGAGTTGACGGCTGAGGCATTAACCCAGCTCATTGCCGGCTCTGATACCACGAGCAACTCATCATGTGCTTTGCTTTTCCACGTTGCCAAGACTCCAGGTGTCTTGCAGAAGCTACAGGCCGAGCTCGACGGTGCGATCCCAGATGGATTGAAGGTCCCCTCATACGATATGATCAAAAGTCTGCCTTACATGGAGAATGTCATCAACGAAACTCTACGCCACCACTCGACTTCCGGCATTGGTCTTCCTCGACAAATCCCTTTTGACTCGCAGGGTTTGCATCTGCAAGGCTACTACTTCCCGCCTGGTACAGTTCTCAGTGTGCCTACCTATAGCATTCACCACTCCACGGAGATTTGGGGTTCCGATGCTATGGAATTCCGACCTGAAAGATGGGAGAAACTTACAGAGCGCCAAAAGAATGCCTTTATTCCGTTCAGCTATGGTCCTCGCTCCTGCGTCGGCAGAAACGTGGCTGAGATGGAGATGAAGATGATTGTCGCCACGTGGGCCAGACGATACGATGTTTATTTGCGACAAGACAAGTTGGAGACACGCGAGGGCTTCCTCAGAAAACCATTAGCCTTGGAGATTGGTCTGAAAAAGAGAGCCTCCGTGTAAATTGATTCATGTATATACAAAAGTCAATGCTGAATATAGTTGTACTGCGAACCACACCTTATATTATTTCTTGTCCATATGCCGGGCTTTTCCATTCTTCCTACAATACCAGATCTAGCCAGCTGCAGCTAGCAGAACTACAAAAACCTGAAAAGGACCACTTGCGATGAACGCTGGACGATATACTGGCGCATCTTGCGATCTGAAAGCAACGCTGCTGATGATGCCTACAAGGTTTTGAAATTCAGATATCAGCCCACGTATTGTCGCTCTCGCAGAGGGCGATGCGATGTTGCTTGACGCATAAGCCGGCACCAATTCAGCGGAATTGAATATTTTAAATACAATAAGGAATGTAAAGAAGTAACGCAAGCCTACCAGACATGTCAGATCTAATATTCTAGAGAGGATAGATCCTGAGATAAAAACAACAGTGCTCAGCATGATGAAAAGAGCACGCTTGAAGAAGTGATCCGACAATGCACACATAATGATGATGAATGTTGCGCCCGATAGGTTTGGTGCAATGGCGTATAGGTTCGTCTTGACTGTGTCTGTAGCCAACCTCTTGGTCGTTGTCGGCAGGAAGTTGGAAACGGATGCGCATGCCACGCCGTACGATAGGGCTATGGCACCGTGAAACCACGTCTCTGCTTGAATAAGAGGAATCAGTGTAAACCATCAGGTAGATGCCCTTGGTTCTAGCTGGAATCATCTTGCTACTCGATGTTTCGCAACCACCTCGCAACTTGTGCTAAAATACGTAGAAGTCTCCACTGAGCGCGGTAGCATATGAGAGACGCAACGGTCAAGAATAAGATCAAGCTCTGTTCGATGATGAAGAGGCACCACCAATACTACCCCATGATCAATTTGAGGTTCTCGCTTTGTCAGTAGTAGGCCGACTCACATGTAGAGGCTTATCCCACTGAAAAACGCTCCAAGAAATAACCATACTAAAACCATTCGCTACAAAACCCACCATGGAGGAACGACTGATTCACTTTGCGATCTCTGCCGGGATGTAAAACAACATAGAATAAAATATCACACTTTAACAAGAAGAAAAAACCGAGCCTTCACAACAGCAAGGCAGATTCGAACAGCTAGTATGCCTCGGAAGCCGATCACTACTGCGGACGTGGTCGAGATGGCTCCCCGGATAAGCAACAAGGCTGGTATCACGACTGCTCGTGAATATTGCCGCGCCGCGATCGTAAGTGAGATGTTGAAGGTTCCATAGGAAATATAGAAGAGCACTGAGACCAAACAATCATTGAACCCCCACCCCCACCCGTCCTGTCAGACTCGTTCAGAAAAGACAACTTGAGAGGAAGCACAATCAAAATCCAGTTTCCGTGAGCAACGTTTTTCGACAATATTCTCAATGTCTGCTACACAGACATCACCACCCTGGTTCGCATACATTGAGGCTTGAATATCAGCCTTGCGATCTGTGGTCGCCATCATGGCATTTGCGGCTCAACAGCTTCAGCTCGACTTCCTGCGACCGTCGCAGCATTGCATGTATCAGGGTGGCGGTTGCTACAATACTGATAAGGATGTCCAAATCCCATGCAACTGGATTGGTTAGATGATAGTTCCCACATTTGGTAGTCATACTGTAGCCGACCCGCAAATATTATCAGGCATTCAGCTTCGAATATTGTAAGGGATTACTGCGGTTCAATCATAACAAAACCTATCTTTAGTATTCTAGATCGCCGAGCAGAAGACATGGTCATATATTATGACTTGTTATTCTATCTTAGTTTGCTACTCGTTGCCTCATACTAGCAGCTGCGACTCTGTGAACGGATTTAAGCAGTAGCAGAATATAAATAGGGCCAAGAGCCCCGCCAAGTTATCTGAATCCAGTATACTCGTGTAATCTAGTAATTTATAAGTTTCTCATATATTTGATGTGTTATAGAGCATGCTAGGTGCAACGAATGCTGTGAGTCTCTAGTATGCAATGTGTTAAATTGTCGTGGGCCTGTCAGTGACAGTAGCTATCTTGTTCTTTTCGTTGCAAATCCAATTTGTAATAATATGCAATTCCCGGTGCTGTGACAGCAATTTAATCTCACATTGCTTTCAATTTCCCGACCAGTTCTTTTATATATCTTGATGCTGTATGATAATTACAACCTAATCTCAGACGAATATGGCTTTGCAAATATATAAAAAATGCAGAAATCTCGCAAAGGAGCCAATGCTTGCTGTCATTATCCTCTGTTGTATGCATAAGGTCTCGGAATGTTTGGTGACTACCATGAGATGTATGCCGATGCCTGCTCTGGTAGTGATGCTAGGAGGCATCGAAGCGAAGAACCTGGGTGCGACGGGCATGAGCCCACTGGTTGGCGGCACAGTTGGTCCATCTACTAGATATTACAGGCTCAATGATCGTAATGCAAGTTCGCAAACCAGAACTCGATCAAGTTGTTTGAGTATCATAATATTTCATGAATGTGGTTTTGCACAGTATGATATCTGCGCGGCAGGGTAAATACAATTGTGACATTTTTCCGGTCCTTCGTTTCAACGGGGTGACTAGGTACCCAAAAATAACTCAGCATTTCGCTTCGCTCTATCGCTTGCTCTAATAACAAAAAACAAAAGTCGACGAATCTATCTAGACATGTCGTTGATATTAGACAGTGTAGCGGAAGAATGTCGCGTTGTCACCCTTCTCGCGCTCGAGCTCCATCTCCTGTCGAGTGTACTCAGATGGTGCCTTGTACTCACCGTCCCGGCGGGCGTTCTCGCGGCGTAGGTAGATGGTCATGAAGATGCAGAGAATTAACGACATGGTCTCAGTAGCAATCAGGGTGCCGTGACCAGGGTAGAACATGGGCGCATCCTTAGTGCGGTATAAGAATCCGGAGATGGCACCACCGAGATTGCCGAATCCAACGTGCATGGCTGTGGAAGGAAACAAATCAGTGAGAACTTTGATTTACTGGAAGTATGGTGGTAGCTTACCAATACCAACACCACGTTTAGTCGATCCGCCAATGTTGTTGCCATTCCAAGCGACACCCTGAGGTACGTTGGGGTAGATGCCCATAGCGGCGAAGAAAGTGCCGGCGTACTTTAAACCCAGATTTGATGAGACGATTTGTAGAATAAAGCCAAAAATGGCGACGCAGTTGAAAAAGATCATGAAGACACCACGTGTTCCCCATTTGTCAGCCAGGTAGCCCGCGCCAATGCAGCAAATACAAGCGGCAACGTAAGGAGGTACGGTCATCAATTGTGCGGTCTGATGAACACGTCAGCGTGAACGTTTGAGGCTCAGAACATGTCAAGTTCCAACGTACCTTGGGATCTGTAAAACCCAGGTTCTTGATAATGGTTGGCAAGAAAAGCGAGAATGAGTAGAGAGGAGTGTAGACACCTATGGTTATGAACACTGTTGAAACGAATCAGATTGTGGTCGCCTGGCTTAGCTCGGTGATTTCTTAATATGCTTACTGTGAACCCATATCTTCCAGTCTCTGATAGCGTGCCAAAAGTATTTCATGTCGAATTCGTTAGCCAGAGCAGAGCGGTCCTCTTCGAGACGGCGTATGACCTCTTCCTTTTCGGGAGCACTCAAGAACTTGGCGGTATCTGGATAGTCATACATGACGAAATAGGCAATAACGGCTGCGATAAAGCATGTATTAGTCGTCATCCATCTAAAAAGAAAAAAAAGAAACGCATTTGCTTGATCTGAACTTACCGACAATGAATGTGAGAATTCCCTCAAGTATGAAAATCCACTGCCATGCGCCAAGTCCGGCAATACCCTTCATCTCAATGATACCACGAGCGAGCAGTCCACCAAAGGCACCTGCGGCGGTGGCTGCTGAGAAGAAGATAGCCATACGGAGACCACACTCATGTCTCTTATACCACACTATGAAAGTTAGTTACGTTATATAGTGGGAGAGCAAGCGTTCGATGTTGACATACAGGTGATGCTGTAAAAACGTTAGCTCTACGAGAATTGCGCTTGGAATTTCGGAGTCAACTTACTAATATGTGATACCAGGGAAGAGACCACCCTCAGCTAAGCCAAGAGCCATCCGCGCAGCGAGGAGACCGGCATAGTTGTGGACAAGTCCCATAGCCACGCAAACAATAGCCCATGCAACCATAATAGTCGGAATCCAGACAGAAGGTCTGAAGCGCTTCATGGCCAGGTTGGACGGGATCTCAGCGGCGACATACCAAGGGAAGAAGGCACTGAGAGCAGTGTTGTACTGAAGACTGGTTGGATCCATGCCAAGGGACGTTTCAAGGTCCGCAAGACGAGCATTTCCGATGTTGGTTCGGTCAAGAAAGCTCAGCAAGTAGAGAAGGGCGAGGAAGGGAATGAGAACCCAGTCAATCTTGCGGACAAGCGTCTTGGTCGCAGCGGCGTCGAAGCCATTGCTCTCAAGAGTACCGACTTCAGCGGTCTCTGAAACGAGTTCCTTGTGCCCTACATCGATGCTAGGAGGGCTCGAGTCGCCAGAGTTATGAACCTTTTCGTCGATGGTCATCGCAATGGTAATGTCACGTTACCACGATGTGGTTGTTTCTGTGGTAATCAACCAATTTGATTAGAATTGAAGCAAGGTGAACTTAAGCTGTAACGAGATGAAGAGAGAACAAATCATCCGCGATGAGCAAAAGTGGCAGAAGCTAAAGCTGAGCTTCACATCACAAAAAGAAATTTTCTGGGGTGCGAGGTAGCCAAGGTTTTGTATCCAACACGAGCTCTCTCAAAAGTCCATGTCTCAAAGGGATCTGACACACAGCTGAGAAATGAGGGTAGCCCGGGGATAGAAAGTACCTCTGTACCATCAAAGCATGCAATAATGCAAATATTCGCATGGAACTAAGCCTGGCAAAGTGAGTGCCACCGCGTGGTGTATGCTGTCCTATCTTGGCGCTTATCTTAATGCAAGCCGGAATGCTTGATCGATGTCTTTCACGAATCTTGCCGTCATGATAAGCTGGTGGCGTGGACGAATCATCCATTGATCCGTTCCATGATCAAACTTTGGCTGTCATCCTTGGTATTTTGACCGTTAAATGTCAATCTTTTGAACCGCTCCTCGCTCGAATGTCTCAGTCTCTGAGGGTCTCGTGAAGCCTGAGCAAGTGTCTGCGAGCAAGTACAATGCAGGCGGGTACGTTAAACGAAACCTAATGTTTGCAGTAATCTCATCAGATCATATCTTCGATTCGTTCCCAAAAAAATGACCCTGTTGAATGTTTTATTGGTCGGGGTTCAAAGGACCAGGTCTGCCAGGGTCTATACTGTTGCCGAGCCCTTGGTACATCCACACTAACCGAAACAGCATAACAACGCCGCGCTCCTGCATCAGCGAAAGCAAGGCCCATGATTTCAATGGTCTAGAATTACAGATGCCAAGATGGTTCATTCTCCTCGTTTGGAACAGAAAGGCAATTGGCCCGAACTCGCCAAGGTTACCACTTCCCCGGACTCCGCAGAGCCCAAAAGTCTCCATGTGTCCACATGTGTCCGCATCTGCTTCTGTTGAGGTCCAGGCCGAGTGATTTCAAGACCAACTAACGAAGCCCCAAGAAGAGAGTCAGACTTGAGTTTGAAATAATGGTTACCGTGTGGACTTGGTGGATAGACACAAGTGGGCCTTGCCATTCTGGTTTCCTGGGGTCCCCAACGCGGGGTAAATTAGAGAATCACCAGCTCCCAAGTCAACCCGGGACAAAGGGACAAGACAAACGGTTACTAGACTAGACTAGGTCAACGTTAGGGGGCTTTCCTCTCTCCTAATACTATCAACACCGCCGCCATCCTTAGTATTATCATTATTATTATTATTATCACTCTCCGTCTCCTGTTTGTTATCTACATCTTGAGCTTAAACTATCTTGGCGCATCCGCTTCCGTGCACGTGTCTTTAGACTCGCCATTTCCTAGCCCGACACAATGGAGAGTTGGGCCGAAAAGGCCGTCAATCAGCAACTCCTCTCAGCAAGATTCGTCAACCCTTCCTGGAAGATAAATATAAGTGGCTTGCCAAGCTGTGCCAAGTCTGCCAGGACTTGTCTACAATGTACTGAATAGGTGAAGCAAGGCAGATGCCCAATCTCGTCTTCAACTGGCAAGGGCCAGGTGCAGGCGACGTCCAATCTCCCGATGCGCCCTCCAATCTAGGTCCAATCCACGACACTGTCAGCAGCCACCGCCAAGCACAACACCGGTGAGGGCCTCACACATCCCGCTCGTCCATCCCGCCATGGCTCTTGGAAACGCGATCAGCCATGCCGAAGATTCTTGGATGATCTAATGGCTGTTCTTAGCACAAACACAGCCCACCACATTTCGTGCCGACTATCCAAGATCGATGGTCAGCTACCGAGAGTAATGGGGATGCAAGCAACGCTTCGTTGAGACGCGGCCGGATTTCACGTGGTCCTCGCATGCATTTGAACGGTAGAGCCAAGCAAACCGCGTAAGCAACCCGATATATGCGGGACCGAACGCGGTTCCCATGCGACGACATCAAGTGGCCCTCAGCTCGAAGATGCCTTGAATTACGATGCAACTCCTCGCTTAGAGCCAGTCCCAAAATTTGTAGTAGGTCACCTTGCCGTCCGTAGAGGAGAAAGGCTACGGTCTAGCCCCTCGAAACGGTGTCGCCTTTGTCGTTATTAATTGCATGCTGCGCTGGTAAACAAAAGCAACCTTAGAGCCGCAGAACTCTATGGATTGGCGAATGGAACAATTAAAAGTCTTTTTAAACGACATTTGCGGGTACCAAACATTCGGAACGATGCAAGCCCCTGAAGCAACTCGGCACCGGGTCCACAACTGGCGAGCCTCGCACACTTCTTCTTGCCCTTGCTGGCACCATATGTTGTGGGACCAGCAGGTCTCAGCATCGGGACGCCACTAATGACCTGTGTTTATCCCTCAACAAGGAAAAGCTCAGCGAATCCCGCACCTACAATTAGCCAAGACGCTTGGTCAGTTATGACACTTCATCAATTTATGCTAAAGAGCTCCTAGTCGCAGCTACGTGACCGTCTCCTTCCCGGCCCGATGATGATAGAAATCAGCATCAAGAACGGCACACGCGGCCTATAAACCTCTGCATCCAAACGACTTAGTAGGTAGCTCTCACAACATGATCCATATACGAATAGAGGCAACCATCGGGCAAAGACTGCAAGCCGTCGTTAGGCGCGTGGCACGCCCAGTGATTCACGTCTGTTGCAACCATCGGTCCGATAATACCAATGGTTGCAAAGCCCCTATCTTTGAACGTCTCTTGAAATAATGAATGGCAGACAGACACCTCAGCGTAATATCAGTGCTCGCTGTGCAAGATCAGCTTATCTCAATACCGTCGTACAATTCAAGTAAACAGTACAACCCGGTAGATGGACATGAATGGGTCACGGCGCGATCAACCATGAGTCGTGGGTGGCCGTGGCGGCTTAAGCAACAACAACCGGTCTATATTCCCGATCGGGCATTGGGAGGCCGGTATTCGTGCAGGACCGCTCTGCAAGAAGCATCAATCCCTGTCGGCTCAATGAGGATAGTGTCATCATACATGCATGTGTTAAATTGTGGTATTGACGCATAAAATCAGGCCTAGTGTTGAAAAGCAACAATGAATGACTAGGAGGACGGCACTAGCTCTTCTCATGATACACATCTCCTAATCAAATGTTACAAAGATGGATTTACCGTTGTGACCTTCTTGCTGGAACCCATCGCAGGCATCATACTGCAAGATGATATTAATGGGAACATAATATTGCCTAAATAATGTTAGTATATTAAAACGAGGGGTCTTTAATGGTAGTATCTTGTCAAATAGTCCAAAGCAGCCAGATAGTCTATAGCCCAGCGATCATCGATCAAGGCAGCCATAAACGAAACTTACGTCGAAGGGATGAGATTATATTTGAGTGATGAATGGCGATTGGTACGGCATTGCTGCTTCATCAATCTCATACATTGCTCGAGTCTGGACCACAGCCCCCTGTCTTGATTCTTGTTTTGTTAGCTATGCGCACCCTACGAATGACAGCGGCCGTTCGTGGTTGGCGGTCGTGATGATTATGTAGCTGGAAATAACGAGACCACACTTCTAAAACGGTTGTGTTCGTATTCAACTGTACTGCAACTTGACAGAACTTATCTTGTAGACCATGTGTACCGTAGGACTGCCTGACCGGTGGCGCAGGATCGAGCGTATGCAGGCATGGCAAGACAGTGTTTTCACCTCGGCTGCGCATCAGAACCTAAAAAGGTCTGGATGGAGCAAGCTAATATGCCTGACAAGCCAGATCAATCACAGATTAAGTTAAGGTGTCAGCCGTGAGATGGTGCTGCTGTTAAATAAAGTCGCTCCGATTGACTTCCGTATGATGCGTACTATCAATGCAGTTAGCCAATAAAACGCTACGGGTGACTATGCAAAGATTTGCATGATACTTTCGGGTCAAGTATAAAACCACTGATTTTCTTAGAAAAAATTGATGCTATTAAAATCACCGAAATCAATATCGTTCTCTAGATGTAGAAGACGTTCTAGATGTTATTGTGTATTATCATCAGCATGTCGGCCAATCAGCTTGTCGAGAACTTACAATCTCTCACCTTCCAGTCTGCAGATTCCAAACAGGCCGCCGACTCTATCAATGCGCAGAACCTCTTCACTGCTGTTCCGGTGAGATTACGTTCGCTACTAATATTCAATAATCGGTACTGATTGGATGTTTGTACCATACAGAATCTCGTGAACAAGTTGAAAGAAATCATAAACAAGGTTTCGCAAGACATTTCTGCGCAAGGAAATGGCAACTTAGCTGGATCCTTGAAAGAATCTGATCAATCTTTGATCTACGAAGCCTTCAAGAACGTGAGTTGCTGCACTGCAGACCACTCCTGCTCGTCCGAACACTTTTTTAATGTAACACCACCCATCCATAGTTCACGAGAGTACACCAGGAGCTTCTGAACAGGATAACTGCAAAACATGGTGTGATGTCGATGCCAGCCCTTACTGCGCCTATCACCCAGGTACTCAGGGCGTTGGAAGAATCTGTCGATGCCTTGGTTTTTAATATCATCGACTCGATCCCTCACCACGACAAGGAATGCAAAAGTAGCAAGGGTTCTCTTGACGGTGCATTCGGGAAGGCCATCTCGACATACGACTCCTAATCTTGAAGGGCGCCCGCGCTCGGGGCGTTGCAGGCACGCCTGCGTATAAGTGGTCAAGACCTGACGTGGCCACAAAACACGAACTGTTCAAATCGCAGTGTAATTGGCTCGCGGGAATGGAGACTGGTATATTATCAAAGCGCTCTTACTTTAGCTTCTAGTCTGGTCTTGATGGTAAATAATTGAGAGCCTTACCCGAGAAATTGGTCTTCGCATATTCGGACTGGCTAGAGAGATATTGAACTATCCGTCTCCTGGCGAGATATTTTGCGTATCGTAGATGAGTCTGGGTAGTCAAAACTTCACATTGATGAATACTACCGAGAGGCCGCGTAGTCGCAATGACTTTTAATTGTAAACGCGGCTGCCAAAGAATTATGCAGTGCAGATCGGGGGTGATTCCGCTCACATTTACATGGGCAGAAGAAAGATTCTGGAGTATTTGGAAGGCAAAATACAAATGTAGACGATCACAATCAAATCTTATAAGTAGTTATGTATAGATAGTACGCCGCCTAGACGCCTCTCATGAACCCTCGCTTCCTGATTGGTGGTTTCGCCCCCTTTTCTTTCGAAAACTGTTTCTCGCCATCTTCCGTATTGACCGTATACCGATCCTTGTCCTCCTCGGCCTTCCGCTTGTCGTGCTCCATCTTCCAGCGCTGGAAGTAACAGCAGAGGGGGAACAGGACAGTATTGATGGCACACCAAGCAAACAGCACCCCAAAGTTCAGCCCGATCCGAGAGTGCAGGTCGAACAGCATCGACCTGCTCGCCTCGACGATGTTGTGCAGCGGCCAGGCGAAGCCCCACCGGAAGAAGCCCGGCGCGAGGTCGATGGTGTAGAAGGCCGTCGACACGTTACTGATGACCCAGAAGATGAGCCACAGGGCGGTCCACGGCTGCCCAGCGATCATGGCGACGTTCTCGCATGCGAGACCCAGAGCAATCATGCCCACGAAGTTTAACATCCAGTAAACGACGAAGGTGCCGCGACCGTAGGCGGTCGCGTTGAACGCGACGTCCGTGGGCGATGCTGGCGGCATCCAGAACGGGATCTGGAATGCCAAAGACACGAGCGAGTAAGCTAGAGAGATCAAGACATAGGCGGCGACGGTGGCTAGCCACCGCCAAACGATGAATTGCCAGAAGTGTAGGGGCGGGTGACCCTGCGGCGTGATGTACTTCTGGTGGATCGGCAGGAAGAACGAGAACGAGAAGAACGCCATGATGATCAGATAAATCAGTCCGATCGTGACCGAAGGTGTTATGGTCGCCGGCTGGAAAGGCCGCAGGTCGATCTGAAGAGGCGAGATGCCGGGGTTGACGGCGCTTGGAGCGGCGGCAAGCATCTCTTTCGTGATGGAGGCGTTATTTGCGAGTCGTTGAGCCCAAGTGGGACCAAACTGGCTCATAAGCATCGTGCTGAAGATCTGGAATTGGGGAAGGATATAGTTGTAATACGTCGTTTCGTCGCGTGCCGATGTGAGGATCATCTGGATGGCGCCGGTGGGGTCATACGTTGCATTACCTTTGGAGACTGCATCAAGTAGAAGAGCGGTCGCGTTGGGGTTTATGATGATCGCTGCATAGCAATTTTGATCATAGATGGCCTGACGGACAGCGAAAGGGTCATTATTGAAGTCAGAAGGTGGGAGGACAGCGTATCCTAGACTCGGCTGGGGCATATCGAAGGTCTCTTGTGCAAGTTGAGTGACCATTGGCCCTATGAATGGTTCGATATTGCCATAGCCTTGGCCATCAAAGTCCACAACTTGGACATGCAAGGCTCGCATGTTGTCCTCTACATGGAACAGCACAGCCCAGTAGAGGGCGAGGACCGCCATGATAAAGCAGATCAGGATGAGCACTGTCGTGTGCGTTAACACATGACTCACATACTTTCGGGCTTTATGGAATAATATGTCCTACCTGTCTGGGCCCATAGTCTCAGCACATGCTTTCTGACCTTTCCCATCTTGTGGTGCCAGAACCCGACCGAGTGATGTGGCTGGTTTGCGATTCCATTTTCTGCATCTTGTCTACTTTCGCTGAGCGTCCTACTAGAGTCATCTTGACTGAAATGGCTGCGTTCCATCATCCTGCCTGATTGTAAAGACAAATTTAATTTGGTCTTCGGTAGCTATGCGACCGGTCGGATAGTATATCATGGGGACGAAGTGCCCGGTTTGGCTTCATATATGGCTAATGTGCACTCAAATGGCAAGTCCATCAAGAGGGAAGGCCCAGAGTATAAGAACTGCCCTATACCTAGGCGGAGCATGCAGATCTGGCGCAGAACGTGCTGATGACGCCCACAAGCTTTAGGAGGCTCCATTTTGCGACTAATCAAAACCCCGGCAAGTTCTAAATGGGGTATCTTGTTGGTCAACATCAAGGGCAATTGGGCGATGTTGAAGGTAAGAGATGGCTTTTAATGATGTCATAATTCTGGCTTTCGTTCGGCTTTTGCGGAGTGCTGTGACCTCCCTAATGCCGCGCTTACAGAGAGACTCAACACAAAACAACCTCAATCGCAACTTATCTGGGTTGACGTTACTATGGAACCGCCAAATAAGATAAAAAGATTTGTCGGCGATCGAGAGGCAGTAAGGTGTGTGTTAACGCCGAAATATCGTGGCGGCTGTAAGCCCGCATGCTCACCACCCTGTTTCACTGTGCATAGGCCCGTTCCATTAGTCTAAAATCACGACCTATGACTATTGGATTTCATCGGGTTTGTACAACGAGGCCAAAAGTCGTCATGTTGAAAAGGAATTCTGGCGGCTAGTGCTCACACCTCGAATGTCGCTCTTGATCCCCTACAGCCATATGCCTCATTGCAGGTGAGACTTCTAGAACGCAGACCTTGCCCTCCTATCAAGCCTTGACACCAATCACGCCTCTTGCTTTCAATATTTCCACCTAAGAACCTCCGTGCAGATTACATTCCACGAAACAAATATCCTTGTTACAAGCAATTCCAATTCGATCTTTCGAGCCATTGGCACACTTGTATGTTAGCCTGGTGTGTCTGAAGAGCAAGACAGTAAGATGACATGCATATGCGGTGGATCTCTCTGTGACCTCACTCTCGCTGAACTCGCCGTCAGACGGGGACTTCTCGGGAGTGGACTGGCAGTTAAGCTGATACTTATTTCGACGCCGAAGATGCTCGCCGAGGCTGAAACCTTGACGCCGGTACTGTGAATCATTTGAGTTGTCTGCTCCGTAGACACGACATTCGTGATCGGAATAATTTTTTTAATATTTCTAGGTTCCTTTTTCTGTGTTCGAACACCCCACTAGTCTCATTGGATCAGACTCCCTCCACATACCAGCCGGCGTGTCTGTCGGAATGCGTAATGGACTACGGATGACGCCCAGGCCTTGCCGGTATGTCGCAGGTCAGAAAGCAATAAAAGACAATTCGACACTGCATTAGTCCATGCTATTAAAAGACCGCCGTCTTTTGGAAATTGTGTCGGGAGTGACCTCGGGTGGGGGTTCGGTGAAGTGTCCAAAGTTCTTCTCGAGGATCAGCACGGAGGCGACTGCCATGCCATACCCGTGGCTGGGCCAACTGGGAAGTTTGGCCCGCTTGCTGATGATGGAGTTATAATTGTCCCTTCAAACGACCCTAGGGTTCGAAGGGGTCGCTGACTACTCGGATGCCAGAATATGGTAGCTCTTGTACAGCCAGTCCCGATGTCGTTCCAACTCTAGTCATGGGCAGAAGTCACGCTGACACACGAAGGTGCAGTAATCTCGAGACTCGTTCCTCATTTTGTGGAAATAGTGAATGAAGATGTGAGACCGTGTTGGGAAGCGTTTTTATGGTGAACTTTCGAGGAACGGATGTAAGACGAGTTGAGGATGAGGGAAATTTATATACATATGCGCTGGATAGTCGAGAATGGCAGGTTGTAGCACAACTACAAAGTTTAACCAATCTACCGGCTCAACTATGGACAGGTAATCTGTTTGCTTTCATCGGACTACAGAGTCGCCGCTTTTCTCGTTCGGCGTATTATCAATGTATTCTCGTAATCAGAAACATTCGGGTGGTGTGAACGTCTTCCTACGTATCCAACGTGGCACATGCCCTGTATCACCTTCGTGTATCCTGCATCATTTCCCAACATGCCTCGGTCTTTTCTACGTAGTAAAGGTTTTCATGAGTCATCTCATGTACGTACATGGAGGCAGAATTGTGGATGCTACAATCTCTGGGAAATGTAGCAGTGACAGCTTGGCTTGATGTGGTTGGATATTATAGTATAATGTGGACGGTTGACCATGCTAGTTAGGAACCTTGATGTGGCCCGCCAATGGGGCCAACCGCGACGCATAGTGGCAGCCAATCCAGAACAAAACGTCCATCGTGATTTGTTTCTAAACGTGTCGCTATCTTTAAACGTAACCTTAGCAAATGATTTGCACTACCAGCGTGACAGCTTGATTCATTTAGTGGGTTTGGCTTCGTCGGTAATATGAGCGAGAAGCTAGACAATAAACCTAAGCAGCGGACAAATGATCACGAATGAAAATCATATTGCAACGCTACCTATACTTAAATCAACTGTATTTATCTTATAGCAGAGTGTCACATCACGGGTTCACGCAAAGGTGAGAGGCGTTGTTATAAGGTTTTTATAATATTTTTGTATTGTTTTTACAAATTGATTTTGTGTTGAGTGGCATATTGCCAGCTATATCTATTACAGCCGATCCAACGACCGCGCCGTCCCAGCCAATTTCTTTCCCGGCATCATCATCGTAAGACAAGACATGGCGTTCTCCTGCCACTCGCCCCCAGGGTACTCTATACAAAGAAAATAAAAAGAATGATCCATGTTGGGACCACAGGACATATAGACAGTCGAAATATAGTTGTAACAGATGGTCACCACCCAAGCCAAAGCGCTCATGTAGCAATGCATTTGATCTGATCCCCAACGCCAAGCCAGGTCAAGTCAAGTCCGGTATCTTCCATTATGCAGAAACGCCAACCCAAAGACAGAGAGAAGAGTGTGCAAGGAGCTTAGAGGTCGTAGGTAAGACATTCTAACCTCGCCAGCGTAGCTTCGATGCTGGCAGTAAGCCTTGAAACTCTTGCCAAAGCCCTTGAAGCGACAGCCTCGTCTTCAGTAGTACTGACCAGCTCGTACACGCAAGACTTCTCAGTTGGGATCACGACGCCCAAGAGACCATCGACAATGCTCTCGACAGCGGATGAGGCCGTCATCTCGTCATCGAAGATATCAGCATCAAGGTCGGCAACGACCTTCTCGGTCTTGGTCTGCTCGACTGGTGCCTGGGGAGCTTGAGCCTTGGCCGACTCGAGAAGGACAGGAACCTCAGGGAGAGAGATCTCTACTTTCTCGTTGGCGTTGAATGGCTCGCTCACAATCTCAGAGGTCTTTCCGGACAGGATGGCAGTGTCAATCTCGGGCATCTCGGGAGTGTCGAGGACAGTGAAAACTTGAGGTTGATAGTTGTAAGCGTCAGTAACCTCGGCAATGTTCAGCATGGAGAAATCCATAGACTGCTCTGGGATCATGACCATGCCAATCTGTTGCTGTTGCGCCTGGCGAGAAGCGGCGTAGGCGTTGACATCCTTGGGCATCTGGCGCTGCTCGGGTTGCCTCTGCTCCATCTGAGCAGCAAGCTGCTGCTGCTGAGGAGCGGCGTTGGGGTTCTGGCTGAGGTGGTCCAAGAAGTTGGAGAAAGATGGCGAAGCCAAGAGCATGCGGGTGAGATCAGAGAGGCGCTTGTTCTCCTCCATGAGAGCGCGGTTTTGACCGCGCAGGTCGCCGTTCTCGGTAACCTTGGTGGCAATCTCGGCCTCTAGTTGAGTGATGTATTCTATGTAGTTGTTAGCATGATTCATCTATTCGATGCGCTGTGCTGCTAGTACTTACCCTTTCTCCTCGAGCGGAAGGCACGAGCGGAAACCTTGTTGCGCAGTTGACGGCGTTCCTTGCTGCTGAGCTTCTTGCCCTCTTCGCTGTTCAGGAGTCTCTCGTCCTCATCCATATCGTCCTCGTCTTTCCTGGGCCTGGAGACGTTCATCATAGGCGAATCGTGTGCATCCATGCCGTTAGGCTTGGCTCTCATGGAATTGAGGAGCTGGGTGATCTTCTGCTCGACCATGGGGTCCGAAGGCGACACACTCTTCTGCTTGGCCTGTTGCCTCTGCTGCTGCTGCTGCTGGATGATCTGCTGCTGCTGCCTCTGCTGTGCTTGAGCCTTGGCGAGGGCCTGTTGTTGGTGCATACCAGGGTACATTCTGCCAATGTTGCTCTGCAGAGCGGGCGGCGACGGCAGGGACTGCTCCCGTCCACCAATGGCGGTGGGGTTGATGGTCTCGCCGGGGAAGTAGAACGGGGGCTCGGCTTGCGACTCAAAGTCCATCTCCATGTTGGGAGACGGGCCAGCGTTGAAGTCGAACATGTCATCATTCGGGCTCACACTCGATTGGTTGTAGTCCAATGTGTATCCGATGTGACCGATCTGCTGGTTGACAGCCATGGTGGTGGCCAGGGCGCCGGGGACGAAGGGAGTCTGTTGCTTGTACTGATCGTAGCGATGGCTAGGGCCGTGCATCTGAGGACCGGAAGGCATGGTGGCGGGTGTTACTGATGGCGCTCGACGCTGACTGAACTGCGGCTTTGAACTGGTAGCAGGCGACAGTGAAGGGGACTGGTATGGGAGGCCGTCGTACTCGGTGAAGTCGAGAAGGTCGAGGGGATCGGACGGCTGTGACTGACTGGAAGCCGACATGGCTTTATTGTACGACGATGTGGTTTGACGTGGTTTTTGATGATCCAGATGGCTTGTGGATTTAGATCAAATCAGACCAGACCAGGTTGATGTATGTATGTATGTGTGTATGTGTGTGTGTATGTGTGTGCGTATGCTGGGGTCGAGATGCTGTGAATAGTAACAAAAGTGTCTGATAAATTGAACGTCGTGTCAGACCTTAGTTTCGACGTTGGGATACTGTATTTTAGTGTCTAGTGAGGGTATGGGAGTGGGAAGAGCGCGACAGAAATGGCAGACAGACAAGAGAGATGGGGAGTTTGGTGATTATGGGTGCCTGGGAGAGTGGCCTAAAGCTGCAGGTTACAAGTGCCAGGGGGACACAAATGCGGTCCCAAAGGCGGTCCAAAAAATGCCCACTTACTAGATGGGGTGGGAGAGTGGACACAAGGGCCCCGGGCATTAACTTGGCCCTGTTCGGTAGGTCGACCGGGGGTGCAAGCCTGTGCAAGCCTCCCCTTGGCTCGGCTGGGGCCAGAGGACGCGTAAGCTCTCTCAACTCGAGAGACTCCGTCCTGCCCCCAGACCACCAATCACCTCCCAGTCTGGAGACCCGAGAGCGACAAGTCCGGGCCAATCAAAGCCACCATGGCTCGGATTTACTACAGCATGTACGCATTGCTTGTACTCGTAGCACTGGCTGGTGTGGTACGGTACGGGCAGACAGACCGTTGGCTGGCAATCCGCAGAGACTCCCCGACACCTGAGGGAGACGGCGCAGCGGCAGCCAGTGCTAGCCAGTCCTCGCCAGAGAAATCTCGGTGCCTGCGGCCTGAGCATGACGACGCCTTCACTATTAGACCATGAACATGAGCACCATGTACGTTAGAACATCTGCAATTGCCTTCGGAGCCTCACAATGGTTGGCTATCAACCAGAATTGGGGGATGCGCTGACGATGAGAGACAACGACAACGCGATGAAGACGAAACAGCGTTGAAGCTCAACAAACATCTCACAGCAAATGCTCGGCCTTCAGAAGATGAGGGGGGCTAGTGCTGACAAACCGCCTGTTCCCCCTCACGTTCGAAAAATAGGCTCCCGCTGAATGTCTTGGGAGAACTCAGTATAGCCCGCAACATCATCGAGCTAGGGAGAAAAGAAATACGACTGCCTGGAGTGCACCTCAGCTCAAGGTGCATCTTGCATGCAGAGCGACAGCGCTAATTGCATCTACACCAGTTGACTGTGCCTCGAACGTCAGCGCTGCTGGTTCAGATGGATGAGCATGCCTCGAACTCCGAATCCATCGATGTTGCCGTTCGTGGAAAGTACTTGCTAACTGCCTTCTTCTCACCACATACGGTAATCCATACAATAACGTTTCCCATTGATTGGCAGTACAATGCACTTGCAAGGAGATTAATGAAACCCTGAGTTCTGGCTCACGGAAACTGTCCCACAAACCCGTCGAGACCCATCATTTGTTTGGGGAGAATTGCTAGTATAGATTTTACTCGGGGGTCCCTTGAAGGGGATATGGGTTCTTCCGCTGGTGTACTTTTCTGTTGCGGTGCGTTACGTTGCGGCTTGCTGTATTGAAGAACAAATTAGTTAGTACCTAGACTAGGCATGTACGAACTCGGACAAGGCACTGCCACACCAGCAATGCAATCGCTCGTGAGTACTATCCAATCGGGAAATCATCGCAACTGATCCAAGCCCACTTCGGAACGAAACCATCGAGTGTTCAACACCTGAATTGACGGCGTTGCGGCGAAGCCCGGTTGCACGGGCGACTAATGATCAGCTCTATCACTGTGGCTGGCTCTGCAACTGTGATGGGAATCTGCAGTGCATCAGCAGAACAGCAGCAGGTTCTTCATTCATTCTGATGAGGCTGGTCTACAAGTACAGTTTGCATTAAATTTTCGCGCTGCACCAGGTCTGTTGGAGAAGCCGCAATAGAATTGTTGAAAATCGGGCGTGGTTGTCCCCAGTGGATATCCTCAATGCAAACTCGCCAACTGGCCCTGGCAGACCTTGCAGTAAACGGATTGGAATTTTGCTTGTCGATGATTAGGGACTGGAGTGGCCGCACGGTTTGAAGCAAAATGAAGCAAAATGAAGCGGTTCATCGGTGCTTTTGAAACCCCGATCCACTCACGACCAAATTGGTCTCGAATACTAGCAAATCTGGCTAGTTTCTGGCGTGCTTCGGAACCTTCTAGGGCGGATCATACGACTAGTACTAGAATCAAATACGGAAATATGTACTCAAATACCGGCAGGGCACTAGATTCTGCGATGGAGTTATGGTCGATCTGATATGATCTATTTCCTGCATTATCATCACTATTGGCGGCATGTTGATGATCTTAACTTCTCAACCTCGACAATATCAATAGCCCGGAGGGTTATATCAATGGTACAAAAATAGTGTCGTCCTTCGGTGGCCGTGTTTCATCTGCCCGATTTCATCGCATGTGAGCAATGCGAAAGCTCACCTGGCTCCAAGATCGTCTTCGCAGCCCGGGTCAAGATGCCACTCTCCGGCGTCCTGCTTGAATGCTTTGACCATGACGGTGTCAAGACTCAAAAGGTATGTAGGTCCCGCGGGCCCGTCACTAGGAAAATGCCCTGGCGCCATGATCGTCATTCGGCATTGCCATTTACGCAACCAAAAATGGTCTAGACTGTCGGCGAGCTATCAAGTATCTGGAGCCGGGTGGGAGACAACTCCCGAAGAGACATAAGAGGTTTCAACTTTGGGGCGGTTTTACTCAGGCGGGTGCCATTCACCTCCCACATTCCTTCCCACTTGCCTTGATCCTGGAAAGGCCCGTCTCGAAAGAACTGTTTTCGTCCGGTCGTTGCACAAGATCTGCTTAGGGGGTTTTGGGTGATGCTCATGTCATGATGGTTCTAACTCATTACGATAGCCATATGATAATCACGAGCCTCGAGCATAGCGGCAAGGGTATGAAAGAATCATATCCAGACCCCATCCATCTGATAACGGAACTTGCCATCAACAGGCTTATATCCGCAAATTAACCTTTCATCCCTTTTCAATCGGCCCCCAAAAGCCCGCTCATGTCTCAACAGCAAATCCATTGAAATGGCTCGTGCAGAGGCTTGGAAGGTTGCTCTCAGCTTGACAGGGACCGTCTCCTGGTGGGTCGCAATCATTCACCCCCCCACCGCAATCGCTCGCCTTGTGACGAGCTCAAGCCCATCTGTGAACAGGACTCGCGGCTTTTCTAGTGTTTCCGATTGGCATATTCATGCAAGGCAGATTTGAAAGGGATGAAACAAAGTGACATGTTTGTATTCTATCTTTAAACCATAGTTCTTAATAGACAGTACTATGGACAAGAGACGCGGCATCAAAAGCCGTTTCTGTCAAGCTGTTTATGTCATCACTTCTGCATATGCGCGATGGGCTATGCAACTTTTGGGCCGTGCCAGCTGTTGAAAGCGACGCCCGCGAAAAAGGGACCCACGGACGATCTTGGGAAATACTCAAGTAGGTTAACTGCCGACTGAGGTGGAACGGCCGTGTGGCTGTGGCTATGTCATGCTTTCATGGCAAAAGCAACTCTCGAGCCTCGGACGACCTTCGTTCAGGCGCCGCCTGAAAAACGAGAGCCTGCGCGACAAGTTGACCACTTTGGTGTAGCGAGGTCCGGAGAGTCGGCGTCCACGGCGCCGATCTCATGCCGTTGCGACCGTTGGAGAATCTTAATCGTACCGTCAGATCAAAGCAGCAAGGTATCTTCATCTTTCTGGCCTTAAAAGTCCCCACGTTTACAGTAAGCTTATTCTTCTACCAAGAACCGATCAGCCCGACAAGAACCTAAAGTTATCTTGGCATCTACATAGCTGAATCCTTGACGTTCGAATTAGAAGTACTACAGTACGTAGGAAGCTGTTGCGCTAGATATATCGGTACCGGTATCTTACATGTTATTGTTCATTGCCGTCCAAATTCCCGACGTTTCCGGGCTCTAGTTGGGCACTATTCCCAGACGCCTAGTAGTTTCGATTACGGATGATGGAGCACAATTATTTACTGTTTTGCAACTTGTACCAACCCGAAAATATTCAACCCGCGCGTCACCGATTTGCCATATGATTCGAGCTGGCCCAATACTAGATAGCGCGAGGACTGTCTGACGGCTGGAAGCGTTGTGAAACTTCGGGACATGGACCTACTCCATTATCTCCAGCATGATGCTCATGACAAGAGTACCGGGCCAGCTGCTGTTACTGCGAGATCCCAAATGGACACTGGTCTCGTTTCTGGGCCACTCAAATACGGCCAAAACTAGTTGTAGCCATTCTACACTGCGCTTCTCTTACCACAGCCCTGACCGGGGAGCTATCCAGGGTGCCAGTGTTCCCACTGACATATATCCAATCATTCTATGTTTTAGGCTATGTTCCCTGGATTCGGAATAGTGAGGTGTTACAAGGATCAATGATGAGCTTACTAGTCTTTTCGATATGAAACTCGACTTCAGATGAGCTAATAATGTACGATCGTGGGATTATGTGTTACTTGTTGAACGATGGGTTCCAGATGTCATGGCACTCGATTTGGTAAAGTTGGGCATATCAATATCTTATGCCCGTCATGACCGATGAGTTTGTCAGCCAACGCTGAGTGACTTCGCTTATCGTAAGAACCGAATGATTACTCTGCCCGTGATCTAAACAAACCAATCAGTCATTCAGTCTTGTTCCGCACTGGAAGCCATGGCGCTGGGGCCATCTCAAGTATTGTTTCAATGAGACAACCCCTGTCAGTGACCCAGCTCTGATGGGATATAAACTGCAGTAGGCAAACATGAATGGTTGCAGTTGAGGCATGATATTGATTCTAAACCCCTGGCCAAGAAGGTATCTTCGAAACTGAGCTCAATCTGAATATTTCTACCTGATATATCTTACTTGCTGGTCTTCTTGAATTTATGGCAATACACGTGCTTGCCGACACTCAATCGCATGCAATGTTGTGAAAGCTAGAACGAGCCTGCTGGTCTTCATGGTTAAGTATGAAAATTGGGGGTTGAAAATGCTCGTAAGGGCCGTTAATTTGCCTTAGTCATAAGTCCCATCTGCCGTGAAGTGCAACACCAGATCACAGCTGGCTCAAGCAGGATATACCCCTTCGAAGGATAGCCTGATCATTGGCAGCAGCGATAGTGCCGGGTCCATTTCAATTAGTCATTGACTGACTTTCTAGCTGAGAAAGCTATTCATGTACTGATCCCGTAGTCAATTCGATCAGTTGATGTTCATGCATTATGTTCTATAATGACTATTCTTTTCAAGAAGACTTTAGACTAGATGGATAGGGGTTCATCGTTGCTGGGAGACTTGCTCTGGACGCGGACTACCCAGTGTCCACGCGCAAATGAATAACCCTATCTCTCCGCTTCCCCTTGAGCCTTCATTCTGCCCCTCGTTCTTTCTCCGTCGTCTTTTCGGTGAGAAACTGATCACTCAGAGTCAGTGATGGATATCTCGAAGTATAATCCGGTGTGGCCCGCGACGGCTTAATTTGCTTTCCCTTCACAGGCCAACGAACTACTATTGCATAATATCGTGAGGTCTTGTTGGAGACGGGGGCGGGGTGGAACCGTCTGTGCCTCATGGATCTTCATATCAAATGTTCGTTCCTCGCAGAGGATGCAGCAGACTGGTACGAGATTAGAAGGGATTCGACCGGAGGGCATGACATTCCAAGACAGAGCATCGTCGATGCCATAGGGGGCTTGGCTAGGCAGCACTCGTGAACACCTGGGATTATGGGGTGGTGTGCGATATTTTCGACATTCAAGGACCCTCCATTCAACAGAGAATCCCAGTACGAATTTATGGCCGCAATGCCTCCATTACTAGGGAATATGAGGAGAAGGAGCCCGATGAGCTAGGCGATGAAGACTCGGACGGCGACTCGGATCATGAGTCTGATTGTAGATTCGGGGCGCCAAATTACTACAAGAATGCCCCCATGACCGAGGTGAGAATTTGTGTGCTCCTATAGAGGTATTTTCCTGATCTCATCGCCAGAAACGAGTTCAGGCACCGAAATACTAGTCTAGCTGCAGATACAGCCATTCTACTGAATGGCTTTGTCGTAATTGCGTGCGCAGCAAATGGGGGTAAATAAATGCACCCCCGAAACCTGCGGATGCCGTGGTTGGAATTGCGACAATCCATTCAACAGCGTCAACTACTCAATCCGCCGATGATGAAAGCACATTCCCTCATGCGTATAAATATCCAAATGGAGCGACACTCGTTCCTATACCTTAGGCTTTTCTTGACTGCGAGAGAGACACCCCCCAAAAATTTTTTTTAAGAAAAAAGAAAACGGAAAAGAAAAGGGAACGGGTACTGCGATGGCCATCAAAGCCTCGCAGAAGATGTGGGACGGTGCGGAGATGAACCTGCTGGCTTCGCAAAGAAACAGGAGCTCAAGCAAGCCCTCCTGCGTCTGGCCTTCTTCAAGTAAGATCGACCATGTTTTGGCGATGAGTATCGCGGCTACTTCTGCCCCTCTGTCGCGGTGGTGGTGAGTACCTGAGGCGGCCAGCTCTCAGAGGTTGCGACCGAGACGAGTGAATATGGGACTGCTGCAAATGTGGTGAATGCCAAGACTGACGAGAGTGGCATTCTAAGTGACACAAAGAGTGTCATTATGGTGTAAGCCTTCGTGCTACTTGTGGGTGTGGGTAAGAGTCATATCATAGTAGAACGGGTCATATTTTTTTTGACGGCTCTGAGAGTAGCCATTCCGTTGTTCTGGTGCATATGTAACCTCTTTTCTGGCAACCAAAAAAAATCCACAAAATCTCAGTATTTAAGGACATAACAATCTAGATCTAATTTCTTAAGCCTCGATGTCTATCCTCTATCCGGGTATGTGCTCGTCATTTAGGTCTATTCGTCGTAAATCTTGTCGTTACTGCGACTGTTAGCATGCGTTTTCAATCTCATTAATGCCATGACTCACAATGTCTCTGAAAACTTTTCCCTTCCCTCGGCTTCACGGTTCACAAAGACGCTTACACTCGTGCCTCCACAGACGAAGACACCGAAACCGTCATCGCCAATTGTCACCTCTCTGTCCGACCAGCCGAGGACATCAGTCCAGACTTCACCAGCATGCATCTCACCGACATGCATTCTCTTTTCGCCAGGGCCAGCATTGCTGATAACGACAGCACATCCAAAGGGACGATCCCATGTACCGTACTTCACCCAGCCCAGACAGGTAGCATAGTCGAAGTAGTCTGCCTGCTTACCGTATGCGTACAACTTACGAGCAAGGGCAAGCTTAGGCAGAGCACCACCGCAAGATGGTGGGAAAGGGTGCTCACCCTTGGGATCTATTCCGTAGAGATCACCGTACCATAAGCACGGGTATCCCGATTCTCGGAGCAGGATGAGTGCATAGGCTAGCGGCTTAAACCAACCCTCAATAGGGGCCTCTAAAGCCTGATACGGCTGCGTGTCGTGGTTCATGACAAGCGTTACGGCGTTGACTGGCATCACTTGCACCAGCGTGTTGTCGAAAACCTTGCGCAAATCGCCCCCATCAGCCTTGCTAATCTCGCTGAAATTGTAGACTAGCGGGGCATCGAAAAGTGAGAACTTCTTGCCCATACGGTCAAGATACCGGGTCATGTCGTCAAGTGAGTCTTTCCAGAATTCACCAACGAAGAACCAACCTTGGCCGTATTCCTCATCCATTGTGGTGATGAAATGACGTAAGAACTCCTCACTATAGTGCTTGATGGCGTCAAAACGAATACCCTTAAGGGGGACCTCCTTGGCCAGCCACTTGCCCCAGTTCAAGGTATCTTCCACAACTTGCGGGTGGTCGTAATCGATATCAGATCCCATCAGGAAGTCGCTGCCATGCGTCAGTAGGCGTCCGGGGAGCCACAGACGGGATATTTACTAGTTGCCCTTCTCACCGTCAACCTCTCCATCTTCTGCCCAATCTTTCGTCTTGTCGCCCAAGATCTTGAAGATTCCTGTCTTTTCGTTGGCAGCATTGTAGTCGACGCCACTGAAGTGATACCAGTGCCACTTCATTTTGCTATATTTCCCATTGCGCCCTGGAAAGTCAAAGCCAACCCAAGCTTCAATTTCGTACTCATCGCTAATGTTCTTGTTCCGGTCTTCTTGGTCGACCTCAACCGCACGGCACTTTTCCTTGTGATCAGCAGCAAATTTGTGGTTCAAGACGGCATCAAAGTAGAGTCCGACACCATTGCTCTTTGCGGTGTCAGCAAGCTTCAAGAGCTCCTCCTTGGTGCCCCACTTCGTGGACACACCTCCCTTCTGGTCAAATTCGCCCAAGTCATACAAATCATAAATGTCGTACCCGTTGCCTGTCGTGGAAGAGCCCTTGCAGGCCGGGGGAATCCAGATGTTGTCAACTCCCCATTTCTTGAGCTGCGAGACGTGCTTTTCGAGTCGAACCCAGTGTTTCTGATCTGCAGGCACATACCACTCGAAGCCTTGCAACATTGTCATGTTCTCCGGCGTAGGTTTTTGTTCTTCCGCCATTTTGAATATTCGACCCTTGGTCAGATGACTCTGCCCTGACAAACACCGAAAGGCAAATAAGTGATTTGATGGACAAGAAATGGTCAATTGTAAGTGGGAAACAGACACAGCGACACGTCGTTACTTCTATGCTCACCCGGAGGAGCCTCCCGCTTACCCACCTGTTGGCTGATCCTGCTTTCCCACATTGTAGAAAACCCTTATCAGGATATATCGCGCAAGTCAGCGGCGCGGCACCGCTTGTTGGGGGCCTAGTCAGGGGATTTCATCGCGCGCCAACAGCCGGCAGTGGTCAGATGCGGCCATCGCGCATTCAGCCAGGGGCACTTTCAAGATTTTGCAGGTTTCGGAGAGCCAGCTAATGGAACGGGCGCACCGCTTGGTGGCCTAGTTTGAGACTGGTTCGTATAGAATCCAGGTATAGCTCATGCACAGAAGTCAGAAGCCACAGATCTAGACCTTGCGGGTGGATGTACGGATCCGTAATCCGAGTCCAAGATAAACCGAGTGACGTCAGAGCTAAAAGCGCTATGTCTTTTTCATGGTCCCCGCTAAAAGGGTTGTCGGCTGGGGAAATGGTTCGGCTCATGGCGCTTTGGGTGTTGTAAAGCGGTGAAGTTTGCTTTGGACAGTTGCGACCCACTACCTACCTAATCCTTCTACTTGTCGGCAATTCTTCCATTTTATCAGCTCACCTTGAGCCTCAAAATTACTCCTCTCAAAAGTACAAATCTGGGGCGAAACAGAAGGCGCCAATTGAGCAAGGGTGGATGACGCCAAAGCGTCAAGAGTGCTGAGTGAGACAGCGTGGCTTGACACAGGATAGCGAGATCGTTAGAAATGGTCTCAAAATACACATGTTCTCATTGAAGCCGAAAACGTGATAAAACGGTCGTCCAGAAACTTTGAATGCTTTGCGTACCAAGCCCTCTCTGGGAATAGGCAGACCGACACTCATCCTGTCTGATCACCATCCATCTGCACAACTTGGTGGACTGCTTCATACGGTCCGTGGTTGGGTCGTTGCGGCAGCTAGACTTCCCCACGGCGGTTGCTGACCTAGCAACGGGAAGTAAACAAAGGCGGTCTGTGGCTCGCCAACCAGAGTGCACGGCCAAGAGAGTTCGACCAGGACGTCGAACCGCATCGTGCCAGCACATTCTGCTGTGGAAACACGATTTATTCACCGAATCAGAGTTTCGGAGAGGTTGCAGGCTCACACTTTCCCGCCCACGGAATCCAATATAATCAACAAAGTTTCAGCCGTCAGCGGCAGTCCAAAATTCCAGACTTCCAATGCCCCGACGCAGACCCAATTACGATTTTGAAATTCATGTCGACCCTTCCTGCCTCAGTGCAGAAATGGAAGAAGAAAACAGATCTCAGTCAGGTGACATAGAGGTCGCTGGAGACGCGGCACCTACCCACGAAGCAACACAACAGGATCTTCCCGAACCGCACATAGACGAGATCGAACACGACGGCGATGCCGCAAACACTAGTCTAATGTCTGAAGATAGAAGCTTGGATCCAGATATGGTCGACACGGTAGAGGGGGACGGGTCCACAGAAAATACTGCTGCCGACTTCTCGGAATTGAGCCACGATGATCTTTCAGAGGCACTGCAGGACATATCATATGCAGAGGACTCGATCTACGAAGAGGAAGCAAACGACCAGGGGGAAGAAGAAGCGCCTTCGGGTCACGAAGGTTCCATACTTCCTAGTATTGAGAGCGATGCAGAGAATGAGGCACACGAAATCTCTGTTTTAGACGATTCCCTTCTCGAAGACGACAGATCGTCGCACATTGGCACACCGCGAGGGACATCTTTACGAACAGAAGCTCTTATACAACAAGCGGCCAGAGATATCGTCGCTCGGCTTGGAAGCCCCAATAGCGAACGCCAACAATACGAGGAAGGGGATGAGTCTGTGCTTAGCTCCCATAGAGATGTCTCGGAAGACCAACAAGAACTTAGCGAGTTATCTTTGATGGGAGGCCAAGTAGAGGCCGTGCCCGGGGAACGCCAAGTACCAAACACAGCCGATGAGGGTGGTGACAGCAGCTCGCAACACGGTACGGACGAAGACGTTTTCAGCGACAACAGTGCAAGAAACTCTATGGGATCCTACGATGGGGGTTCCGAGTCCGGCAAAGGGACGGCGATTGGGGACGATACTTCTGTTTCTGGACGGACCCCTCGTATCTCCAACATCTCCCAATACGACTACAAAGATGAAGACTTCATCCCAACTATCCGGGGTACTTCCAGACGCAGACCGCCTTTCCGCACGCCTGAGGATGTTCGTGCGATGCAGATGTCTTCTCCACCTCCCTCCACTCGGGGATCCGTCATCGGCTCTTCACGTTCGAGCAAGCGTCATTTCCCAACCGTGTCCCGTCTGGGGAGCCCGACACCGTCGGTACAATATTCGCCCAAAAACCGAACACCTTCCAGGTTCAAGGTCAAGGAAGCACCGTTGGTACTCCTCCATGTCACCCTCCTACCCCTTCGATGGATGTGGGGCGATGTTATCAATACCTTTGAGGCTTCAGAAATGAGTGAAGAGGCAAAGACTTTGCGTGAGTCATGGCGCATGCTCCAGGACCGTATGGGCGATACTGTATTTGAGAGAGGTATTCTTCTCGGCCATCCTCAGAATGATTATGAACTTCTTGAGGAACGCCTGCTCGAAGCCCTCGACTTGCCACTACGGCGGCGCGCTCGAATCTTGGAATGTGGCCATTACCTCGGACCGGCCAATGAAACGACAATAGGAGATGATTCGGAGAGTGAAGATGACTACGAGATGGATCGTCCAGTTGCCAAGAGACATTGGTGCAAGACGTGTAAGAGTGAAATCTACTACGATTCTCTCGGCCCTGGAAAGATTTTCAGAGTCAAAGTTTACGCTAGCAACGGTCTCATGAGGGCCGGTGCTTGGGACGCTTGCTGGAAGGAGATGGAACGGGTAGACATTGAGCTGGAACCTGTCATTGAGCCAGGCGTTAATGAGGAACTGGCTCGACTAGTCATTCTTCAAGAAGAGCGCGAAGCGGCTGCTGATCGGCAGATTGAGCTCGCTGCCAACATTATCCAGCATGTTGGGGACCAAGTCGATGAACAACTAGATCGTTCTTTCGACCAACGTCCTGATCTTGTCCACGCACAACTTGAAATCGCACCCGCCCGCCCTGAGCCTTTACCGGATCGCGAGTCACTGGGCGAAGAACGTCACTTGCGCGATGAGTGTCGTCCACGCGAGATCTGTGGTAGTACGCCGATCCCGCAGATTGAGCCAAGACAACCAGATGCATCCACCCATCAGCTGCATGCTGACTCTTTTGTTCAGCTACCATCGCCAAGCTCACCGTCAGAAGAAGCCTATGAGCGCCTGCAAGCTCGCCGCCAGTCTCTGCAGTCAGCATCATTTTTCGAACTGCTCATGCAATCTGTCAGAGTCTTAATGAAAGACACAAGAAATATTTTCATTATTGGGTTGAGCTTACTCGTTCTCCTAATGGCATTACGATCTTCACAACAGTCTCAAATGATGGATACCATGCTCTTTGAAAATAAAAGCGCTCCACAAGTGCAGCAGGCGGCCGATATGATAGAGACGCCTGTTGATGCGCGAGAAAAGGTTTCAGTCGTTGATGATACCGTTAACTACTCTGCGAATACACAGAGCACCTCAACTCAGTCGATTGTTGCCCAAGAGAGCGTTGCACCAACTAGTGCCTCGCCCGTCCAGAAACCATCCATGACGACCTCCCTGGTCCAAGAGCTACAGCAACACAACACCATCGTGCCTGAAGTAGTCCACTCTGTTTCGCAGGAGACAATGACCCAGAAGACAACTGTCAAAGTCGTAGAGACAGTCACCGAAACTGCAACCCTCAGGATCGAGACAATTACGGAAACCGAGACCATGAAAGTCAAGGCTACCGTGACTATGACAGAAACTTCGGAAACATCTGAGCCTACTAGCGACTTAGGTCTCTGGGGATATCCAGGCGACGCGACCGAGACTTCACCAGTTTCAGAACCCACTAGCGATCTGGAACTGTGGGTCCATTCTAAGGAGATGACCGAAGTTGATGAAATGCCCGCTACCAATGACATGACCGCCTATGCCAAAATGCCTGAAATTGATGTTGGCATGTGGTTCGATGAGAGCATGCTGCTCGAGGCTGATATGCCCTCTGTTGGTGGGGTGCCCGAGATTGGCGCCGGTGTGCGGGTTGACGACAGCATGCTGCTTGAGGCAAACTGAAATGTAAAACGTAATGGATAATATTGCATGGAAGAGTCTTACGACATCAAGTAACCAAGAATAATGAAGCATACGATGGAGTCATTGATTTCTTGTGTATGAAACGTTCAATGAAACTAGGTTAGTTAGCGATTATTTAGATAGGTTAGTTACACCAATAGGACGTCATATTAGTATCAAAACGGTGCTTTACTAAGAAAATTTACTTAAACTCGGTGTATGTGCTGTTTATATTGTCTTATCATCGGTAAAACCGTAATAGAAGCGCCTCATTGTCTCGGAGGCCGACTACATGTCCATTTCGAGAGACACTCTGCTACCGTTCCTAGTAAGAGTTATGCGCCCGCGCGAAGCATATCAGGAAAAGCTACCCACGTTTCAACAACGTTGGCGATGAGGCATCAGCGCCGAGGAACCTATCCGTGAAGCTATACGCGACTGGAGACAATATCAGCCAAACCAGGATCTTTCAACAGGGGGAGGGGAAGCAAGTTTTACCCCCATATGAGTCCCCGACCCAGGGACATTCCCTTTTCACGCCCGAGTCCTGCCAGAAATAAGCGCAGTTGTGTTTGGGCGTCGAGTAAAATGGCAATCCATGGAGAGCTGTGCTAGGTTGGACTTGATGAATATCACCGATTCGAAGGACTAAAGTACGTTATCTAGCTCAATGACAAAATCTCATTTTGCTTCATGAGGGGTCACACCGTGTTGAAAAATATATTATCCATTTGACGGTGGCCTTATAGCTTTGGTGGCGAGGTTGGACGAACCGAATGTTACTCTAAGACTTTGCGGCGGTCGGAATTCGTTTTCCGAGCAAGCAGCATTCATCAGATCTGTGGCACGATTTTGACCGTGTAGGAAGAAATCGGGGTTGAAACCAAGGGTTTCAACGGCAATTGATGCTGAAATCTCTGTTAATTTATGAAAGTATATTATCAGTGTGCATATCTGTAAAAAAAAAAAAAAAAAGAAAAAAAAGAGGTATGTATAGCCAGCAAAACGCACAACTGGCATCCTTGTCGTAGTATAAATGAGTTTTAGTGGTCGACTTGACGGAGCTAACCTAGGCGGTTGTTCGGGCGGTTGGGTCCCTGAAAGAGGCCAAATGAATTCTTGGCTGGGGTGGGGAAATCCCTGGACCTAAAACTTGTGTCTTGGGATCAACATAATCGTCAATTGAGCCGGGATACCAGCCAGGCCCTGAAGCTTTAGTTTTGTATACTGGGGCTGATAGATCATATCGGCCATCGTCGACGCATGGTACGTCTTATGTCCGATCCGGACAGCCGCCCATCTGGTCGGCGCCGCCATGTCACGACTGCCTGTAAAGCGTGCCGCGAGAGCAAGGTCAAGGTGCGTATGCAGACTCTTTGTACGGGACCGTTAGCATTATTAAGTCAACTTACATGCGTGAAGTGCGGTGGCGAGCGCCCAACATGCCGCGGTTGTGCGTCTAGAGGCCGACAATGCGACTACGGCGAGATACTAGATAAAAGGAAGCAAGAAAACCCTTCATCGTACTCATGCCAATCGTGAAGTATTAGCTAACCGCGTTGTAGAATTTCATTGCGCAAGTCTGTCGAGATGTTTTCTCGGCGAGTTCGCCAACTTGAATCGTACCTCCAAGCATGCGGAATTTCCGTGCCGGAGCCATTTCATGCTGATGCGAACATGTTACAATGGTTGACGGACTCGTACGCGCCACCATCCGATACGACACTCGCCGTGGGCGGACCTGTCCATAATTATCTTGAAACGTTGGACATCAATGTCTGTGCGAGCTCTTCTCAATCGAACGTTGATCAAACAGTGAACGCAGAATCCGGTCCATCGGCACTATTTGGGAATGGCTCTTTTCCTCTTTCCGATGCCAATGATGTGTCACAGCAAGGACAAGTCTTGGAGGGTATTCAGGCAGGGCCTTTTTCAAGCATCGACTTCACATTCGACGCAGATCTCGTATGGAGCTCGCTGATGTTACCTGCTCCGAATCTAGGAATAGATGGCAAGATGTCAGACTTTTGCCCGTTGTGGCCGATGGGCTCATTGCCAGCAGACTCGCAGAGGCATGATGACCACTCAAGCACGACACATACGATACCAGAGGATGACGAATCCACAGATGATGAGGAGCACTCTGAAATCACAGCTCAGCTTTCTGGCAGACTTGGGACTTTGCTTCGCGCGCCAAATGGCGAATGGAGATTTTACGGCGCTACTTCAAATCTACATCTTATGCGTGACGAACACGCTGCAAGACCGCCACCTCATGATCAGCGGCACCACAAAGCCCAAGTCCGCCTCGAACAGGCAGGCCTAGGACATTCTGTAAGCCGTGAGCTCATCACACATCTTGCAAACCTCTATTTTACCTGGCAAGATCCGAGTCTGCATGTAGTTGATAGATTCGCATTCGAGGCTGCCCGGGAAAGATACATCGACAGCTATGAAGAAACCGGACTTTACTCCGAACTTTTAGTGAATTCAATGTGAGGGTTCCCTGCTATACATATTTGATACCATTCTAATCGCTCACAGATGTGCAATCGGAGCGTCGTTTGAGAGAGAGCGACACCCCGAGCTTCCCGGTCCTTTGAACGAGTTCTTTGCGAACCGCGCGAAGACTATACTAGACTTAGACTTAGAAAGTCCTAGAATAAGTACAGTACAGGCTCTTACCATACTGAGCACTCACGAAGGCGCGACTTCCCAGGATACTCGTGGATGGCTTTATAGTGGTATGGTTGTCGCTCAGATGGGGCATTTGTCACGCGAAGTGTTAACCACGCTCGCCTTTTAGGAATGGCCATTCGGCTTGCATATGACCTTGGTCTTCATATATCGCCAGCAAAATATGTCACCAGCGGTGTGATGTCGGCGGAAGAGGCAAGAGTGCGCAGGGTGGCCTTCTGGGGTGCCTTTTCGACGGATCGCATGTGGGGTTTCTATCTTGGCAGGCCATTTCACAATAACCTTGAGGATATTCACGTCGAAAGACCTTCAACAGACGGTACAGAGTCGCCCAAGCAGACGTGGGCACCATACGGTACTCCCGGCCGAGATCCGCCAGCGTTACCTAGCTCGCAAGAGCTTTTGTCGGCGAGATGGGTGGCTTTGTACGAGATAATGTCTAATCTCGGACATAGTTTGTAAGAGCATTTGGACGGTGTATGATGAAGTGAGACTAACCATTTTTCAGGTACTTTCGAGTAGATGTCACAAAAATTGAGTTAGTTGCATTGGGCGAAGAAACACTAAACAAGCTAGAGAAATGGAAATCTGACATGCCGGAAGAACTGGCTGTGGATATTAACGCGTTAGACGCAAAGATACATCTTCCACAGACTCTTATAATGCAGTAAGTTTTCATTGCCATTCTCTAAAATCTTAAGGTGATTTAACAGATATTTGTGTAGTATGCAATATGCCTTTTTCATCATCACCCTACACAGACCATTCGTTTCAAAGCACTATATACAACCGAGCCCCCTGGTTGGCAAAGGATCGGAGCACGCACGTGACATGTGTGTGCGCTCCGCCACAGAAATAGCTATTCTCATTCAGGAGTACGATAAGCGATATACCCTGCGCCGGGCGAATATCTTGGTGGTTCACTACTCTTTCACAGCTGCGTTAATTCTAGTATATGCGACGATATCAGGGAACAGGCCGGACGTACAAGCAAAGTTGACATCGCACTTGAATGCATGCTGCCAAGCTCTTGCCGAGCTAGGAAACGTCTACAAAAGTGCGACGAGAACACTAGATATCTTACTCTCGGTCAAGAGAATGTGGCAAGCTAGACTTGTCGCAGGACTCGGACAAAAGCGGCCAAAACATCGTGGTCGTGGAGAAGGACGAAAGAGGCGGGCTGTTGATTCATAACAACGCTGCCAATCAGAACCAAGGGAGTGGTGTACTTCTCAATTTTATTTTGTTTATCACAGCCCGCCTCCTTTACAAACGGAGGGGTGTTTTCTCTATACACCCAAGTGCCTTTGGTGGTGCAAGTTTGAGTTCAAAAATGAGTAGAACGAAACCTTCAACCCTCGGAAGCCCTCCGAGGCTCACTACCGGTATTACGTATGTAGTCATTAACGATGGAAACTCCAAGAACAATGTGGGAAAGAGGAGGGACGAAGTAGATAATATTAATTGCTTAATTGTGCTGGGAAGCAGAGCTTTTGGGACATCGAACAAATTTTTAATATCCTTTGCTCCTTTTCTTCTTGTTTTTTTGGCACGTAATGAACGAAAACCTAGATCTACGCCCCCATCAGCACATTAAAGACGCCCAGCAGAGTGCTAAGTCATGGGATTCGTGAATCGCGAAATGGATTGTGGGGTTCAATTTCAATCATACCTAAGGTTAAAATAGCAGTTTGGACGTAAAGGAGCGGGTAGCAACGCCGCAGGCCGAATCATTATCTCACTGCAGCTTCCTCAATGGCTCAATACGAAATAATGTGCCACCCCGCTATGCTGCTTATGTTACGAGCGAAGCGTACCCTGAATTTCTATTCCCTGGTTTGATTAGGACAAGAGCCTAACCTTAGTGATCTCTACGCTGTTCACGAATTTTGATGTCTAAGAGGTCGGCTCAAAACCAAGTCTGATAAACTAATGGTAAAGTCATAGCTTGAAAATATTGGAATATAGAACCCGAGTGGGACCCTGATTGAGACGACGCTGGACTCCAAGATTATAAATCAGGCAAAACATATCTCCATATTGGAAATCAGGCGGTAACAAGCGACATATATTCAAGTGCTGGTGTGCTTGACTCCGTCCCTTTCAATTGTGCAGCAACAATCTCCTTGCCGCCTTTTATTGTTGTTACAAGACCGATAATGGCGCACGCATTCATATTTGGAGCTTCCGGCATCTCGGGATGGTCTTTACTGAACCAGACGAGGAATTATCCGTCGCCGGACACTTTCGCCCGCATTACCGGCACGACCAACCGCCCCTTGACACTGGACAAAGCGCTTATCCCGAACGATGATCGAATCCAACTGGTCTCGGGCGTCGACCTCACAAAGTCGGTCGACGAGATCATATCTATGCTAAAGGAGAAGGTTTTGGACATAAGCACAGTAACGCATGTCTTTTTCACAGGTGTGGATAGCCACTTTAAGCGGGAAGATTTCCAATCTCGGTATTAATACTTGATGCGTTCAGCCTACGTTCAGGAAGATGATTTCAAATCTTTGAAGAAGACCAATACTTCGCTGTTGGAAGTTGCTGCACGGGCCATTGAGGCAGTTGCGCCCAAACTTCAGTCTATCATTCTTCAGACCGGTGGTAAAGGGTAAGCACACATTTTATCCTACGCAGGTCTAATCTAACTATTTTCAAGGTATGGACTTGAGTTCCCTAAGGAGGTGAAAATCAGCCCCCCTCTGAAGGAGAGCACGCCGCGCATTCCTGAGCCGTATCAGAGCAAGATCTTCTACTACACGCAGTACGACGTACTCAAGGAACTGTCGAGCGGCAAGTCGTGGACCTTCTCCGAGGTTAGACCCGATGGCATCGTGGGGTTCGCCCCGGTTTCCAACGCGATGAACATGGCTCAGGGAATCGCTCTGTACCTCTCGCTCTACAAAGAAGTCAACGGAAAGAGCGCCTCGATCGCCTTCCCGGGTTACGAGCGCGGCTACAACTCGACGCACTCAGACACGTTCCAGGATGTCCTGTCGCAGATGGAGATCCACGCCGCGCTGAACACAGACGAGTGTGGCGGCGGCGCCGCCTTCAATGTTGCGGACGGTCAGGCGGTCACCTGGGCTCAGGTCTGGCCTAAGTTGTGCAAGCATTTCGGGCTGGTAGGAACGGGGCCTGATCCATCTGCCATCCCGATGCTGGAGTTCGTCGAGAAGCACAAGAACGTCTGGCAGGATATCGCCAAAAGGCACGGCCTCAATGACAAGGTAGTGGAACAGCAGGGCTGGGGCCACGTTCACTTCATGATGGTGGACTTTGACTTTGACCGAGAATACGATCTGACGCGTTCGCGTGAGGTCGGCTTCAGGGAAGTGGTTGATACCGTTCAGGGTTACATCAGCTCATGGGAGAGGATGAGAGCTGCCAAGTTCCTTCCACCGCTCTAGCCATTTTTTTCCTTCTTTTTTTCTTCTCTCTCTCTATTAGTCATCCGGTAGAGCAATGATTTATCATCGTCCAAACACTTTGCGATAATGCTGTCATTCATCTTAAATGTATTTTGTAATTGACAGGCGTCTTTCTTATTGCAGGAAATCTTGGAGCCAACGACATCCCATATGGTTTCTCGGAGCCCAGGCATCACTCGACACGAAGTTATGCAAAAAGCTATCATATGACATTTGTGCAATTTCGTCGATTGAGGCTGAGGAATAACCTGCTCTCAATGATCCTGTCGAATCCTGACGGCACTAAACTCTTGGCGCAAGAGGCTTTTTAATCCCATGCCTGCTGCGATCTGCGACCCAACAAGACTGTGCCGCAGAGCGGGCTGTAGAGATCGGCAGTGTCAGAAACAGACGTCATGCTTGGTGCAATACGCTTCCATGGCCGACCTTGAGTTGCAATTGGCTGACTATTTATATTGACCGATCCCGCATAATATTATAAGACCAGTGACTGCTGCCGCAGGCTATGGTTGCACAAACCAAGTTTCTTGTTGTAAGCCATCACTACCGACAATGTCGTTATTTACCAAATTAGTCTACACGTTTTCCTGCATTGCCATCGCAGCTGGCAGTGCGGACGACTATGGCCTCGGCATGATCATCAACTATGATGGCGACATTGACTCCAGCACCATAAGTGATGGACTCAAGGCACCCAACGCAACTGGCCGAATTCCCATCAGCGGACCAAACGTCACGGAGGTATATCCGGGGACCATGATCGATGGCGACGGAGACCAGAACGGCTGGGAGCTCAGCATCGACGTCACTGCCAACGTGCCAATCACTGATGGGTCCAAAGCTGGCCGATTCATCTCGGCCGCCGGACTCAAGCTCCTCCCCCCCGCAGAACTCGTTCAAGACTTTGGGAATGGGACGGAGATCTTGAAGGCGGATCGGGACTCATGGGTAACTTGTTTCACCGTCTTCGGCATGGACGGAGTCTCATCTCCAATAACGTCGGAGTGTACCGCCAACATACAGAGGGCCGTTGCAAACGACCAGCGGATCGTCAGTGGAAGCAACTGCGCTTATTTCTGGCAGGACTCGGGCGTGAAAAGGGAATGTCCCTGGGTCGGGGACTCATATGGGGGTAAAACTTGCTTCCCCTCCCCCTGTTGAAAGATCCTGGTTTGGCTGATATTGTCTCCAGCCGCATATAGCTTCACGGATAGGTTCCTCGCCACCTATGGAGTCACTTACTGGTCCGACACTGTGGACAAAGCTGATAACTTATCGGACTATAACAACTTCGGTACTAGATCGTACCCGGTTGTTATAACCTGGGCTCATACGAACACGACCCTTGGGGCTCTTTCAGAGGATCATGTTCAGGTCGTCCTTGCACGAGCCGGGACGACTACGCCGGGCAGTAAAGTGGCTGGGGGTAGTAGTCTGAAAGTAGGCATCGTTGGTATGGCGTTAAGTACGGTCGGGGTTGTATTTGTACTTTTATGTTAGATATCCTGAGTAGTCCTGAACTGCTCTTTCCATTTATCGGAGAAGGGTGCGACCAACCCTTTCGTGCTTGTCTGTCAAATGTCCCATATCGGAGAAATAATGTTTGGCATTTTTTTCTTCTTCTTCAGTAATTCAAGGCTTCAATTTGCCCAAATTTCTAGAAACGCACTTGTTTACATCCTGACTCCAACCAAATGCTGGTATATATGCTAGGAACACAATTGACTCCTCAGAACTCCTTTGTTCATCACTCTATGTCATCATTCCCAAACAGAGGAAAATCCCAAGCCATGTCTATACCGCAACAGGATACGAGGCCAGCTCGGGATATAACGTGTTTCCCGTACAACCCGAACAAGTACCGTTTGTCGTACATCGGTTGTGCTGTTCACAATGCCACTCGTTGCTCGGTGCGCAGGCTTTGCATTCTCGGCAATGCTCCCAGTCGTCCATGGGCACCCATTGACCGCGGCAAAAGCTGTACCAGAAGCCATGGAAATCGTTGGGGTTGCAATTCCCTAACGCGCCACGCAGCAGCTCGAATTCCAAACGCTCGCGGTCCTCTTTCAGCTTTTTCGATTTGGAATTTTTGGCCTTCAACCACTTGTCTTCCCAATCTTTAAAAATCCTGTTCTGCTTTTTTATAGACGCCCATGACGCGTCGTCATACAACAGCATATCTACCATCAGATCCACGTCCAACTCGTCGATATTTGGTTGGTTCGATAACCACGTTGCAAAACAAGGATTCGCGTCGCAGGATTTAGGAAACTTGCTGGGAGGCCCGAAAAACGTTGTCAAGTCCTGAAAGGGGTTTCCGCAGGCGGGGCCGCAGGAGCACAATTTGCCGCATTTCCGTCCATATCTGCTACAAGCACACGATGTGCAGGCCTTCTTTTTTCCTCTGCCCTTTTTACAGGCGCATCTGGGTTCCGAAGATTTCGTGGGCTCGTCGCTGGTGTTTCGATTGAGACTTGGGCCAGGCCGGGCATTCGGAACTGGACTGGGAGTTATCTGGAGATGAAGAGTCAGAATGTGCGGGAAATATTCGGCGCTGGAAGATGATTACGTACCCCAATGGAATCAGCCTCGTCGGCCGTCTCCCCTTGAGCGTCTTCGTCGCTGTCCCCCTCATCCGGTTCCGGCAGTGCTGGACTCTGGTGATGTCCATTGGCGCCTGTTCGGTTAGGCGGCGGAATGCTGTACTGGGAGTTGATCACCGCCTCGGATGGCGGGGTATACTGGGAGTTGACTACAGCGTCGGGATACGACAAAGTCTGGGCATGGTGGGTGGTGGGATGCGGGACGGACTGGGACCCATATACATCATCAAACTGCTGTGACAGGCCGTGTGGTGGCACGGAACCTGCGGAGTGCCCCTGAAGATCCGAGAGCGACGTGGCAGCACTGCTTCCGGGGATGGGTGAAGGGGAGTATGTCTCTGCACCTGTGGAGGTCGAGTTGCGTGCGGTCACGGGAGAAAAGGGCGGGTTCTGGATGCTCGAGACAATGTCAGGACTATAATAGCCGGCAAAGGCTGCACTGTAGTCGCTCGGGGGCGGCAGACCGTGGGCTATGGTGTAACTATTGGCGTGCGGATGCGGGTCATACGGTTCACCATATGCTGCGGCGGGGTAGTCATTGTGCTGGGCGGCCGAGACGTACGAGCTGTAGCCGACGTCCTGGCGGGTGGAAGGTATCGTAGCAAAGGTGCTATCGTATACGTTCACGTTCACGTTTGCGGAGTGGGAGTGGGAGTGGGAGTGGGAGTACAGGGCGACGTTGACGTCTGCGGCGCCGGCGACGTCGAGCTGCGATGGTCGTCCTCTGAGTGCCGGAGCAGTCTGCGGGGTGAACTCGTTGGATGTGTTGCTGCGCATGCGCTTGGCCGATTGTGGCTGTTGCGACATTGCAATTGGCCTGTAGAGGCTATTGCTCCTATGCGCGATCCATCTGCAGCAATCGGACTGTATCTGCTCTGCTTCGAGTTGGTATGTATACGTATGCGTATGGGTATGCGTATGTGTATGTGTATGTGCACGGCTGGAGGCGGACTGGCTTGGGAGTCGGGAGCCCTTTCAATTGAGATTGGGATTGGGAGTAGGGATGCCGAATCAGGTCACAATTTTGACTGATCGGCGGGCCACACACACCCTGCGCCGTCAGGGATGTCATGGCAGAAATCGATGTGGCGCTCTGAACACCCCGCCATGGCCATGGTGTTCGCCCACCCCCCCTTGTTGCCGATCTCAGGTTAGCCTGGCTGGCCCGCAGCCTTGGCCGTCCAACTTGCCGCCCGCTCTGCCACCTTATCCCACCCTCCAGTGCCTGCTGCCGCAGTTGACGTCTTGCTGACAGGATTAGTTTGCCCTAGCTACATATATCTATGTCATCTCGAAAAAGGGTTCGCTCCAGTTTTCCGGACGTTTTAAGGCACAGACGTTGACCCATGCCCGTGGTATCCAAGTGCCCCTCACATGTGACTATACCGGCACGATTGCCTTGCGGGCCAGGGGGAGTGCCGCCCTCGTTCTCCCTCTCCCTCTCCCTCCCCCTCCCGCCTGCGCTCGGCATCCTCACTACGAGCATGCATACAATCTACTTGAGAAATTGAGATTGAAGTTTCCCAACTAGTCGAGGCCACTCGGATTCGATGAGACCCCTACCAGGAGGCAGAGAAGAAGGTTGAGTATATCCGGTGTGGGGCGGGGCTCTTCTCTCAGCTGATGGCCCAGCATCAGCCGCGTTTTCACAGCAGTGTTGGACAGTTGACGACATCTACCCAAGTGCAATCCAGTTTGTGCCAACCCTCCGTGGACAGCCGGCGTCACATCAAGCAGGGCTTGTCGAAGTCCACCCTGGTACATTCGATCCAGATATGTATTTCCTTCGAGGCAATTAGTCTCTTTGAGGTAGACCCGGCAATACCAAGTCGTTTACCATTCTTGTTAAATTAGTATTGGATGGCGATCCCGACAGCCCAGCGAGTCTGAATATGGAAGACTTCCGGCACGAAATCCAGACCTTTCAGCTCTGAGGCGTTGTCATGCGTCTGGTGCTTAACAGAAATTCACAAGCCCGCCATTGTTGACTCCATGGACACTCGCTACGAGCTTGACGTTACTGATTATCATGAGGTTGCCGTTCGGCGTTTGTGTTGCCAGGGTCGGTCACGTGTCATGTGGATTGATGACCTTTCTATCATCAAGCAGACTCGGCCAATAACAGTCAGATCTCCGTTATGGGTTTCCACTTACGATCGGTCCAAGCAAGGCGTTGTTTGGCTGGGTGCAGAAAGCAACGATGGTAATCTGACCTTCGAAGTCGTCGATTTTCTGGTAGAGGAAGCTGACATGGAATGGGTCAAATTTCGAAAACTGTGTGCTTATCTATGCGCGATGACATTCGATATTGGTACTTTCAACGATACGGATGTCAGGTCTTGTAATACACGCCGGCGACTGCTACTCAATCTTGCAGCTCACGTCTTTGGTATTTGGCGTTCCGACACCTTTCGGGATCTTCTTCGTAATCCTGTTTGTGCAGATTCGCGGGACAAAGTGTTAACTACACAAATGCTCCTCAGGCGGTCAAAATGGGGACCCCTTCAACCGCGGCCCAGGGCTGGTTTCTCAACTGCAGATTTTCACAAACAGGTAACTCGAGTAGTCGAGTAGTAGAAGAGCAGCTGACGACTAGCTTTCTCATCACCTGTAAGCTGGCTTCAGTCACACCCTCCGAGTCGGGCTCCAAACTGGGCAAGCCAAACAGTAACATCGGATTTGCACACGAAATCTGGAGCGCCAGCGCCTAGATGTCCGCCCATGCCGAGCTCGCAGAAATATCTTTGATTTTGCCGGAATTAGGATAGATCGATTGGATCATGTGTGCGGACCGAGGTTCGAGCAGACGAGGTCACTATGCTGTCATCAACGTCCTGAGAGAAATGCGCCCAGAACTGTGCGCTGACCGGGCTGACTACTCCATGCCGCAGTATGGCATGAAACATTTATAGAGCTATCGTCGAGCGTTCGCTTTGAAATTCTTTGAAGACGGCCATTTGCCTGATTCCACGCCCTTGTCTCGAGAGATGTTTACAAAATGCCAACAAGTATTGGAACTGATTTGGACGTCCACAACTTCTTGGTGTGAGCTCACATGGACAGACCAGGCCGTTGCTGCGAAAGCGTATTTGCCCTTATATCATCGAAATCTTGTTGGTCGTTGTTTCTTCACAAGTATTACCGGCTACAATGGGCTTGTACCAATTGACGCGGGACCTGGAGAAATAATAAGACAACTCTTGGTTGTCCAAGCCTAATGATTCGTCGACCAACCCGATCTAGCTCGTGGCAGGTCTTGGGAGCCCGTTATACTAAGAGGTTAATATCAGGTGATGCAACTCATGGAAGTCTTCCCATCCATTATAAGCCAGGATCTGACTTCAGAAACCAAGATGAAATTGATAATCTGAACTTCGCTGTCTATGACTTCCAAGATAGCACATGGATATGTGATCCGGCTATTATTCTGAACGAGATGGCGGTTCAACATGCGAAGTACGAGTGAGAGTCAGACCTGTTGGAAGTAGCGCCTGAAGGATTGCGAGAAGTTGGAGTGAAACTGGAGAAATTTTAGACTCGTTTAAGGGTTTGAATTCCTGGACCAGCCAAGTATGTTGCACCGAAGGTTGGTTGTGGATATATAAAGTACCTTGGCTGCCACTTTGGCAATGGTGCTCTTTCCACTACCAGGAATCTACGGCAGGCATCTCGTCCCCCACAACTCAGCATCAGAGTAGCCGATCTTCGGCTGCTAAACCACTAGATGTACCGCTTTGAATCCACATTATGGTTCATGGGTAATACAGAGCGAGATTCTTAGAGTAGGGTCTTGTTCGTAATCGACATGGATTGGTTGGGAGACGATACTGGCCGCACCGAAGCTGCAGCACGAGCCCCCTCGTTACATGCAGTGTAACCTCATTTTACAGGGCCAATTCTGCATCGCAATGCAAGTGTCGTAAGCAGCACCAGCAGTCCGATAAGGAAATAGTGTATCGACTGTCTTTTATATAATACTGAATGCCCAAGACCAAAATGGGTTCATGTCCTCACTTTCCCGAATAGACTTCAAAATCGTTGATTTCTTGATTTGGTACTAATGGCACGTATTATAGATACCGGCGTTGATGTTGAGACTACTTTGGAGGACGACAACTCATATGGCCACGAAAAGACTGAGACAGTTACCCAAGCGACTCCTCACCAGAAGCGCCACACAATAAACTCCCTTGAAGTAAGCGACTTGACCAGCTTCTTGCCATTCGACGTGTACTGATGATACAACCTAGCGATACATCCGGCTTCCAACCATCGTCTTCTTCGGTGTGGTTCTTCTGGCATCGTGGGAATCATTTGCCGTTACGTTTCAATTCGCCCTGTTGAATGGTGGGCCAGCGTCCATGCTCTATGGGAGCATTCTCGCCGGTATTGGCGTGATCACGATTGGACTATCTCTGGCCGAACTGGCTTCAATGTAAAAACACCCAGACCAATATTGTTCACACTTTTATCTGATTGCTACAGTGACCCGACTGTAGGTGCCCAGTATCGCTGGTCTGCAAACCTAGCCCCGGCCGCTCCACGATTCTGGGGACTCATGCAAGGCATGCCACGGAATGCTTCCCAGATTGTCTGTACTTGCTAACTTTATGCCAGGTTGGATGACAGTATCAGCTTGGTGCTTTGCTTGCGCAGGGCCGACTTCATCCCTGTCGCTTTTGATAACGTCACTGGTTACGTTCAACCAGGAAACGTATGTCCCAGAACGTTGGCACACGAGCTTGATCATGATTGCTACCATGATCATTCCACTACTGTGCAATCTCTGGTTCCGAAAAGTCTTGAATATCTTGGAGACATTTGGCGGCATCTTGCACATTTGCCTCTTCGTCGTCTTCATTGCCGTCCTTGCTGCAATGGGGTCGAAAAGCGACACGGATTTCGTGTTCAGGACGTTGACCCATGATGTCAGTGGGTGGTCAGATCCAGGAGTTGCATGGTGTCTGGGCCTACTCTCTGCCACGTTTTCGTTATCTGGAGTTGACAGCGTGCTGCACATGAGTATGTATGATCTCCCCGTCCCTTCACGGACCAGAAAGCTGACCTGGAGTGTCAGGCGACGAAGTCAAGGATGTCTGGACTCACATTCCTTACAGCATCATATGGGCTTGCGTTACTAACTCTGTTATGCTATTCATCTTCGTTGTTGTCCTGTTGTTCTTTATCGGACCGCTCAACAACGTCACGACAGCCCCCTTGCCTCTCATCTACGTTCTCTATGACGCAACAAATTCCAAGCCTGCGACAAACGTCCTCGTCATCTTCATCTCAATCATCTATTTCTGCGCCATGTTCAACATATTCGCCTCTGTCTCGCGCCTGATCTGGGCATTCGCGAACGACCACGGACTCCCCTTCTCCGGCTTCTTCGCCTACGTGCACCCGACACTCCAGGTCCCCACCAACGCCCTGATGCTCGTGGGCGCCATCGTGGTCCTGCTGTCGCTCATCTACATCGGCAGCGCCACCGCGTTCAACGCCATCATCTCCCTGCAGACGCTGGGCCTGTACACCTCGTACTTCTTCCCGATCCTGTTCATCCTGCTGCGCAAGCTGCGCGGCGCCGCGGCGGAACCCCCGTACGGCCCGTTCCGCATGGCCAGGCGCTCCGGCATGTTCGTCAACGCCTTTGCCCTGTGCTATCTGGCCTTCATCATCACCTGGATGCCGTTCCCGTCGGTGCTCCCCGTCGACAAGGACAACATGAATTATGCGGGCCCCATCTTTGGCGGCATGGTCTTGCTGGCGCTGGCCGATTGGTGCATCAATGGGAGAAAGAGGTTCCGGATGCCAGTCAAGAGGTACGGATGAGTTTAGCAAGAAATTGCTTGTGCAGTTTGTCCACAGCCTGGCTTGGTGTCATATCGGAAGACTGTCGGTGGCAGTCAAATTACAGCCTTGTTTTCTGGATAGTTTCGGTGCCGAGATGGCTGATCTGTGGCCGTAGTTCCACCTGGCTTGTTGACACTTCCCAGGCAGTCTGGGCTGCACATAGTCTTTGAGCATCCCACCCCGATGGGAGGCCAAGTAGAGAATGAATGAAGGATAATTGAAACAAAGTTGTTACTATCTCAATGCGGCCACTTAGGACAAAATGAATAAATAACTAAAAGGGACTTGAGTAACTCCTCAGACGTGACTTCAGAGCAAGAGAGCCTGTCTGCAGATCCATCCATTAAATATATGGTCACGAGATTGGGCACACCTCAGCTTTGTGGTCTATAGGCTACACACAATCATACAGTACGGGAATAGAACAACAATGAGCCGCCGGCACTCAGCGAGCGACCTGGATTCGTCGACGCGAATCCATGATAACGGAGTAGTGGGAAAGATTCAAGTCATGCCCAGTGATCACAGGACCGGAGACTAATGCGGGGAATGTTATGTCCACGGGCTGCCAAAGTCTTGATAAAATTCTTCTATCACATCAAAGTCGGAAACAAACTCTTGTGAGTGACGATATCTTTGCAAAAACGTTCCGAGACGCATTCTGATGCCCAGGGTCATATGGGAAGCATTGAGGGTGCAATGACGCACGACGAAAGATGCGGGCAGAGCGGGAGTCGGGGGGGACAGTGCCTGATGTTGCATCGTTGTGCATATCGTACGAGTTGGGGAAACGCAACAGTCGAGAAGCGAGGTGGCGACCTTTGAGGGGCGGAGGGTCACGCTTCAGAGATGAAAAGGCCACGAATTTAAAAAAGGGGGTCAGTTGACAGCGCCTGTGGACTTTTAAAAAGTTGATAATGATGTATAAACTCTTGGAACTGTCGTAGAGTAGGGAAACATTAACGCGCAGAAGGAGGAGCAGGTGGCTCGGTGTGTGTGACAATATACAGCATCAATGGTGAAAGTGGTGACGAAGACGGAGAGTGAAAGTTTATTTGCTTTGATTCATACTGCGTATGCTGTGCTATGCTATCCTTCCAGTCCAACAGGCCAGAGCACTCATTTGCTCGATATACCGTGGCTCCAACAGTACGTGATTCGAAGACGAAAACTCATCGATCATTCTTCGAGGCCTGTGGCGATGCATGCTGAATGTGAAAAAGATGAGGATACGAAAAGAGTGTTTCATCTGGAGTGCAATAGTTGACGTCTCCTATTTCTGGAAGCGGTCGATGCCCTTCTCCATGCGTCGGTGGACGCTCTGTGCAATCTTCTCGAGGGGTAGTCGATCATCAAGCTTCTTCATATTCTTGGATGCATGGGGCTCGACACGTTGAGCGACTCGCTGGGCGGGTGGTGCGAAGTAGGAGATGTTGCGTTCCCATCTGGGTGCCCACTTCAGGGTTTGTGCGGCCATACGCTCCTCGGCGCCGGGGAGGATCATGTAAAGAGGAGCAAAGCCGGCAATACCAGCTGCGGCGAAGGCGGCACCCTCGGTGCGACCGGCCTTTGGGAATCTGATGGGCATGATGATTTAAATGTAATTTATGTTGTAGGGTTCTAAGATTGTGGTGACGAACTGTGCCGCGATGACTACAGCTTCAGTTGTGTTTGTAGAGGATACGCCTGTTCGAGTGATATCAGGCAGCGATGACAGGTTGTTGTGGTCAATCTGGCGAGGTAATCTACAAGAGATTGTTGTTTCTTGAGATGTTTGTTAAAAGTTGATGATGGATTGGATGGATGGGAGAGATCTGGTGTAACACGAGAAGAAGGAGAGATGAATGAAAAGATGGGAGAGATGTCTCTAAATAGGGGGCCGGATTTGCCCAAACATCTCCCGTACTCACTATGTTCTCACCTTGATCACATCCGGTCTGGGGAATGCGGACAATGGAAGCGGGGTAAACCAATAACGACAGGCCATGTTGTTGCGGTATGGGATGATGAGCCAATCATACGATAAATGAACCAGGATTTGCTGCTTATTAGGTTGCGCCATTGGAGTTAAAGCCCTTTTCCCCAGAGCTGGATCTGCTTGTGTAGGTCAATGTGAGCTCACATGGGCTGTGCCAATTTCGCCGTCGCCCTTGCGTTTCGTCCGCTGCTGGGACGCTTTGGTCGGGGCCATGCTGGCTGACTCGAGGCGTCGTATCGCACGGCACTGACGTGTGGCCACAAACTCAAACGCCTGGGGAGGGTGCTTGGGGGTTCGATCATGCGACTACTACCACCACCGATAGCTGCAAAAGAACCTGTAAGGCACTCCCGTCACTCGTTAGTTATTTCATGAGGCTCTGCTCTAAAAAGTTGCGGTTAGAGCCTCAATATGACGACGACTAGACAAGTTCGACTATACGACCATACAATCACCATATCAGAAATCGATCTCACGTGCGCTGTAGTCGTAGAACATACTAAGGGTCTCACGCTAAGCCCCAGACTTCCCCAGATTCACGCGCCGCTGGTGGGTCGGACGGGGCGGGTGGACACTGTCCCCACCGGAGAGAGAGCCGCTGTACAGAACGTGCAATAATCCGTCTGACACGGTGCTGATCTGATCAATTCGTGACCGACCACTGACCACGAGCGGGCTCGCAGCAATTTTTTGGTTGATCGTTTGGGTTGGAACTACTCAGAGGGGCCGATCTGTGGGCTACTGCTGTGATGTGGCGAGAGAATTTAAATGCATCGCCTTGGAAACACATGATGCAGCGCCTTGTGGTGGCTTGCGAACTGTAGAAGAAGGATGGCCTGGCTTGCATTGTTTTCGTGAGGCGTTTGAAGAGAATTGATTGTGCTTGCAGACTCGAGGTCCTTCAGCAGCAAGTAGGACACGCTTGTCCTTTCATTGCGTGTGGGCCTGTTGCGGCTGCACCTACTCCGTAGTCCGTACGCCTGCAATGGGCAGTGAGCCAGAGCAACAGCCATGAGCGGAAGTTTGTTTGACCGTTACGTGAAAGCCCACTATCGTGTTCCACTACACAAATTTCCCAACTACAAAACTCGATGCAAGAACTTTCTTTCCAGCTTCCTTCCATATCTTTCCCTCTGCACTTCTTGTGCCGACGATTTGTCTCCCCGACAATGGACACGCATTGTCTTTTGGCAACATGACTTGCAATCATGCATCTGCTCCTCATCCGTCACGGTGAGAGTGTTGACAATGTCGCGAATCTCTAGTAAGTTCATATGCTTGCCATCGACATGTTCGGTGCCGTCTGACACAATCTAACTATTGCCCAAGTGCAGGGTCTCGCGATTCTCCTTTGACAAGTCATGGCGTACTACAGACACGACGCTTAGGTGCTCACCTCGCATCGCGTCGTAGTATTATCGGGCCCATCACGCACATCTTCACGTCCAATCTCCAGCGAGCATATCGTACAGCTGAAGCTATTGCTGAGGCACAACGAGGAGCTGCTGCGGGCTCAGATAAGAACGTTGCCACACTGAAGGTCGTACAGCTGGCCGAGCTTCGCGAGAAAGACTTTGGATCTGGCGAAGGGGTCAAGTACAAGGCACTCGCGACTGGCCGAGCTGATGGCTCTATCGCATCAGACTCGGAGACACGCGAGGCCATGATGGTTCGAGTGAACCGTTTCATTGTCGATGAGCTTGTCTCTGTTCTCGAAGCGCATCAGTCCGAGAAGGTCACTGCCGCCATTGTTGCACATGGACTTATTCTCGGTACGCTTCTGCAAGCTCTAATCACTAGCTTCCCTGTTCAAGTCGCATCTGCGACATCCCCAGAACTCGGTCGACCTGGAGCTGCCTGGAGCAATACGGGCGTCCTTCAAGCGAAGATCGAAGGGGTTGCTAGCCTTCGCACCACAGCCGCTCTGTCTGGAACCCCTTCTCCATTGGACCGTGCTGCCCAATCAGGCATTGGTGACGATGTTGACGCTACCTCGAGTCGATTGACCATGACGGTGCAGCACATCAACAATACTGATCACCTCGGTGGCTTGAAGAAGACCAGGGGTGGTATTGGTAGCGCCAAGTTCGACGAGCGGCAACGTCCAGTTACTGCCTTCTTTACACCCATTTCAAAAAAGCGTAAAGCAGAGGACTATATGCAGTGACTACGGCTTATCCTCATGACGTAAACCAACTCGACCGAGCCTCACTTAGCTCACCATTCAGCAACTCCGCAGTCATCTGTCTACATGGTACGTACGCACATATTTACTACACTTTTCTTCTAAATGATTTGAACCGAAACATTCACAGACCTGTTCTGAACTATAATGTGGATAAAATGTCCAACCGCTATATGACACTCTCCATCTAGCAACTTCTTGTGGATTACTTTGAAGTATTCATGCTAACTGGATTACGATAAACAGACATCAAGGTGACTGCCCCGTCCTGTCGCTGGAAGCCACTTTACCAATAGCGCATCTCTGGCAACCGCGGTCGTGCCGTGATAGAGAGCATTGTGCACTTGCCTCAGTCTTGTAAGACCCAAAAAGTCGAAACCTTGCGCTTCTGGGCAATCGAAGTGAAGAAGTGGTTGAATGGTTGAAGTCCAAGATGACCTCTCATGCCAAAGTTCTTTTGCATGTCTCCAGTGCGGAGTATTCTTGCCTTGATAGGAGTCTGGTTCATCACTAATCGTTGACCCGTCTTTTTGGCTTTGTTTCAACGCAATCCGTCATGACTCCGTTTCATCGTAGGGTCATCTGGGCCAAGAGACTAGTTTTTCACACAAGATATTGTGATATTCGGGACTGCATCCGGCGAGTGTATCAAGTTTCGGATTAGTGTAGGTTCCTGAATGATTCCATGTTGAGGCCAATAGTTTTACAGCAATAATGTCTTCTTCGCAGTCGACAATTTGCATTACACAAACAATACAATGAACTATTACTGAACACGACATGAGTGTCAATGCAATGTGTCTGTCAGCCACATGTGACGTGCAGTGTTGGTGCCACCCTTGAATCGCTTTTGCACATGATATGGAAAGGAACAGACCGGATGAGCAATGTTGTAACATTTTACAGCCTCGACAGTTTATGGTCAGTTGGCAACATCAGAGGCTGCTGGACACTAGCCATAAGGTTTGCATGATCTTTCCCAGAAGCCATTTTCTTGTTGCCACGCCACAACATTCAGTCCGAGTCATCATCATCGTCTATCTCGTCATCTTCCTCTGACGGCAATGAGCGTGGAAACCAACCATATTCAGCAAAATCCACAGTCAACTCTCCTAATGATCCTGTTGAAACCACAACCCCTTCTGCCTGCAGAGCAGCAGCTTGTGTGCGGGCTCCTGACGGTTGCGACCTGGTGATGACGATCAGTTACCTGCTCAGTAGTAGATTATCCGATTGCACAGGCTCACCTCGGCGAAATTACACCCTTGGCGTTGATGACGCGCTGCCAGGGGACATTACCGTTGTTGAATCTTGCACCTTGATCTTGGGGTAGGTGCTTCAAGCATACACCGACTTGACGCGGTCGCTGTGCTGCGGAACATGTCAACATCAACTGCTTGATATGTACGTGATGAGGCGGTACCCACGTGTACCAACAAGCTTCGCAATATGCCCATAGCTCGTTACCTTGCCAGGCGGGATCTCCTGTACCGCCCGATAGACAGCTGCGAAAAATGCAGCAGCCTCGTCCGACCTCGCCATCAGGTGTATATACTTTGTGTGACGATCACGCAGTAATCACATAACTGGTCGGTTTTCTTGGGAGAGGCACAAATAGCTAAGGCTAACTGCTCATCAGTAAACGAGTTCTGTGGTTCGTGCCCACTGGAGAGCGTCACCAAGTGGAGACAGTGGTACTAGTCAGGGGCCCTAAGGCTGCGCTAAGCATTGTCCTCGGCGGCACCTTCTCAGCCTGGCGAACGACAAGCCGACCATTTGACGATGATCCAGTAGAGATGGACGTTACTTTGGGAGGGTACCACATTTATGCCGCATACAAAGGACGATGCATACTCCGATGCTCGCAGAAATGCAACTGCGTTTAGTAGCACCATGACGACAAACTCTCTTACCCCGCTCCCTGGATAGCATATAAACCGACCCTTGAACTTCCATTTCCCAGAATAGTCCTCATCATCTTAACTCATAAGTCCCTACTGAAACCACCAAAATTAATCCTACTATCTATCGTATGCATCGTTCTCAATGTAACCTTTCAGCATATGCCGTGTGTGGAAGTACTGACCAGCTTTTCCTAGAAATACTTTCCGGTACGCGTCGCCATGTCGACGGCAAAGACGGAAACCATGTCCTGGAATGGGTTATCCAAATTAGGTGTTGATCAATTCACATGATCGACGATGAAGTCTGTCAGGTAATGACTCGAAGTGAGCCATGAGCCGGTGTTCGGGATTCTGCGTCCAGTCTCCTCGTGAATCCACCCACTTGGCATCTTTTGAGATGTGCATGGTGGAGATTCTCAAGGGGACAGGGCATTGCAGATCTTGTTCTGAGATTATACGGCCTTTTAACTTGATCTGGATAATACCAGCGAAAGGATCATGCTCCAATGCCTCCCCTTCCCATGGTGAACTATAGCTGACTCATCTAGACCAACAACTTTATTATAAACATACACCATGGCTCCCTCTGCTATGTCCGTAGATGTCGTTGAGCCCGCCACTCTGCCTAACAAGGGCGGTATCCCTGTGGGTAGCACCAAGCTCGGTGGCAACGACAAGGCGTCCGTCGATGTTGCGGATGGCAAATGGAAGAACTTCACTTTCGAGCCTATCCGCGAGTCGCAGATTGCTAGGACCATGGCCCGTCGCTACTTCAACGACCTCGACAAATATGCCGAGTCCGACATTGTTATCGTCGGAGCTGGTTCTTGTGGCTTAAGCACTGCTTATACACTTGCCAAGGCCCGTCCCGACTTGAAGATTGCAATCATTGAGGCTAGTGTCTCGCCAGGTGAGTAGCTCCGAACCGTCCCTTGAGTCTCGTGTCTGACTCTTTCACAGGTGGTGGTGCCTGGCTTGGAGGTCAGCTATTCAGCGCGATGGTCATGCGCAAGCCAGCTGACGCTTTCCTCACTGAGATCGGAGTACCTTTCGAGGAGGAGGGCAACTACGTCGTCGTCAAGCACGCCGCCCTCTTTACATCGACCCTCCTTTCTAAGGTCCTTTCCTTTCCCAACGTGAAGCTCTTCAATGCAACTACCGTTGAGGACCTCATCACTCGTCGTGATGACACTGCCCCAGGTGGCATTCGCATTGCCGGTGTTGTAACCAACTGGACCCTGGTCGCCATGCATCACGATGACCAGTCCTGCATGGATCCATCGACCATCAACGCACCCATCATCGTCAGCACGACCGGCCACGACGGCCCCTTCGGTGCTTTCTCCGCCAAGAGACTCGTTTCCATGGGCGCGCTCGAGAAGCTCGGCGGCATGCGAGGTTTGGACATGAACACTGCTGAGGACTCCATCGTGAAAGGAACTCGCGAGATTGTTCCCGGTCTGATCTGTGGAGGCATGGAGCTGAGCGAGGTCGATGGCGCCAATCGCATGGGACCTACCTTCGGTGCTATGGCTCTGTCTGGTGTCAAGGCTGCCGAGGAGGCTCTCGCTGTCTTTGATCTTCGCAAGAAGCAGAACTCTATCTAGAATTGTTCGGGTGTGGTTACATGAGCTGCATGTAAGATTTGTTGCACGCGAAGGTATTCATTCTTTTTATCCTCGGCTTGGATCACTGAATGGTGAGAGGTTGTGGCCAGGATATATAGGCACCAGAACACGTTCACTGCTTTGCGTTCAACTACCTCTTATATGTCTAGAACCTGTGCTTTTGTGTGTGACATGACGGGTCATGTATTGAGTGTTCTCGTACTCATGACCCCAAGCTCCTCTGACTGTATTCTCTTCCCTCCCACAAACTGTCATGCGATATGTTGGCTTGTATTATTAAAAGCAAATTCGGATCCCCACTTCTGTCTTCTTGACGATGGCCAGGCCCTTCCCGTTGAAGTCTACAAGGATTGAGCAAGTGGATGCTCACTTCGTTGTGGTCTGCTCATGTGAAATCGCTGTTCGTCACTCCATCTAAACTCCTCTAGTCCCCTACGTCCTTTTGTCATATCTTTGTTTAGGTAGGCGATTTCGTGCCGCAATTACGAGAGTGTTATCAATGGGATCCACAATACTCTATGCTATTATGCTCCAGCTTGGTTTGTCTGTCTCCAAAATCGAATTACATGTAGAAATCAGTATAGAACAGATGCGGCCATAACAAAGGAAATTGAGAAAGATTTGGTCATGTTGGCAAAGACAGAGCGCGAGCTTTTTGCGCCCAAATAATATGCTATATGAAAGAGTTTTACATTGCATCCCTCTCCGACTCCCCTTCCATATCCTCCCTTCAACGCTTTAAACCACTATCAATGTTTTCTGTAAGATGTGTTAGCGTTCATGACAATAACAGTAGGTATGCGGTGTACGACTTACTTTTTTGGGTCTTCCCGTGTTGCTTACAGCATCTGTGTAGGCGGGGATTGTTGCATTAAGTTAAGCTTCCCCAACTCTGTTTATCATTTCACCTCTAGAATAATGTTTCGATAGGGATAGTTTGGCCTACCTTCTTTGCGACGACACGGTCAGAAGCCTCCACAGTCCGCCCCGCTGCTTCCCACCGCCGAAGCCTCCGAAGTGACGCCCGCTAGTGCAGCAAGGGTCTCGTCTGAGGGCACTGTCATCTAAGAAGGAGCCTGTGTGGTGGTCATTGTAGTTGGACCGGGTGTCGGTTGAGTTCAACTAACTTGCGACCGTTGAGTTGTTACGTCAGCGGTCGCAACACATAACCTTGAGGCAGATACGGGCTGCTCTCGTTGAATATTATCAGACTTAAGACTTGACCGCATATACCAAACTACATATTCGATGTCCACCATCACGATATTTATCACTAGTTCCACGGAGCTCATAATCGGCATTTATTCCACATGTCTAGATGACAAAGATGCCGTCGTGAGTTTTCTCCACCTAGTTGTATGGATTCTGTTTCTATAAGTAACTATTTGTCACATAAAGGGTCTGAAGTTTTTATCCGTCAACATATTTGCTGTTTAGCTTAAACGAAAAAGTACGACCATTCTCCTCTTTCATGTTTGAAACCGCCCCGCTATCAGCAGATCAACTTCTGTAACACTCTTTTACACCTGTCCCTGTAATTGTATCTAACATAGCTTGTCATAACCTGCCTGGATTACCCACTTAGCAATGTCGATAGACAGCGATCAGGACTGACTTCCTGTTGGTGGGACAAATGAAGCTGTAACATATCCCAGTGCGTATAGGATATGCTTTGGCTGTCTTTGTGTGGAATGCTACTCAAATATCAGTAATTTGTACTTGAGCAGCATAAAGTGACGCATTAAGCTTTAACTTCTGGGCTATATACTCACCCAGCAGGAGCCGAAGCCAATACATGTGGTAGGTTCAGTTTTGGTGGAAGCAGTACCACCGCCGCTGCTCCCAACACTCCAGCTGCCGTCGAAGATATAGCTGGGCACCGTATCATGTCGTCAGGCGTTTAGTTATCGTGATATCATGACGTGGGAACGTCTTCAACTATCTAGGTGAGTAGATTCAGCGTATAATAGTATTGTTGTCGGGATAACGAATCAAGCAATCTCGAAAGCGTTAATATTCTTCATATTTATCATCGCCACTGAGTTCAGGATGCGCGGTGTGAAGTGGCTCTGGTTGGAAAAGCCACAACACGGTACATCAAAGTCTACGAATGGCTAATATTCAGTTGCCACACTGGTCACTTTAGTGATAATGCAGCTTGTGTGCCCATTACTTATATTTGCTATTAAAGCCATGAGGGCTAAATCATGGCGTTTGTGAACGGCCTCCTTCTCCTTTATAATTCATCACCCTCGGCCTGAATATGTCACCACTTTCTGAGTCTTCCTGTGATCTATTTGATCAGCTGGAAATAATCTGTTAGCGGCCATCTTTGGAACCAAGTTGATGCCGGACTTGGCGCCACTCGCACGTCTTGGTGAGGAGTTTGCACCAAAATCTGGAGACGTCGACGTAGAACATAAAGATTACCGTGAGCGTCGCGACTGCAACGAAGATGCCTGTGGTGACATTTGGCGGTGTGGAGAGGTCACGCGTGATCAAGCCACTTGTGTCGCTGCGATGAATTAGCTGCGGAGCGCGAAGACTCCTCTTACTAGACATAACTTTCCCACTTCTCTATAGCACCCTTGCAGACTTCTTTCACTGACACATCGTACTCAGAATGAAGGAGATGACGCGCAATCGCGGCGGCGATGAGGTATATGATATCGAAGAAGGCGAGCCTGGCCATTGTGCGTAGTAGAATGTGTAGAAAAGAAGTGTGTGAAATGATTGGAAAGAGAGTAACTAAACCCCCCTTGCCATTAATCCCAACACCCATGCCCCAAAGATGTTGGCATTGCCCTCAGCAATGCCATGCAGGCGTGTATATTTGCCATATTGCGAGGGTGGCAATGCAGCGCAACGTCGCGACAACAACTAGTGGTTGCAGCAACAAGCAACGTTGATTTTCAAAACGAGCCCGCAATACCGACTTAGCATGCCAAATTTGCAATCGTTGTCAGCAAAAGTTCTCTTGTCAACTTTTTACAACTAGCAAAATAGTATGACCGTCGCAGAGTCGTTGGTTTAGCCAGGGCCATCAACAAATAAATATATAGTATATCATCCTCTTTAGCAGCATAATAAGATAAGAAGCGATCAAAATAAAGGCCTGATTGAATCTTTAACCCTGGGGAGTCGTTCATGAAAGGAAACATCCAAATCACCCTTCACTTAACGGGAAGGTCCTTTTATACTACATTAAAAATAATACATGTTTCTCAGAAAGACCATTTCTATTACAACCACAAAGAGGCCGGAACTAGTCAGAGCTTGTTCTATAAGAGACAAATAGAGCCAGCCGATTTGATATTTATAGATTATGTAAAGGAAAGAGTCCATAAGTACAGGTCTACGGGAATGAAACCCCCAGTTTGATTATGATTGCCTAGTTTGCAAGATGTCCATGACACATCTGTAATGAAATTACAGATGAATTTAAAAGCATCAAATTATGTACGCCCTCGGACAATGATGGGCTAGCATAACTTCCTATTAATTCTCGTCACTCAATAAGACGGAGCAACAGCAGGAGGCGGGGCCAGTGGCTGCCTCAATAAGCAGACGTTTGTAGTCTTGTCAAATCCCGCAGCTCTATAACCATAACAAGCCAGAGTCTTCAGTACATTACTCGTTTATGGCTCAATTGACGACTCAGGTAACTTGCGTCCATAATTCAAATAATCGAATTTTCAGATATGGTAAAGTTCTGGCACATGCTGACGGTAGTCTGTTTGCAAATCGACACCGTCAACGATTGCTTCGATGGTTTCGAACCGCAAACCATAGACTATTTACTCACAAAGTAACGGCACAGGATAACGCGACAGACGCACATTGGCAATCGCGCGCAGAAAAGGTTGGAAGTAGCCTATATTGTAACGCTGAAAAAGACAGACGCTTGACCACTAGAAGCAAACAACTCCCTGCACTCCTTGCACCACGTAAAATTGCGTGGTATCATTAACCTAACGCCTTCGCTGTAATCAAAAAGAACCGCTTAGGTTTTACTCAAACGACCAAGTCACAGATACATTGCCAGGCCCAAGCCCGCCCACAAGTTCATTGAAGACAGCTTGTGTGCCATCGATATCGCCCCAAAGGCATGCATCGCATCTGTCGGTAACTTGTGCTTCAATCTCCTTGCCTTCGTGCTGGATGCGAATTTTGGCGTGACAGACAGCCGCGTTGTTGGGGTTCTCGCTATTGCTCAAAGCAACGTACTGGTCTTTGTTCAGGGCGACAATCTTCTGGTTGCTATAGTTGATTTCTCCACATGCGCCTTCTTTGATGCCCAGACCACCCTCTCTATCGTACCAGGTCATGTGGCCGTTGAAGACCTCGCTGGGGAGCGCCCGGACGTGCTCGAGAGCTGGTCGCGCAAAGCCGAGCGGAGCAAGGGCAAGTGTCAAAACCCGTTTTTGGAGCATGATTCAATTAGACTGTGAATAAAATTGAGGATAACGATTGTTTTACCCATTTTCCTCCTAGAAATGTCGATATTTATATTTCCATCGCATGAAGCAGGATCACCAAAAACCCTGGAGGACTTTAGCACCGGATCCACATAGTACGTAGTTGGATCATAGGATGCGACGTTGAGGTCATCGAAGGATCAAGTAGGTTGAGAGCGAAGACCAAAATAGGTATTTCAGATAATTCAACTTCCTTCCCGGCACTCATATGTTCTTTGCAGCCCCTTCGCCTTAATGAGGGTGTTACCTCATACAATAATTCTTGACTGCTGCATGCCAAGAGAAGGAATCCTCAGGCAACGTGTAGTATCCATTTCTTGGCAGCCTAAAAGTTATTTTCAGCAATTGTATACGAGCCTTGCATTGTAATAAACTAGAACAATGACGTAATTATGAGATTTCTGGATAATTGAACCTGCGCGCAGTGTTTACCTAATTACGGACAACTCGACATCTGAGTCAAGGCAAGTACAGAGATTGTTCAAGTCCACGCTTACAGCAGTCTTAAGCCAGGAAGGGAAGTTTGTACGATCTCTTCTCTACCAGAAGATTCGTATTAATAAAACTTTGTTTGGTTATTGGGTATGCATGTTCAACACTTGGTAATTCAATTTGCTTTTTGAAGTGCCATTTCCACATTTCCTGATGCTACAATAAAGTCATGCAGGATGATCAAAAGCTCCTAATCATATCAAACTACAACTATAACAAAGACTACCAAGTATTAGGTAATACGGTTTCTTATGAATACCATTACATTTAGGGACTTATAGAACAGTATTTCGATTTATGAATTAACAAGGTTCGATACAAATACGCTCATCTGCATGTCTAAGTATATACAGCACGGGAGATGTCGAAGGGTGGGTAGTACCAATAGTTTGCGGCTTACACGACATCATCAATTGTGTGTAACCAGTGGCTGCTACCATCCCGATGCCTCCGTATCAACTCGTACAGTAGCATGGATACGAAGGCAAGTTCCCTGGCAAAACACGGTCTCCCGCATACAGCTAGAAGCCAATCTCTCTTGGGATCACCAATCCTCCACGTGCTTTCCCTCAGAGTCGGCGCCTCACCATACGGGTTCATGTTTGTGCTCCCCGTGGTCTGTGTTCGGGATGAAACGAGGGAGTTATTGCAGAGATTCCGGAATGATCTATGAGTGCTTCTAACTAGCTATGTTGCTTCGTATGAGATCCGTCAAGCCGCTCAACGTTGAAGCAGATTTCCCAGAGATCATCTCCTTTGCGTGACTACATCTTTAAATCTTGTCTTGGCCTCATCCTACTCAAAGCTACAGACTTTGTAAGAACGACAGTTGAACTTGAGCTGAGTCTGAGAAAAAGTCTAGCGATGAAGACACACGAAGCTGTCGGTATTGCTACCACGGTGGTGGCCACAGTATTTGTCGGCATTCGTCTTTTCACCAGAGTCAAGATTACTCATGACAACCTTGGTCTCTCTGACTGTAAGTTTTTGCTCCTAATTCGACGTTTGCTGTCTGAGCTGAGATGCTAAATGCTCTTAAGACCTGAACATCGCCGCTTTAATTTCAGCATGGATATTCGCCATTTTGATATTTCCCTGTATGTTGTAAAAGATGTTTTCCATTCTCTGTCACAAAACGCTGATAGTCCGCGTAGTTGACCCATGGATCGACCGGCTCCTGGCAGCGGAAGCCAAATCTGAGCTTACGACAGACCCTGAACTGAAACAATTCTTTGCATATCAAGTCGAGAGAGTTTACGAGAGAGGCTTTAACCGCGTATGCCATTACTGCCGCTCGGTCAGCCGGCAATCGCATCGCCTTCTAATCTTCCTTTTCACAGTTCAATGCGGTGACCAGCATATTTTTTGCCCTGGCGCTTACCTTTGCCCGACTCTCAATCCTCGTCTTTTACCTACGCTTGTCGCCGGTCCGCTCCTTCCACTGGGCCGTCCATGCGGTAAGCACGTTCTTGGGCTTAAATACCTCATTATCGGTTGTGCTTTCGCTGTTGGTTTTCGACAATAACGCAGAGTCGAAGATAAGAGCGGCAGACCAGGCTCTGAGCATGTTCTACGGCATCTCCAACATCCTTGTTGATGTTGCAATTCTGTTGTTGCCGATTGGTGTGGTTTGGGCGTTACAGATGGCCATACGCAGGAAGATCGCAATAATCTGCTTGTTCGGTGTTGGCGCCATGTGAGTATCGAGGAATTTTCATGATATCATGTGCTTGGATTGTGAAAAGAAAAAGGAAAAGGGATCATGCTGGCTGACTAGATTTTAGTGTTTGCGCGATATCCACCTACAGAGTGACGATTCTGACTTTTATTTCCTCGCGGGACACATCTTCGAACCCCATCTCAAACCAGCTGACTCTTAGCTTCGCCGAGACAAATGGCGCCATAATCTGCGGCTGCGTACCTATCACCACTCGCTTCTTCACCCAATTCCTCCCCGAGCTCCTGGCTCCGTACTTACGTCAGTACTCGAAGTCACCATCAACTCCTCATATATCGAACGGTGGTACATGCTCCACGACAATTGAGAAGAATCGTCGCCGCCGTGAGAACAACAAACGTCGAAACTTTGGGTTCAGGGACTCCGGGTTTGCCTCTGGCAGCGCTAATCATCCTGGCTCTCGCGAGAATATCGTTGGCGCAGGCCAAAACTACGAGATGGCGTACCAGCATATCGGATTTGGTCGTATTGATGATGAAGACCCCAGTCAAAGTTATGACTCGTTGGAGCGCAATGTGTTGGGCAAGGGAAGAGCGGGGACGCTCATCCGTGCACAAACGGAGGTTTTCGCACCGGATCAGGAGTTGGGCATCACTTGCATTTATGATACAAGTGTAAGTTATGGTCCTGGGAAGTCTGTTGCCCTGGAGGTGAAGCCAAGGGGGTTCAAGGATATAATGCAACACACGATTCATGGATCAGGATGATCAATGCCAAGATGGACAATCAAAAATGAGCCGTACTACCGTGAAGACCGGTTAAGACATATAAATGCCTTATTACAGCTATGCCATCCGATGTTTACATGCCGTTTTGTTCATGTTCCACGACTTGTAGCCTCCACACCCAACCAAGTCCAAGCTAAATTTGTCACCAAGAATTACAACCTACAGAAATGACAAAAGAAGGCGCGTTCGGAGACTCGATCAGTAACAAAAAGCTTCACGATACGGATATGGGACATTAGTCGCTGTGGGACCTAGTCTCAACACAGACGAAAGACATTTTACATTGCAAAAACAAAGTTATATAGACAGGAGCATGGCGCATATATGTGTGCAAAGACAAAACCCAAAGTGCCGACTTGGTTCTAACATGCCACCAGCAGCCTTTGCTTTAGAATTAGAACAAAACCGCCGCGAAAACGTCGCTTGAAAATTGTAAAGAATCAAAGTAAACTACTGAATAACGGCAAAAGTGGTATCTCAGAAGGTATTCTTCTCACTGCGGCTTGAGCCTTCTCTTTCGGCATGTCTGTTTTAGAGAAACAAAAGAACCTCGTAAAATAGGGTATTATGGAGTTTCGTTGCAGTGAACCGTCTTATCGCTTCATTTCCCGTCCAAATCGTTCTATATATGCGTGACATGTTGTGGTAGTTGTGGGTGAGTCGGCGGAGTCGAATTGTGTAGAGAAGTACGTCGGAACGCCATGTAAACGGACCTAGAGTCTGTACCGCGACGCCGCTCGAATGGGGTATAGGTGGAAACCGGCGATGTAGGGATTAATAAGCAGAACTTGAGAAATGTTCATGCAAAACACAACGGCCAAGCAATAATGCCTTGCCGAGAGCAGGTGTAATGCAATTGCTCGTGATGTGTCGGGATATGCGGTAATGACGAAGATGATGAAGTCCGTAAGACCAAAAAGCAAAAGCATATAACCAACGCCAAGATGGAGAGAATGAGCACTGCCAGACAAAACTTGACCTAGAAGCAATTGAGACTGCCCTTCTTCTTTTTCTTCTGGTTGATCGCTGCCATCCGTTCTTGGAGATGCGCAGCGGCCCTCTCCGCGTCCTGCCGCTTCTTGCGTTCTTCCTCAACCTGGTGAAGACTGTCACGCCACCTGCTGTCTTGGACTGGCTTGTCCTTGAGCTCTTTGACTTCGCCCTCCAGCTCTACAGCGCGTTTTCGCCAAGCCTCGCAGTCGGCCTTGACCTTGTTGGATTGTCTCTCCAAGTCAGTGAGAGCCTCCTCCAAGGTGGAAGTCAATTGCTTCTCCGCGTTAAGATGGCGCTCAATCGTACGAATGCGAGCTTCTTGGTCTTCTCTAATTTGAACCATAGCAAGATCGTTGCTCACGGGACGGCCAACAGATGGTGGCTGTGCACCTGGGGGAGGTGATGTGGAGCCACCACCAGGTAGAGGAGGAAGGGGAATGGCGGGCGGTGGTGACGGAAGTGACGCATGCGATGCAGTCTTGCGAAGCTGTGAGTTGATCGAGTTTGATCGCTCGACACCTTGAGCTTGCTCAAAACGAGTCTGAACCAACGTCAGCGGATGTGACATAGCATGGACCGGCGTGGAATATCTCACCTGAAGTGCAGCATGTTCTTCGCGGAGCTGCTCCAATTCAGACTGGGTCTTGATCCTTGCGGTCGTTGCTGCCTCGTATTGGGCTTGACGCTCCGACTGCAGTGTGGATAGACGGTTACTTGTAACCTGAGCCTGATCGTAGTTGGTCTGGAGTTGATCTTCCAGTTCTTCGACGAGGCGAGAGTGCTTCTTGTTCTTGACCTCCAGATCCCCAAACTTCTTTCTGACCGCTGCAAGCTGCTCGACCACAGAGGGGTATGGGCTCTTGACGTTCTCGCCATCCACCTTGAGCATCTCGTTGAGCGCGGATTTCACAGCCTCAAGGTCACGCATGATCGTGTTGTTGATAGATGACAACTCGCTGACATGGCTCTCAAGTTCAACCTTCTTTTGTTGCTCAGCGACCAAAGCTCTCTGATCTGCGATGAGTTCCTCCACTCGTTCGTTGATTTTCCCGATGCTAGCATCGACACCAAGAGCGAGTGCAACTTGGTTGGCAACACTCATGAGCTCTTCGCGTGCTTCGGCCAAGTCATTTTCCAACAGCTTGACTTGCTCGGCATGTTCAGACATAAGAACAGCAAGTTGGGATTCATGTTCCTGCTTCGAGCTAGATTTGATGTCATCAATACTCTTGGCATAGTCGGCATGAACTTGCTGTAGACTTTCCTGGTGAGTCTTTAGAGCTTGCTCATGCTCACCAATTTGAGATTCGAGTTTGCTAATAACATCCTTGTGGGAAGTTGAAGCCAATTCGCGAGCTTGAGTAGCCTCGCCCAATTGAGCCTTGGTGGCGAAGTGTGCTTCCTCGAGCTCGGCAACCTTGGTAGCGTTCGTATCGATGATGGACTTGTACTCATCGATCTCATTTCGTAGGATTGTGACTAATTCCTGATGTTTGGCTTCAGTTTCCTTTGCCTTGTCTTCATCACGGATGGTCTCATTCGTCTCGTTAAATTTCTCATTGGCTGCGGCAACTTGCGCCTCTAACTCCTCGATGGTCTGCTTCATCTGCTTCTCAGTGACTTGCATGGTCTCCAAAGCAGCCTGGTGCTTGCTCTCCCAGTTGGCCAGTTCGACTTCAAGATCTGTGATTTTCTTCTCTTGAGCAGCGGCAAGCTCGGCCTTGACGGCAGAAAGCTCCCTGGAGCTCTCGTCATCCGTTGCGGCAGATCCGATCACAGAAGTCTCATGAATATTCTTGCGAAGGGCCTCTAGCTCGGCCGTAAGCTCTGACTCCCGCGCTGTATATGCTTCTTGCAGTGTCTTGAGCTGTTGCTCATTACGCTCAAGTTGGGTTTTCAATGTCGAGATGACCGACATATCCATTGGGCTTGACTTCAAACTTGATCGTTCACGTGTAAGACCAGAAATAATGGTCATTTTTGTCTCCATTTCCTTTTTGGCATTCGCAACATCGGCTTCAAGCTCCTGGATGCGTTCCGATCTGGAGTGAAGTTCGTGCATCGCAGCATTCAAGTTGATCTCGAAGTTTTGCATAACATCTGGCTCGTCTTCGAAATTTTCAGCTGCAATATTTCGGAGCTGTGCGAACGACCTGTGCGCTCTGTCAATGATCATGACATTTTGACTGGATTTGCGGCGAATCACTGGTGTAGCACTTCGGGGAGATGGCGGCTCGGCATATTTGGCCTTTGCCATCTCGGTCTTGAGCTCTTCAACCATGTCCAAAGTAGCGCTGTGCTTCTCTTCGAGCTCGGCGTACTTCTCGGTAAGCTCTTTCTCCGCTGCCTCCTTTTCGGCTGCCAACGACTTCAACTGCTCCAGCTCGGATGTGAGTTCTTCATGACTTGAGTGTGCTGAAGCCATAGGCTCCTCAGGAAGGGTGTCGAGAGACTCTGTTGGCTTGATCGTCTCAACATCAGTTGGCGAATCGATAGTGGCTGGGGATTCCATAGCTGAGGATAACTCCGAGGAGAGCGATCGCGATGAGAAGCGGGTCCCATCCTTTGTGTCGTTGGTCTTGGCGTCGGATAAAAAAGACGGAGGCCGGGTTTGGTCTGGAGAGTTCACCGACAGTAGAGAGTCTCGGCTACGACTAGGGTGCTTAGCCTCATCAATCGCATCTTGGAGCTCAGACAATGTCCTCAGTGTCTCTTCATACTTGGCCTGGAGGGTGTCGTAATCATTCAATGTGGTCTCGTGCTCAACACGAAGATGGATCAGTTCCTCGGTCACATTTTCGAGCTTGTCAGCGACAAATTTACTCTGTGCTGGACTTGGTGGTGGGAACTCTAAGTCAGCTGGCCCTTCTCTGTTTTCGACTTTGGTCCTATCTTCTTCCGGCGTAATCGCATTTGCGGACTGGGCAGACTTGCCCTTGGCAACCTGATCGGCACCTGCCTCCTCTTCGGCATCTTCCTCGCCGACGTCAGGGAGGTCCCGGCGCGCATGGCTGACCGACGTGCGGCTCATGTGGCTCTTAACCGATCGCTCAGAGAAATTGCGGCGGTGACCGAAACCATTGGGGTTTTCTGACTCAGCTTGGTCAGTACCGTCTTTCTGAATGTTGTCCAGCTCGTAAAGTAGGTTGTCGAGCTTGCCCAGACTTCGTTGCCGTTCAATGACCTGTTCTAGACGGTCGATTTCACGCTGCATCAATTCGCTGTCTTGATCGGCTTCCGCTAGCCTCTCCTCGAGGGTTGAAATGTAGTCCTCACAGGCTACTTCATTTTCTCTCGCACGTGCGATCTCCTTGCGTAACTCCAAGACGATGGTCGCATTCTTTTCCTCCCCAGACGTGTGGCCATCAAGCTTGGTCTCTAGATCGTGTAAGTAGCTCTCAGTATTAACCTCACGATCCATCAGCTTCTGCAAACGAGCCTGGAGCTGCGTATTGATGGTTTCAACATAGGCACACTTGCTTTCCTTCTCCAGGAGGTTTGTTTCTGTGTTAGAAAGACTGGTTCTAGTGCTTGAGAGGGACTGTTCGAGTGTTTGTATGGTCTTCTCGTATTCTAACACGACCTGCTCGACTGCTTGCGCAAAGGAGTTGGACCGGTTGAGTCGTTCCGTGGCTGTATCGCCCATACTGTCAGAGTGGCCCTCGGAAGATACCTCGTTGTCCCTGGCCCTAGCCATCTCCGCAATGAGCTTGGCATGACGCTGACTTAAAGTTGTATAATTTTCCTGAACGTCCAAAAGTTGGTTTTGTAACTCGTTTTCCCGTTCATTGTGTCGCTCGGGTCTCTCACTTGCCGCGGGATTGCGTCGTTCACTGCCACCACGTTCGGCACTGCGGATCTGCTCTCGCAGAAAAGCAACTTCAGCCTTGAGGCGCTCGATGATGGCTTGCTTGTCGCCTTCCTCTACCTGCTGGATCCTAGGTTTGCTCTGGATTGCTCGGGCTCGCTGCGCGTACTGCACGGTATTCAAAGTCTCGCTGAGATGAAACTCGGCTGGTGTGACACAGGCGATCATATATGTTATAGCATTACCGCCAAGCGAATCTTGAAGCAGACGCGTCAACCTAGAATCTCGGTAAGAGACATGTGCACCAGGGTTTCTGGACGAGAGCTGTGAGATGACCTTGCCAAGAGCAGCCAGACCGGCGTTGATGGAGATACCCTCTTTGGCGCGCTCACCTTGAGCGCCTGTGTTCTTCAGACGCTCACTGCCGGCCAAGTCAACAAAGTGAAGCTTACTGTCAGTTGTGACCCAAGTTTCTGCTCCTGACATGGCTTCGAGTGGTACAGAAAATCGCTTTTCCGCAGCAGCAGTAGTTTTCTGTTTGCGCTGAACCAAGTTCAAACTAAATACGGCGTGCGAACGAGACGATTTTTCATTGATGGCCGTGGAGTCTGTCTGCCGAATCATAGAACCAAAACTCAATGCATTCTCTAAATCATGGACGGAGTTGATATCGACCTGCCGTAGGCCGGTCAGAAGAATGTTGCCCTTGGTATCCTCGCGGATTGCAACATTGCCTCGCTCGTGAACTGGTGTTTCTTCCTGGACCAGTAGGTCTCGAAGCTGTTCGTTATAGATCTCCACATATGTTGCTTTCAGCTGCCAGTTTTTCTCGCCTTTCGGTGTCGACGACGACGCCGACACAGAATATCGTGATGGAGTCCTCAATTGTGACATGGAATTGCGGTTGGGGTTCTTTGGGGGAGGTGGTCCTTCGAGCCTCTCAAAGAGAGCGGTAGCCGCTCGCGGAATGACTCCCATTACTTCCAAATCTGCTTGCTCCCCGGACGTGCCCATAGTGTAAGACTTTCCAGCACCAGACTGACCGTATGCAAGGATTGAAACATTGTAACCTTGCAGGAAAGCACCCACGCTCTCGTTCAGATAGTCCCAAACGCCCTCCTGGTCGATCTCAGGCCCAAAGACGCGGTCGAATACGAAAAGCTTTTTGCCCTGTGGCGCATCGATGGCTATATTCGTGGCAGACGTGGCCTGGACCATGGATCGTTGAAATCTTTGTGGTATTAGTTCGAAGCCCGGGTCTGTGGGCTTTAGCGGTGGGCGCACGCGAATCGCTGTGACACGAGGAACTGTGTTAGCTGCAATGGGTCATATCGAGTGATTGGCAGTGTGGGGGAGTTTTTTTTGTTTTTTTTTTGCATACCAACTTTGACCGCAGTTCTTCCATCTTCGTCCGATGCCCTGCTTCCACCACCTGCCTTACTGCTCATGCTCAATCGACTCGTACTCCTAGACGCTGGTTTGACCATGGCGCTCACAGGACGTGGGGGCATCATGCCAGGCGACGATGGCGGTGAGCTCGCCATGTTTGGCGGCCGGATTGTCGCTGATATTAAATTATGCGACGCCAATCGAACGTGACTGCCCTTGGTGGAATGCTAATGATAGCGAGCCAAATAGGCGAGCCACGAGGGGGTCGCGGGATTGAGTTGCGGTTTGAAAAGGACGGCAATGTGCCCTGGTCTAGATGAGCCGCTGGAACGTGATTCTGTCGAATATGAATCACGGGAGAGTAGAAGTAACCGTGAGGAATGCAAAACACGACCCCAGTCAAGGAGTTTATGCAGCGCCGAATCGGCAGGGTGACAGACACAACTCTCCCGTCCCGTTACCACTATCTCTACTGATATAGTTGTTTGCTGTTGGGTTCCTCGCTCATGGGAAAGAATAGAAAAGGCATGCGTAACGCTGTCGCAAATAGTCGAGGTAAGCTGTCGAAAATGTAGAGATTAAACGAGTGACTAGATGGATTATTGAGCTGGGGGCATGCTCCGGAAACACTGCTCTACCCAGTCTCTGTTTGTCACCGTTGCCGAGGTGAGGTGAGTCGCGCTGTGCGGTGCTGTGCTGTGCTGTAATGTGATGTGATGTACTGTTTGCCAGGGACCCGAAATATGTCTTGTCGCGTGGGTTTGAAACTCGAGTCTTCCAAGTGACAGAACTCCAGAAAGCAAGAGAGCACCCAACTCAAGCAGAAAATGGGGTGGGGGGGTTTTCCTCTTTTCGACTTGCACTTCCACTTTCGCTTTCACTTTCAGTCGAGAGGACAGAACGAATCGATTATGAGAGTGAGGTAGAGTTTCGGGGTAGTTGCTTGTTTGTGATAGCGCCGAACCTGTGAGGTACCCAGAAAAAAACCAGGGTGCAGCTACTGTAACTTAGTGGCTAAGCAGTGCTAGTGGCAGGGGATGTCCATGGCAAATTAAACACGCGTTGGTTAGTGGGAAAAGGAGACCCCAGGGAGACCCAAGCGCCTTTTCCACCGTTTGATTGGAACGGTCCACGATCGTCGACACTCGAGACCGAACCCGCGGCAGGTGCACTCGCAGCTATCGATCCGATTTGACGTAGACGGAATAGGGGAGAGGGACGATGTGCATGTCTATTGTACCGCGCGGACTGGGCACAGAGAAGCAAAAGGGGCTGCGCAGCACACGGAGATGGGATAGGACAGTAGCTACAGCTGCGGGCTCTTATGCTATGAGCACGCTAGGTACACAGCACATGCCCAGGCGCACAGGTAGGATGCGCCTACAATTGAACTTTGGTCTCAGAATGGTTTGTGCTGCGATTCGCAATCACTGTGCCAATCGAACGGTTCGGGTCTTCACGAGATTGATTGAGCTGGCGACTTCCCCTAGAGGCACCTGACCAGGCCAAGCCCGTCCTTAAAAGTACACAAGTACCCAGATAGGGAGACCAAGAGGATGATTTATCATAAATATCGAGCATTACAAATCCCGATGCGAGCATGCTATGCTAAGTCGACGTCCTCCACTGCAATCAAGCACGCTCAATCCGATTATGCATGGCACTGTTTCATCCAGCAACACCTCAAATCCGTCCGAACTCTTGGGAAAAGGGGAGGGCGATCTCATCGAGGTGCTGCACAGGAAAAGTGACAGCGGGTGAGGTTGTGGGCCTGAACTGGACCGCTGTGCCCAGCTGCAGGTGGGTGCAGTAGTCCGCCAGCAATGGCCCGTACAGTAGGAAGCTTGCCTGGCACCTGCATACTAACCTAGTGCATAATACATGTTGTGGTGGAGCGCACTTGCTCAGGGACCAGGCACATTTCTGAGGAAGTCGGACTCCTCAGTCCTAGAACGGATCCGATGGGGCTTTACGCTGTGCGCTACCTGGACTAGTGTGCTAGGCCCAAGATGCCAGCACTAACCCCAAAATGGCAATCTGGAATCCGCAAACATCAAACCTGGTTCCCGTTTGCTCTTCCCCTTGGCCAGAACAAGTGAGGAGAAATACCCTCATCGACACTTTTGACCTTGAAATCGCCATCGCCTTGATTTGCTCCAGCCAGGGATTTCATCCTTCACTCGCTTATCATTGATAAACGACGCCGGAGTCCGATGAAGAAAGACATTGGATGTCTGAATTCAAAGACACTATCTGCAACAGCAGAAGCCACAATCTACATACATAGTAATTACTGATTGCACTGGTCTAAAGCCCCGAGCGTTAACCTAACCCAGAACGCTCAAGCTACTCAATCCGGAGTTGACTTTGCACCCCGAAGCCCATTTGGTACACATGCCGGGAAAGAAAAAGAAAGAAAAAACCTTGAGCATCGCTCCCAATTAACGTGTGTAGGAATCAACCTAGCTCTAAAAGGGAATCTGTCTGCTCAAGCCCATGGGGAATGGTGCCACACTTGCAGCGCATCCAATTTTATCATTACGCTCGATAAGGCACAGACAGCAAGCTACTTGACCTCCATCTCGTCCTTCCGAGTTTTGTGCCGCGAGTCCCGCAACGACAATCCCCATACTGTAGGCACTCGGTTCAGGTATTGACTGACTCGTGGATGGGGTAAGCACACAAAATGGAATATACAGTAGATTCTCTTGTCTGTTGCAATGATCTTCCACAGAAGGATCATATTTGCAAAAACAGAAGAAGAAGAAAAATCACGCACATCTTGCCTCATTGTCAACTAGAAACACGGATACGCAGATGACACGTAAAACCATGATATGACTGTAATCACATCCGCGGATCTGTTATTGAGTGGATGCTCGCAAACACAAACATGCAAAAGATCGGGAAATTCGCCCCTCCTTGCGCGTAGTAAACCATGAGCCGAGAATCACTCACGGGCTTGAGATTTTCTACTGACAAGACCGGTGATTCCAGCATACAACAAAAAAAAATATTAGTCGTTGAGGCTGTTATCGTGGCCTGCAGTCGATACCGAAGCCCACACATGACAACGACCGGTTCACCTTTCGCCTAAGTAGCTAATCGATCATTGCTCAGCCCAGTGAGACTTGACATCTTCTTTGGATGGCGCTAGAGAAGCGAGAATTGTGTTTCATCTTCGCAACCCAGCTAGCGTATCCTCTATTTCACGGCACTTGACGATATCATCGTCAATCAGCATCGCAGAGAATGATTCTTTCGTGGGCTTGTCAAAACACATGCGATTGATCGCCCTCTTAACATTGACCACCTGGCAGGATTTCAGGCATTTCTAATAAAGCCATACACGCCATTCAGCATAGACTTTCGGCAGAACACGCTTTACTACAGTAGTCCACATCGGTCAAGCAGATCCAAATATCGGCGCAGTATGCAAACCCATTTATATATCTTGACCCGACCTTGCATCACTTGCCCACAGAACTCAAAATTACCTGATCATACTTCAATCGTGGTACGGCATAAACGAATTGGAGTGAAATTCCGTATCCCAGACACTGCCGCCAACCCTTGATTTCGATATTGAAAGGCTTCGCTCTATGAAGAGCTCATAGCACATCGCAAACACCAGGACATGCGTCACTGCCCCAACGCAACGCTTACCATTATTTTCACCACCACGGTCGTTCAGCAAGATTGTTCCGATATATTTCTGTCTATTTTCACAGCACTTGCATCCTTAGCCTGTATGGTGCCACAGGGGTAGCAGCGCTTGAAAGCTATCATTTGTCGAAATATATATGTATATATCTATACATATGAAAAGGTACATGCAGACCCAAAACACCGGTCTTGAGTCATATGTATGCATCGCATTCAATGCGCAGGTCACTGAGGCTGACTAGTGTTGGTTTGGCACCCAAATCGACGCTTTGAAGATCACCATATACTAGTATTTGCTATCTGATCCGATGTAACGTGGCAGGACGTCAAATCCGTGTTGGCTTGAGACGGCATCCTCAAGGGATATGCTGGTCATTTTCATCATCCTTCGAAGTACGACTGCCACATGATCACATAGTATGTTTAACACCATCAGCAGATGGACCATTTGGTTTCTATGGCAATACGGTTGAATCCATTGAGCTTGGACTATATAACTATTGTGTATTATTAGTGCGCCCCGCAATCTGCTACCGTCGTACCACGGCAGATGTGTAATTGGCATTGCACTGCGGTGGTGCCACATACGTGACATGATCTATTGTCTATATGGTCAAAGACGAGCATTAGCATTCACAGTCGTGATGGTATACCTTCACGCTAGCTGTATATTCAAATTTCAAACTACCGCAACCATTTCCTTAATCCCCCGCATTTTCGGCCACTTTTGTACCCCCATGACCTCGGATGACCCTATGGTCGCCTTCTGCAAGGAGCGGCAGGATTGCGGGAGGAGTGACTTGGACAAATGAACTGTGCTATCTTGGCTGAAGCTAATGAAACCATCCTTCCCCGAGCCTCTTTCGTAACAAGTCCACAGCCTCTTTCCCGGAACTTCCACAACGCCACCCGAACAACTATGGCCGTGCACGAGACGTTCTCTAGCCTTTACTGTTCTTATTCCCATTTTGAGGTCATAACAGGAGCGTGATCTAACTACGATGATTGATTGCGTTGCATGCTGCCCGCAAAAGTCCTGTGCGGTTGCAGGCTTAGCCTACCATATTTTGGCATTCTTTGGATTCTAGTATCTCCACTCTAACCCATCTAGTTACACGCTCACGTGCAACCTCGACTTCCAGCCATTATCACAACCTGGCGAACATGAAATACTACCGACCTGTCTACATCAGAGGTTTGCCTTGGACCCTACATTCAACTTGCCAAACCTCTGTACAACGTCAAGTACCGCCTCTCCAATTTATCGCCATGTAGACCAGACCTTAACACAAACGCTATAGTCTGGAGAATACACTACGGCTAACATCAAGGAATCTCACGTTGCTTTTTCAGATGATGTTCTACTGCCTAAAGCCCAGCCTTTGAAGTCCCATTCACGGTAACAAATAAGGTTGAATGGCACGATGGCGTCAAACCTTCTACTCGCCTCTTCGCCTGCCGTGTGGACTAGTGACTCTACTAAACATTATAGCCACTCCCGCATCACGCTTTCCATCTGGTTGGTAACTTCATCGGCGCAGACTGCTTTTTTAGGCACTAGTACGTGCAGGTCGGGGCTAACAGCTGTGTTAGTCCAGATTTTATAGAAAAGTCAATCGGGACTTTAACATCGGACGAACTGCTCTCCGATATTGGTCTCACGCGTGGTGATCACCGCCAGGGTGGCCACAGTCTTCAGCTCTATGATCGTTCCCGCCCGTGCACATATTAACCGCGGTATCCTCAGTGGCAGGATAAACGTTTGGGATTCGATGCGTTGTACCCCGAGATTTGGCGTGCTGGACATCATTAGCGGTAACCTTGGCTAGATCCAGTTTCCGATATACAGCCTGGTGTTTTCGCGGCATCTGTTTTAGCAGCTCGAGAGTTAGTTTGGACCATCGTGGGGTGGCGATCGCCGCTAGGATGTTGTCAGTCTGAACTCTATAATCGATCTCAGTCCCACTATTCCCTGCGTGTTAAATTTGTAAATAGTTAATAAGCAGAACTAGAGCATTGCAATCGAGTATGGCATGTTTCAGTCCCAATTTGTAGATGTTAGCACGAAGACAACTGGGTATGCCGGGAATAACGTTATTGTTTCTCCACGAGGTCGCTGGAGACAATCAACACTAGGTTAATTCATACCATGATCATTTGCCGAAGATCGTGCTCGGACCTTTACCCTCATTATGCAGCCTAACTTCTTCTAGAATTCAGCTCTGAGGCGGTTCTATTGAGGGGTGCTGACGACTAGTATGAGCTATGAACGACGGTAGACTACATAGAGGAACGAGATTAGTACATGCATTTCAGATTGGCTGAACTTGCTGATTAGACTGGACATATTACTCTGGTTAGCTCAACTAGGTGTGCTGCTAGATTGTGTGATGCCTTCTCAGAAAGCTGTTAGCTGTGTCGGATGATGCGTACTATGGCAGTGTCAATCGCGGAATGTTGACCTCTATTTATACACATTGGTATAGCGTTGCAAGAATCTGGTTACTTCCACCACGTGGTGGGCTGTCGACTATCGACAGCAAATGTAGCTTTGCAAAAGTAAATGAACAATTAGCACATGTCGTTACTAATTTTGCTTTTGCTACGCTAGATGCGGTCGGTCTTTGTCTTAGGAGCTACCGGATCTAGACACTATGATCCGATCCCCCATCGTCGGAAAGAGATCGTTTGTTAATCTTTTGGCTTCGTGGTCCTTCAAGTCAACTCCTGAATCGATACCGTAATAATGAAAACCATAAGCCGCAAAATTCATTCGAAGAAAATTGCCGAGAAGCGGTGGGCAACATAATTTGCTCCTTTGCAAGTCTACCTACAGATTTGCAAATTCGATAGGGATTATCGCCTCTTATACCAGACATCGTGGAAAGGTATATGAGAATTCGAATTTGATCCCCTCCCCTAGACACTGATGTGGGATATTTTTGACAAGCTTCAACCATAAAAAGGAGGGCTCCATCTCGTTACCTTACCTCACTTCGACTGAGGAAGTCGATGCTGGTGTTACAACGGATCGTGTGCAGCATATGTTAGAGCTGTTATGCAAAAATGGCCGCAGAAAGGCTTTATCATATTTGGGAGAGCCGGTTGAGGAGCAAAAGCAGGCCAAAAACAAAGCGAAGGCGGAAATCACAACTTTCATGGTCGATGGCTGTACATCGCATAAATATTGCCATCATGTGGCAAAGAAACATGGGAGAAATACAGTATCGCCAGACGCTTCTTGCAAGGCACTACTTGGACTCATGATTCGCCATCTGGAAGGAAGAGAGGAACCAGTCGAGGACTGCAAAGGACTATGCGATGAGGAAATCGTCAGATTGAGAGATCGTCTGCGAGCTCAGCGAAATTAGGGTCCGACGGTGATAAATGGACTCAATTCAAAAATACAAAAACAGCGGCAGCATGGACAAATCCGGTTCGAATTTTTGACGTAGCTGCATTTCGCTCGTAAAGTTTGATCCGGTGTGTATTGTACAATCTATCATTGCTTTATTTTGTGCATATCAGTACCTGACTCAAGATATGGTGCCGAAGCTGTTGAAGAGCTGTTAAGGGTAGACAGATAGAATTTAGTGACCATCTGCGAGCCTCGGCTTCATAACGCTGTGTATAATTTCGCACAGGCTCCGACATAATAGTGTCTAGACGGGGTATGCCGTGTACAGGTTATACATTCAAATTTCGTCTTGCGTTGAGCTCTTTGTTTTAAAAATGGCAGCAGCAAAGATCTTGACGGGAACGGTACAATTCATAGCCTTTGTCGCAAGAGCATGCTTGTATTGGATACGCACACTCGTTCAATAACTTACCTTCGACAATTTCTTTTGACCAACAACTAACAACCATCTTCTCAACATCTCACTTGTATTGGTATCACTCATCCTCAACACAAACAGTGCCATTGTCTTCTGGAATAATTGATAGTTCTTTGGGGACACAATTGAAGAACCGTCGATATGTAAACGACCTAAATCCCATCCATCCAAAATGCCGGAAACCCGTGCTAGACTACGGGCTAGAAGGTCTGATATTGGAGAAGATACAAGCCTGGAGGAAAGAACTTACAGTCCGCTTACTATTGAACGTGTGCGAGAACGCCCTTGTAAGGTCGATACAGAGTGCACAACAAAACAGTGGAAGAGCATAGACTTAACTAGAGAAAACCTGCAAAGGTTCAACAAAATGGCAGGACATGAATCACCATCGGCTTGCGAGACTAGGACAGCGAAGCGAGCAAAGACTACCTCAACGAGCGCCACATTTGACCAGCAGTTGGCCGAAAATGGAGTACTATCTCCACGATATTCACAGACACCTTCTAACTATAAAGCCCGAAAGAAACAGCTCCTGCAAAAGCGTCAATCACCAGAACCAACTGAAGAAGAGTTCAAGCATTACGAAACGCAGGTTGGAGGTGGGTCTAATGAAGCCTCGACGAGCCAGCATGCCGTCGCAAGGCTCTTGAACTGGAGGCATCTGGAAGTAGGTTTCAAGTGGCAATCTGACCGTCCATTCTCAGAATTACCACCTGATCTGAATTTCAATAAATCGCTTCCCAAACCTCAACCCGATCTGGTGGAAGGATTGGAAACACAAAATTTCAAACCTTTCAGAGTAAGGAAGAAGTTTGGTGGTGAGGCGGTCTTCTTCTCAGACTCAAGCTCCATTGCATTGCCGCATCTGGTGGGAGAGCTCAAAAGCGGCAAAGGTTCCGAGTACGAAGCTACGCGTCAGGCGGCTTATGACGGAGCTGCACTTGTGAATGGGTACGAGAAAGCACTCGATCATCTGGCTGCGTACGAAGGCAAGCGGCCGTGGAAGAAGACCCGAGCTGTAATTACGTCTTTCTGCTTGTTGCCGACATCTCTGTCCATATACAGCCATCACTCGTCGATAAATGACGAAGGTGAAGAAGAGTACCATCAAACACTACTTGCTGCCCAGAACATGGCTACATTCGAAGGCTGGAAGCAGGGTCGAATGTTGCTCCGTAACGCGCAGCAATATTCCCAAGAGAGAACATTGGAGCTTCGAGATCGGCTGAGGGCAACAGTACCGAAAAAGTAACTCACAGAAATTGAGGAGCCTGAGGAGTCAAGGGTTTCTGGAGAATCTGATAACGAGGATGCTTCAAAGAATGACAAAGACGAAGGGTGTCCGGGTGTCTGAGCATGATGAACTATGTGATTGTAATAAAATTTAAGTATAAATTTATCCCTACGTCGTCTTTAGATTTACCCTCTTTGGTATGTTACAAGCATGACACAGTGAGGGCAAACTCGAGACAGTCAATCCTGCGAAGTACTCATAGGGGTTAGTCGTGACGAGATCCTACCTATATGCGTCTAATACGATAGCAATAGCCCCATTGTAGATTCTCATTCATTCCACATGATCGAAAGGCAATACCGGAGAAAGCTTCTAAGGAAAACGCGGAGATCGACAGAGCCGGGCCTAACGGACCATACAATCAGCGAGGATCAGGTTGAGGTACGTGGAACGGAAAGCTATATGTTTAAGGACGTTACTTCATTAACACCATAACCAAAGCCAGAGACGTTTTCTACCAACAGTGTGACCAGTCAATTCGCTTTTCAGAGACGCTCCGAATCAGGCATGGCATGGACTGCCTCTAGGGCAAAACCTCAATAATAAGTCACCCAAGCCTCAAGCAGGCTTTTTGGACGGCTTACAGAAAAGACCACTCCGTTTCTTTTGAGGTAAAAAGGGAATAGGTAGAGAGGCTTTACCATTCAGGAACCTAAATTCCTTAGCCTTACCACACTTCGCTGTGAAATTCAAGAGCCATCAAGGCGACCACTACGAATATCTTCTATATGCAGCCCATGATGATGCTGCGCTTGCAAACGTTTGATTGATAATCTTAGGCACCCATGAAGAAAAGGCCAATAAGAAAATTATGTCGAGAATCGTAACATTCACCATAAATCCGGAGGTGTTGATCATACATGGTCATTATACGACGATCAAAGACAGGGAAGGGAGTATATTATCAAACGAAACTTGCGAAACATTGAATGAATAGAACCTTTGAAGTCAAAGAAGGCCGCAAGAAACTCTGTAATGCGCATGGATATGCGCAACAAAGACTGCTGGAGCTTCATGGCCGTTTATGGGCAAAAGTGCCGGATGAAGGACTAGAGGCCATGGATGAAGATACGGAACAAATCGAAGCCTCCTATAGAAATGACGCGTCGGAGAACGAAGAACACGAAGCATGAACATGTTTCAATGGATTTTAGCTTGGTGTTCTCCACCGATCTTCCCAAAAAGCAATACAGGAGTTTCTGCGACTTTTGGTTTCTGAACCGTCATGTGACTTTTCTGGGCAAAACCAGGTTTTGAATCGATCGTTCAACGACCAGATGAGAAAACCATTTACTGCTTTGATGGGAGAATTTCACGAAGATACGACTGATTGTTGGATGGTCGCTACTCTACATATGGCATCTTGAACCCGCTCGAAACCTGCGCCTGGAAGAATCCAACATTACGGTCTTACCCAGTAGCCACATTCTTGATAAAGGCGACATTCTCAGCCTCGTATAAGCTAAGGTGGTCCTGGGAAGGGTTAATGTAGAAGCCCGCGCGATATGGTGGATATCTGTTATATTCAAAGGATATAGCATCTAGCCTTTATTACTGGCATCAGCCGTCGAATCGCCGTTTTCATCCAATTAAAAGCCAGGTAGGGTCGTCTATGCCGCCACAGGGTAAGAAGTGCCGGCCGGATTAGGCGGGTTTTCTACACGCTAGCCCCCATAGCTTGTCTTACCGCCTACCAAAAGCGGCTGGAAAATGTCACCGTTTTTCTAAAACGTGCATATTGCATGTTTGTGCTCCAGAATTAGGCCATGCTACTCCGTACACCATACGGGGTGGGGGGGTTTACTGGCACCTTTCATTTGGCCGTTTTTGTAATGACCCTACCATATCTAGTATTTATATGTCAGTACTTCTTCCTCCAGCAGATACGTATACTAGTTTGTTAAATTACGTTTACCCAGCAGCTATATGACAAGCGTAGTCTTGGGCCATGACAATACTCCTTTAAATTGCAGACCGGGATGGTTTGAGTATATCTCGAGTCTTTGTGGACACGATGACGAACGCCTCATGAGGACCTCCTAACCGGACATTAATACTTCGCGATGGATCAGCGGCAACGAACTGAGATCCTTAACGTAAGCGAGAGCGGAAGCGGGAAGCCTCCCAGGTAGATGTGGCGATGCGCTGCATAGTGAGTGGAATAAGCATAAAGAGTCTTAGTTCGCGAGGGAGTTGGACGTCTTTAGTTGACTAACAATCAGCAAACTGCTTATTTTGGGAATATTATGATAGCTATCATTTATTCGGAAACTAGCAGACTGCGAAGGAGAAATGCTGCAAACTGTACTTATCGCAAAGCTACAACGAAAGAACGAGTAAAGAGCAGGAAACATGAGGCACTGGTGGATCATAAAGCCGACCTACAAACTATCTTCTTGGCCACGAAATCATCAAACGCACGAATCTGGCCCGCAACGTATACACGTCGGGACTGGTCTGATGCCAGTCCATCAAGGGAAAATCAAGTTTACCGTACTTGAATTTGGAGCTGCTATTGCACTATTAATTGCAAAGCTACGAAGATCTATTGAAGCAGAAGGTGGGAAAACACACTGCAAGATTAGAGTGTCCCCCATAGTCCCAATGACCACCATTGGCCTTGGATCCTGTCGAGATAGGTGTGAATCTTATACTTGGACGTTGCTCACGGGAACGAATTGTATTCTCGTAATCCCTGACATACTCCGTCGACCTCGACACCATCGACGTGCTGGGATACCTTGCCATCGGCGCCAAAGCGGATGAGATCTCCACCATGCGGATCACTGGCGACTAGCGGCTTCCAGTTCATTGTCTTCTGCGGGCCATAATATGGGTCCTTGACGAAGGCGAGAATATGGTCTTGCATCGACTGGCTAACCTCAACTTCGAACCTGGTAGTCTTCGCTATATGATCCAGAAGCCCATACGTCCCAAAGGCTATCGGTGCGTCGCTGGCGTGGTACGCGCCGAGCCACTTGAAATAGTTCAAATTGGGAAATGTGCCCGCATGCTGGAACCGGAAGACGGGCACCCCAGCGCCCATCCGGTTCCGATATACGGTTGAGTTGAATGTCGGACATACCCCAAACGCAATGTTGCCAGCGGTCACCGCCGGCTGGTACGGGCCCGCGGTCAGGTTCTGTTCCGGATACGGTACCAGCGACGACATCTCATTGGCCGTGTTGGAGATGATGACCGGCGCGCGCGCGATCTTGCCGGCCTCGGACCGCGCCTCGTAGTCAGTGAAAACGATGCGATCGTCAGGAACCAAGCTAAAGGACAGCGCGGGCGTCTCGCCCCGATCGCCGTACTGTCCGATGAAGTTCTCGATCTGCGCGAACGGCACTTGCCGCATGCAGTCGAGCTCCGCCGCGCCGTGCTCGTCCTCGTCGCCGCCGCACGGGGCCTCGCACCCAACGTGGCGCGCCACGAAGCTAAAGTTGGAGTACGTCGGATCCTCGGCCGGCGAGCTACTAAAGACCGTCCCCGATTGCAGGAAGTAGGCTTGGGCGATGGGGTCCTCGTGGAAAGCGTAAGCATGGATATCCGCGCTGATGGACCCAGCTGACCGCCCCCACTGCGTGATGCGGTTCGGGTCGCCGCCGAAGGCCGCAATGTTGTCGCGCACCCATTCGAGTGCAGCGCGCTGGTCGAGGATGCCGAGGTTTTGGTGGCCGTCCGCTAGCCCGCGCGCGTTAGGGAAGCCAAATATGTTGACACGGTAGTTGATGGTGACAACGATATGCGACTGCGACCGTTCGACCCACGACGTCGGCATCTGCCACGGTATATCGATGCCGCCGATCACAAAGCCGCCCCCTGTCATGAAGAAAAGGACAGGGAGCCCGGCGTTGGGCCGCGGCGCTGCGACCGTCGGCGTCCACACTGCTAGGTACAGACAGTCCTCGGAAGTGGCCTCGCCCACCAGCCCCGACGAGTCGTTCTGGCGGCCGTTATAGATTAAGTTGCCCTTGGTCAGGTTTTGATTCCAGAGCGAGGTTACCGCCGTCACGAACTGCGGGCACGACGGCGGAAACCGCGTTGCATAGTGATGCTCACTTGGCTGCGACGAGAGCTTCTGCGGCGGCAGCCAGCGGCGTGACAGCACGGGCGGCTCTGCGAACGGGATGGCGCGGAACTGGAGAGTGTTCGGAAACTCGGGATCGATAAGTCCCGTGAAGGTGCCCGTGGAGGTTTGGACGGTGAGATTGTCAGAGCCCGGGCACTTGGCCAGTTGGCCGAGGACGGCATCGGTCGCCAGCGCAAGGAGGGACAATATCGCGAGCTGCATATTGGGCAGCTTGCTGGCGTCAAAGCACGGCTGTCGTTCCTGCAGTGCTTCAACTGTGAAGAACCATTCGTTGTTGATCCATGGCGTTGGCGGATTTCTGTGCCCTTATCTATCAAGCAACCTCGGTCGCCCCACAAACGCATCCTGGCGGTGAATATTGTCTGTAGTCCAGCAAATGAAAGACAATTCTAGAGATTCAGTGGATCCCGGAGGAATCAGTGGCGGCTTGGCTGGAGTATATCCTGGGATAATGCTGACGGTTGCCAAGCGCACCAATCAAACTGGGTAAGTTTTGTAGCCGAATGAGTCGACGGAGCTGCTCGACTGAAGAGAAGCCGCATCACATTATTCCCAGGCGAATGTAAAAAGTGGCTGAAAATATCTGTCGCAACATTGACCAAAATCAGCGTAGATTCCTGCACCGGCTCGTGGCAGACTTGGTCTTATCGACTGCAACATGAAAGGGTATTGACTTTGTGGTTCGCAGCCATATATGCGTGGTATACTATAATTTCAATATATGTAAAGGTGCGGCCTGCAACAAATCTACCCCGCCAAACTGGCTCTCAAAGGCGACTCTGTCTACAATAGTGCGTTTGTTAAACTATTCACTATTAACAATATTAAATAAATATGTAAGTTTTGTCAAATTGATAATATATTTTATACAAGAGAAGTAAATGTATACATTTAAACTTTAAGTTATTAAACACGTTTTATGTCATTTAAATGTTTTAATTAAACTAGTTTTTCTAACTAGTGACTAGCTTTAGTGGATTATAGCACGGGATTATGACGAGCTACGTAAGTAGGTAAACCAATGAACGGCAGTTTTACCTTTGTGTCACGAACTACTACGAACCCACTGTAGCGCTCTGTTCTAGAACAAGGGTATAGCCCACGATACACGTGCTTATCGTAACCGATTGCGAGCATCCTCCTTCTCTCAATTGTTCCCATTGTAACATCTCTTAATCTGCCCCCGCATACATCGAGTAAGAAAAGCCTAGTTCTTTGTGTGCTGACAGCGCACTCTTCGCAGTGGCTTAATCGCTTAATCGCCTAAACGCAGGCCGGCTAGTGAAATGGTATACAGCAGTGCTGTTCAAAGATCGTTGGGGAATGGTGCAATATCCTAAAAGAGATCTTCCGAAGCAATTTTGAACAAACCGAGCGATAATAGAGACATACTACCGAGACAGGAAAGCGTCGAGAAATATTCAGTTCAATCGTAAACATGGTCAGAAATCAATGCCTATAGCTACCCCAGTCGCCGCCGAGGTAGGTACTGCTACTTGTGAATATCTACCCGCACCTTTAAAAGTACTCTCCGTGACGCAAACATACCCAGAGGGTTATGAATATGATCGGTCATGCTCCTTTGCCTCGTCTCAGCAATACAACCAGACCTCCTCACCTCGTATGTTTGGTGTACTATTTAGGTTATACTCTGGTGGGGATTTAAGAATAATAAGATGGTATAACATGAGTAACATAGCCTGAAAAAAGCGCCTGGAACCCCTTTGTGATCATTCGCAACTGCTAATTTGGCCACACTGGAATTCATATCTCCATTAGGAACACTAAGTCATATCCAAACATATCCCGTGTCTACCCATTCACAAGCCTTTCCAGTCTATTTATGTATCCTGAGAGTTCTTTTCATCTCTATCTACGGTGGTTGACGAGACTAAAAGCTCTGGGATCATCACCAGCTTTATTATCATGTCGACAGACTCCGCGTGCTCATGGGCTGCAGCGCCATGTCCAGTACTTGAGCTGCTTGATTAGAGTCAACCGCAAATAGTGAAGTCTACTTAAATATCTTCTTGGATGTCCTACGTGCAGTCAGACGGCGCTTCTCAGGTACAGGTGGCGGAGAATTCTTTCTTTTTAGCGTTTTCTGGTCGCGTTCCGGATATTGTTTAAGTTTGGAGATGTACTTTCTGGCGTCGCATGCCTCGTCACCAATGTGAATACTATTGCTGCCTTTGTTGTAGTGCAGTGGAACCTTAACAGGCTCACATGGTAGCTTCTCCTTGGACCGTGGAGGCTGTCTTGACCTCTCGACAGTCAGCCACATCTGATCGCCGTGGCCAGCCAGGGCTAATGTGAACCACCAGTGCCCTATTGTGGGTCGTCCGAGGTCGGCAATGTCGTAACATTTGTGGTATTGCAAGAGGTCCTTGTTATCGTTGCTATCGTCTTCAAAGAACGGGTCGCAAACAATCTTAAGTTCATCATTGCCTGTGACGAAAATACTGAAGTTCTTCTTCGTTCTCCGCTGAAAATTGAAACATTAGTGTCAAGGGCCTTGGAATGGAACGATAGAAGATGAGAATTTTGTAGGCCAACAAGACTGACCATGCTGAGAAGAAAGGATGCCGTATTGTCCCATTCATGTTCTGATTCTGTCTCGTCCCGCTTCGCCTTCTGCCGCATCTGGATGCCAAAAGCCGCGCCTCTCTCCATGAACCGTTCAATGGTAAAGGGAGAAGCAACGGCGAATGCCGCGCCGCTAGCAATCTTTACAGAGCTGAGGATTCGGTTAGTGGTTATCCAATAAGCACTGCGCTCTGAAAAGTGAATCTTACTCGTACTGGTTGATGATATTGTCCGTCATGACTGGATTCGAAAGGCTGTTGCGTTGGCAGATATCTTCGATTCTTCTCCGAATTCCTTCATGCCTTGCAGTACCCCCCGCCAGAATCACTCTAGGTTTTCCAACCTGTGTGGTCGGTGAAGAATGAACCGTCTTCTGGGACGCCAAGAGTCTCGTGAGTCCTTCTATTCTGTCACTAGCCAAAGCCAGGGGTAGGGCCATAGCTTCATTAAAACAATCTGCGATATTTGCCTCATTGAGAGCGACGTTGTAGGGCTGGTCATGTTGATCCTTCACGACGCAATCGAACCCTTCCCCAGGGAATTCTGGCCCACACCCGTCTTTTGCAATGTTGAACGAGTCTAGCAATTTCTGTCTCATTTGCGCTGACGGAGCGAGTCCATCAACGCGCTGAACGTATTTAAGAATCAAATCGGTCACGAGATATTCCCACAACTCGCTCCCACCACCAGCGCCTGGTCCTGTCACATTAGTATTCATTCACTGCGAGTTAGGCACATCAGTAGCTCACCATCGGGCTCCCCGATAAGATAGAAAGCCGGTGCTCTATCTCGTCCATAAACAATGTTCAGTGTACAAGTGTTCTTAGAAGGATTTAGCTAGATTGGTATGCCAGTTTTGGGAAGCGAGACTAACCATATTGTGGCCTCCAAAATCAAGCACCAATACGACATCATGGTGAACAATGTTGGGGCGTGCTACCAACCGATCGAGTTTCTTCACACACAAGAAATGCGCCAGTGCTTCTGTTTCAGTCACGAAGAATATGGTTGACGGGTCGTGTCTGAAAGCTTTGACGACGATGTCGCGGTAAAGATCCATAAAGTCCAGTGTCCATTGTGACGGAATGGACAGTCCAATAGTGGTAACGCGTAGTTGCTCTTCCTCACATACTTCTAAGACGCGTTCATGTACGGCCGCAAATAGTTTGTTCAATCCTTCCAGTAGTCGATCACGAAATCCTTGATCATTCTGACGTTGTCGAAGTGGTGTGGCCATTCTGTATTGGTTGAGGATTTCGTCTGAAGTATCAGCCAATATGTAAAATGCGTACTTCAGAGAGATGGACTGGCGAGCCGCGTTACTTCTCTCGCCCAGGTACACCTCGTCGCCATCAAAAGGGTAGCCAATGGACGAAAAGTCTCCGTTCGAAAACCGATGGCCAGCTTTAGCTCTGCCTTTGCTCTCGACGTACCACCCAACTTTCGTTCTCCGACACCAGAGGTAGGCTCGGGTGCTCGTGCTGCCAAAGTCAATACCCAGTGTGCTACATCGACATCCTGTGAGTATATGTAGAGTATCAGAATCGAGTCAAGAGCTTACACTTCTGATCGCTCTTGGCAGTCTTCGATAGGAGAGCTCGGGGTTGCAGTGTGAGATGGAGCCATTATATCTTTAGCCGTCCACGCAGCTTCACATAAAGCACCCAAGATAGTTTTACAACTGTATTTTCAGGGGACGCTTTTGATTCCTAAAAGTTAATTATTAGGAAGACTTTCTATATTTATGGCAAAGTAAAAGGAGAAACAAGCAAGCAATTCCACGGTGGTTGAGTGTACCTCGACGCCCTAACACATGCAGCCTTGAAATTGAACTTGGCGAAATGAGTGGCTGACCAGGTCACTGCAACCCACCCCTGTTTTGTGATAGGTCTAAATTGCCTTTTCCCTCCCCCCTCCCATCTTCACATTTTCAGCGCCAATTTCCCGACAATCAACGTGAACGACTGCATTGAACTGTTCATCACCCTCCCAGTGCAGTGTCGCTCGCGTCTGTCGCGTTTCGTGTCTTGGCAGCACCCGGTCGCGCGGATAGAATTTTGAGCATCCCGACCCCTAATTGCTCGTTCCCATTTACGCACTTAGTCCACTGGCGCGGATATACCTTGAGCAGACCCGCCTCTACAGGTTCATAAGAGCCAACTCATCTTTTAGGTTGGTAGCAGTTGGGTTGGATACAGCCTTACGGTGACAAGACCCTACCAGCCACTCAATCTGCAAGTACTCACCCCACTTGGACACAGAAAAGAAGGCTCGTAGAACTTATCGACATCTTCTCCACCACCCATAACTTGAGATACTTTGTTGTCTATATTCTGGGCGGTCTTGAAGATGGTTAAACACTGTGCAGATAGCGGAAGGACTGAGGAAGCAGCGTATGAGACAGGTAAAGTCGAACTTCGGGATGTCAAAAAATCCTGGTTATCTGCCAAGAACACTTTCGTCGAAACTTTCATCAACGCCCTTGGTGTGTACAAAAAGCATTGCGAAGACTTGGCTTCCCAAAGGGTTCAGATAATACAGCAACTATCACCCGAGTTTCCCTTTGCTGCCGATATTTTAGCTCAGTCATACAATATCCCCCTGCCAGACAATGGGATCTTTATTACACCTGACATTATATTTTCGTACAAGCCGAACTCCGAGGAAGGTACCAGCTCACCAATCACATCTATCCAGCCAAACCAACCGTTGGATATTAAGAGCGATTACCATGTGGGTTACTACATTACTCTTTTCCTCTGTCACTCTATTGTTCAGTACCGTCTAACCTGATGCAGGGTGTAGCCGCTGCGGTTGAGTTAGAGAAGCTGGTCAAACCTGACCAATCTCCATTGCCAACACTCAAGGCACCAATTGTAGAGCCCACTGGGCCTGGCGACGTGCCGACTAGTCGCGGTTTGCGTACCCGTCCAGCGAAGCTATGTCCTCTGAAAACAGAACAACTACCCATTAAGACCGCCGAAGTCAATAGAGGGAACTACTGGGTCTTTGAATACCGTACTCTCGACACGTATGGGTATTACGTCCTGCGGTGCCCCTCTGACAATTGCAGCAACCCAGTCTTTTCCAAGAATCCACTCTGCAACAACAGGGCAGAACAGCACTTTGAGAAGTGTGGCTATCCCTTCAAAGGTCTGAGCCATATGATTCTGCATCATGCACGAGCAGGTAAGTCGCATGTCTAGTCATGAGTAGAGGTTAGCTCTTCTGATCATTATTTGCACAGTCATTACAGGTCGAAGAAATCGCGAAGTAACTCAGTCCTGGGCTCGAAAACATAACAGGAAATTGTTGGCCGGTGACGAGGTACATCTTGAAAAGGAGAATTTTGCGGAAGATTGAATGTCATCAAAATCCGCTCGGACATACTTATCTTGGCTTACCCAACCACGTATTAAAAAAAACTCGCTGCATAGACACAACTTTACACACTGCACGAGGCTGTTGCACTCATACAACTATAATAGCCTCGCGTAAAGTCGTGATCTAGAGATATTACACCCTCCGCGGTTGCATGTGCTCAAGATGTGCCATATTTAAGGGCCAGTCAGTGATTTGCATCTACATACGGTCGACGGTCTAAGTAACCAATCCTTATCGTGTCATGATAAGCATACGCTCTTGAAAAGTCCTCTGGACAGTTACAACAGCTCCGGACGTGTCGAGCTCGTTGCCTCCAAAGTAAAGGAACTCGTCGTGATGGTGGTGCATGTCCATCAGGAAGGAAACACAATTTTGGAGGCTTTGAGCCAGCCAGCACCAAATTTTTGGTAGATAAGTGCCGTTGAATATAGCAACCACACACTCTGGTTTCGAGCTTAGCGGTAACATCTATAGTGGCCTTTTTCTTCTAACATAATCACCGCCCAACTCGCCTTTATTGGCCACCTACCGGTAGTAGGCCGGTCAGGGAAGCATCGGTCGTCCACGCTGGGATCCACTGACCGCTATGAGACTCTTGGCCTAGATGAATTCCAGCAGCTAGGATTTGAAGGTCATATTTTAGTCGCCAACGACTCTAGATATGATAGTCCTTGTAAATGACACCGATACATGGGTGAACGACTCTAGTGTCAAGAACCAGCACGGGCTCAAGCTCGGGGGTTGCGTTATTAACTTTACTGCGTCATTAATTCTGGTTCAATTCTTGATCCAAGACTCACTGAAAACCCCCTATACTTAAAGAAATCCTCGAAGTAGACTTGAGTTTTGAGGAACGGTGGCTCTTGCGGATGGACTATAAATGTGTATTCCGGAAACCGCCTGGCAACTACTTGTGTAGGCCTGGTCTGAATACGCTCGGCTGAGTAGTGGCTGGTTGCTCTAAACTAAGTTGTTTTCGAAGGAACCAGTTGGGAATCATAAGTGAGCGGAAATAATTACAAGACACAAAAAAATCCGAAAAAGAGGAAGAAAAGCTTGAGTTCGAAGCAGGTACCAGTTGCAAATTAAGATATATATAGTTTACAACCTAGTAAGTATCGCAGGCTGCTGTGACATTAATAACGAAAGATTAACAGCGTAAGTTTAATTCTAATCAATCCAAGAAATCGTGAAATTAAAACGCTCCCAGATTTATCACCGACAGCCATGGTAGACCCGAAAACCGCTAAGCATGATAGTTGATAATCTGTCGGGAGCCACAAACATTCTCGTTCTTATGCGTGATTTTGTTCTGGTTCTCGCTTATCAGTGGCCATTTCATCAGCCCAGTACAATCAGACCGTCGCTATCGCAGCTTTTGATGACTATGGCGATGATGACGAGTTTGCTCAGCTCATTAACCACACTGAGCATATGCGAGCCACCCGGAGCGTCGAGATCGATCCCCACCCCGGTGTCCTCAAGCACAATATCCGCAGTAATATCGAGTCTTACGACAAGGGCACGAATCCGCACTGCGCTTCTGCTGCTCATGTCACTGACTCAGGTTGTTATTCTCAACGATGACCTGTTTGCGGGACGACCCACAGTTTCTACTGTAGTTACACCGACACTACGAACATGGGTGAGCAGTCACCCTCCGCCGATCGCAGTATACGCCGCCAACGAATCGAAAGTATTGATCAAACACTAGTAAACCGAGGCCAAGGTTAGGTACCTTACCTGCCCAGGTGTTCATGTGGGCCAATGCTCCAATATGCTAGAGTGGCGCCAATGGAAGGGTTCGTGATTTTGATAAGCTCTAAAACATATATGGCCACACTCGCGTGATATAGTGAAAGCAATGGACGATTTTATATTGTTCGTTAAAGTCTTCAAATCTTGTAAGAGTCTTGAGTATCTCTGGCAATGTTTTCAAGAGAATGTTCCGATAATCTATAATATTCAACCTTGGGGTGTTAAAGGAGAGAATTTTTCAATCAAGGATTAAACTTATGTGGATCTTGATTATACCGGGGGATATCGGAAGAATTCCCTCCATGGTTCGAAGTTGATGCTTTGAAGACTAGGAAGGATCTTGAAGATATTTTGCAAAGATGCAATACTAAGGCTGCGTTGAGTTTGTCGACGCAAAATAAGGCTTGTTGCAGCCTTCACAGACGGCACTCCTTCCCTGAATTTCGGGAACATAATAGTCAAGACCCTAGATATAGCTTTCATAGAGGGGCGATTCAACCACTGACCATGGTGCTGACCATGGCATGGGTCAAGGGTACTAAGCCTCTGGCGCCCGTCATCTCCGGTTTATAAAGGATCTAAACTAAAGTGTGAATTTACACTAAAGGTATGTTGCGAGTCACTCGGTGAGTAGATGCTGGTTTCCAACGTCAATCCTCCGTGCAGGACATGGAGGCCCCGTTCCAAAGGGTGATCCAAAGTTTGTTGTATATGTGGCAATTGACGCCAACTCAAGAATGGATACCTAAATTACTTCGCACCAGGCGCTGCCTAAGGCTACCGTGATAGACGCGACAAAAGTCCATCGGACCACTTATCAGAGTTGGCCGAATACGACAATGCTAGCTCTACCGGGGTCGGTCCGCTTTATACACAAATGGTTGCCCTTGACCATGTTTGAGAACCGGTTCACTTGAAAGTACCAACATGGTCGAACACCAACTCGGGATTGTCCAAAATAAAAACCATAATGAATAAAATAAAAACCTAGTGCAGTTGCGCTTGGTCCACAAACCGGGCATGTGAGATGTATTGGAAGCCAGATTACAGATTTGGACTTGGGAAGACGTTTCGGGTTATCATGGTCAGTAGGCTAATTGTCGATTCACACATAGGAACTCGTTCGCAAGTAAGCAAAGACGGCGCCACTCACAGTACGGGGTATACTGTTTAGCATCATGGATACCGGAGCCGGCGCCACAGCCAAAAGTAGTGGAGCGGAAACCAGGTTAAGTGATATCACGTGATGCGCGTTTGCTTCGTGACCTACGGCGCGTGTGTCGCCGCGTCAGCATTTCTTTTTAGTTGAGTGCAACAGTCATTCACAAACTGGGATTGTATTGCTTTGCTCCACGTGCGCATGTTGTCAATTGCACTGGGTGAATCCAGTGCTATTCTTTGGATACAATGGCGCCTGAAGTTATCTGCTTGCTGTCAAGTCCTTCCGAGCCATCTCCGGCAAACGCAAAGTTTCCTGCTCAGAACCGTCAGGCACAACCACATGACTTACAGTCTGACGACGATGAGTTCCCCGACATATCTGGAATTGTTTCCGGGACAAGGACGTCTAGAGCTCGTGCAACCATATCCAAGGGGCTTCTAAAGAGGACAAATAACACAGGCAGTAATGGCAACAATGGCAGCAATCAGCTCCGCCAGGACGACAATGATTTTCTATTTCTTTCTGACGATTTTGATACAACCGGGGATCTCAGCTATCATGCGACTCGCAACACCCAAGCTTCACCTGGCGCCACCAGGAACAAAGCGCTCAATGCCCGCTCAATGATGCGTACATCTTCTGCGACTGTGGGAACAAAGTCAAACTGCCCGCTACAGCCCGCTGGACTGAAACGATGGAAATCGGTTGCAGACCCTATTCAACACACAAGTTCACCTCAACGTCCAATGGCTATCGACCTGGAGGATGATCCATTCGCCAGTAGTTCACCAGCAAGCAAGACCTCAAAGGGCAAGCAGCCTGACCGAGCTACACCCCTGAGCAATACCTCTACCGCCGGCAACAAATTGCCTACAATGTCTTCGAAGGTCTACGATCTGACCAGTGATTTTTCGGACTTGTCGCCTGTTCAAGCTCGACCCAGTATGCCCAAGAAGAAGAGTGACTGGGATCCCATCTCAAGTTCTATGCCAGAAATGAGCACAGCGCGTAATGAAGATAGCCTTTTACCCAGTTCGCCTCCAAGGCCTCCGAAGAGGAAGGTGGATGTTATAGATTTGAACAATTCGGACCGTCCTGACTCCGAAGACGAATTTCCAGAGCTCAGCAAAGTAAAGGCAGATACTGCGATAATCTCCCGTCGCGCGTCGCCCCGTTCATTGAAGCGATCGAAAACAGCACCAGCAAACACAGCTGCGAAGAAACCACCCCCGAAGACACAAGAAGAAAAGGAGCTTGAGAAAAAGCGCAAAGCCGGGGAACGAGAGGCCGAGAACGAGCGAAAACGCATTGACAAAGAGCGTGCAAAGCGAGAAAAGGCAATAGAGAAAGACAAGGCTAAAGCACTTGCAGAAGTCAACAAGGTCCGAGTTAACAAATCGGTAGCCCAGGTTGAGATGATCGTAGATTTGCCGAAGTCTCTATCCACCGGTCTCAATGCACAAGTCACGACGCTGCTGAATGAGCACAGCATTGACCACAAAACCTGGGACAGTCCCGTTGAGCATGTTGTTCGATGGCGCAGGAAGGTGGACAAGAAGTTCAACGAGGAGAAGGACTACTTTGAGCCCATGCCTCTGCACCTAGAACAGGAAAAGCACGTGCTGGTCGCCATACCTGCTGCCGAATTTGTTAAGCTCGCAACCGGCAGTGAGGGTGTTGACGTTGATGCGCATGTGCTCAAGATGAAAGTTGCTTTCCCCGAAAGCAGCATAATCTACCTCGTTGAAGGTCTCGATCAATGGTTTCGCAAGAACAGGACGGCCCGCAACAGGCAATTTCAGAATGCTGCACGACACGATGCAAACTCGTCAGGGGCTCAGACACGCCGAATAGCTAAAGCGTATGAAATTGTTGACGAGGATGTAGTAGAGGACGCCTTGCTGTCTCTGCAAGTGGATCATGGAGTGTTGATCCACAAGACAAATGCGCCAGTTGAGACGGCGCAGTGGATCGCTATCTTCACTCAACACATTTCCACCATTCCCTACCGCAAGCTGCGCGACGATATATCGACGGATGCTGGCTTCAGTGTGGAGTCGGGCCAGGTCAAGACCGGCGAATCTATGAAAGAGACCTACGTTTTAATGCTCCAGGAAGTTGCCCGTGTCACTGCACCCATGGCTTATGGCATTGTGGCCGAGTATCCAACAGTCACTGAGCTCGTCAGAGGTTTAGAACAAAAAGGTTCCTTGGCGCTTGAGGATTTGAGGAAGAGTGCAAACAAGGATGGCCGGCTCACAGATCAGAGAATTGGCCAAGCTATCAGCAAGCGCTTGTACAAGATTTTCACTTCTGAAGATCCGACGAGTACAGACATTTGATGTTTGAAGGGCAATTTTTTTTTTTGTTAGATTGCCCGGTTTAAAGCTTCGCGCTTTCACAGTGCTGACGCTCCAACTATGTGGACCACCACGAGCTTCATACGTTTTGCAACGAGACTAGAGTTATTATACCTCGAGCTCTGGCGCATCAACATATGAGATATCGTCTTCTTGTTCGATATCGAATTTTAAGCGTCGAAATTCTACCGCATCAATAATTGAAGATCAACATGTAAATTAGTAATATTATTAACCTCGTAAGTAACCTAGTAAAAGTGGCGTAGGCCTGGACTTCATTACTTAAGGCACGAAACGCTATTATCCATTGCTCGTGTACCTCAAATCTCTCCTTTCCAATGACCAAAACCTCCGGGTCGATCAAGCTGCGACTAATCTTGGTTTAACGCACACCTAGCAGACCTGGTCATCCTTCCGCTGTAACCTCGTTGTCTTTGTGGGGCAAGACCCCTTCACGAATCGGCTTGGCGCCCTCGGGAAATTGCATTGTAGGCTATTATAGAATTCTTTTGGCGGGCTTTTGCTTTGTAGATTCAGTTAAAGTAGTTTACTTAGTAGTTAAGTTAGTGACGACTGTCGACACTGGGTGTTTGTAGGCTTCGGCTTCGGCTTCGACCACTCCCAGAAACCTTTTTAGACCCTTTAATCCAAAGTACTTAATAAGACTCAATGTAATGAGACCAGGCGAAACGCAAATATTTTGCGTGGAATGTTAGCAATAGCCTGGTGCAGCTCTCACAATGACATCCATACGAGTGAGATCGATGTTTTCTGGCACCAGCAAGGGCTGGGTTCACAAGAATGTATGCCGCGTTCCCTGCCCGACTTCACAAAGGCAGACTCGAAAGAGACACTTGGATATCTTCAACTCCGAGGCGCTCCGGCGACTGAGCTCCACACCACCCAGCTATACCATTTCCCCGTACCATATCGGCATTAACAATCTTGTATGGCATGCGCAGTGATTATTAATTTGATATATCCTAGGCCACAGTTTAATTGACAATCGCCATTTATAAATGAGTGTATGGGTTTATGAAAGTTTTTCAAATTCTCATACGAACGTATAATTCGAAACTATCCCAATCAATCAGAACTGTATCGCCACAGGTGCCTCGAGTGCCTCTATAACAATCGAAAGCAGTACAACAAGATGTCGGCTCATAACACCATGCTCCATACAGCCCAGCTCATTTCCCTCGCCACCTCGCTCTTCCTCTCCGGCATCAACTTCGGCGCCTTCCACCTGACCGTGCCCATTCTCCACGGTCTCGACGTCCAGACGCCCGCGACCTTCGCATCCCTCTACCACCGGGGCGCTCGGCTGACCGCACCCCTTGCCGTCCTCTCGACCCTGACCTCGGCGCTCGTAGCGGTCCAGTCCACGGGTCACGAGCGAGCCAAATGGATCGTCGCTGCCGTGGCCACTTTTGCCAGCTTACCATTCACAAGGGTTGTGGTCACGGAGACTAGCCGAACGCTTCTCAAGTTCGCTGGCGAAGATGCTACTTTGGAGGAGAGACATAGTCTGAAAGGTGACCAGGAGCGGCAACAGGACAAGGAGGAGGTTGTGGGGCTGCTGAGACGCTGGAAGAAGATGAATTTGCTCAGGAGCGCGTTTTCCTTGGTGGGTGGGTTGGCGGCTGTGGTGGCTGTCGTGTTCAGAACATAAATATCAGCTTTGAGATCGGCGCGATGCATGTATCACCATATCGGGAATGTTCCTGATGTTGTTTTGGTAGATCGGCCGTCATTGAGGGGTCTTGAATGGGGATTTCTATTAAGGAGTTGCGTCCATTACATATAGGCCAAATGGGGTTTTGGCAGCAGGAAATGTTTTATAAACCAGGAGTGACGCATTGTCATCGCACAATAATGTGTCTCACATTGGAGACACTGATAGTTTAAATCATGAATTATTACTCAATCCAACACTGGCTTGTTCGATATCTGTGTATTTCAATCCAATTGGTATGGGCTCACACTTACTAAGCGAGATCATGCTCTGCCACGAGCTTCTCAGCGCACGTCATCCCAGTCACATAGGCAGCGGCTTGAATGTGGGCACTGACCAAGACCGGAACGGCACTCATATCAGCAACACGGAGTCCCTGCACTCCGAGCAGCCTAAAGTCGGGGTCTACGACCGCATCTGCGTCGTCCTTCTTTCCCATCTTTAGAGTACCAGTCATGTGCCAACTCGACGAGATGGTCTGTCTCCAATATTCCAGTAGGTCCTCATCGGACTCTGATGCTGGGCCTGCGAGCTGAGCTATGCTGTCCTTGCTGTAAGCCTCGGAATTGGCCACTTTCAACACGGCCCGTAAAGACTCAATGGCTGCTCGGCGATCATAGGGATGATCGAGAAATTTTGGGTCGAATAGCAAGGGCACGTTTGGATCCGAAGATTGTAGAGTCACCTCGCCACGGCTCTGCGCGTTGTACAAGAACGCCAGCAGGCAGCTGTAATCGAGGTTTTCCTTGGGGAAGTTGGGAATGAACCAGTGCATAGGGAAATGTGTAATTACTTCCATATGGGGTACGGTTGCCGATTTCAAATATCTCTGCTCATCGACTGGCAAATCTTGGAATTCTTGGGATGATGTAATCGTGTCGAGCTTGAAAAAACCAATGCCGGTCTCGCAGGCGAACTTGGCCCATGGACCCGTGCCGTCCTTTTTCCACAGCTCGAGTGCTTCTCGCATGATTTTCTCGTCGCCATAAAAGGCTGCTCGGCTAGTGCTTCCTTCCTTACGTGTGAAGACCAGGGGTGAGAACATATGGTCACGAAGTCCCTTACCAATATTCGGCAGATCCTGTTTGATAGGGAGGTTGAACTTCTGTAGCTGGTCCGCCGGCCCGAGACCAGAGTGCATCAAGATACTTGGACTGTTGAGGGCACCAGCGGATAGGATAACCTCCTTCGAAGCACGATCTTGAAGCAGGTTAGCATTGACCTTCAGGTGTGTTCAAAATGACGTACATTTCTGTCCGTTACTCTCGACCCCGACGGCCTTATCACCGTTGAGAATCAAGCGCTGAACCGGCGATGAAGTAATAACCGTGAGATTGTTTGGGTATGGCGTAAGTAAGTCCTTAGATGTTGATCGAAGACCATTGGAGGCTGAGTTAATCAAGACCGACATCCCGATGGGATTGCCTGAGTTATGATCAGGATTGAGTTCGAATCCCGCTTTCTCAAAAGCGTCGAGCAGTGGCGGAAGGTCGTCCTCCCATTCGGCCGCATAACCAACGTGTAATGGTCCTAAGCTGCCGTGATCGGAAGATTTTGGTGCCGCGTATTTGGTATCAACCCCTGGCGGCAGTTTGCCATTGAAAGTTTCCAATGCTTTGAATCGAGCTTGGATCTTGTCCCATCCGAATGCGTTGTCGCCGACGATGCGTGCCCATTCGTCATAATCATCCCTGGCGCCGACAGTGTATACACCAAAGTTAATGGCGCTTGACCCTCCCAGCCCCTTGCCCCGACTGTAGTCAACCTCACGGCCACCGGCTTGCTTCTGTGGCACGGTTTGATAGCCCCAGTTCATGCCTTGTCTCATGAAAGTTTGCCACCGCTGTCCGTCGACGCGAAGGTCTCTGTCCTCATTATCGCTACCAGCTTCAAGAAGAAGGACGGATGGTCTTTTCGTCGAATTTACCAGGCCAGCTGCGACTGCACTACCAGCTGGTCCACCTGCAGATTGTTAGTCACCTAGCTACACGCGTCATTTGGGGAGAGCTTTATAGACTGACTCCCAACTACTATAAAATCGTACGTCTCGGCTGCGATGCTACCCATGGTTTTTCGATGTGGTTTACAAAGTTTAGATAGAAGAACAAAAGAACAATGCGCTCAGCAGATCAACCTGCAACTTCACTATACAAATAGACACGAGTTACCGTAGCTCATGCGTCCACAAGCCGTCGTTTAGCGTGGGAATTTCCCACTTCCCCCATGTCTGCTTGGAGGTGGCTCCGAACGTGCGCGACATGCCGATCTGAGGGTCGCGCGTGCAGCGAGGTTGCAGCCGTAGCGCATGAAGATGGTAGTGAGAGCTACTATGTACTACGTACTCCAAAACGCACTTCCAGCCGGCCCTACGCCTCGAACGCCCCCCAACCATGTACGCATGCCACCAAGAGTTTAGACCGGTGACGAGCGCAATATTCACTGCAGCTAAAGTTTAGTTGGCCCCAGTGTGATCCTTTTGGAAGTACACTTTACAAGGGGAGGATTAGTGGGTGGATTTTTGCGAGACAACAATGGTGGAAGCGACTGGCTGGAGACATCCCAAGGTCCTCCGTTTCAACCATGATCTTGGTGAGTAATTCGTAGACCCTATCAAACATCCCCCCGTCCTGCCGCTCTGCCGAATGATGCCAAGAAATTAGATACCACGGTACCAGGTCAAAGCAACCACAATGGAGCAGGTCTTTCGAGAGGGAGGTATAACTGGTTCGGAGCTTAACAGGGTGAGAAAACACCGACGCAATCGACCCGATACCTATCAGGCCTACCCCGTTGTGGTCATTTTGGCTTGGTACCCACAGTACGGGATCATCAATGGCCGGCATATATTAATATTGCGCTAACACAAGTAAGGCTGGGGTACCGCCCCACTGGGTTCTCTCACATGCGAAGCACCCCGACCCTTATGTATGTACAGCTGGAGGCTTTTACTTCTACTTAAGGTATCACAGTGGATAACTCCAGGGTTAGTTTCAAGGCATTCAGGCATTACTGAGTTCGAGTCTTCGAGATGGCACAGTCGTATCTTGTTGCACCGAGTGTTGAAAAGCGCTGATCTTCGACCATTTAGTCTACCTATCGGAGCAAGGATTCGATTAAAATGAGCGCGGCCTAACGTACGAGGTGATTGGATTGGGGTCTTTCCTGATTACAAGACACGAGTCGTGTGCTTACTGAGCTCACCTTTTCCTCTGGAGGCGACACCAAGGTCAACTACACTCCTCTATCGGGAGAGACAATATTCCCCAGCCTTCTCGCACAGGCTGAAGAGTCCACAAAAAGCAATGCCGTTTTCAGGGGAAATGGCCTAAGTTATGAAAGACCGTCGAGCTCCACCCGGAATGAGACACCATCAACCGCTGATGTGTTGAAATGCTAGGCGTTGCCCCACATGGGACTGATCGCCAATATAGTCCCTCTTGACAGAACAAATCGCATCAACGAACGAGTCATGTGTAAATCTCCTAAGGCATTTGAGACAAGGGTGATTGTTATACAAGGACCAGGTATGAATGGCCCTTGTAGTTTTTTATATGCAGCCATCTTGGCACACAATGACTAACAACTTGAACCATTGCGTATCAGGGCTGCAGGGCTGCAGGCAAAACATAGTTCTGTCATTCAATGCAGGATTGAGTCGCGTCGCAATCCAGATGGAGAAAAGGATAGACGACTATTAGTAATTTCAGGCTACGAGTTTTTTCTACTATGTACCTAAGGGTGAGTGTTTAGTGGGATCGTCGCGTTTAACACCTATATGATACAGCATAATCAGAAGACCTCAATTATCTGAATACCCCATTTATCTCCCGCCGAGATGTCGTATCACTCGGTCTCGCCATTCGACTCTGTTGGATGCTTGATCAACCGTCAAATACTTTTTGCACAGAACTTCCTGTGTTGATTCACGATGGGCGTTGCAGAGGCTTGGACGCTCCTCTCGCTGGGGCTTGTTGTCATTTCGCTACGCATCTATGTACGGTGGACGCAGGTTGGGCCGTCCAAATGGCAGCTAGACGATTACTTGATGCCTTTGACAGGAGTAAGAGAGCCTTTCCGCATTCCAGATCTTCGGTGTTGCCTGCGGTTGCTAATGCTTCCCCGCTGTCTTACAGTTAGTTTTCACGCTCGAGACTGTTGCAGCATATCTCGTAGGAGCCTTGTACGGGGGTTTAACAAATAGCTACATGACGGATGAAGAACGCGCCAACCTCGATCCGAACTCTCGAGAATACTACAATCGTCAAATGGGCTCAAAAGTCCAGATAATTGGCTGGTCATTTTATGCTTGCATTCTGTGGCTGCTCAAATTTTCCATTGCAATCTTCTACTCAAGGTTGACGTATGTCATCAATCCTCGTAAAGAAGAGGATGTTCAAACTAACACGGTGGACACAGAAACGGGTTAGTGCATCTACGACTGCGAGTGCGCATTGCCTACGGTCTGCTTGGGGTGACGTACCTTGGTGTGGCATTGTCACTTCTACTCGGTTGTCAGCCGATGTCTAAATACTGGCAGATATACCCAAATCCCGGCAGTCAGTATCAAATATGCGTGGCGCGTTGATTATCAACTAATCGTTTATTAGACCTCTGCCAGCCAACCATATCGAAGCTATATGTGCTGGTTGTTCTGATTCCAAACGTTATCACGGACATGTACTTACTATCAATCCCATTGCCGGTATGTTTAGCGATGCCTTGGGCCGACAGGAATAGTCCCTCGCTAATACTTGTGTCTTAGTTGTTATGGACTGTCAACATTGGTATGCGCAGGAAGCTCTCGTTGATGCTCTTATTTTCTGGTGCTATATTCGTCATGATGGCTGGGACAATTCGTGCTGTTGTCATTCTATCGGTAAGCTGTTCTGACGTCCTGCACATCGCAACGACGACATGTGATACTGATACTTGCTTTCCATAGTCCGGGCCTGAAGGTGCAGTCACTGGAAGCGAATGGGCGTGCCGCGAAACGTTCGTGGCAATTGTCGTGGCCAATCTGCCCATACTCCAACCTCTCATCCGACAAGGCGCTAGTAAAATAGGACTCAGCGGTTTGTTCAGTAGAACGACGAAAATGGGCCAAAGTCATCCACTGGGCAGTCAAGAGCGCAACGGTGATGCGTACGAAATCGGTAACCGACGCAACTCACAATCGCGCCAAGTTTCACGAAACACACGATGGGGTAGCACCGATCACATCCTGCGGACAGAGACTGCTAGTGGTAATCCAAAATTACATGCCACTCAAGCAAGCAAAGATATCGTGATCGCCCATGAGGTATCGATCACGCATGAGATGACGCATTCGAAAAGCGCGAAAGGCACTGACAAGGGTGGTGAATTAGGCCATCGTTCTTCGGCAAGGGCAGTGATGAAATGAGCAAACACATTTAAGAGCTATTGCTGAATATACGAATTGATTATAAGATAGAGCCCTCGGGCGCATTAGTTTAGACCATTAATTGTATACTTGTCACGTGAGCCGGCGTGTCAAGACGCGATTAGACTTGTGAAAGCTCACACTAAATCACGCGGGGTCGACGCGCCTTTCGCATGACACTCCACTAACACTTCTTGATCGATGAGTCAATCAGCATTACAGTTTGCTCACGGCAAATCTATAAGAAGACGTCGTTGAACCCATGAAGCACCTGTGTTCTCTTGAAGTGTCATATTGTCGCTAAAACCATCATTACCTCCGAACATCTCTTAAGGTGTTGCACCTCAACCATGGCCGTGGATCGCAAGCGCAAACGTGCAACCGAGGAGGTCGTTGCCGTCAAACCCATCAAAGTCCCACGTGCCTTTCTCGAGACCACGCGAGACATCGTCTCAGTCCCCGTCACCACACCCGGGAACGCCGAAGCCCAGCTCGAGCTCATCGCACTCTCAGATCGCACACTCTTTGAGAAGAAAGTCTGGTCTCTCTTATGTCAAATCCCGCCGGGTCATGTATCGACCTACGGGCTCATGTCGGCACATCTGAACTCATCTCCGCGAGCCGTCGGTAACGCGCTGAGAAGAAATCCATTCGCACCCGGAGTCCCGTGTCATAGAGTTGTGGCGACGGGCGGACAGCTTGGTGGTTTCAAAGGTCATTGGTCCAGAAATGGGGAGGGTATCACTATCGACGAAAAGAAAAAGCTATTAGGAAAAGAAGGCGTCAAGATTGATCCGAGTGGAAAAGTGTTGGGGACGCCTTGGGCTGCTTTTGTTTGATTCGAATTTTGCTTGGGTTAGGAGTGGTCAACCGGAAAGAACCCAAACATGGTGTTCGGGGTACATATTGAATAATATTTAGATGTATTGAGCAGCGCGGACTGCGTTCTGAAGATTACATTCCTTCTAATGACCAGTTCTCGGGTAAGTGGAGCAAAAAGGAGTTCACAGACGCTACAACGGAGCTCCCATTATCATAATGTACAGTAGAACAACCCTGAACATTTACTAATTAATGGGTGCCTCAGGTTTCCACCTGATAAATCAGGTACACACCTATGGCAACCACTTTAGGTAGCTTTCAGGAGAACAGAAGATAGCTCTGTTCCTCACCGTTACACCACACTTCCTATCAAGGGACTGCTATTGATCACTATATGTTACGTGTCTATCATTTACTACATTCGGTATGTACCCTAATTCAGAAGCCAATAACATAATGTGACATAAAGCAGGTTATTACTGTTAGAGGAATAGATGTTCGGGGTTTGTACAATTTCATGAATATTTGTATGGACAACTCGCTCGAGATGTGTATTCAGGCTACATAACCCTGGCTGATAAGGTGTCGCAATAGCTGCTTCTTCCATGTTCATCACTCTCGATGGGTATCTCTAACACCGACTACCTTCTAGTGAACAATACTTAATTCCTACGGCAGACTGCGGATGTTCTTTCGACAGTCGCGAATTACCGCACCTGCTCAAGCTACAAACACTCCCCAAATCAAGGAAAGACCAAGGCAAATGGTTATGGTCAAATCATTACCGCGTGACAGCGTAACTGCGATTGCAGCACTGGTCAATGTGCTTGAAGAGCTAGCTCCTGTAGTGCTGGAGCCTGTTGTCACTGTATTTGTTGCGACACTGGTACTTGTCGTCCCAACCGTACCCGAGTCCGTCGCCGAACCACTTGCCGTACTTGTTTGGATGGTGAAAGGCAGCGTCACTACGCCCGTGGAGGTATCATTGTCTTCCTGCGGCCTACAGTGATGGTCAGCATTTTTTAAAGCCAGGCAGGCTGTATCCCGAAGTGGTGTGCTCACAACGTATATCTGGCAAAGTATTCCATGATGATGCTACTCGCATTGAAAGTAGCCGGGCCGCTCCCATGTGTCCAACTGTCGGAGTTGTTGACTGTAGCCGGCCAGTCGTGATTCACGTGGTCGCCGTCATAGACAAAAGTCACCAGTCCTTTCTCGCTTCCCTTGCCATACCGATATATCTCGGCGCTACCATTCAGCTTCTCCGTCTCAGACGATGCCACCGTCAGGTTGTTTCTTTCCACCCAATCATCGACCCAATGTCGTATATCTGGCAGACACCCACCATTGCGAGAGCCCCCGTCGATGGATATTGTAGTATCGTTCCCACCGTGGAAATCAAGCACCGGAATGTCTTCGCGCCCCGGGTTGCACGTGATGGCGAGGGTCCGGGGGTCTGCACAAGACACCAGGTCCGACTCTGAGCCGGTTGTATAAAACGCCCCAGACACGGGCGCGAAAGCTGCGATACGTCGCGAAAGCTCGGCGTCGCAGGCAAGGATCCCAACCATGCCACCGCCTTGTGATTTGCCCGTCGCATAAATACGGGATTTGTCGATACAAAGTTCGGATTCAACGTCGCCCAGGACATCGTTGACATAGCTTACGTCGTCGGCTGTCGCGTTGGGCGCACCTTGCCAATAAATATATTGGCTGCTATCACCGTACTGCAATGCCTGTGGATATACGACAACATGATCTTTGTTGAAGAAGGGATCTGTCAGAAGATCTAGGTTCGCCTGCCAGTCCGATGTTCGGGATGCGCCATGAAAGGAGATAATCAGGGGGTTGGCCTTTTTCTGATCGTACTTTTCCGGAAGAAAATATGTGTAAGTCCTATTCGAAGGCGAAAGCGTGGTTTTATGCCGCGTGCCAATTGAAACAGGTGGCTCACTTGCTTTGCAGCCTGTCTGAGATTCAGAGGCTGCCGCCAATGCAGCCAGCAGAGCAATGAGAGGGATGACTAAAATCATGGCGGGCTATAACCTGTTGGGTGTGACGGGAGTTTCCAGCGAAAGCAGTCCCGGGAAGTCTATCCGCCGATTTACGGTCACGACATGGTCAGATTGTAGTGCAGCAGATGGGCTCATATATAACTGGGTATCTCAAGCCAGATCCGAGGCAAGCGCGCTGCTATACATCGCCGCAATACCACACCAATATCTAATGACGAAAAGCATCTTCATCCCTTCATCCCTTCATCCCTTTCTACTGTCGAAGGGTGGGTGGTCAAGCTTTTGTGTGGCTTCTTGGCACATTTTGTGCATGGGCACCATGCAAGTCACGCTGCAAGTATATCTTCTGACCAAAGATCAACATGATTCAAGCTTCCTGAGGGGTCAGGCCCGCATTATTTGTTCAACCTTGCGGCCAGCATTTCAGTTCTTCCTTGAGTGATCATTCGGCCGCTGCAAGAAAGACGGCACTGAAGCTGCACGTAGTAGGTAGGGCTCAAAGCGGAGAAGGCGGGGTCGTATTGGAAGCTCGAGGTCGATTTGTCTTGACAAGCATTCTTGGCATAGTACTAGCCAGAAGAGCCGCTATACCCCGAGGCACCACGTTTTGGCAATGTTCAATATTCCTGGAGTTGATAACCGGACCGTCGTATCATCGTGTGTGAGACTTGAAACACCAAAGGGTGGTGTCTTTTCCTTTCTCTTTTTATCTTTTCTGTTGAGAACTGCCTCTGCGTCTGCAGTGGAGCTAATGTCGTGTCCATCCCAACAGCCAACCCACAAATGATGCAACAGAAGAGCGCCGACTTATCTTTGGTGACAAAATATCGCGCCCGATGACGCAACACGGTCTGGGGCTTTTATGTCTCCTCGTGCAGCATGCCATATAGAAGGTATATCATCGTGATAATACAGCAATGGTATCACTAGCTCAACAAAGCCGTTGCATGTTGGCAACACGATTACAGGTTCTAGGCTCTCTGTTTTAGTCAACGCAATCACACATAATGACAGGCCACAAACACATAAGTTGTTTTTACCTACGATGATGGTGCCGATTGTGCCGAACGCAGTCGATTGATCATGCCCGTCAAGATTCTGGTATGAATACCCGGCACGGAAATCTCCTTCCAAATTTGGACAACCTTTGTCAACACCCAGTCACTACATGTTATAGTCATTAACACGTTCCATTCTAGACTTGATGTTTCGATTCTCATAGCAAGCCCTAAACCATACGTCTCCCATAATCCGCTAAAGGAAGAAAGTCACTGGCCGGAGATCATATTTGCAATAGACCGACCTAATAACAGTCCGAAAACCGCGCTGGCATAAGACGGAATTGCCAATAATTTTGACCGTGATATGTCTCCCTTTGATCAAGTTTAGTGTCAAGGGTGATTAATGGTTATCAATTTTTTATTCATGACTATGGCATGCGGTTCGTTGGTCGGTGGTGTACGCCGATCCGGCCGAGCCAAGTCCAAGAGACTAATTCTAGCAATAATACTTGAATAAGGCGTTGTCTCCTTAGCGGTAGGAGGCTCGCCAACAAATCATCAGTGTGAACGTTGTGCTGTATAGCCCTCCAGCGAACCGCTTCTCTGCCAACTTCAAAAAGTCAAGCCACACGGCTGTAATCAGGCAGAAATTGCCCTTGTTGTGGATGACAACCTAGAGAGTCCACTATTCCGCCACAATAAGATAACTTCTAAGCATCGGCGTTCCGTGTTTCTTGTCGCCGTATATCAGTACAAAGGCTCGTATTAGTGATCGCCGATCAGTCCAAGGCCTTGATAATAATGGTAAAAACATGTGAACCAAGTAAGGAAAAGGGTATATGTGCCACACTGATGCCTAGCAGAAGGAAACCATTGCGAAAACCCTAGCCGATGGCCATCACTAGTAATGAAAAGGGCGCCGAACACCATTTCCTTAGAAGAAAGTCGGCTTTGTGAGTACTCTGTACTCAACATAATCCTCACCATCGATGGTTAGTATCTCTCCACGGCTAACCAATTTGCCTGCGAACGGACCATTCTGTTTCCGAGTGTAGGTAATGTTACCCAAGACTCTGACCTCGTCCATATTAGGTCCTGGAATCATTTGCTGAGATGGTAAGGGCGGCGGTTGCTGCTGCTGCTGCTGCTGCTGCGGTTGTGGCGGTGGTTGCTGAGGTGGCATCTGCATCATCTGAGCCGCTTGTGCCGCTTGTGCCGCCTGAACTTGCTGCTGCTGATGTTGATGCTGATGCTGTTGTTGCTGCTGCTGCTGCTGCTGATGCTCCTGAAGTCGAGTCTCCCGAGAACTCCAGACACCGTTGAGACGTTTGATATTATCCTGAAACATAAGTCGGTTGTCAGAAGGAACTATGCCAGGAGGAGGAGTGGGCATGGGTGCACTAGACATGCTACGTTGACCATGGCCACGCTCTTGTCGCATTTGGGCAGCTTCCATCTTGTGCACTTCACGTCGCGCGAGACTGTTTGTTCGCTCAAGGGGATCGATACTAGCTGCACGACCAGTCTGGCGGTAATCAACCTCTTGCACAGGTCTGCCTCGGATGTCCTGCAAGACGCCTCGTCGAGGATCTCTCATATCCTGCATGCTGAGGTCTGGTTTGATTGAGGGACTGGCCATCTCCTCTGGATATGCATTGAGACTGTGTCGCCCAGTATGAACAGGTGGTCCAGTTGGAGCTTTAGGATTCAGGGCTGCCCGTCGTTGAGCCTCATATACGGCTTTGGTCTCGTTTGCAACACGTTCTTCCTCCGCCTCGCCGCTATCGATTTGGTATTGTCGCACGCGTACATACTCTTTCATCTCAGTCCTGTTGAGATCCCGAATATGAGGCAGGAAATTGACCTCCTCGTAAGCAATCCACAGCGCTCCAGCGCCGGTGGGGAAATTGCCATCAACGAACCGGCCATCCATTGTCTCGCGGACCAATTTTACACGGAACATGTCATTAGCACCAAGGATGCCATAGACTGCATGCTTGTCGGCATCCTTCTTCGCGCTGCTTCGGGACCAGCACCCAACCAGAATACGCGTAGGACGTTGGCCGGGGAGGTTTCCGATATATTGAGCGTCGTCAGGCCGCATGTGTTGGTGCATAGGTGGGCCCTGCAGCGGCATAGGCTGCTGCTGAATTGGAATGTGGTGTTGCTGTAATATATGCTGTGGCAAAGGCTGAGGTTGCTGTGGTGGCGTTGGTACTGTAACAGGAACTGAAGCCGGAGTAAGGGGGCCCTGAGCCTGTGAAGGTAGTTGGTGCAGAATATGATGATGGTGTTGAACCTCCGGGAGCACATCCTGCTGAGGAGCTATTACGGGAATCGGAGCTGAAGGGGCTGGAGGAGGCTGTTGCTGAGCCTCGGGCTTAGGCGTGGGCGTGCTCGCCTGAGATGACACCATAGCAGGGATAGGAGTCGGAACCGAAGCAGGAGCAGGAACCGGGGCAGGAGTAGGAGCAGCGGCAGGGGCAGGTGTAGGGGTTGAAGTAACTACATTGAAAGACGCTGTGGTACTACCAGTGCGACGACGCTTAGTGTCACCCCGATGCCCATGCTGGGGGTTTTCCGGGAGGAACTTGCCATATGCCACTGCAGGAGGTTGCGGTGTCTCAGGTGGTGGATTAGCCTTTAGACGACGCTTGGCTTCCTCTATAGCGGCAAGCTCGGCCTTGAGCCTCTCTTCTTCAGTTTCCTCGTTGATTCCAGTCTCTAAGCGTATTCTGATATACTCCTTGATCTCGTTATGGTCAAGGCCAACCAAGTGATCATCAAAGACAGTTCGATCAAAAGTGGTCCAGCTACCTCCGGGTCCGGGTGGTATTGGAAACAAGCGGGCATTAATAGTCTCACCGCTACGTGTTTGAGGTTGAATGCGGGTTCGAAGACGATCGCGAACATCAGGGAATCCAATAACAGCATGTTTCTTCGCGTCATTCGGCACAGGAGAGTCCCGCCAATACCCAAGTAAAACACCCTTCATCGACGTAGGGGCGGACTTGGCCTGCTTAGAGACACGGTTGCCCATGCTGGGATCATCGGCACCTACAAGCAAGCCTCCCTCAAGCTTGTCTTCGCCAAGATTTTCGTACACCGAAGCGCGTTTGCGTTTGGGGTAATGAGAAGCAGGCGTGCCATCATGAGCATCAGCCATGTCGACATCCTCTTTGTCTGAGGTCACTCGTAGAGGAGATGACTTGTCACCATTCGTTGCTGAGATTTGATTGCCGGTCCCGACCACAATCTCATCACCAAGCTCATCGGGGTTGACACTAGAAACTGAGCTGGACGGTGGAGGACTAAGACCGCCTTCATCTGCTGTATCGTCATCGTCGTAGGTATAACCCGAACCAGGAAGAGGCCCACGACTACACATATCTTAAGTCAGCAACTGATTATTGATACGAATGAACGTCGTCGTCATGAGATAGAGGGGAAAAGAAAGAAGAAGAAGAAATAAAAGAAAATGGTAGAAAACCAAAACGAAAATCAACATGACAAAGAATAAGACGTGCGACGGGATGAGCAAAATAGTGGCATGTAGTCACATGACCTGTCAGCTTGCGATATAATTTTGTATACTGATGTGCCAACTGCCAATGGTGCTTTTGAGCCATTAGTGGTTTATAGTGTTGTGCTGAGAGCAGGGGTGTGGGATACGTCATCAGTTGATGATGAAATGGTGGTGGGAAGTATTCAAAAGCATTGCAATCGAATGACGGCTTGAACGCTTCGTAAATTGTAATATGGGCATGTGATATTTAGGATTGCAGAAACCAGGCAATTAGATCCGTTTCTGAGACTGAGATGGGGATGTGAACAGGGACGCCATGAGGCTTCCTCATTGAAGGCGGCAGTTTTGTATCCGCAGATCGATAACGTCCCAACAGTGAAAAGTTGACAGTATGTAATGTTTGTAGGATACACAGCAAGTCAACCTTGGAAGGGTAAAGCACGATAAAGCGATCTTACCGTCTCAGAGTATATCTTGATGGCATATTGAAAGGCATGAGGTTGACAGGTTTTGTTTTTGTTTTTGGACCGAATCCAATGGAATGGGAGCTTGTACCAGGGACAAGCTCGAGAGGATGGGTGGAAGGCAAAAAAGGAAGTAGCGACTACTAGTCGTGGCGATTCAGCGTCCCGCAGCGTAAAAAACGGTCAACGCAAAGACGTGGCGGAGTATAAAATCGACGACACAAGACTTGTATACAGTTGCGTTGCTAACAAGGACTGGGTCTCAAGTGTTTTGGGGCAGTATGGGAGGTAGGGTGCAGGGTGGAATAAGACGCTTCCGGAGCCTTGGGAAAGGCTTGACGAAGAAGTAGGTCATGTGTGAGTGCAGTAAAGGTTTAGAACTCTCAGCCGTTGTTGCTATCCCACCCGGGGAATTGCGAAAGTTGAAAAATAAAATAAAAAAATTTATTTCATGAAAGGCAAGTACAGCAGAGAAGAAGGGTCTAACCAAGACGATACCTTACCAAGCATCTGATGCCAAGAGGAAGTAACAACTGATGATATGATTTGAAGAAAATGTCTGCTTTCGGCAGTACACATATACATACCTATCAGCAGCTGGGGTAATGGAGTCTGGATGAGAAGTTTGGATATGCGCAGTTTGGCCGCGTTGCGCATGATCTTCGGCCATTCTGAGGTCGCGTTGGTGGTTGCGAAGAAATCGCTTATGGACGCATTCGGCGATTGCAAAAGACCAAGCGTACCGTTGGTCAGTTCCGCGCAGGAGGAGTGCCACGCGACTCGCGGTCGGTGCCCTGTCAAAAGGCGTATACCTGTGCCCACGGACCTTTTGCGAAGATGAATCGAATGTATCGGTGCGAACAGAATAGTTGAGGCTAACAGTCAAGCTAGGTTGATGAAAAAAAGTGAACGCGAATATAATATGTGATGAAATGAAACGTGTTGTCAGGTTTCGAGTTGGGGAGAAAAAACATAGAATTGCCAGGTGTGGGGGCAACGGACTTTACCTTTCTCGCTGAGGAAACCCAGGGAGCAGAAGCTGATTGGGAGGGTCTGTCAGGTGGAGACCAGCGCTATTAAAATCTGCGGAAACTCATATTTAAGCGAGAAGCATTTGCAACTCTATTATCCGCTGGTTGCTCAATCGGGCCTACGCGCTCACATCTGTGACGGAGAGATTTGCATGTCGATGGGTGGTGTCCTAAAAGTCTTGTTGAGAGGTTGAATACTGCCAACAGTGGTAGTTGTCAATCACTAATTTACAAAATTTTGTCTTGCTATAGAGTTAAGTTGGGGATTTTCACATGGATCTCTCTCTACTAACTCAACGTTAGAAGATGGCTGTGTTCAGTATGTACTGTATGCAGAATTATATTTTTACTTTTACTCGCGCAACAGAAAATAGGCGCGGCTGCGACCATGGTTCACCTCGTTGCCCATTTGGTCAATTCCGACCATGATTGATCTAACCTCAGGTACGGGTACAGTAGGCTCACCTCGACCAATATTGTCAGACTGCAGCTCAAGTGTTTTTACATACAAGTAAAGAAAGGCTGTAGAGTTCTTGGCAATAAACCAATTACGGCTGCCTTTCGAAAGCTGCATACTATTGGTTCAAAATATTTACGAGCGAATTTATTTTGGCATTCCAGAGATTGGCGGGTTTCAACGCGTCATAGCTCAGCTTAGGTGTTCCTGTGAATCACACAAACCTTTTCAGAGTTGTCGCGGGTTGCCCCCAAGTCCCACCATCGTATCCTCCTTCTTCTGACAGGCCCTGGCAAGTGTATTTCATCCTAGCCTGCATGCGATCGACCTCCCGAAATAAGCACGCTAACACCAAAAGTCTTTCAAGTTGACGACAATGTCCCTGGCAGTCTCGGGACTCAATTGCTTGGTTGCCTATTTGGCGGGTTGAACGGAACACTTCCTGCTCATTCTTACTATGTATGTATTTATGTATGTATGTATAGTGGAGCTAGAAGTCCAATTCTGCAATTCTGAGGTGTTCGGCCTTGGTTCGTTTCCTAATGAATAACAATGCGCGTCAGCACCAACCAACTATTTTCATTGTAGCGTCAGATACGGCCGGATTGCGCACCGCGTGTGTCTGACGCCCGTCGTCATCGTAGTTGGATATGGCGGCATGGTAACCACTTAATGTGGTATTCGACAATTGTCCTCTTTTCGGGCGCCGAGGATCTTAATGGTGGGCAATTTTATGGTTGCTTATCAAGGCATAGAGGCTGAGCCAGTGGCAGAGAGCGTTTGATTGACAGGGATCCACCTTCAAGGGGGGCAAAACCCACCCGAACCTTACTCAGACGAGGTCGTATCATTAACCCGCAGGTGGGAAGGTTCCCATATGACAAGTTATTAGACAATTGCGGACCAACAGACTCCTGGAATGCTGCTAGACTAGACTAAGCTCGATTATTCGGTCCCCAACGCCCATATCACAAAAGTTAGTTGGTAAGATCCGTCACCTGATTAGGCACGAACCAAACGACAACGGCCTAGGGAATTTGATTACCATCTGCGCTTCTCGTCCAAGGTACAATGCAAATGGCGCCAAGCCAACTGGGATTCTATTACATGATACTCGTGTTACCTAACGACTTTGGACAGATAACCACCAATACTTGGCACTGGTTTTCAATCTCAGCACTTCGAAAACGTGAAGGCATCGTCTATATTAATACTTGAAAGGTGCATGGTGTAATGATATGGTCATACATCAGATAGGTCGTCCTCTCATGTATAGTGTTGTCATCGGAGTTTCGCTTTATGGAGTGGTGGCAACTAAGGTGGTGGGTCCGCGGGTCGGATGAAGCCAAGACCTGGGTATCTGCATCGCAAAAACCAAACCAAATTCATCCTGGCAGGATAAAGACATAGGAACACCAAAAGGGTTAACTTTGATAGAGCGCATTGCGGCCCACCGGCACAATCACCATATATTGAACAATCCAAGCAAGGAGCATTGTAAATGGTGAGACCGTGGCGCAACGAGCAAATCAACCCAGCAAGTAGCGCTCGTCTGTTTTGAGCAAGACTCGTAACACCGATGCCTGACTGTGCAACCAAAAAATCAAGCATCAACTGACCTATTGGCCGCAAAGGCCTGGTCACGTCTAACAATGTTGCGACAATGTGGTTCTCTGTTTTAGGTTTACTAAGCTGTGTGACCCTTGATGTAACATTGAAGCGTTGTTAACAACAATTGGGATGCTCACGCGAGATCGCGTAAGGGTTAGTCACGCCGTTGATGCATCGGTAGGATTGGGAAGCATTCCTTCACTGCAGCTGTTGTCTATTAATCTTACCTCTCAGGATTTTGAGTTTTGTATCGTTTTTCCATTTTGACTAGAGCGTTTGATTCGGCAGGCTGGCAGCCACCGTCAGGGCTCCCCTTTAGGACTGATATCAATGTCCTCGCGAGCCTGATATCACATACAGCCCTCATCGACCAGTTTTAATATTATCCTTTTTTGTGTTCAACTACAACCGAACCATTCTGACTGCACAGCTACTGCCCTCATCAGCAGTTCTTTGCAGTTGTAGGCTTGAGAGAATTATTATTACAGCGGTGTTGGAGTCAATCATATGATCGCACTTAACCATCAAGTGAATCGTGGGGTCAGTGGAAAGATCAGCGAGATTGACAGAAAGATCATATCATCATCATGTCCTTCCTCGTCAAACTAGGTGTACCTAAGCGGTGTGCCTTGAAAATTACTTACATGATCCATTTTCATTTGCTTCACTTATTGGTTCTGTGTAGTGTTCGTCTGATTACTAGTTATAACATGAAGGTTTAATTTTTTGCGTCCTCAACGTTATCTTCCCTTTTGAATGTACAAATAAGGAATGATATCCACAAAATCTTTCTTGAGTATGATGACGTACGATGCGCTCAGTGCTTCGTTTAGAGGAACTCGTGTAACTCGTTCAGCCATCACTTTATTAGCCCACATCCGTCGGAATTTCGCTTGTACCGTGAAGTCTGACCAATTGAACTGCACCGGTTCGCCTGAATTTTTCAAACATGTGCAAGGATCGATTGTTTCCACCCTGCAGCTGTTGGATGTCTTGCCTTAAGTACTAAAGTTCTGTGGGTCATGTTCACGAGTGCTGTATGATAGAAGAATTAGAGATTAAATCTATTCAATAATCGCGAATTTACCTGCCTCGCGTGTTGTTCTCACTCAGATGTGATGACTTGTTTTCTTGGTGTCGAATTTTCCGGTTTTGCGATTTCCAGTACTCTTTTCGCACTTTCACAATCTGTCTGTGGGGGCCGGGGTTTGATATTTTCTCGACGTCTCAAGGAAGAAGCTTTATGGAAAATCGTTCTAGGGTTCTTAATAATGCGCAGAGTACTTCAGCCTCATACCCTTTGGACCCCTCAAAGTATGGAGGATAAGCAGCTGACCATCACCAGCCTAGCTTACATAGACAAGCTTCCATGGGATTTGTACTGCTGCCAGGCACCCGTATGTAAGAACGGCATAGAACGAGGTTACCCCGGAGCAGCATAGCAATTAAGGTTTCGGGATGTTTATCATATCGCAATGTGATTACTACTCACGGACTTCTCTATATTTCCCGATTTATCCACGGATACAAACATTCAAATCCCGTAGTCCGACAAACTTTAAGAAAACAAGTCAACATACGCGAATACTTTCGAAGAAAATCTTCAAGTGCGCAGGTTCTAGACTGGATTATAGCTTTGATTAGTGAGCCGCACTTATCTGTGGGAATTTCGAAATTTCATGCCACTGACCTGACGGTGTCGGCGGCGCAGAACAGATGGTTCACTGGTGTCGCTGACGGCCCGGTGAAGCCGAGTCACATTTTGAAAGTACTACTGCTATAGAAGTTATTTACATGACTTGTACAGCCTATTAGTCAGTGACTGCTTGGGAAAATAGACACGGCAATTATCTCAAGCAAGTAGGCCACAGAGCAATATAGTAGTAGTAAGTACTCTACACAAGAATATATATGTTAGTCACAGCCATGTCAGCCAAAGTTCAGTGGATATGGTCTCACGGTTAGTTCAATACTCGTCTACACTTTCGTTAGAAAACGATAGTACGTGCTGCTATGAAAACGCTTGAACCTAGCATAAAGCCCATCTACTTTTCTTCTTGACAAGGGGATAACAATTCACTAACAATACCATTTGACATGATATTCTTCAGCCGCTGCGGTTGTGGATTGACTGCCTTTACTTTCATGTATTACGACCCAGAGCCTATCTAACCAAATATTGTAATGTGCATCTGATTTCCAGTACGTCCCCCAATTCTTAAATGTCGAGTGAAGCTTCCAAACAAAGTCCCATAGATGTTCAAGCAGTCTGCCACTGCTTTCAATGAGTCTGACCAATGGTGGCCTTTCGAGAAAACTGTATATTACGGAGGTAAATACTGAAAACGAACCTTGTTATCGCCACAGAAGTGAACATACTGCATGCAGTGTTTCATATACAAGTATAGCTTGTTACATGATAGCCTGCTTGGTGTTCGTGACCGATTGAGCTTGCTTAATGGTCATTCCACTACATAATCCAAGCTGCCTTGCCTCATGAAATGGAAAGGGCATGTATAAACTTGTTCTGGTTCTGCATGTCCACTGATTCCCACTCAACACTCGCTGGAAGTGATATGCCAAGTAGACGTGACACATCCGAGTGGCGCATACAAAAGTTCACGAAGGCTGTAGCTAGGTCCCAGCAGGCTTTCACTAATATAGAACCGAATAACATGGAAAGCCACTGGATTTTACATGCATTGCTATGGAAATCTAGTAGTATAACCTGGGATAAGATGGGTCATCTTGTGGAGACCAGTGAACGCTCGAGTTTATGCGACTTTGTGCGGCCTCGCGAATTTCTATATTATCAATACCTTGCACATCTTCCAAAGTCCACACAAGAACAATACGCACGGTCTCTTATGCTATGGATTGTTTTCCCACACCCGTGAAGATCCCGCATGACAGAGCTCTGATTCTAAATAAATTGGGCTCTTCTGTCTATTTTCGACGTCGTATTAATGTCTGTAAGTGGCGTTGATGGATGCCGATAGTGAACATGAGATTGCGCAACTTCTCAAATAACCAGCAAGTGACACCGGCGTCAGAGAAGCTGACATATTGTGAACGTCGGGGCCGCCAGTCCGAGGATAGGATCTTGCCAGTCATGCATCGTCCCTCTTGTGATCCCTCCCAACTCTTGGACATTATCTTCTGGTGATGACCGATGTGCTTTGGGACGGGCTGTACAGTCTGGGCTTACACCTAGTTATCTGGTGGGATTTCGCCTTCAGTTCATCTACTCCGTCCACGGATCAGCACGATGTGATCCACATGAGGCGAACCAAATAAATGAGCTATTCCGACTTTTGACCCGCAAAGCTTGGCTGCTTTGCAAAGCCATCTGTTTGCTCATGAGACTGGGTGCTGCTTGATGCTGGAAAACCCACCGAAGCATCGGACAAAGCACCAAAGTGTCAGCATTTATCGTTACCTGACTCTTAGGCCGCTTCAGCCTCCACGCTTACCGCCTCTACCACCTCGTCCACCTCTGCCGCCACCCCTACCGCCTCTGCCACCTGGACTACCCCGTCCCTTCTTCCCACCCCTGCCCTGTGACCTATCGAATGTGTCAAACAGCTTCTCCTCGCCAAACGCCATCTCCGTGAACCTCAAATAACTGGTAAACCCGCTATCGACGACGGCGAGAATTGCGTTCCGCCATCCGTGCTTGAGCCTCTTGTACATGAAACCCACGCCCTGTCCATTTGCCGTCTTCTCATCCGGCGGAGACCAAGGCGTGGACTCCAGCATGCCCTTGAGCTCTGTTATTGTCGGCACCGATGTCGTCCTCGCGTCGACGACCGCAATGCGGAAGTCGGGTGGTGGCGGACTGGCCTTGCTGAAACCTGGCCGGGATTTGTAGACGTGATAAAAGATCTCGAAGGGCGCCTGGGGTGGAGTTGGCTCTGTGGGTTGTGAGGATGGTTTATGACGTGGTATAAGGTGGAGTTGTCTAAAGACAGGCTGATATGAGCGGTAGAGACCAGGCTTTACCAGCGGTCCCTGGGCTGGATACCACGTTGGCGGTCGCGAGTTATCGTGCGATAAGAGCGAGAAGAGCCATTGCCATAACGACTGTGATGATGCCGTAGGTACGAGGGCTGTAGAATCTCTCGACGAACTCGCCCGGAAGACAAAATAACCACAGCGCCGTAAGTTGGCATATACTTGGTACTTCTCCAGCGATATCTTGCCTCTGTCACCATCCCTACCAATGAACAACGCGTATGCTGCCTGGAAGCTGAGCGGCAAGCCCATCTGATCTCGGTCATCTCTGGCAAGATCACCCTCGCCTTCCGTCTTGAGTGGGAAGACCTCTCCGATGCTCCTTTCCGGCCACCACAGATGCAAATCGCCTCTCTCGACCATGTACAAAGCCTCTTCGGGCAACAACCACGTGCGGTCCCAAGCCGGCGCAAAGTTGGCACCACGGCCCTTCATCACTCTTCCCATGGCCTTGAACATACCGCCCTTGTCCTGTTCCACGACCACCACCCTATCACCCCAGCCCTCCTCCGCCTCCTCGCTGAAGTGATCCGGGAAGTACCAACCCCTGATATACCCAGTCGGGATGTGCGTCCGCGTATAGCTTAGAGTCTCGTGCATGGCCCTGCGGCTGGCCTCGAGGGCGCTCTCCTGCAGGCGCGTGCCGTGTGACTCAAAGTCCTTCTCGCCCTTGCGGATGGACTTGCCCGAGACCTGTGTCTTCTGCTGCAGCACGCTCGCGAACTTGCGGAAGTCCGAGACTTCCTCGTCCTGCAGATCATCTTCGGCCGTCGGCGGCGCCTCCTCCTCCTCAACGCCTGCGCTCGATTCTACGGGGATTGCGCCGGAGGGGGGAGATGTTTGGAGGGGCCCCGAAGCGGGGTCCTCGTCGTCGTATGCCATGATTGCCGGACTTTAGGGGCGCATGCGGGTTCGAGGCGGCTACCGGTCCGGACGATTGGAGGTCGAATTTGGCTTGTTGTGTTGTGTCTGCGACCACATTGATGTTGCGATGACCATGGGGAGTCGAATTGAGAATCGACCCCAAACCCACGAAACTTTTTGGCGTCGAGCTACCAGAACGCTCTGACAGGGTTCAAAGGGCGCTAAAGGTCCAGAACGTCCCGAGCCTGTGGGTTAGCTCAGCGGGCCGCTGCAGGCGAATAATCACTTGGGAATCATTTGAGAGATCATTGAGATGCGATGGAATAATCAAGTCTCACGTCGCGCATCGTCTGTCTTGACTTCGATATCTACATGGTATTATGGCTTCTCGTTCAATGATTTTTATTAATTCCAAACGCTTCGGTTTTCGTGTTCACTGGGCTTGTATCATACAGTTGCTTACGAAGGATGGGTGGCCCGTCGAACCGTCGGGGGCAAGTTCTCTATTCTTGCGTCCCCCGTCCCCGTCCCCCCGTCCGCCATATGCAGGTCTCGAAAGAACAATACGCCCAGCTATTGTTTCTTCGAACTCTGCTTTAGAGCCTGGCGACTGAATCTCCCATACATAGGTCCAAACATTCAGCATTGAAGTCAAGAGAGCAAGTAATAGTGGGTATCGGCGTCCTGGTCTGCTGGTGTCTACTTGGTACTCTCTCTGCTCCACCTGCTGCACTCATGCTGCGTCCGATGGTGGGAACACATCTTACTCACTACTCCACTCTGCGCACTTTGAATATAGACTAGATTACCATCCCAACCTTCAACAACAGGTGAGATGGCCGAGTGGTCTAAGGCGCTGTGTTTAGGTCTGTTACGCTTTCGCAACAACCCAGAACCGCAGTCAGTAATGGCGTGGGTTCGAATCCCACTCTCATCAGCTATAGTCCCTACGATGCAGTAGAGATGTTATTTTTGCATTTCTTTGTTCTGGTGGTGAAATTCGGATGAATACGCCAGGTCTGCGGATGTCTGTGAGGCGTGGTTGACATAGCAGGTGCTTCACTCATTTTTGCAACAAACATGGCCTGCTACGATGGATTAGGTTTAGTTCGCATGCAAAGCGGGCTTATGAACATGTGACTTTGGTACAAACAGAGCATTTCATGTTCTGAGTCCGTCCAGACTGTGAGCCCTCCCGGCGGCTTAGCATGGATTATGTACCTTATCTAGACACGCATGAGCATAATTCCACAGCATGGATAGATGTGCAGTACGAGAATGTTTTGCATATTTCGTATTTCTATTCGCTGAGAATCTACTCGTATGATTCGGTGGACACATATGCGGTGAGGTACAACATATATATATATATCTATATATGTATATATATACATACATTATACATGTATGCGTAAGCGCCCCGTTCGCACCACTACACTAACCTAGGTCCTTGCATCTTCAGGCACCTCGCGTCGTGTCGATTGGACACGACATCCAAAACGATGCCCAGCCTGAACCCAGATACACTGACCGCTGGATCAATCTGCAACCAAAAACTCCGCCAAACCATGAAGGCTCCCCCATATTCCTGAACTCCGAGAGACATAATGCACATGGGTATATGCCTTTACCCCCCCCACATCTGGAATGGTTTCGTGACTCCATGCAAAATTCGTGATGCATGGCCAATGCACGCCCATGATAACGCCCGTCTGCAAGCACTCAAATCATCGGGTCGCCGAGCGCAAAGGCACGCTGCTGGTCTGCGCCCTTGCTTTCGCATTACCATTATCTCTCCCTAGATACCGTCGCATATCTCTTTCTGTTGTACTATAACGCACAGCGCTTAAGATCTGAGTGTATGCTGCTCTCCATTGAGAACGAGTCGCAAGTCGCAAGTCACAAGTCGCAAGATCCGATGGACGCAGACCAGCACTAATATATGCGGATGCGCGTTAATACCCTGTGTCGTATCGATTCGCTTGTCCATTGGCTGTGCCGAGTTCTTTCCAGGTAGAGGCGATATTATGTTGCTGTAGAAATCAGGTGTCTTTCGGACACCCGGATCCGGGCCGCGTTCATAATGCCAGGCCCTCGCGCCTTTGTTTGTGCTAATGCTGCTGCTGCTGCTGCGATTCTTCGAGCCCAGCCCAAAAGAAATCATTCAATCAGAGGTCTCTTTTGTCCTCCAACCATGCACAGTCCCAGGGTTTTCAGGGCGTTGTAGTCGTTTGCTAGCACGATATTCCGAGCTGGTAACATAGGATTGTGCGGGTCAACCGAAGAGGCGTCTTTTGCAGCCTGTTCAATCGCATCCATCTCCTCTTTACACGCTTGATGATCCATAGGACATATCACGATGGGTTGCCTCAAAGTGATATCCTTGGCTGAACTCATGGAAGCCTATAGATGCGGTCAGTATTGTGACAATAGCAACTGAACACAGCTGCGTACCTTGATATTAAGGAAGAACTCAATCTTGTAGAGAGTTGACGTAGTAGTGAATGAGGGAACTTCATAATTGGGAAATGCAGGCTGCCCTCTTCTCACTATACCTTGTGCATCTCTCAAGTCCTTGTGTGGAAAGATGACGCCCATGTTGGTGACGTATCCAGCTTCTGGTAGTCTCGTTCCTACGGTCTGGACATGCTTGTGTAGCCTGTTGATTTCCTTAGAAGGCTCGTCTCCCTCGGGGTTGTATGTAATCTCTTCTTCGATGGAAAGAGTGATCTTTTGTATGATGACTTTTCGTGCTTTTGACATCCAGTCGAGATTGGGCGCAATCTTGATGTATACGGTTATGGGGTCCATCGGTCCATAGCTCCATCTCGGCAAGGATATGCCTAGGGTGACTATGTTGTCGGCGGTTGCGATCTTTGTTTCGGGTCGATTGTACATTCCAAATGTGGATAGCGTATCGTACCGTTGTATAGGTATGGGGAAGGCGTACTTGTTCTGCTGGCTTGCTCCTTGCTGGACGGTGACCACCAATTCATAGTACGTCTCAGCGGTTCTGCTGGCGAGTTGTAACGAGGCTGGCGGTATCCTCCTGTTTGTTTCTTCACCACCCCGGCCAAATGGAATGAAGAGGACGAAGGGCAGGTCCATGGCTATGACATTTTCGGCCTCCTTCCCGGATGCGCACCGGAACAGTAACAGCTCTTTGCCAACTACATCTGTCGTGTCTCTTCGTGGGGTGCCCAAATGTTTCTTGGCTAGGTTCCTGGCGGCCGGATGTATGGTCTCTCTTCGTTGAAGACATATCCGTACCAACGAGATGGCGACAGGCGCCGAATAGCCTTGCGACGGTCTGATTTCGACTTTCCCTTCTATGCGCGGCTTCAGGACTTCTGGTTAGTCTCTTGATTCTGAACTTGACATGACGAGGCTTCGAATCGTGGTCTTGATACTAGGCTGGGGGCGCCCCCCACATTCGTCGCAAAGCAGCATCTGGTAGAGTTGACAGGCCATGACGACGGGGAGAGATCGTCGGCGATAAACAAAAACAAACAACTTGGCACCGCCTAATGGCGATGCATCATAGTAGTCACTCACCAATGTTGCTGATATGCCTGGATAGCCAACTAGAAAATTGCTGTTTGGTGGGCCAGAAACCCGGACAAAAGCGGGAATCTTGTCTGTCATGGTGAGATTACTTGGTGGTGGGTGGACAGTCTAGGACTATTGTGGAGGGGAATCGGCTGCAATGGACGAGCCCTGGACTGAATCCGAAGCTGTAGCATGTATTCGTCGACTCCGGCCGCCTGCTGGCGTCGGGGCCTTGAGGGAGAAGGCAAAGGGAAAGGCAAACGCGAAGGGGAAGTGTCGTCGTGATCGTGGGTTGCGCAGCCGTCGAGGCCCGGTCATTACATGTCAGATTCGTTGCTTTGCTTTGGCTTCGCTTCGCTTTCGCTTCGCTGGAGTGATGTGACGGATGGATGTGATGGGGGGCCGCCGCTCTGCTGGCTCTAGAATGTTTTAGTGCGGGCGCATGCGCCGTCACCGTCGTCGCTTGTTGGGCGCCGCAATTTTCTCTCGCAGTCGCCTGTTGCCCAGGTGGTTGTATGTCAAATTGTGCACCTCAGGGTTATGTCTTGCCTGCACGCCTATGTGTTATGGCCAAGGCGGTAACCTAGAATTGTTGCTTGCAGCTGATTTTCGCAACTGAGCAGCCCGCCTCGTTTCCGGGTGGGTTGGAGAGCTCGGCGCTCGACGGGGTAGAGGCGAGGTGAGGATGCTTAGCGGGTGGACGAGGTGGTGGTAGTCCAGCGCTACGGCGTGTTGACAACAAACGTTAACCGTCGATGAGGTAGTAGCTCGTCGCTACCTTACGGGGTTTGGAGATGATGAAGACAACCTTGCCTCGCCCTCTCAACAACGAAGAAACAAGTCTAGTACTACTGTAAGCTACTGCGCTTGTTTGGGTTCCTTTCACTAGGTTACCCGACCACTTCCTTTCCCTCTTTCTTTGTTGGAGCGCCGGAACCAAGCAATTCTCACCGTATAGATGCATCTGGCTGCAGCTATTAACGCAAGACGGCTAGGATCTACCCCCGTCACTGCATGTGGGGAGCAGGCTGAGCCTCTGTCAGATCCTATTTCGAAGAGTGATGCGCTGATCCAGCGGCACTTCTTCGCCTAAAACAATCGCAACAAGGAACCGTTGCCATCAAAGAACACTACAACTACTAATATTGCAGACACAGAGAGGAGGTTCCATAGGTCTATGACCCTCGCTGATGTATTGGACTATCGTTGGCCAACAATCTGGCTTTGCATCATGCTTAGCAGTGCCAGCTCGCCTATTTGCAATAATTAAACCTTGGCTTGACTTGACCGTGATGCTTGCGACCGCTAGCTTGAACCCAATGTCAAGGAATAATGGCTCATTATCAATGATGAAGCTGGTATGTCTCAGATACCCAAACAAAGATTTGTCAGTCAGTGCTCTAGACTGGAAAGACGATAGATCACTGCCGTTGAGATCTCTTCATTGTGTAGGTCACCCCGGGGTCAACACCATGTCTGTGTACACCACCAATATTGCCAAGGGATGGTTGCAGGTCCCAAACTTTTGGGTCTGGGGCACGTGGCTTACAGTCTTCCAGAAGAGCGTCAGCTAGATACACACACTTACAAAATAAAAGATAATATTGATACGCTGTTGACATGCACAATGCTCGTTTGGCTGACTTCGAATTTAGGACTTTTGGGGGCCAGAACTTGCCTAGGTTACGCTATTGCGGGGCGAGCGCGACCTCCCCTGATCTGCCCCGTGTCTAAGCCCTATGGATAATAACAACCCAGGTACGAACATCCTCGTCTCTGAGGGAGGGAGATAAAAATGTTGAGACCTATTTTTGCAGGACATGAAAATAGCCAATTGCTTAATCGGATGTAGCCACGTCAGATGACCGCAGACCGTACGGCGAATTTCAAGCGCATCTACCAAGTCATTTTCGGTGGTAAATCCTGAGCTTCATAGCTTGAGTGACTACAAAGCACACGCACACTGCTTCGATTGTAGTGGTAGCTTCGATCTTTTACTCAGTAATCCGAGTAGTGAGAGCATTTACTGAAAGTCCTTAGCACAGGATCTCTCAGGTTTTACTACATTGATGGTAGTGATCGTCCCTACACAGTTGCGGCTCTCCGGCCACATGGTTGAGTTACATTTTATATCGTTGTGGGGCTGAAGAATCAGAGCTGTCAAAACAAAGTGAGCGACAACTTCGCACGTGGGGTCAGGGCCAGTGCTTGGCCGTCACAACGACCACATAACCCAAATCAAGAACCTCAAATATGTCCGTCACACTACATACAAATATCGGTGATCTGAAGATCGAGGTTTTTTGCGAAAGTGTCCCTAAGACTTCAGAAGTAAGTACACACGAAAACATTTCTTGGCCACGTGACGCAATGCTAAGCATGAAGCAGAACTTTTTGGCCCTCTGCGCCTCCGGATACTATGATCTCTCACCATTTCACCGCTTGATTCCCAACTTCATGGTACAGACAGGTGGACCCGCTAATCCAACCCCGGAAAATCCTAAGGGTGGGCAGTCCATTTGGGGAGGAACATTTGAGGATGAGATACGGCCAACCTTGAAGCACAATGCGCGCGGTATTGTCTCCATGGCAAACAAAGGACCTGGAACCAATGGCTCGCAATTCTTCATCATATTCGACAAGGCGCCACATCTGGATGGCCTGAACACGGTCTTCGGCAAGCTCATAGGCGATGACAGTGTCGTGACCTTGGCCAAGCTGGAATCTATCGAAGTGGACAAGAAGAGCCGTCCGAAGGAAAAAGTCTTCATTGAGAAAGTCACGATACATGCCAATCCGATTGCTGCATAACCCTACAGTACAATCTACCTATAGCAATGTAAACCAAAGGTGAATCCTGTAATCTATTTTGATTCACTTACGACCTGCCAGCATTATCTAGAGGCTAAATCTTGCTGTGGTACTAAACCCTGGTCCAGGGCCGGGCGTATGGTTTTCTGTCGACCTCGGAGAAGTTCAAACATACCCCGAGCACCACGTTCATAGCAATTGTTACTCACAAGCAATTTGAATAACATTACATCCGCTTTCTATCACTTGCTAAACCATGATCGCCAGCTATACGAAGACGGCTCCAGACTGTCCAGGTCGACCACTGAAACACTTCAAAGCACTCTCTGCGCGCTGACTCGTTCACAAACCAAAATCCCGGGCATTCTTCAGATTCAATCTACCAGCCATACAAGTTTTTAAGGATTCACATCTACACCAGTTCTTTTGACATGATTGTAGGCTAGCCTCCTTGCAAACATGTATGAAGCGGCACACTGAGCGCACGCCTTCGGTTTCATCATTGGAATAGCAGCATTGTGTGACACGCCCTCCAGGGATGCCCGCCCTTGAGATGCTGGCAGGAAACGGTCATCGATGAGAGAGACGCTGCTCCATTGGAGACTCTCAAGGTGTAAAAGAAAGAGAAACTCCCGTCTTTCGAGTCATGCATTGTCTGCACTGTAGACATTCCAACTTCTCTAATTTGGTATCAGCAACCGTGTTAAGATGCAACGGCGCGAACAAACCTGAATGCATCGAGCAGTGGAGATGTTTCTCCTTTACAGTGCCTGTCATATAGTCTAAGCCCCCGCATAAGAAATACACAATTTTGGCGCTGACTTGTCCATTTGGATGGCGGTGGACCATAAGGACTATCAATTCTAATTATCCTCCAGCAAATCATGAGAAGGGTCAACGCTGAGAAGCCATCAGAACCATGCGACTACGCTGATATAATCGGAGGGACGAGCACTAGCACAAACCGAAGGTCGGGGCCAAATTCTATTGTGTCTGGATGAGTGGGAGAATCGTTAAATTATCGTGTTTGATCGGAGGCTGTATCAGACAAAATAGAACTGCCTCAAGACACATGCCACGAAACCACGGGTTACAATGGTGTAGTGTAGTGGTTACCCGCTCAAATCTATGACTTATCATTATTATTATCTCGTGGTCGAGCCATCCTCCCTTGGCCGTCTTTCTTTTTGTAGGTTGCGAGTTTGAGGTTTGCAAATTGGTTTCTGTAATAAGTATTTTGAGCTGGAAAGAAAAGATTTAGCGTCTCATAAAATAAAATAAACCGGGAAGTCGGCTGGCATGAATATGAGCCGAGGCCAATAAGTATACCGTTATTGCACAATAATTTTCTTCATCATGCTGTGGTCGGGCGAAGACGTTTGGGACGGTGGAGATGCATTCCAGGGTGACGTGCTGGCCACCGAATTTACGATGAGGCAGTTTAAAGCCTTAGTCTAAGGGCAATGAAGAACGCAAAATTCTTTTGTCAGGACAATAGTTGCCAGGTGGAGAGCCTCCACAGTTGAGATTATTCCTTACGAAAATGATGTACACTTGCAATAGGTTTGTCAGTTCTTTCGGTAAAACCTTGAATCGTCCAGTTTGTTTCCGCTGGTTTACTTTGTCAGGTGGTGTTAGTAACACTGACTGCACGATGTGGGAAAGCAGCACGGGCGACGTTAGCAGCAGCTATCTTTGTTGATCCCCCTGATCATCGGTCGGCAGGTTTCCGGAGACGGCGGCTCTTGAGACAGGAAGTTCACTTTGGTCGACTGAGATATACTTGGAACCCACGGCGACCCATGTCTATTTGTTGCGTGAAGATCCATTTATTCTCTCGTCTCTCGGTTCTAGTCAGCCTGTTACCCACATCTCTCTAGAACTTTCAACAGCTCATCAAGAGTTACAGTATACATCCATGAGAACCGTAGTGGCACTTTAGAACCTACAAGTTCAGGTTATGAAATTACTATAGGTAGAAATATTCACAGTATAGACATATCGATATACGAACACAGAGTTGACTTATTCTTGCCCCGATAGTGAACTACTCACATTTTCGACGATTGGCGGACGACTTGGATGGATGCAAACTGTAAAGTTGCGTATGGTCGTGGTTGTGTTTAGTAAAGGCTTGAACTTTAATCTTGTTAGGTTTGTAGAGGGTGGCATCGAGCGAATAGATTCATGCGATGGCAAACGTATATGAGCTCGTAGTAGGGCCACATACTCCCATTGCATTCCCAGAAGATCGTTTGGAGGCGTGAAGGCTTTTTGTTGTTACACCTGAAGACTGTAGTGAACAACTCTCACATGGACTTACTTGGCATTGCTAACAGAAATGTGGGGAACAGGCGGCTATACAAGCACCTAGAACACCAATTGTATTGAATTACTCTCGGTGGCCATGTTCATGGTCATCCCCCGACCAGGGCTAACCGCATCTCTTGGCGACCCTGGATATGCTTACAATTTCGCAACATGTGGGGACAATGGCGAGATCAAACAGTATGTCTGCTGCTTCGACATGCTCGAGTTGTGGACTTCTTATCAAAGTAGATGGACATGCGAGAATACGACTTCTCAGAATCATGAATACGCCAAGTTTGTGGCGTATGTGTCTTGCTATCACCCCTCATGCTCGGCATAGACCATAGATGCTTCCATAACAGCAGATGTGGAACCCGATGTGATTATGGCATCTTGGACTTTCATTAAGACCTGGTCTGTAGATAGGTCTCAATATGTTCATGAATCGAAGCCTTCTGATCGTCCTCAAGGTTTTAACAGGTATCCATTTGCGTGCTGATCGCGACTATGTGCATATCGGGGATTTGTAGGCTACACATTCTTCCTCTGCCTGACCGTAGGAAATTCCATCTATGGTTAAATTACCTGCCAATAACCTACCCATATGGGTACTCGGCGGGTAAAGATTTGTGAACGGATTATAAGACGATATGTGCACGGTGATATAATCCATGCACTTGTAACTATCTTGATTGTTACAACTCGAATTATTTTTTTAATGTCATTATTTGACATTACACAAAAATATATCTGTGCCTTGGCACAATCCCATGCGTGGGATTTCCGAAGTGTAGTTCTACCCACACCGTGGCCTGTGCTCGCTTGCAGCATCTGAGGCATCAAAAGCAAGCCGCAAACCACCAAGAGTGAGTGCACCTGGAGCCGCCCTACCCATCTAATTCAGGTGCTAAAGAGAAAACATGTACGGACCACCGCCTGAGTAGTATCAGTATCTATCACAAATATTTGTGCACACAATTACGGTAAAGTTGTTCTAGACTCGTCATTCAAGCCTGAGTATGATACTATGGATAACGTAAACCTGGCAAGTCGTGATTTGAAGCACACAGGTGTTGTTGGTGGTCTCTTTCCAAGGACATATGTACTCCATGTACAGTATTAAGGTTTCAAGGGTCCCAGAAGCTACGGCCTCTTTTTCAGGCGTGTTCCCACCCAATCCGTGACACACCACCCCCCACCTGCCTCATTTCCAGCAAATGCACTCAATCTAAAAGCAATTAAATTTCGAAGTTGTCCGTGTGCAGCACGAAGCACGCAGCACGCGCTCCCTCCGTTTCATTCACTTTTTGGCAAGCTGTCGGATCAACCTTGATACAAGATTCATGTACTGTTATACATCAAAAACCCCTGGAATTATACCCAGCATAGCGTGAGAGGTACTCTAAGCAGTATTACAACAAAGGATAACTCCCCACAATCACGCATTGGGCGGCCACCGTTGAGAATAGTTCAAGTGTACCTACTCAACATGTTCAACGAGGACATCCCTGGCGTTGAAGTCGGCGTACAAATCAACGGTGCTAATGTCCAGGAGTACGATGCTCCTGATGCTGGCGATGAAGATGAGAACACCCCAACGCTCACCAAGTACGTTGAATGTATCGATCAGGCTCTCTTCGGTGTTATGTTGCAGATCCACGGTGACTATGACTGGGACGAGATGCCACATTGCTTGTCGCTCAATCTTCATGTTGACGGACACTTCATAATGGGCAAGATCTTTAGAAAAGGCGATCTACTTCCTGTTATCGTCAAGGGACGAGAAGAGCCTGAGCCCGGAACTGACAACTGGCTGCTGCACAGACTCCAGTTCACATCTATTAAGACAGGTCAGAGGGGCCCCCCGTCTGCTCTCACGTCCGGTCACTAACGTGTAGTCTCAGTCGACGACGCAAAGAAAGATCGCGTCGAGAAGGATATCAAATTAGCCAATAATCTCGGTATCATTGAGGTTCGCGTCGAACGTGGCACTGATCTTGGCCGATCATCGTACAAGGGCGCTCAGGTGGCAAACAAGAAATTTGAGCTTGCTGAGAAGTCACTAAAAGGCAAGGCTGTCTCGCACGGGACTAGGTATGACCAAATGATCTCCAAAAACCAAGTCGGGAGCTGATCCATGTTCAGTCTTGGCGCCGTCCAGCAGACGTCGAAACCAAATTACATCAAATTCGAGCGGCTCAATGAGGATGACGGCCCAATCGCCAAATTTCGTTTCCTTTACAGATCGCGAGGTACTGCTACCAGTCCATGCATGACCTGCATATACTAATCTTATAACAGACGCTTTGAAGCGAGAGTTGATTATACCTCGATCACCGACTCCTCCTCCTCCCGCCTTCGCTGCTTTGACTGAAGCCGATATGCGCCGACTAGCCAGAGAGCGATTTGAGCAACTTCGTGTGAGTTGAGATTCACCTTGCAGTGTGCTAAACACTAATCCTGCTAGGACAATAATGTCAAGAAGGAGAGTAGTCGTCCGATCAAGCGGGAGTTTGGCGAGGTGTTCGACCTGACTCGGGACGAAACTCCAAGAGGAAGGAAAGGCAAGATGACAAGACTTGCCTCCGGTCAGAGGGTAGAGGTGATCAACCTTAGTGATGATGGTGATGATGATGACTAAACTAAATCTTTTGACGAGGCAAGCAACGAAAACAGGGACAGTCATGCTGGCGCAGGTTTGGTTGCTAGAGGCTGGCGTACGGATGCTATTTGATACCCGTGTAATGAAAAGACACAAGGATTGCTGTATTTACATTTATTTGCATTGGTTGCTATTCGATCAATTTCATCAGAAGATTTCAACACACAACGGTTCGTTCTTCTCTGGGCACGGCTTTCTTCCGAACCCATAAGTTCGTGGCGGCTGTCTTCCCGCAAATTTGCAATGACATGACTTCGCTAAAGCATGAAAGCCATCTGATTTCCAACAATGATCCTACCAAATCAACTGTGGGTGAGAAAAACTGGCATGTAAAATTACTGTAATATGTGGTCATGGATTCATTGATTCTTGGGGTTCTTGGATCATAAAGAACACAATTAGCTTCAAAGGTTGGAATTGCAATGTCCGTCAAGGGCAAACCTACTGGCTTACAATGCTCCACAACCTGAGACGAATAACTAAAAACAATAGTCCCAAAGGACATGACTTTTCAGTCTGCGCGGTATGGAATGCGGGATCTCAGTCGTTGGTGCCAACCTCCAAGTCCAACTGCCTGCCGTTCGAGATCTCGTAGTCTGCCAGCGTGATCATATCCTTCAACGGCCTCTCCCCCTGCTTCTGCAACTTGATCTCTTCGGGCTTCCTGCCTATCCTCGAGGCCACCAGGATCTTGAACTGTCCGACCGTGTCAGACGGCAGACATGGGATGCCGACCTTTGTGCCGAGACGGTCGTTGACGTGGACGACGATAAAACCTTGGTTCGCCGCTGCTGCCTCGGGCGCCGGCGCTCGCTTCGGCGGCCTCGTCGTGTCCTCCCTCTCGCGCCTGCCGCCGTCGCGCCGGCCTCCATCACCTCTGTAGCTGTTACCACCTCTACCATCACCACCTCCTCGGCCACCTCTGCGGTCATCCCCGTCATCTCTCGGGCGCCGGCGCGGCGATCGCGATCGGTTTCTATACCCTCTGAAGGAACTGCCGCCGCCGCCGCCGCCGCCACGGCGATCATCGTCTCTCCTGTCATCCCTATCCCTACTGTTGCTGTCGTCGCCGCCTCGCTTGTCCTTGTACGCAAACCCGCCAAAGTTCTTCTTCTTGGGCCGCGGTCTGTCCTCCCTGTCGTTGCCATCGCCGCGCCTGTCGCCCCTGTCCCTGCGGTCCGCGCTGCGGTCCCGGTGGTCGCGACTGCCGTGCGCGTTGTTGTTGCTGGTGTCGCGACGTCGGTCTTCTTGTCTCCTGGGCGAGCGGCTGCGGCTGCGGCTGCGTCTCTGGGGGGTGGGGAGTCGCGCGCGGGGCGCTTGGCCGGCGGTGATACTTCGCCGTCAGACATTGCGGTGAGTTGTGTAGAGGAGGGGGAAGAAAAGAATGTTGTCACGACGGTGGTTGCGATGACGTTGGTGTTTAGTTTTGCGCGTTGCGCAAGTAGTGCTAGTCTAGTAACAAGATGCTCCAGGCCCAAGGAAGGAGCTTAGCTGGGGGCTGGGGTGCGGATTTTAGTGGAGAGACGGGCATATAGAGCTTTCGGCATTGAGTGGGGACTCTGGTTTTTACCTATACTCGTACTCAATTGTATGCCGGCGATTTCGCCCAAAGCTCGTGTCGGATTAAATGGTCTGCGATTCGAGGCGGTGGTCATGAGTGATACTTGTGTTTGTGAATGGATTACTAGTAAAAGATGAAATCACAATAATAAGCTTTTTCCTTTTTCTTTTGGTTCATAGTGTCTCCATATGTTTTTAACATGCCCCGTGGATAATAGCCTTCTCCTGCGGTACTGAATATACCATGTCTGCTTAATTGACCTCAAGTGATGGACTAAATCTTGAACAGTTGACAATTTCGGTCGCGAGTACGCCATGTTGCGCTTTCCAGCATATTGTCGGCAAGAGAACAAGGTAAAGATGAACGAATCACCCTTGATCCCTAGACCAAACACTCCGTTCTTTGTGCCATGAGAGCAATATTGCCCTTTGTTCTTCTCATCTTCTGAACGGCGAGGGTATGGAACAATCTCATTCAGACAGCCCCAAGAAGCTGAAACACCAGGAAACATATGAAATGCGGATCTGTGCCTGTTCAGCTAGCCAAATTTCCGAAGCATGGACAGTAGTCAGACTACGACATCCTCGACTAGTCTAAGCCTTACACGAAGTCATTTTCATAGCCACCACCTGACCCAGGACCAGAGAGAAGAAGAAGTCTTCAGCCAAGGCCGCTCGTGTGCGCTGGCTTTATCTGATGGAGGTCCGACGATGACAACGATGATGAATCTCGTTCAGACAAACGTCAGCAGTCACGGAGCGGTTCTCCTGTCTCTCTCTCTCTCTCTCTCTCTCTCTCTCGCTCCCGCCACGCCGCCATATACTGGTTACCGGCCCATGGATACTATGTTACGACTTTTTAAGGGCGATGGCGGCAAATGTACCAGATTGTATCCAAATTGGTGTCGTCAAAATCGTTAAAGCTAAGGTGTGATGGAATTACATATGGTTTATTTTATAGGTTGTCTCCAGTCACACCATGCACATTCTTTTGTCACAGGCATAGGAAAGAGAACATAAATAAACTGCTTCTGTATTATTGCGGTACAAACTCTTCGGGCTGCAGCAGTACTGAACCTTAGCATTTACAAGTCTCTTCGTTCAGCGTCAACGTGTTTAGCTCGAATAGCATGTGTCTACCCAAGGTTCCCCCAAAGCACAGCTCCGATGTTCCTGTATCCAGGCCTCCAGAATCCAATCCCCAGAATCCAATCCCCAGAATCCAATCCCCAGAATCCGACCCCTGCATCCAAGCCTCCAGAGTCCAACCCATGCATCCATGCCTCCAGAATCCAATTGTCTTCTCCACCCCGGCCAAGGTTATTCTCGGTCGTCCAGATCTGTCAAAGGATTTGTCTCCATCAGCCCTTTGACGTATTGAGTCGCTAGGTTTTCGGGAAACCCATACCGATCATAGAAGATCGCCGTCAGTTCTCCCCAGGGTATCTCATCGATTTCCCCTCCCTCTACATGCTTCACTAGCACACAGCTTGACTTCGCACGCAGGAGGTCGAGCGTGTCCAACCAGGTTCCGCTCAACAGTCTGCAGTTCTCCAACTCGATGACGAGTCCGCCACTTGTTTTGCTGAGAAAAGACTTCAGCTCGGTGAAATGAAAAGTGCAGTTGACTAGTTTCGCGGACTGTAATGCTGGCCATGACTGACAAGTAAGGGGGTGTCCCATACTGATCTCGTTGCTGTGGATGTTGTCAACGTCAAACAGTGAGGTGTTACCCATGTTGAGAAACAGGGTTTCTAGATTGTGTCCGCTGAGTAGTGCTGTGAGGTATAGCTGAAATGCAAGCAGTTCTTCGGAGTGCCATGGTTTGAAGTCCGTGTCGCGCTGGGGAATGACACGAATGCTCAGACGCTTGAGACCTTTGGATGCACAAGCTAAGCGTTGAGTATCTGCGTGCGTCAGATCCAAGGCGGTACTGGGAGGTTTTCTGATTGCAACTGTCATCTCGTTGAGCGAAATGACGTCGTCCTTGAATAGGGCTGCTGGCAGCTCGTGGATGAGGTCGATAGGTATATCTTCCCTTTCTTCCCAATTGACTGGCTGGTTCCATGCTCTAAATAACAACCTTGGGGTATCCAGCTGGTCCAGAAATTTCGTGCGATATTTGACTGGGAGATTCATATTTCTCTCGTTGTCGTGGATCGTAATGCGCTGAATGGTGGGTATACGGGCCACGACCTTGGAAATTCCCTCCACAAATATACCATCTTCTAATAGCCATTTTTGTACTTGATATCTCTCTGTGTACTCTGAATGGGCTTCGCGAAGGGCTTCCACAAATTCCGAGTATTGTCCACCTGGCTCTGCCTCTGCATTGTCTCGCACAAACTTGTCCAGTGAGTGTCTTATATGGTGGCCCTTTTTCTCTAATAGTTTGGACGATCTGGAATCAAGATGACTTAAGATATCAAGGTCCCAGTGGAATACGGTGTCGAGATCATTAGCCAGATCATCCAAGATTATGCGAGCATAGTTGTGGATGTTGGTGGCGACCTCTAAGCTAAAGTATGCTCCACGCACCACCAACTCCTGAACCCCAATTCTGATGCTGGTATGACGGGAGATCTCACGCAGACGAGTCACTGAATCTGGTGTGACCCACACGTTGACAGACTGCAGGAGAAGATGAGAGCTAGCACCACAGAAACGGCGACTGGTCAGGCGCACGTTGCTGATGTTCTGAGAGCCAGCTGGCTTCAACGTATGGGGATGAACGATCTGGCTGTCAATTTCCTTGACGTGCTCGAATATGTTGATAAGAAGCTCGTCAGGTAGGTCGAATATGCCAAGTGTTCTGATCATTGCGCGAGAGATGTTATTGATTTGTTCTCGGAGGGATTGCTGCAGTTTGTCGATCTGGTGCTTTGACTCGCTCAAGCCGTCAATAAAGGGCTTGTAGTCGACAGGGTAGGTGGGACCGACATTCCAACCATCATCGTCATTGATCTTCGTGTATATGTTGATTTGATCCTCCAGATATTGTGCAGGCTGATCTAGCTGTACAAGCCTACGGTATAGCTCTTCCAGAGAAACTTCCACTGGGGATTCCATTGTGGTAGAGATAGGTATCTCAGATGGACAGAGCTTTGCCGAAGTCTCGTTGTTTCTTGTGAATATGGAACTCAAGTAATGAGATTAAAATAAATGATGGGCGTGGGTGGTAGTGACGGAAGTGGGATGTAGGAGGTGGAAAGTGGAAGGTGGTGTAGTAACATGTGGCTGCTGGTCGAGCTTAGATGCGAATGCAATGATCTTTGCCAATACTCAAATTTCGAAACGTATGAAAAATGTGACAAAATGAGCTTGAGCCCTTTTAGGCAGCAACTACAACATAATTGTGAATAGAAACAATGCGTTGCTGTGGTGCTTTCGTTGGATGGTTGCCGTGGTAGGTATAGGTAAAATATGGTTAAGACGATTCACTTTTAGAGCAGCTGCGCTATTGGATTGATTTGCTATTTCGAATGCCAGTTGCTCCGTTGAACTCTCTCTTCACACAGCTTCATATCAGATTACTCCTCATTGGAAAGTGTATCGCGTTTGCATCAAAGTCCCATTTATAGATTGTGCTGATTTTCTACTACTAATTACGTCGGGGGATCCCTTTCATTCCACAAGAACGGTTTGGCAAACTTTTGTTATGATTTCTACCTGAAGGTCCACGCTGTCGGTGACATGAGCATGAACAGAGTCTGAAGTCCTCACAAATGAGCATTTCCACTACGTAATACATATATAAATTTGACTGCCAAGTGTGTCGTCGTACAACTACCTGTCCGGTTCTCTCTCAAGCGATGCTACCGAAAGTTAAAGATTGCGAGCTGAGTAATTCCTTGCAAAAGTATAATTAGTAAACTCAGATTACTCCGAAAAGCATCTCTTTTCATAGTCGTTAAAATATTTTAATGTCCTTTGTGGTGATGAGAACGATATCGATTAGTTTCTTCCGCGTCACATGAGGTCAACTACCCAAGTCCTTACAAGAACACCCCAAACTATCAGGGCCAAAACATCAAAGCGATTATCTCGCGAATCTCTCTAATAGTCATGGATGAGAGCTGCATGTCAAAGATATGCGAGCTGCACGTCGATTTGTGTATCATATCTTTCAACGCGCAGAAGTAACTCTGTACACTGATTTCTTCGCCTCTACGCACTCACGAACTCGGAACCAATCATGATCCACGTATAATGAGACGCTTACGTATGACCCAAATGGATATCTTTCCCAATGAACATATTTTTTGAACTCCTTACAAATCAATTCCGCCTAGCTGAAAATAAGAGAAATTGAGCTATAGCTTCTCCAGTTTCGGACCGTCGATGAGCAATGACAAACAGGTGGTGATACTCATTTGCTATTTCTCTCTACAATCTCACAGTTTCGATGAACGACAGCACAGCCTTTTGAGAATGAAGGAGTTCTCATTGTGTGGCCAGAAAACTGTAGATCGTTCAGTTCTGCTGCCAAGAGGCCTAAGTTCAGTTCCAAATCTTGCTAGAGCCCGATATACCGAAACTTCCTGTGCTCATACTTGACGGACTCAAAAAAGCAAAACCATAGCTCATACGCTAGGACTAAAGAATTACGGTGGCATGTGCACGGTCAAAGGTGGTAGTTCTATGAGAGAGTTGTGGTCATGTTCAACTTTTTTTTATGTCGCTCGCTCGACCAAGTTCCTCTCGAGTTTTGAGTTGCACAAACCGTAAACCCGGCTTGTTACTTTAGCAACCACGAATGCGAAAACACAGGATAACATGGCGTCAAATATTCTGGCCAGACCATTCTGATATGTGGGTTCAGTGGGCGCTTCGCATTGTTGGCAATGAAGTCGATAAAACGAGCATTTGGGCGAGAGGTCCTGTTTCAACGTTGTTATCACATTAAACTCGTTTAGAAGGTGTAGGATACTTGCCATGACTACGATGATCGGGCATGCCGGTAATAGGGAAACCATGAGCTTGCGCCGTCGACATGTCCGCAGGTGATATCCCTTCTCATTCACATTCCTTTAACGATACTAAGTTTACAAACTGCATATGGTGGCGCAGATCAGGCGAAGCTGTATAACCGGGATATCTTAACAGCTCACAACCAAAGCCGTTCCGCAAAACTATGAGGAGTTCCCCGTACTGGGCGACTAGTACTTACAACGGAGAGTTGTGCATCGAGTAGCGCAATCTAGCAGTCTTTCTTAATCGATGCCACGATCATCCGGTGTTTCAACTTAGTCTGAATTGTCTCGAAGTGGATTATTTTTGATGCGTCGACGAATGTAAGCCGTAGCCCTATTGCTATTCGGGCGGCTCATGTCTCGCGCAATAAAGGCACGGAGATACTCAGAATCAGAGTTGAGCCAACCAGTGTGATGGGTGACTTCAGATGCGAAGCCGCAGCATCTCCGCAAGATGTCGAGAAGGTCTTCCCATCGGCCGGTGATCAGGTCGAGGTGACAAAGTGCGACGTTGATGCGTTCCTCCTTGAGAATCAATCGTCCGGCGGTATCGTACTTCTGTAGGCCGCATCGTGTCTTGTGTATGAACTTCTTGAATTCGGAGAGACGCAACGGAATACCGTCAAGGTGGATCGTTTTTAGCTCCGGCCACGATCTCGGTGCGGTGAGCAGGTTCCCTAGGCTCGCAGACGGCGTTGCCCTCTCAGCGAGAGGCGGGACTTTTAGGGAAAGGGTTTCGACTTTACGAGGATTCATCATGATGGATATGTATTCCAGGAGGCTGGCGAGCTCATGTGGTATTTGGTGGGGTTGCAACCACGCCTCGCCACCTTCATGCGTCACTGCAAACGTGAAGGACTCAATATGTTGAGCGGCGCACTCCAGTGCGTGGCGGTTGCTGTCATTGACCTGCAGTTCAAAACTTTTCGGCGCAGATACGCTAATATTGAAGTTACGAAGATAGACCCCATCGTTCGAAAGGGCCAGGGGTATAAGAGTCAGAAACTCGGTTGGTGGTACTTCAAGTTCGTCACCCCAAGCATATCCCCATGATGTCGGTCGGAGCATCAGTGACCGTAAAACGCTAGCCACAGAAGCCCCCTCATCGGGGTGTGTAAATATCCGTGTAAGGAGGGCCCCGTCATCATTTTTGAAGCATCTGGTATTGTCGGCGATGCGCATCCTGTTCACCAAGGGCATTTTTGCGAGAGCTGACGCAAGCATGCGTGAGAAGTTCCCGTCTTCCCAGAGTTGACGCTGCTTGATTTCGCGTCTGCCGTATTGTTCCCAGGTCTCTGCAAGGAGCTTGTGATATGAATCGTCCCCAGGAGTATCTAAGAAGCTTCGGATCTCGTCGCTAGATTCTTCCCATAGCCTGATTATATATCCCACTTGACTCATTATGCTAAGAGCCATCTCCCGTGAAGAATCATCCTCGACACCCACTTGTTCCGTGTGCTTCACATAAACCAACAATGGCAATCTCGCGCCGCCCAGATTATCCATTGCCAATGATTTAAAAGCTGAAAAATCCGCCGCGAGGCGATGGCTGTAGTAGTACACATTGACCTGCACAGATCGAATCCCCCTTGAGATCAGGGGATGTTCAGAGACTTCAGTCAGACGAACGATACTGGCTGTCGTGAAATCGACATAGACACAGTTCATGAGTAAATGAGAACTTGTCTCGCAAAAGCGTCGACATGTGAGCCGGATATTCTTGATATCTTCGCAGTTGCCGTTTTCAACTTTCAGCTCGCGACGGTTGAGATCAAGTTGCTCATCACGGACATGGCCAAAAATGGCCACGAGGAGCTCATTAGGTAGATCTAGGACGGTGGTACATCCGATTCTTGATCGACTGATGTCATTGATAGATTTTCGCAGCCTGCCTCGCTCGTCATGAACACTGGCGAGCCCCTCCAAAAGCAAGCCAATTTTTGTTGCACATTCTGCAGAGGCGAATTCGTTGGATATACCGTTTGCGATGTCTATTTGACGTTTTCTGATATGTGGTCGGGACTCCGAGTGTATCTCATGCTCTCGAAGCTCCAGTGCAGAGAGCCGCCGGTACAGTCCGGCAAGATCCACGTCACCGCCCAAGTGTTCCATATTCTGTACAGATGAGAGCTAATGTGAGAATGGTCTTCCGATTCCTTGGTATCAGCTCCAAGCATTCCGGCCTTGGCGGCTCAGGAAACGTGGTTGAACTGTTTGTTGCGGATGTACCGGCTTCTTGCTTTGCTGAACCGTTCCTCCATTCGATGTGAGCAAACAATAGACACTCAATGAAGATAGAGGCTAGGAGCTGTGTAAGCGTGTAATCATTGAGGACAGATGCTTGCGACAGTCCATCTACGAGCTCTTGGAAACCGGGACTAACTAGCTTTCAATTTTCGGGTAATTTACGGAGCCTCACAAAACTTTACAGCACGTCCCAACCAAAACGCAATATACTAGGATCTACAACACTTAAAGATTGCTCGTATAAGGCACGAGACGAGAATCCCCAAGATCAAGGCTCTATGTCATGATATGTCCATCATGAATGGCATTAACTGTTAGTATCATGGCTTACCTGCACGCTTCTAAAGCAGTGGCACAAAGTACATTTACACTATAGACATATGTTTGCTTTTCATTGATGCGCTATCAGAAGACAAGGTGGAATAACGATCAAGTCCATTCCTTTGGCTGCACAGGGCATTCCCTCTCTCCAGACTGATAAATGAGAGTAACCACTGCCACGAACAGCGGAGAATCGAATTATACGAATGGCTAAGAGTATCTTTCCCTCATTAGTGCAGACCAATATTCCCTTGATTTCCGATCTTGCGCCACATCCATGAGTTTTTAGGTCGGTGTTGTTGCAGAGCGGCAGTGTTTACCATTGAACCTCTTGCTGATTGTTGGCAGTAGGTTCCTCATTACCTTGGTCACCGGCAGCGTCGCGAATCTACCACTGGCTGTCCTTGGCCTCGGTGGCACCCCACTCACCAGTAGGAGCAGGAGCAGCAGCAGCGTTGCCCCACTCATCGTTGGCACCATCCCAGTTACCGCCCTGAGCACCAGCAAAGCCGGGAGCGGAAGCTTGCCAGTCACCACCGGACTCGTTGAAGCCAGTGCCAGTGGTAATGGCAGCGGGACCGACCTCATCGACACCAGGGACCTTCTCCTCCTCAACCTTCTCCTCGGCCTCAGCCTCGGGGTCACGGTCTGAAAATAGGTTAGTCTGAGTTTTGTGTAAGGGGGCATTATATCGAATAGAAGGACATACAGAAGTACAAATCGACCATGACGTCCCAGGGGGTCTCGCGGTTGTAGATGGTACCACGGAGACGGAGGACCTCACGGGCAAGCATCCACCAGACGGTACCAATGGCGTGGCGACCCTTGTTGTTGGTAGGGATGGCGCAGTCAACGAACTCGGTAGGGGAGTCAGTGTCGGCGAGGGCAATGACGGGGATGTTGACGTAGGAAGCCTCCTTGATGGCCTGGGCATCAGTGCGGGGGTCGGTGACGATGATCAGACGGGGCTCCTTGAAGGATCGGGTGATGTAGTTGGTGAATGAACCGGGGGTGAAGCGACCGGCAATGGGGGTGGCACCGGTGTGAGCGGCGAACTTGAGGACAGCACGCTGACCGTAGGGACGAGCAGAGATGACACAGACATCGGCGGGGTTGTCGATGGCGGCGATGATGCGGGCCGCGAGGACAATCTTCTCCCTGTCAAGTCGCAAGGAATATTAGCCAACTGTCGCACCGATTTGAACGTTTCGACCGCGGAGCAAAGGGGGAGCAAAAAAAAGAGAAGACAAAAAAGGGACATACCAGGTCTTGCCGACGTTGATCACGTTGACACCATCAGCACGGGTCTTCCACAGGTAAGGCTCCATGTGCACCTGAAGGTTGCGAGAACCAAGGTGGGCTTGAGCGGCCAGGAGCATCTCAATGTCCTGGGAGGTGGAGTTGAAAATCGCCGGGAGGTTTTGGGGAGCCATCTTGATTGATTTGGGTGCGCGACTGCGGCGTACTGGCAAGATGGATGTTGTTGGTGGTGTGCGTGAAGGACAAGAAAGTGAAGTCGAGTGCAGTCGCGAACTTTTCTGGTGACCTGAAGCTATTTTCGACGAGCCCGCCAACTTTTGTGGGCAGGGTTTTTTTTTCGCGTGGATTGGTTTGGCTTGGGGTCAGGAGCTAAGGTGGGGCACTTTCTGCCGCTGCTGACCTGCAACGTTCAAAGTATACCTACGGCTGGACAGACTGAGACGACAAGATCCAACCCAATCTTTGCTAAACTCGGGGAAATCATGGCCAATCGAGCCATATTGCTACACGAGGGCAGTCGTAGCACATTACTGGATTATACCATAGCAATAACTGGTGGTTGGAGTGGATGATTGGCAAAACTCGGACTCCCACGGATACTGGGACCCGGGAGCTGAGCATCTCCAGACGCAAGCCACATGTGGCACCTCCAGCTGTGGCGCACGCTCTGCTATCAAAGCTTGGCAAAAAAGATATCCAACTCCCAAGTCGCAATGCAGATCCAGCAGCGTTGGCCGTCAAGGGAAATTGAAGCATTGCATGTGAGGAGCATTACCGACTAGAACTTCAAAATGCCGCCCCGGGTACCACTACCAAGCGCACAGCGCTTCGGCGCACTCAACCGTAAGCTCGCTGGATTTGCTAAATAATCCCTGATATAAAAGCTCAAAACATGCTGATCCATTGGACCCCGTGCAGTATGTCTGCGGCCGGCGCCTCAAGCAACACCCTCCCTCCTGCCCCTGACCCAAACCGCCACCCTCACCACCAAGGAGAAGAAGCGCATCGCCAAGCAAGACCCCTACCGCTGGCAACAGATGCAGCAGCGCAAGGCCGCCCACGACACCATCAAGCAGCGCCTGGGCACCGAGCGTCAAGCCGCCTTCGGCGACCCCGTCCGCGGCCTCCAGACGCCCTTCATCGAGTCCCTCGACTCGGCCGGCCAGGCCCCCTTATCCCGACCCTGGACGGACGACGAGGGCAACCTGGTCGAGGAGCCGCACGCCCTGCCCACGAGCCCTGACGTGCTCAACAACCTCGTGTCCCGGGACGAGCTCGACGACGCCATCCGGCACGCCTACATCCTGACCAAGCCGCTGACCGAGGCCGAGGGCGCCGTCGTGGGCTCGGGGTCCGGTGCCGGTGCCCGTGACCTGGAGGCCGAACACGAGCGCAACCACGCCACGGCCGTCGAGGCCATCAACCGGATCGTGCACCTGGACAACGGCTCGGCCAAGGACCGGCTGCACGCCAACGTGCGGCGGATCGTCGACACCTTCGGCAGGCACAGCACGGACCTGGAGCTGCGGCCCAGGGCCCTGGCGCGGGGTGTCGAGGAGCAGGAGAGGCCCGTCCGGGGAGGTCCCGACACCGGGTCTAGCGAGGTGCAGATCGCCATCCTGACGGCCAAGATCAGGGCGCTGGCCAACGAGCTGGAGAAGGGTAGGGGATACAAGGACAAGGTCGGCAAGCGGGATCTGCGGCTGCTCGTGCACAGGAGACAGAAGCTGTTGCAGTACATGCAGCGCAAGGAGAGGGGAAGCGATAGGTGGCATCACCTGGTCCAGACCTTGGGACTGAGTGAGGCTACCTTCAAGGGGCAGATCACCTTGTAGGGCGCTTCTGGCCAAGAGGTCAGTGTATATTGAACGGGAAGCACACGTGTATCATACGAGCATGGCAATTCAGAGAGCCAAAAGGACACTATTATTTGCTTTTGTACAATACAGACAAGCTCGATTCAAGAGCTACGACACCACCATCATCTTCTAATTGTTTGAATGCCAAATAGCGCCGCGGTAAACTAACAAAACCAATCATGCTTCAGGGGGTTCCGATAAACAAACTCATTATGCTACAAAACAGCAGATATACACAAATACAGGGAGGGTTCGGTGCCACTAGAAGACGCTGATGTAATTGCCAATCCTCTCCTTTTGGTTCTGAGCTATGCACTCAGCAATCCACGTGATGTTGCGGATCTCCTGTGATAACTCAACATTAGTCACGGGGTTTGATACAGCTACCTTACCATAGGCATTGTCTAGACAGCTGAATATGGTCGAACAAAACCGATTGGGGCCAACAGGGGTGGGGGTTTGGGTTTGGGTTTGGGTGATGAAGAGGTGGAACTGGAAGTGGTGTTTCGGGGGAAAGAAAGGAACGTACCTGCTCCCTGAGCTTCACCCAAGCGTACACGATGGCAAAGGTGAATTGCCTCGTAAATGCATTCTTGCTGATTTGCATCTCCTTTTCGTAGAACATGTCCTCCAGACTCCGATGGTCGTTTCCGCCAGAGCCACCAGCCATGTTGCCGGGCCCCGAAGGACCACCACCGAGCCCTGCTGCATCGAAGAAGTTCTTGTAGTCTCCGACTCCCTCGACAGCCAGTCGCACGCCCTCGAAGTCGTCGGCGCGCGACAGCATAAGTGTGCCCTCGGGGTACAAGCGACCAAAGGACGGGTACAGCTTCTTGCGGTCGCCCTTGCTAAGCTCTGTGCCAAAACTGTTGAGTGTGATGTTGATAGCGCGACGGTCAGCCTCGAACTCGAGGATCTCGCTCATAACCTCGGCGGTAGGTGTTCCGGCCATGTCGGGCTCCGTGTTGACGAAGTTGTGGAAGTCCTCGAGGTAGTTCTTGTACAGGGTGTTTCGCACAATCTCAATGTTGAGCTCATCGAGATCCTGGTGCGATAGCGAGCCCTTGAAGAAGGGAGCTAGGGGAGTCTCGATGAGGACGCTGTTGTAGAGTTCCTCGATGTTGGTGGCGACGCAGAGGACGGGCATGGTCTCGAACCAGCCAAGCGGGTGGCAGCGGTCGAGCAGCTCCCTGGTGTCGCGTTCGTGCAGGGTCCCGGTGATGAGCAGGGCGACATTGTCGATCATGTAGCCGTAGGTCAGGTAGTCCATGAACTTGGCGAGCGAGCCGACAGCGTTGGCGCGAACATATCGGAACTCGGAGACAAGCTTGTCTGTCGTCTTCGCGGCGAGGCTTGATGTGGAAGGGTTGGGAGGCAAGGAGCCGAGGAAGTCGCCATACGCAGGGCCGAGTTGAAGCTTGAGGTCTGGGGTTCCCAAGTCAGCATGCATGTTTACGACGGCGCGAACGAACGAGTAGACTCGAGGGGTGTCTCCAGGAGACGCATACCGTCAATGTTCTCGCACTGGGTCAGGTTGTTGTAGTTGGAGCTGGTGAGCAAGCTGTTGCGATATCCCCGAACAATACCCTCAATGTAGCTAGGGATATGCGATTAGTGAGCTGCAGCACATGGGTCGTTCGGAAGACGGAGTTGCCTACCCATTATTGACGTTGAACAAAAGACCCTCCATTTTGGCTACTACTTTGTGGTGTGATTTGCTGAGAATGTGTTGTCGTGGAAAGAGTGCACGCAATCCCGGATCGTTGATCTCTGGTCTTTGGTGATTGCCTGCTTCTGCTTCTGGCTGGCTGGCTGGATGACTACTGCCAGCTGGACTGCACTGCAAGCTGTCGCTCTCTCACCTGCAAAGGAGGGAAGTTGACGTCGACGTTGACGCTGGCTAGCGCTGCCCATGCCCCACTTTGGGGACCCAAACTGGCCTTTCTGCCCTCCGGACTGGCTCGGCTGGCGGACTGGCTCGAGAGACTGGGCCTCCGCCGCACTCACTCGCTGGACTCGCTCTCCCAGACCCGCCAGTCCCAGAGGGGTCTAGACTGCCAGGTGCGTGCATAGCAGAGCAACATGAGTACAAAGCACAATGAGATAATTCTGCCCAGCAAGACCGCCTCGTAGATAAGGCTATCTTATTCGCTCTCACAAAATGCAAAGCGGGTCTTGGGGGTTCTTTGCTCGCGCCCCACTGTAAAAGTTGAAAAGCTCGTCGACACAATTGAGTATCAATTGCGTCCAGCTAACCACAGGCCGTTTCCTTCTTTTTTCCCCCAACATCCCAGACCCTCCCATCAGGTCACCAGGAAACATTTCTAGGCCGAGCAGCAGTTATATTGTAGTTGTACAACTCAATTGCCTGTCATCATGGGTCTCTTCGTGCTTGCAGAGACGCCTGCCGGCTACGGTCTGTTCAAGGCCAAGGACAAGAAGCTCCTCTCCAGCGGCGATGTCGCGTCCCAGCTCACCACCTCCGAGGCCATCAACTCCATGTTGACCCTGAAGAAGATGGTCAAGTTCGAGGATTCCGCTCAGGCCCTGTCCGAATACTCTGCCATCACCGAGGGAAAGGTTACACCCATGCTGCAGCAGCTTTTGGACGAAATCAAGGACGAGAAGAAGTCGCAACTTGCCGTCGTCGACCCCAAGCTCGGAAACGCCATCAACGTCCTTCCCGGCCTTTTGATCAAGTATGCCCAACCCCCCACACTGTGCTCTCAGACGCCCTCGCTTACTCTTGCTTCACAGACCTGTGTCCGACAGCTCTACGAACGACCTTTTCCGAGCCATCAAGCAGTACCTCCCGGAATTGTTTCCCGAGCTCTCTGAGGACTATCTTGGTATGCGACTCACCCCCCGACACCCTGATCATTCTTTTCAACCACCATAATTCTATGCCTCAGAAGATGGCCTGAGGCCAACTCTGTCTCCCCCCCCCCCCCCCCCCCCCTCTCTCTCTCTCTCTCTTAATAAATGAAGCGATACTAACCTCTTCCCAGGCAACATGGCTCTGGCTCTGTCCCACTCCATCTCCCGACACAAGCTCAAGTTCTCTGCCGACAAGGTAGATGTCATGATTGTGCAGGCAATCAAGCTTTTGGACGATCTTGACAAGGAGCTCAACGTATGATACTCCCAAGCAACATCCCTTTTATAATGGAAGGATAAACTAACTGGGATGGATAGAACTACGCCATGAGAGTAAAGGAGTGGTACGGATGGCATTTCCCCGAAATGGATCGAATTGTCAACGACAACCTCGCTTATGCCCGTATTATCATGGCTATGGGTACTCGCGACAACCATGCAAACGTCGATTTGTCCGAGATCCTGCCAGAAGACATCGAGCAACGTCTCAAGGCTGGAGCTGAAGTCTCCATGGGCACAGAAATCGGCGAGTTTGATCTCGAGAACATCAAGCTATTGGCCGAACAGGTCATCAGCTTTACCGAGTACCGTCAACAGCTGTCGCAATACCTTACTTCCCGCATGAAGGCCATCGCTCCCAACATGACCGAGCTTATCGGTGAGCTTGTCGGTGCCCGCCTCATTGCCCACGCCGGCTCTCTCATGAAGCTCGCCAAGAGCCCTGGTTCTACCATCCAGATTCTTGGTGCCGAGAAGGCTCTATTCCGTGCGCTGAAGACCAAGCACGACACTCCCAAGTATGGTCTTATCTACCACGCATCTCTCGTTGGTCAAGCAACTGGCAAGAACAAGGGAAAGATTGCTCGTATGCTGTCTGCCAAGGCCGCTTTGGCTCTTCGTGTCGATGCCCTGTCTGAGCTCCAGAACGAGGGCGCCGACGGTGGTGATATCGAGATTGATGACGACGAGAGAGCAGAGCTTGGCATCCGCTCCCGCATAAAGCTCGAGAACGCTCTCCGCCGACTTGAGGGCAAGCCAATCCAAACCAAGGGTAGCAAGATTGCCCCCAACGGTACTGGGTCGTCCAAGTTTGAAGTCAAGCCGACAAGAAACTACAACGCCGACGCCGATGGTCTCACTACCTCTGGGAAGCCCTTGATCCAGGAGGTTGAGGACACGCCTATGGCCGATGCCGAGGACGATGACTCCGAGGACGACTCTGAAGCCGAGAAGCAGAAGGCTAAGGAGGCCAAGAAGAAGGAGAAGGAGGCTAAGAAGGCTGCCAAGGAGAAGAGGAAATCCGGCGCAACTGAGATCGCTCCTCTCACACCCAAGGCTGATGCTGGTGCTCTCTCAGAGGCCGATTACGAGCGTCTTGCGGCCAAGGCCGGTATTTCTGTGACCAAGTTCAAGAGGAAGTATGAGCGTGGTGATGTAGAGTTGGGCGCTGACGGCACACCGTCAGTCGTTAGCAAGAAGGACCTGAAGAAGAAGGCCAAGGAGACTGAGGCCACTGAAGAGACTAGCAGCAAGAAGAGGAGGCATTCTGACGCCGCCAACGGAGAGACTCCCAAGGAAAAGAAGAGCAAGAAGGCCAAGAAGGAGAAGTCGTAGACAATCCAAAGATGTCTACGTTTCTGTGGTCCATTTGTATAAAAGCTTGCTCGCTCTGTCTTTTGGTTGTTTTTCATCATCAAATCTTCACGGATACGGCGTTCAGGAGGTGGTTGGCTGGACATACCATTGTTTGCTTACAGGAGTCATTTCACTAGCTACTGCATATGAAAAGACGATAACTTTTTATTTTGGCCGCATCGTGCTTGCATTGCTTGAACCGAGAATGTCTCGGAACCTGAGTCGACAAGTGCTGTTGGGTAGCATGACCAGTCGGCACGCTCGGGTCAGTACGCCTCGCATTCCAACTTGTTCTGTCTAAACTGCTCGGGTCTCGGCGCAGGAGTTGTGGGGGTGGCAAATGTCCGCTTGTGTATTCCCTGGCCACGCACCGATCTGTGATGGTTTTACTCATGCATGATGTCCGGACGTATCCCGACCCGGGTGGAGAGTTCCGTTGCCATTTAAACTCTGACAAGAATTATATTCATAACGAAACACCTTGGTATCATGTGACCGTTGTTGCAGACGCGCCCCCCGCCATTACATAGTAATGGAAGCAAGCCCGCATCTTCGCATCAATACATGACCTGCTCCTGTCCTTGAAGGCCAGGTTGAGTCTGCATCCTGTGCCCGGTTGACTGCTAACACAAGCTTTCACATTTTTTGAGGATTCACGTGCGAAAGCCGAACCAGATGACCTGGTCGTCTATTTTATTGAACCTGAGCGGGACACTCCGTCGGGGGATCCTGAATGTTATCCAACTCAAGTATTCCATAATCGCTATCGTGTGTACAACTAATCCTGCCGCCGCCTATACCGAACATACGTCGTCTTCGACGGCTTCTGCGCCTGGTTCTGGTTTCTGTCCACTGGCGGCGGGGCCTCCGAGGTCCGGTTGCCTTGCGCGTCCGAGAGCTCAAAGTCGTACTCTGCGACAAAGTATGCGATGATCAGGGACATCTCGAGCTTGGCGAATTTCATGCCCACTGGCGTCATTTGTTAGCTGACTTTTTTCACCCATCATAACATACGGGGAGTCTTGAAACATGAAGAGGGGCTTCTTGGGCAGAGGAAAAGTTTTTTCCACCCCCAATTTTAAAGAAGAAGAAGAAGCCAAATATGACATAGATAAGACAAACTCACGGCAAGGATGCCTCCCACTACCCCACCCCAGATACGAATGGGGGATCTTCTTGTCCTCGGCACGGTCGGGCATATAGCGGCCCGGGTCGAACCTCATCGGCTCGCTGTAGATCGCGGGGTCCATGTGCACGTCGTCGAGCAGATACGTCGCGAACGCCCCGTCCGGGACCACCCCGCCCGTCTTGCCGATAGGGATGTCGGCGCCCGTCGTGTTCTTGCGGAAGCTGGACCCCGGGATCCCCAGGCGGATCGACTCCCGCAGCGACAGGTCGATGAGGCCGAACTCGCTCTCCCACGCGTCCAGGCTCAGCGTGTCGAGCACGTCGTAGCGCGATTGGGAGGCCGAGGTCCGGTGTCTGGCGATCGCGGCGTCGATCTCCGCGCGCACCTTTGCCTTCCATTCTGGGTAGAGGCAGAGGTGGAGCGGGATCCAGGAGGCGTTGATGCCACTGTTGACCTGCCCGGCGAAGAGGGCGCCGAGTTCGAACTGTTACGATATGAGCATGAGCCCTTCCTTGTTTACGCGAAGAGGCCGCCAGAGGCCCTCCTAGGTGAATGAGATACTGGCACCGGTCACGCGAGAAATACTTACAGATACAATGTCCTGCGCGTCAGCACCCTGCTCGATCAGAAACTGCAGCGCGTCCTCATGCTTGGTGCCGGTCCTCTGCCTCTCCTTGACGAGCTTGTCGAAGACCATGTACAGCCTCGCGCCGTTGTACATGCGGTAAAGGTGCTTCGGGGTGGGCAGCCACGGGAAGATGATGCGGAGGTTTGAGGTGCTCCTCTCGAACGCCTCGAAGATGCCGAGCGTGTAGCTGAGCATCTTCGGGTCCTCGACGATCTCCGTCGCGCCCACGGTGCGCATGGTAAGCTGGTAGACCAGCCGGTACATGTCGTCGAAGGGGTTGAAGACGCGCCAGTCGCTGCCGTTGGCGGAGCGGTAGGTCGGGGAGGTATCGAGCGCCTCGCACATGGCGCGCGTGTCCGAGGTCAGGAGGTGGATGTTGCGCACGAAGTTCTCCTTTTTCAGCAGGCTGATGAGGGACTTGTTGAAGAAGGTGGAAAAGTCCTCCATCTTGGCACTATTGGCCGGCCCGCCAGCAAAGAGCTCGCCAAATCTAGTATCCAAGTGTCAGTCCTGATACGTCCTCGTCGGGTTTTGGACATCGCAACACCACCAAGGCCCGTTTCTACTCGGCCGATCTTCGCACAGAGCGAGAACACCGCATAGAAAACTCACCACTCAAAGGCGCAACATCTCTCCTCGGGCACCAACCAAGCTCCAATTACCATCGAGCATATACAGGAGCAAAGAATAACCTCTATCAACTTACCCAGCGCCAAAGTTGAAATCCTTATTATCAAAATACGTCCTCCGACCCTCCTGGCTATGCAAAGCCACGACCTGCTTCTGCCCGACATAGAAGCTGAAATCATTGCCCACCGAGGGGGATCTGAGGGCGTCATTCATAAAGTCGGCGCGGGCGCTGAAGAAGCGCAGCGCGCCAAAGAAGGGCACGTCATCCTTTTTCCAGAAGGCGGGCGCCTTGGGCGGCAGCGAGGGCCGCACGAGGTACTGGTAGGCGAGCGTTGCGACGCCAGAGAGGAGCAGCGCCCAGATGGACGCGGGCCAGCTCTGAGGCGAGAGGATGGCGCTGAGGAGAGAGGGGCTCATCGCTGAGGTACAGTGGATGTGTGTGCCCGCAAAGACCCGAGAACGGTGTTCGGTCAAGTGTTGAAACAGAGAAACAAAAGGGAGAGTGAGAAAGCCCGACGACAGGGAATAAAGAACCAGAGGAAGCTTTGCTGCAGGCGGCTCAGGGACCGCGGTCCTCCGGACGTGTGAGTAAGTGGGCCCCAGGCGGCCGCATACGTCGGAAAAGTGGGCGTACGATCCGGCAAGCTGAATGCCGTTGGCGCTAGAAGCTCAAGTGGGACCAAACCGAAGCAATGAGGATCATTTCATTTTATTTTCCTGGTTTACAGTAGGGTAATGTCTCGATCATCGACTTAAGTATTGCTTCCAAACGTGTCTTCTGAGTATTTGTGGCCGGTTGATTTAGTTTGTAATGATGCCAGGAGATCTCATTATTCAATATTGTATCCGATCTTGTACCCGAATACGCGTACCCGAATACGCGCATTATGAAATGTTAGATACGAATATACTGTAGTTTGAATGGGGCGTGGCACCACTTGCCCGAAATTATACGTGACTATTATCTGGAACAAAAGAAAAAAGAAGAAAAAAAGTTCAGAATGTGCCATTTGGTACAAACATCAAATGCTACGTCGCATCTCGTGACACCCCTTGTTATCATACAGCGCATTGTCGCTCCTAAATTTCAGTGGCAGTTTCGGTTATGATACTGGCGTGTATCTCTTGAGTCGTTCCCTTTGATTTACCGTACCATCGATTAGATTTCGAACCATTTAATTCCCAAAAATTGTTTTGGGGGGAGAGGGCACACATTGCCTTTTGACTGCCCAGAAAATTTGGCGCAAATTGACGAAACATTCGATTTATGGGCTTATTAGTTGCGACTATGCGGCTCGATCACCGGCCTGGACTCGAGCCTGCAGGATGGGGTTACAATCCTAGCTCTGCCAAGAGAGCATCGTGTAGCATGTAGAGTGGCGATGTATAGTCACAGCCGGGTAATAGAGGTTTTATCTATCCGCGGCTTTGTCATAACAGTAATAGTGATACAACGACAACAAACAGTACTGTTAAGTAATGGAGCCAAAGCCGATTGAAAATTACACACTAGCCACCTAGATGACTCAGATTAATCATGGTTTAACTTGTGTACTTGACTATTTTCTCAGTATTAGATAGCTATTTATTCTATCGAGTATTGTAGAATCATCTTCATTCCTCACACAACCACCGTCTCCTCTCCTAGGGTATCATTGCGCTCTTGCTAGCCCATCGTACCTTAACGCAATGAGGTGGCAAAAGCAAACACCTTGATAATTGATGAGACGTTAAACTCGACAAGAAGAAAAGAAAAGTTCCAAACGAGAGAAAAACACCACGACTCCTCTCCTTGATGGATGGTATGATGCTAATCCTTTTTATACATCGCCATTTGATGTGTGCGAACAGAAGGTTGCGTACAGGAGATCGTAATTGCCGTATGATTATTGTGACGCTCGTAAACAGTAAGGTATAATGCGGATGCCTAGATCGATAGATCTATGCTGAGTGATCGAAGAGAAATTCTTTCAGAGTATAGTCGCAACGGCGTACTAATACAGGGGTGTCTGCGCGAGCTGCTATGTATTCTATGATGATGCCGACGTTTTGTAAATGCAGGAAAGAAAAAGAAAGACGTAGAAGTGGCGGGGTGTTGCTTAGTACATGTTGTACAGAGTGGGTATAGATTTAATCGTAATTCGTAAGGTCGAAGTGAAGGTCTCCACTTCGAAATTATGCAAGTAGTGGTTCAATGGTTTCCGAGCATCGACGGATTTCGTCATCGCCCAGTGCGCTCATCCAGAGGCATCGTTCTGTGATGCCTTCGATCGGCTGGAATTGGTAGTGTGTGCTGGCTTCAAGAAGACGCAGCAGTGTCTTCACAATAGAAGCGGCGATACGGCAGCGCTCAAAATTAATCAATGGCGGAGTGCTAGGTGAGCTGGCAATCTCTGATGGCCTCTGAGAATTGAAGAGAAGGTCGTGGGTATATATGCCGACGAATGGGATGCATCCTGTATCGGACTCCGTCGCGCCACCCTCCATTTCCACGCGAAGGTTGTAAAAGTTCTTAGTTGGCGACACCAATGTCTCTAGATCTTCCATCGTCCGAAGGTCTTGCTGCGGAATCATGTTCCACGTTTTTGTTAATCTGGCAATCTCATTCGAAGTGAGCGCTATCGCAATCTGACTCATAGTCGCGAAATTGCGGTACCTTCTGCAATGCGCCGCGATGTGAAGATACTTGACGATGCAGCGGGCACGTTCGACGTCATTCTGTGTTAGGACAATCTCTGAGATTGCCCATTTGACCATAATATTGAAACGAGCGACAACAACCTCCACACCTCGAGCGTCGCTGTTCCGCAGAAAATCAACCCACGAACGTGTGTCGGTATGTGAGTTTTTCCATCGCATGTCGATAAGCTCTTTCCAATCAATTTCGTTCAGAGCATCCTTCTCAATCAGTGTGAACTGCTGCGCAAGGGTGTCGGAGTCGAAAGCAAGGATGAAGGGCAGGTGAACTGAAGACCTTCGACCAAGTTGCTCTTCAATCTGTGGAGCATTACGTAATGCTTCTTTAGTTCCAGTGGGGTCTACAGGAGAGACAACTTGCTGCTGCTGATGTAAGGCGTTGGTGGGCGTAGCATCTGGCGTGGGCGGTAATGGCTTCTGTGCCCAGACCTGATACTCCTGAAGATTAGGCTCACGTAGCACCTGCTGGGGTGACATCCTCAAAGCTTGAGCCAAAGTCATTGGAGGAGATGGAGGGTTGCTCTCTGGCGGTGAAGGTGTAGCGGCAATGGCATCAGTCGGCAGCTGGAAATTGACAATGCCCGACTTGGGCACATCAGCCCTATTGAGCATGCCAGAGTCGTTCAAGCTTAAAACATCCATGGAGATCTCGGTTGACAAATCTGATTCGTTATCACTTTCGACGTCTAGGAATGATAGCGTCTCGCTGGGCTTGGAGACGTGTCTGGGCGCAGTTTCGCTTGGTAGGATTCTTTCCATACTGTCAGTCTTTGTCACGAACTCGAAGGTCCGCGGCGCGTGCGATAGCGGGTTTTCGCTCTCTAATCCGGGCGTGAGGTCATCGTCATCTTCAAGAACGGATTGGTCGGCCCAAAGCTGAGTGTCCGCCTTACTCCGGCCGTCGTCGGTCAAACCTCTTTCGAGCAAAGGAATAGAATTGTAGGATTCCCGGGAGCCATCAGATAAGAATGACATAACATCTGCATTGTGCGGGACCTCAAGCGTGGCCCTTGATTCCGGCACTGTTCGGCTTGGCGATTGAGGTGAAACCAACTCATCGTCACCCACGTGCTGATGACGGTGCTTGACTTTTTCTGGAGATTGGTGCTCAATTGGACTTTCGTCAAAAGTCTCGTGCTGCATTTCCATGACGTCTGGCGCAGATGTGCGGCGGGGCTCCATGGATAACTTCCTTCTGTCGAAAGTGCCTTCAAGCTTAGCAAGAGCTGACTCAATGCCACCATCATCGTCAACATCATCGGGGATAGCAGCAAGCTTCTGTGCCTCAGCTTCAAAAGATGGACGCATCACAGGCTTGGACGAATGGGTGCTGTAGAGGGACAGAGGATGTTTAGCAGGCGTTTTCTCGGCCATAGCTCCCAACGAGAACACTTCTCCACGGTTACGCGAATAATCGCTGCTAACAATGTCGACATAGCCACTGGAGTCTCGGGCCGGGCTGCGGAGGTAAGAGCTTCTTAGGGACTCAGAGTACGTTGTCAAGGAGCCAGCCGATCGCGACCTTTGCAAAGGAAAGGCGTCGAGATCTGCAACATTCTGAGCACCCCTGAGATCACCGCCGGGTCGCCGACGAAGGACCCGAAGCGGAGGAGGCATTATCTCCGAGACTCTCGAACTCTCCGAAACCGTTGTAGCGTCGAAGCTTCTTACCGTCGATTGTGGGAACGCACTGTTGATCGATGCCCATTTCCGATGAGCTAGAGATTGTTGCGACCGGAAGCTACGGCTAGACTGCTGGCGCCGATGACCGCGATATCGCAAACTCGATAGCGGTGGTCGCCTGGAAGGTTGGTGAATGGAAAGTACGGACGGTGCGGACGGCTCGTCCATTGAAGGCCGGTCACTGGTATCTTCTGATAACCGTCCAACTCCGAGAGTCGACAGGTCCGGAATGAACGGAGGTAGAGGATCAGTCTCTAGAGATGGTTTGATAGCATGTTGGCCAAGGATATAGGAGGATCTCCTTGGCACGTCCACATCAGCCTGTCCCGGTGGCGTGTTTGGAGGTGTCGGGCCTGCATCACCTCCTGGCAAGAAGCTGTCGGCGAAATCCTCCACTGAAGTATTCAGGGCTGGCGTGATCGGAAGAGCCCCGGCCATGATAGGCACATGGGGAGGAGCCGTGCCATCGACAATAACAATGGATTTGCTTCCTTGAGTTATCGCTGCATCGCTGACAGGACGGCATTGTGCTTCGTTTTGAAGCTCGAATGAAGAATCCAGATGTGCAACTGAATACTCGATATCCTCCGCTGTGATTTTGGCGAGGCTTCCACTGCCGCTCCTTTCACTCGACTGAGCAGCAGCGTCTTCACGTACAGCCTTCTTGAAATCCTCGGCAACCTCAGCTCCCAGGATGTCGATCCTGACGACCGGCCTGAACCCGTTCGGACGCGATGGGCGAGCCTGAGGCACAATGGCGGTTCCCGGAGGTCGGTTTGTGGTTGCACCTCGGGGGCCAATGGGACCAAGAGCGAGAGAGTTGCCATGTGTTGGTGCTTGGCCGCGATGGCTTAGTGCTCTCCGAACATTGCCAAGGAGCTTCTTCATTCCCTGACCTGACATTGCAGATCCATTCTTGTAGGTCCGTACGTTCGCAAGATGAGGCTGAGGCTGGAACATTGTAGTGTCTCTGCTGGCTGCCGACGAGCTTAGGGAAACGACCTCAACGAAAGCTTGCCCAGGTGGCAGCAGATTACCCCGTACCAGGCTACCGGCATAAGGCAGAGTTAACAAGAATTCGGCGTTTTTGTATAGAACCTTCTCTGTCGTTGTAGCGTGCTCTCTCATGGAATCCGTGAGACTGTTATTGCGTTTATGCGATGGCTGCTGAGCCCTGACACGCTTCCCAGTCAAAGCACGGGGTGTTGCCGCGATGGGATCCGGGGTGTTGTAGATGGAGCCGGGGTCCACTGGATGAGCCCCGAGAGGTCGCCTCATCGGATCTGCTGGTGTCCGCAAGCTTTTAGTTGGGAACGAGCACGAGATGACGTCCATACTGCCAATACTTGTCGGTGAAGCTGCATGACGCCTGAAAGATTCTCCAGTGCTAGGTCGCTGTTGAGGTGTAGCAGTCTCCTCCCTTCCGTTGAGTATTGAGTCAATGTGACCCGCTCTATCCACATCAATGAAGAAGCTCGTCTCAGTAGGCTGTTTGTCTTGAGTGTTTTGAATAAAGCCAAAGTCGTGAAGCTGGGGCGGCTCGATGCTTTCGTTTTCCCAGATGCTGGGATCCAAGCTCGGATTGCGATGACCGGCAATTCCGCCAGGTGCAATGGGAATTTCAGGGCCAAGATTCGAGTCGAACTGAGGACCATCCCAATATTGAGCACAAATACGTCTCCAACACTTCTTGAGCTCGGCCAGAATCTTGATTTGAACTTTATGCTCATTCGTATCATGCGACACCTCCTCCACGAAGTCGTTCAATAGGTTGCAGAACGTAACTCGCAGATGGTAATCAACCACGAAGTCATCCATGAAATAGTTGAGAATCCAGTGTCTAATAGCGACGAATGTCCTCACTCGCACTATCATTCCGATTTCATCGTCACGTGAGACTGCCCATCTAAGTCTTGCAATCAACATACGGACCAGATCAGCCGAGTCCAGAAATGCGCGGAAAGTAAGGAAGAAATCCGATATCAGTTCGTAGTCCAGAAAGCTCGGCGAAGTGATCTCTGCAACCAGTCGGGATGGTATCGCAGCTGTTACTGAGCCAGTTGTTGATGAGTAGCGAACGATGAACCGGTCATCACAGCCAGGCTTGAAAGTTAGAGTATCAAACATGCTAGGCTCAATAACCACATGCGTCGAAAGATAGGTTGCTCGCGCCGGACCCGGAAACCTTGGTGACGAGGGGCTATGTAATTTTGGGGACGGAAATCTGATATGAGGTGTGGGAATGGGGCTAGGCTTTCTGGGGGTCATGGCTCCGGGGTATAAGGAGTTGACATCACCTCCACCCCTTTGGGATTTTTGGAAGAAAGAGACGTTACTCGATCGAGGATCCTCAGTCGGTGCGTAAGATGATCCTCGAATGAGCGCTGTTCCGCGCATAGAAAATCGAGGTGTCCCAATCCTCCAGGATGGAATGCTTACTTGGAGCAGTGGAGAGCCATCGGGGTTGATATCCTCGGTAGTCCTGGCCTTGGCATCGTCGCGCGGTTTTGATATGACGACCTTGAATCCCCCGCTCTCCGACTCGTGGGCTATACTCACATCTTGCACGGTTGAATCCGACATTGCGCGGCGATGTCGCGGCCGCGCAGGTGGCCTCGTAGCACTTAGGAATTTCTGCTTTGTCGCAAATGGTGAAGATGGCGCAGTCAGCGGAGTAGGCGTCCATTGGCCTGAATGAAGCTCGCTGATATCCTCCTGAGGGTCTCCAGAAACGGCAAGAACATCAAAGCCTGCCGTACTTGGTGGCGTTATCGGAAAAACGAAGTTAGGTTGAGGGTAGCGCTGATTGGCAGGCCGGATGGTAGGCCTGCGACAATGTGAGCACTATTGAACTATAGAGAGAGCATGTCCGCGTAGCATTCATTGTTGTTTGGAATGCGTGTGCGGGATAACAAGATGATAGAATGAGCAACAACAACAACAAAAGCAACCTACCTCAAGTATATTTTGCCATTGTTCCCCACGTTGGCGACAGTGAACTGTCTACCTTCGCGGCCCGCAGAGCCTCCGTCTGGGGTGATGTCCCATTTCTCACCCTCTAAATCCTTCTTGATCTTGCCAAGCTTTGCATCTTCTGTTGCGTTCCTCCTCTCGGCGGCGGGGACCAGTGGTTTGGAATTTGTAGTTGGTGACACTCGTGCTTTCGTTTTTGCCAGCTTGTCTGGTATGCTCCCCAAGGGGCGAGGCGGTGATTTTCTGACTTTGGACTCTCGCAATGCGCCCTGTTTCTGCATCCTTTGGCTCTGGCTTCTGGTCGACAGATCCCTTCTGGGAGGTATTCGTGCGCCAATTGAATTGTACCGCGCAGGCAGCGTGGGATTCGAGGCAAGAGGGTTGGCCTCCATTTCGTTACGGCGCGGCAGAGCGCAGTCTGCTTCGGTCGTGGCAGTCGCAGCAATGCATTGACAAAAACACAGAAAATTATTTTGAAAGCCAAACTTCTTGTACGATGTTCTGACGTGGGGCGGCCGGGTTTGGATTTTACTTGTTTGCTGTGCCTGCTGTCAGACAATCTTTTCCTCCTTTCTTCCTTTCGTGGTGCTGCCGCGTCAACGTTGCGTGGTAGACGCCATATGAGGCGATCCTTGCTTGACCCTTTTGCTTTCTAGCGTTGTTTTGATTTGCGGAAAGCGAGTGCTGTGTTTATTTCTATAAAGACATCTGCTGCAAACACACAAACTCCTTCCAGGTCGAAGCGCAAGCGCAACGCAATGCGAAATGGCAGAGAACGGAACAGAGCTGCACAAACAAACGAAAATCGATCACTGCTGCGCTGTTGAAAGATTGAGACGTCGAGATTGACCACCAAGTGGGTAGAGGTGGAAGAATGGACTGGGATGGTTGATTTCAGCACAGCAATTCCCAGCGGAGCGCATTGGGCAATTACGACAAAAACCGGAGGAGACAGACAGGGACAAGGACCAGACAGGACAGGAACGAGTCATCACACCCCAACCCAACCCAAAGCCTGCTGTAAGCCAAGGGCCAAGGGCCAAGGGGCCAATTGCATGGAACAGGCACATTGAGCATTAGCATTGCAGCTGCGGATCCCCTACGCAGTGACTGATTGATCTTCCCAGCCAGTAATTTCGCAGGCGTCGACTTGGCCCAGCCTCTTCGGGAATCATGGGGACTCCCGCTAACGCACTCCAAGGGACGGCATGGTCGGACACAAGTGCCGTCTCCCAAGGTTGGGGCACTGAGACAAGTATACCTGCCGCAATGTTGTTTGAGGCTATACCTAGCCATCCTTTTCCGCTACTTGTGCTCTACCTGAGCTTTGATCAGACCAGATTCTCGCACCTTACCGCTTTCTACCTGCTTGGCGACAGGGGGTCTTTTTCCCACCCGCAGGTCAAATCGTCATGTCCGGCGCACGGGTAAAGCTTTATTAAGGAGCATGGATCTTGATTAAACCGAGGAGACGGAGAGGAGCGTGAAGTGCCTCCAATGTCCCAGAGCTAACAAGGGTTCTTCTTAGGAAAAGCCTAGTGTGGCTAGACTAGTTCAAAGGCTTCTTGATCCTCGGGCAACCAGGGCAACGAGCGATCCAAAGTTGCAGCTCCAGTTCCGGGTTGACTTTTGTTGACGAGTGGGTGCTTGAATTGAAGAACGCTCACTCTATTTATGTATGTATGTAGATGCTTTGCCAAGCGGGGCCTGGGAAGGATTATACTCTCCACCTGACTCTTGCATATCTGCACTCTCCTGTCTCCTGGGCTCTGACCTTGAGACTTGGCGGATGTCGCTGTTTTGCGACATCTGCGAGAGGTGCTATGGTTGTGGCTGGGGAACTCCAGCTTTGCGCGAGCGGGACAATTGATCCGGCAAGACAAAGTGCATGCAACGTCAATAGGCTTGACTGTAACGCTCGAACAAGGCAGGAGATGACGGTTAAGAGGCCATGGCACTGGAATCGGCGATTATGCTCGCAGGTGATGTACAAGGCGGACGGGACATCAAATCGCATCTACTCTGATGTTTGGGGCGAACGATTTTGTCATATTATCAATCGCCCGAGAATGGGCCCACGAATGAACTGTTCTGCTCTCTTCGTCCCATCTTCAGCAATGCAAGCGATTTGGGATCCAGGATTTGCCATTGGCACCGAGGGTTTACCGTACTTGTTCGGCTTGTGTTGCAATGCCGGTTCACTGGCTGGCCCCGACCCGTTCGGTTCCAACCGCGAAAACTCGACCAAGCGAAAGTGTCAGCAAAATGTCGGCCCCACGATCAGCAGGGGCACATCAGTCCACAGCAGTTGCTGTGTTCATTCGCTTTGACATGTGCTCTCATTCTCATACACCAAGTTCCCCTTGAGCGGCCCGGGCGAGATGTCCTTATAACGCGGAGTCTATCTTATAGTCAGCTCCGGCGTAAATCAAGAGTAGCAACGGGCCTAAAGGTCCAAGCGAGAGCATGCTCTCGCTACAGCACAGATCATGACCAAGACGAAGTGAGGGGCAAGATTCATCTGACCAGGACCAATGGAGGGGCCGCGGTCTAATTCTGATATCCGCGCAAGCAGACAACAATTCCATTGGAAAATTACTTGATCACCTAAAGCACACCCACAAGGCGGTCCTCCAGGATCCAATCATACACAACGGAATCCTCCTGCAAGTAAGTGCATACGCCCTGCACACAAAATGCTACAGCTGCATTTGCTGGTATACGGGGGGCACGGATTTGTATGCCCTAGTTCAAATCAACTGCAGCCCCCATCCGTCACTAGCACGATGTCAATTACTTCTATAGTTGTTGATCAGGTTGGAATGTTGAAACTGCCGCCGCAAAAAAAAAATACAAATAAAAAAATTTGCAACGGGCTTTCTGTTGATGATGCCCAACCCCGACCTAGAAGCCCTCTAGAATTCCACATATTCGATGATCATTCTCGATTGGGGCAAATGCAAGCCAATTTAAGCTTCACTGATCTCTTTTTAGGAACACCTGCACGTGGTGAGAATCCACCGGCAGATCTAAAAGTGGCCATAGAGGTGTGGGAACACCTCCGAATATCTCATCTCGGAGTTGCTAAGGAGTCAAAACGGCTTGTAGTGAATCTGCATCCACCACCAGCCTTTCCTCGAGATCGAGAATCTCGCGCACGCCATGACTCCCTGAAAGTGTGCTTCTGGCCAGCCCAAGGTAACTTAGTGGTTGTGAGTCGTGGCAGATTTGGTGACTCAGTAGCTGCATATACGCCCGTGCTTCCGCGATCTGCGCGGGTCATGACAACCAAAATCATGAACACCTCCTTTTTCGATAAGTAGTCCTATACAAACTACGTACGTTTGAAGAAAATCGGTGGGGTAACTCTCCTAACAGAGTCATGACTGGTACAATAGGAATCACAGTACTTCGATCAAGTGTACCAACCGCCAATGTACTTGCATGCTCACTGTTTAGTTTCCGCTTGTCACCACTAAGTGCGCCTGTTGAGAATCATTGCAATGTGCGGAATCGTACTAACAATGGTTTCTAGCATTGAAGCTGCCCCAACTGCGTGTTACCTCTATATTGAACCAATTATTGGTGAAAGAACGTGAGCTGTGGTTTGGCACGCAGTCAACAGCGCAAAAAACTTATCCCTTCCTCGCTGTGACGCTTATCAGGAAATCTGCCTTGCACTTTGCAAAGCTTCCAGAATGATCATCTGAACCGAGGCACACTCGGGTTACATTGTTCCAGACGACCTTATCAGCTTATTTCACCCATGGCAAAAGTGAAACCGCCACATGATACAGTGGCCTATTTTAGTATATTGAGCAGCTATGCAAACACAATTAAGCTGACCCGACGAGCTGGTACGGTCAGTGCCAACCAATGTTGATTCTATTCTACCCTTTCTTTGTAAAAACAAGCTTTCCAAAGCAATAATGCTCAGATGATGCATGCTCGCAAACCCACCTGATATAGATTCTCATGGTGTCTAGGCCCTAGGGAACTCAAGACAAGCACGTTGATCAGCCTGCCTTTTTATTACTGGACTTTGCTACACGAGGCAGTACCGCCATACCTTCTTACCATTGTCAGCAGTGCAACCTCATGCCTGTCGCAACTCAATCAATCAGCTTCGCAGGCAGGCCAACAAATTTTTAATTTTTTTTGTCCCGCTGAAGAAGGCTGGACATGCCTTGTGCTCCGGGTCCCAGAATACGGTGAGGCTCAGGAATCTAATTATGTCTCTGACTTTGAGCGGGGTGCGCTGTGATTTCGACCCAGTGCTCATTTCGCGGTCTCGCGCGTTCTAAACGCGACGCGACGCCCACTTTCTTTCATGAACCTGCAGGCACGCTGAAAAATACTTGCTTATGTTTCCATCGACCCAATCTCAATTCTGCCTTGGGGCGATGGGGCTGAGAAGCTGATGACGGTGCTCTCGCTCCTTGAGAGCGCAGATGCTGGAAAGTTGTGCTTCTGGTCGGATCTTGCAGATGGTGCACATTCCTCTATGGCATGAAACCTTTGTACGACTACTTGCACACACTTATCCTGTATGCAAATCAATCTTCAAGTCATCATCGGCCACCGGGAAACTCCAGTCAGATGATTCGGCCATTCAGCTAATGCATCCTTCGCATCACTGCCATGTTCCTGTAGCGAGGTGCGCCGGCAGAGATCCAATGCGTACCGCCGAGCCGGCAACGCAATCTCAAAGCTTTATCACATTTCGATCTCCCAAATCGAAAGCCTCAGATAAAGTTTCCTCTCCACGTCCATGCAGCCAATGTGCACCAAAAATGTAACCATCCTCAATAGTCGATGCATGTCGCAGAACCAGAGGTTTTGTTCTCGCCTGCATCAAGAAGGCCCCTGCCCGCGGATTTGGGCCCCCACCCACACTGCCACCTAAGCCAATCCTCGCATGCTATTATTATCATCATCCAATATGCCGACAGCGTGGGTGGTCACACTGCGCACATGATTTTTAGTAATTGCCGCCAATGAAAACTCACATCGGTACTCGAAACGGTAGGATGAGATGATTGGTGCTTCGGGGCCAGAGGAAGGAGCAGTGCTCGATATAGAGCGAGAAGCTTATTTGATGCTATACGGCTATGGCGCCAATATTCTCTAAAGGATTCGGAAGAGGGTGTGCAGATGGACGAGTCTGTATGAGCTATCCGCGGTCAGTGGACATGCGAAATAAGCAGAATGGATCCATCGTCAGTCGTCATCTGGATCATTGCTTTCCAAAAGCCTTGACGTTTGCTATATCTGGCAATCAAATACGGTGACTGCTGTGTCCGGGTAGACTTGTATGTCTCACATGGAAACATGGCTACAGGCAGTGTCTTTGAGTCTGGTGATTCAGACCAAGCAGCACGCCGTGTGGGTGGAGTGCTCAACGCCGGGTGCCGGGGAGATCGGATCGATGTCTCGGCACTCTAGCCAAACCGGCGTCCAATTGTACTCCGCGACTCTGAACTAGTTGAGCTCCAGCTGAGCTTCAATGGATGTGAACGACCTCTTCCGGTCCCTGAAGAACATTGAAGGGCAAGACACGCTCTAAATCCTACTCTCAAGTAGCCATTCCGACCTGCCATGGTGCAAGAAGACATGACAGCCATGCAAATGGATGTTCCCCGGTGGTACCGGTAAGTCATATTCTTTGGGACATGCATGACAATCTGACACGCCACTATCAAATTTTTCGGCAGGCGGCCAAAGCATTGTGCTGAAAAACCACGTCTGATGCTTTCTGATTACATTATATATATCAAGCAAGTAGCTTCGGAGTGTACTCTTAAAAGTGCTAGGTCTTGATGCCAGTTGCAGTAGCTACAGCTTCATAAGCAATAAGAAAGTTCGATTTGCCTGAAATTTTGAGCCGCTCTTGCGCATGTTGGAGCATGGGAAGTCTTCGCTCTATTTATTTTAAAAAAAAATAAAAAAAAAAACCAATGCTCGTTCGTCTTCCGCTGGCAGTAGGGCAACATAACATAGCGTTAGTTTTTACTGTTTCCCCCCCCCCCCTCCTAATTGCGTGGTTCAATTAAGTCCTCCATCGGCTATGTGCGTAGGTGAAATGCAAGACATGCGAATAGTCAGCCCAGGCGGGGTCTGAAGCTTTCAGGAACCAGACGTAATGTTGCTTAAAACAGTTGAGTTGACGTGTTAATGGAGAGACGACAGTATTCTTTAGGCAAAATGCAGTCTCGAGTGTCCTAAGCATTTCTACATGCGTATTGCATACTGGCTGCCGGCTGACTACTTGCATCAAGATTTAGTTCTCACACTGGTGACGACAGTAATCCTGTTTACTAAGTGTTGACGTTTCTGAATATCTGGATTCTATTCGACGCGTTTGAGTCTTCGCATTACATGCCTGTGTTTTCTTGGACTGAGTAGAGTCACACTGTCGTTGAATAGGACAAATGGAACCCTCCTGATCTAATCCTTCATCACCTACTTCGACTATTTCTTTTCTGTGATTCGGTTCTTGGGCTGCTCCGGTCCCGGTCTCTTTTTTTTTTTTCGACTTGTTTTGACATTAAATACTGTCTTCTCATATTCCTAGTTCAACCACGGGTTCTCTGTGAAACAGATGAAAATCCCGTGAAGGACGATGCTGCCAGTGGATGCTCTGGTACTCACACATTGGTTGCCGACACCCACTGTACCCGTCAAGAAAAATGAAGATGGCCATACACACTCTAGGTACTGCTGTTAACTCTGTACTCAGAAGAGCTGCAGGCGTTGCCAGTGGACTGATGCCGTTCGCCACGGAGATCCCACTTTGGCCATGTACTTGCGGCTTGGCAGGTTCTCTCGATGAGCAGAGTGCGAATCGCACCGCTTCGAAGGGGTTGAGGAAAGTTCACCCCCCAAACACAAAACGTTTAATAACGATCAGTCTTAGTATCATTATTATGACGTAGCACGCTAGTATTAATAGATATACCTCTAGGACAATTGCAATTCTTCACGTCTTCACGAGGCATCCGTCCCGTAGGAGGTACAATGGGAGAGCTATTATAGCATATAACACTAGGGTGGCCAACCTCATGGTAGATGTCGGTGATGGGGAATATAACAGAGCCACCTGGCCAGTTACAATGAGAGAGTGTTAGGGAAGACCGGTGCGCTGAAGGATTATAACGCGGATGGAAGTGATATCACAGCAGTAGGTTCGTTCTCAATGGAGAAGGTTGACATTGGCGTAGCATGGTGCGTCTGCCGCAAGGGGCAGAATTAAGGCACCGGGAAGAAGAAGTATAACCCAACGGTATTCGGGGCTACTAAAAGGTGCTCAACTCTGAAAGACCTCATGGAAGTATTTGCAGCATTGAAGAAAGGGAAACGTACGATCTGGGGCCCAAGAAGTAGATTACCTAGGCTTGGTGGAGGCGTTTAGTGAAGGAAAAGAAAGGTCACAAATCACTCGGCCCTTGGGATAATTTTTACTTGGCGACTAGCTTTACGTTCGTGCTTGCGGTGAGATCACTTGATATCCAGGAAAGAAAGAATCTAATCCTCGAGTTCACCATTGCGAAAGAACAGTTGCTATATGCCCCCAGCGCCCACCAGATTGTGGAAATATGAAACGAATCAGGCGGTGATGTCGATCTCGTTGGTCTATACCAGACGCCTGAAGAGGATGAGAAGCCGAATAATGAAATGATCCAACCTGATAGGTTCGCATAGATTATAGCATACTGTCTTAGCCAATACCGCCACACTTAACGTTAGCACAGGTGGAAGTTAGAAAAAGCATCTACGGGCTGTCGGAAGAAAAGTGAAAACATCGTGGTTACTTCCTATAAACAACGACTGCTTCGCGCAGGGTGTCCCAGAATATGGACATAGGTACGTAGATATAGACGAGAACTCAACTCCCCACAGGCCATTGCTGAAAGAATGAATAGTTGGCTTGGCAAGTGAGTTCCTCAGCTCAAGAAACCCCTCTGAGCATTCCTGGTTTGTTCATTGCTATATGCCTCCAGCCTGACTGCAACGAGTACACACTCCACGGCGCTCTTTCCACCTTGTGTTCCTTGGATCTTCAGCCTCCATTGGCCTTTCTTCACGACCCACTCGTTGCCTTGTCCACCACTGCCTCCAACGTCCAGTCTCCTCCTCTTCCGCGAAGGCCCAGATGAACCACCCATGCTGTTACCCATTGAGACGTCATCGCCATCTGTGGTATGCGTAGGGTACACCCTGCCGTCGAGCTCAATATACGTCTCCGGCTCAATAGAGATTTTAACCAGGTCCTCACTCAGCGCCGTATTGCCTGGCGTGGGTGGTTGGCTTCCAGCGCCACCCTTTGTCATGAGCAGGCCCAGTGGTTGAGTCGTGGGAGGCAAGTTCAGCTTCGCGGCAATAACCTCGAAGAACTTTGCGATACGGGCTCTAATCTGTCCAAAGAACTCGGCGCGCATCAGGTGGAGGTGAATCTTGCTATTTTCGCCGCCGATTTCCAGAATAAGTTCGTAGGGCTGATCATCTACGTACGGCCTGGCGTAGTTTACCCAGCCGGAGATGGCGGGAGCCTGGTTCATGTTGACGTCGCCATATGTCGGCGTCGAGATCTGATCATGCGCAAACGAGATGCCAGACTTGAGAATATCCTCAAGCCGCAGCACGATCTCGCTACGTTGCCGCGCTTGGTTGTAGCTGATCTGGTGCGGGATCAACCTCTGCTCAACGCCCTTAAAATTGAAGTATCGGCAGTCGCGGAGTAGACTCGCGCGGTGCTCTTCGTCACGGATATGAATGGAGTATCCTCTCAGAAGATGCAAAATATCGGAGAAAATCTCAGCAGAACGACCTGGTACGGCCGGCGGCTGGATAGATGGTGGTCTGATGAGACCTTCACGCTCCAGACCGGGAAATATCTCGTCGGGAGAGGAGAAGAAAATGGCGAAGCCCAGGGAAAAGAAATTGGGGCTGTTTCCAGGCCCCTGGAACATGTCCCGCGGAATCTGGAATTCTCTGTGGCCGATGGACATGAAGATGCTCGCCTCGTAGAGCTGAGACATCAACTTGGGCAGAGTGTAGAATTGCGCATCCGCAAAGAGACGCACAAAGTGTGTGCCATCCCGCGGTGAGACATGGTAGCCCTGGAGATGCAGAGAGATGTCCTTGAAGGTCTCTGGATCGCGGTCTATGTATAGCGTCCGTATGGCGGAGCAGATATCTTCCCCATTTTCCTCTGCTTGACGAATCTGGCACAGGAAATATTGTGAGAAATAAGATGGCGCTGAGAGGAATTAGTCATGGTTCAACATGTCGATATGGCAGTATTTATGCATGAGCAACATGGAGCTGATGAGCGCGGTGCGCATGATCAGAAAAAGTAGTTCATTCGTTCACATTACTTAAGCAATAGGTAGTGCGGAAATCATAGGTAGAGAGAATTCATACTGACCATCTGACGAGAGCGAGGCTCCCGAGAGCTTAAAAAGCTCCGAGCCTATCTGGACTGGGAAGACGCGCTCATGTGGCAGGATCTTTGGGATCTTTGAGATAAGTTGCGGGTGTGAAGGCGGAAGATGGAATCTACTGAATGCCGTCGAGGCCTCAGATACATTGGTCTCGCTCATCGCTTCTTTTATGAGTCGCTGCAGGAATCAGACATGGTCAACCAATTGTGCGCCAGCTCAATGCAATTGAGGGAATGGCCACGAGTTTTCTAGAGGATTGGCGAGAATGTGCGACTCCGACAAAGAGACCAAAACCTCATTAAATTAATTGTGTGTACGTTTGACTCTTCAACATGTCCGAACTGCAACAACTCGATCACAACCGGCGCCGCTGAATAAGGCGCTGTGTGCGGCAGCAAAGATTGGCAGGCCAGGACACGAAAGCATGGACCAGTACGTTATTGGACAAGCGTGCAGACTCGGCAGTCGCCCGGTTGTCCGCTTACTCATTCATTGTGGCTGCGGGCCATGATTGGTGGGCATCTCACCCGGAGCACGTTCAGGTCAGTTGCGCCGGAAATGCTGTAAATCGATGGACTTACATGGCATCCTTGTCCTGGAATGTTTCCATGGATGGCTTGCTTATCACATGGCTGAGGATAGCGGTAATATAGGACTCTAGCGTCATCAGTATATCGAACAGCACAAGCTTATCATGGTACTAAGCAATGAAAATCCAGGCAAGTCAAACACTCGGCTCTCTTGTATTGAAAAACAATGGTATCCATCAACCAAGACCAACCAAACACCTTCAACTCCTTTAACCCCCAACAGGTATATAACCGTAACGGCGTCATGAGTAGAAGATCGCTTCTGAACTCCGTAACACCAGCGCAAATGCGAGTTTTTGGCAACCGTGTTTCCAAACCCGCTGTGCTATGAAGACCAAAACGCCTAACTAATGCAGAAACGACATCCAAGACTTCCTATAGCCTTCGTACACAGCTCTACTCGTGGCATGCGATCATCACTCAGACCGATCGGTTCAGCTTTGATTGTCAACTTCTGCCTCTTGCTGCTCTGCCAGCCGGCGCGCTGACATCCCTACGTTCGCCGCTTCCAGTGACCATCTGCTTTCGCGGCGTTGCTGCTCCTTGAGCAGCACTCCTTGCTCTACCTCGACGTTCTCTGATCTGGGCCAATGCTTGCTCACGTGTCATAGTAGGTGTCAAAGCAGGGTTGTTGGGGTCGAACGACGGATTCCGATTTTGAGTTCGCCTTCCCGCCGTCGCATATTCACGCGGATCGACGTCCTCGTCCTTACGTAGGGGGACTGAAGTAGTAGTCGTTGTGACGGCGTAACAGGCAGCAGATGTGTGCGGCCTGTTAGCCTGCTCGGCCTCTTCTCGCTCGGTAGAGGCTGGTACCTCGGTGTCGGACTCTTCTGACTCCTCGGATTCACCCTCGGCAGGATCGCTTCCTGGCGTAGTTGGTATGTTGAGAACAGGCTTCTCAGACTCATCCTCTCGCGGTGCATTTAGAAGCGACATGAGCGACGTGCGTTCTTGGCGCATCATGGCGAAAGTCGGCGGTTCGGCTGAAGGCGTACGGGCATAGCGAGGCTGCTCGGGCACTGGTTCTATAGGTGTGGAAGGCTCTGTTGGGACGGGCTCCTCAGTTGTTTCCATTGCGTCGACCTCCATCTGTGACAGTGTACGGAACGTGCCTTCAGTGGGTTGGTACACTAGACTGTGTCGTGGCCTCTTTGCCGGTCTGTCCTCCTCAGCTTGGTCAACCTCCATCTCATCGTCAGTGGCTGCTGCAGGGGCGAGATGGTGCATGACTATCTTCTCGGCTGCGCCCAGCTGCTCTACAGGCGACTCGGGCTTCTGACCTAAGATGGCCAGATCTGCTGGGTCGACAATGGCCACCGGCTCCGGGCGGGGCTTGCGAGCTGATCCCAAGAGGCTACGCCTCGAGCGCTTGGCACACGTGCACGTCTTCAGAGAAGACTCGGCTTCCACAAACTCCAGGTGCTCTTGTGTGCGGTTGGCCCTTTGCCTTTCCCACTGCCAGAGGCGAGTCAGCTCCTCGATCTCTTCCTCACTAGCGGCGGAGGAGACAATATCGGCGGTGGTAAGAGATAGGCGTGGGTTCGTTTTCTTTGGCGACGCAAATTCGTCGTCGCTTTCTTCGGAACTGGGCAGAGGCAGGCGGCCCTCGGCAGCTATTCGTGCGACCTCTTCGTTCTGTGCGAGGGTTTTGTAGGCGTCGCGCTCTTGCTCGATGACCTTGACGCGCTCCAGTGCCTGCTCGAGTTGTTCTTGAACGCCGACTAATTGATAGCGTGACGTGAAGGCCTCTTGTTCTCTGGCCTGGCTTCTCTCCTTTTCGCGCTCGAGGACTTCCTCTGTGGACCTTGTGGCAACCTTTGCGGCTTTGAGCTCTTCCTGTAATTTGACGATGGACGATTGTGATTTGAAGGTCTCTTTTCGGGCGCGACGGATCTCCTTTTCCCACAGGGCTTGTGTGTGCGCATATGTCTCCTTTGCTCGTCCATAGTTCTCCTGTAAGGGAGACGACAAGTCAGCTCGAGTGGACAGAAGATGAATGGCAATCTTGTGCAAGGTTCGCGCAATGTTATGCTTACCATGACGGTCTCGAGTCGCTCGCCTACTCTCCTCTCCCTCTCCTTGCCCTCGTCGACCTGCTTGCGCAGTAGCCTTGTCTCTTCTCTGAATCGGCGCATCTCGCTCTCAGCCTCCTCGCGACCGAGCATGGCGCGCTTGAGGGCGGCGTCTGCCGTCTTGCGCTCGAGCTGCTTGGTCATGGAGGCGGCGGTGTGGGGGCCGACCTTGGCCATGTTGTTGAACTGCTGGATCTTATCGTGTATGCTGCTGTCGCGATGGTGGTCTCCGCGGGTTGGCGATCCACGGGGCGAGGAGAAATATGAGTCGCGCTGTTGGTTGACGCGGTCTGGTGTCAGGGGCTGCAACGGTGTTGTCGCACCGCCGGGGGAGCCCGGTAGGCTCTCGGATTCTGCCATTCTGGGAATTTGTCTGTGTTGTGGTGATGGATGTATTTTATTGGGGTTTTCATGCAGAAAGAAATGCAGTCTGTGGTGTGTAGCAATTTCCAGCACGTGTCACGAGCAACTCAGAATCGAATATGGATTGTGGATGATGTATATGCTTTGCGACTGCTTGCATATCACGCTTTGAGCTTGAGCTTGAGCTGAGTGTTCGGGTACCAATTGGGGGGGGGAGGCTGCCTTGAAATTTGGAGATCATCAGATGGGGGCAGCGGCACCCACATGCGTCGGGTGTTTATCGTTGTTTCCAGGTCAACACCGTGACAGAACAAGTAGAACTTACAGCAGGGTAGTGGTAGGGGGGTTTATTTATTAGCGCACAGCTCCACTGTAATTGATCGGTTGATAGACATTGATTGGAAGTCCGCATCCATATGTCGGTGACGTTGAGGGCATTCTATACAGTATTAGACTAACCTAGCTGCTCATTCATCTCCATTCATGAGGCATTCGTCGTCCGCCACCGAAGATTTGTTTCCACGACAAATTAGGCACTTTCAAATTCTCGCAACGCAATACACTTCAATACTATGCATTGATGCCATGGTGACAAACCGTTCTATAGAACGTAACCACTGGCAAATGCCGCTTTGCTGAGCCGTCGTTCCCCCATGAAATTGTTTGGTGATGTCGACACAAACTTCTCAGCTAGTCCCAGTCGCCCCTGATGACAACGTCGAGCTCATTCGATAAAATTATATGAACAAAGGATCAGCCTGCTGAATTTTGGATACCAAGCATACAACGTGTACCGACTTGGCCACTTGGTCTGTTGTCCAGAACAAGGCCTTGTATTTATTTAAATCCCAAACATGAATATTTTCCCTCTCGGCCAGCTGCCCTCACTCAAGACAAAGTGGTGTTCCCAGTTTAGCCAACAAACAATATTGGGTTCACCAAAGCGACTCCTCGAGCCCTTTGTCAACATGTTTCCACATATGATCCTACTCTCCGTATAAAATGTATTTTCGTCATGATCGCAGCAGCCACGTAGCAGGAGACCATGTTTTCTCAAAATAAGTCTTGAAAGGTACAAGTGTCACTCTTCAAACCCCGTATCCCCAGCACCATGAGTGAAAGAAACATCGACTTCTTGAGACGCCATAGTTTTTCATTGAGCAGACTATCACCCTGATGGGGTTTGAGTTTATCACGCACAAGGTGCGAGACCTGGGGACTGGTGCGACAAGGCAGCCAGGCGAAGTGTATGCGGCTCTGTAGGGCACGTCGAACTTCGATCGGACAGAGATGTCGTCGTCAAACCGCCATTCAGGACTTCTGGCAAGTTGCGACGTCTAATACCATATTATATTAAGCTAGCCAACCAAAGCAGCATCTCGCTCTATCCTCAAAGGTCATCGGCCCCTTTAACAAGCGCGATTTTTATCCAACTTCAGGTTGCGGTTTATGATGGATTTGAAAATTGATCAAACCATGGCATTGCAACGGCAGCGAATACCGATCTCCTTTTCTCGAACTACTTGGCTGCAATGGTCTACATATTTTTCGACGGGTTCTTCACAAATGCAGTACCCGTCGACTTGCACAACGAGTTCCCTGGACAGCGATTTATGACATATCCATCGACTGTGAGCCTGAGTGTACAAGCCGGCTCCGACCTGGCAGCAGAAATGAAATCCAAGTGGGACAGAGATCAAGGTCGCTTTATAATCTTTACACACGAGCCCATAGACCTGGGAGGGCAACCACGATCGTTCACTACCATGATGATCAACCTTGCTCATCAAATGGTGCACGCTTGGATGGATATCTTCGCTTACGACGATGATGCAGCGAGGCGTACAGAACAAGTGTCGTTCGCGCCACCAAGGTACGAGGCTGAACATGGGACTGCGTTCGGGGAGCTCACCAGGTTCATTACGCGGACATTGAGGGACAATTCCAGGTCAGGAGTGTCTGAATTCGATCGCCCCGCCCAATTAGCCCATGGTCTTCTTTGCAGGATCCGAAAACTCTTCAAAAAGTAACCATGGTTTAATTGCAGAACCGGAGATGGCTTGCTCTCTCTCCATTTACATATCACCTGTCCATTGCAAATATCTTAGATATCTGAACATAAGGAATAGTGCATCCTGCCATGGATCGGCCTGGCTCCTTCCTGAAACTATGCCGCTATGCACATTGTCTAAGTAACTGTCACTGACGGACTAGCAGAGGAATTGGGGAATATTTCCCAAGTCCTGAAGCAGGGGAGAAATACGCAATAAGGAAAATTTATGCAGACATTGAAGTGAGTTTTGCTGGCAGCTTTGGCAATTTTCAGGTCCCAAACCTGTGGACCCAGTCTTAACGACCGCCTTTGTCTCGCGAACAATGCATAATTCTTGACCACAATGTTCATTTATAAATTGCCAACGTTGGACTCCAGGAAAGCAAGCACTTTCTGCCTTGTTACTGGCCTGTAAACTAGACGATAAAATATATAATATATAGTGAGCCCCTTGCTGTTGAGATGAACGAAGATATTCTCCTCTTGCCCGTGCAGTGCATACTCCTGATTCAGGTAGCAGATGAGACACATTAGAAACCAAAAATTTAACTCAGTTACCACATATACCATACTAACATGAGCGAAGAACAAAAAGACATCTTACGCCGTGCTGGGTTTTTGGAAGGTTTAATTTCTCGGTGGTCGCCGCGCAAAATCTCCCGGAACGCCGGGTTCGCCCAGGAAGGGCTCGACTCATACCAGGAGATGCACAGCGCCCTGGAGTATCGTGCAATAACGTGGGTCCTCCGCTGCCGGGATAAAAACATGGGAGCCTACTGGAAGAGCCCGACGCCGGGCCAGAAGTCCTACCATGCCAAAGAACTGGTCCAATATCTCCTGATACACTGCAGGGTCAAGGGTTCCGATAAGGACCTGCTTCTAGAGAACTTCCGCCAGCGGTTCGACAGAGACGTCGCCTACTTTGAAGCTCACGGGCTCTCTATTTACAACTTTCATAAAGTATTGGAAAGCTACATGGCGGCCTTAGATTACATGTTTTTTGATGGCCTGATCACTAATCCCGAGAGTGTAGCGGCAGACACCCAACCCCATGGGCAGCTCTTCATGCCACGCAGATACACAGCCAAACTGCGGGTGAACCACGGTGCCGAACCGAGCGGTAAGATGATCGCGAAATGGTACATGGGGACTGTGGAGATGTACACGCACGGAGTAAGCGGTGCCCATGTGCAGCAACTCACGTTACCGCAGGTAGTGTCTACTCTCGCACACGAGCTCGTGCATGCTTTTCTCGATATATTTGCGTGGGATGACGACGTCGTTAGACGTACGCTGCATGTGGGCTACAAACCTCCTGTTCATGGATACACCAAAGGTCACGGACCAGCGTTTTGGTCAATATACAGATTTGTTGCATGCACTTTACGTGATTGTGCTGGACCAACAGCAGGTCTGGCCTTTATTAATGACGCAGAAGTTGCAGCCAAACTTTATGAAGACATGCTCGATTTGTGGGATATAGTCTGACGACTCGAAAAGAGCTGGAGCTAACACAATAAGACACCATTATCATAGAGTATTTTTGTGGGTCTATTATACTTGAGAAAGGTTTGTAGTTGTGAATATCTAATCTAATGCATTATTCTAATCATTGCTTATTCTTACTACTATAGCTAATTGTGGGGCCTGCCTGAAAGATCCGTCAATCTTTTGTTAGTTTTCTAGTATGAGTGTTATGAAACTCCGTTATTGTAGAACAAAGCACCTTGTTCTGACCGTCCGCTTACGGCTCAACACAAAGAATATGCGGCTCGACAAGTATTTATTGACAGTAGAGGAGCACTTTGGCACTTTCTCACCACCGAACATCTCTTAACTTCCTTGACAATTGCAGCTTAGCCCTCCGGTAATCCTCCATCAGTCCCATTGCTTCGCAAGGACATCTAGTCTTGCTTCAGCCGTATCGAATACAAAAGCTGTACCCAACATGAGTCTAGAAGATGCCGAAATCGCCAGAGAAAACGAGGCGACACTAGACGCTGTTACCGTCGACCTGAACAACCGAATCCAAAAATTCAAGGAGTCGCTAGACGAGGAGCAATGCGCAGTCTTCAATATGATGCAGGGCGGAAACATGCGAGACAGAGACCAACTAGAGGCCAAGATCTTAGGGCTCGAGCACCAGCTCTGGTCGCTGAAGCGGCCCGACTCTGCGGCAGCTCGGCGAGCCAAGGACCCATTTGCCCATGTCTGGGATCCGAGTCTCCTGCGGGATAGGGACGGTGAGGAAGAGGAGGCACGAGCCGCGGAGAACGCAAATCCCGCAACGCACGCCCAGGCTGTCGGCCAAGGCGGTAACGATCAGTCGATCCGTTGGAGGCTGCTCATCCTCATCTTCTGCAACGCCGTCACGATCTTTGCCGCCATCGTAATACAGGGGTGCATGTGCGCTCAACAGGCCGAACTAGCACATTGGACATCAGCGAACGGCGCTTCGAGACTCTTTGAGCTGGACCAGAACTTTACTGCACTCATCACCGTGGTACAGCTGGTCAGCATGATGGACTGCATTGTATGGGTCAGGACCATACGTGACCATTCCTAATTTGAACAAATGGTAGATGCCTGAGTGTTGAATAGCTTTTGGTCACTCAAGAAAAACAAAAGGAAGAGGGGGGGGGGCTAAGCAGCTTCCGATTTAGCCTCAAGCACATGAAATCAACTATGCTATCAACAATTTCTTACGTATTACTTACTAAGGTTCAACAGTGTTTTCTCTACTGCTTGGCCTGTATCTTGATCAACTTGTCTGGTGCGATGCATGGAGCGACCGTATGGCTGCTTTCCGCACGGCGGTAACCAATGAACCTTCTGTGTCACTTGTAAGCATCGACGATACGGGACGTCAGAGTTGAGTTCTTCTGCGCCCTAGATCCATTGGATTGCCAGTCGATCCACGGCTCCGTGTGGGTAACCACGTGCGTTGCATCGTTCAATCTAATTCCCAGTGGTACGGTCCAAGCGGTCAAGAAGCAATTCCCCTGCCGCTCGCTGAAAGGTAAATATGCGAGGCGGTATGAGATTCTGCCGGGCCACCGTGGAAAAGTGTGAGACACTATGGCTTGAGAGGGAGAGACAAGACACGTTGCAATGCGAAGTCGAGAGGCGTGCCATTTCCTCGCCAAAAGCAAAGTATAGCTGTACCACTGATGAGCATTCAGATTGCAGGCCTGTTCAAAAGGGGACAGTTGAGATACGGAGTGAACTGTCAACTGCTCGCATTTCACTAACTAAGCATTCACTTAACACAACTTGAGTAAACAATCACCGAGCAGGTACCACTGTTTCATCACAGGTTTTTTGAAAGTTGTACACATAAAACTACAGTGAAATTCGTTGATTCGTCTGACCACCGCCAGGAAGGTATGCCTTTCAGGCTTGACTGAAATATTTGTAAGTAACATGTTGAACTCTCATGACAGCCCTCCCCTCATGTCTGCTCTCCGCCATAATAGTCAAGGAAATTATGCCCCATGCCCTGGGGACGAAGATTGCCGGCTTGTGCAATTGCATAAGCAGCCCGGTCCGAAACGCCTTGTGCTGAAAGTAAAAAAGTATAATGGTATAGTTGTAATAAAAGCCATATGCACAGGAATTCGTACGAGTTCGAACAATGTGAAAAAGCCTCGCTGTAATGAGGCGATGTTGTTATCCTCAGATCATGAAGTGTGGTCGACCTTGCAAACCCAAGTCATTGAGTACCGCCAAGGGCACTCATTCGACGATCACGCAAAAATGCGATTCATCGAGTACCACCAAGAGCACTGATTCGGGCACCAGATGGGCGGTGCATTAAATCATGCTTTCCGACAATACCAGGCTCGTGGGAGACGGTTTCATTGTCGCTTCGCTCAGCTAGACTTTCCTCGTCGTCCTCGACAATCTTCGTGGGAATATCAGCATGAGTCATGTACTGCTGGCTAGAACGCTCGGGTGTAGTCATGGTCGAGGCGATTGACATGGACGTGCTGCTTCTGTTGGGAATCAAGTCTGGAGTAGGCGGAATGCTGGAAGCTCGTCCAGACGGGTGGAGGCGGCTATCATCACCGACGTCCGAAGCAGAGGTAGACGCGTCGCTTTGCGCGATGGATAGGTTGCTGGCCCGGCGAGAGTTGGCGATAGAGCTGCGGTGAGAGCTGGCACGAGAGCCTGGGCGGGAACTGAGAGAACCGATTTCAGCATCGTTGGCGAGTTGCAGGCTCTCCACTGCAGCCTGACATTGCTCGGCAATGTTGCGAATGATATGAGCAATGGCGTCCGTCTTGTCCTTGAGATGGCGGTCGGAAACGTCAAGGAAGCTCAAGCGCTTGTTGGCATTGTGGGCTCGAGTAAGAGTCTCGCCGAGGCGTTCATCAGTAGCGGCTGTGTTTGTTAATACCGTTTCAATCCTGTGATTTAGACCAGACTTACAATGAGCTTCCTCGCCATCGCCATCGAAACCAGCCTCAACTTCCTCGTTGAGCTCCTCAGGCTTGGTAAGAGAGTGCACCAGGTGCTCCATATGATGTGATTGGCCACCAATCAAGCTGCGCAGGTGCAAGACCACGCGGCGGGCTTCGTCTCGCTGGCGCATGATCGTGGAGTTGGTGGCTTGCAGAGCAGCCAGTTCCTTCTTGTTGCGCTTGCGCTCTCTCTCGAGTTCTTCAGCAATCTCTTGCTGGAGTACCAGAGCCTCCAAAGCGTCGTCTCGTTGCTTTTCAGTACCAGAAAGACGGACAGACAACCTCGCATTGTCGTCCTTCTGCTGGTCGATGAGGCCTGCCAGACGACGGTTCTCACGCTTGTGGGTCTCAATCTTGACTTTGAGGTCCTGAGTCTCCTTGGTAAGCTGCTCAGCAAATGCCTGGAACTTGAGGAACTGCGTCTTCCAGCTTTCGAGCTCCTCGACGAGGTAGTTGTTGCGCTTGGTGACCTTAGCAAGCTCAGTGTCCATGCGGCCCTTGAGGTTGATGAAATCCTGCCATGCCTCCATCGCATCGCGAGAATACTGGTTGCGCTCTCTAACGATTTCGTTGAGATGCCTCATAGAGACCTTGGTCATAAGAGGCTTCTTGACAGAACCGCCGAATACAGCCTTCAGACCAGTATTTCTGCCCAATTTCTCGCAGACGTGGTCCATGACGGCCATCACAGCATCCTGATTCCACCACTCGGGATCCTGAATAGACTCGACCTCACCGCGCATGACAATGATTTGACCAGCCGGGACCAACTTGCCGCCGCCGTAAGCGGAGCGTAAATGAGGAGGTACACCAGATGGAGCGACATCACCATTGAGTGCTTGAGTCAGGCGAGACACAAACTTATTGCGCTGGCCGGGATTTAAAGCAGTCGGTGGGCTCGAGGTGAGAACGAAGTTGCGGTCCAAATCCACAACGAGAGCATCACTCGGGGCTGTAATGAGGGATCGGCATTCGGCAGTGATACCAAGAATGTATGGGCCGGGCTCCTGGACGAGCTCGGTGGCATGTCGAGCATGCACAACCGGGACATACAGACCACTCCACTCGTAGACCCTTACACAAAACCGGATAGTCTCAGCAGCCATAGTGAGCATGGCTGGGTAGTGGCTGACAAAGATGATTCGTCGGGTAGGCGAAATGGCGGCTTCAATGACACCCACGATGTTGGGAATAGACAAGCAAGCCCAAAGCGGCCACATAGCAAAGTTCTGGAACCCGGTTGGGGACGACGGGAATTGGTAGCATAGTGCATAGTCCTTCATATCAATGCGGACCAAGTCATTCAGGCGAGGAGCTGGGAAGCTGAGGATTCTTGACACCTCCTCGGCATGGAACAGGTTGGTCGCCTTGTTCCAATGAATCCACATACCGCGGAGATAGTCGCCCAGAAGGTTGTAAAGGGGGTATCTCGAAAGGAAAGACAAACAGTACGGAATCCAGTAGGTCTCATCCGGGTTGTCGTAGAAGTCAGGCTCGGTGCGCTTCCTCAGATCCCTAATAGTCTCGGCTCTCTTCTCGTCGGCTCTCGACCATACGCGCAAGCAGATACCGTAGAGCGTGTGGGAAGAGTCCTGCTGAAGCACGAAGGCGTGATGAACACAGTGTGGCTGGCTTCGGCCGGTGCATATTTCGACATCATGAGGGAAGCAAGCTCTCATAGCAGCGTGAAGGGCGCGAGCGATTTCGTTATCTTGCTCTAATCGAGGACTGCTGCCCAGAATCTCCGGGAGCCAGAACTGCCCAACAGCTCCCTTCATATGCCCAATTTTACCCTGCGCGGGGCCAGGAGCCTTGACCCATTGTGATGGCTCCCGTCCAACACCACATACCATGTAGGCATGGGTCAATGTCTTTGGGGTTCTCTGCTGGGGTTTCGAGTTGAGCTGAGACGGAATCGGTTGGGTGATTCGGGAGTGCAAGGACGAAGTTCTGCTTGGAATTATTAAATTGTTGTCGTTGTTGTCACGAGTGCCGGGACGGGCATCCCGATCACTGGTACGCGGACGCGTGAAGGACGAATGTGTGTTCAATGAAGGCGCCATTGTGATGACTTGTCGACCTCGAACCTCATCCAGGTATTTATTAGTTCCTGGCGCTTGGGCGTCCACACTGTTGGGCAACGGTGATTAGGCCGATGTGCCAACCTAATGCTACTGACGAAAACTAAAAGAAGAAAATTGTTGCCGGGTCTCGTTTCGTAGTTACTTTTCAACCGTGAAGCTTGAACGGCCGCGACTATCTCTCAACCTTAAGCTCTAGCTAACAAGGAAGTTCGAAGCTGAAGACAGCACGTTCGCACCTGATTCGCTCGAGGTCGCGTCGCTGTGTCAATCGATCTGATGAGGGACCGAGTAGACAGCAGTCGGCTACTTCAAGGAAGCAGAGAATATGCAGGCCGAAGGAGTGTGGAATTTCGCTCAAAAGAGAAGAGAGAAAACTGCCAACCGATGTAGAGGATCCGGCGTAGTAGAAAAGGGCGCGGCTGCCAGCACTAGAGGAAGGGGAAAGGGAACAAAGGTGTGGCCCAAAAGCCGGAGCATCCACATCTAACTAGAATGGTAGCACGGCCTGAGCAAAGTAACACCACAAGCGCACGGAGTAAGTACACTGCTTTGATCAAGCTCTTTCGTATGCGTACACTCCACGCAACTAGGGATGGGGAAATAAAGGCCAGGGCTTGTGGAGGATATCAAGTCAAAAGAGGTGCAGATGTTCCAAGGGGTGGAGCCAACACTGTCGATGCACTGGGTCTGTCGGTGATGCAAGGACAAGGGCTGAAGTGGATGGAAATGGGTACCCTGTACGAGAAGTCGTTGCTCGGAAGGGCGTTTCGAGGCCTTGCCAACAGTCACCAATACCTCCCGCCCGGAAAACAGCTCAACGGGCTGCTTGAACTGGTTATCTCGAATGGTAACGTTCTTGTCCCTTAGTGCATTTGCCCCTGCTCTGTTTAAATTTTGACTGCTCCACCATTCCAGGTACTGAAAGTGACGAGCGAATCAAGGATTGTAATTATGAGCAAGGGCTGGGAGATATGTGGAACCTCCGATGGAGGCAATTTGTCTTCCCGGGAGATGAATGTTACAAAAATCAGCTGGTCGAGGAGTTATTGAAAAGTGTAGCTTCAATTGTGTGCTCACACCGAGCCTGACGAGCCGAATCACGACTGAATCACTGAAGGAGATATGCAAGATTCGGCCTAGAAGCCGGATGACAGCCATCGAACGGTCTGAGACAGATTGATTGCGGATTTTGACACTTCAAGGAAATCGACCTTTAGGTTTGTCTATCTGTCCAGAAGTCGGAGGGGTTATCATGGTGAGATGAACTTTAACCTAACCTAGTGCTAGGCAAATAGCCATCCAACGCCCGGACCGTCTCAACTCGGTGATATCAACTGAAAGTCGCATTGGTGCAAACAAATCACGCTCTGATTCAAGCGAAAAACATCAGGGCAGGTGATGCGACAATGGCGATGGACAATTAAGACATTGCTGGCAGCGCCCCCCGAATTTAGTATACTGCGTCACCGAAATAGCCGATTGGTTCTAGAGAAGTCTTATGCGTAGCCAGTATTACCACCTTTGGTATTACTCTGGATTTTTTCCTCTCATCGGCTTGCTCGGCGTACCACAAGAAGGAGCATCTAAAGGCTTCGCCGGCCGAGGAGTGCATCGGATCCATCAATGCCAGTTTTTGGAGCGATACTACCCCAAGATTCGTAAGTTCCACATCTCGTCGTCACAAACTCCGTTAAGTGCCAGGTGCTGGCATACCCTTTAGTAACGGAGACATGGTCGACCGACGAACTGAGCACCAGCCTCCCATTGCTTCTGAAGTTTGGAGGTATATCGGGTGTCAAACGAACGAATTTAACCAGGGTTGTGAGCACATGGCAGCCATCCTGACCGGGATCTAGCTGAATGAAAAGGGGCCAGCAAATGATGGAGTGCATTTAGAGGGGCACTCGCTACCTGGTGCGCGGGGCTGATTTGAAAGCAAGTACACAGCACCATGTATCCTTGCTGGCACCTGTTCCCAACGATCTGAATGCATATTGCTCTTCTAGCGCTGCTATTCATGATCCCATCTCTATTTCACCATGGTAAATGCACGACTCATGATTGTTGATTTCCAATGGCATTTACAGACCGGCCAGTCGGCTGCTGCACTGCACGTATCCTTCTTTTGAATTCCAGCTGTAGTAGATGCAGATTGCAGCGCTACAAGCAATCGCTAAATTAGCTGCAATGCTCATCATCATATGTGCTGAGTTCCGATAGGCAGCCCCGTCCAACCGCCTGCATGCCCGCTCTGCAAGCTTTGCATGTTCGGTACGCTTTGACCCATCCAGCTGCTTGGTCGTCTCTGCCGGGGCCTTGCTTTAGTGGAAAATCATCAGCGTGGTCGATGACTTGTGGCGGCGCTATCTTAGCTGAGACCTCTCAACAGCTGGATCGTCGCTGATAATCATGTTTCAACCCGCACACCATCACGCAAGCATAATGGCTCTTTTGGAATACTGTAGAGGGCAAACTACGTGCTGTACAACTCCAGATCAGTATAGCTGCGAGTCATAACTGCGCTCGGAGCCACACATGAGCTATCAAGTTTGCAGGTAATTGATTGGAATTCCGCACCAACGCTCTCCGAGCGCCGTTTGTGATCCCACTCGTTTGCACACAATCCCTGGTAACTTCGGGAGGCATGCGCGCAAGCGCTTGCCCCGTCGCCGATGATTCATCAATAAATGTCACACAGTAGCCCATTTGAGCGCCTGTCAGCAGCTCATTGGTGAACTTAATACGGTACATTCCCGCGGACATCACGTTGTTCGCAGCAAGTACCCTCTTGCCGTGTCTCTTCCTCTTGCTGTCGATAAAAGAAACACTTGCAATTTGCTTGGACCACTGCACTGGCCCTCAATTTGTAATGAGCGATCCTGTAATACTGCCCCGATCGCGCAACCTAACGTTGCATCTGCCAGCAACACGAATGCGGGATGTCGTTTCGTCACATCTCAGCAGGGGACGACGGTTGCGGTCAAGGTAGGGATGTATCATCACATTTGCTATTGGAGCATAGTTCCCGGTTTGCAATATCAGCCACGCACCCTGTTTGACCATGCTCGGAAACTAGCAACAAGTGATACGAAACGGTTTTGAGTCGCAATGTGCATAGATTTATGAAGACCCTTGGCTATACCCGTTTCATTGGTTGTTATTCTCGTCACTGTGTGCAATACTATACTGCGTTATCAACAATTACCATCGGGGATGTGTTGGTGAGGCCAGAAATTAGACGCCAGTTTGCCCGTTGGCAACTCGATTCGTTCTGTACTGTCTGGCCCTGAGTGTAGATATTGATATGGCACAATCAAGAAGCAAGCATCTTTGATGGTTCGCGAGTGGCAGGGCGCTGCCGTAGCTTTGCGGCTCAAACATGGGCAAATTTAGGTTGATGTTCATCAGATCAACCCACGTTTCGATCACCAGTGTATATGGACAGATCTACGGGCATAACAGGTGCCAGTGTCGAAGATCTCACCTCGTTCGATCTATTTCCAGGTACGTTCCAAAGGTTCAGTACGGGGCTCAAGGCTTAGCCCAATGGCCAGCAACCGACCCAGGTAGTTATTGCGCAATTCCCCCCAAAACTCTATTCTTTCAGCCTGAGATTCGGCCCGTATGCGATAATAATTTCTTAAAACAGACAAGGAAAATGCTATGGGAACGTCTCCGAAATGATAATCGGGCATCTACCATAAAAATAATGGATCGTAAGATTCATATTTTAGACAATACCGTTGGAGAGTCTGAGAAGTTACTACTGATATTATCGAGAGAATTATTCAGATTCTCTCACTGCGAGCTCACAGACCATCATATGGAGCACTAAATTTTTTCACCCACAGATCCGTAGTTGCGCAACGGTTCCCAAGCCAATCAGGCGTCCCACCACACTATTTTAAAGCCGATCTATAGTACATAGTACAAGTTCGCTTGATGGGGCTTAAATCTACGACAACCAAGGACATCCCATCAGCAAACCGACAAATGCCGAATTGGTGCGATCGATGCGGCGTACTTTAGTTAACTAGCATATGCAAAGTGTTTAGTCGCCTCACGCTTTAGAGCCGACAATTGAGGATCATTCTAAGTGTAACAGGCGGGGATGATCCTTCGATGTGGAAGCGCACAGGTAGAATAAATTTTGACAGCCACTACTCTCCAGACCCTAGCAGGTTGACAGTCAGACCCGGTGTCTCAACTTGAGTGGTGGCCAACTTCATTGAGAAGAGGATATTCTGGAAGTCACATAATCCGTGGCCCCTCTTTAGACGCAGGCAATACTTGTTGTTGGGCGGGTACAGCGTAAAATCCAGGGTCTCTAGGATCAAATAGTCCACTGGGTTATCCCTTCAACGCGTAACTTGCCTGGCTTCGAGGCTACGCGATTCATCTCCACAGTTGTATCGACATGCGTTGTATCGCAACTGGAGACAGTTCAAGTTCGTTCAAGGAACTTCCTTTGAGCACATCGGCATATAGCATAGCATTATTTCGTATTTTCAGTGAGAAATTCCATGGCGGATCAAAGTCTAGATCCTACTCCACGCAGGTTGTGTCATCATGTTATCTGTTACGATCGAAATTGCACAAAGCAGCCTTCCCCCGTGTGAGTTCGTCCATATATCACTTGGCCTTCGAGCGACAACCTCCATGTTCATTCGTGCGCAAGAAGCTATTCTGATAGATTGGTGACTTCGCGTTTGGTTCTTTAGTATGCTTCATTAGACCCAAGATTGAATCAAGGCTATTTAATACTCAGCCGTCAGTAATGTTAGCTATTACAAGGCAACGAATTTTTGAATATGTCCGAAACTGTTGGCCAAGCATGCTCCGTAAAACGTATGTGCTCCACAAAGAATTAATTGATCATTGAGATTGCATTGCCACCGGCAACCCGCCAAGAATCATCGTGAAAATATGTTGTCATGTTCCTACGATCGGTTCATAAGGTCATCTGCGAAAAATTTTCACTCTTGTATAGCATAAAAACTTGCAGCACCGTAATATCAACGATGGAGAATCGCATGCTGTAGTATGCTTGCAACATAGGATTAAATCCTGTTGCGATACTAGATCCTGAGGATGTACATAGCAAGGCAGGTCGTCATCTACAATGCGATGATGCACTACTGGTGATATTAACGGGGCTTCACATCGGATGGGGAAAGGTGGAGCTTAAACAGCTGATGGACATCCATCTCAGCGCGTAAGGATAATTCGCCTCTTCACCAGCCCATCGATGCACGTGTTGCTTGGAACATAAGCAACACCGAAGCCAATAGCCAACATGTCACCGCAACATCGCCCCATCTGTTGTACATCAACATGAGAGCATCAAAGTCGCTTTTACGGCAACGTGCTAGAATACAGCGTTCGTATAAATCTTACATCTGCCGCCGAGGACGCCAGATATTGGAGCCCGTCGAGTTTTCTTGCAGGACGTATTTGTCTCCCACGACAACGCCAAAATCAACTCTTGCTCGTAATATTCCAGTAGACGGCTTTGAGAAGCTCTCCAAGATAGGAGCAATCGCGAAGGAGACCTTTCCAAATTATAGGGCAGACCGATTTTATCATGTATAATTAGGTCTCGATATCCAGTTGTTGCAAAATTTAGTTTTGGTACGGCGTCAACTATCTGGATTTTCCGGAATCTCTACTATATACCCGAGTCAGTTTTTCTTTAATACTTCTTTTATTAATGTCATCTTCAGAAAAGGCGGGTTTCTAACTTTGAAGATCTATATTAGAGGGAAAGAGGCAACAACGGTAACCAATAAAGTTGCTATCTCTTTGAATATCACATCTATCGATGCTAAACACCCTAGAAAGCAGCTCTTACGGCTAGTGTTAGGTTACTTTGAGGTAAACGGGCTATACGGAACACATCAATACTTGCTCTTTAATCAACTAGGTATTAGCTTTATCAAATTTCGAAACTTATTTCTAAAAAGAAAAGGAAACAACATGAGTATAGAGTTCACCTTATAACTCATTCTTCTTAGTCTAAACTTATTCTACTAAGCCAGCATCATATATACGGGTATTCTCTACTTTCTTCCCTTACTAAGTTTACTATTGTTATAGTATCCATGTTAGGGCAGCTATATAGAGAGATCGCACAATCTCGACCTAGAATTGTTTTCTAGTCAAGACACATTACAGCCCAAATCAACTTTACAGTTCGTGGCGTTATAGGCTTGTTGTCTCACACCATTATTGTTAACAATCTCTATTAATCGCACCTATACTCTCACAACATATACAATAATTATCTAGATATATTACTTAATAATATCATTTTAGTTAAAGATTAAGATATATTAACATTTTTCAAAATTAAATAAAATGAGATTAGGACTTAATTTCGCGTGAAATTCTCTCGGATTAAATTATTTACGTTTCTCATTTAATACTTATTATTTATAGACTCCCAGTGATTTACGACTTCAATATTACTAAGGTACGGGATAAGTTCCTTCGGGATATTATACTTAGCGTTTATTGCGCTCTAGAAATAATCATAGGTATAGAATGGGATCTTAAGATAGATATATAGTCCATTATAGTCATAGATTATAGACTTAATATCCCTCTTATTACGAAACGAGCGAATATGGCACTATATAGAGTTAGGATTTATTCGAAAGGGAAAAGCTTTTTGACACGGTAAAAGACGGACATCTCAATAACCAGCAGCATATTGCCGAAACAGTATCCGTCATAGAAAACCCACCAATTTAAAACTTGGAACGAAGCGAGAAGTGTCGTTAGTACTAGAACGCTAAGGATAAGTCACGCTGTACTCCACGACGGTATGCCTGCCACTAAAAAAGAATTTGTGGCGTTGATAGGTTACTGGATTGCTACAACGCCGATCCCTAGCCAATTGCTTGAGACCCGTGAGAGACGGCTGAATGGGAAAGACTAGGAGTTGCTCCTTGCCTTTGTACGGAAGATCATATATTGGTTACTCGAGATTATCAGGAGACAGACCCTTAGCAGAAGATATATTTGAGGATGAATTCCTGGTGTAGCGAGGAGCTACTTGAAGACTAATACCTCGGTATTCGACGTTTCTGCTACTCTGTCTTCGTATTACCCCTATCATATCTCGACGACGGCTCTGGCGAATCAGATTTTGCCAACCCCTAATCGATGTACAACGTCTTTCTTTCTTTCTTTCTTTTTTGGGGCGCACGAGCAAAAAGCAACAATGCATAGAGAATCCGAGGAGCTTCTTCCCATTTGATGTTCTTAAGCGATTGGCCCATGGTGACTAAAAGTACCTAGTAACGCAATGTTGTTTTTGTCAATGGAGATTATGTTTGAGATTCAACGAAGATGGAGTTAGACTACATCAAAGCAAATGAAGGGCCATCATCTTGAATGGTCGAAACATATCGACAGCTCTTCCGAGTCTACCACTCGCAAATATTCTATTGTCTTTGCTTTGAAGATCGTCATCTTCTTCAGTTGTCCTCGAATGATCTTGACCAGTCTAAAGTGGCAAGGTCTTGATCACGATGATGGGAGAACTGACTTGCTGAATCTGAATTATGGCCCACCTGAGACAAAGCTTGGTTGCAAAGCAGTGAGCTTGTCAAGGACTACCCGAATTATTTCTTGAAACTATGTTGTCTGTATAACAGTGACATGTAAACAGATCAATGAACAGTGGTGTGACTTGAGTTTCTATTTCAGAAAGCTGGTTGTGTACCAGTCCGAGACCATTCGGAAAACCAATAACACCTGCACTACTCTGCTCAGCGTTGTCCTATCATGGGTTTGCCAAGATCGTGACAGGTGTTGTATTATGGTCAGGTATAGGCATGCATTACTCAATGTTGTCCGCAGCCTGTATTTTATTCCTTCGAGACCTAACAATATCCCATCCCTATAGTCAATCGTTAGATCATATGCTATGGGTGCTGCTATTGCTACCATGCTGAATATCATGATACCACTGGTTCTTCAGACGAAAGAGAAAAAAAGAACTTAAGTATCCAACAATCCGATTTCGAAATTGAATCATGCATGGAAAGCTGACAGTGGCTGAGATCTCTGCACAACTGAAATAACTATCGAGGCCTGAAATTACGCCTGCGCAGACTTGCGGCTTGATCGTCGCCTCTCAACTGTAACGGTTGAGGCGGAGCTTACTGCAACTTTGGTCTATGACTAGCAGAGAATTGCAACTGATCCATCCACGGAGCCTCAATTTCTGTCTGCTAAAATCTCCCGATGATCGTGGGAGGATAACATGCTACGAAGGATGTACTGTTGGGGAAGTTTGTGTATCAAACAAGACCTAGATAAGAGCAAGGGGACCTGTTCTTTGTGTATTCTTGATGTTCTGGTGCACAACTTTGACTCTCTTTTGAACATGTTGCTTGCTTCCGGGGTCGCCTGGCTTTCTTAAGAGTATAATGATCACAACTAATCCTTACGACAAACCAACAACGAAATTATAGAAGGGAAGTCTATTAATCATCATCGCAAAAATAGCCGCTAATTGCCCCTAGTGTTCCATCTGCAAACTTCAACTTCCATTACTCGACTAGTATAACGTATCAAAACATGGTATCATAACGAAAAGCGTATGTTTCAGCAGCCACGTACGCACAAGACCCGCGCTTTACGCGTCTCATTTACTGGGTAGCCTCATTCCCAGCCTCTTTAGCCTTCTCCTTACTCGCCCGCAGAATATCGCCAAACCAGTTGAGGGCTTCAGTCGTCAGCACAAGCCCGGTGGAAATGAGAGCTTTGCCGGTGGTGACAATGCCTTGTCCACCGACTTTCTTGAACTCGGAGTTGTAGACGCTGAATAAGTGATCCGTAGTCTCCCTAGTCTTGACAACCGGGTAGAAGACGACTTGCTTCGATTTGGCCTGAATGTTTTCGGTGGACTCCTTGAGGATGGGGATCTTCTTGTCAATCCTGTCGAGAGCGCCAGCACCGAGGTGGTCTGCTCTCTTCACGTATGGCGAGACGTACTCGTAAGGCTTGGCTAGGTAGGGCACAATGGGCTTTCCAAAGATCTGGTAAGCAGAGTCGCCGATTTCGATCGACTTCTTGCCGTAGGGGTTGCTCTTGTAATACAAGAGAGCATCGTTGACAACGGGGTAGCCAGTGATGTGCTGAACATCCTGTTAGTCAATTGCAACCGATTGTTTGTGCGCAGTCCTTGATGCGTTAACTTACCGACAGTGTTGCGGAGGACGGGTGCGGCTCGCCATTAACTTGAGCTGCCATCTTATCAGAGTCCAATGTAATGGTGTGGGATCTTGCTATAAGCTCTATAGATTAATATGTCAACGGTAAGATAAGGTAAGACTAGCACGAGGTTGTCGCTTACGAAGTTGTGATGTTGTCTCGGATAAGAGACGAGTATCGGTCAGTGTGGTCCGAAAAGAAGGTGCGTTGAGAGAGTCTAGATGAGGAGGAAGAGTGCTTTAGGTTGGAGGAGTAGAAGTGGTAGTCGCGACATTCGGCGAACATGCGAGCGCAATGCACTTATCAAAGCTTGGAGGCAAATCACATCGTACCTCTCGGAGGTGACGCCACACCAATGAGCAAGCAAGCCTAGAAGGATGTTTAGCATGTGCAAGGGCACCTCGTTCCTGGCTTGTAAGCGTGTTCGGCTGCATCGGGTTCCCAGGACGTGTATCGAGCCTGACGATAGCTCGCAGGTTTCTACCAAGTACCGTCACTTATCGCACCTTAAACATATTACAGTTTCAGCCAGCTATCAACCTAATTCGCCAGACCTAGAGCGTACCCAATGGTCGAGCTGATCGTCGGCCGTCGACCCTTCAAGAAGTATTCTGTATTCAATTAAGAATCGGCCTGTATCTTTGGGATGCTTCAATGGCAGCTACAATGCTGTTCAAGAGGTGCATAAAAGAGACAGAATCATCCTAAAGCTATGGTGGACTGGCTGGGCCTACGCTTGGTGGGTTTTTGGTGGGGGCCGATAGCACATCATTAGCAGGACGGAACAGGGAAGCCGGCAGGGCCATGGTGAGCTCTGGTTGGCCTAGAGCACTAGTTATCAATGAGCTTTCTGACATGTGAGAGTGCAGTTTGTCTTTTGAGTGCTGCAGGTTGTGGCGCAAAACTAGACTAGGTTAGAATAGGCGCCAGCTTTCTAACTTCACTCCAGCTTCGCAGCTTTTTCTGCAACCCTAAAAGCATAGCTGAATCACAATCTCTTATCTTTTTTCATCCCCGCGAATGCATACATGTCACACACGTAGGTTGCGAGCTGTATCTAATTCAAACAAAAGGCCCTCTTCACACGGCGCTCCCGGTGACCACCTCAGAAAATGCTTTCGCAATACTTTGCTGGAACGGCAAGCTTTGATATTTGTGCCCAGCTGGTTTGGAATGCCAAGGTGTCTGACTCCGCTTTTGCCCTGTCCATTTAGGAGAAAGGGCAGCTTATCTCCAGCTCAGCTAAATTCGGTATCGCTCTTATTGCTGCATACCAAGTACCTGTTTCACGAGCGTCTGCTGTGTAATCACAGGTTGACAGACGTTGATGAAACACAAAAAGTCTGCCGGCGTGCAGATCGAAGTGCAGTTAGCTGCATCCTTTCAGTTGAGCAAACTATGACAACAGATCCGTGACAAATGAGCGACGATTGCAACACACCTTCTCAAGCACACCTTCTCAAGCACACCGTGCATGCTTCGTAACGGCTTCGTCATTACCGAATTGCCCCAGAACGACTCGCCAGAGTCGACCGACCATGTTAACTTAAGCCTTGCATCTTTCATGTGCCGTGTGAAATGCGTTGCTATGTCTCGGGAAGTAATATTATAGCACGGTTCATTTCTACCCGCCTCGGCTCGTCACTTTACCAATAATTGCCACGTCCAGTAGTCAGAACTGAACCGACTGCCTAGGCACTTTGCATTTGCTTTGCAATCTAATTCAGGCAAGTGGAAAAAAGGAAAAAAAAAAGGAAAAAAAAAAAAGAAAAGGTCCTAACGAAAACTCCAACGGAGAATAGACAAGCCCAAGATCTTCCTATCCCAAGCATGACATCGGCCCACAACCAATATTTCTGGATCCCCTCAATGGAACATCAAGGGTTGGGCCAGCCCGCCGGCTCCACTGTACCAGCCACATCTCCAGGGGAACATCCCACTATACTTTCACATGTCAGCGACGAAAGCAGCGAAGACAGTCATGTTAATTGCCAAAACTCCTACAACATTTTTCATATGCTTGGCCTTGCGGCGTCGGAAGCATGAGGCAGACCGAGAAACCGAGCGACAAATTTAAAGGCAGTCTTGGACCAGCCTAGAGCCTCTTGGTAAGAGCCGCATGCCAGATTACCAACTTCAGCGCTACATTTAGTACGCGTATTAATTAGTGCTTATCCCAAGTGCCTGCATCTCACGAAACCATCTTCTGACTGGAACTACAAAACCATAGGCATCATAAAAAAAACAGCTGCCTTTATTGGTTAAGCAGCAAATACATAATTTTTTCAAACCCGTTTGTTTCTCTCTAGCCATCCTCTTCCAGGTGCGTTTCGACACCCGAGTATATAAGCAGGTGGATAGTTAGCAATGCTGCCTTGCAAACGAGTTCGTTTCAAATCCTCATGCGCCATGGTGGTGCACACATGCACTACAAGCTTGTTGTGCTAATTAACTGCCACAATTTCAACTCGGGGTTTTAACACGTCTATATAAGTCCCTGGCCTACGGCAAATATCAGCCAAGGTATGCGTGCCGGTGCTAATTCCATAAGATATACCAGCCGCGGGCTACAAAGGACCGGTATTATGAGACATCATATAAGCCCGAACCTATCTTGGAGCTGGATTTATCAAAGCTGTTTGTCATCTCGATCATCTGCTTGCGCTGATTGACTCCTTTGACCCACTAGGAAGAAATCTGCGCAGAATAAGGTAGACGTCTGAGTTGTGGTTGTCATAGTGAGCAAGTACCATTTGGCCAAATCATTTTCTCATTCACTCGTACCATTCGTAAGCTGCCTTCTCGAATACTCGGCTGCACAGCTTATAATCGCATCTGTAGACTCCGTGAGAAATTCCAGTTGTTTATGATAGCATCATTTCTAATGATCAGCTGGATATCCACTTATTAATTCTGAGCTTCGATCAAATCTCACTTGGCAGTAGCATCTCCCACCCTATCGTGGTTGTGTTTGTAGTAAGCCCTGTCACCCCTCACACGAATGTCCCTGTACAACTCTGTCATTCTGACGTACATTTCGTACGTCGAACCCGACGATATGATCCAAATAACCTGGTAACTTCATAGAAATGATATTTTGCAGGCCGATCTGGTGATTGACGTCCTACGAGTTCAAAAGATTTCCCAATCCCAGCGCAATTCCCAAGCACCATAATCAATTCCAGATAATAGTCTCACAGGCTGCTGGCAGTGAAACATCTGCGAATCAAGCAGAACCTCAGTCTTCTTCTTGAGAATTATTGACAAATCTATTTACCATGAGCTCCAGCACTCCTGCCTTCGCCGTGGACATCAGCCTTGTGCACTTGTTTCGTGATGTTGAGAAGAAGTTCGAGGCAACAAGCCTCAGCACTGAGAGCTGGTACATCTTGATGGTAGCCTGCATCGTGGCGTCGCCAGATCCGGAGCTGGCGGCTCAGCTCTATATTTATTTGCGAGAGCAGTACTATCCAACTGCCAAGTCACGCCAAGGGCTTATGCGACGCCTCCGAGAGGCCTTGGTCAAGTGTGTTGCCATAATCGGCGTATGCAAGCCCATCGAGGCTGTTGTCACTATCAACGAGGTTGAGAACGACGAGGACAAGGATTATACTAGCACACGAAGAGAGTGGCAATGCAACAAAGCAAATCACGAGAAGGGAATGGAGTCATTCGAACGCATCTACGCGAGCTCGGAAAAGAGACTGAAGAGTTTTGATTCTCATCGTGATTTCGCATGGCTTTCGACGGAGATCACATACGGATTATACCTATCAGACCGACAGGTCTTGGACGAGATTGATTCAGAACTGGTTGTACTTCCTGCGATCATGATGCAGAATTTGAGGCGAGAGACTCAATGGCATATCAAAGGTGCTAGACGCCTCGGGCTATCGAAAGAGGATATGCAGGTCGTGTGGGACTGTGTGCATTCGATCGCTGGTCACTTTGGTGTTCCTTTGAACAAACTGCCCACTATTGAACAAGTTGAGCACAATATCTGAGGGTTAGTTTAACAGTATCAGGAAGGGAACAATTATCTACAACTTTCATAACTACTTGTTGTACTTTCCGTCTAGACTGCTACGAGAGATCTAGCTAGCAAGCATTCCATTGAGCGATGTCGTTTCAATAATTTTTCACTCCGAATAGCCGCCTTGCCTAATACCTACTTGATGTTTATAAACGATTGCATTGTTGAACGATCTCAGCATTACCTTGTGACACGGCAACACCTTCGGTTTAGGTCAATCAACAAATGTTACGACCAAAACTACGGTGACACCAAGGCACATCCAACAGGTGATCATGCACAAGTTGTAATGGGACACATGCTGCAGGCAGTTCAAGAAGTAGCATTATAACAACTGATTGAATAGTTATAAGTCAGCTGCGTGCAACCTATCTCTACTAGGAGCAATATCTCCGAATCATGCGATACTTGATGGACACTCTACCTTGCTCAAGACGACTAGTACAAACCACACACTGCGTTCTTAGATACTCACAAACAATACATTGAATCTCATGTTCTCTTATCACACGGTTTGGCGCTTCGCCGTATTCTATGCGTACTCAGTGCCCAGGGGTGATGACATCTTAGTAGTGACGGCACGATACTTTCTGCCGGCTTCATGGCGGGACCTTTCCAAATTAAGTTTTGGTCGCCTACGGTACGCATCAAGTAGTATCTGACTTATCGTCCAAAGCTATGACATTCAGCCGGACAAGGTGATTATTCGTTGTGCGGACCCTACATAATGTCAGCCTGCCCGCTCATGAGCATGAGAACTGACCATGATAAGACCGGAGCAGAACTTCATTTCTCGACCAGCTTACCGAATTGCATATTCTGCTGTGCAGTAGCCAGTCACTAATACATCTGCAACTCTACGAATATATCCTTTAACCACAGTTACGAGGTTATTCCCGGTTGCATTCTTGATAGTGACGCCCAAGTTGTTCCTAGGATTCACAATCTAGATTTTCCCGCTGTCGCACTTACCACCAGGGACACGCCCGCAATGTCATATCCATTCAAGCATTACCACGAGTATGCCACTGCTACCTACACCATCGGCACGGAGGGAAGAATGACTGATGTAAATACTGTCTAGTCTCTATACAACGATCCCAGAAGGATCACCCACTGAGAGTCCTATCTTGACGACAGCGGCCATTGTTGGCATTTCCGTGATGGCGATATTCTTCGTCGCAATCACGTCTTGCTTCTGCTGCTGCGTTGCATGCCGCCGCCGCAGCACAATGAAGAGGCAGCCATCACCATCCCAGTCAAACAGGGGCATCGAATTCCGTCGACCTTCACAGGAGAGTCCGCCTCCACCTCTGTACTCGACGAATCCGGAGCAGGGGAAAAGAATAATAGATCACGTTTCCTGTAGCGTAGCCTTGTCGCCATCACGATTGGAGGATGGGAACCATATGCCAACGGCACCGCCCCCAGCGTACCGACAAGTAATACATGAGCACGACCATAATTTGTGAGACAACGAAAAGAAGAAATGACTAAAAACAAGTCTGATGCTATGGTTAGGGGCCACCAATGAGCCGTAAAGACACATAACCGCATGGGAGGCGATCATTTGACACAGCATAGACGGTCTTGCACATATTGGGAACTGGCCCTCAAGCGATGGAAATAGCGCCACTTCCAACAACATACAAGGGAGGCAGATGGTTGCCATCGGACGAGCCATCAGAAACTTTAAGAATATCGCTGCCGCAGAGATAAGAGCACGCAATAGCTATAACCAGCTTCATAATTGAGGAGTTTTAAGGCTGTCGCACAAGACCACTTGGGGTCGTTCAACACAAGTCAATCGCCAGCATGTGCTGGGCGTAGATATGGTAGTAGTCACCAAGCAGTGTCGATTAATTCTCTTTGCCAGTACCGAATATGTGCTTGGAGGAGGATTCAATAGGATGAACTCGAGGCAACTGTCCGACAATACCTGAAGTGTGAAGAGAGCGGAATATTAGTCGAATAGCTATGGGCAGTGATACATGGCGATCAGTTGACATTGTAACCATTGGCATAGACGAAGCCGCCCACTTTATCCCGTGATCATTATAAGCCGTCGACGGAGGATCTTTGGATTGTCCATCTAGCCAGTCTTCATGTTGTAATAGTGGGGTGGTATCTTAATATATAGAGATGCGTGAAGACTTGTGTAATTCTATAGGGGGGCTACTCGTCTTGAGATGGCCACAAAACCGCCGGGCCAGAATCTTGGCGATTCAACGGCAGGCATGTAAGTGCCAGGCCGTGTCCAACGATTTTGATCCTGTAATCCGTAGTTTGCCCTAAATCGAGGTGATGATCAAGCATGCACGTTTGTGGCCCCCCAACCAATCTCGGCGGGGGATTACGTGCTCTTTTGTCAGCACAACCCATTGCTGGGCCATGTTCGTCACTAAGCCCATCTCGGCCTAGCAGCAGAACCATCCCGCGGCCCATCGCTGATGTAAAGGTTAGTAAGGCTTTGGCGGGGTGCTGGGAGAATTAGTGAATGATCGCAAAGCATCAGCAAAAGCATGCCAAATAGAGGCGGCCGAATCTTCATGATAATTCCACATAAGGAGCAATTCTCCTTGCGGAAATCTAGCTAGGACCATCTAGAGTAGTATATCAGCGACTTCCCCACTCGATTCAATGAAGTTCATCTCGCTTTCAATTTCTATACTTGTTGCAATCGTCTCAATCGTCTTCTTTAAGGAACAAGTTTTTGAATACGTTACTGCTACCTTTGAGACAGTGAGCAACTACAGCAAGAACGGTCCCAGCGATCAAACAAGCGCAACAAAGCAAGAGCAAACCCCAAAAGACAACACAATTGCCGATACCACTACATCCGTGACCAACATGACGACTGCCCCGAGAGCCATCCGTAAAGTCTTCCTCGCGACTGAGCAAGCCGAGGGCGCTGGTGCTCGAGTGCGCCGTTCCATCGGAACACCACAGCTACGCAACTTCTCGCCTTTTCTGATGCTCGACCATTTCAGCATCAAGCCCGGTGCCGGGTTCCCCGACCATCCTCATCGTGGACAAGAAACCATTACATACCTCCTCACTGGCGGCGTTGACCACGAGGACTTTGCTGGTAACGCTGGCACGATCGAGGCAGGCGACCTGCAGTTCATGACGGCCGGAAAGGGAATAATTCATGCCGAGATGCCGCGACAGAATCCAGATGGGAGCGCAAATGTTGGACTGCAGTTGTGGGTCGATCTGCCCAAACACTTGAAGATGTGCGAGCCGCGCTATCGTGACCTGAGAGCCAAGGAGATCCCCCAAGTCGACATTGATGAAGACAAGGTGCATGTCAAAATAATTTCGGGCCGGGCGGCTGGTGTCGACAGTGTCAAGGATCTGGCTTACACGCCAGTCTGGATCCTAGACATTGAGATCAAGCCTGGGGGCAAGATTGCGCAGCCCCTGCCGACAGGTTGGAATGCGTTTGCATACACGCTCGAAGGCGTCGCCAACTTCGGGTCTGGAAAGGACGAAAAGAGCGTGGGCCAATATCATAACGTTGTGTTCGAGCGAGAGGGCGACTTGGTAGAGATTTCTGTGCCAGAAGACGCCAAGAGCAGTGCGCGGTTCGTGCTGGTCGCCGGCCAAGTCCTTGAACAGGAGGTTGTCCAATATGGCCCATTCGTACTGAGCAGTAAGGAGGAAGTATACCAGGCTCTTTTCGACTACCAAACTCACACAAACGGTTTCGAAAGGGCAAAGGATTGGCAATCCGAGATCGGAAAGTCCATGGTGCAATAAACTCAGAGTGGCCGCCTTCTTGTAAATAGCTAATTTTCGATATTTGTTTAAAGATACCAGTAGTGTTAAAGATGGGTTGTACCATGGGAAGCGTTTTGAGTGGAGAAAATAAGATGAATTGACACGATTCCTTTCGTTCATGTTGCATCCGTCCATATTGTTTTGAATTAGTGATAGCCATTGGGTTTCCTGGCTGCTGGGAATTGGTCCGGAAGGTTGAAATACCACTCCATCTCAGCGCGCAACTCGTCCGTTCTATCACGCTGGCCCTCTCTCGGTGGCCTCACATTCTCCCATGGCGTCTGAATCCGTGGATTGTGGACGGATGGTAGTTTTGACCGTGGCATTGCAATTCGGCGCGGCGCGGCCTCATTTGCCGTGCGGCCGGATGGCGCATGCCTTTGTGAAAGTGTAGGTGGCAATGCTTCTTGATATTTGGTATGTAGCTGAGATTTGGAGCTGGATGGCTTTGATTTGACTTCTTGGGCGAGAGCTTTGAGCTGAGACGGGTCCTTCTGTTTCTTTGATGGCATGCTTGTGTACGAGCGTTTCGCCATTGTGACTGACTCTTGTGACTGCTCTTACTTGGTTGCCAGCCTGCCCGCAGGCGCGACTCAGCCCCCAACTATTATATAGTCAGCAAACCTGACGGCTGGGCGCAGCCTTGTCACTTCCTGTAAGCACACCAAGACGCCGGTGTTACGTGAGTCATGGCGGGTGACTGAAGACCAGGTAAGAGTTAGCATAAGCTGAACCAATCGGATCGTATGCTTGGTATTATTTGCATCTTATCATGCAAGCCATATGCAGCCTAACTGCAGCATCATATGTCAACTCGATGCATCTATTGCCTGGCTTTTACAAGATTCCAATGGAATCTCGTATCCATTCAGAGACTGTCTTACTGGCCGCAAAATGCACATTGGTGTTCTGTCTCCACAACCAAATCTCGGTGAGCCTCAAGTTTGACGTGTATCACTCGCCCGAGACAAGCCTTGCTCCAGATCACAGATAACCCGGCATTGGCAAGAGCTTGAAAGACGTAGGAAAAGATCGGTGCGTGGAAAAAGAAAAAAAGTTGGTAATTCGTCTGAGAACATTGCATGGCTTGAAAATAGAACGACAAAATTGAGCATTTTCTTTTTTGTCATGTCAACTTCGGATTATTCTGTACGACGATGAAAGCCGCCCGGAGCTCCTCCTCCAGATCAAGACATCGCTTCGTAGCTACCATGATTTCGGTTTTCAGATCCCGAGCCCTCTTTCTGGTTTCTAGCAAAGCCCGCATGACTCTAGTAGAGGACTCATCGTCTCCCAACTTCGAAGCCAGCGCTGCCATCCGTTTAGAGATACGAACATCTTGAGCTACCCTGCCTTGCCTGTCCAAAATATTTGGGATGTCCTGGTCAAGCTCCATGACCTGTCTACGACATTCGAGAATAATTCCGATTACGCGATCAAAGTCCGTTACGACTGACGTATTTCTTTTGCCACTGGACATGTTTGTTGGTATGCAAGGTTTCGAATGAGAGCATACGGCTTGACATCATGTGTTGGTATCTCTATGGCCCAGATCTACTTGAAAGGATTCAAAGTCTGATTGTGGCGGCTCTGCACCGTTACTGCTTGACTACATGATGACTGCACTAACTCAGCGTTCCCATCTGAAGCGATACAATTTGCAGTCTTGAAATTATGAAATGCAATCTCGTTAGTCTGCCTTCAAATTAGTATATGTCAGTGATGTGCTACACATTAAAATGTGTCTACGACGATCGCAATGGCCGAACAAAACACGGGCATTGATTTAACGCCGATGGGACAGTCGAATGGCTTCGGGCCACAAGAGCAAGGCTGAGATGGATTCCAGCTTTCGCTCGTGACAATATGTCCAGTATTTGTTCACCAGCAGTTTCGTGTGAAGCATGTCTAGCTGCGTCTTAACGAACAATTTGCTACCAAACAAAATGCCGCTACACATTGTAAATATTGGGAGCTCTTTTGCAGCGGGGCCGGGTATCCCACCGCAAGTCGAACCTATTGCCGCCCGCTCCGGCGAGAACTACGCGAATATTGTGGCCCAGAAGCTCAACGCAAAACTTACTGATTTGAGTGTGTCGGGCGCGACCCTACTCAATCTACTCGAGGAGCCACAGGTAAAACTCGGAAAGACCTTCGCGCCTCAGGTCAGCGATATACCGATTGATGCAGATGTTGTCTTGGTGCTTGGCGGTGGCAACGACATGGGCTACATCGGAGGATTATTCGGAGACAGCTTCAAGGCATATGCGGCCATTCGCATAATATGGGGTATCTACAATTGGGCCTCGGGAAGCACCGAGCAAGATGCCACTACTTTGAGCGTGGATGATTTGGTGGGACGATACGGCAAAGTATTAGATGCTGCTCACAACATGGCTCCCAAAGCCCAAGTAATTGTTGTCGAATATCTCTCTCTCCTAGGCCCAGCCCTGCGACCAGGTATCGATGTCCCCTTCGACAGAAGTCGTGTCGAGAGACATGAAGCAAAGGCGGCTCAAGTGCAAGATGCAACAGCTAGAGCGATCCAGGGTCGCGAGCAGTGGTGTGCTAGAGTTGCTGTTGCTGATACTAGCAAGGGGCACGGCCTTGGGTCGAAAGAGCCTTGGGTGAATGGATTCGGAGTGAAGGAGTTGTATACGATGTGTGGATATCACCCCAACGCTGAGGGTATGAAGGCAGTAGCGGAGATGGTTCTTCGGAAGCTGGCAGAACTTGGCCTTGCGTGAGTTCGAGCTTTCGATGAGCTCCTGTTCCTTCATGTCACTAGAAGAGTACAACCCATCGCTATTCGGAAAGAGTCCATATGCTCTGCATATCTGGATGCATGTACAGTTAGCTTTGGATTGGGGATAATGACGGTAATTGCGACAAGTTGAACCCAGATAAGCAGTTCGACCCCCAGAACACAGGTTGAAGCAAAGACACCATTATTGGCTCAAGCAACGAAAGTCTGCTGTCTTGGCTGCCGAGTGCCATCTTGGCAATAAATTGCAGTGCTTGATCCGCCACATCAGTTACACCACAATTGAGTGAAACGTCTGATCTAGAACGACCATTTTAAGATCGAAATCTAAGCTTTCGACCCTGGTTGTGCCCAGCCGCCATCTCGAAGCCAAGATGGTGACACGCCTTCGGTGGTTCGAGTGATGTTGATGACAAGGAAGACCGTAGTTCAAAAAACATGGACATGGCGTAGTTGTGGTGGGTATATTGCCCACCTGTATTGCTTCATGCACTTCATGGCACCACTTAGGCCACCGTGAATTTACGTCAAGATTGAGATCGCCTCAAGTTGAGCATGATTTCCCGCCAATGATGCGTTGGATAGGTGGATTGAATAGTGGCCAGTACATGTTTTTCTTGGTCTTCGACAAGTGAAATTCATTTCGCACTTCTACTCGGGGGCCTAGAATCTCCGGCAGACGTCCAAATGTAGCGGATCAAGGACGCGAGTCGATCTTGTTTCAGGACCTTGTGTCTAATCTAATGAAGCCCCATGCGCTGTTAGCCGCTGTTCTTCAGGGGGTTGACTTTTTAGCATAACTGGCGATGCTTGGCCAAAGCTTGTCTTTGATGTGGGGAAGCAATATATCACCGCCAGCCTGACTTTACTACCGCATGCCTGCAAGCTGCAGAGCCTTTGGTCTTTTTTCAAACATATCCCCCAGCTTCAATTGCCACAAGCGCCCGATGTACCACGCCAGCAACGTCGAATACGAGATGAGCTTGTCCAAAATATAATGTACCAGGCATTGAAAAGCACAGTGGGGCGGGTATATTGGCATGGAAACTACAATTGATTGCGAGCTCAACAACGTAGTAAAAACACCCCTGCTATCAGCCCGATGCCTGCCCCATGGTGATCTCTGACCCTCAATACCATACCATACCATAGTAGAGCTAGATACAGTCAACCCTCCACTCATTCAATCTATATCCTGCAGTCTCTTGCGCACTCAAGTCTCCGCCAATTATAAGGACTCCATCAAATCGGTAAACTACCGGGTCTAGCTTTGAGGCTCTTCCCAATGCATCAATGGTATGCCAGTATAAAGCTTACCGAGCTTCCACATCTATCACCATGACCTTTCAAGCTTGGCATCGTCAGACACACTCTTCATTCATTCATTCATTCATTCATTCATTAGAGGCTAGTCCTTTTTTACAGTTATATTATCGACTTATACAGTATAGTCTTTGTCTCTTTACCACACTCACTACCCATTCACATCAAAATGCGTTCTGCTGCAGCTCTCGCTTTGCTCGGCTCCAGTGCCCTGGTTGCCGCAGCTCCTAGCAAGTCTACCAAGACTACCAAGAGCAGTGCTTCGACCTGCACTTTCACCTCTGCTGCCTCTGCCAGTGCCAGCAAGGCCTCTTGCTCCAACATTGTTCTCAGCGGTATCACGGTTCCCGCTGGCGAGACTCTCGACTTGACTGGCCTGACCAGCGGTACCACTGTCACCTTCGAGGGTACCACCACTTTCGAGTACAAGGAGTGGTCCGGTCCCCTCATCAGCGTGTCCGGTACTGACATCACTGTCACCGGTGCCTCCGGTCACGTTATTGACGGAAATGGTGCTAAGTGGTGGGACGGTGAGGGCTCCAACGGTGGTGTCACCAAGCCCAAGTTCTTCTACGCCCACAGCCTGAAGCAATCGACCATCAAGGGCCTCAACGTCCAGAATACCCCTGTCCAGGCTTTCTCGATCAACAGTGCCACTGACTTGACCCTCGAGGACATCACCATCGACAACAGTGATGGAGACACCGACGACCTCGGCCACAACACTGACGCTTTTGATGTTGGTTCTTCCACCAACATCCGCATCATCGGTGCCAACGTCAAGAACCAGGACGACTGCCTGGCCATTAACTCCGGTACCAACATCGAATTCACCGGCGGTACCTGCTCTGGCGGCCACGGTCTGTCCATCGGCAGTGTTGGAGGTCGCACAGACAACACCGTGGATGGTGTTTACATCGCCGACTCTACCATCAGTGACTCCCAGAACGGTGTTCGCATCAAGACCGTCTACGACGCCACGGGCACTGTCAACAACGTTACCTACACTGGCATCACCCTTAGCGGCATCACCAAGTACGGTATCGTCATTGAGCAGGATTACGAGAACGGCTCCCCTACCGGAACCCCCACTTCCGGTGTCCCCATCACCGACCTCACTGTCAGCGATGTAACCGGTACCGTCAGCGGCGGAACTGATGTCTACATCCTTTGCGCTTCCGGTGCCTGCTCCGACTGGTCCTGGTCTGGTGTCTCTATCACTGGTGGCTCTACCAGCTCCAAGTGCTCCAACGTCCCCAGTGCAGCTTCGTGCTAGACGATCTCTGACTTGAAGCTATGAAGGAAACAGTGGATCGGTTAGGATTCTGGATATACTGTACATGGCATTTATTTCTAGAGGTTGGACCTCAATTTGTGAGTGTTCGTTCCTCATCTTTTTGTATATATTTAGACAGCGTTTTGCACAGCTGCTGGCACATAAAAAAATCAACTGCATAGTTCTGGCGTCAATAAATACTATCTGCTTGTTCCGAGTATTCCGGCGAGAACCCTTAATTCCCGTTCCATGGTGTATTTTGCAGAAGTGGCAAATGCGATTGACAGTATTTTCATGATGATTGTGGGGGTGGGGGCTCCGTGCCTCACTTTGTTGACAACAACACGGAAATATCGGAGTTATGATCTATGTAGAGACATTGGCAACAGTCGCGACCGGCGTTAGATAAGAAACTTATACGTGTACGCACGATGCAATCACTTATGATGTGGATTAGTTTTAGCGAACTTGGCTCGTGCACTCAACCTCGATTGCTGGATCGAAGGAAAGTTGAGTGGACTGAGGCGCTATAGACACAAACTTATATGTTGATTGGTGGGGCAGTGGTATACACACTGACGTAAATGGTAAGCAGCTTGCATATAGCGTTGTTAGCTGGATGGAGATAACGGACAAGACATTTCGCATCGTACGCAGCTATTGATATATAGTTTTCTGCTCTGCTCTGAACAGTAAAATTAATAATCGTCATCAAAGGGATACTCAATCAGCAACTTCTAATTAGCTCCTAAGTACTTTGAAACGCAATCATGGTGAAGACACTGCAATTTCAGGACATCCAAGTTCCGTCTCCCGGATTCGGTGCTATGGGCCTCAGTTTCGGATTGGGAACCAACTTGAGCCTCGAGGAGGCCGAACCAGTACTTCTGAAGGCGATCGAGCTTGGATGCACCTTCTGGGACACAGCGGTAAGCTCAACCATCGCAACCTGTGGCCACTGTCATTCCAATGTCACCTACGCTGACACTCTGCGAAATAGGTTGTTTACCAAGCAGGTGTCAACGAGAAGCTTTTAGGCGAATTCATTCGCAAACACAACGTGCGTGACAAGGTGTTCAGTAAGTCTTGTCGCGGCTGTTTGATAGTGCTTGGCTATTTGGGACTAACTTGTTCAACAGTTGCTTCCAAGTGCGGATTCGATTGTTTCGGTGGTGGTGGCGTCACAAACTCTGCCTCGCATATCAAGCAGTACATTGAAGGCACTATTGAGCGACTTGGCTTTGCGCCAGACCTGTACTATCTGCACAGAATCGATCCCAGTACGTGTGAATCACATGCCTAAAAATTGCATTCGCTAAACTAATACGCCTCGAAGAAACCCCATTGGAAGAATCAATTCCAGCCCTTGATGAAATCCGCAAGGCTGGCAAGACCAAGTATATCGGTCTTTCCGAATGCTCTGCCGCTACATTACGCAAAGCCAGCTCCAGTAAGTCTCTCTTTTTCCACGCCGAATTTGATCTAAGCTAATGTTGGTTTTAGTCGCCAAGATTGACGCCGTTCAGGCAGAATACTCTGCGTTTGAGACTCTGCACGAAACAGACGGCTTGATCGACACTGCTAAGGAGTTGGGCGTAGCTTATGTTGCTTATAGCCCCCTGGGTCACGGCTGGCTCGTGGACGATTTCCCATACCAGTCACCCGACGACTTTGCGCCAGATGATTTCAGACGAACTGGTGAGTCAAGACGCCTGCAAACAGACTCGAATTGGAACGTTCCCGCTGACTCATGCCCACAGTCCCCAAGTTCCAAGGCGAGAACTTCTACAAGAACAAGGCCATTGTCGAAGAAATCAAGAAGTTGGCTTCTCGCAAGGGATGCTCCGTCTCGCAAATTGCACTTGCGTGGGTCGCTGCTCAGGGAATGATCGCCATCCCCGGTACGACTAAGGCGCACCGCTTGGAAAATAACTGGGGGTCAAGGGACGTCGAACTAACGAATGAAGAGAAGGAGGATATGAGGCGGATTATTGATGCTGCCAAGCCGCATGGTAACAGATATTCCGAAACTCACCAGGCGATGGTGGGCCATTAGATGGTCGTCATATAAATCGCGACATGGTAAAGTCGTTCCAATTGGACCGCCGTTTAATACAATTCGAGTTCCAAATTTGAATCCAGCTCAAGCAAAAACAATGGACTTCAATCAAACCATGGCTGCAAAGTTTCGTGATATCATGAGTTCATAAGCCGAGCTGTTTGTCGCCTCGTCTGGCTCTCCATTTGTTAGTTGACTCAAAGAGCTCCGTGCATCCCCAGACGAGCCAACCGTATTTCTCAAGAAATGACAAACTCGCCTCCCACCCACAGGGGTCGGATGAGTCTCCCCACACAATCAGAAATGGCGCATCGGAGCGGTCACCCCCAGCTTCCATGAGATCCAAACACAGTTCGTCCTCATCTAATAAGCCCGAATCAAAAGCCCGGATCGCTCGATCTCGCATGACAGGAAATGGAATCAAGTCGACCCAAGGGTGGTGTTGTACGGAAATTTGTGTACTAGACGGTCGTAGAGACTCCGGCCAGGATGCCTGATCCGGTAACGGCAACGGTCCTGATTGGCTGAATGGCGAAACGGCCTCATCTGCACAGAGACGGTGGGTAGGTATGCCGATGAGTGTGGCATTGCGGGCCAGGGCGTTAAGAACGTTGAGCTTGATCAAGTAGTTAAGCTGGGCGGGCCGAGGCGTACCGAGGGTATAATGCTCGTAAGCCTCTCTGGCTAACCTAAGCACCTCCTCCCGGTGCTGCGGCAATATCAGCATGTTGGGCCCTTCGCCCGTGTCCACTATAGATGCAGCTCCTGGTTTCTGGCCATTAATCGGCACTGCGTCCGCTTTATTAGGTTGAGAGCTGACAGCTATCCCCAGTTCCAGGAAAGCAGCTATCGTTCTTTTCTTTCGGACGACTACGTTCCTCCTCTGGCCTGTACGAGTATACCCATTCGTTAGCACAAAACTACATTAGTCCAATCAAAGTCAAAAATCGAACACTAACGATAGGCCCTTTGATTTAGTCGATTTTGCAATTTTCTTCTTTCGGAGGTGCTGGTGACGCCAGTCCAATCATCGCCCTTTTCTCGTACATAGCGCTGCTGGGGCATTACCCCCACCACGAGGGCTTCTGACGCCGCCGTTGTTGTCGTGGCAGGCGTGTTACCGCACGGCATCGCAGAAGTCATACTGAAATGAATCGTGAAAGTCAGCATAAAGGATCATGGTTCTGCAGCTTGCTTACTACTAGGACCGGGGTCTGCAGTATAAGAAGTTTTCCACTATCTCCGAACGGCAAGATAAGCGAGTCATTGTGCAACGTTAGGGGCTCCACCGAGCATAAGCAGGCTGCATTAGCGAAGCTGCGTGCGGAGGGAGCGAAGCCATATGTAGCCAATTGGCCGAGATAGAAAAATAAACGGCTGTTAAACCCTATACATATATCCTCTTGCAGCGCCTACTTATTGCCCTTCCATGACAGTCTGGTCACCTTCCGTCCAGACAATATTCATTTTCCAAGCGCTGATTTTCCACAAGCTGCCAACCTTGACTACATCGCACAGGTACATACCACCCGCGGTAAATTTAGACGATCCCGGCTCCAGACCTTTTCCAGGACGGACGTGCTGACTCAAAGCGGAGCATGTCACTTTGGCCGTAGTGGCGCTCTCGATGGAGACGCGGATGTTGGACAGGAAGTGTGTTGTGTCGAGCTTAGATACACGATCGAAAACGGCAGCTTTGATCTCCGCGACGCCTTTCGCAGAGAAGCCGAGCATCTCGACAGAAATGTCCTCTGTGATGGCCGAGAGGAGTAGTGCATCGTCGGCGTTGTCGAAAGCAAGGACTGCACGGTGAAGCGTGTCCGCAATGGCCTCGCGTTCGGTAAGGCTGCCGGCAAGCTCGGCAGGGAGTGCAAGAGCCATGGTGATAACTATTGACACAAACAAGAAACAATTCAGCACAATAATTTAATGATTTTAGACTAGTTGCTGCCGCCATATAAAGTATGATTTTCTTGGCTTTTGAGAAAGACTTGAGTAACAAGTATATATTTGCTGAAATATTAGCTTACCACAACTATACACAAGGACTTACTACGTTCCTATATCCGTCTATGCCGGAGATCATGGGGAGCTTTTCTAGCGGTCTGATGTGTGTTGTTATGGTGTTTCTCTACCGTAACGATGTGAGGACCGTCCGTTAACTCCTAAGTCCGTCCGTGCTGCATAACTGGGAACATGCCATGTCGACAATATCACAATACAAGGGTTATTGTTGTATCTCGCAAACGGGGAGCAATACCACTGCAGGCTATGGTCCATGGTGGCATAAAGTTGCAGAAAACACGATTTGGATACTCGAATTATGGCTCGAGGCATAGCTTATCATGAGTTGACGATCCTGGGATTCCATGGCGCAGACTTTCGTGAGTTGATCTCTCCACCTATAATTATCTTGCAACCACGACTCTAAGTCATCTGTAATCCGACACTAAAAGACTGGGCGAAGTTTATAGGAAGGCTTCACGTAGTTCGCTTCTTAACACCAGGTCGAAAGCAGTTGAACGAGTATGGCGTGTCATCTTTCTGTTCGCGAATCCTCTGCTTACCATCATAATAAGCCAAATTGCAGATAGCCTGCATTGGATATCGCTTTGCATATCGCACTAGTGGGGTTAATTCGGTGCTTCAAATACATATGCGGTTGAGTGCATTGCTCCACGATATAGAAGTTGTCATCTCTATATCGTGAGTCTGAGGGGCCCTCTATATCGTGAGTCTGAGGGGCCCTCAAGCAGTGCATGACTGCGGCACCCAAGGAACAAGGCATGTCTTTCGTACACCTTTATCGCGTTATCACATCTCCGATTGTAAATCGAGCCATAGGACGACATTGCATCCACTAGGCTGAAAGCTTGAAAACCACTAAGTATTGCCGACTCTGATGTTGAAGAATATAGTAGGGTAGACATGACATCACCCAACACGATATACGATGAGAACTCGGCGTACCATCAGCCAACGCCACAGAAGAAGTGCGAAACAACAACTAGCAATTCAAGTTTCGGTAGGGTAGTTTAAAATACATCTTCGCGTTCAGATGGAATGGCAAACCTCAACGACATTCAGTTTCGCTTCATGAACACGCTAATTGGAGGCTGGTCCTGGCATAGCTACAAACCCTTCGTAGATCCTCTATGTTATTTTGTTTCGTAAAGAAACTTTCCAACAAGTCCCTGTTGTACGCAAAGTACCGAGAAACTATGATAAGTTATGACATAAGAAAGGCACACTTTGATGACGTGCATGTGTCAAGGCAAATTTCGGGTTCTTACGACGCTGTTACCAGTTCAAACTTCGCTGGCAGTTACTGCCCGGAGTTGCACCCGAAACCAGTTATAGCAACAATGGAGACTGAAAGTGTATCGTTGGGGATCGTGCCAGCAAGTCACTTCAATGCTACCTCGACAAGACAATGCTCCGAGTTTACTCCTATCGCCGCGACAAGCTCGTCACCATCGTGATGTCAGATCAAACATCGGGGTAAGGCGGTTCGCAAGGTTGACCGCTTGTTGGACCCGACACCAGGTTCCGTAAAACTCGATGTTTCTTGGGAGGAATAAGACCATGGGCTGAACTGCCTCTTGCTAGGGCAACTTGTGGATGACACTATTTTCACTAAATGGGGCGAAGCAATCCTGACCGTATGTGCTGTTTCTTGGTCATTGATCACGATCGAAACGTTCAGGCGCTCAATTGAGAACCCAATCTGCCAATGAAACAAATATTCCGTAGACAAAGACGTAAATGCACGTCGGGAATCACATGATCCTGAAAGTCTATTATTTCATGCGAAAATAACCGCAACATTTGCCTGATGCCATCGAAATGAGCTCGGACTAGGCGAATCCTTCTCATTGGTAGATTCTCAATTCTTGCGCCTAAAGCGGAAGGATTCGAGAAGAATTCTACGCCTTGCTTGCATGGCCACGAAGGACGGGCCGGACTGGGCATTCGCCACTTGAAGATCCCATCACCTGATCATCTGGGGTTCCGATCTTCGCATCAATTCAAAGGGCCCTTATACCCGGTGTGTTGTCGAAACATTTGGAATTGTGGATGACTACTGCAGGTAGAACTAGAAACCGGGTGGTATGGTAACCTTCGTAAGAGACGAACCGGTGCGGGATGCCCCGGGAGGTTAATTGACGTCTGACAGGGCCCCGCTAAGCCTACATACCTAACCTATGTATGTAGTATCATTGCCTGCATGTGGGTATCGATTTCTCTGCGGTAGCCGGGCGTCATTCTGCACGTCTTATCGCTGTCAGATCGGGGCGGTGTCAGTTCACGATATGCGAGCGAGGAGAAAAAAAAGCGCAGCATCTTGTGGAGTGGCCGCTGAAGATACGATGGATGTCTGCAATATCGTGGCGTGGATTCCCAAAGTGCTTTTTTAGCGATGTCCAGCGCAAAGTAAGAAAACGGACGAACGCGCATCGAGTTGCCAAGACCGGCATCTAGAGCGCTAGAGCCTGTCCCGATCAGAAAAAACGAGTCTCGTGGCCGCTGCACCTCGGAGCTACGAAGGCCATATTGAGAATGCCCGACAAACTTTCCTTCTGGTCAGATGACGAAAAGATCGGGGAGACTCGACCACAAATGTTTTGCGTTTCGCTTCTTGCGCAGGGGGAACACGAAAGAGTTTCAAGGGATCTGCAGTGGCCAAGCTTTTCCTGCTCTAACTTCTCTTGGATCGTACGCACGGGACCTCAGCCCTGTCAGCCCCTCAGAAGCAAGACTGACCCTCCACAACCGGTAAGCGGCACCGCTATTGACAGCATGGCAGGTCATGGCAGGCATGGCAACCACAACAACATTCCCTAAGCCCTGTCTAGCACTTTGCCTTGGGGGCACTTGCTCCTCGTTGCTCAGTGCCCCCAGAAAGCCCCGGTATCTCGACTGCCTGTAGTCGGCGGTACTTGTAGTTGTGTGTAGACTTTCAATTGAGAACCATGGTGTAAAACGCTTCAGCCTAGCATTGCCTCGGCGGGGTTGCGGACATACCTGACATGATACTATTTGTAAACCACGGCGGACTGGACAAACAAACGTAAAGACCAATTGTGTGCTATCGCGCCTGTGCTGGAGAGGCAGCAGAGGAAGGTTTTGTGGCCGATCATTCTGTCCCGTATATTGCCATCTAACCTAGTGGTACTTTCTTAGGCATTCTCCAACGTTGACATATTTGGTTACCCAAGAAAACACAGCCCCTTAGCTTTCCCCGCAGAGTCTGAGATGGCGTTCCACTACAGCCCACGTCTGCACCGGACCCCTGCTTAGGTGCTCACGCTAAGCCGGAGAAGGAGCTCTCTCAACTCGGAATCCCCTTCATAAGCGTCAGAGATTCACATCAGACCACATCCTACCACAAGTTCTCGGAGCGCATACATATACCGCGTGTTCCCATCATCCTCCCATCTGGCAAGCTGCCTCATCACTTCTTGGCATCCTCCCATCAGCCAATTCCCACTCACGTCTCTTTCGGGAGTTGATAACCCGAGACGCAAACGACACAAACATATAGTAGAAGTAGCAAACTGGCTACCTTACCAGAGTCGTCGACTCTCGCCACCACCACCATCTCCAGGCCAAGCATGTCTACCACGGGGAACAGCTCGGCGCCGTTGCGCAAGGACAATGCCTCCGTTACCAACGGCGGTGATTCCACTGTGGTTGGCTTCCGTCCCCAGGCAGAGATGCGCATCGAGCAGCCCAAGCCTCAAGAATTGCAGCCCAAATATGCCTCCATCGTCGAGCACGACGCCAACCCAAAGGGTTGGTATGGTACGATGAGTACGTGGCCCCCGGCTCTCCATTTGTTTCCTCCTGGCATTTCCATGTCCTACAACATAATTGTTCCATGTCTTTGCACATAACTGACTCGGGCAAATAGTCAATGCTCTCGGCGCATGCATGGGAACCTTTGGTGCTGTTCCGTGCTGCATCTGCTGTCCAAACCCATTCAAGCAAGTACACCAGGGTAACGTGGGGTTGGTCACAAAATTCGGAAAGTTCTACAAGGCTGTGGACCCGGGTCTGGTTCAGATCAACCCTCTTTCAGAACGCCTGCTCCAGGTCGACGTCAAGATCCAGATCGTCGAGGTGCCGAAGCAGGTTTGCATGACCAAGGACAACGTAACCGTCCATCTTACGTCCGTCATCTACTACCACATCGTCTCACCGCACAAGGCCGCCTTCGGCATCGCCAATGTTCGTCAGGCCCTCATCGAGCGCACCCAGACGACGCTGCGCCACGTCGTCGGTGCCCGCATCCTCCAAGACGTGATTGAGCGTCGCGAGGAGATTGCCCAGAGCATCGGAGAGATTATCGAAGATGTTGCCGCCGGCTGGGGTGTCGCTGTCGAGTCTATGCTCATCAAGGACATCGTCTTCTCGCAAGACCTTCAAGAGTCTCTTTCCATGGCTGCCCAAAGCAAGCGTATCGGAGAGTCCAAGATCATTGCTGCCAAGGCCGAGGTTGAGAGTGCCAAGCTCATGCGCCAGGCTGCTGATATCCTGTCCTCTGCACCTGCCATGCAGATCCGCTACCTCGAGGCCATGCAGGCAATGGCCAAGTCTGCCAACAGCAAGGTCATCTTCCTTCCAGCCGCCAACCAGACTATGGGCCAAGGCAACCCGGGTTTCCAGCAGGCCTTTCAGCAAGAAATCGGGGAGAGCTCTAACTCGGCAGCCGACTTCGGCAGTACCGACCCGCAATTTCAGCGCGCGATGAACGCACACATCGTTGAGAACATTTGAGGTCTCTCTCTACCAGACCGCTACTGTACGACTAGAAATGACTTGATGTGGACTTGTTCACGATGAAGGGTCGCTTAGGTTCTGCTTTTTTGTGTTGTTTTCGGATACCCCGTATGGATACCCAACATCGTTCGCTTGACTTTTCTGTTTAGTAGTAGCCTTACAAAGGTTCAAGTTCTCTTGGTAATTCCCGATGGCGCCATGCCACATGAGTAATGGATTCTCTCTTTCTGTATCACTTGAAAACTTGCCACTGTGACAGAAAGTGTTTCACCAAACGTGCATTTCGCTTGAAGCCGCTCAATGTCCGGGTGAGGCAAACGTCTATTTGACCAAGGTGAACCAGGTGCTGCAGCCCAGGATACTGCAACGGTACCTCGACAAAAGTTAGGATGATAGATAACAGTAACAGATAGTCTAGATACGACGACGAACTTACGAGGTTGGTATTCAGCGTAGCTAAGCTCGTAATATAATTAAAGAGCAATATCCAGGCTACCACGGCAATGCAAAGTCCATTTCAAATTAAATTGGGGGGGTTTTTTTTTTCGCTTATCCCACGCGGGTATCTATTTATTCGAACCCCTCAAACTCGTCGTCGCCCTTGGTGGCCTTGGCGGCCTTCTCGGCGGCAAATTTTGCCTTATTCTGCTTCCTGATCTGAGCGAGCATATCCTCCAGGTCACGCTCCTTGACCTGCTCCTCCTCGGTCAGGGTGCTCTTCCTCTCGGCCTCCTTCTTCTTCTGTCTCTTCTCCCTCCTCTCGACGCGCGTGTCCTCCTTCTCGTTCTTGTCGCTCCAGGCCTCCGTGTTCCTCTTCCTCTTGGCCTTGAACGCCACCGCCTTCTCCTCCGTCGCGGGGTCGTTCGCCTTCTCTATCTCGTCGCGGCGCTGCTTCTCGCGGGCCTTGTCTTTGTACGCGAAGTTCTCCCAGTCCATCTCGATGCCAAAGGACTTGTCGCCGTCCCACTTCTTGGCCTCGGGCATCTTGGGCAGGCGGAGGAGACCCCATCCCTTGCCCAGGTCGGTCCAGTCGAGGTCCGCGACCCGGAAGATGGAGGATGCCGTGTGGTTGTTGTAGCTCCGTACCCACGACACGAAGGCGCGCTGCGCCTTGTCGTACAGTGCGCGGTCCTCTCTCACGAGGTCTCTGATCTTGTCTGAAGCCGCGCCCGCGTCAGGCTCGTTGAGCGTGATTCCGGGGTATGTCAAGGCCTCGATGGGCGTCTTCCGAATTTCGAGAAATGGGACGTAGTCCTCTTCTTTGCCTGGCTGGAGAAACAACACCGACAGACCTTTTCTTCCCGCTCTGCCGGCTCTGCCGCATCGGTGGAGGTACACCTTGGGGTCTGATGGCGGATCAATCTGGACAACCAAGTCCACCTGGGGCACATCCAGACCTCTGGCAGCGACATCTGTTGTCAAGAGGATGGTGTGCTCAGCGGAGTTGACAAACTTGGTAAAGTTCTTTTGCCGTACTTTTGATTGGTGCTTGCCATGGAGCGGTATGATTGCGTAACCCTGCGGTAAAAGCAAGGGGAGGACATGCTGGAAATAGTCCACCGCGGCACACGTAGAAAAGAAGATGATGGTCTTCTGTGGCCTCGGTTCCAGCTTTTCTAATATCTGGGCCAGTGCAGGCAGCTTCTGAGACGCCGGCGCCAGGAGATATCGCATGGACAGACTCGCTGGCGTCCTTCGCTCCTCTATAACTCCACCCGTTTTCAGACTCTTGACTTTGACCTGAATCTTGACTGGATTTCGCAGACCCACACGGATGATCTCGGACACGGCATCACTGACACTGGCACTGAAGAGTCCCGTTCGCCGTTGCTTGGGCAGGCGGCTTAGAATGTTCTGGAGATCCTGCTTGAAACCTAGATCAAGCAATCGGTCGGCTTCGTCCAGGACAAGCGCCTCGAAACTCGAATGGTTGCAGCTGACATGCGGCGAAGACAGCAACTCGACCAGCCGCCCCGGGGACGCGACGAGCACATTCGGGCAGTGCCGCAGGAAAAAGCTGAGGTCCTGCGCAGGGGTCGTGGTGCCGCCGACGAGGAGTTGTGGCAGTACGAAGGGCTCTTTCGTCGCAGGTCGCTTCTCGTCGCCGTCCAAATGAGGAAGCAGCTCGGCCGAGGTAGGGTGGAAGCGTACGAGATCGGTGAGGACTTTGAAGATCTGCGAGGCCAGCTCTCGCGTCGGCGAGACGATGATGGCTGCTACATGTCGCGGTTTCGTAGGTTCTTCCATCCGTAGCAATCGGGTGATGATGGGGATGAGGTAGCTGAGAGTCTTCCCGCTGCCTGTGACCGCCTCGACGACGACATCTTTGCTGGAACTGAAAAGCGGGAGCACGGCGGCTTGAACGGGCGTCATGCGATCGAAGCCAGAGCTCGAGAGGTAGTCAAGAATCCATTCTGCCAGGGGCGGGGTGAGCGCATCCCAAGCTCGGGTGTCCCTTTTCGCCTCCTTCTTCACGACCTTGGTTTCTGGTGCCATTGTGTGTGCCCGGTCCAACAGCAAAGACCGAATTGCACTTTAACGAGGTCTCGCGTCCGAAAAAGTTCAAAAAAGTTGACGATGGTTCTTGGAAATTTCTCGACGATAAGCCTTATCGAGAACGATGCCCCGCAAGCCAACATTAGCGCTCCGCGACTGTGGATTACACTGTACACAGGAGCGTAGCCGCGTACTGTAGGTACTCAGGTACTATACGGATTACCCATCTGCCAATACTCGGTCCAGTCCACACACACGGCTCGCAGCTGTCCGCCAGTCGCCAGCTAAGGTCAGACTAAGACGAAGGTATAGTTAAGAGGCAACAGGGGCCGGCTATAATTCGTGCGCTTTCACAAATCGACTTTATACAATTCGGCCAAGTGACTCATGCCCAATTCGCGTCCGCACCAACGCTGCTTCTTGTGATCGACTGTGCTCCTCCTTCAAATGCCCACCCGTCGATTATCCTTTCTGTTGTGCATGCCAAATAAAAACATGGTTGGCTCAGCCCAGTGAGTCTTGCGCCAAAGACAGCACCATCACGGACCGGAGCAACCAAAACAACAAACACTCTCGCCGGAAATGGCAAAAGATGTGCTACCGACACCTGTGTGATTCGAACACACGCTCCCGAGGGAACTGCCTGACCGATATCCTTGATGAGATCAGAAGATAGCAGGGCAGCGCGTTAACCACTCCGCCAAAGTGCCTTGGTGCTGGTTGATGCTGAGAAGCGGTTTATGGTAGGATATGACACATACGTGGGTCTTACGGGTTGTCGGTCAAGCAGATCATTCAATGATTCACTTGGAGTATATCTCTTTATTGCTCTGCCATCATGTTATTGCAACCACAAATTACACATGTGATCCTTGAACTCAGCCGAGAAATACCACTTCCATGAGTTTGTTTGTGAAGCAATCCCGGGCTGTATTTGGCAATTATCGTAATGACTTTGTTCAACAAGTGACAGCCAGACACTGTCAAGGTTTATGGTGTTCCTATACATCCACTAGAAGCGAATCCCATTGTTTCCAAGATGATACGCCGATAGAGCCATGGCCTCTGAGCATGGTCAAGATTCTCCCGAAGCCACATATACCATCCCTTTTTGGCCATCATCACGCTCCTCTGTATAGGAGATATCGGATGAAGTACATACGTACAGGTACGATGCCTATATCCACTCGAACTACCCCGTAGCTCATTCAAGCCCGACAAGGGTGATAGTTGGGTTGGAAACGACCGGCATGATCCCGCGATCTTGCATAACTGCTATCCTCCACCCCTGCGGCCTCCCAGATGTGTCATAGATATTAGTTTCAATAAAAAGCCAAATTTCAACAAGCCCGGATGGTCTAGCGGTATGATTCTCGCTTTGGGTGCGAGAGGTCCCCGGTTCAATCCCGGGTTCGGGCCCTACTATATTATCTTTTTTCTTTCTTTCAGTACTTTTTGTGATTTCCATCAGGATTATCATCATCTGATTAGCCTAAGGTTAGGCTCATCGACACTATCGGTGAAGGGTGAGGTCATACATGAGGCATGTCGCGTTGACTCGCATTGGTTTTGCTCAACGCAGAGATGCATATTTTCCTCTTCAAGATCTTTGTCTATAAATATGCCTAGGGGAAAGCTTGTGGGAGAGATAAGGTAATCTAATTAGATCAGTTAATGACGTCTAACCCAAGTTTATGCGAGTCCCACGGATTTCTGTGGTGATAGCTTGTACAGGTTATTGTATAACGTGAGAGTGTCCTGCAGCACAAGGAGCATAGTCCATCTCAGAGGTTTCAGGGGAGCAAGGCTTGCTTGTTACAGTCATAGTGCTATACATCCGTGATGAAGTGTATATATGATACATATGAAGCTGGAGGTGGGCTAGACATAATCAGTAGAATCAGCTTGAAGGCCTAAGACTAAATGGTCGCATGCGTTCATGCCAAATAAATTTTGCGAATGACAACCTCAGGAGATAGCGATGCGTGAGTTATTGCAGCTCTCGTATTCAATAATGTTAGGACATCTCTGTACGCCGCCAAGTAAAGTGACTATAGTGGCACGTAACAGAGGGGTGCAAGGCCCTTTTCCTAGAGAGTGATATCAAGATATGAAAAGCATAATTGTTGCTGTTTATGAATATGGTGATCCAATTTGTAATCACGTTATCTCAACAAGGTGACAGGGTTGTTCAGGGCAGTATGCTAATCATATGACCAAAGTGCCCATGAACGACTGGTATTGGAATTGTGAATCGATCATTTTACTGAACGACTACATCATACATACGCCTGGCTGTTTAGTACAAATCAAACTCAACTAATAATAGCTAGATAGATGGTCTTTTTTCCTTCTATCAAACACAAAAGACAACCACATAAATAGCTAAACATGCAAACTTCTTCGAGCAGAGTTCCTACAAGCGCAATGGCTGGAATGATGATACATATTCCAGAACTCCTCGAAATAATTCTGCTCCGAGTGGACATGCGGACACTCCTTGTCTCTGCTTTGCGTGTCTCCATGACATGGCACACTATGATCACGGAATCCCACAGGATCCAAAGACAACTCTTCTTCCGAGCCGATCCCACTTCGAAGCCACAACACAACACACTACTACAAAGACACTTCCCCTTCGTCTTCGAACACGCTGAACACCCCAACGACGGAGTGGTATTTATTGTGCTGAGCGAGGCCCTCATGATCCCAGGCGACGATGTCCCATTTCCAGATATGCATTGGCTCACGGAGAACGAAGAGATAGAGTCGGAAGATTTCGAAGATAATGATAGTGACGAGGAGATCGTTCAGTTGGCAGAGGTGCGCAGTGTATTTCTTGTTTTGTTTTTAGAGCAGATGGACTTCTTCCGAATCGTCGTGCACACAGATGTATGTGCCCACGACATCTCGTCATTAGATCAGCGGCAGAGTTTCTTGTTCGACATATTGGGAGCTGCGCATGATGGGCATGTCCCCGACAGCAACATTGCGAATCCTTGCGCAGTGAAATTAGTGACATTGCAGCAGCAGCTACCCAGATGAGCAAGATATACATAGAATGCCAATGTAGCCAGGCTCTCATCGATGCCCATGTATAATGTGTGGTACCATCACGGAAGTGTTGACAACGATAGCGCAATATCTGGCTGCTCAGGAACAATGGAAAAATATCCCTAGTATGGCATCACGGAGGTCAACTATCAATGATTTTCTTAATGTGCTGGATGCCTTGTGTGTCGGGTCTAAATATTCTTTGACGGGGGTTCGATGCCGTGCGCGTACGCCTCTACGAGCGAAAGTATACAACAACACATAGCTCGCGGACCTTTTTCTATTCGTGATTCGGTTCTTTTTCTTTTCAAAACGTCATGGTAGGATGGCCAACCTTGGCTATAACTTGCGACTACCAAGCTACTTATCCGAATATGATTATATAACCACGGGTCCACGGATGCCTTCCCCTCTTTACAGCTTTTTCTAATACAGCACATCACCTTTTATGTTTCTTCGTGTCGAGTCCTCATACGTATTTTATATGTTTCATTTTTAGCTAAGAAATAAGAAGCATTTGGCAAAGAATTTAGTTTATAGGTCGGGCACTATTACAGCACCCTGCGAGGGTTAACCTTTAGCCATACAGTACTAGCTCCAGCAGCGCCAAACTGCCCCTCCAACGCTCCCAAATAGCACCAGTTCCGCCTGAGCTCAACTTGTAGCACAGCTTGTCGTCATCTTTCACCATGCCTCTGTAAGTTATGCCTAATACTTTTCTGCAGAAGTTGGTGCTAACGAGATTGTGTTAGCCATCTTCTCGGCAAGAAATCATGGAACGTCTACAACAGCGACAACATCGAGCGCGTGCGCCGCGACGAGGCCGTAGCCCGCGAGCGCGAGCACGCCGAGGAGCAACGTCTTCAAGAGATCGACGCCGACCGACGTCTCGCAATCCTGAGAGGCGAGGTCCCTCCACCTCTGCCGTCGACCGACGAGCCCTCAGACCGGCCCAACGCGAAGGAGGATGGCAGCTACAGGCAGCCTGACAGAGATAGAGATGCGCCAGGCAGGGAGCGCAAGAAGCGCAAGCGCCAGGGCGAGGACGACACGGATTTCGAGATGCGTCTCGCGCAGGAGCGGGCGTCTGGGCCCTCTGCTTACTCCCGCGGCGATGAGGGTGGTGCAACGGCGCTGATACCACACAAGAGCAGCGATGCGCCCTTGACGGATGTTAGCGGGCATATCGATCTTTTTGGTGGTTCTTCTTCTTCCACCTCTGTGCGCGACACGCGAAAGAATGCCGAGGCGGAGGCCGAGAAGGCGCGCAAGAAGCGCGAGTATGAGGATCAGTACACGATGCGTTTCTCGAACGCTGCAGGGTTGAAGGCGCCGGCTTCGGGACCGTGGTATGCTCCTGCTGCAGGCGTTAAGCGACAACAAGAGGGCGAAGACGAGGGCAAGGACGCCTTTGGGAGGCCAGATCCAGGAAGGAAAGACCGTGATGTGGCGCGGATTGTGTCCAGCGATCCTTTGGCCATGATGAGGAGGGGTGCTGCGAAAGTGAGAGAGGTAGAAAAAGAAAGGAAGACAGCGAACGAGGAGCGAGAGAGGGAGACGAGAAGACTGCACAGAGAAGAGCGAAGACGAGAAAAGAAAAGGCGACGTCGGGATGAGCGGGACAATGAAAGTGATGGCTTAGAGGGGTTCAGTCTCGATACTGACCGCAGCCAGGACAGAAGGAATAATCGTGACCGAGGAGACGAATACGAAGAAAGACGGAGACATAGGCATCATCATAGACACCGGAGTCCGCACAGAAGCGCGCGAAGCACCGATCGACGGCATGGGCGAGACGGCTGACTGGCTTCATAGTTGGGGCTTTACTAACACAGGTGCGGTGAACAAGCGCACCATATAGGTTCCGAGTAAGCAGTATGACACCGTGATTCCTATCAGCAATTACTCAAGGGACTAGCTTGAAGAACTGATAACCATGCTTCCGAGACTATTATACGCAGTAATGACAGCACATTCGTGTATTAACAAATATTTATGTTAAACTAATAGCAAAAACCACAGCAGCCGTTGCAGTGATAGTATTGGATTTCTTCCTGTCCGTACATATAAACTTCTAATCCAAACAAGAGCCCGGCCACGATCATATTATTACTGTATCACAGCTTTTGTGAAAGTTTGCTAGCCTTGAAAGACCTGAGAATGCAGCATTAGTATGTTGAGAGTGACGGGTGTTCAGTTCGTGCTAACATAAATGCTCAAACACTGCCAATGGAAACAAATTGATGTTTGATATTGATTTGAAATAGGCGGAAGTCGAATTTATCAAATCTAGAATTGTGTATGGCGACGTGGCTCCGGACGAGGTGGGTCAGGCTCCGGTCCTGGTGGTGGTCTCGGTTTCTCATGATTGATCAAGTCAAAGGAGTCTGATGATTTGGAGAACTCAGGCATGGTGCACGTAGCCGTTTGTATGGCGTATTATAATGTGCTACTCTAGTGGGCCTGATAGATTTCGGTATAAGGATCGACTAGCAGGCGGGAGCCACTGCAACGAAGATGAGATGATGAGAACTAGTTGGCATGTTTGTGGGAACGACTGTTAGCATCGCAAGGTATTTATCTAATTGTAAGCACTGACAATTTCCACCTCGTTTGAGAAATGAAGCAGCTTGAGCTTAAAATCGGAAAAGCAGATCAGATAATGAAGCCATTTTCCGTTTCTGGTTGCATGCGTTTCAAACCTGGAGACCGAGTTCGGGTTGGAGGGTCATATATTTATCGAACCATATTGGTACCGGTGTGCCTTGAAACCTTTCGATGGGTTTGATCCTCGATAGATAGGATATTGACAGCCTTTTGGGCATAATTATGATTTCTCGATTGATTCACCATGACCATTGAAGCCGGCTCTTGGAGACTGCCATTATGCTGTGAGCCTTCATGTCACAACGCACGGGCTTCTGTGAACATGACAGACGAGTGGTAGTCGCAGACAGGAAATGTGATAAGGGCCGTGCTTTACGAGACTGCTAAATTAAGATGAAGACGCCCGAATGCGCCGACTAGGAAACCTCTATAGACGACACCCATTGACGTTGACAGCCACGTTTTCGGGAGGCTCCCGTGTGGTTCCTGCAGTTCGCATGCCCGGGAAATGTGGAACTTAAAAACAGTGGTCAGTAGGCGGTTGTTATGACGGTTGATGACACGCATCAATGTCAAACATTGACAGCGTGCGCCTTGACTCTCTTGAGCTCTTATCGAATAGGCATTGCAGTCTTTTGTTTCAATGCGGCTTGCGAACCAGGTTTTGATCCTTGCCACAAGCCGGAAGATCAGCCAAGATCTTGGCTACCACAGCAAATGCCAGGGCCTTGAGGCGGTTGACATTGCTTCAAGCAGCAGCGCCGCTAGGGGACGCCGAAAACCAGCCTCAAAGTCCCTAGATATCCAGTGAACTCAATAATACATCCCCCAAATCTGGAACACGAGTCTTTCGAAGCGACATGAAAACCGGGGAGGGAAGGGAGCCCGTTTGATGGTTATTGAAGCAAACATGCATGACTACGCAGGGCCGTTTGAACTGGACAGGACCTTGACGCGTCGCACACAGAAACTCCGTGTCATGCTCGAAGCCCAAACAACTCTTTGGGATGGTTCGCCGGTCAAAATTATCATGTGCAAACGTTTCAAATACAGAAGTTAATATTGAACACGAACTCTGAACGCGTTCTGAGCCTTTTGGTGTGTGGCTGACAAGGGTCCATTCTTGTCCAAGCGCACATGACATTCCCTGGCATCTCCTACATTGTGCGATGGCGTGCATGCTTCTCTGCACATGGAACTTTTCTCGAACATTCGGGGCCTGAAATGACGCAGTGCGGTATGCGGGCTGTTGCAGAATACTTCGTTCGACGGTCCTCCTGTCACTTCGCATCCTTTCAAGCGTACCTCGGTCCTATATTATGGGACCACGGTCAGCCGGACCAATCCCTGAAAATGCATACTGCGAAACATGCTCTAGGCCCCAGTCACCTAACCTCCTCCGTATAGCTGCAGGCTTGGTTGCCGAATGTGGGCGGGAGTGTGAGCCTTGATAGGACAGGAATGACAGGTTAAACTAATCGCTGTGGTCCGGTCCTTATACCCCGCAAAGACTACCCCGAACACATGGCATCTAGTCCTTGTGATGACCAAGGGAGATGCCGACCGGAAAAGCATACAGGATTATCCTGCACCGGCCGCATCACAATTCCGATCTTGCGAGATTTACATTGGTCTTCTTCAGCTTTAACTTACAACCAATAATCAAGACATATACTGTTGCACTGCATCCTCCATAGAAACGGACGTCACAGCAGAGCACAGCACAGCACATTTCACTGAAACATGTAAGTCATCCACGCTCTACGGCTTGGCACACGGGCAAATTAATCACGGTCTGGTAGATTAACCAATCCAAAACAAAATGTCTCCCTTGAAGCCTCACTGGAAGCAGCCGTCTCATGCGGCCATTCAGGAGGTGATCATCAATGAGCATGAGTTCACTTCCAAGAGCCTGTCCAGGGTCACGCTGCCGCCCTTCGGTCTATACGCCAAGATGGAGTTCCCTCCGTGCACCCCGGCCGACGAGCCGACATATGCCACAGTTCAGATGGGAAAGGACAAGCATCTGAACCTCAACAGCGATTTGTTGTACATCAACCATTCTTGCGAACCCTCATTGGTCAGTCTTTGCAGATGCTCTCTGCACCCAGTACAGTTCAGCCTGCTTGGCTGACTAACAAGTGGAAACATGATGTGAATGCACGCATAATTCACATGACAGCAAGTTGGTTTTGGCATGTCTTGCTCGCTGTGACATCCAAAAAGCATAGCCAAACTGTACTCGGACATTGAGCGGAGACCGAAAATAACAGGAGGACTAATGTTATTGTCAGATCTTCGATACTGGAAACCTCAATATCTTAGCAGGACCTAATGGGGTTCAGGCTGGCGAGGAGTTGACAGTCTGTTGTTCCCCGAGGAGAATTCTCTGCACTTGGTTCCAACTGCTTACCTCTGCTTAGTTCTTCTACCCCTCCACCGAATGGGATATGGCGCAATCCTTTGACTGCCTCTGCGGTAAGCCCACGTGCCGCGGAAGAATCTCCGGCGCCAAGGACATGACCTCAGAGCAGCTGAAAGGCCTCTGGATCAACGGACATATTCGCGAGCTTTTGGAAGAGAAACCCGCCGCGAACGGAAAGTTGTCTGAGAACGGCAATGGCACCGTCAGTAACGGACAGGGTACTACCGAGGACCCAACAGCGCTGGCTTTGAAGGATGCAGTAAAACATGCCGAAAAGGTCGTCGAGTCCGCTAGATTGGCTTTACAATCGTATCTCGAGCTGACACAATCTGGTCACGCTCATCCTCAAGGCCTCTCTGCTGGTAGCCGCGAGCTTGGCGGGTCCCAAACTAGACGTGGCCCGACGTCCAGGGAACTGAGCGGCGAGATGGGCGGCGACACCGCTACAGTGACTGTCTAGAGTCAGATGGTGATATCCCGGGCGTTGATTGTATTCATGCCTGGTCTCACCATCTGACCGACTGTTCTTTTGTCAAGTTCTTTGTCAATTTTCTTTTTTTTCAACACGACAAGTAAAGTGCCAACTTTCAACAATTTGGTGCTGATTCAAAATGGACTTATATTCACTCATTCCATACATTCAGTCGTGACGTGCAAACTTTCCCACCGCGTCGGCGGCGTACTTATGCCTGTGTGAGACTTGCTCTGGACTGTTCCATGCTGGTCCCACAGCGTTTTCGTGAGTCAGGAGCGCAAAAACCTGTCATTTTTGACCAATCCTGACTGGCGAAACTTGCCAAGCTTTGTGACATATCCCAAGAGACGAGGGCGATGCCATATGCGATTGGTATTGCACCAGGGACTCCCCAGCTTCGAGAATTCGTGTTTTGGGGGGGGGGGGGGGGGGGGGGGATCACTCCGAGCTTTAGTGGACTGACGGTTGCGGCTAACAAAAAACGCCCTCATGTTGCTTAGCTACGATATTTATATGACCAGAAGAGGACATGTCCCGAACAGCCGAAGAATCCCGCTTTGACGCCTTTTGCCTGGGAACGTTTGGAAACCATCGTGTTTGTTCGGTCGTAGTCAGACAGCACTGTGGTCGACATCCATGAAGCCCCCCATCATCTGCTTGGAATAATGCGACAACATCTTTTTTGAGCGATTACTGTCCGATTTGATATAAATCGGAACGAACATCGGTTCGATGTGACCATCCAACTCCTTGAGCCGCGCCAATGTACCTTCGTCATTGGGCACTGCACTCGGCAGATTGTGTGTTGCACGCTGTATATCTTCAAGCGAAGCAGGCTGCTGATGCTTGGCTGTTATCTGCTATGATCTGGTGCGGCTTGTTCTTATTGGCTAGATTTGCATGTATATAGCGAATTTCAACCAAAGACTCGGCAGAGCCAGAACGCCGGTGATCCAGAGTGATGTACCAAATAATACAGTTTGTATCCGGTACGTGGGCTATGGCCTTTGACATGACTTTGCGTTTACAGCTGAATGCGAATCATGTTCTCTGTAATACATAATTCATCATAGCTACGGAACACGAGCGTTTATATTACGGTTGACCACCAAACGGCGGGTCAATTCCTTTGGCCCTCTTTCGCTTGTGCTCGAATCGCTTGACGTATGCTTCCATCATCCAGTGTCGATTATTCAACAGAAGCCAAATGACGAATACGAGCACCGAGGCAGGGAGTGTGATTGCCCAGTATATCCAGTGATTACTCTGGAGCACGGTGTCTTCCAATGACGGGACTGCGAAAAGAGCTGCAAAAAAAGGTGGCTGGGAGGAAAGCCATAGTCATCACGGCTATTGTCTTTATAGCTGAACTGTCCCGCTTCGCTGCTTCTGCAAGGTCCTGACTGGCATGTGCCAACTCGATGCTGATTTTGGCATCTTTGTGTGTCAATAACGTTATTAGCTACTTCGTGTCAAGAGCCACTTGTTGCGATATTATACCATCAACTTACTACACTAGAAAGCCTCTCCACTCTCACTGCCATGTAGTCCATGTATTCATTATAGGTCTGGATACGACATCTCATGGGGGGAACTGCTTCCATCAATCGTCGCGAGGACTCTGCTCTTCGAGCCTGGATATCTGTGTCAGGATGACGAGATTCCTCTGTGTTCATGGTTTCGTCCATGTGGTCCAACATTCGGACCCCACTCCGAAGAGTCTTCCTCCTCGCCGCGATATTGATCAGAACTTGTCCACTGGTCTGTAACCACCGTGTGAGATGGCCGATTTCATGTCCAGTACGCACCGGCTTTCCGTTATACTCAAATCCAGTGGCTTTCTCAATCTCGCGGATTTGTGCGAGATCGTCTGTGGTGTCGAATCGATCAAGGTGATCACAAAGCACAAGAGCCAGGGTATACCCCATGAACTCTGGCGCATAGAGGTATGATGCATTCTTTATGAGCGCCTCCCGCAGGCTGAGTCAATCTAGGAGCCTGTCTGTGTCTAATCTCTCGAGGAAGGCAAGGGCAATTTGCCGTGAGAGAACTCGCATGATGTTGATGACCCGCGTAGCCCCAGTCCGGTAGTTGAATGTCCAGACCAAGACGAAAAATGCGCTTCCAAAATAAAAGGTATTAGTTTGATTTAAGCCACGGAAGGATGGTACCCATCGTATTTGTGCCTGAGCAGCCAAAGAATGCCATCAGCAAACCCCATACATTCTAGCCGCCATGAGGCTTCGAAGACGTAACGATCGATTATCATGCTTCCCTGCTCGTCGGTATCTATAGTTATCATTTTGAGCCCCGGCTCTTAAAACCAGGAAAAATCTAACGGATGTTCTTGTCGACAGAGAAGCGTCGTGATACCGGGTTTGTATTTCGACTCCCCATCAAAGCCAAACAACTCTAAAGGATGAGATGTAGATCTGAGGGTGCTGAACATGCTGTCTCCCACTAAATCCCATGACAACTGCCTAAACTCGTCCATTTCGGCAAAGCAGAGACGAAGCTATCGTTTTGACATACCTAAGCACATTGCGTAATCGAAGCCTGCAGAGTTTCTATCGAGAACGAATACGCATGTTATGGCCGCCGGTGAAGCTGAGCTGCGCGTCTGTGCGGCAGAGTGCTTCCTTTCATTGGCCTCCTGTAAGAAGCCTTGGTCAGAAGATTAGTTACATGTCGGTGAACAGCCGTCCATGGTAATTACAATCTGCTCATAAATGTCAAGAGTCGAGGATGGGCTAAAGTAAATGCAGTTTGATCGCAGGTCATATGTTAGCGGTACATTTTTGGTCTAATTACACTCACGATTTCTGTTTTGCGGTTACTAACACTCTATGATTCGAACCGTGTACACGCAGCGACAAGGTCATCATGTTGGGGGCAGACTCTGCATGAACTTCTAGAGGGTTTGGAATGTACGCATACAGATATTCCCCTAAAGCTTCTGATCACATTTCTCTGTATCGCTGCATCACTCTACCAGATCTCTTGATTGTGTCCTACTACATAAGTTATGGTTCTGCCTAGATACATCGTACAAAATCTGACCCTCCTATTTAAGAGCTTGCACGCGGAAAGGGAGAAATAACTGTAGACGTCCGGGTGGCTAAAACAAGGCTCTACACCGATCTCCAGAACCGCACCTGCAGCCTGCCATACCTGTATTTGGTATGTTGCTAATGACTTTGTTGTCTTCTGAGTAATAGTGCAAAGGAACACGCACTCCGAGGTCTTCTCGGCCATGTAAAGACATTTTGAACGAATCGAAATATTTTCTTGGTCTATTCAACAAACAAAAAATTCAAAACACTCCGAAACTCCGCGCCATCCAGACCGACAAGGACCATTAGTAACAGTTTCACTTTGGTACATCCAATGAGGGCATAGCCTTGCCTTCTCTCTATGATCACCCTATTTCCTACATCATGTACAACTATTCAGTCCATCGGCTCCAGCCACTGCGCTTGCTCTCCTTATCGCTGCCTGCGCCGCCAGCGTATTTCTTCTCTTCCTCTTCCCACTTCAGACGCTCGACCCGGGATCGGGCTAGGAAAGCACGGGCGAACTTCCACGCCTCCGTATCTGCCAGATTCCAGGCCTCGATCGCGTCACGAAGGCTTATCTCAGTCTTTTCCTCGCTCTTGCCAATGGCCCTTGCCTTGTTCATCAAATCCGGTTCCTGTCTAAGATCCTCCGGTGTGGGTTCGGGTCCATCGGCAGGATCATGGACAGGCTTCGGCCGCCGCTCGGGACCGGGAACAGGCGTCTCAGACTGGCCATTGCCGGTAGAATTAACAGGTAGAGCGAAGCCGAACCACCAATCCAGATCGTGGGGGAGCGTATCGCGTTCAGCAGTCAGCCATAGGGAGTGTGATGTTGCGAACTCGCCGGCCACAGCTTCCTTGAAGGTAATTACCCGGGCACTGCCAGACACACCCGTACCGGAGTGCTCCTTCGTAAGTTCGGCCAGCCACAGGTCTCGCTCCATCTTTCGACGAACCCAAGGAATGTCGATATCGGATTTCAGGGTGTTGAGAGCCGCGATGGTGTAGGGGTGTGGCACGGTACCGATGGTGTACAGGCCCGTGGTGTTTCGGTAGCGAGCGGGGGTCGCGATCTTCATGGGATGCGATGATACACAAGGAGTGCATTTGGGGATGTTGGGTGGGCACGAGGCGGGTATTGGCGAATCGGGGCACGAAGTTAGCCAAGTCGCAAGATCCAAAGCGGGCTCGACCATGGAAGTGGTATGTTGAGGCAATGGCTTGAGAACGGCTATACCCTTGGGAAATGCGTCCTGCCAGGCCACATGAAGATGCGCGTTGATGAGGTAGTTCAAGCTCTGGAGGCCGGTTGGGACGTTCGCCACAAGCTGGTCTGCTACCTTGATGTAGTGCTTTTCGACGACTTTAGAATTGTAGAAAGCCAAGCCGTCATGCTTGGGGTCGACGTCGAAGGTATCTGCAGGCACAGCTGTGATGATGTCCTTTGCATCCTTGATCTGAGGATGTCGCAGGGCGGTCGTCACAGCGGCTGTGATGTCAGCTTTGGGGCCGGCGAACAGGCCGTCGTCGAAGCCCTCAAATCTTGATAGCTTGGGGTATTCGCCTCTTCGCAGGAAGGACAGCAATGGATCAGCTCGCGGGGCCATGGGGAACAGGAGGTGATGCGCAAGCAGGCCGCCTCCCATGTTCTCCCAAGCCAACCAGCGCATCATGTCCGTCTTGAAAGTCGGCTCGAAGTTCATTCGCTGCACCTCGTCATACAAGGGATTGTTCATTGCCTCGGCGGCACTCAGAATGATAGGCTTGAAGCCTTGTGCCCACCACGCACGTCGCCATGTGAGCAGCAAATCACTTTCCGCCTCTTTGGTTGAAGCCTCCTTCAGCAGAGTTGGGTCGTAGTAGCAGTAGATTGGTGGCCTTGGCTTGATCGGCGGCAGTAGTGATCGATTCTCGTCGAGAGTTACCGAGGACGAGAACGGTGCTCGCCAGTTCCAATTCGAGTACCAGGAGCTTCCACCGTAAGTAGAATTCTTCTGTTCGTCGGGCTTGTGGGCTGCGGGCCGGAATGGGTTCAGGATGCTCGATGAGAAGGGGTTATGCACCTTGGGCACAGGTATTTTGTGTTCGGCGAGGGTCTTGGACAGGCTGGGGCCCTGTGGTATCGAGCCCGGTAGTGTGACGAAGAGAGTGAAGAGGGCAAACAAGCCCAAACCAACGAGCAGGAAGGAAATGCGACGCGACCCTAGTCGCACAGGCCGGCCAAATAGTGTATGTTGTTTCGGCATGTTGTACCAGGGTGACAGTGTCCGACTGTCGTCAGCTTCAAATTGAATAAAGATGAACGAGCGGACGGAATGGACAAGTAATGGGTGGTAATCTGGGTTATCACGACGATTCAAAGCACCCTCCAAAGCCCGCCATCTACACGGAACGATAACGATGCTAATTGGGGCGACCGGGCTGGTGTAGGACGTGAGATCACCTACTGAATCTCGTCCTCCCGGAAAGTCTGACAAAAGTTTCGTGAATCAAATAAAGTGAAGTACGTCGGACAAGCGAGCGACGCGCAACCTCTTCTCACAACGTACGGATCAGTAGCGCTGCTGCGACAAATGCAGCCTCCTGCAAGTTAACGTTAGGCTCCGGTCATTAACTACCTTAGCGGTAGCGGGGCAGGACGCAGGGCGCATGGCGCAGGGGCCAACTGGCCTGACCATAATATGTGTCTTACAGTAATGACCTTCCATTCAGGGGCTTGCAGCAAACGGCGCAATTGCGATAGGGGTCCTTCCGAAAACGAATAGGGCACTTCCCGGGACCAACATCTTCCCACCGCACGACACGACCTCAGACCAGTGTGGCGGGGCCGGTCGTACAGTACACCCATTGGTTACTTCCTAGTCTTGGTGCCGTCAAGCGTTTGGCTGGCTGCGATACTGACCATGAGAACTCCAACGTGCTCACTTTCTCGGGGAGACGGCTTCGGCGAGGTTGTCACATTGCTGAGAACATGATTAGCCGCATGCATTAGTAGCAGAACATTTCACCATCAGACACGATGAATGCTACTAGAGCAGCTACCAGAAACGCACTATCGCGGCTTTTCCAATGTATGATATGCTTCACACTTGGCTCGAACATGCATGGGAGCTTTTGGGTTTCCAGATAAATGCTCGTACGGCCTTTAAAATATCCTACTTCTCCGACTGTGCTTTTATTGGTGGTATATGAACACCATGGGTATCCTCCTTGTTCTCCCTCGCGTGCTTGCTCGAACGATTCGTCTGGGGAAAATATAAATTTAGTTGCACAGCGTGATCCGATTTTGCTGGCTGCGGTACATGTGCTAAGTTCGATGTCTAATAGTTCGTAACAGGAATGCTACAGAAACTCGCGCCATGTGATTCTTCTCCGTGCTCTCAGTCCCGGTCACGACCATACGTCAAATCCCGTTGACACGCTTGTGCCATACAATACGAATACTTAATGGAAATACTCATAGGCTGTGAAAGTGATAAATACCCAAACGTACTCAGCACCATGGTGGAGCTTGCTTCGGTGTCCTTATACATGCCTTGGAAGCTTCGCACATTCAGAATTTATCTTTCTTCTTCCTTCTCCATGATTTTGACGACACATAATCAAATTTGCCCTCAGGCCTTCCTTCATTCATTTAGAGTATCCTGAATCATTCTTTATTCAAGCCTTCCGCTCACTTGCAACCCTTACCTTCTGTCTTGTATGCCTTGTTCATTTTAAGCACATCCCATCGAGCTCGGTTCGGTGGGTCGATATTGTGGTGGCCCCTGTGGAGTGGCGTTCCTAGCTCATTGTTATTCTCAACTCTAGTGAGCTTCAACTTGCAGGAGTTTCGAACTACGTGATCGGCATGAACATAGCGCCGGAACGTCTAAACATCTTCAGCCACCAGCCTCGAAGCCCTCCGCCAATATCTGCTTACAGGTTCGCCCTCGGCCTCGGGCTCCGTGACCCGTTATGGCTTGGTGTTCGACAATCGACATTGTGATTACACAGCCTATTTGTTATAGTAGTTCTATGTAGTCAAAATCTGCCTGCTACACTGAATTCGTCTCCTTAGGCAAATTGGCTGCCTCATTCTTTCGTCTGTCACTCAAGATGGGATCGATTTTGTTGTAACGCTCGTGGTCGACAGGCTTATTCCTTTTCAAGATGGGTTTGGTCAACACATTTGGATGATTTGGCTTCAAGGTAATACTGCGGCATTCATGAGGGACCCAAAGCTGTCAACATGGCGTAGGTTGATACGTCATTGGGTTTCGGTCATTTTCTCAAGTTGGAAAACAAGAACACACAATGAATCACAAGCTATGAGACCAGTGGTGAGGCACTGTATTTATCTGGCCATGGTGTTTTCTTTGACATGTATACAATGCAAATTGGCGATGCGGTTCTTGGGTTCGATTTAACGGATACGAAACACTATATATGTTAGGGGTCCGGTCTGGCGATCCGGTCGACGAACCGGGCCGGACTCTCCTTACTCTTCCGGACGTTTGTATTGCCTGGCCCGAGGGTTTTAATTTTTTTTTTTTTTTAACGGTGATCTCGGTGTCCGTGTGTCGTTCGTGATCTACGACCATGTTCCTTGTCGGGATAGCCTTCATCAATGGGGAAAGGTGTCTGTATGAGAGCTTGTGATAATGCTATCGAAGTGTGCGACGAGGAAGATATCTCTGCGAATGTCCATGGTCCGACAACTTAATATGCTTATAAATTGTTTTATTCATATAAGTGCTTCGAAATAAATAATTGGTGATAGATGGAATATGTGTTTTAGATGAACTTAATGCTGAACGGTTATTATATATAAGTAAGGATTTAAAAAGAAGATAAAGAGTAACAAGAATCAAACTACATCAAATCATCTATTAATACAAAGTTAAAGATATAAATTATTATGAAATGATTAGTCAATTTATAAAACACGGTTATAAGTTTTCAAGTTTATTTTTTTATTTTTCCTTTTTGCCTCTCGAATCTTTGCATTTCAAAGAGAGTGTAAACAGTACTTATATTAATTATCATATACTTTTGCTAGACCGTGAGGCTTGAAACCATAGATGCAACTCCTGAGTGGGCTGGCGATGAAGGTGTTGCTATACCAGCTTTTGCCTCATTGTAAGCGTTGGAGCCGCGCTTGGCGCACTGGGCTTCTACTATACGGCTTGCCAATATGGCAATTGTCTCTTCGAGATATGGTGGGCTGTTTTGAAAACGAGTTGCCCAGCAAATAGCAGTTAGTGATGTAATGGGGGCAACGAAAGCAAAGAATATCTATCTAGACTAGCCGCCTCCGGTTTACCGAAGAATTCGATGTCGAATAAGCTCGATTCGCATGTTGTTTATCCAATCCTATCAAAATCGCGGTTGCTGGCTTCTAGCCTTTCATGATTCCAATATGTCCACAACTTGCCAATGCAATCTTACATCAGAAGCAGTTTTATATGACACTTCATTAAAACTTTACTTGAAATTCTCGCGATAGTAGACACGCAAATACAGTGGCCATAAACCCCAAGATTCCGTAATTCTTAATCCCAGTCGGCAAGCTCCGCACGCTAAGCTATTTTCGGGCACGCGATCCTTTCATGATGTGGGTCCAGCATCACGGGAGGCAAGCCGAGGCCGGATCTGATAAACATATCTCTCTCTCAGTCTGTGATTAACAACGGTTTTAGATATCCTCGGAACTTCCACGCACCTAGACAAGTATACTGTTTATAAGTATCCGACACGTTGCCAGGGTTGTTGTTTCAGAAGTCCCAACCTAAACAACCATGAAGCTTTCACGTATACTACCACTCGCTGCTGGCGCCGGCTCCTGCCTGGCCGACCCTTCGGCTGGGCCTCAATACGTCTTCTCCATGCCAGAGGACCAATCTGCAGCTCTCTACAAGATACCAACACCTTACGAATCTGCTGTCCAAGGTCGGCGAATCTTAGCCCTGACACCTCTCGGCACCCTTTCGACCGTATTCCCGGACTCTTCCAAGTCAGCCGTTGAATCCAGCGGCAATGAGATATCGGACTCTGAGAATAGACCTTCTGGTCTCGCGGGTGTGCCTATTGGCTTGATGGACTACATTGCCGATTGCGAGGATGAGGGCAACCCCACCATTCTGGCGATCAACATTGCGACGTCTTTCAAGAACGTCGCTGCTGGGTCAAATATCAGTGTCGGCTTGCAGTGGACACCTCCTTACCCACCGGCGAAAAGGATCACGTCTGTACCTTGCGGAACCCTTGGACGTTGGCTAGGCCAGTGCCACACAGAGGAGGATGACGACAGGAACGAGCAAAAAGAGCCGGTTCCTTACTCAGCTGCTAACCTACCGCGCTTTTCGCTCATCGGATATCTTGAAAAGTTGCCGACGACAGCCAGCTTGGCCTCCTGTTTCGTGAAGGCGCACCCCGATGCCAAGTACTGGCTGCCTGGAAACCGAATTCACGAGGCTGAGTTTGTCAGACTGGTTGTGCAACAGGTCTACTGGATCGGTGGATTTGGCGACCGCGCTTATATTGGCTGGCTGAACCCCGAGGATTGGAGGAACATCACCAAGGACGAATGGGAAAGTGTGAGATTGCCCGGAGAAAAGAAGGGCTGGAAGGAGTGGACGGTTGATTTCTTGCAAGAGCTGTGAGTAAGGACACATGTGACCACCATGTTGTAGTCTTGCTCAAAGCCTGCATGGCCTTGAAGATTCATCCTGCAAAACATAATTACCGTAGTATGCCAAAATCATACTGATGTCTCTAATAGTGTAGTTTTATGGCGATGGCTAAGAGTACGTAGTTTTCATGCTAGATATTTAGTTGACAAACGTCGAACCATCTGTCTCTACAGCTCTTGTTAGGTGATTATATGTATACTTGTATGAACCTGACGACATCTCGACTGGGTGTATATAAGCTGTTGGTATCTTTACATACTATTGATTATGATAAGGTATCTTACAGTGGGCCTTGCCTGATCCGGTAGTGAGGGATGTATTCTATCTACATAATAGTTGAATTGCCTGCTAGGCTTGCGATCTCAACTTCAACGTATTCCAGTTTGGACATAAGACTTACAAGTAGAAGTACATGTCAGAAACAAACAGCAATTCCATCATTAGTCTCCTGGACAAGCCATGTCGCCGCCGCCAAGTAGTCATGCACATGACTTGTATGACCCACATTTCTACAAAGATTTTCTCTGTCTCGAACTCCACGTTGTGGCCGACCAATGGACGAAGCATAACTAATAGAAATTCGAGAGGTCTTGTCCAAGATGAGATAAAAAAGCGGTCTTGACTAGGTCAAGATGTTGGGCCCGAACCCGGGATCGAACCGGGGACCTCTCGCAAATTGCTCAGGTGTACCCTAAGCGAGAATTATACCACTAAACCATCCGGGCTACGAATTGATGACACAGTTAAGCCAAAACAGAGTCCATGTTGATACCATGTGGATCGCCGGAAGAAATTTTATAAGTAGAATATCATGCCATCGGTGGGGATGATTTTCTGTATACCAAGGTGGGCCACGACGATCAGAAGTTCTATGAGGATGGATTAGGGAGATACATATTATGGGGCTATAAGGGTTCGAGAGATGAGCTTAGTGTAGGTACTAGAGTATTGGTGTGTGTGATCAAGGAAGGTCAGTGATACCAAATCTTGAGGGAACCATAATTATCTAAGTAGTTGTTAATGTTGTCAATAGAATATTTATCTACGGGACCAAGGAAGGCCAGACCAGTCAAGTGTTTATGATATCAAAGTCGACGGCCATCTCAGATTTCGACTGTAGTAATCACATATGCGTCGAGAGTCCGCCATGATATTTGGCTGTGCGCTGTTACGCAGTCGTTGCAGTTATATATTCTACTGCTATACCCATTGTAAATGGCCATTAGCGGCCAATAGAGGTGCGGAGACATAGTTTCAACAACAAGAGCCCAAGGTCACGGATGAAGACTCAAGCAAAGGTCGCCATGGTGTCTTGACCTTGAGCCCTGTCTCGTCTCGGTTTTAGAGCCGGAGGTTAGGGAAAAGGATGGTTCTGTTCTGACCGCGCAGAGGAAGATATAAGCAACTTCATACACCTATCGAGTGATCCAATTTAAGGGCCATGATTTTTGAATATTTATTACTAGCTTGGTGCCGTTCTGTATACAGGTATAACGATTTATTAATATATGTTGGTGTGTTTATATATCTCCAGCGTAAGGACCAGGCCGAACAGCAACTCCGCTGGTCCTACCACTAATTTCTTCGATTCATAGGTTATCTTGAGATAAACGGTCGGCGGTAGGTATGTAAAAGGGCCCAGTTAGTAATTTACAAGACTGCTTGTACTTTGCAGACGTGATGAAGCCACTTCCCTACATGGTAAGAGACGGTATCATGTTACCCACGGAGTGTTACAGTATCACTTCCCTGTTTTGAGGTTCAGAGATCTCGAGCAAGAATGACAGAGCCAACATAACCAAAAAAAAAAAAAAAAAAAAAAAAAAAAAAAAAAAAAAACAAGGGGGGTGGGGGGAGACAACATGAAGACACCCGACCATCACGTGGCTCTTTCTTCTTCTTTCTTTTTGTTCATCTTATTTTTGAAGAGAAAGATTGTGATATACACAGCTACTATGACGAGACTTGTGCAATCAATTAGCAAGATATCCGGTGGGAGGGACTATCGGTATTGAGGCGTGGCCGATGAAATTGGTTGATAATCAATTCCAGATTCGATCCCGTCCACGAGATTGGATTGTAGATCATGCAATAATATGCTTACACTAATTAGTTGTTGCAACGTGCAGCACCAATATAGTTGTTTTTGTGTGGCTGAGTACGGTCAAATTCTCATTCTAACTTGACACGGACGCATAATATCGACGTTCGAAACACGAGCAGAGCATAAGACCAGAAAGGTTGAAGGTTCGCTCCGAAGATTCGAAGAATTTGAGAAATCTGGAGCAAGCGCCGGCACACTGGCACTTGATAGAAGGATTGAAATGACGCACATTCTCCCTATCTATGCCAGGCAACACTGCTATTACAGGGAGTTTTTATGAGTTGCGTTTCTTTCCTTGTGATCAGTTCGTGGTTTGGCCGTCTGAAAGCCATCAACCTAGTCATTATCCAAACCCACAGGACAAGCAAAGCACCTGCAGTGTATACTTGGAGGATGCGGCCAAGTTAAGCAGCAACAGGAAGGTGACGGTGGACATGAATACCAAGTGGCTTAGGTAGGCCACGAGTTATATGTTCACTTGTCAGCCGCATATGATGCGCATAGGCCACGATGCAAAAAGAGCTTTCTCGAACTGTGAACAGAGACGCTGGATCAAGGGCTCATGACTGTGCATTGGCTGAACTTTGCGCATGTCTGTCACCTCACCCGCTGATGCAGAAAGCAACAGGCTCGGCTTCTGCCGACTTGGTCAGGGGGGGAACAACGCGTAAGCTGCCTGCCGAAACCTTGTGTCTCAGTACAATGCAGCGGCTAGGCGCCGAGCACGAGGGGCTCATGACTCGTCTTAGGGACCATCACATCAACTAGGTTAAGCGTCGACCGCTGTGCCGCTTGGCTGGGAAAGACGGAGCTGGGAGATGGAGATGACATAGCGGTGCGCTTGGACAGGCCTGTCATCTCACTAGGTTGGCCGGCTGAATGCACGCTAGAACTAGTCTAGAATTCCACCTTTGCGACATTTCTCTTCCGTGCCCGTCAGTACGGGACAGGCCGTTTCTTTTCTCTGCATTCGACAACCCCAGCCTGACGATGGCCTTCATCACCCTTTGACACTGAGGAAAGCACACGGTCCCCTCAGTTGTCGCCTGCGATCCGCGGATGGACGGTAGCTTTGTATTTCCCTGACCCCAGATAATGCCTCCCGCCTCTCGACACTACCGCCGGCCATCTCTCAACTGGTTGCAATAATGGGAAACCCAGAAGCACCGCTGGACAGCGTGCTCCTCGAGCTTCTCCAGGGGGACCGCCGACCGACCTTCGTTGCCCAGTTGCACCAAGATCCGCCCTCGTCAATTTCCCTCGCCTTTGCCAACGCCGCCCTCCAAGCCGACGCGAGACTCCACGACGCTGTCCGCGAGGCTGTCGGCAGCCGCGAAGGCCATTTGTGGAAATGGATCCACGGCGCTACGACCAAGGCAGAAGAAGGAGCCCACAGGACGTCCATGTCCTATATGGACTGCCTCTGGACGCTCTCAGTCTTCCGGGAACGGCATATCATTGTCTCCAGCAATGAGCAACGGCGACCGAGCACTCCTCAACGCCCCCAAATACGACACAATGACAGCAGCCACACCCTCCTGAAGGTCCCCACCAGTTCCGCTAGCCGGGAGGGCGGCGTTTCTACACCAGACGGTGAAGAGGAGTTCACTGTCCCCGGCCTCACGCCAGAGCAAGAAGAACCCTTTGTCCTGACTGTCAACTCCTTCGACTGGTCATCGACACCCCTCGGGCCGATGGTGCACTGGCCTGTACAACTCCAACAGACATTCAATCAGATCCTCGCAGATTCGAGACCGATCGCTTTGTATTGGGGCGACCGCCTAACAATATTGTATAATGAAGCGTTTGCCAAGCTTTGCGGCGCAAAACACCCAGGCCTGCTTGGGAAGCCCCTCGACGACGCCTGGCCTGATTTCAGCGATAAAATCCAGGAGACCATGAGAAACAGCATTAACAAGCGGCGTGCTAGCGACGAAAATGAATGGCGGTTCTTCATCGAGAACGAGGATGGCGGTTCAGAAGAAACCTACCTAAAATGGTCCATCGTTCCAATAATACCAGAGAAGCAGGGGAGGCCTGTTGGCTTCTTACAGCCAGTCAGTGACACCACCAAGATGCACCTTTGGGACCGACGAATGAAGATGCTCATAGACCTCGGCGAATTGTTGGTCACAGCGAGAGATGCAAGATCCTACTGGCGAAAGATGCTTGAGGCATTGGAGACATGCTCGCCAAGCTACGACATTCCTTTGGCCATCCTCTACTCAGTGACGGAAGACCGGAAGACAGCACACGGACATAACAGTGTCTGTCACCTGGAAGGCTCTCTAGGTGTGCCAAAGGGCCACCGACTGATACCCGAAACGATGGCTCTGCTTTCAAGCCAGGAAGGCCTGGGCACGGCGTTCCGATCCGCCATGGAATCACGAAGCCCTACCATTGTCTCGACAAGAGACGGGACACTCCCTGAAGAGCTGCTTCATGATATCCACTGGCGCGGATTCCACGATCCATGTCATGAGGCTATTATTTGTCCAATTCGACCAATAAAAGATGAACGTGTCATGGGCTTGCTTGTACTTGGGCTGAACCCGCGGCGACCGTACGATTCCGAGTATCAGCAGTACATCAATCTCCTAAACCAAAAGCTCACAACAACTCTTGCATCAACCGTTCTGCTTGAGGAAGAAGCTCGGAGAAACAGAAATATCTCTGAGCAAGCGGCAAATGACAGGGCGCAACTTAAGAGCCAGCTTGCAGAGCAAACCCATGTGGTCAATGAGTGGGTATCCAAGTTCCAAGCTATTGCCGAGCTCATTCCAGTGGGCATGTGCTTTGGCGGCCCTGAAGGAGAGATAACCTTTGCCAATGATGCGTGGCACAACATCACTGGCGTTCCTAAATCCAATCGTATAACACAAGAAGAGTTTCTGTCTCGTGTTGTTGAAGAGGATCGTCACAATGTGTCTCGCGCCTATAAGGAAATGAAGGACACCGGGACAGTAAACATCGAATTCAGAATTCACCGCGAGGAAGAGGCGCCGTTGCCACAACCAATTGGAAGCTCTCCAGCCTTCGAAAAGATCGGTCTGGATTTCACTACGGAGACGCGGGAGCGCTATATCAGCGCTGCCCTCAAGGCAGAAGTTGAAGACGACGGTTCGATTGTACGAGTCTTTGCCTGTATGACAGATGTCACTTTGCACAAAAAAGCCGCCGATGCAGCCATCCGAAAGGCTTCTCAAGCAGAGAACCTGAAGAAGCTAGCTGAGAACGCATCAGTTGGCATGTACGAAATGCAAACAGATGGTCGGCTGATTTGGGCCAATAGTACCTTTTTCGAGATGTGTGGCTTGGACCAAGTTGATCTTGCCAAGTACGAGGTACGGCCGTTCGAGTCTTGCGTCGTGGAAGAGGATAAGCCGCTGCTTTACCAAGCCTTGGAAAGATTGACCACCAAAGGAAAGAAGGCTTTTGCGGAGATCCGCCTCAATACGCTGTGGACAGAAGAGGATCACGCAGACAGCAAAATTGTCGCTCCACGATGTATTTTGGCTTCCTTCAGACCAGTCAAAGGAGGTGTCATTGAAACTTTCACGGGCTGTCTTGTCGACATGACCTTACAACGCCAGCAATTCGAGACGGAGAGACAGCGTAAAGATGAAGCCATTGAGTCCAAACGGCAACAAGAGAACTTCATTGACATGACGTCTCACGAAATGAGAAATCCCCTGAGCGCTATTGTCCAGTGTGCAGATTCTGTGGTTGCTTCAAGCTCCAGAGGTGAGCAGATCCTCCGGTCCCAGGATGGTAACAGCAAGGATGAATCATTGCTCTTGAGCAAAGACGACCGAGAGGAGTTGTTACATTTGCTATCCACATGTATCGATAACGCCGAGACTATTGATATATGTGCACAACACCAGAGACATATCGTTGACGATATTCTCACTATGTCTAAGATGGACTCGGATTTGCTCGCCGTAAGCTCAGCCACGGTCGATCCCAGGGTAGTAGCAACGGAGTCACTGAAGATGTTTGAGGTCGAGGCTCGACGAGTGGACATCAATCTCACCATGGCTATCGACAAGGGTTATGATGATCTCAAGATCGACTTTTTAGACTTTGATCCCTCTCGGTTGCGGCAAGTTCTGATCAACTTACTCACCAACGCACTGAAATTCACCAAGACACAAGCAACAAGAAATGTGTCCATCAAGCTCAGTGCTTCGAGGGACCGTCCAACCGATGCCACATCAACCGTTCAATATATACCACACACTACAGATGGCCCAGCCATTCAGACTACACATACCGCGACCGATGCAGATGTAGTGTATCTTACCTTCGAAGTCAAAGATACTGGCCAAGGCCTCACTGCGGAAGAAAAGTCCTCTTTATTCCAGCGCTTTGTCCAAGCATCCCCAAAGACTCACGTCAAATATGGCGGCTCCGGTCTAGGCTTGTTCATTTCCAAGCGCTTGACTGAGATGCTTGGCGGACAAATCGGCGTTGCCTCTCAGCCCGGCCACGGGTCCACGTTTGGTTTCTACATCGCAGCCATTGTCCCAGATAAAGAAGCTCTTCAGGAGGCCAGAGCAACAGCAAAGACCATAGTGCCCGCAGCTGCGACTCCTACCAGCAACACAGCCCCAAAGAATCACAAGTTTACATCGTCGCGACTCCAAACCACTGCAGCCGTGGATAGCCTAGTGAAGGGTGTTTTAATTGTCGAGGACAACCTGATCAACCAGCAGATCACGCGCCGTGGCCTTGTGGATAAGGGCTATAAAATTGAGGTTGCTAACCACGGCCTAGAGGCTTTGGAGAAACTCAAGCTTACAAACAGAATGGGCGGCGAGTTTCCACTAGATGTTGTCATGATGGATATGGAGATGCCTATCATGGATGGCTTGACTTGCACAAGAAACATAAGAGAATTGGAGCGGGATGGGAAGCTGACTGGGCCTCGCATACCGATTATCGCGGTTTCGGCGAATGCAAGAAGTGAACAAATTCAAGAGGCGAAATCCGCTGGCTGCGACGACGTGCTTGTCAAGCCCTACAAGATTCTCGAGCTGATCAAAGTTATGCAGTCGCTCGTTAAACGACTGGACACGCAACAAGTCGCACGAAATGACGAGAAGCCGCAAACCCCAGCAGATGCGCAATCAAGCGTAGAGAAGGTTGAGTCTTCAACCGAGTCACAAGGAGGAACGCGAGGTAGCGAGAAGCTAGGTACCGCGGCGGGCGAGCTGGAGACGAGTGAATGAGGGTGTGGCAAGACTCGGCCGAGAAGATCTATGTTGCAGGAGAAGATGGCGAAGATCTTGGACTTCTGCGGCCTTGGCCGACGTCTGACGCCACAGAACGGAAACGAAGAAGAGCCACGCGGTGGTCAGCGATAGCCATTGAGCTTTTTGCCATGAAACTTTCTGATAATGATACCCCTGTTGCAGTAGGGCAAGAAAACACGAGCTGTTGATCTGGAAAAGTCCTGGTTAGGAAGAGGAATATTGGAGCTATTCGCGCCATATTGCTGAATACATGAGATTTGACCATCCAAAACATTTGCTTCGTGATGAACTAATCCATTTGTTTACATTCTCGAATATCACGCCCTCTGGATTGTTGGCTTTTCTGCTTAGGTCCGTCACCGATTCTGCCTAAAATCGACCTGCTCAGTGTTAAGCGTCGAACCCTAACTTAGATGATCGTGAGGTGCTGAGAATGACATATTCCAACGGGGCCGTTCGTTGATTTCTTTTATGAACATCATCAATGACCGGACCCCCTGGCATATTGGCCGTTGGTCGTGGTTATGTGACTCGTTGTAGTTGATAACGGAATAGACATATGGCTCGATGAGCTCATACTTTCTGCGACCAGCATACATGCCATAACGTGTAAGAATGTCAGCAATGTCATCCGCAATGTCTGAACCGAATTCTCGCTGGCCGCGGCAAAGACTTAAACTTGCTTCGTTGCCAAGCTATAGCGGGGCGCTGTCAAATGCGCAAATGCTCAAGTGCGACAATGACGTTATTAGCGGCAGCGCCGCTTCACTCAGCTATCGTGCCAAGCCTGCTTCTCCTAGCCGTGAATCAACCACCAGAGGCTCAGCATCTCCGGTGGCAAGAATGGCTGTCCCTTATGATGTAGCGATTCCCTGAAAATATCATGTCGCACTGACGGGTTACGCGAGGACCTCCTTCTATACATTTCCATCAATGCTCGTAACACTACCTACGCAAAGCAGCATGGCACGTCTTCGTACACGCCTTGCTATCCGTTACATCATTTGTGTTTTAATCACCATGTACGCCACGAAACGCTGGCTCGCGGGCCAGCCCCTATTGTCCGATGCCCTTCCTTCCTACTCAGGTCCCTACGACGTCGGTACCGTCGATATAGAAGTGCCGGCAGCGCACCCTCGGAAGTTTAGTGATGTCGTCCACAGGGAGACTGGCGATGCGGCGTTCGAACTCGAGACTGTCATGTTTAGTATATTTTACCCTTCCGAGAAAGGAGTGAAGGGCAAGGGAGCGAAACACATGTGGATCCCGGAATCTGGCAAGTTGTACGCCGAGGGCTATGCACGCTTTGCTGGAATCAACACTTGGTTTACAAACAAGCTGTTCGAAGGTAGCCTGTGGTCACTGGTCGGATCTACGACAATCCCAGCCGAGGTCGACGTCCCGATACAAGGTGCCGAATGGCTTGGGAAGAGTGAGGTCGTCAAAAAGGAGGAAGGCCAGGCAATACTGGCTGGGGATACGAAAGAGACCAAGAAAGAGCAGTTTCCAATTGTCGTATTTTCCCACGGTATGGCATCAGGTCGAACGAGCTACACGCATTATCTTGGCGAGCTGGCCTCTCGTGGCTATATTGTGGCTGCTGTCGAGCACAGAGATGGCAGCGGACCCGGAACAATCGTGTACAGGGCAGATGGCACACAGAAGACCGTCTTCCACGCACCCGCAGATGCGCTCGTTCCTATTCCTGACACCGAAGAACTCAAGAAGGTACAACTGTCCCTGCGCGAAGCTGAGATTGAGGAGACTATCCGCGTTCTCAGGGCCATAAACAACGGAGATGGCCAAGACATCCACCGCGCGAACACACGAAAAGAAGGCGACACGCTGGTTCATTGGCACCAGCGCCTCAACTTTGATCAGGTTATCATGGCAGGCCATTCGTACGGCGCAACCGGCGCAATGCAAGCGCTCAAGGGTGCACCCACCGAGCTGCGACCTTTCATAGGCGGCATCGCTCTCGACCCCGGCAAGAACTCGGGACCTCTGAACTCCAATATTGATGTCCCGTTGCTCGTGATCCACTCGCAATCCTGGTCCGCGAAACGCTCAATCTTTTTCGGGCGACCACACTTCGATACCGTTAAGGGAGTTGTGGAGAGTATCAGGGACAAATTCCACGGTGGCAAGAAAGCTGGGTGGTTCCTGACGTCGAAGCAGACTAGTCACCCATCGGTCACGGATGCACCGCTCATTGAACCTACGATCCTGGGCTGGACCACGGGTGCCACAGTCGATGTCAAGGAGGGATTGATGCAGTATGTGCTCATTTCCAAGGACTTCTTGACCTACCTGGTTGATGGCAAAACCCATGGTGCTCTTAATGAGCCTGTAAGCCACCCGAAATACAATCAAGAAATCAGGAAACTTCCAGCGGGTATGGGCAAGTTCTGGCAGGTGCATGTCAGTCCCATCGAATAGCTTCGATATATTATAATAGATGTGGTGTATTGGTAAAGGGTTAGAATATGTTTAAAGGAAGACTGGTGTTTGACTGGTATATTGGAGTTGACGACGTCGAAGTGTTTGTTCTCCTGCGCCTGAAGCAGTTGAAGCGCTCCGTAACCCCCCCACCGGAACCCCGTCGCCACAATCGCTGTAGTCTCGCTGCATGCATCATATCAGCTACAAATCCGGAATCACATATTGAAGGAGTCAATTCTATGTTAAAGGTTGATCAAGTGCACCGCCAAGCGATTATGTGGATTATGATATTGATACTAGATTTTTCTTTTTCCCTTCTTCTTTTAATAAAATTTTTTTTTTTGGATCAAGCAGCAGGCCATTTAATCGATTGTAGGCAGGACTTCGAAATTATGACACTCTGGTTTGGATGCAAAAGCCCTTATACACCCAACGGATGTCCACTGCGGAGTCCTCCGAGGCTATCCGCCGAGGTATAATAACAAGTATACATCAGCACTCCGATGCATTTGTCTCTTGCCATTATCTTGGTCCTTTCATCCAGTAGATGTTATTCTCAAAGCTCGCTAACTTAGCACATTAAGCAGTGAGTTCACAACATATATCATGGGAACGTCACCGTCAGTTGTGCAAGGCTTACACCCAGATTTCAGAAACCACTATGGCCGGCCGCATTCATAGAGTGACTATGTTCAAGGTCCCTGAGCCTGAGGATCAGAAGAAGTTGATTGAAGCATACAAAACCCTCAACAAGTCCCAGCAAAAGGTCAGTCTCTCTTCACATCAATACCGCAGATGTTAAGAGTTCTTGTTCTCGATTTCTGCCGTCTGGGGCGATCTTTGTTAGCCCCCATGCCTCTAGCGCCCCCGTGTGCCTAATTAGGCAATTCCCAGAGCTCTATCCATGTAGTTCGCGGCCCTCTCGCAGGGGCTCACAGCATACACATTGCCCTCATGTATCGACTATCGCCCATTTCACTACACACAACAACAATGAAACAGATGGTGGACTGATGAAGAAAACAGAATGGCAAGCCGTATATCTTGTCGCTGAACGCAGGCATTGCCATGGACGATGCTCGCTCGCAGGGGTTCACAGTGGTCAGTAAGACAGATTTTGCCAGTCTAGATGACATGAAGTACTACGACGACAAGTGCGAGGCGCACGCGGCGCTCAAGGCTTTTGCGAAGGGGAACCTGAAGATTCAAGGTGGTCCGTCAGGAGTCTTGACTGTTTATTTCGAGCCAACAGCTACAGGCTCTACTTGAAGGACGAATATAGAGCTCTGGGGGGGTGGAAATGACCTGTAATAACATGGTTGCATGGATGCGTCAAGGCAACCATGATGCGCATTGCAGAACTTTGCTTTTTTAGGCACACCTTCACAATTTTGTTAGCTGCAGCATCTACCGAGCATTGCAGTGCATTTGGCTTTTGTAAATTCACAGGTCACTGGTAACTCTCTCACGGTCTCTGTCTGCCCCTCATCGAGGCTGTGCCACGTTGTCTTGTCAGTTGACTCACATCTCTGGCCAAACAAGTTAGCTTTTCAACAGACGGAGACTCTCCAATGCTGATAAAAAGCCAGTTCAGACCTTTGTCTTATCTGAGCGTTGATTGAATGAGTGGCAAGTTTAATTAATTGGCCAGTGGCTGACACATTGACCTGTTGTTATTCCTAGAGGTTTTTGGTTGCTGCCTGTCGGCCTCAAACGGATTGACAGCCTTATGTTCAGAACAACGTCAGCAACCACAGGGCTTTCTCAATGTTTATCACGTTTATAGAACTATTCCACCATCAAAGATTGTAAATGCCTGTATCTCATAGTCCTCGTCAACCACACCGATATTCCTAGTCGTGACATCGACATCCTACAACACGCTGTCTGCTATGGAGGACGACTTGATGTCCCGGGAGCCGATCCCCGAGCAACGGGAAGCGGACGATCTCCTGCGAGTGAGTCTGCCTCATTTGACCTGCTTGGAAGGCGACACGCTTGTCATCGTGGAGTTTCCTCCGTCGGATGCTCGCAACTGCCGGGGTTTCACTTGGAACAGTGCACAATTCCGAATGAGTTCAGAAAAATTGCTTGGGATAGGCTCATCTGTAATCACTTCCGGCCTATCAGAGCAGAACCAGCATCGCTACCGGCGGCGACATAAACACATTCTTGAATCTATCCCGCCTGAGGTCAAGTATATTCTTGACTTGACTCCATCACCCGAGGGCGACGAGACGGCTTTCCTCGTGGGCGAGTTGTCTCTTCCAGTTGGTGTTCGTGATTGGTGGATGGCTCGTGAACGCCTTGGTGTTTCTGGAGAGCTTGTATCTGGCCACGATGACCACTGCCGCGACCACGCAGAAATTTCTAGTTTATGTGTGAAGAGCCCGGATTGGGAGTCTGGTACGACTAGGAATCAAAGTGCAGATGCTACCAAATACGGCATCACCCTACGGCTGGAGCATTGTCTCCCTTGCGCACCTCGTGAGATACGCGACTACTGCGAAATACGCCATAGGGCAAACATCATCAGACTCCTTCTCGTCGTTGCTGGTTACGATCTTGTTCTAAATTCGGCACCACGTGTGTACACAATAGTCGCACTAGCGAAGCAGCTTGACCTGGTGAACCTGGTGGTAAGTGTAATTGTGGTAACTTTAAATTATCGTAGACTAATTTTGTGACCAGGTTTCTCCTGTTCGCGCTTGGCTGGAAGATCATCGTAACAGCAGCTTCATCGACATCCATCCTGAAATTGCCTTGGAGATGGCATGGAAATTGCAACTCTCTGATCTCGCTCGAGCTACGCTGCGCGTACTTGTCGTGGAAAGAGCCCTTGAGCCAGCTCACAGTCGGATCATCAGCAATGTGACCAAGTTTGGTCGTCCCCGCACCAGTCTTTCCGACGACATTAGTACCGTGGTTGAGCACGCTACAGAAAGTATACGGATTCGGTGCCAGGAAGCTAGCGACAATATCTTCTCCGAGAATCCTTACGATTGGCTGCAACTACCTAGTTGGGGACTGTTCATGCAAATTGGTACAGTTCTTGCTGCTGATATTGCCGCCACTGGAGATATGCAGCTTACCGACAAGATAACTGAAGAAATATGTGAGCACCATAAACGAGTAAACGGACGTCTCCTACATTACATCACGTCTGCAATCTCTCGCGCGTTTGATGCTGTGAAGGCCGGCACAGTAATTGGAGCTAATCGGCTAGGTGAGATGGACAACGATAGACTCGCCTATGCAAATGGAGACGTCGGCTTTCAAAGCACCAAGCAGATCATGACATCGATGTCAAAGGAACAGATCCTGCTAATGCCCCTCTTCTGGAATAGACTAAGGATTGAAGTTGCCGAGTATGAGGCCTTCCGTGATTGCTGCAATGCGGGGCGCGAGATGATTATGCTCACCACGTTACTCAACAAGGCCGTCGGGGAGGGGATGTTTTCAAGTCTGCGAGCGGAACACCCAATGAGTGTACCTCTCGGCCCAATTTCGTTCCACGATGAGCTCTGCAGAGAGATCGATAAACTGTCGAGGGATTGGGTTCCATTTTACGGAAATCTCGAGGTCCCACTTCATCGCACTACGCACCTGGCGCTGGGTTTTGCCGAAGACGAGTTCAAGTTCTTACCACTGTGGGCCGGTGGTCTTGATGATGAGACCGGTGCCGTATTTGACGATATGGATGTCCCCGATACCGACATGGGCCCCAATCAACCTGGTCCTGCATATATAACTGGCAAGACTATTGCGCCGTCGTCTACTGCCGATTCTGACATTACGATCATTGGTGGTGGAATGTCAGTTCAAGCTGTTCAGTCGGGCGCCAACACAAATGCCTCGGTTAGTAAAACAACAGGAAGCTTTGTAAAAGTCTCACCTTCGGAGACAAGCAATTTGGAGAATTTGGATTTGATGCATAGCGATACCAAGAGTATGCGGAGTGCAATGGGAGGAATTGGTATATTCAGCGACTCGAGTACCAGAAGTCTGCGAAACGCCATGGATGACATTGGCATGGCCAGCGAATCAGATGAGGTGGGGGACATCGAATCTTCCCACAACATAGATGATGATGACGACGACGATGCTCAGAGCCTGGCCGCAAATCCAGACGATATCACAGCAGACAGTGACAGCATGAGCGATGACTCGGATTGGACTGACATTTACAATTAATACACAAGTGACGGGGCACGGACGATCATAGTTCCACCGTTACAGGAATTTAGGGGATGGGGGTTGTGATGAATCTTATCGCGCTTGTTTGGTTTTATGAAAAGTGCGTGACTACAATCATGCATTGCGCAATGACGGACTATGAACAAGGAACAAAAATTGTGGCACCAATTACTACCATAGACTTTGTGACAGCTTTAGACACGCTCAGTCTCTTATTATACCGGGCCTCTGAGTCAGCATACACATTTATAAACTTGCCGGCATATTATGCCATCCCTGTGAATCAGACATGAATGTCACTTCATCCTAATAGATAAACACATGCTCTCTTGCACCATGAACTCAGAGTCATCATCCTGTCTAGCCCCTATATTTCTTGCTGGCCTCCACAAAACTCATCCCCTTCTTGATCTCCTCCGCCATCTTTTCATCCGCCTTTACCCCTTTCCTCATCAGCTCCAGAGCCTGCCCCGCCAGCTGCCTCGGCAGCACGACGACCCCATTCACGTCGCCCATTAGGTAATCACCCGGCCGCACCTCCATCCGCTCCTGCACATCCCCGCTCTGCAGCTCCACGTTGTCGTTCACGGCAACGACCTTGACCAGCTCCGCCGGCGGCGCGGTCCCCGTGTCCCGCGCAAAGACGGGATAGTTCAGAGCCCGGTGCTCAGCGACGTCCCGGAACCGCCCGTCGATGATCGACCCTGCCACCCCGAGATGGGAGGCGCGCGTCGACATCAGGCCGCCGTAGACGGCGTTTGGGATCGGTGGCGTGGAGATGAAGAGAACGGAGTTCGGGGGCACGGTGTCGATCTTGAGAAACCCCGTTCGTGGTTAGGGAATGCAAGGATTTCACTTTTTCAACGCAGTCCGGGATGCAGAGAGAGAGAGGAAGAGAGAGAGAGAGAGGCAGAGAGAGGAAGAGTGAGGAAGAGGGAGAGAGAGGGAGAGAGAGAGAGAGAGAGAGAGAGGTGGAAAAGGCAGGAGGGATCACTTACGTAATGGCCGGGCCTCTTGGCCATGGAGCTGGACAGCAGATCATATTTGACCGTGTAGGCCGGGCCGACGATCTTGGTGTCTGTGTCTTGCCGCTGCGGCGACCACATAGTCAGGCCGGAGAGGAAACCGCCATTGCGGTAGCTGAGTTTGATCAAGGCATCTGATACGTCGCATCTGCACTCGATTAGCCATGCACGATTCGTTAAATCTGGAGATGGTGCATACGTGGTGTACTCTTTCAGAGCCTCGACTATCGGGTCTGATTCGTAGAAATGAGACGCCATCTTGGAGCGGGGGTTGGTGGAGATGTACTGTTAGGCGGCTCTATGATGCATGTGCATAACGAGGATAAGTTGAACAAGCAAGAACCAACTAAGGTTAATCGCTACGATGATTTTGTAAGGGCAAATCTGACGAAAAGAAGCGTAGATGATGTTCGGCTTTCACATGCCGCGGCCTCAGTAAGTGCGCGAGATGCCACAGGTCCGGCCCCGCCTAGACCGGAGGTTTCCGGAGACCCGGGTGACCCATACCCCGTGTTGTCACCAGTCATGCGGTTTTGACTGCTTTCATCCGCGCTCGAAGACCTGAAGAACCTTTGTATGGATCAAGCGTCAACAAGGCGTCGATTATAAGTGTGTGCGCACTCATGTATACCCATGGCACCAGCGGCAAAGCGAATTGAAGGTATCCCATATGTCCTTGTACTCTTCTTCCGGCTTGCGACTTGGATGCAATTTCTTGGGTTCCCCCTATTTCAATATATGCACCAAAATAAGAATCGTTCAGGCAAATGAGATCTTTGAGCATTTAGTTTGACAATGACGATTCGTATACTCGTCATTAATCTTATGACAAAGTGATAAGTTATTCAGTGTAGACGAAAGAGGGCTTTCCAGATTACGAATCTCTTTTCTGTGTCAAGTATCCTTAGCAAGTCTCCAGCTTATGCTTCACAAATTACACGCAGAGCCTGGGCGAAATGACCCACCCAAGGCACTTGAACATATTTGCATTACTTTCCAGAGAACACCGCCCGTCGAGCGATGCAGCGACAGCAGCTTTGGTTGAGGGTCACGGCTGGCCTTGAATATCTCTACTCACTTACGGCATTACACCTTTTAACATGATGTTGAACGACGATGGAACCCTCGGTATCATTGATCTGGGCAACCGCGCGAAAATTTGACAACGCGTTTATGGCTTGACTAAGGTTTAAAGAAGTCATGGATGGCATAGCCCTAATACTCGTGTTGCACAAGAGAAGAGTGATCTTGATGCCCTCGAAGAGTTGGGAACTCGAGACTGCTTGAGTCCGGCACAAGAGACTTTCTTTTCAGGATGGGATAGCCGAAAACCCCAATTCAGAAGGGCCTGTCACTGCATGGATTGATCGGCCACTTTTCTGTTTCATTCCCCACCCTTCTTCTTTTTTCTTTTTTCTTTTTCAGTTTGTAGCTTTTTCGTTCGTCGTACAGTTCGTTGGTGTATTTTCACGCTCAGACTCCTTCACTACTATTATAAAATTCGGGAAGCTTCTCGTGCGTGTGATTGCTTTCTATGAAGGTGGCAGATACCAATTGCCAGTCGAACCCTCCACATGATGCTGTTCTGGGAAGCAGTCCAACAGCGACGATGCATCAACTTCCATTCCACCCATATTCGGATTGCTACTAAAATTGATCTGGGTATCTCGATATAAAAAAGCAGGTAGATACTGCCTGTTAAGCAGTGTATTCTCGGGTGCCCGGGTTGGCTCACTGATGGGTATCGCGCGCGATGGCTCCGCATTGAGACTATTGGTAATGATATCCACGCTGCGCTGGATGATATCACACGTCTTGGCTGCCGCGTTTAGAGCTCGAAGGAAGTTTTCCGTCTTTCGTCTCGCTAGCGTATCTCCGGCTTTTGCATCCTGCACCATGACGGAGGCTGACGTATAAACACAGTATGCTGAGAGGTAGGATAACTTGGTGAACCCGTAGGTGCGCTCGAACAGGAGCACAAGTCTTTCGGTACTGTCTGCTGCTTGCCGACAAGCGGCATGATGGATGGTCGCTGAATTAAATGGTCGATGTAGAAGAATTATCGTAGCGAAGTACAGTAAACTATGATAATTAGTCTAGTTCAGCCGCCATGAGCCATTCCATCGAACTTACTTCTGGCTGACTATGTGAGGAGGTGGGCTGATATTTGGCAGATTATCAGGCTCAAGCTTCAAGTGATCTGCAGTAAGAGCCCTCCACTCGTCTAGCCTGTCTCTAATAGCTCTTAAAAACATGTCGCCCTCATCACGGTGATGTGTTGAATATAGATGCAGGATAATGTCGCTAATGATGACCGCCAATTTGCAAGAGTTGACAAAGCAGGAGACGACGTGAGATTTCATTGGTGGAAATGCTGGAGTCGCCGCCTTCTCGGATGCTTCTCCTGATCCATCTTCAGGTGCCCACGTATCATGTTCTGCAAAATCGTCTAGGAGTTCAGGAGCATGATTCGATGGAAGCTCCGTCAAGACTGGAGTTCGACCAAGATAAAGGCTCATTGCTCTACAGCATCTAGTGTTAGAGATGACTCATTGTATGGGAGTTGGCTGACTTACTTGTCCCAAAAATAGCAGCTCCAGAAAAGCCTGCGCCGGATCTCTAGGTCCTCTGCATTGAGGCTACCTAGGCTGTATATTGATCCACTGCTATGACGAAGGCCCAGGTCACTTACCATTCTAAAAGCAATACCACTATACGTCCATGCCTGTGATACATTTCCATATGCCAAATCTCGTGCGCTGAGTTGCAGCAAGGCTTGGACTGTTGTTATGGAGCTTGGTCGATGTATCTCTACCCCAAGTAGTAATCGCCCCCGTGCTATTAGCATTTCGGCGATTCTCCTTTCGTGGAATCGAGCCGCATGACCACACATTATGGCCAGGAGCAAGGGTGAATAGTACTGTCCACCAGTCATCATGTCTCCTAGATACTATGTAAGTCGTCCGCAAGATGAGACCTAAAAAGCTTGGCTCACGCATGAAAGCCGGCCGATAGCCCCACATGAACATAGGGCTGATCCATGTCCAGTATAATCTCAATAATCGTGACATGATTTCTCTTGGAATGTCATTCTAGCAACTCGATGTTAGTAGGATTGCCTAACAAGGTTTGGTGAGCTTCCCGAGTGGGCCAAGTTTCACGATCCAAGAAAGCACGAGCATCTGAAGGCATAACGGGAGACGTGCCTGTACCGCTGCGTTGCCAATGGCAAACTCCTCCCATGTGCGTGTTTCCATAGCATTGGAAGTCAGCAAAGTGCGCACATCAACCTTCGAACTTTGATCGTTGAAACTCTGAAAATTTGGTGACCGCCCAGCAAACGCCGCCGGGTCGTGCACCGCGGAGGTAGAACCATAGAAACATATCTGGAACAGATTTTAGCACGTTTCTCACGGAACTTTACAAAACCACGGTACCTTTCCATTTGCGTCGAGACAGATGTCAGATAGCAAGTCCTCCGTTGTCGATCCTTGCGCAGATGCGGGCACTGTGTTACCTAGCCCATACGCAGGCCGACGCGTGATACGGGGTCCAGGTAGACGATGTACTATAGGGCTGTCGGTACTCGGGTTGGGAGTTGGCGAAGTCTTAGACTCTACGCTCGTTGCCTCTTCTAACGCTCTCTTGAGTTCCACTATGGTAGCTTCGGCTTCCTGTAGCCTTTTCGCCATGCCCATAATTTGTGACATTGGCGGAGGCTTCTCATATCGGCACTCATCTTGATAGACCTCACAAGTCTTGCACTGCGGTTGCGTACCATCGCACCGGGTTTTCCTTACCCCTGACAAAGACAGTTAGCACGGTCTTAAGCAGAATTGATAGCAATTTGCAAATGCGCAAAACTCTTGATATTGCGGGTTTCGCAAGATAATTCCGCGGGCCCGCGGGCCCGTTAGTCGGCGATGGTGGCTATTTACGTACTGCAGTTCTGACATGTCAAGCCGCGATGAGTACGGGTACCCGTCCGGGCTCGCTGGCCGGTAGCACTACTAGACGCACTTGACTTAACTGAAGCACGAGACGAGAGCTGCTCTGGCATTGTCGCGCGAGGGGCTCGGTTTCCGAGTACACGGGATGCTATCTTCACATAGGCGGTCGAACTATACCCGAAGTAGTGGTCGGATTCTTGGTTAAGGCGAATCACTGTAGGGCTATTTGTCATTTCTAATCATCCGACAAAAGAAAGCAGGCCGCACAGGTCTCGACCCTTCGGCGATACGATTCATTATCAAGAACCTGGAAACTCCAATGCAACACTGCTGCCGCGCGCTGTGGATAGATTTCGTTGCGCAATCCCAAGTGGGCAAGGGGGTCACGTAAGGTGGGGGACCCAAGACCGGCTGTTCTTGGCACCTATCCATACTGGTTAGGCGTTAAATATTCTTGTTTCAGAGTCGCTGGCCGCTGAAGATGCTCCTTCGCTTGGGAGCCAAAACTAAGCCTTTTTGACAGGTACGCTGCAACCAAATCTAAAGTGACGCGCGTACTCTGTGGCTAGTACTATAGTAATGTAACTCGGTCGCATTGCTGGAAGAAGTGAGGCTCGTGCCATTAGGAAAATGCGTCGCCACAAGAGACATCGGGATCGCCGCAAAACCACGCGTCCCTACTATGTAATGTAAAATGCTTATTCTAACGAGTCTGGCTTCGCTTCCGCTTCAGCTTTTAGCCCGTTCATCCATAAAGTCAAGCCGTCCCGTAATTGTTTGCCCGCAAACGCCTTGACAGCCCAAGTCAGTGGTCCATGGAATGTCTCATAGTTTGTATAGTCGCAACCGCCTTCGACGTTCTCTAAAAACTCCTGGACGCGTTCGGCACGCGGTGCCAGCCACGGGTTGCCTCGTGTCTTCCAGCAGACTCGCAACCCTTTTCGGCCGTTGCGCTCGAACTCCTCCAGTACTGAGAGTTCAAGCTCAGTTTTTCGGATATTTGAAGCGCTCATGTGAACCTCGAAATCGAATTGCGTTCCTGGCAAAAGCTGATTTGGCTTCCTTGTGACGTGTGCCAACAATTCGGGAACGGCAGCTTCTGAAGCAGTAGACGCTGACACCACATCAACACGAGGAATCCATCTGTTCCAAGTGGGATAAGTAGACGGATCCAGTAGGATCTCAAGACATCTTGTTGGAGACGCTGCGATCGTTGTTGAGAACGCGACACTCGCAGACCCGCCTTCCCCCAATGTCGGTGTGGGGATGGCCGCAACGAACGTCGGCGCTTGGTTGGGAGCAATCTGAGCTGCCATGATCACTGATTGAGCCCACAGGTATGACGAATACGCCTGGCTGAGACGAGCAAATAGCTTGAGGAAGCTCAAAGAACGACGCGACGGTAACGATGACGATATTCAAGGCTGACGCAAGTATTGAGTACCATTCGAGGCTTCCATCATTGTTTGCTGCTCCATCACAGTGGCGGCGCAGGCCCCACAGCAATTGCTTAGCGCCAGTCACGTCAACCTGCACAGTACAACGGCCAGGAGTCCAGTGGTACTTATCAGTGGCTCGCTTACACAACTCACTTCGCAATATCGTGCACCCGTCATACTTTGGTAGAATCCTACAAGACTTTGCAAGCACGACATTCTACTGAGCACGGTAAAGCGGAAACTTGGTGGCCCTCGTATTCTGAGAACCTGCTGCCCAAGCATTTCAAAAACAAAGTGGAAAATGGCAACGCAAAGACTGAGCTTGTTAAACATGATATTACATGATGTGCAGGCCCTGACAGGGTTTCGGGTGGCTATATTCTACGTATCCGCTCATCTGCTACATGATGCGCTATTCGCATGATCGAGAAATAACGGGCTGCGTCACAGATTACAACTCCCGCTTTCTGGCAGCGTCAGTTGGGACGGCCCGAAGCCTAAACATAGCGACACCATGGCGATCAACAGTGGCAGTGACAGTCCCGGACGGCTGTACAGTCGTTGTCGCGTTCCCCAATAGACGCGGATCAGCCTCTGTCAGGCCCTGAGCATACGACTTGGCGGTCGCATTATATCTGTCTGCGCCGACGCTGGTCTCATTCCACCCGTTAGTATAGTTGCCGGCAGCCGACGATGCGTCGATAATAGCCTGCGCTTCTTCGTTAGACATTCTATCCGCCCACAGATCTCTCACTTCCCAAGAAATAGCAGAATATGTCTTTTGGCCAGAGCTGCCCAGGTCCGTGAAGATGTCCCATAGTGTCGCGTTCATCTCGAGGGGCGAGTTATTGCCATTGAGCAAAACAACGATTATATCGTTGTAATCGCCCCCTGTTGTTGAATAAAGAGAACCGGACCATAGCTGGTAGCTGGCCTTGCCATACTCATCGATATCGTCGCTCTCATATACCCATCTCCGAGAGGCGGAGCTACCTAACGGATCTTGATTGACAGCAATTACAGCTGCGTTGGAAACAATTGCCAAATCTCGAGGCTTGACGATTCGCAGGTCATTACCGAGAATCAAAGGACTAACAATTAGTTACAGAACTGCGGATACCGGAGCGGAAACTCTCACCTCTTAACTGCGGCCCATAATGAGAACTGTGTCAGATACTCTGCGTCGGTCATGCCTCCATTACCGACTTCCAGCATGTCGAGATCGTTCCATGCGCCAGGAATGCTTTTTGAGGTAATGAACGACGCCTATCGAGTATGAGATATCTGGGAATGGTCTACGGATTCTTGGCATACCTTGTTGATTATGTTCAATAAAGAGCAGTGCCAGCCAGGAAGGCCACAATTCCAAGCATCTGGCCCGTCGCTTATGTTTGTTAGCGTGAAAGTCACCTTGACCTATTCGACTTGGCTTACCATGGGCATCGGTCGTCAGGAGCGTCGTAGTGGTCAGTCACATCGCCAGAGATTCTCCAAGAATTGGCAATCGTGGAACCCCAATTCCAAGGATAATCCTCTCCCCAGTTACAGAGGGAGTAGAGAATAGGCCTGCCGGTAGCGTTCAGGGCCTTGGCCATCACGTTGTATCGGTCGTGAGAAATTTGCTGGGTACCAGCTTGACCCGAGTTGTAGCAGTTGTCATCTATAACATAAGTCAGTATTTCGTTTTACTAATCAAGACACATCTGATACTTACATTTCAGGTAGTCGATACCCCAACTAGCCCAAGTTTGAGCGTCAATCTCCTCGTATCCTAGACTTCCGGCATACTGTCCACAAGTGTATACACCAGCGCTTGAGTACATGCCAAATTTCAAGCCTAACTCGTGGATATCATCGGCGACAGCAGCCATTCCGTTCGGGAACTTGGTGTAATCAGGGACAAGTGTACCATTATCATCTCTTCCATTCGACCAGCAGTCATCAAGGATCACATACTGGTACCCGAGGTCCTTGAGACCGTAGTCCACAATGAGTCGCGCTGATGATTGTAACAAGTCCTCTGAAACAGCGCATCCGAACGAGTTCCAGTTGTCTAATGAAAGTCAGCGTCTACAAGCCAAACGTTCAGTGTGCATAGCTCGCTTACCCCAACCCATTTGAGGAGTCCTAGCAAGACCATTATTGACTGCTGAGCTGAATCGTACGGACAGCGCAAGTGCGGCAACTTTATACCATGACGGCGTCATAATGAAAGCAAGGACAGAGCTATTGTAAAGACGGTGCACACAAAATGTAGTTTGCTACGACCAGAAGGGAGGAACCGGAACATATCTAAACGATTCACCAAGTACGTCCCCGCACTGACTGCCAAGTACGAACCCGATTCTATATGGCCATGACGGTGAAGATCGAGTGAAGTAATATTTCGGGGCTAACCTCCCGAAGAAGTATACAGCACAGCAGTGTGGCTGGCAAGATATTCCCCCACAATGGAGTATAATTGACCAATGGCGCTGTCACTTTCGACTAGCGAGAGCAAAACATGCGTTCATGTTACGTCTCCGGCTCACAGGGTAACCAAGCCGAGGCCGGACAGACCTTACCAAACGTCACTCTCTAAATTACATATGCATACGGTCGCAAGGTGGCAAGCGAACGAGTCGAGACCACGGTCACTATTCGGATGCCGCTATGTCCCAAGACTTGCTTGTGTACACTAACCTGGAATGTCTTAGGGGCGGGATATAATCCCTGAAACCCCAAGACTTTCCCCTCGTCCACAACCAGGAAGAACGCAGGTAAGTGGGTATACGCATTGTAAGCCGCAAGCTTGTGCGGGGTTTAGTCAGTTTTCCTCTCTGGAGAGAATCATGCCAACATTTCCTCCAACAAGAGCGCCGTCCAAACTGGAGAGTTTTCCGACGGGCGCTTTGAATGGAAACTCGTCTGTTCTCGACAGAAAATTTTCGCTCATGATACCCCTCAATTTATCTTCTGTAAAGAGAAGCTTATCGAGTTCCGTCGAAGATCCTTCCGCTTTGATAAGAAGACTTTGTCGAGAACAACCAAGAGCACGAAACCCCTGACCCCCTATAAAGTCCGGGTGTGCAACAAAGTGGAGTTGGGCGAGCAGTCGTTTGCCCATTGAGCTTGAAGAGATCAGTTTCATGATCCAATTTATGTTACCTTGCGATTCATTCGGCCCAAGGCTCTGGCTGATTTGTTGGTTGCTAAGTTCGGCTGGGCTTATAAGCGAAATTCCGAAAGTTGCCTTGACATCATGCTATCCTATCACAGCGCCGATTGTGCCGGTGATATATTCCCAGATTCTGCGCAGTAAAGGTCGTGTGGCAGCCGACTCCTTCACTCTGTCTGATCTAGTGATAGCAGACTGTGTCTGGAGGTACACATCTCTCACAGTGTCCACAGCTGTCGGCGTAAGCCAGCCTAGAAATGCTACATCGACATCTTGATGATGAATAGTATATGGCTTCTCACAGTTGATCCATATATTTCCCAACATATTTTTGCCTTCTTCAACCTCCATTTCCACCGGAGACCACTGAGAACCCATCACAGGCTTTGAGGGAGCAGTGCTCTTCTCTTGCAACTGGAGCCTGCTTTTCAGAAACCCAGTATCTCGGTGGGTTATGTTCAGATATCTGCAAAGTGGCAGGCAAACGATATCGCTAGCTCTGCCAACAACAACCATCGCACGATTCGCGATTGTGCGATCATGGTGTTGATCGGAAATTTCGAAAACCTTGCCGAACTCAAACCAGCTCCCAGTCTCCCTGCGATGGAATTCCTCCAAAGATAGTTTCGCAAATGCAACTCTTGACTCTGTAGGTGTCTTTTGCTGTTCGGAAGAACTCGGGCTGGTACTGCGACTGCGGCCCTTCAAACTGCAGCTTAGATCGGTCGGTACTTGTAGGGTTGGTAAAGAATGAGGCTTTCGAGTCTCAAACGCTGTTTCTGCAGTGTTGATGTTGAGGGTTTCGAATGACATCCGTCGACCTCGGCCTGTTCCTAGACTAGAATGTTCGTCAAACGAAGGTACTAGCTCAGTTCGTTGAAGCTGCTGCTGAGACATTCTCGCGATACCAGATTCCTGGGTAAGGAGAGGTTGGGAGACAAAGCGTTGATCTGCGATTTGTATCAGTGGCACACGATCATACGCTCATATGAGCAAATGGCGTCTTCCACTAACCTATTTGACCATATACACCAATAGCTGACCCTTTCGAGACGTTCTCTTTGTATTGATTTCCCTCAATGCTGTGATAGCTATCTTTGATATCCTGCGAGCCAAGATACACGTTATTCGTGTAGTGAAATGAATGCTTTCTGGGTTCAGGTGTCCCCGGTCGAGCGTTGACCCCATTCATAATGCTGCCCCGTGAAACGTGTCAATCTCTGCCCAGTACTGCAGTGTTGTACTTCATAATATGCTCGAAATTCAAGGTGCCTTGCGTGTGTAGACAAAATCCGATAGGAGTGACGATTACTACATCTACCCGTGTGCATCTGCTTGTCCAGAAGCCCCAAGGCTGTGCTTATGTAGTTGACCTTCTATCGATATCAACAAGGATCGCTCACCGAAAACGGGCGCGGCCCAAGCCTTACAAGGCTCCCGGCCGAGGCATGGTTGTAATAAGCACTTGGCCACTCAAATAGCTTTTTGGAGCTATAGAATTACGCCCGATCGCTTACCATCCGAGAAATAGCAAAATAAAGCACAAACTAGACCTTCTTGTATAATTCTTTTTTGTTTCAAACTCCTATTTCAGCCTCTTGATTGTTGTTTCCACTCGCCTTTTGCTTTTATCAGACAAAGTTCGCAATCTTTCTTGAGTATTGCCAGCATTTGAACTGGGACAGCTATGACCCGCATCTGCATGGCCGCTGCTACACCCGCTAATCCCACTGCCCTGATTGGATGCCTCGCCGAATCGACTGGTCAGGGTTGAAGCCAGTGGTGGTGACACAGCAGACCCGGCTATTTTCCATTCCTCCAAAACTCATCCAACGCCGTGAACGTCCCGCCGCCATGTAATCGCAAAATCTTGGAGTAAGGACCTTAATCGAGCATCGTCAGCATTAAATTGGGCGGATACAGTTCCTGAGAAGGCGGCGAAAACTATTAATATATCTCTCAATCCTTCGTCGATTTTAGCAAAGCCCCCAGTAGGAATATGGCCGAAGCCGCGGGTCTGGCTGTTGGGACGATAGCCCTCGCAAGTTTGTTCCAAACCTGTCTCGACATCCTGGACTATATCGAAGATGCGAGGAATATCAAGAGCGATCGCGAGCGGGGAGACACGAAATTGGGACTGCTAAAAATCAGGCTGAAGCAATGGGGGGATGACCTGCAAGTATTGTACCCTGGTCGCGAAGATGGAGGGCTGCGGGAACATTGGCCTGAAGAAAGCGGCACGATAAGCAAAAGCCTTTTAGGCATCACTGGCATGCTCAACGATGCTTCAAAGCTGAGTCACAAATATGCACCATACAGGATAAAACTCAATTCTTGGTATATTGTCTGGAAGCCTTCCAAACGGATATATAAGCCAGATCAACAAGAGATTTCCGAGAAACAAATTTGCCAGGGTCTTACATCGCTGACGCAGCGTACTACTTGGGCTTTCAGAGACAAGAAAAGATTCAACTCCTTATTGGCTGAGCTCGATTTCTTCGTCACTAATCTGGAGAAAGTCACTATTCGGGTAGTGAGATTTGGTCAGTACTTGCCCTTCTGCATGACGTAGTGCAGACACCCGTTATCGCCTGGCTAACCTAAACCTCGTAGACAAGCTTGAATTGGAAAGTCTTTCAACGAGTGAAGGAGACTTCAAAATGAATGGAATACACACATTGGCGGATTTTCAAAAAGAAAGCACACGGAAAACAGTATTCGAGAATTCTGCTGGGCGTACAATTTCTGGCCGTGTCCCGACATCAGGTACTGTCAGCAAGGAAGTACCTGAAAAAACCTCCAATGCCACCCAGTCAGCTGAAGGCCACACATTTAAGAACAATTCCGCCAAGGATAATGGTTTTCAGCATGCAGGTGATCATGGAAAAGTCGATCCTAATGCTAAACGACACGAATTCACGGGTCACCAAGCCGAAGGCAATAGTATGCAGTTCATGGGCAATATGGACGGAGATGCTTCCAAAAACCTCTTCCAGCTTGCATTGAGTCGACATACTGCATCTGCTCATTATTCCAAGAATTGAGGAGAATTATTGGCGGAAATGGGTGCGTTTGGATGCATGGAAACTTTCGCGTTATCACGTCGTTTCTGCATAGTTCGTTGCATTGGAGACACAAGTCGTATAACTGCTGGCTATGGAGCTCAGGCATGAATATGAAATTTTCATCACAACTACATTGTCTGGTTACATTTTGACGGTCAGCAACCATAGTTACATGCCCTTTAAATTGGCGCGCTTCGGTGTGTCTTCTTCAAATCCATACCCAAGCTCTGTCACAGAAATTAGGAAAGCAGACAAACCTGCGTCTGCAGTCTTTTCCGGCGTTGTGAATAGTGACTACATACCGGAAACAGGACGCGATACGATTTCGCAGGCATTTATTTCTGATATCATACACAGATACCCCACTGGTTTACAAGTCCGTTATCATCCCACGTTCATAGGCAGCCCGCATGTTATTGTCATGTCCATATAACCTAGCAGACTGTAGAGATACGGACGGAGGTGAACGCAAGGTGTACATGCTGGTAATTGCTTGTCTGGTTGGATGGTTGGTTGGTTGGTTGGTTGGCGGCGTTTGAGAAAGTTGATTTCGACGGCGCGTTAATTTCTCCAGCGCAACTTCGTAACTGCAAGGCGCCCCCCTGCCTGGAACGCCATTCTTGCAAGGGTTTCAGGCTGATCGCACGTGGAAGTGGAAACAATTCTTCTCCGGTGCCCTGGCGCTGGGTCCTTGGTGATGCTGCAGATCCAAAAACTCCAAAGCCTATTTACAGTATTCATTTAATCATACAATCTGAGCAAGCGCAGATTCGCACATGCGCTCTGAATTCCAAAGCCCATTTGGCGCGTGGATCACTCTACAGCGGCGTACCCAACAAAACATAGGAGCTTTTCATCCTTGCGCATCCATGCACTGCTAAATAAGATCCGTAAGCAGCGTATGCCAAGTCGTGAAGCACAAGTAGACAGACACGCCCCGGCAGACGGCCGAGGCGCTAGTTGACAGGACTACCCGCCAGCCCGCTTGCTGTCATCCGGGAATAGTTGACCAGTAATGCAGCCATGTCTGCTAAGATAAAAGGCGCAATTTGTGGTTCGCAGGCGTGGTACGCCTCCATCACACTCCTAGTCAGTGGAGGGTTGTGGTAGTGTACGTAGTAGACAGACGAGATAAATCTCAATTTAAATGCCCCCTCTATTTATCAGCCCTCCCTGGGGTATGGGAACTTAGTGTATTGACGGTCCAGCCTATTAAATCTAGTGCTTCCACGGTCATCTCGGATCAGAAAACCTTGTTTTCACTTCACTTCTTACTTAAATCCGGAAACTAAGAGGCGTAAGCAGGAATCAAGAGTGGTGGCCCGTCATCATGGCATCTCCAACGCACGATCAGGATGACGCTGCACAATACCGGGAAATAAACGACGGACAACCTTCACTGTCTCAAGCGCCGGCCGTGATTCCAACGCTGAACCTTCCTCGAGAGGTAGGAGCATGCAGGTGTGAGCTATTTCAATGGTAACATAGGCTAAATGGTGTATCAGGAAAACGATGATAACTCTGCCGGGGATAATGATTCTGCGATTGATATTGAAAGCTATAGGTAAAACACGTATCTCTCCTGTGCTCGCGCTCGCATGCTTATGAAGGACCTAGGAGTTCTACGTATTCCATTACATCTAGTGTCGCTGAAAGACTTGAGGAAAATGGGCGTACTTACCATACTTATAAGGAAGGCAAATACATGCTCCCGAATGACGAAACGGAGTTGAACAGATTAGGTTCGTTTTTAAAGACAAATCGGATGAGTGAATGGGCGATCTCTGATGCAGCGCAGATCTTCAACACCGCATGTGGGAGATCACGCTTGATGATCAGCTCCACCTAGCACCGCTCGAGCCATCTCCACAACGGGTACTGGATATCGCTACGGGTTCGGGTATCTGGGCTATCGATTTCGCAAACAAATACCCGTCCGCTGTGGTTACCGGTACTGATCTGTCAGCCGTACAACCAGAATAGTACGTTATTGTCAGAGGCGAGTATGTAAGCTGCGTGTAAGTTATAACTAACACGGAGAAGCATTCCTCAAAACTGCGAGTTTCAGATCGACGATGCTGACGATGAATGGCTGTTCTCGCGGCCGTTCGATTATATACATGGGCGCGCCTGCGCTACCTGCTTCAAGTCACATAGAGAAGTTTTCCGGAAAGCCTACGACAATCTCAGGCCGGGCGGGTACTTCGAGATGCAAGACCTCGATTTGCAAACCTCGGAGGATGGCAGCATCGAAGGCACGACGTTAACTGTTATCCAGGAGAACGTGCACGCAGCCTTGGCGTCGGCCGGCATGCGCTGGGATAACGCGAGTAACTATCGGCAGTGGATGGAGGAAGTGGGTTTTGAGGATGTCACGGAGATCGTTTATCGATGGCCTTCCAACCCTTACTGGCCCTCAGACCCTAAGGAAAAAACGTTGGGAGCCTGGTTCTTGGCGCAGGTAGGATGTGGATTGCTCGAGAGCGTGTGTACGAGGATCTTCATGACAAAATTGGGTTGGTCGAGGGAGCGGCTGAATGAGTTTCTCACGAAAGCTGAGAAGGATTTGAAGGATCGCAAGATCAAAGCGTATTCCCCGGTGTAAGTGCTTCGGATTCCAAACCCGAAGGATAGACGGTGAATGTGCTAATTTTACATAGGTATGTTGTATACGGCCGCAAGCCGAGGACACTATCGGCTGAATAAAGTGGGAGTACAAAGTAAACCGGCAGTGACCGACCTACACCTGGGTTATCGTAATTCACCTTGAGTACATACAAAAAACTGCCTCTGACCATGTATAACACTTAAGCCAATTTTTGATAATTGCATATTAATTGCCCCGACTCTCCTTGTTGGTAGTCGTTACTCTTTCGTATTCTGCTACTCATGCATCGAATGAAGGCCAGAGAAGTTGCATGTCATCTAACCTCGAAACGCCTTTACGACTCGATGGCGCCGGGGCTGGAGGCTCACATACTCGAAGAGGACGATGTTCTTTTGGTCAAATTACAGAGTTCAAGGCATCAATCAATTGGACGTGTTAAGCTAGATATTAGCGAAAGCCAGTAGTAACACAAGCTTTCACCGGATCGATTCGCGGAGAACCTGGAAAGGAATAATCAATCTGAGTACAAGCAGACTCATATCACGGTATCGGCACCCTCACTAAGCCCCCTTTGTGGTGGGCGCGAAACGATCCGCATGACTAACGAGCCTCAGGTGGAGGACCACCCGGACCACCCGGACCTCCGCCATTGCCTTGCTCAACACCACCATCTTCGTAGTAGATGGCGGCCGGGTTGATGGTGCTACGCAGCGTTGTATCGACACCCAAAGTTAACCAGGCCAGGAAGCCATCCTCGATAGTATCGCCGATCAGGACATAGTTAAATACGGGATCATTGTCATTCTCGACCTCAGCCGCAAAGACGCGGTCGTCCTTGTTCAGTGTGACCTGCTTCGTGTTGGCGTTGTAAGGCTCCAGAAGCTCGACCTGGTCCCGGACCGATTGATCCCAGAAGACTTGGCCGATATGGGACGCCGACAGATCAAAAATGGTGCCGTTGTCTCGGGCGGTCGCGTTGGCGTGGAGGATAGTGTGGATGTGTGTCGCGCGTCCGCCGTAGTGACCCTTGGATTTCATTAGTCCGCTAACATCTCACATGTTCTAAGGTACAAAGGCATGCTCACGGGAAAAAGAGTGTCAAACTGCGCAACACCATCCTCGTCGGTAGGCTGAATGCCACGGAGCCAGGTCGCATCTAGAACGGAGACGTCCGCGGTGTTTCCGTTGCCACCGTTCGTGGTTCCAGAATAGACACCAGTAGTGTTGCAGTTGAAAATTTCATAATACGCCCCGGAAATTGGCTCGCAAGTCGTAGCGTCAAGAATCTGGAAGTCGTAGTGAACCGGAATACCTGCCTCGGCTTCGGCCAAGTCAGTACGAATGTACTCGCCAGCAACGTCTATTCGTATGTTAGTGTTCCTGGTCAGACCCACCTGGATTTGAGACGAAAGCTTACAGTAAGGGCCGCTTTCTCCCTCAGGAGTCAGCACACATGACTTATTGGTCGCAAATAGCTCCGCGATGGGCGTGTCCAGGTCGTACCCCTTGGCAGTCTGGTTGTGGTCGGTATTGAGGACAGACTCAAGATCACGACGAGTCTTGATACCGCGCTTCTGGCGCAGAGCTTCCACTGTCTCAGCCCGGCGCTTGACAGCACGTTCTTCGAGTCCGCGGGCCTTTATTTTGGCTGCGCAGTGGCTGACATCGCTACGGGAGTATTTCAAGAATTCTGCTCGGCGAGCGAGCTCCTGGTCGATGCTGCCGCTGCCATGAGCTGAGACCAAGGTAGACGCAAAAACGCTGGTGAAAACGATGGAGAAGCGCATGTTGAACTGGATAATTAGTGTTAAACTGCGTTTTGTCCCGTTATCATGCCGTGTGAATAATCTTTTTGAAGAGTGCTTTGGAGATGTTATATACTTGTTTTCATCATTGCTTCTCGCTTGTTACTCAAGATTACGGTCCCGCGGGCCCGAGATTATCGTAATTCTCCATGTGACAGGACGTTCTCAGTATAATTAGACAAGTTTCATCCACGAAGAGTCATCGCTTGGTTTCGGAAGAATTCGAGTGGGATCCATGGTCAATATGCGGGCTGTTGCAATGTCATTGAGTAGCTGTGCAGCGGCCATTTTTCCCAAATCCTGAACAGCGGTTGTCTCTTGGATCTTGGTAAAGGTAATCATAGATTGCCAGAATCTATCATCCTAATTGATATCTCAAACTAAGCTCTGGCAATGAGCATCATTTTATTGACCATATGGTTGCTGAGCTCTACAGGCAACCATGAGCATTATCGGATACTAGTGAAACTATTGGATCGCTCCTACGAACATCACAAAAACAGAATAAGTAAGTATTTCGCTCTCAGTGCCCACTCGTATATATCCATGAACCATGGTCATCGTACGAGACGTTGAGCAATCTAACTGGGCCAATTGAGCCGCCAACTTCCTCATTGGTGTTCCTGGAAGCGTTATATGTTGCAACGTTAATGGTCTTGGCGGCGCCAATCAGTACACTCGTAATGCAAAGCCGCGTAAGCTACTTGGTGAGGGTCTGTAAGCTCAATCTTGCCAGTTCACATGCATGGTGTTTCCTCCATATTGTGTATTTAGACGACCCAGTGCGCTTTCATGAGGAGCAAGGCGATCAATGCTCTGTTCGCGTATCCTTGAATGTGATGCCCACAGACTTGTCATTATGTAGCAATGATATGAAAGAGCGCCTTTGAGGTTTGTAGTTTATTATAAAGATATAATAGAAGCTAGAGCTTGAGGGCGTAACATTTGAAGATATGGCAAATATGGCCATGCCATTGATGGTGAGGGTAGTGCTTTGGTATTAAAAGAGTCCCTATGGAGAGCAGAGCTACCGGGAAAATGATGCCTTGTTTCTCTATATATTCAAGTAATCAGGGATCAATTCCCTGATAGTAGAGGCATGGTAGATCTAGTAAGCTTGGTAGTCTTTACAAAAGTTGAAATAAAAAGATCATGCATATCTATTCATGATGTCCCAAAAGGTTAATCAAATTCAACTTACCACCACATCTGCTGGTGGTGCAGTTCCTTATTGTATTACGAAAAAGATTCGAGGGTAAAATGTTTATTGCTAAATTTCATAGTATGATGTTCGTTATCTTAACAAGCAAAGGCAGATATTCGATTCGTATAGAGAGAGAGACCGAAGGTAATTAAACTATGGTAAATGCCTTTACTTACTTTCCCCTTCTACTAAGGTTAGTACATATAGTAAGTGAATCAGGGCTAAAGATCGCCAGCCTTTAGCGTATGCTCCCACAACGTACCACACCACGAAAACCCCGCCCCCAAATACCTAATGCAAATGTTACCGCCCATTCATGAAATTGCAGTTGGCCACCAGAAACCCCTACGAGTCATTCGTTGCGTTATACTGATCTTCTCGCATACATACTCCTAAGAACTACTAAAAGTTTTTGGGTGGGTGGGTGTGTGTGTGTGTGTGTGTGTGTGTGTGTGTGTGGCGCGTGACTGAACGGCATTTGTGAATGCAAGCTAACATGCCCCCTTTAGACCAAAACCATACTGCTCTGTAGCACACACAATCCAGTCGAACGCCCCTCGAGACTCTATGTTCAGGGGTACCTTGCTATTTCGTCCAGCTCTGTCTCGCTTTGGTCCAGTCTTGCTCCTAATGTATCTTTGGCCATTGTATGGCTAGGCATGGGAGGGGGGTCAAGCTCAAAGGCAAAGAGACTGGCGATTAGCCCGGCTGCAGAGATGCAAATCATGACCTTGATATCATCGGTGAATGCGGTTGCATATGACGTTTTGACTTTTTGTTGGTTTTCGATCGTAAAATATTGCACAACGAGAGGGTTATGTTGAAGCGCACGTAGGTCCTCAGGCGGAATAGTTTCAGTGAGGTCGCTCTGAATCTGCGTATTGACAATGATCACTGGATTGATCAGTGTCAGAAGTGGACGACGGCATGGCACAGCGCCATACCTGTACATTCGTTTGAATCTAGCGTGATGCTAGATTGCGAGACGGGAAAGGAGATTGTCGGCTCAAGGAACCTTCTGGTACTCACTACAAACAGCTATACCAATAGCACCACCAAAAACGCGGGCTTGCGCTATAGCACCCTGTGCTACTGCAAGATCTTCAGGATGCGAACGAACGGAAATAAGAATTGTAGCAGATGCGAAAGACAGTCCGACACCGAGACCGAAAATTGTCTGATATCCATACTGGGCCTCGATTGCAGTTAGGACATTTGAAAGTGTCGAAAGAAGACCGACCCCTATTAGCTGCAGAGACGAGGCTAAAATGAGCGTAATTGCTGTATTATTTCGTTTTGACGAAATAGCCCCTGCAAGAAATGATCCGAAGGCGCAGGCACCGAGTTGTGGAAGAAGGTGAATCCCCGCCATCAGCGAATCGTCGCCATTGACGATCTGGAATCTTTCAGGGAGAATGATAATGATCGCCAAGTATGCAAACCCAGAGAAGAAAGAGCAACTAAAAACATTAGTAAACCAGAGCCAAAATCAAAGGGGTATATACCTTAGCGCTGCAACAAAAGGTCGTTGCAGCACCAATCGCATTGGAAAAACCGGCTGGATAGATTGGTATCGGTAATATCCCAAATAAACCTCCCAGCTAATAAATAATGCCCAGCTAACAGCTGCAAGTGATAAAGTTAAAACAATAACCGGATCATGCCAAGCATAATTGAAAGTGCTAGCTTCTTGCAAGGAGTAGATGAGAAAACTCGAAGCCGAGAGTATCAGGATATTGCCGACCATGTCAGCTTTGCGTAGAATTTCGTATAGGCCGCCTCGGGCTACGTATGTCCCTTTTGGCCATGCAAAGAATATTCCGACAAGAGCTGTGATACCGAAGGGAACACTTCACGATGATTAGCTTCGTGAGCCACGATCAATGGAGCTTCATCATACTTGACGTAAAAGATCCACCTCCAACCTGCAAACCTTGTGATTATACCGCCCAATATTGGTCCTAGAACAAAGGAAATGGCAAGCGTCATCCCGATGAGAGCTCCTAGAAGGCTTGGCTTGTCTGAAGGTCCGACTTCAAACAGTCCAATTTGGGCTAGGCTATAGAGGCCGGAGCCACCAATGCCTTGAAAGGCACGGTATATGATTCTTGGATTGTGAATATCAGCTAGGATACCTGAAGATTCCCAGTGTGATTATAGACATACAGAGAACGCATATCCGATGCTAAACCGCAGGCAAGAGAGAACCCTGCAAACAGTGTCCAGGCTGCGGCAAGCAAAGCTTTTCGCCCAAATATATCGCTAAGCTTGGCAAATAAGATGGCAAACCCTAATCAAAAGTCAGTAGGTGAAGAGCGAGAGGACTACATTTCTGTGGCAACGTGCCCATGTATGCCAGCAAGTAAGATAGGGCAACCCATGGAGAGTTTAGGAAATCATGTAGGTCCACCGATATGGACACAAGAGAAGTGCTGATGATAGACGCGTCGATACTCGAGAAAAGCAAACCCAGCAATAGTCTAGTAGTGTGAGTATGACTTGTAGGCAAAACTGTTCCGACTCAAGTAACTAACATGGCAACAAGTGTTGTCTGACGTTGGCGGCTCAACGAATCTTCACCATAATGTTCATCGCCCTGGGAACCAGGGCGCAAAGAGTCTTCCATCGAGTCGCTTCTAACGAGACCGCTGAGGTTTCGATTGCGGTGCCGATTTGCCAAAACGAGGAATCTTGTTGATCCAACGATTAGTTCCGAGAGAAACGTCTCGACTGTCCGCAGTGCTGGATAGTTGTTTGAATAGAAGCTTTTGTGGTCTTGGAGCTGGTCCGTACGTCAAAAGTAGATATTTCAGGTGGATGACGCTTCGATGATCCGCCAATGTGTAAACGTTCCAAAGTGGCGACGGAAAGTCCAGACTACGCAGTGGAGACGACGACTTTACGATCGCAACTGCGAGTGCATGAAGGTAGCAACTGCCACCAAGGGTACCTCGGAAGCGGTTTCCATCAAGGTCAAAAACCTCAAAAGATGGTCATTCTCAGAACTGTCCGAAAACGCTATATAGGCGCAAAACCTTTTTTCTGAAGTATTTGTTCCGCAAACGGATGGAATTGGCTGTTGACTGATATAAGTACACAATTGCTTGATCCAGGCGGAAAGCTACGCTGTCATCCAATTAGCCTAAGATTTTATATCTTAAACCAAGATGATGAGAACAGACTGACTTGCCTAATGTATGGTCAAACTGTCTGTTGTGGAAAGTGTCTTATCCGAAAGGAATGCACGACGGGATCGTACCTACAAGGAAGCATAGAAAAGTTGAGCACCGCTGAATTTGTAGACCTGTTGAGTACTACAACTTTTCTTCACAGTCCTTGAGTAAATACTTGTTTCGCGTGTATTGCACAAAAGTTGAATGTGGACGGTGACGGGTGCTGTGCTATGTGTGACAAAACATTTCGGGTAGCCGAGGTTTCTAATGTAGCACGAGATCTGCTCGACTTGGATTGAAAACTGTAACATGTTAATGACATTGTTCGTTGGCATACACGCGTTTCAAAGACGGGCCTGCATAAAGACAGACCGCAAGATTTCAAAGTCTAGTGAAGGGGAGAAATCTTTTACAGATGTGCGAAGCTCTTTAGAAGCAGCAGAATCTGTCTGGTGTGAGAAATTGACAAGACTCGGCAGTTGCAGATAGATGTTTTGGTCCTGCTGATCATCTATAAATTCAGAGAATATCTAAAAGTCGGATTCGAGGTCTGACATATTAGAGTCAGTATTTACTTTGCCTCGTAATGCGGATATACGGCGTCATGGAAATGATCCAATACGAAGTTGCGGCACGCTCGTAAAGGCGGCTAACGTGTCTATGTACTTATTTGGGACAGCAACCAGGACTCGATCAGAGTTGTCGCAGAGCGGTTAACTAAACCGGTATTAAATATCAGCTATGGCAAGTCCCTGAGAGATCATGCGGATTCCCGCCTCATGGAATGTTAAACAAGGTCAGCTCGTTGAACAATGTTTGAGGACGAAACACCTGCTTCAAATAGTTGAGAGAACAGTCTTGTATAATACCAGCGCATTAAAAGCGGGTAATATTAAGCTGTCTTCTGCATTCTCGCAAATTTCTTTTTTTCAAAATCGGGCTCATCGATCCTCCGCACGTAGGGGGACGGGGGGTGGATATCAGACTATTAGTCTGGTAGAAAACCTCATTGAGAGCATACAAGTATGTTATTTTGACACAATACCCGGTTCTCATCATTTTACCGAGACATTGGTTCGTATGCAGTAAGAATGGTTGGATGCTCATATCGCACACCGCCTCCATCCAAATCAGGCATTGCTTGGTGAAATCGCTACCGCTTACGGAAGACAGTTGAGCTACTTGTCCACAGATAGATGACAAATCATCAATTTAATTTGGTTGGGTTTTCAGCATCTTGCCCTTGCCATTCAGCCATAGACCGCGTTATGCAAGCGAGTTACTGGTTCTGGGTCAAGTTTCTCCTTCCGCAACAAGCTGGTGACACCATAGGCTGCGCCCCAGCAATAAGTCTTAGGCGCCGACGAGGTATTGGCTAGAATGCGATGCACAACATACAAGTACTTGTTGCATATGAGGGATCTTTTGAGCAGCAGGTTATCACACCTGCGAAGAGGTTCTCAGATAGTCAATTGAGGGTTCTTGCATGATAAGATCGCGGCAAAGGTCCAAAGCAGTCATACGGACGCAATCATAAGGAGAATGCGTAGAAAGCGGATGGCGCATAATTTTGTACTACGTGTGGATTGACCTCCAATTCGGTCGTTGAATATAAAGCGGGGGTTGATACCTTGGAAGCGTTGGACGCCCTCCTTATTGCCAAATATGCTGAACTCCGAGCCGAGACAGCATTGTTCATTTCACCTAACCTAGCTAGTTCCCATTCTTGAAAAATTGCCCATTCTTCGGAGCATACCAAGTATGCTATGTGCGAGGGGGGCATCTGCATGATCAAGCACAGAGTCACACTCATTCTCACCGGCACAGCATGCGAGCACCGTATGCCTGTAATCATCCAACTGGCCTCCTTTGCGCTTGCGAGAATGAAGCTATTGCTGACGTTCGCATCAATAGAGTGACGCTATCGATGCAATGAAGCAAGCAAACTCCTTGATACACCTAGCCTGCACGATTTGAAGAGACCAACTCATCAGCAACCAGACCCAAGCATGGCGATCTATTGTACCGGCGCTTACGTACTCTCATCAATCGTAGCGTCCACTGTGACCGCTTGAGATAGTGAGCGGTTGAGTCAATTACACTTACGCATCACGCTACGATGCTAGAGCTCGACAGAGGCACAACACAGCGCATGTGTCAAAGTTAGTCTTGTGTCCAATCAGAACTTTGCCTCTTTATCAATACATTGACAAACTCAACGACTTCGGCACGGTAGGCAATCTTGAAAGTCGGCTTCTTGCTGTCAGATTTCACGATGAACTACAAGCTTTTCTGTGCCGATCAAACGACCGTTGGATCACCACCGAACATATAGCACGGTTTCATAAGGCTATCCTGTCCATAACTTACACAGTTTTTTTTTCTTCTTCTTGGTACTTTGTCGATTTCGCCACTGTATATGGATGACTGATAAATTGCCCAACTAAATATCTAGTACAACGTTCCAATGTACTAAGCAAAACTTGAGCTGAACTTGAAACATAGTCTTGGGGGAATGGGCGATCACCATGCTCAAACTCCTAAGATTTCACTTTTTCACGCAATTTGGTCGAAATTCCTTGTCACATGCCAATCATCAATCAGCATCAAATGGCATGTGCAGGATTCAACTAAGTAGTCACATCCGATTCGGTGCAAACATGGAACACCAGGCACGACAAGCTTCTCATACCTCCACTAGACTAGGCATGAACCTGACCATGTTACGGACGTATACTGAACGAACTGTCGATACCGAACCTCCCTTACTTAGCTAGAAGGGCCTTTTCCACCCCTTCGGATCACAACATACTAATTTTCCTTCATAAACATTGTCCAGCACATCAAACCCGCAAAACGGTAATCGCCATGTTGGTTGATTTCAATTAATAGCCAGTCACTTCCCACACTCTGGTTCATTATCTACATCATGCAACATAGTTGGAGCATAACAAGTGATTGGACTTTGAGCTATGTCTAACATCCCTGGTGGTCCCTAGCTCAGACAAGAGTTTGGGGTTCACTATCGAGCCGCATAACTGCTCTGCGGCCACGCATTTGCCCAGGTCGTGTTGCCACACTCGCTTTAAAAGTAAGCGCCGCCATGGGATATGGACCTCAAAGACAGGCGATCTAACAACTCCATGATTAATAGTGCTCCATCAAACCTTGAACACTGGCTTCCGGCTCGACCTTTATTTAGCATGTGGTCCCGCCAACTAAGATCTTAAGACTACCAACAGCCTGTCAACCGTGCATATTATGGCAATTTGCCGGCGGCCTGTGCCTCTCCGTCCGGTCTCGCCACGGATAGGCTATGTCTGTCGACACATGGTCGGGGTGCAGTCAGCAGCAATATGCGGTCACAGTCACATCTCACGATCTTCTTAGTTGACCGTGGGTGGAATAATTGGCCAACTTGATTTCGTATGGTCGACGCCGCACTCACAATGATGGCAATGTATTCTGTTCCTCATCTAATTCGGTGGAAAATAGGATGCGACATCGTGATCTTGTGAGTTCACTGGCTTGTTCCCTTTATGTTTTCTTGGCGCCTTAGTGCTTATAACCCGCCTCAGCCCCTTAAACAATAAGTATATTGTGTTGGTTGCATGAGTTTCTGATGTGAGGTTACCACCGTTGTTTGGATCTTATGTGTCCTTCGCATCAAACGTCTCGAGTTGATACTTTTCTATTTGTCATGAAAGCCTTGCACGTCCGCAAGAACAGAGTACAAATATTATCTTGATATAACCGCACCCGTGCGCCACTCGTCGAGGTCTCTTGGTGTCAACAGCTATCGAAGCATAGTACAAAGTTACTTGCCACATGGCCGGTCACATATTGGCTCAACTGGTCTTCGTATCCTGACAAGATTTATCATATGAAATTTTGAATATGACGACGAACTATTGTTGGATCATCAAGGCAACTGGCAATGAATGTGGATGGACAAACTAGCCTTGTTGAGACCTCAATGTTCCCACACGAAGTAACTGTAAACACCACCGGAAGGAGCTGGTTTGGAAGGCGCTACTCATTTTGCCAAATTTGAAGTTGTCATCCAAGTATTGGCCACCTGACCTCAAGCCTGGTATCGACGAGGAGCTTGAGCTCAACCTTTGTAAACAGGAGCAGCACAGCATCAGTCCACGCGGCAACAAGTCGATGAAATCTCTCTAACATATTATCATATCAACAGAAGGATGTTTTTTTCTTTTTTCTTTTCATGAAGTTGTGATTTACCAAGCAATATCAACTTCATTCACGGCACTCTTTTCATTGCCAAAGCAAATCGCTTTTTCTCTCTTTCATTGTCAGAATAACACTGTCGTTCAACCTAATTGCAACCATGGAGGTGGCACCACCAGATAAGATAGAGCCAATTGCTGTTGTCGGCCTCGGGTGTCGTTTTCCTGGTGATGCGACCTCACCTCAAGCTCTCTGGGATATGCTATTGCGTGGTGACAGCGCGTGGTCGGAATTTCCTGAGAACCGTGTTAGAATATCAGCATATTTCCACCCAAGTGCATCACGGCAAGGGGGTGTAAGACCAACGTCAAACCTTACAATTGCCAGGATTGCTTACACGTAACAGATATGTTTTCGTGGAGCTCATTTCCTGAAACAGAATGTAGCTGCATTCGATAGCTCAGTAAGTCTGGATACCATAGCAGAAACCCAGGAGCCTGGTTTAACAGCTTCCCCAGTTCTTTAGCATCCCCGCCGATGAAGCAAAAGCTGTCGATCCTCAGCAACGTATGTTACTTGAAGTTACCGTAGAAGCTTTGGATAGTGGTAAGTCACTTGACCACCTCTTGCGCCTTAGGGAAGCAACTAACATATGTGCTAGCTGGCATTGATCGCAATGCTATACGCAAATCAGAAACAGGAGTATGGATAGGTTCATTTGTCAAAGGTACCCGCAGATTTCTTAAATGAACAATATCAGAGCTCATAAGGAATAGATTATGAACAAATTAGCCTTCGTGACTACGACAATCAACCGCAATATGGTGCAACGGGTAACGGTACTGCGATCATGTCTAACCGTATTTCTTACTTCTTGGACGTCAACGGCCCCAGCATGACGATTGACACAGGTTGCAGTGCTAGTCTTGTGTGTGTGCATCAAGCTTGTCAAAGTCTTATTACCCGGGAAACTGACATGGTAAGTATCAATTATGCCTCTAACTCAAGTCCCATCGCATCTTTTGGACGCAGACTGATTGAGACTAAGGCCATTGCCGGTGGTGCTGGCTTGATATTGACGCCGAATACCATGATGCCAATGACTGCATTGAATTTCCTGAGTCCAGACGGTAAATGCTACACTTTCGATGCTCGTGCCAATGGCTACGGTCGTGGAGAAGGTATAGGCATTGTTATCTTGAAGCGGCTCACCGACGCAATACGCGATAACGACAACATCCGCGCTGTCATTCGAGGCACCCGCCTCAATCAGGATGGCAGGACTGCTGGTAGGCGCTCCGATCTCGTAGATTACGTCTTATGAAAATATCTGACTGATGGACTGCAGGTATAACACTGCCGAGTACGGAGGCTCAGATAAAAAACATGCGAGGCGTCTATGAGCGTGCAGGACTTGACCCTGCTAGGACTGCATACGTTGAATGCCACGGAACGGGCACGCAAGCAGGAGACACGCGAGAGTTGAGAGCGCTCTCCCAAAGCATTTGCAGCACACGCACATTCGAAAAGCCTGTTTATGTCGGCTCGATTAAGACAAACATGGGTCACCTTGAAGGCGCCGCCGGCGTTGCCGGCCTTATCAAGGGCATTTTGACTGTGGAAAAAGGCATGATTCCCAAACATATCAACTTTGAGGCCCCAGGCAATCCTGCTATCGATTTTCAGGGCTGGGGAATCAAGGCACGTTGATCCCCACTTCTATATCTGGTCCTGGTTCCTTATTGACTGTTATCATTTACTAGGTACCTATTGAAAACACTCCCTGGCCAGTTACTGGTCTCAGACGTGCTAGTGTGAACTCATTCGGCTTTGGTGGGACCAACGCTCACGCGGTCATTGATGATGCCGCTCACTACCTTGCGGAACGTGGTATTTGTGCCAGCCATAACACAGCATTCCTTGGCGATACCCCAGACCCTTCTTGCAGACCATTGCATGAACGTAAAGCAACCGCCATGGCTGTCAAGGCCTGGAGGAGAACTGCTACGCACCAATCTCAGGGTGAATCTGTTCCACAACCAGAGTCGAAGTCACATGTCTTTGTTTTCTCCGCTCATGATCAGCACTCGCTCCTGCGCATGGTTCAGAACCAGGCACAGTACGTTTCAATGAGCTTCGTTGACTACTCTGATCCAACTCACATTCTGGAGAACCTTGCCTATACGCTTGGATGCCGGAGGACGAAAATGAACTGGAGGACATCTGTTGTTGCAAAATCGCCCGAGCAACTTGTGACGAAATTACTAGCCTTGAAAAAGTCAGATGTAACTCGAACATCTGAAGATAAACGACCCAACATTGCTCTTGTATTCAGCGGCCAAGGTGCTCAGTGGCATGGGATGGGTCGAGAGCTACTCGGTTTTGATGTTTATCTGGAATCTATCGCCGGTGCATCAAAGTACATGACTGACAAGCTGGGCAGTGAGTTCAGCCTACTTGCCGAGCTTTTGAAGGATAAGAATTCTTCGAGGATCAACAAGCCCGAAATTTCCCAAACAGCCACTACTGCGGTTCAGATTGCCCTAGTCGATTTCCTGATTCATCGTTGCGGCATCATTCCGACGTCTGTAGTTGGGCACTCTTCAGGAGAGATCGCTGCTGCTTATGCTAGTGGAGCAATCTCGCGCGAGAATGCGTGGGAACTAGCATATTATCGTGGCCTTGCCGCCAAATCTCTAACCGACATCAAGCCCTATGTGGAAGGTCGGATGCTGGCCGTGGGACTATCGGAATTTGAAGCTGGTGGGTACCTGGGAAATGCAGCAAAAGGACGCATCACCATTGCTTGTATCAACAGTCCCTCTTCTGTGACTCTCTCGGGCGATGCTGACGCCATCGAGGAGATTCAGCAGATGCTTAACCGCGATGGAGTGTTCAACCGCCTTTTAGTCGTCGACATCGCCTACCATTCTCACCACGTATTACGGTGCGCGGATGGTTACAGTAATTCAATTGCACATATACTTTCAAGAGAGCCAGCGCGTAGCGTCTTGAAACATCCATATGCAAGAGGCAAACTTCTGAACCCTTCTGACCTTGACATGGACGCAACAAAGCCAGATCAAATTCCAGAAAATGAGACTACAACAGTATTCTCTTCCGTCACGAGAAACCCCATTGATTGGCAATATCTGAATCCTGCATATTGGAGAGCCAACTTTGTGTCACCCGTTTACTTCCACGGCGCAGTGACGACAATGATGCACCGTGAAGATGGCAAGAAGCCGGATATCGTCATCGAGGTGGGACCCCACGCAGCCTTGCAGGGCCCTCTCCAACAGATATTCGATTCAGACCCCATCATTCGACAGCCTCCCAAGTACTTTCCCATGTTGAAGCGTGGTGAGGATGCGACGATGACAGTTCTTGAAACTGTTGGTGAGCTCTGGGCCAGAGGTTGTAGGATTGACTTGGGCTGGGCCTTGATGCGCAACATACAGATGCAAGGCCCAAGAATGCTGGTAGACTTACCCAATTATCCTTGGAATCACGAAAGCTTGCACTGGTATGAGTCACATTTATCCAAAGCCAACCGTCTTGGTAATCATGGAAGGTACGATCTTATTGGCCGTCCAACTCCTGATTCTATTCCTTTCCAACCACGTTGGCGGGGCTTCTTGCGCGTTATGGAAAATCCTTGGATAGAGCATCATCGAGTCCAGAAAACCACGATCTACCCTGCGGCAGGAATGATTGCCATGGTTCTGGAAGGCGCCAAACAAGTCGCTTCAGTCTCAGCTGCAGGCATCGAAATTTCCCAGTTCACAATAGAGAAAGCAATGATGATTCCAGCGACAGAACATGGCTTGGAGTATGCTCTGAACATGAGCAGGCAGGAGACCGAGAGAAGACGCACGCCGCACAAGTCAAGCTATGCTCAACTTTCAGCGGCACCTTCGACATCCTATGAGTTCTCGATCTACTCGAAGCCCTTTGACGGGGAGTGGCAACAGCATGGCTCCGGTATTGTAATCGTCTATCATAAAGTAGATGCTGCTGATGGGTTGACTGGTCATCAGAATTCATACGAGAGCGATCTTAGAACAAAGCACCATTATGATAGATACCTCTCTGCGAATCAATTTTGCGATAACCCGGTCATACCTCGCCAGCTGTACGAAGGACTTGACGTAATTGGAATGAACTACGGTCCCCTCTTCCAGAACATCATCTCTTTGAGCAAGCGAGATGATACATGTGCTTTCGTGGTCCGCATTCCGGACATCAAAGCTATCATGCCAGAGCAGTTTGAATACCCGCACATTGTGCATCCAGCAACGCTCGATAGTGTCTTTCAGACTGCTTTTAGTTTTGGCAGCGACTCAATGGTGCCATCTTACATCAGCAGCATTTATGTATCTATGGACCCTCCACTACCAAGCGAAGCCGGGAACGAATTCGTCGGATACGCTAAAGCTAAGCATCAAGGTCTTCGGGAGGCAAGCGTCAGTTTTACTCTGTCGGATCACTCTTGGAGAGATTCGGTCACAGCTACCATTCAGCCACCACTTGTGATTATCAAGGACATGAAGTTTACTCGTGTTTCCACAAACCTAGATCTCGGCGCGGCTCGATTCATTCCTGACCACCACAATTTATGTTCCCAGATTATCTGGGAACCAGTACTTGATCTTGATCTTGAACTTCCGCTTCGGCAAGGTATCACTCAGCTATCAGGATTAGTTCAAATACTTGTACCCGAAGAAATGGACTGCATCCTTGCATCCTTGTGTGAATTATTTTGCGAAAGGTTGAACTGCACATCCATTACACTAACACAGATCAAGGCAGGTCACAAACAGTCTGCGTATTGCTTGTGCTTGCTTGAATTACTTCCAGAACATAGTTTTATCTACGACTGGTCTGAAGATGATTACAACGCCATTAGAACTTTGTTTAGCTCCACGAGAGGCTTGCTTTGGGTTACAAGGGACGCCCAGATTGACCCAAGTAATCCCAAGGCAAGCATGTTCCAGGCACTTGCACGCACAATTCGCTCCGAAACTCCAAAGACAAACTTGGCAACCCTCGACATTAGCAAGGACACCAACCTTGTTGACCACAAGACATTGGAGTTGATAACAGCACTTTCCCTGTCAGTTTTTTTAAACGGTACCCAAGTTGAGTCTCGGGACACTGACTTTGCGGAGCGTAATTCCCAGTTATTGGTGCCTCGACTCCAGACCATACCATCGCTAAACAGGCTGATGGAGCAGGGCAATGTTCCATCAGAACCAATCACGGGGCCAATGACACACCATCAAGGCCGCTCTCTGAAACTGAAAATTGCAGAGATAGGTCATCCGGAGACTTTCTACTGGGACGATGATCAAAAAGCTTGTGGACCTTTAGCTACAGATGCTGTCTCAATCAGGGTTTTATCAGCTGGGATCAGTGATCTCGATGTAAATGTCGTTGCAGGTCGTACGCGGGATCATTCCCTAGGAACTGATGCTTATGGTAGCATCGAGGCTCTCGGCCAAGATGTTCATGGTCTCAATGTGGGAGACCGCGTGCTTGCTGTCGTGCGTGGTTCTCTTCGACAAAGTGTAATGTGTCATTGGTCTTTAGTACAGAAGGTCCCACATGACACTGATGCTTCGGTTGTGGTTCTTCCTACTGCTCTTGCTATGGCCGACTATACAATTCATACACTAGCATCACTTAAAACATACCACAGCATTCTTATACACGCAGGCGCAACTTCGTTCGGGCGCGCTGCGATAAGATTTGCACAGCACATTGGCGCTGAAGTTTTTGCTACCGCTATGAACGGCGCACAACGCCACGTGCTCGAACACGACTTTCAGATTCCGCGGGAAATGATTCTGGATGGCAACAACAACTCATTCATAGAGCCATTACTCCGCCTGACTCTTGATAAGGGTGTGGACGTCATTTTCGACCCAACTTCGGATTATCGCGAGTCGAACCGTCAATGCGTGGCTAACTGTAAGCACTACCTCTCAGATATATTGTCATAATAAGTACTAATCGAGCTCGACAGTGGGACACGTTATTAGTCTCACAAGAAAGGACACAGTCCAAGGCCAAGTCGTTGACTTCACCGGCAAGAGCTTTACTTTTAGCGCGGTGGATTTCGCCTATCTGATCAAGAAAGAACCATGGCGCCTGGGAGAATCCCTCAAATTCATCTGTTCAAACGACATCAGCAAGTGGCTACCGGATTGCTGTAGCATTCCAAAGGCTTACAGCTTCCAAGAACTGCCACAGGCTTTCAGTGGCCTGGTCGAAGGCGATCAAAGTGACATAATCTATTGCGTAGCCTCGGAAGAAACGGCAGTTCCCATCATGCCACCACGTCAGCGCAGTGTTAAAGAACGTCTCCGTGCGGACGGCACCTACGCAATTGCTGGACAAGGTGGCCTGGGAATGCATATTGCCCGGATGCTGGCAATGAATGGTGTCAAACATATTGCGCTTCTCTCTCGCTCCGGAGCCGCTAGTGATGCTTCCCTGGCAGCCGTCACTTTTCTCGAGCATCGTGGCGTCAATGTAAAGGTTCTAAAAGTTGACATTTGCGATAAGGAGTCGTTGAAGACAGCGGTGGACGAAATCCGGAAGACCATGCCTCCAGTTCGCGGCCTTTTTCAATGCGCTGCTGTCTTACGCGATGCAGTTTTCGACACAATGACGTACGATGGCTGGCAGACAGCCGTTCGCCCCAAAACTACCGGCTCTTGGAATCTTTTCGAGTTATTCCCGCAAGATATGGACTTTCTCATTTTCCTATCCAGTTCGGTCGGCGTCATCGGCAATCGAGGCCAATCCAACTACGCAGCTGGTAACGCATTCCAAGATGCGCTTGCCAGAAATATTAATGGTAAAGGCTCGATGCATTCCGTCTCCATCGATTTGGGCCCCGTTCTGGGAGCCGGTATGTTGACCGAAGATTCACACACACTTGACAAGCTCAAGGCGACAGGCTTCTTCGGCGTACGGCTCCAGGATTTCGAGCGAATAGTCGAGCGGGCGATTACGGGCTACACAGAAGGCGATGAGCGAATGCCACCCCAGGTCGCTATGGGCGTTGGGACGGGGGGCCTTATTCGGCAAAACAAGCCTGCCGATCCATATTGGACTCGTACCGCACTTTTCACACATCTGAATAAAGTTGATATACCACCAGACTCAAATGAAATCAATAGCACCGAGGAGACAGGAGAGCAGACTATTAGAATGCTCCTCACCAATGCCGAAACCATTGATGAGGTTCACGATATTGTGGTCGTCGGTCTTTGCACGGTACTTGCTACTAGTATGGGCAAACAGGCGGAAGACATTGATGACGGTCTCCCGCCAAGTGCGTACGGCGTAGACTCCCTTGTCGCTGTCGCAATGAGGAATTGGGTCTACAGAGAGTGCGATGTGGATGTCTCCGTGTTCGAGATACTGAGCGATTCAAGCATTTCACGGTTTGCCAAAATAATTGTCGAACGAAGTACTTTCGGAAAGACGGCGTTATAACTAACGACTGGTAGTCATGTCCTTGCTGACAATACTTTCTCCCGCATGAAACGAGAATATTCAGAAGAATAAAAGGGTGAAAGGAATAGGCGATTACTCCACTTTTCTTAGGCTGGGAAAAGACGAAGGATCGCAGATATTTTCACATCTCGCTCGTTTTCGGATATCGCCAAGCTTCAGGAAGTTACTAAGCAAGGCATGATTTGTTGACATTTGGTATGCTTGTCTATTTTAGCGGAAAAGGATAGCCATCTTTTTCGAAATTTGTTGGCATGTTTCTTTCCTCTACTTGCCTTGTCTTCCTGGAATGGCGATAATATTGGGGGGGGGGGGGGGGGGGGTTGGCTTACATAATGTATAATTACACTCAGATATGCGGTCATAAATATTGTTAAATCGTCCTTAAAATTATGCTTAGTTTACGGAAGCGTATTCACTCCAGGCCTCGGGTAGTGCTAGTTCTGATGTGCTTGGTGATGCATGGACAGTGCCAGTCTAATATACACTAATGTTCAGACAGATCCGGTGAACATACTTTCGTGTCATCAGGTTTATTCTTCATCCACGGTTTATTGTAAGATATAGACGATGCCTATATTATGCTCGTCCAACGTCAGCATATTGGGATCATAAAGTCCTTGTCATATCTATGTTGCCGTGCTAACAACGCCGTCTAGCGCTACATTGAGCACCAAATCCTCTTAAAGTGCTACCATCATACCACCTGCCAACATGCCAAGGGCTGTAAGAACCGCCACGACTGCCGCACCCCAATCGGGGGCAGGAAGACTCCTCGCTCCAACGTTGCCGCTGCTGCTTGGGCTCGACGTGCCACTGCCCGTTACCGTGACGGTGGGCAACGCCGTCCCCGAAGCGGTCGTGCTACCTCCGCCCACACCCGGAAGACCCGTTGCTGTCTGCGTAACCGAGACCTGGCTCGCAACGCCCGTGACGTCGGGAAGCTGGGTCGTGCTGTTGGAAATTTCAACGACGTTGCTCTCCGTGCTGTTTAAGTTTGCCTGTGCAATGGCGACTTGCAAATTCTGCAAGTCATAAACTACGTATGCGCTGCGCAAGAATGTATCGCCGAGCAGGTAATAGTCGTCGCTTGCCAAGAGACCAAAAGTGCAAGCGTTGTCGAAATCGACGTCCGAGGGTGTAGCGTAGCCGGCGTCCTCAAGCTCCTGCACGTTGTCGAATATCATTTCATCCGCTGGAACAACGACTGTGGGACCATCCGAGCTGCCAAATTGGAAGGCCATGGTGAGATTTTGGGATAGATATTTGCAGTCAATGTAGGTCAGGCTGTACTCCTCGCTATATACGGCGTCCAATTCCTTGTAGATCTTGTCGACGATGCGAGATGGCAGATACGACAAGGTCGTCCCGGAGTCAAGAACCACTGGCGTCGCACTGTTGAGTGTCACGTCGGATATCCCACTGCCACTCAGGGTAAAATTATTCAAAGGTACAGTGAAAGACGTGATCTGCCCCGATTGCGAGTCCTCTACCAATTTGACGGAGGTCAACTGCCCAATGTACTTCTCTGTATCGATACCACCAAAAAGGATGGTCCCTGTACTTGAGTCATAGTCATTCTGGTAGTTTGTTAGCAATGCCTCCTCTTGCATTGAAGAGTTATTTATGATGAGTGATAGCACACGCTAGTTTGGGAACATGACAACCGCGACCTATCCTATCCAATGCTATTTCGTAGATAGTATACCATATTGAAAGCAAAAGAGAGAAAGAACCTTACCAAATACAAGCTATAAGCCTTGGAACCGATCAAGCCTTCGCTAACAAAAACCTCCATAATATTCGGGTAGGGAGTTCTCGAGGCTTCGTTGGTCGCAAAACCAATGCCCATAATGCCAGCAGGGATCGTGGAGTTGACCGCCAAGCCCATTTGAAGCTGCGTTATTGTGGCAGCTCCAACATAGAAATCTTCCTTGATATAGTCACCCTCGGCACCAGTTCCGTCGACATATTGAATATCAAATGAATTGCTCGAAACCTTGTGGTATGTTGAGCTGTCTGAAGGCTCATCTAAGGGAACGCAAAGTCAGTGCATGTATATGCATATATTAGGCAGACAATCAAGTACACTTCGTCGACGGTGATTCCAGTCCATGTCAATGGTGTATGCTGAATGACCGTGCAAGCCATATTCAACAAGTCGAACAACAAATGTTAAAATAAAGAAGAAGAAGAAAAGTGAGAATGGGAGAGAGACTTACATGTAGCAAGGCAGTAACCGTATCTGTTCTGTCGCGTTGAGCTTCCACACAGGTTTGCATCTCTTGATAGGACCCAGATATCACTGCTTCCGGTATCGAGAATCAAGCTCAAGTTCTGTGGCGGTGTACCAACGGCCACATCAGCATAATAACCAGCGCCCGTGATGTTGTTGAATAAGCTCTGTGTAAAAGTGGCTCGTTTTTGCACCGCAGACGACTTGTGATCCGATCGTTTGATTCCCACGGGCACAACCTTCTGGGCCGCAGCGGGTGGCGCCAAGCCAACGGCGCAGGCCGCTGCCACTGCGAATGTCGACGCAAGCCTCATGGTTTCCTCAATTGACCCTGGTGAAAAGCTATTGCTAGCTGCGCGAGAGAAATGCAAAAATCCAAGAGAAATAATTGACTGGAACATCCAAGCCAAGAATGGTAGAAGAGAGGATTTGCCGTCTTCCCCAGAGGTACATGTCAAACAAAAGAAGCACGCCAAGCTTTGCGTAGGGGAAGCTTGGCTCAGGACACTGATTAAACCCTGGCAGCTGCGCTTGGAGCTGTTGGTTTTAATGACTCTCATGGCATCTTACTGGCTGTGAGCCTTCAAAGACATGGGTAACAGATTGCGTGGCCCAGCGCTAAAAGGGATGCGGCTGCAGCTAGACTTTGGAGGCAACTTTCTTTGCAATTCATGTCGTCATACCCTCATGCCCTCCCAGCACTATCATTGTGCCAGCCCTGACCGCTTCATGCCTTCATTTCAATACCCCAATATTTGACGAGCTCTGTGACATCCTGTTGCTATCATGTAACGCACCTTCGTTTGTTCGCTCGGACTGGAGAACAAACACATAGCCGATCTTATCTGCAGCCACTCCTGGTTTTGATGCGAGTGTATAGTGTCTGAGTTCACGTAGAATAACGACAGTCGAAATCATGTGGTCATACAAATGGTACGAAACAACTTATGCCAAGACGCTGAGCTCGCATCTTTGATTGCAATAACCAACGCGTTTGCCTGTGCAACATAACTACTTCAAGACGTGGGCTGTCCGCATAGAGTTCCCGAGTCATCAGTCACATCTGCACACATCGCGCAGCACGAACGAGAGATCTACTAAACACAAAACATATTCTTATGTGTGTGACGCGAGCGCATAACAGTGTAACAAGTCTAACTCTTTTGAAAATAAATCATAAGAGAAAAATATACGCCCGTCGCTCAAAGGTCCTTCGAGGATATCATATGCCGGCTTGCCCGTGGGTATATCCCTGAACGCCTTCGCAAACTCCAAGTTGACCAATACTTCTTGATATAATGCGCCGAACTACCGAATCTAATTGTCGAGTCATTACACCAAGGAATCCGTCTTAGTCGAATGGTTTAGTTCTGCCTTGAAGACCGCACGTCGAATGTTTGCGAGGGGTTTGGCTTCATGTATGAAGGAAGCACAGAACGTGTGCTCACCGGGCTTGAGGTAAGAGTTGGCGCGCCGCTACTACCCATATAGCCCTGCTCCCCCGAAATAGAAACCTCGTCATCAACATCATATCTTTCGTCTAGACTGCCAAGTATCATCTTGTAGATATTTCCTTCTGCGGGCTCATGATCAATTATGTCTCTAAAATCTCATCAGTCTTGCAATGGGGCTTCATAGCACATATCGAAGGCTTACGGTAGTTGTGTTCCATCGCTCATGGTCAAGTTTTTGTCCATGCGGTCAAGCTCCTCAATGGCGTCTGTGTCATTACCAAACCGCACAAATTGAATACTGAGCCCTCTATTCTCAAGCTGCTCCTTGTGCGTATTTTTGTCGAGCCACCATTCGAGAAGCGACACAATCTGCCGGCTCACAGATTGCTTCTGCTTCACGTCGTTCCATATGCCGTCTGTGAAGATGATCAATGTCAGCTTCTTGCCTTTCTTCTTGAACTGCCTGCTGCCCCAATTGTCAAGAATCTCTCTTAAACTGTCACGGATATCTTCTGCGTTAAGCTCATTCGAAGCCGTCGAGCTTGTTGTTGCATGAGTATTAGTTCTAGGTGGTGTCGTCTTATACATCGAAGGAATGCGAGCCATGCTAGGTGGCTCGGAGGATGGCTGCCCTTTTGCAGCACGTTGTGGCTTGTTCCGACCCATCTCCTCGAAAAAGTCCTTGGGTTCCTCATAAGTTCCAACTTTCTGACGTCGAGATGTGAAATAGAGGTCCATCCCGTCATCGTCCTGCCCATAAAGGAATGCCGTAAGGACAACTAATAAGTCTCTTGCAAACATCCAGTGTTTTTGCATACTCGAACCATTGTCAATCAAGAAGGCCTGTGGTAGTAAGCATCCTTGTATGCTAGAGGGGATCATCTTATCTCAGACTTACAATATCTCGTCCTTGGAAATAATCATCGAGTTTATCATACTTGTATTGTCCTGATTTCGATGGCTGCAGCATGTCTATGGCTGAAATATCGGTGTCTAATGGTTGCAAAACGGTTGGCAGTGGCCGATTCGAATTGTCGGCGACTGCTTGTATAGATCCAGTTGACTTGCGTTTGCGCCTGAGGCTGAAGCTCTTTGTCAGTAACGACTTAAAAGATCCCGGAACTGAAGTGCCCCTTGGTCGTGTAGTCTGTGAAGAAGTGATAGCAAACGGGGCTGTTTGGTGGAGCTGAGAATATATAGCACTGCTTCCTGGTTTTGGAGTCAAAGGAGTCGCGGCTTCTAGCTGTGATGCTTCTGGTAACTCTTCTGAAAATTCAAGTGTTCCAGACCTCCAATTGTTATCCTCAAGTATTTCTCGGGCTTCCCAGTAATCTGCAGACATTATTTTCGAGCTTGACTCCCGGCCAGGTCCTTGTTTTGCAATTTGGGTAGACTTTTGATGATAAAAGTCTCGTGAGGGCTCAACCGGAAGAGTGCCTGACCGGTAGACGGTCGGTAAGCTGAGATCGTTTGAAGCTGGCGACATGACTTGGGCCAACATATCGGGAATTTGTTCATCGTGGTGACCAAGAGGGACTTTGGTAGCATCGTAGAATGCTTGTGACTTGTGTTTGTTGGTCCATTTCTCATGGCCGCCGCTTGCCAAACGAGCTTGCATCTCTTCAGCCTCGTCCACTTGTTCTTGATCAATCGCCTTTTGGAAATAATCTGGGATCTTGTATCTCTCGGGCGATGGATGCTCGTCTAAAGAGGCCTTGGCAAAATCGATGACGGCATCCAACTCTGCCTTTAATGTGCTCGCATCGTGTCGCATGTGTGGATCTGCTTGCAACATGAAATTTTCCACAACCGTCAATATCTTTTCCGTGATGGTATCCGAAGCCCGCAGAGAGTGTCGCAAATAACTATGCCAGTCGCGAACGGCTTTTGATTTGTCGAGCCGGTTATGAAAGCCATCTATACCAGATGGGTCAAGCCTTCTGACGCCGTGGTAACGTTGCACTCCGCGGTGACCTAGAACTACCCAGGTCGCAGCTTCAGAAAGAACACAGCCCAAGGACCAAATATCAAAACGTTGTGTGACCTTTGGTGATCTGTCGTTGCTAGCTTCAGGAGCACCTGGCCAGGATTAGGCAAGTATAATTTGAAGCTTGGGGAGAGAATCATACCATAACTAGTTGTGCCGCCATGCATCTCTGCAATGGGCAGTCCCTGCGATTTCTCTACCCTGTCCGCACGAATGAATCTAGCAAAACCGGGGTCTGCGACTTTCCAACCTTTTTGATGGCCTTCTTCACAAAACAGGATGTTGGCTGGTTTCAGGTCGCAATGCCACCTTTCAAAGTCAGTCAGAGAAGCAGATCATTGCCAAGGGCAGCATGCGGCTAAGATTGTTGAGAGCAGAAAACTTAGACATACCCATACCAAGTCTCAGGGCCGTCATGTCCAGAAACCACCACTTCATGAATAGTGGCGAGACCAGAAACAATGCATAGGAAGCCTTCCCAGAACTGAATTATCGCGTCTGTCGTGGTAGGCGGAGTGTAACACCTAAAGAACTCCTTCAAGTCATGGGCCCCCCACTCAAGCAGAACATGATATTCTTTTCGTCTGCGATTGCGGACGAACTGCCAATAGCCAAAGCACTCTACAATATCCTTTTTTTGGTCAAGAGCTTTGTAGGCTGCTCGTTCAAGATTATATGAAGGCTCACGGTGGATGACTTTCAGTGTCATCTGTTGCGCCTATGAGGTAGTCAGCTCTGTGAACAAATGTATTAGCAATTGACACACCTTTCCTCTGGGTGTTGAATACGGTTTCCGCTTGACTCTAGCAGCCAGACTTGGCGGAATGCACTCGCAGGGAACCTCGATTTGGTAGATGGCGCTCGTGTCTCCCTCGGTCAAGACGACTTTTTGCGTAATAGGCAATATTTTTCTCGTTCCATAATGGTATACCTGGTTGTCCGCTTCGTTTAGCGTTGTGTCCGTATAAAGTTGCCATTGCAAATCTTCAAATTCCTTCGCAAGTCTCTCAGCATCTGGTGGGGATATGTTAAGATACTGCAACACTTCCTCCTTCAGATTGTCTTTAACTGGACACCCAAGCCGCTGATCCAAGAAATCTAGCTCTGCAAAGCGATGGATATATCTCCCCATGTTCTGATCTTCATGATCCATTTGTAACAAGACTGCAAAAGTGCGCAGCCAGCATCTCGAATCATTGTTTATATGATCGAGAAGTTTGGTATTTCGATGTGGTGTGTCGTCGACCCCGCAAACGGCGTGGAGGACTCGAGCAGCATTGTTGCGACCGGTGAATGATTTGTCTTTGGGGGACGGGGATCGAAACCACTGTAGAATGCGACTGGCAAGGATAAAATCTCTGTCGTCAATGGCCGATGTCCGCTTGGCTGCTTTGATTTGAGCTAGGAACTCTTGGATTGGCGTCTGTGGTGGTAGACGTGGTAAGGTGATACGAAGAGCCTCGGGAGGCATTGTCACCTCTTGTTCTTTGGCCTTGGCCTGACCATAGTACCCCGAGTGGGGTCGCTGGCTTGACCTAAGATGCGGTCGAGTATACGGGTCCGTAACCGAGTCGCAAAGTCAATGCGTACACGCTACGATCAGCCTAAGTAGGGAGTGCGCGCCATGAACACGTCGAGATCGTAGAAGGCAAATGAATTGGAGAAGTTTGCGATTTGCATTTCCGAATAAGGCTCTAGAGAGAGGAGGCTGCAGCACAAAAGGCAGGGCCTCAGCCTTCACCTCGAGCTGGATTGCAAGCGGCAGCAGATGCGGTGCATCATTAAAAGGCTAGACGAGCACCCCCTGCCCATTACCGGCGCGCCCAATCAAGTGACCGCGTGACAACGGCGGCTCATCGGGTTCAAATGCGTTTGCATTCTGTACGGATCCGGAGGTGCCTCACTTATTACCCAAGAAGCATATTCTGCCTCAAGAACCGATCAATGTAGCTTTGTGGGACAACTCGTCATATACTCCCGTGTGTCACGAAAGGCATCCACTATGCAGTGGTTTTCTTCTTGCCGCTAACATTAGGATCAGGTTGGGGTGAAGTCATGCCTAACCTTAGTCTATTCTACTGGAAATCTCTGGTTCGATTGCAGTTAGCTTGACGATGGGTGGCCGCGAAAACCATAGCAACGATACGGAGGTGCCGCCGCCGCCTAAGGTATATTGGTATGAATCCATGATCAGAGTAGTGATAGACGTCGCTTAGATGATCCGTGCCACACGCATCACAAGACTAGTCAATCCATCCTATCATGTATCATGCGATCGAATGTTCTTTCAAAGTTTCCAGACATTGAGGGGTACTCAGGTACTTCCGCATTATAGTACATTGTTGTATTGTCAGTTCACCAAGGTTAGCGATCAGCTTACAGACAACAACCTGGTTATTCCCAACTTCCAGGGTTACTCCATCTCTTTTGTTCTGAATACCCGAACAGGTTCTAAAGCTATGTATGTAGGTAGTTCAGGGTATCCGGAAGAATTCCCAATTGACCATGTAGCGCTACGAAACCCAGCACCCCCCCCCCCCCCTTCTCGCAGTGGCATCAACACCTACAGCAACCCACCAAAACCACATGCGCTTCAGCTCACTAGAAGTTTTGATAACTGAAATTTGTTACGCGAACTCGACACGCAAGTTTGCTTCTCATGCCGTGGCAACTCGTCAAATCAACTTGAGCCAGATACGACGTAATTTGCCGACATCTTGATCGAATCGATTTCACGAATTGAGAAACCTCTCTCAAAATGGATCCTCCCTGGCGCCAATCTGGGATATGTTGTACTTTAAGAACTTGAACGGCTCTGCCTGGATCATTGCATACATGATTATAGGATGCCTCCGAGGTGAGAAATCGATGACAGCACATGTCAAGCGTAATGGTTCAGATCTCTGCCCCCAAAAGACGTCACAAATATTATCATGCGCACTGGCATTACAAATGGCAGGGGTGGACCTGGGGCTGTGCGAGCTCTACTTGCAGCCGCTCGCTTCCAATTTGCAGTGCAGCTGAATCAATGCTTGGTGTTTAAGTATGTAGAGTTCTGGCTCGAGAGCACACCGAGATTGTATATAAGTTGTGTTCACCGCACCATTGGATCGGTACGGCATTCGTTACTTGCCTATCCACCTGTATCGCCTTGTTGATCCTTGAAATCTTGCCAATATGAACCTCACTAAGATGTTCCAGCGCGTTTTCACGAACAAATCTAAAAGCGCATCCCCACGCAACGCTTCGCAAACCTCGCTTCCTGTTTTGGGCAACAGCGGGCCAGCCTTAAACCCAGCTGGAACTCCTCTTACTGGAGAGCCAGCGTCCACAACGCCTGTGCCAAACACGCCCACTCAGATTCCGAATCGAGCCCCTTCGAATCGCAACTCTTCTCTGCAAAGAGCGCAACAAACCTGGAGTGGTTCTTCCAGTGCCACACCAGATCCATCTAGGAGCTCAACTATGCCCCGCCCCTCAGGGGTCCAGAGTTCACCAAGCCAACAACGGCTGACCCACCACAACCAGCCGACTGAGCACGTCAATACTTCTGTGCCCGTAGCAACTTCCAACAGCCCGGCGAACGGTACAAACACGCCCCACCCCAACATATGGCGCGATCCGGCAGCGTCACGAAGGCGATCGATAAACATCAATCTGAGGAGTGCGGTCAGTTTCAGAAGCAAAGCCGAGAAGAGACCACTCAAGACTGGCGAATATACGGAGTATTATAGTGTCTATTGTCTCGAATGGAGTGCTCTTCTTGAGTGGCTGCGCAAAACCTTTGACGAATGTCATTTTGACGACAAACCCGTCAGGGCCAAGGTAAGGAATATCATGCCAACGCTCTAGGTTAGTCTAGCGGTAAGGTTACAACGAACTAACATTCGTGCTAGAATGTTGATCACGACCTTTACAAGTTCACCACCCCGCGACCTTTGACGAAGGTGAGCAGCCTCCTAAACAATGGAATTCAACATGTTCTAATACTGGCGAACAGTCTGACAAGGATGCTATCTACAAGCTGAGATGGGACTACGATGCGGATAAAGAGACTGATCCATAGGTGCTTCTTGGTGCTTCGCACCATGCACTGAGTATGTATTCTCGTAATCTAGGTTAGGTGATTCAACATGGTTGCATTGGTAGCTCACGCATTCTACCAGAGCAGACGGCAAGAATTTACAAACATATCAACTTGTGCATCTAGAAATTCCAGGCGCAATGTCACGAAAAGTATGGTGAGGATTGCAGCAGTATCAACTAGAAGTTACCGACTTAGTACAGATAACAATCTTGGGCTTGTATATATTCTTAGGCTTGTAATGTAGTCAATAGACACGATTGCAGAGCTCAAATGCCCTCTACCAGGTGCTCACCTCTGATTTTGGGCGGAACTCATTGAGAATCGAGATCAGAAGTCCCCTGCAGTTGCTGGTACCAATCTGCTTGAAAGCCTGGCAGCCACATAAGCAAGATTATGCAGGGGGGAAAACCAAGGGACGAGGCACTCACATTAATTCTTCAAGCAATTACAGACATGAATGAGCAAATGTTAAAATTGCATTCCATCTCATCGCATTTCTGTCACTCCGGATTGCTGCAGTACTACGACAACTGTTTACTTTCGTTACTATTACTGCTCATAGGCAATGGGAAGTGTAAATATACGTCGACTGATAGACGATTCTAAGCTTAACCTAAGCCACAACCTCAAATCTCCACATGTGAGATGTCCTCATTCAGCCTCCGCTGAATCAAGTATCATACTGGAACAGACATGTTTACCGAGTAAGCGATCCGTTTGCAACTCGAAAAACCCCCTCATGTGCCGTGTTCAGCTGGCTGCGCCATGACTAAACCGCCTAGTCGCGCGCGACCTGCTTGTATTTCCAGATTGGCCATTCAGGAATAGTGGTTGCACGCCAGCAGTGGCGGAGCACTTTATCTGGTCATGTCCAGCTTCACACACATAGCTGACCATCCTAGGGGCTGAACGGCGGCCTTCGTCACCGGGCCACCTCTGAAAGCCTCGCGTCCTACCCGTTATGCCCTGGTTTCGACTACACGTCAATAAGAATGAGGCCTGCCTTTGTTCTTGGACGGGGAAAGCAATCATCACAATACCGATAGAGCAGCGAGGTCAATTACTCTCGTGTTTGTCATTGCGTTCATTCACGATATCGATTGTCTCCAATCAATTACAACCACAAAACTTCCATGCCTACACATAGCTCAACGGCAAAGTTCATTGCGTGTTGTGCAAAAGCAGACAAGTACCCGCTGAACTTGTCGCAGTATGGCTCAAATAATGGTAGTTTGCTAGCCCATCGAATCTTGTTACAAGAGAATGCCCCAGATCTGTTCCATCTTAGGAGCGATGTGGTCACGTTGGAACTGAAGAATGATAACAACGCCGAGAATACCGGTAATGCATTTCAAAGTACCCCTAATCTTTTTGAACTCAACCTGACTATACCAGTTCTTGCAAGAAAATATCGGACTGATGATGAAATCAACTCATGGCTTAATGAACCAGAACAAGATGGGAGTACCCCTGCTTCGAATATACGGTGTAGATTCATGTAGGCCTTTTACACTTCCTGTTCTTTGCAGCATGTCTTAACCCGTGCCAGTTTCATTCAAGCTACAAGCAGCCAAGCCAAGCTGAACGTGTCGCTTGCTCACATTAGAAGGATATTTACTTACTTCCAAGTTATGCCGAGCTATATAGACTTCATCTCTGTTTTCACCACTAAACGAACCGATGAAGCGGATGTTTCCGACGTGCGGTTCAGCAGCTTCCGCGAGCGTATACGTCTTGGTGTCGATAACAGAAGCCTGGACCTGCCACATATGGCGCTGTCTGGGCGCGGCTATCAGCTAAGTTACAACCTCAAGTGTATTTCGAACACAAAACGAGATAAAGCGGAAGTTTGGGCGAGAGAAAAACACAACCCAGATGACTGGGTGTGGTCCACCCGCCAAGCAGCCTTCCACCATCAGTTTGACATGAAAGAAGGCACAAGTCTATGGATTCTCACCGCTGCCCGGGGATATCTTCAAGAACGAGTCCAAAGATTAGTTGGTCAAAGAGGTAAGTGGAGGTCAATTTTATACTCCAACCTTTCAATTAAGATTTCGCCGATAGGTTCTCAAACTGCGATCGCTTCCACCGACGAGGATGACTTAGAGTCAAGAGAAGAGGACCGTACATTTACCACAACCGAGAAGAGCTTCATCGCAAGTCTATCGGTGCATCTGATGATTGCTCAATATGCAAGCGGTGACTGGAGAGGTCATATTCGATGGCTTGAGCAGATGCTCGAGAAAAGGGTTAGCTCGACTCAATCACATACACAACACGGAAGAGACTGACTAATCCTCCCTCAGACCAGAGAAGCATTAATTAGCGAAGACTACAACCCCCGAGAGTTCGATCTTGTTGACGTTCAGATCATGGAAGATAAGACCAACAGGGCCGCCATGACACTTAACGCCAATACAAAGGTGCTAGAGTCGCTGGCAACCTTTTATCAGAAATTGATGAAGAACGAAGATTTTGAGTTGCACAGTAAGCCAGACTGCAAGAATGCCGTTGATGATTTCCTTGCGCAACTGCGTGACTATGCATACGATATGAGAATGTTCTCTGAGAGAGCGGAGGGGCTTGCGAAGATCACAGCTGACCGCAAAACACTGGTAATAATTTTAATGTAGTCTATAAACCCCTATAAGTCGAGCTAACACTAAAGCTAGATCCAAGAGCGTCTCCAAACTCTCGCATCTGACCGAGTAATGAACCTCACCATCCAGCAACAAAGGGAAGCAAAGATCATGAGAGTAATCGCACTAGTAACACTCATATATCTGCCTGCCACCTTCGTCTCGGTAGGTCAATCTCTCTACATGAAGCCGTCTGCATCAGCTCACTTTGGAATAGACATTCTTCAGCACGGATGTCGTGAAATACCAGCCCGACGGGGATAACGAAGACGCCGTACCATACACCTCATACTCGGGGCTGGCTCTCGAACGCTGGTTTGAAGTAACAGTCCCTCTCACTATCCTCACATTTGTCGTTGCAGTTGGATGGTATTATGGATATGACCAGTAAGCAGTTTTCGGAATCATTTTCTACCCTTTTTAGCATGTTCACACGGGCGACAATGCCTATCAAAGGCACTTGACCTTCTTATGACTGTTCCACATAGTTCCCAAAGACCCCTTAACCATTTTTGAAAAAGCATCTACTGACTTCGAATGCTGAAGTGTGAAAACTGATATGAAATCATGGTGGAAAAGAGACAGGGTGATCCGGGATCCGGAGAAACAGAACCTAGGAATGTAGAATCATACAATACGGGTAGCTGGGAGTTACGGTAGGCATAGATTGCACCTGGTTACTTATGTTCGTAAATAGTAATTCGTTCTGTTTTATATTCATTAGTGCTACCCATACATAACCACTGCAGTAGCTCGTACTTGAACGCTCCTAAATGCTTATATTGGTAATAATATATGGCCTTTGTCGTAACTTGTTAAAAGGAGCTGCTTCACTACGTTAGTTGGTTCTGAGGTGAATATTAGAGAGGATGTCTTTGAAGCTTCTATAATGTTCCGCCGGCGACCTAAAGCCCCTGACACATTCTTGTTACATTGCATGAGGGGTTGTTCTCATTCTCTGTGACAAGATTCCCACAAGAGATGCTCGATGACTGCTCACACTAGCTCAAGGCCTGCATCAAAAGCTACTAAGGACTTGTTGGATCATACATGTCATATTCTGCATCTGCTAAAAGAGAAAAGGCTATTTTTAACTAGAAAATCACCGTGTATGTCGTTTTCTCCCGTTGAGAGGCAAGGTTTACGTAGCTTGCTAAATGGCCGTTTTATTAGGTCCTCCAGCACTCAACATATGACGATCTGCCGGCAGTATGGAAGTCGAGCAAGATCCGAGCAGATACGATTTGCTATTAAAAACAAATAGCCAACAAGGTCCGGGTTTGAACGCTCTACTCTGGAACTGTCTCAAGAAGAGGAGCTTAGACTGACGAATTGTCCAGACAGGGTTGTGTCCGATAATGACCGATATCTGGAAAGACCTTGGGAGGTTTCCTATGTGGGCTGATGAAGGAGCAAGAAAGGCACTTGATTGTGCGGCAACCGCTGTAAAAAGAATATTTCAATGTCACTAGATGATCCAGACGTGGTTTTCTTCTTCTTCTTCTTTTTCTTTTCCACAGTGGAGAGGGCTTCTTACACTTCGTTTCAGTGTTCAGATGTATATGGTTGATAAGGTGGTGACCATTGTCTAACAAAGGGTACCTTTGGATCTCAATGATGCTCAGCAATTATACATCAGCGTGTGACCTGATCCTATGGAAAACTGTTTCTTCAAATGTGGACCTGCGCTTTCAATCATGTCACCAACGGACGACAGAACTTGGATGTCATGGATCGGCGCATCAAATTGATGTTTATTATGAATATTGTGAAATCAAGCACAAACTACTAAATCCTATCTTATGGCCAGCTAGTCGGCCCGATCTTCTCTCCCTTAGCCAAGAAAGTTTTGATCGCCAAACCTGTCTGATCCAGCGTGTTATTCACAGTGTCATTCCCAAACCACGACGGCGGCGTCGCATTCGTCAAGTACAGAGTGAAGAAAATAACAATTGTCGCGATGATTAGGCCGCAGTCCAGGGCCGCGCTCGTGATGTAGTTGTAGTGCATCCACCAACCCGTCCACCTGCGCTTGATCCAGAAGTTGAAGATGGTCCCGTAGAAGCCCCAACACAGATACGTGTACGTCTGCGCGGGTGGTATTAGGCCCGAACCGCCGAAGAAGAGCGGCACGTTGAAGTAGCGGAATATGCTCTTTGGGTGGCGCCGTGCAAAGAACCAGGCAATGATGGGTGTGATCGCACCGACGAGCCAGAACCACTGCAGACTTGAATAGAGCGCTTTGCCACTGAACATTCGAGCTGGGCCTATGGCACCCCAAATGATGGATGCAGTGAAGTAAACCTTGCCTCCGGGACACGTATATGAGTTTGGCTGCTCGTTGGTACAGATTTGTGAGATGCTCCCTAGCGCCCAGTTCATGACTGCAATCTGCACAATTGCCGACCAAATGGACGCCACCAGCTGCGACCAGAACATGACTCTTGGCGGCACTTTCATATAATGACCCAGTTTGAGGTCCTGTGCAAAGTATAATGCCTGCGACATCGCTAAGTACCCGTAGTTCTTAAACATCATCATAGCGATAGGTCGACCTGGAAGCATATATCCAACAACATATTCTGTGAGTACATTTAATCCAAGCTGGATATTGGTGATCGCCTGTATGATACCAATCGGAATCGTCCAGACGATTGGGATGATCATGCAAACGATGAAAGCCCACCACGGGAAGCCGGTCGGCCATGCGCAGCAGACGACAAAGGAGAGCGCTAGCATAATGACAAATAACGCTGCGTACCACCAATCCTCGGCATCTCGGTACTACCATTGGTTAGCAATAGATCGAGCTGATTCAATTCTGATTTTGCCAGCAACGAACCTTCTTCATCAATCGCATGTGCACATCATCCTCTTGATGGCGGGCTAGCTTGAACTGCACCCTGATCTCGTGGCCATGATAAAGAACAACGTGAACAATGATAGCAGCTACAGCCGCAAAGGCTAGTCCATACGCCAATGCAAATTGCGTGCTGAGATATAATGGCGAGTATGCCTCGTACTTTGCTTCATCGAACATCATGTTCTCGTTGAGTATTCTCGTGACGTCGTAAACCTCCCCCGTGTTATCAAAGGCCTCCGATGACTGGACGGTAAAGTAGTCGGCATACCAATGACCTGAAAAATGAATTCCCATAGAGACGCAGATAAAGAAGACGACCACACCCGCAACAGTACTGGCAAGGGCATGAAACGGCGGTATAAGTGGTGATCCGGCATAACCTGCAATAACGGTCCAATCGAGACTCGTCGGTAAGATACCATAACCATGTAGACCGCCAAAGATCTTGTTGACGACCACATTGTTTGGTGCGGCCCAGCATACGAAAGTGAAATAAGAAAGACCCTGGAAAATCCAACCTGGAAACCAATACCACACAAAAGAGGAGCTCATGACAATCAAAAAGTACTTGTATCTTCCAATGCTCCAGCCGTTGGTCCTTTCGGGATCTGATCGAGAGTGATCGTGGAGTGTGTAGAACAACGAGGTGTTCACAAGATCCGAGGGCCAAATCATGGCGGCCGGCCAGACGAGAAATCGGCGGGCGAGCCCAGCCATGCCATAGCCCGTGCAAAGCGTCGTAATGCCAAACAGGAGCTGGAATGCCCATCCGAAATTCTGTCCATAGTATATCTGCTGCGCCAGTAGAGCATCCGTCGCATAAAGGACGCCTCCGCCGTAGGCTGCATTGGACATGCATACAATCACGACATGCTCTTTGAAATTGAACATTCCGGGTCTGAGATTAAATTTACATCCGAGCAGTTTGAATTCCTTATCGGGGAAGATCAAATCCCAGCCTTTGCCGATTGGATATGCGATCAGTTGAATCACCCACGTCGTGATTACCACGCTGGGGTTCCTGAGACTGAACAGCATGTTGATGGCCGAACCTAGCGTACACAGAAACATGCCAATAACCCAGGCACGGATCGTGTTGGCGGGCAGATCCACATCGAAGTTGCGGACTGTGGCGCGAACTTCCGGGTACGGACTGTTGTCCTCCATCAGCGCCGCCTCGACCTCAGCCCCCTTCTCGCAGTCGCCTTGCGCCAGAACATCGTCGATCTCGTTGAGATCCTCGAGTGGCAGGTTCGGGTCGAGCTTGTGCTGCTGTTCCCAATACTTGAGCGTGTTCAGCGTCTCGATCCCGGTCGTCTCCGCATTGTAACCCACGACGTACGGAGTGATCTCATCCTGGTCGCTGCGCTTGCGGAAGCTGAAGACCATGTTGGCTCCTGTCGTCTACCGGCGGGGGGTAGAGCGAAAGAAACTACGTATCAGGACATTATCGGCTTCCTCGAAAACATTTGGAGTAGAACGGAAACAGAACCCTTGGGTGGGGTAGAGTTTGCAATTAAGGATGCAAAGCCATTATGTCCGCTGACAGGGTAGCATCGAGTGATATCGCTACCGCATGGTCTTCAATCCCCTTGATCAGAGCCGGCTGGGGAACGGGGCAAGGATAACTTTGTGCTGGCGAGACCCTCCAGCTTTCACGCGCGCTGCTTTCGACTTCCGAATCATCCATTCCAACCCTCGAAGCTTGCAGCCCTCGGCCGAGCACCTGCCTAAAATGGAAGTGCCAGAATGGTGTGGTGTGCTTTATTTAGTGGGGAGGAAACTGATGTGATAGCAGGGGTTTATCTAGTCTAGTTGATGCCGATGGGGCCATAGCCGAACCCTGTGCGAGATAGCGGAACTTGATTTCAGCTGATGTAGCGGCTAGTAATTCAACGTGCAGCGGCCCTTATCAAGGGTGTCAACGGTAATGAAAGATGTCTTCGATTCGATTTTCTCTTTTCAGTATGACGGTGTGACGACTATAAAACCACTTAATCTAGATAGTGGCGAGTGATTGGTGGTTATTCGGTGCACTAGACAGTAGGGAAGTTTGGAGGGTAGGAAAAACAAATATGAAAAGATAATTGGAGAACCAAAACTACTTACTATGATAGGCTGGTTTCCGATGAAGAAAGAAGTGATATTCAATTGCAGAATACTAGAAACTAATTCTGGTGAGGTCTGGAGCTTTAACATACTGTAACAAGAGCACATGCTCCATCTTGCTATTGACAACTCAAACGTGGTGACAATTGATTTGATACGACAGCGTCTTGGGGGTAGTATTACAACGAATTATAGGGAGAAGCACCGAGCTGTTATACCAGCTTCATCTCATCAACGAAGCCATAACCTCATGCAGAGAGAGACCCGTTGTCACAATGACTAGCCCATGGTCTCATAACGTTGCCTGGCTTTGTCCTTGGCCTTCGCCACGAAGTCAGAATAGTTATTTGTTGTGGCACGAGCAGCCTCCTCAGCAGCATCACCAATCTTGCCGCCTTCGGCGCCCAGTCCAACACCTGGTGTATACGCCATGGTCTCAATGATGTGTGTGCGCCCATCGCCCTCAGCTCCTAGACCAGCACCATTGCTCCAGCCCATCTTCGCAAGTAATCCGGCTCCCTTGGAGATCGTAGGTTTACTAGCAGCCGCATCCTTGGGCTCATTATCCTTGGATGCCGGATTGTGCTTCCGTGGTGGTTGTTGCTTGGGCTTAGTCGGTTGCCTGTGTGCCATACGACGTTCTTTGGCACGATCTCTGTAAGTGGAGACAGGCTCCTGACCCACGGCTTTCAAGTCCGATGTTGCTTTCTGAATGAGGGCATCATCATCCAGATTCTTCTTGTGAAGGTCGCTAAGTTGTTCATGCCGCCGGAGGGACGGCTCGCTTATGAACTTCCGTCTGCATAGTAGGCAGCACATACGGTCCAAGTTTGCGTATGATACCGTGAACGTAGAGGGAACTGAGATCGAAGGTGAGATAACGCTACCACCAAGACTACTCGGACCGGTGACAGGGACATTTTTCTCGTCCGGGATTTGATCATCCTTGATAGTCTTTGGCTTTCCTCGATGCAATTCTGCATGTTTGTTCGCCCACTTTGCCAACTGTGGCGCCATAGCAACTGTTTTCTTCCCGCCCGGGGCAACAAGGTCTTTCTCCGCCTTCCGCTTCTTCGATTCTTTAGCAGCAGCGTTAGACTCAGGGCCTGTGGGCTGCGTCGACTTTTCCGCGTACAAATCTTCGTTGAAGACGGTATATTCACTCGCGTATACTGTAGGGTTCCAATAGCTCAGTCTTAAAGAGGGGTTGTGAGATGCAGAGAAAGTGAACTTGACATCCTGTTCAGTAATGACTGGTTTCAAGTACGGGATAAATACACCGGAGTGTATGTAGGCGATATTCACAGGCTTCGAACCGATCGTGAACTGGGGGGTGGCGTTAAACTTCGCCATAGCTGCACGAGCCTCATCTATATGAGAGAACTCAGCAAAGCCATACCTGCAGCTGGCGTCGGAATATCTATCGCGAATCACAAAGACCCTGGCAAGGGAGCCAGGTTTGGCTCCTAGACCAGAGGTGTTGCCCACGGGCGCTGTGCTCTTCAGCTTGACAGGCGCACCGGCTGGCTGCTTTGGCTCGTCCTCTTTGGCAACATAGAGCTTCTTAATACCGCTCGCAAATATAGACTCGCTTATGGAAGGAGGTAGGTTGCGGACAACCAAGAACTGCGAGGCCGTCTGCTGTGGGCATTCATCACTTTTGCCATCTAATTGCATATCGGCGGCATCCTCGGCTACATGTAGAGTCAGTAACGTGAAGTATTATAGTGCCTTGTGGAAGTATTACAGGGTCTGGGAGCTTTGCATTGCTTGCACGTCGCCCGCCTTGAGAAGTTCTCAAAATGGCACTGGTCATATCAGTGGTACGCTTCAGAGCCGGGAGTTGGGCTCGACTCTTACCATGGTGCATTGCCAATCATCGGATTTGGGAGCAGGTCGACGGTCCCGACTATATGCTATCGGTACACGCACAGAAGACCCATCAAGGGCGGCAAATTCAAGGGCAGGGTAATGCTGCTCGAGGAAGGCGGTTGACGCGTCTTCCGAACTGAACTCGGCGAAGGCATAGCAACGACGATCACTACTTCGGTCATCGGATTTGACGCGGAGATCGGTAAGACCTTGAGCACCGAGAGATCGCAGTGTTTCCTCAATCTATCACTGCCGTCAGTAGTGCTTTCTTGTGATCTTTTAGGCTATAATGTGTACCTCTTGCGCGTTCATACTACTCGGGATATCGTCCATCTTGATAGTGTGGTGTGGCTGGCCGGGACCAGGGCGATAGGCGCCTTGTTGGTGATATCTATCGTCGGGGGAGTTGCTACGACCTCTGGGACTGTATCGGCCACGGTCGCGCTCATCGTATACATCCCTGTTGCCTCGATTATGATCTGGAGAGTGCGCAGAACGGCCTCGGCCTGGTGAATCCCTGCGTCGATATCTGGCTTCGCCATAGCCGGCGTCCTGACTCTGAAATTCTCGGTCTCGGTCGTACCTTGCTCCATTGTTCCTATCCGGCTGACCTGAATATCCCAAATGCGCATGTGCATGTGCATGTGCATGTGCATGCGCAGGCCCTTGGCGTTCCGAACGGTAGGATTCATCTCCTCGATTCCTCTTGGGTGACCTGGAAGAGTCTTTCCTCAGAGGAAAGTCAGCTTAGGCTCATGACGGCGTTCTCTACAAAATGACCCTCCAGGCTGATCAAGTTTTACCATGCCGCGAGCGATATTGGTTCTCCCTCGAGTTTGGGGATCTCCGCTGGGAGCGATCGCGCTCGTCACGATCATGCGATCGATGGTCGCGGTCGTCGTACATTATGAGGCTGATCGAGTGCGTATTGCTATTTATGAATGAGAGAGTTGTTTGTGCCGATGTCAAAGACTGGCTAGGTTCGACGTTCGACGTCCGTCGTCGTTGTTGCTGATGGGGGTTGCAGGAAGGGAAGATGGATGACATTGAGATCTCAATCCGTGTGGACGGGACCCTCTCCGGTGAGTTAACATTAGAGAGCCCCCAAGGCTGGAGGAAGCGGAAAGTTCACTGTGGGGTCCAGCTCAGTCAATTCGCGCTCCATTCCGTCATCTGTACGGAACTTTTGAGTGCCAACTGAAGTCAAAACAATACATAAATAATGTTCCACTTCAATGCAAATGATTAATCTGGTCTATCGATTGCCTTCCGATCTGTCAAAGACTATATAAAAATAAAAAAGCCCATTCGAGATTCAGAGTCGGTTTTGTTTGTGGCTTGGCTCAAACAACCACCAAATCCATCATGGATTCCCAGCTATCCGAAATGCAAGAAGAGGGGTGCTATGTGAGTCTGACGCATGAGTATCTAAATGCGCAAGATGTCATGAATCGAGTGCGTAGCCCACAAGCAGGTGCAATAGTTCTTTTTGCTGGTTAGTGCTGTTGGCAATTATTATTATCTTGAGACTCGTACATAACAGACTTTCAGGTACAACGCGAGACAATTTTGGGGGAAAGCCCGTCAAGGAGCTGCAATACTCTGCATACAACGCTTTAGCACTACGTTCTATGCTTTCAATCTGCAAAGAAATTACCAACAAACACGGACTGAAAGGAATTGCCATGATACACAGGCTAGGAACAGTCCCCATTGGCGAAGAGAGCATTCTCATCGCCGTGTCATCTCCACATCGACAGGCAGCCTGGAGAGCCGGCGAAGAAGCTCTCGAGCAATGCAAGGCTCGGGTCGAAGTATGGAAACGGGAAGAGTTTGACGGTGAAGAGGGGGTTTGGAGAGCTAATAGAGATGGCACCAAGGGTGAGAAGATTTCTCCTTCCGAACCCACCATTCCGGATGGCGAAAAGCCTACATTCGAGAACAGCCAAGACGGCGCTTTCGGTCCCGTTATACGACCAAGAAGGCCGGGAGAGAACGGCCATGGTGCAGTTGTGCATCAAGGGCCATATGATAGTTAAAGATGGTATCAGGCGACCATATGCCCGTTTCTTGCTTCATGAGAGCAGAAGGAACAATCTATTCGAATTTTTTGAAATATGCCAACAGTGGCTACCCTATGTAAAATTAATCTATTTGAGCCTTTCTTTTTTTTTTTTTTTTTTTTTTTTTTTTTGCTAGAACTACTTGGGAGAAGAGGGTAGTCACTCAACGCAAATGCCGGATGAGAGATCAGCAAAGTCAAAGATGGCCAAGTTGCTGGAGTTGGTGGACGCGTCTTCCAATAATGACCAAACACATAAACACAACTGCAACTTCAGAGGAAAACGCCATATCGCCCTGGCGACTAGACGCGAATCGTCTGTCTCAACTTCCTAATTCTCAAACATCAACTTCGAAATGGCTCTGTGGGACGACGAGTCGCACGGCCTGATTGCGCACAAGGTCTGCTGGTGTCTCGTCTCGCTCACCACGGGTATGTACAAATTTCGTGTTTCACAACATGGCTGTTGAATTCTGGTGTTTCTGCACAGGACTTGCCTCTTAATCAGGGAAGTCCTAACGATGTCTCTTCCACATCAAGAGCAGTCGGTTGCTGACCATAAAATTGTTCCTTAGTCGTGATTGCACTACGATTCTATGCTCGACTCACAGCTCAACCAGGGAATCCATTTGGAGCACTTGGACTTGACGATGCTTTCGCCGGCTTGAGTTGGGCTGTCCTCCTCCTCACGCAGATCTTCATACAGGTTGCTGCAGATCATGGAAACGGTAGGCACTATGATGGTCTGAGTCGTCCCCAACAGATTGAGGTGATGAAGTGGAATACCATCATCGAGGCTGTCATCATTTGGGCATTTTCGCTACCCAAGCTTGCTATCGTAGCGCTTCTTCGCCGAATCTTGATGTTTGGTAAGTTGCAATCCTCTCTTAGACCGAAAGATGGATAGATTCCGACTAACTCTATCTGCTAGGTCTTCGTACTTCCGTTGTCCTCTGGGGGCTCGCATTCGTCGGCCAGGTGTTGATCTTCTCCACATCTGTTTTTATCTTCATCCAGTGCAACCCAGCGGAGAAGAACTGGAATAAGGATGTTGACGGCATCTGTCTGCCCGACAGCACTATTATCGCCATCGAATATTTTGTCTCGTCCTATTCGGCGTTCCTCGACATGTTCTTCGCTCTCTTTCCCGTGCCTTTCGTCATGCGTCTCAACATGCCGCTGAAAACACGTATCGCCGTCAGCACAGCTCTCAGCATCGGTGTGCTCGCTGGTATCGTGCAAGCCTACAAGCTGTCCATTTTGGGCACATCATTCAAGTATACAACCTTAGATCCGACCTGTGAGTCTGCCGCCTGAACGCTAAGACAGCTGTGAATTAATCAATAGCGGCTAGATCCCCTGCCTTTCCTCAACTTATTCTGCCTCCTCGAGGCCTGCCTTCTGCTCATCACCTGTTCGCTGCCCGCACTTGGGTCTCTGGTTCGCAAAGCCAAGGATTACATCCACCGCGTCAACGAAATCAGCCGCAGTAACATCAGCACACGCAGCCCAACTCCTCGCGTCCCGAACAAAACATTCGAGCTGAACGGGGCCTCCGGAGCCGAATTTATGATCACCGTCGACCGCGAGGTGCACCATCCTTCCTCGCAAGCCAGAGATTCAGATCAGTCAGAGCAAGCCACACTCACGGATGACCAGGGGGCTTCTAGTATGGGCCGCTACAGCACCTTGCTTGATGTCTTGTTACACTCCAGCCCTGTTGCGGCTTCGAGTCCTCGGGGGTCCCGTACAGAGAGCCCGTTGCGTCCTGTCAGCAGACAGTGAGTGTGCATACATTTCTTACATCACCCTTTCTGCTATGGCCCGCGGACGTGAATTTCCACGGCATGATATTCTGGCCATCGGGTAGGTCGGCGTAACGCAGAAGATGCAGGATGGTTGGCAAGGCTGTGGGCTGTGGAAGATAGTGACAATAGCGTACAGAGGATTATATAAATATACGGAATATGCTTATATCATTGGCATGCTGGTTGATAATGCTCACTTCTTCTGAAGAGATAATTGTGTTGCGGATACTTTCGTGTTAATAACCAACATACGGCTCGTATTTAAAATGGTCCGAGTGTGATCCTGAAGCACTATGGCTATTTCGACAATCCCATACACCCAGTAGCTTTGACGTTCTCAAGCACATACAAGGTAGCAAACGAAGCGCCCTTTCGCGGGCGTAATACACACGTACCCTCTTCTATAATACAGTACGCCGACAGTAGTAGGGCCGGTGGCTCCCAAACATGATGTTTACCTCCAGCTTATTAGATACCTCAAGCAGCCAACCATTCTTTGTGGTGGCAAAACACCCTTGCCTCCAAGGTACCTATTTGGCTTGATGGAAAATTTGGAGAACAAATCAATCGTAAGCAGCTCAGACAATTTCATCGTACAACGCAATCTATGCATTGGTTATGTGGTCATCGGACTAATTACGGATCCGTATTCAAGTAGGCTGACGATGTAGCTGACAATCTAGGCACGATAACAATGCAAAAGCAGTTTACAAAAGAGTGGGCTACGAATATGCTTTAATCTCTAAACGTCACATACGGTACTTATATGTAAGATTTGTCACGTAACAGGCCTATCAGTATACAGTGGTGTGTGCCGCCGAATTGTGAAGGACTATCTTTCTTCCAACTTCATACCACTCTTTACCGCCTCCCAGACCGAACAGAAACTGTGAATATAGTCACTTCCATCCCTCTGGGCTGTTGTGAAATAAGAAACCACTCAATGTGTAAAAAAAAAAAACCTTAGTTAAATAGGCTCTGAAGGCCACTGTAAAAGTCGGCTATGCCTACAACTACAATCCCAAAGTGTCCACCTGCCCTAGGTGAGTAGATAAGTATTTTTCTTCCTTTTTAAATTGGTCCGGCTGCAGTCAGCCATAACGAGTTCTGGCCTAGTAAACATCACCATCACTACTTTCCGAGTTACTCACATATTGACCGATAATGTGGTTAATCCACAAAATGAGAAAGTTTCGACTTGAAATCTTTTCCAATCTAGAAATTCCGCCCTATGCTATTCTGTCGTATACATGACTTAAATACTATGTCAATCTGAGGATCTGAGGTCGATGCACCCCTGAACTGTCTCCTCAATGCCACACAGCGTTATAATTACCGATTCCTAAATTAGCAAGGATGATACGGTATCCTGGGGTTTGGGGTGGAAATTTCACCATGGCTAGAACACCATAGCTACTATTATAGCTGCCAAAGGCACCCACATAGCTATTTGTGTATATAATGATTGTTACAATCATTTAAGCATTTAGAATTAATAACTCACTTTAATATCATCTTTCGATATTTACTAAGTTGAAACTATAATATGCGTGATATAGTTAATGAGACTTCGTAGGTGATTAATTATGCATTAAGTATAAAAGCGATGCACACTGTAAAGCCCAGTCCAGCTCAGCTAAGTTTCTTGCCCATCAAATCCGCCAACTCGTCCAACAACTCTACCGTCTCAGCAGGACTTGCAATCCACGCCGTAGTACCCACACTCCGTGCCTTAAAGTCATTCGACCCGGCACTCAAAAACTGGTCGCCCACATGCAGCGTGTTCTCGCCCTTGATCATACCCTCATCAGCGGGACCGTTGCCGCCGAACCACTTCTGGCACACATTGACACCCCAGCTCTTGTCGCCGATGTCGACGAAAACGTCACGTCCACCGTTGAAAGCACAGAAGGGCACGACTTTATTCTCAAAGTCACGACCGCCTACGCTAAGTTCCAGGATCTTCTGCACGACTAGTACCGTCTCCTCGAGCGACTCGCGTGGTATACGAATCGACGGCGACGTGGGAATGATGCCAACGGCGCGATCTTTACGCATCACCTCTGCAGGAAGGGCCATAGTCTTGATACAGTCTCGCAGCGCGGCCTCAGCTACGTCGAGCAGGGCTGTGATGCTAGAGTCAGACCAAGCGGCCATTTCCGGAGTCAGCCAGCGATCTTGCGCCACAGGTCGGAGGAGGTGCTCAGCGTTGGCATCAAACTCGAAAAGGTAGTTGGCTTCACCGCCCATGATCACTATATTCTGCCTTTGCTGTGGCGAGAGTTCCGTTGATGTAGCAATAGCGTCCAGGAGGCCGTGCAGGCGGCCATAATACCGATCTGCGGTAGTGTAGCCAGCAGCTGTCACGATTCCAATCTTGACGTTCTTCCGCATCAGATCGATCATGCGTGGGACCACTGGGCTGGAGGGCAACAGGCTCTCGCCATCATCGTATAGTGTTACATCACCATCGAACGTGGCCAACTGCAGGGTTCCGTATGTGGTCACGGCCATGATCTGGGCCGAGTTGAGAATAAGTCGCACGTCATTGAACGAGGGCGACACAAAACGCCTGGAGGAGATGAATCTCTTTCGGTCCTGATACTTAAAGGCCGCTTCTAGCGGCAACCGCGTGAAGAAGTTGCCTATAGTTGGTACCAGGAGCTTGAGTTTTGAGAGCAGCATGTTGCCGTCTCTTTGGTGCTCTATGTGATCGTCAAGCATGAACTCAACATCCCGCATGATCTCCGCGTACCGCCGGTGTGCCTCTTCGGACATCTTGGTAAAGCTGACGCTATTCGTCTCAAACACTCCCGTAGGCTGGGAGTAGAGCACGAATGGCACCGCTAGAAGACCCTTGATCCATTCTGGTGAGTGTTAGCTCAGGATCATATAAGGTTAAACTAAAACTGCAGGGTAAGATGAGAATATTATGTGTCGAGCTTTACTCTAGTAGAACATTTAATGTGCAATTACATTCTAGGTCTCTTGATTGTGTTGCAAGTTTGTAGCCATTGTATGCTTACACACAGGCAGTAGAGCTGAGCTGAGCTGAGCTGAGCATGAAAGGTGGGGCATGGTGGTTGCACCAATTCATGATCGGCTTCGCAGCGCCTGGGGATGTGAGCCGGCAGCTTGCTTCGTTACATCCCTTTTGACTACCAAAGTTGGATTGCATCAGAACGTTGAATACGCGGAGTTGCCTTACCAATAAACTGGTCTCTTCTATGGGTCTTGAGTGCATCTGGTCATTAATGTTAGTAAAATGCACTAGACAATGAACTGTGAACAGTGGCACTCACATTCAACTCGGTATCGTGTTGTCATTTTGCGGCGTAGTTGTCAGGTGATAATGGGTGTCTGTTTTTCTTTCTTTGTTTTCTTCCTCTTCTTTTCTCTCTGAGGTTCGATGAAACTGGTAGTCAAGGCAGCTGATGTTACGACAGAAGGGTAAAGTTGTGACAATGTCTCTGTAATCACGAAGTTCGATGTCGGTGTATCAGGACGGATGGATTGGCATCGCTGGCATTGAGCGGCATCCGCCGGGCGCCACCTTTCTACAGGTGTCATAGCGTCTTGGTTCCCCGAAACTGTACTACATTCATTCGGTTGCTGCGAATCGGCTTGATAGGTGATTATGTAATTTGTCATAATCTCCTGAGCCTATCTATGTAGATCCAGACGTAGTTTCTTTTTCGCCGGTGGACCACAACACTGGAAAAGGACAGGACTCGCTTTGCAACAATGTATGGATCCGTACCGACACGCAACTTCCCCCCTGGCTGAGCACATACCATCTGCTGGGGAAGGCGCTAAGCAAGGTTCCGCCAAGATGGTCACGCGCCAAACACCAAAGGGTGGGACATGGCGTCTTGTGTCTCCTTAATACGCGTTCTACCATCTGAGTCAGCCTAAGATTCAAAGCTTCATTTAACACCGTTATACATCAAGCTTGCGTACTGGCTTAGTCCTCACAGCATAGAAAGACTCCGCGATCAACGTCATCTGCAATATGTCACCCGTTTTCAACCATCGACTGCATTGCATGACCAAACTATCGACGGATTGCGGGCTCTACATACATGAAGATGCGCTCCTGTCGAGATGCAAGCCCAAGCCCCGCGCATGTCACAGCATGCGCCACGGCCAGAGTATTTCCTTCTCCAAGATCTCATCATTGCCAAAATTTTACATGTCAAGCTCATTCAATTTCCAAAGTATCTCATGCTCATAACGTCGTTAGATGGCTGTTCTCATTTCCAGATACCTCCTGTGCCATTGTTCGCGGGCTTGCCACCATGGCAGAACTTTATACCTGTACGCGGTCAGTCTGTATTTCTTCCTCTGACGCCAAATCCGGGGGCATCGTGGCGCCACAGGCTTTGGTACGGGATCAAAACTTACTGCAGTGGCAATAGCACTCGTTGATGCAATCCCAATCCTGTAAGACACAACCTGAGATGGCAGGCTTGAACTGACAATTATTGGTGCAAATACCCCAATAGGGTGCGCTGTCGTAAGTGCCGTTGCACCACTCATTGCGCTTGACCATTTGACCGAGAGGCGCACGGCCGGAGACCCAAGTTGGAGTTGCAATGGTGATGCCTGCAAGAGCCAATGTCATGATAAGAACAATTGAGGAGTACATCTTGATGGTAGCTAAAAGGGAGGTAGTTGGGGCTGTCGGGATAGTTTTGGTAAGTGGTACCGCAGAGGCTTGAAGAAACAGAGCTTCAACAAGTATAGGTTTGACTGCGGTCAACACTTTATAACTTGGCCCTGTGATCTCGGTGTCGCCTTTCAAAGCAAGGCCTTCGGTGGCAGGTGAATGATTGTCAAGTGCTCATGCCACTTCACCAGCCTCGAAAGATGCAGCCTGCTGGGATGCTGAAGAGAATTTGAGGTTGGATTGTCCTGCCGCCGTGGAGCTTTAATTACGGGTCGCGAAACTACGCGTGTGCCGCCCAGTCTAAAAGTGGCATCGGTTAATGTGGTTCTATCGAGGCGGCACAAAACGGGAGATGCCCAGCATCTTGGCGGCGCGATCGACTATGCCGTGTAGATATCCCGTGTATACACGGGGAAATCGCTTACCGCAGCAACCCTCATAGACGGCGAGCTATGTTGAGGTTAGAACACATATGCATAAGTGCACAGGGCACCTGTCAGTTCGCAAGAGTTTCGACTGTTTAATAACCGAGTAGATTAATACTTACCAGATGACTGCTTCGAAGGTAATGTTCTGGATTTGTACTCTCCAGGCATATCATCATTAACAATTCAACCTCAGCATCAGTGAGCACACTGGCTGATTCTGTAGCGCAGTTGAGAAGCTCCGCCATAAGATTTGTGACGGTAGTCAAATTGATGGCTCCCACCTCTGTACTGGGAAAGTGAAGTAGACGACGTTCTTCATCGGTGATTGCAAAGGGGTTGTGAGCATTATTGGCTCTAGCTTAAGAAATCGATTGATTAATGATTCTGCATTATCGACATTACGGAGAACTCGTATAAAAGCTTTGATTATGTGTTCCATCATGGCGTAGACTTTCTGGGTTTAGGGAGCGACCACAAGGCAAGTTTGGCGTGCTGTAGTATGCAATAGGAAGGACAACGTCGTTGTTTTGTACGGACCCCTAGGTTAGGCATTATAGGGACAATCTGGTGACTGCCCACGGGTCATGGCAGAATACTGGGTCAGGCGCGAAATCGACAAATATATTTTATATTGGACCTGGAGCCCCAAAGACCACGTATACCATTATCGCCAAGTTAGTCGCTCATTAAGATCTCATAATGTATCACTGTTCAAAATTGTCAGTGATCGCACGTGATTACGTGTGTCAGACGTTGACCAGTATGGTATTGGCGCACCGCAAAGCAAGTAAAAGCCCACATCCCCTGGAGTTAAGAAACTGACCAGAAAGTTGAACGCTTGCAACAATATAATACACCAGCTTCCCAGCTACGCAATGCAGGGCTCTGAGAATGAAGTTGTGCTAGGATAGTCCCGACATACTTGTGTCCGTTCGGTTAGACCTCCTCAGTGCCTTGGCCATAATTAAATGGGCTAGTTGTAGTTCAGGGAACTACAGTCAGCGAGACATACGGTAAACTAATGGCCTAAATATCTTACAGCTACTGGCAACAAGATGGTATCACTGGTGTACAACGAGGAACATCCACATAAATATCTCAGCGCCCACACAATTACCTTGGAGATCCTGCAGAATACCCTCGATATCTGTCAATGCAAACTCGGTCAAGGTTTCTTTCCAAAGCTGCTCTGAGATACCATCTCCTGCGGATGTATAGATAGCTGGTGCTATTCTGTGATCTTTCATCGCTAGCAAGTCTGACTCAATTGAGAAGAAAAGAGATTCACTAACCATAGAGTTAAACTTAAAGGACCATGTTTTAGAGGGACAAAAACTGACCATAAGTCTCTGCACCATGCTGAACAACGATATAGATGATTTTACGGACACCCACTGCAACAAAAATCCCTACTAGTCTAGTCTCCTCGTTATAATGTCATATTAATGAAACTAGCGATCGTACCGACATGGTTTCGTTCCACGATTTTGTCCCGACATCTGGCAGCCGAAGTGGTATTGATTTGATAAGGAAAAGTTCGAGCAATTTTGGAACTATCATGCGATCAACCCTGAACACTTCACCAGGCTTCCGAGCTCATTTTCGATCTTTAATTATAGGAGGGCACTTAATAGAACACGCAATATTGTTGAACTTAGCTGAATCCTGCGAGCCTTTTAACCACAATATATTATTTTCAAGTCTATATACATACACCCAGCCAGTAATTAGATGGCTCTAAATCATCTCATCACTAGAAACCAGCACCAGTTAGTAACTTAAGCGCTGGATTATCGTTGGGGTCGACCGTTGGTACCGCCTTCCTCTGTGCGTGAATGTAACGGATCGAGCGCGCTAACGATCTCGAATATCGAGCAATCTCTTGATCTTTACCTATGGTTGACTTACATATCAACTGCATAAAAAGCCGCATTTTATACTGCTAAATCAATGTTCTTGATACAGTAGACCATATTCAAATACGGATATGGCTCTTTCCGGACTAAGTGGTGTCGCACAAACGACTCCGAGCCGACATGGGCGCTTACTCATCGACCAATCCGACAAGTTCAATTGGCACCTTCTAACGTTAACTCATATCAGAGTCGCAGGAAATAACTTCACAAGCCACTTCTTCATTCTGAAAAGCAAACTAGGTTTACACATCCTCATATTACGCCATGACGTGGCGTTACAACAAATCAACTGAGAACCGAATCAGGTGGGGACAGCATTCAGGTATTGGGTTCAAATTCCTCAAAGCCGTAGCCAAGAACTTTATACTCCTTCAGGTTTTGTTCTTGTGCCTTTTCGCGTATGTTTTTGGCGCACTCTACCTTCAAACCACCCATACGCACAACATCAATATAGCTCTGCTTGATTATGACGGGGGGGCGATTGGCTCGGCCATCAAGGCAGCATATGAGAGTCTAGGCGGTGACGGGTTTCCAACACTACAGGAGGTGTCGCCGAGCGAGTTTCCACAACCTTCAGACTTGCTATCAGCAGTATGCAGCACAAGATATTGGGCAGGACTCTACGTATCATCGGGCGCTTCAGATCGACTGGAAAATGCCCTCGGAGGCGGCTCGCCAGCCCTGGTGTACAATCGCTCAGACATTATCACGTTGATTTGGAACCAGGCGCGATACTCAACGGTCGTCGACGGTGCCGTTTTTTCAAACATGCAAACCCTTTCCAACACTGCGAGAATAATTTACAGCACCGCTGATAGGACAGGCGCCTTGCAGAATTTCACCGATACGGAAGTCCTCTCAGTCTTTGCCAACCCGTGGATATTGAGCTCGGTCAATATCCAGCCCACGACTCAGGGATCCCGAGCGATTTACAATACTCTCGTCATCATCTTGATTTTAATCCAGGATTTCTTTTATCTAGGGACCATTAATGGTATTTACGCAAACTTGAAGATCTATGCCCGAATCCATCCTTTACGGATTATCACGATGCGGTTCCTCAACTCGCTCGTGTATTGCATGGTCGGATCCCTCTGCGTAGCAGGTATGATCTGGGCTTTTCGCTCAGGTTGGAACGTGGATGGAGATCAGTGGGCTCTGACCTGGATCACTTTGTGGCTGTTTGCGCATCTGAACTTCCAAGTTCTTGACGTGTTCACCATTTGGCTCCCGGTGCCCTACGTACCGATGGCGCTTATATCATGGGTTGTTTTGAACGTGACTTCCATTCTGTTGCCGTTCGAGCTTTCTCCTGCGTTCTACCGGGTCGGTTACATGTTCCCGGCTCACGAGGTATATGAGACGCTCCTGAACATCTGGTCCAGTGGCTGCAATCCGCACCTGCAGTACTCAGTGCCGATTCTGTTCGCCTGGGAGATCGTAGCCCTCGTTTTGAGCGTCCTCGGTGTCTTCCGCAGATCTCACTATGCAACCATCGCCGAAGAACAACAGGCCAAGCAGTTTGACGATCGCCTAAAGGTAGCAGAAGAGTTTCAGAGGGGCGAGGATGCGAAATTACAGACGCCCATCGGCTCGGCAGCTCAGAAAGACCAGGTAGCCATCGACGCTGATAAAGAAACTAGCTTGGAGAATGGAGCGACACGACAAAGACTGGCCGCTATCATCAACAAGGAGGAAAGAGAGGAAGCGCAAATCCGAAGAACACTGAGTCGGACTTGCAATTTTGGTCCCTCTTTCAATATGCCATTTGTTGGGGACGATACAGACTCTGACGACACGCGCTCATTGAAGTAGGCTGCTTGAAGCAGCATGTACCAGTACCTCATATCTTCGCGGCAATGGCATGCAAAGCCATAGGTAAATATGGAAATATTTGCTTAGGTTAGTACAGTTGATTGTTATGGACGGTGTGTTCCCCAAAAGGATTAGGATCCTGTTGTAAGTCGAACCGAGGACTGCAATTAATGCGTTGCTCACAACTGATTTTTGCAGCAATCACGAGTATCGCTATAGGTACATTCTTAATTTTCGCGTTAGAAGGTCTGTACATTACTCAGAGACCTATCAGTCCCAGGCTTACTGTTCGGTATACATGTAGCTCATTTTGGACTGGTGTTGGTACAAACCTGTCGAGGAATTGGCAAAAAGAAAGTCGTAGAAGATCATAGTATATGGCTTTCATAGTGCAGAATTGGGGGATTAGTTTCTTATATATTTTTCCAATCGGGGGGTATCGTATATGTAGACATCGGCTGTGTTATTATTTACCAGATTGGGACTACAATAATAAAATCAAACCATCAATTAGAGATTTTTTAGATTGAAAAGACTCAATTCTCATATGGCTATGGTCACGAGAGGATATGAGCTTGTCGTGTGTAGTATTTTCAAGGTAAGGAGACAGAAGATGGTATCTTACCTGGCTCTACATCGTCTCTAGCTGACCAGGTCCCATACTCCTGGGAGCCTGTATTCTTTGCTTACCGTCTTCGCCTCGGTATTAAGTAGTACCAAAACCTATCAAAAGTAGACCCTTTCAAAATGAAAGTACAGAGATACTAGTGTAGGTGACTTATACGTTTTTTGTTTTGTCTCGTACCTATCATTAAACTAAAAGACGGGGTGCGACACCATACTCTTATCATTGGCATCAACTCGAATCATGGGCAAAGAATCGTTTTAGCTAGAGTGAAGGGAAATAAACGACATATTTATTCACAATGAACGTGGCTAGTTCTTATCCAACATGGGATATGTACCAAAACTAGACTTCATACGCTTCAGGTCCCCTATAGTAACAGGGAGTAACCCCGTGACTGTCGCCAACTTTTCCAGTAACGGCACAGTAGAAGCATTCAGGACACTGCCATACAAACACTATGTGGTGAACGGATGTAGGTACTCAAAGTTGATACCAGATAGGTAGACTCACACAAGCCGTGTTCCAGCCCTTCGCTGAGGTTCGGGACACTTGGAGCAGAAAGTCACATCCCAAAGTCGTATGTAGCATGACAATTAGTAATCCGCAGAGTCAGACAGAGAGATACAATCCCCAGACCAGGATCTGAACGGTGACGATGGTATAATCAGAATGTGATCAAATCCAGTCTAGTTGAACTCGACAGAAACATTGGAGAGTATTGACTATTATCTTGGTATATAAAAAATTAAGTACAAAATCGTACCTTCACAAAGAATTGAGAAACAAAAGTTGCTGCCCCACTGAGGGTCGAACTCAGAGCCTCCAGATGCCATTACGGTTCTAAACCATGTAACAGTCTGACGCGCTGCCAATTGCGCCATAGGGCATATTATTCCATAGAATAGCAGCTGAACGGTCGTGTGGGTCACATGACTTCATTGGAGCAGTTTGCATTCATTATAATATAAGAGCCCTCTAGAGAAAGGAATGGTGGGCGACGACGTGTGTGAGAATGTTGAATCGAGACTAAGTGGACCTTGCGGTAATCATGGTTCAAGAGGCTTATAAAAGGGTGGGCGGCGAGAATGCGGGCGAGTCATGAGTAGCTACTGGGTGAGCGATTGGAGCACAGCCGGTAAACATGGCCAAGCTCTGGCATTGGGACGTTGGGTTGCCAATACTGTAGTCACAATTAGACGTCGAGTGTTATGGATATAATCGCAATTATCGTCTTAAGCTATGCTCATTATACACTAATCTTAGCTCTAATGACACCAAAACGTTGACTAATGCAGCAATATATTATGTTTCCTATCATCCTATGTACTCTATTCCAACTACGTTGATCGATAAGCGTTATAACTTGTTCTTCGACTTCTTCGAGCGCAACCACGAAGGTTTCCATTTCGACTTTGATACGGAAGGAGCTTCGCTTGGCTGTATCAACAATGTTGGCATAGATCCAGGCAATTCTTCTCGAGGACTGCCTATCAAGGTATCACCCTCCAACTCCACAGCAGATCGAGATGACCTGCGCGCTTCTAGCTCAGCCGGTCTTCCCGAGACTGCACCACGTGGGTTATCTGCTCCCAGCCCTAGATCACTCAGAGAACCGAGTACCTTTTCCGAGTCGAGTCGCAGAGTCACCGAGTTGGAGATCGGCGCCGTGTCACCCTCTAGCTCGGAGGCAAAAGAGCTGAAATGAAGATCTGATAGAGTTCTCGGCGACCCGGTCAACTCAGTTGGCGCTCTACTGAAACTTGGACTCATTGTGTTGATCGATGAGGATGCGGGTGAAGCGGGATAATCAGGTGGTTTTCCGAATCGGCTGGCGTAAATTATATCCTCGACATTCCCCCTCAGTTTGTTAAACTTGAGACCGATATGAACCTTTTTCAACGGAATCATTTCATCGATAGAATCGTGAACCTGTTGTTGTAATCGTTTATCCTTCCCAGCAAAGGTCTTGATTGTCGTACTTGTGTAATATCGCGCGGCATCCTCAATCTGCTTTACCGAAACATACTTGCCTTCGTACCGGAAGGATCGCTCAAGGATCAGTATCATGTCACATGAGCATTTCAGTAACATTCTTGCCGCCGGTGGCACGCTGAGCAAGCAACCAGCTATTCCGAGGATAGTACCGATGCCCGCAGTCGCGAATCCGACGCCAAGGGTGACAGCAGAGATCACGACGAACTGCGTTAACGAAACAGTCATGAACTTCTTGAAATTCACCATCACGACGTTGGTCATGATGGCCTCCACTTCTGCTGGCGTGGCTTTTGGGAAACCGAAGCACTGAAGAACATGTTCGCAAATAAGCCGTGAGACAGTTGGTGTACCAATCATGCCGGAGAATGGAAGAGGCACGGCGGCAGTTCGGATGGCATGAGTTCCTAATCTCATACATTCTGTTATTGCTGAGTTAATCTTTTGGTCCACATCGACGACTTGCGCAGCTACGCAGAAGAGACGGACCCGCTCGTCGGCAATGAGACCAAGAGTTTGAGTGATAAGACTCTTGATGCCAATGTCATCGTCTGTGTATAGATGTCAGTAAATTGCCCCTCTTGTTTCAGTTTTGGTCGAGGATATGTATACCCTTAGACAAACAGCAGTATCCATCAGCTTTGTAGTGCTTGATCTGTGACAATTGCGATCGAAGCTGCGAGAACTGATCCTCGGCTGACTGATTCGCTTCTTCGTTCGCCAGTCGAATGGCTTCTTTATAGTCTCCCGATTTCGCCATGTATTCTTCCAAAAGCTGCATCTTGCGGTACCCAACTAGCTTGTCTTTCTTAGTGCCAACCACAAATACCGGCACATCATGAGAAAACTGGGAAATAGTCTCAAATGTCTTTTTGTCCGCTTCTTCGATACGACTCACATCGGCATCTACACAGAACCTGCAATTCATGCTCAGTGATTAGACGCGCAGTTGGGGGTCAAAGCTCTTACCAGATCACATGCAGTGCCTCAGCTGCGTCTTTTTGAAATGCCCGATGACGGAGAAATTTCGCTATCAGTTCTAATTCTGTATCACTTCCAGCTTGCCAACCTCTCGAGTCGTGGATCAGAAGTCCGGGGTGCTTCGGTGATTCAAAGGCTTTGTTGATGTCATGAACTCCTTGATCGTAAGACAAAGATTCCTCAGTCATTTCAACACCAAACACCTTGTTTATTAGGGTCGATTTGCCGACCCCTGTTTTCCCGCAAACTAAAATACGGAAGGCTTTTACACCACTAGCTTGCAACTGCATGCCTTGAAGCCAGGGTGGCAGGGAAGTGGCATTGTCAAGTACACAATCTGCCTGATAGTCTGCAAGGCTTCTCTTTAGTGGCTTGAAACTGTTGAGCTCCAGGTATTTCGGGAACCTGTCAAGGATGCAGAAGACGGAAAGGTGAATGATTGTTCCGTAAGCACCTGCAGGAAATTAGAACTTCTCTCATGTCATCAGGTGTACATGCCTACCTGTGGGATTCCAGCCTTTCAAGCTCGTGGAACTGAAAACTTTGCGCAGTGTTGTGCGAGAAAAGCAATCGTTATCAAGTCTCAGGCTATGTGAACCAGATTGATTTGTCGTCGTGCCCGCATGTGCTGCTTGCAAATCGAACATGCTGACTTGGATACCATTGGTATACTTGAAGCTCCAATGTATGTCCTCGCTATCGTCTAAATTGGGCATTCCTCCCGCATATTGAGGGAAGACAAGAGTCAATGGACTTTCGGTCTTGACAGCTGGCTCATCTATGGGGCTTATTGCCAGGCCGGCTTTCATCGATTCTATCAGCATCCATTGCAGTGGATACAATGAAAGCCCATCATGCTGTACGCCGCCACACATATCATCAACTGACCCGATGAACCAGGCTTGTATGAACGAGTGCTCATTCATATCCAAGTTGCCGTGCTTTAACAAATCCGGACCTCTGCCAGAGCGCGCTTCGTTGAGCGCCAATGCCATGCGAATATGCTTGATTGATGTGACAAATCCAGTCTCGTAAGTAGTTGTCGTTGAGCTCATCTTGAAGCTATCGAAAAGCCCCACAAACTGTATCCGGGGCGCTTGACCCGTGTATGGGCGAATCGATTCAAGAAGTCTCGGTCCATTTTTGTTGTCGTCCTCAGCTCGAGCCTTTTGCAGAGCACACGTACAGTCATAGATATCATCAAATCTGGTCAGAGACGCTCTTAGAGGTAAACCCATGTGATGTATCACTCCCGCTGCTGCTCGTGCGACGAAGGAGCCATGGCCGGAGCCAAAGAGATACAGCTCATCTTCCGGCGACTCAAGCGTTGAGCAGATGTCTTTAACAATGCTCTTGATTTTGACGTCCGTATCATCGCCGTATATTTTTACCTTAAACTTGTCGGCAAGTTTAGGTGGTTTGCCAACACATGTGTAATATCTTCTAGTCTGGATTATGTTCTGTCCAGCAGAACCAGTGATGAGTCCATCCGTGACCAGACTGTGTAGCCGCTTGATGCTGGATTCTCGTTGCGCTAGCCCCTGATTAGCAAGCATGTTCTCAGAACAGACAGCGATCAACTCACCTTCGCCGTATCGCTCTTCAGCCCCGTCTACGAGCACCACCAAGCGCTTCATTGTTCTTTGTGTCGACATTGCGGGTAATTGGCATGATGAGTGAATACTTTTGGATTGGTTTGACAATGGGGGTCCGATCGTACGGAGGTGTGAGGCAGGGAGTGACTGTTGAAACCCTACAAGACAATAACGCCAGCGCGTGGCTATGCTGATATGGTGCCAGAAACCAGACACCGAAAAGCTGGTGCGCGTCCGATATGAAGACTCGAACGGCACAACGGCCAGGAGCCCGAGGAAATGATGTCAGTCTGAACCGCAAGACAATGCGATGCTTCCTAGCAATAAACTGGCAATTGGATATGATTACAGATCATCACATGATTCCAAAACAGACCTCATAAGGCTGTGACTCGTTGCTGTGTGTGTTGAAGACGGCAATTCCCCAAAGTTGCCGGGCCCCGTGGGCTTGAGTGGCCGCTGGCGGGGGGACCTTTTATTTCTGAACCAACACGCTAAACCCGTAACGACATCGCTGAAATCCTACAAGCACTAAAGTAGGAAGTCGGTTTGCACGCGGAGGGTAAGTACTCTGAATACATCGATGCACATCTGAGTTTGGGGCAATACCCTTCTGGACCCTTTAAGATCGCGCGATCCTGCGGGTAAACGTTCCCAATCTCTCCATGACAGCTCGCAAGCCGAAATATCGGGACTGAACCTTTTGTCGCCATCGAAACTTACAACTCTCCAATCATGCACTGGACCTACTGTAGTGACCTTACTCCGTACTGGCGGGTCGTCTTCGGGTCCCACCCGCCTGGGCGCACAGGGGGTCCAAGAACCACAAGAGTTCGATCGGCGCTTTTTTCAGCTCTATTCAGGGCTCTTGTGTCACTTGTGGAGTGCTGAAAGCATTGGTAAATCCATCTTGAAGGTACCAGGGAGCTGCTAAAATTAGCAAACATAACCACGTTGCAACGCGCAAGAGGACTCTACACTATAGAATGGAGAAACTCAAAGTCGGGGTGGCGCAGTGAGAATATCGAGACTGTATACATACACTCAACTGGTATATATGGCCATCGCACTCCTGGATACTCCGGATCTTCCATTCAAGGTATTCCCAAATTAAGACAGCCTCGAAAAGCCTTACACATAAATAATGAAATAAAAGAACAACACCGTGACCAAAGAAGGTCAATTTGATGTGCCACATGAACTGCGCATTCTTCGTGGTCATCGCTAAGTTATTTTTGAACGGTCCGAAGAGACAACAATACCAACGTAATCCGCCAGGTGAATTTGCTAGCAACTAATTAGTAAATTCGAACTTGCAAGCAGACGGGAATAACACACTGATACTATGTAAAACAACTACCAATGGTTCAATTAGTCGTAGTCTAGACACAAGAATATGCTTTTTCGTCACCGGTCAGGGTGCGGCTTGGAATACAAAATCATAGAACGGCCAAATAGCAATGAATTATCGAGTAAACAGTGGCGGGCTCCACGATGAGGAGCTGGGGAAAACAAATGCATTTCATCAACATTCATATAAAGGGATATTGTGTTTGCACGATCTAAAATCTTCTTCCCAAAGTGACTCATTCGTCAACCATCGTGCTGCCAAGTTTCATTTTCCCCAGAAAACTCCAAGCCATCATAGATTCATGGCAACGCGTTCTCTTGGGCGTCGTACATGAGGTCGTCCCTCCCGCCGTCCCTGTCTCAGGCTCATCGGATGACTCATTTCCCATCCCTCCGCCCGGATAGAAGATGCAAGCGCCACTTAAGTATATAACACTACCCAATGTCCATCAGCCATGACTACCGATCACATCATGGTGTAATCGGTGTAACCGGTGTAGCCCTTGACCCCGTAGCAACGATCGAGAATTTGCTTAATGTCGCGAAGAGCCTTTTCATATCCGACGTTGGATGCGCGCTCAATCTCAGATCTCATGATCAGTATGCCTTTACGCCTCAGCTTCAGCCCGCTTCTGGTCGAAGGACAAATCGCCTAGTTTGTGCCTCCGGCAGTAGTCGGAACTCCCTGAGGATTTTGTGCCGCTTGGGCTGCGAGCTGAATTGCGGCTTGCGTATTGACCTCGGCCTGCTGGATTGCGCTCTGGATGACAGCCTGGTCATCGGCAGTCAGTGGTGCGGTGAGGGTACTGTAAAGCTGGGGTTGCTCTTGCTGAACCTCTGTTATCATGTTAGCATGAGGTCTTCCTGGTAGTTATCCATTGAAGAAACTTACTCATCAAGGCATTTCTAAATAGCTGGTAAGGTTCGAGCTTATCCAATGGAGATTCAAGAAGAACACTGTCTTCGCCGAGATCGTCATCAGAGTCTTCTGCGTCTCTGTACTGGTTCTCCAGACGACTGAATTTGGCGGCTTCCTCGTTTAAGAACTCCAGATAGGCAGTACTTTCATCGCGACCTTCTTGAGGCTCTTCTTCAGTCTTTTCTTCAACCTGCCAGTTGAGCTCATCCTCAGCCCACTCATCTTCGTCGTCGAAGTCATAGCTGGCAGCGTCGTAGGTATAGTCGTCCTTCAAGGCATCGTCGCGGTTCTTCATAGCACTTGGCAACGTCCTAAAGAGAATTGTCACACCCTGAAGAAGCCTTGGCCAGCCGGTCTGCACACTTTGAGGAATCTGGTCGGGGTTGAGGTGAAGGAGTGCGACAATGGCAACGATGCAGAGCTTCTTGTCGTGGACTCGAGTGAAAGCATCCATGTTACCAAACCATAGACTGAAGAACTTATTCGTCCAGCCATTGGTTTCAAGAACATGGAGCGCAAGCACCGGGTTGTAGTAGATGGCGTTGATAACCATCTCCATGAGGTGAATCTTGTATGACTTGACTCTGACGTCCTGTCCGTTGAGGACCGTCATAGCCATGGAAATGAAGCCAGTGACGCACTGGTCAATATGGCCACGAAGGCTAAGCATAATGGCCTCCGCCAGTTTGCACGCACAGATCCGGTCCACCCCGCCAACCTTGGGGTCTTCAAACAAGTCTGAGACCATGCTGTAAAGTGCATTGACATATTCAGGCTTTTGTGCAAGGTGGGGAGCACCATATTGCACAAAGTTGTCGAGCGCAGGTAGCATATCCTCAAGGTAGAGCTCAGCACCAGATTTGAAAGTGCGATGAATCAGCTCGAAAGCTTGCCACATGGTAGCTGAGATACTCTTGGCAGCGAAAGTGCACGAGTCGATGATTTCGAATACTTCATTATAAAGATCTAGCAGTGGATATTAGCAAGGGGTCTCCAGGTGTGACAAGGCCGACCTACCGTAAAGCTTGTTCTCTAATGTGATTTGGATGACGGGCATAAGGACTGCTTCGATGTGCAGAAGAACATCGGGGGTGCTCTCTAGCGTTAAGATAAGTGTACCAATGGTTTGCAGGACGCCAAGAGCAGTTATGCTCTTGTCGTCCAAGTAATCACCATAGTCATCACCGTCGTCGCCCTTAGCGGCGTTCTTGTCGAGAAGCTCTCTAACGATACGAAGGTAGGTGTCACGTAGCTGCTCGCTAAGAGCTACGGCGAAGGGTGTGAGTTCGGCGGCAAACACCTCGACAAAGTCTTCCATGACGTTGGCGAGAGCGTCGATGTCGCACTCGTTAGCGAGCTTGAGTAGTTGTTGCATAATGGTAGGAATGCTTTGTTGCATGCTAATACGGATAGCATCATGTCTAATGAGAGGCTGTAGAGCAAGAGCTGCAGTGACACGGACGGGTAGATCAGTATCAGCCATACAGTCCAGGATGTGACGGTAGATGACGAGCAGGTTGTTTTGGTCCTTGAAATTGAGCTGCTCAAACTTCTCGATGGTGTCACAAGCACGAGCTCTAAGGTAACCCTGGGGGCTCTTGAAGTCAGGGAAGACATATCGCACCAAGAAGTACTCGACCTGATCAGCGATAGGACTCTTCTTTCCAAGCAGAACGGGTGCCAATGTGCCAATCATGCGCAAGGCGCCTTCCTTGCCAATGTGGTTCTTGGCCTCGGGAGCAGCAGCTTCGTATTCGTTAACTACACTGTTAATGAACTGCAATAGCTCGAACGTTTGCTTTCTCCTGACCTTGGTCAACGTGACCAAGAAGTTTGTCGCAGCAACATCGGGCGAGGAAACCTCTTCGTAAAAGCTGAGTTTCCGGTGAAGGTACTCCTCGGGCTCGTCCTCGAACTTCTCGATATCCTCTTGGGTAAGACACAGGACGGGGAAGACCAGGTGAGTAACCAGGTTGGTCAAATGCGGCTTCAGGTGCGTCCACATCTCCTTGGGCCTACAACACTCGTCAAGGAAGACCAATGTGTAAGAAAGACACGGTTTGCTGAGCCAGGCGGTCTTGGCAACCCACTTCTCGACCTCTTGCAGATAATGCTTCATGATCTCAGGGGCCACTGTGGCTGTGAAGTCCTTCGCAAAGGTCTTGTGCTCGTCGCTTTGTGTCGAGACAGCCGTGACGTTTCCGTGTCTGATCCAGAGTCGGTTCAGGTTGAAATATGCCCACTTCTTAGCCTTCCACCAGTGGTTCCTCTCTCGCTCGTCGAGATCTTCCGACATGGCTGTAGCAGGAGCGGCCTTGGAGATGGTGTGAAGGAAGACTCCGCACCAGCCAATGTTGGCATCTCTCTGGCGGAGGAAGCTTGGTAGCTCCAGCTGGATATTGTGTCAGTCTCTGTCATTGTTTTCACATCCCCCCTGAAAGAAATCGTCTTACCCATGTAGCATGTTTGTACGCCTTGAGAGCGATGTGAAGCATCTCACCAGCCTCCTCGCTGTCCTGGTTGACCAACTCGTTGCATACTTGCAATAATCTGGGGAAGCTAGCCTCGACAATCTTGTCGAACTCGTTTCTGCTCGGGTCCTGGTTGCCCTTGAACCGATAAGCGCGACATGTGACCAGTAAACATTGCAGACCGGCAAGGACAGCGGGGGCGTTGTCGGCGTGAAGCAGCTGCAGAGTAACGTCGAGGAAGTTGGGCCACTTCCCGGGGAAGTCAAAATGCAAAATGCGCTGGATCATCTGCAGCAGCTGCTGGCGAACGGGACCTTGCGAGGAGGCAAGGATTGGCAGTATACGGTTACGGAATCTCTCCTTTTCATCTTCGGCTATCAGAGGCTCATCGGGGTAGTGGTCGCTTTTGGACCATGCTCGATTCGTTCGGTTTTTTAAGTAGATGACAGCTATTCATGGGCAAAGAGTTCTCGTCAGCTTATGGTATATGCGACCGCCGGGGAGCAGTTTCGGTGCGTATTGAGGAGTCTGGGTGCGGGTTGTGTGCATATAACATACATGAAAGCCTGACCGCGTCTTCGGTCTCGTTGGAAAGAATGTCGAGAAGCACATCGCAGAAGCCAGCGTGGAGTTCGGCCTAAGAGGTGAAAGATAGGTGAGCATGGGGGGTTTTTCTCGCAGGTATCGTGTCCATCCATGTCACCGACGAGGCAAGACAAGACAAGGCTAGACAAGACAAGACGAGGACATGCCATAGGCGGTAGGCCATATCGACAACATACCTGCTTCAGTTCCAACTCGGCAGCCCGCCGCACATTGGCATCAGAAGACAGGGTCGCGACGATGCGACTCCTGATGGCCTCTGCATTCATGCTGGGCGTTCGAGAGATGCTGGGTAGGGTAAATATAAGAGAGAGCTCCACCGGTTGGGGAAATCAGAGGTCAATGCAGTTTTGATATGCCCCCTTGACGGGTCGTCGATTTGGGGGGTGGGATGTGGTTCGGAAATATGGTTTGAGTGTGGTTCAGCTCGAAAATTATGTATCTAAAACCAGGTACGTATTTGTTTTCTGCCAGTCGAAAATGGCGGGGCAATTTCAAGTCGGTCAACACCAGACGGGGACTTGTCACTGACGCCAACAGGTGCTCAGTCCACTGTCTGTAAAAGTACCCGTGCTGCTTGTGCCTGTGCTTGTGCTTGTGCTCGTGTTCAAACTATGGATCCTCGGGGTCTGTCAAGCAAGTACGGATTACCAACATTAAATAATAATAATAATAATAATAATAATAACAACAATGATGACAATAAAGGTCTGTGCTGTCAGTGATGATGAATTCTAGCCTGTTGACAAGGGGAAATTGAAACTTCCATGTACCAACCTGGGCAGGGCAGGTAATGGAATAAACAACCATAGCAGTCCCCGTAGTCCAGATGACTTGATTGCTTTGAACTAACCTCACATTATTATTCTTTAGGGCGGATCTCCTGGTTCTGTAGCAAATATTTTTTTTTTACATGCGAGGAGCATTGGCCAACGTCAATTCCATGTTTATTTTTATTTTCTTTCCCCCCTCTTTGTTTGCATGCAATTCAACTGCCCTGTGGTTGGTGCGAAGTGGTATGTATGCATTGTAGTGTGTGCCTCAAATTGCCAGTAACGCACCGCATGCAACTGCCATGCCTGACAACAACGTGCAAAGCAACGCAACACATCTCGTGGGCAAGGGACAATGCCAAAACGCAAAAATCCAGCATGCAAAAAATCAGGGACCAACAGGGGAGATGCGATGTACCCAACCTTGGAACTCCTCCAACGTGACTGGCTGCTAAATCCAAAATAACCGGGGTTTCCCTTTTTAGGTTGGAGTTCGGGTACCCATAGTGGGCATAGTTGGCCCTGCGAGTAGTGGGGGATGCCCAGTAATTTCTTTCTTGAGGCAAGATTCAGGCAGCACAAAGCCCACATATTCAGAACAATATGACGATATGTCTCCAAGACCGAATCACACCTAGCCAGGAATTAGCATGATTAAGAATAACAGATTCTAACGAGTACAAACGGTTAACACAGTACAATCATGCGTACCCTGCTCAATTTCTCGGAAGGATGCTAAAATCCTGACACTTTGCCTTCAATAGCACCATTTCTTGCAGAGGCGCAGGTTGGCAAGGGTTCCTCTGGCGGCGCTTGTGATCGGCTTCATCAGGGTCCTCCACCGTTGGTGTTGGTGCGCTGCGTTTATAATCAAACTGTTGTTAACCTAGTCGTTACTTGTTGATCAGCACAGCCAAAATGTTACCGGACTGGTGCTTTTCAGACGTCGATTTTGTCAATGTTCGCCAGTTTTGCAAGCAAGAATGCGGGCATCAACCGGCCACGGTCACAAGAGCACAGGAGCAGAGAATCAAGAAGAAGCGGAGGATTTGTCCCGCTATGGAATAGTACGTTTACTTGGGCTCTAGCAGTGCAAAAGTGTTGCCCCGCGACTTATCGTGGCCTAGTTCTGCGATAAGGGATCGTCAATATTGGAACGCCGAACTCCGTGATGCATTGTGATCATTCATGTGAGGATACCAATGGATCTATCTACCTTATAAGCCTTCCATGAGTGTTTATATTCGGGTAGATATCGTAGTGACTAAATTTTGTCCCACGACTGGACCCGGGAGATGTGGCTCCTCCTTCTCCTTCTTCTTCTTCTTCTGTTCATCGCTTACGTTTGTTTCAGTTGTAGCATTCCAAGGAGATGCACAATTCGATTGGGACCAATTCAAACGTCAGAGAGTAATCATTGCAAGGCAGGGGGGGGGGGGGGGGTTTCTCAGCTGTTGTCCTCGAATTGTACAATTACGAATGACAAGTGTTCCAACTCATAAGAATTTTGGACGGTTAAAGTGCGTCAAAAGTAACCGCAACAAGCATTTGGCATGAAAAGAAAGAGAGAGAAACCCCGAGACTGACCAGTAGAGGTATCAATCCGTCAACCTTACATTAACAGACGAAGGGCTACTTCCAGTCCGGATATTATATTATACATGCAATCGACCGATGGTGACTTTAGCACTTAATCCTAATGGGCATTCCAAGTGAGAACAATGCAATATCGATGACAAGAACGGTCATACCCAACCCAATACAACAGATGAGAAAAAAAATTATACATTAGATTAAAAACTTGAAAAAGAAAGGAAAAACGAAACGGCCAGCGAGGGAATCGAACCATCACACGCAGCAGCTAATGGTCTTAGAGGCCGCCGGCGACTACCAATCCGGCCAATTGTGTCAATATGTTTTTGAAAAGAAGATCTGCATATTAACCTATGTTCCAAACCTTGACAAGCATATCCCAAACTACATCAGTATTAAATATCTGGCAGCCTGAGGTCGGCAACGTGCTTCAGCTGACATCATACCACTACTCGGTTGGGCATGGAGGGACTTGGCGATCACTCGCCGAATGACTCACCCAGCGCTCAGGTGCTTAGTTTCATGGATGAAGAATACACATATTTCACAAGATAAAAAAGCCTTTCCACCGGCTCATTTTATTCGCAAAAGTAAAGAAGAAAAAACTAAAGTTTTCACTTGAATAGTTCGGCGGATTGACAGACCACTCCAAACAGCATAGACTACCACGAAGAACCATGAAATAGATTGTTTCACAATCGCACAGAATCTGACCAATACCCTACATTGCTTCGTGTTTTTTTTTTTTGGTTCAAAATCCAAAATCTCCAAACCGTGACCTGAGTCTTCCACAAAACACTACCACCGTCCCCCCTGCGTGATTCCACACACCATGCGTCCAGTCGATCGTCTGATAGATCCTAGGAGAGGAAGGTATCGTCCGGGGATCCAGAAGATGGAGGATGTGAATATTGGAGAACTAAATCAAACCAAGGGTTTCTCCTGGGCTGGCAAGATCCAGATTCCTTGAGGCCGTGGGTTTCATGCTGGCTCGAATTTCCGTGGAAGCAGCAGGAAACAATTGACTACGGGATAGTAAACACGCAAGATATCCACGGTGGAAGCAGCCCCAGGATAGAATGCGTTTGGTAATCCATCCATGGTAAGGGGGTGAAGATTGCGTTTTACCAGTCCAGGTACCATGTTTTAATACAGAATCCAAGAAATTCTATAGCTTGGTGGTGACATTGGTGGAAAATGGAACGTGAATCAATAGTGCCCCGGCTGAAACATGGTTTTGGCATATGAGTCGAAGACAGTTCTCTAGAACTTTCATACTTTGTGCGTGTGTTGCTTGTTTTCCGGAAGCAGAAACCAGACGAATGTCGAGTGTTGTGCCACGAACTTCAAAGCAAGAAAAACTGTGGATCCAATCCGGCACTGGACGAGGAGACTTACTGGACCGCAAGCCCAGACTTGCTCAAAGATAATTCTGTATCAAGACAGAGCTTGAATATGCAAATTCATTCAATGTGGTCGCATTGTCCTTTCAGCGACTGCTGCAGTGATCCAGGGTCTTTGTTGCGGTCCTTGGGTTTCCGGTAATTGTGTCCAGTATCCTCGGTATTATTGAAGCCATTGGAATGTTTGTCCAGTATCCGGATACGGTATCCAGGAGTCAGGGTCCTTGGGGGAAAGACACTGCTTGTTAGTCGAAACAGAAAGAAAAAGCCAATAGAATGGTAAACCATGGAAAAGTATGGTGAGTTGTGGAAATGATCCTTTCAGAGATGCTGGATATATATACACTCCTTCCTATACTCACCGTGCTGTCCGAATTTTGGCCTGCTCTATTAGTGGCTTCGTCCCATGATGATGCCTCATCATTACTATCGCGCCTACCACTGTGTAACAGAAAACAAGAAATGAAATAACATAACCAAGCAGCCTCCCACATTTTGGCCAAATCCGGACAGCACGGTGGTAGGGTTGTAATGATTTTCAGAAATCATAAAATCAAAAGAAAGGTCTTTTTTCTCGCGCCAATCCACGGTCTGGTATAATGCAGAGCAGGCCAGCTTCGTAAAAGAGCATGACAGAAACATCATCATCAAGTACCCATCCATATGCAAGTCGTAGTAAGTCCCTTTGTACGCCGTGTCCGATCTGGTTGAAGTCCATATGGAAAGAAACAGAAGTGAAAAGGCGTTATCCAAGAGCGATGGGTGAAAATTATCCTGGGGAGGCCATAATCCCGTAAAATCATGAAGAATGCAAACTTGCAACTCCTGGAGACTCATCTGAGTCTCACATGCAGGTATATCCAGATGGTGAGGTGTGATCCAGGACAAGATCATATGGTACTAGAAGGCTCCAAATCCGTGGGCAATAATGAACAGGCATTTCAGTTCACGAGCAAGACGGGAAGTCTCGCATCCGGGAATTGGCATAAACCAGGCGGTTTTACGGCCTGCGATGGCTGTGCCTGTCCCTGTGGCGGTCGCCACGTTCCACACTGTCCCGGTTTGCATGGCGCGGGGTTGCACTAGGTGCCATCTGAGCACTTGAAGGAGGCGCAGAGGTACGAGGAACAGGAGCGGTCTCATACTGGGAATCGTGTGTTGCTCCATAAGCTGGGTTGCCTGCGGGCGAAGCTAAAAAATCAGAAAGTGCCGACCTAGTTGAGATGTTGGTATACTTACCGCGTCCATAGAATGGATCCCTCGAGTCTGTGGGAATAAATTGCCCAGCGGCAGCCTGTGTCTGTTGGTAGAAGCCGCCAGCGGCACTTGAAGGGGGAAACCCTTGCGCATTGCCAGATGGACCTGCTGTCACATAAGTTGGTCTACCTTGGGCCATGGTTGTTACGGCTATCCTTGGATCTCTCGTACCCGAGGCATATGAGTCGTATGTCCCAGACATGGCAGTGTCGCCACCTCTGGCGATTGCCATGTTGGTACCCATCTGTTGGTATGGCCGTCCATCGGCCGGCTGACTAAATCCGGGCTGTGGGATGGAACCGCCTCCAGAATATGACACGTCCATGGGACCAGCGGAAAACTGTTGCGACTGGGCAGTAGTGTAGCCCTGTTGGCCATACCCACCCTGGTTTCCACCATAGGCTTGAGCCTGGTATCCCTGAGAAGCTCCGTTATACCCAGCTGTTCCAGTGCCAGGATACCTTGGAGTGGAGTCATAATCACGAGAATTATCCTGGTACTGTCCCGAGGCTGCGCCTTCTGTAGGTCCGTAGTACTGGCGGGACTGATGTGTGTCCGAGTTACGGTACTGGACTACTGGAGAGTTAGATTTCTGGATGAACACTCCAGGTGAATCTCTCGAGGCAATGGTACCTCCGACTGGACCGCGCGACGTTTGTTGCCGCCTTTCTTGATCCCATCGTGCAGAATCTGCTTTCAGATCTTCTATCATGGCCTGGCATTCATGCGTTTAGTGAACGATGACTTGAGTTTTGGTGTAAGATGGGAGCACTCACAGATGTCAAGTTTCGGTAAGCTGTGATATAGTAGCCTTGCACTACCTGACCCGTTTGTGGGCTCTGAAAAAGACATGTAAGCATGCGCCCGACATACCAACACCTGGACCATAGGAGATGCATACCTCGTAGACTCCAGGCCGGACAAGTGCATCGTTGCCAAGGTAGCGGCAAACGTCGGCCGTGATGACTTCACGGTCGATGCCATCCCGAGGCACGAAGTATTCGTTTTGTCGGTTGGATGCGGACGGCGGGGGTTGATTCGATCGTGCGGGTCGCGCAGACATCTTGTGTGTTCGGGGAGGGAGGAGGGATGTCGGCGACGACAAGATGAGACTAAGAGAAGGGGAAGAAGGGGGGAGAGATGCGACCACGATAGTAGCAAAACCAAGTAAGAATGTGAGGTAGGAGCAAATGGAAAGGCTCAAGATGGATTGAGAGGACGCTGGGTTGTGAAGAGGAGAAAAGCAGAGAAGCCAGGCGCTGGGCTGGCTTAGCGGTGGGGTCTAGAAGAGGACGGACAGAGTCCAGGAAGTCGTTCGCTAGCGTCCGATGCGGCCTCTTTCAGGGTTTGGCTGACCCGACAAGGCTCAGGCTGTCACGCCGTTGGTCCAAACCAGGGTGGTATGATGGCCTGCCTGCCCAATCCTCGACGGGTGGCAATCGAGCGACTGGACCACAATGAATTCGCGGGTGATGAACCAAGAGCCAGGTGACGGGCGGTATCACTCTGCTCTGCGTAGTGGTAGGCAATAGTAGGACAGACGATTATGCACACCCACAAAGGATATGCCGGTACAGCTTACAATGCCTGGGCTGTTCGTCTGCTGGGAGGATTGCGGTCGAGCACAAACGGACCAATTAACAAGGCGAGCGCCAATGTGGTGGAGCAGTATCACTCTATGCTTAAAAGTGTGCGTGGGAGTGTTTGGTTGGCTCGACAAGGCTTTTCTGCTGAGATGACAGCAAGCCGGCTGCGAATGTGAAATGGCTTGATGCTGCCCAGTGCGTCTAGCAAGGTATGGTGGTCCAGAGCCTGCAGAACACTGCTGTTTATGTGGAAATCAATGCAAAGTCGCTGCAAGCATAGCAGAACAAGTCGTAGTGGTGATAGACAATGCCCTATGAGAGGATGGGACAGTAGGATGATCGTCGGTCTGGAAGGCGAATGTCTTGAAAGGTGGGTTGGTGCTGCCGCCCAAACAAGACAAAAAAACTGTGGCTGAAGACCACTAAAAATGAACGGTTTGAGATACCCGTATCAAGTGCCAACGAGACACTGTGTCTCTGGTGACAAAATGCAGTGCTAGACTAGACTAGACTAGACAAAGAAAAAATTCAGGTTGGAGTAGCTATCAGTATGTTCGCGTGCTTCTTTTCAAAAATTGATGTTGGGCCAAAGGAGTTCGAATTCCAAATGGAAAATGCGATGCTCATGTCTCTTCTGGTTTCCTGTTGGGTTGGAGTACCAAAGATTTCACGAGGTTCCGCAGGACTCTCCAAGATCCAAGAGGTTGGATTAGGCACTATTGCTGGACCGTTCGGTCAAGCCCTTACCGTTTTGGGTGACCGTGAGCAGAAGCCGTTGTCGGTAGCCGGAATTGGTTTGTTTAGAACTGTATGTGTAGCAAATAACAGTAGCAATCTTGAACGCAACTATGCGATAATGTTGAAGCGCAAAGGAAAGCAGGGAGGCCCTACAGAAGAATGTCTCAGCTGGGAACCGATAATTCATATTATACTGTGCCAAAGTTTCGAGGGCACCAATCCGTAACGTGGACTTTGCTGTTTCGCGCGCCGTGTTACTGCTTGCCGATCTCATTATTGATACCCTATCAGTCAAGGACTTCCTTGAATAGTGGCTTGTGAGTGGTGGTTACGGGTCGGCGGCAGATATAAGTCTGAGCGTGACCTCTGTAAAGGCCTCAGATTTGTCGTCATACACGGAAGTTTGTTCGAGGCGCCTTTCTGGCGAGCGGGCCCCGAGTGGACAAAGTTCCATTTCCAGAGTTGCATCATGACGAACCCACGAGAAGCGAGACAACGAGATCCACTACCCATCAAGCACGACCAGCCAGGATTGTCAACGTGTTTCGCAAGCAGGCAGGCGGCTTCTGTGCTGCACTCTTCGACGCAGGCTGGGGAGTGCCTGCTTTGTAGGTTGGGTACCAATGCGCCAGAGCCCAATAATTGCACAGCTGTCAATGTGGGTGCCCAAGTAGTGGCCAATCATTGTATAGACTATCAATTCGTAACACAGTACTACCAAGAATCATCGTAGTCGTATCTTCCAGATTGCATGTCCGAACGTCTCATCATACCGCTTGCAGATGGGACAGTAGACAATTGCATTGTGCCTGGCTTTAGCTTTAATAAGAGCGGCCACCGACTCAGAACTATTCCGCCTGCAACCGTAGTCACGGTCCTCGAATAGTGATGAGAATGGGAATAACCGCTCACACGAGATATTGAAGTCATTGTCTTTGCCAGAACCTAAACGGGCGACCTGGGACTTACTGGAGGTGTCAATATTCGGAATCATTTCGATACCACTGCGAGACAACATTCTTCGCGACTGGCGAGGCCACTAATTCACGGCTATCTGGTACTCATGTAGACCTGCTGACCGACAATTGAATCGGACCAACCACGCCTCGGTCTTCGTTCCTGAATATCTCATCTATTGCTGCACTCATCGTGTTTGGATGCATGAGATATGCTGGTGGCATTGGCTGGCAAAACCCTTGCTGGCTAGCTTAAAACGCTCCTCACCCCGAATGCAAGCAAATGCGCATAACAAACTTCCATTTCTAGATGCCACGACAACCAAGCTTTGAATATAGTTGGGCGTTAAGACGGGAAGACCCACACCTGATCTGAAGTCTCCCATCGATGTTCCTTTCGGCTGGCGCCTTGACTGGTTATCCAAAGTTCAGCCTACTCTGCCCCTGCTCAAGCTTATTATTGCTCTTGCGCGGAGGCTTCTTCGAAGTCGATGCAGAGGCGTTCTTTTGCTTCTGGCTTCGTAGTCCTGATGCTTGACTGGCAAATCCGGAACTGCCACGTTCGTCTTGGGCTTGAAGGTCCATCGCGTAATGCCAATCATGGTGACTCCGTAAGTCGTCTGCATTCCCAAAATTCGCCTTGCATCGCGTGCACATGTGGTCTGTCAGTGGTATCTGGTTCTCTACTTTCTCTCGTGAGGATTCTCCGGCCCGCTCCGTGTTTTGCGCCATATCTACGAGGTCACGGGATTGGTCGTCTGATAATGGACGGGTTTCAGGAACGCGATCGCTGTCCTCTGGCGATTCGACGTCTCCAGAGGATGAGTCCCTCCTGAAGAAACTTTGAATAGTTGGTGACTCGAGCCGCGTCCGCTTTTGCGATCTTTCTGATAGTTCTGTGGTTGACTCCCTGGAGCCGGCTTTGAGTACTTTGGCTTCGTCGCCTTTTACTAAGAACGCACCAATACCCATATTGCCCGTGACACCATCCTCAAAGCCTCCGACACTTAAACTAAGATTAGCACAAGGCCATACTCTCCCTTCTAGTACGATTTGGTTCATCAAGTGCTTGGCAAGATTGAATAAAGCGGTTTCATCAAGTTTCTTGCCCTGAGGAATGGCACTTGATTTGGACCGCATCTGGCCTCCGTGTCGGTGTTGTAGGTGGATAGTCTTGGGCCGCCGTTTATTTTCCAATACACCTTCCTCAACCAAGCGCGAGAATATGTCGGCGGCAAAAATCCTCAACCATTTGCTGGCCTGATCAATATTGTTGATGCTCGGACGGAACGACTTTGCCGAGAGCATAGACTTGATTTGTGTGCGGGAATTAATCTCGCTAGTGTCGATGCCGCGTATTGTGTTGTACAACCATGTACCCGTGTCATCCCCGAGCTTAGATTTCAGTTGTTCTATTGGAACTCCCAGGAGCTCCTTGATAGACTCTGTGTCGAATGTGGATACAACCTGCTCGCCAAGCTTTCCACCCAAGTTGCGTATCTTGGTGAACTTCATGTCAGACAAAAAGTGCCGTACCGCTCGGTTACGAATGACTGTTTGTTGGTTGGGCTTCTTATGACCCGAGCCCAACTTACTGAGCATTTTATTACTTGCTATTCCTGCAGAGCAGGTGTAGCCGATTTTATTGCGGATCTCAGCTCGTATATCTCGAACTACCTCCGACCCGATCAACAGAGCCACATCGTCCCAGTCAGGGTCATCCGCCTCTGCGTCGACATCATCGAGATCAACCAACGCATCAGCCTGCCAGTCGAGAGCTGTGACTGGTGGCAGTGCTAACTTTTCGGAAGGGTCATCATAAGGCGGAGGGTTTTTTAATTCCGGAAACCTCTCTAGAAGGATGGAATGTATATAAGCAGACAAGTCGATAAAAACTTCATCGATACTGGCTTTCTCGACTTTTTGCTTATCCGCCGGAAAAAACTCTTTGATAAGAGCTAAGATCCTCCTTGATTGTAGCCTGTAAGGATCCAAGGAGACTTTGTGCGTCCCTATTTGAGCTGCAGCGTCCTCATGATATGCCCACGTCTCGTCGCCTTCCTTCCAGGTCGCAACGTGCTGTGCGATAAGCTGAGGACACATCTTACGCGCTTCCGTCAACGTACAATGCCGTCCAATACCAAACTTGCGTGCCGGATAGTTGATAGCAATGAGGCCTTGCCTTGTTTCGAGTGAGTACAAACAAGTTTCATAACCTCGAGGGAGCATACCATTGCTGTACTGCCAAGGGCTGGTCTTCCAGTGTACCGAGCCGGACCATTTCGCATTGCGCGTAGAACGCATCGAGATCGATATGAGCGATCACCCGCAGAGGCGAGGTCGTTGAGTATGAAGCTAACAATGCAAGCTGCCTGTGAGTAAATCGTGACTTCCGGAGCCCGGATCCATAAGCCGGGGATGAGTGCCGAAAGACAGGGGAGGAGGTAGGCATGATTAAAATTCAAAGATGGGTGAGCGCGGATCTCGGGGTAAAGCCACAAGCGATCGGCGGGTTGGTAGACGTGCGATCATATCGTCAGCAGTTGATTGAATTCAAGCACTTCCTTGAGCTGTGATTTTAAAAAACGTGATGCGCTCAATCTCGTGTGTACGGAGCAATGCCCCTCGATTTCTCGTCAAAGCTGGTTGTTGGCTTTGAGAAGGGTCAGACGCGGTCTTGTCCGCGTCGGAAAAGAGTGGGGAAAGTCTACGACGTCAAGTTCAAGCGCCTCCAATCCCGCTATTGCCGCCATGCAATGGATTTGACTTGCTGTTACTCAAATGCATGAAATGTTCAAGCCATAATACAAAATTTCATGCAATCACAACCTCCGACATTTATCAGCATGGTTGTAACAGCTAGTCATATTCTCAATTATACCATTGTTTTTCCATTCAACATTCACAAAGTGCTTATCAACCTTTTAGTTATCAAGTCATTTTTTTTCTCCTTCCTTTTGTTTTTTATTAGTTAAAACTCGCCCACACTCATGTGGAGAGATTCTCAGTCTTCTTCTTTTTATTCCGCCACTGAGAAGTTGTAGACATAGCTTCAGACACAGTTGTTCTCTAGTCGCTGCATCGTTTTTGGCGGTAAATCAGGGCCTTGTCATTTCAATGGAGATACGTCGTACTATAATGAACTCGGTGTTCTGCTCATTCTGGCCTGAACTGAACCGCAGGGTATCCCATGTGGGCTCAGTTTGGTTAAAAGTAATGCTACGCTTTAGGCGACATCGACCTGTGGCAGTGGCTCCTACGGCCCCGAACGCGTGTTGTTGATGCTGACCTGCTCCCTGACAACTTCATATTTACTGACCCAGTCACCTGCACCCCCACGTTCAAGCATGGACGAAGTACCCATTGGATGCAGTATACAGTAACCTTCCGGCAGCGCAGTCCCCCACGTTACACAGCGTTGGGAATAGCATCAAGTTGCCAAGCACCCGGCGGTGCTTAAAATAGAAACCAGTCAACCCTAATTCGGTAGGGCTGTGACCGAGCACGGCATATGGCGAATGACACAGATTCATATTAAGTTAGTCCCTATGTGTTAATCCAATCCGCGTCTTGTGCGACCGCTACCTATTGTTTGGATGCACATATAACGATCAGGCTATCCCGGCCCCGTGGGGTATGTAAGCTCCAAGGGGGGGGGGGGGGGGGGGGGGCCGGCCCGCACCAATGCCCTCCCGAACTCGACGATGAAATTCGAGGCGAAATGGAGGCTGCAGAGATGGCGATCAAGTAGCTGCGGACTGTTGTGTGGTGTAATCATTGTTGAATTAGTGGGTTGAATATGACCCCGTATACTTGATTTCGCATTCTTGAAGCAACGAGAAAGCTGAGGCAGCGGTCATTGTTAATGTAATCTATTTTCGTCTTTGCTATTGATCGTCAACCAAGTCCTCCGATGAAAGCGAATGGCCAAGCCTTTGAATACATGCCGCACTTGATCGATTCTGTAGAGGTATCAAGAGGAAAGACGTTGTAAATTTTGCCCCAGGCTGTGTCATGAAGTGGAGTAACTTGATCCTGCAGGTCCTTCCGAATATATGATTTTGCCAGTTAACACAATAGCCTAGCTGACGATAGTGTCAGCAATACATGGCAATGGGTGCAAAAAAGCAAGCAACGACCCCCAAGAACGGTGGAAGATATGAAACGATGCCAGAAAAAGGGTACGGGTTTACCGAGGTAGGGGATCACCGCTGCATACTGCATGTTTGCACTTCAAGGTGAGCACATCTGGCTGAATAAGCTCGGACTGGGTCTCGGTGTGATTTAGACTTCAGCAAAGCCAAGTTAGAGCTCCAGAGTGTGTCTTCAACAGGCAGTTGAGCCTCACAGGCAAGCTGCCCCCGAATGTGTCCCACAACAGCCCCCATAATTAGGTGCTAGTCAGCAAATCTTAGATACCTTTGCCTTCCCATTACCTTCGTTTGAATTTAATCGTACGGACAGAAATTGAAAGAACTACTCAGCTGGCTAGTAATGGGAACTATGTTTGGAGAGAACATGCGCTTGTTGTTCGAAGCGTAGATTGTAACTCTACCTAGATGTTGTAAGCGAGACAACCGAGATAGCAGTTTCGTGTTTCTCAATCTTCCAAGTCCCCACGTTCCTCTCATTCTTTCGCGGTACCTGGATCCGGAAGACTGCCGACAGCAAGACCCCCTACGGATCCTTTGGAACCCAAAATCCCTAGAAACAGTCATGCCTCTGGCAATGCCACAGGGCCGCAGGACCACACCCCACGGTCCATATGGCTACTCATCGCCTGATGTCTCGGCGTGATCCTTCAAGCTGACGATGGAGAACGTCGGCCAACCCGATGTGTGGTCGTGCAAACCTTCCTTGTATCTCGGAATATCGTTGAGGTATGGCAGATTATGTTGTATAGCAGGAATACACATGGGCGACTCTCGAAGAGCCGCAAGACTGCCGTAGTCTAAGAGGCGAGGCACTGCGCTGGGGCACTTCTATAAATCATGTGGCCGCGATGATCTCCAAACGGTCTCGGGTTCTCTGAAGCAACATACCAACAAATTGTCGAGAAAAAAAACCCCCCACGAGAAATATTCAAGAGTAGCTCGTGCAGCAGAAAGCCAAAGATCAGGGGTTTGAGTTGGGATATTCTACCGACCATGTAAGTCCAAGCTGCCGGATTCCAATTTACGGTGTGCTCATATCTTTTAGGTATGATTCAGAGAGAGACCCAGACGAGCCTGAAGAGGATATCCCGGTGGTCGAGGTCATCGAGGAGGAACTTTACTGTCACGAATGTAGATACGAAACAACGTTCAGCAGTTACGTGGGTCATGAGGATCAAGTTTGTTCGCAGTGTGGGCATACAAGGTGCGACACTTGCCAGGAAAACTGACACCGCGGGCAGAGCGTTGTTAAAGGAGTGTTTATTTTGAGCAAAATGATGGAGCCAACAGCGACATGTTCGAGTACACGAGAAACAGTTCTGGTTAAGAGAGGTATTAGTTATTATAAATTTATAATTGGTTTGATGCCGCTAACACCGCATCTACATAAGGGGTATCATAATGTGCTCGTCTTAAGGTCTGTCTCGCTGCAGTTCCCGCATCTCTAACCTGTCCGTCTCGTCAGACGACAAGTCATCAATCCCATATCTTTCTTTGATACGCTTGAGCATTTTGTCCATGCGATAATAGCTTTCGTGGCTGTCGTGATTGGTGCAAGGGGATTTCCTGATGGGGAGGAACCAGTCTATAATGCTTGGCCCCATCACCTCTTGCCAGTTCCTCCATATACCTAGGTCCCAAGGGTTCTCGCCGGGGTCCGTCTTAAGGATGGCAAACTTCCGGATCGCCAGTGCGTCTCTCCTGGCTTGACTCGACGTTTCTTCAGGCCAGTTCAGTCCATTGCTTGCCAGGCCGCTCATATGGGCACTGGGTGTTTCGCCCGGTCTTGGCAGCGGATAGGTAACTGTATGGTACTTGTCGCAAGACTCATGGCTCAGGGGTACTCTGACGGCTATCTGGTAGACCTTCTTCCTTCTGCCGAGCATATCGACGTTGGTCATGTTGGTCACAATATAGTTCCAGCTGGTATTGCTCATGAGGAAGGTGAAGAGGCCGAAAAAGCCAGCAATGGCCAGTATGGCGACCAAATGAGCATCTGCGCCGTCGCCTGCTTGGAGATGCGTTTTCAAAGTCGAGCCTGCGGCACCAAGTACGACACCACAGTAGCAGAAGGTGTATGTGGTGAACTGAGTAAAGAACTTGAACGCTGTAACTTGGTCAGTATGCGAGGGGCAGAGGAAAGTTGACGTGCGAAGAAACGCTTACAGTTCTCGCCGATCATGCCTCCTACCCAGGGACAATAGTGATCCATACGTATAACACAACGGCTGATCTCACTGCTGTGGTGCGCGCGGTCGGGCTTCCAATTACAACATTCCGAGCACCACTTGGGCCGGCCGTCATTTTCACAGACAAATGCTTCTTTGGTGTAGAACTGCTCCAAGCCGGGACTGTCGGGATTGGGGTCGGTGGCCACATAATATGGCTGGCTCTCGAGATCACCGTCACGACGAGCAGCGTGCCCATTGCTTTGCAGCTTCTCGTTCGCTCTACGCTCGATCGCCAAGGGGCCGAGGGGCACAAGAGGGACATCCTTGTTGATCATGAGGATTGTTCGGAAGTATGTGAAGACCATGAGTAGCAGGGTCAGAAAATAGAAGACGAGGATAACGATGGCTGGGCCGACATGGTGGCGTCCATCGAGCCAAAAAAGTACTACGGGGCCGGATACATGTTAGCGACGGTTCCCAGATGTTTCGTGCGCCGAATGTGAAGGTCAAGTTGCTGAGTGTGAACGGATGAGACATACCACAGACTCGATAGACAGTGACGTAGGTCGCGTATCCGACTGCTGCGGCCAGAACTACTGGAATGCTGCGGGTAGCCCACCGCGACGAGCTTCTGACGCTTTCAGCTGCTGACATTTCCAGTGCATCCTCCTCATGGTCGACGGGTCGGGGGGTGGAGGAGAACAGGAAGAAAAAAAGGGCAGGAAAACCAACAACCAGGCTGATGTATCCCCGAGACGCGCGAACGGGTTGGGAAGGATGCACGTTGTCGCGAGGATAGTGAGAGGGTGTCAACGAGCTTTGCATGAACGCTGCCCGGTCTGAGCTCCAGTGTAATTCCGGCTGGGAATGAGATTCGGAAACTTTAGACCGCAAGCTAAATTTGATGTGGACCCTCACAGCGCTGCAAATGGCCGTGACCAGAACTGTCAGCCCGCACAGACCTCGCTGCAGGCGCCAGCGCAACCGATGTAACGGCGCGCCTGTTGGTCCTAGGTTAACTTATTGACCTAACTCATTCACTCACTGTGTACAGCAGAACCATGATCAAATTTATAATCATGCATACATGCTTTGTACATACATATATACATACATGCGTACATGTCGATCCGCCCAACATCTTGCCGTATCTATTTGCATGTACGACCTAGGCAGTTGAACAGCAACCAATCCTACACTTTCCTGACCACAACCAAGACACATATCGACGTTACGTACAGTCTTCTTCAGTAGAACCATCCCCTTCCTCAGAAGTCTCACAGCAGCTTGTGTGCTTACAGGCATCTAATTGCCGAAGAGCCGCACCATAGTCTTCCTTCATCCTGGAATCTTGCTCCCCCGTCCAAGTCTCTCATCTCTTCGGCGCATCACTTCTTTCTGCTGTTCCTCCAGGGCAAGGGCATCTTCTAGGCGGCCTTGGCATTCTTGGGGTTGGAAAACATCCCATTGCGAGGTTTGACCATTACTGGGCGGACAACCGACTCAACGCCCAACAGAGTCAAACCATTGAAATGCATAGACATCAGATGTTTGGGGACAGCCTTGTACGGTACCGTTGAGCCAACATATCAGCTGGAAACGCCACTAGCGCGGACGTGCAAAGGGAACAAGGACGATTACCCCTTCTGCCGACCATTGAGGCTCTGCGCTTGACTTCATATCCAGCAACCTACTCAGCAACAGACGAGCACCGCGGAAACCTCTCCCCAACATACATTGGGCGTTGGTAAGGCTCTATCTATGGCCCAAGATGACCTGGTTGCTTGGTCCACACCAATTTCCAACCACGGCGAGATCAAAGCTTCTATAAAGTCAAGCGCAACTCCTCATGATCCGATCACACTTCACCACGCAGCACTGACGACAACACAGGCGCCTACCAATAGGCTGTCATGGTCTAACACCATACACGTCCTCTTGTTACTCAATTCAAGAGATAGCCAACCATACGCACTGCGATTCGAATCGTCTATACATGCTCCAGTCGTGTCGGTAGTCAGGAGCACGATGCACTGGTCGCAGTCATCAGTCTTGGTTGTGGTCGGCCTTTGCGATGGCGGACGTTTGCGGATACCGCGCTTGTCGTCTGCTAACGAATGTGTGGATAGTTGCGAGCAGGTCGTTCCCTTCCAAACACATTTTTACAGTGCTTGCGTTGGAGTGGTGGCTGGATGACTTGCCCGTCGACCAAACACAGGCACCCTAAGCTGAGGCATAAACCAGATGCTTACGTCAGTGGGCAATGCGACGAGGCTCTCGGTGAGCACACCTATTCACACCCAGCAGTTGCCCCGCGGGATACATTTAAGAACAGCTCGGGTCACCCAGCTAGCAAGCTCGTTGGTATCTTTGCCAAGGTCAATCTGCCAATGCCGATATGGATGAAAGGCACTATTGAGCCCAGTCACACTCTCGGTAAGTAGTACCGCCTCCGCCTATCATATTCACCCATGTGATGCACTGTCTGGCACTGAAGACACGAACATCGGCGGATTCCGCGCCTTGGGAATGCATGCTAGACTAACCAGCACTGGATATACCCGCCCGGGCGCCGCTGATGCGGCTCTGCGATCAGGTGTGACGCCCGACTCGTATGGGCCAATTAGATCATCGTCAGCAGGCCAGTGGCTCAGCCTCGTTGCAGCCCAGAGAGCTGCATACAATGTTCCGAGCGTTGCTTAAGTGACAGCACTGCTGGACCTGTGCTGTTCCCTGCTTTCATTGCATTCACCTGGAATCACTCAAAAAAGCAAACAACCGCCACACAACGTAGAAGATGTTACTGGGCGCTTGGCATCTCCCGCCGAATATCCCACTGGCCTGCATTGCATCTTGCTTTCGGTTGAACTTGGGGAGCTGACTGGTCCCAAGCAATCTGACTCCCTCTCTGCTAACGTTGTTGGGTTGAACGTCGCCCTTAGCGTTGATACCGATATTGCTTCGGCTGATTTAGGGCACAGTACTCAGGGCAATTATTGAGGCACGCACCCTTCGTTGTGGCTTTGTCACCGGAATATCACACAAACGAGCAACCTTTGCCAATGAACTAGCTGCGAGGCAGTATGTCAAGGTTCAAAAGGGGCAGTGTGGAATATACCTTCCGAGATCGTCTCGAATTACGCTCAAGCCATGCCCGAGGCCACTGTCCTTACAGTACCAGTGACGGTAGACCGAATTTTCTGAGGCCATTGAGTTGCCAACATTCTCCAGATCGTCCTACTGGCCTCAATCGTTTATCCCGAATGTGGATACCTTCGTTTCACGACGCTTGAGGAGGCACCTTTCGGTGCCCTTAGGTGCTCAGGATAGGCTTTTTTGAAGTAAGTCGCTTACTCGCTGTCATGTATTTGAGGAAGGTTTGAGTACAGTCGCAAGTCGCGTCGATATGATTTAATGCGACCAGGTCGGCGTTGAAATAGTGTTGCTTGTTTCAAATCACATTCTGCATATCGTAGACTTTGCTGTCCCCAAGCTTGTATTCCCAGAACTCCCACTTTCCAGAGCAACATCATGCCTTCCTCAAGTCACCAACGGTCAAGCAAACCCAAGAAAGCGAAAACCCAGTACATGTGGAAATGCGTATGCTTGTTTCACAAGATCGTCATGTGGGCACATACTGATAAACAATGCCTAGTGCCAATGCATATCGCCTTACATGTCCGTCGCAAACAATGAACACTGTTCTAACTGCGGCACTATCAGATGCAACTATTGTACAATCGTCGCTGATCAAGTCAAAAGCCACCGTTGAAGGCACGACCACTGAGTCGTGTAAGCTTGGTCTGATTGCAACTTCCGATGCAGCGTGCGTTTCTTGTCGGATTTTCAGCAACACCGTTGTCCTTGCGTTCGACCATATTGATCTCCAAAGCGGCCTCAACTTGATATGGTGCTCGATTTCCTTCTCGGTTCGGCTTGATATACACATGGGTTCATTATCACTGCGCTTTCTTTGGTTCACTGTTTTGCTTCGCCTATCATCCAGCAATTCCAATCCGACAGATATGATGGGTTCAACGGCACCGACCACATGATTCTATGGCTATCTCACTTTCTCTAACCCCTCAATACATGTGAGAAACTCTTATGGCGACTGGCACATTCCGGAGTCACAAGCTAGGACATTTCCCTGGGATGCATTCAGAGGCGTTGGTTATTTGTTATCAGCAATTGCTTCATGCATGGGTCGTGTTTCTTGGTTGTGAACTGCTTGATTTTTCAATATATACTGCTCACTGTGTACATAGAGGCTGGTGGTATTATTCATTCAATAGATTTTGTTTGTTTATTATGAAGCATTCATTCTTGACTATCAAATCCGCCATGCATGTTATAGATTTGTTCTGGACGTGGTCCTCAGATTCATCCTCATTATATTTGAAACAATCAGTCACCTGGCAGAGGCGTGTCAAGTGGACAATACAACTATCTACGGAAACTGCATTGATGTCTAACATACTTTCACTAATGTGACATCGAATAATCTCGAAAGCCTCTCAGTTAACAGGTGATTTATATAGAATCCATCAGTATGATATAAAATACGATAGGGTTATCGTGGTTAGACTGACAAATATCTAAGCTTAAATGACTAGGTGAAGTTTTGTGCCAATAGCCTACGTTTGTATGGAACTTCCTAAACATTTTCGCATCAGGTCAAATTGTGTAGTTTTGGAATATGATATCGTCATAAGCCTCTGTATGGTCCCATAAATTGCGTTGGCTCCGACTTGTTTTCTTCTCTGGGTGTATTTGAGGCGTAACGGCGTGGCGAAGTATGCGAATGACCATATCTCGCCCTAATATGCCGGAACTGACGACCGTAATCTGTCCAATACTCTCGTATCAGCCTGATTTGCGTGAGACGTTAATTTAGAGTCGTTCCCATGACCCTGACTACCGGTTCTCGGTCAAGGGCTATCGAGGCGCATGTATCATGTAAGCCATTTCCCAGAAGAACACCTACCTAGAATTCTTTCAGAATGCATTTTTATGCATAAATTTACACCATCTACGACCTATAGTTCAGCAGCTCCGTATCTCACCACGATCTGATGTAGTTTGGAGTACTTTATGGAGCCTATCGAGGCTATGTTATCGGGCGCCTAGTGCCGGACTTGACCCATGCTACCAGACCCCAATCGCTTGAAGACACTCTGACGATGCCTTTGAGACGAACGATGAAAGCAAAACTTTCAATGCATTCATTTGTTGATATGGTGGCCAGAGATCCACTATAGTGCCTCTATATTCGCCCGGGGAGGCAACTCTCTCGGCGAATCATCAGAGATTCAACCACTACGATCCTCCGGTGAGGGTAAACACATTATTTCGCCTTAGCAGATTTAATCGGGCACTGTGAGGCCATGTTTTGTTCAATGTACGAGTAATACTAACATGTCAAGTTTCCACGATGACGGCCCTCAGCAAAAGAATAAAAGTATATATGGATATGGTGGTCTTCCTGGTAGAGTTGCTCTCGTTTATCACCCAGAAATCATCATCTTCACTAACTTAGCTTATACTTTCTACGCATCATCCTAGAACATAAGCCAACCTATTCACCTTGGTTCTAAGAAATAATAATAAAACATCTCATATATTGTCAAAGAGTATATACCACTCAGCCCTCAAACATCAACATGGGAAGCGGAAGTCACAGACACGGCGAGTGCGGCAAGGATAGCAAGAAGAAGACCAGGAGTGTCTGGGCATGGTATTGCGTAGGTGTTCCTGTCAGAAACTTTGGCGATCAGAAAGTATCGGAGCTGATCCTCTGCTAGCACGAATGCGGTACTCAGAACTTTCTCCCAACAAATGAGGTGTGCGTCAACACACCAAATTGCAACCATACTCGTTGCGGATATTGCCAGTTGGAAGAGATTGCCACAAGCTCTCATCGTTAGGGTACGTTTGAAATTTCAAAAATTCGGGGAAAGGGTTCCAGATTAACTCTTTTGATATAGCACACGATACTTGAGATGCGCTTCCACTCCGAGGCCCTCCATGGGGGAGCCAGCATATTTGATTCATGTTTCCAGTAACCTGAATTACTTCAGCTCGGTCGTTGCGCACAACTCAGACACCGCTTTTCCTTTTCTTTTTCGAAACCCATTCTTTGCATAGAATTCAGGGTTGAACAGCACCACCGAAAACAGTACGGGACCACGGTACCGTGCACAAAAACAGCAAAAACAACGCAGCACACTTACACATACTTTCCTTGTCCAATATCTAGAGACATCAAACTTCACAGTTCTATCAAGTTGGGTATACCCCCTTTAGTTAGTTGTGGTATGGGTCTGCAGTAGGGAGGTTAGATCTCGCACAGGTTGCAGGGAGGGCAGGCGGGCCCAGAACGGGTGGGAGTTCTGGAAGGGAAGTGGGGGTACGTTATGATAATCACGTCGAAAATTGTCGGCTCAAACATATAAAATTTTGATGGCATGTTCTCATGTTCCCATGCAATTGACGCTTAAATGTGCATGGCCGCTTCTTAGAATTGGAATTAATAAATTGTTCTAGGGTGTACTTGTGTAACGGTGTAGGTGATCTAGCATGCACATCAACTATCGATAACATCAATGCTTTCGAAGCCAACAACAAGAATGGTGATCGAAGCTTCAACTTCGAAACGCAACAGCGAACTAGTTTTAGTCATGCATCGCATTGCAACCAGTATAAGATATGGCCCGGGGCTGGGATCTCCAGTTTACCCTCAGATTGCGCAAAGATTGAACCATGCCGACCGAAAGAACGTAGTTGCCTTTGATTCGGACTTGCACAGGCTAACGTACAATAAAGACGGTGTATTCTAGTATGAAGATGATGTTATGATAATCTCCTTTTCTACTTGCTTATTATACAATAAAGGGTGCGGATCGTATAGCGCTGACGCTCATGACGTCGAGGCCCGAAGCAGCAAGTAGGCAGAAGCTTATATGGCCGGACTTAAAGAGTGCCATTGAGATTTGAGGAGATAAGCGAATAAGCGACTTGACGAGTTGAATGCGGCAATTGTATGAGGAACATACGCATCATGCGGTCGGTTTCGGTCGAATTGTTGAGAGATGTCGAGATCAGAACTTGACTCGAAGAGGTTATGGCGTACTGTAAGTTGTATTACTCCCGCTATGGAGTGCCCTAATTGGCAACCTTAATTAAGCGAGTGCGATAGGTCTAAGCTAGAAACAGAACAAGTGCCACGAGCCTGGTAGCGGATTGGTTGAGCGGCTCAATTATTCGACCGCCAGCTAGGCCGATAATCCACTGTTTTCCAAATTCCAATCATGCTGAAGATGGGTCCTCCCTCTCACGACTTGTCACCATTACAGAAAAGGAAATTTTTAAAATCCGCGTTCTGTCAAGCCACTCAGGACCGTGAACATTCCCAAGCCATTCCACGATCGACAGCAAGTGATATAATGGGCGAGATCGATGTAATCGGTGGACGTGAGATGATGAAGCATGGAAAAGTTTATAAAGTATTCAACTGCTCCTGATTAGCCTGCTCCGAGTATCAGTCGTATAGCATCACGCCAGAACCCACGACCTAGCTCTTATGTACGCAACTTCTTAACACTGAATAGTATCAGTATTTGATCTGAGCGCCAACCATCTCAACAAAACAATTGCTTGTCCTGACAACTACAATTTGGATGAACGCATAATCCCACATATCAGATATGTCGATACACCAAAACAAAGCAGCTTATCTCGATGGCGCTAAAGTTCACCCACTTGCGGTGCGCGAGGCGCCTTACACAAAACCTGGTCCTCATCAAATTTCCATCAGAAACGAGGCCATCGCATTGAACCCTTTGGAATACATCAAGCAGAGCATCGGCAACTTCATCTATGAGTGGATCAAATATCCGTTTGTGATGGGCGCCGATGTAGCAGGAACAGTGGTGGAAGTCGGCGAGAACGTGACGCGCTTCAAACCCGGAGACCGTGTAGTCGCATGCGCGTTGGGTATGGAGAAGAAGCACAACAAGTCAGCCATGGGCGGCTACCAGCTGTTTACCAATGTTCAAGATAACTTGGCGAGCCTTATTCCGGACTCGCTTGAGCCCGAGAAGGCGGCTGTTCTACCTTTGGCTATCACAACAGCGGCATGTGGGCTTTTTCAGAAGGACCATCTTGCATTACGCTATCCAGTGCACGGCGGCAAGTCACAGCCACAGAAGGACCGAGAAAATTTAATCATCTGGGGGGGTTCGACTAGTGTCGGCTGTAACGCCATTCAGCTGGCAACAGCGGCTGGCTACGAGGTCATAACGACCTGCTCCCCACGTAACTTCGACCTGGTCAAGTCTCTTGGGGCGACGGCCGCCTTTGACTATCGCAGTCCGACCGTGGTAAAGGATATTATTCGCGCATGCAATGGCAAGAAAGTCGCTGGCGCGATGGCGATCGGCGATGGGGGGCCGGAGAAGTGCGCAGATATTCTCGGAAAGTGCGAAGGAAATCGCTTTCTTTCTCAGGTTAGCTTCCCGAATCCGGAGAACCCTGACGCCGGGGCTCCGGCACGGATCTTGACATTCATGGCATTCTCCGCCAAAATGGTAGTCAAGAAGGCGTTAGCTGGAGTTCGGTCCAACTTTGTATGGGGAGCTACTATCGAAGATAACGAGGTGAGCAAGGTGATGTTCGAAGATTTTCTTCCGAAAGCTCTCGCGGATGGAAGCTATACCTGCGCCCCAGAGCCTGAAATCATCGGGAGTGACTTGGGAGCGATCCAAGGCGGTCTAGATAGGCTGAAGTTTGAAGGTGTTTCGGCGAAGAAGCTTGTTGTGAAACTATAAACTGGGCTTCTCGATATTTACCGCGAGACTTTGTTGGCCATGGATGTACGTTACGTCTTTTAGATGTTCAGTTTCTATATTAATTTTAGTATTCCTGCGAAATCAATAAATATTTCTTTTGGATTAATTCGCCAGCAATGGCTGATAAGATACGATCATGACCAAGTTCCAATGAGGCCATTCTCGGCATCACCAAGAACGGGATCCTTATGCGGCTTACTCGTTGCCCAAACCTTTTCAAACCTACCGACATCCTCACCACCTTTGGCGAAGTCCCAGTCTCGGCTGTCAATTGGATACGCTCCCATCATCGTGAACCCGGTCAGTTCGAGCTTAGCCAGTGTACTACGCCTATCATCAGCCTCAATACTATGTCCCTGACCAGGCGTCAACAATTTGAACTCGGCTTCCGGCTTTGAGTCAAACGTCTTGTGCGCTACTCCAGCCGGTATCACAAATACATCACCGGCCTTAGCCTCGACCTCAACACCACCCTGCTCCCGTCCGCTGCCATAAGTGCTCTCCTCGAGATCATCTACTGTATCAGCCACACCGAACCGGATGTGAGCAGAGCCTGTCAGGACCACCATGCATTCGTGCACCGCAGAGTGGTAGTGTGATGTCTGCGCTTTACCATAGCGAAAGATCCACTGCGTGCTCCACCCGTTCTCCTCAAAGATGTCAAAGCAAGTCGTTGCTGCTGTGTTTGGAGACTTCTGTACCTCCTCTGAGAAAAGGCCGGAATAATAGAGAAGTGGGTTGGGAGAGTTCGGAATTAGTGCCGTAGGCGGTAGACGGTATTTTCTGGGCTGAGCCATGATTAATGCAGCGCAACGTGATTCAGTGGTAACGAGTACCACGCAGACCTTAGTTGGTCTTACGGTACTTGATGTACGAGATTGATGATATGATCGTGCAAAGACTATCTATCGTCGGGGAAGCCCAGTGCCCAAGGACTGTTGATTGCCACGTTCCGTTGGAGTTCAGGCGAAGCGCATGGGGAGATTGCAGGACGTCATGGTCATGTCCAGAGGATAAAGTCGCAATGCATGAGTTATGTCATGTGCGCGAGAGCTTGATAGTGCTGTGGGTGTACAGAGCTTCGGAAAAACCGGGGACGGGTTGCTGCTTGGTGCTACTGTATGTATGTAGGTAGTGTTGAAGACCCCACCCTGCGTTGCTAGTCTATAGTTACACGTTCAGATATATCGAGGTCCGACTGTCGCAAAAGTTAACAATATGGTCGCCGTGCATGGCCTCTTGTTATCAACACCAGGTTATTATTACTATCTTAGGATATAATATATGGTTTGAATTATTATGATATCATAAACGCAACCGGAACATGAGCCGATATAGGTGTCGGCACAGCAGCCGACTCTCGGTCGAACCAATCGGCCCCTGGTCCGCAACGCTTATGCAGACAAATGGACATTTTCGTACTCGAGCAACCAACCACAGCCATCATTGTTTTGCAGGCAGCACACCTCAGTTACTGAATTTCCGCCGTTTCTTTTCCAACCTTTAGCCTTGCTAGTTCGTCGAGTCTTGTCCGCACAGAGTACTGAATGAAAAACTCGGGTTGTGGCCATGGATTACCTCTAATGTGGCCTAATGGCCGGCTGATAAGAGATGCCGATTACATTCGCAGTTTCTTGCACTAATTACTACTTAATATGATCGAAACACTAAACATCGAGGAAAGCATTACTTTCCTTTCATAGTATGCGGAAGAAAGCACATGTTTCTATAAATAGACTCAAACTCTGAGAATGGCTTATCCATCAATGTTTCCCATAAACGGCGTCTGTCATATTTCGGATATCCCATGGTAAAATTCTTCGGTTTGTTTGTTTCCATGGTCTCGGTCAGGAACCGACAAAAATGCTGCTCCGATCACCGGCTGCAAGATCGCAGGTACATACCATTGAGGAGCTGCATTCTGGCAGAACTGTTGATTGGAATACGTACCCATCAATCCATCCACTAGACTTTTTGCCAGTCAGGGTTTGGTTTGTCTTTATGAATTTCTCAAACAGCATCAAAATGCCACTAACAAGAGCTGGCTTAGAATCGGCCCAGCTGACACCAGTGAATGCGGGGAAAGCGAAGGAGGCTTTTAGGCGGGTATAGCCTATCTGCTAGCACTGCGGAGTACAGAAAACATCGAGTCATTTCGAGATAAGACGAAAACATGAGGAGATCAAGATAGCGACGATTAACGACGCTGAGACCGAGCGGCACGTTGTCATCATCACGCTGTCTCTGGATCATTGGATCCCTCGAGTTCGCCTACGGCAGGTTCTTATGCATGCCATGGAGGCGACGTCCCCTAGAAGCCCACCAAAGAAGGCCTCAAAACGATCTTCGAACGCGTAAGTTGCTGTTCAGATCCCCATAATAACATTGGAAAAAAGGCTGGGCAATAACTCAATTACAGATGTACACGTTGCCGAAAGCAAAAGATAAAATGCTCGGGTTTACAACCTTGTGAGGGCTGTAAGAAGCGCAAAGCAAATTGCATCTTCGATGATGCTGGCGATAAGGTGGTGGTGACAAGAGCGCACGTGCAAAGATGGTCTTTTCACTATTAGAACGATACTAATATACAGCTTCAGATTTCTCTTGGAGCTCCAGCGTAAGGCATCACGGTCGCAACAACAATCACAAGCAGTCGAAGCAAGCGTATCGGCACTATCAACCTCCGGACATGAAGATAATAGTACGCTCGAAGATGGTATGTTTTTACACCGCTCCCTAATGGCAACAATAGTTGACTGTATCCTTTGGTAGAGCACGATGGAAATGTCGCACAGAATAACGACGACGAACAGATCAGCTCGTCTAGGGAGGGTTCGAATCAGCCGGCATTGACCAATCTACTTGCTGCTTCGCCATCGACTTTTATGGCAGCGCCAAACGGGCAACCTTGTTGGTATCCCTATGCTTTGATGAGTCTCCAGAAGCTGAGTTAGTTGCAACAGATTACATGGGTACCTCGTCGAACTGGTCATTCTCGGGCAGAGTCCTCCAAATAACTCACGAACATGTGCATCAAACACCCCTGCCATCAAGTGCTCTGCTCTTTGATGGATTGGCCTATGACCTAGGCTGGGGCGGGCCAATGGATCCTACTGACCTAAACACGCTTGCAATACCTAGTCCCGACTATTCAATATATTTGGTCAACGCTGTGAAGTTCCACTGCGGCCAGATGTATCACTTATTTGACGACGAAGAGTTCCATCAGAACCTCCAGCAATTTTATTCGGAGCCTGAAAACCCAGCAAGGCAGAGTAGTCTATGGTACATTCATTTCCTCCTCATTCTAGCCTTCGGAAAGATTTTCATAATGCAAAAGTCCACCGGCAAGAGACCATCGGGCACGGAGTTCTTCGTTAAAGCAATGCAGATTCTTCCCCCTGCCTATTGTTTCCCCTCCGACCCTGTCGGCTCTACCGAAATTCTGTGCTGCATAGCACTATACCTACAATGCGTTGACCACAGAAACGCCGCGCACATCTATGTAAGGATGTCGATACTCCCAATACGACTCATCTATTGGTCTTCATCAATGATAACTAACGAATGTTGAAGATTGGCCAAGCCATGCGTACAGCCATGGCCTATGGAATGCACACTGAGATGCCTGCAGATCAACTCGGCGAGAAACACGTCCAGAGATGTCGCAAAGTCTGGTGGACGATTTTTGTACTCGATCGACAGATGACCTCTTTAATGGGGTTACCTCATCCTATACAGGATGCAGAGATCCAATGCCGACTCCCCGTATATCACGAATCTCATCAACGAACTACAACACTTGATATGCATATCAAGTTGGCACGCGTCATTGCTGAAATAAATAACGGTAAGTCTACACCTGTCAACATGACTTATGTCACCTGACACAGCAGCCTTATTTTAGATGTCTACGGTGCAAATGGTCGACTGAAAGGAACTTTCTTGAGAAGCACAAAAGCCTCCTTGAGGAAGTTGGCAGGGTTGGCAGCCGAGCTCGGCCAGACACTTCCTTTGAGGCTGGATCAAACTGGGCATGGTGTTTCAAGGATGTCCGCTTCCCTACACCTACTATACCACCAGGTAAGGATGACTAACTCGGGCTAACAATACACCAATTCATTCCGGAGGTTGATTTGTATAATTAGTGCATTGTATTAGCGACTCGACCTTTAATGTTTTGTTACCTGAAAATGAAGTTCGAAGCAGCAACATTCTCGAAGACCTCCACCCAGGATAAATTCAGCACAATTCTACAGATGTGTATAGAATCATCCCAGTCGATCATCATCATTTTGGAAAGCCTCCAATCACAGGGCTTACTGGGTAAGGTCAAACTACCGCGATTAAAGATTAGCGAAATTGACAATTCATACTCCAGAAACGTTCCTCTCGTTGGATCTTGACTCCTTGCACGTGTCGTCGATTATACTTGTCATCGGATCAGTGATCGACGGACAACTCATCAAAGACCGGCTCGCCTGGGTTCAGCGATCTCTGTCATTGTTGGATTGCATGATCACAGCCGGTAATTTAACCGCTGGCTGGCGAAAAACAGAAATGCTAAAACTAAATCAAATGTTAAGCGAACCAGGCGATGGAGGCCCTAGCATTCCATACCCTTCCGCCGTTTCCTGCACCAGCGCATCATTTCAAAGCATTTTCACAGAAACGGTTGTACCACTCGGTCAGGATGCAATGCCACTACCACCCCTTAGTATGAATAGCCTCTGTAACGGCGACGATCTCTCAGCAGATCAAATTCTGGCAATCGCTAGTTCCATCCAGGAAGAAGATGTTGAGTGGATGGACCGTGCAATAGCGGAGAATAGCATTTGGTAGCACAGAAAAGGAAATTTAAAAAAAAAAAAAAAAAAAATTTGGACAAAAATACTTGGCAAACGCGATCAACACTTCGCATAGGTGAAAACCAATCACATGAGCCGTCGATGAATTTATGTAAGTTAACGCCCGTAAGTGTCATGTGGACTAGAGTGGGTAATAGTTGGTTCATAGAGGAGTCTCAGCGTACTTGCCTTGAGCATGCAGCCTAATTCAAGTCCGCTTTTTCCCTCTGAGTTGACATTTAAGCCTTTCTTCTCGAGGCGACTGCACTGCGCAAGTTCGGTAGACTTCCCAAATGTTGAATTTCAACTTATATTCAAGTGGAAAACAGAAACTCCATACGCTCATCCGTATCTTCATTTGCTGCCTTGATATAACACGATTTGAGCTGCTAGCTAGGACACAGCGATAATCTTCTGCGGTCATGATGCTAGCGTCCGTGCATATCACCTATCATGTTATACCCGCCATGTGCAACATGAGCTTTGAACCATGATGTTATAACATGCATTGATAACGCGTAAATAATGGATACAATCTATGTGGCTATTACAACTTGCTCTCTCTCGCGCGCTTTATATCACGGTATTCCGTGGTGTTACCGATTCGCCAACTCACGCCGCTACCCCAATCCTCGCCAGTCTTGGTTTTGGGGGCCTTCCAACGCCACCTGGTATTGTCCTGACCCTTCGATGATGCCAGGAGTGCGGTTATCCACTTCCCTACGATAGGGAACATCTTGAAACCGTGCCCCGAGTCTCCAGAAAGCAGGACGACAGAGTTGGAGGATTCAGGGACGTAGTCTACAATGAAGTCAGAGTCGGCAGTGTCGGCAAACCAACAGAGCGACTTCCTGACGAACGGCCTCTCGGCCAGCGCCGGGATGGTTTGGCGCAATAGCTCTCGAAGCTTGACCTCGTCCTCCTCGGGCAGGAAACCTGAGCTAGCACCACGATGCTCCGGAGGGAGAGATACGCCCTTGTTGGTATTGATGTAGCCACCACCCATGGGGCAGAGCTTGAGGAGGTTGGTCTCAGGATCAGGCTCGAAGAAGAATCCAAGATCTCGGGCATAGACGACTGGGATCCCGCGAAGTGCCGACGTCTCTTCGTCGGTCAAGTGGATGTGAGCAACTGACCAAGATTTGGCATCAACGTTTTGGCCAACCTCAGGGATCAGCTTGGCAGCTGCAGCGCCGGCGGCGACTATGACCAGAGCGGCACTGTGGAACTTGCCGTCCTTAGTCTTGATGCCCTTGCTCTTCTTTCCATTCGGAGTCTGCTCGTATATGATCCCTGCAACGGCGCCGGAAACCTTGCCAAGGAAGAATTTCACGCCTTGCGCCTGAGTAACCTTATGAACTGCTCTTAGGGCGTTAGCTGAGTGGGTGTAGCCATCGTAACGGTTCAGGTATCCTTTCCAGCCTGGCAGTGAGCCATTCAGTTGCCAGGACGCGTCTTGAATATCGTCCTTGGAGTCCAGTGACACGACGTGCTTGGCTAGCTTAGGATGCCTCTCAGCAGCCGCCCGAAACCTGTTCAGGGTGTCTACCGCCTTTGGCTGAGCTTTACCAGAGGCACAATGCAGAAAACCGACTCTGTGGAAATGAGGCGCAAAGAGAGGTGTTTTCCACGCTTCTGCAGCTTCCTAACGGTCAAGTAAGTTAATAGAATTGCGCAAACTGAGGCTGAATTGACGAACAATTGTCAGATCGGTGTACCATGGATCTTCGTACTCAGCCCGCATAATTTTGTTGAGATCGTTTGCGGCCGAGTAGGCAGAAGGTATCTCGTCATCTTGCTCAAATACTGTGACATTGGAGTAGCCACTTTGCGAGAGGTGTAGTGCAGTTGAGAGACCGAACGCACCAGCGCCAACGATGATAATGGGATCCTGCTTTGAGATCCCCATTTTTAAGAAATTGCACAGGTCAATATGTGAATTGAGAACTGAGTTGTGAAGGTGAAATGCTCATTGCCCAAATCCTTCACCCCAAACACCAGCAAGACGTCACCGTTTTTTATGGTAGTCACCATCATAGATTATGTGCCCGCTCCTAAATCGCAGCATCGCATTCCAATCGCAATGTCTTGTGATGCAAGCAAGTGGCATCATAATTGCAGGACAAGTTTAGTCCCGGATGTCGTGCCGTAAGATACAGCAATAGTGTATCAGTTCTCCCCCGCACTCGGCTATGTGGCCGAACGCGCAGGCTTAGCAAGTTAAGTTAGTTCGTCCACTGACCGATGCTGTAAAACAATTCGGGGGTTATTGATTATGTAGACCACAAAGCCGACTGGACCAAAACCATCGTTACCGCCCCTACGAATCACTGAGGTCTACGGCTATCATCGCATCTACTATGCGAGCCCATGGGCCTGAAGAACCGCCCCGCTATATTATCATGGCCGATATAGGTCCGAACCTATAGCAATGTTTACGCAAACTGAATCGTCTTTTCCTTCCGCACCAACAATAGTTTCGGCTATTCCGTATCACTTCTCAAGTACACACGTATCTATAACCGGCATTGCAATTGTATACGACTAGGCACCGACAGGCTCTAATATTGGTTAGATAATGATTCTCAGGCAGTTGACAAGGCGCTGCAGGTCAAAGCTACTGGAAGTGTAGTCGAATCGTGGATACTGATAGACTACTTTCTACGCCAATATTATAGTCTGCGGCTTTATCAATTCGCCCATAATTCTTGTGTGAACGCACGTCTTTGAAAAACGCCAAAAGTACCAAGTTAGATGGCTTTGCACGCGTGATTGTCTAGCATACAAAATAGCATGGCACAAGAACCAGCAGTTTCACCCTCGAGTCTTTGGCGGAACAACGCTTTACAAAGTCACCTTGCAGTGGACATCGTAGCTGCAGTTACCGCGGCCGCCGCTATTTCACCGATTATCACAGCCACCGACAGGTCAGTTATCATTGTAGGTATGTAGATCCAAGCATTTACACATCTTCCAGATCTGTGGTGGAAAGCGTTACGACTGGGCGGCCACTGGTACGGACACTGGCAAAACATTTGCTTTGCCCATTTACGCAACCACGCATATTCTTTGCAACTAAGCCCGTATTCGTTGTGTGGAGTTTATATGCCGCCACTTATCTGACAGCAAATGCGAGCGAGACGTTGATAGAAATATTTCTCGATGCGGACAAGGCTCTGGCCGGAACCCTCGTTTCATCTGCGGTCTTCGCTGTCAATACACCGCTCAGCGTCTGGAAGGATGTTCGCTTTGCTCAGTTCTTTGGAACCCGTGTGGTCGCGGCGCAATCAAGCACGGCAACAACCGCATCGACGTCGGTAGCGGCTGCACGCCGGAGAATGCCAGCTTCAGTAAGTGCAGCCTTCTTGGTTCGCGACATAATCACAGTCTTTGGGTCTTTCGCTATCGCGCCTCAATTCTCGGCCATGATACCCGATGGGTTGGCCCAAAGTGCCCAAGCCAAGGCCTCCGCTGCACAGTTGATTGTTCCGGCTATGACACAGATCGTGGCAACGCCAGTGCATTTGTTGGGGCTGGATCTGTACAATCGACCAGGTAGGAAGGGAGTTGAGGAGCGGATGAATGGTGCGCGTCGGAAGCTGCTGTCCACCACAGTCATGCGTGCCTTTCGACTAATACCGGCTTATGGATTTGGAATCATTTTCAATGGTAATCTTCGATCATCTCTGAGGAACAAGTTAACTAGTTAGCACTTGAAATCGAAGCGTATTTTCGGCAAGATCTCTTGTGGCACGGCTAAACACTTTGCGGAAAGCATGGATGAGTGGTATCGTTTTACACAACTCGCCATGCTTATAGCAAAAAGACTTTGGGTGCATATTATCATTAACTAATTACCATCTGATGGGTTCCCTGACAAGTCTATTACATTATACCTAACTTGAGGCAAACTCAAATAGTGTCTCCATCTGAGATGGATTGTATTTCGCATCCAAAGCTAGCTGCAAGGTGATACGGGCCTTCTGGGGGTTCAGGAATCCACTGCCGTATCCAGGAGTAGATGGAGGCTCAACATAGCCATCCATTGTCCTGCGAGAATATACCACTGAAGTCCCATTTTCCTCCACGAGCTGCTTGATCACCTCTCTGCCTGGCTGCGTCCAACCACCTGCACCCATACCTGCGAGCACTAGACCTTCGGCACCACTGGAGACGGCAGCAGTAGCGAGAGTGGGGTTGAGTCCCTGGTAGCCATAAAGGATATCGACTTGTGGCAGCACGTCCGTGTCTGTGACATCGAAATACGGCTTGCCGAGGGGGGTGCTTGGAGTGGAATAGAAAATGGGCTCAATGTTGATGAAGAAACCAAGATACCCTTGCTCGTGGGCCTGGAAGGTGTCAAGAGAGTTTGCATTCGTCTTTGTGGTGAAGTACGCGCTGGCGATACGATCGTTCAGGACGATCATCGTGCCGCGACCGCGAGCTGCAGGGTCCGCAGCCAGTGTGACGGCCTCCAGCAGGTTTATAGGACCGTCCGCGCTGATGGCCGTGGCTGGCCGCATCGCGCCGACAAACACGACGGGCTTCTCGGAGCGGATCGTCAAGTCCAGGAAGAACGCTGACTCCTCCAAGGTGTCTGTTCCATGAGTGACAATAACACCCTGACAATATGGGCTGTCCAGTTCCTCCTGAATCTGGTGCGTGAGATTCAGAAGAATTGCAGGGGTAATGCTCCCAGAGTCAACATTGGCAATTTGCACTCCCTTAACATTGGAAATGTTGAGAATCTCCGGGACAGCATTGATGAGCACCTCGACGCCTAGGGCACCAGCCTGGTACCCGGTTGTCTGATCCGCGCTGCCCGCACTGCCGGCGATTGTGCCGCCCGTTGCGAATATTGTTATGTTAGGCAAGCTTGCATTGTAGGATGTTTCGTCCCTAACAGTAAGCTTAGCAGCAGGCGGCAAGATAGGTGAAGCAGCCGCAATGGCCACTGACGAGGTGAGGAGGACGAAGCGGTTGATGGCGACCATGATGCATGCAACAGTACAAATATTGGAAGTGCTTGTTATCTGCCATGGTCTTGGAAGCCTAGGAGAGACTGCTTTATATGCTCACTTGGCTATGAGCCATCTACGAAAGGAAAGCTTCTCCAACGTCACCAATAGCAATTAGATACACTTTCAATTGGTGCACATAAGACCTAGAGGGTACGATAAGGCTAAGTGGGAGCTAGGTTACTCAAGATAGGCATATAGTCACTAGTTTGACATGGGCTATCTGGGCGCGATATTATCAACGACTCTTGGAAGTTGTCTAGATACTTTCTCGCGGATCTCGGGAGTGCTAGTCACCTTGGCGAATTGAGGATCAAACGATACTCTGCCCACGATCTGCCATGATAATAATTGCATTTCACTTTCAGATGCTATAAGGTGTCCGACAATGGCTTTCAACAAGGAAACACGAAAATGATAACAGTATTGTCATTCTGGATATAAGAAAGCCCACTACGTTGCTGTCGGAGGCTGGCGCCCGCGGGGTTCCTACTCCAGAATGTTGAACTAGACTAAGGTTAGACTAACTTGGAGCAACCGTTTAGAGGCTCGGCAGTGGGTCAAGCCCAGGCGTTATCTCCCGACTTATTTCTTCTGGGGCTGCTTCTTGGATCTTGATGAATGTCAATGATATCGCTCAGAAGAAACAGACTACAAATCTTTTCGAAATCCATTACTTGTTTATTTGTGCTTGCAAGCATCCTATCTTAGAAGTCATGATCGAAGGGGTAAGCTTTCCTCAATTTTCGCTACCTCTTCTGTACCTTGTCTTATCGTTTCCTTCACAGGCTCCGTTGGCGGATCGTACGGGGTCCTGGGTTGTAATTTTGTAACTGGATCCGAAATACCAGCGGCCGTCGCAGTCCGTATTGCGGCAGCGTATTTTGTAGCGCCAATTCCCGCCTTAATTTGTTGTTCTGCTAGAGCTGCTTTCTGATGCAACTCCAAAGCCTCTTGTTGTTTCCCTTCCCTGTAAAGATCGTAAATCTTCACGATTGTCTTTGGGAACACATTTGCAAAGGCTGCGATGCACCCGACTGATCCGGAACTTAGACCGCCGATGATGAAGTCTGATTGACCTCCGAATGTCGCAAAATTGGGAAGAGCAGCCGCAAGACGAGTGATCTTAGCCACTGATCCACAGGTGAGTTTGGTACCAACAATGTTTTCGTGCTTGTTGGCCAGCTTGGCGATCACGTCTGATCCAAGGTCGACACCGTTGCACACTCCAGGAAAGTTGTAAATGACGATGGGAAGCTTGCTACCCTTGGAGACGTCGGCGTAAAACCTCTCGATAACTTCTGGGGTGGTAGCTTTGCCAAAATACCCTGGTGGCAAGACCAAAGCAGAGTTGGCTCCAGCATCTGCCGCATCAGCGATGAGCTCAAGAACCTGCTTCGTCGAATGCGCTCCACATCCTGCCATAATAGGGAAGTCCGGGCCCACTGTTCTGCGGGCTGTATCAATCAAGGTCTTGCGCTCCTCGCGTGTCAGCAGAAACGCTTCAGCGTTCGTACCCAGAATGACTAGACCAGCCAGACCAGTTCGCGCCAGGTACGAATAGTAAGTGGCCTGTGAATCTAGGTCTAGCTCATCAGTCTCCGGGTTGAAGAATGTGACGGCAGGGCACCAGACGCCACTAGGGGGGATGTGATATGCCATCTTGTTGTCTTTGGGAAATAAATACGGTAGGATAGAACGAAACCTGTCGAATATCACTTATTGCACGCGGCTTTGTGGTTGGTTTTGCACAATATCAGTCAGTCAAACCCTTAGTATATAATACGTCCCTGGCAGGTGCCTTAGGAGCGTGTATATAGTTCTAATTACACATTTCTTGTTGTGCAGTGCAAGTGTATAATGCCGAGATCGCACTCATAACACCATTGCTCGAAACTGTTCAATTAATCCCCCGACAAGAGATTCAATGATACGACATCGCAACCGGCATCCGTCCGAATTCAAATGCGGAGTAGACATACTGTAGTGGCATATCTGTTCGGGCGCGCCGTCCTGCAGTCCTGCAGTCCTGCAAGTTGACGCGGGGAATGTGGATCCTGGCTAATTCCGAGTATACACCCTTCAGAAATCGCAGTGGGGAAGCCGGTAGAGAACCCGAGAACTAACCTCAGATATGCGGGCTCAGAACCGAATGCAGTATGATTAGCTAGTCACTTGACATGTTCATGATGGTGGATGAGGTTATGGCCGTACTCGGCTGGTGATCCAGTCTTGAGGCAATGCTTATTTGTCCCGATCAAGATCGCCATTTCAGCTCGACTACAAGTTTCCCTGTATATCCTTCAAAAACGCAATCCGAGGCCAGAACTTATTGAACAGCTAGCGCTGCGTCTCTCCATCTGTACCTCTACATCAGCCAGAACCGTTGAGTCCAAAGAATTCTGAAGAAAAAAAAAATGAGGAGATCTGTCACATCGAGGCCTTTGAGGGCTCTCCAAACGCGTAACGCCCTGCAAGGAGTTGCTGCGCGAAGAGGGAAAGTGACCGTGCCTTTCAGGTTGCCAGATGCTCGCAACGAGCCCAACGTCAGTCTCTAAGCAAATTCTGCCAGTTCCTTATTTACTAACACGAGGTTTAGCCTGAATACAGAAAAGGGTCGCCAGAAAGGCAAAGGCTAGAGGAGGCCCTGGTGAAACTACGATCACAGCTCCCAATTAAGAGCGATATATTCGTCAATGGCAAGGTACAAGCGCCATCGCAATCATTAGATCAGCCGCTGCCTGCCGAACATGCCACCACATTCACCAACTTTCCCTTGGCAAGCAAGGAGCAAGTCTCTCATGCGATTGAGTCTGCCCTGAAGGTCAAAAAGTCCTGGGAGCAGACTCCATTCGTTGATAGAGCCGCCATCTTTTTGAAGGCTGCCGAGCTTGTCTCGACGAAATATCGGTACGAACTTATCGCAGCGACTATGCTCGGCCAAGGCAAGAATATCTGGCAAGGTGAAGTCGACGCTGCTGCTGAGTTGGCTGATTTCTTCAGACTCAACTGCAACTACGCAGCCGAGATCATGGAGAGACAACATGACCGTGGTAGTGATGGAATGTGGACCAGGCTAGACTACCGACCTCTTGAAGGTTTCGTTTATGCTATCTCGCCATTCAACTTCACAGCTATTGGTGGTAATCTGATTTCTGGGCCAGCCTTGATGGGAAATGTGGTCCTTTGGAAGCCTTCGGCATCAAACATCTATGCTAGCACTATCGTGTACAAGATTCTGCTCGAAGCTGGTTTACCGCCGGATGTGATTCAGTTCATTCCTGGTGATGCGGAAGAAATAACCTCAACCGTCCTGGCACATCGCGAATTCTCCGGTCTGAACTTCGTTGGTTCTTCCGACGTCTTCCGCTCATTATATGCCAAGATTGGAGAGGGCATTGGCAACAAGACCTACCGTGATTTCCCCCGTGTTGTCGGAGAGACTAGTGGCAAGAATTTCACGTTGATCCACCCTTCGGCCGACATTGAGAGTGCTGTCTACCACACTATCCGCGGCTCCTTCGAGTACCAAGGTCAAAAATGTTCCGCCACTTCTCGCCTCTACCTTCCCGAGTCGCGGTCAAAGGAGTTCCTCGATGGCCTCCAAGCTAGAATCAAGGAGATCACAATTGGAAACCCTGACAAGGACCTTTCTGCCTTCATGGGTCCTGTTATCCATCAACGATCATTCGAAAAGATCAAGGGAATCATCGATGCTAGCAACAACGACCCTTCTCTTAAGCTGTTGGCAGGTGGCAAGTACGACGATTCGGAAGGTTTCTATGTCGAGCCCACCGTCTACCTGGCAGAATCACCAACACACAGACTGTTTGACGAGGAGATCTTTGGGCCCGTTCTAGCCATCCATGTGTACCCTGACAACCAATGGACATCCACTCTCGACCAGGTAGATAAGAGTGGTGGTGGCTTTGCGCTGACGGGCGCCGTCTTTGCCAACGACCGTGGCGCTCTTCGGGAGGCCGAGGACACTCTGAGGTATTCAGCCGGTAACCTTTACCTAAGTAAGCGATTCGAAATATTATCCTTTGGAAACCCATAGCTAACCAGTTTTACTTGCTAGACTGCAAAACTACTGCAGCACTTATCGGACAGCAATCTTTTGGTGGCAGCCGAGCTAGTGGTACTAACGACAAAGCAGGTAGCTCCAATGTTATGCTACGCTTCACTAGTCCCAGGTTAATCAAGGAAGAGTTCTTCGGACAGTCTGGATTTCAGTACCCCAGCAATTATTAGCATGTCATGCATAGTATAGTTTGTAGCAATACCAATTGTGCTACGGTCAGTTGAACTTGGCACAAGGTTATATTGGCAGTCAAAACAAGTCAATTCCAATGAATATGCTTGAAAGAAGTGAAGGCAGATGTGTCACTACACCCTCACACAAATAAAGTTCTTACTTTATAATCGCCCTCACTTGCTCAATCTTTACAGTCATTTTCATCCTTATAAGTCAGGGTTTTGAAGTACCAAGTGTCGCTTTTCGACTCCTCCCCATCCAGCGTGGGTGACATTGTAGACCACACTTTCAGCTGTATCAAGACATGGCAAAGTGTTTGAATAATACATAATTTGTCATGGAAATGATGTCTTAAGAAATCTGGATGAAGTTTCAGGATGCCTTCTTTTTATTTTATCTTACTTATTATCACCTTGATGGCAAACAACATTGAGCCTGCTCTACAGTCGTGTTTACGTCTCTTCTGAATGATGATAACAAGAAGTCATTGCAGTTCGTATGTTGATATCATTGCTGATATTCTGGAATTTGTACTATCTCAGTGCCTGGTGTCATTTACATGGGGATCCTTACCCATAAGCCGTGCAATCGTGACGGCTTCGCGCAGACCCCGGCTGAGACCACCACGAACACCAGTCTCCTCGAGCACCATAAGCCCGCCAATTGTGCAGCCTTCAGGCGATGTACCCTGATCTCTCAATATGCTGGGATGGACACCACTTTGTAACAGAGCAGCTGTACCTAGCATACTCTGCACTATTATGGCGTTGGCCTCATGTCTCGGTACCCCCACCGCGACCGCCGCATCTATCAGTGAGTCGACGATGACCGCGAAAAATGCAGGCGTCGATCCTCCCACGGCTGTAAAGGCGTCCATTTGACTAGGTGCCAAGTGCACTGTCTTGCCTATACAATTGAAGATGGCATCAGTAGTCTCCAGGTGCTGGGAAGGTAATTTCGGGTCCGGCTTCTCGATAGCCGTGATCGATTGGGCGACGATAGCCGCAATGTTCGGTAAAGTGCGCACTACCCAGATTTCAGATTTGTTGTCACTCGAACTTTTCGCAAGAGCGGTCTCAATCTGCTCCCTCGTCCAACCGGCAACGATGCTGATTAGCAGCTTGCCTGCGAGTGCATCGATAAAGCCGGGTTGTTGTAACGCCTCCTCGACATCTGCCGGGTCGACTCCAAGAAGGATGAAGTCCGACTGCTGTACCGCCTTGACATTGCCACCTCTTGAAATTTCCAGGCGGCTTTCGGAATCAGGAAATTTCTCTAGGAGACGCTTCTGAGAACGCTCACTGCGAACGCATGCGATGAAACGCTTGATCGGCAAGGAGGAGTTTTGACCACTCGTAGCCTTTACCAAGCTCTCCAAGATAGCAGTTCCGAGATTGCCTAGCGATTCTAGTTAGGTCCCAGTTGCTAATAATTTAAAGGATACCACTGTACCACAACCCAACACGCAAAGAGTCGACATCTTAAATGAGGTTTAGATAATAGTCACGCTTAGGCCAAATGAGTCTCGTGGGATACGCAAGGTTATACTATACTACTCAGAGCCAGCATGGGCCCCTGTCAAGTCGTCCTTGGGTCGGCCTCTGACGTATGTGGTGGCTAGGATTGAGCTTGGTATTGAAGATGTCGGGAAACCCGACATGTTAGCTCTGCGCTATTGTACTTTTGTGGGGAGGCCATCGGGACGCGACCCGGTCTGAGGCTTATCGAGGGCTGGATATAGTGAAACGTTCAGCAAGCAAGATACTGACAAAGGACAACGTAGAGAATCAGATTTCATGCTAAATTATTTCGTTGCTTCGTTCAGTCATCCGCCACACACTCAATACTATGCAACGCCATAAATCAAACTAGCTCGAAACGCGGAATGCCGTCTTCATCCTTCTCCAAGCCTCAGACTTCAGGGCGATGTACTCGTCCGTTGTCCGCATGACTGCATCGCGGTTCTCTACCGCGCGCCTAAGCAGGTAGGCCAGACATTCGCCCATGCTTCCCCAGGTGGAGCACTTGAAAACGTCGGGGGAGTTCTGGTTGTCGTCTTTCTCCGACAATAGCGAGAAGCTCACTTCGTCAGACATTCCATGTAACTGACCGAAACCAACAGGTATCGTAGGGAGGCCATTTCTGAGTCTCTCTTGGTGTAGTCTTTGAGCCGCAATAACGCTTGCTCTATTGTGGCTGGCCAGGAATAGGTTTACTGATGGGAAAGGCTTGCCGCCTTTTGCTCCAAACTCGCCAATCTGTCTCTTCAAAGCACCTGTCGCAATACTGTTATAGGTATTATCCGTCTCTTGTTTCGTGTCGTGGATCAATGATCGGTTATCTGAGAGTATATAGGCACCGCGTACTAGCTTCAAACCTAGCGTGAACTGTTCTTGGTGGGCGGCTTCCATATGCTCAGCGACGACAGCAGGAGTTTGTTTCAGATATGCCTGGTATGTGTTGTAGACAACAGCAGCACCGTCGCGATTAAACTGGCGCATCAAACCCAAGGTCACCGCTGCGATGCCTTTCTGGAAATGTTGGGACTCGGCATCGACGATAACTCGTATTGAGCGCGCCTTACATTCGGCACTGATCTCGTTAATTGCATCCAAGAATTGCTGTGGCGGTGTTTGGCCAGTAGCGAAAGCATTGGTCACTGCTGGGCCAGCTCCAGTCAACCTATAGGCACACTATCATCAGCTTGTCCAATATAACCGGAAGGTGATTTGAGACATACTTTACTGCAAGAAAATCGCCATCGTCAATCAGTTCCACAGTTTCAAGAGTACCTGCCCGCCACTCCTCTATGTGAGGACTGAAGGCAGGTTCTGCCGACTTGGCAATATCGTCCGAGTCAACTCCCTGCACATCTGCAGTCTGAGTTTTGTGGTCAAACACGGTTTCCCGTGCATATGTAAGGATCACACCTCTGAAACCAAGGTCTTTTAGTCGGCGTACACATTGCCTGGTCTCTGTCCCAGTCTCACCAGCGCAAAACTGATTATAAAATGTTTTCTTGAGCACCCCGTGAACGAAGGGGTTCTTGTCAACATTGAAAAGGAAGCCTCTGTCAGGTTTTGAAAGAAAAGATAGTAATTTGAGAGATGGTATAAGAAGGAATCGTTTGGACGATATGCCGGCGATGAGAAGAGATCTCACCAGCATGCTAGTTGGCAGCACTGCGAGGGGAAATCGACTGGCAACTTGCGCCGGCAGCGTCGCTGCCATTGTCGAGGCGTTCCGCAGAGACGTTACGACCCGGCCTTTCTCCATATCAACTGCGATGGGAGGAGAGATCAAAAGTGTGTGACTTCGTTCTGTGCGCTATAGTTCTGTACGATGACAATCTCAACCATTGAATCTCAACCATAGGATAATTAATATGTAGTACAGTCGTGAGGGGCCCAGCTATAGGATTGGGTTTCTGGACTATAATTGGGCCCAACTCCGCCTATCTACGGCCTATGCAGCTGCTATCAATCGCCATCATTACGTGCGGGGTGCTGCGATCGGAGGTCACGAGGCCACAAGCGGACTGCTGGATGCTATTCCGATGCCACCTTCGGGACGTGAAGCGACGGTGTTATCAGGTCTCGACCACCTGTGACTTCTCCAACTTTTGGCATTACCAATCGTGCATCAAAGTGGTAGCTTAAACTCTGGCAAGACGGTAAACCCGCCCGGCCAACTGTACACGAGCAATAGGGTATCTGTCTTGGCCCGATATGAATCGTGTCAGCTATCGCACAAGACGGCCTGGTTATCATACCTGGTCTCCGCTATAATCGGCGTGCCAGGTTTGCACGGAGTAAATCCCGGTTAGTTGGACGCTTGACCCCAGATATGCCCAAATATGCTGTGCATCTAGTGATAAGAGCGGGGAATTAGCGTGAGCACAGCGTGGAGTCGGCTGGCCCGAGTCGCGTTGAATACGACTACCGATACCCTATGTAGTGACGACTCCGAGATTAGGTACTCAAGCTCTGTCTCGTAGTAACGTCTATCCGTATAGTCGCACAGTACCATAGGCCTGGCAAACCTTGCAGGGGTGCGGCGCCCTAGTAGTCCTTGCTGCTCAGCTCATGGACGAGCCTTGACGCTTCGAAGTCTGATAATAACTCATAAGGTCCTCCCTTCGACCTCCAGATATTTTTCTCCTGATCTATACAAATCTCCATGTTGTACTTAATGTTTGTACTGCGATCTACATTAAACCCGACCACAGCGGTTCGAGACTTCAGTACCTACCGGTACTAGTACATTTCTCCACAATGGATTCTTCTAATGAGAAGGAGGGCGTGATGGGTAAAGCTCTCGATCGGAATGATACCCGTGGCACTTTACATAGTGTACACGCGGGCGATGTCGCCGGCGAGAGTGACGACCAATTGAAACGCCATCTCGGCAACCGACAGATACAGCTGATCGCCGTAGGAGGCTCCATTGGTACTGCTACCTTTGTGAGCATATCCAATGGCCTTATCGCTGGTGGACCCGGCAGTCTGTTCCTTGCCTACACTATATACTCTTGTGTGATGGGTCTGGTGAATAACTCCATGGCCGAAATGGCTGTCTTTCAGCCTGTGACTGGTGCGTTCATTCGTATGGCCGGCAAGTGGGTCGACGAGTCTCTAGGCTTTATGGCCGGCTGGAACTTTTTCATTTACGAGGCTCTATTGATACCATTCGAGATTTCGGCTCTGAATCTGGTCCTTTCGTTTTGGCGCGATGACATACCCGTTGCAGCAGTGGTTGCTGTTTGCATCCTGCTCTATATGTGAGTGGCTCGAGGACCCACCCAACTCAGGCGTCTGCTGTAATGCTGATTCGGATTAGTGCTATCAATGTATTCGCGGTCGAGTGGTATGGCGAAGCTGAGTTCTGGCTGTCTACGGGCAAGATCCTGCTGCTTGCAATCGTCTTCTGCTTCACCTTTGTTACGATGGTTGGCGGGAACCCCAAGCATGATGTCTATGGTTTCCGCTACTGGAAAAGCCCTGGCTCGTTCGCTGAACATATTACAACTGGAAATCTGGGTCGGTTTGAAGGCTTCTTAGGTATGCCCAGTTTCCATGGTTTCTAAACTGGTTCGGTATATGCGAATCCTGAATTAATCAACTTTAGGTGCCATGTGGAGTGCTGCTTTCACTGTTGTTGGACCCGAATATGTCGCTATGGTCGCGGGTGAAACCAAACTGCCCCGGAGATATCTGAAAAATGCCTTCAAGACCGCATACGTCCGGTTCGCATTGTTCTTCATTGGCAGTGCCTTGTGTGTTGGCATTGTCATTCCCTACAACGATAAGACTCTGGTGTCCATTCTTTCTGGCTCCTCCGAAGGTGCTGGAACTGCCGCTGCCTCGCCGTGTAAGTGCCGCACTTTCCAGTTTCATGATTTTGCTTCCGAAAGAGATGTTAAATTAGTATGAAATCAAATTGAAAAGGTGAACTAATGCCTCTGTTACAACCAGATGTTATTGCTATGAACAATCTAGGAATCGGCATCTTGCCTCATATCACCAATGCTCTACTAGTGACTAGCATTTTCTCCGCTGGTAACGCCTATACCTACTGGTAAGTTTAAATACGTGGAACAGATATCGTACTCGGTCTTTCGCGAGAAGCGGTAATCGTTATACCTCACCTCTATACCACAGGAAGGACACCAAACAATCCCATATATAAGCAGCAGCTAACTCGTCTCGTTTCATTAGTGGTACCCGAAGCCTTTATGGTCTGGCTCTTGACGGCCAGGCCCCGAAGTTCCTGCGGAAGACTACCAAAGCGGGTGTTCCGATCTTTTGTCTCGCGTTTACGATGGTTTTCCCATGCCTAGCTTTCCTCAACCTGTCCAGCAGCGCTTCCGAGGTGCTGAGCTGGTTTATCAATCTTATTACCGCCGCACAGATCATTGATTATATCGTCATCTGCATCGCATACATATTCTTCTACAGAGCTTGCGAGGCTCAAGGTCTCGACCGAAAGTCGCTCCCCTATTATGGAGCTTTCCAGCCTTACTGCGCTTGGATTGGTCTCGTTTTCATGACTGCCGTCGTGTGCACGTACGGTTACAGCGTATTCCTCCCCGGCAAGTGGAGCATCAAGACGTTCTTCACTTACTATACCATGGTCCTAGTCGCTCCCATTCTGTATTTTGGATGGAAGATCACTCATAAAACCAAATTTGTCAAGCCGGAAGAGGCTGATCTGGAATGGGTCGCTCCTGGTATCACTGCTTACGAGGCTGCCTATACTGAAGAAGCCCCCGGGTTTTGGACCGAAATCATGCAGATCTTTGGCTTGCGAAAGAATAAGGTGACGGAAATTTTGTCACATTGAGCTTGGTTGCTTATGTTTCTGCAAATGGGTGATGTACGTCATCAAATTTGCAAGCTTTTTTTTAGAACCATAAAACGTAGCGAACTATACTCATGATCGCGGGTTGGGACCTTTAATGCAAGAGTATGAATTCAAGGCTCCGCTGATTGCTTATTTGTTTCTCTGATCGATGATACAAATATATGATAACCTAAAATGCGACTATACAGCTTTTGAAAAAAAAATTTGAAAAAAAAAACCTCTACATCTCCGCGATCGGCAACTATGACGACGGTATTGTTGCAACTAAAATCACCCAGAATTTATATGAGCCCATGCGGCATTTCAGGATATGGCTCATCAAGTCAAGAGCTTCACTTTTCCCCCGACAAATTACCAATAAATCAGGAACGGGCTTCGAGAGGACTCACGAAAGATATGATAGGAATTGAAAGGATATAGAAGGCAAGGGTATTTCTTGAAGAACAGATAAATTTCCGTTTAGCGTTGATATGGGTGAACTGGAAGAACTAGATCAGTCCTGCCATTCGTGCGTGCGGCAGAGGCAGCGATATTCCACAGCTGTTCCCCATCATCGTCAGTGTCGAGGCTCCATTGATCAAGGGTATCGATTTTCCTACTGAATCTGCCCCAAGCATGCCGCTCAGTCGGGTTGTACCCCGAGTGGAGACCGGTCCAATGTCCGAACTCAGATGATGTATTGCACTAGGTTATCACAACACAGGATGGAGCTAACTTGAGCACGGCTCGATATTATGGCGCTATAGTTACTAGTTCAGACTCCACGCAGCAAGCACTGTACATCAAGAAGAAGTCACAAACCCAACCTCATCAACTGAATTCTAACCTCAAAACTCATCATGTTCAAAAGCGCGCTGCCGGGTCCGCCGGACCCTATGTTCATCTTGAAGAAACTAGCCGACGGTGACTCGTCTCCAAACAAAGTTGACCTTGGTGTCGGAGTCTACAGAAACGAGCAGTCCGGCTATCACGAGCTAGAGGCTGTCAAACGGGTAAAGAAATTATTTGATCTCGATACCTGTCACTTGCTGACTCTGAACATTGATAGGCCAAGAAAATTTTGGATAAGCGAAATCCTGGGCACGATGTATGTTATGCCCACAATAGCTGTTATGAATCTCATAATTGGTCCTTTTTCTCACAACTTACGTACTGGTGAGATGGATAAATGCCAGGCGAGATTGTGCGACGTGCTTGATGTCGTCGTGCAAACGAATCTTATGTTATACTAACGACTGTTGGGCGTGGAACAGTATGAAAGCACAGTGGGAAACTCGTCTTATCTGAACCATGCCGCGGACCTGATATTCGGTCCTTCAAGCCAGGCAGTCCAAGACAAGAAGGTGCGTGCCCAACGATTGACTTATGGACTTTGGTCGGGTTCGGAGCATTGACCGTTTGACCAGGTCGCATCTGTTCAAACAATCTCTGGCACAGGCGCGAATCATCTAGCAGCGCTTTTCCTAAGCCGGTCTACCGAGTTTTCCGGGAAGACCATCTACATCGGAACGCCAGCGTGGGGTAATTATGACCCAATCTTCCGTCTCGTTGGGCTGGATGTTATCAAATACAACTACTATGATATCAAGAGTGGTGTAGATTTCCCTGGAATGCTTCAGAAAGTGGAGACAGCGCCTTCAAAGAGCATATTCGTTCTTCAAAGCTGTTGTCAGAACCCGACTGGTGCAGATCTGACGCGAGAGCAGTGGGATCAATTAGGGGACGTTTTCAAAGAAAAAGACGTCCTGCCGTTCTTTGACATCGCCTACCAAGGACTTGGCGCAGGCCTCGATGCCGATGCATACGGTATCCGACATTTCGTGGAGCTGGGTCTTGAATTCGTGGTGGCGCAATCATTCGCTAAGAATTTTGGACTATACGGAGAACGTGCCGGTGTACTCCATATAGTTGGGAGGGACGAAGAAAATGCTCTGAATATTGGAGACCAACTGCGTTCATTGATCCGATGGGAGTTCTCATCGTCTCCTGCTTACGGCTCAAGACTAGTGACTATAGTGCTGGAAGACTCCGAGTTGTCCAAGATATGGTCAGTATTCTCATAAATGACGTTGCTAAATTTGGGCCACAAATACTGACCAAGACTACGACTCCAGGCGCGCCGAGTTGGACTCAATGAGGGAAAGATTGTTGTACAATAGAAGAACACTTTACAACGCTGTAGCAAACGAGCTCAAGGTAAATAACCCGAGTTTTCGGTGGAATTTAGCATACTAAAATTTGGAAGACTCCAGGCGATTGGATCTCAATCACTTCGACGCAAGGTCTTTTTTGGTAAGAGCTATCATGCATTGTAGCTGTTTAGTTGTAAGCTGCTAACTCTCATAGCTATCTGCCTCTAAAGCCGCAGCAGTGCGTCTTGCTGAGGGAAAAGCATCACGTTCACATGCTCGAGAGCGGCCGTATCAACGTGGCTGGGCTTAATCCGTCGAATATAGGTTATGTCGCCAAAGCTATCCAAGACGTGGTAAACAATAGCTGAGGTCAATCCTGTGAAGTTCATGGATGGTCCAGTAATGGATATCGAGGTAGTGGCTAAATCCGCCATACTGGGAAGCTGGTAGCAGCATATGGCAGTCAAGTTCAATCAAGCATGAGAAAAGAAAAGAATAAAGGAATTGTCAGACAGTAATTGTGGTATAGATTTGTGTGTATATGCCAACGTAATGCCTGGGTGCTAACCGTCGACACGCTAGATAACCTATAGCAATAGGAATACCAGTTGAAACTCTAGGAATTTGAACTACTAGCTAAGCGCCTAGAGCTTGACCTTGAATATAAAAAGACTAGATGATTATTCAATGTTAATGCTGGGTGTATGCAGTGAAAAGTTTTACTCATTTCAATAGAGTTATTTGGGTATAAAATACTGTTTGATGCTGTAAGTGTGCGGAAATTACTAACAGTGCAGTAAGCCCATTCACCTGCAACAGGATGGTATGCTCAACTTGACGAACAATATATTCGCGACATCGGCGATATTCATGTGTCGCACTTGATAAAATCCTGGGCTGTAATCGGTAAACAGGAAGTCGGACTTGACTATACCCATACGATTAGCTCGGCTGGCCCATGGCTTAGTAAGTACAGGCGCTTCTTATCTCTTCAGCATTTGCGCAGCCGGTTCTCGGATTGCTTCCCGATATTCACCAAGACAAGCCGCTCGGTTTTGAAGCACCTGCGCATCGACTAACAACCAATGCATTCATACTGCGATCACCGAGCGAGAGATTGCTATATGCCGCTCAATCTCCGAACGACGCCTCCGTACCCTTCGTAACTTCGGACAATCCGCGTCGCCGCAGCTCCTACGAAAATGGAGCTGCCTACAAGAGGACATCATCTCACAAGCTCCCATTGAATACGTGGTTGTAGCTCCTTCTAAATCATAATCCATATACAAGGCAATAACAATACCTCTCATCTTCGGTACAACATCTTTCAAAAAATTCGAAATGGCTCCAATTCAGGTAGGATGGATAGGATTAGGTTCGATGGGCATTGGCATGTCCAAGAACCTGCAGAAATACCTTTCCTCCACGGGAGCCCTTCCACTGCTATATACAAACAGAACACTTTCTCGAGGCGATTCCCTAAAGTCTTTAGGAGCCAAACCCGTAGAGACAGTCCGAGAAGTTACGCAAAGGTCAACTATCATCTTCTCCTGTGTGAGCGTCCGATCCGTTCTTGGTCCTGTGGAGGCCACATGCTTATCTCTCTTACTAGGTCAGCAATGATGCAGTTCTGAGAAGCGTGGTCGATGATATCGCTGCTTCAGGCAGTATCAAGGGGAAAGTATATGTGGATTGCTCCACGGTGCATCCAGACACTGCCTTGGATGTTTCGAAACAGATCGTTCAGGCTGGCGGCGAGTTTGTGGCAGGTGAGCTTGGACTCAAAACTATCCTTAGTGATCCGTTTGTAGTACTGACCTCGACCCAAGCCCCCGTCTTCGGTGCTTCCCCGGTAGCAGAGGCCGGAAGGCTGATCTTCGTCACTGCTGGTCCGAGAACGGCCATAGAAAGGATAAGCCCATATCTGAAAGGTGTAATGGGCCGTTCGGTGATTGATATGGGCGAGGAGGTCTCTAAATCTAGCCTCCTGAAGATAGCTGGCAACATTTGCGTGGTTTCATTTATGGAAGTCATCGCTGAAGCGCACGTGTTCGCCGAAAAGACTGGCCTTGGATCACGCATCCTCGAGGATATGTTGAGCGATAACTTTGGTCCGGTTATCGGAAGCTATTCCAAAAGAATAACGACAGGTGCATATGCGCCTGCGCCGAACGACAAGGCTGGATTTGATGTAGCTCTTGCCATCAAAGATGCGCGGCATGCGCTGAATTGTGCAAGAGATGTCGGTGCTACACTTCAAGTCAGCGAAGTCGCTCTCAAGAACCTGGAAATCGCGCAAGAACTCCAGCAGGGCAAGCCTTTGGACAGCAGCTCGATGTATGGCACACTTAGAGTGGATGCTGGCTTGGACTTCTACACAGATCTTTGCAAAAAGCGAGATAGCGTTGCATAGGCAATTAAATAGCAATTTTGTGTCGCGATTAGTAAACAATAGAATTGCATGATACCAGCCCAAATTCATATACTGTTGGTTCATGGCATCCATCGATATCAAGTGTCAACCAGATGGCATGGAGTGGATTGAGCGTCACTGTTCTACATCGAGGGTTTCCGCATGGAAGGCTATTTGACTGAGAAAAGTGTTGTAGTCTTGCTTTTAAGCGGTCATGCCTGATTCAAGTATGATTGTCACCCAAAACTTTACCCTCTCTTATCAATTCTACAACGGCACCCACGACATGAGGGCCGCGGCAGGTGTATTACGTGAGAGAATTGCTCGGTGGTTGCCTTTTGCTCAATCCATATAATGCACCTGAAGCTAGCCCAAGCAATCAGTCAATTACTCAGCGAGACTAGATCGTCACACATTTCCTTCGCCTCTTTTGGAAAAGACTCGCAACACATCAATCCTCCTATGTGTCAATGGCCAGCTCCACACGGTCCATATACTGATCACAAGAGCAGTAATCGGCAAACTGACCGACCAGTATAGTCCTTGAGTAGGGGATGTCGAGCTTATTCCTGGTGTTGCGAATGTGGTCTCACCTCAGTTGGCACTCGGTACACAGTCTTTCTTGACGGTCAAGCATTTTTAAGACATACCGCAATATATGTTGCTGGTAGAAACATCATTGTAAGCACCGCGATAGCTTTCATACTGGAGCTATCCTTCTGTGCTCCTACCACGATCTTTTGAGAAGACTCTGCAAGCCTGAGGTTGATTATATTGCTCGTACGCGCTAGGTGGTTGTTCAACTTGCAATCAGACAGTTTAGCGGACCTTGATACACGTCATTAACTTTATACGTTAGATTGCTTACTGCCTCTACTGGGACTCTAGAGCGTTGTAACAGGTGCTTTGCCCTATGGTGCAAGTCATCTTTTTTTTGGGGGGGGGGGGGGGGGGGGGGGGGGGGTTTGAGATAGGGTGTCAAGATAATCCAAAAGTATTTCGCTTTATCTTTTGATGGTTTCGCTCCTGCGTTTACCATGATTCTCAAAGTATATCACAGTCTAGCAGTGACGATAACTATAAAATCCGAGTTCTCGTTGCGACACTTCGATATCGCCCGTTTTCATCAATTCTATCCGGTGTCTGTAATCATGTCGCATACCTTTGCGGTCTAGCGATATATTACACACGTAAGACTCCATCAAACGCCCAGAACACCAACTTCCGATGAACGAATGTCCTCCATGCATATCACAATGGTATCATCACCGTGCCTCTCACCACGACAAACTTCAATAACACTTTTGCGACCCGCCACCGTTGCTTCGAGAACTGTTTTGAAACAATACGGGGGCTTCTTTTGATAGCCATTGTGGAAACTGATTTTCCTGAAAGCCACCATGTGACCTCTGCCGGCAACTCCGTCTAATAGCTATGCAGGTGGGGAATTTGAGGATCATCAGTATGACCGCCAGTACGGAAGACCTTCTAGTCCTTCCGTTGTCTCTTGACTGCCCGACCGGGACTGTTTTCGAATTCATCTCGTGATATTTCCTCAGTCCCCGTAGTACTAGGGGATCTGTGATTAGGAGTGTTCGTTTCCATAATTCTTCCGGCGCCATTTGATGTATCCGCAAATAGGTTGTCGGTATTGATATTGTCCAGATTCGTGTTATCAAAGTGGGTCGTACCAAAATCAAATTCGTTGGGAAGAGCGTCTGCATTGTAAGCATTCGAGTCCAGATACTGGCCGAAATCGATATGGTCGTCAAAGTACTGCCCGTTTTCTTCTAATCCGGGGATTCTGCCTGAAGGACTGTAGGGCCCTAGCAGACTACTGAGCTCGTCCAGTTTATTGCTTTGCTGCTCCTGTAGTCGTTGCAGCTGTTCGATTTCGTCTTGGTTCTGATGGATTCGTGCCATTGATGGGGGCGGTGCCGCGGGACCAATGATAGGCAAGAGGGATGGTTGATCTGCTTGGGCTGGTGCAATAAGTGAAGGCTCAAGCGGCGGTGCGCTGAATCCAGACGTAACCGGAGTGGCTGTGGCATTTTTGTTATGTGCTGACATGAGATCTAACATCCTAGTCCTCTGAGCGTTCGTCATAGCGGGCGCGTTGCTCACATCTGGAACAGAAACAGGATTCTTGCCATTGCTGGCGTTGGAATTCACATCGTTCATGAGCCTCATCATACCCTCCTGAGGATTTGTGTTGAGGTCTTCGATGATATTAGAAGGCGTTGGAGCCGAGTCACTGGGACTGTCAAATAGTTCCGTGACAGTGCCAATTTGGTGCTGACTATGATCGAACAACGACGGGGTCGTACTTGCCGAGGCAGAACGCTTGATTGCTGGATCTTGAGGAATCGGCGGCAGAAGACGTTGCTGCCGCTTAGGTGGCGATGAGAAATTCTGCTGCATGGATGGTTGCTGTTGGTCCCAATCGCCCAAGTCGACAACCGTCCCACTTTGTTGGCTTTGGGGGATTTGGCCACTAGACATCATGCCACTAAACAAGTCGTTTATGTTAAAGGCCTCTCCATTCGGGTCGATTTTCCCCTTGAAGACATTGGCCAGGAATGAAAGGATGGCGTTGATGGACTGCTCATGTCTGTTGTGTTGATCCTGGAATTGTCTTGCTTGAGTGACGAGCTGAACATGTTCGCGGCGTAGCCTGGTTATTGCATCAGAGATGGCTCTCTGCGAGTCTTGCAAAACAGTCATCTGGTCCCGGACTACGGTCAGATCTTTTCTTGATAAAGCCCCTGACTCTGGAGCCGGTAGTGCGCGATTCGCAGTGACAGCTGGCTGGTTGAAATTCGTCCCCAGCATAGCATCTTCGATCATGTCATCGTCGCTGTCGCCGTCCGGCTCCTCAGAGCGCTTGCCTTTCTTTTTGGAAGTGCCGCTCTTGGGCTTGTTAATGAGCCAAAGCAAATTGGGGTGCCCACGCCGGAAGTAGGGATTGTAGTATTCACTGGGACTCTTGTTTTTCCGCTCGCTGGCCTTCATGGAATTGTCTGATAGGCCGACCTTTTTGTGGAAGCCGTACATGTTCAATTGTCGCACAAAGGAGGCATAGTTGTTGTGCTTGAAGAGTTCGGGAATAAGCGTCTTTGCGAATTCATCTTCGTCGAGGACGACAAAAGAGTCGCCTTTATCTGACCAGCGAATCAACTCGGTATTCTTGGAACTTTCGAGAAAGCTGGTAGCAGTCAGTACTCCTTGCGTTGGTGCAGATTCTCCATCCGGAGGACCACTGACCTGTTAAGTTTCTGCACGAAAGGCGGAATCTGCTTGCGCTTGGCCTGGGCGTCCCTCTTTGCCTTTTGCGCCTTCTCCTCCAATAGCTCAACATTGTCATGTTCGTCAACCGTGTGGCCGCCGTTCTGTTGGGGGACGAGGCTGCCGTCCCCAAAATTGCTCCATACTTCATTTTCTTGCGGAGAATAAGCCCTGTTGGTCGCGACCAACTGGTTGTTCACGCCCCTCCTCGCCAGAGCTGTTGAGGGCGTTGCTATGGGAATGCCCTGCTGTGTAAATTGCGCCTGCCGTGGAGACGACATCACGCCGTAAGGGTTTGCGTTGGCCGAGTTCTCCATGTAATTCAGGTTGTTGACGTTCCACGAATTGGACTGGTCTAGAGATGTGGTGGGTGGGAAATATGGCGTTTGCATCGAAGTCGGTACAGTTCCTGGTGCTCGGCGTTTTCTGGACGAGTTTGTCGGAGAAGACATCGGAAGGTGCAGTGCCTGAAGAGACTGCGTAAATGGAGGCTGGTAAGGCAGCTGAGGATGGTAAATCATAGGGTCTATCTTAGACTGGCGCCCTATGATTCAGCAACCCAGAAGAGCCAACAACCTCCCGTCTTGAGCGCAGGCACGTTCGAGTGCGATGGGTGACGACTCGGTCCTCGGATAAGGGCGGGACTTGTGTAAACTGTCCGAGTGAGTTGGTCGAGCCAAGTGTTTGATGCGACGCGATGTGATGCGATGCGGTGGAATTGACCTGAGGATCGTTCACGAACCAGGCTGTCGCAAAACGACGGTCGTCGATCAAGCCGGATAGTTTGTTCTCTGTTCGCTGTTGCACGCGCACCGGTGCCACGAGGCTGCCGCAGGCTGACGGACCTGTGTGCACCTTGCTGTACGACACGAGGCTGTTATTATGCTTATGCTTATTGCGCCAGAGGCCCGAACGCTCTCTTTTGCGGTTTGGCCAATCGGGTTGCGGGCGCAGAGGGAAATGCGCAGGAATGTGCGCAGATTTGTCCTTGTGGATTGCGCTCTGGTTTGCCCAAGAATTGTCCTCGCAGAACAGAGTTTCTTTCTCGTCCGTCTAGCCAATCTGTCGTAATGGGTATTTGGTGGTGGGTTCCGGCTGCGGTCGAGGGAGGAAAGGCTGTTCAGTTTTACTCACCCCACGTTGTTGCTGTCCGGCAGGGCGCTAAAGAATATATGAACCCCGTCGCTCCTGCTTGGAGAGACAGATAGGGACGGAGGGATGAGAATGAAATGAAAAGGTAGAAAGCAGCAGCAACTTGGTGAAACAGCTCCAGAAACTTGAGGAATAGATGTTTCGGCGCTCTCTTCTCTCGAACAAGTCCAGGCAGAGAAGAGAGACAGACGTGATTGTCTCCAAGTCAGCGGAAGGAAGCCGCGAAGCAATAGTAGTGATTCGTTACTCAGACTTGAGTTGAGACCGGGGGAAGCAAAGAACGGCGGGCCCGCTGTTACCCCACGAGAGTCGGCTGCAAAACTTTGACGTTGCGGGCACCTAGCACCTCTCTTGTTTTTTTTTTTCTTGTCCCTCTCCCAATACTAGGTTGGGACCGGTTAGGGGAAACGCTTCCGACGACTCAGACTGGTTCAACGCGATGGATGGTTGATTGAAAGCTGGGGCTGATGGATGGATGCACGGGTCAGATACAGACACAAGCGTGATGCCATGTATGTATGTACGATGTACCGGATAGCACGGGCCAAAAGCTGCCTCATCGCTTGTACTTGCGCTGTCCAAAGAGCCAACTGCCAACTACAAACTGGCTGCTGGCTCGCTCGAAATTCCCCAGCGGCGGCAACAATTTTTGTGGACTGATGAGAGGAGCTGAGGACCTGAAGCTTTGGCCTGAAAGTCGCCGAATGGCCTGGCTTGGCTCGGAATAAAGTGGACACAATCTGGTCACCGAAAAGACCACCCGCAACTGCAACCGCAACCTTGACGCCGCTGCAGCCGTTTATTGTTTACAATCCCACAGGTGTCCAATTATGTGGAGTTGTCTCCGGAGGCACACCGCAACAAAAAGATCTCGAACCCGGTGTTTCTCTTTTCTTGATAGCGAAAGAAGATGGAAAAAAAAGGATATTTCACACGTTATATGTCTGGTTTCAAATTAAATCCCTTTGACAGGTCGTAAGATGCAACGTCCTTGGCATGAAAGCAAGAGGACTGAAGCGGAGTGCTCGGCGGCCTGACCAGGGTCTTGATTGAACAAGTCACTTTTTCCAGTGAAATAAATTCTGGGCCTTGGCACAGCTTGCAGGCCTCAATATCATTACCGGAGCTAAAGCACCGGCGCCTGTTGCTATCGAACTTGTTTTACTGTGGTATTGTCCATCTACAGAACCCGGCGCCCTGCCATTGGCCATACCATCCTCACTTTTTGAGTAACCACAAGCATGCTAAACTGAATCGTTGAGGTTTGCCAACATGGATGTTGCAAGTCGCTTGAAAAGAGTATGCCTCGAGTGCTACGCTTCTCAGTGCAAGTCACTCTTTAAGTGTATTCTTTGGCAACAGGGCATTCCTCAGAACTCGACGCAGGCTTGATATCTTTCGAGTCGAGTGTCAAACTTCAGGTGGTCTACTGTATAGTGGGGTGCACCTGCATGGATCAAGACTGAGGTGCTCGGCCGAATTATCGACATATGCCTGAGAAGAGGTACGACCAGCCAACTGGGCTCCACAGTCCGGTGCGAACCAGGGTTCCATAGAGTTCGGAGTTGGGAATAGCCTCACAAGAGAGAGACTCTATAACGACGGATCCCTGAAGCCAATTCTCCCGACGGCGATATCCGCCATAGGTGGAAGGCCGAATCTCGATGACGGTGGATAAGGCACAGTAGTGCATAATTCTCAAGGATCGAGTATACTGAGCACACATCGGGATTCAATTCTGCCGTTGTGGCATGTCGGAGAGGAGTCGATTTGCACCCAACTGTAATGTCCTATCCGTTCAAGATAAGTCTGGATGGCACATTCGGTTTTAGGTACTATGAAACAGACGAATTGCAAGCAGTCCTGATTTAACAGGCGTTACCTGCGTAGGTCCTGAGTATAAAGAGAATGGTTTGTTGTAGATGAGCATTAGACGGAAACGACTTGGGTATCATAAAGTGTGTTTTCTCTAGCAATGCAATACGAACAAACGGTATACATGCGCCTCACCGCGCACCTCTACCCGCTAACGCGCTCTGCCTCGCCAACTTTGCGTTCCGAGCCTGATCCCATTCACGGCTGCTACCACCGGCCCTCGCCTCAGTCCTGGCCTTTTTCTCTTCTTTGAGCGTACGGGCCTTCTCCCGAGGATCAATCACCACGAGCTCCTCCTCAGCCTTCTTCCGATAACTTAGGTCCTTGCCTAGCTTATCTGCGGCGAAGCTGAGGGCATGGCCCATCCACCCCTCGTCATCGCTTTCTTCTCCATTCTCGACCTTGTCCCACGATTTGCAGCTCTGGCAATTAACAATAAAGTGCAGGTCGCACAATTCGGCTTCGTCGTCATCGCCTACTGCTGGTTTGCTTGCTTCATCCTCGTTGGCGTTGCTATCGACCTTGCGCTCTTCCTTGACGACTTCAGGTGCAGTGGCTTGTAATTTTGCCTTGAAATCTGCAAATCGGGCATACTCAGGCGTCATCTTGCTGTCATCATTAACGCCCCTCCTTCTCTTCCTGCCTCGTGTCGCCGTTTCTGGTATGAATTGTTCGATACCGGTCTTCTTGACTTCCTTGACTTGTTCGACTGGAACATCTCTTCGCATAGACGCCTTGAGTGCAGCAATCTCTTCATTCGCTTGCTCCAGTGCTGACTTCTCTTTTGGCAGATCCGGCTCAGGTAAAGCATAATCTTGCCATTTGACTTTCGTCGCCTCCTTCTTGATTAGTGGGGAAGGTGATCTGGGTTTCGGCGACTCAGCTGGCACCTCTCTGACTGGTATGGTTTTTGTGGTAGGTTGTTCCTCTTTTCTATTCTTGAACGCCTTTGGTTTTGGGGCTTCTTCCTCGTCAATGTCCATGACTATCCTGGTGTCAAATTTGGCTTTCTTCAGAACGGGCGCTGCCTCGCCGTCTCCCTCATCGTCGCCAAAGCTCAATAGCTTCTTCCCGCCCTTTGGCTTCTTTTTATCCTTCTTGGCAGCAGGCCCAGACGGTAGGTTGTGTTTTGCTATCCTTTCCCTCTTCTTCATGTCCTCGAACGGGTTGACCAATATCTCGATGCTTGTAATCTTGATGGGGTAGAGTGGCCTCTCACTACCCTCCACGACTTCCGACTCGCTTATTCGTGCAAGGTTGTATATCGTGTCGCCCATGATCCTTCCAAACATGGTGTTCTTGTTGTTCAGTTCGTCGGCATTGTCCAACGTGAAGAAGAATTGACTCCCGTTGGAGTCAATCCTGCCCTCGTTCGCCATACCCAACAGTCCTCGGCGGTTGAACTTCAACCTGGAATGGAACTCGTCCCTGAAGTTGACGCCCATGGGTCCCGCGTTTTTGCCGTGTCGCTGGTCTGCCGGCCATGGATCCAGCTCGCCGTCCAATGCGCCGCCATCGTAGATAGATTCTCCGCCATTGCCAGTTCCTGTCGGATCACCTCCTTGCAAAATGAAGCCGGGTACCAGTCGGTGGAATATAGTGTTGTCGTAATAGCCATCGAGCGCCAACTGCAGAAAATTGCGACAGGTCAGAGGGGTCTGTTTTGCGAACAGCTCGACGGAGAGGTCGCCTTGGGTGGTGTGGATGATTGCCGAGGCGGTTGGTTGCGGCTCGAGGTTGTAAATGGACGACATTTTAGACCCAAATACTCTCTTTGATCTAGGCCGTCCGCAGCCCAGCGATATCTTTGAACCAGAGTGGGCAGCAAGCAATCGCTGGATAAGTTGACGGGATGGAAGAGGCTCAAGTCCAGTTGCGGAATACTGTAGAAAAGAAGCTCTAACGTTACTAGACTAAGTCAACTTAAGTTAAAAGGTTGGAGCTTTGGCTCTCTTGACTTTCCATGCATGTGCAGGGATGTGAAGCTGGGCTCTTCTTATCTTATCGTGGCGACGCATACGGATACAAACTCCAAAGGCTAGAGTAAGGTCTTAGGGCCTACAAACGCCACTCTGGTTTCTCAATTAGGTATACTCACCCATCGACTTGCTAATCCGGGTTGATCATGGCGCAATCAATATATTAAGCACGGCGAAAAGCCAAGGTGGGCTACGAAAGGTTGTGAATTGCTTCATTCACTACTTGAACTGGACAGTCGCAATAAAAGAATCGACCCAGCACAAACGAACCCACTCCCCCGTTCCCAGTACTTCTTTCGTTCACCACTTGGAGCTGTCTAACCTCACTTCCCTGGACATCAAGCGCAGAAGTCCTTTCGGTGCTTCCTCAGTCTACCCCCGCTGTCGTCAAAGCTAGGATCCCAATAACCACCTAGACCATTATTCAAGGTTTTGTCCTTCACCTTTCGCTTTGCACCATTGTTGCTACCGCCATTAGAGACACTGCTCGTATCTCGAGGTGGAATCGCAGCTGCGTGGTCTTGTATCTCCTCAGAACTCCCATTGCATTCGTGGGCCATGTTACGCGGCAACGGAGAAGATGAAGAGGGGACGAATGATCCCTGAGATCCCTGAGATCTTAGGGCTCCCTCGTCTTCTCGTGCCGAATCCGGCCGAGACTGTGAGTCGAAGCCAGGAAACTTCGCACTGCTGTAAATGTGGAAGCGGTCGTTTTCACGTCTAGCTTTTCTTTCGTCGCGTTGATTAGGCTCTGGCTTCTTGTTTGGCGAACCTGATTGCGTTATAGGTTGCCCCAGGTAGGGAGCCATACCAATCATTTCGCGTAGGCTCATAGCCTCCTTCTTCGTGGTTTTCACCGGCTTCCGATTGCTCACAAGCTTGACCCTGGAACCTTGGGACCGTTGAGGTGCAGTATTCTCCGGGGTCTGATCCGGCTCTGACTCTGACTCCAACTCTGCCTCGTCGTTGGGCGAGCTTGTTGTTAAGTATTTAACCAGTCTTCCCAAATTACGTTGGCTGTCTGTCTCTTTTTGCACGGTTATTGGCGACTTCTCATTGCTGCTAGAGATCACACCCCTTTTTTGGCGCTGTGTGTCCCTGTTGGCCGCCTCCTGCTGAGGATAATGATTATGTTCTCTTTTGCCGGCTTTTACAATTTCGGTGAGGTACCGGTTCATCCAATCGTCCATGAGTTGAGGCTCGTCTGGAGGTCCGTCAGGATAGCCGATCAATTTGAGTATTCTCTTATCCCATCTGAATAACGCGTCGTTCTCGGCCCATTTCCCTTTCTGCTTTGCATCTGCCTCATCGTATATTTGTTGGAACCTGGCGGCATTTGGATGATTGTTCATCTCTGTAAAAATTGTCAGTAAATGTTAGAATATCAAGAATTGAAACAGCACGTACGCTGTGTCTTCTCAGCCAATTGTTCCAGGGTAAAATAAACTGTCCCCGATCGATCCCAGGATAATGGGCGACTTGGAAGATGGGAAATGGTATATGTTAGAGTCTGAGGCTTGGCTTGAAGCTGTGGCTGTGATTGAAGCGGTGGTTGCTGGTCACCGCCAGCATCCTGCCACGAGTTGCCATTCTCTGAAGGTGGCGGAGTTTCGTCGCCCATCTCCGAATCTGAATTGTCGGTACGATCTGGGTCTGATTCGTCTAATATTGATTCCGGTGATGATGAAACCAAATATTGTTGTGATGCTGAGGAAGGTTGCTGAGAAGCACTGCTCAGTGTGCTGATACTATTTCTCTTGTCTTGTGAAGCGACGGTATCATGGTGATTGTGACAACCTCGGGTAATTGAGAGGAGCGCTGTTGCTGCAGTGATGTCCTCTGGGTGAGAAATTAACACGGCATTATCAGACGAGGAAGTTGCGACGGGTGGGTTTGGAATCTGCGGTAGGTCTTCCCCTACCCCCTCCGAGTCTTGTGCTCTCTTCCTTGCTATTTCCTCGTCCACAATTTCCTGCATATATGATTCCGGTGGTGGTTTTCCAGTGCTCCGTTCTGGAAAAGACATAACGAAAGTTAGTAAATTTAAAAGTCTGTGAAGTAAGGTAACATAACCGGTTACACGGTACCGTTGAAAGATAAAGTAGTGACAGTGAATAGAGAAAAGTCTTGATGGCCCTAAAGGTCTGATCAATGTAAATGATTACGGCCGGCCAGTTGAATATACAGTTAAATATCCATGGATCGATCATGTAAGGAGCTGCGAAGAATAGGCATGGACTGAGCAAGACAGACACAAATCTCAGTTGTGAAAAATGGACTTTTCTCTGAAGAATGCCGGAACAGAGAACTCTTGCACATCAGGTAGATTAAAATGTTCATTCATCTTTGTGGTCTTGAGAAAGTTTTGCTTTGACTTTTATTTTAGTGTTAGTTTTCAGCATCGTCTTTGAGCAATTAACGAGATTCTTCCGCGGAAAGACAACTGCAGGCAACTATACATGAAAATTAGTAAGAATTAAGACATGTAAGTTTCCGAAAAAGACTATTTCAAACTGCCGTCTGAAATCATTGATATCCGTACTACTAGGCCATGCATTGGCGCTCATCTATCTTTCTATCATGATATGCGTTACTCGTTCCCAAGACGTGCGTTAATGAGCTTTTCTCTCAGATGGGCTTTCATGCATCATCTTTGGCAAAGGTGCTTGCTACTATGAATGGAAAACATGCGGATGCTTCCAAGTATACCTAGACTGGGTTAGCTTGCACCAGAAATGAATGCTTATAGAACATAAGGCTTACCTTGACGTGCTCTGCATTTGGTTTGATTTTACCCCAAGATATAGCTTCATCCGGTCGGGCACCAGCGTCGCTCCCGTCGAATTCCTGAGCAGTGTTGATATAGACTGCGTACTCGGCACCGTTTCGCATCAAATTGGCATTGGCGATATGATGCTTGATAACCCCGCCGCCAAGAATGATCATTCCTGAACGCTTTGCTCGGACTGCAATCGAGTTGATTTTTCGGATGTCCTCAACGATGTCGATCTTGAATTGTAGGGGTGACGCCTTGTACGTATGGAAGTAGAGCATGTCGCCAAGACTACCATCCGTCAAAGCTGGGCAGAAAACTGGTATATCATTCTTGTAGGCCCAGTAGTAGACCGAACGCTCGTCGTTGATTTCTTTGCCGAGACGATGTATCACCTTGGAAGGCGTCCAGTTGACCTCGTCTTCGGTTCCCTTTGAAGATTCCTGCTCTTCTAACATCTTGTCCAATATGGGCATTACCCAATCCTCGAAAGCACAGTAGTTCGCATTTGGAACCATTAAATTTCCTATGCGGTTGAGACCCTTTGACCTGAGTTCTGCGCCAGGAGCACTAAACGAAGACATGTACGTGTCACCCAGACATTTGATAAAATCTTCTTCTATACCACCTGCCGTCGTGACGATACAGTCAACATGTTTGTGTTCGACCAAGTATCGGAAAACGCCGCGCAAGCCGGAGGATATCATGTTTGAGGTATACCCCAAAAATATGGTCGTCTTCTCTCCCTCCGGACCCCGCCATGCACGCATATTATTGATAATACGTACGGCGTCACCCATGGCACTCGCTTGGAAGCCCATATATTTCATGTTCTGGAGCATGTCGTCCACGGTGATGGGCCGCCCCTTGAAGGCATTGAAGTCAATTTCTTCAACCTTCTGTGCGTCTTTGGGAAGTTCGTCGGAAGGAACCAAAACTGCATCCGTGGCTGCCGAAGGCGGCAAGTTGGTGTTTTCTGAAGTCATGGTGTGTCTCGAGCCTTGCTACTAGGATATGCTGGTGCACCTGTGTTCTATTACCCCCACTACTGCTGGTCAGGGATCAAACAAACAGTGAGAACTGCGAGGTGCCTGGTACAATTAAACCGTTGATTCGGTGGCTCAAAGTAAACCCAAAGTGAGTTCTGACCCCAGAAGGTTCCGGTAGGAAAGAGATCGCAAATTCGTTGTTGCGGTCTTGTGGAGCTAATATTGTGGCCAGCCAGGAAACTTCAAAGTGGTTTGACGATGGAATGATACAAGTCTGGGGTAACACCTTGCTATCTCTGACGAGCTAGTACAGGAATTGAAGATATTCAATCTGCAGCTAGAGCTTTTGAGAGGGTTTCCAAGCAATAAGGATATATCGTAGGCTCGAGATATGCAAAGTTTTGCTATTCTTGTAGTGAATGCCACGGAGTTTCATGGACCATGGGCTGAAAAATGGGCAAAAATGAAGACATCAAAGTGGAGCACTTTTTAACATTTTCAGATCATTGGGTCGAAGATGCATGTCTTGGCAGGGTGAAGCGACTAAGAAAAAGCACCAGCACTGTTTGACCTTAGCGGCATCTTGACCCCATAATTCAGCCTGGCGCCTGCGCCTGGCAGTTGCATTACATTACCTACACAGTAGTACTCCGTACCGAGGAACGCTAGAGTCAACCAGAGGACCTAGGTTAAGCATGGGACGTTTTGAGTGCCTGAATTCGAAACGGTATCCTATCTTCTCGAAATAGGCTGTTCGCAATCAAGATGGAGTGAGTTCATGGGTTAGACTGCTATTGGAGGCCTGGGTGCGTGGATTCCGATGGATAGTTCACAAGAAGACATGGCCTGCCTACATACTGTACTGTAGACAGTACTGAGTCAAAAAGCAGGTGGAGTTACATTTGGCAAGTCCCGGGTACATAGTAATGTTCTCAAGAAGTTCTTCGGGTGGCACGGGAGCCCACGACGGAGCAGTACGTCGATAGTGGTGCTAACTTAGTGGTACCGACCCAGTAATACTACCGTAGTAGTACTGAACCAAATACCCTGTACGAAGAGGGGGCGGCCTGACGGGCTTGACGCTTGACGGCTTTGGGATGCCATGGGATGCGATGGGGTGTGCCTTTCTGCTTTCTCTGAGATGGTGCGGGCGCCCAGATGCAATCGACATGATTAACCTAGTGCAACCCACCCCATGCCAGACAAGCTAACCGCCGCCACGCGAAGGTTGTGTTTTCGAGATCTCCAATTTCAGCCTCTTTCGACCTCTTACGAACATCCTCTCAATTGGAACAACGACTGCTTCAGCGCCCAGTGGACCTATGTGAAGGGCTCTGTCTTACGCGACGACAACATAATTCTATCCATCTACTCTGGCGACGCAGTGGTTATCCTCGTGTCATTACATTAGCCCCCAACGGTGTTAGACAAGATACGTACCGGCCCTGGTTCTGCCAGCATTGGATCACATAACGTATCCGCATCCACAATCCCATCTCATACTGGCTCATCCTACACCAACAATCTTCTTACGGCAGGCGTCTATCTTAATGTTTGTTTATCCATGAGAAGATAAAAACATATTTTGATTAGCGGTGGCTTTTTACCGCGTGTGCGGACATGTACGTCCGGGCCCTTCCTCTAACTCAACCCTGCTGCTATGTCGCGAGCCATTCTCGATATAACATCATTTTGCATTCCATCTGAACCATCATGTTGAGGCCAAAGACTCATTCTTCCACCACAAACCAATGGGAGGCATCCAAATTAAGCCGCGCAACAAGCGCCAGGAACCCCAAGCCCCTCATCATCAACACGCTACCACTGCCTTCAACCAATTTCCATATCCATATACACAGACTCACAGTGAACCTTTATCTAGGGCTTCCCGCTATGCTGGGTCACGATACGACGGCGACAACCGCAATAGGTCACGATCCCGTGATCGCTCGCCTGATCGATACAATGACCGCGCCTCTCAATATAGCGATGGGGGACCACGACGGGCCTCGGGGGAGTCCCGCGGAAATCATTCGGGCTTCCAGACAAACCGAGACAGCTTTCGCGATACCCTTCCTAGAGACACACCCAGAGGACCTCGCGCCCTGTTAGATGCACCAAGTGGACCGCGTGGCGGCGGCATATCGGGCGACTTTCGTGGCAGAGGCCGAGGGAGAGGACGAGGGTGGCGGGACGACAGCCGCGACAGAGGAAGGGATCGTGACATTGACTTCAGAGACAGACGCGAATCTACATATCGCGATGAACGCAGTAGAGAACGCGAACGTGACTGGCGCGACAGAGATCGAGAGAGTTTCCGAGGCAGGCGTCCATCGCCCAGGGGGAGGTCTCCACCAGGAAGGGATTTCCGCGACCTCAGAGATGCACCATTAGGTGTTGACGCTGAACGAGCACGCCGTGGCTCAAGGGATGGACCTCTCTCGGCTGGCTCATCCAACTCCGATCCGCCATTTGGACCCCAGTCGTATCGTGGCGGCTTTGGTGGCCGAGGTCGTGGCCGCGGTCGGGGTGATTGGGATCGAGGGCGTGGTAGGGGCTTTTACGACGATAGGGATCGTGACCGGTACGGACCAGGTCCTCGGGCACGCTCTCAGGAAGGGCGGTTTCGTGACCGGGATGATCGAGATCGGGAACCTCGGTTCTTTGATAATGACGCACGTCCTCGAGATCCGCGAGATCCTCGAGACGAGCGTGATGTGCGTGAACGCGACAACCGCCCTAAGATCGAAAGAACCTCCCATGAACCACCGCCATCTACGAGAGATGTCTCCCCTCCTCCTATTGCTCCCGCCGCTCCATCCTTCGGGTCCGTGCCAAATCGGACGGCATCTGTATCTGAAATTAGCACCACAACTGGTAAAGTCCCTCCCACCGGGCCACGGGCTTTCAAGGATGAGCGTCCCCCGGGAGGGTCTGCGACAAGTGGCGAGGTAAGAGTTCCTCCGACCGGCCCTTCAAAACAGCCTTTCTCGGAAGGCGCGCCGCCGATTCCTTCAGGTCCTCGTGCTCACGGCCATTCTCATGCTCCACGGACTGGCCCCTCATCTAAGCAATGGATCAATCCGAACTTGAAGCGCGGGCCTGAATCGCCAAAGATGAACAGGTCCCAGAGTATTGCGCAGAACCGGTTCCCGGGTTACCGCCCGGAAAGTTCGAGCTCGGATTATCAACCAGAAACCGATCGACGACCGCGGAGTAGTGATGCCAAGTCGGACTTTCATGGACCTTCTGCAGGTGGCCAGCATCGGGATGTGCATATGCACGACGTTGATGGCGATGCTGACCATTACATGCGAAGGCCACGATCTGCAGGCTCCTTAGACCGAGAGTACAAGCAACAAATATCGCCCACTACGATGGTGCCTGAGAATTCACGAATCCACAATGCAGATGGTGTTGTCCTGAGAGCAGGACAGAAAGGCGAGGATAGAACGGCAAAGTTGGAGAATGCAACACCGAAAGAGCATCTCAGTCTTAAGCGAAGCATGAATCGTGGTAAAGTTGCGCTTCCACGAAAGCAAGCGACAGCTGTGGTACTAGATCAATCCTCGGAATCTGACGATGAGGAATTTGGGGACGTCATTGAGACCGATCTCCTGAAAGCAGAAGAAAATCTCAGAAAGCTGGAGGTCATTGAGGAGATAGGTTCCATGGATGTCATCGTTCGTCACGCCATATTCTCACTGGAAACTGTCGACAGACTTGTTACTGGCTCTGAAGGTTTGCAGTCCATGATCGACCTGATACCAAATGATCCAAATGTCCTAGCAGAAGACACGAAGTCAAATGAGCCGGAACAAGAACTTCAGGACGATATCAAATCCCTCATCTCAGCGCCGTCATCAAACAAGGTACTGGATGCAGCAGTTTCTGACAAGACTTCATCTCCTGTGACTGCCAGACTACCCTCAGTACCAATTATTGCGAAGGCAGAACTTCCGCACCCGTCGATCGAGCAAGATGTCGACATGCTATCAACCGAGGATCGGGAAGAAGCCAACACCAAAGATACCCAAGCAAACAACGAGGATGTAATCATGAAGGACGTCGGTAACACAACTAAGCCTGCATCTGGTTCGCAACTGGAAGTCCCACAAGTCAACGGCGAGAAATTCCCAAGGTCGCGCCCATCATCCACGTATCCTGACGACGAGCCGGCCCTGTCAAAGGATGGCAGCAAACAAGCAACACCCACCCCATCCCCGGCAGAGGATGACGATGAGACAGATATCGACGAGGACATTGACCTGCGAACCGTGGAAACTGTTCGTGTACATATGAACACCCCGCCACTGGACTCATTGCCGGACTTTCAGGAGGTCCCGTGGGCCGAGGACCAGCCCTTTCTTAAAACACTGGAACTTTCACCTTTGCACTTTAGCAATTTCATCCTGAAGAGAATGAACGAGGATGCTGAGGATATAGCTGCAGAGCAGCAGAAACAGAGAAAACTCTACGCAGGCAACTATGAGGCGTATTTACGGTTTACTTTGTCGGATGATCCTGTTGCTGTGCAGAGCAGAGAGAAATTCACCCACGTACCTGGTGCGCCTGATATCCCAGCTGTGAAGCCTTCGTACAGTGAGAATCCCAAACCTGAGTCTACCCGACGAAGCAGATATGCTACTGAACGAGATGTTGAAAGGGTCCTTGAAGAATCAAAAAGACTGGAGGAAGAGAAACGTGAGCGTCAACAGCGCGCAGAACGAGAAAAATACAGGACTGAAAAAGAGGCCGTCATTCCAGATCAGTATCAAACCTCACAGCAACTGGATCACGATTTTTACGTGGACGAGACAGGGCGAACAAATCCAGAAAAGGTTATAGCCGCATGGGAGGTTCTACCGCCGGCTGAAAACTTCACGGAAGAAGAGGTCAAGTCATTTGAGAAGGCTTACATGGAATTTCCCAAGCAGTGGGGCCGAGTTGCCAATGCGCTCCCAGGAAGGGATTTTGGGACTACCATTCAATTTTACTATCTCAAGAAAGACAGGGATGAGCTTAATCTCAAAGAAAAGCTTAAGAGGCGACCTCGGCAGCGTAGGAAGCGAAACGGGAAAGGCCGTTCAAGTGCACTTGTTTCCGAGCTCAATGCTGAACCCGACCAATCTGAGGAAACTGGTGAGAATGGAGAGAGGCGCCGCCCTCGCCGTGCGGCTGCTCCGACATTCAATTCGGAGGCTACGCCCGCGGCGGATGGCGAAGCCGGCGCCGGAGCTTCGACGCCTGGCCGCAGAGGAGCTGCAGCCAGAACTGCTGACGGAGCCGAGAAACCAGAGCGTAAGCCTCGTGGTCGCAGAGCCAAAAAGGACCAGGAAAAACAGCCACGAGCCAACCAGACGCTTGCCGCAGCACCTCCAGCTACTGCCGTTAAGGGTAATCGATCTCGGTCTAGTTCCCGTGTTCAGAACACAGACTGGGCGATTCAACCACCACCACCACCTCCTCCTCCGGCATCATCAGGAGAAGTATCTCAGATTCCCACACAATTTGAACTAGGTTCTGGTGGTGCCCCGGTGCCTCCAGTATCTATGCAGCCACCTTTCACGGTTGCACAGCCGCTTCGTAGCCCGGAGAGGACCATTCCGCCTCCCGCCATTTCACTGCCGGATACAATGGCTCCGCCACCTTTACGTCCTGAACCACCGCAGCCTGGCATCATGTCTCCATTTGATGTTGGTCAACGCTCTTCGGTGGATCGCAAGGCAGGTTCTCAAGCTTCAAGTTATTGGAGCGTTTCCGAAACCACTGATTTCCCGCATCTACTATCATCGTTTGGAAGTGACTGGTCCATGATTGCCTCGCACATGGGCACCAAAACCCCTGTCATGGTAAGTGATTTCGAGTCGTGTATAGCAATGGCCCGCCCGTATACTAACGTTCACCAGGTCAAGAACTTTTATCTTAGACAGAAGGACGGAGGCAAGAAAGATTGGGAAGATCGTGTTAATGAGGCTGAACGCAAGAAACTTCGAGGAGAACCGCTGCCGGTACCACCTCCGCCGACTCCAGTAGTCAAGAAAGGGAAATTCGACACCACGCCACTCAACCGATCGATGGTTTCCGACACAATTATGGAAGAAACTCTGCCGCCAAAACTTGAGCAGCCACCGCCTGTCCCACAGCCCATGACTGGACGCTTCAATGTTCCTATCGCAGCCCAACCTCAAGCCGCCATTGTGCAGTCACCCTTCAGCCAAGGCGGCCCTGTGCCTACAACACTCGCCCAAGCACAAGCTGCACCGCAGCCGCTTTCTCAACCTGTGACACAAACAATGTCACCGTCTCACAGACCATTACGAGCCCCAGCGTCGTTTGGTTACCCTGAAAGAGAACGTGAGGCGCTGCAGACACCTGCAAGATCGGCATTACCACAGCACAGCCAAGTGCAACCCATGCCTGTTTCCGAGCCCCCTTCCGCGCGGCATCCATTACCCGGTGCTGTAGTAGATTCGTCCCTGGAGCGGCAGAAGGCTGAGATCAAAACATCAAAGGAGCAGCTTCGGCAGCCTGAAAGAACGCCGCTTCGTGTTAAACAAGAGCCTGATATGCCTATGGATCCCTACACCCGGATGGATTCCTACACTGTGCCCCAGCAGGCCAGCCATTTTGTTCCGAGAGAGGCAATGCCAGTAACACGGCCACCGGACCCCCCCAGAGCCGCCGCTACCCCTCAGGTTTCGCCATTTGGAAGCATGCTACAACAAACACCCTCCCGGGGTGGGTTACTAAGTGACATGCACCCCTCGCCTCAGGCTCCATCACGATCTTTGTCGGGGTTTTCACGAGACATGGGTCCTATGTCCGATTATAGTCGCACGCCACCGGCACAACCCACGCCACCAGCACCTGCAGCAGCTGCACCCGCGAAACCGAAGACGTCCAATATCATGTCCTTGCTGAATGATGATCCGCCGGCGCAACCTAAGAGAGTTGCTGAAATGCCGTCCGCTGCGAAATCCTCATCTACACCACCGCCAGCCACCCTATCCCGACCTCCTCCAGCACCGCCCGCACCTACTCAGCTTCGACAACAGACTCCCCTGGCAGAGGCCCAGGCCTACGGGCATTTCGGACGACCACCTCCATCAGCGCCATCATCAGTTTCAATGCCCCCGTTGAAGCCTTACACGACAGCCTCTCCACAGACTCAGCCGCTGAGTGCTCCACGACAAATGGCTATGGACTCGCCTGCTGAGCGCCAGGAACGTGAGTATTTTGGGCATCACCGGCGCCAGTTTTCATCACCGCATCCGACGGCAGCGAAATCGCCACAAACAACTCATCCCTACCCAGCTCAACACCAAGCTGGGCAAATGCCCTATCAACCACAGCCTGCTTACGGTTATGGTGGCCCGGCACCGGGGCCGCCGTCAGTAGCATCACCGCCACCTCAATATCATCCATCAATGCCCAGGGGACACGAGCCTCCTCCAACCCCTCTTCGAGATATGGGCTGGGTCGGTTCGCATCCCGGCATTGGTACACAACAGCAACAACAACAGCAGCAGCAGCAGCAGCAACAGCAACAACAGCAGCAACAGCAACAGCAGCAGCAGCAGCAGCAGGAACTCCGACAACAGCAGCAACAACAGGCAGCACAACAGCAGCAAGCTTGGGCATCGAAGTCTTCTCAACATCCACCTAGTCAGTCGCCCTGGGGAGCGCAACATGCTTCTACGCCGAAGCCACCGCCGCCAAGCAGCTCTGTACCACCTCAGCCTACCTGGGCAGCACCGCCCCGTGGCCATGATCCGCGCGATGCTCTAAATCTTCGCGAGGCCAGAGATCCTCGGGAAATGTATCCCCCGCATCGAGGTATGCAGCCACCAATGCAGACTCCTTATGCCCCAACAACTCGTGCACCTGAGCCGCCACCCCCACAACCGCCAGCTGCATACTCTCGTTATGCCAATACTCCTGTTCCAGGCCACGAGCTCCGTGATCCTGGCCCGCAGAGAAGCTATACGCCGAACCCTTATGATCACAGAGGCGCCTACCCGCCTCCTGGCCCGGACATGCGAGGCCAGGACATGCGCGACGCTCAAATTCGTGAGCAGCAACAACAATCTCTCCTCCACCAACAGTTGCGGCCACAGGACCCATCGCGAAGCATGTATGATCGAGCACGTGATCGCTATGGTCGTTAGTACCACGAAGCTGTCGCAGTTGGCCTGGCATGGTTCTGTGCGAAGACTCGGGAATTCGGAAACTTATGAAAACCACGAAGTGACGTACTTTATAATCTCAGGAGTGGAGTACACAGTTCACTCGGCATTTACATGTGCATCAGAATGTGGAGTAGGTGTATAGCGACCACCATTTGTTTAGTAGTTTAGAGGTTCTGGGGTTTCACCATGCATTACTCGGTTTTGGAGTTGGATGCCACATAATCGGCGTTGGTGAATAGTTGCACAATCAGGGACGATGTGGACAGCGGTGCAAGCATGATCGAACCTGGAACACAAGCGAGTATCATCTCCCTGTACAAAAAATGTAAATATTGGGCGCATGCAATGGATTCAGATGGTGTAAATTCAAAATTCAAAATTCTGTTATGAGAAAGCTAATTTATAGATGTCAGTGTCGAGAAAACTATCGTAAAACAAGCTCAGTGAGAAGAGGCCTTGTCGTCGCAACTTGCCACCAAATTTGGTGCAGTCAACCTTGAGTACACTCATTCTCAGTGCCATCCAAATCAAAAGCAATCAAGGTCAGCGAGCGAGGTATCAGTCGTAAAACCACACGGCTACGCTTGATGCTGCTTGCTCATGGTGCTGGGTAGCTCATTGAGGCAAATTGTAGCCAGTTGACAAGGGCGCTCTACACCTCCAGTGACGGCTTTCGCGAAGAAGACTGGAGGGCTGTCCTCTCGAAGATGCCAATTCTTTAGAGCTCGACCCCCAAGGTCTGTCTAGGAGACTGACGTCTTCATACGTGAGCCAGTGCGTAACGCCGGGGCTATGATATCAAGAGAGCTGGGAGGCTTAGGCAGTATATCTGTAGCGCATGAATTCGTATTTCCGTCACAAGAACTTCCATGATGCAGTATTCTGAATGGCAGCCGATGAGATCGCCGAGCTCGCCAGCAGTTTTCAACATGGCCCAATCAAGCTCGGCTCGAAACCCGGACAGAGGCCAGGTATTTTGTTTCTTCAAGATCGTTTGTCAAAGGTTGGCTTGCAAGTTAGTTATGTCTAGGGCCTGGCGAAGACACCAAAACAGTCCTGTCAAACATCAATCTTCCTTTGCAAATGCATGCTCCGATTACGCACAGCTGGAAGGCTGCCACCGACCGCAGGGAAGCTTATCTCGCCTTTGAAAGCCATCGGCGAAAGCACTTCCCGTGATTCCGTGGATGAGCGCCTGGGACTCGCATATCATACCGAGCCAAGGTTATGTGCATGTAACACCAAGCCGAACGCTCAGCACGTGTGTGTTTTGGTCTAGAGGAGGTAGGTAGGATCGCAATCCACTTGACGTACAGATACATTTGTTGTTTTGTCTTGTCCACTATTTGATAGTGCTATTTATCGACTCATACATACAGCAAGAACAGTACTGAAAACAGCACCGACGAGGCCAATGCCAACCAGAATTGGGGCATAGGAGCCCGGTTTAGTCCTGATCTTCAGCATGTCGTCACAGATGTCGTCTATCCGCTTCGCCATCTGCACGTCGCCAAAGTTGTTCTTGACCCGGGAAACCCCAGCCTTGGACATCCGTGCCATATCGTCCTCGGACAAGTCATTGAGGACTTTATCCATGACTTCCGTCCAATCGTCTACATTGTTCGGCGACCTGAGCCAGCCCGTCTCGCCCTCAAGCACAGTTTCGGTCGGACCCCCCGTGTCAGCTGCCAATACGGGAACACCCGCGAGCATAGCCTCCAGAGGCACGATACCAAAGTGTTCGTTGGCCGGTGTGTAGACGAGTAGTTGCGTTGCGCTGAGCAGCATCTCCTTCAGTAGATTGGGTACGGAAAGCAGGAAGAGAACCTGAATATCAGCAGGAACCTGCAGAGCAGTAGTGATGGTCTTCGTAGTCATGCTGCTGAGACCGAGGGAGTTCGCCAAGTCGACCAGCTCGTTGTGATATGCCACATTTTCGGGCACACGGTTGTCGTATCCGCCGGCAACAACGAGGCGCACACCTTCTCTGGCTTCCTTGCTCAGCCCGGCATAAGCCTTGATGGCCAGTGCCACATCCTTCTTGCGCTCGAAGCGGTTGATGCTCAGTAAGAATTTCTTGCCCCTCCACAACGGCCTCCCCTCCTCAACTTCGGTGCTCTTCTTGGTCTTGGTGTCCACACATGGGTACACGGTTTTTAGATCCCTCTTGCCGGCCAGACCGGGCCACGTCTTGGTCACGATGCTCTTGGTAAAGTTGGAGTTGACGGCAATTGCGTCGGCAAAGCTCATGCTCCACTGCTCCAGCCAGTCGAAGGGCACACGGTAAGCGCGCTTCCACCATTTCTGGCGGCCTTGAGCGAGCAGTAGGTCGGGGAAGTGGCAGTAGAAGAAGATGCGGCCGCGAGGGTAGAGGTATTGTAGAAGCGGCAGGCCGGCGCTCAATTGGTCAACGAAGAAGAGTTCAGGTGCTAGCTCGGCCAGCTCAGAGGTGAAGTAGATCTGGATGATCAAGTGCAACTGTCGGAGGATTGCACAGAGGATGCTGAAGCGCGACAGAACGGAGGAAGGCACCATGGTGTCTCCGCGGACCCGAACGTCGAGAGTTCCTACGTGTGGCCGGCTGTCAGTTCTAGGACTCGTCTCAGCCAGCTCCCGGATCTGGCAGTGGGAGGGTCGAACGAGGGAACATACCATCGCGGGCTTCATCAAAGCAGTGGCTGGGGTCGCAGTGGCTTGTGAAAACGACGACCTTGTGTCCACGGTTCTGCAAACCGACAGCTGCATCGACGACGAGGCGCTCTGCACCGCCAATGCCTAGATCGGGATGCAGGAAGACAATCGTCCTGCGCTTGGTGTCTTTATCTTTGTTCTCTGCCATGCTGCCTGGTGCGCCATGCATGCTCCAGCTGAGTGAGTTGGGCGACGGGGCTTTGGAAGCTACCGGCAAGTTGGAGCTGTAGTTTTACTCTTACTTTCTGGCCTCTTCAGCCCTACCGAGTACAGCCCCGCCATGCCCTTGACATGCCACGACATGACGCGGCGCGTTTGGGTTGTGGCCCCTGACAATTATTGACTTATCGGGGCGTTGTCACAGCTCACATGCCCTTTGGCAATTTCACAAACAAGAACAAGAACAAAAACCCGCCTTGTTCAATATGATCCGCGCTCATCGGGACTCTCACAAGATTCAACTTAGAAACGCTTCAGTCGGTAGTTCACAACTCAAAGGTTACTACATAGGTTAAGTAGGTATGAATGATAAGAATGTTCAGGACTTATGATTTATGATTTTAGTCTAGGTAGTTAGGAGAGTTAGACTGTGGGGTTGGGGGTTGGGGGCCAGGTTAGTCAGGCCTCAGCATGTGCCAGAGCCACAGCCGGCGCTAGTCTAGGCTAGATCTTGCATACATATCCTACCACATGGCACATGCCAACCCCGGCCGAATCAAGTAACCTTAGTATAGTATAGTCCAGTATAGCATCCAAGGTTCGCGCGGTTACTGGCAACCTGCCCATGCTCAAAGTTGTCTGCATCTCCTTTTGGGAAAATGGCAGGCCTATCGTACCAACGACAAACGTCTCGTCTGCCTATCAGTATCCGCCCGGGCTCTCTTGCCCCCATAACACGACCTTCTACAATACCAGAAGTGGACACACCGAAAGCGACACCGTAGTCCTACCGGTAATAAACGACAAACTATGGCATGTTGCACGATCTTCATGGTTATAATTATTACCTGTACCACGCCGTCAACGTACAGTCCATTCGAAATTTTCAGCCAAGTGTCAAAAGATGTCTTGGGTATGTTAACCAGGCATAAATTCATTTTATCTACCAGTCTATCTGTAGTCGTGAGGAGGCCGTGATCGCGTTGAGCTCCTCTGTGCAAGACAAGAGTCGCACATACAATCTACCAATGTTGAAAATAGGCCACCGTCGCAGAACTGGCGACAACGCCTAGTCCACTATCCTTTCTAGTGTAGACATCGGTAGTCGTCTACCAAAGAAAAACAATCTCATATCGTCGTCAAGGCCGAAGAACAATAAGCAACAAGCGACAGTACGCCTGAGACATGCATGATCAGGGGTATTGTTTAGGAAAAGCCGCGAGAGCCCCCAAGCGCCGAAAGTAAACCGTAGCAGACTCCTCATAATCCAGTTTCAAATGCAAACCAAGCCAACTCCTGTCTAATGACACAAAGCCCCCAAACTGTGCAAAAACGGTGCTGAAAGTCCATGAAGCTAGACATTTTTGCCGAGTCCCTCAATCGCTGGCAGAATCATAAATGTTCTCCATGTCGTCAAACTCCTCTTGACACCTTCCCTGCCGGTAGTGGGATATCAAACCAAGCTCCTCCCTCACTTCTTTCTGGATGCGGAGGAAGTATTCTTTGAGACTACGAAGGCCGCGCAAAAACCCACGATCAGGCTCATCCGGATACCGCGGTGGGCAGGGATGGTCCCTGACTATGTCGTTGGGGGTGACGCTGTTGGCAAAATCGGCAATTTTGAAGTCAATTTCCTTCTTGCGGCGCCGTCTTCCCCCTGATGCCTCCTCCGTGTCCGTTGGGAAGTCAGTCGTCGAATCATCAATGATGGCATCGTGCTCATCCCCGGGGGTATCCTCGTCGTAAAACATTAAAAGACTAGCCGCGTAGAAACGATAACCCCGCAGGCGTTTCACAGTAAGCTCAAGCTGGTTGAGCTTTTGAATAATGGTTGGAATGTGTCGCAGGACGCTCGAGTCATCAATACCGTTAGAAAGGAAAAGTCTCAGGGCATCTTGAAACTCCTTTCCAGCCTTGATGTCACGACCATAGTACTTGTCCTTAAAGATATATCTCTGTTCTTTGGCATCCCAAGTTTGCAACCCACAAACTCTGACGCCAAGCTCCTTTGACGTTGTACCTGCGCACTTACGACGCTGCGACTCTTGTTTCTTAGTGGTGGCATCAACACCATACTGGCGCGTGCCCATCTTCAAGTCCATGATGCAAGGATGCTTCATACCTGCTGTCAAATCTTCCAAGAGTAGGAAGAATTTGATAGATTCTTGCTGAGTTTGTGCCTCCTTGGGATTGACCGGGCGAGTAATCTTCTTGAGCTCCATCGCCGGACTGGAAAGCTCAGATGGTGCAACCGAAGAAAAGGATGATTTTGGCAGTGTGATTTCTGTTGGAGGGACCTGGTCCATGTCTGTAGGTGTCAGGTTGGTTCCTGTGGTTGCGCTGATCGCACTTGCGTTGGATGGTGACAGAAGACCCTCGGCATCTCCTTTGTAACCTGCATCATCCACTGTCTCAAAGTATTTCAGATCTCCACGGGACCCATCGACGTCTTCGGGTTTTCTCCTCAGGTTCGTGCCCGAGTATCTGCGCTTACGCCGCTGATGAGGAGGGAAGTGTTCAGCCAGTGTGTCAGGCTCGGGAGCACTAGTACCTGTGACATCTTTGACTTCTTCAGCCCCCTCAACCTTGAGTTTGCTTTCATCAGGACCAAGATCACTCTGCATCTGGGGGAGGTTAGGACTTGACCGAAGAGGACTGGGTCCATGCGGCCCTTCCGAAATTCCCTTCGTCTCAATTCGTGGGGAAGGGAGGTCGGGATCGGCGGTGCTGGGGCGAACAAGCTGTTGTCCTTGGACAGCTCGCCGAGCAATCGTCCTTGAATGTGATGCTGGCTTTTGATGCTTCTGGACAGGAACCGGTCGTTTGAGGAAGGCATCATTGAAGACCTCGTTGCGCAGACGCTTGTTGACAGTCGTCGCACCCCAGCTGTTGGCGTGGCGAGATTCAAGATCCGGTCGCTTGGCAAGTGTACCAGGGACAGTGGAATCTTGATATCTATTTGCATCGACAATGTCCTCCGCTACAGCCATAGATACACTCCTACCGCGCTGAGGCACTTCGGGTGAAGCAGGTCGCAAAAAGCTTCTTGGCAAGATATGCTGATTGTCCACAAAAGTCACAGTCGGAATCTGCATCTGCGATGACTGCATTGACTGACTAATGATCCTTCGATGCTCCTTGTTCTCTTTTGAAGGCTCACTTGAGGCTTGTAGGATGTCCAACCGGGTTTTCCCATCACTGCCCAATACATCGATATTCTGAATCAAAGACTGCTGCTCCGTCACTGAGCCCTCATCCTTCTTGATAACAGAACGTCGCCGCGGCTGCTTCTGAAATGTAACATTGAGCACACCGATATACCTGCATATCTATTAGTAACAGATAACACCGGAATGAACGTCAGGAAATATGACTAACCTCGGTAAAAATGGCAACAGGTCGCGATGGTAACGCTCGATGTTTTCGTAGAACTTGTTTTCACTATTATTCAATTGTTTGCAGACTGCGCGTTTGGAAAACCTCCACAAAGTTGTGTGGCCACCGACTTGGTGCTTGTAAGGAATGAGTTCAATGGCCTCCACAGGTCCCTTGGGCTCATACTGATGATCACGTACGTGGTCATCATAGTATTGAGACACCGGGCGTGATAGTCTACCTGGACCAGTGTGTGATTTCTCGACAGGGGTAGCTTCTTCCTCGACTGCGAAGTCGTCACCATTATGAGTCAAAACAGCTTGATTATGATTTTCAAGGTGGCCGTCAAGACGTTGTTCTGCACTCCCGTCTTCGGTCTCTGGCTCATCTGCCTTCACAAGCCAAGGACTTACATCCTTCACCATGGACTGGCGATGGATTGGAAGTGGTCGTCCAGAGCGGCTTTCTGGCTTGGCCTCCGGAGCCGCTTGATGGGGCACGAAAAAGGCCGATGAGATTTTCTCCTCACCAGAATCATCGCACTCCTCTGGCGTACTTGCAGCCACGGTCGCATCTGTCGATTCTTTCAGTATTTCATGGTGGCCATTAGTTGTTGCTGGGCCTGATGACGATTCTTGATCAGCAGGTCTACTGTCACGTCGTTCGCGAATTGGCGACAGCTGTCGAGACTCATCGTGGTCTTTCTGCTGCGGGTTGATACCAAAGTAATCAGTAACACTCTTCTCCTCAAGAGGAGATTCCACGGCTGAGCCGGTGGATGGGTAGGCATGGTCGGCTGAAAGTCCCATAATGTCTTGGAATAGCCTTGGAGAGGGCGAGGCAGGCTGGATGACATCTGCTCCCTGCTTCTGATTGCCCTCATGCTGATCTTTGTGTAGGCCTAACTCATCTTTGCGTCTGGCGTCCTTCCGTTTGCCCTTCTCATCGGGCAAACCCTCCTTGAAGAATCGGAGACTGTGACTGGCCTTCCGACTACGTGTTGGCTCAACACCGGCAAGTGCTTCTGTAATGGATTTCTCAACCTGACCAGGCTCGGCGCCGGCCAAGTCTCCCTTACCAATCGACCAGGCCTTCTCAGGGCCGACTGATACTGTGCGCTCGGCTCGCCAAGTCCGATACTGTATGCGGGGATCAGCCCCCTTAGTATCTGAGGCTTTGTTGTTTTGTTGCCCAATCATGCCTCCGTGATGTGATAAGGCGGTGTCACCAATATTCGCCGAGCTACTGCCGTCAACGTCGAGTTGGAGGGTTCTAATCTCCTTCTCGGTACGCTCTAGTGATCTAGGTCTGTCCTTGGTGCCATTGAGCAGACTTCGGTAGCCGTCGACCGTAACGGTGGTGCTCGTTCGTCCTGGCATCTCGACACTGGGGGAATGGGGGGTTTCTGGGGTTTGAAGACCAATTGGCGAAGTACAAAGTGCTGCCGCAGTAGTTGAAGCAGACGTCACTTGATCATGTGAAGGCACTCTCGGTACTAAGGGTACGCCCTCACCCCGTGAATTCGTCTCATCATGAGAGTCACTGCCGACTTGAGCGGTTCGATAATCATGTGGTGCCTTTGATGTATTGCTTGGGGAGCCCCCAAAGGAGTGCGATGACCTTTGCTCGGGCCGGCGAGTCTCGGATTGTGATGGGGAGGGCAAGCTCGGGAGGATGCCCCTGGCGGAAGCAAGAGCTTGGGATAACAAAGAGGGACCACTAGATCGCAACGTAGTGATGGGAGGACGGGACTTTTTATTACTGCCCTGGTCGGCGGTAGACGGGACGGCAGGGTTCGAATATGCATGATTGGATTCTGGGGTACCTAAACCTAGCACCTCGGACGGCGAAACAGAGACATGCGCCGCTGGGTGTGGAGGGAGAGATAAAGGTACAGGTACGGGGTCCTCAACAGAATCAATCACTAGAGAAGAAACGATAGCATCATCATTCGTGGTCCCAGTCGCGGCATCCACACCTACGTCCTCATGCACAATTCCAGGGGACTGGGAAGGGGACGTGGACGTGGTGGCCCAATTAGCTGAGCCAGGAGACAGTATGTGCTGTGCTGGCTCTGGCTCTGGTCCCGGCTTCACGTCTGGCCGCGGTTGTTGGTGGTGATGGTGAGCCACCGATTCTGGCGGAGCAGGAGAGCTCAGCGATGCAGCGGGTGCGGCATTTTCGAGCTTACTAGACGGGCTGGACATGAGGTGAACATCTGGCGAGTGCTGCGAGAATGTGGGTGAAATGATTCGCAGTCGTGGGCGTGGGCCAAAAGTACAAGGACGAGCTATGGTGGTTGGTGGTCGAGATCGGAAAAATTAAGGTAGAAATGTGGTATCGGTGGTAACGCACGTCAGTCAGAGCAAGGTCAAAAGGTACTTGTTGATTTTATTCGGTGGCGTCCTGTTGGTTAAGTACCTTCTGCCCTGCAGCGATTGCCAGTGGGAATTGCAGGCCCATCGGGCCCAAATCGGGCCCCGTTATCAGCAAGAGAGAGGGGTGGTGGACACCTTTGCGGTACCTACTCCTGCTGCGCTACTGAAAACCTGCCCTAACGAGTTAGAACTCCCCGGCATTGACAAGTCAGGACGCAGGAGACAGGCTTTAGAAAAACTTGACAGCCCTGAACAGATATTGGAAACATGGGGAATCGCACTAGAACACTGATCGAAACCGCAGGCCTCCAATTATCAAAGAATGGTCATCCAAGTGACCTTGGACAATTCCACATATCGCCAAACACGCCTTCGGCTGCCGTTTTTGAAGACGAAAGTCCTTTCGTTTGATAACCTGGAAATCGTCAACGACCATGTGCTCAATCGCACCCACGGTCAAATTGAGTTGACGCTTCCATAAAAACCTTTGTCACATGACACCATTAATCAAATTTCAACGTCATACAGCCCCGCGTCCGTGCTAGATCTTCGCGATGTGTCAGGTGCGTATGCGGCATTGGACAATTCCTCTGCCATGGTCAAAGCAGATAGTCGCTTGTTTCCCTGCGGCTTTGCGCTTACATCGGTGAACGTGCAACCGGATACAATCGGATTGCTTCCCCGTGCTAGGCAAATGCTCTTCAACAATAAATCCAATAACCAACCTGCGAACGATGTTGTCGGTTCCCACCTGTCATCGGAAACCAAAGGAACAGGAACAGGAACAGGCAAGGATCTTCCGCTCAAATCTGGAGCTGACTGATAGCCGTCTTAACCGTGCTCATCCTAGTCTGCCTTCTCATTTACAATACACCCAGCAGCATTTTACATTTATTTGAATAATTACGATACAAGGTACGGGTACTTGGAATTCAATATCAAGGTTACAGAGTTAATGCACCCCGCAAATCCAGCTTAAACCAAGCTTGCTTTAGTGTTCAGAACCTATTTTCCCTACATCTTGTTGGCTCGTTACACTTCTACTAATATAGTCGACTGATCAACGCCTGTTCCGGAACGACCACGTTGCAGTCATCTTTCGCCTGACAGGCCATAGTAGAGAAGCGGTGACAACTCCCAACAAAAACATCAACAACAAAACCACCCGAGTCTCACCTAGCCAGGGGCATGAATCAGCCTTTCCGTCAAACCTCTGGCACCGATGATGATGGCAGGATCGTGCAAATCGATTCATCTTCACCACACAGTCCATCTGCCGTCTCTGATTGGTCCACTGACGATTTAGAGTATTGCTTAAGCGATAGCGTGGAACTGTGAGCTAAGGCGAGCTGCGGTGTGATATTGCGTTTGCTCAGTATAGCGCCACGCCTCATTACTGTATAGATAACTCAATCTACGTAGTTCTGGCGGTAAGTACATACCCTGTCGCCTTATCTGGGGTAGCTGGAGACCATGGTCAAATCTCTACCACCGGCTACGGGACGGCGCGCCATGACCGAAAGATACCAGAGATAAGAGAATGGTGTTACTCTATAAGACATTTAGCTTTGACCAATAGTATGTGCGGTACAAATCAGGTTCTTGTGACTCTGAACCTCAGACCGTGCATAGCATGCAAGTTTATGGAGATGTCTTGAAGGCCAATCAATCGAGAACGTGGACACTGACAGACCATGGACTTCTACCGGCTACGCGCAAGTAGATATTCATCTGCGCCAAACACCGTGAAAACCCACTCCTCACCACTTGTGCAATCCTGGTTTTAAGAACGTCCGCTCACATGAGCCGCTTGAGAAAAGTTCGGCTCAAGATGCAAGTTCGCCGCCATTGGCTACTAAATCTCCCATCAAGTGCGCCGCCGTGAGAAGATACCATAATACTTTGCAGAGCCGCAACCTGATGCGCCTAGCGTACCTCTACGGACGGCATATCTGGGGGGGAGCGTAGTTTGTGTGTTCTGATCAACCGCGACTCACGGCATTCAGGCTCGGCGTAATAACACATGCGAAAACTCAAGCAACCAGGCATAACCTTCTTACAATATGCGATCCTTGTCTTGGGGCCTGTCATGGGCAGCGGAGTAGTCGTGACCTACCTGGTCCTGAGGTCCCGGTCCTGGGCACGCTCAGGCACATCATTGACCGAAACTCTTTTGTTCCCGGTTTGTGACGATTAGCTCCTATGCCACTGAGCCGCCTCGGCATCATAGTCCAGTCGGTCGTCGTGAATACGATATTGCTCTACTATGGCTGAAGAAATGAAACTCGTTGAGTTGGAGCGTGAGATGCTTGCGTTGAGATGATAGGAGCGCGTAAACTTGGTTAGAACTTGGGGTCGCGTATATGTCATTGAACAAAACCTATCATTCTATATGAAGCAGTGTGATTCTAGCAACTGCTACCGATGCTGAAGTACCTCATGCCCGTCCCTTAGTTCAACCTAGCAATACTTGTACCAGGTGAAAATCTCGCAGGACTTCTATCGTAGCTCGTAAAAAACAAAAAGAAGGAAGAAACAGAAAAGGGGGTATCAAAACGCTGCACTTCGATCATAAGATCACCTTTCTGATGATTCACTAAATTTTCATTTATCAGAGAGAGTCCCAGATACTATTGCCAAACAAAACCGGGCTGCGCTCTCGCCGCTGGTTCTCTATTCCATCGGCGGTTCCCCTCTTGTCCGCGTCGTCTACGTCCCAGCGTGGATTGAGGAAGTCGTCAAGATTCTGGAGCACGTCGGCAACATCGTCAAACCCCTGGTTCTGGCTTTCAGCACGCCATGGCGACTGTACGTTTATAATGCTGGGCTGTTCATCTGCTGGATCTTGCGCTTCATCAACTGCAATATCAAGTCTAGGCTTAGATGCTAGCTCAGCTGCCGGTTCCGGCCCATATTCAGGCGTACTTCGCAGAGTGAGATGTACATCTGCATCCCTGAAAGCCTGTGCCATCATGCCAACCTCTGGGCTCATGAGTTTCTGCTGTGACTCGCTAGGCAGCAGACCGGTTGGGAATCGAGAATTGGGGGTATCCGGCTCACTTGTAATTTTCTCTCTCGTGATATCAAAGTGCTTCCGGAAATGGTTATCAACATCTTCATCTCCTGCATCAAGTGCTAGTTGTGGTGGAGGAGAGGCCACTCTTTTAGCAGTCAAGCGAACAGGATGGCTAGGCGTATCAGGGTGATCATCTTCGTCGTTTAGGGAAGCGAAAGAGACCCGTAGATGAGATCGAGGTCGTCCACTAGAACGTAGACTTGATCGAACACTGCTCCAGGGATTGGCGTTTGTAGCATCAGCAAGAACCTGTGTGCTCGGCAAGCGGTCACCTATAAGCCCCGGCTGTCTGGGATAACGCCTACGTTTCGGTGATGGACTATTGTTGAATGTCGCAAAAGTTTTGATCGACAGCTGTGGCTCCGGGGTCGGCTGATGGCTGTCGACCTGTGAAGGTGTAGCAGGCTGACCAAACAGTCCAGAATATCTTGTTTCCTTAGGGGCAGATGATGCTGGATCGACGCTTGAAGATTCAGAACTACGACGGTGTTCTACGTTCGATAACCTTAAGCCGTTGACATAGGCACTTGGAGGTGGCATGCTTTGTGACGAGAATCCAACTAGCCGTTGGTCAGAATATACGACGTGGTTGTTAGGATCATTCCACGGGCTTTGTTGGTCTTCAGACAGTTGTGGCAAGGGTTGCGGCGGCTCGGCTGTCAAAGATTGCTGTAATTGTATAGAGTTTTGCAGGCCGACAGTCTGACCTGAGCCTTCAATTGTTTGCACCCAAGGATCTTGTTGCGATGCGCGTACGCCGAGCTGGTATGTTACATCTGCTGGAGAACTCGCAACGCTGATAGGATGTGAACAAGGCACCCACTCCTCCTCTTCCACTGGCTCTATTTTGATTTCGCAATCATCAGCCGCGCAATGACTCTGCAAAGCAGTAGTATGCTCAGAGACTTGGGTGTCATCCTCCTCTTGCCCAAGGACAGGCTCAATTTTGATGTATGATGGTTCTGGTTGTTGAACCTCTTCAACATGAGCTCCAGGAGCCTCCGGCAGCGGACCATCAGCGCCAAGCAGCCATTCGGCCTGCGATACGGGGATTGCGACTGCCGAGGTTTCGGTGCTAAAGATATTGTCTTTATGGATCGAGACAGCTCTGGGATGTGAGTTCTTGAGACTCGCCATATCAGATGCTTCTTGAGGTGTAAATGAGCCATAGTATGAGTTTTGACTAGCCAATAAGGTCGTCTCTGCAAGTGCAGTCCAAGACCCAGCTTCAGCATGTTGTTGTGTCTGTTCAATGTTGCCAGACTTATCAGTTCCAATACTTGGACCTTCGAATATCTTGCTCCCAGGTCCAGTGACAAGTTTCACATCTCGGTGATGTATTGCAGGCTGCAAGGACGGCTCGGCGGCCTCCAACCTCTCTTGTGGTTGTGTTGGATATTTGACAATTTCAAGTCTTTCAATTAGTTCAACTCTATAGCCTGGCGTGCTTTTGTCGGCATCGATTGGGTTTCCAATGAGCGTAGATCCTTCGTCAAAGATGACCTCTGACGAGAAATTAGGGGCCGAATCTTGCGGACACGGCCTCGTAGCTTTAAGAACTATTTTTGCCCCATCAAGATGTGGGTTGCAACCCTGAATGATAGTGTTGAGTTTTCGCATAGTGTCTAGTTGTTCTTGATCGGTCCCTGGATGAATATGTTGTTCTGGAATTGTTGTTCTTTCATATACAGGAGTCTCCTTCGATGCTGATGGCTCTTCCATGATCTTGATAGCAACGCTTGAAGCACGTGTCGCCGTGAAATTATGTCCTTCTCGGTATAGTTCATGCGCAATATGCTCCGAGTTCAAGTGGTCAACCAAACGTGTATTGGCGTTACTGCGCGCTTCGTGGGCCAACATAGCGTGCGGTTCTTCGCGATTCTCCTGCATCTCATGCTGCACACTGATTGATTCTCCGTGATCTTCTGATTCGGGAGTTCCGGTCTGAGTCGGCTGGGATTGTTGCTGCGCGGCGTTCTCTTTGCCGACTTTGGCTGGCTGAGGCTTCAAGTTGCGCGCCTTGTAGTAGAAGCTCTGATCCAGATGGCTCTCAAAGCTGATATCGCCCTGGTCCGAGTCCTGTATATGCTTCACCTGCGGCCCACCCGCTGGCACCGGTATCCCAGCAACAACGTTCGAAGGAGATGCATTTCGGAGGTCTGGCATTTCCGATATTGACCTTGTTCGAGCAGCAGAGGCGGTAACTATACGTGGGCCGTCGGAGGACAATGACCTTGGTTGCACGTGAGAGGTATGACGACTATAACCTCTAGATGCCGGCCTTGATTCCTTGTTTGAAGGCTTGAGAAACGCACTCGCTTTGACTGCCACTTTGTAGGTACGAGGTTTCGGGGGGTTGTCCTGGATGATGCTCTTCGTCGCGGACGTAGAAACCGGTTGCTGAGTCACTTGAGCAGGCCTTGAAGCTGGCGTTGTTCCCCCAAAGCTTTGGCTTGCCGCTATACGGAGTTGCGACGGCCTCACAGTCTTGACAGTTGGTATGGCGGGAGTGGCTCTGTCCGTTGACATGGGAGCAGCAGACGGGGTCGGGGTAGACGAGGTTTCGAAGGATGTATTATCGGCCCTCCGGCGTTTGTGAAACTTGGTCCTTAACCATTCATTGCCTGCCGGTCGTTTCGGAGTTGCGTTCGCATCCGCTGCTTGTCCTATCCCATCATCTGGTGCCCAAAAGTCGTCTCTTGCCAGAACATCGGCAGAAACATCTCTAGCCCAGTCTTTGATGCGTGATCGAGCTGCGGTATCAAGCTGAGGGCAATCGGTGAGGTCCAGTTCCCGATGGCTATCTGGACTGGGGAGATGGCATTGAAGAGAGTCTCTGATGACCGGTGTCTGGTTCCTCCTAGCGCCAGCCATGTCCGGCTCGATGTGTATTCCGTCGAATGCGTCGCTGGCTACTCTTGCGGGTGGCCCTTTCTGTATACCGCTCGTGGTAGGACCCTGAGCGGGTGCGGACTGGTTCTTGGGGAGCCAGGGGTTTCGCCATCCGGACGCATGGTCGAAAGGCCCTCGCAAGGCGGCGGATAGTAGCCTCGGGCGCTGTCCGCCGAGATATTTCAGGGCGTGGTGCTCATACCGCAAACGTGTTGCAACCCTTGCAGGCTGGCTCAAGGCTGCATCAGATCCTAGGCAAAGAATTTCCTCATTGTCGTCGTAGGCGGCGCAATAAACGGGTTCCTCACCGAGGAGTGTTTGTTTGCCCCTAAGGTGCTCCATCCCAGTGACATTCAGCACTGTGGCATCAAATCGGGCGAGCTGGGTAGATTGATGGCATTATTGTCAAGGCGTCTGAAATCGGTCTGTAAATTCTCACCTCAGACTGAAGACGGTCAATACGCACGCAACTACTGTAGGTTAGGAGAAGCCTGGTTGACATGTGGGTGCGGATGTGTGCTGCTCCACTTTGAGAGTAGAAGCCATGGATTTGAAGTGGAACAGACTGCAAGAAGGTGGTGCTCGGCCAACGCGTTTATGTTGCATAGTGCTGGACGTGAACGCGTGAAAATGGCGTAAAGTGGTCAAAGTACTTGGCCACAGCAAGTGGATAAAGCACACAGAGCCATCACCCGTACCACAGCTTGCTACGGCCAGTAATAAGTTTTCGAGCTCATGGTACGAGATGTGTTGGAGATGATGGCTGGTGATCTGTTCACCTTTTCTTTGTCCCCTTTTTATTTTATTTTTATTTTTAAATCCTTCTTATTTATTTATTTATTTCAATTCTTTTGCTTTTCCCCTTTCCCTTTTTTAATTCCTTCCGATTGATTGCTTCGGTGACGAGCATAACTGTCGACGGTACTGTGTATGTAGCTAAAAGTAGATTTGGCCAGTGCATTCTCGCGGGGCACATTTCAGCGCTGTGGCTGCCGGAAATTTCAAAAGCAGGGAAGTGGTAACCCCCCAGCTCGTCGCCCGTAGCAACCCGCATGGCGATCTAGCTTGAAATTGAAGGCAGGCTCATGTTGATTCCACTTTGGAGCCGCGTGCGCCAACTCGCGACTTGTGCTTCTACTCCGTCGAGCTGGGGCCGATTCTCCATTGAAGAGCCGCATGCATTATCCATCATCGCTTAACACCTGATCGGCATTGCACTCCATTGTAGTCAGCTATTGCTGTATACTTCACCAGCCTATACTATGCGATTTGTCTTTGCCTTCTCTACAATCGCCAAATTTCAAGTGCTTGGGCGCCCATTTTCATCTCCTCTCATCCACGACCCCACACCACCTTCCAAGTGTACATAGTGCTGTAAACAATACCAAGTATACTACATATCTTGAGCCACTAACCATTCGCGGCGCCGCAACGACCTATACCTCGCTCGCGTCGAGGAGTGCTCAAGCCCGAGCCCGAGCGCAGTTCAGGCATTTCTGACCACCACAACGCATTGATGCTGCCGACGATTCAATACCAGCGCATATTTTAGGCACAGCTTCTCAAGCCCCAAGCCATGGCGAACGCCTGGCTCGATTCGCTATCCGAGGACTGGGTTTCTCAACCCAGATCCGACCACTCCCAGTCACAATTGCCTGTCTTCTCAGATCCTCGGGACAGCTCACGGCACGACATATCCCTCGGGCCTGTGAGTAAGATACCACGCCCAACACAGTCACCCAAAAGGCCGCACCCATCGACACACGACGCGCTCAGCGCGAGATGCCCCAACGAGATCAACGCCCAATCACCACAGCGTGTATCTTCCAAGTTCTCCGACCAGACCGACTCATCGCAACCGTCCCAGCGCGGGAGGCACCTGAGTCGATCATTCTCGGCCTCGACAACGGGCTCGGTGCTTCACAGTACCATCCACCACAAATCTCTGAGCGCATCACCGGCCAAAGACAGAGACTCCATCCCCGAATGGAGGCGTAGACTCCTACACGGCCAAGGTAGTTACGGCGGGCCCAAGAATTTGTTCAGCTCGGCAGGCGCCGGACTCGAAAGCATGTTTCAGCCGCCTCCTCCGCCAGGAGAGACGCAAGAACATATCGACGAGGAAGGCCATACTTCACACGACATGACGATGCCTTCAAGCCCGCCTCCCTATGCCAGGCCGAATTGGCAGCGCATATCTACCGGCACGTTTGAAGACTCGAGCCACGACTTCTCCGACATCCGGCCCGCAAACCAAGTCAAAGAGTTTTCGTCGGAACTACGAGATGACCTCAGTAGACAAGAGGATTCAACGTCCGAGCGCAGCGTGCCCGCCCATGACAGCACAGCCAAAGACCAAAACGAGACGTCCTTTACGTCGCTGGCCGCCAAACAACGTTTCGACGCGTCACGGAAGATTAGTGGAAAGAGCGATGTCCGAAACGAGGATTTCAGTCCTATATTGCTTACCTTGCGTAGCAAAGAGGATGGTAAAGTCAGCTTCGCGCCCATTGAACTTTCTGCGGACTCGTTGCGTAAGCGTCTGGATGAACTGCGCCAAAGCCAACAGCCGAGCATCATTGTACAGAATGCACAGGAGTCAAACACACCTCAAGATGGCCGCGACACAACACAGGACTATGCCCGCCAAGGAGCATTTCTCAACTTTAAGAGAGGTGGCCGCTCTACTGAGGGATCTTTTCGGTGGCGTCCGTTGAGTCCGCCTCTGCCCACGGATACCTCGGAGATGCTTCCGGAATCGTCGCTGCAAGCTAGTACGCCCAAACAGTTCCCCGGTACCATTAGGACGACCGCACCGACGGATTCATCAGAGCACTCAGCCTCCTTGAGCCCTCAGATGCTCCGCGTGCCATGCCCTGGTTCGCAGAAGCGCCCTCAAACTGCCCAGAGCGCCGGCGGCAGCCCTCTGAAGCTGTTTGGTAACTACGACACTTTCACGAACCAGACATTGATGCGACGCATCAGTCAGTTTGAGGATCGTTCACCTGAGGACTCAGCTCAGGGACAAAACGTGAGGCAGGCGTCAGCGAGAGCTAGCGGTACCCGAAGCACTACCGCAGGTTTTGACGTGCGTAAAGAACATCAGCGCAGTCACGGACATCTCGAAACATTTGGTGCAATCAACAACTTTGGTGTTGGAGATCTGGATGACTACATCTTCAGCGAAGATATCTCTTTGAACCAAAGCGAGCCTTCGGAGCTGACTGATAAGGAGAACGTCGCTCCCATGGCAAATTCGCAGCCTCAAGGTCGAACCGTTGCTTTCAACCTTGCTCATCATTCCTCTTTCTCCGAGGCTGGGTCTTTCAGGCTCCGGCGCCGGCGTAACAGATCCAGTACTAACGGCAGCTCTTCGAAACACTCTGTTAGTGGCTCTGGATCGCGCCCGACTAGCTCGTCTAATGCTGGGACGAGTGGTTATAGTTCGTTTGCAACACCTAAGAGAGATGCTTCGGAGGGGAAAAGACAGCGTACCTCACCCTCCAAAGACCCAACACCAAAGCGGAGGAGAACTTTGCACAGATCGGATGTCGCTTATGGCATGGAAAAGGCTCTGCCCGCAATTGAGGCCGTTCAGACAAGTCATCTTCAAATGCAGTCTGGTATCGGCAAGAAACGAAAAGATGCCCGACAAGGCGAGCTGCAACAGCCGGCCGATCCCGCTGTCATGGCTCACCGGCAGTACATTCGACCTCGCACGCCAACTTCGAGTCAAAGATCGTCCCTGGAGCGCGAAAGGGAGCCATTGGGGGACCTCAGTTTTAGTGCGGATGGAACGGCGACGGAGATTTCTGCAGAAGAATCTGAAATTCACGCTCATGACTTCGCAGTCGAAGGATCCAGGAAAACATCGATCAAGACTCAGGACTTCTTTGACGAAGCAGAGAAGATCATGGCCATGATCAGGAACAAAGCACGGCCATCAGCCAACCTACAGAATGGGCTCTCCAGTGTCGAGGAGTCGGAAGCTGAGGTGTCTAGTAGGCAAAAGTCTGAGACTCCTGAAGAACTGCACGAAGACTCTTATGAGGAGTCCTTCGAGGAACCTTTCCTTCGCCCGCCAAGTCGCGAAGGTAGGCCTTTATTACGCGTACCTATACGACAAGAAGACCCTGAGATTGCCGACAAGCTGAGGAAGTACGAAGAGGAGGTAAGCGACATGGGGGATCTCGTCGCATACTCCATGCGCTCTATGGGATTAGCCAAGGAGGCAATTCAAGATGTCAACAGGATCAATGATTCCGTCCAAGCCAGTATTCGTTTCAGTGAAGTGCGGCACAATGGAATGGATCGCGGGGATATCATCAGCGATCTCTCTAATGTGAGACTGTCGCGGAACCCTGATGCTTCCACGGATGACGAGTACGGACCCATTCCTTCACATGGATCTTATTCTTCTAGTGGCTCCACAAACCGCTCCATACCTACATCCAGGGGCTCGGACTCGAGAAGATTGATCGCCCCTGATGCAGTGAGCCAACTGATTGGAGACCATGTTGGTAACATGCAGTTGGACAAGGAGAACAAGGTCTGGATGAAAATAAGGACGCCAAAGGCTGAAGTGCGGGACATGAGCATCCTTCCGTCCGAGGATAGTGAGGATGATCCTTTTGCCAGTATCCCTGACCTCTCAGTCGACATACACAAGGAGAGACAGCATCTTGCCTTGAAGACAGGGCCGCTTGAAGACCTCGAGGAGTATTTGAAAGAAGATTTCCCTCATCCACCATCATCCGGCAGAAAGCCCCATTCCACAGACAAAACTTTCGATGTTAAGAGCATCTTGAGTCATACCAAAGAGACCTTTGAGAACATAAAGAGAACCTTGGCGGAGACTGTTAGTCAAGCTGAAGAGGAGATTGAACACGAGATAACACTTCATGAAGATCGCGTTCAGAAGTCCAGTCCATCCAGGAAGAGGAACTTGACGATCACATTTTCATCGCCGATTGCCTCCTTTATTCAGGACATCCTCCCTCAGCAGTCGGAAGGCGAAACCACACTGGATGAATTTAGCACCATAGACCAGTCTATTGGTGATATCACAACAGACTCTTTAAGGCGAGGCAGGCACGTAAGAGTCGAGCACATGTTTGACAACGACTCCAGCCAGTCGAGATCGAGAAGCCGTTCCAAAAGCATTGGCCGAAATTTGTCGGTCAAAGGCCAGGCGTTCGTTCCACGCCCTGTATCACGGATTGATGAGCAGGATGAAGACGGTGCAGTCGACGCCTCTGTGTTTGGACAACGGCAACTCAGTGTTCGTGGAGAATCTAGTATCCTTGCACTAGATGATTCCGAGCAGAAACATAGCAGTGTCAGCTTCGTCATATCGACGCCCGCTCCGACGCGGCATATGTCTCGGATGTCTGCGACACCAATGATAGCTGAGCATGTGGGCACGTACTCACTTAGCCCATTATCTGAGTTTACTATGCATCATGGCGACGGCTCAAACGCACTCGAGGTCAGTTACGTCGTCGGAGATAACTATCTTGTGACTGGCGATAGATCCAAGCGAGTCTTGTCGCAGGCGATTCGTAGCTTAGTGGAGAAGATCACTGAGGTCGAGCCGTTTGAACCGGACTGGGATGCCATGCAAGTCTTGGACATCAATGGCAAACAACTGAAAAGCTTGCACAAACTAGATGAGTTCTGCGGCAGCGTCGTTACATTGGATGCGTCCAACAACTCCATTAGCCACCTGGATGGCGTGCCTGAGGCTGTTCGCAATCTCAAAATGACCCACAACCAGCTCTCGGAGTTGACAGCTTGGGGGCATTTGGCAAACCTGCAGTATGTCGACATCTCTAATAATCAGATTAATAGTCTGCATGCGTTTAAAGACCTGGTCCATCTGCGGAGCCTACGCGCCGATAACAACCAGATTACGAGCCTGGATGGGATCAAATTTCATGACGCCCTTCAAGTGCTGCGAATACGGAACAATCTTATCGAAGAGGTTGATCTCGACGGAACAAGACTCCATCGGCTGACCGAGCTAGATTTGCAAGGCAACCAGATCAGCTCTTTCGAAAACGTTGAGCAGCTTCCATGCTTATCAACTCTCAATATGGAAAATAATCGTCTGACATCATTCAAGACTACTATGAATGGCAGCGTGTCGTCACTCAGGTATTTACGAATGTCGAACAACGCCGTTTCAGATCTCGACCTAGCTTCGTTCCCCTCTCTTCGCCTCCTCCATGCCGATCGCAACCGTCTTACAAGCTTGAAAGGGTTTTCTCGTGCTCGCAGACTTGATAGTCTTTCTTTGCGTGAGCAGACGGGCGACAAGCCTCTAGACTTGTCTTTCCTCAAAACTGCATACGAGGTCCGCAAACTATTCTTGTCCGGCAATCTTTTGACGGCTTTCGAACCGCAGGTGGACTTTCTCAACCTGCAGCTTTTGGAGTTGGCAAACTGTGGGCTACAGTCGCTGGGAAAGAATCTTGGGCAACTCATGCCAAACCTGCGCACTCTGAATCTGAACTTCAATGCACTGGAGGACTTGTCAGCCCTACGTTACATCCCTAGGTTGAAGAAACTCCTAGTAGCAGGCAACAGAGTGTCTGACGTAGGTGCCCTGGCTGATATCCTGGGCGAGTTTCCACATATGGCCAAGCTGGATTTGAGAGACAACCCTGCCACGCTGGGTTTTTATCCGCCCGTGCAAGCTCTGGTTGTGATAGAGCGTGATACAGATTTTGATGCCTTCGTCCTGCCGGATTCGAGTAAAGAGCGAGACGACACCTTCGCCATGAGACTGGATATGGGCACAAAGCAAAGGCGGAGGTTCTACGAGATCGTAATCAGTCAGCGTTGTGGACGACTGAAGGAGTTGGATAGTCTATCTCTGGACAGAAAACAAATTAGGAGGAAAGATAGCGTGTGGCAGGCGCTTTTGGACAGTGGCGTCGTAGCTAGAGCCGCAAAGGACGATGTCAAGCAAAAGAAACCCGACAATGGGTCCGAGGCGACACAGGAAGTGCGGCAAGATTGATGAAGTTTATGATGGTTGGGTATAATTACTGACGCGTCGCTCGAAACGTATGAAATTATTGCTTCATTTGGGGTTTTTTGTCTCGAGGAGCATGCTGGAGTTCTACTTGGTTTGGATGAAGCTGTCTCGGACCGCATGGGCGTTTTACAAAAGAAGGGCCAACGCTCTGCTAGAGATGGGCCTCAAAGGGAGTTTAAGTATGTATTGATTTTTAGTGTAGTACTAGATGGCATGCATGCGGGGCATGATAACGTTAATAATGAGAGATGAAGAGCTGCAGATATCTTTGACGAACAAAATTCGCATCGATCATAGTTGCTACGAGTTAATTCATGATGATTAATCTGTTATATGGAGAGAGTATGCTGCCGTTGGACAGCCCTCGCCCCATGTCGAGCTTCATACTTATTTATCGACGAGACTCGATTGCAAGGAGTCGTGGACTTTGCTCTGAGTGGCTAATATGGGACAAAACAAGAAGAGATATGCAAGCAAAAGTAATCTACGGTGAGGGGACTGCACCTGGGACGAAGATTATGGAGATTGACAAGGCTTGGCATTTTACGACTGTCTTTTCTATATTTGGCATCCTACCATTTGGCCTTCTTCACCTTCGCAACATTGAGAGGATGCCTGTCGTTCTAGGGATATCTAACACGTCTCATTATTGTATTGCTCTGGTGCAGCAGCGTCGATATTGAGGAGAGAGGGGAATCAAGATTAAACACTCTACCATGTGGCACAAAACTGTCGTCCACTTGCTTCGTCCCTGATACCAATCGCTACCCCTATTGGGACAAGCATGTCGCCGCGCCTTACAATGATTGACGAATAACACCATAGCTGCCGGACTCGTGCCCCCTTCCACCGTAGCTCATGCATAACCCACTGGCAGCTTGTTCAATCTGGCTTCGCTCCGGCCAAGTACGCCAATAGTGATGGGGACCGACTTCCCCTGCGCTCCTTTTTACGAACCCATTCAAATTAGGGCTCAGGGGTTGGACCAGGCTTAGACTTCAGCTTCGGGGACCTGCCTCCGGCTGGTTCAAGCAGCTTACCATCACGCTCTGCTCTAATGGTCCTGGTGTGTCTCCAAAGAATGTCTTGCTCATCATCTGGTACCCATCTACGAATCAAAACATAATCGGGATCCTAAAAGAAAACGAGCTTGTCAGGTAAAATGGATATGGCGATATTGGTGGTTTGTTACCTGGCCAATCTGATAGTCAATATTATACGCTTGCAATGTCTAGAGTGAGAGGTGCCTACGCGCCATGCGGGTAAAAGTCAGCCGCGCGGCGGATTTTTCCTGGTCCTCCTTCTGCTACATTCTGATCCATCACCGGGCCGAGGCATTATTTCGTTCTTGCTCGCTCAATTTGAAGTTTCGAAACGGTTCATCCAACCTGTGCGTGTACGCCCCCTCTTCGTCTTCGTTTTCTTTTCCTTCTTTCTTGATTTGCGCGTTCTCGTCTCCTAACCATCTCTCCTTTCATTGCGGCCTTGTGCAGTCCCATTCGAACGATTCTAAGAGTTCTGCATTGAGGTATGAGTGTCCGCATTCAATTTTAAGGGATAGAGTTGGAGAAATATTGCTCTACCTCTGGGGCTTCTTTGATCAAAGAGCAGTAGCTTCTCTGCGCGCAATTCGTCAAAGAAATACCGGTCGATGGACTGATAATTGGCTCCAACATGCTTTCCAGGTATTTCCGCGTCAACACTGGTTGCCGAAGCTGAACAGTCCGATACAAACTCTGCGTTATGGTTTGACTTTTCGTCTGTCTCTAAATTAGGTAGAGAGAATAGAGCCAACTCTTCTTGGTGGCGCCCAACATGTCGTTGGTAAGCATCGGCGTTCGCAGGCATGTCGTTGCAAAGAGGGCACTGCGCTGGGCTGTCTAAGGGCTTTGGATTCTTTCCATCCTCCACATAAACATCAAGTTGGCTCGAGGGTACAGAAGGGGTATGTTGCTGTGTAATGTGGCTTTTCAAGGCTGTAGCAGAAGAGAAGGGTTCACTGAGGCAGATGCTGCATTTCCACGTTCGCCAGTGATTCTTTATCACATGTTCCATCCACTCGTGTCGGCGTCCATATTGATGATTACCGTTCCGGCAAGTCGGCTCGAAACAGATGTACGGCCGAAGGTCCGCGTATACGTGTTTCCTGCAAGTGTCAGCAAACTATTGTCTTTCACAGTACTACTGTAGTGTAACGAACTTCCAAGCCAGAGTGTTACTGGCTGATATCATCATAAAACAGAAGGGACACTCGAAAGGCCCATATGCGGCCAGAGATGGCAGAGGAGGCATTTTCAACGGTTCAGAGCCTGATGCAGAGGTTGCATATGATGTCTATGTGAGCCCACCCACGGATTGGGCGTCTTCATCCATCTCTTCAAACTCAATGACGGTAGTAGGATCCTTCATGAGCTTTGGTATAGAAGATGCTATCGTACTAGGGCCACCAGCTTCGGTCCTGTTGGAGTCGAATTCTAGTCCCTGAGAAAGCTTTTCATGATGAGACTCCCTGTATCGAAAATATTGCCGCCGGCGAGAATTTGCTCGACCCAGACGCAATGCGACTTCCCTGGATATTCCCGGAAATTTTTGTTGTACATGTGCTGTATCGGCTGCCTCAAATACAGAGGCATCAATAATCTTGTCTGCCAGTTCAAATCGATTATATGGAGCTGGGTTTTGTATAGATACCGACATACGATATAAGCAGTCAACTACTTCCGTAATATCAGCATAGATCTGTGAGAGTTCCGATTCGAACTCCACATCGTTTTCCCCAAGAACACTGGGCGGATTGGTCTCTTGGAGCTCATCGTTATACTCTGGGAGTTCATCCCAAGGTGTCTGTTCTCCTCTCAGGATAGAGGCAGCTAGGCATGTCAGTACCGTCCAGTTGAATGGGCCGTTCGTTAGACGAACCATCAGACAAAGCCTCGATTAAGTCACTCAAAACACTGATGACTTGGATCCTGAGATGCGATGCATCACGAAGCCGATAATCCAGCGAGCTGCTGCCTTTGCGATGAGCGCCTATATTGCCTGTCCAGACCTTGAACCTAGCAAGTTCTTCAGATACCTGACCAGCGTTCGCGATCGCTTTAAACCCCTCCAAGCAGTGGCGCACCTTCTCAGCGATGGAAGCAGTTTCCATCGTCGTCAGTCTCGTTCACAGTCTCACCTGTGAGACGGGCTGTGCGGTGATGCTAGCCTGGCTTAGATAATTGAGTCACTCCGTTTTGGTGAGCAATGCGACACTTTTGTTGAACGATCGTCGGATTGTGTGGCGACACGATGACAGACACCACCGCAGTACTCAGGTGCTCAGGTGACATTCATGTAGTGTCGCTCTTACCAACCAACACTCTCCAGGTCGTGCCTATAACGATGAGTCAAATGAGGTGAAGGAACACTCTGCACCTTAAAGTCTTCTATTGCCGCAATCGCTGGCCTTACCTTGCAGGACTTATGACGATGTGTTGTCCGTTTCATGAGGCTTTTGCGCAAGGCTCCCATGATTGCTCGGAAGAAATGGTCGGGCGTGAGTACATAAAGTCCATGCGAGGATTGAATTGGTCCTTGAATTGACCCCTCACGCCATTTTCAGCTGCGGTGCACGCAATGTCGTTTGGTAATCGAAAATTTGCAACAAATCTCGAACCACTCAGTTCATCTCAGTGCGACCCGGAGTTAAGCCCGATCACCAACGATACGACCATGTCCGGATTAGAGTTGGTTGGTATTATATTGGGAGGAATCCCTCTCGTGATATCAGCTCTTGAGCATTATAAGGAGGGACTTCGTTCAGTTCAGATATGGCGGAAGTATGGCCGAGAGCTTAGCAGCCTCGTGCGCCAACTTCAATTGCAACAAAACATATTGACAAATGTGTTTGAAACGCTTCTAGAGGATCTTGGCCTGGGGTCGAAAGTAGACATCATGGTCAAAGAGCCCTTTGGACGGCTTTGGCAAGACCGCGAAATCAAGAACAAGCTGTCGCAGAGACTCTATCGCGATTACGGTCTCTTTGAGGATACTGTAAAGAACATGGCAGAGGCAATCGAGGAGGTTAAGAGAAAGCTTGGCTTAGACGCTGATGGCAAAGTACGTGAAAGTTCCCAAATCGCTTCATCCTCGGACTGCCTAGTAGACTTGTTGGATCGTGCGAGACTGACAATTATTAGGTCAAATGGATCGAAGCCGGCTCATGGAAACGGGAGGTAAAGCGAGCGTCCTTCACTTTCAGCCGAGGGCAATATCAAGAGCTCCTGTGTACACTCAAAGATGGCAATACTTACCTAGAAACGTTAACCCGCCACAATGTGGATTTGGAGCCTAAGAGAAGAGCCAGGCTCCAAATGAGATTCTTCAACTTACTTCGGCTTGTAATAAGAAGCATTTATCATGCTCTTCGGGGCAGTTTTTCTTGTCGCTGCACGCATGGACTGAGCATCGAACTTTCTGTGCCAAAGCCACAAGCAGGACAGAACGATGCAGACGAGGAAATCGTTGCTGGTTTTCTGTTTCGGATAGGTCTGTCATCAGCTCCAAACAGTCCCTCGAACTGGAAAGAAGTTCTTCTGCGGTATTCTCGAGCACCACAGCTAGTCACCTTGAGCAGCGCACAATCAGGATCATCCAAGAAGTCTACCAAATTCTCTCAGATTTCAAACTCGACAGTGTCTCGCATGACCAATATATATAGCTCCCAATCAGTCACCATCACTCATACACAGTCGATGAGCCTAGCCGCATCGTCACTGCCTATAGCGATGGCGAACGTGAAGCTTGGTACCTCAGTGTCGAGCCCGGCTCTTGCACAGATCATGGATATCTGTTCATCAGTCATAAAACCGACCGATGGCAACGCATCGTGTTGCTACGGAACTGTATCAAACTATACAGCTAAGCAATTCTCAAACTTTGAGATCCACTCCACTCCAACACCCCATTCTCACAGAGAGACTATCGTTACCTTGGACGACATACTCAGATGCAAAGACGATTCATTGGCTACTTTGGTCTACACAAATAAGATCAGAATGGTTTATGCTATATCATACGCGGTTCTCCAATTATCTCAGACCCCTTGGCTATCATACGCGCCTTCCAGTAAAAACATCATCTTCATTCGTAGGGCTGAGTCGATTGACTACAACCAAGCGTTTGTCACGAGGGACGTCCTGGAGCCATCCCAAGACCCGGCCTCTAATAGTGGTGGTAGCCCGTTTGTAGTGCGGAGTCCTACATTGCTGGCCCTTGGCATTATCCTTATTGAGATCATGCTGCAGAAGCCATTTGAAGTACTTAGAAAATCAGCCACGCCATGGAATGAAGCGACCGTATTAGACCCGCGGTTGGACATTGAGGCAGCACGGAAGTTAGCCATGCGCGTCGGCAATGAATTTGGTTCGACTTTTGGAAGCGCAATACAGCGCTGCGTCGATTGCAACTTCAATTGCGAGAACCTCAGCCTCGACGACGAAGTATTTCGCCAAGAATTTTATGCCAGCGTTGTCGCCCTGCTTGAGGAGAACGTCAGGAATGCAGGCCTGGCGTGTTAGAATTGTGATAAAACAGACACCTGACCGCGGACGGAGACAGAAATGTGTACAGTGCAACAGCAAGATCAGCACGGGTATGATTGTTGGACTTGAAACTGGTCTCACAGTTGAGGATCTATATGATAACAATTACATAACCATTTCCATATATTCTGGGTATAATCTTCGAATCCTAAAAATCAAACACGACCGCTAGCTCATCTATCTACATTAAAATTAACAAACATTTCATTCCTCTTTCGCTTCGGGAAACGCTCCGGCAATGCGTAAATCAGTATCGCTCCTAACTGCATGCTTATTAACAGACGAAACATCAAACCTGCCCGCTTGGTCGGTTGACTTTCTACTAATCTCTTGGCTCTTTCTAGCCTTCTTGCTGTCCTCGCTGTTTCTGTGCAAGAAATCGAGAGTTGGCTTGGGCAGTGGCCAGATCCCATCCTCCTCTTCGATATTGTGGAGTCTGTTCTCGGCCTTCTCCTGTTCTTTGGCTTCCTTTTCCTTTTTCTGTGCCATTCGGCGTATGGCCTCCTCGGTCAGCTCTTGTCGGAACATACGCTCCACAACGTCCTTCTTACGTGTGCGCTTGTCACCCACAGTAATCAGGATACCACCCGTAGTGTTGACGGCGATGGAACAGCACAGAATAGTAGCCGTCAGTGCACCTGGGCGTACGCGGTAATCGATGAGCCACGTGCATAAACCCAGGGCTATCTGGAAACAGGAGTGACAGTCCAGTAAAACAACAATTGCAACTAGAAGACGCAACGGGAAGGCGTGGTGTGTCTCCGTCTCGTGAGGCTTGTAGAAGGTATGTGACTTGGCGAACTTTGTTTGGTGATGCTCGAGCTTCTTCTGCTGCTCAGGCGTCAAGACAGAGTACTCCTCGTCCTTGAAATGGAAATCACGTTGTGCTTCAAGATCTCTTTGCTCTTCCGGCCCAGACACAACCGGCTCGTGCGGCAAGTCGTTTTTATCCTTCAAGCTGGGAACCTTCATCTTGTTGCGCAACTTCCACGTCAAATGATGGTAGCGCGCGATGAAGATCATGTGATAGGTGTCGACAAGACGCCATGGGATCAGTCCATCTCCCATGACAGCAAACAAGGCAACGAGCACATTATCGATCACGTTGATGATATACAGCTGCCTCGCGCCGACGTAGATCCAGCCAATCAAGAAGAGGACCCAGGCCAGACCAAACAAGGTGATAAGCGTGGCATACAGGGTGACGAAGAAACCCAGTGGTTTTCGAACATATTGACCAAATGCCTTCATGGAGCGACCGAAAGCGGAGCGCTTCGAATGAAGCATGTGGCGCACGTGGTCGTTCAACTCAGCAAGGTCTTCGTCGCTCCAATCAGCCAGTGAGGTATTATGTGGCCGAACAGCATAGAACCTGTCCGTCATGGTACTCGGTATTCGCTCGACAGACGGTCGTCCTGGGGGTGCCTCTGTACCCGGCGTATCCAAGTCGCTGGCTGAGTCTTCTGGTATGGGCGGAATGCTCATGGTATCGGCTACCGAGCGGATTTCCTCTTGTGATGGTCCACGCGGAAACATTCCCGGCATGGGGTAATTGCGCGAAAGGTTATAGGTTGGCCGTCTGTTGACAAACCTCCCCAGCGAAGGGATGAAAAGAGAATTCTGAACATTGGTGATGGAGTTGAGCGTTGAGACCTCGGGGTCTGGTCTTGTCAGCAAGATTTCTCCATTCTCGGAATCGGCGTTGGTCTAAACTCACCTACGACATCGAGCATGTCCACAATGCTGGGGTCATATTCATCTTGGACGATGAGCTGATCATGACCACCATTGCCGGCATGCGGTCTCCGACCAAGAATCTTCATGCGGCCGAAACGACCGCGCTTCTTGCTGCCAATCGATGCATTGTCTGGCCCCGCAAAGTCGGCAGCTTGGGTATCTCGATTGGTGTTGTCGTCAGGATCCAACATGGACCTGACATTCTGGGGGTTCTCCGGGTTGTAGGGGGGCTGCGGGGCGGATGCTGACGGCAACCTTCGCAGCTTTATCGATCCCCGATCTGCTGGATCATTGTCGACGTCCAGCATGGAGCGATACTTCTGCGGTTGGGCGGGCGCATTGCCGGAGGCCTGAGCAGGATTCTGTGGTGCTGCATTGGGGAGTCTGCGCAGGCCGATGGCTGACTGTCGTGTTCCGAGCCTGGGGAAGCGATGGGGCCGCTTTGCCGGTTCAGTGTCCTCGCTCGGCGGCACTGGAAGTGGCTTGTTGTCGCTCATTGTGCGGGTGCGACGGAACAGTTGGAACAACTAAACAAGACCGTCCTCACGAAATATCACGAAGGCACGTTGGTTGGCAATGCAGCAGACATGATTGTCACGGTAGTCAGGTTGGGCGGTTTTTTCCTGCTTTGATTTCCCCCGTGAATTAATTAATTGTCAGCCGGACCACTTGACTCGAAACTTGGAAGTCCCGGGTCGTAGTACGCGACACTGCAGCTGTGACGTTATTTCTCCACTGTTGGGTCTCCTCTGAGCCCTGGAGTCCTGACAGAATCGGAGGGGCCATGGATCCCCGCCACAGGAAGTCCCTGTAACCAGCAACGCTAGCCCATCCAGCTGAAGGGCGGCCCGAGATGGCTGTCAAGGTGTGAGCGTGTCAGGCGTGCCCTGGCAAGCACAACGTCAGTGGCCCTACGAAGCGTTTGGTATCACCGCTAACCTAGTCAATTATGACATGACGCCTTTGGATTTCAATGACACGCCTTGTGCCTTGTCTCGAGACACTGACAGCCAACCTAGTATGCGATATCTATTATAGACCCAATCAACACAATACTACCGCCGGCACGAGCAATTACCCCTTTCACACCTAGTCGGGCTAGTCTAGTCTAGCAGAAAACCTTTGTGACGACTCTTGACCCCCCCCCAAACCCAAGACCCAGGAGACAAAATTCAATCGTCCGGGATCTTCCAACCTCCCGCACTGGCGCTCCTCTAGCGAAATGAAAGCCTGGCGTCTAGACTAGGTTAGCACAGGAGCGGTTGAGAAGCCAGCGGCCAAGCGCCAGATCACTTCTTGGAATCCTTTTCATTGACTACCTTGACCTGGGCCAAGATAGGAGAGACATCGAAAGTCTGGACATCCCCAGCCCCACGACACCATGAAACAAAGATCCAAAGATCCGATAAACGCATGCGATATGCCGTGCTCCGTAGGGAACCACTTATCGACACGTGAAGCTGCATCCTACTGTAGATATCGCTGTCGTGCGCTCGCTGATCTTACTGCACTTTGCCATCCATTAGAGACTCCAGTGATATTCCGTCATGACACAATCCACGAAGCACAAAAATGGGTTCCCGCATGCTGTCCCGCATGCCATCAAATTAATTTTCGATCTTGGCAATATCGACAATTCGCCCCATCTCAGAACGTCCTTTATGGAGTATCATTTGTGGGGCCCCGTAAGGATCGTGATAACCACATCTACGTACATACATAGTATCAAGCACCATCGACACAACAGGATTCTCAAGCGAAAAACGTGCAGCACGACGTTGTCTGAGCAACTAGGATCTTATTGGCCCAATCCGAAGCACTCGTTCACATACCAGTCAATTTTCACGCAAAACGTTCCTACTAGTAGAAACATGATTGTGTAGCAAAATGTTCTCATCACTGCCAAGGACCCAACTAAAGGTGGATATGCACATGTATACTTTACTAATCCCCTGCCAAGCCATGGACGCGAGTTCGCTACCCTTCAACTTGCAATCTGTAAATTTATACACCATTATTTACGCAGAACACCAACCAGAAAGCTCTGATGCGTCTGAGCGACTCAAAGTATTCGGATATGAGTCTAATATCATAAAACGTTCATTAGGAGTGACACTATCTGTATCGACAAAAGGTAATAGTCAAGCAACCTACACCAGCTCTTGCGTCCACTGCCTGCCTGTCCCTACACTCAAGGGTAATACTGCCTGGGCCAGATATTCATAGCCGTCTTGAGCCCGTCGCCCAACGGCAGTCCGGCATGCATAACCCTCTCATCGCCAGTTCCGTTCGCGTGCAGATTGACCCAAAACAAAGCATTTCCCTTGACCGGCTTGAACGCAACGCCTCCTCCACTCTCCGCATCCCGTTCAAACCACACCCCGCCCTCTCCGATCCCCGTCCTACTGTCGCGCCTCACCGGCTCAACGTACGGGAAGTGCGTCTCGCCGCCCGTGCAGTCATCCTGCAGCACGGCGAAGAAGCTCGCAACCCTGTTCCAGCTCCTCCCCAGCCCCATCTTCTCCCGCTTCGCCGGCTGCGGCCTCTCATACCAGTCGTGGTGGACGTTGAACCGCTGGCCCGCCGTGTAGCGGACCAGCTGCGGCGGGCCGATCTCGCCCCGGGCCGGGTCGAGCAGGGCGCCCATGAACTGCTGGGCGCGCGACAGCACGCAGCGCACGGCGGGGTCGCCCGGCGGGAGCCCCGCCGACTGCGAGGTGCGGTCCGCGGTGTGCTGCTTCCGGTTGCGCTTGGTCACCTCGGAGGGCGCGAACTCGGGCTCGCCGGCCGCGAGCAGGGCGGCGATCTCGGCCGGCGCGAGGAACTCGTGAATGTATATGAGCAGGGGGTCGAGGGAGACGATCTCGGTGGTGTAGGCGTGTGGCCGGCACGCGAACTGCTGCTCTGCGGCTGAGATTGTCCCGTTGGAAAATGGGACGAGGGCTCGGATCAGCGACAGGGTAGAGCTGGCGCTTGGCGAGATATAGCGGGAGATCAGCGGCGCCGCGAAGGCCAAGACGGCCACCATCGCCGCGATGATCAGCTGCGTCCGGTACGTTGTGGGGTTCTGAATCCGGCGCATGACTTCTTGATAAAATCGGCATCAGATCAACATCTGTATCTAGAAGGAAATGGGTGTTAGATTACAGGAGTGCACATGAGAACTAGAATGCAGTCTTGTGCGAGAGAGCTGGAATTGAGCATTGAGAACCCACCCTGCATGAATCCGTCTTCATGACATAAAATGATCCGGAAGACAGAACTCCGAACCCCAACTCATAGGGTCACATTGTTATACGAGGAAACTTGGAGTATCGCCAACCACAATTTGTTTCGAAGGTGTGGGGTAAGCGTAGGGTCTTCCAGCCGGACTAATCAAAGAATATGTCATGTTTCGGGGGCATAGGGGCCTGGATATGCTTGTTTGTAACTCATTCAAATGTGTAACTAGCCTGACCTAGACGCCCTGAATAATGACTGCGTTGCCCCTTCGCTGTGAATTCCATAACGACAATGCCGTACAAATAGTGGTTAAAATGAGCAAGTAACGCCAATTCCCCTCTACCGGTCTTCTTCTGTATCTTCTTCTGTATCCGTCGCCCAGCCCTGGTAATAGGCGCGTCTTTCTATAGACATCTTTTCTATGCTGATGTAATTTTAAGCAACCTCGACCCCGCCGATCTATATGGCCCAGCTGCCTCGCCTTGCACGCACACCCCATGCTAGTTGATTTCCTTCATCGTCGCCCAAATACGGGTGTTGTCTCGCCCATTCACGTATGTACAGCCTTAGTGCTGCCCACCGAGGCGGCTTGTTGTTCTTCTTCTCGTCCTCCTCCGGCGTCTTCATCTCTTCGTCGCTCCCATAATTGTTGCTTTCCTTGATTTTGAGCTCCATATCAAGCATAAACCCCTTTTCGATTTTCTTGTCATCATCTTTCTGCAATTCCCTGATGGGAAGGCCACTGATTTTACTGAGCTCTTCATCGAATTGCCGTGCCATAGCGGGATAGCCGAGACTGACGTAGTTGTACACTTGTGTGACAAATGCATCATCAAATTCAGCAAGTAATCGCGCTTGTTTCTCTTTGCGAACCATCTCCTTTTTGAGACGCTCGTCAAGCCCGGAGAGGAGATGCAGGCCCTTCGGCTGGTCACGCCTCGTAGGTGATGCTGGTGTTCGAGGAGTCTCGCCGCCACTGCCTATCGTGGAAGCGAATGCCATCGAGAAGGGGTCCGTAGAATTTGCAGGCTCGGCGGGAGTTGCTAATAGTTCCGGTTGCTGAAAGGTGCTTGGGATCATATCCTCGTCGCCACTAGCTACACAATAACCGCGCCACAAGCCTGTCTCGCCTGAAGCGTCACGTTGCTTCTCTTCAGGACGAGAAGCGTCTCCATAGATCGGCCACGGATGATCTGGCTCCAAGCGCGTGGCCTTGGGACTGGGACACATGCGAAATTTCAGTTCCATTCCTAACATGGGCGGCGACTTTCGGGTGCGTCGAAGCAATGATTCCTCCTTGCCCTGGTTGTATGCTGCGAAGGGGTTACCGAATGGACCCGACTTGAAGCCTGTTGTCTCAGGCTGGGTTCGTGGTGATGGTGCATGCGAAGTAGCTACAACGCGCGGGGAGGATGCGATCAAGAAAGGGCTCTGCCAAGGACTTTGTGCCAGCTCGTTCAGCTGATTGCGTGAGGGCTGTCGGGGGCCGGCGGTTGTCCAAAGAGGATCCTCAGGTGGAGGCGCTATATCCATCTCATCTAAATCCTCGTCTATACTCATGTCTCGCTCCTTTACCTTTAATGCAGCCATCTTTTCGGCGTGCTGCCGCATTTCCGACACCGCCCAGTTTAGATCTGTAGACTTACGGCGAATGAGCTTAGACGTGCCATGTCTCAAAGGCTCTTCCTCGTATGTTACATCATCTCCGGAATTGTCCCGTACAACAAAGTGCTCAACATTTTGGGGCTGCAATCCATTAGGATAGGCTGACATGGCTTGCTCAAGCTCCCGTTGCCTGAAGGCTTCCCTGGCAGCCACTGCAAGTAAATAATGGTTGGAGTTATCGTCACAAGACTCTCTCCTGTCCTTGGCATCAGGATTCCTTGTAGCCCATGTCGCTCCTTCAGAAGGGGCGCGAGCTGGCGCCCCAATGCTGAATGCGGGCACCCTCGATTCACCATTTTCATCATCATCTTCAGACTTATCTGACTCTGACGATGGAATGACCTCAAGCTCTGGAGCAAAGGAATTTGTCCGTGTACCTCGTCTCGTATTAGGATGCGGTTTCATGGATTGTTGTCGCCGTGGGTTTAGGAGGCTGAATCGAGGACTCTCGCTACCAGTCTCTCCGCTCGCACCAATTGAGGGAGTTCTTGCCGTACCAGATTGTTGAGGCTTCCTCTTCGGTTTGGAAACATATATGTGGTTTGTACCAGGAGTGATGTCTGTTTTATCCGTAGGTTTGGTGGCCGGACCATCTTGCCCCGCTCTCTTGGCTCTTCGTGATGTTTCAATTAGTTGTGGAGCGAATCGTCGTTTTGGTTTCTGGTCAGACGTTTTTATGGTTTCAATGACGGGCGCTGAAGGGAGTGACGGCAAAGGCGGAAGCGAATCTGTGGGTGACGGATCAGGCGTCAACTCTGCCGTGGGCCCATGAGGGTTCTTATTCACTCGGTAGGAGTCAAACGTCGTCTCGATTGGCACAGGTGCAAATCGACGTCGGGCCTGCGAAGATGGTGCATCTTTCATTTCAATGTCGTCCACTTGCACGGATGCATCTTTAGTTGTCCGATTCTCGGAAGCGCCGCCATCACGAGTGCTTAAACTGGCTTGATTGCCTGCGTTCGAGGACTTGACTGTCTTCTCGACCAATTGAGGGGCAAACCGGCGGCGAGGTGGTGTTTCCCCTGTAGCCGAACCATCTCGAGGATCTGGAGCGGTTGGCTCGTTTTTGTCCTTGGACGACTTTACTGTTTCTTCGACGAGCTGTGGAGCGAATCGGCGGCGGGGCTTAGTCGTCTCCGGTTCGGGGGCTTCGAGGGCTCCTTGAGGTTCTTGACTTGCTTGTCCTTTCGTATCTTTGGATGACTTTACTGTCTCCTCGACCAGCTGAGGTGCAAAGCGGCGGCGGGGTTTGGTCTCGGGCGCAGGGGCATCGGGCATGGTTTCGACTGGCATTGTCGTGTGATGCGCCAGAAGTGAGATTGACTAACCTGGGGAATCTTGAGAGCATCGACGTAAGTGGACAATCAAGTACAAGTCATGGAATTGGTGATCTCGTATAAGTGAATGTGAACTCAGGGAGACATGCTAGCTGTCCCTGATTCTGATCCAGATCCAGATCCAGACTCAACACACCCTTGTAGGTAGTGAGTGGACTTGACCCCGTGATGAACACATGGAAATGGGCTGGCGCACCGCTGTTTTGGTAGCTATGTACTACCTGACTGTACAAGTACGGTCGAATCCGGGTTGTGGAGCGCGTGGGGACTTCACGATACTCCTCCACCTCCACGGCCAGTCGATTCGTGCTTCTATCCAATAGTGCAGGCCGGAATATGCCGGGGTTGTCGTAGTCGCAATCTATCCAGAGCGGTATTGCCTGCACTTGACATGTGTCGAAGACCTCGTCTAGCCGTTCAGTTCAGTTCAGCTGCGATATTGCGAACTGGGGATGTCACATGCACTTGACAAATCCCATGGGTAGATATCGTAAGGATTGGCACCTAAATACCACCGGTATTTCGACAGCACAAGCGATCTCGGAGGGGGGAATCACTATTGCCATGCACAACTATGTATTATAGCGCGGGGCAGTCACCAATGAATCTGCGTCTGCTGTAAGTAAGTAAGTAGGTAAGTACATCGGCTGTGCCTGGATAAGAAATCTCAGGTGACAGCCATGGCTTGTAAAGAGCGTCGTCCTTGACGTCGACTTGGCTGCTCACTGAGTCAATGTGACTTTTAAGCTGGAACTTGATGCGCAACCATAAGTATTTGGATTACAACACTGTGCAAAGACGTTTAAAGCTCCGAAATGGATACATGTACCCTCAATGCCCATGGGACGCATTGCCAGTTGAACCCTCAGCAACTGACATGACGATGCAATGCACGGCGGTAGGTAATTGTCTACACATCAAGCTCGTCTGCTCAATGACCGGAGACTCTAACCTAAGTGATTAAGCTGTCGACATCCTGGCTACAATCAAATATTATTCTGGTTATTGCAACTTACTCGTCCTGTACTTGTCCGTCACTTTTCGCAAGTTGCATTATGTGACGACTTTTACGGCGTGTTGCATCGTTGAAGGACGCTCTGCGCCACGGCTTTAGGCAGTGGGAGCACGCCACGGGAGACCCGACGCCGTATCCGATAGCGACTTCCCACCATACAGATGCCTTGATTTGTATCATCTTGGAACCCGAGGGCCACGACAATGAAGTATCACCATTGGCAGCCTTCTGTGGCCTTCAAATCTTGAAATAGACACCGGACGACTATTTCTCAACGCCGCCTAGACAATTGAAAATCGAAGACCGATAAAGTTCTGCACTTCGAAGCTGATCCCCCACTTGGGCCCAGACAGCATGACTCGTAGCTCACGGCCCCGGTGAAGGAAACCGACATCCCAGCGTCATGTGACGTTTGTTGTGCTCTTGACAGAGAAATAACACACTAACCTACATGCCTACTCATACATATTCAGTCCAGAATACTATTTGCTTTACTAGAAAATGGATCATCACTACGTTGTGACACTCCTCACTCATATGTTCTCATACATGGAGAACACACAAAACTCAAAGGAATTAGCATCAAAGTTTTATTAATAGCCACTTCCAGATCAAGCCACCATGTGGATGCGCAGCTCATATGGCAAAAGCGTGCTCGAGAGGTAGATAGTATCCATCCAACAGGTATTACATTGGGTTTGACAGCAGCCTACGGCAATGGTTTTCTGTCAGCTTGTGCTTACAAAGGAAATCAAACAGAACCCCTAAGATGCACAGTTTTCGTGGCACCAGTAATGCGTTGCTGTTGATAATCTATGGCATGATCTTTCATAGGGTTTTCCGTGACAACGAGGAGCTAGTTACAAAGGCATCCTTTGCAATGACCATATCGCGTCGTGTTTAAGCCATGACTTTTTGAGAAAGGGGCCGGGGGTTACCAGCCACGGACTAACTAATCGGATCACATCCTTTTTCAAGCACGACTATACAACTCTCAACGGTTGGTCTAAAATCCATACACCGCTTGGAGTCGCCAGTTCTTGGTCTTGGCCTATTTGAGGGCATCCTTGACGACCATCGGACCACTTTATGGGCTTCGTGGCTCAACTTGGTTCCTGGCTTTGCTAATTGTCCTCACCGACTCTTCTGATTCTAAGCGCGACAAACTTGATCCCAGACTAGCTGTATTCACCGGCAGTTAGGTCGTCCCAGCGGCATCGCCATGTGGCGTGCCGGATGTCTTCGATGCTATTCCACCAAGGAAGCCAGCGATCCCATCAGCTTCTTCATGGGGTTGCTTTGGCTAGTGCCTTGAGGCCACCACACTTATGTAGTGGCAGGGTGCTGCTTTGTTGCTACAGGCAAAACCAGTCGCATCAAGCAGGTTTTGTCCAAAGGTTGGTCAGTCGCAAAACAATGTGAGACAATAAGATTATCCTGACGGGTACCTGCAGATAGATGTTGCACGAAGAAATGTTGTATGAAGAACAACTTGTCATCTCCGGAGATCACTGCATTGTACCTGGGCACGGAATCAAGGACTGCGAGTAAAAAGCAGTCTTTGGTCCAAATATTAATCTCGGTTAAATGATCTTGCTGATACTGAAATGTGCAATTTGCCAAAAAAGACATTATCAGACTGAGATGCATGGTGACAGGTACGTTATCATTGTAGGCGTTGAGTGTCACTCGATCGGAGTATAATCCGATAGCAGACACTGTTCGAAGCCAGGGTTTCATAGGTGGGAGAAATCCTTATCGGCAACCACAATCACGCTTGTGCCGACGCGAACCAAACCTTGCAGAATTCCCAGCCCACATCCCGCGCGCATGTCGCGACGAACGCTGGGGGTCTGGCGATCATATCACGATATTTTATCTTGCTTTCCTCTGTCGGAGTACTAATCAGAGCATTTCATAGATACTTCCATGGCTGGAGCCATTATACCCTACGTCCCAAGTCTGTGTTTGAACGAATATTGAAATGTAACATATGCTCACTTCCAATCTCGCAAAGTAGCCAGGGTAAAATGCGATATGGGCGTGCAAAAGCCATTCAATTAATTTCTTGCTGCTGCAAGGATCTGCTTCCCGCAGTTGCATTGCAGCCGATAAGTCGGTTATCGCATTTCACCACAGTCTCCGGCACATACGTACAACTATGGAGCAATAGATGGCTCGCTATTCATCGGTGGATCATAAAAGCATGCAGTTAAAGTTAGAAACGGAACTGTGTGGTGCCACGGCGGAAACACGTTGATTTTCTGAGTGATCATTGTTTGTGAATATGTCGCCGTTCAGTTGGTAACTTCTTGAAGCAAACATTAAATACCTATATCTGGTCCACATACTGTGAGTGATCGTTGGCTGGTTGGGTTTGTTCAAGGACGTTGGAAAATAAAGTCTGCAGGCAGCACCACGGCCTTTTCAACGGCTGGACATTCAAACTATAAGGAAAGTTCGTTGAGCCTATTGCTTATGGGAATACAGTGCAGATCATATTAAACCTTGATGTGAGGAATATTGAGGACACCCAGACACCGTGGATCCCGAACGAAGCTCACTTGCTTTAAGCATACAGTAGCAGCAAACGCAATCCTGAAGCTCCAGAAGCTTAACCCTAGCGGACATCGGCCGGCTGAGCAGGTTGTGAACCCTGTAAGGATACCGTTTCGGGCAGTGTAACCCCCATGGATTGGCCATTCTAGGGTTAGCATAGTCGTCATCCTTCAGGAACCGGGTTTATGACCGTGATAAAACACATTCTGGAAGAGTGATGGCGGGCCATGGCCGAATACTGTAGTAAACTACTTGGAGCATGGAGTCGCGTGCCTTTGTCTACTAAACTCCACTCATTCATCGCTAATGACGTACGATTGACGGATGAACTGGGCTGAAAAGGTTCTAGCCAGGATGATTGTGAAATTGGGTTGTAAATAATCCATCACCAGGAATGGAGGCACAAAGCAGATGAGTTTCAAGTTTAATTACTCGATCGTGAGTTTCTACCAGAAAACTCTAAAGGGTAGAGATTTCTAATCTAGAGTGTGCGCACTCCAAACAGACACCGTGCCTGCAGTCGGCAAGGAATGGTCGCTTGCCGCATCTGATGGGCAGGGAGGGCGTTCAGATTGATTTACATCCAGGATGCTGTCGCGTGTGAGCCCCGGCTATAATTGACAGATCCACGTACGAACTCTTCCGTTTGTCAGAGGCATCAACTCTCACAGGGACTGACGCTGCCAAATCTAAAGGCACACTGCCCGACTAGGTTCTTCTGCTTTTGCGTACGCTAAGCACGGCACACACCTCGTGTATGTACACTTCAACTGGGCCAATTACGGTTGCAAACCTCGATCTGCTTTGGGAGGTCCGGCAAGAACGGCCTAGACGCCTCAAACACCCCAGACAGATAATTGAGAGTAATTGGAGACGTCCCGCCGTGCTACTTGGTAGTGCCCAAACAGAAAAAATAAAAAAGGTGTGTATTCCGTAACCTAAGCCAGTTAATCAGTAGACGGGCTATGAATTACTTCTCCATCAGAGCCAGAAGACGGGCACAGCACCAATGCGAGTTGACGTTATTTCGCACACGTCGTTGGCAGAGAACCCACTGACAGCATTCACGATTTATCCTGATTTGGCACACTACTAATGTTTCCTCACAAAAATTTGATATATTCATCAGTTTAATTTGTAATAGAGTTTTCCCCTGCGGCGGCCACGCGTGACTCCAATTGCAGTACCCTTGCAAAAGACAAGCAGCATCAGGATAACAGGGGTCCCTACCTGTTCCAACTTATTGGGAAAAAGTCGAAGAAAGATCACATCGGTGCTGACAAGGACGTGTCGCGCCTGTATGGAGTACTCCCGGTTCGTCTTACTGATGCTTGCACGTTGTTTCTCTAGTCGGAAGACTTGGGAGATAGTTAGATCTTGAGTCGTGCACCTGGCGCTCCATTCCCTTCTTTTTTTTTACATGTACAATCCTTTCATTATTAGAGCGGCACAACTTCTTTTCACCTCGATTTGCGCATGGTCGTCACCTTTCTGCTCCGTCATCTATTACGGAAGCGAAGAAGAATACCCGTAAGGATTACTACGTCCCAGACTTACAGTGTCATTGATAACGGCCCACTCTCCATGTTTCGACTTTGGTGAGAACGGGCCCTCCCGGCTGTAGCAAATAGAAAAAGAAAAAAAAAACTCCAAATCAGCATCTGGGTACAACAAGAGAGGCACGACAAGTCAATATCGATTGCATTTCAAACCTAGCCTTTCAGCCATCATGGTTGGCACCTATGCTGGGGTCGCGCAAAACGAGGATCACGAGAACCATGGCGCTTCGCCCGCGCTCTCTCCATCACCAGCGTTGTCATCCTCACCGTTTCCAATGCTCCGTTCAGTTGATGCGACGTTTACACCAGTGTCAATGGACAGCGATTCATATCCAAACAATGGGGTCGAGGACAAGTTGTCCGACCTCCTTCATGATGAGGAAAGTCATGAAGACCAGAAGAGGTCAATTTCTCAAACACCCACAGCCCAACCCGACGCCGTGGACGCCCTGAACTTGACCCAATCGGTGACAGCTTCAGCACGAGCCACAGTTGCAACAGAGCCTACCAAAAGTGAATACGACCTCCTATCGGCATCGTTAGGGGCAGTGGATGCAGCCTCAATAACGCGCTCCAGCCCCATTGCCAATCTGCAGAATACGAGGTCTAACACCGAGGCAGAACAACAGCAGAACTCCGTCGCACCTACGAATTCTGCTTTTAATGGTGCAAATTGGAAAGCCACAACAGATCACAATCAGATTCTGGGCAGCGCATCTACGGAGGAAGCTGCACCACTCAGTCACAGTAGCAACACCCAACAACCCACGATCCTCAAACCCAAACCTATTCTCCGGACTGCATCAACCAAGAGTGTCACACTCATTCATCCCTCCCCGTCTGTGAGAAGTCGATCCAGCTCGCACGTGAGCAATATCGCCCAACTCGAAGCGACGGCCGAGAAGCTTTCTATGACATCGTCCATCGAGGACGCCATTCGAGATTTGCGGGAAGAACAAAAGCGCAGTGATAGTCGAAGATCGTCTATACTAGCTGCTAGCACAGGGTTTCCTCCAGACTTCAAGGACAAAGAGCCTTTTCCCTTTGCAAGACAAGTGTCTGCGACAAGCTCAATCCGCGAGACGAACAACGCTGCACGTCACGGTGGCTACTCTCCCGCTGGATATGTTATGTCCCCCAATAACTCACTACTATCGCATTCTTCACGTTTACGATCTGCGTCTCACACTCGATCCGATCCCGAATCTAACGATCAACTAACACGCAACGGACCCGGGAAGAGCTCTATGCGAAGTGTGAAGTCAGCAACCAAGCCTTTACTTACGAATATCGCCGAAATGGAGCCAACGGGGCTGACATTAGCTGCTATGGATGAAGCTGACAAATTGGCTGGGCTTCCCGAGGAGGATGAGCCGATGCGAATGCCACACATGGAAGACGTTGACTTGACCCCTAATGCGTATCAACCTGACTACTCGGCTGCGGAAGATTATTGGGGCAACGCAGTTGCCCAGGCAGCGCACAATCAGCAAGCACAGCAAGCACAGCAGCACCAGCAACAACAACAGAAACAACGTCATCAGCATCAGGAACGTGCAAAATCCCCAACTGGCTCCACTGGTACTTTTGAACAGGCAGAGCTGGCATTTGCCGACTTTGACGGGCATCACTGTCCACCAGATGAGGCTCATAATAGTGATGATGATGATCCCTTTCAGCCATCTTTGGACATAGACCTCTCGCTTCAGATGCCCATCAATGAACCGGGTAGGCCGACAATATCAGCCCCAAGGAACCCAACTGTTCGACCCAAATCGTATCTAGACCCTGAAACTGGGCAACAGATGATGTATTACCCGGCAAGAGTCCCGATGATGCTTAACCTACCACAGAAGCTCTCAAAGCGGCCTAAAGCCGCTGTTAGGAATCAACGCCAGTCCCAAGTGCTCAGCGTCATGCCTGAAGCAAATCGTCAATCTGCGGCGTGGCTTCCCGAAGTATTGCCAGAGCCTCTTGTCGATCCCTTGGTTTCTGGCTCTAATTCTCAACTTCCCACCCCTCAAGCAAGGCCCAATTCTGTCCTTGGACTACCTTCCAATCTACTTGCATTAGAAGACGAGCCCGAGCCACAACCTCAAGAAGTAATGCCGCAACGTCGCCCGAACCCTCGACCTGTGGACGAGGAAGCCAGGAAGTCCCGCATGTCTGCCTTCGACCCTGCTGATAAGCGCAAATCTCGTATGTCTTATGCGGTGGACAATCTGCCCCCACAACTCCGGGCCAGTGCGTTCTTTGACATTCCCTCTGAATCACCACAAATAGAACTTAAAGATGGTTCAGCGATGGCAACTCTCGACAGTATCCTAGACGCGTCTGCCGCAGCTCCAGTGTCGGCCTTCACTGATCATGCATTCGCTGGAAAACTAGGCAACGAGATCTATGGAACAGAGAAGCGCAAATCTCACATGAAGAGCGCGAGCACCGCTACTGCATTGGATGTTAAGAAACGATCTTCAATATTCCACTTACGTACACCCAGCAAGATTAGTACCAAGGGCAACACTCAGGATGAAAGGCGAAATACTATCATTGAGCCACCAAAGCTTCCTAATCCGATCGACGGTGAGTCGGATGACGAAAGAACCAAGTTGTCTGCATCAGTTGATGGTGAGAATACTCACGAGGGAGAAGAGGAGGAAGACGAAGACAACGAAGAGGGAAGTGACGATGATCTTGAAGCATATGGACCTCCTACCACCCTCTTGGCTGAGCTACAGCTCCGCAAGCGACAACAAAAACTACGCACTAAAGCGCCAACCCACCTTTATCCTAACGGAATGCACTCTACACTCTTAGAAATCGATATTGTTGCGGAAATGGAGCTCAAAAACAGGAAAGGCAAAAAGATCAACCTTGCCTGGGAGGGACAAAACGATGCAGTTGATGAATCAGATGATGAGGATGTTCCACTTGGACTACTTGCAGCCCGGAAAAATGGTCAGATGACCAGGATGCAAGAAGAGCTTAATCGACCATTGGGCTTGATGGAGCAGCGCAATCTCGACGACAATGAGCCGCTAAGCCGGCGTCGTGATCGTCTGCAGGGTCGGCCTGTACTAGCGCCACGACAAACACTGCTGCAATTAGGAGATCGTGGTGCAATGGGTATGAGTGGCGGTCTTGGGCCGCCCAGTCCGGGTCTTAGAGTACACACCCCGGATGAGGACGAGAACGAAGGCGAGACATTGGCAGCGCGAATGCGTCGTTTACGTGCCCGCGACGAAGAAGAGAACCCTCTACCCCAAGCTCGTCCTGTAAGCACTGCATTTTCTACTGAAATGTTCAATCAGCTTGGCGATACATTCAAAGAAGATCAAGCGTCGCAACCTAGCGATAAGGGCAAAGAGAAGGCTGCCCTTCCCGAGGAAGAAGAAACACTTGGTCAGCGTAGACGCCGTCTACAAGCAGAACGTGAGGCACGGGAAAAGGAGATGGGTGCAGCCGGTGTGGTCGGTGCGCTTCAACCTTCTGCTCCGCCAATGCTAAAAGAACGTCACTCGATGGCAGATGTGCTCGGGGCAACCCGACGGACCATCCTGACCGATCCCAGAGCAGAGGCCGAGCGGGCCAAACAAGAGGAGGCACACAGGTTCAGGAAGGATCAAGGTCACAAACTAGCTGGCTTCCGCGCACAGATGCCGACCAATCTAAGCACACCCAACACTCAGCGATCAGGAGGATATATGGCGGGGCAGTACAATGATGCAACTGGGGGTGGGATAGGACACGCCAGGACCCCAAGTCATCACAGGATTCAAGCGCCGAGCATGCAGCCAATGGACCTGAATGGTGGGAAGGGTGTGATGATGGGCAACGTGTACGGCGCGGCAGGCATGGGCGGCTATCATACTTTGCAACACAGCTACAGTCAGGGCAACCTGGGCTACAATGGCATGCCCCTGCAAATGCAGACGTTGCCAATGCCATTACAACAGCCCGGCCAGCAGTACGATAGGGTTGATCGATGGAGGCAGAGCATTGTACCGTGATGCAATCGTTCTTGTTTATTTCCAAACACGTAGTCGTACACCGACATTACTGGAGGCGGTGTGCTTTTAATCGAGAGAGGTGACCGCAGCATGGCAACGGCGTTGTTCGCAATTGGGAGCGTCACAGGAGGGATTTTTTGGTGTGTTTTTTGTTTTTCCATTTGCATACGGGATGCATAGCATCTACGGGAGAATATCGGCAACTCGTACGGGGAAACATATAACATATACATAATTCTCGGCAACACAAATCGTCTTGCACATCTACAAAGCAGTAGCTTTAACCAAATCATAACGGGCCAGGCCCTAATATTATAAGTCCAAGTCAGCAATACAGAGGAACAACACCATATAACGAGTAGATCTCACCAAAGCAGTACTATAACGATCCGCATTGCCGTGTAAAGGCGCAGTCAGAGGACATGATAATACTTGTAGACAATCTTCCAATGTAACCCGCCCGGAACTGAAAAGTCAAAAACTGTTGAAATGAGTGACGTGTACGGATGAAGTGCAACCCAAAACCTTGTGCCAACGGCAGATAAAGTGCTGCAACGCACTCAATGAGAGGGCTCTGTATAGTGCTTTTGCCGCCAGGATTGCTTGTGCAATCCCCTCTCGCTCTCGTGTAACACATGTATCTTTTGGGAAGGACGAAAGAGAGTCCACGAAACCCCCTCCCTCTTATCCACCTTCATCGTACAGGCATTGCATTCATCTCACATGCATCAGGCATTCATGGCCAGGGTAAGCAAGTCAGCGCCCTAGAAGGCTAATGCAGGCGATGTAGTAGCAGCTGTCGGCATCCTGCAGCGAGATTTGACAGGCCCTCCACGATGTCTTAACAGAGCCGCAACAATTCTCCTTTAAACACCAGGCCTTGTTATCATCCACTTTTTTCTTCTTCTTCGGATGATACTATTCGGTGCATACCGTCCGAAAGTACAATGCGCGTTTCGTAAAAAGATACCTCGCAAAACGATTCTGCGTTATCACGGCATGTTGGAGCCCGCTTTTTGTTTTTGCTTGGCAAGGTGATCTGTTAGAGCCGCTTCCCCGAGCCTCTGACAGCCCCAGATCCTAGCAGCGGAGGATTCATACCTCTGCAGGCTCTCGACAAGGACCACCTGGAGCATTCGGCAGCTTCCAGAAGTTTGCTTGATACGGTATCTCCACCCAAGTTCGACGTGGTTGGCGTTCATGATACGACGAGCTCTGGGATCTCTAGGTCCGCATCCCCGAGCGTTACTCTCTTCTGTGCATAAGTGGCGCGACAGCGTTGATGTTCAGGTAGGTTGAGCAGCGCGTTACAGGCCGTAGCATCCGCTGCCGTCCATCGGTACTTGCTTGGTCTCACACGTTGAATATACATGCTCATGCGGACGCACATTTCACTGAGCATAAGCATAAGGGCCCTTCTACTGGCACGGATGGTGGGGGACAAATGGAGAAGAACAGCCGAACCTTCTATGGCCACATGGCGCACAGCGCCTACAGTAGGGATGCATACACTGCACCTCAGCACGTTTTGTGCCTCAGAATACAGGCTTTCCGTGCAGTCCTGCAGGCGGCTTTACGCAGCATTGCGCATCGAGCCGCTATGTTTTGTCAAACCTAACGACAGGTGACACGAACACGTATTACGAACCCTTAACATAGTGAGACATGTCAAGCCAATATCATGATTGGTTCGGCGCCGTGGCCGAAATGAATTTGATATCTGCGCGGAGGCCCACTGCCCCCTTGTGATTCGGCTGGCGGCAGCATCGGGTGGGAAAGACAGGGGATTGCTGTATATGTTGATCCTCTTGTGGGCTGCCATGATACATGCTTTTCTAACGGTCAATACCTATCCTATCCTGCCGGACCTGGAAATTCAGTCATCAAAGCGGCGACTGGTTGTTGACATTTGCCATGCTGCCATCTGCAGGTGACTGCTAGCGTCTCAACGGTCTTTTGAAGCGAGAACCGGGGAATGCCTCCGCTCCTCTTTCGCGCTGTGGGGGTGTGCGCAAGGTCTTGACCGGCCAGGGCCGCTCTGCAATCATTGAGAGACCCTGACCGCCGTGCTTGCCGCCGTGCATTTAGAGCCGAAAGGGCTGAATGTTTTACCCTGTTATATGCCACCGTTTTTCGGCACGGGATCTCCTCCCAGAGAAATCGTGTCGGTCTCTGAGGGGGGATCACGAATACACATATATTTCTGTTCGGTTGAACAAAGATTTGGGGGGGCCAGAAACGGGTGCTTCCGGTAGATCGAGAACTAGTCAGTAGGTAGCCAGTCAGCAACTCCAGTGAAATTTTAGAAAAGGGCGAACTATTCAGTAGAGTCGCCGATCGATCCTCCACTGCATCTTCGACATTCTCCACCCTGGCAGTGCGTCACGGCAGACTCTCACTCCTCTGAGCACGCAAGCCAGCATATACCTTAACGCACCTAGACGGCGTAGCTCCTTGCGGCTTGCATTACTGGAGGACTTATCTCGTGAGGATCTATGCAGGTTCTCTAAAGTAACACTACACTACCAGGTAGGCTGCATAGCCCGAGAACTTTCGACAAATCTCCTTCGTATCTTCCTCATCACAAGGGGCCACCATCCGTGGACTTCCTGATCTTTCAAAACCCCACACACATCAAATGCCAGCAAAGAGGACGACGCACAATCAAACATACGAGTTGAGTCCTTCCCCTGCTTGCTCTGTCTCTGAGTGAAGAGGTATGAGACATGACAGACTGGCCATCCTCCCATTCCTCTTCTGTCACTTTGCCATGATCACTTGAGATATTGACCTTCAGCGACTTTGCATGTACATAAAGGCCGGTACCATCTCTCACCTTTCCCTTTTCTTCTGTCGGACCTCGCCAAAATCCTGGATGCCACATACCCCACACTATTTTTTGAGAGACCTCGAAGGATCTACGCAAGGGACGCGCACCAGATCAGCGACCATTCGTTGCGACCATCTCGACTAAGTAATCACTTGTAAGTAGATGCCCAGGGTGTTCAGCCACCTTACCAAAGCCGGCCATATTATGCCGCTAATACGGGCTCTTACAGCGCTTCATTAAGGCCACTCGCGCTACCTTTTCTAAAAACAAGTTGTTGTTCGAGGTGGGCATCGGGGCAAAGGTGGCTCGATATGTGTCGCTTAATACTATTTGCCGGCTCTTGTACCCAGTGCGGAGGGGAGTTCTCCTGGGATGAACTTGCTCAGCAACTGCCATGTCTCGAGGCAAAGAACAGTGGCATGTTTGGGGAATGTCGCAATGGCGTCAACATGGACCAACACACATTCGACCAGGAGTGTGATTCATGTCTAGAAGCGGGGGGCGGGGAGGGCTATGGCGACACGCAAACGAATAACAAAAAGGGCGACGACAGAGGAAAGAAGCGGCAACGCACTGGATGATGGATATTAGATGGCATTGGATGGCATTGGAAAAGAGTAGCATGGATGGATTGGGCGGTATTATGATTTCTGTTTCTTTTGATACCAGTTATAAGAGCTCCAACGTTGAGCTTGGATATGAGGGAGATTCCTGAACTTACACGCAGCTGCAAAGCGTCCCTCTAGATGACCTGGAAACTAACACGGAAAATGTTTATCCTGATATGCTGTTTGGCTGTATTTTCCGATGAACTGAGTTAGCTGAGTATATCAGTTTTGGTTTTATGGTACAAGACTTACGTCTATACGATGATCGTTCAAAGTTCTGAGTGTCGTGAGGTGTAGCCTTAGCTGGTTATAACATGTACAAATCAAAACTGAAAACGACCATGACACACTAATCAGCAACTTGGTCATCATAACGTGGCTCATAGCTATGGCAGAGCTTTTCGAGGTTGCAGGTCACGGGTGAGTGCTGTGGCGTTGGTATTTCTCGGCACAGTCACTTTTCTTTGTTCCCCTCTGCTAATAACAACATTATGTGATGTGTGAAAGTACAAGCTATTATTTACCAACACGATTTTCAAGGGATTAAAAAACTCCCAACATCCCAAAAACCGCTCACTTGTTTGATCAGTGAAGCATATGAAAAAGGTCTTATAAAAAGTTCATTGATCAACTTTTTAAATATGCCACATTCTTTGATGTTCACCGAATCAGCAACGCCCAGTTCTTCAATCCACTAGCAATGTGTCACTCTACACTACGTAAGAAAGTTTGCGTTGGCTGTACCTGTGTTGCATACTCGGCGACATCGCGGCGCGGCTGGACTGCAAGGCTTGGAGCACATCTTGATTTTTGCGACGAGGGAGTTCGGAGACAATACGAGACGACTGCGGTGCTGAAGTGCACTCGTTGTATGCCTAGGCGTGTTACTAAGGATAGTGTTGGAGTCAGTTTGAGAAGAGTGCGAGGCTCAGCTTCTTCGTCGATGTCAGAGGACCTCAGCGATGACTGGGAGGAGGTGGAGGAGGAGAGTGACGAAGGCTTCCTGCTCCTTTACTGGAACGATCTGGAAATGTGTTGTTAGGAAGCGTAGTGGGACGGGGAGGGCGACGTCATTTGCTTTCAAGGTCGAATATAGGAACTGTGGGTGCGATAAATATGGAAAGCAACTTCCACGCTTATTACTATGGAACTGCAGCTCAATTTATGGTCCGAAATCCCGGTCTCGAAATTGACCAAACTTCACGTATACATGTATCCGTATTAAATAAATATATTCTCTATAAATTGCGATGTAATGCTCAACCACTAAGTATGTGCAGCTTTTCCCCATGTTTCTGTAACTATCCTCCAATATCGTCCTTCGTCGGCCCTCACATGGGCTACATGCGTACTTCCTTCAAACATCTCTTGCCGAACAACGAAACCTTTACCCTCTGCCTGTCGGGCATGCGAATCGACATGCTTCCAATCGACCATCTCGTCTCCTTTGCCATAGATGTACGCCCGGTTAGTCTGTCTCGTCTTTTCCGGATTATTATGCCAGTTTGCGTTGATCAGCAGATGATAAGGCTGGCGGAAAAGTTTCACCATGATCCAGAGATAAATGTCCAAGAGGTGAATGACAGGCGCCATGACCCACCGCCAGAAGCCCTTGGGCACACCAGCGATCGAGGCGTTGTAGGCGCCCCAGTAGCTGAAGAGCCCCGGGCAGGAGTCATAGACTGCCGCGTGCAAGGGGAAGACATGGCCCGTCTCCTTCTCGTATTCCTCAAACAAGTGCTTCGTGCTAGCAACGCCACCGTTGGAGAACACATGCAGCAGAACTTCCGGCCTCGAAGGTGACTCGGACAGATACCCCGAGTCAACCTGAGATCGGAGATAAGAGATGGCGGGCTGGATCGCTTTGATGCATTCCGCTCGCCACACAATGTGCTTGAAGATGAACTTGACGAGTAGGATCTTGGAAGTCGGGTATAGTGATTGATACCGCGCGATGTACTTGGCGATATGCAAGTCTCTGGCGTCCATCCAGCTTGCGACCAGGATCAGCTTGGGCGCTTCGGCAGTCGCCGAGTTAGTCGAACTCTGTACGGGCTCGTAAAACGACACGAACTGCGATGCTTTGGTGAGTCCCGCCAATGGCTTCAGCACTACTGGCGCGGCTGCATTAGAAGCCATGGCGGAGCAGAGGAGAAGTATGGGTTTTTTTAACAAGAAAAAGAAAGAAAAACGACTTGGAGGAACGTGTGTTGCGCGCTGGCGGTGATATTCCTACTCTTTGTAGTTCGCAAGTCCCTAACAGGCCCCTTGCCGCAGTGCTTATGCGGCCGCCTTGGCGACAACAACTGGAACCTCGGCTACCGGCTTGTTCTCAAACCAGATTCCTGGAAATGTAGTCCTGCGTTTAGTTGTTTGTCCTGTCCCCTTGACAGATAGGCAAGACGTCTATGTGTGTTACAGTTGAAATTGTCGACAAGAAACAGGTCATGTAGAGACTTTTATTTGAAGCTGGACCCTGCATGCCAAGCAGATTATTCTCGAAGGCCATGCCAAGGTTAATTATACCGGGTACGGCAACCAGCTCGTGCGCTAGTGATTTGACGCCAACATGTAATGAAACCGCACAACAATAATATCACCGACGGTCCGTTGGAGACGGTATTTGGCTGTCCGTCGGAGGAAGCCTACACGACACTACATGGTACTCAGACAAGTACTGATCGGGACGTTTAAACAAAACAACTGCCTATGATTTGCTTTGTGGCGCAATGATGAGATACCTGCGCTATGGGGAAACGGCCTAGCATCACATGTCTGTTCCTCACTGCTTTGATAAAGGAGTCATAAGCAGGGATTCGCATTTGGATTCGGAGGACACGTCGTTCGTACGTTCTAGCGAATGCTCAGTGGCAAATCCCAACAAATCAAGCAAAGGATTCAAACCAGTGTTGAGCACATTTTGTTTCTTCTTATCTTACGTTATGCCTAAACAGAGCAACTTCCAGCGGATCTCAATATCGAGCCGCGACCGTGACCACTCCACCATTGAACAAGGAATGTGATATATCAAAAGCACGATGAATCAAGTGAGCTGAAGTTACCTTCGAGCTGGCTCAACGCCCGATACCGCCCTCGGAGAGAACATATCACTCATGCAATTATCTCTCCGAATGTATGGCGTCTAGGTCTCCGAAATCTACTATATTGATAGCTAGGGAGACGAACAAGCCATGGGCACAAAGGCTTTACTAACAGCTACTGGGACTGTTCACTGGCGAACTTCACTGATGTAGAGCGGGATGGCCTCGAGAATCACTGGAATTGAATGGTTTGAATAGAAAGCCCAGTTTGACAGAATAGAATTCAATTGATGGTAACATTGACATCGGCAGATGTTCAGGTTTCGAAGGTTGTATACACAGTTACCTATACAACTTCAAGATATTGCGAGAATAATAACTTAAACCGATCGTAGAGGCAGAACTACGAATGACTCTCACATATCGAAGTGATTTCAGCCCAAAAGTACAACTATTTTAGCGGCATATCGTCGCAGAGTATCCGTCAATGCCCTGCAACGTCGAGACCTTCTGAATTGTGCATCGTGGCAATTCTAGTTCCGATCTGGTGTTGGCTGCGGTTCAGCGCACAGATCGGAGTTTGTTTTGATGGGTCGAGAACGTCGAGAGAACGGATTGCTGCCATTAGCAATACTCGAGCTTGTAGCAGACTCCAGGTAGCAACATTCGTCACGGATAAAGGAATCTTGCTGCAGCAATCTGACTGTGGTGGAGTGTAATTATTAGGAAGGCTACCAGCATGCAGAGACGAGGAAGCTGAGATACGAATATTCAACGGCACTGAAATGACTGTTGTCCCCTCCCCCCGATGTCTTTAATATCTAAGAGAACCCGAGTGTATGTTGGAATAGATTTGCTCGACTGTTTCAAGCCGAGGTAAATGAGTAACAGATGGCTTTGAAAGTAGTGCCATGTTCTTTGACCGGAATTGACCCTCTGTCGAGGAAATAGAATAAACGAATCACCAACCTATATGTGCTATGATATGAGGAGATGCTGTCTATGAGCTTGCTGCATTGCAGCACACAAAGCCTGCCAAAAAGGGAGCGAGCATCCTGACTCTAATTCAGTCGCTCCATTTGAGCCATAGACGAATACTCGAATACAATCATTATCGGGTACTACTACCGCAGTGAACCCTGGCGTTAGTATCCAGCTGACTGCATTGTACATACATAACATATAGTGCTTGTCTAGAAGGTGCTTCCTCACAGACAAGATGGCTCCAATATCTCCAGCACCAGTGAAGAAACAACCCGATATTGCCGATGTCGACAATCGCAGTCGGCTGCGGTTGTATATTATCAGCTATCCTACGTGAGCGGGCGATGGCATGATCTAATGCACTGAGTCGTACCGTACCAGTTTCCATCTCATACCAGCAGGATCTCATCTGTTAAATCAGTCTTGGGTTTCCTTCTATTGAATGAAATCCAGCTCGCCAAGAAGGCCTCATTCCTTATAATCCATGTCCATCTTGAAATAAAATAAAGGACCTGAATTCGAGAACGGTCTACGTCCAAACAGGCATACCATTGCCATTGACCAGCTCGCATGCGTCATGATGATCCTCTCTATCTTCGTTCTTCTGGCTGGTCTCTGCCTTGCCGCCACTTCCAAGCTGAGTGATATCAATCATGTGCTTCGCACCTTTTCATATCCCGGCATTAGCTTCCGTCGTGCTCCAGCGATCTCTTCAAAACCGGTCCAGGGGCAGAAACAGCAAGCAGGTCCCCTCGTCATTTCGAGAATTCCTAGCGTCTCAACAACGGGACATCCGTCAGGCGCATCACGCCCGGCCGCATTGCAGTCAGATAGTCAGAGTGGCTACGGAAACGTGAGCGTGGTTGACCAGAAGGCTACCCAATACGTCGTCAAAGTGATGCTCGACGGATTCCCTATGAAGTATCTCATTGGTTCAGGCAGCTCCTATACCTAGGTCCGCGGTGTCAAGTTCACTTGTTCCAATCCAAATGTTTCAGGCCCATCGTGTGGTCTGGGTCCGGCATATCCAGAACTTGACTTCCTGGGTGGCCATATCGTAGCCCAGCACTTCCACACCAGCCCAAATGACAATGGAACTGTGGCAGGTCTGCTGAGATATATTGATATCGAGATTGCTAATGTCAGCTTCAACAGTCAAGAGGTAGGTATGGCTCATGCTGGCTCCTGGACAGGCGACAATACTACCAGTGGGGTTTTGGGTCTGACATATCTTTCCTTGACGTCGGCATATTGGGGTGATGATCTTCATAACAACAGATCGGAAGAGTTGATAGGCTAGGCTCCTCTCTTCTCGGCAATGATGACGAGTGGCCGCGTGGAAAACTACTGGTGTTGGTTTTGGACAGGAGCTCCAGCACCGGTCTCATCTCGTTCGGCGAGAGGCCACCTGTTAATCTCGGTGACCACAACGTTGCCAAAACACATCTGATCAGTATGAGTTAAGCTTCCCCTCCTTGAGGATACCATTGCGAAGCTGGAATAACATGAGCAGGCCGATATAGCTCACAAAGGCGCCTCGGGATACCAGCCTTCCTATTATACAATCATTTCGACGGGCTAGATGGTTGTGACAACGGAAGATTATTCCAGCTATCCTTTCGTCATTGATAGCAGCACGACAATGACTTGTGTCCCACCAAGTGAGTTGATGTTGATTGTGCTGGGGAGGGGGGTTGTAAATATCCTCATGGTTGCGTGAAGATATGGCCGAGACGGTGAATTCTAAGTTCAATCCACCTGCAATTCATCTCTGGTGTTACAGCTCATACTTTGTTCCATGCAACGCGATCCCACCGAGATTTGGGATCATGATCGAAGGATCCCCTTTCTGGATCAATCCTGATGACATGATCAACAAGGAGATGGTAGATTCGCTCACGGGGCTATGTGCGACAACCACCAACAATGGATACCATGGCCCATTCGTGCTTGGTTTGTCTTTTCTCACAAATGTGGATGTTCAATGTCGGTGCAGGCGTGATCCAATTCTCCTCCCAGTTCACTTAGTAACATGAAGTGATGCTGTGTGATGGGACAATGTTTTGAGCTGGACTTATTATTGATACGGATGGGACGGTATCGAAATTCCCCGGAAAATGCAATAACAATATTGTTTGGAAACGCGTAGTCCATATATCTACTAGTCTAGGTTAGACTAGTACTTGGAATCCGATGCATCGAAATACACAATAGACTAGCACACGTTCAGTTGAATCGAATACTTATTGGCTCTACTCATTATTTGTTGACTGCCCCCACGGATTGGTACTTAAGGGTTAATCGGACAAGCCACGGTAAGCATGTGTCTCTGGAAGTCAGCAAGTCAAACAACACGGAGCTCATTAGCTGGAATGACGTAAGAAAACGGAAGTCCTGTGTTCATGCGGTATTTGGTTTCTTATCAGCTTGGCATGCAGGAGATGCACCAAGTCCGACAAACACAAACACAAACGCGAGTATTGAAGCTGAGAACTGGTCCTTCCCTCTTCTCTCATCCCTACCATAGATCCTTTGGGCCCTCCGACAACGTTGAGGTCAATTCGAGCCAGACTCCTAACCCCCACTCAATAGTATTGCCATCCCTGGCTTACGGTAAGGGTCACCGTGAAGCTGCCAAGTGGGGGTCTTTATAAGCCGCACGAACGTCAGGGCCTCAAGCGAACGACCTGCGACGACTTTGAAGCTAAGACGGATATACTAACAACTTCTAGGTCTATTTAGTTCGCCATGATGAAAGGTGTCGTGGCGGGCCGTCCATCTCACAGGAAGCATGCCTGGAGTTTTAGCAAGGTAAGCGTTCTCAATCCTTCAGTCCTGTGGCGCTGTCTTTTACTCGTTGAATTTGACTTGGTTTTCGTGGCGAGAAGACAGGCTTTAGCCAGGAGGGCCCGGCACTGTCACACCGCTACTCTGGTAGTCATGAGACAGAAGAAGTGCCTTTTGAGCCTGTCTGATTGTGGAGACCTGCCCTTTGGAGTGTTTGAACTGGCCGGATCTCAACTATCGTGAGCTTTGGTTCGGTGTTTTGTGCAGCGGCCGCGAAACTAGCTGCTCGCGGCTCGGGGGTTTCCAATATTTGTACCTGAACCCTGTCCGCCGCCTAGTCACACCGAGGACACCTTGGGGGTTGGTTGGCGCGGGTAATCATCAGCATTGTTCGGCGCCTCTTCGTCCATGACGGCGAGTGCCACAAAGATGGGCGGAAGGAAGTCCACTAAGATCAACTTTCAGTCGAAAGAGGTCGCACGATGTTTTATGAGATGAGAGGCTCAATTGGCTTATATCATGTCCTTGGCACTTGCCGAGTTGAGAGCTCGATTGTGGAACCTTGCAACAAGTGCTGTGGCTAGGCAAGTCGATACCAAGTACTCCGCGCAGACATCTAGAGCCAAACCTGGAGCCGGGCTTCTGCCATGCAAACATGGTTGCAATAACTGTCACCACCCCCTCAAAACATGACTAGACTAGTGTCTCGAGAGCAGGGGTCGGTCCGTGCAAGACTAGAGCGCCAGGTGTGCTGCTGGCAAAGGCATGAGCAGGTTTGGGCGGCCTCAACCATGCTTCCAGCTCCCAGTTACGGTAACTCGTACGGTTCAGAACGATACTCGCCCGGAAATCCTCAGCAATCTATTGGCATGGCGTATTCATCCCGATGGGTATTATCGGGGTGAGGGGTCATCGTTGAGTTGACACGGGAGCAAACACACCCTGGCCCCAGCCCTGGTAGTGGGTTGCTTTCTAGTTGATCTGATGGAAAGCTTCGCTAATCCATGCCCACTGCGGGGTGATGCCGAGCGTTTCCACTGCCAGGAGCCGCTGAGCCGGGTTACTTGAGGGAAAGTCAAAAGTTTGGCCCTGAGAATCCCGAGAGTGACGGCATTTCGTGCATGAGACTTTCCTCGTGCATCTCTCGACACAAAAACACTTTTCGCATCGCCTGATCCAAGCACCACCACCACCACATCCGAGGCTGGCCTCTGATCAGTATTCATCTTGTTTTTCTCAAGCCCCAAGACCCTGCTTTTTTTCTTGTCTTTGGTCCTCAGCCATAGTTGCTTCCGATATCTGCCCAATTGTTGTCTCCTACATGGTTTCGTCATCCGCACCTAAACTCGCGATTTCGGTACAAAATTGGCAGCCATGGCACCAGGCACTAACGGCCGAGGCGTCCAGGTCGAGGATACCAAGATCTGCGTTGTAATGGTAGGATTGCCTGCACGTGGAAAGAGTTACATTGCACAAAAGGGTATTTCCCACCCCCGTATTCCTCCCCCAAGAACTACAGGCTGACCTGATGGTTGCTCGCGTGATCAGCTCAACGTTACCTACAATGGCTCTCCATCGACGCAAAGACATTCAATGTGGGCAACTACCGTCGAACCGATGCTCCTCAGCCCTCAGCCGACTTCTTCGACATGGGCAATGCAGAGGGAGAGCGTCGAAGGAAAGCGGCCGCCGAGGCTGCCATAGCAGACATGCTGGCCTGGTTTCGACAAGGCGGTACCATTGGAATCTTGGATGCGACCAACTCTACTAAAGATCGAAGAAAATGGGTTTCAGATGTGTGCACGCGCGAGGGCATCGAAGTCATGTTCGTCGAGTCCAAGTGCGACAACGAGGATCTGATCATGGCCAACATTCGAGATGTCAAGACAACGAGCCCCGACTACAAGGGGCAAGATCCTGAACAGGCCGCACTCGACTTCCGAAACCGTATCAGGAATTACGAGAAGGTCTACAAGACAATCGATGGTGACGGCGACGAGAGTAGTTACACCTACCTCAAGATCCTGGACGTCGGCAGCCAGGTCATTATCAACCGCATACAGGACTACCTGCAAAGTCGCGTTGTGTACTACCTAATGAATCTCCACATTCGCCCGCGATCCGTCTGGCTGTCGAGACATGGAGAATCCATGTACAACCTGGACGGCAGGATAGGTGGAGACGCTGATTTGTCTCCTCGAGGGCACCAGTATGCACAGAAGCTGCCTGAGCTAGTGCGACAATCAGTCGGAGTAAGTAATGCGTCTGGTCTGGCATGCATCGGGGATATCCTATTAATGCCGCGTGCACAGAGTGACCGACCTTTGACCGTATGGACTTCGACACTGAAGCGAACGATACAGACTGCTCGTTTCCTGCCTGACGACTACAATCAACTGCAATGGAAGGCTCTCGACGAGCTTGATGCCGGCCTTTGCGATGGTATGACTTATCAAGAGATCAAGGATGACTACCCCGAAGACTTCATTGCCCGAGACGAAGACAAGTACAACTACCGTTACAGGGGTGGAGAGTCGTATCGCGACGTTGTGATTAGATTGGAGCCCATTATCATGGAGCTTGAGAGGTCCGAGGACATCCTGATTGTTACGCATCAGGCTATCCTTAGATGCATTTACGCCTACTTCATGAAGAAGGACCAATCGAAATCACCATGGATGAACGTGCCGCTGCACACTCTCATCAAGCTTACACCGAGGGCGTACGGAACCGACGAGGAGAGATGGCAAGCAGATATCCCGGCAGTGAGCACGTGGAGAGCAAAGGGCAGTACGGCCAAGCACGAGGATCCCGTACCGGGAACCGCCACTGTCTGATGATCATGCCGAAATCAGTCACCCGCAACGGCAGAACTACGTAGGACTTCTGGTTCATTCCTAGGAGTTATATTTGCAAGGCAGTCAGCCCCTGTACCAAGTATACAACCACGGTGAGCTTTGACGATAGGAAAGGTTGGGAGGCTCCGGAATGAAGATAGAGAGCAGGCAAACTGGAATGCATCTTTAGGGTCTTCGACGGGACAAAAGGTCTTGCATGTTTATAGAGGTATCTCGGGGATCAGGCGGTATGCTCTAGCAGCTAACAACAACCACAATGACGCGACATGAACGATTGTATATTTCCAAACTGACGGAAAAGGATGACGACTAGTCTAGGTATAAAATTTGACCGCTGAATTTCTTAACTGCATGGCATGATATGATATACAATCTTTCACACGAGCAGTCAATGTGAGTTTTGCACTTTGCACAGTCTGACGTCCGGCTACAACACGGTAGAGCCCGGTGTTCTCAAGTATAACATAGCTCAGAGAAGTTCTTGAATCGGCATCCTATGCGTGACTTCCTCCTGGTCGACTCATCTTTGAAGGAAGAACTTCTCTCTGGGACTACGAATCCGCAGATACTTTCATCAAAGCATCTTCCCAGCAGGGAGACCTCTGGCTGCTGTCAGTTGTCATTGAGATATAATTTCCATATTCCGAACAAATTCGGACAATGCCACAAGTACTCGGTGCCTGTGAACTTTTATTTAATTTTTAGTTTTATTTAATTTTTAGTTTTGTTTTGGCCGACGAGACTGAACTCACCGAGGCGAGTTCAGTCTAGCAAGAAAAGTGGATGCCTTCGCAGTGCTAGTCTAGCTTTGCTGCCGGCTTATCGGTCTTATCGTTGACAAAAAATATTTGGAGTCGAACCTTTTGGGCATCCCACTTCCCATCTACTGATCACCGCGAACAATCCGATACCTCACTGCAGCAGTTACGCAACCGCAATCATGGGATCCAAACGCAAGTATTCCGAGTCCGCAAAGCCTGCAAAGGCCGCCAAACCTACGGCTTCGGACGCGCCGGCCAAGAAACCTGCAAAGAAGATCAAGCGGGTTGAACCAGAGGAGCCAGAAGAGCAATCGAGCGAGGAGGACCTCGACGACGACGACGCCGAGGAAGCCAGCGACGACGAAGTGGACGAGGAGGAACTCGAAGATGACGCATTTGGAGCTGGCAATGCAGTCGACGAACCTGAAAGTGACGAGGCCGTTGAGAAGACCGGCGCGGGCGACGATCTGCTAGATAACGGTTCCCTTACCCTCCCGCCGGGTGCCGAGTCAAGTGCGACTTCTTTCGACGAGCTCAATCTCTCAGAGAGAACGATGAAGGCAATCAAGGACATGGGATTCAAGAAGATGACGGAGATTCAGAGCAGAGGAATCCCAATTTTGCTTGCCGGAAAAGATGTTCTCGGCGCCGCCAAGACTGGATCAGGCAAGACCTTGGCCTTCTTGATCCCCGCTGTCGAAATGCTCAACTCGTTACGATTCAAGCCCCGAGTACGTATGAAAACAACTTGCTTCTCAGAACCCCCTTGTCATTCGAGAGAGTGTACTGGTCCAAGATCTCCCATCTCAGCCTAGTCCTCATCATGCCATAATGCTAGAGAACATACCCCGCCGTTATAGAACAGTTGACTAACTTGCACCTTCCCCCAACGTAGAACGGCACCGGCGTGATTATCGTCTCACCAACTCGCGAGCTGGCTCTGCAGATCTTCGGAGTCGCAAGAGAGCTCATGGCTCACCACTCGCAAACCTACGGCATTGTAATCGGCGGGGCCAACAGACGGGCGGAAGCTGAAAAGCTTTCCAAAGGAGTGAACCTATTGGTCGCGACACCAGGCCGCCTGCTTGACCATCTTCAAAACACTCCGTTCGTTTTCAAGAACTTGGTACGCCTTCCCAAGACCCTCCCCTATAAGAGCTAGCTAATTGGATTCTAGAAAGCGCTCGTCATCGACGAGGCTGATCGGATCTTGGAGATTGGTTTCGAGGATGAGATGAAACAGATCATCAAGATTCTCCCCTCGGCAGAGCGACAGTCGATGCTCTTCTCGGCAACACAGACAACAAAAGTCGAGGATCTTGCAAGGATCTCGCTTCGTCCAGGCCCCTTGTACATCAATGTCGACGAAGAGAAGCAATATTCCACTGCTGAGGGTCTGGAACAAGGATACGTTTTGTGCGAACCGGACAAGCGTTTCCTACTGCTCTTCAGTTTCCTAAAGAGAAACATGAAGAAAAAGGTGAGATACTCATCTCTGAGCACCCTTGACATCTGCTGACATGACCACAGATCATTGTCTTCTTTTCCAGTTGTGCCTGTGTAAAATACCATGCCGAACTTCTCAACTATATCGACCTCCCTGTGTAAGTGACACCAGTCAGTGATCTGCCCGGATTAGAAATACTAACTAGAGGAAAGGCTTGACCTGCACGGTAAACAGAAGCAGCAAAAGCGGACCAATACTTGTAAGTACATCTTCAGACCGTCGGAACAACTACTGATACTGTGGTTTAGTCTTTGAGTTCTCCAACGCAAAGCAAGGAACTTTACTCTGTACCGATGTGGCTGCTCGTGGTCTCGATATCCCAGCTGTAGACTGGATCGTCCAGTTCGACCGTAAGCCCCCCCCTTTTCTTTCCTCTGCTGCGGCTCTCAGGAAGACTGTACCCACCAGCAAGGAAATGGAACGCTAACACATTACTGTAACTAGCCCCGGATGACCCCAGAGATTACATCCACAGAGTTGGCCGTACAGCTCGTGCGAACACAAAAGGCCGCAGCTTGATGTTCCTTCAGCCTTCGGAGGCTGCATTCTTGTAAGTAACTTACCAAGTCTATCCTCGCCCCCCCCCCCCTTCGGCTTGTTTTAGGGAGCGCGTACTGCCCTTTCGAGGCAACGTACTTGAATCGCCTCGAACAGTATTGCCTGTACATTGATAGACCATTCGGAAGAGGTGATCGCTGACCTTGATGATATAGGGGACACCTCAAACAAGCCAGAGTGCCTGTCAGCGAGTTTGACTTTCCTGCAAATAAGATCATCAACATCCAGAGTCAGTTGGAGAAGTTGGTCAGCCAAAACTATTATCTTCACCAGTCCGCGAAGGATGGCTTCAAGTCCTATATACACGCCTATGCCAGTCACTCTTTGAGATCTGTGTTCGACGTCGCGAAACTTGACCTGAAGAAGGTCGCAAAGTCTTTCGGCTTCAGTGCGCCGCCGCGGGTTGATATTCAGCTCAACGCAAGCATGAGAAGGGATGATAAGCCCCAAGGTAGAAGGGCTTATGGTCAACAGCCGAGACAGGGTGAAGGCTCGAGAGGCGGATCGAGACAGCATTCCAATAGGAGATAGGCGACAGCCTGTGGGAATGGCTAGAATCGCAAGGGGCGGCGCCATGAGCAGTAGTTATAAGTTATACCCTGAATGCCTAAGCAGACACGTCGCCCGGTGTTAGGACTATAAAATTGGGATCGCGCATCGTTCAGGAGTTCTGGTATGGTTCATAGGTGGCATTTGCGAATAATCTTGAACTTACGCAATCAATCATTTGAACTCAAGACTACAGAATCTGCGCAATTCGATTTGGATCACCTTTACATGAATCTTGAGACCTTGTGTTATCCAGCCAGTGTTCACGGGTACCCGCAATGGAGGCAAAATCCGTGGTATGGCTTGTCGCCTTGTAGGTGACAGCGAACCTCTAAGTGAGGTCTTCAACAATGACAAGGAGTTTAGCCAAGGATTCAAAGAAATACTTTAGCACAATTCAAGATAGGCCTAAAGCCGAAACATCGTTATGGTACTCAATCAACCGACAAAAATGCGGCGTACCAATTGGGGTTCGCAACCGCTCCATGACGAGTGCAGGGTTACTATGCCAGTAAACGTCATTTCTGAAGCAATCCCTTATGTGTGTTATATGTGGTTAATGGAAATCTTAAAGAATGTGTATGCCACATTCTTCGCTTTGTGTACATGAGTAAATTTATAACCAAATCGGCGAACTCTAGTATACAATCCCCATGTGGGGCCGACCTATTAAAATGATTTGATCCTGTCGCAGAACTGAAAATGTCCGGGTCCCAGGGGTGGATACCGGCCCCATAAATCATCCAGAAGTTGTCCGTCTAAATGTCCGAGTAGCAATGTACTCTATAAGAAGAGAGCTTGGCACGACTCGAGACAAAAGATTCGTAACCATACCTACATGCGGCTCTATCAAATTGATCAACCCGACTCCAGTGCAGACGAATAGACTGACCAAAGCACCCTGTCCCACCAGCCATATCTATCCATCCAGCTACCTTGAGAAAATTCTATTCACCGTTCAACACAACGCAATACCGCCACCATGTCAACTCTCTCAAGTCCTGTCCCAATCATGGCAATCGCGAGCATTGTAGCGTCAGCCTGGGCTTCTGGTACGCATCTTCCCCCCTCAACATGAAATCCCACCACCGTCCCAACCTAACACCCGGACACCAGGCGCCGGCGCGGCCATCTCCTTCTTCACAATAACCCCCATCCTGCGCTCTTCCGCGCCGCGGGAAGTCATGCTGGAGCAGTGGCATATCGCTTTCAACCTCGGCAAAGCCTTCATGCCGCCGTTCGCGGCCGCCATCGCGGCTTCCTACACGGCCGTGGCGTACACATGTTTCACGAGGAGTCTCGAGTGGCGCGGGTTCGCGGCCGCGGGTGCTCTGACCATCGGTATCGTGCCGTTCACGATCCTGTTCATCCTGGAGACCGTGGGGGAGCTGGAGGGCATGATCGCCCGGGGGAGGCAAACTGCGCTGAAGGATGATGAGGATTCGGAGAAGGTGAGGACGGCGCTGGGGAGGTGGAGCAGGCTCAATTTGGCCAGGGCCGTGTTGCCACTTGCTGGGACTGGGTCGGCCGTTTGGAACTTGTTGTCGGTCTAATTCCGCCCGCGCAACGGTGAGATACAGGGTGCTAGATTTGCTGGTATGCTGCTAAAAAGATTTGGTCGATGAGTTTTGGGCTGGTCATCAAGGCATTGCTCAACAGATACACTGATTCCATGAGGTAACGTAGCATGTTTTAGGCTACGAAAGTTATGCCTTTCATTTTGAAAGTGTTATTTTGGAAGCTTCCAATCAATTCGAGGTCCTAATCCTTCTCGGCAATTAAATTTTTAAAACCTACCTCCCCCTTTTGAGTGCTGTGATCATCTTTTCATATGCTGCTCCAGATGCTTTTCAAGTCCACGCTCGCACCGAGACATTCCTTTCCTTTCTGCTCAATGATCTGAGCGACGTCAGAGCCCAAAGGCAATCTCAGCTTGATATCTTTTCCCTCAAGCAAACCCGTACCGTCCACCGCCTCGACAATGCGCAGAGCTGACTTTTCTGCGCTGCCCCCATACCCGGCAGCATAGGCGTTCAAAATCGTCCCTAGGGTTTGATCTGCTGCAGTGCCCTTGTATGGGTCACTTATAGACACGACGACACCAGAACCCTTCGGATCGGCAAATCGGGTGGCGATCATCCCTGGCTCGACGAGGAGGACGCGAATACCAAAGCAAGCCAGCTCCAGTTGCAAACATTCGGTGAGACCTGGTAGCAATTAAGCACGGTTCTTATGAATTTTGCGCGCTGTTCCTGCAGGATATGTACCTTCTAGAGCAAATTTGCTGGCGCTATATAGCCCCAAACCAGGCATAGCGGCAACGCCGTTACCACTGCTGATATTGACGATGGTGCCAGACTTGCGATCCCGCATCGAAGGCAAGATGGCCTGAATAATGAGAAAAGGACCGAGAACGTTAACCCTGAACTGATCCTTAACTTGGTCGATGCTGTATGGCAACGAATCGGCAGTTAGGTTCAGAAATCGTCGAATTAACGTCTATTATTTTGGGAGGTTTTACCTAACATCCTCAATAGCTCCGGCCAAAGCATAACCAGCGTTGTTGACCAGGACATCGATATGTCCGAACTTTTGAACTGCCTCTCCAATTCTGCTCTGGATATCGTCAGCGCCCACATCAAGTTGTAGCCAAGTGGCTCCCCGGTCTTCTAGTTCGGAAGTAACAGAAGTGTTTTTGCTTTTATCACGACATCCTGCGATGACAGTATGCCCAGCGGATATGGCGGCTCTAGCAAGCTCAAGACCAATACCGCTCGTTGCGCCAGTAATAAGCCAGATGTTTGGGGTCGGCATGGTCAGGGAAGGCTTTAAAGCGGTCAAGTAAGAGGACAAGGTGGTATGGTGCGATATTGTCTTGCAAGATGATTGTCCCATGATTGAAACCGTGCAAACTCGTTCGTTTTATACCTGGAAGACCGTATCATAAGTTCTCCGCCACACTGAATCTCAGCACGAGATATTTGCTTATGCCACCCCTCATTGTGACAAGAGTATCCGGCCTCCGGGTTGATTTGTTCCCTTAACGGAACAATAGGCTCTGCAAGATCACCAAATTCTTGACTCACGAACGCCGGACTCTGCCGCCGGGGGATTAGTTTCCCGTCCGCGGACGGATTAGTCTTCAAGGTGGGGATCCACTTCGGATTTGTATACAAGGGATTGGCACTAATGTGTGCAGTGATCAGCCAATCAGATTGCATATTCTCCTTGAATACGGTAACATCTTCGGCTGTCCAATGTAGGTTTCCGGTGCTACCCGTAGCGACAACGCCCTCGTTGCAAAGTGACTCGTTCCATAAATCGATGGGGCTTCGCAATTGGTGGAGGTCACAATGTTACTCAAGGTTCCAACTAATCGAACCTCTAAGAGTGGAAAATAAGACAATAGAATAAAGAGATTTGTGGACTCCGAATAGCCATGCTCAATCTCTTGAATATATATACTTCTGTCTGCTGTCATGCTGACTAGGTATCTACTCATTGTGGTCGATCACAGCGAAGACTTGCGTGAAATACCTCCTCAATTCCACCCGTGTACCGCACATCTTCATGACATCGCATGGTCTGCTGTTTTGTATCAACAAGCAAAAGCAGTAAGTGGAATATCAAACGAAAGCAAAGATTACATAGAAGACGTTGTGACATATTCGCAGCAGTTCTCGCAACGCCACTAATGATGCACGCGGCACGGAAGAGAATAATAAGTCATACAAGAATTAAATTACTCGACAACATGACGAATCCCCGGAAGCACCAGAGAATAATGCAACAGATCATATCTGGCGCGTCATATTGTTGTATCTCACTAACAAAATAAAATAATACAAGTATTGATTATTAGACCGAAATAGAAATATATTTGCTTGACATGTCTACGCTGATTTCTAGCCAAACGAAGCCACCTGGCCATGGGTTCATTCAATTGCTACTATCTCACTTGCTGTCTTGGCCCTTGAGTAGAATCTACACACTTCGACAACTGCCAATCTCATGATGCTACCGCAGATATTGCACTTAACTACAATACCTTCTTTGCAATCTATCACTACACTATTTTGATCATATTGTGTTCTGAAGCAGACTCGCTAATAAGCTATGAAGGCAGAATTTGGCGGTTATAGTTCTACAAATTGCAAAACGGGATTGAATATGTAGCCGATTACAAGTGTTGATTTTCTAACATGAGATTAAAGATAAATTAAACCTTATGGCAAGTAGAATAACAGAGCTAAGGGCAAGTAGGAGAATGAGTCTAGGTGTAAGTCATAAGGACGTATTGGATGAGCGTTCTTTCGAATTACGACAGGGTGATAATATCACGATTGACTATATGAAATCGGTTGACCCTTCATAAGTGGTATACCCGAGAGTTACTGCTCTTCTATATCTAAAACCAATCCTATTTAAGCACTAGACGCTTTAATACATTTGATTAATCTAAGAAGCTTGTCAGATTGCCCATATATTTTCGTGTGTTGCCTGTTACAATTCATTACGTCGTAGTTCCTCATTACCTTTGTGGTGACCCTACTAGGTGTCTGTGAATTTTAACCTAGTTCGCCTTTGAGGGAAGTTTTCCGCCAGTGAACAACTTTATATGCCGAATCGAAGCTTTAAAAGCCTAACGCCACTCGAAAGTGCGAGACTGACGAAGTAGGGGAACAGCATCGTGTTTTTCGGGAACTGTCTGATCGAACTATAGACAAAAGCACTATTGGTAGCAGCCGGGTAGGCAGTAACAGGCACCCGACACGTATAAGCCACTATGCTATTATGCTTTAATTGATATTACGTGAGCGATCGCCGTCGTCAGGATACAAAGCGACAAAATGGTGCGTTAGGAGTCTGTCAAAAGTGAACCTAGATCTGATCTTTCTCTATATTTTTTCCGGCTCACATATACTCTACCCTAGAAGCTTGTAGACCAAAGCTAACATCAGATGTATAAGTATCTGACTCTTACATCAACTATGAGTGGAATGGATAGTGACTTTGCTTCCGGAAATGCGACAGATTCTAGTTTATATCCCTAGCACAGTGCACCCAGCCATGTAATATCTTTAGCAACTTCTAGAATGATCTAGCTACACCTTTTAAGTCAAGCAAGCCCTAATATCATATTTGTGATTCTTTGCAATAGTGTTTATCTTTCTTCGCTAGATCGACACAAGGTAGCATTTAGTCGATGCCTTCAAAAAATATCGCTTATTGCGCGGGATATCACCATTTTTACATGTTCGATATGGCTTAAGCAATTAGAATGACAATACCCTCTCTACCCATCAGCTTTCTGCGCGGTTTCCCTCTCGTTACAACAGATACGAATAATCATGAGCATACCATTCATGTTATACCATACTTGACCGCTCATGAACTACTCAATAACCTATGATATTCCAAAACAGTTGATTAATGTATGTTAAGGAACTCTCTCATAAAATGTCACGAAGGATACCCCTATTTTATACGGAGAACACCAAAGATTTACGCCACAAGATATTTCCAAAGCCACTGCAGATTCCTCAAAATCTTCCAATAAATACTAGTAGTGGTGTGTTAAATCTCCTCAACAGCAGCTCCTATCAGCGCTTGTAATGCAATGGGCCTCCGAATTTGAAGTTGATGAGTTCTTCCAGTGTGTAGGTTGGGTATTTGTCCTCGATACTACCAGCCCGCCTTCCGGCCGAATAATATTCAAAGGCTCTTGAGATAGCGGAAACTCCCTTCTGTGTGAGAGACCATATCGCATCAGTTCGACATCAAAATCTCGATATGGGACATTCTAACACTTAACTAGCCTCGTGTCACCTCCATCAACGGAGTGAGTGGGAACGAGTCTACCTCGTTAGATGAGGACGATCATCAACTCAGCAGCAAAAGCCCTCACGTTGCGAAAGGGAATTACGATCCTTATTAATTGATAGTGGAAGCTAGGTTTTGACTATTACAAATCTATCATCGCTTTGCAAACGCCATCAACTTGCTCAGCGTTCTAGCTGTAGACTTTGTGGCCGATGAGGAGCAAATAACATAAATATTATGTTCTTATGAGGACACCCCTAGTATTAGCTCTCCAACTCAACCCGAGTCGAAATCAAGATAACTAGCTCGTTGAAAATGGGAAACAAATATGTAAATCCACAGCCACTGTAATATGGCACAGACCTGATGCCTTCCGAGTCATCACGGAACCCACTGGATTGCGCTGCAGAATAAGACGAAGTGGGCCTATTGAAACTGGTCCTTTTTTCTTTTTCTTTTTGGGTGACAGGACCCTTATTAATGTGGTTGTCAAAAGAAACATAAAGCTTGCCAAGGTGCTGGTGGTACTGAAGATGAATCGAGCCTCAACCATCAAAGTCCTCAAATTAGCTGTCGACCAGAAGAACATAAGCCTTATAAGTCTTGTAGTAACGAATAGTACTTGCTTTGAGACTAGAGCCTTACGTCGACCCGCTCCTCAACATCTTTTGGGCGGATATTACTTGGGTGATATCTCTCGGAGCCACAGGTGCTCATCCCCCCGTTTGTCGAGCTGTCAAACCAGGGGACATAGACTTGCCTCTGTTACTAATCCTAAATGTTTCACACTCAGATATTAGTTATTACGATCTGCGCCTTCCGTCACGTCGGTTTGACAGAGATAGGAGGGAGTTTGGTGTGGTCGTGATGTAAAATTGGCGATGAATGGTTTGGCAAAGACAGGGACCTAGTGTGGACGTGACGTAAAGTCGGCGATGAGACGCGAACAACATGAGACGGCTCTTGAAACTGGTGAAAACGGTGATTTTCTACGACCTGTCCGGAGGTATCATGTATGTAAGACGGCCTCTAGGACATTACACCTTAGAGAGTAACAAGTCGGTTAAGGGTGGCATCATTTCCAAACACCACGCAAGACAAAACCCGTGCTTGGATGAACATAGGATGTCTACCTTTCAAGTGGTAGGCCTAGGAGTTGTCGTAGTTGTTTAGATCACTGCACAACATTTAAAAGGGTAGGAACCCTACTCATTGTTGGTAGTCATCTGCACTAGGTGTATGAGCGATGATTTGTTATCTTTGTCCTACACTAAGGGGCGTGAATTTATGTAAGTCGGCGAATTCCCAACTGGCTTTGTGCATGCCTAAGCTAATGCGGCGCGGAGTAATCAGAGAACAAAGTGTTCCTCTGCTTCTTTTGGTTTTATATTAACAAGCTACCAAAATCAGAGCACATGCTCAGAAACAAGTTTGTGAATTTTGGCCACTAAGAAACACAGCTCAAGTCACTGCTGCGTACAATAGAGAGGTTTCACCGTTCAGCACCCGGCGCAGTACCTTGTTGATCAGCCAAGGGGCGACAGTCAACAGTTTTCTCCACAATTGTGTCTCATTTTCTATTTAATCTTGGAACTTGCGCTCTCTCATGAATTCTGCCCAAGACGCATACCCTTGTTTTCCGAGAGAATTTTCTCTATATCTTCACCGCATCCTTACAGCTTGGGACAAGACCCTCACTACATCAACTCCCCGTTGTTCACACATCACGATGGCATCATCCCAACAGTTGGCTCCTTGTAGGGGCTTCAGCTTCGAATTTATGACAGGATATTTCGTTACGCATGCCGACATGGAGCGTGAGGCAGATAATCCCGTCCAGACGGTACATTTACTTCACAACTCTCGCTAGCCCTTCTAACAAGCACGTAGATTACCCAGAATCATCTTGGCTTGTTGACTCGCACCTACGTGGATAATAAGATACCCGCAAAGAATGGCAACTCGTCGCCATGTTGGCCAGCTTTCGCCGCACATGTCGAGGACCTCAACAAGAAGGCTCCGGAGGGGGTTTCCTTCAAGGTCATCTTCCTCACCCGCCACGGCGAGGCCGTCCACAACCGCAAGGAGGGCGAAGTAGGCTCGAAGGAGTGGAATGTATGGCAGTTGATCAAGAGCATTTGCGTGTATGAGACTGATATTTTGTGACGACAGACCAAGTGGGTTTTCCTAGACGGCGACGGCACCTCTGTTTGGGTCGACTCGGATCTCACGGAGATGGGCCATCAGCAAGCAGCTGAGACGGGCCAAATCTGGTCGAAGCTGGTAGAGGAGCAGGATATGCCCTTGCCTGCTTTGCACGTAAGTCCTCTGCAGCGTTGCCTCAGAACTTCGCGCGTCATCTTCCAGGATATGTCCGAGAGACAGGGCCAGCATTACCAACCCATCGTCAAGGAGATGCTGCGTGAGATCACTGGTCGTAATACTTGCAATCGAAGAAACACCAAGTCATGGATCCACGAGAACTTCCCCGAGGTTGTGTTTGAGGATGGCTTTGCTGAGAACGACGAACTCTTCGATCCAGATGCCAGCGAGACGGAGCAGTCGGTGATCGTTCGACAGCAGGCAGCTCTTGAGGATATCTTCACTAACGAGCCGAACGACTTCGTTGCTGTGACTGCGCATTCCGTGAATGGTCGTGGCATGATGGCCGCTTTTGAGCACGAGATCGTCAAGATGGCACCTGGCTCCACCATGGTGTTTCTTCTCAAGGGCACGAAGTTGTCGGAGTCACAAAGCGAGACACTCGGTGATGAGTGGCTGACCAATACCCCCAGCATCGTCTAGTCATTGGCTGCACGAGTATGACTGCTTGGACAAAGACAGGACTGGAACTTGTTAGAGCATTGCGAGTCTTGTCATCGAATATGGCCACTGTCAGCAACCGCCTTGGCCTATGCTATGTCCGCAAGAACAAAGCTGATGAACATAAAACAGCACCGAAGGGTACATGGGACAGCATGTCTTTCACTGCTTGAATCATGATAACTAGGTTGGACAAGGCTAGGAATCTTGTGAGTTGGACAGAATAGCATTCATCCATCATAGTACTACTCATCGTTTCGTCCACTGTGAGCTATATGTTTGAGGGATAGTCAAAGAACAGAGCACTGGGCAACCTCAGATGAGCCTGTTCACATGTAATCGATGCTCCGTCTTTCAGAATCCTGGTTCTTCACCCTGTCGATGACCACTTAGACCACAAACGATCCTGGATATGCCAAAAGGGGCATGGTTCTATGAAACTCATCTGAGTCTGCTCGTGCCAAGTCAAATAAAATAACCAAAACGAAAGCAACTGAAGGTGACCATATTACCTACGCTACTCCACATATTATCCATACAATCACCAAGGTTCTCGTCGCCCACCCGGGGATGATCGTCCAAGACACGACATGGTTATAGGACAGTGAAAGCGCACCAACATCAACAAAATCGGTGAGATGGCCGAGCGGTCTAAGGCGCTAGCTTCAGGTTCAAAGCCTTCATTGCTAGTCTCATTGAGGCGTGGGTTCGAATCCCACTCTCATCATTGTTCAGGAACAGCTGTTCCTTCACCTTTCGTTTTTGGTTCTGCCGTGTTTAAACCTTTCTTTTGTTTCTCTTTTATCCAATTTCTTTTTGCACTGGAAGAGGTTGAAGCAATCGAAGGGGCAGAAAAATTAGTTCAATTGGATTGTGTTGGTTGAAGCTTGTTACTCGATCGGTCAGAGGTGAATGGCGAGTTTGTAGTCCTATAGTATCACCAGAGGCGAAACCAACAATGTAAGAAGAAAGACAGCTGCGGTACAGATAATCGAAGCGGACTTCTATTATGACAAAACTTTTGCTGATAGGTTCATGGTTGGAGTAGACTTCCAACACCAACAAGAGTGAGTCGAGGAGTATAGCGTGAGTATAGTGTTAGCTAGCATCACCAGAAGCAAAACTGGACGACAGCAAAAGAAAGAACTCCGACACGGGGAATCGAACCCCGGGCATGACGGATCAAGATGAGAGCGTCATATGTTAGCCACTACACCATATCGGAATGTGTTGTGATGTTGAAAATTTGCTTCGCAAGTGGGTTCATATCGGGTTTCCTTGCGGTGGTTTGTGTTTGGCAAAGCTCCACAGGGCAGCGGGCCGAGAGTCTGACAAGGCCACGCTTGGGATACTGAGGTGGGAAACGAGTCAATCTGGTCCGCCGGTAGATCTCAGAGTAACTAACAATGTCCGGTGCTGCACTACATGAAAGAGTACTGGCGGAGGGACTTCGGAGCGCTTGGACTCTCCAACTCTCCAGCGAAGAGATTGGGAGGCGAAGGGGAAAAAATGAACAGTTGTGGTACTATGATTTCGGCGGGGTGAACCCGGACGTATATACAGTATTTTGGCCTGATGTGATTGATGTCAGCTGATACGTCACCGGAGATAGTTGGTGCTCTTCTAGTGGGTGCTCGCCGCCCTCCCTAATGTTAGACAGGAGTGCCGAACGCGTTGAGTGTCTGCGAGCCAGCTTGCCGCAGCTGCATGGCGAAGTTAGTCTAGACTAGCCTAACGTTAGCTCAAAAGGTCGTCTCATCGTATGTACCTTGAGTACAGATTATGCTCTGAGACTTGCTGTGTTGTTCTAGTTCGTGGGAGCGACGCCCTACTGATAGCTCACTACAAAAGCAGTGAATATTGATGATACTTGGCCCTGTAATCTTGTACACAGTATAGGACCCATGGATTTCTGTCTGTGCACCCCTCTGAACGCAGTTGCGCATTGGATGGATGGTGCTCCTTCTTTGTTTGCTGTCCTGTTTCGAACTCAGCCGACCCAGACCAGGACAGACGCACCCAGGTCAGCCGATTCCGAGCGGTCAATTGGATCCAAAGCTTGTCTATTGGGCCAATTGATCATAAACCCATCGCTCCTCTAGTATAAATGCTCTCCCTTCCTGCGAATTATCGTGATGTTCAGCTCCAGAGCTGCAAAGCCCCATGTACGGATCCGTAGCCCGCTGTCAGGCTGGGGCCAATGGCGTGTTAGTGGGGTGATGCGGTCCCTGTAATGTCAGGGGGCTTTGCCTTAGCCCTGGGAGACCTCGGAAGGCTGATCGCATCCTCAACACCATGCGAGGAACGTTCGAGTGAGATTCTGGATTGAGAAGCGTATGATCTGCCTGGATTTCTTCCTATACCCGTCTTTACAAAAGGTTCCGCAGCTGCTTCCGCTCGTCTCTACCGAAGGGAGAATTTTTTCCATACCACCCACCCGCGAGATCAAGGCGATCGACTGAGTAACAGAAAACATGTTCAAGAGGCGTGTCTGCCAGATAGCTTTGCCGTTGCGCCGGCCGCAAGCCTCGAATCGCCTGCCCCAGAGGTTCTTTTCAACCCGGACTGGAAGTGCGAGCTCTCAATGGACCAACCGAACTGTCTGGGCGGCTGCTGCAGCCTTGTCGGTATCAGTTGTAGCATACGGCATGGTACGGGTAATCCCCATGCACATCCCGCGGGCTTGGATAGGGGTGGCAGCTAACGGCTTGTGATCTAGACACAACAGGACCCCTTGAAGCTCGACTCCCGATCTCTTGCCGAACTCGATGAGCGCACGAGGCGTGAAGAGGGCATCACTGAAGAGTCGCCAATGCGTCTGCGCATGGAGGAGTTGATCCGCCAGAAGCAAGAGGAGATCGTGTTTGCTCTCGAACAAATCGACGGCACCCGGTTCCGCAGGGACACATGGCAACGGCCCAATGGCGGTGGCGGTCTATCCATGGTTCTGCAAGACGGCAACGTGTTCGAGAAGGCCGGTGTCAACATCAGTGTCGTGTATGGTACGCTCACCAAGGGAGCAATCGAGAAGATGCGGGCCAACCACTCCAACATCGCGACAAATGTCGACGAACTACCCTTCTATGCCCTCGGGCTGAGCCTGGTCCTGCACCCGATCAACCCCATGGCACCTACAGTACACTTCAACTGCCGATACTTTGAGACCATGAACGCCGATGGCACACCGCAGACATGGTGGTTCGGAGGCGGCAGCGACCTGACCCCCAACTATCTTTACGATGAGGATGCGGTCCACTTCCACAAAACATTGAAGGAGGCCTGTGACAAGCACAACAAGGACTACTTCCCTAAATTCAAGAAGTGGTGCGATGACTACTTCTTCAACAGCCACCGTGGTGAGAGAAGAGGCATCGGTGGAATCTTCTACGACGATCTGGATGACACTGTGACGGATGCTGAAAACGCATTCGCATTCACCAAGGACGTGGTCAGCAGCTTCTTGCCCTGCTACTTGCCCATCATCGAGAAGCGAAAGGACCTGCCATACACACAGAAGGAGGTCGACTGGCAACAGATCCGTCGCGGTCGCTATGTTGAATTCAACCTCGTCCACGACAGGGGAACTGCTTTCGGCCTGCAGACCCCCGGCTCGAGGACCGAGAGTATCCTGATCAGTATGCCGAGGACAGCGTCTTGGAAGTATATGCATGAGCCAGAACCAAACACCCGTGAGTCCAGGACTCTGGAAGTTCTGAAGAACCCTAAAGAATGGGTGTAAAAAAGGAAACGATTCACTTTGTACCATAAGGACCGGCGTCAGGAAAAGCAACTGTATAGAAATCCAAGTTAGATGTAAATATTACTGAATCGGAAACACCTGAGACAAGACATTGTATCCCTGTGCCCAGTTCTGGTACATTGCCCAACAGTGCTTGAACGGAAATAGCAATCAAGACTTTGGTACGCCTGCAGAGCCGTACCAAGGTACTGACACTGCAGGGTGTTGTTCTTGACCGTGGCCGATCTTACAATAGGGTTGCTAAGACGGTGTCAGGCGGCGGATATAAAATGTCAGCATACCTCAGACTTACCGGTAAACACAACATCGTCACGGCATGACACAACTATCAATGCCCCCTAGAGCCTAGTGTATAATCTGACATCATGGGGTTTAATGCTAATGGTATGACACAGGAAGGATGAGATGGGTCATCCTGGTCTATAGACTTGCAAAGCGGCTGCCGAACTCTTGTATCCACTGCTTGAGCAGTCATTACACGGTTCAGGGGTAGTCGCTACCATATGGCACACGCTTGTCAAAGGAAGGCATGCTGGACAATTAAGACATGCTATTTATGGTCACCTCCCGTCACCCAAACCTCTGGCTCTGCCACATTGCCTCCAAAGCGCACGATCCTGTGTACAGCCTGACCATGGCCCGCGGGAAGAACAAAAAGGGCAGAGGCGGAAAGCGAAACAACGCCAGCGCCAGCAACACCGCGGCCGGTCGACCTGCTCGCAAGGAAGACGAGACCGTGTATACACTCGACACAAACGACACCAACACCGCCAACGGCACGGCCACGAACACTAAACCACCGCCTCCAGTCCAAAGGGCACTCATCGGCTGCGTGGTAGCTTCTGCATTCTTCTGGAAGAAAATGAAATACACGTAAGTTTTTGAGGGCTTCAATGGGTTGTTTCGAATTTAAAAAAATAAAAAAATAAAAACCCCCTCCCCCCCCAAAAAAAAGAACTTAAAAATAAACCCCCCTATTGCCTCATGTACTGACCCGATAGCGTATGGAATCCTTCCGTGACCCCGGGCTTGTTCTCGTTCCTCCACGCGGCAGGGTGCCTATTTGGCGTCTGGTTATGCTCCTTATACGTGGAGGGCCATCTGCAAACTTTCCTCATTGCCACCCCCGGGACCGTTACGGGTTGGTATCACGGTGTCATAGATACTATCGTTGGTTGGTGGAACGATTTCCTGACCTGGGCGGACCCGAAGCTGAGGGCGGTGGTGTTTCTTGCGGCCGGAGACCCCGACGCCGAACACCCCGAGAGGCCAGCGCCGACCCCGTCAGCATCAACTCCGGCAGCCAAAGCAACGGGCAGGCCACAGCCGAGGAAACACTGGAACCGGAACCGGTAACGATGATGTCGACCATGTCGGACACTCTACCTGCTCCGCGGGCTCTTCTGACGTCTCTAATCAACTCCTTGGCCTCTCAGCCAGCTCCGCCGGTAGAACAGCAGCATCATCATCATCATCAATCCACAACCTCAACTTCACGACCGATAAACCCGCAACAACCCACAAACATCCTCTCCCTCCTTCCGCCGAGCTCGAGGACTCTCCTAACAACTCTACACGTCATCTACCCATCTCTCCTGCTGCCAGCTCTAGACCTACTAGACCGGGGTCTCGTGACCCGGGTCCTAGTTCTCGACTCGGACTCTAAGACCACAGCAACATCTTCGTCGTCATCTCTGCCCTCATCCTCACCACCAGCACCAGGCGAAGCAGGGCAGCCGGCCCGCCCCGGCGACGCGCGTGCCAGCACATTCCACCTCGTGCGCTCGGCACGGCCGCAGCCCGCCCGGCGGGGTCAAAGGCGAGCAGCCGACGCTGTTACCACTAGTAGCACTACTACCCTCGCGGCAGGCATAACGTACATGGTGCGCACATGCGCCTGGAGCTGCGACTGCGCCGCCTTTGCGTTTGCCGCCTTTCCGGCGCGGGATTCTCCTCCGACGGGGGGATATCATCACCACCACATCAGCAGCTCACCACGCGACGATGACGACGCCGACGACAACCTCAGTAGCGGGTTTCCGTCGGGGTTGAGGACGGGCAGCTGGGAGTTCGGCGGTCTCGGCCTCGATGGGCGCGAGGGGAGCGGCGGCGGCGTCGTCGTCGGGTCTGGCGCGCCGCCTTGTTGTAAGCACCTCCTTGCCTGTGTGCTGGCCGAGCGATGGGGCGCCGTGATGGGGGGCTATGTGCAGGAGAGGAGGGTCGGCAGGGAGGAGGCGGCCGGGTTGATCGGGAGCTTGTGAATTTTATCTTGCATCGTATAGGAGTTGGTGACCTTGAGGTGGCCAGCGAGCGGCTTGGGGGGGAGGGGGCACGTTCTACGGATGGCGTTTTTGTTTTGGTCGAGGCGTAAAACAGGTCGATACCCTCGTTGCATTTTATAGAACATGGGACCACACGGTGATTGGGTTTCAAGTAGAGGACGAGGATAGTACAGTTAGGACAAAGGAGAAAGCGAATACGAAAAAGACCATATGCATGCAATCGTCTAACGTTTGTGTCTAGAATCTCATTTTGGTAGCCTATATTGGTCATTGTACATACAACACCACCAGGTCAAGAACTCTATGGTACAATTCTCTAATACACCAAAGCACAGGGGCCTCCATTCGTATAGAGGGCCTCGGTCCAAGGAACCCTGTAATTTTCATGATACAGATTCCGCAGTAGTGAGCCCCCATATTTGTAGCATCCTCCGTCCAGGCAAAAGTGGTCTGAAAATCGCCATGCGGTTTCGCAGAACCTCTAGTTTCCGGTCAGCTTGCTGAGGATGCCGCTCTTCTTCTTGTCGGCGTCGAAGATGTTCAACAAGCTCTTCCAGACCTGACCGGGCTCTTGGCTGGCATCGAGTCCCTTCCAGATGCCGGTGTTCTTGTAGTAGCCGACAACGGGGCTGGTCTGCAGGTGGTAGGTAGCGAGGCGCTTCTTGAGCGCATCGGCGTTGTCGTCGGATCTCTGGATCAGAGGCTCGCCGGTGACATCGTCCTTCATGGACTCCTTGGGAGGGTTGAAGGTGGTGTGGTAGGATCTGCCGGAGGCAGGGTGGACGAGACGGCCGGTGATACGGGCGACGAGGAGGGCGTCGTCGATCTGGAGCTCGACGGCGTGCTGGAGAGGCGACTTCTTCTCGGACAACATCTTGTCGAGGGCCTCGGCCTGGGGGATGGTTCGCGGGAAACCGTCGAGGATGAATCCGCCCTTGCACTCCTTGTTGGTCTCGAGCTCCTCCTTGATCATGCCGATGACGATCTCATCGCTGACGAGGCCGCCGGCGTCCATGATCTTCTTGGCCTCCTTGCCGAGCGAGGTCTTCTTGGCGATTTGGGATCGGAGCATGTCACCGGTGGCCTATACAATTTTTGGTTTGTCTGTTAGTCACTGGCAATGCAAGCATGTAAGAATACGCCGAGCTTCGAGGGCGAACGTACCAAGTGGCAGCACGAGAACTTCTCCTTGATCTTGGGGGCCTGTGTTCCCTTGCCTATTGTCGTCATCTAGTCAGTCCTCTGAATTGCGGCGTAAATGGAGTGCTCTCCAGTCGGGAAAAAACAGCAGCGAGGTCGAGACAGTCTTACCGGCACCAGGGGGACCGATGAGGATCATGCGCACGCCGTCGGCGGACTTGGTCTCGCCAGTTCGGCGCTCCTCGAGCTTCTCGACACGCTTCTCCAGAGCGGACACGACATCGTGGAGGCGGTGGACCTCGTTATCTATGACACCCATCTTGACTGGTTTGAAAATGCGAAGATAGGCCTGACCAAGGCAGGAGAGATGTTCGGGGGGGCGAGAAAGAAAAGAAAAGAGTAGAGATGTTGCGCAAAGCGAGGTAGAGACTTGAAAAATATCAGGAATAAGGCGCAAAAGGCATTTAGACCTGGACTTGGACATGCACTGCAAAAGCTCACCCCGGGCTACGGGCAGGCGGGCTAGAGGCCAGAGGCTAGTGGGTAGAGGCAGGCAATTGGACCATGCTAGTGGTCGGACCCCAGCAGAGGCACTAAATCGAGGTACCCAGCGGCATCAAGCTCGGCTAAAATACTCCAGCGAGCAGGTCCCACGCAAAAGTCACATCGACATGTTCCCTTGAGCCGCCGAGGCTTCCGTTCAGTGAGGCCGTCCTGTGATATTCCCATGACACACGCAAGCTAGACCAGCAGGCCGATATGTCGCGATGCGGGCCCGTCTTCAGTCGAGGACAACAGACATGACGAAGTCGGCGCAACTGCCGGTACTTGATACCGGTAGCAACATAACTCCATCTTGTCCGGTGCATACTACGCCACTGAGTTCTCCATTGGCAGTCCCCAAGTTGTATTACGTTGTTCCGTGGTAACCCATTATTGGTTACGTGTTTTATTCTGTCTGGTATTATCCCGCGTGTGTAAATAGCTAGCAGCGAGATGCCGGTGAGCGAGATGCGCCCCGGCCGTTGTCTTCGCGTCTGGTACCTTTGCCATTTCTCCGGGAGCGAAGCGCACTGCACTCGCAGATAGACAGCTGCCGACTACGGCGAAAAGCCCGAGTCCAAGTCCCAAGCCCCAAGTCCCACGTCTAAAAGTAAACAAGTTAAGCCCAAGCTCAAGGCGTTGGAAGCCTTTAGGTGCACGGGTCGCTCAGCACATCATAACTAGCCCATGCAGCCGATCTAAGCCCCAGTGCGGTTAAGCGGGTGTTGAGGTGAGGTGAGGTGCGAGGTGAGCTTGCCGCCCGCAACAACGCAGATGCAGTTGCAAGTTGCAGTACGTAGCTCAGCTCTACCTAATTAAATCATAACTAATCGCAGCCTCGTCCGCCGCTTCTAAACCACATCGACAAACATCCTACATCCACAACCCACGTCTTTGCCTCATTCCACCACAACCGTAAAACCCCTCAAACAGACAAGCAGATCGCCAGTCGACTTTTCGACACAATGCCCGCCACTACCGCTGAGACGCTCGCCTTCGTCTCCAAAAATGTCACCGTGGCGCCCCTCGTTCTGCTCTCCGTAGTAGACCACTACAACAGAGCCGCCAAGGGCACGAGGAAGCGGGTTGTTGGTGTCTTGCTGGGACAGAACGATGGAACCACCGTGAGAGTATCCAACAGTTTCGCAGGTACGGAACACATGGCCGATCGCCTCTCCGCCCACTGATCCAAAAATGCTGACGCACCTGTTCTGCCCTTCAGTGCCGTTTGAGGAGGACAATGATGATCCCACGGTCTGGTTCCTGGACCACAACTACGTCGAGAACATGCGTGACATGTTCAAGAAGGTCAACGCACGAGAAAAGTTAATAGGCTGGTACCACTCCGGTCCCAAGCTTCGCGCTTCCGATCTCGAGATCAACGAGCTGTTCAAGCGCTACACACCCAACCCCCTCCTGGTCATTATCGACGTCCAGCCCAAGGAGTCGGGTGTGCCTACAGACGCATACTTCGCCGTGGAGGAGATCAAGGACGTGAGTAGACACGGAGCAAACATATCATGCATGACTCCGCACTGACACATATGAACCAAACAGGACGGCACAGCGACCTCAAAGACCTTCGTGCACACACCATCGACCATTGAGGCAGAGGAGGCAGAAGAAATCGGCGTCGAGCACTTGCTAAGAGATATCCGAGACGTCGCCATCGGCACCCTTTCCACACGAATCACAAACCAGCTTCAGTCACTGCAAGGTCTACACCTGCGGTTGCGGGAGATCCAGACCTATCTACAAAAGGTTCAGGAGGGCCAGCTCCCTGTAAACCACGCCGTCTTGGGCAACCTCCAGGACATCTTCAACCTGCTACCTAACCTATCCACACCCAAGCCCACGAGCGATGGCAAGCTGGAGAATGCCAGCGAGCTCTCATACGCCATGAGCGTCAAGACCAACGACCAGCTTCTGGCCATTTACCTCAGCAGTCTGATCCGAGCCATCACCGCCTTCCACGATCTGATTGAGAACAAGATCCAGAACCGTCAACAACAAGAAGAGAAGGAGGCCAAGAAGGAAGAGACCGCGGCAAAGGACGAGAAGGACAAGAAGGACGGCGCCAACGGTGTAAATGGCGACTCGCCAGAGAAGACTGGCGAAAAGGAGAAGAAGAAATAGGCGTGATGATGCGTAATGACACGGCGTTGGGGACAGCGCATTGGGAACATGCCGGCATTGTGTACAATATCCTGACTCCGGAAGATAAGCCAGGTACGGGCCACCATGCTAAAACAACAATAGAGAGCTGGCCGTTTTAGATGACACACTGCGAGAGAAGACACACTTGGTATACACCATCATGATGTAACTATACTAACCTACCTGAGAGTCGGTTAAGCTGCGATAGGATATGTCTTTTCCCAACATGTGACGGGAGTTCGTGAAGTGCTCAACAGTATAAAACGGGGATACGGGTCGTCTTATGAGACTCCGTCTGCGGAGATATCTCAGATAGTTACTCGTTCGAATGATGCTGCATGCTAACTGCAAATAGTGGGTTGCATCGAGCGGTCACTTCAAAGCTTCGATCGCTTTGGTGTAGAGTGCGCCGGTTCGTCGACCCCGGGTGTAGTTTATCCTCATCTCTGTGAACGCATATTGTCGCTGTTTGGTTTCCTGCTTGTCAGAGAGCATGTTATGCTACTGATCTTCCGGATTGGGTTTGCATTAGGTCAGTGATAGCCATGCGAATTAAGTTTACAACCTGTGTGGTTCGTCTTTACCTGGCCAAGAACACATGACAGGCATGTGTTCTTCACTTGCGAAATCCAAGAAGTCATCGTTAATATGCTATCCGAAGCACCCTTGAACTAATGAAAAACGATTCCTTCTTTTGGCTTTGGCGTTCCAAGGCGGCTTTCACTGCAAATACAGCACACGAGCAGTCATGCATTGCATGCTCCTTCTTTAATAGCGGTCGTACCGTATTATCTATTTGCACAACTTTACAGTCATCCCTAATGGAATAGATCATCGACAATTGCTTCCGAAGCATCACAGTCAAAACATGGGTGCACGCTCAAAATAATCAAGCACTCCCTGGCGACACCATGTTCTGCCCGATATTCTGCCCGATCCTGTATTATCGATTGCCCATCTATAAAATTAAGAAACCTTCACGGCCTAACAATGAATGCGCGGCCCAGAGACCGCAAACGAGAAGTCTCGGGCAAAACCTGTGGAACCGCAGCGAGTAGGCAATGCCTCTGATTCAGCCTTCCCGGTTGCCTGCTATAAGATTTTTTAAATAAAAAATTTTAAATAAAAAAAAACCACTGCGAATTTAATCCACGCGAAGAGCATGAGACTCCCCCCATGTCAGCAGCGCATATCTGTTCTGCAGGGAAACAACGCCAGCCAACTGACGCATACGGTTCACCGAATCCCATGTTGTCGATTGTCTTTCTAAAATTGGTAAATTTTTTATAAAAAAGTTTTTTCTTTAAAAAATTTTGATAAATAATAATAATGAAAAATAAAAGCAAACGAAGCCCCCACTCCAGCTCTGGAAGTTTCACTGCAAATTTAACCCACGCGAAGGGCATGAGACTCCCCCCACCCCAACGCATCTCTGTTCCGCAGCAAATCAACGGGACCAACCAGCCAATGGACGCAAGGGAATGAAGGGGCGTAGGGCTGTGCCTTTCGGCAGCACCTCCCGTTGTTTTTCACTGCCAATTTAAACCACGTGAAGGGAAGGGTGCGAGCGAGACTGCATGAGTCAGCAGCGCCTTGTTCGCTTGTGTGACATCGACATCGGAGATGAGGTTGAAAAGGCTGGAGAGGGTACGGGTGCTTCCATCTAGTCCACACTCATCTGGGTATCTCTCGAGGCGGCAAAAACGTTGCCCGTTGTTTGATGATTTACTATGGAAAATTGCGGCCACGAAATCGTAGCTGCATCATGTTTGATAAATTTGCGAGCATCATTTGCAATCAAAGTCCCCAGATGTGATACATGAGTTTCATTCCTGGCTTCTCCTCAAGGCTGTGAGGCTATATAGGTGTATCTACAATGCCTACTCCGAAGTAATCTCGAGCCTCGACGATAAAAAAAAAATCCTTGCCTCTAGTAAACACGACAAACATCCCACCGCCAATCTTGGCTGCATGACGATGTATAAGAAGTAAAAGGTAGGAAGGGTATATAAACAATGCTCGCTCCATGGCAACGAATAAAGAAAATCGAGGAACGCGCCGCTAATGCAGTGTTTGCTAAGAAACATCCACCCCTCTCTATGCATGTATAGGGTTTAACCCAAAGGTCAAGAGCCGTGATTCAAAACCGAAGTTTATGGACATAACGGTAGATCGTGAGATATATAAGCGGGAAAGCTTGTTACGCCTGGAGCTCCTATCTCCTCGGTGTAGCTAGTTGGCGGTCAGTGTTGTGCGTTGAGTTGGAAGTTGAACTGGATTGCACTTACCATTCACAAGCTGTCTTTGCTTGTTGAGCCAACTCTTTGGCGCATCGTTCCTCCTTTGCAGAACCACATGGTTGCTCTGCAGACGACTAGTCAAATCATACCATGCTGTAGAGATCATTGCGTTTTCACGCTGGAGGTTTTTGATTATCTGGTCCTTCGTCTTGTCCTGCTCTCCTTCGGAGGATCCCGCCTTCAAGGCCTTCAGCATCTTCTCGAGTTCGCGCTTGGCCGCTTCTGCCTTGTCGCATTGTTCGCTCTTCTGCTTGTACTTGACTCGAAGCTTCTCGATCTTCTCGATCGTCTTGGTGACATCTGGATTCACTGCATGGCCGCCTTCTGCTGCCTTCTGGAGTTCTGCGTTGGCAGCCTCTATCTCTTTGCGAAGCTGTTCCTTGTCAAGGAGAGCGGAGACTAGCTGTTCTTGGCGTGAATCAAAGTCCAGTTTCAAGAGGTCGAGCTTCTTGCGCAGTGAGTCCAGTTCAGCGCGGAGAGAAACAGCCACCATGCCATCAGTGCCTTTGAGTTCCGCAAGAGCATCGTTACCATCTTGAACGGCTCGCAAGTCACCTTGTGCTTCTGTCAAACCTCGCTCCTTGTCCTTGAGTTCCGTTTGTGTGGCCTCGAGCTGGCGCGCAAGTTCTTTAGCACGATCCTCCTCGCGTTGTGCTTGCTTCCGGAGATTAGAAAGCGCCTCATCATCATGCTTGTTGGTAAGCGCATCTATTGTAGCCTTGTCGATGGTGTATTTCTCAAAGAGGGTGTTATATCTCTCTTGTAACGCTTTACGGGCGTCCTGCTCCCTCTCGATCTGCTGAAAGAGCATACCCTTCTCGCCATCTGTACCAATACTGCTTTTGAGAAGTGCGTTCTCGGTTTGCAGCCGCGAGATCTCGAGATCTTTCAATGTGTGTGACTCATTCGTTGTCCCCTCTAGTTCGTCCTCGAGCGACCGACTCTGCGTTCGTGCCGAATGTGGTGCATCGATTACGGCTGAAGGGTCCAGAAGCATGACCTTTTCTTGCAGGTCCTTGACCATTTCCTCATCGTCTTTGGACTTGGTCTCCAGAGACTCTAAATGTCTCTGCAGCTTCTGATACTCCATGTTCCAGGCCATCTTCTGGGCGTTGAACTCGGATACCTGGATTTCATACGCTTGCATATTCCTAGACTGTTGGTCGCGCTCCGCCGATAGCGCCATGACCTGCTTCTGGAAGCTCATGAGTTGTTCCTGGCCTTCAAAGAATTCGCTCCTCTCCTCACGCAATTTCTTGACCTCGTTCTCGAGCCCCCTAAGTTTCTCGAGTTTCTGCTTCAGGTGCTCGGCAGCGTTGGCCCTCTTGGTGAGGTCTTCATTCTCTTGCTTCAGATCCTGGTACTCCTGCGCCAGCGGTACGAGCTTGCTCAATTCGGCTTCAAGTCGTACCTTTACTCTTTCGAGCTCCTCCTTTGCCCGACGAGCATCATCCAATTGCATTTCCAGGTTATCAATGAGCCTGTTCTGCTCTTGGAGCTGCTTCTTCTTCTCCGCCCCGTCTCCGTACGCGCCAGACTCTAGCATCTCCTGAAGCTTGTCCCGGTTCTCGGTAACTCTTTCGTGGCGATCCAACAATTCCTGGTGGCTTTCTTGCAAACGCTCGTGCACCGTAACCAGATCGGCGTTGCGCTTCTTGAGAGACTCGATCTCGCGGTGAAGTTTGGCCAACTCTGCCTCCAATGCAAGTTCATCGAAACCAGCCACATGGGCGGGAGCAGAGCCAGCGGCTTGAGAGGGCTCAGTTGATTCCGCATGATCGCCCTGCTTGATCCTATTCTGAGACTGGTTCATGACCTGCATAAGAGCTGCCAATCTGGCCTTGTCCTCCGAAGTCTTTTGCATATCCTGGAGGATCTCCTGAGAGACGAACTTGTCGGGAAGGTTCACACTGACGACCAAGAATATGGACAAGATTTGGCATATACCATGGTTGGTGGGGTTCCTATCCAAAGATTGGAAATCTACATCGTCGAGCAGGACTTCTACAACCTCAAGCTGCCTCTTGACAAAACTCCGGAGTGCTTTCCGTATTATGTGCATGTTCCTCTGGCGACCTTCGATGGGCAGATCTTTGCTGGCAAGGGCCAAGTTCTCTTGGAGCTCATCGGGCTTGTATTCGTCGTCTAGGATCACGAGCAGGTCCGAAAATACTGCGCCATTGTACAAATCCTCAATCGTCTCTGGGCCTGGCTTGTTGAGGTCCTTGGATATAATGTTTCGGGCCTGAAAAGCAGCTAATTAGCTTCTTTGTTGCCAAGCTATCAGTCTTCTGGGCGGGCCTTACCCAGTCCAGCAGGGCCTCCTGCCATTCTTCTGAGAATTTGGTATGCGACATGTTGATTGCTTGTCACTGTTGCAGATGGCGAAATTCCGGACTTCCAAGCAGTTCCTTCAGTTGGGCAGGTAAATGGAGTAGATGTCCCCCGCCGCTAGGTTGAGCTCGTAGTGACCTGACCGTCTGACTCGCTCAGCTGAAAAGGGGTTTGTCGTGATGCAGCACTTCGAATACAAAAAGGCCTGTGAGTATGTAGGTAGATCAAAGCGTGGCTACGTGGCGGCAACATTCGTGCTAACGTTTGGAAGTGTGAAGAGAGCGAAAAGGAGTGGCAGGAACACAGGTCATATCGCAGGGGAAAAGAGAGCTTGATTCAACTGATTATGATAGATCGCAACGTCCGGCGTGGATACCTAGGTGCAGTAGCTTTATGGAGATGGGGGTTGGGGGGGTTTGGGCTCGGCGATTCAACAATCAAGCCAGGTGCAACTGGGAGGAGCGAAATGTTTCAGTGTCGTTTATCGAGAAATAATTGTTCAGAGGGCAGAACAACGGGTTGATATGCGTTCCGGCACTGGCATTGTCGCAAGGGACGATCCCGTTCAAAGGGCCGCTTAAACTCCTTATTGGTAGCGTTTGACATTGTTCATGTACGTCTACGTACATATATATGTAAATAGCCAGCAGCCAGCAGCAGCCAACCCGTCGCGACTGCAGGAGTCCAGGGCTTGCCAGGGTTTTGTCAGGGCTCCGAGGGAACCTGCGGGCGTCACTAGCGCGCGTCAGGTCCCGCCGTCTCATCCATAATGATCAACCCGAAACCCGCTATTCTCACATTCAAAGTCCATTTCACCCGCTACGTGTACAGGGGTCTTGTGTGCCGTTGCATCAGACGTCTGCCAAAGAAAAGCCGACATGTTCGCTTCCAGTCAGCCCCTGTTATCCTACACATACCACTCTTGTAATCTTTACACAAAGCACTCCGTACTACCATGACATATTGCTAAGGTTAGGACATCTTCTCTTATACTGTATTATTCCGTGCTATCGTGTAGTGGACGTTGCTTGTTCTCACGCTTACTCTGCATGGTTACCTTCATATCTATGTAACATGCGATAGAATTAGAGCTGGATTTTGAGTATTATAGATAGTCAAGCTTTTGACTGGTTTCCTGGGTCTTCGCGTTGGTTTGGCAATGACTTACTTAATCGACATTGCCAGTCAACGTGTTACGTCACCTGGCCGGTTGTATGTACATGGCGAGGACGGATCCCACGACAAACCAAAGACTGGTTGACATAGTAAAGCTGAAACCCCGCGTTACCACTTCAGCCGCATTGCCCGTTCAAGACGTACATGTCTACGCCTCGTGCTTCCCGATGCTCCAAACGGATTCGCGGGCGCTCCGCGATCTCACCCCGTGGTAACGATACTAGTATAGGCGCATATACTCCAAAATAAACACCGACAGGCTACAAGCCTCACTCCATCCCTTCATATCGCAGATGTCTACTCAATACTCGCAACTCAAGCATTCCTAACTGGATAGAATTCGCTGCGCACTCATCATCCCTTTGGGCTGCAGGTCCCAGGAACTCAACCGCGGATGTTTGCTTCGTACATGACAACTCTAAGCCTACCCAGCCTGGCTACACATACACGGCCAGTGCTATGCCAATATCTAAGATCATATTTTGCACTCTAATAAAGGGATATCCGTGAATGCATCGTTTGTATATACGCCGTCAAGTGTGTTCATAGTACACTCTTAAATCACAATAATCCGGACAGACTTCCTTCTCCATTTTCTCTCGGTGTCCCTACAGACATCGAACACGATTCATATTTCTATTTATGCTTCCCTTTTTGTAACATTGGGGTGTTTCGCATAGTAAGAGGCGTATCGTGCTAACAATTCGTTCTCCATATCATCGCTTTGCTACATCGGCCTTTATTTTCCGCCCTTGTCGATGCAGACAATCCTGATACTGAAACCACAACCTTTGACTTAACTGCCGCCATACATTACAGATATGAGCAACTCGCCATCGAGTTTGAACACCACAGCAGCAACAAACGTTCTGAGTAGTCCATCCACACCAATCGACAGTTCGACAACGATACCGAGATTCTGTATTTCTAAGCCAGACCCGGGACCAACCGAGACGAGCCGCAACAGGAGCAGTAGCAACAAGCAGTAGCAGCAACTATCCCATGACGTATCCTGCATCTGTACAGCCTCATACTTCTTTATACGCGACGAGTTCTACTACATCTACAGGGCCCATCACTTCCATAGGAAGTTACACCTGTGCCTTCTTCTTCTCCACCGCACCATGTAAGCGCCATCCGTTGTCCTCTGAGTTTCGCGAAAGCTGACGGGCGAGGACAGATGGTGCGCTGACTTGCGTGCAGAGCATGACCTGCACCACACTGGGCGTCTTTAGGGGATGCTGCGTAGGCCCGGACTGCCTACAAAAGACGCAGTACGCCAGTGGATGCTATGATGCGCTGTTGTCTGCTGAGAATAGTGTAGGGGTCTTGAATTGGTGAGAGAAAGGCCTAGATGTGCTACGGAAGAAGAAAAATTGCCCACGATATTAACGAGTATCCATTGGTAGTGCCACAATACCTAATTGCCCTTGATGCGTGACCTCTCTCTGGTCGACGTCCGCCTCGCCCGGGAAGACCATTACGCAGTTCAACTGGGACACGAAACAGCACCATGGGAGCGGTGGCTATTGCCTGGGTTACCTGGGGAGGAAGACATCGTGACGATAAGCGAGCCTTTGGCAAGTGGCAGCGGGATCACTGCTACGCCGAGTGCCACATTGCTTGGCGTTGTTCCAATGGCAGGGCCAGAAGATCCAAGTCCAGACGACAGTGGGGTACGCAAAGGCTTAATAGTTGCTGCAGTGTTGGGAGGCGTGGCGCTAATAGGAGTCATCTGCATTGGATGCTGGCTCGTCTGCCAAAAGCGCAGAACACTCTCAAGTTGTAAACACACTGGAGAGATACACCACGAATTACCTACAAATGAATGCTAATAATAATAACAATAATGATGATTAACCACCATTTACCTTGATCATTTGTACATGCTTGAAGCAGCGATTGGCTGGCCTTTGCTTGGACACAGAGGAAACTAACGGTTAGTAGCATCCTGCTGTTATAGAACTGCTTTGAGGGTAATACTCCTCCAGCGTGGTCAGTTTAACTGGTATGCAGTTGCACCAAGGTTGTACATGTAAATCAGTTCAATTAAATGCTCGAATGCCTTCGCAATTCCAACCTCGTTTCCAGACGCCACCTAATTCGTATTTTTGAGGTCTTAATGTAAGCGATTGTCTTCCGTCTCCGTGTTGTTCCTTATGCAAAGCTGGGTATCGATATTGATGGGTCGTCCGGCGCCTTCATCTCTCTCTTCCACATAGACTCCTTTCTCAAAGCGTTCAGGAGATCTTGTTCGAGATCTGTACTGGCTGATCATCCTCAATCGTGGCATGGTACTCGCTAGTGGTCCATACCGACATGGACTCGATAACCTTCTGAGGTGCCTTAGCTGCGAAGCCCCTGAAAACTTTGTTAGCCGTGTATGCTCCGTATCCAAGTCCATCGTAGCCCCGTTTCATAGCATGAGATAATGCGACGATGGCAGCTACAGAATGAACGGTGTCGGACCGTCTTACTTGATCAGGTTGTATTCGTGCGTGATCACACCGCCGGCCTTCTTGATCTCGTCCATGGCGCGGTTGATGACATCGCTACCCACCTCGTTGGGGAAAGTGACGATGATGGATTTCTGCTGGTCAACAGCAAAAGCGCCCTGGGCGACAGCAAGAGCTGCGACGATGGTCTTGAAGAAACGCATATTGTCGTGTGCCTGAAGGTAGGCTGGAATTGGTGTGTGGATCGGGTGCTTTGTGACGGCTTTGCGAATGCGACACTGCTTTTTGTAAGCTGATGTGGCGGTAGTTTCGGGACTGATAGAGGTCGTGCTAGAAAGTCGATGGGTTTAGTCGGATTTATTATTTCAGAAAGTTTGATGAAGAAGTCAAAGGCTGACTAGGTGCGAAACACAGGTGACGATTGGTGTTGTTCAAAGGTCTGGGCGGTTTGACCTTCCTGCCGATCACCTGTGATCACTGCAAGCGGCCCAGGAAACTCCCAAGCAACTCCCCCAGGACCCCTCCCAGGCTGCTGCTCCTGCACAAGCGATCCGGCAGGCCCCATAATTCGGCCAAGCTAGCCGCCTCGCTTGCCAAGCCCCAGATTCCCCCCCAAATTCGGCAGGAGCTAAGCTTATTGAACCCGTTTGATTTGTCTGCTTTGAAGTTTGGAGCAACCGTACGAAAAAATCATTAACCGTAGCAGGCGTAAAGGATTGTTCGGGGCCATCAACCCATAATCAGCCCAACGAGAGGTGATGCGTTGTCCATGTTGCATTCAACTTCCGAGCGATGCCAGTGATGCATTATGGGCTAATCAGTCGGTCTTGGATCACTGAATCCCGTAATGCCCACTGTCTCACTGACAGCAGACCGCCCGAACCTTCCCCTGGGCTTTGGCCAGTTCGCCGGATGACATGCTATCACTTTGAATCAGTACACCAGTGGCGTATGTCAGTCAAACCCAACATTGTGGTTCTCACAGCATCACCATTAGGTATTGTTGCTGTGTTGCCTATCTGGCCTATATAACTTTGCAGCACATGACGTGATAATTGGACGCTCATTGCACGGCGCACAATCCATGATTGGCTTGCCACGTGCTATCCCAAATAGGCATCGCTTCGGGAATAGGTGAATACATTCTGCTTATTGCTGAGATTGGTTTGAGTATAACACTTGAGGATGGAGCATGCAGCCATTGCGTCGAAGTTAAATATTTGAAGGACAGTGGTATAGTAGGACGCCAGACTCCCCCCCCCCCCCCCCCCCCCCCCCCAAATGAATAGGTCGCACGTTCTTGTGTGCTTGTCGGTCACTGTTCTCGCACGTTGACCTAGGGCTTGGCGCTTCCAGGAACACTCTCCTCACCCCAAACATCTCTGCTCTCCTGCTCGACAGCTCTCATAGTGATGGCGACATCCTCTAGTTTAGCCACCACATCTCGAACGCCCTGGTCCACTCTACTGAAGTACCGGTCGTTGGCTTCTCTTCTCTTTCGTGCCAGCAGAATATCGGACTCTGTCTCCTGCTCAAGCATGGCACCCAGCTTCTCGCCGCCACGACCACTACTTGGTGGTCTTGCGGTGCCGGTTCCCACGGTGCTCTTGCCAGGATCCGTGCCGTCAGCACTCGCCTTTCCAGCCAGTCCAGGTCCGGCACCACCTGCAGCAGTCAACCCGGCACCACCTAGAGCTCCCTTCAAGTCGCGCACTTCCTCATTTCCAACGCCGTCTGTGGTATCAATTGCATCGTCTGCCTCACTCCTTGCCCATGCTTGTGCCAAGGCAATTTGAGCTGATCGTAGTTCTGTTAGCTTGCGATCATGCTCCAGACCGAACACATGAGTTCCACCAGATGCTGAGAGCTCAACCTCTTCCAAGGTGGCTTGCATCTCTGCCCATAGAGCGTCGGTCCTGTCGACTGTACGGGAAGAGTCCCCAGTCTGCAATCTTGGAATCGGGCCTGCATTGTTACCGCGCCCTCGCGGATTCAACAGCGATCCTTGGCGTGTAAGTTTTGGAGGACCTGCGGCTTGATTTGAAGTCGACGGAACAAGATGCTGTCCAGTAGATGAAGGACCCATTGATGACGCAGTTTGAACTGCGCTCAGTCCCGGGAGAGAGACATTCGAGGCAGCTGGAGATGGATGAAGGAATAATGAAGGCGGCGGATCGCGCGCCTTTGATGTGGAGCCATTAAGACGCGACTTCAACTGAGACATGACTACGTAGCATTTTGAGAGCTTTGAGAAGGTGAAAACGAAATGCAACGAGGCTACGAGGCTGGATGACGCAGCTGCATGTTGCGAATCCGCTCTGATGAGCTATTGGCCGCAGTTCGAGGTGGCGGACCGCCTCCAGTCCCAGGTCCAGTTCCGGTATCCACCGCAACAAAGTGCATTCCATCCCATCCCTGAAAAAGAATTGGGCGGGGTTTTGCCAGCTGCAGTGTGCACGGACCAGACACGATTAACACACAATTCGACAGCAATTTTCCTAAAATTATTCCCCAGCGGGCATAGGAGTCTTTTGCTTCACTTTGCACTCAACTCACAACCATCGCCAACACAATCCCGTCGCGTATCACATCAATTCGGTAGGTCACTCCCTCTCTCGATATTCTCAGTCAACGCCGAATCCTCAACCCATCGACCACGAACTTCGACATTTTCGATTCATCTCGCACGAGCATCACCGCTGACGATTATTGATAGCAATCATGGGTAAGGGCAAGCCAAGAGGATTGAACGCCGCTCGCAAGCTGCGCCTTCACCGTAAGGACCAGCGCTGGGCCGATCTCGGTTACAAGAAGCGTGCTCTCGGTACCGCCTTCAAGTCCTCGCCATTCGGTGGTTCTTCCCACGCCAAGGGCATCGTCCTCGAGAAGGTCGGTGTCGAGGCCAAGCAGCCCAACTCCGCTATCCGAAAGTGTGTTCGTGTCCAGCTCATCAAGAACGGAAAGAAGGTCACTGCTTTCGGTACGTCGCAATTTTTCAATCCTCAGTTTTGTGCGGTACATGGAGGTGCATTGGTGGCAAATAAGACGGCAAAGAACTTGCAGGAAAAGAGCAACGGAATGGATTGGATGACCGCGCGCCCACGATTTACGGAGACTCATGCTGACACTCTACTTCTTCTAGTCCCCAATGACGGTTGCTTGAACTTCGTTGACGAGAACGACGAGGTCCTCCTTGCCGGTTTCGGTCGTAAGGGCAAGGCCAAGGGTGATATTCCCGGTGTTCGTTTCAAGGTCGTCAAGGTTTCCGGTGTCGGTCTGTTGGCCCTGTGGAAGGAGAAGAAGGAGAAGCCCAGATCATAGACGATTGACGCTTACGACATCTGCATTTGGGGACGAGGATACGAATGGACAAAAGGGACTGAACTTGATTTGGGCAACTGTGGAGTCAAAATGGCTTGCTTTATTTTCCCCATCAGCATTCGAGGTTCAGCTTGATACGCATTCATAGGTTACACGAGATCCGCGAATAGAGATCTTCGGTGGCCCTACCGAAACGACACCATGCGTCCGTTTTTCTCGCTTGTGCACGTTCCTTGAGGTCAACATATTCAAGCATTTTGTAGCCTAGAGGGATGGAGACAATGTTATTGAGCAGGTCTATTGAGCAGAACGTGTACATTCCTATTGGCCAGCACGGTCCTTCCACAAGGTGTGAACATCACTGGATTGCGACATGACATTATGAAGAAGTAATATCTGGTAGCAGCTACGAATACCTAGGTTCGCTTCTCCGCAAAACCATCTGCTGGGCTTCATATCATCCCCAACTACGTGTTCCAAGTGAGCTTAGCAGTGTCCTTCTCTTGAGAACATGCTCTGGGTCATATGCCTAGCGTTTCCATCCCTCTCCCATGACACTATCGAATGCTTCCTTGATATTTGCGCTCTTGGGACTGTTGGTTGTGACCCCATTGGGATCGAGAGGCTCCACATCTCTTGTTCAGACTCATCATAATTATCCGACTCTTGTTCTGCTTTGGCTTCCGCTCAAATCACTTGATTTTCTTTCTCTTCTTCCGACAAATGCCCCAAACACCGCGGCCGAGTAGCGGCCGGATACTTAGTGGACTGGGACGCACCGGTCTATGCTACAAAGCCCGTGATGACTGGAGTAGAGTTCAAGTCGACCATGTTTCGCTGCCAGAGATCTGTGTGCCACAAATAAAAGCCTGATGCTCCAGCATCTTCACAAGTCTTGGACTGGCCCATATCGACCATAAACTGCATTGTGTTGCGACATGGTTGGTAAAGCTCCCCAACTAGATACTCCTGGCGTCGCTCACGAAGGCGAGCGATATATATATGTCATTTGAATGGAGTCATCATCAAATCATCCAAGGGAAGATTAGGTTCATCTTTCGAGAAACTTTCCAACTCAGTCTGGATTCCTTCCACATCTGTCAAGTCGATAAACCTGCCAGAATATCTTTCTACGCCAGAAGGTTCCATTGTCACCAGGAACTCGGGGTGGTCGACACGGTTCTGCGTCATGTACGGCGGTAATTTGACCTCGTCAGCAGTCGGATCGGTGGTCGATCATAGTCAGAGGTATAAAACACCCACTTCCTTTGCGAAGACGATCTTCTGTTCATGATTCAAGGTTGGTCAAGCATCTTCGAGTTTGATCCCCACGAAGTATTTCAAGGACGATGTAAGGATACTTCAGGTAGGCGTCCTTCTGAGTCATTGAAGAAAACAACTTCGGAAACTTTAATCGCAGTTCTCTGATGTGAGAATCGCAGATTACCCACGGAATCGAATGCGTTGTGCTCGTTCGTTGAAACTCAAAGAACGCATATCTTCGTGGCCTGAAGCTCATCCCTGACGTCGACGCCGAACACTCTGTTGGAAGCGCACTCTGCTAAGAAAATGACAGCAATCGATTCGTGGGCCTGATATTATCGTTTGTGACAAAACTAATCGTCCAAGCTGTGCTGTATTTTACAACAGCATTCTTCGAGCTGGTATCTGAAGGCAACCACAAGATCTTTGGTTTGTACAATGCTCTGAGTGTTTTGGCCATGGAAGGCCAGGACATGCCTACCCAAACATTCCAACACAACAAATTCACCTCCCCCTTTGCATTTCGCATACTGTCATATGAAATCAGGCTGAAAAGATGGAAACAAATGACAGACAAGATGCTCACAGCAAAGGTGAGAAGAATGGAAGATGCAGGTTAGTATTTCAAGAAACAAGTGTCACTCCAGTCAGACAAGTGTCCGGGCCTTTAGGCAAGTGGTGGAAATGATGTCCATGTACGAGCGGTATCGTATTGAAACAAACACATCAAATCTTATGCATAGGATCGAGAACTTAAAATTTGTGGTCGTACATCGATCTGTCAGATACAGTATTTTACACGTCTTACAACAGGTACAGGGTCTTTGAGACCCCCATTGTAGCTTACTCTTGGCTTTATGACTTCTCCTCCTTGTCTTCGTCTTTTATATACTTTGACAGGTAATCGGCACCCATACCCAAGCTGATAACACCTCCAGTCATCCAGCAACCGTTGCGAAACCACCACCAACAGTTTTTGACGTCTTTGAGGTTGACCTTCTTGATCATGTATCCCAAAGTCAACGCAGCTCCTCCACAGCTACCCGCAAAGAACAATGGCCCGGCACCGGCAGCCCATCCCGCAGCGCCAAGGAGTCCGATCTGCACAGCAGCCAGACCAGTCAGGACTTGCTTCGTCTCGGCATCGTGCTTGAGCGCAATGCTCTTGATCCCCGCCTTGACATCATCCTTGATATCCATGTGCGCGTAGATCATGTCGTACAAGATCGTCCAGGCCACATTGCTGCCGTACAGGAACGCCGCGGCGGTCAGTGCGGCGCTGTTCGAAAGCAGGTCCACTCCCAGGGCTGGGAAGCCCATGATGGCGCCCCAGGAGAAGGTGAGACCGAGCATGGCTTGCGGATAATATGTTATGCGCTTTGCCAGAGGATAGCTCGCCACGAATATCAGACTGGGAACGGCGTAGAAGAAACAGCTGGCGGGAAACTGTAGAAGAATCGCAAGTCCCGTCAGGAGTTGGGCGCCTGTATATGTGAGGGCCTTGAAAGGAGTGATCGCGCCCCTGGCGATTGGGCGATGCCGAGTCCTCGTAACATGAGGGTCTAGATTGCGGTCCCAAAGATCGTTGATGCTGCAACCTGCTCCACGCATGATCAAGGCACCCGAGAAGAATAGTGCTGTCGTACCGAGGACGGTTAGGGGAGATGTCATGGGGGCTGCCATTGGCGCCGCTAATAAAGTGCTGAAGAGGCATGGGAAGAAGAGATAGTAAGTGCCTACGGGCTTGTCAAGGCGTATGAGCTCGGCGTACGGGACCCATGATGAGGGAATCCGTGAGAGCAGACCGGTAATGGGAGGTGAGTATGGTTGCTCTATCTGGGGTGATGATGGTGACTCGATAGTCGTGGCGAGATGCTGAGGTGAACTGTGGAAAGGAACGATGTGACGAGGTGGTGAGACGGCCAGTCTTTTGCAGTTTACCGGCCGTACCAGTGTTGATGTCTGGACGGATCGCCAGCTGTATGCTGGTTGCTTGAGGCATCTCAGGGGGGTCTGCAGATTGGCCCTGCAGGTGGGCCACCTAGAAATCCGTAGCATGATGGCAAGTCAATCAACTCAAGACCTTCCACGTTGTCACACTACGATGATATGTCAGTATTTATCGAAGGAAGCGGTTTTATGAAACCCATGGGATTGTTTTATGCTGGCTTATTGGAAGAAGAGGGATTCCACCATGGAAAATCTACCGTGCTTCCCGACCGTGCTGTATAAATTTTTGGCGACATCCGAGATGAATGACACCGTCTATGATACCATCTTGACCAATCCCAAGCGCAAATAACTAGCTTGGACAGACTCACAGCTCATTTTAATATATCGGGAAGCAGAAATTGTCGACATGACCGAATTGAAAGGTGGTTGTTTTCCTCATGGTTAATCTCTTCTTTCATCCGGTTCTCGACTCTGGGGTTGACTGGCCCGTGCGTTGAGCTTCTAACGTAAGAGCTTCGACTCTATCGATTGCAACTTGAGCTTCCTTTGCAACAAGTACCTTGAATCTGTACAGCTTCACGCCACTCTGATTGCCTTTCAATCACTTCGCGCAACCCTGCTGGAGCTGTGATTGCCTTGCAGCAAGCAAGGTATTTTGAGCGGTGAAAGCAGTAGCTACTACTTGGATGAATATACATTTTAGAACTGTCGATTACTAAAATGACATTTGCCCCGCGACGCGAAACTTGACCAAAGAGCGTGAATGTGAATACACGCGCCGGCATTCACCAACCGCGAGATTGATGGATCTCGTAAATTCCCTTTCGCGGCGCGCACGGATCGATCGACCGAGCCTACTGACTGTCATAACCAAGTCATCAAGATGCCGACGGCAATGCATCCGCAGGCCAAGTTTGATCCAATCCCGCCAGATCTGGATCTTCACGCTCTCGTCGATGGCTCCCCCAACTTCGACTGGGTCGTCCGTATATCTCTGCCACAGATCAGGAGGCTCGGATCGACTGGTTTCGAGAAGCTAGTCCAGCTCCATGTAATAGAAGGCGGACGACCGCTGGTCATTGAAGGCTGGAACCGACTTCTCCCTGAATCCATCTTTAGTGCAAAATGGCTCGAGCAAACGTACAACAAGAAGCGTCAGTTCTGGCTCAGAAGGTGTTGTTGTGACTGCAGACTGACCATGTTCCAGAGGAGAACGTCCGCGATCTTTGTACACAATCGGACATACCCATGACCATGGGTCATTACCTCCGATCAATGCGACAACTCACTAATCAGTGGAGTCCTACGAATTTCCGTGATGAACGTCGTCAGCGGCTATACCTCAAAGATATCGACTGTCCTCCTGAATGGTTCGAACACTTGCGCAAGATTATTCCACCAAACGTCCTCTACATGAACGAAAATGTCAGCGAGAACAACGGCGCTGACGTGCGCCCAGACGATGACATCTTTGGCGCATCCGAATCCAGCGCTGCGGTTGCCGGCGATCTGATGAGCTGCTTGCCAGAAGAGATGCGTGCACAAAACCTCATGTGTTACATCGGGCATGAGGGCACGTACACTCCAGCACACAAGGAGATGTGTGCCACCTTGGGACAGAACATCATGGTGGAGGCTTCGGGCAGCGAAGATGGTAACAAGCCTGGAAGCTCCGTCTGGTTCATGACCGAGACCAAAGATCGTGAAGTTGTTCGCGAATATTTTCTATCTATGCTCGGCCACGACGTTGAAATCGAGAAGCATTTCGCTCAAATCAATGCTTGGAAGAAAGCCAATTTCCCAGTATACGTGGTAGAACAAAAAGTGGGAGACTTCATTCTCATTCCCCCACTTGCACCGCATCAAGTCTGGAACCGGGGCACACGGACAATGAAAGTAGCCTGGAACCGTGTAACTCCCGAGACTTTGGACCTTGCGTTACACGAAGCGTTGCCGAGATCCAGACTTGTCTGTCGAGATGAGCAATACAAAACAAAGGCCACCGTATATTATGCCCTGGAAAAGTACTACAAAGAGCTACAGAGCGCAGAGGACAGCGCAGAATCGAGTCTTTTGGGCTTGGGACGGGAATTGGCCAACTCACCCCGCTTGAAACAAATCGCTGGTGATTTTCGACGCCTCTTTGGTCTCTTCACCGAAGTACTCGTCGATGAAATGTTTGGTTACAAGCAAGTTGGAACTGAGTTTATTGAGTTCGATTCAAACATCACATGTTCTTACTGCAGATCCAACATCTTCAACCGTTTCTTGACGTGCAAATGCTGCGTCCGACAACTAATCAACGGAGACGAGGACACATACGATGTTTGTATGGAATGCTATGCGATGGGTCGCTCGTGTGTCTGTGTCTCTGGGCTCCAATGGTGTGAGCAATGGCAATGGTCTGATCTTGTAGACAAGCATGAGATGTGGCGTGCTATGGTCATCAAGCAGGACGGTTTTGTAGATCTGGAGTATTCTCCACAACCACTGGAGCTTGCCCGCAAAAAGACCGGAAAGAAGTGTGTTGCACAGATCTGCCAAGAACAATTGAGACGCAGGCCATGGAATGATATCACGAAGCCAGCCGTTAACGACACGCCCCAAGAATCTGAGGCAGAACCAGAAGTAGATGACGAGGGCCGTATCAGGAAGAAGAAGAAACCGTCACGCAAACCAAAGAAGGGCGATACATATCGCTGCCATGTCTGCTGCCACAAAGATTACACCTACCGGTTAAACTACTGTACCACGTGCCAAGAGGCATATTGCTACGGAGTTCTGTTCAGGGCGTTCGATACTATGCCGCAGGCTGCCATGGAGCAAGAAAATTGGCAATGTCCAAGATGCCTTGGAATTTGCAACTGTGGCTCGTGCAAACGAACAGGAAACACGAAACCGTACGTGCCAAAGTCGACACTTCTTGGACATGATACACGGAAAGTGGCAGATGACCGGAGCGTTGAGTCAATTGTAGACTTCCGTATTCACAATCTGGGATGGCTTAAAGGGGCTGGTGAAGAGACGCGTGGCGCAAATACGAAAAGAATGTTGAGATTGAAGGAACAAGCAGATGCGGAGAAGGCGAGGGATCCTCTGGTGGCGCTCGACGCTGCGGACGATGCGCCACGCGATATGGATTCAGCGCTGCAAGCTTCTGTAACGAGCGGCGAAAATTCTCACGGCTTCACACCTGTTAATGGAGACGCTAATGACCATCAGGTACAAATGGCTGATATGGGTCACCAGAATGTCGAAGGGAACTCAGCATATCCTGACCCGACGTATCCTAGTCCCTCAACAGGTGGCCGTATGATGGGTATGGGCTTCTACGATCAGGAGAACAGCGCAGATCCGATTCTGTTCGACGCTTTTCAAATGCCTTCAGCCGAAGCCCTTGAGAATGAGCCCGAGGTATCCGAGTTCGTCAAGAAAACGCTTCGGATGGCCAAACGCAAAGCCAGACTGGAAACAAATGATGATCCTGACTTTCAAGGTCCGAGGAGCCATCACCGTAAGAAGCTGAAGACAGGCAACATTGATCAGCTTGTCAATCTGGATCCTGCTTTATTAGGCACACTAGGAGACCCGAGCGGCAGCCAAAGAGCGACGTCTACGCGTCCCGAGGTCAGTTCTGCCGAAGGACACACCGCTCATGAGGCTCGCAGCGAACAGCCCGGCACAGTAGAGAAGCCCAAACAAAAGCCCGTCCGAACACAATTGCCAAGAGATCCGCTTCGACCGCAGCTGCGGCATGCTAAGCCAGCACAATCATATGTAGAAGCCGAAGATGTTGGCGAGGACCCGGAAGACATAGTTCCTGTTGATTTGGTCAAGCTCGTTGGTACCGAGAATGAGCCCAGCGCAACCAACAACCCCGTCGACTTGGCCGCAGAGGCCATACGTACCCTCACACACCAAGACGGAATGTCATATTCACGAGCATCACAGCAAGCCAAAAAGCGTGGCCCGGGCCGACCGCCAGCACTTCCACGACCGTGGGCCCCGGCTGTTGCACCGGAGTCAACAGTCGTGGCCCCTAGACGGGGGCGGCTATCTGATGCCAGGCCACCAAGGGAGTCAAATGGAGACAGTACCCATGACGGCGAAGATACAGCAATGGATGTTGTCCCAACAACTTCAAATGGTGCCGCTGTGGAAGTCGACGGTCTCGAGGCCGAGCTGGGGGCTGCTCTAATGCGTGGGGGTGATAACGGTAAGGTGCAGGTTCCGGACCCATCCTTAACTGTCCCATCAATGAAGCGAAGAGGACGTCCACCGGGCAGGAAGTCTATGCCTGCTACAGCTGTAGAGGTCGAGGCTGAACCGATGACTCTACCAGCTGCGCCAAGAATGATGTCTATGGCAGAGAAAATGGCGGCGCGGAAGAGGGGATTCAAGATGGGCAAAACTGGTGGCCGTCCAAGCCTCTCTGGCAATTCGTCGTCCGCAACAACTACGGCAAATGAACTGATAAAGGCACCTCCGAAGCCTGTGAGTGGTGCGGCAGCGTCTGTATCTAGCGGACTGCGTGATCGAAAGCATATACGAGATAACAAGTCCCAGGCTGCTCCCGAAGGATCCTCTTCTGATGAATCTTCAGACCATGATAAAGAAGCCGCACGCAGACCAGTCAGAAACGCGACTGGATTCACTGTTGTAAGGATGGAAGAGTCAGATGATAGCTTTAGCTCGTCCGAAAGTGACAGTGTTTTTGATGATGATGACGAAGATGGCATACCTGCGAAGCCTACATTCACTGTTTCCAGAGGAAGAGGCAGGGGCCGAGGAGTAGGTAGAGGCCGTCCTAAAGGCCGTGGCCGCGGCCATGGCTGATCGCCCATCTGCTGCAAAATGAGCATGGCTTTGTTCATCAGATACTATGAAGGCACTGAAAGGTTGCCTCCCCCGACATGGTCTGCTATAGGAATTGGAGTCATGTTTTGGCAGCATAGGCTAGATACCCATAATAGTTCGATCTTTGTGAAGTCAGTATGTAATTAAATTCATGGAATGCATATGGACTTGTAGAGTACCATTTTAAGTCCGTCTATATTGTGAACTGCTGAACCGTGACCTTCATACACACATAATTCCAAGTTACCGCATGAGCTAACCATACATTTAATCCCATATTGCACGTCTAGACTTCCGGTGCATCTGCGTAAGCGTCAGTGAAAGACCACTAACAACCAGTTTCTAGCTTGTATAAAACGTCCACCTAGGAAGTTGCAGCACACTTGGTCAAGGCCAAATACCTTACATACTCTAAAATTAACGCCGACCGCAAGACGAAGCCGAAATAATTATAAGGATTAATAATGCGAACCTGAATTGAAGTGAGAAACTACGTCGACATGGTCCAACCAGGAAAGACTTTAACCCCGTTACCTTAGCTCCGCGCCGGTCTCTCCTGGTACTTAAACCCGCCAGAACACCCTCCCACGGTGCCTTTGATACAAGTCCGTAGTCTCCAGAATGATAGGATTCTAAGTTCCAATTTCCTTCTATTGGTAATCTGACGGGCCAACTATCAAGATACGGTTGTGCTCGTACTGATTCCAGCTCCAAGTGTCAGTCACCAAGAATCGATAATTACTATCACTGGGCAGCTTGAAAACAAGCCTCTTCGGACCTTAAGACGTATCAACACGACTCATCGCCCTACAATATGACACAGAAGTTTACTAAAAGAGTAGCTATCATTGGTGTAAGCCTTCCACTCCGTTCACGAATGACCACTGTATACCCGAGAATCTGCTGACCGGTGCGGCTCCGCAATAGGCCACCGGCACAGTGGGCAAGCACATCGTCGCATCGCTACTTAAGACGGGAAAACATGAAGTGACAGCTGTCACCAGAGAGGACAGCACCTCGAAGATCCCAGCTGGTGTGAGAGTCGCAAAAGTCAATTATGACGATCCCACAACCTTGGTCGACGCGCTCAGAGACCAAGATGTCCTCGTCATCACCCTGGCTGTCACGGCACCACAGGATACACAGGGCAAGTTATTGCAGGCGGCGGCTGAAGCAGGAGTACCGTTCGTATTGCCAAACTTCTGGGGTGTTGACGACGCCGAGTAAGTGTACCATTCCCATTTGGCCCGAAACGACGATGGCATAAGCATCTATTGTCGAAGAATGTCGGCTTGACAATCGTGAGTTCCTAGATCTGACGCATCTACAGTGAGAACCTCGGAAGCGACGTCCTTCTCGGCCTCGCCCAGCGTGCCGCTAGGAAGCAGATCGAGGGCTCTGGCAGAAGTGCCTGGATCGGCATGGTCACGAGCTTCTGGTACGAGATAAGCCTCTGTGCCCCTTGGGGATTTGGCATGGACTACAAGAATCGGAAGTGGACTTTCTACGATGACGGCGAGACAAAGATCAATGTCATTGTGAGTGATGCGTTTTATTTACACCTGTTTGCTTACGTTGGGACATTCGTGACTTACATGCTGGACACATATATAGACACTACCCCAGAGCGGCAAGGCAGTTGCAAATCTCCTTTCGTTGCCCCTCGAAGCCTCATCCGGTACCAGCTTGTCCCAGTATAGAAATAAACTCATCTACACGGCATCCTTTTGTATCAGCCAAAAAGATATGTTCGACTCCGTTCTGCGCGTCACTGGCACAAAGCTGGAGGATTGGACGGTCGATTACGAAGACTCAACCAAGCGATTCGCCGAAGGTAAAAAGCAGTTCGAAGGGGGTGATCTGGCTGGGTTTGGCAAGCTATTATATTCGCGAGCCTTCTTCAAAGATGGCTCAGGCAACTACGAAGCGAAGAGAGGCCTTGACAATGAGGCACTAGGATTGGAAGAGGAAAGTCTTGATGATTTCACAAAGTTAGCCATACAGAGGATCGATTCGGGTGCTACTTATCCATGATTCCGATTTGGACTGCCTTGAGATAAATTTTGTATCATCTCGGCAGTATTTATACTGAATATTTTGTTATTGTTTCTATATCTGTCATAATGCATAATGTTGTTCCCTTATGCCCTAGTTTTACTTCTTTATTATACAGGACTAGATCTAGCACCAGTCAGGCTCAACGACTTTATATCCCTATAATTCGGCACATGCATAGCATAAAACATGGCACCTGCAATTGTGCTCGGGTCGATTGGCATGGGTGGCCAAGTGACCAAGAACGACCACACCAATGCTATGATCATGACGCAAATAATGCTGACCGCAAGCCATACACATACTGTGCTGATATTGTCCGAATCATTAAATCTCGTGGGGATGTTGCCTAGAAATAAGGGTAGAAGCTCCGAGAGAATCGCGGCAAACGCGACGACTCCCAGATGGATATCGTGGGGCTGGCCGCTGATGACTCTCCAAAACCCCGAGAAAGGGTCAGATGGCGGGCTAAGGTAAACGGCCTTATCAATAGACTTCTTCTGCAAATACATTTGATAAGGACTTAAGAATGCGACGCCTATGTCGATGATTAGTTCTTTGTCCGCACGAAGTATAGCAGCCGGGTACTTACACGAGAAGAAAGTCCACCAAAGCAAAGAGATAATAACACCAAGGCCCGTTAGTATGAATCGACCCCCGAAGTTCTCCCTATCCATAAATTTCTGAAAACCTCCACCGGTGTTGTGGTATAACAATATCATTAGTAGCAGTCCTAGTAATAGCAGCAAGAATGAAGCTCTCCCTGTCCAGCTCAGAGTCGAAAATGGCATTAGTGATCGCGTCCCCCGCGAACATCTTTTTTTCTTTGTGTTGAAATCTCCTTGGTCATTTGAGATTTTCACTCCATATCTCCAGCCTGACTTTTTCAGCCAGTATCCGAGGACAAATCTTCGTTTTCCAAAAGACGTGATGGCAGCATTTCGTGTTATACTACCATCTCCGGGATCAAGGCTTCTCACCAGCTGCATTACCTCACCGTTTTTGGTGATTTGGCTGATTTCGAACATGCTCCAAGGTTGGTCATTTTTGACACCAGTTCGACGGCGCCAGAGTCCCCATAATGCGACACCAAGAAGCGGGACCATCAAACACAGTAGGCATGCGACAACTTTTGCGGGTCCTGAACTGATACCAAGCGATGTAGGACAAGTTGAGAGGGCACCGTCATCTGAGGTTGTGCATCCCGACTTTTGTACGGCAACCTGAAAAGCCTCCGGACTGAGAGCTATCAGCACTGAGTTTGCCACGACAAGGAGTCCTGTAACCGCCAGAAGCCAGTTCCCATTCCGTGGCGAAGTGAGGCCGGATATCAAGCCCCAAATACCTGTCGTATTTAAGTAGAGAGAGTCCGCTGTTCGGGCGCCATACGACCAAGTCATTGCGCTGAAAGGCTGGTACAACTTCACAGTCTGGTCGAGAATGCGGATAGGAATCGCCAACCCGATTGCCAGCAGAGTTGGTAGAAGTATACCCGTGAAGTACCCTGAGGACGAGATCGGGAGCGCGTCGTAATGAACTTGTTGCATCGATGCGTTAGACGCTTTTGTGGCGGTGACCCAGCTAACACTAGTTGAAGTTCCGTCGGGAACCATTTTTGTGATCGTCTTCGTTGCGTGTCCGGCGGCATCAAATTCAGTGACCACAGTTGGTGTTTCCGTGATTTCCAGCACTTGAGTAGTCGTTGCTACGCCATTGCTGTTCCTTAGTGTCGCAGTTGTCAATTTACTGTAGTATGTCTTCACCCTGACCTTTCCACTCGAGTCTGTTATGGTAGTTACAGATGGATATTTTAGAACACTGTTGATTTTGGTAGACGTTGCGAATCCCAAGCTGTCTGTGAGTGTCTGAGTGGTTAAGTAGCCATACTTCGTTAATGTCATAGTAGAAGTAGGGTGTCCGTAGTCGTCAGTCAAAGTTGTAGCCATAAGCACTTGGAGGCCGTCATCCGAGTTCGGCATTACTCCATGAAGTACTTGCAGAGTTGCTAGTCGCGTATCATAAAACACTGATGTAACTTCCACCGATGTCATAAACACAGCGCCCACAGCCAAAGCATTATCAGTTTCTGCTGTGCTAGGTGGAATCGTGACTTTTGATACCACTGTTTGTACAACATTTGTGCTCTCAATAACGTAGGCTGTTGTCGTGAACGGGACTGGTGGCTCTTCATGTGTTTCTATCGGACCCTGCTGGCCTATACCACTGCGCGATGAAGCACTTACTGCACCGACTGTGGCTACATTCGTGTTTGGCCCTAGACGAGGTGGATCATCGACCAAAGTGGTTGAGTTGGCGGCAGCCGTTAGTGCTGTATTAATTTCAGTGAAGCTACTGATATCTGTGGTTATCACAAGTTCTGTTGCAGTCGAAAATGACGAATGGATGTCAGCTTGAGAAGTATCCAGGGCATAGCTGTTAATTACAGTCGATCCTGTCGGATAGATAATCGTCGTGAGGCCTGTGACAGTTGCGGACTTTCCATTGGTTGCCGTCGAACTTGGAGCTGTACCAGAAGGTATAGCATTAGTGGGTTGACTGTTGGGCGTAGTGTCAGTAGGTTGATTACCGACTGGTTGATTGTTGCTGCTCTGACTATCAGTGGGCTCAGTTCCAGTCGCTTGGGTGCCAGTTGTTTCATGGCGACTCGATTCGGCGTTAGACGGTTCAGTTCTTGATGGCTGAGTATTGGTGTATTGAGTCACAGTAAATTGAGTACCAGTTGGTTGGTTGTCAGAAGGCTGAGTGATGAGCTGAGAACTGGTAGCTTGAGTGCCAGTTCCTTGAGTATTAGTCGATACTCCAGGCTGAGATGTGGCGTCTGGTATCTGTACCGTCGTAGTCGAAGTGATTCCTTGGTCCGGGGTGGTCGGCGACCCAGTTGCCGTATCGTCGGGCACAGTCTGGTCGTAAGTAGAAGATGTGCCGTCAACAGCACTACTTGTTGTGGGAACTGTGAGTGGAACACTTGTTTGGACCGTGTATATTTCAGTTTGTACAGAGCCACTCGAGTAATTGATCGTCGATGTCGGGGTCGGACCAGGCTGCTCGTTCCCTAACCCAATCGTGATAGTAGTCAATGCAGTCGTCCTCATGATCGTGGAATCATGCGTGATAGTGACCGTCGTATCGCATACTGCAGCTTGTCGACGCACACGGCTGGCATCAACAGCAGCATATCTTCTTCCAACGCTCAGACCAAGATTAACTGTAACCGCTGGTATAGTGAACCACTGAACATAAGTTTGTATGATGTCAATCGTACAAGTAACTAGCGGTAACCCTGTTGTCAAATGTGGTGAGCCATCTTCCCCATTCGAACTGGTTGTATATACTGGCGGTGGTTGGTTATCCTGACTGGACGGGATCTGGTAAGTTGAGGTTGTTACTGTTGATACATCTGGTGGACTAGTCTGGCTCTCACCTCCTGTCGGCTTGGCATCACTTGTACTGGGTTGTGATTGTTGAGCTGTTGTGACGACAGTGGTGGTTAGCGAGGAGTCGTTCTCAGAAGGAGCCGGATCGCTCGTGGAACTTGGATTACTACCAGTGGTGATTGGTGCACTCTTTGTTGGTTGTGGTTCCCCGGCATGAGATCGGGTCTTCTCGCCTCCGGAATTGTTTCCACCATCGCTAGGTGGTGAATTGTGATCTGTGGCAGTAGGACCGGTGTCCGTTGGTTGTTCCTTCTCAGTGGTGGCCGTCGTCTTTGTGTCTGCAGTAGACGTAGGCTTAACAACAGTACTCTCACTAAGTATAGTTGAAGGCGGCACATCGCTACCCTTTGACGGCTTTTGAGGCTGTGTATCCGACGGCGTTGTCGTTGTCGTCGTGCTGCTCGTCTCTCGGGTGCTTGTTGAAGACAATACTGTTGACGAAGGGGCTATGGTAGAAGAAGTGGTCATTGTTGATAAAGTGCTTGTCGTTGAAGAGGTGGTCGTCGTTGTAGTCGTGGACGTTGACGTGCTGCTAGTGCTTGGAATGGAACTCGGTGACTCTATGGGATCACTCGCCGAGGACACGGTGCTGGGCATCACAGTCGAATTGCCGTTTTGGCGGATATTCATATGGTGCGGGATCCATGATACTTGTGGCTCAACTCCAAGAGATCGCGGTTTGACTTTTGACGAGTTTCGGGATATCAGGCCGGTTGCAAGACTTTGTGTGTCATCTGGTAGAACCCGGATGGCCACAATCATCAACACAAACAACACCGTCACAATGAGTAAAAGTACAGAAAGGAATATCCGCCGTAGAACAAATGGCTTGAAGTCGGGCAGTTCAGGTGGCTGACTGCCTGGGCTTTCTTCCCGTACCTGCACACTGGCGATTCTTGGCGCGTAATGCAAATACTTGTCTCCAGGCTCGAATCCTGAGTATGTAGATCCCAAATCAGTCGTTTCTGTTGGAGCATCGCTTAATTTGCTGAGCGCAGACGGCGCACGGGGATATGGCGCATAGTACTCGGTTGGAGCACCAGCAAGCTCTGCAATATTCGCCTCTTGCGCCACTGTACCAGAAACCAGGTTGCCAACCGGCGCATAAGCAGCACTATGACCTCTGGGTCGAACATGTTGAAGTCCGTCATCTTCATCATCTTCCACCATAGGCGCCGTGTTCCGGAAAATACTGTGAATACGGGTCCGAATATCATCAGTTGCAGTCAGATTCTCCCATCTTTGTGAAACGTCGTCGTTCGGCCCGAGGAGATCGGAATCGTTCTGCGCCAGCGGAGCGAAACTGACGCCTCGGCCCCCGCGTTGTCGTGTCGGCGCCCGATGCATCTTGTGCAACTATTCGCACCACCGCTCCTCCAAAAATGGCCGACAATCGTTCATTTTTTTGGCGGCTGATACAAACTTATGTGCAAAATAATCAGACGTGTATCGACAATTGAATACCGCGAAGGCGGAGAGTTTCTGCGAGCATTCATTGCCGCAACAGGCAGAACGCATTCGACTGGCACAGTCATGCAAGGTGACTATGCGGGAATAGCTTCTCTTACATGGTGCAATAGTTCTAATCCTGTCGTGGCGGAGCCCAATCTAGACTGACAGCAAGGTAGTGGGTGTGCACCACTCTCTATGGGTTTATATGCATGTTGAGCCAATAAACCAATTACAGGATCACGAGAGTTGCAGCCAAACACCAAACCGACCCCAAAACAATCCCAATCTGGCAGGCGGGGCTTGCACTTCTCTCATCCTTGACATCTTGGCATGCCCACGCTCCCATGTTCACCATCTTCAACATGCGAATCTTGTTCGCACCTGATGATCTGATTGAAGGGATTAGCCTCTCCGCTCCTCGCAACCTGCCATCGTACGTTTCGGCCCGTCGAAGGCTGGTCACCCTGATATGCATCTTTTCTATGCGCAAACAATGGAGAAATTGGGGGCAATGCAATCCGAGAAGTGCATCGCGGCCAGAGACTGACCCCGGTCATGGCTCGGGCGCCTGTAGACGATGAAATGATTTTCTTTGGAATATTATTGTGGCTGTGACACATGAATGTGTGCGATTATTGACTCGGACTTTATGGCCCTGTTGAGTCAAGGTCATCTTGAGGTGTCAACCTTCGTAGAGCGCGGCTAACCGGGGCGGATTTCCGATGGGCATCTACACTGCATGGGGGTTCCGGATACTTACGGTAATTACAGCCTCACTAAGCATTGTTACCACAGGTTGAGCCTCGTCATATTTTACAACTTGCAAGGCTCTGATGAGTGACCAAATGGACAACCAGAGAAAGTCAGAACGTTTCAAGGCAAACTACTTGGCAAGGCCGACTTTTCTCCTGTGTAGACAGAAATGTTGGCACAGTCATTCCTTACCAAACTATCCAATGGAATTATATTACAGAACCGTGAATATGACCATAGATTCAGATGGGGGAATCTTATGAGAAAAGGTGGAAGACTAAGTATTGGACAATGTTGCAGACTAGAATGTGCTGGGCAACAGATGGGACAGATTGGAAGACTGGATTGCTTTTTACTGTAGTGAGTGCTGTCTATATAGTATCAACCTATATTGAACACTGCGCAGCTCTGGTGTCTACCAATTGTCCTTCACACTCAAAAATTTGTGACATTACTACCGGCCTTCCCGCGAAACCACCACCCAATTCGCAGATTGTTGACTAAGGTGTTATTCGCATAGCGACAGTATGAAGCGCTACTGTACGCTCTGCTAGTCCTAGACTCTTGGGAGGTTTCGTATGTGCCCTCCTAACATTGCTGCGCCTGGAGTTATACATAAGCGAACCAACCAATTATCACACGTAGGCATGCATAGCGAGATCGAGATCATGCTCTCCAGAACGGCCGACAACGTGGGTTTCGAGTTTACTAAACTGGCACTTATGAACAAAGAAAGAAGCAAATGAACTTACGAAACACAATCCAGTGTTAATCAAAAGGCAAACTACTCACAACTCAGTTTTGGGTAATCTCTAACACCTTTGGCGACCAGCGACATCATTAATATAAATGTAATAACACAATTGAAATGATTAGGCTAATAGTGATTAAAAAACGTGGTATCAATTATGTACATTGCTTACGCTCTTAAACAATGCGTCATGTGTATTTCCAAGCAGAAACGCGTGCTATCAAAAGTGCTATTGCATGGCGATTACAACAAAAAAGCAGCGATTCCGCCTACAACAGCAGCCAAGTTGATTCCATTGACAATAGCACCAGCCGTCGAGACAGTGGCAGAGGCCGATGTTGACGAGCCAGTTGCGGTAGCGGATGAGCCCGATCCAGACAGGGAGGAGGTGGCCGTGCCCTGGGAGCCAGGGGCAGTGGCGGTGCTGTTCGTAGTGCTGTTCGTAGGAATGACAACGGGCTGGTACGAGCTGCAGGTTGAGTTTGCCGCGACGGGGCACGCACCATCGATGCAGATAGATTGCAGCTCAGCACCCTGGGAAGGGATGACCGTGGTTGGTGGTGCGCACCGGTAGCCGAAGAGGGAGTTCAAGGCCGTGCCGACAGCGGTGAGGTCATCCTCAGCAACACCGAAGGAGGCAGCGGACATGGCGACTTGCTCGATGAAGTATGCCAACTCGTAAGGGTTGAGGTCCATGAACTTGTGGACTTCGTACATCGAAGCGTGTCCGGTGAACGCATCGAAACCGGGCATACCTTGCTCAGAGCATCCGAGCAGGGAACCGAAGAATTGGTAAAGATGGGTGAGAAGGAAGCTGTTATCGAGCACAGGTTAGCACGTTGATCGGAGAAATCTCAAGGAGATATTGGCATTATGACATACTATTGCATGGAAGTGTCGTCGTTGGCGGGCAGGTTCTTCATCAAGGGTTCAGCGCCACCACCATCCAGGAAGTTGATAGCCACTCCTGAGCTACCTCCACGGTTGCTGGAAGCAAGTTCGCCATCGAAATAAGGTAGGAGGTTGACATCAGTGCCATTAATCTTTCCTGGAGCCAAAATTCCAGGAACCTTGATTCCAACGTTGGGTTGAGTGTCTGGGAAGAGAAAATATTAGTATCTGTGGCATACGATGCGGATTATACTGGGATCCCTACAGTTTCCAATGACAACAGTGTTTACCACAAGTGTCAGAAGAGTGTACTGGTTATCAGCGGTGTTGTTCTTCAACAATGCTGTTGTATAGTAGTCACAGATCGAGGTGTTGGAAGGGCGCTGAGCACTTGCGGTGCTAGCAGCAGCAACAGCCGCAATGGCAGTCTTGGAGAAACGCATGTTGATAGGAAGTTGGATTGTGATGCTGTTTCGATGGATTGTAGGAACTGCTAGAGAAGAATAGCCAGAGGGACTGTCACAGTAAAGAGCAAGCAACGCCTCTTAAGTGTCTTCTGCATACTCAAGTGGCGTGAGCACCGCTCATTTCATCTCCCCCAAGATTCCACTAGATCACCAGGCTACAAGAAAATAAATTGCCTTCCTGAACGCTATACTAGTTCGGCACTGAGGCCTGGTGATCCTCTGGTACTGCCAGGTCTCCAAGCCCGGGAAGGACCAGAGCCGGCTTCATTTTGATAAAGACCTGTCGCTTCTTAGCGCTGGTATGTATCTGAGGTAGTGAAGAGGAGATCTACATTCCGGAGGTTCTGGTTCCCTCATCCAGGTAGGATTCTAGTGTCTGACGTTGTGATTTCAGGGCGGAAGTCGGCCTTAGCATCACCACATGGAATGTCCTTGGCTTGACCGAATCAAAACAAGATCTTCTCTCTTCGTCAAGCTTGACTAAGAGGCTTACCTCAAGTGGTCAGCTACCGTAGTGTGGGCTCGATGTGGTAACCACCCCTAGCCTGTCTAGACGTTGACGCTTCACTAGAACGAAAAGCAGCAAGATTGCCGTATGAACGGCGCCTCGAGCAAAACGGTCGTTCGCAGTACTACTACTGCAGGGGCAAACACCCAACCAATGAATGCGAAGCAAATTCCAATAGTTGTTGCGCGAGTTGTAGTCCCAACTCAGACATGGCTTGGCAAAATAAGCATAGCTGCCCCAGATACCCAATCCCCACACGGATAGCGCTCGATCCGACGGTATTTAGCTTTCCGAGAAGGAATGGCATATACTAGTGCCGACGCTCGTGCGGTAATTGCATACCCGCTCCTGATATCGACCATGTGGCACCTAAAAAGCTTAGCTGAACAACCAAGGCTAGACCGTTTTTCAGTATTACTACTGCTAAGGCCATGACTGACCGCTTCCTCCCCTTAGTTTTGCTACAAATCTGGTTGTCAAGAACAACTTGTCTAGGATATGTACTGGCTATTTGCAGCTGTCTAAAGGAATACTATTGATATGACGAACTGAGGACCCTATTTCTCAGTATATAATATGCTCCTAATTCCCTGAATGTCACAAATGATGCTCAACGGTCATGTATACCCTTAGGCCATCACGACTAAGCTTCGAACAAAATAGAATTCTTAGTAGGAACATTGGTCTAGACTGTTTGGTCCACGGACTATCGCAGCTACTATTCTGGGTTGCCAGTTTGCATTTGTTGACGTCATCAGTACAAAAATTGGGACAGATAGGCATGACAAGCAACTCTGGAGATGTAGATAACTGCGTCGAGCTACAGGTCTTCACTGATAGCCCTGTTCTGACTAGTCAGCTGGTAATGCTGCCGCTTCTCCTTGGGTGCAGAAGAAATGATTCACATGGATATTTGACGCCCACACATCAGTCATCCAGATCGATAACAGCCTTGCCTTGAGTAGTCACTTTGTTACGTCGGCCACTAGAATTGAAACTGAGAGCTTAGTGGGTTAAGGGGTAATGGGCATTGCACCCCGTCAGTGATGTACACCAGTGTGACACTGCAGATGTGATCTGCTGCAAAGAGAGAAATGAATGAAATAGGGGTACGAAATTTCCCTCCTGAAAGGTTCCAGAACTGGCCTCTGGGCTGAGTCACAGAGTGTGGTCATCAATTGAAGAGCCAAGAAATTCCAATTATCACTGTGAAGACCCCCATATTGGTCATTTGTAAGGCTAAGCAGCCGATTGTCTCGAACTCAGTCCTCTGCAACCCCTCCGTCATCGTTATATCGCAGAGCAGCAGTTCAACAGGCAGGAGACAAGAACCAGAGTAGTCGCCTCGACGTCTTGAAATGCCTGCATTATCCTGTAACATGCTAGTGAAGTCCCTATCGATGACTCTATATCAACCACTGGATTTTTTCCGGCTCATTGTTCTTACAACGATTTCGAACCACAAGAGTGGGTAGCCAATAGACGACAACAAGTTAGGGATGCGCCGATCTTTTGTGTCCGACTAATTGTCCGGTGCAATAGCCCCCGGCGGCGCTTTGACACGTTGCGAATCGGGTTATGTTTAGAACATGACCATATCTCCGATACACGACTGTCGCCAAGAAGATGGATCTCCTGTTAACAACTAAAAATTAAACTCTTTCACCATTTACAAATTCTTCGAAAGGTGTTTGACCAACAATAACATAAACAGCGTGAAGGGATTACTATTAGCCGAAGGGTAAACGGGCCGTACTGGTATCAGATTGGCCATTAATCTGGAATTATCTCACGAGCTCGGTCCGGATAATCATTGCGTTCAACTTGAAATTCCGGTCTCAATTGCCTACTTCCCTCTGCCTCCAAATCCACGCTAATATGAATCTCCGAACCTAAGATGCTAAGGTATATCCTCCCAAACCTAGTCCCTTAATACACGATTTCGAACGCTACATGATCGCTCGAATACGATGCTCATGCGCCATCGTCGATGGCCTAAATACTTCTGTTGTCTATTCCTCTCCCTACAGCTGTTACGAGTGCCTCAAATGATGATCAGCTAGGATTGAAAAGTCAGCAAGAAAGTCTCTAGAGTCACAGCATATGGTGGGCATACCTCAATAAGCTTCTCAGTTAGTGCGAAGCACTGTCTGTCTGGCTCTGTCGTCTGACTGAATGAGCAGGACCGCCATAGTCCACTAAAGCCCAAGTCCTCCAGGATCTCGTTGAGCACCCCACTTGATTCCAGAGCACTCGAGAACTTGGGATTTGAAGTCATGGTTTGGAATAATGTATGAGCAGATTCCAGTGTGGATGAGTTCTGGCAGTGCAGCAATATGTCGTCGAGGGATTGTGCGACTGGCGAGCACCTGCGGCAATGGTTAGCTGGTTTCTTTTTGCAATGGTATGGACAACTCACAGATGCAACAGTACTGCTGGGCGCCCAATGGCTAGTTCATTCAGCCATGTAAGCGTGCGGTTCTGCACAGCATCCTCCAAGTATTGGAAATCGATGAGCGCAATAGCTGTGTTCAGTAGCAAGTCCTTGTCCTTCATTACGGAGAAGTTCTGACTCGAGACACTAGAGGGGTGAATTCCAGACAAGTACAATGCATCCTTGAGCTCCTCCGGCTCGACTGCCCTGGCTTGAATCAGGGTCATATACGGTGAGGTGACCACGTCTCGTGGCAACTTATCAGCATCAGAAGGTGAGTTTGTCGTCGTCATCTCTAAGAACGTCGCCAGCACCCGCAGGGCCGTTGCTTTGGTCATAGTGTCGGTAAGACCACGAGCAAGACAAGCGCAAACAGCGAAGTGAAACGTTTCAGTTGTAAAGTGGATGCCGTATGCGGCATCCAATGGCAGAGCTGCGTCTTCGAGTTGACTCCGTCCTTGGAGCAAGACTTGAGCCATCTTGTCGTTTCTCAGATCACCGGCAGTGCCAATGTTAGTCAATACGGCCTCGAGAAAGTTTGCAGCACAGTTGAAAAGATTCGGAGGAACGAGACGAAGCAACGATATCGCAAGCCAAAACAGCTGCAAACCATAACGAGAAGCTGTCATCAACTTGCCCATCATCTTTGACAAGGACGTGACAATGGCAACCATCATCTCATTATGGTTGTCCTCGCCAAAGCGGCCGACGGCATTGCGTAAAGCGACAAGGACCTGATACAGAAGATCGTCATCGACTTCTTCCCTGGCAAGGCATCCCATAGCTGTAAATGCTCGAGGCTGAATGGCAGGATTGTTTTGAAATGCGGTACTCGCAACTAGACTCATCCACCGGGACCGCCAAGCGTTGGCCATATCCACGGAAGGTGCCGCTACTGAGCAGCATTCGAATAGTAGAGAGGCCAGATGCTCTGTCGAGGCAAGTGTCTGACCAGTCTCCTGGGCTGTGGACATGGAAGAACCGTCACGGACGAACGCAGGCGGTGGCGAGAAGATATCGTTCCTAGGTTCTGCCAGTGTCTCAAGATGGCTGCGCAGCCTGGCATGCTTGGCATCGTCAAGCTTAAATGAGGTGCAGGCTGCATGGATGGTATTGATGAGCAGCCTGTGGACCAAAATTCTGATGTCTGCTGGCCCTGTATTTGCCAACATTGTGACGATATGGAAGATTTCTGGCATGTATAGTTGGGATTGCACTCCGCAGTCGAATGAGAGCGACAAGCAGAAATTGAGGAGAATGCATATCTCCGGCCAGACAGCGTTGTCTGGTAAGAACTTTGTCGGCCGCTGAGAAGACCTGTTCAAGGCTTTCCTCAGGCGAGAGATGATCTTGCCGCGAAGCGTAAGGGTGCCGATGGACGTCACAATGGTAGTGAGTGCCTGTGTATGCTCATCATAAAGTCCTAGACTCATCGCGGCTTTGAGTATCTCCTCAAGGAAGATATCCAAAAGTGTCTCGTCTTTGTAGATAGCAGGCCATACAGTGAGCTCTAGGGTAAGGTTCAAGGTGGGATCCATGGTTGCCACGTCGATAAGCTTCCGGAAGATGGTGGCGATCTTCTCCTTACCTTTCTCACTGTCTGTCTCGTCCCCAAGAAGAGCTGTACGAAGTCCTGGCAGCCAAGGTGCCATGTAGGCCAGACTTAGAGGTTTTTGTTCATCAGATACGCTCTCCCACCCTCCAAAAAATTCGTTTAAGAAATCCGCGGTGAGCTGTGGTTCCTCCTCTGCGAGATGCTTGCTGATATTCACAATGAACTGTGATGGGTCCAGAGGCACCGAGATATCTCTAATTAGCATGAACTTGGAAGCTGCCTTGAACTTGAAGGCGCGGCAGAGAGCACCCAGCAGATTGTAAGAAGCCAGTCGTAACACAGGATCCGGTGCAGCGAGGTTTGTGAGAGCCAGGTTTAGCAAAGTACCTGGGACGTCCTGCGGTCGGATGAGCCTTTCGAACGACTTCTGTGCCCTCGTGTCCTTGCCGTACTTCACTTTGGCGCCGCGTACCGCCTGAAGTACATCGGCCTTTTTGGGACTTTGGAAGTACATGACAATCTTGCCATTATCAGCACGCAGACCAAAGGCAGAGTCGTCCTCAGTAGGAATCGACGTTGGAGCTTCCTCGACCTCTCCTAGCCTGAATATATCGTTCACAGTCGCGTTCAGGCGAAACCCAGGATGGACTTCTTGCTTCCGGACCGTAGTGACTTGTACGAATTGACTGCCGACCTTGATTATCACCTCAATTTTGCCCCTTGTCTTTGACAGCCTAGTAATTGGCTGAAAGACAAATCTGGTGTCCGTTACTACACTGATGGTCTCCTTGGGAAGGTGAAGTTGGCTTAGATGAAAGTGAGACTGAAGATCTTGTAAGCTGCCGATGAGGTGATAGTCAACGTTTCCAGGGTTGAAAACGCTGGTATCGCTCTTAGTAGCCACGCGAAGAATGCGACGCAGACATTTCCTATTTCTCGTTAGCACCAGAGAAGTAAGACAGGCTAGAACATGACTTACCTGAATGCACTGTTCATATTGTACACGTAAACCCTCGTCAGTTGGCGTGAGAGTTCAACCGGACAGAGCAGGTCAAGCTTTTTGAAGAAATCATCCGGAGGTTCGTTTTGACCATTGTAGCATGTAGCATCAATCAATATGCCAAATGGTCGATGCCACAAGCGACTCGCAATCTGAAGTCGCCGTAAGCCATTTGTGTTTGGGAATATTTGCAAGTCGAACCACACTTACCTTCAAGTAGCAATAAAGCAAAGTATCATAATCTATAGAATCTGAGTCGATGTGGCGCAAAATAATGCAGATAATGGATAACCCATCCTAGGATATGTCAGCGGCCGGTGCGAATTATGTAAACAATGCATTACGAACCTTGCTCTCACCGCCATCGTATACAGCGCGAGAAGTCATGAAGGACTCTGTACCCCGGAACGCATTTCGTAACATGAACTGCTGGAATCGAGAGTATAAAGGAGGGCTATTGGCAGTCATCTGCGGCCGATTCCAGGTCACAGCGAGGGGAGGAGGGCCTAAGTTTGTAATTAGAGATCGCAGTGGCTCTAAAACTGGTGATCGTCCGCGAAGAGGCTCGGCAGGAGACCGAACAAATTCTCTCCTTTCTTGAGACATAAGTCTCTGGCGAACCTGGTCCCAATGATCATAGAGGAATCGATGTAAGGCAACACATGAACCAAAGTCGAATGATTCCGGATCCAGTGTGCGTATCTCGCTAGGGTCTGGTTTTACCTGCTAGTAGTCAATAAATGCCTATATATATTGTGCATATATAGACTTACAGATATCTGACGCAGGAATGTGGTAACATAATAAATATTTTCGGTAAGGAACTCATTCAACGGAAACATGTACGGTTCTTTCGCGCCGAACAAGACGTTGTTTGCAAGGTTCTGTACAACTTTGGCAATTAAGAGCAAACCGCGGCGCATTTCCTTGGAGGGAGGAGTGCTAACCAACCCCTCTGTTTCGGGGGCTACAATGGCTGGGCAGAAGAATCGCAGGAAGATAAAAGCGCCAACCGCGGTGTATTTTGCCTCTGGGAACCGATCTAGTACGGCGTCGGATATGATGCTACATATCTTCTTGAACGAGGCCGGAATGTTGTTAGCCGAAGTGACGATATCGTCGATAAAGACTTTTGTTACGACCTTGAGTTGAAGTGCATTCTTTTGGATCTCTTCCTGTGTTTGGATGCCTCTTGCAGGGTCAAGCTCAAGATCGAGATCTTGCGAGGTCAGCATAAGCCGTTCGACAACCTTTTGCAGAGTTTCGCGGAGATAATTAGAACCCTTCCATTTGGCGTATATGGAAAGCACCTTCGTAGCAACACAATTGCGCCGCAATATCTCGGATTCGTTCTCGGTGTCTTCAATCTCTTGCTTGATCAACCCCTCCATGAGCTCGAAAGCCATACCACGTGACTCAAAGATGTTCAGCAAGGAAATAGTGAGCTCATCGACTTCGCCACTGGGACACACCGATGCTATGGCTACAGCAAGTTGCGTATCATGAGTAAGAAGCGACAAGAGTTCATCATACTTCTCACTGACAGCAGCATCAGAGAGATTACTGAACTCAGTGCCTTGTACCAAAATGTTGAAAAGAACTTTGAGAAAAGCGGTTCGTATCTCGACATTATCGTGGTAACCGATGCTCAAAGAGTGTTTCAAACCAACATCGATGTTGGCACTTAAGAGGTTAGATAGAATGGTGATGGCAAGATCTGCAGCGGAAGTTGACTCATCACGAGTGGTAGGTGGTACGAGGTGATCGCTTCTGTAACCCTCCTGAGATTCATAGTTGAGTAGTGATAGGAATCGGTTGAAGTACGTATGGAACATTTGAGATTTTAGCTCACTAGTACCCGCGTCATTATGGCCTTCACCAGGCTGTAGAGGCAGCCTGAAGGTCAGCTCAGCAAGCGAGCGAAGGCACGCCTTATCCAGATCTTTTTGAACACGGATTACCTCATCTTGGCGTCCAGGTCCGTAGCTACCGTCACCGCGCGGCGATCTTGGCCGTGCGATCCATCCGAAAATGAATTCCAGAAGCTGGTTTCGAATGCGTACGTCATCCCGGAGGTTTAAGTGCTCCTTCTTCTTGCTGAGGACTTCACAAAGCTGGCAAACTTTGATCTTGACTCTCAGACAGTGCATGTTGTCCACTCCACCTTCCAGAAACTTGGCAAAATTCAGTGCCAAGGCCCCAAGATGTACTGATGAGGCTGCTCCTAGGTCAGACGGAGAATGCAGGCGCTCAACTAAAGCCTTCAGCAGAGAGGCAGCTTGTTCGGCAAAGATTATTTCACCATCTGAGTTCTTGCCTGTGGTTTCAAGTGCGCCGGTGAAAAGCACCTCCAGTTCGGATTCTAGAGCCTTGAATAGGGGCTGATAGAGATTTGGTGATATCTCGGTCGACAACACATCTCTCATCGTCTCTCTTACACGCACATTGGTACAGGCCAGGAGTTGCACACTGAGCCGCAGAAATCGGCTCAAGAATGGCTCCTCAATGTTCTCAGAAGACAACCTGTCGATCCATTTCAGTCCGCTAATAGCAGGCTCTTCCAATACGTAAGCCTGATCAGCAGTGCAGATGCCCCCTAATGATGCAAGAAAACCGGTGTAATTGCGCCATTCGGATAGGGTCCTGTCATCGACGGAATCCACTGATGTGGTCGAGACGTCTTTTGACAAGTGCAACCACTTATCAAACGCCACTTCCCAAGCATTCAATATACCGGCACTCGGGAACTGCATGCTGCGCAATAAATTGCGCACACGTTTCTGAAATGCTACGACTCCGGTGAAGCGGAACGCGCGAGATCCCATCTCCTTGAACACATCGCCGTTTCGAAGTAGAGGTGAAGTCTTGGTTGCATCAGACGCATCAATGATTTCGCATTCCTCTTGGAATAGCGCAATGCAGGATGTGACGAGCTGGCACGTTTCGATATCTGGAGAGCACAATGATACTAAGAATAAAGTCTCGAGCTTCGTTGCTGTCGCTGTTCGCTCGGGGATTTCTCGAGGGGGGTCACTCAATTCCTGCAGCACTTGTCAGTATGATCAAGTTGGCCCACAAAGTTCATTGACGAATTACCTGGATAGATTGGAGCAATACGAGCCTCGATTCTAGGTAGCTATGAATCGTCTGGAGCGTTCTCTCATCTCCATACTGGGCGTGATCGTCGCAAATAGTATTCAAAACAGCCGAACTAAGCATATATATGTTAGCGATTGTCAGGATAAGTAAGCTGCGAAGACGTACGTCATTCTCCAAAAGTCAAGCCTCAAATTTTGTTGATCCAACCGCTTTGATTTACGTAGTCGAGCCAAGACGCCTCCTTGAGAGAAGAGCTTCTTAGCCACAGCGCCAGCTAGCGTTCTTACTTGGTCATCTGGGGACACCATGCAGGAGATTAGACCTTGGAATATATCTTCGTAGAAGCCTTCAGTAGCGTCGTCGGGTGGGTTCTGTAATAAAAGCTCTGGTGTTGGTTCGAGAAATTTGAGAATGTTGCGCAGCAGGACGAGGCTTGCAGCACCGGTCTCAGATGCTTTTCTTTGAGTGTTACGATTCGCACTGGCCAAATCCGATTGCACATTGAATGTCGCCTATACCAGTTAGAGAGATTGCCGGCTTGGTTGGGAAAGATGATTATACCTTTAGTTGGTTCTGTACAAAGCCAATGGTTTCAGCGAAGAGGGGTTGGTATTCCTCTGCATCCTTTTCTCGTGCAAAAAATGCGCAAGCTTGTATTATCGCAACCTTGAAAGTCATTGGAGAGGACGGGTGCAAACAAGTTTGAGCTAAAGATTCTACGCTTCCTTCAAGATTCAGATGTGTGAGAAAAGTGAAAGCGGCTGTTGTCATGTCTTGGTCAAAGGAAGCTCCTTGCCCGCTCGACGACAGACGAAATGTTGCATCGCGGACCTCGTCTTGAATATCCATGGCATAACTGATAATGGCCGCATCGCTGTCGATATCGAAGTGCCGCACAACACGCAATAGTTGGAGTACGCAGTATGCCGCAGATTCGTTCCTGTTCTTCAAACCTTTCCTCAGCCCGTCAAGATACTGCATCTTCTTAGTTATAGCACCACTTTTAGCATCACGTAAGCCGCTAGCCACCTCAAATACGTCAGGCAAAAGGAACAAAAGCGACATTTGCATTGGCGACAAAACTGCGCGCCTCTGGTTGGTGTCAACTGCAGTCTGCGCCATATCGAAGAGTGTGTCAGCACCACCGTCGAGTCTTCTATGCTGGTTGTGCAACCTGAGGAATTCTTCCGGATATCGGTCAATCCATCGCCGGATCATCAAAGGAAGCGCGATTGCGACCGTGTTTTGAAAGGACTTTTTGAAATGGAGAAAGCTGGAGCAAAGCTCCTGTATAATGACTCCTAACTTCTGTGCATCGACCCACGTGTAAGCCAGTAGCCGGAGTATCGTCAGAGAGTTTTTCTCATCTTCAGCCAAAGTCGTAGGTTGTGGTATGCCGGATTGTACTGTAGCAGCACTGCGTATGCCAAAGACGGTAGTCCTGAGATAGTCGAATGTAGCAGTCCAATTGGACGCACTGCAATACTCGACAATCTTCCTGATATGAGGTTCAAGCTCTATCCCACGAAGAACCTTGACTTTGTTTAGGCTCTGGCCGGGTAATCGGTCCGTGAAGAGCACGTCCAGGCCTTCCGTGATCTGAGGGTTTAGAACGTCATGCAGAGTATAATCGTCTAGCAGTGTGATTCCCGGCAATGTCCATCCCTCTGGTATAGGGCTCAACAAGCACTTGTATAGCTCCGTCATTCTGCCCACGACTGCCGCATCGAGGGGTTCCGGGAGGACTTGCCTGACGGGTACCCTCCCGTTCTCGCGCACACCACCAGCGCCATTTGCGGTTATATCTCGTTGGTGTTGCCAGGAGGCGGAGCAACAATCGGCCAGCAACTCGAATACGTAAAGCGCTGAGGCGTAGATGTGCGGAGGGAGTGCGTCTATGCCTTTATAAGGCCGAGCTAGCTCCTCCAGTAATGTCATTAACGACTCGAGCACGAGTACTATCGACGAGGCGCTGATCTTCAGCAGTGATGCGCGTGTAATCACAATTATGTCGTCTTGGCGGAAATCCGTAGCTTGTGTGCCTGTGCGATGTGGGAGCTGGGCGAGAGATGGTTAGCATGAAGCACGAGCAGAGCAAAGAACAGTATAATCTGTCATGAACAACGAAGCGAACAACGGGAGTAGGACGGGTTACTCTAGTGGTGAGTCTCTCGACCAAGCAGCCCACGAGACCTGCATCGCCATTCATCTTGTATTCCGTCGTCTAGCAATTCTGGAGCTACTACTCATCATCGTGACGGTGCCATGGAACCCGACGGGTTTGGGGGGGCAGTAAATCGATATAAAAGGGCCACCAGTCGCGTGATACAACCAGCTGGTCACAATGCTTCAACGTTTCTTAAGCGTGTCCTATTCGCCGCCGTAGTTGCTCGCCGCAACCAAACCAAGCTCGAGCTCTGAGGTCGTGTCCGGCGTTGGGGGACGTGCTCGTTTCGCGAAATGTGAGGTTCCGGTGTATCGTCCGATGCGCCAAACGAAGAGGGGCGATGGTACCGTGTATATGATACCAGCAATGTCTGAAGGAGAGCCTAATTGAGACTCGCGCGCCCTCTGCAGCTTGACAAGTTCACGGCAACGAGACAGAGGGAAAGGGAGAAGAAAAAGTGTTCATAGAAAATCTCCAATATCGAAAAAGCAATCAATTATTGTCGTCAAATGAATTTAGCAGCCCAACAGCCTGCCATCCCAGTATGCGGGGGTGTGTTATGCCGGACATAAGACAACGTGGGAAAGACACTACCTACGCTACCAAACTACCTACGCATAGCGCAATGCCGGCCGCAGGTTAGGGGCGAGGGGGACTAACGTTAGCCTACAGAATGTATTTTGCACCGCTGCGAGATCCCCAGCAGCTCTCATTTCTTGGAATCGAGGTGGAATTTTCTCTGCAAATCTCAAATGTGATGAGCATGTGTGGACCATGGCGACATCTGAACCTATCTTGGCCATGTTCAGCGGGGTAGACCCTGCTGTCAAGCTCCGGAAACCCTGCAGAGAGCCAGTCAAGTCCACTGAAGGAGACGTCCCCTGCCCGAGCTAATCTTGGAAGCAGGCTCAAGTTGGGCCTAGCACTAGCATTCGTCCGGCCCATATGCACCTCATAGGCGGAAGTCGCCATTAAAGTGGGAGCTTACCTCGGGAGGGCACCTGAACCGTACAAGCAACGAGTATTCAAGTGCTGACAGAGTACAGTCGATACTCTCTCTACGGAGGCATATACTGAATACGGATGACCTCATACTCATCCAAGGGCGTCAATATTTGTACTGTACTGTGTGTGGCTCAGCTGCCGCGATTTCAATACACCTTCCGGCGTTACTGTTTTTCGTATGGCTTGCGACGACGAGCTGGAAACAGCGAAGATTTCCGTTGATCATCAGTGCCAGGGTATCAGGGTATCTTCAACGCTGCTTGTCTCCCCCCTATTCCATGGTGGCAAGCGATAGACATGGGGCGAGCGAAAGATTGCAATTGCCATGAACTCTAACATCTACCGGCATGCACGGATCCGTACTCCAGCGAGTATTTACAGATAGTCAATTCTAGCGCCTGTGATTCTTCTGCCCATTACTTGAACGGAGGTCAGGCCGTCTAGGGAGTATATAGGCGAATACCATAAGAGTTGTTCTCACAGATATCGACATTAGGCGCTGCCTTGAGCGCCTTTCATCTCACGCACTAGTATTATTATTATTATTATTATTATTATTCTTCTCCTTCTTCTCCCTGTTCTCCCTGGTTTTCTTTTTCTGTAATTTACTTTTTACGTTTTTAAATATTGTTTTATAAACGCGATAATGTGGTGAGTTTGCAACTTTCATCCCACAGTTGTAGGAAACCTGCAGACAAGGCGGCGCACTCGCAGCTTTACGTAGCGGCTCATGAATGCTTATTGAAAGATCAACTTCCTGCTCCATGTAATACTGCTGGGTGATTTTATCCTAATGGTTTTTTATGTCATCTTGCTTTGTCTTATAAATACGGTACCTGGTTCAATAACATAGTGCAGAAAGTCGCCGAAGTACAAGCAGCTTCTGTTCCTCCCACTTGATAGGTGCACCAATTTATGCGTCTCACCCATGGATGAACTTCCATAGTCTGCTTATGTCAGTAATCTCGGTCTCGGCGGATTGATGATGTGACCCGACAGTCTGGGTCGTTTGTGGGTTTGCCGCACCACCATGACTTGTCAGACCCCATTTAAGCCGTCTTATGACCAAGATGAATACAGATATCAACAAATAGTTGGTGTACAAAGGTACAACAACGCACTTCACATCACCAAATTTCGTCACACATAAAATGCAGCAGACGAACACAAGAGGCGGGAGCCGCAAACTGCTGGCTCGCTCATCATTAGCTATATGTGAAAGCTTGCAGTCGGGGCTTTCCAAGTTAATACGTCCAAGCTCATGCCGGGCAGCTTCTCCTGCTGAATCGGCTATCTATAGTCTCGGCCACCACGCTGGTTTCTACCGCCGTCATATGGACGCCCGCCACGTCCACCTGAGTTGTAGTTACCACGATAACCACCGTTACCACCATTGTATGGCGCCTGAGGAGCAGGTGGGTAGTATCCTTGGTTGCCGCCATAATTCCCTCCATGCTGGCCACCGAAGGATTCACGGCCACCACCATGATTCGCTTGAGGCGGCGGGGGCGGTAAGCCTGCACCGAATCCAAAAGAGCCCGGTGGCGGCGGAATCCAGCCAGGAGGTGGCACAGGCGGGAATGCATCAGATCCTGGAAATCGGTTCTGATTATGGTTATAGTTGTTGTTGTAGTTTTGATGCCTGTCTTGTCGGCCATCACGACCTCCAGATCCTGGGCCGTAGTTGATCCTTCCTCCGCGGCTACCATTGTAGCCACCTCCGCGACCCAAAGGCGCACCACCATAGCTGCGCCCAGCATTTCGCAACTTACCTCTCAACTCTTCCACATCGCCTCGATTTAACGCAGGGGTTGGGAGTTCGACGCCTCGTAAAAGCATCGACTTGTGAGTGTGAGTGGTGGTCGGCATCTTATAGGTTACCCTGTAAAATTATCAGTACTATGCTAGAAAGGTTGAGTAGAAAGTCACAAAAACCTACGTTAATGAACGGTCATCATCCACGTTGGGCATGCCCTTCCTCTCGAGTGGGTACTCCAGGGTTCCATGTGGAAGGTAGTCATCTTGCTTCTCTACTTTACCAGAGAGACCTTGCGCAAGTCGAGGGTCAATCTTGTGCTCGGGTGCGCCTTGTTTCTTTGAGTAGAAATGACTAATGATGTCGTCATAAAGTTCATGGTTGGCCTCTGATAGCAGCAAGACCTCCTTTCCAAGACCATTTCGGGCAGAGTCGTCAGTACTGAGGAGTGGATACTTCTTTTCAGCAGCGGCCAGGAGACGAGGCATGTCAATGAAAGGCAACAGTGCAACACCTTGCCAAGCCATCTTCTTGCCATTGAGATCAATCTCAAAATCTTCAGGATAGAAATCAATGATCTCACTGCTGGGGTTGGTCATGAGATCGTGAAACACGCTTGGTAGAACGTGTTTGGAGGCGGCAGGTTGGACGCTGAGTAGCTGCTCAAACGGCTTTGAAATTCTACCTTTCTCGAACTTGATCTCCATCTTGCCGAGATCCACGAAGTCTTGAGCGAACGGAGCATAGTGGTAAGGATAGTACCACTCCCAAGAAGGACAGCCTTGGAAGTAATATCTCAGAACCCAGGCAAGGCCTTCCATGTAAGCTCGTCCCACCTGATGGCGAAACTCGATGTCCTTTGGATCAACATGGAACTTTTGCTCGTAGTACCTATCGGTGTAACCGTCCTCCCACAGTCGTACTGTGTCCTCTGACGGATCAGCCTTGGGGGCTGGTGGCGTCTCCGCCTGCGCCTCGCTTCCGGGAGTGCTGGCTTCACTTTGCTCGATCAAGTCAGCCTTACGCTTTCCAAGAGCCGACGGAGATGTTGCAGGCACAGTCGCGCTCTCTGAACTTGGTTTTGCCACCAAGCCTTGGATCTGGCTCTTGAGAACTGCGGCAGCACTCTTGTTTGCCGTATTGGCATCGGGGACGGGTGCGCGGTTGACGACCATGTCGTGTGTCAGTGCTTTCGGAGGACCTGACATTTGGCTGTTGTCGCCTCCATTACGGTTACCATTTCGACCATTTTGGTCATCGTTCATTCTCCGTCTCTTGGCATTGGCTTCCCGTCTCTCCTCGGTTTGTCGTCTTCTGCGGAAAATTGTGTCTTCCTGCTTGGCCAACCCCTGGAAGATGTACTGAGCCCTGTCCAAGTTAACGTGGCCGTCTTTAGTAAGATAGCCACCCATGACAGGGAGGTTGTCCCGCCATATAGCGGTGAGGGTGTCGATTCCGTTCTCACGGATTTCGAGAGCAGGAAGATGGGGTAGGAAATCGTTGCCGACAAAGAAACACAAGAAGACCCAATCATCAATAGCTCTTTCCAAGTCAAATTTGAATGGGAGCCCAGGTACATCCAGCTCAACGGCAAGATATTCTCGCAGCACGGAGACGTGGAGCCAGATGAAAGGTTTCAGTGGCATAGGTTTCTTGTCTACCAGCTCGTCGTCCTTGGGCTTAACTTCACCACGGCAATCTCTTGCCTCGTGTCCTGGCTGACCACAAAGCCTACAGGTCCTGACCTTACCCTGATCAGCAAAGACATCCTCACGAAGCACGCGGAAGTGCGGTTCATGAGTTGCAAGGCCCAACATGATGAGATCAGCATCTAGACCATAGATGACGTGACGAGTGTTTGGATCGTGTTCGGGTGAGTTTCGCTGCGATCGAACGAAGTTCATGATCTTATGCTCTCCCTCTCCGGGCACAGTAGCATCGGAGATAATGACCTTCATCTTGGACCAACCTGGGTCTGTGTTTAACTTGTAAGCGCACCAATATCTCAGACTGCCAGCCAGGATGTCCATAAAAGGAGTACCCGGTGTAATCGAGTTGGAGTCGAATGCCTTCTTAGTCATAGCTTCCAAGGTTTCAGGCGGCAGGACGCCACCATTCTGTTGCTTGAGCATCTTGTAGTGCTCCTGCTTATCTGCCTCCTTCTCTTGCGCTTCCTGCGCAGAACGAAATCGTCTCGAGCGCTGTTGATTCATCTTAGCTCTGGGAGCGACACCGTCTAAATCATTGTTAGCATCAAGCAATGGCGAACCCGGAAACAGTTTGAGCTTACCAATTGCGATCATGAGCAGCTTCTTCGGCCGAACCATGTTCACAACACGGTCTGTGTATCTGAAGACTTCTAACATCATCTCTTCCTCATCCCTAGGTGCAGGTCGATCCTCCGGATGGGAACAAGGGTGGACAATGCCATTCATGTCCAGGTAGAGATTGTCGAACTCCTCGCCATTAGGATTTGGTCTGGTGGTATCTACGGGTATCGTGGAACCATCATCCATCTCAATAGGCTTATCCTCAATCACCGGAGAGATAATCTTCGGATACTTGGTGGAAAGCCATCGAAAAGCTGCGGGAATACCCATCTTTGCGATCGTGCTGCGTTATTGCAACGGAAAAATGCCTTGCGAAAGTCGTAGGTGTAGTCGCACTGTAGACAGTGCGTTGGGTGCATATAGACTACAACAAATGACTGGCGGTTCAAGAGGGTTGAATACACCCAGAAAAGAAAGAACTTGAAGTCGCCGATGCCGAGTGCATCCGACGAAAGTTGAGAGGTAATAAGACGATGCGGATTTGGAGGACAAAGAAGCAACAATGTGCTTCAATGAGAAGAGAAGATGGTTTCTTTCAGACGCAAAAGTGAAAGCGCGGCTCTGTCGCGAGCTTGCCGTGCCTGCGCCTGCGCCTGCATACTTGACGCTAATCTAATATTTAAGCGGAGTTGATGCCCCATTAAAAAGTCGGCACGGCGAATGCTGAGCACCGTCGAGTTCAAGGTCAAGTTCAGGGTTCAGCTATGTACGACTTTTCGTATGTAGCTTATCCCTGTTTATTCGCATTTCGAATTTGGCATACTCCATCCACCCTAGGTCGCAAACCCAGCTCATCTTGTATATTTTGTCCTTATTCTACCTAGTTGAAGGCCGAGGAATGGTCTCCATTATTCAAAAAAGCTTGATAACATCTCGTCTTTCATGATAGCCCCGGCGGCTTTTATTTCGGAAGTCACCAGTTCCAAGTACTAAGTATCTAATGCAAGGTTGCCGATGTAATCTCGAATTCAGGCTGGGATTTTGCAGATGGTCTAAACGTCGTTCCTGCCGTTCTCTGAGACGGACCCCTAGAATGTTCCGTTATGAATTTTAAGATATCTTTGTACAATGCACTTTGAGGACAGAGAAAGATCTGGGGTTGGTGGTTTAGATCAACTTGGTCCTGTACCGACATGCCGGGTTATTGCATATCCCTCTTTAATTTCATATGAGCTGCTTGTATTCCAAATTTACTCAACTAGGAAAAGGCAACCTGGCAGTAAGATCAATTATATTTTGTGAAGCTCACAGTACTCCGTAAACAATTCCTAGACATTATGAAGCTATCTTGAAGCTTTCTTGCTTAGCAATCCATCTTTCTCTCGATTCCTATTCCTCCGTGATGAGCTGCATGCATCAGATCCGGTGACCTCCCAAATGGCCTCGAGATTCCCCTAAAGAACAAGAACGCCGTATAAGTCACCATGTTCTCGACAATCGCGAATGCGCCGGCGAAACAGTCCGTAGGCGAGACAATTGCGGTTCTGAGTGGTCGCCTGAATTCTGCGACACTTCTCGAGGACCGACGAGCCGCCATTCTCGGCCTCCGGAGCTTTGCGAAAGATTATCCTGCATCTGTGGCTTCTGGCGCCCTGAGGAGCTTAATCGGGAGTCTTTCAAACGATGGCGAGGATGTGGACACAGTCAAGGTGGTCCTTGAGACCCTCCTGATGCTCTTCAATCCTAATCAGAACAGTCCCGAAGCCTCAGAAGACATAGCATTATGGCTGGCCGACGAGTTCACCCAGCGACAAGAGAACGTGACGCTGCTCCTCGACTTCCTCGAAACCAACGACTTCTATTCGAGGTTATATTCACTGCAACTTCTTGCAGCAGTGCTGTCAGCACGCGCTGATAGAACCGAGGCTTGCGTATTCGCAGCTCCTCTAGGAATTTCAAGTCTGGTAGCTGTCTTGGACGATCGGCGAGAGGCGGTTAGAAACGAAGCCGTATCTCTCTTGACATACTTGACACCCACATCACCGGACATACAGAAGGCCGTGGCTTTTCAGGGGGCATACGGGAAGATATTTGCGATCATCTCCGCCGAAGGTGGTTTGTCTGAGGGCGACAGGATCGTTGAGGACTGTTTAGTGTTACTGGTAAATCTACTTCGGCTAAACACGTCCAACCAATACACATTTCGCGAAGAAGGATACGTAGCCCAGCTGTCGCAGCTGCTCAAAACCACATACGACCTCGCAAAAGACGCAGAAGAGGTGGCCCAATGGGCGCAGCAGCAGGGAAACCGGAACACGTATGCTTTACTTGCTATTGTTCGGTTGTTTCTTTCGCCAGGTGAAAAGGAGACGGCCTTGAACCAGAAAGCCTTCTGGCAACATGGAGTACTATACCATGCTCTACAGCTAGCGTTTGCCCAGGCGTCAGACATCTCGATACGCGCCGAAGCGCTATCAGTATGCGCTGAAATCGTTCGAGACAACCGCGAGCTTCAAGAAGGATTTGCACAACTTCAAGTACCAAGCGTTCTTCCTAATGATGTAAACGGGGTGAATGGGAAGACAAATGGCATCTCCGTCACGCTTGTATATGTGATTGATGGTTTGTTGGACCTCACTCTGACTGTAACTTCTCTGCAGTTGTTCGATCTTCGAATGGCTGCATGTCAGTGCTTGAAATCTTATTTTCGCAACCACGATGAGATCCGCCTCCATTTCCTTCATCGCGCCATCGAGGGCTATAAAAGTGGAAGTGACGAGACTGCTAATGTCCTCACGACGCTTCTGCAGCCAACAGCTCTGGCATCTAGCGATCCATACCGTCATTGGTTTGCGGCCGTCGTATTGTTACATCTGCTACATGAAGATGAGGACACTCAAGAACCAAGGGCCAAGAAATTAGCCATGTCTCTTACCGACGGCGATGCTGACAGCGGCGAAGAAGTTGTCACAGCAATACAAACCATTACAGCACATTTACTCAGTGGCATGAAGTCAGATATTGATGAGCGAATAATCGTTGGATACTTGATGTTGCTCATCGTTTGGTTGTGGCATAATCCAGATGGAGTGGCCGACTTCCTGGGAGAGGGCAGCCATCTTCAAGGACTCACTGAGGTTGTTCAAAACCCAAAGAGCAACGCAGTGGTCCGAGGCTTATGTGCAATGCTCTTGGGCGTTATTTACGAATACTCTACCAAAGATTCCCCAATTCCGCGTGCGTCTTTGCATGATGCTTTGCTCACCCGCATGAGCCGGGGGAATTACCAAGTATCTCTACGGGACCTCCTCAGACATCCCCTGATCAGGGATTTTGACCTGATCCCTCAGAAAGCAGACGATTCTGGTGAGTCACCGGAAGTCTTCTTCGATGCTACGTTTGTGGATTTTTATAAAGACCACTGCAGCTACGTCATCCGCGCAATCGACACAGATCCTGCCATTGAAACGTCCGTAGTGATCAATGGTGAAGAAAAAGGTGTTTCTCGTCAACTTGTCGATGATTTACGTGCTGAACTTGATGCCGCCCGAGCAAAGCAAGACGAGTATTACCAGAACTGGCAGTCTACGCTTGTTGATGGCACAAGTTCAAGTCAACAGCTCAACCAGCAGTTGCAGAATGCAGTAGGAGAGGTTACAAGGATCAAAGGTCTCAACGAGGCTCTGCATCGAAACCACGAGGAGGAAGTGAGGTCTTTGCAGCGGAAACATGAAGACGCATTCAAGTCTTCGGAACGAAAGTTTGAAGAGTACGTCAAATCTCTTCAGCGCAAACACGATGAAGAGACCAGAATTTCTCAACGGAAACACGAGCAAGAGAGCAAAGCACTACAACGAAAGATTGACCAACTCGAAACCCAAACTAAGGCGCTTGAAGCTGAGAACAAAGACGTCAAGCAGAAGTTTGGTGATACTCTCAGAGCCAGTTCGCGTTTAGAGCAGCAACTCAAGTCGACTGAAGAGCAGGCAACGGCCAAAACAGCTGAGATACAAAGGCAACTGGACTACGTCAAGAAGACGTCAGAAGCCGAAGCTGCACGGAAAGAGAGACGTACTGGAGCTGAGATCGCAGACCTACGTGCTACGATTAGTCGCTTGGAAGTCGATCTTTTGAAGGCAAACAAGCTTCATACGCAAGAACTACATACTGCCAAGGAAGAGGCTACAGCTGAAGCCGCCAAAGTCAAGGAGGCTGAAAAGCGGGTTCAAGATGTGCAAGCCCAGTTGAAACATGCGCAAGAATCGGCAACAGTAGTGACTGCACAACTGGAGCACCGCTTGCGGGAACTTGAGGCCGACCACAGTACTCATATCCAAAGTCTTCAAGCTGAAAAAGCGGTCGAACTCCTGAAAGCGAAGTCCGACTTAAAACAACAAAATAAGAAGGACGATGAACTTGAAAAGGTTAAGGCGCAATTGAAAAAAGCCGAGGGTGAACTTCAGAAAGCCAAATCGGACTCGAAACAGCAGAAAGGCAAGAACGAAGACCTCGAGAAAGTCAAATCACAGCTCAAGAAAGCCCAAGACGAGCTCCAAAAGGAGAAGTCTCGGCCCAAACAGCAGAATAACGATGAGCTAGACAAGGTTAAGGCGCAACTCAAGAAGGCTGAAGAGGAGCTCCAACAAGCCAAGGCTCAAACGAAACACCAAAACAACGAAGAACTCGAGAAAGTCAAGGCACAGCTGAAGAAATCGGAGGACGAGCTCCAGAAAGCCAAGTCCGAATCGGCACGACAGAAGGACGACGAGCTTGAGAAGGTGACATCACAACTGAAGAAAGCTGAAGAGGAATTCGAGAAGGCACAAGCACAGACGAAGCAGCAAAAGAATGAAGAAGTGGAAAAGCTCAAAGCACAGCTCAAACAGGCCGAAGACCAACTCCAAAGTGTCAAGTCACAGTCAAAGCAGCCGCAAGAGGAGCTACAGAAGGTGAAGTCTCAGCTCGCGAAGAAGGACGACGAGGTGAGGCAAAAGGAAGCTCAACTCAAGGCCAAGGATGACGACAAGGCGGCTACGCAGACGGAGTTGGACGATCTCCTCATGGTCTTCGGTGACCTTGAGGAGAAGGTTGAGAAGTATAAGGTAATACCTATGCATACGCTGCCACCCATAGTATCGTACTGACAATCTCACAGAAACAAGTAGAACAGCTTGGCGGGACAGTATCAGAAGACGAAGATGAAGACGACGAGGACGAGGACGAGGACGAAGATGACGACGAAGTCGATTGAACCACCTCTGATACGGACTAGCAATGCCTAGTCAATGTAATTCTGATAGCTATAATGATCTCGTCTATTGAGAACAAATCATTGCTGCAGATTTGCGCGACGAAGTAGCGTACCATTGCCAGGCTGGGTCAGGTCAATGGCAAATGCAACAAATCAATAAAATTTGACACAGATGTGCAACACATATATAACCTCAATGTCCCGTGCATGTCTCTCGGGCTGTCAAGCGTGCCAGTACTCGCGAGCCAATGTGAGAGCTACCCGACCTAAGTGGCCCCGTTTACCCACAATAGCTATAGAAAGCAGCAGTGTAATGCATTTATCCGCTTGTGCATGCAAATGGCGTGGATTTGAGTTTTCGCTTTGAGAATCTTCTATCCACCACAAATTTGCATATTGCCCAATTTAGCCCCAAATCCAGTATTCGCACCCCTCCTCCTTTTTTGTGCTTCAGCCATACTACAAACGGTAAATTTTAAATTTTATTCAGAAATTTAAAAAGGGGTGATAAAAAGATGGCATCCCTCAAACCCGGAAGGTCGAGAGACCCGATCAGCGACTCGGAGTCGTCCGACTCCAGAGAAGAGGATGAAGAGGGCTGGGATGATGTCGACCAAGACGAGGAGGAAACCCAGCAGGTCATTTCCCTGCTCGACGACAAGGTATTCCCGGATGTTCTGTCCATGTTAGACTACTGCAAGGAGAAGCACAGTTTCGACTTTCTGGCTCTACGACAGAAGCTGCAGCTGGATTTCCATGGCTGTGTCAAGTTGGTTAACTATAGTAAGTGCATTGCGTCCTTCTTTTTTGTGTTAGAAGACACCAGTGAATCACTAAATATACGGTAATGCTCTTCTGAAAGAATGATGTTTGTTTTCAACTCCCCGCTTGATCGCATATCGCTACCAACAAATCTTATCTTAATCAAGATTTCAAAATTGCTAACTTTCTTTAGTCCGCTCGCGGGTCCATGAAGGGCAGGCCGTAACTGAGGACATATCGAAATCCGATATTGAGTCAGACCAATACCTGAAGCCGGTCCTGGACGACGATGCCGTCATCATCGGGATTTTCGATCTTCCGGATGTCGTGCCGGAGGCTGCACCTTCGTCCGCACAGGCACAAGACGCCTCCGTGGTCGACGACCTGCTCAAGCGCAACACGGAGCTTCAGGAGAACCTCCTGCGCGTCACTGCCCAGTTCGAGAGCTACCGCGCCACCGTCTCCGAGACTCTGGACCAGCGCTGGGGCGACGCCGATGCCGCGGAGGCGGAGGCCAAGACTGCCGGCAAGGAGGTAGCCGGCCGGAAGAAGCCAGAGGATGCATCGCATTATTACTGGGAGTCATATGCTGGAAACGGTATGTTTTGATCCTACTTACGATCAATATCGTCCAAATTTCTTTCTAAAAATCTGTGCCGTTTGCTGACAAAACGTGGCAGATATTCATGAGACCATGCTCAAGGACAAAGTCCGCACCGAGGGCTACCGCGACTTCATCTACAACAACAAGCACCTCTTCGCGGGCAAGACGGTGCTGGACATCGGCTGCGGCACGGGCATCCTGTCCATGTTCTGCGCCAAGGCGGGCGCGGCGCAGGTCATCTCGGTCGACGCCAGCGACATCATCAACAAGGCGCGCGAGAACGTCATCACGGCGGGCCTGTCGTCGACCATCACGCTGATCAAGGGCAAGATGGAGGAGGTGGTGCTGCCCGTGGACAAGGTGGACATCATCGTGAGCGAGTGGATGGGGTACTGCCTCCTGTACGAGGCCATGCTGCCCTCGGTCCTCTACGCGCGGGACCGGTACCTCCGGCCCGACGGCCTGCTGGTGCCCAGCGCCTGCAACATGTGGGTGGCGCCCGTGGCGGACCCCGAGTACGTCATGGACAACGTGCACTTCTGGCGCGACGTCTACGGCTTCGACATGAAGGCCATGCAGCCCGGCATCTGGGACGAGGTCCGCGTCCTGCACTGGCCCAAGGACACCGTCTGCGGCCAGCCCGCCGGGATCAAGCTCCTCGACCTCTACACCATCAAGGCCGAGGACCTCACCTTCTCCGCCACGTGGAAATCACAGCTCACCCAGGACATCGATGCGCTCGACGGCCTGCTGGTCTGGTTCGACAACTTCTTCGCGCCGACGCGCGACGGCCAGGAGGTCGATATCAACTCGGTGGCCGACGAGTGGGTCAAGGGAAACAAGGACCGCGTGGCCTTCACGACGGGCCCCTTCAACACCGAGACACACTGGAGGCAGGGATTCCTGATGGCCAAGTACAAGGAGGGCGAGTCGACGGCCTTCAAGAAGGGCGACGTGATCGAGGGAGATATCACGTTTGCGCCCCCTGAGGACATGCCCAGAGGGTTGATCATCAAGGCGAACTGGAACACAGAGGGCCAGGACAAGAAGCACAGTCAGTCTTGGGATATGCGATAAGGAGGTGTGTACGTCACGAGCAAAGAGTCCTCTACGAGATCAGGCGAGCAGGATTGGCCACGCCGTATCATATCTGCGGAAGGGTAGTCCAGATCCAGATATCTAGCTATCCGGATAAAGCGCATTTTGAAGGGCTCCTAACAAGGCCCCTTCAGCAGTAAAGAAACTGGCTATGACGTGTCGCAATAGAACAAAAAGTCAAGCTTACCTCTCCTTGTTCGTGGCTCGGAAGTATTTTCGAAAATAGTGCCACATGTGGTAGGCATTGGGTATCCTCTGTCCTTGAATAATGTGATTTCGTTGTCATAAGAGTTGTGCTGTAAATCATCTTCAACATGCGAGATATAAGATGTGGTCGGTGTAAGAACCAGCCGCTTATCGATTAACATTGCCTCGGAAGCCGTAAAGTGTCTTCGATGGGGAACATATTAACAATGAGGGAATAAGATGGACGATGGTGTATTTCGCATAAGTCCTGTAGACGTCTTATTCAAACTATGCAAAACCAACCAGCAAGACATCACTATATACTCAGATAGCTCGTGCGTCAACTGCCGTATTTGTGTAATGTCTTAGGGAATCCACACTCGTCCAATTGTGACCAAGGGGTAACTTTTACAATATTTCATGCATGCCTATGTGCTTCCACGACACCTTTTGCGTCTAACAAGCCAACGCCCCGGCCAACGCCCAACGAAAAGTAAAATCCGTCCTTGAATGCCGTGGCAAACATGAAATCAAACGCCGCCATGCAATGCAGTACTTTTCTCTACCGAGTGATCTTTGCTGACATATCCCAAGGGTTGTGCTAGAAGTCCCGGAAAATGCCAACGAGATCATCCAACCTCCAGACCTGACCAAGGAGTTTACTCTCTATATCAAGGAACTCGCGGTACTCGTTATAGATGTCGCCTCTCAGTTTTTCTTCTTCCATTCCCTGTACATCCTTGCGCTCCACGACAGAGAGCACGTTCTTCTTCTTTCGTCGTTCGACATCGAGTCGCTGCAGGTGTCGGGACATTGCCTTGTAGGTATCGTCGAGTATGCGCATCATGGTGCGCTCTTGGTCAAAGAACCACAGGAAAAGAGTACGACTAGCGGTACGATTGTTGTCACGAGGGACTTCTTGTACTTCCAAGAAACCATGCAGCTCCATTTCAGTCATCTTGAGATAGACGTCGCTCTTCTTCATCAATGCAAAACCAGGCAAGGTCTTATCGTCGATCTTGCCCCTAGCCCGCAGGATCTTAATGAGGCGTAAGCCTTGTCTCCCAAAAGATTCCTCGATTAGCGCATCGATTTCGATGAGCTGAAGCTTGGGCATCAGAACCTGAAAATCGACCGTCCACTCGCCTGACTCTCTCGTACCGCAGTGACGAACAAACCCGAGATTGCTTTCAGCAAGAACGAGCAGGTGCTGGCGCATCTGTTGAATCCGTTCACCTTTAGAGGGAACACGTTCGGCAAATTTGACCTTGGCCTCCTTGGCACCATTTTGGCTGACCTTGGTGTCCTCTCCGTGGTGCCCATTTAACTGAATGCCGTTCGACATGTGTACATCGCCGTTCGCTTCCTCTTCATCTGATGACTCGTCGTGATGCTCTTCGTCGGCATCGTAACCCGGTGCGTTCCGCTGGAGTTTCTCCGCATGGGTAGTGTTGATCGCGTCGGCGTCGCATTTGCCGATCCCGGAAAAGACATCCACGGAAGGTTTGAGATATTCGTATATCTCCATGGTGGTAACCAAAGGGGCGCTAGGTACATCGCCATCCTGATCTTCTGTATCCAACTGGCAAGATGTGATTTTCTTGCCGAGAGCGGAAAGCATGGCTGCGTAGACCTGTGCTGTGACAGGCCCGATGGCATCTTCGGCGTAGTGTGCCAGCTTATGGTTCCGAAGCTCGACCAGGCACTTCTGGTAGTTAACACGAAGAATTGTGTACGGCTAGGCAATGAGTTAGTATGAGAGACAGCACTTGTGGTACGGTACACTAACGTCAATAATATCGTCTCTATTTATGGCAGAGAATCCATTTGTTCGAGAACCGTTGGCGAGTTTTCGCCGTTTTACGGCGGAGAGGGAGGAATAATCCGGTTCAAGCCTGCGCTTCAAATCTTTGCTTTCGTCTAGGAGCTCCCGCCAGTGCTGCATAGTCTTGGAATTGAATTCGTTCTTCTGCTTTGTACCACGCAATCCCGTAGGATACTCTTTCATGACTTCACGTTCGATCTCGGCGCGCACGTCCTCGGGTGTCTGGAGCATCCTCATGGTCAATGGCTCGAGAAGACCGATGGCGATCAAGTGTGCGATAAGTTCAAAGGTTCGCTGCGACTGTTCGAAATCGTCGTCTATCCCTGCCGAAGCCTCGGTGGTGCCGTTAGCATGGCCGTTCATGTGCGCCTTCCCATTTGCTGCGACATGGGACCTGAGTTGCATGAGCGCGGACACCTTCATATGACCGTTGAGTATGACTTGGTGGACTATGTCCCTCGCTTCTTCGCCATAGCCGCGGTGGATGGCATCGAGAATCTTGCCGGTCCGTACGAGATTGTAGGCGACGTCGGGTCTTGCCTCATATTGTGTAACAAGTGTGAACGGGTCAGTGTGGTGGAACAGAAGGTTCTGTTGGATGAGCACCTAAGGGGGATCCGAGGTCAGTATCGGTCTATATGGACCGGGGACAAAGATGGCCTCGAATAGATAGGTGCTTGAGAGCATAAAGGGAACAGCCGAGAAGGCCCTGGGAATCGCATACCGCTAGACTGTGACGGACAAGGCGCTGGTTCATGGATGTGCCCTGGCTAAGCTGCTTGATATTGGCTCGGCCTTTGGAAAGGAGTATATCGAATATGCGCTGGGCGGGTTGTTAGTCAACTGGCCGGCGGCCTAGAGGGGGCGGGGAGCTGGGACTGGGACATACAGAAGGCAGCTGGCCATAGAGCTCTTCGATGAGCAGAACAGAGAGTTCTGCCGAGTTTTTGGTCTGTCAACGGTGTTTGTTAGCATCGGGTTGAGGCGGTTGATTGTTGGGAGCAGAGGTTGACTCACGACGAGCATGGCTGGTGTGCTTGCGCCAATGCGCCTTTGCGTGCCGGTGACGGAAAGTAATTGGGGATCGTCGATGGGCTTCTAGAGATCCTCTCACGAACCCTAGAGCCACAGGTGCTACCTTGTAGTCATTTGCTGAGGGACAAGAGTATTCCGACGTTGCTTTGCTTTGCGCAGGACAGTCAAGTTGATGTAGCTGGAGGTATAGGTATCTTGGAAAATTCACCTGCAGGCGAACGCAAGGCTAGTCTGGCTGGAGGAGAGAAATAAATGCTTTGATGGTGGGGCAGTTTTCCGCAATGGAAAAGAAAAAGAACTAACCTGATGAATACCCTTACGGTAGCAGTTAGTTACGTACTGTGCAGCGCATGTTGCACAGGCTCAAGCGCTCATGCGCAGTTCGTGCTAGTCTAGGCTCGACTGAGTACTAATAGTTCTGGTGCTCATGGTTGTTGCTCGACTCCAGGCTTGATTGGATACTATGGCACATTGTCAGTGATACTGAATAGAATAAATACATGAAGAAAGCATTGGATCACGATTGCTTTATTGTGAGCAACATAAAGAATACGGCGTTGTCAAGTAGGACATGCTAATAGGCGTTCGTGCATCATGCTAACAGAGTACAGTACGGATCCGCACTGAGAGTCAAGTTGAGTACCTATGTACTTAACCGTGTGTAGTCCATCATCAGACTCACAGCTATTAATCGCTTGGAGCATTGAACACGACATAAAAGTAAACAGATGAACTATTCCAGGTCTCCCAGCTAGAATTGGTGCAATGCAGATGAAAGGTCATTGAATAATCATTTAGTAGCCATGTTGCTGGCTCGTTTCATTCTTCCATCGTAACCGACTGCTGCTCCGGAACTTATTCTTCAGGTCCTAGACTACAGCACTTAGTATTCCCAGCGTTTCAATTGGCCCAGATTGGCCCAAGCTTTCTAGTTTGCACCCGAAAATCGCCCTGCTGCAAAAGTTGCTCAACTCCAACAATTGCCTTGACAGACATCACATCGTCAATTGTCGACGACACCCCCCCTTCAACATGTTCTCCAGGACGGCTCTTTCGAGAGGTGCCCAGCTGGCTGCTCGTCGCCAGGCTTCCAGCAAGCTTGCGCAACGTGGCTACGCTGCTGCATCCTCCGCTCCCGACTCTCACACCTTCGAGACCGCCGATGTAGCCGGCGTCAAGGTTGCCGCCCGCGACTCTCACGGCCCTACCACCAGACTGGCCATCGTGGCCAAGGCTGGAACACGATACGCACCCGCTCCTGGTTTGACCGCTGCTCTCGAGGAGTTTGCTTTCAAGGCACGTTGAACCTCCCCCCCGGCCACCATCGAACCATCGCCCGGATCCCCTGAGCCGTGAGCTAATTAGGTACCACTACAGAACACCACGAAGCGATCCGCCCTGCGAATCACCCGAGAGAGCGAGTTGCTTGGAGGTCAATTGCTCGCATACCACACCAGAGAGGCTCTCGTTCTCGAGGCCAGCTTCTTGCGCGAGGACATCCCATACTTCACCGAGTTGCTCGCCGAGGTCATCTCCTCGACCAAGTACACCAGTACGTCTAATCCGCCCATTCGCCCGTGGACTTGCTTCATGCTCATTGACATATCTAGCCTACGAGTTCCACGAGGATGTCGAGCGAATCCTGCACCTGAAGCAGGCCAAGCTTGGCAGTGACGTTTCCGCCCTCGCCCTCGACGCGGTCCACTCCGTCGCTTTCCACACTGGCCTCGGCTCACCACTGTACCCATCGCCCTCTACTCCTCTCAAGAGCTACGTCGATGAGCACAAGGTCGCCGCGTTCGCCGATTCCGTCTACACCAAGTCCAACATCGCTTTGGTCGGTGATGGCGCCACTACTTCCGCTCTCTCCAAGTGGACCGAGCAGTTCTTCCAGTCTGTTCCCTCGTCCGCATCTTCCTCGGCCAGCTCTGCTTCGACGACATACTACGGCGGTGAATCCCGTCTGGCTCACGCTGGCGGAAACACCCTGATCGTTGCTTTCCCCGGTTCAAGCTTCGGTTCTTACAAGCCCGAGGTTGCTGTTCTTGCTGCTCTGCTCGGTGGACAATCCAACGTCAAGTGGTCTCCTGGCTTCACCCTCCTCTCCAAGATCGCTGCCGCCAACCCCGGTGCTACCGCATCGGCAAGCAACCTCGCATACTCTGATGCTGGTCTGTTCACCATCCAGGTCTCCGGCGCCGCCGGTGCTGTCCGCACCACCGCCCAAGAGGCCGTCAAGGCGTTGAAGAGCGTCGTCGAGGGCGGTGTTAGCAAGGAGGATCTTACCAAGGCCATTGCCAAGGCCAAGTTCGACGCCTTGGCATCAAGCGAGGCTGGCATCTCAACTATCCTGGCGGCTGGCTCTGGTCTTGTCCACTCTGGCAAGCCTTTCCAGATTGCTGAGACCATCAAGAGCCTCGAGGGTGTGACGGCAGAGAAGTTGAAGACTGTAAGTGCCGCTTTCATTTACGAACATGTGATTAATGCTAACTCGACCGTGTCTAGGCTGCTAAGGCACTTGTTGACGGAAAGGCTTCGGTTGCTGCTGTCGGTGACCTGCACGCTTTGCCATATGCCGAGGAGCTTGGTCTTAAGGTATAGACTGGGAAATTGGAGTAGGACTTGTACCAACAATTCAGCTCACTGCTGTAGAATCGAGACCTGTGCATATAGTAAATCTATTAGAATTTCATTGCTTCTGACATGTATTCCGGCCCGCTTCAGTAAAACTGCCCTGTGAAGGACCATGCCGAACCTCTAGATTTCGTAAATCTGTCCAGAAGCATTCGGCTTGTCAGGGATATGTCGAATACAATTGACTTGACGAGAAGGACATATTCATGCGTCTTCGCAGGCGTTGTTGAAGAATACCCGGTATATGGAGTTAATGGGTTTGGCCATATGACCGTACGCTGCCGGGCAGGCTAAGCGTCACGTGACGGTAGAAAATCAACCGGGCCCCCAGCCAAGTTGAAAGCCGAGCTAGCAAAGGAGCAATTCACTTCTCAATCAATACTATCCCTCTCAGTCACGCAGAAAGCCAGAACCACAGTCAAAATGGTGTTCGCCTGGAAAACCGCCGGCCTTAGGTGAGTCAATTGGAGATTGAACTCACTTTTCGCTCCTCCGACAGCCCTATGCAATTGCCGGAGCTCCTGCTAACTGGACCGTCCGAACAGCTACAACCGCTACCTTGCAGTCGCTTCGCGCGTCGTGCGCCGAAGCCTGAAGGAAGACAAGAGAATCATTGCCGAGCGACGAGGAGAGTCCGACTTGCGTTTCGCAAAGTGGTCGGTAAGTGCAGAGCGGAGCGGATCAGCTACACGACGGATGGGCAGACACTGACGATTATCCCTCACGGACAGAACGGCAAGATGGGCGACGTCAGGAACCTGGCGGATGCCAACGCCGCTGCCGCCAAGGAGGCCGCTGGTGCCCCGGCTTCATAAACGAATCGAACATAGGGAGCGATGGCGAGAGGCTCACATGAGCTGAGATGGTCTGGGGAAGAAAGCATTCTGCTACGGTGGACGGGAGGAAGTTCGATGATCGATGGGTGCTGAGTTACAGACCAAGCCCGTGTACAGCTGTATAAATTCCACGAAAAATAGACCTGATCTACCATTGAAATCTGCTTTCTCACATACCATTGACCAAGTTGAGCGTTGCGAACCTGCAGCAAGTAGACGCTGCAATGTTGCACACTAATTCGGCAACCACTGAGACCCGCTGCCAACCTGTAAATTCTCCAAGCCTTGAGATATCGACGTATGAAACCTCATTTCGTAATCAACTGCTGTCCGGTTTTTTTTCCTCACTACGACTCAACAGAGCAGTAGGATCATGCATTTACTTCTTGCTTGCGAATTGCTCGGATGCTTCCATTGAGGGGTGCCAACTTCTCGAACGCTCGACTTCCAAGCTTGTAGCCTTTCGGCGGGGGCCCTGCTTTTTAATGCTCAACACAACAACTCGTTTGCTCCCATTCTGAGACCTAATGTGTGATGACCACTCTCTCTTCCCCTTTTTCCCAAATCCCAAAGAGAAGACCATAAACGGCTTTAGTCATTGCCCGCTTCCAAGTAGCCTGTAGTCTACAGCCTACTTACCCCAAAGGGTACGAAGGAACAATCATCGTGGGTCCGGCGACCCGAACTTAAACATGGAGCAGCAGCGGCGCCCTCCAAACCCGCCTTTACTGCCACAGATCGCTTCTCACCCAGGCATCATGGCGACAGATATCACTGACAGGTTTTCTTCGGCTGTAAAGAGTATGGTAGCCAATGCATGTCATATATATAACCGGGGGACCATGCGCTAACCACTTAACGCCAGAGCTGGCTCCTGGTGAACTTGTCAAAGATGGCTACTTCACCCTTTTCGAGTCCGTCTCGGCTCTCGAGGTGAGCAATTCACGATGAGAACAAGCCCTCGGGTTCCCATGCAAGCTAACGATAATTCAAGATTATGGACCCAAAAATGGACAGCGGTTGTCTTGCGGATGGCGAGTCTCTAGATGAAGAGTACGACGTGACGAGGAATTTGCTGCCTCAGGAGATTCTCGGCATCATAGATCAACTGCTTTGTTTGGAGGTAATACAACTTCTTCGGCCTCTTTCAGCACGACAACATCTGACATTTTCCCCTTACAGATGGCTTGGCATCTTGGCTATCCCCTGTCTCAGACTCTCTTTACGAGTGTTTACCTGGATGCTCTCATGCAATCAACGCCGACAACCTTGGAGGGAGTCAACTTTGATAGAGGCTTGGAGGTCCCCAAAGAGAAGTCGCCCTTTTTGTTTGTTCTAAGAGCATACTGTGTGGGATTGCTCAAAGGCTGCTATTTCGTGAACGAACTTGTCAAGGAGGAATTGTATTATGAGGTACGTTCTCCCAGACTATTTGACAATGCTACGACAATGCTAATGAGAAGCAGGAGGAAGACTTTGTAACGAACACATACGATCGCAATATGCTTTCGGATGTCTCCTTGGGCCCGATCCACGATATGCTTCGCAATGCACGAGCGGATCTTCGAGCCATGGGCAACTCATTATCCAAGGAAGTTCGCGAGGCTCTGGATCTTCGTCTCGAGTTTAGGATAGCATTTCTTCGCTCCCTGGAGCTGATAGGTATTCCCAAGGCAAACCCGGAATCACTGAAGACGCCATGGATTATGATGACGGGGCTGTTGGAGCATCTAAGAAAACAGCACTCTCTAGGCACACCAGTGCCTGAAGCATTCAGCACGAAGATGCAGCGAAAGCTGGCCAGCACGATGCCTCCTCGTCCTATTGTTCAGTTGACGTTTGAAGACACATATGCTCATTTTAAGCGAATGGCTCAAGATGGCCAAGAGGCGATGGACATATTGAGATATTCGGACCCTCAGAGCCTCATGGTAAGTGTCTATTCTGCGTTTATACCTTATTCACTAATATGCACAGACCTTTGTTTCATCGTTCCAAGCCAAGAAACCTCAGCCATTGGTTATAATCAGAACGCTGATGCAGAGCCTCTTATTCAAAGAAATGGTTGTGCTAGGGTCATATAGCATTCGCCACATATTAGATCATGATCTCTCTATTGTGTGCCTGCCTAATGCGCCTCAGATGGATCCCTCCAACGACTCCATAGAAGTTCCGACTGATCCTCGCCATCAAACAGCTGCTCAGATGGAGATCTTCCGCCAGCGCGTCGCCGAATGCTATCTTGACCTTTACAGGATATTCTGCCAGAACCGCTGTCGAGTCCGACGAACCCTTTGTCACAGTATTCAGGAATGGGATCTTCTTCAGGCTGATGTAGAAGAGATCGATAATTTGCTACAGATCAACCTTGACGAGCAGATGCACACAGCAGCGAGCGGGCCAGTTGGCTATTCACTGCCACTTTCGTCGTGGGCGTATCTGTACAAGCTCCGGCAGATGGAGTGGATCGTTCAACTTGGCTTCGAACTATCCACGTATCAAGTCGATGAGTTGGCAGGAATGTACTGGTACCTGAACTATGTCGCCAAGACTCGAGCTCAACACGGCGACCGAATCAAGACCTTCGTGATGCGATCCATGTTTGAAGCTCGGAGTTCAAAATCATACAGCGCGGCCAAGGAGGAGAAGTACATGAAGTCCATGTCCTACATCCGGGTCACCATGCTCGACGCGGCCTGCACCTGGGAGTTTGCCGACGGGCTTTGCTGCCTATACACGGTGCTCCAACGTCTCGGCCTGATCAGGGCTCCACCGCGGCCCTACAGTGACGACCTGCTCCGCTACGAGGTCCGCATGAAGCCCTTTGTCAATATCGGCCTGCCGCAGCTACCGTCGTTTGACGATTTCACCAAGGCCACGCAGCAGCCCGACACGTCAATCGCTGAGCTGCTCAAGTACGCGGACAATGCTGTCGGCGGGGCGAAGAAGGGCTACGAGGCGCTGAGCAAGATGCAAGAGCAAAATACCTTTTCGGTTGGTTGCCATGACAGGTGGTTGACCAACATCAAGAATTGCCAGAAAGCCACGATATTTGCTGGCATTGCTGTGACCGCGTTGCAGAAGGCGATAGAGAAGCTTGGTGATGGCGAGGACATAGCTGGGGAGAAGTTGGGATTAAAGGTTGAGATGCCTGAAGAGGGCAATGGATATCACGACTGGTGGATCGTGCCCAAGGTCGTACCTTCTGCTTGATGGAGGATTGTACACACATGGTGCCGTTGCCGTCAACATAAATAGAAGAAAAGTTGAAATGAAGAAAGTAAAACACGACTAGTAGGATGGACAGGTCCTCATATTCGGGTATAAATTAACCAAAGCAGATAACATCAAAAGACGTCTATGGCATTCGCATATCATACATAACTCCTATGTCCCAACGATGGGCCATCTTCCCCTTTTCTTCTACTTATTGCCACAGCGCCAAAGGGCTGCATCTCGGGTCACTGTGCCATTCCGATCCAGTGCATTGAGCCTCCCTGCTTGAAGTATATGTAGTTTACACAACATACCTGCCAGAAAGCCTTCAAGTTATGCGATCGACTTCTTTGCAACGCTGGTCCTGAGCTTGACAGTCTGCTCGTATAGCACATCCTTGAAGGCGAAGAGGAAAGCAGCCGTCAGGACACTCTGGGTGACCTTGGGCGCGATGCCCTTGTACAGGCCCTTGTACCCACTCTCCTTGACGATGCGGGCGATGGCCTGGCCCATGCCCTCGCGCCTCCCGTCGGCGCCGTGCGCCGCGACGTGCGCCTGCGACTTGACCGTGATGTACGGGTAGGTGATGCTGGTGGCGAAGAGCTTGCCGAGCGCGCCGAGCACGAACGCGACCCCGGGCGTGATGTTGCGCCGCTGCCGCCGCTCCACCACGTTCTTCATCTGCTCGAACAGAGTGTACTGCAGGATCGGGTTGATGACGAGCACGAGCGCGGGCACCACGCCGCGGAACAGCGCCTGGGGCCCCTCGTCCCGGAGCAAGGCCAGCAGCGTCCCGATGGTCGTGGGGCTGCTCTTCTTCCCCTTGGCCTCCGGCGCGCCCGCGCCCTCCTTCTCCTCGATGTCCTGCTTGCGCGTCGTCACGCGCGTGTTGACGACCCAGATCGGGTTCGTAAGGATCACGGTCGCGGACCCGGCGAGTGCCCCGGCGATCATGGACTCGACCGTGGTCAGCTTCTTGCTGGCGCGCCCGGCCTTGACGGCCGCCGCCTCGAAGAACGCCCGTGTCCACTCGTACCAGTAGTAGTACACGAAGTTGGTGACGCTGATGCCGAAGACGGCCGACTCCAGCCCCGCGTACAGGCCCGACACGCCCTCGCGCGCGATGATGCGTTTTACGGCCGTCAGGAACGGGGTCTCGGCGCGGTTCGATTCGACTTGGGCTCGTGTCGAGAGCGTGATTAGAGGGTATCTGGCAGGATGCTGTTGTTTTAGTTGGCTTGTTCCTTGTAGATCCAAGGTGCTTCGCCGTTTGTGGGGGGTGGGGGAGACTTGAGTGGTTAAGATAGACTCACGTCAAGATCATAGACAGGACGCCGCCTCCCGCGCCAGCGAGGGCATGTGCGACGTTGTCATTCTGGGGAATGACGATGGGCTTCGAAGCTGTGGGCGCCATGGTTCGTTTGCGAGTGCGACAGTATACTAACGAGTCTTTGATAGAGAGTTCTCAATCGGGGGCAAGGAACATATGATGAATTGTAGGCAAGCTCGTCACTGTTGCGCTCATATCCCAAGATGACTGGAAACAATGAATAAAGAACTCTCGCAGATGATCTCTGGTCGGTTCTTGGGGAGTTTCAATCGGACCTCGGCTTCGTCATGCTGCTGGGAGCCGAGTGCTAGCGGGAGCACTTGCAGTGCGGGGGACAGGGAAGGGGGAGGGCCTGAGGGCTTATCAACTGTCTTTGGATGGCATGGATCTCTAGGATACTCATATTCATGCTAATAATGGTGGTCCCCTTTTTCACATGTCTACAGACGCGTGTTTGATGGCCCTTGTTCACAGCTCCGAATATGCTTGGAATGCTTTAAGGGGTTGCTTGCTGTAGCCGAACAAACAATGCAGAAAACGCAATGCTCTCGAGTATACTGGTAACTCACTCAAGAGACAGGCCTTATGTCTCACCGAGTCGCACTAAGGCAACGTCGATACCGTGTAGCTACTTGTCCGTCACAGCTATAAAGTTAATGGCGTCAGGAGCATTCAGAAGGGTCCTACAATATGGAACGCGGTGTGGATTCGCGGTATCTTTGCATGTAGCCTCTTGGCCTTCGCTTGCCCGCATCGTCTACAAGCACTAAGGTTAGGTATGTTCAATGTAGGCAAGATTCTGCGTGTATAGGTAAAGGAGCAGGTAGGAATCGGCAATTGGTAGAGCTGGGTAGAATGAAACAGCAAGCTCTCTACGTGGAATCGTACAATCATGCAGAGATATCAACGTCATGGTAAGGCTTTCGCCCACCGAGGGAAGCAGTGCGAGAAAAGTGTGGATTGCGATAAACTGCGAATACCAACCAGCCACCGCAAAACAATCAAACACTCGAAGAAATACTCATCCCACAAGGCACACTGTGCTTGCCAGGCTCTCGTTTATTATTACAGACAGTAAAAACCGGTTCGAATCATAGGAGTTCCTTTGAAATTCATGGGTATCTGCTTCTCGCTTAGAGGCACAGTAGAGACAGGTGGCGACGATCATAAAAGTAATCGCCCTAGTGAACGTAGAAAGTCGTGGTTTGATAAATTACAATTCATGAGACTTATAATCAAGCTACTCAACCAGGTCCACAGTGACCAAAGTTTGGGATAGACTTCTTAAATTCACTGGTTTGCTGGTTATAAGTCACGTGATGTATATAAATAGAAGAAGCATCCGAGAGGAAAGGGTCTCCTCCCAGACCACAGCCCCCCCTGTTAATGCAGGAGTTACCTATTTTTAGAGAACAACATGTTCCCACGACACGATAATTCCCTTCAGTATTTCGCCAATCTTTGCGCATCCCCTTCTAGTTGACATGATCTCGTTATCGGTCAGGCTCAAAGTGATAGAATTGTGCACATTTTACGCTGCACCCATGGCCTGATAGTCGCTTGTTCGTCTCAATGGCTACCCTCGGCAACTATTGATCATAACGCGTTGGATCTCGGTACTTCCTCAATCAGCAGTGCACGCTCTCCGGCAAAGTTCCAATTCTGCGATCTACGAGTCCCGTCGCGCATTTTGGGGGAACTAGACACTTTTGGGCAAAGTAAAGACGTTCGACTGGCAGACGTAAGATTCTTGGACGCTTGTCAGCTGCATCGACACCTCACGTGGCTATAACCTTGCTATAACAGCACGTGTGGATCCAGTTCATATCAAAGATAAGACCACGACGTAACCTGGCTACGCAAATGTCAGAATGGCAATTCCTATGCCAGCAATGACTGGCATACACCCAACGCCTCCATCCTCGGCCACGAATATATCGGGCAGACCAGACTTGCCGGATAAGGACATCAGCAGCACAACAATCGAGGATGCCTACGTCAATTTCATCCTTCACTGTAATCCAGGAGTCCCAGTTGAAACAGACACCAATGTTTTGGCCGAAGCTTTCCGTGTTCCTCCAAAGAGTGATGGAAAAACGTTTAGCACTTTTGTCCTGTTCGAGTTAATAAAGAAACTCCACGTCAAAGAGGTCAAGACCTGGGCTGATTTGGCTGTAAAATTGGGTGTCAGTCAACCTGATCCAGAAAAGGGCCAGAGTTCCCAAAAGATCCAGCAATATGCCGTGAGGCTCAAGGTAAGTCCAGCGCAATGATGGAATGCCCACGTTACTGACTTATGCAATTAGAGGTGGATGCATTCAATGCATATCGACGCCTTCTTCGACTACCTTGTTGGCAATGAGCACCCGTACTGGACACAAGTTCCAACGGATCCAAATCCAGTTTGTGAAGAAGGAAGAGATGGTGTCCTTGCTGAAGATGACATGGCGTTAAGGTCGCTGTTGCCAGAAATCAGACCGAGGCGCGGGCGACGAAAACCAGAGGATGATTTAAACAAATCTCCGTCACAGCGACCTAAGCTACAGTCACCGAGCCTTAATATCGATGGCACCAATTCAAGATCAAATTTCTCTGAGTCTTGGACGGCGCATCCTGATGGTCAGCGTACCTTCTTGTTTCCCCCGACGGACGAGGTCAGATCAAGTATCTTGCCCGGGTCCAGTTCCGCATTTCCATGGCCGTCTGAATATAGTCAAACACCTATGACAGCATACCCACATTCGGCAATGACACCAATCAATGGAAACGCGTTCTGGCCAGATGAGCCTCGCTCTGCAATCACACCCTCAAAGGCGAAGCAACTTGGAAGAAGGCATGGCGCAAAAGTTGTTTCTTCGGCCTGGCGAAGTGCCAGCTCCAATAGCAGCGGCAAGACACGTGGGCGGCCGCCTATAAATCGTGGTTTTGATAGCCCATTGTCTGCCGCTCCAGATGGCAACAGGGTGTTTCAGGCAACGACCTTTGACAAAGACATCCCTCAATCTGCCATAGTTACTTCTACACCCGCTTTTTCTGCTCCAAATGCTCCAGCTCCCACTTCTGCGCCTGTATCAGCCCCGACGTCAGCCCCAACCTCCGTTCCTACACCGACATCAGCAGGGCCAACTCAGTCGGCACGACTTGGACGGCCTGGGCGGCTTTCGCTCCAGGTTCCAGAACGGCAGGGTGGGAGTGTGCGACTTGCAACGCCACCGCTGCCCGTCGTGACAGTCAATGGGCAGTCCACAGTCAGTGCAGAGGACAACAATGATGCCTCGGGCGAACACAGTGGCCCAAATCTTGCAGGTGCAAGTGCGTCACCTCAGTACAGGGGGCCGGTAGCATTGGTTCCCAATACCAATGGGGTCACATCGCAGATTATGAGTAGGTCTCTAGATGAGAGTACGGTCAACATCAACGAGGTTGAGAGCCTATTTATTTCGGAACTCCTGGTTGCCAACTGGCTCGATGCTAGTGGCAATAATATTCCAGCCTGTGATTTCGCCGAAGCCGAAGCCATAGCCAAGGTGGTGATAGGAAATATGCAGAAGCAAGCCCTCACACCAGAGACTTTCCTTCTTAACTTGGCGGCACTTGCAAGCGGGAGTGTACTACAGAGAGGATTGAAGGCCACGATTACACGAATCGAGGTTGGCCCTACTGCTAACAAATATACTTGCAAATGGGGCTTGCGCTATGGTGACCTGATTGGTAACTTCTCTCTGACCGAGACTGTCCCACATATTGCGTGGAAGCGTGAGAGCGGCAATGCTAATATCCCGGCATTCGATGAAGTGAAGGAGGACCACGCAGCTGCGCTACATTGGAAGAAGAAATATGAGGATTTGCTGCATGCTGTGAAAATGAACCATCAGCAAAACACAGACTTGAAGATCAGTGTTATCGAGTCTCTGAAAGAGTCAAAGTGAACTCGACGGGTTGTGGGACTGTGCAGTGCTATGTTTCGTGGTGCGCGGGAAGTTGGGAGTCACTTATGCTTGTCTATGGATACCCCTTTCAAATAGCGGATGCAATGTCCGCGCTATGGCTTGGATAGCAAATTATCAAGCTTCGTTTCAAATAATTATACTTTGGATCTCGCCAGAATTGGTGAAACGAAACACTCCAGACTCCTGCGGAGACTGCCTGACATGAACTGAGAAGTAAAACACTGGCCGGTCCCAGCTCTGACAATTTGGCGGCAGTTCGACGAGCTGATAGCTCGCCGTATGAGGCTTGATGCTGCATGGTGACTTGCATTGACGTTCAAAAGCACGACCACTGTGCCATCAGGTCAGGTAACCCCACGACGGAAAGCACCGCCAGAACCACTGTCACAATGGACAGTTTGATCACGTAAATGGATTCTCCAATTAATGGCAGTGCATAAAAAAGTATAACTAAAATGCTATTTAAACACGTGCGGGGTTGGCACTGGGATTGGAAATCTGTGCCTGACGATATGTTGTGCCGCGTTGAACAGATTTCAGCCCTATCAGTTCCGAATCCAAGACATTTCACTTTCCCAGTTTGTCTCACCTATACCAAGTATTGACCGTTACAGTGCACCCCACAATCCAAATTTTCTAACCACTTCGGACTAATACAGACAGGCTCAAACCAAAAATGCAAAAACATACAATACAGGAAATTCCCCAGTGGTCACTCACCTGAGTATTAATCCAGCGCTTCAAGGACATACCTACCTGGTGAAAAGGGATCATTTCAGCCACAGCTTGTGACACGGTAACATGTTGCCAGCTCGTCATGCTAGGGGGTAGATCAACTAGTCCGTCAGAAACGCTACCCATTTCAGGACAATAATAGGCATATTACCGTTGTGCAACAGTTCTTTCAAAGACCTATAGGCTTACCATTGTTAGCGAATTACGTATTAAAACTTGGCTTCTTAGCGACAACATCCCCATTTATCACGGAAGCTGCTCACTTGATCCGGGGCCAATCATGATATATATTCTGACACCGAGGAAACCTTGTAATCATTTAAGAATTTTTTATACGGTTGGATTGCAAGATTTCAAGAATCAATTTTTTATAGTAATCAAAATATTGACGAAAATCGATGTATATATTATAGTTGCCAACTCTTTTCGACGTTAAGCTTAACGCCTTAAAAAAACCAGCCTTGTTTGAGTGCTTTCTTGAAGTCTATAGACAAGAAATGTTGTATTTAGGAGATGTCTGATCTGTGTAGCTTTGCGTGCGAACGCGTAGATATTCGTTTTTCGTCCGTTGTCACGATTAATAGACCACCCTAAACGACCAGATTGTAAGTTCATACCCCCCCCCCTCCCCCCCCTCCCTTTCGGGTGATATCGGGGCAGTGGATAGGGAGCAAGTATGTAGCGCTATCCTGTTTTCCCCTAGTGATCTTCTAGTACCAAGCCATTATACTTTAAAGCATAAAGAAATCGTTGGATAGCACCACTATACAGCTCGACCCCATAACTAAACTATTGACATGCTCTCCCTAACGTTAGTTTTTCAATAAACTTTTTCTGTTTAGATACACATATATTGCTATTGATATCTCAAATAGCGACTTTATCGCTAACGCCATGTAGAACTGCAGTTGCTAGTTGCAGCATATTTCTGCCTCTAACTCATGCTTCATAGAACCCCGCCCGTGATCCGCCACGAAGACTCCTGGCATATCCGCGCGGACCATTTCGTCCCTTGATCATACTAGGTGATAAGACAGACCGAGTTGATTCTTGCGGGGATTATTAACGATGCGATTGTATCCGCGTCACCCAAGGGATTGTTGCCTCGGCGATTCTAATGGGCGTAATCAAATTCGCGAGCCGGATAGGCAGCCAGCATGGTTAAGGGGCAGTAATAAAGGCCATGTGTCACGGGACTGCGTTTCGCATCCAATGAAGACGCGCCCCGACATGGCTCTATAACGCTGCTTAATAAAGCTCGCCTGGCCAATAATTCAATCTTGAGTCTACCTACCTACATAACCCGTGAACGGCAACAATCCCGTCTGATTAAGCTTTGTCACTATGCGACTCGTAGTTCCTCATTCAAGTTTGGTGGCGCGTTATGGGTCGGGTATGACTTCAATTCTGTCGAGTAGGAGTCCATAAACACGACGTCGTATAGGATACGACAAGCATAGGGAACTGGGCAACATGGCGCAAGCAAAGACCCTGTCGACAGGCTGAGTACAACTTTGTCACACTTATGGAAAAGGTGATGTTGACTAAGGAACGAATTTGAGAGGTGTTCTCAATGTATTGTATACGATCGCTCACAAACGCAGCGGCTATAACCACAGTTAATAAGAATATAAATATCCCACGACAGTTAAGGTAGTCTAGCGAACCTGCCTTGGCAACCCGCACCGAAATTTGCATTACTATAAAGATAAGTGATGACGGACTTGGTCATTCTCATTAAAGTTTTGAGATCATAAAATACAACGAACTATGCTAACATAAATGCTTATTCCACGTTCTAGACGGCAGGCTCGCCGAAATCGGATAGAGTAGTACAAAGTGAATGGCTAGCTCCTCATTTGTTCTCACTCATCTCTAGTTCTGTCGTCATTTCTTATAATTCCTCATCTATGTAATGTTCGATTGTATTCTTATTTTCGTCTTCAGACTATATTAATTTGCCTTAAGAATTCGTTGCTAAAACGTCCTTTTCTTGGCTAGGAATGACCTCCTCTATTTTGAAGCTATTAGCACTTTCTGTATAAGCATGTGCTACGGTAAACTTGCTGAGTCCAGCTAGACGTGGACTCTACTATGACGGTGTCACATGTGGTTCATCTTCTAACTCTTTGGCCGTAGCGATTAGTCGTTGTGTTGTGGATAACGGGATGACTAAGATAGTATAAGTAAAACATTTGAGTTAAGGGTCCTGAGGAGCCTTAAAGGACTCTTGATTTTTTTTTATTACCGGATCGCCAAAGTATCAATCTCCTCTTTCCCTTCCAATGCTGCTTTGTAGTGTGATCCTAGGAGGGGCTGTCGCTCTAGGCTTAGCAGTAATTGATAGACGCGCTGTCACAGCCAACGAGGTGCTAGTGTCAACAACATCTTGTAAGCTAACGTTATTTCCTCTTCCTTCTTTTCTCGAAAAGGGTTTTTTATTTATTTGGCCTTGATCGAGGAATCATTGTCAATCTCTCCTCCTGTGACCATGGGGGTTTGAAACAGAATTGTACTACTAAAAGCATTGCAATCGACAAAGGAACGGTTGAACAAATGGGTCCTGGTCATCAATCCAAGGGCTGTCAAGGCTGCAAATTCGAAAACCCAAGGTATGTTACTTACGTATGACCCAAAAATTCCGGGAAAAGCTCACTTGTTCTGCCTCGGGCGGTTGCTCGCCAGATTTGGAGTATTTACCCATCTCGCGTCACGATGTGCTACAAAATGATCCATTCTTCTGGTTTTCCTTCACACCATTTTCCACCCCTTTTCCATGCAACCTGACGTTGGCTACGACCTCTAAACATTGCGGTATCCCATCACGCACAAGTTGCTTCTGTGTCGTAGGTTTCTGCAATCAGCAGGTGACAGACCGGCATTCATCATGAGTTCTAACCTGGCAGGAAGCAGGAGACTGCTGCTGCCGTGACTACTGCAGAACCAGAAGCATCCGCCGATAGCTCACACGATGATCCAGATCCACATCACCCTCCGATGGTAGCATGTTTTTTCAATACTTGCACATTGCATCATTCATTCGCTGGCTCTACATTATTCAAAGCATTAAAGGTCCAAAATTGAGTCTACACGTCAAGGCAAAATGAGTACTACGAAACTTACGCGGGGTTAGTTGTGGCTTGTGCGATCGGGCAGAATTGTGACTCGAAATGCTGACCTTGAGTGCAGTCCATGTGTGTTTAACGTAGCTCTGAATTGCATCATTCGTGTCATACGTGGCCAGATGGGTTACTCACTACCTTGACAGGCAGCTTGATAATCTCAGATTCGGATGTCCTAAACCGGCTACGTATAAGCCATACATACAGCCAAACGGCAGACTGTTCTGTTACATTTAGCTATCAAATTTATCAGGATTTAGAGGGGAAGCATCTGCAACTGTGCGTGTAACAGTGCCTTGTATAAGGGCTAGAACCGCGACATTTGATGCTCAACTGTCTTATATTACCCCTCCATCGAGAGCATTGGGATGTAGTGGATTTTCCACTCTAGCCTGAGAAGGTATTCACAAGATTTCATCTCTGGTGCTTCATCTCCCTCGACACTAGCTTATGGTTCGTGGAGGCTTACTTGGGGACAGGTCCCTTCTTCATGCTCAGCGGGTTCAAATCCAGTCTTAGACTAATTTCATATCTAGTCACGACATCGAACAATCACCGCAAACTCACAAAATCCCTCGACATGGTTGTACCGACCGCTTCGGGTGAATTTATCGAAATTTAGTCCAAAAAGGACTTAAAAAAGGTATTTTGGATACCGCCATAGTTGGACCAGCAAGCCATGACCAATGGGCGCCGAGGATGGATGAGCTCGTCAAAACAGAAGCTGGCAAAACATTCGTCAAGACCGTGGCTTCAAATTCATACGGCAAGGAGCTGGTCAGAGAAGCAACTAAGAATGGGTGCAACAAATTTCTACGTGAAACGACCAAAAATGTGACCCAACACGGGGGGTTTGCCTTGAACGTCGTCAACGATATTCGACATACATGCCAGGGTGATATGTCCGTGGGGCAGCTTTTCTCGAAGACGACCGCCAATACCGCTTTGTTTTCATCCTTGATGGCATGTCCAGGTCCGTCCCGAAACCAGTATGCGATCAAGAATTCCACAAAGGGAAAATACTGGTCACCCCTTGCCACTTTCTCGTGTCACCTCGTTGGTTGAGATATGACGGACTGTGAACTTGGAGCCCATCTCAGCCTCGATGATTTCGAGAAGCTGATTCTGTGTGACGGTGGACTCGATCACGTCGATGTACTGATTGGCGGTCTTCTCTTCGTGCTGCAAGACAGCAGCAACGATCTTGGCAAGAAACGCCAAGCTGGTTGTCGAGACCTTCTGGTTGCCGGAATCAAAGATGGTCGCAGTCTTGTCCTTGAATGAGAACCCATATATTCCTCGCGTGAGGCTCTACCAACAGATTAGCTCAGCCATCCCAGCACTCATCATGTCAGAACACCGCTCACCCAGTCGAAGAGCAAACTAGTGTCAATACCAGTCCAGGTAAAATTGCGATTTGATTGCGCCTTTTCCATCAAATAGTCGACAGCGGCAGTCTTTGCCTACAGCCAATCTCCCAGTATTTCTCCTTGAAGATTCCTAGTGTTGAGATCATACTCTGATGGAATAAAGCGCTTGACCCCAGCTGCCAAGGCAGCGTCAATCATGGGGTTCTGCGCGCCAGGCACGACGGCTGCAACTATTGAAACGGCCGAGACAACTGCATCCTGACCGGCGAATGCGGCACTCAGAGACTCGACGGAAGACAGATCAGCGCGGCGAACCACCGCGTCAAAGGGAAATACCGCGTTTGACTTTTGACGGGTCACGGCTGTGACGTCAAAGTTGGCTGTCTGGAGTGCGCTCACGACACGAGCGCCTAAAAGACCCGATGCCTTGGATTGAGAATTAGATTCTGAAGCCAGGATATGGTGAATGTGTACTTACGCCTACAACCGCGACGGTTTTGATAGTCATTGTGCGAATCGTGGGCTGGAGATTTTGAGATTTGACTTGGTGTGTCAAACAGACAGATGATGGACTGCCGTTCGCGAGAAACGAGGTATTTCAACCGTCGGGTGTCCCGATAGATAAGCTCGATGATGGAAATGCGATATTTATCAGGGTATATGCATGGTTACGGAGAAGTCGTATTGAGGATGGATTACGTCTGCAGCCAGCAAGCTAGGTTTATGGTTACTGCAACGGCAAGATTCAAGCAGTCCTATTGTGATAATATTGCCCAAGCAGCTCGATTACGCCATTTCCCAACTCATTTTCAGTACACACTGATACTAGGAACTTTTCGGGGGATATCGATCTTACCAAGACGGTAATGTAATATCCATTTGCTCGAAATTTAGTTCTGTAAACTGGCATGGAGAGACTTTTATCCAGGTTGTCGACCAAGGAATCTCGAAACCACATCTTTGGGGCAAAAGGACAAGATGAAAGATTCTCAATCACGATATTGCAAGACAGAATGGCTGGGCATCGCACGTTCAACTGTGACTGTTGTTAATAACCCGAAACTTAGCCCGCGGCTCTGGATAGAAATATTATTATCCACAAAACTGTACTGATCCTGAGTTCCAGAGCAGTCAAAGTGGATTGGCTAATAAAATGGATAAAGCCTAGCATGTTGTATGTAGAATATCACTGCATGCACATTTCGCCGTGCAGCAAGTCTGCATAACCGCAATAAGCGACTTTTGGCGCACAGAGTACCATGGATGCAATTGGATAAAACCAAAAAAAAGATTTATTCATCCGAGGCCGCTATACCGGAGTATATAAGAGGACTTTCCCCAGAAGAGACCCAAAGGTTGTGCCGTACCTGAATGTAGATTTACCGCCTGCCCGAGCAGGTCATGAGAATAGATCATAAGCTGACCACACTGGATTAGGCAGCGCAGCTCTTTAAACAGCATACCAAGCCAACCCCGCCTGATCAAGAGTTTCGTCTGCTTTGCATCCGACAAAGTCCCAACTTTTCGAAAAAGGAAAACAAACCCCTCCCCCGAAGCACAATGACTGTTGGCTTGGAGAACTGTCATACTGAGCTTGTCGAAAGCATCGTCGGGCGCTTAGACGTCACAGACGTCGGCAGTCTCCGCCTGACGAGCCGGTGCCTCCGCTCGAAAGCGTCACAGGGTCATTTCCGGTCCTACTTCCGGTCTAAGCGCGTGAAGGTCAGCAGTCCTCACCTTGAAGACTTCGAAGTCGTGACGCGGCGTGGTTCGCTGGGCTGCGAAATTCGCGACTTGACGCTTGTGGGCGTCGTGCGCGACACCAATAGACTAGAGGCCGCGGTGGAAACACGCCCAGAGGATGCTGAGAGCAAGCGCCATTTGCAAATCTTGCAGGAGCGACAGCAGGATTATGAGCAGTCAAAGGACTCTGGGTTGATTGTTCGCCGCTTGAGCGATGCATTTAAAAATATCGCGGCGAATGGCGTAGCTGGGAAGCTGCATTCCCTGTCTCTCGAAGTCGCTGAATGTCGCATCGATGCCCAGCGTCAGTTCCCTCCCACTGGCGGGGAAGGCTGGCGACTCATCTGGCAAAGCGCAGCGGAGACATTCCGCATCGTCTTCTCGGCGTTGCAGAAGAGCCGACTCCAGCTAGATCATCTGAACCTTTTCAACGGTTCTCATCTATACCAATGCAGCATTGCGAGCAACGAGCTCAGCATCATAGACTATTCTGCCGATCCACTGTCCCAGACTTTAGGGTCAGTCCGATCATTGTCTATCAGCGTTTCCGATCGGATCCTTGACATTACGCAGGCATCGAGCGGCTGGGCAGACGAAAGTGACTGGTCCGGCTCGGATGACGGGGAGGAGGAGGAGGAGGAACCAGACGTGGAAGCGCTTATGACCGATGCACGCGAAGAAAACAATTTCACAGGTCTGGCGGGCTTGATCCACGCCTGCCAGAATCTCAAAATCCTACATATACACCAGTACGGAGTCAATCGCCGTCGCCTCGATTCAAGGGTTGCCATTCCGAGCGAGCTAATTTTCCAGCGCGGCATCGCGACATTGAACACGTTGCCTCCCATCGAAGAATGTCTTCTCTGTGGTGTCTTTCTCCGTGAGAGCGATATGCTCGCCTTTCTGGAGAGGAGCTCCAAAACTCTCCGAGCACTTACCATGAAGACTGTGACTATGGTAAACGGGTCGTTTAGGCCCGTCTTTGATTACATTGCCAGCCGAATCCCGAACCTGGATCACTTGTATTTGGATGAGTTGATGGTTGGGGAAGAGCTGGTACACTTCACGGGTGTGGGGCAGCCGAGGTTCCATACTTGGGTTGGTGCACACGGAAGCAATACATTGAGAAGAGCGGGCAATGAGGAAGCTCAACAGCCGGTTCCGTATCATCTGCCCACTGGCGCACCTCAGCCTGTCGGTTCTCCTGAGATGAAAAAATGGCTGCAAGATCAGCGGCGAGAATACGGTCCGCCATAACTCGACAACAGGCTTGTATCTGTCATGTCTGTCCTCTTCGGCCAACGCTGGTGTGCTAGCAGACTAGATACAGCAGATTCACTCATCCAAACGTGAAACATATCGAGATCGACTACATAAGTAACAACATATTTTTAGGCCGGATCCTGACCTAACCGTCTACCCCTCTCGTTCGCCATCTCCAGCCAGAGCCGCCATTCGGGACTTCCTTGGTTATCCGCGTTATTATCGTACTCAAACAGCGCGACGCCCTGGTAATACTCCGTGTACGGCTGTTTCCAATTGTAGTTATAGTTTACAATGCCGATGTCGGGGATCATTTCTTTCAGGAGGGCGACTCTGATGGACGTGGTTCATTGTTCGTCAGCAAGCATCAAACTGTTCATAGTAGGGAACCTATGAATGGGGACCACAAAAAGAAACCTGGAAAGGGGACGGTGTGGGCAAGAAAAGGGAAACGTACAGCTGATCCTGCTGCGCAGTATAATGATAACGGTTCGCATCGTTGAGGTCCGCACCCGATCGTGGCGTACAGATAAACGCCCAGGTATTCACCCCCAGACCCACGAACATCTCCTTGTCGATAGCAGGACCAACTGCCCACCGCCGGTCCCCTTCTCCGCGCAGCATATTCAAAACCGGCTGAAATCCCAGAGCTGGACGATCGGGACGCCCGTTGTCTGCGTTGGGGTAGTTGAGGTCTTGCCAGAAGTGGCACTGATAGCTCAGCAGTTAGTACAGCGTCTTCTTGTCACCTTTTTGTCTGCTTTTGAGCGTACCATGTATACCCCGCGTGAACTTGCAATCGTCAGCACCGTGCATCCCGTCAGCTCGGTGTTTCCCGTCCCTATCAGGAGCTGACCCGTGCTCGGGTCGACGGGAGCACTGCTGCCGAAGCGGTATGACACGCAGAAGCTGGGCGTATCGTAGCCGCCAGCATTGCTGGGACACAGGTTGACGAGGTCTGCCCTTCCGTTTTGACCCTGTAGGTAGGTGTTGATTGTATTCTGGAGAATCGGGCTTCGTAAAAAGCGCTTGGCGAGGTCGCGCTTGTCTACGCCCGGGGGAAGAGCAACGACGTCGAGTCCGAGACTATCGTCGAGCTCGAGCTCGAGCTCGGTGAGGTTGCTGCTGCCGATGCTGTCCCCGATGCTTATGGGCGGGAGAGCGCGCGTCTTTCGCTTGGCGATGCTGCATACCGTGTCGGTGCAGGTCGAGGGGCTACAGTTTGGTTCCGGCGTGCAGCCGTCGTTCTGGCGACGGCTATGAGTGGAACCCAAGAGCGCGTTGTTCAGGTACTTTCCCAGGATATCGTCACTCTTTTCGCTACTCACTCTCGAGTCCACAAGCGCCGACGAGATGTCAGAGAGTGAGAGCACGAGGAAGAGGAAGAGCATCAAGTAGGCCTGCCAGCATTTGAAAACAGCCATGTTGCAGGTTGCCGATTTGGTTGACCAAGGTGGAATATGCTGGGTAAGTGATACGGGGCAATACGACCAGCAAATATGTCCTCTTCTCTTCTCTGGCTTACATACATTCCCAACGTATCAACTAGGTAAGTCGTGTGGTATTAGTCTATTCCTTTGTCGGACAAATTCATGCACCCGGGAAATGCGATAAGGAACCTGAGGAATACTACCGAGCACACCGAGCAAACCGAAGAAAAAATGCCGGCAAGTCACATGGAGCAGTTTTCGGACCTTGTCTCATACCGAAGAATCCATTTTCTCATCTATAATAAGCTGCAAGCAAGTTGAAGTTATGCAGGGGATTTTGGCCCCTTATGCGTTCGTATTGCCAAGCTTCCTTCTTTATCAGGGGCATAGAGCCATAAGCATAAACGCTTGAATCTCATTGGAGGACATGTTGTGATTGTGGAGGCTCTGCTGACAACCACGCGACTAGCTGATGTGATAGTTTTGTGATATTGCCAATACCGAGATATTATCTTATTCCTTATGATTTGATTAATGACTCAATTGTAAGATAAGCGGAAAAGAGGAACAAGCTCTTTCGGAAAATTAGAGGTGAGAAAAGACGGGGAAATTATTCGTTTTACTCACGATCCAGGTGTGGCCTCACCTCGGCATCTGAAAACGGAACCGGTGTTATTAGAAATATCTTCTTTGCCCCCTCCACCACATGATACTAAGTATGGAGTCAAATAAACCGACTGCTAACAATGTTGTTCATCCTTCGATATGGACTGCTGCTAGCAGCGGCTTTGGCCGTGCCATCGGCGGCCCAGGTCAGCATTCCTAGAGAACCCGTGGGAGATGCGCCTTCTTTACCACCCGGGGAGCCTCATGTGAGCCCATTGCCCGTCGGTTTACCTGCAGTAACTAATATTGTTCCAGCCGCCTCCATCATACATGAAAGATAGGTTAGTGATCAACAGCAACTCGAATTTGAAAAAGCCATGCTAACCTTGTTGCAGTAAGTTGACCAATGATCGCAGCATAAAAGATTTCCAAGTCTGATCCGAAAGACGTGAACAACTTCTTCAAAACGGCTCCTGACCGAGGATCCTTGAATGGTCCGATTCTGGAACCGCTCAACACAAGCGTATTAAACCAGATTCACGGCACGAAGGAGACTCGACAAGACGATAGCTACTGGCTGGCGTCACTAGGAGGCGTGGGGCAGGTCAGTAGATTCACTTCCCGCCTATGTATTTCCAGACTAGCTACATACCATAACATACTGATTACTTGGGTACATAGTCGCCTTTCGCACCTTCAGGATATCAATTCTTCCGAAACGTGCGAGATTTCGGTGCCGTTGGTGATGGCGTGACCGATGACACAGCAGCCATCAACCGCGCAGCAGCAGCATTCAGTGAGAGTGACCTATTAACACTTCGCTGCGGTGAAGATTGTGGCTCGACAACTACTCTAGGTGCTGTTGTGTATTTTCCGCCGGGCACCTATCTTATCAGCACGCCCATCATCCAGTACTACTATACCCAATTTGTCGGGAACCCATCCGATAGGGCTGTGATCAAAGGTACCTTTAACTTCACTGGCATTGCCCTAGTTGATTCCAACGTGTACATTCCTGGTGGAAATGGCGATGAGTGGTATATTAACCAGAGCAACTTTCTTCGCCAAATTCGAAACCTGGAGTTTGACATGACGGGAATGAATTGGACCAACTATGACAATGACCAAGAGTACGTTCCTACTGGCGTTCATTGGCAGGTGGGACAGGCCACCAGTATCACAAACTGCCATTTCCAGATGGCCGTGTCAGAAGGTGCACAGCGAGCTACGGGAGTCGGCATCTACATGGAGAATGGAAGTGGTGGTGGAGTTGCCGACATAACATTCTTCGGAGGGTATGTTGCCACTTCCCACTAACCCGTCTGATTTCGCCATTTTTTCTCACAGTCGGTGATAGAAACATCGGCTTCCTTGCAGGCAGTCAGCAGTTCACTGCCAACAACCTGGTGTTTACTTCATGTCTGACCGCCATTTACCACGTTTGGAACTGGGGGTTCGTATGGAAGAACATCTATGTGCTGTCCTGTTACATCGCGCTCGACTGTACTGCCTACTCGGGCGGTCAAAACCAGGGCACGGGGTCCATCACGGTGCTCGATTCCCACTTCAACGGCGTACCATACGCCATTACTATTGCCTCGAATGGAGACGAACAGCCCAATATCGTGCTCGACAACCTCCTGGTTGAGAACTCAGAGTCCGTTGTTCTCATCTCGGGAGGAGATACGCTTCTTCAAGGATCCTCAGGCCCGCTGTACTTCAACTCGTGGGCGAATGGTATTCAAGTCAGCTCAAGCGGTGCGTTCGGCAAACGGTCGGGGTTCGTGAATCCTGCACCTAGGAAGCCATCCTCTCTCCTAGACGGTAGTGGTGCCTATTATTCGCGATCAAAGCCACAATATGCTGGGGCTTCGCCTGTAGTCGCCACGAATAATGGCATCTCCAATGACGGCACTGGAGATCAGACTGATGCCATTAATAGCCTCCTCGAGGGGAACGTGGGTTCAGTGATCTTCTTTCCCATGGGTGTCTACCTCGTCCGAGGAACTGTACACGTTCCTGTGGGAAGTATCATTGTCGGATCAGGGTGGAGTCAGATCATGGGCACGGGTTCCTTCTTTGAGGACCAGGAAAACCCGCAGGTGATGGTTCAGGTCGGCAATGAGGGCGACTCTGGTGTCATTGAGATCAGTGACATGATGTTCACGGTCCAAGGCCCCACTGCCGGCGCTATCTTAATGGAATGGAATGTGCATGAGAGCAGCCAAGGAAGTGGTAAGTCAAGTCTACCTGAACTCCAAATCGTCAGTACAGCCAATTAATGAAGTACTTACAGCTGCCATGTGGGATAGCCACTTCCGAGTTGGTGGCGCCGAGGGAACAAATCTTCAGCTGGAGGATTGCCCAACACGTTCCGATGTGAACCCAGACTGCATGGCTGCATCCCTTCTACTACATATCACATCGGATTCGTCAGGGTACTTCGACAACGTCTGGGCTTGGGTCGCTGACCATGATCTGGACAACCCGCTCAATGCCGAAGCGTACAACAACGAAGAGGGCATCCCTCTAAATGTCCAGACACAGATCTCCATCTATGCTGCCCGAGGAGTCCTCATCGAATCCCAGGGCCCAACGTGGCTCTACGGGACTTCGAGCGAGCACACGCAGATGTACCAGTACCAACTACAGAATGCGTCCAATATTTTTCTCGGCCACATGCAGACGGAGACGCCATACTACCAACCAAACCCCAGTGCTCTTGAGCCCTACGAGGCAGGGGTTGGTGGATTTCCGTCTGATCCAACCTTTGACAACTGCGCCGACGACATTTGCCGGGGCGCCTGGGCTCTGCGAGTTCTCGATTCGACCGACGTCTTCATCTACGCTGCGGGATTCTACTCCTTCTTCCAGGACAACCAGCTGGGCTGCACCACCGAAGAAGACTGCCAGCTGGCCCTGATTGAGACCAATTTTGCTTCCAGCCTATGGATCTATAATATCTTCACCAAAGGCAACGTCGAGATTGTCACGCCCAGGGGTGGACTCTCGCCGCTGCTGTTCAACTCGACCACCAAAAATGGATACACTAGCGAAATCGCCGCATGGCTAGCACTGTCTACTGAAGGGGAAAATATCGGCTCCGAGCCCGGCGACGGGTCCGGCATCGTGATCATTGACCCGGATCTCTGGTCGGGCGAGCCCGGGGATCCAGCCACGGTGCAATGCAGCCCGCCCTGCACCTATGTCCTTCCACCATTGACACTGACCGACGAGACAACCTTTGAGTTCCCACCCTTGACCACATCCATCACCATGGGCTACAACTCGACTACCGTGTTCGAGGTAACCGGCTCGACCACGACGCGCACTATCTATCAGATCACCATCGTCACAACGACCATCAGCATCCCGCCAGTGACAACCTCGGTCATCTCGTGGTTTGAGGAGACCGTGACGGTCAATTCCACCATCATATATCCAATCCCTAGTATCGTCGGCCCGCCATTCACCATCACCGAGCCGACGATCATCAACGGCACCACAATTCCGCCCGATACCCGGACCTTCTGGCCGCCACCGTGGCCCGGCTTCTCAGAACCGGGAACGACGACGCCGACACCTACGACTGGCCCAACCTCGGTGCATCATACAAGTGGGCCCCCACGGCCGTCCTGCACGCACGTGACGGGCTGTGGAAGGCACTGTGGTGACAGTATCTTGGACATCTGCGTGCCCTGCTGGATTGGCTGTGGAATTGGGCCTCCAGGTGCGGCCAATCTCCATGTTTTCTTACGGATAATACGCAAGTGGCTCACCAGTGAACAGGTATAAACGGAATAGACCCCGACCAGCCAGGCGGCATCCCGCCGGGTCAGGATCCTAACAACCCGGATGATCCGGACGACCCCGACGAGTGCGAGACGTCGACGTTTAGCTCCTGTAACACGGTCTGCACCACCGTGCCTACCTCATCTTGCTCCACTAGCTGTCGCGGTATGTTGTTATCTCAAAATTTCCCCTTCTTGAAAAAAAGAAAAATAATCTCAACCCCTCTATTACTTTTTGGAAAGCTAAGTAGAAACTCTGTTATGGCGTAGACGTTGTCGGCTGCGAAGAGACGACCGGGACAATATCCTCCTGCCCCCTGCCGACGGGGATCACCATATGGACGCCAACAGACGGGAACGCGGACGCCCCTACGCTCGGCGCTGGTGGTGATTTCGGGTACATCTATCTGCCAGGTGTGACCACGACCATGGAGGCGTCGTCGACGTCGTCGACCACCTCTTCAATATCGAGTTCGACCACCTCTTCAACATCGAGTTCGTCCACATCTCGATCAACCTCGTCCACCACGACATCGGCTGCTCCGGAGCCGACGGCGTCGGTCTCTATGTGCGTGGGGCTTTCGACCACTCCGACCACAAACTTGGCTGTCTACGCTTGGGTTCTTTATTCACCTAGTTTGTCTCCCCCCTCCAATACCCCAAACGTCATGGATAGCAGCAGAAACTAACTCATGTTAAAAAAGACAACCCCTGCAATGGTGTCTTTATAACCGACGGAAACATTGGCGAGTCCACGCCTATTTGCGACATCTCGAGGGACAATACACGCTTCGATTGGTGCGACGCAGACGATCAGCTGGGTGCCTTTCGCGACAGCGGCCCCGAGTTCTTCGACGAAGACTCGTGCGGCTTCCAGATCGAGCTCTTTGGCGAGAGGTTTACGCCCGAGCAATTGGACCCCACTGATGACGACAATCCATGCAATGCATTTTGTGACTTGACGAGCATATCGGGCATCTTTTTGTGGGGTGATTTGCCTGACCGTTGTAGTTAAGTATATAGAATAGACACAAAAACGATCTATTCATGAAGAACGTGACAAATTTTCGTGATGATGTACATAATGGTAGTGGTGATGGTGGTGATAGATGAGACTTGTTGGCGTATCCGAAGTAATTGGTACAGACTAGGTAAGGTCCTCGCGGAGGTTTTTTTTTTATAGCGCCGGAGGTGCGACTTCGGACTCCCTCATATTAAGCGGCGGTTCCCAGTCTATAGTATCTAGGGCACAGCGGACGGGATGCCGAGTTTTCTAAGTTAGGAGCTATGGCCGTATATGATGGAGAGGCCACGTGACACTACTCTATACTTATGTGTCTTAATGCGGGGTCTCTAATCAAGCAGTATGATTGACAAATACACAACTCTCGCCTTGGGACCTGGGACTTGATATATGTAAGAGGAATTGTGAATGTTCTGTTGAAACTGGGATCATCATACAAATGCAAGCTTGTGACTTTTCTTGGCACACATGAAGATTTATTGGAAATGTCCTGAATGAAATACACATATTGTGGGGGAGTTTCCAGGATTTTGACCATTTTATGTTCACGCTGCACAGAAGAGGATTAAGTATTTCAAGGCGTATAGTCGGGATCCTTCCGCAAGATCGACTGTTGACAGCGAATGAGGAATCGGCCACGGTCTTTGAAAAGCTGACTGAGAATGTGCAACTAAAAAGAGGCAGTTGTACAACTGAGGTACATCTAAGTATTTGCAAGGATACATCCTACAGGCTAGTAACTCAACTTGTGGAGCTCGAATCCATTGAACGGTTAGCAAGCTGCAACACACGAAAGCACGACTGTGCTTATGCTCAGGCTTTTGTCCTATGTCTTTGCCAGATTGGTTGGAAACGTACGGCGTTTGTGGTCACCAGTGTGCTGATCCTTGAAAAAGTCGGTGCCGCCGGGGCAACTCACTAATTCCGGTAGTCGACTTGCAGCGAAAGGCGGGGGACGAGTCTTCAGCGAAAGGCGGGGATGGAGATGGAGATGGAGATGGAGATAGCAGCCAGGCAGCTAACATTCTCGAACAATGTTTCAATGCTATTGTTAGGGACGATGGTGGCCAATGGTAGGATGATCGCGTCCGGCATGTAATCCTGGGGGCCAAGGGGCTATCGTCACTGCACCTTGAATTAGTGTGGTAGACTCAAGATAGTTGGCGCCAACGGCGATGGCCACCCACCGAGATCCTTCATCAAAGTAAATGCATACTATCCAGACAATCTCGAGGATTTGTAATACACAGCAAATTCAAATCAAGTGGACTTTTCTGTGACATTTACTTAATGTAGTAAAGGCAAAGGATTGATAAGCGTGAATCCTTGTTATAGCTTAATGCTCTTGGCTGTCGCGACATCAAGCTTCTCCAAGACAAGCCGTCTCGCTCCCAAGATTGCTTGCCGGGCTTGTCATTCTTGACTACGGCGGAGACGTCTTGGCTGTGGGACTGAATCGCACAAGAGTACAAGGCAGCAAGGTTTGGACATAACGCACCGGAGCCGCACGAGAAACTAAAGAAACCGACATCCCTTAGCCCAAGACCTACACGATATACTGACGGTCAATTCTGTTTTCTCGTCTGGAGCTAGAAATTCCCATGGGCACTCGCTTTGGGGAAAATTGGAGTTGCTTCCCCAAAGTCCCCAGAATGCTGGCGTCAGTCTCCCCATATAATACTAGTGGATCGTGTGGAGGTTGGATGCATGGATCCGTTCAAGCAGGCTCGCAGGATTGCCCGCAGCGCTGTAACTTTCGACCACCAGGATGGCATTCTTTTGCTTCACTTCAATGGCTTACCGCTGAGCTGGACACCAACCTCTGTACTTCTGCTATAAAGGATTGCTTAGCCAGTCAGGAAGTACTTGAAAGATTAACGTTGCTAACTGCTTGATTTATCTATCGCATAACAACCCACGCAGGAGTTTGGCTTTTGCGAACTAACCAGTATTTGGAAACAGGCATACGGGTTGCAACGGCAGCTAACGGCAAAGGCAAAAGCCCTTATTGTTCAACAAGTACTTCTGCGCCGCAGACGCGGTATTCGCTTAACGTGTTCGCCATCACTATGCGTGAACTCACCGCAGAAAGTGGTCGATCCAAAGCGCCACGATTTACGAATCAGCAACCTCGATCAAAGCCCGTTCTTTCTCTGGACAAGCGCTAACTAAGGACCCAAGCATCTGCTTCCCACACGGAGGACCGCCTTATTTGCAACCGTGATAACTGCCGGAGCTTGATGGACAGCATGCATAATGCTTCCGACTTTTGCAAGACGAAGAAAATGAATGAATTTTTTAATTTGCTTTTTTTATTTTTATTTTTATGTTGTACCAAATTTCCAGTAGCTACATTTCATTTCGACCATTTTTTTAAGTCGTCTGTAAGACACATGCAAAAGCCTCTGCCTTGTTAGTCAATAAGCAAGCATGCAAACAAGGGTTAGTTGCTCGACCACCCGAGTCGCTATGACGTCGATTGCTACCAGGGTCGGACAAGGACGCATGCCCGATGCCCAAGTCAATCATGTTTCGATTGGCTTTGGATGGCGTCGAGTGATCACCCATGGCTGAGGGAATATTTTGAGAGGTTTTAACCAAGTGATTCTGGTTGATGCTAAAATGCCACAGATCACAGCTAGCGCATTGCACATTACGCACAATACCACAGTACAGCACAACTGCGCTCTCACTAAAGACCGACTGAGTAGTTCCAGACGCTTTATTCGATCAGGCAAGGGGATTCTAGGTCGAATCGAGAGAACTTCAGAATAGCACTAGTGTAGCCTAGTCTAAAAGTATCGGCAAAGTACCGGTGTAGTTCCTCGAAGCCGGGAAGTTTAGCAATTTGCCTGGTGATGGGGTAATACAACTTCCGCACTGTTCCCTTGTCCATTCCTCCGCATGTTTGTGCCACTATCCCAGCATCCAGGGAGCAATGAGTACGGTTAGCTCGAGTTCTCATATGTCATTTGCGGGGAGTCATTTACTACCCCAGCATGGGTAGCTGCAAGGTAGCAGCCATCATCACTCATGCTGCCAAGACTCAGACCTTCATGTCTTCAGATACAAAACATCTCGATGCCTCCCCGCGCTCAAAAGGAATATTGTCCCTTCTCAACCATATTGTTGAACGTCTACCGGTTCTTGGACTATAAACAGGTTACTTGAACAAAAGTGGACTGTTGGTCGATTGCATTATAGTGCTCCAACTCCAACTGGAGCAACGGCTTCATAAATATATTCTTAACCTTTCATCTTTGTGCTGCGGTAACGCTGTAGCTTACCATCATGGCGGACGAGGTTAAGCCTATCACGACGTGAGTATATGAGTGCTTGGCATCGTGCAATGCAGGTGACATGAATAAACTAACAGATACCGTCAGGTCAGCGCCAGAGGCACACAATTATTCGTTGGCCGAGAAGGGGCGCCGCCATTCAGTGGGTGCTGAGGCTATTAACGAAAATATCAATGCCCGGTTGGTTTATGACACGAAAACATTCATTAGTGCTTAGGCTGACTTGCCACTAGCATTTCCAACCCTCTCAAGGGTATTCCACGCGACGAGCTTTTCAGAAGGGTCGACGACATCGTCGAAGAGCAAGGTCTACAGGAAGAGCGTGAGCTTCTTCGGAAGGGTGCCCTGGTTGCACAGGAACCTGAGAGATACAGAGAAATCAAGGGAGAGCATGCCCTGGACAACGAAGAAATTGACTGGTTGAGCCTTGAAGTCACCCACAAGTGGAGGGTTCCGAAGCTGCTATACATGACCATTATCACTTGTTCAATTGGAGCTGCTGTTCAAGGTTGGGATCAAGAGGGTAGTAATGGTGCTAATCTGTCCTTTCCCAAAGAGTTTGGCATCGGTTCCGAGACCTTGGATCACGATGTGTTTCTTGTGGGTTTGATCAATGCTGCGCCTTATATCGGTTCTGCTCTCCTTGGGTGCTGGTTGTCTGATCCTCTTAACAACAAATTCGGTCGCCGTGGTAAGTCTCTTCTATTTCTTTTGATGGATAAATTAGGAGCTGACCCTACTAGGAACTATTTTCATCTCGGCCATCTTTTGCTTACTTACTCCCATTGGTAGTGCTTGCGCGCAGAACTGGGAACAGTTGTTGGTCACTCGACTACTGCTTGGTATTGGTATGGGCATCAAAGCGTCAACCGTCCCTGTCTTTGCCGCCGAAAACAGTCCGGCCGCAATCCGAGGCGCTCTGGTTATGACCTGGCAGATGTGGACTGCATTCGGTATTCTGCTTGGTGTTACTGCGAATCTGATCGTTGGTAAAGTCGGCGATATTGCCTGGAGATGTAAGTAACTAAAAAGCATACGCAATATTATAGCACAGCTAATTCCTTCGTAGTGCAAGTCGGATCTGCATTCATCCCGGCAATCCCACTGACACTGCTGATTCTGTTCTGCCCTGAATCCCCAAGATGGTATATGAAGAAGAACCGATACAAGGAGGCATTGGCTTCACTCATTAGACTTCGTAATCACAAGATTCAAGCGGCTCGTGATCTGATAGCCATTGATGCACAACTCCGACTTGAGAGAGTTGCGATCGGAGATTCGACCTACATCAAGCGCTTCATCGAGCTCTTTACTGTTCCGCGACTCCGAAGAGCGACTTTAGCCTCGTTTGTGGTCATGATTGCTCAGCAAATGTGCGGTATCAACATTATCGCTTTCTACTCGTCTACAATCTTCAAGAATGCTGGAACCAGCGACTTCAATGCACTGCTCGCTTCGTTTGGGTTCGGTTTAGTCAACTTCATCTTCGCTTGGCCTGCTATCTGGACCATTGACACATTTGGTCGTCGATCGCTGCTTTTGTTCACGTTCCCGAACATGGCATGGACCTTGTTGGCAGCCGGTCTTTGCACGCTGATTCCGGGCAGTGGAGGTGCACACTTGGGTCTTGTGGCGCTTTTCATCTATCTGTTTGCTGCATTCTACTCACCCGGTGAAGGCCCCGTACCCTTCACATACAGCGCCGAGGTATTCCCTCTGTCGCATAGAGAAGTTGGCATGTCTTGGGCCGTCTCTACTTGTTTGTTCTGGGCAGCAGTTCTGTCTATCACATTCCCTAAGATCCTGGCCGATCTTGACGTCATCGTAAGTTAAAATATTTATTTCTATCCCCCGTATCCGAGACTAATTGCTGACCGCTTCACAGGGTGCCTTCTGTCTGTACGCCGGTTTCAATGTTGTGGCCTTTGTCATGATCTTCCTGTGGGTGCCCGAAACAAAGCAAAGAACATTGGAGGAGCTCGACTACGTGTTCGGTCTTCCCACCGCCAAGTTCGTCCGGTACCAAGTTCGCGAGGCTCTTCCATGGTGGTTCAAGCGATGGGTGCTGTTCCAGAAGGGTGCTACACTCAGGCCGCTCTACCAATTTGACTCGGACGATTCGGATACCAATGAATATGATGACAGCAAAGCCCAAACTGACTTCAGGGAAACAACAGAGCTATCTGGCGACTCTAAACCAGGAGCAACGTAACCCGCCGGGGCCCCAGCGGACAATGAGATCACACCTGCAAAGTATTGATGAAGTCATCAATCGGATGAGTGTACCGGCCCATGAACTCGAAGAATGTGGACTTATGACGTATCGAGCGCTTAATTCGTCTGAAGCGTCAGCTAGGTACAGTTGGCATATATCGGGGAGGTGGCCCAGTCATGTGGAGTGCGAAAACGGCTTTTGGTTGATAATGTGTGCTTTTGCCACTATATTAGTTGAATATACCCCTATGTCTCTGATCATAGTCTCTCAGCAATAGCGTACGGTTGAATTACTCTCACAAATTCAAGAACTGCAATTTGCTATCCATCTAAGAATCGGCGTGAACGTCGTGATCTCTCCTAATTGAATGGCCACCACTCTTGAAGCAATTAATCAACATATTTCGAGTCTGGACTATTCGGATAATATTTAAACCCTCTCTTTTGACCTCCATCTGGCGCTCATGTCTTGCAGTTGCCATGTTGGTGCTGGACGCGAAGCTATCAAAGCATTGTGTCTGCCTCGGCTATCCTTTCCCGCCCACGTGTTAAGAAAGATTTCACGACACGAGTCAGACAGTCGGCCCATGGGCAGAGCACATTACGCGGCTGCGCAGGATACGATCAATATATCTTTGCCGCGTCTTTTTTTGTTGTCTACCACACGGCCGACTCCGCAAAGAAGGCTGAGCCCGGCAATTTTTACACAGGAAACATGAAGACTCCTGGAAAGAACGCTCTAGACCTCAAACGTAGAACGATCCTGAGCGTTACCATTTGAGTTTTTCTGGGGGGACGAATTGGATGGTGAGTATGTGAAAAATCTAGATTGGCCTTCTCTGGTGTGTTTCATGCAAAGGAGGTCAGGCTAGGGTTGGGGGTTAGGGAGTAGCGCCAACGTCTTTGCAAAATGGCAGGGTCTTCCGAGCTGTTAGCAACGGGCCGTGTTAAACGGTGACCTGGCGTCGAACTTTGAACGAATCTGCCAACGTTGGACATCATGAAGATTTGCAAAGTCTCAATGAAGCCACACAGGTCGATTCATCTGAAGAAACTTCGACCGCTCAATACGCGTCTTATGCCGAGGCATTTCGTATCAGAGCCTGGAATGACGCAATCTGTTTTTGCTTACGAGAAAGCTTGTTGTGGGCTAAGGCTAACACGGGATGCATAATTGTTAAAAAGTCGTCGTTATGGCAAATCCATCACGGGCTGAGTCCCGGTGGGGATACGAGGGGGCAAGATGTGTCTATACCGAAGCCATACTAGACTAACCTTAGAGCAAGCGGATACGTCGTTGTCTTTGGAGTCTAGAGCAGCCGTGATAGATCAAGATTTGATATGTTCAAACATCTGTTTCGGATCGCTAAAAAGTCGTCGCGAACGATATTGTGTGAGTTTGCAAGTTGGTCATCTGTCAAACCAAGTTGCACAATTGCAGAACGATTCAGGTCGAAGTCAATGAGGATCGTCTCTTGTGGCTTGCAGACGGCGTGTGTTGGCGTGTCTCGCGTGTGGGCTTGGTTGAAAGAGCTATCCGCTGGCAGCCTTAGCGTAGGGACGCGCACAAGAACCACAGTGTGGGACAACCCAATTTTCAAGATTTTGCTTGACTTTCAGATCGGCGGAACTGCAGTGGAACTGGATGTGAACTTGGAAGCCTGTGAGAATTCGCCATGAGAGATATCTGCGGAGCTCGCAATGAGCAATAACCGACCGAAGCAGATCGTCACCAAGATCGGATCTTTCAGCTCCCCCACTGTATCTTTCAATCTTGTAGATCTTTGCGAATTGGTTTCCAGATGCTCACGTGTGAAAAGCGGCGACGTTACTGATGAATGAAATCGTGTTCCTGTGCTCTGCCAATATTTGGAACAGGAAACACAACTTACCAAGATGAGTAGGACGCAAATATTCTAAATGTGGACTCCATGCATTGAGTACAGTTTGAGTACGGATCCGTATGGCAGGGTTAGCCCACATTGGTATGCGTTGTCTTGTCATACTACTGTGTATGATCTTTGACTCGGTCATCTCTGAGTTGAAGGTTGCAGAAGTTGCTGCTACGAGCAACATGTAGGAGATATTTCGGAATGGGATGGGTTACGAAACTTTGCCGATTAACCTCTTCACAGAGAGTACTTCTTACTTGCGACAAAACCAAAGTATGCCGTCCGTTATATGCTTTTTCACTTGCTGAATGCCTTGTACTAGTGGTTCTGGCATGCCAGGATAACCATGGTTTTGGCATCACAGAGCATGCGAACTGGATCATTCTCCGACAGCTTTTCAACGATATCCCACTCAGTTCAATTACGGTGTTTTACGAGTACCGATAATGCAGCAACTCGACCGGCGTGTCCCTTTTGCTTTTGTGCTGCGTCTCAGTCGTCGCATCAACAACGTGATTTGGCGAGTATGTAAGTTAGTAAGTACGTATGTATCTATTGGCATTCACTACCAACGGGTCTCGGCTCAGGCCCCTAAATGGTACTATGTACATCACGCCTCTACTCATTTTGAAACAAGGAAAACCATGAAGTGGCTGGCGGGTTGGCCATCTCAAGCTTGTCATGGCTGGACTAAAGATGCGACTATCCCTGCAACCGCGATTGAGGGGCAGCTGGGGCGTTCGCAAGCCGGGTCCGCCAGCGAATGATTCTTCCAAACCCCTGATTCCATACTCGACTGCAACAAAACTGCCACCCCCAATCGGGAATGCTGGGTTGTGTAACGCGTGCTCGAATACGTTTAGCTTCAGGGACCAAGAGGATCTCGCAACATTGGGACCCAGGACTAAAAGGTTAGCACAGCAGCGCTTGGATGACCAATTTTTTATCTTATTTTATCGTGGTAGGCGCGAATCCACCGCTGAATACACCTAAGAAAGGTATGTACTGTGTAGCGAGTGGACCCTGACCTCATAGCTTAACTGGAGGTTTCTATCACCAGTTCTCAGTACTTCTCTCTCCCTCTACCTCTCCTTCATCACCTTCCCATCCTCATCTCTCGTTACTCCTGCACTCGCATTTCCTTATTTCTGTCATACCTATCGTAACCGGCGGTACGGGTGCCTCCAGCACAATCTGAGCATCAGGTGATTCACAAGACTGTCTTTGTCCTTCCAAGTCGAACTTGGATACAAAACCAACCGTACATCCTTTCAGCACTTGTGTAAATCAACTTTCCTTGTCCAAATCGACGATCGCCTGGTGCATCTCAAAGCTCCCTCACTTTTGAAACCCTATCTTAGTCAGTGGGATTTGTGTCTCTCGAACGCACATGTCTATGTTCTAGACGCACACCACTCCGTCCCCTCGCACTCCGCACCGCACCCTAACGGGGCTTCTTCCATTGTGTTTAGCAATGCCCGTATCGCCTCTTTCTTCCCCGAGAGATCATCGAGGATTCTTGCCATTGGGAGGCACACGCTCAAATACAATCGACGACGGTATGCAAGGCATTCCACTTACAAACGTGAAGAGCAATGCCAGCTCGACTGGCGCTCGGAAGGCAAACCAGGGACTCTCCTCTGGTCTTGATGGCAGTCAATCGCCCCCCGAAGGAGGGGAAAAGCATGGCCTGTTCCACCGCTCCGCCAGTAAAGCAGGCCGAAGACGGGCCAAACAACAAGAGCCCCCAGGACGAAGTAATACATTCGGCTCTGATGAGTTCTCACTCAATGCCATGGGCAGGATTTACACCAAGATCATTGGGTTTTCGGTTGTGACGCGATACCTCATCTATGTCGTTCCTGTCGCCATACTGCTCGCCATTCCTCTAATTGTCTTGCCACTTACCGGCCATAAGAACGACCCAGTCGGTAAAGGAGACGCTAATGGAACCGATGCCGACGGAAACACGACCTATGTACAAGGACCGTCTATGTTCCATCTGTTCCTCTGGATCGAGTTATGCTGGGTTTGTCTGTGGGCCGGAAAGGTGGTTGCACATTTGCTTCCGCCAGTGTTCATGTTTGTTTGCGGTGTGGTTAGTTCTGGAACTCGCAAGTACGCAGCTGTCATCGAGGCCCTTGAATGGCCGCTGTCCGTGTTCTTCTGGACATTGGCCATCTGGCTCATTTTCAAGAACCTGTTCAATGGCACGTACGACTCTGTTGGGTGGGTTGAGACGATGAAGAGAGTGCTCGGCTCCCTCTTCGTCTCGTCCGCCGTTCTACTTGGAGAAAAGACGATTGTACAGTTGATCAGTATCACTTACCACCAAAGATCCTTTGCCAACCGCATAAAGGACTCTAAGCGCGAGGTCCACCTGCTTGGACTCATGTACGACGCTTCACGCACACTATTCCCAATGTACTGCCAAGAATTTGCCGAGGAGGATTACATCATCAACGATAGTATCGAGATGATGCTCAGCGGCAAGAAAGGCCGTCGAAAGGGTGGTTCTGCCACACCCATGCGATTGATTGGACAGGTTGGTCGTGTTGGTGACAAGGTTACCTCAGTGTTTGGCAATCTGGCGTCTGAAATTGCGGGAAGACAGGTCTTCAACCCCAACTCGGCTCACTCGATTGTTGTAGAGGCCCTGGAGAAAATTCGTACCTCAGAGGCTTTGGCCAAACGTATTTGGATGTCTTTTGTTGTTGAGGGCAATGACTCCCTTTATATTGAGGACATTGTCGAAGTATTGGGTCTGGCGCATCGTGAAGATGCTGAGGAGTGCTTCCTTACTATTGATGCCGATGGCAACGGTGACATTAGTCTTGACGAGATGACTCGGAAAGTCGTCGAGACTAGCAAAGAGAGAAAAGCCATCTCGAATAGTATGAAGGACATCAGTCAAGCCTTGGCTGTCTTCGACAAGATACTATTGTTTGTGGTGTTACTAATTGTCATCTTCATCTTCTGTAAGTCTTGTCAAACGGTTGGAGTACAAACAATTTCACTAATAAGCTTGCAGTGGCATTTTTCCAGAGTTCATTCATCACCACACTGTCCACTGCAGGAACGGCTCTTCTTTCGCTCTCCTTCGTCTTTAGTGTTACAGCTCAAGAGTTTTTGGGATCTTGCATTTTCCTGTTCGTCAAGCATCCATACGACGTGGGTGACCGTGTCGACATCGTTGGATCCGAGAAGCAGCAGCTTATCGTCGAGAGAATCTCGCTGCTCTACACAATCTTCAATCGTATCGATAAAATGCAAATCGTCCAAGTACCAAATATTGTGCTAAACAACTACTGGATTGAGAACGTTTCTCGCAGCAAGGCTATGAAGGAAGTCGTTTCCGTAAATGTTTCATTCGACACTTCGTTCGAAGACATCGAACTTCTTCGTCGGGAAATGGAGACTTTCGTTCGTCATCCCGACAACGCAAGAGACTTTGAGCCTGATCTCGTCATTGGAATTGGTGCCGTCAATGACTTGGACAAGCTGACGCTTAACATCGCTATGAAGCATAAGTCTAACTGGCACAACGATGCGGTGCGTGCCACCCGTCGCAGCAAGTTCATGTGTGCACTCGCTCTGGCCCTCAAGAAAGTGCCCATCAACGGCCCTGGTGGCGGTGGTGAGGCGTTGGGCGGACCTACCAATCCTACGTATTCCGTCACTGTGAGTGACAAGGAAGCGGCACAGGCTCGTGATAAATGCGACGAGGAGAAGGATGCGAAGCGGCTAGAACCGTTGAAGAAGAAGCCCGACTTGAATGAGGAGGAAGCTGCTCAAAGACTTAACAACAGTATGAGCGCTGCAGCTCTCGCAGTTGGAGATGATTGGGTTGCCTTCAACAGAGACGACGATACTCTGGGTTCACGTGATCAATCAGCTGACCGGATTGAGAGAATTCGTTCTAGCGATATTGAGAGATTACGTTCCGATCTCAACAAGACAGCTAGCACCCGTAGTGGACGGCGCCAAGCTGGCACGACGCTCCCAGCGGATCACTACGGAAGTACCCCCGGTATCCAAGTTACGCAGCATGATTCTGCCGCTCGTTATGACGAGGAGGCTCAAATCGGAAGCCCGAGCGCTTACCACAGTCCTATCCAAATGCAAGGCGGTTTCACATCAATCTCTCCACCTGGTGCTGTCAATGCCACCGGAGCCGGCCAGGCAACTAGATCGGACACTTTACAGACTTCTTCCTCACGAGGCTCCAGGCCTAGAGGCGCAAGTGTGACTCGGACGCAGAACAACAACCCCTATCAATAGCGATAGAGTGGTCTCCATGTACAAAAAGAACTCGGTGCGGGTTTAGCATTTTGAAAAGGCGTTGGTCAAATTTTTTTTCTTTGCACGGGCAAGATTGCAGCTGGCGCTCTCTCGGTTTGAGCATGATTACCGGCAACATTTGCCGTGACGACAAATATATTTTAGAGGGGGCTCGGAAGCATTGGTAGAGGTCTAGTTTAGACTGTATAGAGCAAAGAGTCAGACGGTTTGCCTACAACGTTGGACTCTGAGCCACCCGCAAAGACAATAACACTGTTGTATTCTGTGAACGGTGAACTATATATTGCGCGTTACCTTAGTCTGTGGATGAGTTCCAAACGTCGATATTGCTTCGACTCAAACATCTCTGCCATCCTGGTCTAGACTAACTAGTGCCAAAGACAGTGTTCTTCCATAGCGGCAGACGACTCAAACAGGGTCGCCAAGTGTTCGAGAGATAAGGAGACAGGACCTGTGTGGGGAAGACTATCACGCCGGCAGGATGATCACACGCCGAACCCCACACATAGCTCGCACAATTCGGACCAAATCAACCAGTCAATGCTCAGGTATTGGTGTGGTTGCATCTTACCGACTGTGAAGTATCGCCTGTGCAGAAAGGGCTGCCGATAACCTATGTATGGGAAGTAGCATTGTTTTGCTCTTATCTCCAACACCTACCGTTGTATTGAATGTTGGTGCCGTAGTCCTCGGGTCACTTTCAAGCTATAACTATCTTGTAGTATTGGTGTTTCGAATTTCTTCGTGCCACGGTGCGCATGTCTAGGACACCGTGATACCTTGTGATTGCCATGCGACAAACCTGCAACGCGACATCGAGAACTTACGAGAAAGCCTCAGAGTGATACTCCATGTGTAGTGGAACTTATACGAGACAAACTCGGTGTTTTGTACAGCTCATAGTCTGTAGGTCCGAGTTAACCAAAGCCGATAAGCGAGTCTGTTTCTTGCTGATTGCTTTTGCTGAAGGGGTGGTGAATTGCTTCAACATTGGGGAACACCCACAAAACCTTGTCTCTTATTGGATTGTACTCATCTTAACGCGCTGTGGTTCACGCCTACTCGCAAAGGGCCCGCATGACCACAAGATCAACTTGGCTACTCCTCAACATAATGAGTCCTCGCCCTGACCCGGACAAGCAGCAACATGCTGTCAGGGTAGCTACCCCAAGCACACATGGGCAGAGAATCAAACGACAATGGGCGACTTCTACAATCCTAGCGTTGCTTGGCATGGCTGCACTTTATCATTTTATTCAAATATTTCTATTCACGCCTGCGAGTACGAGCTCTGAGGATAGATATATAGCAGAAAACATCTTTGACTGGGCGGCGCTGCAACCAAGCAGAGAGCTCAAGTGGAAGAATTGCTACCATGGCAAATTCGACTGCGCTAGACTCGAAGTATGTGACCCGTTGCAATGCAACGAATATTATTCCATAAGAAGCCAACCTGCTAACCAGGAACGTGTGCTAGGTACCACTAGACTGGCTAGAACCATCAGAGGATAAACGTGTAGTGCTTGCTGTTATTCGAGTTCCGGCAAGGAACAGGGAAGATTACAGGGGGCCGGTTTTTGTGAATCCAGGGGTAAGGCAAGCCCCTGAAATGCTGAGCTGAAGGCTGAGCTGACTTGAGCTGATAGGGACCCGGAGGCTCAGGGGTGGCCTGGATCGCTGATGGAATTGGTGACTATCTACAGACAATCGTAGGGAACAACCACGTGAGTTCAGTGTTCTCAGAGTTGAAGACGCACTGATCTTACTCGAGTAGGATATTGTGAGCTGGGATCCTCGTGGTGGTGAGTCTAGAGGCCAAACCTTAAGGACAGTGTGCTTTCTAACCATGTATTATTGTAGTTGGAGCCTCAATACCTCGGGTAGATTGTTGGGGTTCATCACAGAAACGACACGACTGGAGCATGCAAATGTCAGGCGTCGTGGACTCCCATCCAGGCATGCTTTTCGATGCGCTGGCCCAGTTCGATGCCCTCTCTAGACAATGCGAGACGCACATGAACAGGATGACCCCTGAACTCCTATCGCATATATCCACCGCTTCCCATGCACGAGATATGCTGGAGATCTCAGAGAAGATGGGATTCAGTAAAGTCAAGTATTGGGGCGTCAGCTGTGAGTACAGGCAACATCCGTTAATTTCTTGTGGTATGCGTAAGATTTTCCGCACTTGCGAGAAACGCCCAGAAAGAAGAACTCGATTCTACAAGAAATATCCTACTTGGAGGCAGCAGAGAACTGATATGCTTAATCCTATTAGATGGAACTATTCTCGGTGGCACCTTTGCCGCACTATACCCAGACAGAGTCGAAAAACTCGTCAGCGATGGTAAGATCCAGGGGAAAACCAGACCATAGTATTTATCAAGTAATTAATAGGTACATACCAGGAAATGTGGACTATCACGACTGGTTTGCCAGCATAAAGCTCAACTATCTCCAAGATGCCGACAAAATCATGGAAGCGTTCTTTGAGTTCTGCAACAAGGCAGGACCAGATAACTGCAAGTTTTACCAAGCGACCTCCGATGCAATTGAGGTGCGCTTTTTAGAACTTCTTGCAAGTCTTCGAAAGAGTCCCGTCTTGATACCAGCGCATACCAACGGCACGCAACTCGAGATGCCAGAGCTTGTCACTTACTCGAAGCTGCAAAATCTCATCCGCGGCTGCATGTACAAGCCGATCTACCGATTCCCGGCCCTAGCAAGGGTGATGGCCGCACTTGAACAGCGGGATGGCGTACCTTATTACCAACTCCGGGGCGAAGATATGGGAGGGCCCCCGCAGCTCGACTTCTGCTTACTGAACGAGACCTTGCCCACGGTCCCCTCCATCCCCCAGCACTCGGACGACGCATTCCCAGCCATCATGTGCGCGGACAGCGAGGCCGCGGATGCGGACGAGTGGACGCCAGACACCTTCCTCGCCTACTTCGAGGAGCTGCAGCGCATCAGCAGATACGCCGGCGCCTCGAACATGCACTCGCAGCTCTCCTGTGCCGGCAGGCAGGATCGGCCGAGATGGCGGTACGCGGGTCCGTTCCGCAACATCACCACGAGCTTCCCGATCCTGTTCATCGGCAACATCGCCGACAACGTGACGCCGCTCTCGAGCGCGAGGAACAACTCCCGTGCCTTTCCGGGCTCCGTTGTCCTGGTGCAGAGGTCCTATGGCCATGCCAGCCTGGCGGCGCCCAGCACGTGTACGGCAAAGGTGATCAGAGAGTATTTCCAGCAGGGCACATTGCCAGCACCTGAGACAGAGTGTGGGCAGGATTGGGAGTTGTTCGAGGATCCTCCCCCCGTCCTGGAGGGGGTTGAGAGTGACCGTGATTTGCAAGTCGCTGTGCGGGAGCTTTCGAGGACGGCGAATGTTGCTATTGGTAGCTAAGATGGGATTGTGAGATTCTTCTGAGCCAGTGAAGATCGAACGTCGTTTTAGGAGCATTGGAGAAAGAACGGGGCGGGGGTGTAGCAGGTGTGTTATCACGACGATAGTGGTTGGATAGTAAAGTCTCGGGATCATGTGCAGAGCGCCAGAACATCGTTGATTAGAACGCTACATTAACGAGGTACCTTTATAGAGTCGAGTCTTGTCTATAGCCCAAAATCGTTTGCACAAATACCTGCCAACCGAGGCCAAAACCAAGCACCTGCGCCCAGTGCCCGCCCTTGAACGCCAGATTTATCCTTAGTATATACATCAAAGACCTTGAGATCCTTATATTTCGCTAATACATTTCCACATCTATCTTCGTGGGCCGTCATCTATTTTAGGGACGTCGTCTATTTCAGCAGGCCATCGAAAGCAGGGATGAGCGTCTGAGCCAGCCAGAATGAGAATACGAGCTTGGGTCCAGTCATGAGCAGCTTGGGCGTCAGACCCTTGAAGAAACTCGACATGCCCTCGTTCTTCATCATGTTGGAAATGATTCTCATTCCACTCTCGGGGTTTTCGAAGTTTCGGTTCTGGATACGGGTCTTGATGACATCGAGAGGGGCAGAGACGACAAGGGAAGCGGAGGCACCAGCGATGGAAGCAACGAAGTTCTGGAACCACGAGGCCTTGTTGTAGTCGTCGAGGTGGAAGAGGTACTCCTTGGCGAAAGCCGAACCACCGAAGAGGGCGAAAGAACCGGGCGCGTTACGGGCTGCAGTCCATCCCCAACCTCTATACAGACCGAAGCCCTCGTCGGCGATGATCTTGAAGATACCACGACCACGGAAAGCCTCCGGGTTAGTTTGACGCTTGATCTTGAGGACATCGAGAGGCAGGAGAACGATTTCGCCAATGCCAATCAGGCTGGATTTTTGTAAGCTTTTTGGGCAACGAGTATTCTCCAGCAGTTTGCAACTTACCTGCCAGCTGTCGAGTGCATGATGGCCTTTCCCGTCTTCTTTCCGAAGGCACCCTCAAAGTCCTTGCCATAGTGTTCCGCAAGGTAATCTCTGGCAATGGGCTGTCCACCGTACTTGTATATTCTTTGCGAAACCTTGTATCCTGCGGCGTAACCCAGACCAGGGAACAGGGAGAAGAACTTCTTGCCAACTGGAGCAGCGGCCTTGTCCTTGAAGATGACGGCATTCAGTTGCGGCCAGCCCGACACTTTGGTGGTGTTGCTCATCAATCGTTTCGCGATCGTATCGACTGGGTGGAAGACGGCCAGTTCGGCAATACCAGCAGATCCTGTGATTTGTCAGATTGCACTCTACACCAGAGTCCTGTTGAGCGATGTGTCATACCAGAGCCAAGGAGTCGCGCTACGTTGGACTCCTTCTCTTTACCAGCGACCATTGGAGGAGACATTTTGAGTATGATTTTTAATGTATTAAAATGACTTGAAACGTATTAAGACGGCGAATAGAAAGACTGATCGCTGGTGCGTGAAGGAAGGGACAGAACTCGAGAAGCGGTCTTGATAGGCAAGATCTGACAGAGAAGACCGAGACTGGAGCTAGGATCAAGACTGCGAATTCGGGGCCCGTTGAAACTCACTCGCGCGATTGAAGAGGTCCAACTTGGAATTTTTTTTTCTTTCTCGGAGCTATCGCAAGCGACAGGGAAAGCTGCAGCCGCAACCCCCTGAACCATTGCTGGCGCACTGGGTAGCTCTCCACAATCAACCCCACCGAAATTTTTCTTTAAGAAGGTTCAACCGATTTTTCTTCTTCTCGTCTTGTTCACACTCATATCTTGAGAGAGCAAAGTTTTGTCCGAACTGCGCTGCGGGATTCCCTAGGATCTCGCGCTCTGCAGACAGCGGCGGATCACCTTTTAAACCAGCAATGGCTTGAAGGAGTAGTCCAAACTCTTCAACTGCAATCGCAATGCGCTTCGATCATCCTCAGCGCCTTTAGCACACGGTAAGATTCACCTCACCCTCTTTCTTAACACACCTCAACGCGCCTCTTGCGCGCCCTACAATGATGATCAAAATACCTATAAAAAACAGTTATCCCTATCCGAACTTGTATTCATGTGGATACCGGTCCATATCTGACATTCAAACTCTGATAAACTTCTTTTCAAGCATATCTTTTGAGGTGATTGAAGCTAATTTCGATCTCAGATTTCTCAGGTGTCCATGACGACCATCGATCAAACTCAACCGAGGTTGGAGCCCCCAAAGTTGTGCCTACACCATACTGCGTAAGAGGACTTGAATAATGTCCCGACAAGGTCAGTGATGCGATCACATAGAAGTCTATGGCAGTCAAAAGGGTCTCTTGATGTGGAGTATATGTTTTCGTAGGTGTTGAGTCATGCACAGCTTATTGTTATTCACTTTTTTTGCCCCCCTCTGCGGTCCGGATACACTATGCCTTGATGACTTGGTCTCGATGTTATCTAGCTCTGTTTCCATCCGGAGAGGAATCTTCACGGCTCAGAAATCTAGTGGGCCCGGTTGTTTGGGTCTGCTGTTTTTACGTACAGCGGTATCTTGTAATATACGGCGCAGACATTTGCTTGATATCAAGACACTTTTACCATAGACTTACCAATGTTTCGGCAACTTATTTACATTTTTCTTCTGTCACCGGCTTTTCTTGGTGAAACGTGCAGACAAATATGTCCTCTGACCTCTTGAAAGTAACATCATGCAACTGGACGTCATTGAATGGTACAGCGGAAATAGTTTAGACCCTCATTCGGCGTGGAAAAGTGAAAGCCCCTCACATGTCGATACGTGCAGATGCCCCCCATGAGTATATCACGGCCCACTCAAGCACTAGGTTTATCAATCGAAGTCATGATGAGCTCCAACAAAAATTGTGACGACACCTTGGTTGCGTTTCTGGGCCAACAGAAACGTAGTATTGCCTCTATTCATCATGACTGATTCATAAATTGCACGGTGTGCCAACCATAGTCTCGATAGTGGCTGAACTCAAACAATGAGTCCATGATCACATACATATGGCTTATTAGTGACTATCTACTAGTTCCACAAAAGACAGCTTTGTGCGCAACAATATCTGGCTTCGGTGTGTCATACTACGGCAGATACTTTACCTTCTGAGCCCGGTAGTTGCTCGTGCTTACACATGGACCCTTGTTTGCAGGGCTGCTTAATTTCAGTTGCGGAGAAGCAGCCATATGCGATACGAGCTTATTTGACGTCCTTAATCATTAGTCCGGCAAACCCCAAGCGCACCGCATACGAAGGGCATCGCCATTTGACATCACGATGCGGGCGCTAGCAATTCAACATGTCATACAACCTGCAAGTTGGAGTTAATTATGCTTGGTACATAGCGCAAGAGACCAGGGACTTGATCTAATCTCCTCAAATAGCTCCACGAAATACGATGTCTCGTATAAATGTCTTAAATAGTGCTCCTCCCAGATTCTCTAACCAGTGTTCGCTTCTTGGACGTCACCTATCAACTCATATTCATACCGACCAAGATGAAGACATCTATTGTGATTGCGGCCGTGGGATACCTAGGCTTGACATGCTCCGCCTCGCCAGTACATCGCCGGGAGTCAGGTGGTTGGAAAACCCAAGAGTGGGACGCAATCGTAGTCGGTGCAGGAACAGCAGGTATCATTGTCGCCGATAGGCTAAGTGAAGCGGGCAAGAAGACTCTTCTGCTCGAGATAGGCGGACCCTCTTATGGAATTACCGGCGGAAGAGAGAGGCCTGCTTGGCTGAACGGCACTGATTTGAGCAGAGTCGATGTTCCAGGGCTTTGTATGCATATCCCCTAACTGTAAGATACCTTGGACACTAACATATTATAGACAAGAGCATATTCTCTGGTGGTTCGGAGTTATTATGTCCTTCGGATGTAGTGAACGGATTCCAGGCCTGTGCTATTGGCGGCAATAGCGCAATAAATGCCGGTCTCTATTTCCAGCCTCCAGCCTCCGATTGGGACTTATATCATCCTGATGGTTGGAAAAATGATGATGTTCAAGCTGCAACCCAGAGACTGTTGCAGAGACAGCCTTCTGTTACATCATACTCGCCAGATGGAAAGTTCTACTGGCAGACCGGCTGGGACGCAGCCGAGAGCTGGCTTGTAGACGGTGCCGGTTTCAAGAATGTCTCTTTCAACGAAGTGCCGGATGACAAAGCCCGCGTGTTTGGCCGCACCAACTACAATTACATTGACGGCCAACGTGGCGGCCCGACCAGGACCTACCTTCAAACTGCCTTGGCTCGCAGTAACTTCCGTCTTCAAACTGGAGTGCGTGTCAAATATATCAACCAGGCTGGTGGAGTAGCTTCCAGTGTTGTCGTCGAAACAGCAGGTTCTTTGGTAGAGGTGCCCCTATCTGCCTCCGGTAGAGTCATCATCAGCACGGGCGCGCTGCAATCGCCAGCAATCCTGATGTTTTCTGGCATCGGCCCTGCCGATGCCCTCGAGAAACTCAAGAATGCCTCTTTCACTCCCTATAATTCCTCGAACTGGATCGTCAACTCGGCAGTCGGCGCGGAGCTATTCGACAACCCAAACACATTCATTGAATTTTCCGGACCCACCATTGAATCGCATACACACGACTACAGCAACCCTGAACCTACAGACCGCGATCAGTACCTGTCTTCCCGCAGCGGTCCCTACTCCTTTGCCTCTCAGACCTCGGCGTTCTGGGACTTTATTCATTATGAGGATGGCACGCAAGCTGGTCTCCAAGGCACAATCGACTCTGCGGGTTACAGCGATTTCAACGACAACAAGACAATTACCCTCAACATCTACGGCACGTCCGGCATGCTGTCCACAGGTCGTGTGGTTCTATCAGATGACGGCAAGTTCGTACCCGGCCCAGATTCCAATGTCTACTACTCAGACCCACGCGACGCCGACTCCATCGCCACGTTTATCCACGACATCTTCCAGTCTCTGCCCGCTTCGACGCCCGACTCGCCCGCCGCAGAAGGTCTCACGCCCATGAACATTGCGCAGAACTCCACCTTCGAGGAGATCCGGACCTATATCACGACGCCATCTGCCTATGCCGTCGGTTCGGTGCAGCACTGGTCGAGCTCCTGCAGAATCGGATCTTGTGTGGATGCGGACACCAAGGTCATTGGAACTCATAACATCCATGTTATCGATGCATCTATACTCGCGCCCCTGACGGTGAACCCCCAGTTCGGCACCATGGTCGCCGGAGAGAAGGGAGCGGAGAGAATCTTGGCTTTGGATTCATGAGATCCGCCAGCCATGATGCTTTATCTTGACAAATAGACTACCTAGAACGATCCCCTGATTATGAATGATCATAGGAATGACTATAGACATAATGAGCAACAACAATACAGTAAAATTACCAGACGATGTGCGGTTAGCAGCCTATGCTGTATCGTGGAATTTGCCACTGTCATCTACTTGAAGATGGGAATTCCAGTGCAGCCCCTACCAGGCTCAGCTCATCAGAACCGCCATGGAGAGGCAGGCCTTACACCTTCGCAACATGTATTAGATACTTGTGCAGACCTCTCGAGACGATCTCTGGGATAGTGGAGTACACGATTGGCGAGTGGCCACTGCTCTTCAATTCGCGCTGACTAAGTGCATGAGCATATAAGCCAGAGGAGGGCTGACGGGAAACACATCTGAGCAGTCTTCGGCGTTGGATGCCGCAACTTGACCCGGCAATGTCGCAGCCAGCTCCCTCACATATGCAGGTGACCGCCCTTGCGTCCCAGATATGCTAGACACGACAGCCTGCATGTGGACTTTGTCAATAGCCAACCGAATCGTGTGTAAACGGTCCCATCATTCTGATAGCTAGTCTAGTGCTAGTTCACATTTTGGATCCATGTAAAACGATATCTCTGCTAAGTACCCAGCGTCTCAACTGACACGAAAAGTTCATATACAGCGCAGTGAGGTTGGTAGAACAGAGGCAGGATGCCCAGTGGTCGGGAAGATTAGGAGGTCTCAAGCAGTAACGTTCATTAGGCGGTGGAAGCCCGCAAGATGGCTCAAATGTTGGAGACAGCTGGGTGACCACTAGGTTAGTTAGATAACTAACCTCAGGGAGGTGGGTCTAAGAACCCGTTGTGACTCTCCCTGCGGCCCCAGAACGTGTCACTAGCCTGATTTCTTTAGTTCACGAGAGCTACATGCTCCTAACAGTGATTCCGAGCGACGATGGCCCAGTTGGATGGGATTGAGTGTCAAAACACATATCCCACGAAAAACACCACTCTCTGGCGGCTGAAGAAGAACTGGAAGTCTGGAGGATGCTCACTAACTTATTACATGGGTGGAGGGCGGTTAACAGTGGATAGTGGGGTCAATTTGGTTTGAAGCTCCTTCCCGGTTGCTGTGGAGATATGCGCTACACATGATAGCTCTGTTTGCAAACGGGCAGCAACCGAAGACATTGGACGACATCATCTTTGTTGTGCAGCCCGGCGGTGCGCTGTCAAACCACCCCCCAAGTCTTAGGCGGTCGCATATTACAAGGTCATTGCCAGTAACCTTGTTCACATTTTGCTGCAGTTTTGAGGTTTTTCGTGGGTTTCATCAACCAGAGTTTGCGATTTGCACTGCGTTTTGCAGTAACTTAATTCTTCACCCAGTACTCGTTGTGCTTTGCCTTACAGTTCGGCTGCGATAGCGGGCATATGCCAGCCCACTTGCACGCGCCAACCCACACCACAGAGTGAAACACCTTATACGTCGCCTCCCTAAACACCACATTCCATCACTACATAGGGAGTCGTCACTTGCTCCAGATTCATGATGCCACCGGTCGAGCGCGACGCCCCGGTGATCGACTGGCATCTAAGACACAAACACTCTGCCTCATCCGACCACGGGCGCGCCTTGATCCCCATGTAAGTGCCCACATGACAGCCCCGACATTGTTGGCAATGTCCATGTCCATGTCCATGTCCATGTTCCGACGACTGACGAACCGCAGGTGGGACAGCTCCGACCCCGAGAGGGCGCCGGCTCCTCTCCCATTGAACCCACAGTCACCCAGCACATCGCGACACGGCACCTCGCCCGCCATCCGATCAGCCCATGCCGCCCTTAATGAGAAGGCACAGGAGCATGCGCTCATGCCGGTACTCGTCAAGCGAAATACCGATGCATCTCCCGAGCGAGCACTGGTATCGAGGGCCAGCCCACACAAGCGCACACAAACTCTTGGCCCCACTAGCGTAAGAGACCTTGGTTTGATGCTCGAGGGACCTCCACGGCGCGATAGTATCAGCTCGTTCGGCTCCCCGAGATCCCTATCGCCAGAAAAGTCCAACAGGCCCTCGACCCCCGTCCGCGGTCGGGAAAATGAGAGAGAACAGTCAGTCGACAGGGAGACCGCGCCGACGCCAGTGTCGGCCAGTTCCACACCAGCCATACGCCCTGCAGTTCGGAGGCAACCCTTCAGTATCCTGGGGGAGAACACCCCGCCGCAGTCAGCGACCATGCTAGCACTTCAGAACATGCCGCCAATCTCATCTCGAGAGGCTACTCCTTCAACCGAGGCACCGAGGCCGTTGGGTAATATCACGAACAACTCGACCGCGGTGGTAAAGACACAGCCTTCGGTGGATAACCTATCGAACCAGATTCTCACTTTGACCAGTATTGCCACTGCTTTGCAAAAGGAAATGTCGCTGCTCAGTCGTAGAAGCAGAGACAACGCAACAGATTTGATGAGTCTCAAGGAGGCCACTCATGCAAGAGACGAGGATATCCGCAAGAGCCTTCGCGAAATCATTATCAACGCCGACTCCAGAAAGGATCGTGATCATTATGGCGGCCTGTATCTGGACAACAAGCCTCATGGCAGCTCGCCGCAGTCGAAGGCTCTCAAACCGTTCCAATTGCCGAGGATACCATCTCCCACAACTTTCTCCGCCTCGCTAGACAGGGAATCCACTATCAGCTCTTCAACAGTGGACTCTGCACCCTCCTTGGTCGGTGACTCACCTGCCACGTTGGCTTTGATTGAGAAGATCATTCGGGAGATGGGCACCAGAGACGGCCAAGACAGCGTGGTTGAGCGTCTCACGGAACTTGCTGCGAAGCTGGAGGGCCTGGCCTCTTCGGCTAAAGTTGAAGAACTGATTGGTGAGCTCAAGACTACAAATCAGCAGCTGTCCCTTGTTCCCGCAAGCGGAGGCCGAGGTGGTGGCGGCAACAACACGAGCCGGGGGCGGAATCCCAGCTTTGACGATGATGACAATCACAGTCTGCGAGAAATTAACTGGAATCATAGTGGGTCGGGAGCAGTTTCACAACGAGTCAACGCTTTCCTCCAAGACAAGGACGGTAGACGTGCATCTATACCATCAAATCGTTCGAATGAGGTTCTCACCGAGGACGTTATTAAAGCCATTCGTGGTGTGAAAGACAGCGTAGCGCAGGGAGGCGGGCTCACAGCCGAAGTCAAGGCTCTTATCAGAGAGCTACGCGGCGAGGTTCTTGGAATGGGACGAGAGATTGGTCGGCGCATCGACGAAGTCAACGCAAAGGTGGCTGTCAGTGCCGCTACCGATAGGGATGTCGAACCCGCTGAGCCGGCAACTAAACTCCAGATGGAAAAGATCGTGATTGAAGGCCTAGATCAGATGAGGAGTCGAATGACCCAACTGCTCAAGGATCACCGCCGCGAATCAGTTTCGTCCACCAAGTCCCTGGTTGACTATCAGGAGATTTACAACGCTATGAAAGCCGCCCTCAACGATAGTCAAGCTAGCCTCTCTAAAGATGACGAGCTGAGCAGGGATGATGTGATAGACGCTGTGAAAGATGCTTGGGAGAACTACCAACCCGAAATCCACGTGGAACAGATTGGTCTTGGACGAGACGAAGTTCTGGCTGTTCTGCAACAGGGCCTGCAGGAGTTTGCGCCCCCCGACGTACCGCAAGGCGCATCTAGAGATGAAGTCTTCGAAGCTGTGGCTCAAGCATTGAAGAATTTCACACCGCCACCCGTGGACACGCCCGCAAGTCTGTCGCGCGATGAAGTGCTTGAGGCTGTGAGGGATTGCTTAGAAGAGTTTGAGTTCCCCGTCGCAGCATCAGCTCTCACTAACGAGCTTTCAAAAGATGACCTTGTAGATGCCGTCAAGCAAGGTCTGGAGTCCTTCGATTTTCCGACCACTTCGAATGCTATCATTCCTCATGATGGCAGCGCCGATAGCTCCGAGGTCATTGAGCGACTTCACGATATCATGCAGTTCATGAGGGAAGAGTTCAGGGCTGTATCTGAGGAGGCGAAGCAGAATGTTGCTGCCAATGGCAGAGACACGGAGCAAGTACTCGATGCCACGAATGATGGTTTTGAGAAGCTCCGTGCGCACATAGAAAGTTATGTCGACCGTGCGAATAGCTTAACAAACCAAGACGAACTGATCGAGAACCTTGCGGACAGCTTGAACGGCTTCCAAGCAGAAATATCAGAACTAGTCGCCAAGGCTTCCGATGGATCGAAAGCTATGTTGAGGGAAGAAATTGAATCCTTGCGCGACGCCGTCAACTCGTCTCTTGTGCCACACTCTCCACCGGGTATCGACAATAGGGAGGTTCTTGAGGCCCTCCGAGAAGGCTTGGAGCGTGTAAGGCTAGAGCTCCTACGACCGCATGCGGGCACCACCGACATTCTTGACGCAATGCACGAAGGTTTTGGCGACCTCCGTGCCACAGTTGATAGGATCGCCGACAAGCCTACGGACCTCACTGCTAACGATGAGGTCCTCGATGCTCTCAAGCTGGGCTTAGATAGTCTCCGGGCAGACATTGACTCACTTCGGGAGCATAATCAGAATGAGCTCGAGGCACTTCGTGAGCAAAACAGGAACGGCATCGAATCCCTACGCGAGCAGCACCAAAGTGGCTTTGAGTCCCTTCGAGAGCACAATGACGCCGAAAGGGCACTTGTTCCCGCAATGCCAGATGCCGTCATTCCTGCTGACACGTTGAAGCAAGACGATATTAAGAACCTCGAGGTCATGCTTACTCAGTTACGCATCAAGGTGGAAGCAATGGAGTTTCCAGTACCAACTCAACATGACCATCTTTCTAAAGGCGACCTTGCCGAGATGGAAGAGCTCCTACGCAACAACCCTTCGAAGGAAGACTTATCCGAGATGCAGGAACTCATCCGAAACAGTCTCTCCAAGACTGACTTGTCAGGAATGGAAGAAATGCTGCGCAGTGTTCAGGAGTCAATAGCAGGACTTGCAGAGAAGGACTCGAAAAAAGAAGTCGAGGAGGCAGAAGAGCCAAAGAAGAATATGGAAGACGCCGCCACGAAGGAGGATGTGGAAGCCATCGAGACTCTTCTTCGAAACACTAAAGGCCGCCTTGATGATTTGTTAGATGGCGAGCAGGCCATCCGCAAAGACCAGATTGACGGCGTCGAAGCTTTGGCGCTTGAAACCAAGGTGGCACTAGGCTTGCTCACCACGAATCTCGAGTCCGTCTCCAAAAAGGAAGATATAAACGCTGTCGAATCTCTAGTCACGCAGATCATTGCTGCGTTCGATGAGATGAAGGAACGATCGGAGAAGGCTCTGGAAGATCCAGAACGCGTAACGAAAACCGATGTTGATGCCGTGGAGACTGTGTGCCGCAATATGAAATCAGTGGTCGATCAGATACGCGAGACCAATATTCCCACACTGCCAACGAAGGAGGATTTGAAGGCGCTGGAAGAGGTCATGAAGGAGGCAAAAGCTGTACTTGATTCACAGGTTGAGACCAACGAAAAGGCTTTCGAGGAGAGACAAGCCGAGATCGTTGGTGTTAGTGAGCGTGTAACTGAAGTCAAGACTTTCTTCGAAGAGTTCCAAGGTCTGGTCAAAGAAAAGCTCGAGAGCGAGACATCGGGCCTTGAGGCTCTTAGCAAAGTCCTGGAAAGTCTCAGCCTCACGGTCGACAGGAACGCCAACGTCTCTGAGCATCTGAATGACATGTTCGAAGTCATGAAATCGGAGTTTGAGGATTCCAAGAATGGCGTGGCTGGTGCCAAGATCGACAACGATGAGAAGCTGCAAGCTACACAGGAGGCACTGGCTGTCAAAATCGATGAGAAGATTGGGGAACTCCTTACCAAGTACGATGCTTTCGGAGTGGTTATGGAGGAACGCCATAAGTCCGGCGAAGCGCGAGATACCGAGACGGAGGCTGCCGTCGTCAGTACGAAGGCGGTTGCCGATGAGCTGAAGCTCTTAATCGACACTCTTGGTTCCACTGTCACAGATTCCATGGAAAAGATGGAAGAAGCCTCGAAGACAGTCTTCACAAGGGTTGATGATCTTTTCAGCAAGTCTGAGGAAAACCACTCGGACGACAAAAATGAGCACTCCATCACCCGGGACCAGGTCAAGGCCGCTGTGACTGTCGTCGAAGGACTCCAGGGACATGTCGTCGAGTATCAGCCAAAGATCCTGGAGGCGGTGAAAGATGTTCTTCTCATTGTGGGTCAGCACTACGAGCACTCCAAGACGACTACCAGTGAGATGCAGAAGAGTATTGAGGATGTCAAGGAGAAGGAGCCAGAATTTCCTGCACTGCCGCCGCCCCCTGAGAAATATGATGACACGGAAATGCACGTCAAGCTAGACAAACTGGTCGATCATTCTCATGCTGCTGGCAAGGCATATGCACAGCTTGATACCTTGGACAAAGTCCATGCTCAAGTCGTGCAGACCGCAGCAGAAATCAACAGCTTCTTGGCAGCCCAGGCGAAACGCATCGAGGACGAGCGAGAGGACCATGAGAAGGCTCGCGAGGAGGCTGAGAAGAAGCTTCAGGAGACCAACATCTCTCTTGCCGTTGCCCAAGCTGAGAAAGAGCATGTCGAAGCCAACGTGGAGTCTCTGCGATCAGAGGAAGAACAACTCCGTGAGAGCATCCTTGCTTTGAGAACAGAGCGCGAATTCCTTACTCGCCAGAAGACCCGCCTCACAGCCGACGTTTCCTCGTTAGAAACTGCTATGGAAATCAGAAGGGAGGAACTTCATCACATGGAGAGCCGTGCCGAAGGTCTCGAGCGTCGCATTTTAGAAGGCGTGCTCGATCATTCTCGAGCTCTTTTGATGACAAAGTCCGGCGCTAAGGGTCGCGATGCTATGTCTCGAAAACGCGTACCAGCCGCCAGAGCCAGCTTGACACCCGTCGAAACCCAAACTCTGAATGCGCAACCGACTGCATCTTACCGTAAAGCAGTCAGCATTGCCGTCAACGGTAACCGCGCTAGTCTGATTCCTCCAAACCCTGCCGGTGCTTCCAGGCGTATTCTAAGTCTTAGTCAGATCACGAATAACGTTCCTACCGGCGGCATCAAGCGCAGTCAAAGTGTTCGTACTGCGGCGGGCGCGGGGCCGTTGAGGAAGACCAGCTGGGGTGGTGGTCTGGGCAAGAAGTACGGCGACTTGAGTGGAGACAAGGAGAATGAGCCCATTGACTCGGTCCGAGAGGTGGACGAACCCTCTGATCTCGATATTCAGCCCGAACCCGTATCCGAGGAGACTACGGCGGAGCCGGTGCCAGTGACAGACATCGTGTTAGCAAACGGTGCTAACTCTCAGGCTGAATCTGAGTCCGAATCTGGGTCTGAGTCCGAGTCTGAGGCGGAGTCTGAAGCAGATGATGCTGCCACCGAAGTACCTGCAGAAAGTGGCGCCGAGGATAGAGAAGGAGACACGACTAGTGATGCTGGCACGTTACGAAGGTCAAGTCTTGGTACAACGGTCATCACGAGTACCGAAACCGAGGGTGACTATTCGGACTATGATGACGAAAGCTATGATGGACGAAGCGAATGGACAGAGAGTGCCCTTGGAACTGAGAGCGCTCTGAGTACTGACAGCTACGCTGATACAGAGAGCATTGCAGACTCGGCCATCGGAGGAGGCGAGCTTGTGGTGCATGCGGCATAATGCATGAGACGATTAGGTCTTACTAATGGCCAAGTGTTGGAGTATGAGTTATTGGATGGGGTTCTTTTGTTCTTGTCTATTGTTATGACCCTTGTGTTTCGATCTCTGCTTTTTTCAGGATGAGCAAGCCAGTACACGGTAATGATTCACGATCATGAGGGATAGGTAGGATTAGGTAGCATTAAATGATAATGTCAAAACTGTTGACATAATCACAACCCAGGGACACTGTTTGTCGTGAACCCACACAATGGCCTTGGAAGGGATCATAGAAAATATCGTGATGGGAAATCGTATTGTTGCCGTCATTACGCGCAGCATGAAGGGAAGAAAGTAAGGGGTCCACGGCCGGCTACGGCGAATTAAGCTTATGACGCGCTGCGGGGGAGAACACGACTCTAGCCTAGCAACGAAAATTTATATCCCTTTGGCAGATTCGTTGGAGCAGCTAATAGTGGCTGCAAAAATTCAATCAAGAGCAAACCCGCTCAGTAGAACTATGGCTTCATGGTAACATACTGTATTTATGAAATTATATTATATATTGTGGTGAGAAAAATGTTGCCGATTGACTGTCGTTCCCCGCCTTCACGTCGCCCTACCAGGCGAAGAACCACCGTTAACCGGGCGTCTAAGCTAGACCCGCTTTCCTCCGAACCGGCAGGATCACCAAAAAAGTGAATTGAGCGCAAATATTCAAAGTCCGGATCCTCATTGGCTGCCGTAAAAACTTTTGAGCTTTCGAAAAGGAAGTCGCTAGGTTTGCTCCCGAGTGAACTCAACAGTATTTCCGGGCTCCCAGGCTTCTAGTAGTTCGTCAACCTCACTTTATATAACCCCCTTACCTTAGGAATCTTCAGGCCCCCCAAAGCTTCCCACCCGCTTAACACCAACTTGGCGAGTCAGAGCAACAATCTTTGTGACCCAAAGCAAATCAAACTTCGACTTTGTTTATCCTCACACAACATCGACGACCAAAAACACGTTGCCCATCATGTCTGGCTTCGATACATACAAGACGCCGGTAAGTTGTCTTCTTTGATCATCTCGATGCTGTATCATGCTGGATATGGCCCCGCCCTTCACCTTTCCCATACCCATTACATGACGTCTGGGGGTCCACCCTGGGTAGGAAAAATATCACGGATTGCAATGCGCCATGAGAATGCAGTTGAAGATATCAACGGTACTTTCCCTCCATGGAGACACTGAAGTATGCTGGGTTTGAACAAAATTGTTCTTGTTTGCCAGCTTATGTTCGAGTTGTCATGATGGACTGAATAGGCATACTACTGGCTTGGGTTGCGTAATATCTTCAGATGAACACTCCGTCGAGTCATGCATGTCAGATGAGGGAGATCTAGAAGATCTGAAAACAGCAACTGTTTTTCGCCAGGAAAGGAGATGATGTCTGATTCGGGCAACTTGATGCCTTGAATTGAGACATTCCAGCTAGTGGTACTACAATCATGGATACTCAGAAGGGACCTTCGTTTCTCAGCATTTAACACGACAAATATAACATAAACATAAGCTAATTGGTGATGCAGCTTGACTCTCGCTACTCTAGCGATGAGATGAAGAAGCTCTTCAGCCAGCGCTCCCGCCACAGCACCTGGCGCAAGCTATGGCTGTACCTTGCAGAGGCTGAGAAGGATCTTGGTATTGATACCATTACCGATGACGCCCTCACACAAATGCGAGAGCACCTCACTGTCACTAACGATGACTTTGGAGTTGCTGCCGTCGAGGAGAAGCGTCGACGACACGAGTAAGTAATATTCGAGTTCAACTCTTGCCCCTTTCTTTGTGATTGTTTTGTAATACCTATGGAATCCCTATGAAACCCCCCAAAATCAGCTAGAAATGGCAATTACTAACTATTAATACTTGACAGCGTAATGGCACATGTGCACGGTATGCTCACTTGATATTCTCCTGCCGTATTGATTTAGTAATACTGACCTTGATTGCCCAGCTTTTGGCCAGGTTGCTCCGGCTGCTGCTCCCATCATCCATTGTAAGTGAACTCCTCCTAAGCTCTTTTACAGCCTTCTCTCCATGCGTGTAGGTGTCTATACAAGAACAAGGAAAGAGAAGGCACTCATAAACTGCCTAAGACTTATCGAGCCGCTAAGAGAGACGTATGCTGATTTTTGTTCCACAGATGGTGCTACTTCGTGTTATGTTACTGTACGTAAACCCAGCACGCCCTTTTGGCAGTTCTCAGCAACTTGCCCGCGACTCCAACAAGGGGACCTGAAAATGGTCATTCTATTTTCCTGGGCTGGACTCTGATATGCCTTCTTTTAGGATAACGCGGAATTGATACTAATGAGAGACGCCATGGATCTGCTGATACCCAAGTTGGCCAAGGTCATCCACAATCTTGCTGCTTTCGCTGAGAAGCACAAGGCTGTTCCCACTCTTGGTTTCACTGTAAGTCCATTCTTTCCGTGGTGTTTGAGTTGTGGCTGCGCTCTGGTTCACTTTCGTGCCAGAAAGCATTATTAGGAGCATACCAAAGAATGCCAGCTAACGTCAATTTTATTCAGCACTATCAACCTGTAAGCATCTCATAGAGTCTTTTTCTTATGTCAGAACCTACCCTAGAGGACCCAAGGGCCTATCTGAGGCAACAGACCATTGAAATGGCTCACTGTGTCCCCAATCAGAACTCTTCAGACCCTCAAACAGTAAATGGCTGACTTTTGACTGTAACAGGCCCAGTTGATTACTGTCGGAAAACGTGCCGCTCAGTGGGCTCAGACTTTGATGATGGACCTCGAGGACATTGAGCATGTCCGCAAGGAGCTTAGGTTCCGTGGTGCTCAGGGTACGACTGGTACTCACGCTTCCTTCTTGGAGATCTTCAACAACGATGGCAGCAAGGTCGATCGTTTGAACCAGCTTCTTTGCAGCAAGGCCGGTTTCCCTGCCTGCTATGACATCTCCACCCAGACGGTAGGTCATCTTCTCCTCTTATTGACATATCACAAGGAGCGCGTTGCCCATCAGAGGCACTCGGGCTTTTCGCTCGTCTTAAAGAAACAATAGCTGATATGATTGCTGTAGTACACCCGAAAGGTCGATTTGCGTATTGCCAACGCCATCTGGTAGGTGATATTTGAGATAATTCCCTGCCCTTTCCAACATGCCTACAGACCGTAAATTGCCTATACGAGGCTAAGCTCTTTGTGATTGTGTCACAATACTCCTGAAAACCCTACAACCCAGCCCAAAGAAGAATGCTAACAGTTTTGTAGTGGATTGGGTGCTAGCGTACAGCAGATCTGTGCCGACATTCGCCACCTAGCAAATCTCAAGGAGATGGAAGAGCCGTTTGAGAAAGACCAGTAAGACCTCCAATGAATTTCCCAGCGATTTCGAGCTCGACCTAAGCGAATGTTGGCCGAGTCGATCCTTGTGCTCGTGGGATGAGCTTTGCTACTCCCGAATTTTCCAACCGATTTCAACAGGGCATTTACTGATTTGACATATTGTAGAATTGGTTCAAGCGCCATGGCGTACAAGCGTAAGCAGATATTTTGTCCCTTCGAAATCATCCAGGGCGCACATTCGCCGATATGGTCTTATGTGTTTCCAAACTCGTACAAGACAACTTTGGAAGAGTAGACACTGACCTCAATCACTACAGGCAACCCCATGAGAAGTGAGCGAATTTGCTCGCTTGGCCGTAAGCTCGCAAATCTTCCTATGGATTTCAAGGACAGTCAGTGAACTCTTGCTATTATTTCTGTGACGTATACTAATATCTGCTCAGCCTTCACAATGCAGTGGTATGTGCAAAATATAGCTCTGAGCCCTCAAACCTCCTCTGTCGTTCGCAATATACTAGTCGACGATGTATCATGGGCTGCAGCACGAGGCGTAACCCATAATATCCCCTGCTGTCACGGAAAGACAAACTAACAAGGATGTCCTCGTAGGATGGAGCGTACGTTGGACGACTCCGCCATTCGCAGAATTGACATCCCTGAGATGTTCCTGCTTGCCGATGCTGTTCTGATAGGAATGGACAACGTGTCGGACGGCCTCGTTATCTATCCCAAGGTTATCAACTCTCGAGTCATGAGCGAGCTGCCATTGTATGTCAAGACCTTATCCTTCCCACACGAGAAAAGGAACGCTAATTCGAGTTTTGTACAGCATGGCCACCGAGAGTAAGCGGCTAACAATCACATTCTTCTGGGTGTGGACAAGACATAGGCTATCTTGTGTCTTCCTACACTCGTTCAGCCGGCTCTAGGCAGCAAAAGGATAAGAAAGGCTAACATATTATGTGTAGACATCATCATGCGTATCGTGGCAAAGGGCGGGTAAGTCATCCATTCCTTCTAGAAAAGACAGGTGGTTTACGGAACCACTTGCAAAACCCCGAGATTTAAGGTGCGCGTGGACCAAGAAGCTGACATGTTTATGTAAATAGAAACCGACAAGATGCTCATGAAGGTCAGTCTCCTACGCTCTTAATTCCTAACGAGAATCGTCTCAGGAGCTGAAGCTGCTGAATGTGGCTGTTCATCCTTTCAATACACTCGAAAGGCTATATCGTTACCCCAGATCTCTGATCGAAGAGATTGCTAACCTGCAAAATAATTAGAAATTCGTGTTCTCTCTCACCAGGCTTCAGCCGTCGTGAAGCAAGAGGGCGGTTCCAACGACCTTATCGACCGCATTAAGTCCACGGACTACTTCAAGCCGAGTACGAAAATTTTGTTCTCAATTTCTTTTTAGTTTTTCATGCTTATAGGAACACGGGGGCCATAAATGGCTTTCGTGTTTCTCCTACTGTTACCCCCGGATATTGCCAAACTACAACAGAACATGCTGACTTCAAATAGTTCACGGCGAGATCGACCAGATGCTTGACCCCTCTCTGTACATTGGTCGCTCAGTCGAGATTGTCGAGCGCTTCTGCGGCAGCGGCGGCGTCCTGACAAAGAAGCTCGAGCCCTACCAGTCTCACATCCAGGGTGCTGCCACTGCTCAGCTCAATGTCTAAGGCAGCCCGGGCGTGCCAGCCATTTCGAGCAGGGTCAAAAAAGTCTTTGGTTTTCTGATTTGCGGCATGTGGACTGGTGGAGGTAGAAAAGTTTATCCATCTGCATGAGAGGCGTTCAGGGCGTTTTATGTTGGGGAGTCAGGTCGGTGTAGACAGACAGAAAAAGCAATGAGACAAACTTTGCACAACGACGGTATCTTTTGGTTTACAACCCCCCCTCTGGCTGATAGATAGTGACTCGCATGTGATGCTTTGCAATGGTTCGTTGGTTTGGGTTTGCTTCTGGGTGCCAGTAGATCACAAAACCTTCAGACTTCAAACACACATCTGCTCTTGTGCCAGACTAGAGAAGATTGTGAAGAGGATGGATACTATTTTGGGGGAAGCCCCGCTGCCCACAGGAATCTGAGGTACAGTACGGACTGGCCAGCCTGGGGATTAACTCGGACGAAACGTAGCATGTGTTCATTCAGAGCATACTGCGATTGAACGGCGGATAGCTGCTCCGTTGGTATTGTACAGTATTTCCTCATGGATTCACCTCACGGATATCTTGGCATGGCTTAATGTGGTGATATCATTCTTGTCATTAGTATTAGTGGTCAGACTTTGCAGATGGGCCCGACATCCTATGCCCCGTGTCATACGTTCGTCGTATTTTACAAATTCCCTACTTTACAAAATTTCTTTTCTCAAGTCAAATTTTAACGATGTTTGAGCCCGATACTATCCTTGCCCATGTGTTCCCATAGGCACTCTGGCAATTTGACAGTCATGTTCGACTCGTCCCATCCGTTCTCAAGTATGGCGGCAAGAACTCGAGGTACGGCCAGAGCGGTGCCATTGACCGTCCAGGGGTAGAAGACCTTTCCGGCCGACTTGAATTTCGTGGCAAGCCTCCTGGTTTGGTAGTCTGTGCAAATACTGACGCTGGTCACTTCACCCCAGCCGTTATCCTTCTGCCTCCTCGACGGGAAGAACGCCTCGATATCGCACTTCCTCATGGCAGAAGCACCCAGGTCCGTTGATGGCATTTCAAGGATCCGGCAATGAAGACCCAGCATCTGTAGGATCTCGGTCTGTATGTCGAGTATCTCATCGAAGATCTCGGTCGTTGCGTCCATATCCGGGTGCGACCAAGCAAACATCTCGACTTTGTTGAACTCGTGCACCCGGTACAGGCCCTTGGTATCGACGCCTCGAGCGCCAGCTTCAGCTCGGTAACATCTCGAGACACCGATACGCTTCGTGGGCAGATCGCTCTCTTCAATGGTGGTATCCGCCTTCATGCCTGCAAGCGGTATTTCTGCGGTGCCCGCAAGCACCAGCTCGGGCTTTCCCCGATCGCGGTCTGCCTGCGACTGTGCAAGGGCGTAGATTTGCGTCTCGCCGTTCTGATCTCTGGGCTGGAAGCCGCATGCCGAAGCGATGTGGCCATAGACGATGCTAGGAGGAGTCACCTGCCTCCAGCCGTGCTTCGTGGCGACTGACAGGGCGAAGTTGATCAGAGCCTGCTCCAGCTGCGCGCCGTCGTCTAGAAGGTAGTACCAGCCCCAGCCCGAGGATGTTGCTGCACCGGCGAAATCCAGCAGGCCGAGTTCTGATCCGATGTGCACATGCGAACGCCAGACCCTGTCCGAGGCTGACGGCTCAGGTTCGGGATGATCATTGATGTATGACAAGACGACAGCTTCGTGGCCTCGCGGCGTTGCCTCACTCGTCAGGTTTGGTATTTGCAGCGCCAGGTCGTCGATCTCGGTGGTGAGACGGTTCTCGCTTTGCTCGACGACGGCCAACTTCTCCTTCAGCTGTTTTGCTTCGGCGAGCAGCTGTTCCTTGCTCATGTCCTTCAGCTGCTCTATCGCTGGGGCGTCGTCATCTTGTGTGGCTGTGGGGTTCGCAATCTGCCTCCGCAACAGGTTGCTTCGCTCGCGTAGATGCCTTGCTTCCTTCTGGTGCTCCGTCCATTGCTGGTGCAAGGCGCTTATGCGCGCAGGGTAGGCGCTCTGCGGTGCGTAGTTCCTTTCTATGCAGTTTTGCTGGTGCAGGGCTGGGTTCTGCCGTATATGCTTGATGTCAATGTTGGGCCGAGGAGCTGTAGCTGGCCGCGCTGGGATAGGGAGAGGTTCTGAGCTAGGGGTCGCACCGGAGAATGGCGGCGATGCGTGGAAGAAGCGCGACGTGGGAGCTTGCATGCGACATGGCCGGCGTATGAAGAGTTTCGCCGGAGGTCTCATTTTGCCCGGGGCTGAGGCGAGTGAAGCCAGAGGCGTCCAACGACAAAACAGAATAGCAGTCGGCTTGCTTGCAATAGTCGCGTGTGACGTGAAATTGAGGACCTCGTCTCACGACTCTACCTGGCTTGTTGCGAGTTTTGCGGTGGAGCTTCCCTTCAACTGAAGCTTTCTTGTCCCCCCGCAAACATACAGAGTAAAAGGGCCTAGGTCACAGGGGGGTGCTGCAGTGTTAACTCAAGTCCCGCTACCCGAACATGAGCTGCACTTACTCCGCGCCTGCAGCTATAATATGATTAAGGTACAAGTTCAACCACTTGTAAAAGCAAAGAAACCTTAACAAACAAGAACCAGAAACAAAAACTGTGCGGGAGTACGCACGTGCATATCTCACGTACAGTAGCAGCAGGGCAGCTCCTGACGTTACGCATGCCATAGTTTAGGTCCAATCCATACATGCACTGGATCCCGTGCCGTGCCGCCACATGCAAGCAACAGCAAAAAGTTGTTTCCTAGGTTAGTACCATGAACTCCTTTCCTTTCAGCTACGCAGACAAATTACTCGATTCCCAGCCACAACTTCGCAATGGTATCGGCATTTTGGTTAGCCTCACAGACCTTGACTATTCAAAGCGCAAAGGAAAGCAGTCCTTATACATACTTCTAAAACATCTTTCTATGAAACTACTCAAGCGTCGAGTATAACGTGTCGACACACAATCCCAATATCCCAACTAGACTCCCCGTCTTCTCTAACCATGCACTACTTTAGCGACTCAAACTTCGCTTCCAAGTTACGGTCCCCGTTTGCGCAATACTTGATGGTCCACTGCCATAGGTCGTCTTGCTTCTTCACGTCATAGCTATCCTCGCTCGAGGGGATCGTCTTCCTTGCTTCGAAGTACTCTCCCGTGGTGCCAGAGACGTCGTCAGCCGTGGCCAACCGAGCAAGGTTGGCGCCGGACTGCTCGGGTTTCCAGATGTTGGGAGATATTGCGACGCGCAGCAACGGGATCATGCGAGGCAGCACCTTGTGCCAGAGGAACTGTTCAACGCCGGTCCCCTCGCGAGCCAGGCCAGTGCCGGGCATCAAGCCCGGGCAGAAAGCATTAACGGTAATTCCGCGTTCGGGGACTCGCTCCTTGAGTCGCGTGGCTAGAGCGTAGGCCCAGAGGACGTTGCACAGCTTGCTAGTAGAGTAACGCTGGCGGCCCCTCGGGTTGTTCACAGATGCGGGCGGCGGGTGCGCGAGATCCTCGGCCGTGGTATAAACAGCGTCGGGCAGTCCAGTCTTCTGCTTAGGGTCGTGAGTGCCGCTCGAAGTGAGGACTACGCGGGCATTCTGAGCCAAGTAGGGGCAGAGGAGGTGGAACAGCAAGGCATGTCCGACGTGGTTGATCGCGAAAGTCGACTCCAAGCCCTCGCCGTTCAAGTGCATCTCGGCTGGAAACTGCAGGGCGGCGTTCAAGAGCAAAGCCTGAATGAGAGGATAGTTCCGAGAGGCAAAGTTGTCTACGAAACGGCGAACGTCGGCCCCGTCGGACAGGTCCAAGGGCAGAAAGGTCACTTGTTCCCGGCCCAACGTGTTGTTCATGGCCACAGCGGCATTGCTTTTATCGGTACGCGAACACAGAATGATGGCGTACTCTGGATGCTCTCGAGCGATCTGGAGAGCTGCGAAGTATCCAAGATTGGCAGTACCACCAGTGACGACGACGGTTCGTGAAGGTGCCATGCTGGACAGTATAATGCAACAGCGTTTTGAGTTTGGTGATATAGATCAGTTAAGTCGCGGTGTCTGGCGGTAGCGTTTGCAGAGAGCTGTCACTCTTCCTATCTGTCTCCAACATAATGGATTCAAAGTTTTTGGGATGCGACTGGCCGCCGAGATTTATACTTTAGGTGTGGTTTAATCACAAGAAGCGTACAGCATCGATCGGGAGAAAGATTGGAAGGCATAGTTAAGATCGGGATAAAGTTTGGAAGGCAGAGTTCGATTTCGCGAAACGGTCCCCCGCGGGTTTGCTCCTTGAATCGTTGGTCTTCCTTTTGGCGGCTTATACAAAGGGAGCCGCGGGGGGCGCCGGTCAAACATTGCGGCCATCAGCAGCTTACCTACCATACCTACACGTCTGCAGAGAGGCCTTGCAACCATGCGTGCGGACTTGTAGCAGTCTGGGCCTCTTCAATCTCTAAACCACGGTCATATAGGTTGCGGATGCTTTGTTTGACCGACATGCATCACACTTATGAAGCGTGGGATTCTCATTACAGTCCTCAACGTACAGTCGACTGCCCAGTGCCGAGGGCGTCAACTACAGATGCGACCCACACAGACCCACTTCTACAACTTAATCTCCAACTCCATGATCACGTCGAGTGCATGCCCAAGATGCAACAAATATCAGCATCGTCACATAATCGAAGTCAGAACTCTACCGATTCCGCTGTATATTTCAAGTCTTGCCCACATATTAAGTCTAGCAGCACGCACAATGGTGGGGATGGTGGTAAACGAGGATATACTTGTGGATGGACAAGGCTATTTCTAATCACAGAGATAGCGTTGAATGAAAACCAATCATTATCCGTTTGTATCCCATATTCGCAGAGAGCCACGGGGACAACTGTTGGAGTGGTACTATTGAGCTGTATTGTTCCGACGGATCCCCTTGCATTCTGAGGCACGTCGTCTTACACTTACATGAAAAAGGTACGCTGTCAGTACTAGCCAAGACTCCTAATTGCGGGATGTCCTATAGTTGCAGGCATAATTTAACTGCCCCTGTCAGGTATTGACAAGGGTGGCAGGGACATTCGCTTGTGAAGTCAATATAGAAGTCAGCACTTCGCTAGGGCAGTTGTTTTACCCATCTCTACTATTTCTGTAGTTTTGGTGCTATGCTCAGTACACCTAAGACGTTAAATGGACAGTCGAATTATGAAATACGTCAATTTTAGGGAGGGGGGAATTGGATCGTATGTGATGTTATTGAAACTTCAAATGACAACATCCCAACATGTTTCATATGCAGGTATGACAAAGTACAATTGTGTAAGACTTACTATTGGACATTCCAGGACGGGTAATATTCACGGCCTTTCTCAACATCCGTCTCGACTCTCGAGCTGGGTTTTGCCGAACCCAAGGGAGGCGCGAATTTCTCCAACGAGGTCTCATACAAATTTCACTGACTTGTCCGTCACTTGTTGGCTTTCTCAGAGAACAGCGTTCAACTCCTGCATATCAGTCGAAACGACGAAAATTACAGGAAACGGCCTAATCGTTGGTGTAGGTAAGCCACACCACCCTCCACAGAAAGCCACTGCTGCGCAACGAACACATTCCTCGACTCAGTCGCCCACTGGCGTTGTGTGCAGGTCACACCAGCTGTTTCGGTTGACCTGGGGATGGTCTCTGAGGTAGGCTCCTTGCTTAGAAACCCGGAAATTGAGGCACTGATCTTACGAAAGGTTATTCAGCTCTTCAACAAGGACGAGTTCTTACAATTCATTAATCTCGCCCTCGCCAAGATAGGCTCAGGCGGCGATAATGAATACCTAGGTTCGGCGCACATGCTAACGAGGCTCACGGCTTTCGGCATCCCCGAATTCATAACCAAAAGCTTTGACGTCGATAAAGGCATACTGTCAGATCCTCAGACAGCACTGTTGACGGGGGCACTTCTAGCGCCGCGAGAGGACCGAAATACAGCTATGGGCGCAGCTATAATTGTTGTCCGTTGTCAACTCGGCGAGCTGGTCGAAGGACGTTCTGACAAATAATGCTGCCATACTTGCCCCGGAGGCGGGTGCTGCCACTCTTTGGAGGCGGTCCTGTGCGAAGCCCGCAAGCGCTTCTCGAGTTTGACTCTGATGCATCTGGATCAGATCGATGTTCACAAGCCGCAGGCGAACATTCAGCTTCAACAACATAATCGCTGCAGAGTACCGCTCATGGCGCTGAGACGCTTTCAAGGTCGACGCACCATTCCTAGATCTCAAAGTACCCAAGACATGCTCGCCATTTCCATTTCAGAGCAGCTAATAGCGGTGAGCCACAGGTAAAATTCTGCTTGATTGGATGTGGACGTTGTTGATGCATATAACAAGCAAAGATTTTCTCCCCGCTCTACTGATGGGTAAAAGTACTATGTACTATCCACTGCTGTAGATTGCCTAGAAAATAACAGTGCACATTCGAATCCCCACACTGGTTTGCTGCTAATCTAGGGGCTTAGGTCATGTGACCTCCCCACACGCTGCACTGTACTCCCAAATCTGTGGGGCTAAAATCTTGCGTGACACTATAAGCCTTTTATCAACAACCTGTCCAGCAACAAACATCCCAAGCCAGACAGACCAGTGAGAAGCCTTAAATTTCTAGTTCTCGTTAAGGACTCTTTTTTCACGATGGCCGACAGTATCGAAGCGGCTGCGCCGCACACCACCTTTGATGTAAAACCGCCCGCTCTTGCCCGCCTGTGAATTCGCTCAGAATTGACTAACACCTGCTCAGACCATCCTGGTCCTGGACTTCGGTAGCCAGACCAGTCATCTCATTCTGCGACGTCTGAGATCTCTCAATGTCTATGCTGAGATGCTCTCATGCACAACTAAACTTTCAGAGCTGACCTGGAAGCCTGTTGGCATTATTTTGAGCGGAGGTCCGTACAAATAAAACTTTCATGGCCATGACTCATGCCTCTCTAACGCAACTTTCAGGACCTTCTTCCGTTTACGATGATGGCGCTCCTCGTAAGATGATTGATTCCTCGCGCTGCATTCGTAATCTAACAATGAGAAGACGTTGATCCCGCAGTTTTTGATCTGGGAGTTCCTATCCTGTAGGTTTCTATCCCAGACTCAGAGATATCTGCTCATAGTCACAGGGGAATTTGCTATGGATGCCAAGAGCTTGCTTGGCGCATCAACGGCGAGAACGTCGCTCGTGGAACCACGCGCGAGTATGGCGAGACAGACCTTGCCATCCATCAGGTTGGTGGCCATGTCGACCGTCTTTTCGAGGGCTTCGGTGACAAGCTGCACGGTATGTTCGCCTTACGTAACAGCGGCGGCTTTTTGGGAACATGGTTTTAACATTCTTGTCTCGGTAGTCATCATGAGCCACTTCGACAAACTTGTTCGTCTCCCTGAGGGTTTCGTTACCATTGCCAGCACAAAGAACGCAGAGTTTGCTGGCATTGCCCACGAATCTAAGCCCATCTTCGGTTCGTCCTCCCTGTTGATATAAGCCTGCGTGACCAATCGTTACAAGCTGACACTATCTTCGGCAGGAATCCAATTCCACCCTGAAATTTCGCACACAGCCCGGGGTACTGAAGTTCTCGGCAATTTTGCCAAGAACATTTGCAACGCTCGTGCGAACTGGGAGATGGAGAACTTCTGTGAAAAGGAGATTATCAGAATTCGCAAGCTTGTTGGAGACAAGGCCCAAGTCGTATGGTTTATCCGTAGACCATTACTCCGGTGACCGACTAATTCTCGTTTACAGATTGGAGCCGTCTCTGGCGGCGTTGACAGCACGGTGGCGGCCCGACTTATGAAAGAAGCCATTGGTTCACGATTCCATGCTATCCTCGTGGATACTGGTAAGGAGATACCCTATGACACAACACGGATGGATCTAATACCTCTCTAGGTTTGATGCGTCTTAACGAATGCCCACAGGTTAAAGAGACGCTTCGGGAACATCTTGGTATCAACCTGACCATTGTGGATGGTGCAGAGCTCTTTCTGAGCCGTCTTGCCGGTGTGGTGGAACCTGAAGCGAAACGAAAAATCATTGGTGGGCTGTGTAAGTTGGTTACGGGCGTCCCTGTGTACTCATCGTACTAATATGCATAGTCATCGATCTCTTCGAGAAGGAGGCTATTCGGTAAGCTCGCCGTGTAACACACTACTGGCCATAGAGAACTAACTTGATAGCATCGAGAAAGAGGCCGAGAACACGGCTGTGGCCGGCAAGGTGGAATGGTTCCTTCAAGGCACTCTCTACGGTCAGTTTTATGATTGGTTGTTGCACAAGTTCCAAAGGACAGGTATACTGACTCTGACTAGCCGACCTAATCGAGAGTCTGAGTTTCAAGGGTCCATCAGCGACAATCAAATGTACGTTACTGCAATTCCCAAATTCGCCATCCAAGATAATAGCTGACCGCTACCATAGCCCACCACAATGCCGGTGGATTGCCGGCCCGCATGCAGAACGGCGTAAGTGAAAACGTTAGAATGATTACGGCATGATCTAACCTGGATTATAGGAAGCACAGCTCAAGTTGCTTGAGCCTCTCCGAGAGCTCGTATGTAGCCAAACTCCTTGAAGCATCTAATCTGACGCGTCGCTAACTTTCCCCAGTTCAAGGATGAGGTCAGGAGCTTTGGTCGCCAACTCGGTATTCATGAAGATCTTGTCATGAGGTGGCCGTTCCCAGGACCCGGCATCGGCATCAGGATCCTTGGCGAGGTCACTGCTGAAAGAGTCGAGATCGTCAGGCAGGCCGACCACATCTTCGTTTCCATGATCAGGGAAGCTGGTCTCTATAATGAGGTATGGACGGACAAACATCCTTGTCGGCAAAGATTTCGCGCTGACTTTAAACCAGATCTCTCAAGCATACGCTGCCCTTGACACCAACAGAGGTATGTATTTGTCTTGTCTTTGGACGCGGATTAGCGGTCCTACACTCGAAGATAAATGCTGACTGGGCCTTGTGTCACAGCTGTGGGCGTGATGGGTGATTCGCGTGTTTATGGTTACATTTGTATCCTGAGAGCCGTCAAGAGCTTGGATATGATGAGTGCTGAGCCGTTCGAGTTCCCCTGGGCCCTCCTCAGAGCTATCTCCAGAAAGATCGTCAATGAAGTAGATGGCATCTCCAGGGTGGTTTACGACACAACCGAGAAACCTCCAGGTAAGACAAACCCTCGGTTTCCCCTCTCACCTTATCCTGTCACTATCCCACTGCACTGCCTTCGTACCCAAGAAATAGTGCTAATTCGCAGTAGGCACTATCGAGCTAGAGTAATTTTCCAGATTTAATGAATAGACTGCTTTCTAGACCCTAGTACGGCTGGCATGTTGTGTATTCTTTAATAGTTGTGTTAAGAATGTGACTTGAACTTAGCCATGAAGTAATCTCACGGAGTTAATTGCAATTGACGCTTCGTACACATTCGAGGCCAGCCTCTATCATTTGCGTTGGTAAGAGAGCTCAAATGGGTCAAAATGGCAAACCAGGACAACAGCAACCATTTGGGGGTAAATAAAGCTGTTCGGCATGTACGGGACAGCTTGCGTAAGCGGCAAGGTTCGCGGGCAAACAGCCAGGCGGTTATTGTGGAATGCTCAGAGGGATGTCGAACTTGAAGCTCTCCATGTGAATCATATGCGCCTAAGCCTTGATTCATCGTTGCACAAATAATCATAGTTTCGGTACTACAATACATCGACTCACCCTACTAGTTAGAGTATTCAAGGCCCAAACATCAGTATTCAATACATAGCTATTAACGCATAAAAGTTCCTGGTATTTAATCCACCTATACATAGTAATCATTTGATTAGAGTATAATATGTTGCATTCTTGTAAATGCCGCATAGCCTTCTCTGTGAGATAAGGATACATGGATTTGGATAATGCCTAGCAAAATCTAGGCTGGGTGTTCCAGCCTGGTTGTGTATTAGCCGTAGATACCTATCTCGCTCTCCGGGCGTGTGTGATATGAGCACAATTCCCTAGTGCCTTGCTTGGTGGTGGATATCATATAGGACTCTTTCTTCCATTATCGCCCAATACAGGGGCCGAAAGCCTCGTTAATACATCAAACCCCTGATCGATGGCAAGTATCATATATATCTGAGTCGGGATACTGTGGATGTTAACGTCCTCGCAGGCCTATGACTGAGGGCACAAGCATGATGATTTCTTTAGTAAATCAGCATATACTCAAGAAGGCGGGAAAAATAAAAGAAAGAAGGGAAAAAACATAGATGCAGAAAGTGGGGAAGAAGAAGAAGAACAGAATCTTCGATGGTAGCAGTTGTTCCTAGATACATAACGACGACCAACATATCGTGTACCTGTCAATAAGACTAACACGATGTCTGCCATCGCCCTGGTGATTTTGGTGTCCGCATCTTCACCCTTGGTGAGCTTTGTATCAGCATAACCACGTTTCCCACAACACGCAATTCACAGAATTCATCCTTTATCCGTTTTCAGTACTCTTTCCTCACCCCAATTCTCTCTTCATCTTTCCCTCCACAACTGCCTGCTACTTCTCACTCACCCTCGATCACCATCAGTCAAGAAACACGTCACAATGGTGAACAAAGACATGATCAACCCCCGGCTGTCGCCTTTTGGTGACCAGGGCTTCAGAGGGCTCCGTCCCATCATGAAAACTGAGCCGTCTGAAGAGGCCGACCGCACCAGTGCCATTGGCCTGCTTGGTGGCCAAGCCGACGCCAACGATGACACAGAGGCCACGGATGGCAGCGCCGAGGCGGAGGCGGATATCCCTGCTGACATCATTGGTCTTACCACCGGCATGGACACTGACGACGAACCTAACACGGACGACGACATGGAGGCCACGGCTGGCAGCGCCAAGGCAGATGCGGATACCCCCGCCGTCGCCGTTGATCTTACTACCATCATGGACACTGACGCCAACCCTACCGCCGCCGCCAGCACCCCGACCCCTGGCATCTGGGCTACGCTCTCCATGAGCATCAACGGAGTCACGTACTCGGCCACCCAGCAGCCCATCCCCATCACCGCAGGCATGAGGGCCCTCGGCTACCTGAAGCAGGTCGGCGGCCTGCCCCCCATGGTCTGGTGCTTCATGCACACGGAGTGTTCCCACGAGATGCAGACCATCAAGAGGGAGTACCCGGGCCTCTACGACGGGGCGGCCCGGCGCGAGCTAGCGTGGACCGGCAGCCGCCGCGGGGAGTTCAACGTTAAGAAGCCCGTCCACAGTCTCGTGGGCATGCTGCTGTACGTCTCGGGCGAGCAGAGCGGCGACCACTGCGTGCGCGTCCTCAAGAAGGACGGCGAGGGCGGTGCGGAGAATCAGAATCCCGACCCCGTGCAGCCTGAGGAGGAGGATGTCGAGATGGAGGAGCCCAAGGGAAAGGCCAAGGACGTCGCCGAGGACGGAGCCAAGCACGAGTGCAAGATTATGTGGAAGGGCTGCATCATCGGCAGCACCCCCGAGATCCTCGAGGAAACCAGTAAGTGATAAAGAATTTCTTTTTAGACGTTTCTTCAGTCGATTCCGACATGTACCACTCGGGGCTTTTAAAGCTTCCGAGATAGTTCGTGGCTATTTCTTCCTCAGGTTCTCGGCGCCAGAAGCTAAATTGTCATATATAGAGGGTGCTTGTGCCAACTGCTACTACAACGGCGATCAGACCCGTTGTTCCTTCCTCAAGGCTTACCAGAAGAATTATGGGAAGGGCAAGGGCAAGGGAAAGGGAAAGGGCAAGGGAAAGGGAAAGGGCAAGGGAAAGGGAAAGGGCAAGGGCAAGAAGACCACGGCCGTTAAGGAAGCCAACACAGAGCAATCCGAGTAGAATCATGAGTAGAACTCCGCGGCCTCCGAACGACACGGAGGATAATTAGAGGCGACCAGAAAGGATGGTCGATCCACTGTGAGTACGCATAGCGTTGCGTCGTTATGATTTTGCCAATAAGGTGGCACATGAAGCTCTGTTCATGACCGAGAAAGGCACTCGATCCAGCATACAAGCATACTAGATGCATCACGAGATGCTAGAAAGGACTTTAAATGCAGTCTGTGCCCCAAATGCCTTGCACACGTCACAATTTCTTGTTGGGCATACAAGCTTGGATGGATGTCTTCTTCTTTTCTTAAATTGTAGACTCCTACGCGACACCCCAGACCCCTAGAGTCCAGTTTCCACCACTTACCCCTTGGCCTCTCAAGAGTCCTCCGGGCCCCATGCTCTGTCTTGATGTCCGCGTTTGCTGTGCCTGCACATCGATTTCGTTAGTTTTGGTGGCACCACCGAGTCCTTGCGCTAGCCAAAGATCGCGTTCTACCGCTGCAAGCGCCGGGATCTTGAGCTGCGTTGCCAGACTCGCACCAGCCCATGGTCCCATTGAGTCAATTACACGTAGTGTGCCTTGGACAGGTGGCTTGTGGCCCTTCTCTTTCCAGATAGCGGTCTCGATTGGGTCCTCTTCAGGCGGCACGTGGGCGGGATGTACCGATGGGTTCGATTCTCCTTTGCCCTCCGATGATGGTGAGGTCTGTATCGTCGGTATAGATCCTTCGCTACCATTGACAGAATCACCGTTGCGCTTTAGTTTGGGATTGTTTCGGTACGCGTGAACGCCACGACCCTGGATGGGATCCCAACCCCGTTCCTCTGCAAGCAGACATACTTCGTCAAAGATGCGGCCACGAATCCCTAAAATGCTGGAACAACCACCGGTGAATATGATTCGGGACATGCAAACGGCGCGTACGTCCATTGGCAGTTTAAGCAGGCTGAGGTATACCAACAAATGTAGGGGAAGCTCATCATCATCAAAACTGGCAAGAGCATACGGTGTATCGAAAAACGTCTTTTCGCAAGGTTCCGAAAGTCGCGAGAATGGTATCTGTACAGTCCGTGGTGGTCTGCAAGATGGAAGGAAAATAGATGTAGGGGCTGTATCCTCTGCAGGATCTATAGTTTCGGTTTCGTCCTCCTCGTGAAGCGTCGACAAGCCTTCAGGAATATTCTGGCTCGGCTTTCTGTGCGGCTTTTTGCACCATAGAATTCGTGTTGCTACCTCTTCACAGTCTTCGAAGCTGATTACATTATCGGTAGCCGATGATGTGTCCTGAGATATGCCCGGTGCTCGGCCGTCAATGGCACCAACCAAGAAATCCCGCGTCTCTTCTAAAAGCATCTTGCCTGCTCTTGTTGTGCGCCATGTGTTCACTTCGCGGTATTCGTATATTCCAGATACCGTGGTCTCGTGCCAGCCAATGTCGACGACCAATGCTGACCGTATGCCAGCAGCAAAGGTCGTGGTGGCCGGCGATGACAGCAAGGATATGGACGGCGCATGGAAACGGGTGAAGATGGTGTCGAGAACGGAAGAGAGGATCGGTAAGGGCAGAGCAGGCGGAAGAACCAAAGAGACTCTCCTCGGCTTTGAATCGATCAGGAGGTGTCTTGCGAGGGCATCTCGCAGCCCACGTTCGAGCCTGTCGCCCACCAAAGCCAGGTCTTGCCCTCTACATTCGAGTTGAAAGAGCTCCTGGTGGCCCCCCCACGAGCAGCCGACTGTTCTTGTTCGCCAGCTCTCGGTGTAGCCAGGTTCCCAAGCTCGTAGGTCGCCCGTCCGCTTGTCTGATTCCGCGTCGAAAGTAATGATGCGTTTCGGTGTCGGATCTCCCGCGAAGCCAACACGTATTCTTCGACAACCCAGCTCGACTATGAGCGCATCCTCTTCGACACGACCACTGCCACCTGAGGGTGATCCCAATACTGAGGAGGAGAGGGGGCGTATGGGCGTGGCTGGCACGCCGTCCCTTGTGGACTGGCCACCACCGCGGATGCTCGAAACGGTACGATGCGACAAGCTTGCGGCGGCGCTGGCGGACATGATGGGAGGTAGTTGTGCTACGAGTTCAGGGGATTGTTTCGAAGCGTTGCATGATCAAACGGTGGACATGATCGGAAGTCGAGCACTGGATGGGATTGTTACGCAGCGTGTCGGTCGCATGCGCAGTTCAGTAGAAAGGATGTCGCCCAGTACGTAACTCAGAGTCGCGTTGAAGCTCCATTCCATCCTGGCGTGCTAAAAAGGACATTCATCCCAAGTACAATACTTGGAGGCTACCATGTTATTGGTCGCGTGGTCCGCCTCGACGGCAATTCTCCGCGGCGCGGATATTCCATGTAGATCTACACTGTCTGTGTTGTCCTAGTCTAGACTAGAGAAATGTGTCTGGGGGGTCCAGAGTCTGGTTAATTGTCTCATGAATCACTCTTTTCGTCGTCGTGGACTTGACCTCAAAGTAGCCCGCGAAAGCCTTCCCCACCATCCCCGGGGGAACCAAAGTCAACAACCGGCACTAAAAGTCATGCTTTCATGACTCTGTTTAGTGGCAACTACACTTCAATCCAACCCAATTCAATCGTCCAACAATCCACCATGAATCACCCGTAGCATTTGAAAGTTGCATGCTTTGCTTTAAACAGTTGCTTCTCCATGAGTTTCGCAGCTTCTCGGTCCTCAGGGTAGTAGGGGTCTAAGATGGGCATTAAAGGGTATGTTGTGTCGATGTTGCCTCCAGCTGTCACCAACATGAACCGCGGGACTGACATGTGTCATGTAGCATCTACAAGGAAATCGGCCCAGGGAACCGGGTGTCACTGGCCAAGCTTGCTGTCGACCACCTGGAGAGCACAGGTCGCCCACTGAGGATTGCTATTGATATCGCCATTTGGCAGTTCCAAGTGCAGTCTGCCAGGGGCGGCTCGAATCCAGCTATCCGAACGCTGTTTTACCGCTTACTTCGTTTGCTCAGTCTTCATATCCAGCCCGTCTTTGTCTTTGATGGCCCGAACAAGCCAGTCTTCAAACGCAACAAGCGCTCTGGCCGCGGAGATGGCGTAGCTACCTCGATGGCCAAGCGGCTTATTCGCCTTTTTGGATTTCAAGTACACGATGCGCCGGGAGAGGCTGAGGCCGAGTGTGCTTTGTTGCAGCTCAATGGTATTGTTGATGCTGTACTCAGTGAAGATGTGGATACAATCATGTTTGGTTGCACAAAGACCATGAGAAATTGGTCCGCCGAGGGCAAGGGAAAAACCCCAACACATATATCCATGTACGACACAGCCGAGTTGCGGCAAGGTGACTCTGGATTGGATCGGGAGGGCATGGTTCTAGTCGCTCTCATGAGCGGCGGTGACTACTTGCCCGAAGGCATTCCTGGTGCCGGTGTGAAACTGGCCTGCGAAGCCGCCAGAGCGGGTTTTGGGAAGTCGCTTTGCCGTCTGAAGAAGTCTGACGTTGCAGGCCTGAATGAGTGGAGGAACAATCTCAAGCACGAGTTGGTCACGAACGGGAGTCGCTTCTTCCGGACAAAGCACAAGGCCCTCAATGTGCCGGAAGACTTCCCAAATCTCGACGTCCTTAGGTACTATACACATCCCGTGGTCTCACCTTTGGCAACTGTCGATAAACTAGGCAATCAGTGCTGGGATAAAAAGCTGGATATTTTCGGTCTGCGGGAATTCGCCAGAGAAACATTTGATTGGGAGTATCAAGGTGGCGCGATCAAGTTCATTCGGGTTCTTGCTCCTTGTCTGCTCGTTAGAAAGATCATGCAACTCGAACATCTTGGGGCTGCCCAGACCAGGGAAGTAGAGGATATGCAGGGCGAAGAAGGAAAATTAGTGCGGGCCATAACAACCCGACGAGAACACCTCAGCACAGATGCAACACCGGAGCTTCGGATATCTTTCATTCCAAATGACATAGTTGGATACAACTACGAAGAGGAACCAGAGGAGGAAATAACATATGGTCGGGATGGTCTTGCTTTGAACAGCGACGACGAGTTCGAAGCAGTTGCCGACGATGATGGCACAGTTGCAAAACCCGGGGCCAGGAAACCATTCAGTCCCGTGGAACCAGACTTGGTCTGGATGCCTGAAACAATCGCGAAACTCGGACTTCCACTGATGGTCGAAGACTGGGAAGAGGCGCAGCGTGCAAAAGCTGCGAAGAAAGGTAGGACGAGAATTCCCAAGCCGAAACAAAAAGTCAAGGAGAGGAACATGCAAGCGGGAGCACTTGACAAGTTCGTCAAGGTGAGCAAGAACGTAGCAGAAAGCGTCAAGGCTTCACGAAGTTCTTTGGTGGAGAAGCCAACATGTTATGCGATGAGCCGTACTCCCCTTGGACCGTTATCGTCTCCACCGCAGAAGCAGTCGTTGCCTTTCGTAATCGAAGATTCTCCCCAGAAACCAACACGACTATCAGCAGTACCTAGTAAGCAACCCACCAAGGCCAAGAAAAGTTCTGGGAAAGACAAGGCTTCCCTTTTGGACTCGACTGTCAATCCTTGGTCGCTAGCTAGCTCACTATTGCCTAGCAAACAAAAGTCGCTTGCTGCTGCCATTACAACGAAGTCTTCCGAGGCCATATGTATCGCATCTAGCCCACCTGCATCGCCTGCCAAGACTATTCGCCCGCGCATGAGACGAACTGGAAGCTATTCACCTGCTGAAAGCAAGTCTCATACTACCAGAACAAGTCCACAAGAGCGACAATCTGGAACACCGGTAGACGGAAATCCTAAGAACTTGCGCCCAATATCCAGGTGTAGATCCCCGAGCCCAACGCCACAGGCAGGCGTGAAATCACGCAGAAAACTAGCGAGGACAGAGTCGATGCCCACTGAATCTCCAAGGGGTGCAAAGAATCACGACGTGTTCGGAGCTCGGAGTACAGCTCTAACGAGAGCTCATACCGTTGCCATAGAGCCCGAACTTGAAAACTTTGATTCCGAGGATGACTTCGATCTGCCACCTCTAAGTACCTTCGGTGGCGGGAAACCAAAAGGTCACTATCCTGCGCCTTCTGCATCGACACTCTCAGCCGACACATCATTCACGGTACAAGACTCGGTCGTTTCTATCACAATAGATAGCTCGCCAGCCCCAGCACCAAGAACATGGTCGCGGAAATCGCCACTGCCGGTTTCTGTCGTGTCAGAGCTGCCGGTACCGTCGAAGCTACCATCAGCCACGAAGGCGGCGCCGGCAGCCAGGAAGCAGGGCAAGCTCAGCGATGTCTTCAATATGCGCACGACGAAGATGTACGTTCCACGCAAGAGCGAGCCAGGCTTCTTCAGAGAGATCGAGGTCACCGTTGCCGAGGCGGAGCGGATGTCGCTCAGAAGAAGCAATGACAGGAGATGGCGACAGAGCGACATCAGTGTCGTGGACTTGACGGGTGACGATTGAATGTGTATTAAATCATGAACATGGCGTACATGGGCGTCTGGTTTAAACGAGCCTTATGGGTTTGCTCACGGGCTTCTTTCTGGTATTAGTTGTTGCATAATGAAATGATCACGAAAGCTCTGGTAGGAGGAGCAAGCAAATTTTATGCCCCTTGGCAAACACCAACCGCGCCTGCTCTTGAACATGTAAAGTGTTTATTCTATATCGTGAAGTCTCATCATCCGTCATATTTACCAACTAATCCGGGGTATGTGGGTATCCTGCAGTAAATACAAACTTCGGCCTTTTCTCTCTCTGCCCCTCCCTCTCTCTCGGTCCATGAAAGACGTCGTGATTATAAACAGGCAATTCCAATGAACAACAAGGGCCATTCCCCCTCTTGTCTCTCTCTTTCTCTCGTATATCATAACTCGTAAAATGAAATGTGACGCAACAATCATCCTCCTACTCCGTGCTGACTGGCCGAGTGCCTGCAATGCCGCCACACAACCCATCGTTACCACCCGGTCCTCAACTAATACAGAGGCATGTACCACGGTGCAAAACTAGTCTTCCGACCAGGGCAGATCTCTCTCCATGACCCTCACGCAGGTGAGGTAGCCAACAGGGCTCGACGTGGTCCCGTCCTTGCCCGGATTGCTGAGCTCCAGCTCGAGCCCGGTGCCCATGAGAGGGCGCACAAGCTCCCTCGCCGCGCTCTTCATCTCGTCGATCCGCTTCTCGAACCTTCGGAGGTTGTCCCGGCTGTACAGGTCCGGAGTGAGCTTGAGAAAGCGCTTACACTCGTCGTGCGTGAGGTAGACGGCGCCGCTCGGCGACCCGAGCATCCGATATGTCCGCCCGACGTTTGCGAGGCTCGGGATGGCGGCTGGCGGGGGCGCAGACCGGTTTCCGGAAGACGAGCCGCCCCTCCGATCTGACGGCGGCGGAGGTGGTGGTGGCGGGGGCGCTGGGGATGTGTTGTCTGCCAGCCACTGGCGGAAGAACGACACAGCTAGCCAGTCGAGGTAGGAAGTGCCGGGGGTCACCCTCTCGCCACGGGAGTTGGTTAGGTTCAACCTGAACAGGCGCCCCTCGATCCGTGATATCGTCTCTTCCAGCTCATCTACCTTATCTTCTATGATGTCGAGCACAATTTCGGGCAGCGCATTCCTGATACTGCGCTCTCCTGACGGCCACTGGCCCACGACGTGGATGAGCGCTTCTTGGAAGATCACCTTCGATCTTGCCAGATATCCGAGTTTCAAGTAAGAGACCGGGTACTTGGCTATCTGCTTCCATAGCCGTGACTGGAACTGCAGGAGATGATGATCGACTCGTGGGCCGCATACGGCTAGAGCATCGTATTGGTCTGCAAGCGTTAGAAGCGACTTGCACTGCACGTATGCGTCCGCTATATTGATGCCGTCGAGTATCGGAGGGTAGTTGTAAAACACGCGAAAGAGGTTGTCGTAATCTCGCAGGAGGTCGGCATCTGCCTGCGACAAGGGCATGCCTTCGTCAGGAGCCGGTAGGTTTGACGCATGGTGACCGGTGAGCGAGAGATTTGCGACAGATCGGAAAAAGGACGCGCCCGCGTGCGAGGCCGAGTGCGAATGCTTGTGCCGAGTCGAAGACGTGTTTGCGCTTGGAGTGCCTCCGCCGAATATCGAGCCCGTTTGTTGCGACGAGTTCGTGTTTGTCAGGCTACTGCTGCCTTCCGCCTCTTTCTGCACCAGCATGGGTATATCATCCGTTCCCGTTCCGTTGTCTAACTCATATCTCCATCGCCTCCTCGGACCCGGCGATCCTGCGCCTGGTCTCGTCAACTCGTTCCCGCTGTCTGTTGAATTCCTGCTTCCAATATCGACACCGCTATCTTGTCCTATCCTCGCAAGATCTTTGCTGGGCGCCTCTGGCAACGACGGTAACGCCGGTAATATAGTCGCCTTAGACCACTGCTGGCTGGTCGATGCCTCGAAGAAACCCGAAGACCGTGTGAGTGTGTGCCGGTGAAGCAGATACCGGTTTTCCTTGCCGCCCGCCCTGATCACGATCTCGACGTCGCCCGACGCGCTGAACCAGGGAAATTCATTCTGAGGTATATAGGTTGTGCCGCCAGCGTGGGAGCGGTTGTATCTCTTGCTGCGCGAGGAAACGTGGGGGGCTCGAGACGGTCGCGTGCCGACAACGGACTGGGCTCCACGGACGGTGAGGGAATGCGACAGCGGCTCGGGCTCACGTTGCGACACCATGCCCGGAGATTCGGTGCGTAACCTTCTTTTTATCCTTGTTACAATTTGCGAGAAACGTGCAGATTGAGTTCACCCTGAGACATGGGGAGGTTTTCTTCCCTTTCCCTCCCTATGCCTCGCGTGTTTCCTATTACCAGTCGCTGATGAGACGGGTTGCTGAAGAGGGGCAATTGTTGTGGCTGGAGCTCATGACAGGAGTATAGCAGAGCCAAAAGCGATCGCGACTTTTTTTCGTGGTTTCGTGATGTTTTTGTCAATGTCGTGAAATGCAAATGCTCCGAAAATGTGAGCTAGACAAAGCAAGTTTTGAGACCTGAGCTATACCTCAGATAAACACCGCTGTTTTCCTTCCAAATCGACTTGCTGCCCTGTTTCCAATGCCGAAGCTCGTGAATGGTGGGCAGATCAATTGAATCTCTGAGGCTGTGCCCGCGCTGTCGCCACAGGAGGTCGGGGCGATGAGCAAGGATGCAATCAAGCGCTGGCAAGCTTAACGAGGAGGTCGCTTTCACTTTGGCCGATGGGCAGATGGGCAAGCACAAGCACAAGCACAAGCAGGAATACTTCTAGAAGCAAGGGAGCGAAGGCGTGGAATAATAATAATAATAATAATAATAATAATAATAGTGTCAGAGAGCAATTGGTTTCACGAGATGAGTAAGATTATAACTCTACAAGATTAAGCTTGTAACCACACGCGACATCACTAACTTTAGGAGGTTGTTAGTTAAAACGCATCAATTCCCCATCAACAAGCTTGTCGAAAAACGTCCAAAAGACTCGCGGCCGCCAACCAAATCATTCGCATCCCCCTTCCCGCGTTTCTTGTGTTTATTGCTCGACGGCGTACGGCGGTCCCAGTAGGTCGAGTGACTCTGGCTTCGCTCTCTTGCTCCCGAACTAAATCATGCAGCCCACCCTCCTTCAGCAATGCTGGCCGTTTGCAGCCATCGGCCACTGTCGGCCACTCCTCGTGGGCCTATCGATAATGCTCCGGGGCCACTCCATTTCAGCTGTGTAGGGAACGCGACCGAGCTGTCTTGGCCAGTCGTTCGCTGGCAACTGGGGCCACCGTCAAACCCCCCGATCCAACATACTCATTAAATGCCCTGGCTGGTGTGCACCAATTTGCTAAGACTTTCAACTGGCATGTAAGCTCTTGGTGAGTGCAGCCTGTTTCGAGATAGTCCTAATGCCGGAAACGGTTGCCAAGCCTAATTGACTCGAGGAGGAGTAACCGCGACCGTTGGAACCTCTGATACTGTTTTATGAGAGACAGGGGTCTTTTACTTGGAACAGGACTATAAGACTTTTTGAGGCCCGGATTATACCAGTCGTTGTTGACATAGATCCGCTAAAGTCGGTCCCCATGCGAGTTCATCTGTTTACAACAGGTCGTTCGCAATAGACGAGGGCGCTCTGTAAGTGGTAGTTCAGTGTTGAGTCCACAATGGAGGGTTGTGCCCAGCTTATTTATCCAACCCTTCGCGTGGATTCAATTTGCGGTGAATTCCTTGATATTGCTTGTGTCTATATATCTTACCTGCGCTTTTGGCTGAATATCGTTATCTACTGTAAATTTTTAAAAAAAAAATTAAAATTTCTTTTTAGCTATGTAACAAAATTTGAAAGGTCAAGCCTGTTACATCGGTCCATTGTGCGCAAACCTAAATCGTATTTGCGCAATCATGATGAAAACTCGACCGAGTTCGTACCTCAAAATTAAATCTCACCGCCGTATACAGAGCAGAGGCTTCTAGGTTCTTTCGAGTCGTGAATTGACGATTTACTACAAATGGTTCCTCTTCTCACCTGGTAGTAATTCTGGGAATGCATAGGAACACGCCTTTTAATTGTTAGGAATATATTCAATTACGCCGGCATCATAAGGAAAGCATTTGAATTGTTTGACAGATCACCGCCCGCATCTCTTCTGTCATTCGCAGACTTGCCATGACCATGCAGACAGATCGCATTGAAATATCAACAATGATTCATGAGTATGATCAACTACGCTGTACTATTTGGTTCATGGATTGGTAGGAGTATTGCACGAGGCGTACAAAGTTTTGATGAGGGCGAATATTACTATTGTAAGGTGATCAGTTTTTGTCGTGAATCTGAGCATGGATGCTTTCATGGTCTAAGCACTTGATTCATTGTTGCCTAATGACCCACGTCGAGTAGCATTACAATATCGCTTCGAGTACACATATGTGTATTTAGCTGAGGTACGAGGCAAGGATGTCTTTAGAATTTCATAAAGGAGGCTGGAATTGATTTTGTTGTACATATAGGAACACAAGCGCCGAAACTTTTGGAAAGCCCACCCATGCGGCGCCTGTCGCGAATGTGGAATAAAAAAAGTCGATGAAAATCGTAAAGCACGTCACAAACTCCGGTCCGACCACACCAACCAACGCAACTACCCATAAAACCCGCAATCATTATGGTTTGCGTATTCTCGCAGCGCTCAGGCGCCATTTGACTTAGGCCATCTCCATGTCGACGTCTTGTGACGGTGCAGGCTGTGGTGTGCCAGCGACAACCATCACCTCGCTTCCCTCAAACACGGGAGGAGAGACCTTAAGGTTCTGGAAGGTTTGATTGAGATCCCTGCTAATAAATTGACCGCGTTGCAAGTCTTCGGCGAAGAGGAAGAAGCCCTCAGAGGCCTCGACGAGATACGATTGCAGGCCCCTGCTCTCGAGCTGGATTTGCACGTTGCTGATTGGGAAGTGGTTTTCAATATATCGTGCCCAGCCACGAGCAGCGGCTTCTCTATGCTCATCATTGCTGATACGGCTCCAGCCAATGCCAAGGTGAAGAGTGAAATTGTCAATAATAGGCTGAGAGCTTGAGTCAACAGAGAGGCCAGGTGTGGCGATGGCTGTGTCGTTGATGTCGCGCACAGGACTCGACCTGTTGGCAGTAGAAACCGAGAAAGAACTCATGTCTAGTCGTTGTGATTTGTTGCTTCGAAAAGAAGGGCGCTCTTGTTGTTTAAAAGCGCGTGCCTCCTCGTTCTTCCGAAGCTCTTCCTCGGCAGACTTCTCTTCCAACCATGTGCCAGACTGGCTGTCGGCTTGGGAGATGTATGCCTGAGATCTCTTAATCAAGGTCATACCTGGGCCATAGACCCACTCGTCTTCGGGCTCTTTGACAGGTTCAATGGTTTCGAGCTTGGCTTCCTCAACATCAAGATTGATAGCAGCTTCATCTCTGGAGCGCTTACGCCCAGCACTTTGTGACGTTGCTGATTGCAAGGGCTGTTGTTGCATTTGAAAGCGTGCAGCAGCGGGAGAAGCAAAAGATCCCGGACAGGTCAGAGGAGAAGGCTGATGCGAGAATACTGGCATGCCAAATGTGGGTTGATGAGCAGCGCTTGGCGGCATGGCCAAGACTGGAGACTGTGTACGTGAGAAGGAACCCATTGTGATCTGTGAGTACTAGATGTCAGATATCAGACAGCAAGTTTGGTTAGATGCGCGTAGCGACTTTGTTGCAAACAATCGACGAGATAGGTAGGGCCGGAGGAGGGTCCACTAAATGGTGAATAGTAGACTACGAGAAAGATCAATGGATTCAAGATGAGGCAATTCAATTTATGTGAATAAGTGAATATAGGGATCTGAAAAACAAGTTCGAGTCGGCGATACCCTGAGGTGGTGTTGGTCAAGACGCCGACAGAGTGCGGCTGGGTGGTGCACGCTACCAACAAGAGGAAGCGCGTAGAGTGAATCAAGTATATCTGCGCGGCAGAAAGATGGGTTAAGATGGAGGAGAAGGTATTTTAGGAGTACGGATGTAGGAGGTGAGTGTAAGTAATCAGGAGGAGAATGTGTGTGTGGATGGGAGAGACGCGTGAGGAGAGGAAATCAGTAGTGATGAGTAGGGTGGTGGCAGATACATGTAAGAAACGGATTAGAAGAAAAGACGAGAAGCAGCATCGAGAAGAGCTGCGCAGGATAAGTACAAGGATTGGCGTGGTTGCTCTGGAGTGCATGGATGAGAGTTTGGGGGTGCGGATGGATCATCCAGAGTCAGTCGCTTGCTGATTGCACTGGCGTATGAACGAGAGAGCTGACTAGGTAACGCTTCCCCTTGTCTGGACGGCTGAGACCGAGAAGCGGCAAGTCTGATCTGAGGTCGCGAGCTACCCCGTCCGTCTTGTCTGTCAAGTCTGTCCTCCTGTCTCCAGTGTGAGTGTGTGAGGCGCAGAGGCGCAAAAGGCGACGCAGAAAGCCCGGGCAGCCGAGCAAGCCTATCCTATTCCGTAACAGACCCAGAAGACTCTAGCGTAGTACGCCCGGACCATCGCAGTAGTTAGAAAGCTCCTTCATTGGTGACTTTCTCGGCCAAGATACCAAGAAGTAAGTACCCACAACTCAGTGAGGGCCAGGGCTGCGGAAGCTTTTCTAAGTGCGTCTTCCCATTGGCTGGCCTGATGACGTGGGTCCCTTGGTTAGCAGGAATGCCAGAATGCGCAGGGTGTGCCAATCCTTGCTGGCAACGGAAGCGAGAGATGCCTCAGGCATCATGTATGGGCCGAAGGCAAAAGTGGGAGGTTGGGTTGAGTCTGCAATTATCGGAAAACCGGAGGACATTGTTCCATTTAGGTCATACTGCTGGCTCCACTGCAAACACGATTCAGGTGGATTGATGTCTATCATTGCCGCAGCATTCTTGTTGCGTGCTCCTCGAGGTGGACACTTTGCTCAAGTTACACAGAATGACGCTGGCGGATCCGATCTTCCACTGAAGTTGTACGAGTCCCGATCTTTAAGTGGATCTGCAAAGACAGGACACACCTAAGCCTTCAGCTGTTTGTAGAGACATTGCTCCGGACCGAGTTGAAACTTTTAAGTACTGTTCCTGAAGCACAGATATGAAACCGGTTTGGCATTTATTTGACACAACTGCATCGAGTGCAAGAAAAATGGTTTCTTCAATGTTAAATCTGTTTGTTTGGGCAACTAATTCTGCGGGATTACTGCGAATAGTGGACGACCTCATTGACGTATAATCTTCCTTGCTTATCGCAATCTTGACGACAACCAGCTCAGTTCACACATTCATGACTGGATTGCCATTATCGTCTACCTCCTGGCCCTCTCTGCCCTGGATTCCGAGAACTTCTTGGTAGAGGGTTAGATCATCGGCATTTTCCACACCTCCATACAACCCTCGAAAACCTGGTGTGTCTAATCCAATCGGGCTATGAGCTCTGTTATGCTGGTCTTGAACTGTGCCTGAGTTGTGGATCCGTTGATGACTATACCTCGTAACTGGAGCCGTATACGCGCCCTGGAGGCGACTCTGGTGGCGTGCCTCCGGTAGATGCTGTGGAGTGCTTGGTTGTTCTGCCGGCGGCAGAGAGTCATTGTAGATTCTCAGCGCGGGACCTGACCCATGGACCACCGCATCGATCCGTACTGCTCTGTTATATCCTGTGGGAATGGTCGCCGGAGACTGCGCACTGGATGAAGATGATGATCCACGACCTGGCGATCGAACATATGTTTCGACAAACCTGACAGCAGAGCGCAAGAGTCTCTTCCTGCCGGTTGTGAGCTATGTGGGCACTGTTAGTTGGCATGCTAAGTCTGCAGTGTTGAGTTAGACCGACAGGAGTGCAACTCAGGGGACTATTCCTATCTAGAGATGAGGTTCGAGGAGGCGTTACAGGTGGTTCTCGTGGAGAACCATCTTTCAGTAACACACGGTCGGCGTTGTGCAGTATCTGTTGCGATCAGAAATGTTAACAATTTGATGACACTTGACTTGCTTACAGAAGGCAGCAGGTGCTCGCTAGAAACTATTCTTATGCTAGCTGAGAATGGCGGAGGGAGTGACGGGAAAGTAGTGGCAGCAGTAGCAGATGTATGCTGAAGGATGTCCGAGTCCGAGGTTGCAATCTGAGATGATCCTAAATGGAATCTTGAGCTCGACTCACCCGGCCGGTCGAATCTAAGGGCTGCTGGTGTATAAAAATCTAAGAGCCTTCTGGGGGTCAGATCGTTCGGGTTCAACACTGCATCCCCTGAACCCGCCATGATCTCTACATCTCCATGCTCCAGCCGCTTATCGTCTTGGCCAATAGACCTAGCACGGATAGCTGATTGGGGCTCTAACTGAGATGCAGTGCCAGCTTCTTGTTGGCTGCGAGCTCGTTCATCTTCTCTAGCAAGGAATCTTCTGTATCGGCGATGCCGCTCGAACTCCATGACCTCCGACAAGGTCAAGGAGATTTTTGTAGGAGGATATCGTAGCATTGTGAGGGGCTTCAAGGATTTATTTAGCAGTAAGCGCAGAAGATCAAGATAAAATCCTATAATAGGGATGACTTCTTAGCACTTGGCGTATCTTGTCCCTAGGAGTCGATGTTCGGATCCCCGTTTCTTCCCTTGCTTCAAGACAAGCCCCCCGTAACCGGTGGCCACTGCCATCTTCAGAAGTATCGAAATTAGTGTCCTGCTTCACATAAACAAATGTTCTTCTGAACTGTGCCTTCCGTATTACAGGATACATCTCACATCGTACCCACCGGGTAGATCTACTATGCATCCTAGAATGTGCTTCTCTTTTGCCTTTTGCCTCAAATTGCGGTTATGCCAAGTTCTCAGGAGAGTACCTAGACGTCCTTGATTTATTGAAGTGTCTCAACGACTTGGAACCTCCCGCTCTGTGTATTGGTGGGGTTTTCATCAGACGTTTCATTCAAGACATGGCCGTACCTATGAGCGTGTCCCATGGACGCACAATCGAAACTGTGTTTGTCTGCTACAGTCAACCTCCAAATCACTGCTGGAAGCGCAGCGTATTGAAGTAAGCTTATAATTATTGACGGGCACCAGCAATGGGCTGGCTAGTTAATTAGAATTTCTGCTGCCAAGGTACATTGAGGCATTGGAGTAAAAGACCTGGAGAGCTCAGCCGCCTGAGGTGCGTGGCATGAGGGGAAACTTAACGGGCCTACTGTACCTGCCTACCTTGAAATAGAATAAAAATAAACAGTACGGATCCCTAGGTGCCAATAAGCCACCAAATTGTCGGATCTGGATCTGGTTCATGGGCGCCGACCGATCAACTGGCTTTGTTTGATCCGCTAACTAAGCATGTCAAGGTGAAATTGCGCAAATCGTTCGACAATCACTCATGAAATGATTTTCAACCTGCTCGATTGTTCAACTGTAATGGACGTTTCTGCGGCGCTTTCGATTCTGACCAGGTCAAGCTGCTACAGCTCAACTTTCAGTGGGTTTCCACCAGATCCTTTTCACTGAGCGCAAGCAAGTTACGTTTGGTTACTTTACCTTAATTGAATCCACCTGCACCAGCGTCCACGATCACTCAACTCACTCACTTGCCTTGCCTAGCTGCCAGCTGAGCGAGCAAGTAACTATTGAGGTCGCAACGCAACCTTGCGCCTTACCTACCTAACCAAAGTCACGTTTGTTGAATTCCACCACAACCACCCTCGTTCACCTTCACATCCACCGTGGGATTCATCCACGCAGCAAAACGGCCAGCTGCCGCCCGCAACAAGTCTATTGTTTGCTGCAGGCATTGTCATTCACTGGGCCTCATGAGTTGCTCTGCTACTTCCATTTGCACCGCACCCTTTCTAGGTCAAGCAGGTCGTACGTCTGACGCTGCTGTCAACTCCCCCCAATCGATAGACATCGCGACCTACCACTTAACATTCCACACCTCAACCCACCTTCGCTCACAGCAGCAGCCATGAGTAATGATCTGAGTCTCTCAAGAGCCCTTGGTGGCTTACGCATAGCGAATCCCGACGACGCTGACCCAGCTCCTGCCGCCGAAGCTTCCACCGGGCTCGACCAAGTCTCGACAACCGACGATGGTACCGTCCCAACCCAATCGGAGCCCCATACGACGTTGAGTAGAACTCAGACAGCGGCCTCGCTAGGGCCAGTATTCCAGGATGAGTCTCCGAATCAGCTCCACCCATACCCAACCAATGGATCCGCTGCCTACTCGAGTACGAGTGTCGTACGGCCAAGCTCTTCGCTCTATACGACGGCCGAGCGTGACCAAGCCGCAAACTCCTACAATATTCTGAGAACGGAGCCGTCCAGATCATCCGTGTACACTACCCCCTCGAGAACCGATTCGAGAGCGACCGCCTACTCAGTGGACCCTGGCGCCATTCCTACTCGGGAAGCAAGTCACAGAGACAGGTCCTACAACCAGGCTCGTCAGATGGGTGTCCCCTCTGGTGGTGGTCCTCTTCCTCCTCGAAGGAGCTCCAAGGGACAAGGGGGTGGTTATGCATCCATCCCCGGCGTTCCTGTCGTCCCAGAACCGCAAGGTGGTATTCGATTGCCCATGTCGAACAGCAGCGAGGACTGGAAAGACAAGGGCGCAGCAGTCAGCATGCGGAAAGAAGTAGACTCGAACGGCAGGACCATCATGAAACCAGTCAAGAAGGGTGTCCGGGACTTCAACTTTGGCAGGATCCTCGGCGAGGGCTCCTATAGCACGGTGTACCTTGCTACCGACCGCCAGACCCTCAAAGAATATGCCGTGAAGGTGCTAGAGAAGAGGCACATTATAAAAGAAAAGAAGATCAAGTACGTCAACATCGAGAAGGACACATTGAACCGCCTTACCGAACACCCAGGGATCGTTCGTCTCTACTACACCTTCCAAGATGAAAGCTCTTTGTACTACGTCCTGGATTTGTGTACTGGCGGAGAGTTACTAGGAGTGTTGAAGAAGACGGGCACGTTTGACGAAGATTGCACGAAATATTTTGGTGCACAGATCCTGGACGCGATCGAATATATGCATTCACGGGGGGTTATCCATCGCGATCTCAAGCCTGAGAATGTTCTTCTTGACGACCAGTTGCATATCAAGGTCACGGATTTCGGCACAGCCCGCTTGTTGACAGACCCAAGACTACCTGCGTCGCAAGAAGCGCCGAGGCTGGACGACCCTAATGGTAAAAGCAAGGAGAAAGATGATAGCAGAGCGGATTCTTTCGTCGGCACAGCAGAGTATGTCAGCCCCGAACTTCTTAAGGATAGGAATGCTTGCAAGGCTAGTGATCTGTGGGCTTTCGGTTGCATGATTTATCAGATGCTGGCAGGTCGGCCGCCTTTTAAAGGCAATACTGAATGGTTGACATTCGAAAAGATTATCAGCTTGGACTACGATTTCCCTGCTGGATTCCCGCCTGCGGCCCGCGATTTGGTTGAACGATTGTTGGTGAGGGACCCATCTAGGAGACTCACTATTGAGCATATCAAGAACCACCAGTTCTTTGATGGGCAGTTGTTTGGCAAAGCTTTATGGAGGTCCAAAGCACCCAGACTTCGTCCATACGTGCCTCCTCCCCAGGAGCCCAAAATCATTCCCCTTGGCGGCAGTGGATCCTCCAACACACCCCAGAATGCAGCACAGTCTAGGCTACTGCACCAGGGCAACGGGGTGAATGGATCAGGTCGAGCGCCTGGTAGAATTATCACGGACATTCCCCCTCCTTCTCAACTGGATATCGAATGGTCACCTGTACTTACGAAAACCAATGAGAGGATACTGAGACTCGGCGATTTGCTGGTTCTCTCGGCGCCCATTCCGAACAGTCCTCATGCACGAGGTGGTGAAGATGGTCACAGAAAGTTTGCTCGGTTCTTCGGAGGCAGCACTACAAAGAAGCGACAGCGTCTGGTCATGGTAACTTCAAGCGGCCGAATTGTCCTGGCGCCTGCAGGAGGTGAAGAGAAGAAGTCAAAGCAGGAAATATCGCTATTGGCACCAGATGCCGCTTGGCGAACGCAGATCGACGCAAAAGGGCAGACTGTCTGGTGTGTCGACTCGGTAAGTCAAACATGACGTCGATCAATTAAGCTGCATCCGCTAATCGCAAGAAGTACGGAACCCACTACACGTTCGAAGAGCCCAAGGCAGCTAATTCTCTAGACCCTTCACGACCGACTGCGGACGACTGGCTTGAGTGCCTTGCTCAAGCAAAGGACATGGCTGTATCGCAGAATATGTCTGGCGCCTACAATGGCGACAATGGATTTGGTGACATGTCGTCATCTATGTCTAGTCCTGCTAGCACACTTGGCGGTAACAATGCCTACGGTGAAGGCTTCGGCATCAGTGACAGATCGCAGAGGCACCACTTGAGCAAGAGTCAGATCAGTCTTGACGACGCATCGTCAAACACAAAGCGGAATCGATTCAGTAAACGGCAGTCCAAACAAGGACTCGGTTCAGCTTTCTAGAAACAAGCTTGGTTCCGAAAGTTGATGCGAAAGTTTGGTTGGCGCTTTGAGCACCCCATCTATCGCGCCCCTTGCGGAAAATGCATCCTTACTCATCTTTTCTTTTGTCGCATATTGAAGCGTGGCGTCGCCGGTTGACGGTTTTATTCATCATCATCATCATCATCATCATCATCACTAAAAGGGGGCTTTGAGGTCTTGGCATCTTTGTTAGGGGTGGTCCCCATAACTCCCTTCAGCATCACCTTTTTTTCCTTCTTCTTCTTCTTCTTCTTCTTTTTCTGTTTTCTTTTCCCTCCTTCTTTCATCATTCATACACAGACGGCTTGGCAATGCATACATCAAGGTGTTGGTTGGCGATGCCTCTTTGAAGAGCTTCACATACAGCAGGGCTTGAGACTCATGCAGAGTACTGAATTTTGAGCAGTTGATCTGGCCACGAGCCTCCATATAGTGAAATCACTAGTACATAGTGAGATCTCGCAAAAAGACGAAAAAGAAGCGGTAGCCTAGGTAGATCTAGCTGCCAAATGGTCATAGACGCCCCATGCTTCATGTAAGGGGCAGTGGTCATGGTAATGGACAGAAATGTCACAAACTTAGATGCGTCTTTTTGGTGACATGACAATAGTGAACTCGCATTGAATGCCTGGAAATTACGTGAACGGGACGGCTTCGGATAGACATATTTCTGAAAGCCTTGAAAAGAATGTCTGGTTAAACAGGCTTAATTAAATCTTTCTGAAATCGCTTGGTTAGGAATATCTGCCTCCCTGCCAGTTTATAAAGAGCGCACGGGCCATATTGAAGCTGACGGGGGAGGTTTTGGGAGTGAACCAAAAACCAAAAACCTCAATCAATTGGGACTAACTTGGGGGATTGTCGCCAACGCCAACGCGAGGCGCGCTTTTAACGAGATCAAAGATCCAGATCCCCAACATCTGCGAAACGATCAAAACTGAAGCCATTAAAATCGCAACAAAGCACTGCACAGCGCTGCTGCACCCATCCCAGCACATCGGCATTTCGTCTCACCCTTAGAAAAACAAAATCAATTTTCAGAACCTTTCCACACTCATCGCATCCGCATCGTCTCGGCGCACCACATCACAGGCCCAAGATGCAGCCTGGCTATCGACAACCATATCAGCAACAACCAGCGCCTCAGCGCACGCCGCATGCTGCCAATCCGCGCAGAGGAGGTATCGGTGAGTATATGCTGCCTTCAGATCTTTGTTTCTTTATGGTGATGCACAAGGAAGGGCGCGATCTGGCGTCTGGACGTGTGTCGGGTGCGGCTGCTAGTGGCCAGAAGTCCACTACGGATTGTGGTTACGATGCCTGCGCATATCTATCCCCATCCCCATCCCCATCCGCCATCCGCCGTCCGCCACGCAATGCTTGTGCTTGAGCTTGCGCTTGAGCCTGAGCTTGTGCCTTGTCGAATGAATACTCTACTGTAGACTACCATCAATTCGCCGGGCCAGAGTACCCCACACATTATTTCATGGCTCCACAGATTATCAACTACTGGATAACCAGTATTGACGTCTGGCCGTGCTTTCCCACCCTACGGAGTGCCTCCTTCTTTCTTTCTTGCCTTTGTGACCCATTACAACGACCGACCCTGGCGCCTACACCTCTTACTGACAATCTATTCCCCTTCCCACAGGCCCCATGATGTCTGCTGGACCCGGACATCATCAAGTCCCCATGACTCAAGCGCAGGTTGCACAACAGCAGCAGCAACAAGCAATGCAGGTCGAGATGGCCAAGAGGCGGAGCAAGAAGCCCACCGACAAGAACCTGCCCGATGGCGTCGACGACTGCACAATTGGCGACGTGGCCGCTCGATACCGGCAACTACGCGACTTCGAGAGGACCCTCGATGCTACTATGACGCGGAAACGGCTCGATATCGTGGACTCGGTCAACCGAAGTGTCAAGGTGAGATGGCACGGACTCGAGCAGCAAGTAAATACTGATTGCTTCTCTTCTAGCGATACAAGACGTTGCGTATTTGGGTCACCAACACAGCTGAAGACCAGGTCTGGCAAGCCAACGCGCTCAACAACGACTCGTTCGATTTTAGTTCCAACACAGAGCCGACGTACAAGGTCAAGATTCAGGGTCGCTTGTTGGATGATGACGACGATCTAGACAAGGATGACGAAGCTGATGGCGAGGAGAAGGAGCAGGAGCAGAATGGAGATAAGATGGACGAGGACAGCGATTCCAGCACTAAGACCGCCACGTCGCACAGTCACAGATTTTCTCACTTTTTCAAATCGCTCACTGTCGACTTCCCTGTCAGCCGAAAGGGCGTCGACCAGCCAGTGGAATGGAAGAAGCCGGAACGAGCAGGCAACTCGCAGAATCTCCCCGCTGCGGCAGACTTCGACGAGTTGACGTTCAAGCGAAGCGGAGACGAGAACTTGAACATCACAATTAATCTTTTCCGCCACGAGGAGCCAGAGAGGTATGCCTTGAGCCCAGAGATGCAGGAGGTCCTAGATGAGCCTTCCGCCACACGCCAAGAGGTCGTCATGGCTGTCTGGGATTACATCAAGTACTTCGGACTTCAGGAGGATGAGGAGAAGCGCAACTTCCGTTGTGATGATATTCTCAAGAAGGTATGTGCGGATCTTGACGAGCCATTTTTTTCTCTTAATAATTTTGTTACTGACTTGGGTCAAGGCGCTTGGAGGCATTGAGAGCGGCGTGATCCCATCACTACAAAGCTACATCACTCAAGCCTTAAAGCCTCTCCCCCCTGTCAAACTCCCGTACACTATCCGTGTGGATGAAGACTTCCACAAGGATCCGCAGCCCACTGTCTATGACGTTCGTGTCTCCGTTGAAAGCCCTCTTCGGGAGAAGATGTCAACATTCTTAAGCAACCCCGGCTACGCCAGCATGCTCAAGGAAGTGGCAACGCAAGACGACCAGTTGGCCACCCTTGTCCAGGCCATTCATGTCTCGAAATCGAAGCATGCTTTTTTGACCGCCCTCAGCGAAGATCCTACGAACTTCGTAAAGAACTGGCTGAGTTCGCAGAAACGTGACCTGGAGATTGTCATGGGTGAAGCCATCCGCGGTGGTAGCGAGGATGCCTCTGGCGACGAATGGAGGAAGGGTGGTCCAGATAGTGTATGGGGCACTGTCAACGCAAAGGAGAGCGTCAGCATGATGCTGGCCAAGCAACCGCAGCATGTGCAGCGATAATCCTGTAACGCTAAGAGCAACGAGATCAGAAAGATGCGAGATTGGCTTCTCCAACACCATGGTTCGGCCCGAACACCATTGACGCCTTTGATGAGTATGGCTTGATTGACTGGATGGCCACCCTGTAGCGGATCTGCTAACAAGGGAAGGGATAGCAACCGTTCAAAAAACGAGCAGACTGGCGTGCACGTATAGCATTTTTGGGCACGCCCTGGGCTGTTTCGGGGGTACACACCATTGTTGCAAGTCAAGATCCATGAGGTCTGACTGTAGTACATGCTCAGCTCGAGCGGAGTTTTGGCGTCTGGTTATGTATCTTGATATCCAGGTTGGAAAAGGAGTATTGCTGATATTGTTCGTCGCTGAATTCTTTGTAATGTAGAAAGGGACTATGGACCATCTTCCACCAATCCGAAATTATACCTCGCTGTATTAGGGGAGGGGTTTCTTATTTGAACCGCCTGAATTCTTCAGTTTCATTTTTTACAATTTCATTTATGATTGACCACCAAATCTTGGGCAATTTCGTTGTTTGGTTATTAAGTTTCGCTGTACATGTCATGCAAAGCACTACTCCTCACTATCTTCCGTCGGAGTTTATATCTTAACACCGGTGATTTATAGACCTGTCCCTCTACCGTGTCGTCTCTATACATGAACACTTCTTGCCTTTTCAGAGCTACAAGTGGCAAAGGAAATCAGGCCAATCGGAAACGCCTTATTCAGATTGACGCTGTACTAGTGACGTACGTTATCTGTCTGTGACCTGGGAGGCCATTCTCGTTTGACTAACACCATATTCTAGACTAAAAACAAACATTATACATATTAAAGAAACAATTTGATACAGTAGCCTATCATCACCAGCAAAACAAACAAAAGAATATGTCGGCAATCTTCAAACCCGCCAACACGGCCGTCATCACTGGCGGGGCATCGGGAATCGGCCTCGCCCTCGCCAAGCGCTGCGCAGGCGCCGGCATGAAAGTGCTGATCGCGGACAGCGACACGGCATCCCTCTCAGCCGTCGCCTCCGCCATCCCGGAAAACACGCCCCTGACGACAGAGATGGACGTCGGCAACCCCTCGGACTGGGCCGCCCTCAAGTCCAGGGTCCAGACCGACCTCGGCGGCTGCATCTCGCTCCTGGCTCTCAACGCCGGCACGGGCGGCGCGCACAGCTTCGAGGATCTCGATCTCGACAAGTTCCAGGCCATCCTGCAGACGAACCTGTTCGGCGTCCTCAACGGCATCGCCGCCCTCCTGCCCCTGGTGAAGCAAGAGGCCACCGCGGACCGCCCCGCCGCCGTCGTCATCACCGGCTCCAAGCAGGGCATCACCAACCCGCCGGGCAACCCGGCCTACAACGCCTCTAAGGCCGCCGTCAAGAGCCTCGCCGAGCAGCTGTCCTACTCCCTGCGGGACGCGCCCGTGGGCGTGCACCTGCTGGTGCCCGGGTGGACGTGGACGGGGCTGGCGGGCGGCGTGGCGGGCGGGATCCGGGACAACGAGGCCGGGCGCGGCTCGGCGAAGCCCGCGGCAGCGTGGTGGCCCGAGCAGGTGGTCGAGTTCCTGGAGGCCAAGATGGAGCAGGGCCAGTTCTGGGTTCTGTGCCCCGACAACGAGGTCTCCGAGGACCTCGACGCAAAGAGGATGCTCTGGAGCGCCGGGGACGCCGTCCGAGGCCGCAAGCCCCTCAGTCGCTGGAGGGAGGAGTATAAGGAGGAGGCGGCTGAGTTCATGAGTAAGGATGCCAAGTCTATTGAGAAGGGGCTGTGATTTCTGTTTCCTCCTTAACCCTTTTGGTGTCTGTTGGGGGTCTGGCCTTGAAATATCAGTATAGGCATGTAGACGTGGCCGCGGTGTCTTGTATGTTTTGGCGCCGAACCGTTATGGGGTCAGCAGATGACAGACGCGGGAGATGTTCTGCATAAAAGCAAGTCCGAGAGCCTCACGGAAGGTTTCTTCACATCTTGACGTAACGTTTTCCTTCGAATCAGTGCAGAGACGAGCCCCAAAAGAATTTACACATATCTGAACAGACTCCCGCCGAATCGGATTGCATACGCCTTGAGTTGGCAGCTGTCACAAAACTACCGTTGTATTAAATGCTCGTAAACTGATTCATGCCACCGGGTTGTTCCCGCGAAGACGAAAGTTACTGGATGTAATTGACGATATACGTTTTTTTGAGGGGTAATATGGGAGTTACTATCGCTGGAGGAAGTTGCGATTGAAGATTAGATCACCGTGAAAACAGTTGAATGAACATGGCCAATGTGCTGGCATAAAGAGCACAGTCATTGTAATCCAAGATATGTAAGCACGTGGGTCGATGTGTAGTGCCCCTTGAGTCAGTGATTGGTCATCACGAGCTCGATGGACACATCTAGTATGGGTGTGACTGGTTTGAAGTCATGATGAAGCATTAATATATTTTTATGGAATGAGCATCGCGCATTTGCCAATATTTATGACTACTCGCGGCCTTGATCCGAACGCCTGACTACATGCATCTGTGCAAGCCGTTTCTGGCTGTCCACGCACCCTGAGGCCAATATCTAATCATGATCTTCTTGACCGGCATGTCCCCTCAGTGACTGCATGGCTCAACACGGGTATGTCTCTTCTAGACTCCTTGGGACATTTGTCTGGTGGGCGGGATAGGTGTTGGAGGCAGGTTTCGGATCTGCTTGATGAGAAACTCTCTCTCATCTATGAACTGCTCGTCATCCGTGCGGTCTTCCAGAAAGTGACTTAGGAAGTTGAGTAGTTTATCCCTGTTCATGATCAAGATCTTTTGAACGGCTATGGATTTATGCGGATTTGCCACGAAAACCTTGAAGACGTGGAAGCCTTCGTATTGAACCATCTTCCTATCGTCGCGCAAGAGGTTCATGCATATTTTGAGGTGCTCGCCGCGGTCAACGTATGCTGTCATGACGTTGTAGTTGGAACGGTCGAGCAATATCTCGCCGAGCAACTTGATCGACTGACGCTTGGTTACGTAGCTGTTGGACTGAACAAGAATGTGGTTGTACTTGTCGAAGAACAGCTCGAAGTTTACTGATAAGTACCTCGGGACGAGCTCTTTGTGCCTAGTAAGGAGCTCCTGGTGATTTGTCAGTGGGAGAGGCATTATGACCCCGTATCGAAGAGGAGGCGACGTACCCGGAACGTAGTAAACGCATCTGCTGCGACCTCGAAGGAACTCTTGTCGATCCAGTCGAAGAACCTCCAGAACACGCCGTTGCCGCTCTGCAGACGGTCTCTCTCGATTGCGGTGACACCTTTTGTACTTGAGCCCAACTCTTCTCCATCGTCAAACAAGACGATGGCGGCAGCAGCCTCGTTCTTCAACACTTCGCGCAGAACCGAACCGGCGGGCGTTGCGCTTTCCTTGTGTTCGTACCCGCGACACAGTTCCAGCAGTACTTGGGGCTTGTTGTTCACGACGTAGCTGAGGGCGACGGGGTCCGTCTTTGGCGAGGCGGTCGGTGGTCGGAAGCGGAAAACGTATGAGAATATGACTTGGGTGTCTTTTCGCGACTCGAACGGTAGGCGCCACAGGTTCTGAGCAAGCAGCAGGAGCAGGTCTTCTTCAATGAGCCCCTGGACCAATTGGTACACTTGTTCCGGTGTGCTATCGGATTCTAAGGACAGCAGTCAGTACCGTTTGCTGTGCCCGAGAACAACGGACGTACCTGGTGTGCCCTGTAGTATAAGTTTCATCTGGCTAAGGACCTTGGCGAGTTCCTCTGCCTTCCCAACAGTCAGTATGCGTATGCGTATGCGCTGGGACGAGAGCGTCGCCTTTGCGCCGCGAAGCTCACCTTTCCGGCAACGTCCAACTTTGTCACATGCTCCTTTGCCTGCTTGGACAGGTCGAGTGTGTTGGTCCTGGTTCGGGCTCTGCCGAATAAGAAAGACATGTTTGGTGGTCGGCTACCATGCACCTGTCGCACACTGTCTCTCCTTGACCGAAACGAGAAAGGCTATGCTGTGCTGAGATGGGCTGGGCCGGGCTGAGCGGTGTTGGGTATGTAGCGAAACTGGAATCTTAGCACTGGGCTGAAGAGGCGGAGATGGACCGGGTAGTGGTGGTAAGGTTAGTGGTAATTGTATTGGATTGGGTTGAAATCGACGTAATAGCGGGCACTTGCGACACCGCCAGTTACTGTATTTCGCTTCTGAGTGACAACAAGGTCAGTTTTGGCACATGTGGATCAGCCGTATGCCTTCATCGAGGGAACTTGCTTCTGCATCTGCATCTGCATCTGCATCGGGACCATGGGTTGTTGTTCAGAGCCGGTTGCTATTTACAGTGCATCAGGGCATCGATGCGGGGACATGGCCCCCAAGCCAATGTTTACCTCAATCTGGTTGACCAGGTATGGTCCCTGCAGTGTAGCGTATTAGTTAATAGTATTAACCTTGGAGAGTAACCTGAATCTTCAAGTCGGCTGTGGCGCCAGCGCTGGTGCCAGGTAACAAGCATGCGAGGGGAGATAACCCCTCCATTTGTGGCACAGTAACATCTCTCTCAACCAGAGTGAAGTTCTTATGGATCATTACGGATCTGTACGGATCCGCATACTATATGCCGAATAATGATTGAGGAGCAATTGCCTTTGACAACCACACATTCACTAAGTCCCAACAAAGGCCCAATTCTCGGATCCCAGCAGACCAAGGGGTTTGCGCAAGACCAACATGGGAAATAACATGATGACAGCGAACACCTTCTTTCGTCTAAAATGCCATGCCCTGTTGATACTCTAGGTATAGTCGCATTTTATGCGCTTTGGGATTGCCCATGATCATCTCCGCCAAGCTCCCCTCGCCAGTCTCCCTGGGCGCAAGGAATCTACCACCACCTTTAGGTAATAAAAGCACTTTGCCGGCATTCGCAAAGACACACGGAGGAAGAGGCCATTTCGGAGAACCCTGCGGCATGGCCGTCACGAACAGCCTAAGAAGCGAGTTGATGTACTGCCTATCCGCACGAGGTATGGGGTCGCCCTCGTTAACAATCGACAGCAGAACGGACGTCTTGTCTACTGGCTGGATGGGCACGGTAGTGATCGGTGGAGCACCGAATGTTATGCAGTGAACATTGCTGAAATCTATAGAACCATAAGCATATAGCGAGATTCTCCTCACAGCGAAAGGCTAATGGTGTAGGACTTACTGTGCTTTAGTTCTATCAGGCTATCGGACCCGGACGTGGAGTTCGTAAGATGTGTGTATAACATTGCCGCAACAGCCCCTCCTGCTGAGTGCCCGGTGAAGACCAGGCTAGGTTTCTTCGCCTTGGAAGTAATCTGTGAAAAATTATCCACAACCTGGGCGAGTTTTATCGCAACTTCGGGGAGCATCTCTTTTGCGCCCTCTAAAAAGCCCGCATGCGCACGGTAGAGATTGTCGCTCATGTCTTTGCCCTGTTGACACGTTAGCTGGGCAAGGAACCACAGAGAAGACTTTTCCATCATTACCATGAACGCGTCCTCAATAGGAATCTCCGGGCCATCGTTAAGGTTTACCATCCAGTCGTGTATACTAGCCGTTCCACGGATTGCAATGACAATCGTGTACTGGGTATCAGGAGCAGGTCCCGTAGATTCATACATTCCAACACTTGTAGCTTTGATTGAGCTCCCAGTTGGGCCAACAGCCAAGCGAGCAACCTCTCCGACAAGTTTGAACCCTTTGGCTAGCAGTCTAGTTTGAGTTGGACGGTCGTATGCTTCTTCCGCAGACACAGCTGCCAGACCAATGAGGAAATACTCAGGAACAGACCTAGAAGTCAGGGAATTAATACTCATGATTGACGCGAGACGCTTGCCCACGTACAATGTGACTTCCTCTACATCTATATTTCTGAAGGAAGAATTTGAGTAAGCCTCCTGCTTCTCAATCCAGCGACTCATGGAGATCACATCTGAAGATCGACTTTCCAGTTCTAGTTGCCGTTAGCTGGATGAGCTTGGCGCCGAACCTTGGATTATGAATGGGAAACCAGGCTGCGGCTTTTCATTCTGCTATCGGCACATATTAGTCGAACATACCAGTTGTGTCGACGTTCTGTAGGTATTTATCCAGATCGATAGATGCGGCTCGCAAGTTCGTCGATGCAGCCGCCGAGTTGTTTAACCCAGACACTGCGGCGCTCTCCCCGGAGAGACCAACGGCACTTGAAGCTGACGGCCCCACTCCATGATGGACAACCGGACTCGGTTTGAAGAGCCGTTTGATGAAGCCGCGTTTAGATGAACTCATCATGCAAAGACTGCTGTGATATATCAATCGAAACGATTTTGAGTGAAGAAAGGAAAAACCCCTCTGTGGATTGCAACGGCTTTATCGAGTGCCCGATGTTTACCGGAAATGATGGATGGTCAGCTGCGGCTGGAATGTGTCGTGGCGTCCAGTTCAGCCGCTTCATAAGCTGCAGTGCCGGTTAGAAATTCCCTGGACGTCCAGCTTGAATCTGAAACTTTCTGTTCTTCCAACATCGAGAACTTCGCTTTCGCGGATTAGCACTTGTTTTTCTTCCCCAGTATTGTGTCAACATATCTACCATGAACCAAAGCCTCTCCGATGATACTCTCTGGTCCGACTGGTCCAACTCCCAGGACAGCGGCTTCGAAGGCGGCTGGAAGGAAATCTACGCGGAAGCCGGAGGGAAAGCCGACTCCATGACTCTGTTCGCTGAGTTGCTCAGACTCTACCGCGAAGGCATGGCCCAAGAGCTTGCAGCTGCCATCGAAGCCTTCGTAGATTTCACGGAACATCAACCAGATGCCTACGGGTCCGAGGTTGCAGAGGCTAATGACTTCAGGACAGACAAAATCGCACCGCTCGTTGATCTCTGGAACCCTTTTGGTCCCGAGGAAGCAGCTTACGTTGCAACCGTGGCCCAACATCTCTGGCCTTCTGCATTTGATCCGTCGTTTCTCCAACAGCGCAGGGCTCGGGTGCTTCTACAAGCATTGGGTCTGCTAGATATTGATTTTGTCCGTGAAGCCCGGCGCCCTGTGTTTCGATCCTGGGGTCAGAAGCCTCAGGTAGTACAGATGGTTGATTGTTTGACGGGGAGACAATGCTCAGAGTGCCGCCACCTGATCCGTTCATTCCATTTCTACGAATGTCAAAACGGTTGCAAGGACGAAGATGGCCATATTGATATGTTCAAGGTGTTTCCTAAGGAAAGTGGTCCTAGAGGAACGGCTAGATATATTTCTCCCGAATACCATTGGTATTCTGCGAGGAAAGCATTCGATATGAGGCAATACAGGGTATGCCCGGCGTGCCTGCCCAAATCTTCACATCCCAGAAGCCACTTAAGAGCTCTCAGAGGGTACACGAAGGCGGGCGATCAGGTTGCGTTAGGCTTCGCCCGTGAACTCGACCTCTGGGAAGACGACCTAGACGGAAGATTTATGGAAAGTTTGGGAGTCAATGCACTTGACAAGCTTGCTTCCGTAAACAGGCTATTCGCGAAGACCTCAAGCCGACATTTCTTCCCAGCCGGAAATGCCCATTGTGCTCTTATGTTCGGTCCATTACTAATAGAAAACGGAATGACCAGGTAAGAGTCCTGATTACCTCCGCCAGTATGGTCTGCTCCCTCCTGGCAACGCTGATCCATGCTTAGGCATCCGGGAGGTGCATCGATTTCTCGTCGGCCTCTGGTTAACTTCACAGCCTCCAGCAACGCTGATCTTCAGGAGTTCATGTCAGAACCGACTGATTACCACCCGTATAAGGGTAAATCAGAGGTCTTGCATCAAAGACATCTGTCCTATGCGGCGAATAAACATCTCTATCAAGCAGATTTACCTATTCGTGCGAGGCGCTTTGTAACCTGTCGAAAACAGGTTTCCGGAGGGTTGTTCACCAATTACTGTGATCGTTTCGCCATAGACGAGGCCTTGATAGTCCTGGAGTTCACCAAGATGGCTGAAAGTTGGCAAACCATCAAAATTGACCGCACACAAACACAGAAGGAGTATCGTGCACAGTTACTACAACGTGGACAATATCTTGCAGAGCTAATTTTTGAGACTTTCGGCGAAGAGATCAGGCGCAGCCTCCTGTTCTTTGCATCACGGCTACACAAAGAAGTGAAGTTGCAGTACAACCGGTTGTCCAATAATTGTCAGGACTTTTGCAACGAGCTTCTGATTGGCCATGATAAGTGGGATTCTATGTTCAATAGGATCTACCCGCCAGTTCCTGTCAACCTCGAACAGAATGAGAACACCTATTGCATCCGTTACATGATGAGTTTTGCTTCACGCATGCTTCATCCATTAGACGAAATGCCCTTTGTAGATCCCGTCGCCTCCTCAACTCAGCTCTACGATACGTTCGGCCATAATGATGCTGATATACTTGACCACATTGCCAACATTCGCTATAAAGAGGATCCGGAAGGTTCTGGTCTCACCATGCCCGACTCTTGTCACGATCCGTTTCTGCTGAAAGGAAGGGACACAACTTGTTTCCAGAATTCAAGGTAAGACTTTTTTTTTTCTTTTCTTTTCTTTTTTGTTCCAGTCATTGGATTCTACCACCGCTGAAACTATGTAGCGAAATCTGCTCTCTAGCCGACCATCTTCTCGATGGGCCACATGATAACCTCTCCGTGCTGACAATCCATATTCACCGCGATCGAAGCCTTTACACCGTCCCAACTGAAGCCAATGACGCCTACGAAGAGTTTCTTGTGGAGCGTGGATCAAGAGAATGGGTTCAAAACAGACTTGAAGTTCTTCACCGTCTTTACATGTTGAACACGTTGCTCGCCCTGGTTTCGCGCGGCTTCCAGGAATTCACTCAAGGACTGGTAATAAAGTATATGCATAACACATGGAGCCCACCTCGGACTCTTTTCGGCAGAGCTTGGCCATCCAACAAGCGAATAGGAGATACTCTGGAGAAACCAACATGGCACCAGGATATATATGGCGACGGTCAGGGGAATGGAGGCAGTGAGTCTAGGCGTGCCTATCTGGTCATGATCAGTATTCACACCCATCCGTTTATGCAGTCGGATGCTGTCTGGAAAGTGCAGTTGAAGAGTATAAAGGATCGTATACGTAATATATCCCAGCACAAGGTTGGTCTGTTTCCAAACTTCTGGGTCAGTTGCCAGTGCAAGATATGCACAACACTGGCCGCCGAGACTAATTGCCTTCGCGCGCGATCCTACGCAGCATCTCTGGAACACCTGGAGTTGGACAAGCGGGTGTCCTCAACCTCGCATCCCGACTATGTATCGATGCAGAGACTGCTCCTCTCCATACAATCCCTCGGCATCTGCGAGCCTGTGATAGCCTTACTACGTCAGCTCTGGCGGACGCCCAGCTACTTCCATGGCAATGAGGGTGTTTCGTTCTGGCGAGAACTCGGCATTTCGGAAGAAAGCGTCATTGACGAGCTATCTAGGGATGCAAATGCATCTGCGGATACCGCGACGCTTCTTAACATACGGCTTAACAGAAGCGTGAGTTCGATTGTGGATGACTATTTTGGATGATATTAGGCGGTAGTGATGGAGGCAACTGTGAGGAAGAGTGGTGATCAAATTGTTTCGGAGTCATTACCGTTTCGCTTCGGTTTATCGGCTGTTGTCCATGTTGTACTGGTATTTTCTGAAGTAATAGGCTGTCCGTGTTCATCCGTTTACCTCCACCACATCATAATGAGCCGACCGCAAATTACCCTAGACAGGCATACTCCCAGCTGGGGCACCAGCTTCCCTATATAGCATATCATCATCAAACACGCCCCAGCCATTGTTAGCTAACTGGGCAGCACATCCCATCATGGCTGCAGCTTTCTCAATGCCAATCTCAATGCCAAAATAGTCCCTCAATACCTTGATTCTTTCGGCTTCGCTTGACAGCTCGAAGTGCCTAGCTTTTTTGCCACCTCTCCGCCACTTTATAACACTATGGTCAAGAATAATTGCACCATCGATGTCGCCTTCACACTCGGCGTCCCCTGGGCTGCCAGGCTTTCCCTCGTCTCCTGTATCATTCTCAAGCGTGGTCGTGAAGCGGATAGCCATCACCTTGTGCGCAAAGAACACGTGACGGTCCATTCCGGAACTGCGTTGATCGATTTGATATCTGCGAGTGTGAGCTCCAACTCGGTGAAGCAATACTGCGGGTTCCACGGAGAATCTTCATGGATTCGATGCATCATCAGTTAAATAAATGCACATTCGAGGGAAACGGCACAATCAACGCCCACCATCATGGATCAGACTGTCCCAGGGGCATTAGTTTCCTGTTGAAGTTTGCAAACGCAGGCTGCAGAGCTTAGCAAGCTATTATTGGTCACATCCTATGCCAATTCCAAACTTTTACAAATGCAGCATTTCTGGTTGGGTTCTTGAGGAATATCTAGGTCAGCTGATTACCTGATCTGAGCGCTGGGCGCCTAGAGCTTCGATTATATGCCACCTATTCTTCTCAGCTGCTGACCTAATTGTGCATACAAGATATATTCGATCTTAACTACTTCTAGTCTCGCTGCCCATCCTCTGCCGCCGCACTCTTGAATAGACATATCCTCCGTTAGGAAGTCAAGTAGCGTCAAACTTTCTGAAAGAGTCAATGATATTTGTGATGGCAGTAGTCTGGCGCTGCCTATATCACGTAGCCGTCCCATGATGCTGTCCATTTGACATTGGGTGAGAAGGCGTGCCGACGGACATGGAAATCAGCGTTCAGATCCAGAATGATCAAAGTAATTTGCAAGTCCTACAAGAATCGGCCTTGTGACATAGATACCTCAACGACTATAGTCGATTTCATATGGGTTACAGTCCATCAATCGGACCCTGATCAGGTGCCAATCCATCTTCCGGGCGAAATAACCAGGCCCACGCGCCATATATTGGGTTTGAACCCTCGGGACAACTTTGTGGTCAATGGGATCTTGTGGGGCATGGAATGGCTTCATGGGAAACGAGCGCATGGGACGCTACGTGCTTGGCGTTCATGGACGATACGCGAAGCCGAGAGGAAGTTTCGTAGTGTTCACAAGGGGTCAGTCAGTGCTATGAATTGATAGAGTTTAATGTTGTGTAAATGCCCAGGGACCCTATGGAGCTTCGAACTTGGTGAATGTCTGCTGTAAAGCAACGTTGGTTTGGCTAAGCATGCAAAGGTCTGCTTACAGCTCGTTGAATATGACTATTAACTACCATCTGTGGCGCTCTTGGCTCGTGGCTTGTGGCCGTGGTAGCATAACAAATGGCCATGGGGAAATAACGTTAACTAACCCCTCCATTTGTGGCGAAGCAACTTTTGTCCCACGGCCGTTTGCGCTGACGCTGACGCCGACAAAGGGTCTGTGTTTATGTTGACACAAGGGTCTGACTCTGACTCTGCCGTGCCCTTGACTCACCCCGCCATAATTTTATAGAGGGGCAATCGGGTCTCGAGGCGCTGGGGATTGCCCGACTGTTTCCATTCCACCACATCCTACCAAGACAAATTCGCCCTCTTTGGCCCTTTACTTGGTCTCATTGGAAGTGATTGACTGAAACCACTGTCACCATGTCCATTGACTTCCCCAAGGAGGAGCTCGCTGTCATTGCGAAATGGCGGGAGATCAAGGCCTTCGAGCGCCAGGTAAGTCAAGCCCATTTCGCTTTTCCTTTCCGCTTCCGCTGTCCTTGTCTTGTCTTGTCGTGCCATGCGCATGCGGGCAGTCATACTGACGGCTTTTGCTTCATACAAACAGGTCGAGCTCTCCAAAGATAAGCCTCCATATGTTTTCTACGATGGTCCTCCGTTTGCGACCGGTCTGCCGCACTATGGCCACATGTTGGCTTCCACCATCAAGGATATCATCCCCAGGTACTGGTCCATGAAGGGTTACCATGTTCCCCGGCGCTTTGGTTGGGACACCCATGGTCTTCCCATTGAACATGAGATCGACAAGAAGTTTGGCATCACCGGCAAGGCCGCTGTCATGGAGATGGGCCTCGAGAAGTATAACTCGGAGTGTCGAGGCATTGTTATGAGATATCGGGAAGAGTGGCGCGAAACCATCGAACGACTCGGTCGCTGGATTGACTTTGACAATGACTACAAGGTGAGAAGGAGATATCCCAAATGTTCCCAAGCATATTTCTAAACGTGCACCTGTAGACTATGGATACCAACTTCATGGAATCTGAGTGGTGGGCCTTCAAGCAGCTCTGGGAGAAGAACTCGGTATACCAGGGATACAAGGTCATGCCATACTCATGCGCCCTTACTACAGCATTGTCGAATTTCGAGGCGAACCAGAACTACCAGGATGTCAGTGATCCCGCTGTCGTCGTCTCGTTCCCACTTGAGAGCGATCCCAGCACCCACCTCTTGGCATGGACAACAACCCCATGGACTCTACCATCCCATCTCGGTCTTGCAGTACACCCCAACTTTGAGTACATCAAAGTGCTCGACGAGAAGTCGGGCAACAACTACATCATCCTGGAGAAGCTTCTCACAACGCTCTACAAAGACCCGAAGAAGGCCAAGTACAAGATTGTGGAGAAGGGCATCAAGGGTAAGGACATGTTGGGATGGAAATACACCCCTCTTTTCGACTACCTTGTCCCCGAGTTCGGAGATGTCGCCTTCAAGGTCCTCAATGCAGAATACGTCACAAACGACAGCGGTACAGGTATCGTTCACCAGGCTCCCGCGTTTGGTGAGGATGATTACAATGTCGCTCTGGCCGCCGGCATCATCAACGAGAAGCGCCCGCCCCCGGATCCCCTCGATGATCGTGGAGTCTTCACCGACAAGATCCCCGACTTCGCTGGCATGCACGTCAAGGACGCCGATAAGCACATTATCAAGTATCTCAAAGGTACCGGAAGGCTTGTGGTGGACTCTCAGTTGAAGCACTCGTACCCAATGTGTTACCGCTCAGATACGCCTCTGATCTACCGTGCCGTACCATCTTGGTTCATCCGCGTCCCTGAGATTATCCCGCAGATGTTGAAGAACCTCGAGGGCACGCACTGGGTCCCTACTTTCGTCAAGGAGAACCGATTCGCCAACTGGATTGCTGGTGCGCGCGACTGGAACGTTTCTCGAAAGCGATACTGGGGTACTCCTCTTCCTATCTGGGCGAGTGAGGACTTGGAGGAGAGAGTCTGCATCGGTAGCATTGAGGAGCTCAAGAAGTTGAGCGGATATGAAGGCGAAATCACTGACCTGCACCGAGACAAGATTGACCACATCACCATCCCCAGCAAGCAGGGCAAGGGTGACCTGAAGCGCATTGAGGATGTGTTTGATTGTTGGTTCGAGTCAGGAAGCATGCCTTATGCCAGTGTGCACTATCCTTTTGAGAACAAGGAGATTTTCTCAAAGGGTTTCCCTGGTGACTTCATCGCCGAAGGTCTTGACCAGACCCGTGGCTGGTTCTACACCATGGTCGTTCTGGGCACTCATCTGTTCGACGTTGTGCCGTTCAAGAACTGCGTTGTGAACGGTATGGTCTTGGCCGAAGACGGCAAGAAGATGTCGAAGCGCCTCAAGAACTACCCCGATCCTTCGATCATTTTCGAGAAATACGGTTCCGACGCGCTGCGTTTGTACATGATCAGCTCACCTGCTGTCAGAGCAGAGCCTCTGCGCTTCAAGGAGGCAGGTGTGAAGGAAATTGTCAAGAACGTGCTACTGCCTTTCTGGAACAGCTACAAGTTCTTCGAGGGACAAGTTGCACTACTCAAGAAGGTGGAAAATGTCGATTACGTGTTTGATCCCACGATGGAGAGCAGCAACGAGAACGTCATGGACAAATGGATCCTGGCCAGCTGTCAGAGTCTGCTGCAATATGTCAACCAAGAGATGGCTGGTATGTTAACCCCCAACACACTCTTGGAGATGTTTACAAATTAATCGTCCTTTAGCCTATCGCTTGTATACTGTCGTGCCGCGCCTGCTGCAACTCATTGACGACACCACGAACTGGTACATCAGGTTCAACCGAAAGCGTCTGAAGGGAGAGTACGGTGTTGAGGACACCAAGCATGCCTTGAACAGCTTGTTTGAGGTCCTTTTCACCCTATGCAGAGGACTGGCCCCTTTCACGCCTTTCATTACGGATAACATTTACGCCAAGCTGCTGCCACACATTCCTAAGGAGCTCCAAGCAGAGGACCCACGGAGTGTACACTTCCTGGCTTTCCCCGAAGTCCGCGAGGAGTTGTTCAACCCGGTCATCGAAAGACAAGTCGCCCGTATGCAAAAGGTCATTGAGCTGGCCAGAGTGTCCCGCGAGCGCAAGACCATCGGTCTTAAGACACCGCTTAAGACCCTTATCGTTCTCCATCGTGATCAGCAGTACCTGGATGATGTCAAGTCTCTCGAAACGTACATTACAGAGGAACTCAACGTTCGGGATCTTGTGTTGTCTTCAGACGAGACTAAATACAACGTGCAATACAGCGTCACCGCAGACTGGCCTGTGCTGGGTAAGAAGCTCAAGAAGGATATGGCCAAGGTCAAGAAAGCCTTGCCCAATGTTACAAGTGATGATGTGCGAAAATACACCGAAGACAAGTACATTGTTGTAGACGGCATTCGTCTCGAAGAAGGCGATCTTGTCGTAAGACGCGGGCTGAAGGAGGACTCTTCTTCGAAGAATCTCGAGACCAATACCGATCAAGACGTCTTGACCATCCTCGACGCGGAGTTGTATTCTGAACTTGCGCACGAGGGTATCGCCCGCGAGGTTGTCAACCGCGTGCAGCGTCTCCGCAAAAAGGCTGGTCTTGCACCGACCGACGACATTAAGATGGAGTACAAGGTTATTTCAGACCCGGAGAACATTGGTCTACAGGAGGTATTCACCACCCAAACAGCGGCTTTCGTGAAGGCATTACGGAGGCCACTTGACAAGCACGAGATCACGCAAGTAAACGGGGAGATTCCCGAGGAGAAGCAGGAGGGCATCATTGCAGAGGAGGAACAAGAAGTGCAGAACGCGACGTTTCTGCTGAGACTTCTGAAGTTATAAGTGCAAGTGTCGCTAGAAATAAAGATATTTGATTTGCACCGATAGGGGGAGCTCCCACTCTAGATAGACAAATCGTGTTGTAAGCGAATGAATGCATGACGGTCCGTCCTTTTGCAAGATATTGGAGTGATTACTAGGCCGATGGGATAGTTCTATTTAGTAGGCAAACATGGCTGGGTTCAGCAGTTCCACCCTTACGGAATAAGTTGTTGGAATGGCGCCCGCTCCTGGTACCTCCGAGTCGCGATGCGGAACGCAATGATCTCTAGACCCAGGTACGGCTGAAAGCTCAGAGTTGGCTGGGCTAGCATTGTATATCTTCAGACAATCTTCACCACCCCCGCATGCATGGTCCAGAAATGTCCTTTGAGGGATGACATGGGCTTCAGAATACTTGGGGCATCCGAAGATCTCGTCGGGTAAGCTGACATGTGACGAGTCCAGTGGCCCGTCAGGCCTTCTTCGCGGCTTTCTGTTTGCCACCTCGGTCAGCACACAACATGTCACGGAAGCTATTTAGCAGAATAAGGGATGCAGCACACACCAGATAGCAGTTTTTGAGCTGCATAAATTCTTTGGCGCATTTGTCCTTGTGGACGGAGTTGTAGTCCTCAACGATGCATTTACCATAAACAGAGGCCTGCCATCTTTATCTCAGCATCAAGCACCATCAAGGCCGCAGTGGAAAACGCATGACCAACCTCGGCAGAGCACTGCGATACCGCAGCAGCGAATTTTTGGATCGGCCGTGTGCGCGAAGGCATCTTGACAGAGATTTATCTATTTGTATTTTCCTACTGGGCTGAGAAAAGTGTCGGTGCAAAGGACTGATCGAGGGACAGACTTGCACGTTCTCACAGCCTGGTGGGGGGTTATCAAGAATGCCAATTATTGGTGATGCATTACCATTTCAAAGAAAGGCAAGTACTTACGTCATGTGTATCTAGGAAAGACACTTATGTAAAACACTTTTGGGATATGATAGATACTATGAGTTGGTCGCCAACCCTCGATCTTAGCGCTGGACGCGATCGACGCGTTTCTGTTCAGCCCCCGCCCCACTATGGCCACGGTACGACGGCCACTGTACGGCGTCGCGGGGCTTAGCGCGATCCTGACCGCGTCCAACTTCATAGCTGTCCCTTGCGCATTCAACCACCACGACAGGCTCACATTCCTCTGTCTTGCCTCGCCGTTTTCACCTCATTTTGCTTTGCTCTGGTCTGCTGTGGTTTGCAATTGCCATTCCTTAGTCCTAAGGTTTCTACATCTACCGCGGCTTGTGTCAGATTTTCACAATCATCCGCCCGTTTCTGGACTATACTGTTTCGTCGTTTTCGGCTGTTGAAAACTCAATTCATCCAACGCGATTCCCGTCGGCACCTTAGTGACCAGCTATACCAAGTCCTCGACTATACCCAGTAGCCTTTCCTTCTTCTTCCTCTTCTTCTTGGATATCGAAATTCCTCTCGGCGGCTCATCGATCAAGATGCAGTAGAGGTGCGTTGACGCTCTTCGAGCAGCTCACCGGCACCAACAACATGTCGCCAACTCCGTGCGACAACCACCCACCCAGAGTTCGGCCGACATTTACACCATGTCGACTGACTGTTCACCGTCACCAGTCTCATCATCATCATCACCATCGCCACGCATCGCTGTCCTACCAGCAACCGAAGATGGCGACGAATACTCTAATAGTGAACTTCAGTTCATCCTCGATACTGTCATCCGCGCAGAGGCCGTCCTGCCAACTCTGCCCACCACCTCACGACTACCAACCAATGCCCTCTTTCGCGCCTTCAACCAGATCTGTGATGAGCGAGATGTTGACCCCGTCAACGGGCTCAAGCTCGATAAGCTCCTGTTCAAGATTGGTGGCTCGCGCCATGGCAAGACCATCATCGAAAAGTTCCAGGCCGTCATGGCCAGGATGAACATTACTGTGCGATTAGATGGCGATGAAGATGACGCTTCGGATGACAGCTTCTCCCATCGTTCCCACCCTTCTGAAAACGCGGACGACACATTGGACCTTCTCATCAATCCAGTCTCGCCCGTCTTCTCTCAAAGAGAGCCCTCTCCGCCCGGGTATCCCAGGTCGCCCTCGCCACCGTCTCGTCGTGCCGAGTCGCAACCTCACCACAACCGCCCCGCGCCTTTACCACACCACCACATCGAGTCGCGACCTCCATCATATCACGAAAGTGAGTCGCTACCTTCATCAGATTACGGCCATGGGTCGCAACCTCTCCCCTCTCGCCAGATCGAGCCGCGACCTGCCCCTTTTCACCGCGCCGAGTCGCGACTGTCACAGCCATCATATCCTAGCCAGGATGCTGCGAAAGACGCCGCCCTTCAGAAGGTTGCCGCCGCGTACCAGAAGCATCGTGATAAGATAAGCTCTATGGATGCTCTGCACAAGTGGCAGGAAAAGTCGAGTGCTTTGAAGAACAGGACACAGTTGTTCGAAGATGCGCAAAAACAGGATTTCAAAGATGCAGCTTGTAATGTTATCGTTGCTTGGAACGAGATCGCCAACGAAGTCGATGAGATGCCCTTGGCTGAACTGCCCTCCAATGTCTACTCGAAGCGAATTGAGAAAATTGCCATTCGCACTGACGAAATCAAGACGACCAAGAAGGCGATTGATTCCTGGAATTATCGGGCCATGTCACAGGAAGAGGAGGACGACCTCTTCAAGGAAGATCCAAGGCTCGCACGGGTAGCGCAGTCCACACATGAGATCATTTCCAAGTCGCGAGTTATCACTCATTGGGCCAACCGAGCTGAAGAGGAAAACGAAAAGGCCAGACTCGCTAAAGCTGCGCACGAGATGACGCTCAAGAGGAAGGTGTTTGGTCTTGGTCGCCCAAACTGGGCAAACTTGAAAGCCGCACTTGAAAGACGACAGGATGCCGCCCAGCAACAGCTACCTCCTACTGCGCAACCTCAGTCAATCGGGGAGCAGCAACCTCAAGAAGCCACGGGACAACCAGCGCCTACCATTGAGCAGTCACGGGAACCCGTCGAACGGGCACAGTATACCGCTACGCGACCACTTGAACCCGCTAGATCACCATCGCCGGTCACTAGACAGCCGCAACAATCTCCTGAAAATCGAGGGGTTGTTGCTAAAGAATCTGTCCCTGCCACTGGGCAGCCAGCACCAACCACGCAACGAGCGCAAGCGCCCACTGAACAATCTACTGGTCGCGCGCTGGAGACCAACCAGCGACCACCTGAAGTTAGTGAACAATCACGGAACCCCACCAAGCCATTACAACCAGTCCATAAGACAAGGAAAGAGAAATTGCTGGATGCACTTGACGATGAACCCGATGAACGGACTTTGCTAGCAAGACGCCACCTAATGCGGATGAAGTTCTTTTCTGCGTGGGAAGCGCACACCCAGGAGTACGCGTCAAAAGTCAAGGCTGCTGTGACGTCGAAAGCACTTGACCCCTGGCGGCAGCGTGCGTCAGATATTGACAGGGCACACAAGCATGACGATATCACTACAAAAAATAAGCGACGCCTTTCTCAATGGCAACAATCCGATCGACCCAAAAAGCTGGAGGAGAAGGCGACGCAGTTTCACGCGCAAACGCGTGTTGGCAGTGCGCTGGAAGGCTGGAAGGCTGCTGTACAGGAGGCCAAAGGTCAAGAGCAGCAGCGGCAACACATGGCTGAGCGAGGGGACGAGTATCGCAGGAAGCATGGCACATTACAGACGTGGAAGGCTCGGGCTAGGGAGACCGCTGTTCAGACCTCTATGAAGGTAGAAGCGCTAGAGACATGGCGAGACGAATGCGGAGAAGACCAAGCCCGCAACGAGGAACTCGATCACATGGCCCACCGTGTCAGCCTGTATCGCATCAAGACTAAAACGATGCCATCATGGCGAGAAGCAACCGCGAAGGCTGTTGCGAAGCAGGAGCAACTACAGACCTTCGCCCAACGAGCCGAGTTCTACACATGCACCACCTCGGTCCTCTCTGGCTGGCGGGCAGCAGCTGAAGAGAGGAGGAAGGCCAAATTGAAGCAGGCCTACTTAGAGAATCGCCGCAGGGTGAAGAAAAATATGGGCGCCCGCGCTATCGACCAGTGGCATGCCACTTCAGAGATACGCTACGAGCAGATGGAGATAGCTATAGAGGAGTTTACGGCAGACCGTGACTGGGCTGCCACAGCAAAGGCCTGGGTGGGTTGGCGGCGGCGTGCTAAAGAGCATGCTAATGCAGAGGCCGCGCGGCAAGCTGAAGCAGAACAGAAACGGCTTGACGAGTGGAGGGTACAAGCAGAAGGTCGCCGGCAGTCACAGGCCGAAACGGAGGAGCTATTCGAAGATATAGCGTTGTCGGGAAGAATCAAACAATGGAAGATCGGGTCGTTGCAGCTGGAAACTCGAAGAGACGCTGCTCAGAAACACCTGAATAGGGAGAGGAAGTTGATGAGGCAAGGCCTAGAGACATGGATGGCGAAAGCGCAAAAGAAGCGGGCAGTCGGACCGCCAGAGACCCCAGGAAGACCACGTCTGTTGTTCGGGACGGGGGCATCTACGACGCCACTCGCGCCGCCTCCGTCGCGCGCCTTTGGGCGCTCTAAGCGCAACTTGAGAGTGTCATGGGCGCAATAGCATGGCAGCGGTGTTAAGGGGAGATACCCACGGAATCAAATGTTTATACCTCTCTACTGCGGTGAGACTCACTGGTCAAGTACCTAGTCCTCAACCCTCCACACGTTTCATATGCTTCTGAATGACGATGAAGATGCATAATTCCGCAGTGAATTAAGATGTAAGAGAAATTTCAGTATCTACATGGTCACGGTTGGTTTATACGCAGGAAGAATTGCGTGTCATAGCATTCCAAGATCACCCAAGGGTAGCTGATATGTCCAGAGCGCTGTGTTGATGGTGATGGTGATTGAGACGATCAGATAGTTGCATGGACTTTTCCGGCATTGCTTTTTCGGCAACGCCATCTTCATACGTTGTGCTTCGGCTTTGTTGAGAAATGAGATGGGCTTTCCTAAGCGCCCTGAATATACTAGGCCTTGGTTTTTTGTCTCTTTCTTTTTTCTTTTTCTTTTTCTTTTGCGCACAACCCTGTGTTGTGTTTCGAGTTAATCGTACTGGCATGTTCGAGCCCTCCGAGCATGACGCGAGTGAACACAGATGGTCCACTGGAAGAGAAGACGTGCCAGCCGAGGGGCGGGCTGCCCATGTTGCACCTGAGCGTTGCCAATGGTCGCGGAAGGAATGGGGTTACGCCTGAGCGGGAGACCGCCGGGACCGTTCTGGCGTTAGAGCCACCACTGCTGCCAGCAGGAAGTGCCGGCTCGTGTTCTACATCCCTCTTCCTCCCGGAGTTGTCGGTTGGTTTGGACGTATAACTGACCACGAGTGCAGCTGAGTGGGACTACGCCTGCGAATTGCTCGTCACCCAGTGTGTCAAGAACCGTAGCACTAGTACTGGCGGTCGCCATTGCTGACTTTCGTTGGATTGTTCATCTATTCCCTGCCTCGCTGAGGACCAGACAATGTTCTGGGAATCTCTCGTGCAGATCAAGAAGGGGTGGGAAGACTCAAGACCGGATGAATATCACATAATTAGGAGTCTATTTTATTGTGCATATTATCGAAGGATTATAGGACATCATGGTATATAAGTAGTGGTGTGACTGTGTATCGGAGACGACTAGCAGAGCTGCCACGGGCGAGGGAACAGCAACCATGGATCGTCTGAACTTGATCTGACTTGCCTGGTACCGGGGTTGTGCCAGTGCCGTTATGAAGGCTAGGCATTGGTTGGTATATGGTTGGTGAACCCCCATTGGATAGCAGCACTTCAGGACTCCATTAAGCTCCCAGACCAAACCACGGTGTAGAAACCCTGGTTTGACTGAACTCTGATAAGATATGGATGCCTACATGGATTAGTTCCCCAACGATATCTTCCTCAATAATCCGCACATCATGGCTGACAAGCGCAGCTGTGATCATGTGACGAGAGCCAATTTAGGGTTCACCCCGAGGCAAGATACCATGTGCGGACATGTATTTTGAGGCCACCAAGAAACATCGGAGACAAATTAGCAGAAACGTTGTACGTATGTAGTCAAATGTTGTGGTATTGATGGCGAAAAAGATTGGAGATCGTCCTGTGATGTGTGAAAGCAAGCGGGTACTTATGAGCCAAGAAATGTATCAGATTTCCTGTTTGATTCCGACTACAGATCTTAGTGAGAGTCGTGTCAGTTCTGTGGTAACTACTGTACATTGAAATATTGTGCTGCACCTCTCACGAAGTATGAGTGCATGGCCATGTTGAATGGCGATGGGGTATATACGAAATGAGACCGGGCGATCTTCTCTTTGGTCTGGTTCGAGGAATTGAGGCTCTAACCACGTGTATTTTGAATCACTGACAATGAAACTCAAACAATTGCTCATCAACTTGCGATCATCATTATATGCCTAATTTTGAGGGGGTGTGGTGTCTCATCACAGCAATGCTTTCCGGTACATGGTACAGGAACGCCAGCCGCCAAACGCCGTTGCCATGCTCCAGCCTCGTCATACCCAATGCTAGTAGTTCTGTCAATATCATCATGATTCGCCCCTATCCGCCAACAGCGAGCACCGTATTCCTCCCCAGACTGTTCGGTCTGAACGGTATACTCTCAAGCCCTCAGCCAGCAGCAAACTCCCAACACGAACACGCACACCAATGCATCGCTGCGCACAGTGCTGAAGATCTCACCGTACCGCAAGGCATGTTTGACGCCGGTGCCCAGTTGTCCTGGCAGGAACCCGGAGATCGTCCACAGGATACCGCTTGGCGGTGCCCGTTTCTTGTCCAGGAAGTAGCGCGTCGTCAACAAGACGGCCTCGATTGAGGTGAACAGGTAAAAGAAGTAGGCTCGTGCCTGGTCGATGCTTTTCGCGCTGTTGCCGTCGACTACGAAATCGCCGAAGTCGTCCTTGGTGACGGTGGTAGTGCTGCCGCTGGCGGATAGCGCACCAAAATCCCGCTCTGTCTTGGTGCCCGTGAAAGTCGTGCTGAGAGCGATGTACAGGCCCAGGCCCAGCGCAAACACGGCATGCAGGATTCGCCAAACGTTGGCCGACTTGTCGGTCACGGCAGCGGCCTGCTGGGCTTGTAGGCCCTCAGGTCCGCCGGCAGCAGCAGGACCAAACAGCCCTTCCATTCCGGTGCCGGCAAAGGGGTTACCGCCTCCTGCGCCGCCACCAAAGGGACCACCGGCGCCGCCCATCATCTGCTGCATGATCTTCATCATGGGGTCGTCTGCCAGACCGTCCATGCCTGGGGGGATGCCAGCGCCGCTGGGATCGAAGAAGGGGTTTCCGCGTGGTGGGGTGGCAGGGCCGGAGCCGCCAGGAGCCTCGAAGCCAAGCATCATCTGTCGGAGCTGGGCCTCGGAGAGCGAGGGCTCGGGGACCCTCTGTGTCTGCTGCGGGGCATAGTAGTGTTGTGATATGTCGACCTCGTCAGGATCGTCATGGTTGGTCTGGCTGTTGCTGCTGGGGTTTTGCGATGAGGAAGGTGTAGTTGACTGTGGTGGGGGTGCGGTGCTGGTCCGAGAGGATGGTCGAGGAGGAGATGGAGCCGGAGCTTCTGCTGGCGCGGGATCTGGAGAAAGAGCAAGAGCGCATGTTAGTCGAGGCCTCGCAAAGCGTAGCATAGCCGAGTGCGACACAAGACAGGGGAATGAATGCATGCATGGAAGACGAACCTCGCTGGAAACCGCCTCCAAGACCGGTGATCTTGTTCAGTCTTGCTGCTCCACCGGCCTTGATTTTGGCCTCGCGGCGCTCTTTGCGCAGGCGGACTTGCTCGGCGGCGCGAGCTGCTGCTGCAGCTTCGGGTGTCGGTACCGTCTCCGTCATCCTTGGTGGTGATGCTTATCGCGAGGCAAGATGAGGGTGGCCCTGAAAGATGGGGTCGGGTGGCTGGGCTCTTGTAGAGTCGGTTTGAGCTCGTTGCGACGCTAGCAATGACGTTGCGCTGCGCTGCGTTGCGTTGTGCTTCTGTATGAACAAGTCGATGTATGAATGAATGTAACGGATCGAATTGGGCCTTGGGTTTCCATCGGTTCCTGGCCTTATCGATAGTGTCCAAACCAGAAACGTCGACGTCGACCTCAACCTCATCCGCAACTTGGACCCCGTTTTCCCGGCCACCTCCCCTCCCCTCCCCTCCCCACTAACCTCAATGCTAGGCTGCGAGATGATACTCCCCCTATAATAGCAACAACAATGATATGCAATGCATTAACATTTATCTCGTTTATCGCCCATCGTTCCTGAATACCTGAAGAGGTATGTGGTATCTCGCAATCATACCTCCAGACGTGGTCCCTAAAAATACAGGATACCACCTCGTTTACCGGCCCTTTCTCTGTTCCCAACTTGCCCCGGCATCAATGTGACCCCGATAGCCGCCGGACTTGTCGCTTTTTAGGGACCCTGAGTACGACGCCGCAGCCCTCCTTGTCTGGCATGTTCAGACCCTCATGCACCGGATACAACTATGAAAGTGACTGAATGCAACGCTGACATTGAAGGCACCAAGTTGCGTGCACTGTAATCTGCACCCCCACCGCCGGCTCCGAGATGGTTTGGTCCGACGTCAGAATACCAGCATGGTAGAGTCCACGGCCCAAGTCCGATAGATCATGCTTTCCAGTTTCCTCGGCGCCGACACGAGCGACCCAACCACTGTATGTCGCTGATGGTAGTTGGCAGCTCAAGCTTGAAAATCTACTTTGCATTGCTCGTCGTGATTGTACATTATCTAACACCGCTCCGCTCATGTATTCTAGGGTATCAAAACCTTTGCTAAAATCTTCCCAAACACGCCTCGTACTCGCTTCTGGTTCTCTAATACACACGTAAACACGACAGCAGTGCTAAAAGCAAAAACCGTCGTCTCCTGCCACTGTTTGTCCATGGCATACCGCCTAGGGAACAGCGTAGCTATAGCCCGCGGCGCTACGAACAAGGCCATATCCTTTCTCCTACCTGACGCCTCCAGCAGAATGCTCCACCCGCAAAGGAACGAGCCAGTACCCACGCATATTCCAGCGTCGATCTTGGTGCGGGACACTGCGTCTTTGCCAAACAGATGTGGCCCGATTCTACTTCGTGCCAGACACACCCCATAGAAGTAGAGCGTAATGAATGCTGCCAGGAATGCCGAAGATCTACTGGCAGATATCAGAGCCGCCTTGACAGCCTTGAGCTTGGGGTTGCGCGCCACAAGCAGGAGATTGAGTGGCAGATATGTTGTCATCGACCACTTGAACGAGCGAACGAATCGAGATAGGAAGTGGTATTCACAAGACGGTCCGCAGCCCATATGCACCATTTCACATGGGTAAGGAATCGTCTTCGCCGGGTCGCCCCATTCCATTGGCCAACCATAGTCTCTCGCCATGGCTTCGAGAAGCGGCGCCTGGCCTGTGTCTTCACCATAACGGAGCTCTCCTTTCCGGCAACGACGCAGTGCCTCTATCAGACGATCGTCTACTGCGGCCGCCGTGGAAATCCATTGCGAGTACGCTCTAGGTAATCTTGACGGGTAGTAAAACCACGACCACATGATAAAGCCGCAGGAAATGGCAAACATGGACGGATCGGCAAGCTTCGAGATTCCGGCATCAACCTGTCGCAGATTTAGTACTTGCCACGCCTCTGACATGCTCTGGTAACCTACCTGAGCCCATGGCCGGCTCCCCGTCCGATGTCTTCTGGCCCATAGTTCGCCAACAATCACGTCAAAGGCTCGCGTAAAGGCGAACAAAGTCAGATCTAGAGTGCGGCCAGCATACTCGGTGGTCCGATACTGCACTCGGCGTGGCTGTGCATCGTCGGATTCGACAGGTGTCTTGTCCGTAAATGCATCACTTTGTTTCGACTGAAGTAACTTGAGACCACACCAGGCTGCGAATAATGATGACAAAAATCTCGAGAGTCTGGGAAATGTCAGAAAATTGTGGTTGACATGTTTATTTGAAATGATGAAACCGGCCAAGGCGTCATTGGACCTGTCAACTCACCTTTGTCGGTCCAGGGGCTTTAGACGAGATGCAAGTCTAGAGATGACAACAAAGAGAGGGGTCTTGGTTTCAGTTTCAGTCAGTGTTTAGGCGACATCAGAGGAAAGCCGCAAACGATAACATAGCAGTACATACTTCTAGAAATGTCGTGCCTCCTACCAAAAGCGCACAAAAGGTCGGAAAGCGTTGCAGCTCCAGGCCCCCGCGAAGGATGTGGAGCAGGGATGTCGAGATAGTGGGTTGTGTAAGACCGTCAGCACCCCTGTTCTTTCTGGAGGCAGCGTACTGCCGTAGCACTAATGTGAGGATTCGTGGTGTGATAGACGTTGCATATCCGAGTATGTAAGCTCGAATAAGAGGTCTCAGGAAGGCTGGTATATCCTTGTCCAGCCTTTGCCGAACGCTGGTAGGCCGATGTTGCAATGAAGATGTCATTATTGCAACCTCGAGGACTGAACTACTCGATATTTCCAGCCCTTGCTATAGCCGAACAGTGTTATGCCGGCCCAGTGTGACAAGTCTCCTCGACCATAAAATGTGACTACTGTATGTTCGCTAACCTGGCGAGTTATTTGCCACTAGTCTAGCAAGGGAATCGCGGAATTGTCAAAAATGTTTGACTCCTAGCTTACACTCCGGAAAAGTTGTCTTTGAGATGTAGTAACTTTTCTGGTGACCATGTACTGCGACTCCGGTAGGCAAACCTGTCATGAGACCCACGCAGATAAATTAGTGACCGTGTTGGGGGTTTGAAGTCTCCAATTGGCAACGTTTCGCGCAGATTGAAGCCACGAGCAACGTGTCCAATTTCCGTGGCCTACAATTGCCTGCTGTGCGAGCCCGGCCGAGTGGGTTCCTCTGTGACAGAAAAAGGCAGGCGCCGAAGATGATGCTCCGTTTGATGTGCCGGAGGTGCAGTAAATCCAGGTACGCGAGTACGGCAGACTCCGAGACCGAGTGAAGCAAAGAGGGTGGTGTGTAGAAATATGGACATGAAGCCGAGAGGCTGAGTTTGTAGAGTGCAGTGAATTGCTTCCAAAATCGTTCCAGAAAATCCAGGGGAGTGAAGAGATCCGAAAGTCAGTAAACAAGCCGTGGGGAAACACGGTGCACGCAACGAAACAGCCCCTTGGAGAGCAAGCGTTGCGGTGGTGGTGTTGTTGGTGATGTGATGTGATGTTTGTTGGATAGGTACAAAAGCGACACAGGGACTACTAGCCTCAACGTTCAAGCGCGCGTAGCGTGGCTAGAGACGGACCCAAACATTGAAATTTGAGATGTCGAACGGCGCGTTGTACGTACGTCAGCAAATGTTGGATGACTACCTGATGAACCTTATCTGATGCTACTAATAGAGTCTCGATTTATTTGAACTGGGCAAGAAACGGTCTGACGGGCAAGTTGTATGTAGCAAAAGAGTTCGCTTGGAAAACGTGGTATTTTGGCGGCCTTCCGTTCTGGTCAAAGAACAATGCAACGCGAACGCGCATTAATCATGCTGCGGCACCCCTTTAAGCTCCGACAAACCCAGAAGCAAGAAATTGGAATAAGGGGATTTGCGCCCTTATCGTGTAGGTGTGGGTGACTACAGCTTAATGCATCGGACTTATTGGGGCAGTTAGGTTAGAGAAAGGGGAAGTTGGCATGCTCGAAACATGGTCTTTACACAGCAGGCAGACGGTGGACTTTTTCAATTGACGTTGATGGTTTTGGACTCACTCTCTCGAGCGGATGATCCGTGCTACCGTCTAGCGTTTATTCGCCTAGGCTCACGTGGGGATTTACAGTAGAAAGGAAGAGCAACTCCACGCGGAGAACGGTAGAGGTGGAAATTGATTTGGTTTTGACATGTGAAATTCGGATTGATCCCGCTGTAGGTGAAGTGAAGAGACAAGCTTGACAAGCTTGACAAGCCAGCAAGTGAGGAGACAGACCCCCGAGAACCTAACGTTAGTGACGGGGAGAAGCCGACTAAAGCAAAGCTAACGAGTTAGAGAGAAAGTATCTGCCTTGCGATGATATGCAACTAAACCTTTGATCGGCCGGGCACACTTAGGGTCGGACCTTGGATGGTTTTTCTGGCTTAGCGAGATCAAACGATCAAATCATGGTCAATCGCTTGTCCAAATCCCTGTGGAATTGCAGGGGTTTACTCCGTAATACTTCCTATGGAACAGATCTTCAGAAACGTGTTTGTTTATACATACAATAGAGCAATAACAATAAGATCTCCGATGTCGTGGGTGTCGTTCCGAGGGATAGATGGCGGGAGTTGAAGACGTCTTGTTGGGCACTTCTCTCGCAGACTTCCTACTGTAGTTATGGATTTGAATTCTCTACCTGCTAGCTCGCCCCCATGCTGGCTCTCGGTGTTATGTACATTGGATTGACTTTGGAAGAGAGAGAAAGAAGGAGAAAATGATCGCGACTGCAGAGAAGTACTTGGTCTGGATGGCCGTTCCTGACAACAACTTCAGTAAATCGATATCATGCTGTTTAACCACACACAAAAAAAAAAAAAAACAGGGAAAAGATAGTTGGCCTAGTCCACCGTCCTGCAGCTGCAAGACAACTTCCACTTTGTTGAGCGCTCTGCAGCTCCTCTGCAGCGTGACCACCGTCTACCCTACCAGACTTGGCACCCGCGGAGCGACAGGGATCTTCGGTCGTTTCCTCCAGCGAATGGCCTCGAGCTCATTCTCTCTGTCACTTTCACCACTCTCCACACACCCTTTTGCGGCCCTGGGTGTAGTCTCGGGAGTCTTCACGCAGCTCCCAACTTCCACTTGAGGAGCCGCACCTTGGGATGGGTCATATTCATGCCTATCCGTCCTATGTTTCTACCCTGTCCGACGACTTGCTATCCTGCTCGCCTACAGAATCGCTCTGCCTCCTACTTCGGCTCTCTATAACACAGCCGACTATAATGCTGGATCCTAAGAGGTGCAGTAGTTTGTAACCCGCAGCTCCGTTCCCTTCCTAAACAGGCAAACTCCCGTGATGCGGCTTCAACACAACCCGACTAGGAGTTGAGCGACTCGACTCGTCCCGGCGCTTTGATATAATCTCGAGCTGTTCGCCTGTCGGTCCGTGAAAGCCATATCCAGCTCAAACCAAAATTTCATCACCCATATCGACCGCGCGCGCCGCAACATACTCGCAGCGGAAACACACACCATACGACTATCCTCTCACAAGTTCTTCTTTAGCACCGAACACCAAAACCTACACCCACCCCGTCCGACCACTACACAGCGAAAGCCCTCACGCGACTACAGTATCATAATCTCGTGTCAGGTCTCACTCAAGCGCTAGACTTCACACGCCCACCTTCCGGCAATCTCACACCAACTCTCACCCGAAAAGCATCCATGCTCGCGGTACAGCGTCCCAGAATGGGGTCGTCAAAGCCATCCCAGGGCGCTGGGATGCCGTTTGGATGTACGTCATGGACCTTTTAGATTTGCGCCTGCGGGTTTACCAGTTGCTGACCACGGTGTAGATGTCAATAGAGGAGATGATCTCTTCTTCGAGCCACCGGAGCCAGCGCCAGGACCAGCACTTCTTTCCTTTGAAGAATCACAAAGCCTCAACCACCTTCTAGAGCAACTCAAATCGGGCACTCCTATGATTGATATGCAATTCGGGGAAGGCCTCAACTTCAGTGATGCGTGGCAGCAACTACCGCCTCAATTCATGGGTTCTGCGACATCCTTTGGACATCAAACCACCAACTTCTCTCCGTCCATGTTCGACTTCACCTCGAATATCTCTTCCGATCCACTCTTCGATTCGATACAATATCCGACCATGGCTGCTCCTCAAATCATGCAACCTCCACGGCAGCACATGAGAACCTCTCACCACCCCCAACACGTTTCGCACTCTCCCGCAGATGCAGCTGCAGTATTAGCAGGACTTCAAAATGGTCCGACCGCACGAGTAAATAGTGTCGGTCGTGGAGGCATGCTGCCTTCCCAGGCGGCTGGCCGTCCGACAGCACACCCCTTACTGCATACTCAGAGCCAACTCACGAGCCAGACGAGTCCCGTTCGCGCGGCATCCATCCACTCCCCAGTCACGCCACTGACGGAGCATCGCGACGAAAACCTTTTCGCAGACATGGTTTATGGCCACCCCCATGGACCTAGCAGTCACAGGGTGGTACAACAAATACCCGAGGATGTGCGGTGGGGCTCAGATAGAAGCTTTGCTGGTAATCAATCCTTTGTCCCCTCTTCTGAAAGGGATACTGCACAAAGTCAGGAAAACGAACGGATGAAGTATCTCGATATTTTCCAGCCAATTACAAGTGCCGCTACAACTCAGCCACCTAGTCCTTTGGGAAGTGGTAGTAGCTCACCTGCAGGCGGACGTTGCGGCAAGGTGAATGGTCAGCCTCTCCTCGATGGCTTTTCGAAGAAGCGAAGGAAGAATGACGAGGCCGGTGAGGATGATGAGGCTGGGATGTCTTCAAGCAAACTGGCCGCCAGGAAGCGCAAGTCGAAAGACAACTTGAACGAAACTTGTGAAGCTTCATCCTCAAGTGTTGCCCCAGGCAAAAAGCGCCGCAAGTCTAATGTCAATGGTTCGAAACCACCTAGAGAAAATCTCAGCGAGGAAGCCAAGGTATGTCACAATTATCATGATCACATGACCGCAAACTAATCGTGTCTGTAGAGAAAAAATCATATCAAATCCGAACAAAGAAGAAGGACTATCATCAAGGATGGTTTCGACAACCTCCAAGAAATTGTGCCAAACCTCAGGAACGGTGGTTACAGCAAGAGCACCGTGCTGCAAATGGCTGCTGACTGGCTAGAAGAGCTCACGAAGGGCAATGAGCTTTTGAAGTAACGACGTATCCCAGACCGGTAGCTGCCATGACGTTTCTATATTTCTATGTCTGTATCTGCATCTTAAGGATTGGACGGACTGTCCACAAAAAACGGGTTCAGCATGATCGGTTATTACAAATAGGAGTTTATGAGGGGGGCCTTGACGACTGGCTGAAACGAAATTTTACTTTTATACATCGGTGGCCAGTTTCATCGGACCGAGGGAGCGTTCCTCACAAGATACCTTGGGAGTTTATTGTTTATTTTGGGATATAACTAGCAACGAGGAATATTGTGCTAGACACTTTCCTCTGCGCTCATGCCTTTACCGTCGATAGTACGCAGTTTGATCACTGCCTCACAGATTATTCGCTAATACATAAAATGTATTGAGTACCTTTTTTGGTTTTGTTTTTGTTTTTTTGGCTTGCTACTCTAACAAGTAGAAGTACAGCTTGTAAGCTCTCATAGGCTTGTTTCTTATTCTGGCTCGTCCCGTAATGTGTATTTATTTGGGGCAAGATTGTCCCAGCCCTTGTGACACGAAGCCGTGATTTTGATACTCAACAGACCTTACTGTGGTAGCTAAGCGAAGGTAGCTCGAGGACTGCAATGCGTGATATTCAATCTCGATCCACCAGATCTGAGTCTCGTCCTTAATTATTTGATGATTCATTCCTCAAGATCGGCTTGTTCAAAGATGCGGCACCCGAGCGCTTTGTAGAATGAGATTGACAATACTTAGAAAGCCCTCGCCAAGGACAAAGCCCTAAGTTTTTTTTTTCGTGTTAGCCACATTCTAGCCGAGCCAAGATTGGAGAAGGGTTACTCACAGAGGCCAAGACGATGAGCGGCGTGTCCTCACGCTTCAGGTGCTGTCTCCAATACCAGCTGACCAGGCCCCCGATGGTTCTGGCCAAAGTGAACGAGGGGACGTTGTACATTCCTAGGAAAGCGTCAGCGGAACCGTTGCAGATCAGATTGGATTACTGCAGGGAGCGAGCGGGCATACCGATAGCCACGGCGATGCCGCCAGGGATGTAGGCCTGCCATGATTTGTCCATGGTTTTGGTGCGCAGAGCTGTGATGAAAGCGAAGAGGATAGCAGCCCCAAAAGCCCACTCTCTCGCCAGCGGGGGCAAGCCCTGTCCGGTAACAAGCCTTGCTGTAAATATCCACACGTAGGCTGTCGGCACCTGGAACAGGTCACCAGGGACCGTGTATACTGCGGTATATAGACGGTAGATCAATGCACTGACGACGGCGCCGACAGTGGCGCCGATCACTTGGCCCCAGAACTGCGCATTAGGCGCCGCTCCAAGCAGATGGCCTGTCTTCAGGTCCTGCATCAGGTCGCCGGCTTGGAGAGCGCCGGCTTCGGATACAGCGCCGGCGACCAGGTTGATGAGAACACTGGCCTTGTTTGTCTGAGGGATGATCAGGGCGAAGAAAAGCTGCGCCAATTTGCTGATCCCGGATACGGGGTTCAGGTCGGTCTCACCAAGAGCTCTCACGCCCATAATGCTCAAGACTAGTGCCATCAAAATTGCAATGATGTTGGCGTAAAGCGGCACTAGGTCACCAAACGTGATATGAATGCTCGCGATGCACACAACTATGGACAGCACAAGTCCAATGCCGACAGTTTTGTCTCCGACCTGCTGCTCTGCTGGAGCATCATCGTGGTCCCATACTCTGAGCTCGTGGCTGTCTTGCTGTTCAAAGGCCGGGCTTTGCAGGAGTTCTGATGTTGAGCTCCGCGCGCCTGTTGAACTTCGAGGATCGTTCTCGTCGCCACCAACAGCTGAGTAGCCAGCTGTCGAAGGCCGGAAGGGTTCTTTCACGGTTCCACTACGAAGTCGTTGACTGATGGATGCTAAATACGATGGAGCATTTTGAACGAGTGGCCGGAAGGCGATGTAGCTCAAGCTGACAACAGAATCTGCAAGCATGATAGCCAGTGAGACCCAGACGATCCAGCCTTTGCTTCCGGTTTCCCAATCGCTGACATCTCCTGGAGCCCACCCTTTGTGTTTGGCCAGAGGTGAAAGTATGCCCCACCCCACAATTGCGCCCAAAAGCATATGTAGAGTAGTGGTTGGTCCCATGATGATACCCTGGCCGACGTAGGCAAGACTCGGGTTTAAATCCCAAAGCCAAGTCGTCGCAGCATACGTGCCGAAGATAGGCAAGCTGCGCAGCACAGGAAAGAAAAAGGTACACAACGTGTAGAAGCCCGAGATTCCAAACGTAATCAGCAGCAGCTTGATGTTCGATCCCCAGCTGTATGGCTGACTCAGTGACTCCTCATCAACAAGAGTGCTGTTATCGTCGTCGTTGGCGTTTACAGGCTCCAGGAGAGGCCGATTCTCCAGGGCAAGACTTCCAAATGTTGCTGCTTTTGAAGAGTCCAGGACCATACCGCTCGCGGGTTGATTCTTTCCATGCAGAACGCCGATGAGCACCGCAGTACTGAAGCCACTAGGAAACTTCAGCTGTTCTCTGATGATCACTTGTCGCCGTCTTTGAATGTCAGTTGAGCACAAATGATGTCGGGTAGTTCAACTCACAATGGAACTGCAAACACAACCCCAAAATAGCAGAGCCCTAAAGACCATACAATCATCTTCCACAAGCTTAAGAATATAGGTCCTTGCTCTTCAGAGTACATGAGATAGTTCATGGCCGGCATCTTTCGTCCGTTAACATCGTGATTGACCAATATCGTGGTTTCCATAAATAAGCACTTACCACACCGACGAAACCACATCCCAGAGGCATAATAGCCATGCCACCGGCAACTGACTGCACCAAGACGTTCTCGACTGGAGTAAACGGGAATTTGAGGTGCGGCGCCAGCGCTCGGAAGATGCCGAATCCTAGCAGACTCGCCGGCATCGTCATCGTGGATACCCAACCAGTCTGCAGCCCAAAATACATGTTCGAGAAACATATGACGAGACCAACCAGCAGGCCGACAGCGACACCGCGAAACGTGAAGTGGCGGCCCTCTGGCAGCAGCCTAGCAGCGTGCGAGCCTTCTGCCAAGCTCGGAGGCGCGTCGGCGTCACTGCCTCTGTCGGGAGACATTTTGTGCCGAAGTCTCAGGATGCTTCGGGGAGACGTCAAACAACTTCCGGCGTCCGGTATTAACAGTTCGAATCCCGTCACGGAGTTCCAGAAAGAGAGAGAGAAAACCGCAATTGCTCGGCTATCAGCGCATGGTGAGAGATGCGGAGCGTTCTGCCACTGGATTGGAGATGGCTTTCGATTGCGTTATGGCGTTAGTGATGACAGCGGATGCCGGCCCGAAGAAAATGGCGGAGATATCGCGATTATCCATTAGCTCCACTTTTCGACATCAACCTTCCGGAACTGGAAATGACTGATCTGTTTTCCATCTTGTCCATGAGGTTTATCGATATTGGCCATCAGTATTTGAGATATGGACGTGTATGAATTACCGTCCTTTCATGGAGGCTCTGCGTGAGACTTGGGGTGAGACACAGCAAGCAATACGAACTTTTGTGACGCTGATGTGAGACGCGAAACCTGCCTAGCAAAGGTCACATTCGAAGATCTCATCACGCGCACTGCAATGTTGGCAAAACGTGTTTGATCTGGACTTTCGGCGCACCAGGACGGAACTCCGTCCAGAGTGATTCGTGGTAAACCATAAATACACATTGCCCAAAACGCGAAATGTGCGTTGTGATCAAATCAGATGTGGTCATAGCAAGGAGGACCAGATCATCTTGTTCTCTGTATTCATTGTAAGCTCCTCCTCCAGACACGGTCAACATCGTGGAGGTGTTGGTCCTTCCAAAGTAGATGAAGGCTAACATCATGCTACTCGTGTCATTACGAATAAGCACTAGCTTCATAAAATTGAATAGAGGTACCTGCGAAAACTGGCGGTGTAGTCGTGGGAGTTGGAAGCGGATTGGTTATCCGCCTTATTCATTATAAATGCATTTACTCTTGGCTATCTGGTCACTAGATATTCTTTCAAGCAAGCTGCTAAAATAAGAGGCGATACGACGGTAACATTGACGACGCAGTTTCTCAAAAGGACCACACTCAATCGGAAACGATTTCATTTCTTACATAAATGATTTAAAGTCGGAATGGATCAAATTATCACATAACAAGCCTATCTTAACGACGAAGCGTTGTACATGCCGACAAACGAGTGTTACTTGTTTTCTGGATGCCTGTCTACCAGTGTTGCAGTCTTCTATTGTGCTTCCTTACCTTGGAGTGTGAGCCAGGGCTTGAACACTGACCAACAATCTAACTTATGATTCGGCAACCGAGGTTGTTGCGTTCCGTAACGTCGCCGGACGCACTGGATTTGGGGTCGCTACTTCTAAAGAAATTCCCGGCGATCAAAGATTTCAACGATCCTAGAGCGTAATCCTTTTATTAGTTACTTAGTGACCGGAGCACGCGGCTTATTCTCTAAAGTTCTTCGCCGATGAGCTATGCGAAGACAAGAAGAGTTGTACCGTGTCCGACCAGAAGACTCAAGTGTGAAGACAAGAAGGCTAAGTGTAGCGTCCCCATCCTGAGCGCTATCACATCCAGGCGGATCGACGCTCAGTGCGGCAACTCAAACTGGCTCCAGGTCTACCAGCGCTCCCGCTACTATCCTGCCCCCACCAAGTGTCCATGGGTGAGCTATATACCTGGGTGTTAGAAGCATGAAGCGCTGTGCGAAAGGTCGCTGAGTCCGCTACACGACGAAAGCGGCGGCACACAGGGATGGGACGATATATATCTACATATGTGTATGGTCTTCAACAAACCTCAAGGACTGGACAATGCACGGTCTCCGAATCCATTCTGGACGAAAGATAAGTCAACTAGATGAATTGGGCTGTCTATTAGTAGTATGTAAAGTTCTGACCAGCGAACTAAATTTGGTATGTACAACTTTCTCCAACTCCTCGCTTGAATATATTCGAATATTTACAGGTGCCATCCCCGTGCTCTAACGAAAGAAGGCACTATATGCAAGGAGGTCCGACATTTGTAACATGTCGTACACATCTCTCTTATTAGAAGAGAGCTCGAGCATGTGATTGTCATGACCTCCCCCAAGAGCCATCAAGCATGCAACTAGACTAGCTTATACCCGTTGCGCATGATTTGTACCTGCGTTGTGCAACTCGTTTCCCATATAGCCAGCATCAAGCTCTCTGGCTTGCGGGTGGGTACCCTGCGGGCTCTCCATCTCATATGTATGATTGGTCGGAAGCTCGTAACTCTGATACGGAGGCACTGCTCCATCATGGTAAGACGTTGGGCTGACAATATCCGCACCCTCTGGTGGGATTAACGGGAGCGCCTTGTCAGCGGTGTGATATGCGTTGTTGTCCGGGTAAGCGCTGTGCCCCTGATGCCCATTGACGGATTGGTACCCGTCCCCCATTTCCGGGTTGCTGTGGCCGGTCTGAGCGGCAGATCCTGTCTGCTGAGTACGTCGGCGCCGGAAGAGAAAGAATGCCGCAAGAGCAATAAGGGCCACACCCGCTATCGAGCCAACAACGGCACCGGCAATGGCACCTCCACTGACTCCGCTTGACGAAGTTGATGAGTCCGATGATGTTAAACTTCCGGTTGACGCAGCATCAGAACTCGGCGCTGCTGTGCTCGTTCCGGCGGTCTGGTAGATTGCGTCAGAGTCATGTCCGAGCATCTCAAGATAGGGAAAAGGATGACATTGGTAGCTGGAGTACTCACACCCGCTCCTGTGCTTGAAGCCGTCGAGGATGCCTTCTTTCCTTCAATCACATGTGCATAAGCCTGATCCGTTGACTTTGCCACAAACGTTACAGTACCTGTATATTTGCTACTGTCGTATCCACTCATTACAAGAGTTGCGTCGTCGTCGAATGTGCTATAGCATGTGGCGCCGTACGCGGGCCGATTTGTGTCGATTGGGGAATCAGGTAAATGAATTTGGAACCCACTAATAGACAGGACTACAAGTTAGTTTTGTGCTTCAATCTTCAACTACTGGGCATTCCCGCGCAGTACGCGGTAATACCCTCCCAGCTTGCAAGCCGCTGTCGGGATATCAAACAAGACCGCAGATAGACTGAAAGAATGCACGTACGAAGGACATAACGCAATATAACCATTGTCCATTTCCTGCGCCGTTACCCAGTTCTCGGGTGCCACCAGCGGGCTCATCATCGGCACGATTGACGAGGTGCTGTTGAAGATGCTGGTATATCCACTGGCCCACTCCGTGGGATAGCAGCTTAAAACCTTTGTCCCAGGCACTGGCTGTGGCTCATTTAGCCATATTTCGTATTTCGGCGATGAGAGCATTGTCAATTGCATCGAATAACATGGCGCAGGTGCCACAAACTCTGTCGTCAACGCTTCCACTGTCGCGATGACCGCTGTTGCTGTCGTCGAGGGTGCTATTGTGGTGGACATCTTGCCTCTTTGTTCGGCCACTATGATATATAGGCGGCGCCACGTGTAGCGAGTCCGGGTGATAAATAAATATATATATATATTTTTTTACCGCTCCCGACTTAAAGGATAATTCAGGACAGGAATGTTAAAAGCTCAAGAAAGGCAGTTGCGACAGATGAGCCCTGAGGCAGCTCGCAGTGTAGTTATATGGGGATTCCATTGTGTGCAAGTCGCGATCCCTGCTAAATATATGCAGTCGTCTGGCACAGCACGAGAAGTATCCACTATACGTACCAGGACCCAACAGTACAGCAAAGCAGCTTTCCTACGACCAGGAATAGCACAGGATATGTCGAAACTAAATGTCTTACAACAGATAGCTAAACTTTTGGCAAGGTCATCACTACGTATTATCGTCTACCTTACCGCCCAGTCGGTGTCTTAGCTATTATGATCGATTGCTGTCAGACTGTGGTACGCCGTGTCCACAGCTTTTGGTTAGCCAAAACGGAATAAATAGCACATATTGCGGTATGGCAGGGACTTTTCTTCTCAACAACTGATATGTGGTGCCGATCATGACCATTAACCCATCCCATCCTGTTACGATCAATTACCGCTTGCATCTCGATGCTGGCGCTATGCTTAGAGTTTTGCATTTCTTACTACAGAAAAAGACTGCACTGTACGATGGTACAATGACACACGGGCCGGACTATCTGCAGTTTTCAAATCATGAGTCAACTTACTTTTCCTCACTCAGTAGCCTCGTCGGCTGAGGTGACTGACTGCCTTATCGGCGTGCTCTAGCCTCATGTGGCAACTCACAGCTGACTATATGCGCTGTGTAAGAGGTGATACATACCGTGTTCCCGCGCGGCCACTGTGTCTTTTTGGAATTGCATGGGCTTTACAGTAGAACAGACTGCTGAAGAATTGTTCAACAAGATCTGCATGCCTTTCCTCTCAGGGAGCAATAAAAATGGGACGGGAGACAGGCATTATGCAGGGGTCTTAAGGGATTGAACAAGGGTATCGGGATTAGTGGCTGCTGGAATAAGTCAACACTCCTTCTATTCGACGAGCTCTCAGGGTTTGCTCTTGTCATGTCACGGGTGCTCCGACTGTCTGGAATGAATACGCTGAAGACTGCTAGAACTGAGGTATTCGTTTGTCTAGACTAGTCCCTTTAAGACGACGATGCTGAAGTTATACAAACCTCGGATCTCTCCGCGCTCCCTCGTATCCACTTTGTATTCACAAATACTGCTAGACAAGTGAGCGCTATAAAGTTCATTTTCTGAACTATTCCACCCGCTGGATGACTGGATGACCAACGAAAACACCCTAACTATTTTGAACCCAGACCAAGGGGTTTTGACAAGCAAGTTGAACCTGATATTCATCGTCCCCCAAGTATGGAGTTTTTGTTTTTATTATGCAGCACAGGGCTGGAGAGGGGATGAGTGGAATGTACTAATAAGAACCGCCCCGTCGGTTTGCACGTTTGCCCAGGACACTTTACTATTTAAGGTATAGACTGCTGGGATTTTCTAGGGATAGATATTTCCAGGGCAGCGGCCCGCTCGTACGACATTGCGTGCGAGTACTTATGTAACTCGACAGGATCGTGTGGACTGTATAGTTAAGTCCAACGCGTCTCCAACTAGTCGGGGTTTAAGACGCCTCGGAACCGACAAGTGTGAAGGTTACGAGTTGCATATGGAAGGATTCATGGCAGAGGGCAGGCTGTGGACGAAGCAAGGTTAGGAACGGCCGCCGCATTGGACAAACTATTTGCGCACCCCGGGAAGCATTTTTTGCTTTGCGGCCGCTCACTCACTCACTCATGCCCCGGTAGGATTCACGAAGTACGTCGCCGGACTTTGCAATTTCCGAATTATGGGTATTTGTCTGGTATATGTTGTACGTCTCAAGCAGCAGTACCAACGCGGAATCACGGATCACGAAGCTAAGGCTACCAACCAATCTGCTGCAAACCACTCACAATGTTGGCCTCCCAGGCCACCACCGCCTTCCAGGCTGGAATAGGGGCCTATTTAGCAAGTCTTCGCCCGCTTGACTTTATATGGCCAGCCTGCCAACGATGCGATAATCAGCTGAGTTAGGGCTGCCTCAGGTCAGTCCGCCCTACAGCCCAGGTACTACTTCACAGCCTGACGTCTTAGCGGCATGCAAAGACTATCCTGGTAGTTAGCGACATCCGCAGAGGAACTTGGTAAGCCGCGGCAATGCAAACGGACCCCAACCAAACTATATGGGTTGACGACGTCCAATCGCATTTTCCGCCCAATCGGAGCCACTGGCACCTCGACGCATGTCAGACAGCCATTGCACCTTGTTACCACTAATTGCTCAATGCAGAGGCGGGTAACGACCCGACGCTGAATAAGTGAAGAAAAACATCGACTGAGAAGCGAATGCAACACCCAGCATTTATTTCCACCAAGGCGTTTGCACAGATGGTTGCTTTGAGCCCTTGTTCAACATTCATGCGCTCGCGAGCAGCCCGCGTGCTGCGTGTGCCCCCCTTGTCATTCTCGCTTAAGTATGCTGCAGCGATTTGGGCATAAGGGGGGCCAATGGCATAAACCATGAGGTTTGTACAGAGGTAGCCGCTCAAAACCCATTTCCTTGTGGGCAAGCTATCATTACAAAGCAAACACGACCACTATATGTCCTACTCACCTTGACCCAGCTGGCCCAAAGTACCATCGGGTTCCCGTAAGGATGTCAGCCCTCTCAAACTTGCAAAGCGGCACAATGACATTGTTCTCGGGCCCTGCTAGGCCGGTCGACCCCCATCAATCCTTCGAGGAGTGCATAGTATGAGGACCACCTTTTCTTTTTTTAATGGTGGCTGTACATACTATGTATGGCACGACTCCATCGCAAATTCTAGCGCAATTGGGGGCCGCCAGCGCTGGCGCCTCGGCCCCAACCGCAAGCCAGAAGCTAGACGCTCCACTGCAGCGAGCGACCGTTTGCGCCAAGATGGGGAGAAGATGGACTAACAAGGACTTGAAGTACCCAGCGATAACACGATGCCTCTTAGCTAAACCTTTTTTTTTTTCTCATCAGAACCGCCAAAGACTTTTGCAGTTTCGTTGCTACTCTTGTGCGCCTGGCTAATTTCATATACTACTCCTACACGACGTTGACCATCCGCAACCAAAGTCTTTGGACTTGAAGCACCTAGAAGCCAAAACTATCCAACAAGCTGCCGGCGTCGGGTTCCTCGAACACGGTAGGCTGCTGTTTCTTCACGCTCTTTGCTTCCCCTCCCAATGGATTCATGGGCAGATCTGCAACCACCAGACTTGATCTTCTGCGCAGCAACATCCTAGGATCCACTATATCACCGCCGAGCCCCGTCTGCATCGTGCTCGGCGAGCGCAGGTATTCCCAGTTCCTCACTAAATCTAAGCCTAGTAGATCGCAGCCCATTCGATCGTATAGCTTTGCATTGTGCAGCACGAACTCCGTCTCTGTGCGTGGTGAGATCTTGGTGGCCCCACGCAGGGTTTGCAAAGTCTTTTGCCGGAGTTGTGCATATAGAACCACAAGTGCTGGATCATCCGTGAGGAAGAGCTTGGCTTTGAGATCTGGGCTGACTGGAGTCTCCAGAAGCGTGTAGACCGGTGTGATGAGAGAACGTACAGCCATGTCGCGACGCTTGAGCATCCAGAACGCCCAAGACGCAAGCCACCTGTTACCCTCTTGCGCTGCTATGGCGAGTACTTCGTTTTCGAGCAGTTTCCTTAGTACTGGGCCTGAATCTCCTTCATAGACACGGGCAATGGCTATTGCTAGTTGTAAATCCTTGATTTGATTTAGGCACACGTTCACTGCATCTTGAAGGTGGTCGGCTAATAGGAAGAAAGCAGCGGCGTAATCTGGCATGAGTCAGCGGTGTAACAGCAATATGGCACGAGTCTGAACTTACTAAAACGCCGCTTGCTTAGCAGTGCATACGCGTTTTTGAGCGCCGTGGTCTTCCATTTAGGGTCTTCGAAATTATTGGCCAACAACTTCTGCGTGGCACGCTGCTCCTTGTTCCAACTAGCCATTCGCCATAAACCTTGAAGTACAGCCTTCTTCTTAAGGGCAAGGTAAAACAAAGTGCAGTCGACCGGGTTCTTTATCTCGCTTTTCGTGTACTCGTTTCTAGCAATCACCTCGAATTGTGCTCTCTGTAACCTGGTAAGCTTTTGACTACGTTGTGCACCTGACAGTACAACTTACCACAGCGGCAGCGTCTGTGAGCCACATAAATAAGCCGCTCTCCCGGGCATTCTCCCAGAGCAAAGTACCATGATACTGTCGAGTGACAAAATCTGTCAATATGTCCTGACTCGTTGAGTGATACGCCCAGTTGGTCTCACGCCACGACATATGGATCTCGTTTGTCCGGCCTTTGCGCAATGCATGTTGTCGGAAGAAAAGCATAAAGCGGGCGCCATTCTCGTCCATTGAGCGGCGTTGCTTCTCCACCATGCCCATGCATTCTACGATGTCAATCAATTGAATCTGTTCATGGCCTGAGAGCTGCGGGAGCGCGATCTTTTGCAATCTTTCACATATTGCTACCGCTGTTTCTTCGGAGAAAGTTTCTTCGCTATCATCAATCGACATGCGCCTCATCAAATGAGATGGACCACCGCGGTTGGTTCTAGAGGAAGCCTATCGCAAAGTCAGTACCGCATATTGAAGAGATTGGTGGGCACTTACATCGTCGCCAAGGTAGAAATCAGCCAAATCCATGCCCAGGTAGTCATCAATAACATCGCCTTCCACATGATATTTCAAGGCGTGATTTAAAGTTAAAAGTATCCGCTTGACCTGATAATTCTTCCCGGAAAGCATGCTTTGGCTTATGAATTGTGGATGGAACAAAGGTAGGGGACCGTTGAGCCTCTGCACTACCTCAAACAGGTCTCTCATTCCATCTTTACGAGGTGGAAGGCGACCAGTTGTGGTCAAGGAGCTGGATGTCTCAAACATACGATCGTACATGAACAACTGATTACCAGCCCCTACCACAAGATTACCACCACTGAGCCATGTCGAGTCGCCGATAGGATGCGGTGTGTACTCTCGGATGCTAATCTCTCTGATCTGTGCCCAAGCAGGTCCCTTGTTCAGGTAATCGAACCGCATTTGCGATAGAAGAACCACTCGATAAGGGAAGCCGACCGCAAGAATCGATTGTGAGTCAGGTGTAGAGGTCCAGTCGAGATCTTGCACTGTATTGTGGCTTTCGAAATTCTGAGCATATTCTAGCTTGGCACCTTTAATATCCCATATCGTAACCTCAGATCGGTCGGTGTTGACTAAAGCAGCCTTTTTCATAGTACTACCGCTCACCAGTGCGGGCTTAGAAACGCCTGTCTCCATAGATGAGGTCGAGAGCCATTCAACTTTGTCGTGAGAGCTGTCCACTCTCGCGGTCCAGAACTCCACTCGGCCCTCATGCGTGTAAGACACGGCAACGTCCCGCGCAAACACATCGAGAAATCCGGCTATTGCAGCAGAAGAACCTGCTGGGTCAACGGGCAGAACGTAAGCCAAGTTACCTGTCCCGTCCAGCTCAAAGGTGCAATATTCACGAATTGTCAGTTTGTCGGTGTTATGCCCATTGGTTTGCAGCTCGTTAGCATTTCGGGCGGTCTTGATCGGCAGATTCAACTCCCACACCACACCACGATGTTCTGATGTGATGGTTGCAATGTGCGCCACTTCGACGTCCTTGACACTGTGACGAGGTAGAACAACAATGCAAAGAGGCTTGCCGGGCGCGTTGTAGGTGGTCTCCCCAAGCAATTGGGGCTCCGGATGCCGGCAGTCCCACAAAGAAATGACATCATGATGCAAGAATACAACAAAACTGCCTCCCCTGAGAAGACATATTCTGTGGATGTGCCTTTTCTCGGGGATGACATTGTGGCGAAGCAATTTTGCCTCTTTGGGATTTGCAGAGTGTTTCCAGACTATGCTCTCACCCTCTTCTGTTCTTGACACGATCGCACGTCCACTGAAGTTACGTACGATCTTCTTGATGGGAGCAGAATGACCCGACCATGTCGCGCGGTGATTCAATCTGCCCGGCTTGGACGTAGGGTCGAGCAGATCTGCAATGTTGCTTTCGAACACCTCCACTGTGCCATCGAAATAATGGAAAAGGATATTCAAGTGGCCAGCAGATTTGTTGCAATAACTCAAAATTTCCACATGAGGGAAGGTGCCGGCGTGAGCCTTAGTAAAGTCAAAGTCTCGAGATTTTGCTAGAGCCACATTATCAATATTGTTTGCGCTTTGAGACTTGCTGCTGATATTCTCCAAGGCATAAGCTGCCATGTTCCCGTGGCCATCCAGAACCATGCAGATTTCGGTATCCCTATTTGCGATGGATATTAGATATTGTAGTGCCACGTCCTTCTCTTGGCCGTCTACTTTTTCTTGTACGGCCTTTTCTGTGGCGGTGGCTAGGTCACGTTGACTGATGATGAAAGCCCACCGCGTGTCCGCTCCAGACTTCCGATGAAGTGCCTCATCTTGTATGGCGGTTGCCAGGTTGACTTTTCCCCATAACCTGAGTGATTCACAGCCGTGCCCGTCAGCGCCGGTCCATACCCGCAGGTGGTTGTCCGCACAGAACGTGTACAGCACGTTCTCGATCGTTTGGTCGACATAGAATGGTTTGCGCCACTGTATGTTCGTCACAGCTTGGGTATGTGGTAGGTAGCCGAAGTCGAAGTGCACTTCGTCTGAACTAAAATTGAGTCTGCGCCAAATCTTGACGAGCCGGTCGTGGTGCCCTATCGAGGCTATATAGGCCGAGTCATATGACAAGCTCGCTTCTTTTACAGGTGTAGCCAAATCTTTCTTCCAATGGCATGAAGGGGGTGTCGAAGTCGTGTTGTACAACCATAAAGAGCCCCGGCCGACCAAAAGTTCTTCTGAGCTTCCCCAGGACAAGGTTGCAGGAGTCGGCGCATCGTCGATTTCGAATGTCGCTTGTAGTGCCCACTATATAGCCAAAGTGAGCTGAAAGTCTGTCAAGGCGCAGAGAAAGAAACCCTACTCTTTGCTCACCATCGAACGGCCTATATATCCTAATTGTTGAGTCTGTAGATGCAGCTATCTTTCCTGAGAATTCGTCAAAAGCCACCGCCTGCAGCTTCCGTTCGTCGTCATCGTAGATTGTCTGCAAGATGGTCTCGGGATCTGAGAGAATTGCGAGCGCGTTGCCGCTGAGGTACACGATGATGCGCTGGCCATCCCAGTACCCAGTTGACACGCCCTGAAGCCTTGCTTCAGGCTTCCCAGGCAGGATGCCTTTCATGTCAGGTTACCGAGAGAGCTCCTGCAAGTCGGTCATTGCCGTTTGCGAAGATGGAAAAGGCTCTAGCGCGATGTACCGGCCAATTCCAAGGCACAGAAGCAATGTGAAGGGGTATCTAAGCGCGAATTGAAGTGTAGATGCTGTGCAAAGCTCCGGCGGTAAGGCAATCGTTATAAGGACGGGCTCGCTTGTGAGAGTGCGCTTCGTTGCAGCTTCCTGGAGCTAATTCGGAATCCGACGTGGCTGCACGGGTGCAGCAGGTCCAAACTGATCTTTGGGTCGTCACCAAATTGTCCAATCAGTAATAATAGGGAGACTATGCTGAGAAAATGTCACACCGAGTTCCTTGCTCGATCGGACCTCGCCTTGAAATTAAATGGAGGAGTCATAGAATCAGGCGGCCTCTACCTCGCGCTTGATGTCCCTGTCAGCTTGCACAACTGCGCGACATGGGGAGCTCCTGTGATGACGTGGGGTCATTGGAAAGCGCTATATATGAGAGGAGCTACTGACCCGGCGCCGCTACCGCCGCCACCGAACGAGCTCCCTAACGTTGCATGGTATACCCGTCAATCTATTCCGTACATATAAGAGAAGAGCCGGCGCAGGCAAGTGCTGTCTAGCTTTGCTTGATCGGCCAGAACACATGTTCTCGACCCCTCGTGACTTTCCACCTGTCTTGAGACAAGTCTTTATGCGTTGTGCCTGCCCGAAACATTCATCTTATGGATCCGCGCACAAACCTGCCGCTGTAGTACACACTTGAGCCCCATCAATTGCAGGTTCATTGAGCCGTCACATGCATATCTGAAATCGAAATCGCTCCCAAATCAGCATACCCCCTTTCTCAATATCTATACACACACACATATATATATATATATGTCGTCGCTTAGTTTTGTTCCTTTCTTGGTTCGTATCTTCAACCTTGGCTTTCTGCAACCCTGACAGCTATTAGGTCAGAGGGCATCAAGATGTGGGACCCAAGAAGACATTTCTCAATTACTATAAGGTTGGTCTGACGTTATGCCTGAGATGAAATTTTATGCTGCCTCAGGTACCTGCGGGCAAGAGCACGACGGCTAAAGAACACCACTGATCGTTACGGTCAGTGGGCTCGCCACCTGTGCTGCAGGCTGCCCGGGCTACGCTCGCATACTGTAGGCCTTTCTTCCGTGGACAGTGTAACTACCGTTCATTGAAATCCACGTATCCCTTACCATCCACAAAAGTATACTGCCAAGCTCTCTGCTTGTCATCCCTTGCCAACTCTAAGAAGGTGTTTGCATGCGCTTCAGCACCGGTAGGATAGACATTAGCTCCATCACTCTTGCGCTCATCCACATAGTAGAACCTGCGGCACACCCGACGTCAGCAAAAATTGTCCTGTTGACACGATTTCCATCTGCCCCAGAGGTAAGGGGTAAGTCAGCTGGGAGAACTCACTTGTAACCTTTTCCGTCGAAGCTGGTGCTTGCGGCCTTGATCAAGTTTGCGGATCCCGCCTTGCCTATGCCGAAGGCTACTGACCTCGGCCCGGGCCTGACGTTCAGCAGGTTACCCGTAAAGATGAAGGTGCTCCCAGGCCCCGTGCGAGCGAAGCCGTCGACCGCCTCCTTGGCCGCCACAAACACCGATGTCGTATTGACGTCCGAACTTTTGCGGTACTCATCGAGACTCAACGCGAACGGTGTCTCGGGCGGGGTTTGTGTCCAAGCCGCAGCTGAAGACCAGTATCAGACGAGGTTCTGGCCACGAAAACACCCCCTTTTGTAGGTCTGTCTCGGTGTCAAGGTGTGGGTACTTACCGTTGTAAATCACAACTTTGGGGTCGCCAACCTCTTTGCGGACGCCCTCGAAGAGCTGGTGGACTGTGTCGGGCTTGGCGGCATCGAATGGAAAGTGCTTATAGGCGTCCGTGATCTTGCTTCGAGAGGCTAAGGCGACCTTGTAACCAGCACTTGCAAATGCCTTTGCGGTTGCCAGGCCAATGTTGGGGCCAGCGCCGATGATCAGGACCGTCGACATGATTAGGTCTTGTAGGATTCAGCGTGTTCAAAGATTGTCCAGATGCGTGGCTCAAAGGCGACTGTTCGTGTTTGATAATGAATATGCTTCTGAGCTACAAGACTGAGATACATATAAACGCCGCGGCGGCTCAGAGCTGTCTTTATACCCGATCTTGGCGAATGCGTTATAGCTACGGGAGCTTATAGCCTCCGTAGCCTCGTGCGTGTATTCGTCATAAAGTTTGATTTGTAGCCTTGCAAATGAGCCCATCCTTCGACTATGCATGTTGCGTTTCACACGGATGCCTGTCAGACGTCAATAACCAATGAGCGACGGTCCTGGTGGTGTAGTTTTAGTATTCTATGGTGAGAGCCCAACCCATAGTGACGCTAAACAACAAATGCTTATAAATCACGGTCATATCACATCAATGCCATCGCGTTTACAATATGCAACGAAATCCGCTGCCAGTCAGTGCGCCTCTTGCCAAGTCCTATTTTCGACATGGCACTAACTAGTTCATGCTTTGACATACACCCCCGCAACACAACAACTCGGATTGCTGACCGTCTTTGCTGACCTGATGACATGTGCTGATAAATTACGCAGCCTCGTGACTATAGCATTCCATCTACGGGGTAGCAATCATGCGGGGCTGCAGGGCTGACAAACGCAACGCTCGTTACCTTGAACAGTCAATCGCTCCGATCCACCCGGAGCAGTAAGCCTGAACGTTTTTCTGAACATGGTCGATGTGGATTCACCTACAACGGCTCTTGCTGTTGCAATTACCGGACGCATCAATCGCACGTAGGCACACACTGGCAACATGCTGTTTAACTGAGAGCAAACTTTGAAGTATCGTTGTCATGATTTGTGCAGTCCTCGTATGTCCCTCGAATCAGTGGCCAACGTGTGCCGCGCATTGACGATTGTTGTAGTTGTAATCATATGCGGTAAGCACTCCAACCAGATGGACGATTGTAGCAAAGACGACTATGATGTGGAAGATCTGATGAGATGACCCCCAAATATCGAATGTTCCTGGCTTGATGCACTCGGGAAACCTCGTCTGCAGGTTGACCGCGTTAATGGCTAGAACTCGAAAATTCGTGTCCTGGGAACTACTAACCGCATATATCACAGCTGCGACCAAGAACAGGCCGCCTTCCGCTAAATAGTATGGCAAGCCGGACTGCAGGGCCATTTGCGGAAACCCGAACTTATAAATGCCATGGGCAATAGGGGCAATACCGGACAAGCCGGTGCTCACAAGAGTAAGGAGACGGAATGTTCTCCATTTTAACCCTTGAAATCTCGGGTGCACCATCACGAAGATAGAAATCGCACCAAGACCACCTGTCTGAATGAAGCTTGAGTTTTCATGTAAATGTACTAACTTGACAAGGATACTTACCATTCCCCAATATATAGTCTTTTCGAGTTGCTCGCACCAGAAGCCTACGTAAATACCAGATATGAAAGATCCCACAATCAAGAGAATGATGCCGACGAAATCCAAGCGTAGCCATATCGCCTCTACTTTCTGAGAATGGTTGATCAAGGTATGGTAGGCAGCAGAGAAGCCAAAACAGGTGGTTGCGGTCAAGAGAAAGATGGCCAGGACAGCGTAATCCCCAGCAGATACCCCCGAGTATCTTCGATGGAGAGGCTCCAGTATGTAGGCTTCGGCCAAAAGAAACGCTATGGCTGCGAACAAATGGGAGTGGATATTGACCAGCTCATTGTGTAAGCCAGCCCAGCTCCGAATGCATGTCTTGGCAGAGTTGGATACAGGACGATATCCCCTTCGAATCCATGGGTTGTCTTGATACCAGTCCGGAATGTCTTCAAATGGCAAAAGGCAAATTCCATCGTTCCTGCGATCCTGGATCGACAGCGGCAGAGCGCGCGGCTCGGAGCGGCTTTTTTCGCACTCCTCGCTTCCAGAGCGCGATTTCTCCGAAGACATCTTGGTCGAATAGAATCGTTTTGCGGGACCTAAAAAAAAAAATAGAAACCCAGAAACTGAAAGACAGGCTAACCTTGGTGGAAGAGCAGACGTTTCTCACATTGCAAAACTACGAAAGAATAATTGAGGGGAGTAACGAGAGAGAAAAAAAAATCCAAATGCTCTGATGGCCTAATTCTGAAGTATCCGTTGGCGACCGAATCGGTGTTGGACTTGCATATCGACCCACCATATGACGGTATGGGAGGGGATTCCCAAATCGTGGGACCCATCCCCCCGGATCGAGATGCCCCGGAATGGGGTTTAGAGCGCGATGGAATTTCAGAACATTGTGGTAAAGTTGCCGACAACGATCTGAGAAGTGAAGCACTCAACCTGAGTAAATACCACCCCGAAATCGTGATACTTTGAGATGTCTAGCACGGATTGTTGGACGAACAAAGCGTTGCAACTAACGTTAGAGACTCAAAGCGAGCCGTTACCAGGGAATAATAAGTTAGTCTCGAATTGACGAGCTCCCGTCTGTTGCCATCGCGACACGGAAAGGTTGGCCAATTTGCACCACTAGTGCTGTCAGTGACGTTAGCCGACGGAAATCCATGACAGCTCGCTTGCTCACAAGTTTGACTGAGAAATTCGAGCTTTCAGCAGGGAAATTGATTTCAATGCCATCCGATCTCAGGTGGCCAGTGCGCATGTGACAGTGGGGCTAGATTCCACCCGTGGCCATGTACTGTAAGCACCTCCCAGCTCCAAGCACCCCGACGGGGGGAGGCGCTAGGAGGCACTGGGCCTTTGCTGGCTGGCTGGGTGCAAAAAGTCACACAAAAAGGAGTGCAGAGAGACTCAGAGCCGCCTCTTGAGTTGGTGGGCTAAGCTCATTTGAGAGCGACAAGGGTGTCCATGCCATCGTCATCTGTACACAGGTTTGGAGGGTCATTCATTAATCTGGGCCATGTCGAGCGAGTGATCTGGTCTCCATCCGCCAGTCTCCTGGCGTCCATTGTCACTCCTGAGTCCTGACTCCCAAGCAGCTGTGAGTCGCAACAAGCTTTCTGGAAACCACATAGAAATGACAGTCTCCCTCCACATGATTTCATGACCGACACGATCCTCTCCTCTTTGGTTTTGTTACACAAACTGCAATCATGAACGGCCATTTCGCCACGGCCGGCGACGAGCTGTCCAAGACTCAATACGAGCATGGCGTGCAGGTTATCGACGAGGATAAGCTGTTCAAGTAGGTCATTTCCCTGTCACATGAGCGCAGTCGCTCCAACACGGAAGACCACCCGACTGTGCGATGCTAACTCAAAGCTTGATCGCAGCCCTAAAATCAACACCTATCTGCAAGTCACCGATGTTGCAGATGCTGGCTTCAACTACCACCTCATATCTGTCTTCGGCTCGCAGTCGACAGGCAAGTCCACGCTTCTGAACCATCTGTTTGGTACCGAGTTCAATGTCATGTCCGAGTCCGAGCGCCGACAGACGACCAAAGGAATATGGATGTCCAAGAACAAAAAGGGGTCCATGGCCGACAACATCCTGGTCATGGATGTCGAAGGCACCGATGGTCGCGAACGTGGCGAAGACCAAGACTTTGAAAGAAAGAGCGCCCTCTTCGCCTTGGCCACCAGCGAGGTCCTAATTGTCAACATTTGGGAGCACCAGGTTGGTCTGTATCAGGGAGCCAACATGGGACTTCTCAAGACTGTATTCGAGGTCAACCTGCAGCTCTTCCTCAAGGACAAACAGTATGTCTCCTATACACGCGAATGAATCAGGACAGTTGGAAGAAACTTGCTCACAGTAACCTACACCAGGTCTACTCCACGATCGCTGCTGTTTTTCGTTATTCGAGACCACATTGGCAACACCCCCTTGTCGAACCTCCAGAACACTCTTATACAAGACCTGGGAAAGCTCTGGGCTGGCATTTCAAAGCCCCAGGGGCTGGAAAACTCGCGCATCGAGGACTACTTCGATTTCGCCTTCTCAGCTTTGCCTCATAAGATTCTCCAACCCGACAAGTTCGTAACGGAGACCGAGAAACTAGGGCAAAGGTTTGTTACTGCCAGTCGAGGCACCAAGGTCATTGGCCAGCACGGGCAGCAGGAGCTCGATGGAGGTGTACTCCTGCCAGAGTATCATCGAAGAATCCCTGCCGATGGCTTTTCTGTCTACGCCGAGGGAATATGGGATCAGATTGTCAACAACAAGGATCTCGACCTTCCAACACAACAAGAACTGCTAGCACAGTTCCGATGCGACGAAATTGCGAGGGAGGCTCTCGTTGCCTTCGATGAAGCCATTACTCCACTCGAAGAGAAGCAAGCCGAAGCCGCACGCGTAGGAAAGCCCTCCGTACTACCGGACCTTGGTCAGACTGGAACCACAGCTAGGGAGAAGTGCCTGAAGAGCTTTGAAAGCTCTGCTAGTAGATATCACAAGGGTGTATACAAGCGGAAGCATCAAGAACTCGAGACCAAGATCGACCAGCGTTTGAAAGCTCTATACCACGGCCAGGTCTCCGCAATCCACAAATCGGGTGTCGCCTCATTCAGCGATGCTGTCTCTGGCGCCGTCAAGGCTGGACAGAAGTCCGGAGGCGCATACGAGTTTGCTGACATTGTTGACTCCGAAAAGACCAAAACGTTGGAGTTCTTCAAAAAGGAGGCTCAGAGCCTGGCTATCCAAGGTGTACCATGGACCAACTTCAAGTCGCAATACTTGCTTTTCGAGCAGGAACTCGACCAGGTCAGCGCCAAGCTTAGAAAGGAAGAAATGCGCAGGCTGGCCACAAGGGTTGAGCGCTGGGTCAAGTCTCGCCTGGGAGATGCAGTTGGACTCGAGTTCAACAAGCTAGGGTCTGGTAGAGCGGGATCTGGCGCGCCCGAGACAGGCGACAAGCCAGCTACCGAAAAGGATCTTTGGGACCGAATCTGGAACGTCTTCATCTCTGTCGTCAAAGAAGCAGAGGGCCGTTTCACCGACAGAGCCAAGAGCTTTGAGGCGAGCCAGGGTGAGGTGGAGGTTGGATTATGGCGCCTTCGACGCAAGAGCTGGGTTGCGTTGAGAGAGAAGATTGAGGAGGAGGTTATGGAAGGCAACATTTTGCTGAAGCTCCGGGAGAACTTCGAGGACAAATTCCGCTACGACGAGGCTGGTGTTCCCCGGATCTGGCGGCCAACTGACGATATTGAGGGCATCTATACCAAGGCTCGAGAGTCTACTCTGACGCTCATTCCTCTGCTTTCGAGGTTCAGACTTTCCGAAACTTACGGCCCACCCGACCTACCCGATTTCATTGGCAACCAACCCGCAGGGGTAGAAGCTGAGGACGAAGATGACCTCACGCCCATCGGCGGCGTAGACGAGGAAGACGGTAAAAGCCTCGAGGAGGAGACGACAATCTTGAGCGAAAGCAAGCGCCAGGACCTTGTGGTCAGGTTCAAGAAGACAGCCGATGGCGTTTATGTCGAAGCTAAGCGCAGCGCGATTGGCGGCGTTTCACAAGTGCCATTATACTTCTACGCAATACTCTTGGCACTTGGGTGGAATGAACTTGTCACAGGTAAGCGCTCGCCCCCTTTGTTCTCCACTGCCAACAGCAATGTCACTAACATGATCTCAGTTCTCCGTAACCCGGTGCTCTTCCTGCTCCTCATTCTGTTTGCAGGTGGCGCGTATGTGGCTTACACTCTCAACCTCCTTGGGCCCATGATGCAAATGAGCGGCGCGGCCTGGGGCCAGGGTGTCGAGATCGGCAAGCAGAAGTTGCGTGACTTCCTCGAGAACAACGAGACAGCACGGGCAGCCATCTCCATGCCCGCACGCCGCGATACCGACTCTATCAGCATGGACACGCTGGACAGCCGTGGCAAGAAGGCCGAGCGAAGGGCCAACGGCGGCAGTGCCGTGGATGATGATGACGAGATCTGATGTAAAACATAGTGATTGATGAATGGTGGGGCGCATATAGGGTATTTGCATGATGGAGCAATTATCATAAGTCACACTCGTGTGATGGCTTGACATGCATTTCTGTCAAGTGAAGCTAAATCTCAACCGTTACTCCTTAACGCCTCTCTCCCATGCAGGTCCAACTTATACATACACATATATCTAGAAGCGCCCCCCCCCCCCTCCCCCCTTGTTTTCATAATGTGGCGAAACCATGCTTTCGTTTAGAAGGCTTCCAGGCCAGCAGGCGTCCCAAACCACGTCCCAAGCTCGTCTGCGTCCTTCTCTTTCGCACCGCTATCCAAAAAGAAATCCGTCACTCGGCTCGTGCCCTCTTCCTCATCCAGCGGCCAATCGATCTTTACTCCGCCCTTGGCATCCAGCATGTCCTTTGCCGTGCCCCAGCTAAACCTGCACTCGGGACCCCAGCCAAAGACGGGATGCATGTTTGACCGCATCCAACCGACGCAGCGGCCATCTGAAGGATACCCAGAGCCCCAAGCCATGCCCCCGTCCTGGGGCTTCTGCGTCGCCTCGCTGTCGGCATCGGCATCGCCACCAGCATCAGCAGCGGCGCGCGCCTCGTAGAGGACCTCGAGGGCCGCGTCCCTCGTGACCTTGGCGCAGACGGACGCGGCCGACACGCACGGGTACAGGCTGTCGGCCTTCTTGGCGACGGTGATCTTGGTCGTGGGGAACACGCGCTCCAGCCTCTTCTGGTACGCCGCCGGCTGGCCGATGGTGTCCACGTAGATCTCCCGGACGTTGACCCCGCGCGCCAGGACCCCCTTGATCAGGGACACGGTCGCGTCCATCGCCTGGGCGTTCAGGTTGTACGCCGCCGCCGGCCGCATCATGTTGGCCCCGATGTCCCGCGCCGACAGGCTGTGCGTCGCCCAGCCGCACGACGCGTGCAGGTCCGACCCGGCGGTGCAGAGCGCCTGCATCAGGTCCGACCGCACCGCCGGCGTGAGCACCTTGGAGTCGTCGAAGTGGTGGGCGGCCTTGAGCAGGGGGTCCGAGAGCGGCAGGGGCAGGTAGAAGACGCCGTAGACCATGGGGCCCAGGACGGGGCCGCGGCCGGCTTCGTCGACGCCGAGGCAGCATTCGGGTCCGAGGGTTTGTGGCGATGAGGGTGACGTTGAAGAAGAGTCGGGGGAAGATGGCGGGAGAAGGGCGGCGGGCACCGGTGAGTAGTGCTCGTAAGACTCCCCGCCCAGCAGAGCGTCGCGGTGGATGGAGGGCGGGACGAAGACGTCGGAGATGGGGGTCTCGAGGTCGAGGTTGGGTGTGTCGTCGGTCATTTGCGTGTCTTCCCTGGTGAGGTGTGCCATTGTGGCCTTCGGATAAGGACGAGAGATTATGTGTGAAGTTCAATCTCAGATGGCAGAACAGAAACAGCAAATACTGCGCTCGCACTCCTGCTTATACTCAATGGGCTGTATGTAGCATATGTATGTAGCATGGGCCAGGTGACGTGTAAGTGGTTAGTGGGGTGTATACAAGATTATATAATGCAACGAGGCTTGCTTGTTCTACACCAGGAATTTGCAAATGACTTGGTTGACAATATGAGAACTCTGGGAGTATTTACTCTGTCTTTCCAGGCTCGATTTCGTATAATGTTTTACTGCAGGTCTCACCAAGGCCCATGTAAAGAAAGTGCCATGCGAAGCTACTGTAAGTGGGACGCGACTTGGTGCTGCTTCTTTCTTCAACTTTCACGCGTCTGTCTTGTCTTAGCCCCCCCGAGTTGAGCTCTTTAGTGGGGGGTGACAGCTCCGATAGCCAATCAAGTCGACTTTACATATACTCGAGCTTCTGGCCCGTCAACCGTCTCGCTAAAATAAACATCCAGGGCACATCCCCACCTGGTCTTAGACGATACAATACAATACAATACAATACAATACAGTAACGCGTCGTGACGTGACGCTATCGTGAACCCTCCGTGTTCGTGTCAGAACAACTGAGCCGTTAGCCTTCACGCTCACGAACCCAATCAACTCCGACGCCAAGGTCTGGATGCCACTTCGAAACAAAAACATACACAGCCGTAATTCAACCCCAGTTCAGACATGGCGCCCCGGCCTCAGGCGCAACGGCGCAATCCTCAGTCGTCGCAAAACGAGCATGTCTATGACCTGGGCGTTAGGGGAAGGTGGGAGCTCCGATCCGTTCAACTTGTACAGCAAGCCATTCTAATACCACCGTCAGGAAAACGGGCATAATGGTCCAAGACACGGGAGAGCGCGATGAATTTGGAATGGAACCCGATGACGATTTATTCTCTTCGCCCGAGAAAGGCACATATGGCAACGCAAATGCGCCCCACTCATCCGAGTCCGACGACGAACAAGATATGGAGATCGATGAAGGTATGCGCCCATCATCGTCGCCACCCTTGGCTTGCCGTACAGCACGGCACAGCAATACACTGCACTGCACTGCACAGAAGAGATGAAGCTATGCTAATCTGCTCGCCTTGCAGCCTCCACCCTCGGACCCGCGACAGTGGCCCGCATGAGGAAAGATAGAATCTCCCTCCCCAAGTCCCGATCGCCAGGCAAGACCTTTCTCAATTCGCCAGCTCGTCACAATCCCCACATCGGGCGCACCTCTTCGCCCATGCGCGGAAGTGTCGTTGGAGACGAAGAACAGGAACAGGAGCGGGAGCACCCCAGTCCAACCAAGTCCGCGAAGCGTCGCCTCGACTTTTCCAAGGACCCCAGAATAAAACCTGTCGCAACACAGTCGCAACCAAATGGATCGACCCACAAGACATCCAGTCAAGCATTGAGGGCACAGAGTCAGGGCTCGAAACCCACAAGGGTCAATGGCTTTGCGCAGAGCGACTCGGACGATGCACAACCCGTCAGGCGAAGGCCCAACGCGGCGTCGCCTGTGCTAGAGGATGACGATGACGATGACGATGACGAGGAAGAGGAAGAGGAAGAGGAGCCTATGGACTTCCTAGACGCCGGAGACGACGATGTAGAGCTTCCGGATGGAGACGAAGACCCATCAGTGGAAGAGGAGGAACCAGAAGAAGAACCCGTCCCGGTAGCAAAGCCGCAGCCTAAGAAGCGCGGCCGCAAACCGAAAATCCCATCTCCAGCCATTGAGGAGTCGTCCGAACCGGAGCCCGAACCTGAATCAGAGCCAGAGCCAGAGCCAGCATCCGAGGTACGAAAGGTGCAAGGAGAGCCCCTGAAGAAAAAGAGAGGTCGCCCTGGCAAGAGACCTTCTACGGAAGTGGTGGAACCAGCGAAACCGGCAAAGCGACCAAGAGGAAGGCCATCTCTAAACAAGGACAAGGACGATTCCAACCAAGCTGAAACAAGTGCTGTCGCCGAGGCACGCGGAGCCAAGAAGCAAAAGCCTGAACCAAAGCGAAAGGAGAGCAAACCTGAGAGCTCCAAACCTGAGGCCTCTAAAGCGGCTACGGCAAAGGCTCAACCCGGCCGGAAGCGGAAATCTTCGAATGTAGGCAGCGGAGGTTCGCCAGTGGTACCCCCTCGCCCTCCTATGCCAAAGAGACGCAGTCTGGTCAGTCAAAGGCGCGATAATTTCGAGGTCAGGACGACTCGGTCTGGTAGAGTCTCAACAAAACCGTTGGAGTTCTGGCGTGGTGAGCACTATGAGTATGATGATCAAGATGACGAGGTCGTCGAGGACAAGCAAGGCCGCCGCATCAAAATTGGTTCCAAGTTGAAGGGTGTCGTTCGGGTGGAATACGACGAGGACAGACCCAAACGCCGTCGGGGTAGGCCCGCCTCTGCAGCCCCCGGTCGTCCCAAGCGTCCCGTTTTCGATGTCGCGGAAGAGGAAGAGGAAGACCGCGAGGAGTGGGAGGACGATCCTGGTCGTGTGGTGGGAGAGTGCATCTACTGGCACCCGGACTACGAGTTCAGCCCCCCGCAGGATGAAGATCAGGTCGAGGTTGCAGAGGAGGAGATCGCGATATCCGAGGCCGCGATCCAGATGAAGGACATCAAGGACGCCACATTCCGGTTCGCCAAGACACTGACGTTGCCATTCTTCGGATCTGGAGTCGTAGACTTGCCGCCGCATTCGGAAAAGCGCACTAAGAACGCGAGGAAGATGCAGATGGTCTTCTTCGTGCATTATGGCAACGTGGACGTGACGGTCGCCTCGAACCAGTTCAGAATCACGAAAGGTGGCACTTGGTTTGTGCCCAGGGGTATGTCTTTCTCTGCGTGGAGTGGCTGGAACCATGATACTAACATTAAACAGGAAACAATTACAGTATCACAAACGATACGGACAAGCCAGCGCGGCTATTCTTCTGTCAGGGCTGCGAGATGACCCAGCCGGCAGAGAGCCAGGAAATGTAGTCCCTGTGTGCATACAGGCTGTCAAGCAGTGGCTACGTCCCTTGCAGTGGATAGTCGAGCAGTACCACGACTACCACGACAAGTAATTTTTAGGCAATGAGCCTAAGTATGTTACCACAGCGAGCATGAGTTCGATTGGCTGAACTTACACCTGCACGGGATGAGAGATTACTGACATTGCTGTACCCAACGAACATTTCTAATCAACCATGTTCAAGGCATCAAGCTTAAAAGAAAGCAGATGAGGGCGGGATCGCAGCCACATTGTCACCCCATCGTCTTACCGTATCATGGTATATGATTATATGTGGCACGTATGGTGGTGTGGATGATGGCACACGTATCTTTGATTGATGTTCGGGGTATATATCTGAATTGACGCTGCTCACAGCAACACGGCGTTGCGGGGAGGATATAAAAGCTGTCGCTATCGATTGATACCATTTAGTCATTCGTCCACGGCCACACCCTATTGTCGGTGGCTGTGGGCGCGTGTAAAATAATTCATTAAAAATTCGTTCATTTACATGACGTCTTGACGCTTGTTTATCTCTACGAGTAAACTGATTATTCAATGCATGAGGCTGTCCCTGGTAAAGGAACAAGTGGTTGCATAAGTCACAGAGACGGATGGTACGAAAGATGGCATGAAGAACTTTGTTGACGATGACCCTGGGATTCCAGCTACGCACTATACTTTTTTACCCGTTTTCTCGAGCATCTCATCCACAAACTTTGAATCCTTCCGAGACGCAGGAACCGTTGCTCCAAAGCAGTTGGCCAGATAAAACGTTTCAGTGTATGCTTTAAACTTGGCCATGATTAGTAGACAAAAAGTTTTGCCGAAGAGTTCAAGGCAGCTTGCAGCATCCTCGGGGCGTTTGGTGATATTTCTTTTACTACCATCAGGCCTTATAATAAGCTCATCACGGCGGACCCCGTCAGTTGCTTTCTCTTGGCCTGGGATTTGAAGCAGAAGTTCTTCGTCATGTCATTGCAGCTCGTGCGGTTATGATGTCTTGCCGTGCATGTAAGTATGCCCAGCCAAGGACCTGAGGTTCTCATTGTTTGTGATGCGTTTATGTCAGAGGTCTTATGCTCAAAGGTTTCAGAGGCTCAATCGGTGGACGACGATGATGATGCAGAATCGGGCAGACTTAACAAAAGTCTCTTGCATATGAAAATTTTTTTTTTTTTCGCACAGATCACATCTACAGCGTTACACTGGTGTAAGTCAATGACGGATTGTAATGCCCTTTACTCATTATCGTACTAATTAAATGGGTTTTCCTGCAAAGTTCCTTAATGCACTGTAATTTAAATCCACGCAAAGCCTTTCGTGGTGCAGTCAGATGACCCAAGGTATTCTTCACAGGCAAACTTGGACTTGTACTGCAATTCGTGCTCTTCGTCATGGTCCTAAGAGCAGAATCACGCGAGCTGGGATTATGAACCCATGACTCATTGAGCAATGAGGATGTATATGAGGCTTCTGGAGAGTCAACAATGTCAGAAATCGCGGAAAGACGAATTACCCTGTTCTGATCCAGCATAAAGCCATACATATCATCCGATTTCGTTGCTTCAATCTCAAACTGCACGGCTTCCCAGGTGAATAAATCTGCAAGAGCTTTTTGAATGAACCTGTTCAGTTCCCAGAAGATAATCCCGTGGCCAGGTCCTTTCTCGCTGTCGGGCGTTGCCTCGACGTGTCTGTAACGCCGGCCTTTGTTGTCATCATACGAAAAAATATCATTCCAAGCATGCACCATTTCGTGAGCTAGATTGGAGATCGTCTCTTCAAACGACATCTCATTTGCCCCGTTTTCCGGTATGTCGTGAGTATACAGCACAATTTTCCCTTCGTTCTTGAGGTACACTGCTGCACCTATATGTTGCGGGTCATGCCCAATCCGAATTTCAAGGCATACAATCAAGTTCTTAGCGACGTATGGCTGTCCCAATTTTGGAGAGTTCTCGTTTGGTGGTAGTATTGGACTAGTAAATTGGCCATCGAAGAATAGGTAGTCTAGCGCTGGTAAATATGTCCTGACAATATCCAGAGAGTCATGTCCAACTAAACCGCTTCCGTGTACGAATCCTCGATCCCCGAGAAATCTCCTACGAAAATCACGAAAAACGAACGCCAGCGGTCCTTCCCCTTATACCTACCGGGACAGCTCCTTAAAAAATGGGCTGCTCGGACCCGCAGGTCTTGATGGATCGTGGGAATATCGCTCTCTGGTATCCCCCCTGAGTATACCCCTGGCGGCTTTTTCGATTGAGTTGGATTTCAAGAAATTAATGGCTGCATCTGACCAGCCGCTTCGCCTCAATATGTCCCTATGTAGCTCACTCATGGCTGCGGCTGAGAAGTTACGGGCTTGATAGTTTTGGGCCGAAATTCAGCTGGTCTAGTCGATATTCAGGCAGATTGGGCGTCGGTCCTAAAGATATGAAATCCATATCCACAATGCGGTTTAATTCCAACATATAAATATTATCTTGGGACTATACAGTCGTAAGTATAACAAAGGCCTTGATCAGCTTCCAAATGTTCTGAACAATACAAGATTAGACAAGCAGACTTTGAGCATACTCTGCTGCAGTGTCTTAAACTAGTAGAAAACACTGCAAACTGCCCCTTAGAGCAGAGATGACTGAAAGGGGATTCGATGATCATAAAGGCCTCATGCAGTCTTGTGAAGACCCGCGTATTGCGGTTTTAAGTGATTCGTGATAAGCCTCTTAGATCCTTTGTCTGCAAAAAATTATCATAACTTAGTTCAGCAGCTTCTCCTTACTTTGTGTGATCTGGTCTTAAACCGTTGGCTCTAGTAACAAACAAAGGAATCCTTTCCTTTGACTACCTAGCTTAGTCAAGCGATGTGAATTTCCGCCATCTGAGAATCAACCTGAAATACTTTACGAACAACTCTGCCGGCCTCTTCAGTCTACAGTCCAAGCAGTAGGAAGATAAATGAGGTACGGCTCGTCTTCTACACTATCCAGGAATATAAGACCTATATATATATAGATCTATACCCAGACTGTCTAATCAGACAATTAAATACACAGAAAAAGGAGCCTAACAGGCTAGCTAGTTATTATGTATCCATACAAGTAAAGTTAGGAATTCCCATCCATGTGCCTCTGCAAGGAACCATGACCAAAAGAAATTAACCATGGGTTACCCGTTGATTTTTTGAGATCCATATAATTAAAATGTAATTATCAGGATTGTTACAAATTTACGAGCCATATTACCGTGCATTGTATTTTCTACCCGCCAGGTACATATTGTATTAAGTATGACTTTGAGTCAGGTTGTGCTGAGCTCTGATCCCGGAAAACTGATTGAAATGAACTATGATGATATTCTCACAACACCACATCTCATAAGGATTTAGCAATGATTCAACCTGAACTATCTACAGAGGAGGACAAGATCCGCTCGTTATGAAGCCCGAATGGTAGAATACTGAGAGCAATACGTCGCCGCTAAATATTAAGCATTTTTCTACCTCTGTTTGTCTCTCCGTAAATGCCATCTTTGAGACACTTTGAAAGCTGAATGAATGTGGTGCGGTACTTTATGGAGCCCTAACATGAATTTAGGAGCAATCTATCATTTCCAAGGCCACTGTGTCGTTGTATGTGCTCATCAACTTGGTATCTTGAATCCGGAATGCCTCGGATTCTGGAAGACACCATCAGGATCATATTGAGCTGAAGCGTCTTTGATCTTCGCAATAGACTTTCCACCATATCCCGCAATTGGATCTTGAATTATGTGCGCATAATTGAGATAATGCCAATTCTTGTTAGCCTGCAGATCGTTCGCATGTCCCTCTACAAGAGACACGAATTTTTTCGGCCAAACCAAGTATCTCAGTCTGGTCTTCAACCTCGGTGACAGTCACAGAAAAGAGCCATGCAGCGAGTGGGCCGTCGGCGACAAGGTCTTCCAAACCTAGCACATTACCACCTTTCTCATTGCTATGAGCCACAAATGCCTGCGGTATGGGTTGCATGTTGGCGACGATTGTGAGCGATGAGCCATGTTTTATCGTCACCTCCATCTTGCCGATGTACTCGCGTAGTGTTATGTAAAAGAACTCCAACATTTCCACAACTACGGCGTTCGAGACAGTGCCGCTGAACTAGTTGGCATAACCACCTAAATGTGCTGATTAAAACAACAAGTAGTTTCTGATTTCCTTGGTAAATTGTTGATGGCCAGTAAGTCACTGAAGACCGTGGGTGAAGTGATATTGTCCAGCGCGCCAAAAACGTCGTCAAGCAATAGGATTGACTTAGGAGAGGATACCGCTCTCACCAGAGCCTAACAGTTATCAATTCTCTCTGAACCGGTAGAAGTATGAATAGAGCAAACTCAAACCACTCGGTGTTCCTGGCCAGCACTTAAAGCAGTCCCACCACTTCCAAACAATGACATGTCATCCGTAGGAAACCTCTCAAGATCCTAGGAAGGTGACATCCTTGACAGCACCTTTGCCGCACCCCTCATTGTAATACATGCAACTAAAATGATATCAGATTCCATTGAGAAATGATAGGTTCCTCTGAGAAGCATTTTCTAACCATTCGGGTGCCGTATATTCTGTACAGTGGCCATTTTCGGCTCACAGAAGAAACATATTATCACATACAAAGATTCGGGTCAAAACGTTAACGTGATCGGAATTGAGAAGGGTTCTATGCCCACATATACGGCGATTCGTGCCACGACGATACATGCTCCAATCTATTATATCTCCAACTATATGTACAACCACTGATAATCTTGATCAATAATCAGTATTCAGGACTTTCTTCAAAGGTGCCATATCCTTCTCATAACCTTCCACCTTCTTATGGCTATTCTCAAGCTTCGTCAACAGATAGTTGATTCTACCCGCTGTCTGAGCTGGTTGTCTAGGTAGGCTGCCAAGTAGTGCAAGTTCGTTCTCACACTTCTCAATAGTCTTGCCTTCAACCTTGCTCAATTCGGTAAGAACGTTGAGGTCCATGGAAGCGGCAAGCACCTTGTCTTCTGTAAGTTGTCTGAATGCTGCTTGATAAACGGGCTTGCCTGGCGCGATCTTTTGTGGTCGGCCATTGTGACTCTTGACTGTGATCAGCTCCGCGTTTGCTAGCCCCTCGAGTGCCCCTTCACCATCCGAAACAGTTGTAGATGATGCGAACGTATCAGATCGCAGGACTTCGTTGTATCGAAGGGACTGACTCTCGCTCGAAGCAAGTGCCTTTACCAAGTACCAAGCCTGCTCGACTGACCACACCTTCCCGGTACCATCAGCTGCTGCCTTCCCTCCAAGCAAGAACATTTTCAACAACTCAGAAGCAGATTGTTCTATCAGGATTGTATAAATTAGTTCCGGTTCTTCAATGAAATGAGCCATACCAAAATAAATATGTGAACTCACCAGTGATCTCGTCGACGGCCTCCTTTGGCGTTTGGCCGGCCTTCAGACGTCGTGCAAGGAATTCAAGGTCAGTTAGTCGGCCACCAAGAGTTCCAATGCACTGATCCAGTCCTTTGAGGTTGTGCTTCCTCGGCTTTGGAGTGGGTTTGTCCTCACCATCCTCGTTCTCGATGTCTTGTAGCGGCTCATCATCACCTTGCAAATGGCTGATCACAAAACGCTTCGCCACGTCAGGTGACAAATCGCCCAGAGAGACTTGACGGAATACTCGATCGGGTAGTGATTTAGACAATGACTTCGAGTAGGAGGTGTCGTTTGTGAGGAAAATGACGTGCGCAACGTTTGATTGAACCAGGGTTGCGGCCCACTCGGCAATTTTGTCGTAGACGATGGTGTTCCCTTCCCCATTCTTGTGAAGAAAGTTGTCAATGACAACAACAGATCGCCTTTCCGGGTGCGTTTCGAGCCAAGCGTCAACGGGAAGAGATGCATCGATGTCATCCTTCTTGCGACCAGAAATATCGATTTCACTTAAGGCTCCTGCGGTCGTCTGTAGTATCTTCTGGAGCTGTGCCTCTAGAGTTTCGGAGAAGCCTGCTTTGACACCAGTCGTACTTTGGACAGCCAAGTCGAGCATACTACTCATACTATTTGCCCAAGAGAAAATAGGCCTGTAGCCGACTTCAGAAGCCAGCTTTTTGATGGTGGCAGATTCTCCTCGGGCTTCCACGATTGCTTTGCAATCGATTACCAAGACGTTTCGTCGACCTTTCAGCGCCTGTTCCAGGACGAGTTCCTTCTTGCCAGAGCCTCGGGGTCCTTGGACCACGATGAAGGTCTCTGCTGTTTCCATCAACCACTTCTGAATCTGATCGATCAGGTCTTTTCGGTGGCTCCAAATAGCATTCAGGCCTGCTTGTTCACCTTTCTTGTTGCGGAAAGAGAAGATATCGGAAGTTTGCCGCCTCAGCCATCTGTACAATCTGCTGTTGCTCAAGCGGAAAGTCCTTTGTACGTGAGCCTTGACAAAGAATGACCGAATGGGGTCAAAAATCACGACACTCAAACCAGTAAGGAGGGCCACCAGGATGGGAATGACTATCCTAGGGTGATTCTGGATCCAGTTCCAGATGTTGTGCGCTTTCACCCTCTGTTCATACGACATACGTAACTTAGTTCCTGTCTTGCCTCCGCCTAGCTCTGCTGGGACAACAAAGCCGTGAAGACAGTTGCGCGCCATGATGGAGTTTCTCACGGCAGCGAAGTCAACATAAGCATATTTGGGCAGGACCTTGGAGTCAAAAGGCTGGGAAATAATCTCAGCAATCTTGCCATACTTGCGGAAAATGACGTAAAGGTCTTCTTGAGATAGTTCAGCGGCTTCCTCGCCAGGGTTTGGCGGCACAAATTCGATCTTCAACCGGGCGTAAGGAAACCTGTGCAGATCCTCAAGCCAAGGAACGCCTTTAACGAGACCAGTCTGGATACCTCTGAATGGACTGAAGAACGGCTTGATTGGCTGTTCCTGAAGACGCTTCGATATCGTTCCTTCGATTTCCTTGGCAGGCAATTCTGATGGATGGGTGAACTTGACGAATGCTCCACCATCTTTAAGTCTTGGCAGAATCTCTGTAACCTTGACGGGCAAACTATCTGGAATAGCTCTCTTTACCATGTTCATGGGATCCATGATTCCGAGGCTTGAGTTGTGAAACTTCTGCAGAAGCTTTGATACATCCTTGTCTGGGCTCTGCCATGGTGCTCGAAGCAAGCCTGTAAGCTTGAGAGGAAACAAATCTATGGGATATCAGCATTTGAAATGCCTCTACTGTCAAGGCGCATGGCTATCAAGGCCTCACTCACTGTCAATCCATATAATGGACTCGTTGTCAGCGGCCGATATATGACCAGTCGTGTCATCCGGGGCTGTGGTAGGTGTGGACTCCCATCTTACGGCTGGGATCCTTGTAGCGAATGTGGGACGTATCCGAGCTCCTGTCGTGAGTAAGTTGTGCCTGTGAAAGCCCATCAGACCATTACGGCCAAGGCCGACACGTCTCGATATCATTGCAACCACTATGAGCAGAAACCCATTGTTCCTGTGGCAGAATAGGCACTGAGGTTAAGATATATCTGAGCAGAGCTGAGCTGAGCTTGCTGCTTAGCCTCGATTGCTTTAGCCCGACTTTCTCCAGCCAGATATGAGGTCATCGGCTGTTAACGGGTCGCGTCTTGGTCTTGATCGTGATTAACGGCCATGTGCCACATTGATCTGTGCGCCACAGTCTGCGCCACGACTGCTCTTTGATCTTATCGTGCGGATTACATACCGGAGATTTTGAATTGTATCGCGCCTGGGAAATCGGCATGTCTGAAATACTATTGTACCATTCAACGTTTCGACCTTCTGGCCTTTGTATAACTACCATTTTGTACTACTAGTTTCGACTTGTTCTCAAGACATCTCAGCGACTTCTTGCACAGTCTACAGCCCGATTTCGAGCACTGCCACCTCTTCATTGCCATTGGCCCGGCGATCTCATAGCGCATCGCTGCATATCACCCGACTTGGAGAAGTCGCTTCTGCAACCATTCAGCCATTACCCCTCGCCTGCCCTTGAACCTTAGAGGAGGGAAACCAAAGAACATACGAGTGTCGTTCTGTCACTCTGGTCCCTTTCTCATTTACAACAAACCTCCAACCTCAGTTACTTTCACAAATCATATCACGACATAATGGGCTGGCTCTGGTCCTCCCAATCCCCCTCCAAGGGCCCGGACGACGATACCACCACAGCACAAGCACGACCCCAAGCACCACCGGCGCCTACACAGCAGCCCGAGCCTGCCTACAGCGACCCAGAAGTCGCCAAGTTCATGGCCGACCTCCAGGACGCATTTGGCGGCAGCAGCAAACCGTCCTCCTCGCACTCAACAACAACAGAACCGTTCTCGAAAGCGACCTCGACGACGTCGACACCTATCGAACAAGCCGACAACAACACAACACCACCGCCACCCCCCAGCACGACGGATTCACCATGGCGCTCCCTCTGGGGCCCCGCCGCACAGTCCGAGACCCCTTCGTCATCGTCGTCGGGTGCGTACACTACTAACACAGCACCAGAGCGCGCCGCAGCGCGTCAGCGGCCACAGCAGCATCCCGAGCGACTTGACGAGATCTCTGAGTCGCTCCTCCCGACGACCATGTCGTGCCGCAACGCGCTTGACGCCGCCTTCTACTGTCAGTCGCCCGGCGGGCAGTGGAACGCCGTGTACCGCGAGGGCGAGGTGCGGTCGTGCTCGGACCACTGGGAGGACCTGTGGTTCTGTATGCGGGTGCGGGCTATGGGGGGTAAGGTGAAGGAGGAGGAGATCAGGAGTCACTACAGGAAGAAGGAGTTGGCCAAGTACGGGCCCGGGAGGCCGAGCAGCACGGATGTCTGGGAGAGCCGGGAGGAGAAGGTGCAGCCTGGAACGGCGTTCACCGAGCGGTATGACCCGCCGAACATCAGTGACGAGGAATGGAGGGCTTTGGAGATACAGAACAGAAGAGCCGTGCAAGGGGCGCTTGCAAAGAAGTGATGGGAAAGATAATAAGTATACTTGGGAATAGACAAGAGTCGTCACTCCAAACCATCTCTAAGCCGTCGTTCGCGCACCGTAAAGACACCTAGAGCTGCAAATGCCCAGCAAGACGTTTGCTAGGTGTTCTGCTAAAAGAAACCAGTCCGGCTAACAACCAACCCCCCTTCCTGCTGACAACCCCCCCGGTCCTTCAGCCATATGCAAGATACCGCGTATTTTGCTTGGCAGCAACATGATCGCTGACCGAGAATGGAGAATATCAACCGCCCGTAAATCATGAAGCTGTACGGCGCTTGAGAAATTGGATCATCAGTGCCGTGGATGGAGTTCTACAGTAGTGTTTAAGCGATAATGGCGTTGCTTGCAGCACAGATTACTAAATGTGTTGAACATCCACCGCGACTGGTCCGGTCCATGCAGACAATAAAATACCATACCTCTTTATAAATTAAGTATTATACTGTCACTTATATCAGATTATGATAATTCTCTTATTTTAATTCTTCTATTAAGTAATACTTTTAAGTATAACAAAAAGCGATTAGCCACGACTTAAGACCAGAGGAAATACCCTCGCCGTCAACTAAGGTGAATGTCGTGCAAACGCCGCAACAAAGAGCTCTTCTGAAGCCTTCACGCCTATCACAATCATAAGAGAAGTGGTTATTTTATGAACTTATTATTCATTGATCATCGGATGATCTTCTTCTAAAATACATCCATGCATCATGACCGCAACTTTTTGTCCTTTATCATCATTACGTGAGAACTCTAACGATATGCCATTTCCTCATTGTGTCAAAACTGACACCTACAAAGAACGCCGAAACTGAAAGCAGAGGGTATAACAGAGAAGTGAAGTGTTTAGTCGACCTCCTCGACGGTAGGGCCATCGTCGCCACCAGCACCGGGGGCACCACCAGCGCCAGCACCGGGGAAACCGCCAGGGGCACCACCGGGCATGCCACCGGGAGGACCACCGTTAGCACCGTAGAACTTCATCATGATGGGGTTGGCAATTGCCTCCAACTCCTTCTGGTGCTCCTCATACTCCTCACGAGTAGCTTGCTGGCTATCGTCGAGCCAAGCAACGCACTTGTCAATCTCGGCCTTGAGGGTCTCCTTGTCAGCAGCGTCGAGCTTCTCGTCGACCTTGGAGTCGGCCAGAGTGTTGCGGAGAGAGTAGGCGTAAGACTCGAGACCGTTCTTGGCAGAGATACGTTGACCCTCAGCCTCATCCTCCTCCTTGTACTTCTCAGCCTCCGAGAGCATACGCTCGATCTCCTCCTTGGACAGACGGCCCTTGTCATTGGTAATGACAATCTTGTTGGACTTGCCGGTACCCTTCTCGACAGCGGAGACGTTCATGATACCGTTAGCATCAAGGTCGAAAGTGACCTCAATCTGAGGAACACCACGAGGGGCGGGAGGAATGCCGGTGAGCTCGAACTTGCCGAGCAAGTTGTTGTCCTTGGTGCGTTGACGCTCACCCTCGTAGACCTGGATAAGAACACCGGGCTGGTTATCAGAGAAGGTGGAGAAAACCTCGGACTTCTTGGTGGGAATGGTGGTGTTGCGGGGAATGAGCTTGGTCATCATACCACCAGCGGTCTCGATACCGAGGGAAAGAGGCGCGACGTCGAGAAGCAAGATCTCGTTGGTGGTCTTGTTGCTGGTGTCACCGCTAAGGATGGCAGCCTGGACGGCAGCACCGTAGGCAACAGCCTCATCGGGGTTGATGGACTTGTTGGGCTCCTTGCCGTTGAAGTAATCGGTAATGAGCTTCTGGACACGGGGGATACGGGTGGAACCACCGACGAGGACGATCTCGTGGACCTGGCTCTTGTCGATCTTGGCATCGGCCAAGACACGGTCGACGGGCTGGAGAGTCGAGCGGAAGAGGTCTTGGCAGAGCTCCTCGAAACGGGCACGGGTGATGGAGGTGTAGAAGTCGATACCCTCGAAGAGAGAGTCGATCTCGACCGATGTCTGAGCAGAAGAAGAGAGGGTACGCTTGGCCCGCTCGCAAGCGGTGCGAAGACGACGCAGGGCACGAGCGTTGGAGGAAAGGTCCTTCTTGTGCTTTCTTTTGAATTCGTTTACGAAGTGGTTGACCAGACGGTTGTCGAAGTCTTCACCACCCAAGTGAGTGTCACCAGCGGTGGACTTGACCTCGAAGATACCCTCCTCAATGGTGAGAAGAGAAACATCGAAGGTACCACCACCCAAGTCGAAGATAAGAACGTTGCGCTCGCCCTCAGACTTCTTGTCCAAACCGTAGGCGATGGCGGCAGCAGTTGGCTCGTTGATGATACGGAGGACGTTCAGGCCCGAGATGAGACCGGCATCCTTGGTAGCTTGACGTTGCGAGTCGTTGAAGTAGGCAGGGACTGTGATGACTGCGTTGCTAACGGTACCACCAAGGTAAGCCTCAGCGGTCTCACGCATCTTGATCAAGATCATGGAGGAGATCTCCTCAGGTGTGAAGTTCTTGGTCTCGCCCTTGTACTCGACCTCGACGACGGGCTTGCCACCCTTGTCGACAACCTTGAAGGTAAAGTGCTTCATATCAGCCTGAACCTCTTGGTCGCTGAACTTGCGGCCAATCAGACGCTTGGCGTCAAAGACCGTGTTGGTGGGGTTCATGGCGACCTGGTTCTTGGCGGCATCTCCGATGAGACGCTCGGTATCTGTGAATGCGACGAAGGAAGGTGTGGTTCGGTTTCCCTGGTCGTTGGCGATAATCTCGATGCGGTCATCTCGGAAGACGCCAACACACGAGTAGGTCGTGCCTGCGATATTTGTTAGTAAAGGGAGCTCGAAAAATAATTCGTAAGATTACACATACCAAGATCAATTCCGACGGCGGCGACCATCTTGTCGTTGATATTTAGAGTTGTGAAGAAGTTGTGTTGATTATGGAAGGGGTATGAGTGTAGTAACAGTTGCGGAAATTGTCAGATTTCGCTTGTTTAAAGGTCCTTATGACAGGAGGACGATTTGCGAGTTTGTTTAGAGATGTAAATTGATTGAGAATGGAGAATAGAAAGAATGAGTTGAACTGGCAGAAGTTCAAGATATTAAATGGCTGAAAGCTCCAGGCAAGCTAATGACCCCACCTAAAGAAACGGAATCTTCTGGAAAGAGCGACCCAGCTTCTGAGGCACCCAGTGCGTTCCAGCTCACACAAAACACTCTCTAGCAGTCTCTTTTCTGCTCCAGAAAGTACTAAATCTAGCTAGAACAATCCATTTTAATATGAATCGCATCCAACTGTCCTTTTTTCAAATTCATCCCATAGCAGAAGTCTCCTACCAGTTGCTACAGAGTGATTCTATAGAGCCCATCTTCTGCGGTGACCCCGCCATCGTTGACTAGCAACAGTGACGTTGTTCGGGCAAAAGTGGAAATTTTCATGGTCCACTTTTCTTCTGCCTTGCCATCGGGTTTTTTCTCTAGTGGTGCCCAGGTGGCGACGCAATACAGAGCAACAGAGGTGACACCCGATCTTCATTGGTGGATCGCTGAGTAAAATCTTTACGTCTATCTTGTTCCATTGCGTTCAAGCGGTGGATACTAACTTCAACATGTGCACCCCTGAGTTATACGATTTTCCAAGCTAGAATAATATGGAAAGTTGACTAGAGGCTTGTGGCATAACATAGAACAACAGAAAGCCTTGTATAGAATCACATTAGGATAACAGACGTGGCCACCGAGTTCAACATGTACACCTTTGTCATACGATGTCGCAATCTGGAATAATATGGAACGTTGACTCGACGCTTGTCGCCTAACATAGAATAACGTAGAAACCCCAGTAGGATAACAGAAGTGAATGATGACACAACCTATCGTTTTACATCGAATTCTACCAATTATAGCATCATAGGTCGGGATGGTCATAGAGTCTAGATACCACCAGCATTTTTAAAGGTATAACTTAATTGGCTATCGTCAAGAAGCTACGATTTGAGTAGTCGCATGCTGCTCTTTGTCTTCGTGCCTTGCCCGGTTATAGATATTTAGAAGGACTTGTGTTTTGTGCTTCCATCTCCCTTGGCAGCTTGTTCGTTCGGTATCCCATGTGCTTTAGACGAATGCTCTAGCAGACATGCTCAATCTTCTCAGGCTTGCTGTCCTTGGTTCCAAGGTCTGTCTTCAGGGCACGTCCAAAGAGCTCCAGTAGGACTTCAAAGCAGACCTTCGTGATGGCCGGGTCATAGCGACCCTTACTGAGCTCATCCCTGATGAAAGCATGTTGCGCCCAAGCGAACTCGTAGAAACTGAAAACCACCCCAGCATCTCGCAACTTCTGTCTGATCAGGTCGCGGCCAGCATCAGGTACGTGCGTATCCTTGATGCCAAAGATCATGGCAACCTCTCCCTTAAGCTCGGAGAATTTGTCAATGGTGTGATTGCTGTTTTCAGGGGCCGTAGCCGATGTGTTGGCGCTCTCGTATGGGCCCAGTGTTCGGCTGTGGACATCAGTTGCAAAGTAAGTAACGCAGGCGCTGACCCGAGAATCGAGCTACTTGAAATTAGTTTCAGTACTGGTATGAATGAGATGAGGAAGACCGTACCGCTGCCCGGAGGGCCAGATGGCCACCCAAGCACATGCCTGTAACGCCTATCTGCCCAGTGCATGTGGAAAGGCTGAGGAGGTAGTCCACCGTCTTGTATGAGTCTTCATCGTACGATTGGAGAGTCTAGTGTTACGACATAAGCAAATCTGGACTTTAACCGTTATAACCTGTTTTGCTAACCTTCTTCACCTTCCACTCATTGCCTTGATCGGTTCCCGGTACATCGTAAGCAAGAGCATCAGGGCCTGTGAAGTCATGGTACGAAGACGGCGCAGCTACTATGTAGCCTTGTCCAGCAATCTGACGTGCAAATCTGGCCACCGGTCCAGTGACTATACAAACGATTTGTCAGGGCTCTTATCGACGACATGTCATGGTAGTGCATTAGGCTATACCTTGATAAATTTCGCTGAATAATACGACACCAGGGAAGCGTCTGTCAAGTTTAAGTAAACAGCTATACTACAGTAAGAAGGACAAAGTAGGACGTAGTCAACATACGCGTTTGGATATTGAGGAACGGTAGGGTGGAAGAGAAAAATCCCTAGGAGGGGTAAGTCAGACTGAGCATGTTGCTTAATGAGTGAAGCATCATACTCATCGAGGTCTCCTTCCCATCCACCTTCGTCTGTACATCGGCGTGGCTCTCCTTGATCAACATTATGGGTTTCGGCGATGTGCTTGACGGAAAGGGTGCTTTGGATAGCTTTCGATGGGCTAATTGTCACCGAGCCGATAGACATAACCCCCGCTCTCCGGAAGTGGGCCTAAGCAAACCCGGCCACTTCTAGGCTCGGAGTCGTTGAACTCAATGCAACAACTGCACCAAATTTCATTGCCTAGTTGATAGTACCATTAAGCAAAGTTCTTAAGTTAGCTTTCACTAAACATTCATTTGGTTAAAACGACTGCGAATTTCGAAAACGACATCATGATATTCTCGCGAAGTAACAGAGTAGCTGATAATGCGGCACTTCGTAACTTTATAAGCTGCGTATGAAGTCTTATCTACATGAATGTAGTGAAAAGTATGGCGATTCATGAGTTTCTTGTGTCCATAATTGAACTTATTCCATGTTCTGCTGCTTGTGAAACCAATACGCATGATCATTTCAACAGAACAAACTTCTCATGAAAAGTATGTGAACCCGTACACTGGAAGATGTATACCACAGGATCAGCTCTCTCCACGACAGACTAATTCCCTGTGACATGATGCTCGTGCTACAAGTTGGACTGTTACTTAGCGACTAATACCATACATTTGGCATTATAAGTGCCGCGGCGATTAGGGTAATGACCGGTGGTTCTTTGCCATATGCTCGCCTTCAATCGCCGCAAATGTTTTACCTGCTGGCTTTCAATATCTTCTCAGGCTGTCAGGATGCCTACTGGTTCGTATTGCAGATCTCAGTCGCCCATAATGTGGAATCGTTCATGGGCCGCCATGGCAAATGAGGGTACCGCACATCCACACTCTGAGCATTTCAGCAAACCATCATCATCATCTTCTTCCTCCCACTCGGCAATCTCTTCATCGATATTCACCGAAAGTGATGTGTTTTTCTCTTCACCAGCTATGGCCTCGTGTTTGACTGCAGGTAGAACGCCTTCTGGACTGATAGGCGGCGATTTTGCATACACCGTAAACTCCCTGAATCTTGCATCCTGAGTCTTGAACATGGACGAGATATCTCGCCCGCCACCATTGCCTTCTTCGTTCCCAGTAAGGACCATATTGGTGACGCAGACATTGATCAGGGCCAGATTCCACCCTTGTCGCTCATGGTGGAGCCGTCTGAACAAAGGTACTATAGCTTCATTGACAAGCCGCTCTACAATTACCTCTTTGCTTTCTTTGAGACTCAAGACGAAGTTGGGAAGAGGCTGACTTCTTGAGTTGCGACTAAAGGACTGCTGGTTCTCTATGTTTGGTCTCATCTTGGCGCGTGTAGCGAGGCGCAAAGTCTTTGGATATGCAAGCCATCTCCGAGCATTGGGCTCGTCAACGGTGGAATCATCGTCGAGTAGGTCGACATGCATCCTCCGTACGAGTGAAGCTGTAAGTGTTCGGAGTTCTCGCATAAGCTCTGACGGCGCATTGAGGGGGTTCGACATGTATGTGTCCTCAATGCTGATCTGCGTTGGGACGTCACTAGCTTCCTTGACTTCGGTGTCGTCCACGCCATGAAGCAAATTCCATATTTTTGTGCCTATACCTTTCTCAGAGCCCGGTCGTGTTATTGCCCTCTCGAGTAGTTCTGGCGACATATCAGGATGTGCAAGTACTTCATCAGCAGTAATTTTAGCAGATTGCTCTTCATCGTGAGAAGTGGCCTTTTTGCTGCGAGAAAGCACATGGTTTTCCACCAAATACGATATCTTGCAACCGATACCAGGAATTTTTCTTATTTGGTGCGCACCCACGAAGTCCTGTACATCTTCAACTCTCAGGCTAATCAAAGTTGTCTGGTTCTTAGGCTTGTTCTTCGTTCCAGCCAGTTTGGCTAAAACTTTGTTGATAGACACACCACATGTTGAAGTGTAACCAAAGTCTTCTTCTAGCTTGTGGCGCAAATACCCGGCAAGATGTGAGGCCAAAATCAAACGAACGTAGAGTAAATTTTGGATGCTATCATCTGAACACTTATACTCGTGGGGATAGGTGCATCCAAAGAACGAGGTCGCGTCAAAAGCGAAGCCTTTCTCGGGATCCTCGCGATTCAGCTGGAAGTATGATTCGGCCAAAGCATTTGGATTGAGTACTCCTTGATTGTATGAAATCATGTCAGAGACATCTAGGAAGACCTCGTCAAGGCCCAAGCGCTCCACTCTTTTGTTCCAAGAATGCGCTCGTAGGAAAGACCATAGCCTTTTCGATGCATCTCGGAACCGAGTCAGGTCCTCACCGTTCATCAAGATTAGGTCAGGGCAGATCTTCTGGGCCTCGGAGATCAGCATCAGCTTCTTGACGCCTTTGGCCCTGGCAACATAATTGCAAGTTGCAAGGATGCTCTTTTGCTTGATTCCGAGTGGTAGAGACTTCAGTGAAGGATGCTCGTTCTCGAAGACACTTGCGTAGAAGCAATCATAATCCTACCTAATAGTTCAGCCCCACAAGCCATGAGGAGGAATTTCCTCTTTGAGTGTTGGCCCTTACGAAATGCAATATTATGCGATCCTTCCGCTCGGAGATCCTCGGATCCTTTGGTCTTACGGGAGCCGGCAGCATGGTTGTTACTGTTGACCGTTTCTTTCATGAGATCTCGCATAACGAAGACCAGGTGCATATGACTGCGACAATGCTCTTATCAGTCATTTGCACGGCGAATCGATTGTTGAGTCGCGTGTTTACTGAAGTTGACCGCGCTTGACTTTGTTCGGTGGTTGTTCCAGGCAACATTTTAGGAGTCGAATCAATCGTTGGGCAGTGCACGAGCGCCGACTATGCCTGCTAGAATAAAGTGGACTACTCTGTCGCTAGGCGCCAACGCGCCTGTTTTGCCAGCTTCACCACAAGCCTTCCTACATGTACATAACGCCTCTACCAGTCTGCTGGGCTCGTATCCCTGGTCACGAGTCAAGTGCTAGTAGTCATTCCTGAATGGAGTCATGTCCCTTGCTTTCCATGATTGCCACGTCTACACGGAATCCTTCAGTTCTACTCGGGAAACTGCGCAGCATTCCCTGGCCCGACAGTCAGCCAGACACCTTTACTCTTATCAGCCGTCTAAATTAAAATATTTAATCTAACAGTTTGCCTTTGTATTTGTGTTTCGAATATAACTATAGCATGTCTGATTGCGTTTCGGTGGGTTCGATTTACATATGTATGGGATAAAGTCAGCTTTTCAAAGTTGACGTACTTTGCGACTACCAGCAATACGAAGTATATACACCGTAAACGCTGCCAGCAATGACATTTCACATGATGCAGGGCAGTCTTTGCCCTTGTAATCTTCTCGCATGCCTGCGCTTCCCTTGTAAGGCAATGAACATCTACATAGTACAGTAAATAAATTGTCGTTATGGGTCAACCAGGATAAGAAATGGGGCGAATGTGGCTGTTCAACCTGATCACGAAGCCGCTAGTCGCTGATCTAATCGGACAGTGTACAGAACATATGTCGCCGCCGCCTGATCGAATAGCTGTATGATCATGAATTATATTACAATTCTTTGAATCATTGTAGCTGTCTTGTTGACCGCTCACGCCCAAACCCTAGGATCGAGGGAAAGGCTCCCCGCAATTCGCAAGTTGGTGATGGCTGCTAATGGCTCAAATTAGACGCCGTGGAAGCATGACCACATGCGCCAGCCGACTTCGTCATGCTCTCTGATTGGCTTTCTTACACAATGGTTGTGGGTTAAGGGATGTGCACAAGCGCCGGCTAGCACATCCCTGCTTCTATTCTCTTTTTATAGCCAACCAGCGTGTACTCTTCTCACGAACAGTTGCATTAGTCTCAATAATCATTTGTTGCCCAGCTCCTTCAAACTTGTCCCTTCCCCCTCCCTTTGCTTCTTCCACCTATCTCCTCGCGGTTGGATGTTCTTCGCACTGCATTAGTTTGAAAGTCTTTCGCTTGACAGCACTGTTTGATATTATATTAGAGTAGCCGCCGTTTGTTTCCCCCCATTCATTGTATCCAGTCTCGACTTCCTCCAGGTGCTTTGATCCCGGCCGGCTGGGAAACTGCTGAAAGTATCCTCGTCCTGCCTGTGGCACGGTTTTCAGTTGCCCATCGACGCACAACCAGCCTATGCTTGAGTCTAGGCCGGATCATCCGACTCAGCTACAATTATACGTGTCTGTGACTCTGTGACTTGAGTGCTAGCAGCAATGTCGAGCTCAAACGCTTCCAAGAGACCGAGGTTGTCTCTTCAAATTCAAACAGGAACCGCACCTCGGGCTAGGACAAGGAGCACATTGAGACCAGACACTGATCCGAAGTCTCCGACTGCCTTCAACACCCTTTCCAATGTCTATGTCACGGCTATTGAGAGGTCAACACCGGCACAATCGACGCCACTGACGGCTATCAACCTTTTTCAAACCCTCAAGCTTCAAACCAACCCTGAAGTTCTCAAGGACCAACAAAGAACACATACACCCTATACTGCATTATATCCTGATACACCTCTGTCTGCTAATCCGAGATCACCTATGCAAATGGAGATCCAATACCCGAGCACCATGACCGCAACGCCGCCGTTATCAGCTGGACCAGTGGAACCTTCGAGCGCAAGAGTGTTCTCCTTTGTTACCAATGAGATGCCGAGTCAAGTGGTGCCAGCATCTCCGGTACAAAGCCGCAGAAGAATGCCCGCGGGACCGGCTCCAAAGCCGCCTTACACTCACCCACGCTCCCTCCATAGTATTCTGAGAAACTCGCCACTACCGCCTTCCAGTGCGATGTCTCCGGTCTCTCCGAGGAGGCAATCCTTGCGGCTACAGGAGAAAGCGGCCCGGCGTGTGGGATATGAGAGTCCTCTCACCCAGACTATCATCAATGAGAGATACACCAAATCTCATGTGGACTTACTTGCTGAGGAAGTCACTCCCAATTCGGCCACGCCGGCCGTTGAAGACTCTGAGATGGCACTGGACCTTACCATGGCGTATACTGGCGATGAAACACGTGATGGTGGACAGACTCCAGGGCCGTTTGAAGAAATGAGAAGGCGTATGGCCGGCCTGGCATCTGAGACTCCGATCTCATCCCCACGTCCCGGTGGCATCAGAAAGAAGAGAAAGGAGAAGAAACGCAAGTGGGTCTGGACCATTGGCCAAGAGGAAAATGAAGACGAGAGTGGTGCATTGGCGGCGTTTCGAGCTACAGCAGAAGCATCAACACCACGCATCGCCATACCTTTCAAGGCCACTACACCCGAACCCCTGACAGCACTTCACGTCAGTGTCGAGCCGACGGAACCTCATGCAGACACACAGATGGATGTCGAGATGTCAGATACAAGCAGTATGTTTTCCAGCAGTCGAGCAACCACACCTTTCAGTGTCGATTTGGACATGAAGACTCCTACCGCCTCCGCAGCCTATGCAGCAGTTGCCAAAGCAGGAAGGTTGGGATCTATGGATCTAATTAATCCAGACACCGGAAGCAGAAGAGACACTCCCATTCCGCCAGACTTGGTTATGAATAACTGAACAGATTGTTTTCACGCACATAAATTGGAACTTTGGTCGATTTTCTTTTGTCGACATTCATGCAAGAGATTGGGCATTCATTGTGTGACTTACATGCATACCGCAAGGCAAAAGGAGCATTGGCGTCGGCGTCTTGGGTTATACCATTTCGTTTATACGAACTGTACTATTAATTAGTTAAGGTTTTGATGATGATGATGACAATGAAACGAACAAAATTTAACCGCACTTCTCTAGAACTGGTTGTTTTTAATGAGGCTTACTTTTTGCTTGCTGAAGCAGAGTTTGTGTGGCCGAATCATGCGCAGGAATGCGACAAATAAAAGCCCAAATCTTCGAAAATTGCTCTCGTCTTCTAAGGACGCTAAGGACAAAGTAACTAACTGGCCTATTGGACTTGTCAAGCGTGCTGTGAGAAAACTGTTAATGCATTTTACACCTACATGCACGATCGTTGTTGAACTCAAAGAGATCGATGAGCGGTAGCGTTGCGTTGAGCCCCAACCACTATGTATGACGCAAATATAAACGATCCTGGTTGTAGATCCGAGGGTGATCTTGGCAAGCTTGGTTACAGGCCCAGGAGCCAACCCAAAAGCGACGCTGATGAACATGTTTGCACAGGGATATCTTTCAGCTGAACTGCAATTCCCCACTCTCTATTTATCTGCGCAAACTCGATCGATGAACTTAGCGCACGAGTTTGTGACACAAAGGTGATTATTTACCTTTCATATCTTGATAATTGTGCTTTGTGCGCATGCAGCGACAGCTTGTTGAATCTCAACCAGTTTACTGCTGTAGTGGGCGGTTACAGAAACCGGTTTTTGCTTCCCCCTGCGTCAGACACTTCAAGCCCAGCGGAGCTATAGCAAGACATCTTGTGGGAGGCCGGGTCGTGGGGAAACAGCTCCACTGCTTACAGGCCACTGGGAGCCTGGGCAAGCCTCGACCCTTCCAATGTTCAACTGACAGCTGGAGCTTGTCTACATTCAACCAGACATTGAATCTATGTTCGGAACATTATGTTTGGAGTGAGCACGAAAAGACGAGAATATATACAAGGATTTAGATGGGATCTGCCAGGGTTCAAAGGTTAGATGTGCGGCCATACAGGGGATGAAAAAAGCAATACTATTAAGCTTCCAAGGATTAGTTACATACCAACTTGCGCTATAGCTCTAATCATGTATCCCAACCCACTTGTCAAGCTAACGCAGTGATTCTTTCACTCGATACACCTACGTCATACATGCAGCTGGAAGAGAGGACGGGAACGTGTTTGGCCGCATTCAATGATGCAACAGCCGTCCGATTTGTACTACGGCATAGCATCAATCAACCTTAGTTCGCTTTGATTTCTTAACGACCTGGCTTTTTAGGGGGGGTTTTCAAACGATTCTCCTTTGTTCACCATCGTCGTAACCTGCCGACGGAGAGGCATAGTCACTTATATCACATTAGGAGTTACTAGACAATACCGTGTGAACGACGTAGCAGGCCATCGCTTTTGAAGCTTCATTTCAAGCAGGGCTACGCAGTTCAAGAGGTCCCCAGCATCTCCAAACTTACTGTAAGAATGCTGCAAACTGCTCATTGCGATCAATTGCGACATTAGGGCTGACAGATTCCAGTCGTAATTACTAGTCTCGCCTATATCGACCGAAGACTGTTCTCAAGCCTTCTTGCCTAACATCGAATACAATGTCCGCCGAGCAGGAGCACCACGCTCCGGGCGGCCATTATTCAGGTCGTAACCGGATCCCGAATATCCACGAATTCGTCGCAAGTCTCGATCGAGACAAGAAAAACAGAGATGCGCAGATTGATACCACGCAAAAACCCAATGGCTCAAATGTTCTACCGCACCAGGCAGAAAAGCGCCGGAGAGGCAAAGTAGTCACTGACCCAGTCACGGGCAACGAAGTCGAGATTGCAGATGCCGACCTCGATTTCGAAGAGGCTGTAGAGAATCCCAAACTCTCTGTGCCCAATGCCAATCTTGGCAAGGAAACGCCTGTGAAAACCGAAGCGACACAGTCCGGAGAGGAGTACAGATACAACCAAGATGTGACAGCACCGCCAGACCCAGTTACCAATGGTTCCACATCAGATGTCCCCATTCGTGGTGAGAAGACCAACATTTTGTTCCACCCTACTCCGTCTGTCAGCTATGAGCCCATGTTCGATATCATTGAGCAGAGAACTACCATCTTGTGTGCTGGTATATTTTTCGCTATTGTGCTTGTCGGAAAGCTTTTTGGCGGTAGACTGCTCGGCTTGATTCCTCTCGCCATCTGTGTAGCTTCTGGAGTTTTCCTGTGGATGAAAGATCTCCTCCGCCAAGGAAGAGATATCGAATGGTCTAGTGAACAGAAGCGTGGTGAAACTGCCACTGCCAACCTGATCCCCGAATCTGTCGAATGGATGAACACACTACTTGGAATCGTCTGGGGTCTTGTGAATCCGGAGATGTTTGCTGCTGTTGCCGACACCCTGGAAGATGTCATGCAGGCCTCGGTACCCGGCATTATTGAGAATGTGAAGGTGGCCGACATCTCCCAGGGCAACAACCCGATTCGTATTCTCAGCATGCGAGCTCTTCCGGACGATCACATGAAAGACATGAAAGATGAGATGCACAATGAAAACGAGAAAATCAAGGATCCCCAGGAATTGGCAGCCGATGAGGAGGGTGGTGATTACTACAACCTGGAGGTGTCTTTCGCATATCACGCTAAGCCGAGCACCGGAGGGGTCTCTGGCAAAGCCGCAAATATGGGCATGCAGCTGATCTTCTACCTTGGTGTCAAGGGGTTTTTTGGTGTCCCTCTCCCTATTTGTAAGTGCTTGGTGGAAATGAAAAATGAGGTTTCAGCTAACGATTGCAGGGGTCGAACTTATTGGCTTGGTTGGTACCGTTCGGATTCGATTACAAATGTCACCACAACCTCCTTTCCTGAAGGCTGTCACATTCACTCTTATGGGTGTGCCAAAGGTCCAGGCCGGATGTACTCCTATGATTGAGCGTGGCGTCAACATCCTGAATCTGCCCGTAATCTCAAACTTCGTCAACTGGGCTATCAAGGCAGCAGCAGGCATGTACGTGGCGCCCAAGAGCATGACATTGGATTTGGGCAAGATGCTCCAAGGCGATGACATCCAGAAGGAGACAGAAGCCCTTGGCATCATCTTCATCCGCATTCACAAAGCTGTTGGTCTTTCCAAGCAAGATCGCCGTGGCTCCGAAGGCGGCGGCAGTGATCCTTACATCACTGTCAGCTTCTCGAAATTTGGCAAGCCCATGTATTGTACCCGTGTTATTCAAGACGACCTCAACCCTGTCTTTGAGGAAACCTGTGCGCTTATGGTAACCGCTGATCTCATCAAAGCTGACGAGCAATTGTCAATGGAATTGTGGGACAGTGATCGGTCCAGCGCTGATGACGTCGTCGGCAAGGTCGAGTTGTCTATGCAGAAACTCATTCAGCACCCCGGAAAGATGTATCAACAGGTTTCCAAGCTCAGAGGTGTCAAGGCTGACAGTGAGATGCCCGGTGAGCTTCACTGGGAGGTTGGCTTCTTTGGCAAGACGCAGTTCCGTGCTGCTTTACGGACCGATGGTAAAGACCTCACTCTGCCTCCAGAGCTTCGAAATAAGAAGGAACTGCAAGACGACAAGGGTGCCATTGACAACTCCGAGGAGGATGCTGTCACCCATACTCCACCGGATCCTCTTTGGCCATCTGGTATTCTCTCTGTTGTCGTACACCAGATCGTTAACCTCGAGCTTGAGAACATGAAGGGCAGCGACGGTGGTAAGCGCAAAGGTGGAAAAGAGTACGAGCCAGCTCGTCCAGAAGCCGGCGAAATCAAGGAGGAGGCCAGCAAGAGATTGCCCAGTGCCTATTGCACTATCCTCCTGAACGATGAGCTAGTCTACAAGACGAGGACCAAGGTCGTCTCTTCGAAGCCAATCTACAATGCCGGTACAGAGCGGTTTGTAAGAGACTGGAAATCGGCTATCGTGACTGTCAGTGTTCGCGATTCGAGAAACAGGCAGCATGACCCCATCATCGGTGTTGTGCCTCTGAAGCTCTCAGACATACTCCAAACCTCAAGTCAGGTACGTTTTGCAATTATCTCTGGAAACACTGTTCGCACTAACAACCTGCCTTAGGCTACAAGATGGTACCCGTTGGACGGCGGCGTTGGCTTCGGCCGTATCCGTATTTCTCTTCTGTTTAGATCTGTCGAACTCAAACTACCTCCTCAGCAACTCGGCTGGGATGTGGGGACATTCGAATTCACGTCCGATACGATCACCACTTCTTATGTTGATAAGAGCAAGCTTAAGTTGAAGATGCGTACGGGAGGAAGTTCTGGAGTGGTCAAGCGCGATCAATGCACAGCCGAAGATGGGCAGCTCGTATGGAACATTAGAGGAGGAGAGGAGAAACATGCAGCCACTCCACGCTTGCCAGTGCGCTACCGCTACAGGTCGCCAATATTTTTCGAGTTTCACGCCAGCGGTAAGCGTCATGCTGACTGCTTTGCGGCTCTCTGGTTGTTGGAGCTCATTGACAACGAGGAGAAGGACTTCGATCTCCCTGTCTGGCGCTGTGACAACGACCAGCGCCTCTCGCAGAACTATATCACGGAGCAGAACTATCGCAGCATTCCCGATCTCAATTTGGAAGAGGTTGGTCGACTCCGATTCCGCGGTCGTTTTAAGGCAGGTACGGACCGTGACCACCTGCGATTCGTCGCTGATAACGATTCCCGGGAAACAATTGAGACTTGGGAGGCATGCTTTGCTGAGGGTGTGCGTGAGGAAGTCGTGTCTAAAGAAGTTCCTCCTGTCATCCAGCAATTGCACGACCAATCCTTGACTCAGGGTCGGGACGTCTTGGCTACCGCCAGCGAGGAGGACAAAAAGAAGTGGCTCGCCAAGGACGGTACCGACTGGACTGGTGCGTTCGGTCAAGACCCCGCCGAGATTCTTAGCAGACGTAACACTGGCCAAAACGATGACGATGATGAGGAGGACATTTACGAGTCGGATGATGACACAGCCGAGAGCGCCAGCCAGCCGAACTCGCCCAACGTGCTTCGTCACCCAGGTACTGATCTCGGTATCGTGGATGGTAGCAACGCGCCAGCAAACGAAGGTCGCCGCTCCGCAAACAATGGTCGCCACAGTGTTGACAGCTCGTATCCTCTTGCGAGTGTTGACACAAGCGACACCGGCATGTCGCAGGCAACAAATGGCACCGTCAACTCCCAGAGCAGCCATAGTAGTAAGAATCCGATCAAGCAGTACAAGGACTACAAGTCGCGCAGTCGTGATCTGCACCGCCAGCACAGAGGACTGATGCAGTGGAAACCCATGCGCAACATAGCGTTTGCCAAGGATGAGGCCAAGTTCGCGGTGAGAAAGATGACCAAGATGGGTTCGTTGAGCGGACGACAGCCTGATGTCGAGACGGAGGTCTAAATGCATTGACTCGTTGGCAGGGTCTACCAGCGCGGAGTTCGAACAGGTCGGGGACAACACAATAGGTAACGAGTAATGATTACGAGTATTTGGGGCTTCATGGTTGGCTGGGAAATACTTTGTATAATATACCGTAATCGCAGAATGAGCAATGCGTTAATGTTTTAACCGAACTAAAAAAAAAAAACCCCCAAAATTTTTTACCATAACTTCTACTTGCAACCCGGTGAAGTTTCGTAATTATTGATTTAGTCCCGTTCATGGGAGTTTTCGGATGAGTAGAGTTTGTCTTATACAAGGGGTATCAAGATTTGCTATTTTACATACACTGGTTGGAACGACCTGTTCTTGTACAGGAGATATTCGCCTTCCATCTATCTCCCTTTGTTTCCCTTTTATGCCGAATAATTTCGAATTGCCCTTGGGTATACCATTCCCGTCCTACTAGAATCTCGCGTAGAGAGACTCAAAGCAAAAAAACCCTCGACCCGTATACCCACAGGCCTGGGTGGGACTCATGAGTCCAAATAATTATACATTCGGGGGTACATCGTATAATACACACACACACAAGACTCCAACACCTTCCGTGGCCATCACTCGCAACATGATTAAAAGCTCGCGCCGGCGGCTTCCTTTTCCCTCCGCCGGTGCTTGTCGAGCTTCTTCGCGCCCTTCATGCTCTTCCTCGGCCGCGACTTTTGCGAGGCGGCTGTGTTCTTGGGCTTGTTCATCAGCCATCCGTTCATGGGCCGCCGGCAGCCGACAAACTTGCCCTCGGGGCTATACACGTCTACGACGGGCCAGTTGAGCTCGCCCTCCTGTCGCCGCTGCTCGGGCAGCGGCCGCGGTTTCGATGGTTTGGGTCCGTCCGCCAAGGCGTCGAGTCGCTCCAGCGCCGTCGTTCCTGCCTGGGGTGGTTCGGACTCGACGTCGGGCCCTGAGCTCGGTCGCGATGCGTAGAGATCTCTGGTTCGTACCTGGGCGACGACCTCGACCCAGCCCACGCCCTCGATCAGGATGTCGGCCGCGAGGACCCGGTAGGGTAGACGGTCGACATTGATGCCCACGGCGTCCTTGTTTGTGATGGGTCCCGTACGCTCCCTCGTCACGTCCCATTTCAGCTCGAAGGATCCGGCGTGCTTGATCTTCTCGCCGGTGCCGGGGGCGGCGATGGTGTCGACGTTGAGGCTGCTGGTCTGTGACTGGATCTCGACCGCTTTCTCGGTCCTCGTGAGATGGGGCTCAATGGGGGTGAATGCGTAGCTCATTACGATGGGGCCCGGTACGCGCGGCGTGATGCGGATGAGACCACCGAGAAGCAGTGACTGACCCTGTTTCAGTACCATCTGCTCTGGGATCGTGCGCGCGCGCATGACTAACGAGGTTCGGTGCTCGTCCTTGACGTATTTCTCCAGGCCAGTCCGCTCTAGACCGGGCAAGTCGATGAGCTCTCCTCTGCCGTTTCCAAACGGTACGCGGATTGGCGATGCAGTGGTTCCAGGCAGATCGGAAACAAGCGGCATGTCAGGGTACTGAGTCTCCGGGGGCGCTGGTGGTAGTAGAGAGAGTTCATTTGTACCGTCTGCTTCCAGCTTCGCGATCACGCCGTCGTCATCGTCGTCGATCTTCAAAGCGGCATTGCCAGACCTTGGCTTCTTAGTGTCCTCCTTGGCGTACATGTCAACCGTGATCTGATGACCTGATGGGTCCCAATCCATTCGTCCTTTGGGGAAGACAGCCTCGAAGAGCTGACTCTTTCCGACATTAACTTTTCCGACCATCCAGCCGGCCCCTCCGCGTTTCCAGATATCCTCCTTCAACTCCTTTGTCCACCAGCTTCGCTTGGCGCTCACACACCTGATGTTTCCCAGTCGAAGATCTGCACCTGCCCGGCCGAGAGCATCGCGCAGAACCTCCCTGAAGTAAGGAACCAGTCGATCGACTTGAGGCTTCGTGGGCGCTAGGAGATCTGCCCTCGTGATGATGAAACTCATTTCCGTCTTCTGGCCGTGAAAGAACCTGCCCGCCGTTGACCGTCGGTTTTTGGACCGCAGTGGCATAAGATGTAAGAGCGAGTGGATTTTGGGCAGTAGAGACATGGGGAAGTCGGCAGCGTCGAGAACATGATACACATGGTTGTACTTGTAGGGAGACTCCTCAAGCGTTTCCTTGATGGAGTCGATAGTTGGGTGGTATATAGAGACGCCAGTTTGGTGGTGCATCAGATTGTGGCATCTATCACACAAGGGTACCTTGAGCGGCATCTCTCGCCTTGGCGGTTCCGGCTCAGGGGGTGTCAAGGTCGGGGCAATGTCGTCTACATCGACGCCCAGTCTTTCCAAATCTGCCGGGTCGACAGAGCTGATGGTCCTCTGGAAGACAGCCTCTTCTTGGCGCTCTGCATCTTGGCGCCTTCGCGATTGAGGTTGTTCCAGGCCAACATACCTGCTGACAACCTTTCTTCCTAGGTCATAGTATCCCGGGTGCTCAGGATGAGCGGTTTGAGACAAAGCGCCACATCCCGTACACTGCGCGGGGAGTTTCCTCACTGGCTTGAAGTCACGAGCTTCGTGGCCAGAAGATGTTGTGGCTGCTGAGGCCTCTGCCTGCACGTGCAAGCCGCGAACCGGGGCCCTCCATAGCAACCGTCCAGAAGGTACATGGCCACCAGCTACTGTAGGCCTCGAGTGAGACGGCGCAATAGCTGGACATAAGAACACAGGCAGCTCCAGAGATGAGGACCTCTCAGTTGTGCGGAGGGCGGTGCTCAGCCATTTCTTGGAAAAGCTGCGATGCATCTTGGATACATAGCCAGGAGTTCAAAAATAAAAACAAAATTTCTTGGTCGTACATGAGGCACTACTGCTGGGTGTGGGAGCTCCCCTAAAGATTCTAGAAATTCTCGAGCTAGCGGGCGCGATAAGGCGGGGGGACAGGCCACGAGGCGCGTGCTATGCAGCAACTAACTAAACCTTAGCAAGGCTGGGCGACCCCCGATAAGGAATAATCTTCGGACCGCTTCAACTCCGGCCCTCGAAATTTATCGGTCGCAGTCCCAGCTCAGCCGCGACGGCATCAGCTACAGCTACCGCTACCCCTGGCGCAATTGACCCGACAGCATTGTATCTTGACGTTTGAAGCGAGCAGCAGAGCTCGCGCCCCCCCGACAGTCAAGATGGTGAACCCAGGCAAGCGCATGAACATATTGAAGGCCGTAAGTACATGAGTCGCCCCCAAGCCTCCGTGCTGTGCTGCCAATGCTAACTCGCTTCGCAGAAGGTAAATGCTTCGCCCCGACGGCACACGAGCCCTCCTCTAACCGACATGGCAGCTGCTGGACTTGCGGCATGGCCCTGGTGCAGCGATATTACCCCCCGAGATCACGCGGATACACATGAACTTTGCGATGCGATGGAATGAGGGACACTTTGGACCGAGGTAGGCCTGCACGCGTGGCGAGTCTCGGCGGGCTTGGTAGACTGACCTCTCGCAGGAAATTCTGGAAATCATGCCTTCCTCGCTTAAAGTTTTGGAATCCCGCGATTCCCATGTTAATAAACCGTCACACCGACCAGTCCGCATCTGCGACAATGTCCATCTACTTCCGACAGAGCGAAGCCGAAGCCGCTGTGCTGAAACCCAACCCGTTACCACTCGCACAGCAGCCCCATTCGAGCACGACAAACGAGACACCGGCCCCCGCCCCGGAAGAGGGAGAGAGAGTAGTCACCATTGAGATGAAGAACCAGCACTCAGATGCCATCCTGGCCGAGTTCCTACACAAAACAGGCGCCACCTTGATACACCCTACGGCAGAAGAGAGATCGGAGATGGTGCAGATCGAGGAGCTCCGGGAGAAGGGTGCTGTAGACCGTGCCATCATGAAGAAGTGGCTCGACACCAAGAGGGCCGAGGAGAGGATGCTGTCGAGAGCCAAGGAGGAGGCAGAGGCCATCAGGTTGGCCAACCAATAGTCGGATTCTTCGATCGTGGGAAACCAAGACACTTGAAGCTCGTTACGAGCCATGTACCACTGCATAATGCCTACGCGCATTGTAGATATAGGCGCAGCTGCGCAGAACCTGTTGTATAATTGAAACAAATGATACAAATGATACAAATGATACAAATGATACAAATGATACAAATGATACAAATGATACAAATGATACAAATGATACAAATGATACAAATGATACAAATGATACAAATGATACAAATGATACAAATGATACAAATGATACAAATGATACAAATGATACAAATGATACAAATGATACAAATGATACAAATGATACAAATGATACAAATGATACAAATGATACAAATGATACAAATGGTGCGAACGTTGCCAACCTCTGATCGTGTACAGTGTGTTGTGACATGGTTTGACGGTGAATCGATATGAACATTGGCAGAGGTAGTCAGATCTGCCAACCACTTTCTGACTACCAACTACTGCAGTGATTCGGACAAGCAGGGGCATTCAACACGGGACAGATTTGCTATAAAGTAGTGGCTGGCACTTGGACTCCTCTCAACAATCCTGCCGGATTTTTCTCGCCATACACTACAACATGGAATCGTTTCCCATATTCTACGCAGCCGTCCTGAGCTTATTCCTCATTCCAGGTCGGGCTCCAGGACCGATAGAAGCCTGGGCTGTTTCTGGTCTCCAGGCGTCTTATATCTACGATGACAATAGATGTGCCAGGTAAAAAAAAATACTATTTTCCTGCCAGAGTCCAACTTTGAGATGACCTGACAGGCATCCAGCATCGATTTCACCCTAGTCGTCCCTAATGGCCGGCCGTTAACACGCTGCTCCATATCTATTCCTCAACTCGCCGCTTTCATGCTTCCCAACATCACTGACACACCATGCGATGAAGCTGGCCGGTTCGCACTCGACTTGACTCTTTATCCACCCTTCCCCGGTGCCGTATCGGGCGCCAACTTTGACTCTGTATAACGAAGATCTGTACGGAAGCCATTTCTTACATATTCAAGACTTTGTCGTGTAGCCTATAAGCTCGGATATTGACCTACAGCATTTCGATTTCAAGTACACAGGGACGACTAAATTCGTGGTGGATATGTATAAAATATAGGATAACCATTAATATGGCACATAGTCTAGGAATACAACGGCGGTATAATGATAAACCCAATCACGTTTGCTTAGCATTATGTTAGCTTTATGTGTAACTAACAAGTCATCATAACGGCTTCGTTCCCACTATGCTCGTTACTTCGTTTACGCCGGCATCTATTTCCACAGCATATTGACTGACACTCTCTGTCGTCCACATCTCCAAGTACTCTGGGACTCGATAAATGCATTGTCAAGGATTCAAATTTTGGCTATCAGCCCTAGAAGCACAAGCATGTACCGCGACGCTGCAGCGCCGAGTTGGCCAACATGATAATTCTCGTGTCGCTGGGTTGTGGGTGGGGCTTGCAGCTAGTCGGACCTGAGTGGGATTATATATCTACATTAACGTCCAGCTTCCATACTGAATCGGCTAAATCTCCGGTCGCTTTTGTATCAGGCTTGGGTGTTGCCATTGCGGCCCAGAAGTTTTATTCGGGCGAAGGCTGGTTCTTTGAGGCACGTAATAGAATTTACCACGAACGATGAACAATTGATATCTCGAAACGACAAAAATGGAGACGCTGGATCTTAAATAAGTGCTCAGCACTCATGAGCAGCCACTGGTACCCAAACAAGGCTGAAGCGGTTGTTGATGTCGACAGTCCCAATGGTGAACTAATTCGTCCAGGAGCATGCTTATTGAGTTATGACAAAGACGAAAACTTTTCTATCCTAAAGACTACAAGTTCTCTACGAATACTATCCGGACTATTTATATCTGTGCCACAGTACGTCCGGTGTCACTTTATTTAATATTTTGTAAGTCTCTTGGGGTCAGCTTCGTATAAATTCGATTGAAGGGTCCCACCATATTCAAGCCAGGAAACGTTGGTCTTTCGTTCTTCCTTTCTTCCTCCTTTCTTCTTTTCTTCCTTCCTTCCTTCTTTTCTTCCTTCCTTTCTTCTTAGCATATGGTAATTTTTGAACATCAGATAAATTACATGAATGTTGAAGTAAGCATATCAGACTGAAGCATCATATTTGAGTTATTGTCCGAATCTCGAGATCCCTGCATTCGATAAAGGTTTGTTTCGTGTGGTTTCACGTAAGGCAGGCTGAGTAGAGGACGTAGTTACCAGCTGCTATATCGAGTTTTCATTTCACTAGACGATTTAGCCCACGAAACACCGTTCCATTCGTGAAACGCCGCTCGACGGCTGTACGCCAGTAAGCGAAAGTTATGGACCATCTGGGCCCTCTCCTGACTTCGAATTTGTTCAACCGAGAGGAATTCGCTGCGATGAATATTCTATATGGGAAGTGAAAGGGAACGGCAGATTGATGGCAACAGTCGTTACTCCTTTATAATATCTTAAGGTAAGCATGTGTGCAGCCACGCAAACCTGGCCTCAAACCTGGCTCAAGATGATGAGTAACTCGCAACTTTGGTCGAGGGAACGCTCAACAACATTAAACTGTCCTCAGTGGCGGAGGAAAATGGGACGTGATGAGAGGTGCCCAGGTCATAGTCTCCGGTTGCGTAATGGTCACAGGCTGCAGTGGCGGCAGAACTATACATTGGCAGGGCTGCCTGAGTCGCCGCAGACGATATCCAACTACCAGAGGCACGAGATAAGTAGAAACCCCGAGACTAGAAGAAATCCAACAGTGCTCAACATTAAACCTTGGCCCAGTGACGATGCCTATAAATAAGACACAATGGACGGCAGGCAAATCGTGGGACGATAGCATCGAGATCAGCCACGGATGACTTTCGACCTGTAAAGAAGTGTGGCAGATGGAAGCTGAGAGGTGTGTGAGTGTTGTTCATGTTGAGCAAGAGAGAACTTTGGATTCAAATATTTGAAACGTTTAGATAGCATAGGAGTATATGGTGTACCCAATAAACTAGCAAATCTTCTATCGAAGAGTCTTTTTAGGTCGTGATGCTTGACTCCTCTGTCCTTACATCTTGCATTCCCGCTGTTGTTGTTCACATTTGAAAGCACATTCATAGTAACGTGTGAAATACAGAGTTTCTGGATGTTATGCCATGGTATCCTGCGGCACTTCAAGGTACGTATCTCTGACTACGGCTGGAGAAGAAACTGTGGGCTGCCATACGGAGTACCGCGATTAATTTGGATTGTTATTCGAGGGCGCTACGATAATACATGCCGAAGTTCACATCGGTCCATGGAACATCAAGTTACAAACCACAAGTCAAAGACCTTGTGCTGTGATCTCTCAGAGGATATTAAATATCGCAACTAGTCTCTGATGTAAGTCTCGAAGACTTTTCCTGTGGAGCAGATATTCGAAACACTGGAAGTCGAGGGACTCTCATACGGAACACATAAAGCTGTTCATCCAGTGTAATTGGAATAACATGTTGCTTAGTTGAGTATGGTTGACGCGTCTGTTTGTGAGCCATCAAGGTACCGCAGGGAACTTTGCTACTGGTGTTTATTCCATCAACACGTTAGGCAGCTGCGGCCTTCCTTCCCTTCGTTCTCTTCCTCAAAAATACCTTGTCCAATTCCCATTACTACAGATATTGTTAAGGTTCACCAGCAAACCTTTTAGAGTTATCTCTTCAGCTCCCGTGTAGCACTCATCATCATGGCGAGGGATTTCAGGCGGGATTGGGAATCCCTCTTGCGAGCAATTCGCAAAAACAATTTTCATATCCGCGACGATACAATCCATGCTGGCATTCTCTGGGCAACGGAAAGGGTCATGCTTCAGTTCGGTTGGGTCACAATTATTTCCACGGAGAGATACTGCTGGGAAGTCCTCGTTAAACTGTCGGAGTACACAGGTCAGTTACCGTATCAAAATGCAACGGATTAAAGCTTATACATACAGGGGCTTTTTGGGATGCTGGTTTATGTCCATCTATGCAGATCCCTGATGGATCATCAGGTGCTGATGCTCGTGATATCTGGAGCAGAATTGGTGTTAAGTGCAACCCGGAGATCCTTTGTTACAACGCATTGATTACGCACGTTGCAAACCAGGGTCATCCTGTATCCAGCGCTCTGTGGTTGCCTCGTCGTGAAGACATCGCCACGTATACAACCTCAGCCATCGGTAGTACACGGCCCTATTCTCACACTTTTGGTCAGTCTGAGAGTACAGGCACTCAGCTAACTTCAAACGCGAGCTTCTCTTATGATAGAAACCAGGCCATGGCTCCGCTTGAAGGATCGCTCAACAATACTCAATTATATTCGACGAAGGCAAACGACGGCAAGGACAACCTGGCAGCAAATTCGGCGCCGACAATATCCCTTCCTACCAACTATGAGCCAGAGAGGCCTCCTCGAGACTTCCATCTAGCGCTGGCCCCGTTCCTCAACGAAGGCTACGATGCATGGGAGGTACCAATCTACGTCGATCCGAAGGTATGGGCGTCCATGAGCGCCCCGAACAAACCGAATACATGCGGGTCCTGTATTCCCAAGGCAGGGTCGGTGGTGGGCGCTGTATTCAAGGTAGCACAGAGCGCATCGGGTACCAACCGACTTCGCATCCTGGTCTTGGGCAGGACACCCGAGGCCAAGCTGTCGCAGAAGGACTGCGAGATAGAGTGGAATGCATCGCGTCTCCGAGGGTTTTTGATGCTGTGCCAGTGGATTACGGCAGAGGATCAAGACTTGATGATGTTCGCGCGAAAGTTCAGGACCGAGCGTATGAAGGAGTGTGCCGAGGCCGATAAGGTTCGTGCGGGAAAGATGTATCTCGCCTTACTCCCAGTGCGCGTGTCCAAGCCGACACAATACAACACCGAGTGGACGGAGGTACAGCCACGCAAGACACGAGGTTCTAAGCAGGAGCAGGTTTCCAGCAGTACTCAAACCTTATTCGGGGAAAGTGGAAATGCACAGGCATATGACGGTGTGAATGACTGTCGGCAACAGCGACAGCTGACTTTCCACAAGGCAAAGACGTTTGGCAGAAGTCAGTGGAAATGAATCAACCCGTGTTGAGCGGGAGAGAATGGAGGGCTGGAGGATTGAAGAATTTGAGCAATGTGGGAATAAATGATTGTGCTCAGTAGTAATAGTCTGTTGCTCCATTTCAAGATGCTCTAAAGGCTGTGTGATATCTACAGTGCCCGCCTTTCTCGGCTTTCTCACCATTTCCCAAGTAGCTGGATCCTCAACATCACCATATGCACTGGTAGATGCAAGACGAAGGCTTTCCAGGGGTAACTACGTACGGCAGTATCACCGCGACCTGTACTCATAGCCTCATTATTCTATTTAACTTTTCTGCGCCAAATCATGATCTAGTCGCCGGAATAGCAGACAACTCTTTATACCTTTCTCCAGTCTGTCATAGATCTGGTGATGCTGCCCAGACCCGCAACATCGACAACTTTCTCATGCCAGCTCAGCAATACACTCATAGCAGCACCCGTCGACTCGTTGCCCGCGCCCGGTCTTCCCGACATTTGGGTGAAGCCTGTCGCCTGTGGTGTTAGATTGTTCGATGTCTTTTGTCGCGGTGCCGAAGCGCTCATGCCCTTGTACCTGTAACCAATGTGTGTCAGTCCCCACCTCCAACATTTGCCAACAGACAGAGGTAGAAAAGGAAAAAGAAAAAAAAAACCTACAGATACTTCATCAAGGCGTCCAACAGTTCGCTTCCGCCCTGCGACTGGTGAATACGCTGCAGCATGGGCGTCATCTCGCTGGCCTTGATGGACTGCAGGACCTCGAGGACCGTCTGGAGATGTGCCTCCTACAATCCCAAAAGTGAAAATGTTAGCCTTCTAATTGTCCCATACTGTTTCTGTCCGTTGGATTCATCAGAAAAGTCCTACCTTTGCGCCCTGATCGCCGTTGTACACGGGAGTCTCCAAAACTCCTCGTAGAGCTCCCTCGGCGTCGCCGCCCCGGAGCAGTTGCCGAACCTGTCCATTGAGCTGTCGAACCTCGGCCTCACTGATCTCGGGCAGGGGCGGGTGCAGCGTAGATGTGTCGAAGTTCTGCGAGCTCTCCGGGTCCAGCGCATCGATGTTGATGGTGCGCCAGGCATCGCTGAGGGATGAGGCGTTGTGTTGTTGGATGATCGACATTGCGGCCTCGATTTCTTCCCTTTCTCTCGTACTCGACTCAGGGAGTTCCAATTATCAGATGGCAGGAAGACTGGGCTCGGTAAGACGTCGTCGCTTGGGTAAGTAGTCTCCTGATGTAGGCGGTAGTTACTCCAAGGTGGATGGAGGGGCGGGATCTGACGTTGTTCAGCCCCCATTGGAGCTCTTGAAGCTGTTGCGGGGGGGCTCAGTGGGCCAGCACCGCCACAACCCTGTCTCTCAGGTGCTGAACTTCAGCGAGATGGTATGTGGCTTAGCATGGTTGCTACGAGAGCTACAGTGGTACAGGCCGTCAAATGTCATAGCAAGTCGCGTTACGCCTTGATTATAGTGCACTTCCGTTGAAGCCAAGACAACGCGTTAGAAGGTCAATTATCAACATGTCATCTTCAGACACTTCGTAGATTGAGCATCGACACTTCAGCAAGGGACGTCCTATCATCTAAAAGACTCAGTGATGGTACGGATTCGTACAACTGACGATGCTCAGGCCCCAATTTGATGCATTCACTACAAGGGGATACGCCGTTGTTCTGGTTATTGATTTTACTATGGCATTTGCATTCACATGATGAAATTATCTGGCAGCTCGTAGATGACCTTGGCAACTTGTGTATCGGCAATCCGCAACCTGGCATGCCATCACCGCATCCAATATGGACCGACATATGCCCCATGCCTGATGATGATCGTGATGGTTTCTCAAACGGCAAGTTCCACTCACACGTACTATGTAGGAGATGACACGGCAACAAGGTTCAGGCTATAGCAAGCGGTAAAACCGCCTACGGTAAACGGATCCCAAGATGATCTCCCAAACAGACGTCAAGACCATCCAAAACCGGCTGTGAAACCCGAAAGGTTGGGTCTTCCTTCAGCCCTGTAGCTTCAGACGGTCCTGCTTGCCATCTTTGGTTGTAGTGGTCCGAGATTTGACTGTTGGAAGTTTGGTGTCTCCAACTGGGCTTTGTCGGAGCCAACGGGCGCGGACCTCGAAAATGCCTGTTTCAGGAAAGACTCACCCAACCCTGGGCCGTTTGGATTGGGTACAGAGCCACGTGGAATCTGCAGCGCGTGCTGCCAGATTCAGCAGGTCTCGCGTCGTGCAGTTGTAGCGTGCAGCTCTGATGGATTGTTATAGACAGGTAGTCGTTCCTGGGACAAGGGCATGTATGACAGGATGGGAAACGGATTGATACTGTTATTGCGATATGTCGTGTGACGCAGCCCATTGATTGCTGCTTGCCAAAAATCTAGGCGTACTGCAGGATCGCAGCAGTTTGTGGGGAGACGGGAGGCAGCAAGCGAACGTTAACATTTAAGCGAGAGCTCAGTCATCTTTGCTGACAGCTCTGGGACAGGTTTGCAACCGTAACTTGGCTGACCCTCACCGGTGTGCTAGGGACAAAGTCCCCAAAGTTTGGTTCCGGATGGAGAAAAGTTCCTCAATAACGAGTAGATGGGCACCGCGACCCTGTGAGCAAGTTGATAGCCGGTCACCCTGCATGGGGGATTAAGTTCCATTGTAACATCAACAATGGATTCAGGCGACACGTGCCGAGGACCGCATTGACGTAGAAGCGTATCAACCGCGATGGAGAATTCCATGTTTTGCTTCAAAATGCTCGGCCGTGGCCGCGGCAAGAATCTGTCATATTCTCCTGATGGCTATATCAACGTAATAATGTTCAAGATTTTTTCCCAGATGAGGCTGACTGATTTCCCTGAAGAGCGGAACTACCTTACGAGTCCCTCTTTCTTGCCGGCGCCAATTGTCGTAGGGATGAGATAAACGACTCGGCCAAATATGCGCATGTTCGTCCCAAGTTCATCTGTGCCCACCTGGATAACCGCAGATCATCTATTGGTCTCTGCTTCGGACTGGATACCCGTACGTCGGTAGAGCCTAGCGGCTCGTGAGGTTATCTCAAGGCTTGCCTGTCTGAAAAGTTTTTTTTCCCTTGTTCCATTTTAATTAGCGATATGAATTATGACAGTGACCTCGTAGGACTCGGGAATTGGTGCGTTAAAGGATGATGGACGGATTCCTTCCCCGGTGCCACGAGACGCATGGGCAAGGGTGTCTTGGCCCATGTCAGAAGAGAGTTTGAACATGTCAAGGACTGGCCAGCAAGCCTTAAAAACCAACATAGTTTGCATCACAAAGTTTGTTCGTGTTGGCGTGCTATCTCCTAGCTAGTTTGGATGATAACACGTTTCTGCTCATATGGTCCAGAAGATGGAGATTGTGATGGAAAGTAGATCTTTGAAATGGGCACGATGTCATAGTCGCAGGTACGAATCTACCGTAGTGCTATTTGCGAGCAATTGCCACGCTGGACTTTTGGTTTAAACTAGCTCAACCCATTGTTCAGTGGGGTCGCTGCATGACGGTTGAAACGTGGCTGGGGAAAGTCTTCTATGGAGCATCTCATCAGTTTCTAGAATGCGGAAAGAAGAATCTTTCTGACATTATCATGGTCCAAGTGTTCGGGGATCTCCTGTTCATGTCCTGCGGTGAGCAAGTGTCCCTTGAAGTCTCACCGACAGAGCGGATACTTGCAACGCTAGAAGCCATTATAGATGGAGCCATTCAAGTTTGGAATCAGGGTCCTCCCTACTATCAATCGATGATGTTCATGGGCATTGATTGGTATCAATGCTGCTTTCACCCCCCCAAAAGGGTCATGTAGACAAAGACCAAGGAGCCGCCGGTTTTGTTGTTGGGATATGGAAGCAAGCAATGGATGTCACAGATCAGCTGTTGCCTTTGCTCTCACCTCGCTTGCATAGGTGAGTTTGCTTCATGTGGAGTGTAACACATATCTTGCAATTTCTGGACAAGGTTTTGCCAAAGGCATATCGGTAGCAGATCCGAATAGTGGTTGAGACGAATGGCTAACGTTAGGGGGTGGAAGAGAGCCACCATCAATGAGCGATGCAGGGCGGGAACCGGGTTGACTGCCGCGGACTGTCATCGTCGCCTCTTTTGACGCCGGCCATAACTCCACAAACTCGACCGGAATTATCGTCGTTCATGATCCACAAAGATCATTCCAGAAAGCAACTAACTGTCCTGCTGGGACTGGACCACTTTCAGAGTGGTAGTGGCCAATCAAAACCGTCAAGTTCAGTTCGACAATCGAACCCTTGTACATGTTAGAAGGACATCTCGACTGAAAAAAAAACCCCCAAACCCAAAAAGAAAGAACCAAAAAAAGAAAGAAAGATGGACAAGATGAATTAAGCTAGTTTACAAGACCAGGGTTGAAGGACCGCGGCATCGCAGCCGTGCCGCGATAAATGATATAATGCTTGCTTAACGAGTCAGACTATCATCATTGAAATAATTTCCGCGTCTCAAACAAGCATTGTTACATCAACATTGAGTGCTAAGTGAACATTATGGAAATCATATTCAGATAAACGGTCATAAGAACTGCATTGAGCGGAGCGGCATCAGCGGACTGACAAGGGATTGAGCTATCCATAGTGTTGCTGTTATTGCGCGTCATGAAATGGCTGTGAGCAGCCTACTATATAGGAGAGTTGCGTGCTAAAGCAGGTAATTGACTATTTCGCGGGTAAATTGGCCCATGACGAAGCGATCGTCTTCGAGTAGTCTTAACTTGGGAGATCCTCCCTCTCCAATTATCACATGACGATACTATCATGCGTAACCCAATAGAGCCCAATTTGTGGTATTCCATTAGCGATTTGTCACTCGAGAGAATATGAACACCAGTCACACCATCCCGGCGGCCTCAATGTGATTAAAGGTGCGGCGCGGTTGTTACAACTATCACATCATAGGTCCCTCCAGTTCCAACTGGAGTGAGATGATAACTCGAGCCCTGCTGGTATTCGTTCATATTTCACGGAACTCGGGAAGAAAAATTGAAACAAAAAGCACGTTCGACATCGACGTGTCTGCTCGAGATTCGCCAAATGGATGTGGTAAGCTTGCTGCGCTGACGCAAGAATATCATCGGAACTTGCTGTGCATTGTTGCCTTTTGCCAATCAATGACAATTCCCCTTGTTTTATGCCTATTTTTGCCTAGCAAGAATCCACTTGGCCATACTAGAAAGCTAATGCAGGAACAGAGCATCCCGACTAGCGTGCCGCTGATCGTTGTACCCTATACTTCGGTACGAAGGGAGCTCGTGCTTCAGGAGCGCTGATTTCCGGTTAATCAATGAGATGCAGTGCCTTGACGTAAACAGGACAGGGGCAAGCGCCGAGGTACAGCTAGCCACGTGTGATAAGAGGACAAGTAGGCCTTCCGGGTGCTGCGGGACGCCAGCTAGGTAAGACGGTAAGACGTCAGGTGTGTGTGGAAGATATTTTGGTCAGCGTAGCTATGCTGCTGGTGGACGTAAGACAGGCATTGATCCTTCGGCGTGGGATGATAACTGATGTGATATGGTGAGGATGGGGGTTCATCGCGTATTCAATTTTTGGCAGGTCTCACGTCTGCTTTTGGGGCTTTGGCTTTCAGCTGCCTCTTTACCACCAGTACGAAGTAGCGCAACTGGCTATCATTGCCCTGGGCCATTAAAGTAATGAACCTTAATCTATCTGACGAGTGCCCAAACTGGTTAGACCTTATTGCTCCTACTGCTCCATGGAAAGACGACAAGATTCGTGGAAGATCACCTCACACAAAATACCCTAGTTAACCGGCTGTCGCATGTTGGTGGAGACGGTCCACAACGGTTCTTGACATCCTTCTAGAAGTTCCAAAGAAGCCTCCTTTTGTGTCTGGCGGATATCGTGAACCTGGGGAAACGGGTCATCAAAGACAAAGAGAACAGCATCTATGCATGCCAAGTGTGACAGGCTCTATGATCATACTGCAGGCTGCTGATGAACAATGCTGCCGCTGAGTGAACTTCAATAGATCAACTCAAGGCTGCTAATGACTGTACAAACATTTTGTCTTTTTCATGTTTGTCGCCGTGCTGGTATGAAGAGCATGTCTGAGCCGCCCAAAATCTCCCATCAGTTCAGGCCAAATCTGCAAGTCGCCTCTGATTGATAGCTCTTGGTCCTGACCATCTAACGTCCGTATGCATGGCGGCCCGTGTGCTACCGGTTCTTGACCCTGATAGGAAAC